TGCTTACTATTAGTAATGTTAGCAAGTAAGGCCTTCCCGGTTTAGGGAAGATGCGATCAATTGAATTAATTTGAAATAATGAGGCATAATAAAACACTTACGCTCGAGTGGGGTCACGATCAGTCATTTATTCTTTCCGTAATTTTAAGTGCTGCAAAAAGGTGTTATTATGATGGAATAGTGAATAAATTGGATTCTGGGAAACAAAATGCTTTAACTCGCAGCTTTTCTTTTCCAATTAAAAGCACCTTATCTGAAGCAATGCAACAGGTTAGATCACTTTAACCCGTTGCCGAGCGCGTAGCAGTTTCGCTGCTACGACACGCCCCGGGGCTCAAAATACGGCATTCTTATTGCCGTAGAAGGCAACGTTAAGGGTTAACCCGTTGCCAAGCGATAGCCCTAATAAGCCAATAAGCATGCAGTATTTCTAGTCTCAGGGCGTGTCGTGGAATAAAATTGCAACGCGCGCGGCAACGGGTTAAGTACTTTTTTAGTGCATTTCCTACGTTTTAGGAATTTGTTTGGGAAAGTCTTTCTGGCGAAAAAGTACAGTGATTAAATTTCTGATAAGAGCGGATTAAAGACATCACCAAGTGCAAATTTTTTCACTGGCGCTTTATGTAAATGTAAATACAGTGTAGACAGGTACTCGTGAATTTGCAAATTTTTTCCTTGGTCGATTTCTGTGATTTCTAAGGGGCTCTTTCTGGCTTTATTTTAACAGCGCTTTGGTGAGTGATTCCCATGGAGACCTTGACACTTGCTCGGAGATCAACCCAGCTGCCGGACGACTAGAAAATGTTTGGCTTGCCTGACATTATGGAGAATAATAATCTCACACGTTCCTTCTTTGATAAACATCGCATAGCTTTGTTGACTTTCTTGAACAGCTCTTTTTATCGCGCAAGTTGACAAGTTGAAATTCAAAATAGAAAAAAAAACCTCGAAGACTGTCTACTAGACTTTCTACGGCTAGAATCGTCATCGGCAAGTCCCAAAATTGACAATCCCGGAGGAAAATCTTCGATTTTCAAAGAAAATTTTTGCAATATTTTTGAAATTTTTATTCCATTTTTTCCCTCAAAAGCGTTTTTTGGACTAGAGATGAAAGGCATTCCAAGTCCGATTCGCTAGAATTACGGTAGCACCAACAGCTGATCGGTAGTAAACCTGAAAAAAGCGATAAGAAAAAATGATAAGAATGAACCGTTCCAAGCTGGCCACGGCAAGAAAGAATGCAACGAAGAGTGTGTTAAATGTTCTGGATAAATATTTTAACATTGAGTTTCACCGATAAGACGGCGTCTGTTATCAGAGACGGCGGGTAACAAAAAGATAACGTTGTGCTTCCTGATTCGGAAAGCGGAAAAATTTCTTCGCCGAAGCACGTCTAGAATGGACACCGCTCTGACATGATATTTTGAACTTGATTCCCTTATCGCTCCTAAATAAGGACCGATAGCTCCAGCGACTGATAAAAAATTACTAAATTCAAAGCAGATTCTGACCTAACTAAAGGACGAGTTACGTAATCACAAGTTCAAACGAACTTCTATAGAACAGTGGCGCTACTGTAGCAATTTCTCATTATTTTGACGATAGAGAGTACAGTGTCAAGTTATTCACTCTCGAGCGGCTTCCGGAAAAGCGCGGTGGCATTCTCCTCGCGCTGGTCGACAGTAAATATTGCCAAACATCACTAAGGCGACCTAAAAGCAGAAACAACTGCTCGACAGTTAGTAACTCAGGAGGGTAGAAAATACTCTCGCGTTTTTGCTTCGCTGGAACTGCTGGTACAAGCTCGTTAACAAAGAAAAAGCCTGTGTTTTTTGAAAACAAACGAGAACTTGTAAGTCGAGTTTATAACTAAGAAGATAATTTCAATTTCTATTTTTCGATTATACAAAATGGCAGAACTGAAAATGGAGGAAACCATGTTTGCCGCTAAATACGAAATAGCAAATTCGTAAATTCGTAAATTCGCTTTTTTTCTTGTTATTTTGGAAATGGACACTAGCCGCGAAATGGGTACTTCCTTCATGAGCTAATTCAACCGCTAATTTCACCCCGGCCAAAGTAGAAACCAAAAATACACAACAGCCATCGCCAGAACCAGACTCAGCCTCTGCGGGCGATTATAAAAGACCAGAAGTGCGAATTACTCGCAATTTACTGCCTTTTTTTCAGGTTCTTGCAAGGTTGCCAACGAACACTTCAACTAAAGAATAAAAAAAATAGACAAGAACCCTATTAAAAACGATAATAAGGCCGGTAAAAGGCGATTTACGCTCAATTAAATTGTAAAAAATGAAGTAAAAATGATAAATCGACGCTCAAAGTTCACCTGGTTTCATTCCTAATTGAGGCCTTAAATTTATGGCCTTTTTGGCGAAAAGGGTAAAAATGCGATCTGATCCTGGAAAATGAAAATTACGGAACTGAAACGATGGCGGAACGACAATATCGCTCGTTATCGCGTATTAGATTCGAGCTATCACTCCGCCAGTGCATATTTGGCTGAAGGGGTAACAAACAGTTAAAGAGGAACTAATTTACCTCCCTGCCGAAAATGATGGACTTATCTGAAGCTGCTCTAATAGAAATCAAAATCTGCAAATTGCCTATTTTTATCTTCTTTTGCAAATAAATTCCGTCTCCTACGATTATATAATCAAAGAATGTTGAGAATGAAGAATATTATATTTGCAGCGTTTCTACATTTACTAGCAATATGGCGTTCGCATTTGGTCAATTTTTCGTCTGCAACAAGGACATCTTGAATTTTTCATCTTGATTTTTTCCGCGCAGCCTTCGCAAACTACCTGATGCCAGCTTTTTCTGGTTCCCTTCTGTTATATTCAAAGGGTTAGGGTTAGGACTCTCAAGGTAGTAGGGGGCTATCATTCGAGCTGCCTCTAACCCTAAACCTTACCCATGGGGCTACGCCCCCCCCCCCCGGGACCCCCCACCTAACGCCTAACCAAGGGGGCTTTGCCCCCGGACCAGGGCGGTATAATTTGCATTCTTGTAAATAATCTCGAAAATTTGCGAGATTAATCTTCTTTGGAAAAAGATTCTGAGATTAGTCAAGACTGGACTAGTTTCGAGATTAATCTTTTTAGCGAGGGTCGCGTGGCTCGGGGGAAAAATTTTGGTGGCGCTGGCGAGCTGTGAGCAGTGCGAGGCGGCGCGGACAAAATTTCAAGCTGCGCTCCAAGCATGTTTGAGTTTCATTTTCTCTCGCGCCGTCGGCCATTGGTCCACCAATCACAGCGCGTTTCAAGATTATTTGAAATAATCTCGGAACTATTTCGAAAATTTCCCGAATTAATCTTTTATTCAAACAGACTAATCTCGCGTCGAGATTAATCTTATAAGAATAAATGAATAGTCTTCGGAAAAAGACTATTTACAAGAATGCAAATTATACCGCCCTGCCCCGGACCCCCTTAAGAGTTCTCAGTCCCTAACCCTAACCACTAGCCCAGATTCTAGAGAGATCGGATGGCTCGAATGATAACCTCTCTCTACGCTTTTCGATCTAAGAGTCGAGTTCAAAAATTCAGGAACCGAAATCAAGGAAGAAAAACAGTCGCTTTTTGCTTTTCGTGGCAGATTATACACGGCTGTTCGAAAACTGTTCGCTCAAAATCCGCATCTAAAAGCACTTTCTTCTCCGTTTAACCCATTCTCGCAGACCTGTCACATGTGAGCCATTTTTGTTTCCACCATTTTCGATCGCCACCTTTTCCAGTTTAAAAAGCAGCGGCTCCTCCTTGCTTCCATAAAGAATACTCGTTGTCGACATCTGAAGATAACATTATCACTGCTACACTCTTACCTTCTTCTCTTTTACCAAAAAATAGATAAGTGTGGAAATTCTAAAATCATGGAAAACGCTATTTTTCTCTTTAGTTAGTTTGGGATCGATCAGAGCACTTTTTCGGCAAAAATCGATGCCAACTTCTGATCATCTCCGCTATCAAGCGTGTTTTAATTAAAATTAATACCCTTTTTTATTCAAGTCAAGGGCGGACAGCGCATTCTAGTTGTTGAAAAAGTCCGAAGGCGTTAATTTTTAATTCACTTCACTAAACTGGACTCGTCGAAAAAGACATCAAAAAAAAAAGAAAGAAGTTAATTTATATTTTTGTTGCTACTATCACTGTACTTGAGCCCTGTTTAAGATCGTCAAGTAAAAATCTCTTTCTCTTACGATGATAATTGAGGAGGGAAAATCAAGACCTCTGTCAGGCGTGCTCTGAGGGTTTAAAAGGGTTTGACGTGTTGCACGATAAATTCATATGTTATCGATTTTGCAGAGCTGAATATTACATCTCTGGACCTGCATGTGGATAAACTCGCCAGACTACAGGCAGAGGATCAATAATACTAAATCTTTCCTGAATACCAACACATGTCTCTTTTAACAATTTTAATAAATTTTATAAAATCGCTAGAAATCTTAAGGATAATATAAGGGAATATATCGCTGTTTCAAATCTTCATTCCTCGATTTATGGGTGAAAACTTAAGGGTATCCCCAAGTAAGCAATTTTTCGCACTAGACCTATATCTGAGCTGTACTTTAGGATACCAATATCGGATAGATTCTTAAGGGTCTAAAGAGCGAAATAGCTGTTTGAAAATTAAGTCAAGGTCGATGGGGGGATCCTTAAATATAATTTACGAAAAATCATAAATCAAAAATTGAATTTGATCTTGTACCTCTGGAAGCATTTCTACTCCTGACAAAAGACAGTTACTGATCTCTCAAGTGTATCCTAAAACAGGCTTAAAAAAAGTATGGGCCCTGAACTCTCGATGGTGCTTTGTGACCTTGACGAGCGAAATTGCCAAATTAAAGTTGCATGTCTTGTCAATGGGCAGCTAATTTCCTTCTCCTCTTTTTGATTGAGCCTTCTCCCAAGGCGGTGATTCTGAATTTGCGCCGAGTGTTCTGTAAAATATAAACCTGCCGGTATTGATTGAAAAAGATGATCGTATTCAAAAGGGACCAAATCTCACTGATCTTCTTCGTCGATAGCGGCGGGGATATTGGTAATTAGCGATTCTTATGAGATTAAATTAGCATAAGAATATTACCACCATTTACCACTTGAACTTCGGAGCGATCAGGACAGCTTTGAAGGACTTGATGATTCATACGCATTATGACCTGGACTCGGCAACCTGTGCAGAAAACCTGAGTCAGGGTGAAAGATATTTTTTCCTGACTCAAGTTTTCTACTGATGTTGCCGAGCCCAGATTATGACCGCGCAATTTTGACAGCTGAAGAAATTTGATGATGCCTGTCTATCAGACTCTACTCCAGTCGAAACTGACTCGATTCGAAATCGCGACTTTTCGAGATTCCCGAATATCGTCAGTTTTCTAGACGTTGCCAATTGCAAGCCAGATGTGCCAGATCAGTCAGAGGAGAAGAAAAAGAGAAAATTCGCCGTGATGGAGATTGAGGATGAGCCAAGACCGAGTCCCAATATTAACGAAAAAAGAGTAGAAAAACTGGAGATTGAAAGAAAATTCCCTTACTTTGGCAGACTCTCGATCGACTATGAATCCGCCAGAGAACGATTTTCTATGCCGACGAAGGAAGAGATCCGGGCTGCAAGAGGAAAAGATGGTGAGAGCAATGTCGCTCTTTATAAATACTGGCTGGACGACGATACGATGAACGCGATCGTCCAAAAAGAGGTCGAAGAGATGGACGAGAAAGACAAGGATCGATTCTATGTCTTTCCGATTTCTGTGTGGGTTTCTATCAAGTCGACTTCGGAAGCAGAGCATCCTAAGCACCCGGCGGACAGATATCAGCTCACCAAATCGGCGATTTGGCCGAATAGCAATTTTAAAAAGGTATTCTTGCAGGACCGCGATATGTTTTCAACTGTGTGCTATTCAGCTTTTGGAGGGCCAGCGAAAATTCAATCCCTTCGAGCGAAAATACCTCCTCCTTCCTATAATCCACGATGCGCATTGGAACTTGGCAGTGATTGTGAATCCAATGGCAGCTATTCTCCGGCTGGCGCAGAAAGATCCACCCACAGAGAAGTTTATACGGGTAAGGCCTTTCAGAAACTTCTCTTGTGAAAGAAAGTTCTAGGGAAAAGAAGACCCATTTTTTGTTGAGAAAATATACGCTAAAATGTTCAATCTATCGGAAAATGAACGAATGGACGCGTCAAAGGTCACTCAAGAAGCTCCTTCGCTTGATGAGCCGGTGATCTACATTTTTTGTTCAAACAAGAAAAATACTTGGATTCGAAATTGTGAGCTCGCCTGTGAGTTTCTTACTGGAATGTTTCTCGGTAAGCCTCACCATCACGGCAACTTTCTAATATTCTTCTGTAGATGAATCAAATCCGGCGTTGAAGAATCTTCAACAAGATTTTCTGAAAAAGCACCTTCTCGTGCGAAAAACTGTGAAGATGAAAGACACTGAAGGAAAAATTCTTGCTGTGAAGAAAATGCTCTCAATCGTGAATGGAAGAAAACCTAGAACACTCGTCTGTCCGCCTACAGAATCAGGAAAGCCGTGTCCATTGTGCTTCAATAACGGGAAAAACCATCACGAGAAATTCCTTCCCTTCCGTTATTACAAGCCTTCTACTCCGACTCAGTCCAACGACTTCGATTGCGGCACTTACACTCTTTACGCTATTCGGATGTGGATGCAGCAAGAATCATTAGTGACATCTTCCTTGCATCAGGACTCGACTAGATTGTGGACTCCTGTAGATATCTACAAGTATCGCTACGAATGCAGACGGTACTTGGATAGAATCGCTGGCCGACCCGATCGAGAGCCTGTAAATGAATTCGGTACAGCGGAGGAGAATTGCTATCTGCCCTGTCAGAAGAAGTCGTATGATCTGTTCAGGATGGTTGGCGATAATGTTGATCTGCTCAAGGCCCTTGAGAAGATTGGCAACAGTACAATTGATGATGGAAGCGAAGAAAAGGAAAGCAAGGATGAGAACGGATTGGAAAAGAAAGAGTCGAACGCGGAAGATACTGCTGTCGACGAAATTAAAGCGCTATCAGTGGGAGAAGTTGGTGAGAGCCTCGCAAACGAGGAAACAGAGAAAGTCAAGGAAAGAAAAGCTGAAAGTTTGGAGACTTGTTCAATTCAAGAAGCATCGGAGAAAGAGGACCTTCCTGCAGAGAATACTGTGGAAGAAAATAACAATCAAGATCGACATGCAGCGGAAGCTGAAGACTCCACGAATGATGCTGCCAAATTTAAAACCATCAATTGTATTGACAGGGAAAAGGAACAGAATGAAATCATCAGTGGATACAGAAACGTCCAGGAAGATAAATCTACCGACAGCATCTCGACAGAAGCTGATAATAGCGAAGAGATCGAATTTCACAATAAAATATCGGATAACGAGGATGCCGACGATTCATTTCCTATTTACTCGCCTGAAGATATCTCCTCACGATTTGTTCAACTGATGATTGACGACGAGCCAGAAGACATTGAATCGGACTCCTCCATGATCGCAGAAGTCAAAGGCGTGTTCAATGAAGCTCTCATGGAAGAAAAGCAGTTAGCAAAAAGAGTTGATCCTGAACAAAAAAATTCTCCTGAAGGAAAACTTGTCAGGATCGAAGAATTTCTTAGTGAGCTGAATGAAGAGGCAGTAGTTGAGAATTCCGAGGTAGAACCAGTCAACTACAACGAAATGCCCAATTTGGAAGCGCTTCAGAATTGTAATCAAGCTGTAATCGATGAGAAAATTGGCAGCCTTGACGAAAGTTGTGTGCAGGAAGAAGGGATAAGCATTGATGCCAGTGACTTCAGCGATAACAGTGCATCAGTTGACAGTAGAACTGTATTCAATCCTGCTACTATCGTTCGAAAAACATGGGCGTTGTAAGTTCACGTTTCCTTGCAAAGATTTTCATTCAAATTTAGTGATGTGGAAATCGACAGTAGCATTGATAGTAGCAAAGACAGTAGCATGGAAGAAAGTAACGCCAGTAGAGAGGATTCCAAAACTGAAGATATCTCCAAGGAAGACGCCAAAAAGTCGCCAGAAGAAGAAGTCGAGAGTGAGAATGAGGTTAAAGAGGAGGAAAAAGAGAACGCTGAAAACATGGAGGAGTGCACTAATCAAGAGCCATCGACAACAAATGATTCTCCAGAGGACAATGTGAAAGAAAAGAAACCGCCGGCTAATGAAGACACTGACGATGCTATTTCCGCCAGCGAGCTCCAGAGCAGCGCGAAAAATACCTTGAATGAGACTATACAAGTCGTAGAAGTCATAATTCAAGATGCTACTGCGGCTTGCAAGAAAGACGAGCAAGTTATCATCATTGACGACAGTCTTGAAGAGGAGAGCACAGACAAACAAGAGCGAACAGAACTTGTTGAGAGCGTTCTATCGAGAGATTGTCCAAAAGACTTTACCGAAACGAAACGCGTCTGTGGAACGTAAGTGAATCTCAATTACCTGGTTATCAAAGCTTTAATTGTAAATTAGGGATGCGGAAAGTGACAACGAGGTTATCGACTTGACTACAGAAGAAATGCCGGTTCTAGTGCCCAGTTTGAAAAGACAAGCCAAATTGAAGGAAATCAAAGAAGAACGAATGAGATGTGAGCGGGACTATTCACTTCATCTGGACAATCTTTACGAAAAAGAGCGAAAAGAATTCCAAGAACGGGAATTGAAACTGCATGCACCTCATCCCAACAATGTCCGTCGATGGCTTCCTCGAAGAACGAGGATGAACGAAGTTCGTAAGTACTGTTCCATCATCATTCATTTCTTACAGTTTTTTCCCTAGGCTACAGTGATAAACAAACTCGCAAAGCACCGAAAAGGCCGCGACCGAAGGCTCCTGTAAAGAAAGTTGTAGCAGCGAAAGAACCTGAAAACGAAGTAGTTGTACCTCTGATGCTTCCTCCATCGAATATACTGAAAAAGGATCCACGTGCGAATGAACCACCTAAGAAGAAAAAGAAGAAGTCATTGGAGAAAAAGACAACTGGGATAAAACCTCTGCCAAAAATATTCGAGGGCAAAGAGCTCTCGATGTTTGACTGCGAGATCCAAACTGGTGGGATGAGATTTCAATGCAAGGCAAGTGAAGGACTGCCACCAACAACAACGAAGGAAAAATCGAATGATGAAGATCAAATCCCACGTCGGTGTCAACGAAGAGTGCCTCAAGTAGAAGCAACTCCGGCGACTTCAAGTCTTCCATCTTCAGCGGACTCACCAGGGAGAAGAAAGAAGAAGCAGATGCTCGCCGAGGCAGTTAAAAAGAAAAAGGTTTGTATTAAAATCTGACTCTTCAACTTAAATTCGAATTAAGGTATGTGGTGAATGCGACCGTTGCCAGCGCTTGGACGATTGTGGTCAGTGCGATTTTTGCCTGGACAAGCCCAAGTTTGGCGGACCGAATAAACGCAAGCGTAAATGTCGGCTCCGAACATGCATCTCTGTGGGACGCGGAAAGAACTCGAGAACCAAATCACCTGTAAGAAAGCCTGTAACTTCGAAGAGACCGATCGCTCAAAAGCAACTTTCGAAGATATTTCCTCAAAGGGAACTTTCACCGCCAAAACGAAAAAGGAGGATGAGTTACACGCCCTCAATCAGGCCCGATTTCGGATTCGAAGAAAAGCTGCAGAACCTTGAATCCGATGTTTTGAGCGCCTTCGGAGAAGTCAGGACAGAAATCCTCGAGGAGTACACAAAAATCTACGGAAAAACCGCCCTGCATTTTCATCAACGTAAATACAGAGGAGCCAGGGATGTTTTGATGAATATCAGAATTTCAAGAGCTGCTTCACAGAAGAAGGATTGGTCTTGCAGCACTTTGCATGCGAAAATAGACAAGCCTGCAATTAGCATCAAACTAAGGCGGATTCAAAATTTTGAAAAGCGAAAAAGGACTCGACATACTGCCACTGAAAAAGCCTGGTGCTGCGAAATTAACTCATCAAAATAAGCTGTTTCCTGTTATTCATTTACCAATTTGCTTATTTTCCAGCCATTTCACAATAAATAATCAAAAGACAATCACAATTTCTGATTTCAATGATTTTCTTTGCAGGATTTTTTCAAGATAAAGTTTTCGAGATAATTTATTCAACACAAAAAAGTAGTATAAAATGAAACGTATAAAAGTTGTTTAATAAATATAAATTACAATATGAATTTAGCAATTTTATTATGTGAAGCTTTTGGGTAATGAGGTCGCTCCCGAATGTTGGGATATCTATGGAACTTTGAAGCAAAGGATAAACATACGTAACTGTACGTAGAAGTTAAAGAGTCATGAAATAAAGTGCTATTTCGACGCCAACACCTACCAAGAAAAACAGGCATCTTCTGGGCCCTCTTTCAAGAGCTAAATTGGGCAATTTCTTTCCATAAACAAGAGGTCAGTTACTTGCAGTTTTATCAAGAAAGAGACAATTGTGATATCATGGGAGGAAGTTTATTGAAGAATTTTGCAATGCTGGCCATTTATAAATATTAAAGAAAAAAAGTGAAAATGTCACTTTCTAGCGCCGCCTCGTAGAAATAAGGACCTGGTCCATTACTTTACCGAGGAGCTGCTGATTCAGCTCAGGCTTCAGCAAGTTTTAGGTACTGTAACAGTTACAGTCAGTACCTGGCTTTTTCTTATTTTTTCTATGAAAAAAATATGATACATAATGTAATATATGTGGAGATTTGGTACTTTGAGTGTAGATTCTATAATACATGAGTGTGTGTGTAATATTATTAAATACTTAAATAATAATAATAATATTAAAACTGAAATGAAACTGATGGCTTTTTGAAGAAAACGGCCAGTAATAGTAATAATTAGTTGTACAGGTATTTAGGTAGATCGGCTGTTTTTTTACGTTACGGACACCTCGTGAAAAAAGAGGGAGTAGTAGCGAATCGTGAACAAAAAATATTGTGCGTTTTACAGCAGATAAGCTTTTGACGTTTCCGTTTTTGCAGAAAGAGAAAAGGAGAAAGGGAGTTCTTGAAATTGAAGAGAGTTCCACCAGTAGTCGTTGAATTTCGCGCTCGTTGAAGTCGATTCTTTGGGACTTTTAAAAAATATGTTGAAATTTGAGTGTTTCCGTTGATGTTTCCGTTTGTTGAAAAGTTTGTTTTAGCCGATTAGTCGCGGTAGAATCGTGCGCGAGTTGGTTGCCGCCGCCCGCGGCGAGCGCGTCGAGGAGGAATTCGTCGTTGCGGCGCTGTTCGAGGTGCGCGCCGGAGTGGCGTGTCGGGAACTGCTCGCGTCTGTTCGAGGAAGTCGTCGACGGAGCCAAGTATGGCGCAACGCCTAGAAAGAAAAGTTCGATTCAGAAAAACTAGTGTCTTTTTACCTGTCCAGGCGTCATTCTCTCCTGCGGATCCCATGCCAGACACCTTCTCAAAAAGTCGATGAAGAGGGAGTCATCGCATCCTTTGAGCGCTGTGGCCCAATCCTTCGATCCTGGCGGTCCTCGTTGCTTTCCTCGCTTGCTTCGACCTCCGTTGAGAACTACTGTTCCATCGGGCATCGTCGTCTGAGTACAGTAACGCGGGTGGCCACGGGAAGAGATGAAGTTTTTCGCTCTTTTCGCGGTTTCGATCATTCGCTGTTTTAAAATTAGTGAAGAAGAAAAGGGTTGAAAGCGTTACCTTTGGCGGCATTCCCAAGAGTTCAATCATGCACGCCAGCTGATCTCCTTCATCATCTCCGGGCAGCAACGGGTAGCCAGTTAGCAATTCAGCCAGAATGCAGCCTAAAAGCTTGATTTCCAAAAACAGGAGAAAGAATAAACTACCGAAGCTCCACATGTCGATGGCGGTTGAATACTCAGCGCCGAGAATCACTTCTGGCGCCCTGTAAAAACGAGACTGAATATAGGTGTAGATCTTTTTCTTCTCATAGCACGACGAGCCAAAATCGATAACCTGAAAGTAAAGGGTAATAAAGAAATGAGATGTCTTTTGATACCTTCAATCCTGATCTGCCTTGCTGCTTGAGCAAGATATTTTCCGGCTTGAGATCGCAATGAATAATTTTGTTTCTTGAGAGAACTTCGAGGCATTGGAGAATCGAGTGAGCGAATTTACGCACCAGTTGTAAGCTAAAGCCCTGAACAGATCTGTTGGAAAAGAGAACTTGATTGAAGAAAAATAAACGCACCTGAAATCGATTCTTTTTAATGAGTTCGTAGAGGTTCATGGAAAGCAGCTCGAAGGTCATGCACACGTGGTTTCGGAAGCAGAAGCTCTCGAGCATATGCACGAGGTTCATGTTATTATCGCGATCCTTAATTATTCAGGTAAGGGAAAAAGAAGACGGGTTCAAATACCTGTCTTCGGAGAGCCTCGAGGATGGTGATTTCTTCCTGCGCCTGGCGATGGAAGCGTTTTTCGTTGCGCACGATTTTCAGGGCCACGTGACTTTGCGTCTTGTGGTCGAAGGCTTTTATTACTTGGCCGAACGAACCCTTTCCTAATATAAGAAGTAAATGAGTGATTTAGTTTTTTCTTATTTAGGAAGACCTAATTTAGGTCAAGAAAGAGTTGTGCCATACTATTATATTAATAAATTCTGAAGTTTTGCCTCCTTGACAATTTTGACTTACCAATAACTTTGATGATTTCGTATCTATACGCAATATGATCATGTGCGACGAGCATATAGCTGCCTTGTTCGTCGTCATATCCATCGTTGTTATTCGCGTTACTGTGGCTGGAGGGCGTCTTCTTGCGCGCTCCCTGGCCGACGAAGTAGACATTTGGGTAGTTGTAGATTTCGTGGTGCTCGAAGTTCGTCAGCTTGTGCATAAAGTTCTTCAGCGCTTGGTCGGGCGTCATCGCCTGCCCTTCCTTCGACGACTGAGATGATGGGTTGGCTGCAGCACGATTCTGTAAGAAACAGGGTGAAGACATGGAGGAGAGGGGGAACCTTACCATGTGAGAAGCTGATGAATGCACCTGGGAGTTGGAATTGGCTCTGGTTGGAATGCGTCGCGAGTCGCCTCGTGCTTCGTACATTTTGCTTATTGGAGGTAGTTGTTTATTGTGGCCATTCTGAAGTTAGCTTTAGATACTCTGATTTCTTTATCAAAAGCAGGATTCCTACTCAGGCAAAAAATCTTATTAGTGGAATTTCTGTGTAATAAGTTAGTTCTTAGTCAATTCATTTTTTCAGACAGGTGCTTTTTTGAGGGTTTTATTTTGTCGCTAGAAATACAATCATGCGACCAGTAAGTATCATGCTCACTTTTAAGTATCAGGCAAGTCATGGGAGTGACTGCATGAATTACGGTAGTGCTACAGTACTTAACGAGTTCTTCTCGTCTCTAAAAGGTTCAATCTTTCGACCCGAAAAGAATTCTTGCCGATTTTTCGAGCCGAGTGCTTGAGTTTTTGTCTCGAAAGATCAATTGTGCGTCACAAGTCAACAACTTTTTTGAGTCAAAAAAGCATACAGTAATAGTGTCATACACATCGAAAAAAAATGTTTCATCCTTTTTTTGTTCATTACCCATTAGTTAACCCAGCGGTTAGAAGTTTTTGAAAGTTGTTTGAATTAAATATTTTCCTTAAAAATTTCGGTAATTAAAAAGTAAGCAAAAAATCGATAAAAAATTGGAGCAGAGGGGTCTTAAAACTGACAGGCGGTCTTCTGATCACCAATTTTCGATTTATTATTTAGCAGCCATCTGTTACTGTTCTCCTCAATCAGTTCGTGAATAGTTAATCATATTACTATTATCCTTCGTACTGTAACTCAGTGACTATTACTGCGAAACTAATTGAGCTGAAACAGGCCTACTGTAAAATTGAAGGTTCTTTTTAATTGGCAGTTTTTACGTCAGCAAGTTCAAAATGGGGAAAAAGGGGTGAAAAAACTGTAATAAGAAATTACCTGATGAGTGTGATACGACTGATCTCTGTAGTTGTGATGGGAATTGTGGGAGTATTGAGCGCCGCTGTGGAAGGAATTCGAGAATTCTGGCTTTGGCGGGACGTACTGCGGTAAACTCGTTGTTGATTTCATGCAGCGATTTGCTCTACTGTCAGAAGTATTCACCTTCGCGACGATTGAGTAGTCAGCACGTCAAACTGAATAGAAGAGAGTAGAACACGGTGATTCGCGGCGCCTTGTCAATCTACGCGAAAATCAACATCCTTAACTTCAATCACGACTTCAACCAAATCTTTTAGCCGAACAACAAAATCGCCGATAGGATGGGCTTCTAGAAACATTCCCGTTTTTGAAACTTCATCGAAATCATTTGAAAAGAGGACCGAGTCTTCCAGTTTTCAAAGGCAGGCATTTATTATTTAAAAAGGGCCGAAAAAGAACGTCAAATTAAAGAAAAGGTTGAAAGGCTTAATTGGATGGGCCAGTTCGGGAGAAATTTTAATTTTCAAATGAACTTATTGAAGATTGTGTGAATCGAATACTAAGGATCTGAGCTCGGCAACCTGTGTAGAAAACCTGAGTCAGGGTCTAAAAGAGGATGAATGAAAAGCGGCTTCGTTATAAAAAAGCCGCTTCTCATTCAAGGTGTTTTGGGCACTGACTCAGGTTTACTACACAGGTTGCCGAACTCAGCTTTTTTGATCGAAACCGCAAGTGTCTTTTGGATTGGAAGGAAAAACTCACCTTGTTTAACATTCTCTCTTTTGCATGAAAATTTCTTCGAATGAGTCGATGCGAGTCTTCGTTGATTTCTTCTGCGAAAAAAGAAAGTTCGATTTCTTTCAATTTGCCTGGCTGATTATTTTTCCTTATCTCAGTCTGAAAAGAAAAGCCGTTTTTATTTTAGAAAAAGGAGCAGCTAGCTTCTGCAAGAAAAGAGAGAAGGAGTGTTCGCTTTCAGAAATAGTTCGATTCCGATTATTCCACAGGGACCTTCCATCTCACCCATGCGCCTCTCACCTCACATGCCCATCCCTTTTTTCTTATGAAGCAGACGGGCAGCGTATTATTGCCAATGGGCGCACGTGGCTTTCGATTTAATAATAGGGCGAGTCTAATAAAATTTTTAATCCCCGAAAAAGTTATAAACATTTCTTCGAACTTCAATGGAGCCACCCGAAAGTTGAACTCGGCAACCTGTGAAGAAAACCTGAGTCAGGGTCAGAGAAATCTTCAATGAAGAGCCTCAGACCCTGACTCAAGTTTTCAACGCAGTTTCCCGAGTCCAGAGATCATCATTGTCGATTTTTGAGATTTTGACCAATTAGCGCCAGAATCGAAAAAAATTGACAATCTTGAGCCCTATTTCCGAAATTGGACCAATAATGTCGACAAGGCACCATCTTGGGAAGTGAGAATGTAGCCCTAACCTCAAACAGGAACAGATCATAGCGACAATTTCCTGAAAAGGCCATTGAAACGTTTTTTTCTATTATTTGATTCCCAGAAAAGCGTCAACTGACCCAATAAAATTTGGAAAATACTCGGAATTCTATAGTCTTTAATTTTCAGTGAAAGGCCAGGATTAACGAGTTCAAAGAATCAATTAATCGCATTTAATGACAGCGAATAGTGTTTTTACTGCGGAAGGAATTCGAAAATCAATAGCTAATAATAATTATATTTTTTGATGATTATTATCATTTTGGATGAAAAAGAGGCACTTACAGTTTGATTTCTGAGTTTTTCTGATTTTTCTTTTTTATTTCTCTTAATTTTTTCCTTCGAAATAAGCTTTGAAGCAATTAAAATCAGGAAAAAGTTTTCAAAAGTAGTATCACGTGGTTGCTGAAAATGCGGAATTGCATCGATTTTCGCCTTTGCTTTTTCGGCGAAAAGAGAGCCACGTGCTCTATCTTTTTGAGATGATAAAGCGGATTTTTTCTGCGAAATTCTTTTGTTTCCCGCGGCGGAAAACAGTTGTTATCCAAGAAATTATCCCTTTTGTTATTCCTCGAAAATCTGCCTCTCTCTCTCTCTGTCTCTTGACTTTCCGCTCTAGCTCAGGAAATCATAAAAAATCTTGAGAAACAAGAATCTTACGCTTTCTCTTTCGCCTTTGAAAAAGTTAACGATATAAATGTAGAGGAAAAAATAATGGACAGAGAGAAATAGAGGAGAGCCTCGTAAAACAGATACAATTGTACAATTACGCGAAACTGTAAATTTAGGCTCGGCAGCCTGTGTAAAATAACCTGAGTCATGGTTCTGAAAAATCGCAAATTAAAGCCGTGCAAGACGGTAAATTTAACCAAACCGCTTGGCTTTTATCTCAATTTTTTTTTCAAACCTTGACTCAGGTTTTCTACACAGGATTCTGACTCAGAATTTCTGAGCCAATCAGTATGATATCTAAAGAAATATGACTGAAATTTAAATGACCGACGGGCCCGTTTTTAACTGTCATTTTCATCAATAATAATTGGAAATTATAATTAATTATTCGAAGGATATTGAACTCTAGTCTTGAGTTCATTAAATGAACCGCGGCTAAAGAGAAAGAGAGATTGTAGGAGATTTCGGAGAAGCCGAAAATCAATGATGATTTGGGGCAATTGGCGAAATTAATCATGGATTAGCAAGACTAGTGTCTCGATGACAAGACTGGGTTAACCGGAGATCAATTTTGCCGGCAGGAAAATCATGAATCAGGATTTAATTTTCGCTACTCAGCCTTTTTTTTCATCAATTTCAAAGGGACTTTTCTCTATTTTTTCTTTCCTTCTTACTGTCTGCTTTTCTTTTCTCTCTGAAACTATTTTGGAGTGAGGCTGTACTTGCCACATTTCCGGCAGCCTTGAGGAAGAGAAGACTGTAGTTAAATTGCTCATAATTAATTTGATGTGGAAAGTAGAGTTACCGAAATGCCGTATTCTAAATATTTAGAAAGAGTTGACCCGGGGCTGATAGTTGCTAAGGAGATCCGTTCGCCAAGCTGCGCGTATCCGTGGAATATCTATTATTTATCGATTCTCCGTTCTGATTTTCTCTATTTTCTAGCTCTTGGAAATCGTCGAAAATCGAATCGAGAAAGCGACAAATCGCCAAAATCTCAGGGCGGCGGGGTATTTTATTTATGCAGCTTCGAGAAAAAAAGCTGGAATTGATTTGCTAGATTGAAATTGAAGGGAGTGGTAAATTAGCCACAACGAGCTCCTCAAATGAGCCCAGATCAATCAAAATCATCAACTTCAAGTTTCGCTCGTTTTTCTTCTCTCTTTTGGAGTCTTTTCAAAAACAAGCGGGAAGAAATTCAACCCACTTGAACTTGATTGTTGGCCACGCAGGAATCAAGTTCAAAGTCCGAAAGGGACTGAAAGCGGCGATTATCAGCTGCGGGTAGTCATACCTAGCTACTCATAGCTTTAATCACGGAAAAATTTTGAAAACCCAATTTTGTCAAATTCGAAAAAAAATGTGTCAAGTCTCTTTCTGAGCTCGGCGACCTGAGTAGAATTCCTGACTCAGATTCTGAAAGGTATTCTACACAGGTTGCCAAGTACAGGTTTTTCAATCGCAGAATAACTCTATTTTCTTTCGAAAAAAAGGAACGAATTAATTTTTCTTTTCGACAAAACAGATTAAAATTTTACCTTAGATCTTTTTTTCTTATAGTAAGTCTTCAGAAGGCTCTGATTATTATGTTTCTTTCTTTTTTTTCGAAAAATGCACAAATCAGCTAGCCATGAGAAGATTGTTGAAAATTAAGATGTACTAAAATTGAGCGCTTGCGGTTTACGACTAACCAACTCATTAGCCTTTTTGGGCCACGGCCAGGGGCGTCCTTATTCTGATTTCTTATTCAAAGAAGATTAGGCTTTTTGGTCCAGTGAATATGGAACAGGGCTTTTTGGTAGGAAGGGGATGAGGGCGAATTTGACCGTTTCTCTTGGAATCTCTTTCTCTTCTGAAGAATCGTCGATAAATCTCTGTATCAGCAATCCCTGTGACGATAAACTCTTATCCGAAATGGTCAATTTGCCCTTGAGCAAAGTCAGTATTGTGTGCCTGAGGCTGTGGCCCGTGCCCGCAAAGGCGTGGGCGTCAACCCAATTATATTATTTTCTAATGCGCGTTGTTGTGTGTGCCCAAAAAAGGCCCGCTGCTGTCACTCTCTTCTGAGTCCTCCTGTTAGCGAAAAGCGAGAAAGCTTCATATTTTGGATTTTGACACGCAGGAAAAGATTAGTTTCGATAATCCGCCGTGAGATGGCGCTAAACTTCGGCTGCTTTAGGAAAAATCAATTTTACTTATTAGTTATGACCTAATAATTGCCATAAATAGAAAGAGAAGAGAAAGCATTTGAAAGAACATAAATATATATATTTTGTTTCTTCAGGAACTAGTTCTTGGTCGTGCACAGACTGTGTACTGTTGAAAATTGCAATTGGAGTACTACAGTAGCGAAGTACAGTAATCAGGAGAGAAAGAGGCAACTGTTTTCATAATTAAATTACAGCCGGAAAATGAGATTTGAAAGATAAAATAGGGTAGCCCCATTTTAACGGTAAATTACTTCGGAAGGTCACCACCTTAATGGATCTCACATCCCTCAAAAGGCCCCCTTTTTAACAGGTTTTCAGGGATGTTACATAACAAATTTTCAGAAAATCCGTTAAAAAGGGGCCCTTCAAAAAGTCCGTCAAGATCAAGACCCTCAAAAATATTTTCCCGTTAAAGTGGGGACCCCCTTTTTGAGCAAGAAATTTTTAGAATTGTAATTTGTACTTTGAGTCAGAATTAAAGCGGAAATGGAGGGGTTAATAATCTCGATCATACAAGTCAATAAATCGTAAAAGTTAAAAAGATTGGTGGGCAAATATTTGAGCTTCTGTCTTGCTACTGGTTGATAAACAGAAAAAGTTGCAAACTGTTTATATCGAAAATATTGGATTTGGGAGTTATGCGCTAAGAATGACCTGAAAATACCGAATAAAATGCTTGAAATCATAACTGGAAGAAAAAGCTGAAAAGAATTCATGATTCTAGTATAATCTCGAATAATAATAAGACAAAAAGATATTGCAGCGAGTCGCGGAGAACAGAATATTCGTTTGTTTGAATTTTTGAAAATAAAACAAGAATAGATTTTTCAGAAAATTTTGAAAAGTTTTTTCTGAAGACATAGAAGAAAACTGAAGACACTTTTAGTTGGGTCTCGACAAATTCAATATTTGAAAGAGAGAAGCGAAACTTTTTTTTGGAAACGAAAAATAAGAAGAAGATAAGGCTATTTTTTTGTTAGTGTTGTATTTTTTAGCATCGTTTGTACACTAGTTTGGGTTTTAACTTTGAAGAGAAGTGCGGATTCAATAAAGTTTTAAATAAAAAATAAGCATAATAATATATATCTCTAGGTTGATTGCTCATTATCAGCTTTTAACATACAGGGCAGCATTACAGTAAGTTTCGTAAGAAAAAGGTTGATAAGAGAATCTTCGTTTTTGACTTTTCGGTGGTAGAGAATTGGAAATAAGTTAGGAAAAGAATCTGGTTACTCGAGGCCAGGCACGGTCATGTTTCGGAAGGACCATTTTTGAGCTTCCATGCTTCCATCACACCTCTCCATTCGAGGCTAAAAAGAGGCATATTCTAGTGCTGCCTTATTGATCGAGGTTACCTCGTTAGCTGATCTGGCAATAGGTTTGGTAAGGCACTGTTTTGAATTTGTATGGATGAGTTGGTTCGTCTGAAAACAGAAATTTACAAAAAATCGAGAAAAAAGATTGATGAACAAACCTTGATGTTGTATTCCCAGTATTGATTGCCCTTCTGATGGTGGCACTTGACCATCATGACGGGCCCCTTCGAGTTGGCGACATCAAGACAAAGGTCATCAATACGGATCTCGTTATCCATTGTGAACGAGAAGACCTAAATCAAACCCAATTATTTCCCCTGTCGAATGTCGGCTCCGCTTTTCAGCTCTACTGTACCTGGTTTCCCCCTTGTCCGTGACATTGATAACAGCCGACTTTTTGGTTTTCTTTGCGGCCCATCGTGTCAAGACAAACATTTGCGGCTGTGTTTTTGATTTCTCCAAGAACCTTGTATCTAAAAAACGAAAGTTGTAACGACCAAGAAAGCATAGAACCAACCTTCTGGGAATCTGGGCATCAGGATAGACATTATCAAGATACCACTGGAATGATTTGCACTGGAGGTTGTTTCGGAGTACTTTTCGATCAGATACGTCGCCATACTCGTGTTTCATTACAGTAGGATTCACAATGTAGAAGAATTTCTTGTAATCGTCCATCCACACCTCGGCTAGAAGAGAAAAATAAGAATCAAGAGGAAAGAAAAGAATTACCAAGGCGGCGGTTGTTTTTGTTGATGATTTGCGAAGTTCCTCCAGGAAAAGTATACGGCGTTGCTTTTCGGAAAACGTGACCCACGTGACTGCAGGTGGCGATGAGAACAGTTCCACCGCACATCCAGATTCGAAACGACATTTCTAAGTTTTCTCCTCCCCAGATATCCATTCCTGAAGGAAATAAGAGCTTCGCCCGGGGAAAAAGATCTTACCGGAGTCATATGAACCAATTTCATAAAAGTAGCTCCTGTCGATTGAAAACAAGCCTCCAGCCATTGTCGGTGTTCTCATGGGAAGAGATCTATCTCCTCCTCGTCTGTCTACTTCTCTCTGTGGAACTGGGTACCATCTAAACAAGAGAAATTTACGATGGAATCGAGATAATCGGCAGACCTGAAGTTCAGTTTCCAATTGAAGCCTCCATAAGTCAAATCGGAACCAGTCAAAAACTCGAACGTTTCATCCGAAATCACATCGATAATCGGGCAAATCACATTCGTTCGATCCTTCTTGATTTCATACAACAACGGCTCAAGCCAACCAGGACTGGCTTCGATATGCGCGTCGAGGAAAGTAAGAACTTCTCCTTTTGCAATCTTCGCTCCTTCAAGACGCGCTCGGATGAGGCCCTCGCGGTGTTTTTGTCTGATGATTTGGATAGGCACGGGCAGATCTTTCACGTAATTGTCCAGCTGCGCGCCAAGGAAGTCTTTTTCACTGAAGATCAATCGGTAATAATTCTGATCAAAGATTATTAGCTGAGATTTTTCGGGAAACAGCTGCTTCCCTAGAATTTCGGGTATAAATAGAACTCAAAACAGCATTAGACTCAAACTGCTAACAAAATGAAGCTTTAATGAATAAGAAGTAACAATAAAGAGATTATTTATCTTTTTACTGCTATGTTTTATTGATGGTATGAGTTAAAATAAAAAAGAAACGACGCCAAATTCTCTATTCTCAATTAAATTCGCGATGAAAAAATACCTTGCATCGTCGACCATGATAATTTCTTCGAGCATTTCCCTTGGCGATCTATTGATGACAGAATGAATCGACCTCAGCAGGGTAGACCATGCTTCGTTGTGGAAGACGAAAATGATGGAAGTCTTAGGAAGCGCTCCGAGATCCGTGTAGTCGTGTTTTTTGCAGCCAGACATTCGAACATCTAACAATCAGCTTTGAATTTAAAAAAATGAGAGGGGCTACCTTTGAGAGTTCTGTTGACGGAAATCATGTTACTGGCCATGAGATTGAATTGATTTTCTTTGAACATTTGTTTCGACTCTTTTTCTTTATCTTTTGGAATTTTTACAGCGGCACCCATTTCGCCAGGGCCCTTGCCAGGAATATGCTTCGCCACAGCTGAAAGATAAAAATGTAAAAAACGATGTCTACTAGACTAAAAGTTCCACCAATTTTTCTTTCACCAAAATCATAAAAAGCAGCTACCACCAAATTTAATCTCCACCAAATCTACAAAACTTGCAATTTTAAATTTTCCACAAATTTTCATTTTCGAAAAGTTGAAAGTCGAAATTTTCGAAGCGTTTTTTAAATTTCTTGCGAGAAATTTTTTTTAAAAGAAATAGAAAAAATCACTACCTTCTGTTTTATTCTTTTTGAGTTTTTTCTTTTTCTTACTACTCTTAGTGCTTTCACTTGTGGCCGCTTTTTTGGTGGTTTTCTTAATAGCCTCGGCATTGAGGTCGACTTTGGGGTTAAACTTTCCCTTCGCGATTTTCCCGTCTGATAAGAGTTTTTCAGTGGGGAGATTTTCTCCTTCATCCGCCTCGGGAGCGTCAGTTTTTTCAAGCCCGAAGGGGTCTTGCGGGTCAAAGGCCTCATCCTCATCCGTACCGTCGTTAACTTTGTTGAGGCCATCGCCGATGATGTCGCTCAAGCCGCGCTGGGCAGGCTCGTCCCCTCCGCCTCTTCCGGGGTTCAAGTCCGATCCTCGCTCGTCCAAGTTGATAGAAGGCGTCTGGCACCAGAGCTCCGCGCCCCAGTAGAAAAATGTGATCCAGAAAAGAGAAGTCACTGAAACGCCCCGTTTCTTCGTTGTTTTCAAAATGAGTTACTTACAAATTATGACTCTCACGGATCCAGCACGCCGCCTTAGTATCATCTCATTTGTTCTGAAAGATTGATTATTGGGGAAGGATTTTTGATAATTATTGAATTTGAAATTATGATTCTGAACGGTTTGAAATTGCAGGATTTGAAGAAGATCGGTAGAACAGTTGAATGATGAGCAGTGAAAAACGGACAGCGTTAAAAATTTGTCACGACTGTCACGAAAGTCCAGAGAAATTTGTCACGAGATTCATCTTCCGTGGTTTTCCTCCGAAGACAGAATCGTGACATTCTTTCGTGACTTCGAATCTTATCGAAGTTCGATAATTTTTGAAGATGTCACGAAAGAATGTAACGACTCGGATTTTGGAGGAAAAATGACAAGAATGACTTTCGTGACAATTTTTCGAACTTTTCGTCACGACTGGAGTATTTTCTATTTTCGTGACAATCGTGACAAAATCTCATTGTCCGGGGTGAAAACGCAGTATAAAGAAGTTCTGAACAGATTGATATTTAACTTGTTACTTTTTGAAATCTTAGAGCAAATCGGAATCAGGCTTTTTCCGGTAAAAAGCTCGATTGAAATCGATCGCTTCCAAATCAAGTGTTTCACAGTTCGCAGATCAAAGTCAGGGTCGAGCAGCGTCTCGTTGCACAAAATTTCAATGTTCTGATTTGCCATCTAAATTTTCTCTCTTTTCCCGCTCTAGTGCGCTTTTTTCTTGATACCTTTGTGAGCTCATCCTCAGTCGCTTCTTTGATCCTTTCATTTTCGATTGCGTTGATTTTCTCGAAAACGTGCTTCGCTACTTTTCTTATCTGAAGCATGTCGCCCGCCGTGAGCTTGTCCTAATTTGAGATGTAAGCGGTTTTGATAATGATTATTATAATTTTCAAAAGATAAATTTTGAAAAGTCCTTTTTTCAACTCAATATTCCTTTTATTTGTTACTAATGCACGACTAGCCGTTTGCGGCTTGGAGCATACACAGAAAGAAGCCGCGCAAAGTGCGGCTTTTATATTTTTTTTCTCGAAGCCGCAAGCGGCTTCTCGTATCTAAGTAAGAACTAAAGAGAAAAATGAATTGAAAAAACGACTTTTCAAAAATTTTTTCGTCCAAAAAATCGTAAAAATCCGGCTGTGAATTTCAATATTTCTCGTTTTGTTTCTCTCTTTTTTCACAAGGTCTATTTTACCCGTCTCTGGCTTTGTTATATTACATGCATTGAGCGGCTTGGACAGCAATAAAGCAAAAAAGGAGCTTTCATAAATAATAGGTTATTTCGACGAATATTTAAAATGCCTTTAGGTGATGGGATGATTCTCAGTCAGCGATTGCGGCGCGCTACCGGACCGCGCCGCATTTTTAGCAGATTAAATGTCACCGTGCAGAAAAAACCGGCGGCAGAACAATTTGACCGGCGAATTTGCAGTTTTGAAAATAGGACCGGAAATATGAACGCCGCGCGAAATTTACCGTAAAGGGGATCTGCGCTCAGCAGCCTGAGTCAGGGTTACGCCTTTGTTCAAAAAAGCCGCAATGCGGCTATTATAAAATATCTTTCAAGACCCTGACTCAGATTTCGGCGAGTACACCCAAGCGTTTTTTTTCCTCTTTTTTCCGCAAAAAAATAATATTGAAACAATGTTTCGAAAGCACTATCTGTATCTGTAAATGACTGAATTTCAAATGAGCTACCATTTCGATGCAACCAGATTTGAAACGATAATGCACCGAAAATCAATTATTTTAGCATCCCAGACCTTTTTCAGCGTCGGTAGCGGCCGTTTGATATTGGCAATCATGGGCTGCAAGCAGAATTGAACTAGAATTAGTCTGACACCGTTTCAACAAGAAGAAAATGAAAAGGAACCTTTGACGCAATTGTTATTTGGTGTTTTGAGGACTCCATCTTTGACCCACTGAGGAATATTCTCACTCAAGGTCTTCGCAATATTCTCTTGTCCGATCTAAAAACAAAAACGCTAGAATTCTCGCTTCTCCAAACTCCCAAACCATGTTCCAAACAACTCGGCATTTCCCAGCGCCATTCGATTCATGAATCAGGATCGGGGTATCTTTTGGAAGGCAGATTCCCTTTTGAAGGATCTTTTTCATGATTGCATGGTCGTTTTCCAGCTCGTCTTTTAGATCATCGCGGAAGCATTCTGTGTCTGTTTTCGAGCCAGTCTCGGAGCCGGCGAGCGATTCTGGACGCGAGTGAGCTGATTCTAGTGCTTTTTGAAGATTGCTCCAGTTCTGGAAGACGGAGACGAGCATAAATCGACCTAAGAGCAAATTAAAAGGTGAACATGGACATTCATGTAGCTTTAGTGGGGGTCCTTAAAATCGAAAAAAGCATCGAGTAATGTACCTAAATTGACGCGTGAATTCTGGTTCCCTTCGAAAAAGTCAAAGTCCAAATCGACATGTTTCGTCGCAACTTGTCCTTGGAAGCAATCATTCTCTTCGAGAACTAAAAACTCGGTTCAGAACTAAACTTAGCTAAGAAAGTGATGATTCAGCTAGTTACTACGCTTTATCATTTTCCAAATTCTACGCTTGAATAATTGTCTTTTTACATAAAAAATCATCGAAGCGAAAATGAACCGAACCCTATTTGGAGAAATCCACACTTGAGATCGACACTGAACCAGCTTGGAACATAAAGCGTTTGTTTGTAACTTTCGATGACCTTTGCGAAATCCGTCGTTTTTCCAAGCTTCTTGACTACTTTTCCCAAAAGTACATCGTAGAGAGACACGTTGTTTTCCGAGTTTTTCGTGAGGATGTATCTTCTGTTCGGCAGGACCTTGTGGTCGATGATAGGAGGAACGCTTTTGATGGAGACTTCAGGATTTGAAGAATAAGGAGCGGCAAGTTCTGCATCTGTCTTTCTTGCCAAGCGTTCTGGAGTCACTTGATTGTCAGGAGCCAGACGCCATTTGGAAATACAAGTCGTAGTGCTCGTCCAAAGCGTCTTTTCCTTCTGATCCAGGCAGAGGGAAAGGATCGGAGCCGTTTCTCGCCCGACGCAGTAATTAATATCCGGCTCAATCAGGAAATCGCCGTTACATCCAGGGATCCGAGATTTTGTCGTCTGGACGATCGCCCACTTTTCAGGCGCGATTTGAGTTATCGCGCAGGAGCTAAAATTCTGATCGCGCGCTCAAATGCGCAGCGTTTAGGCGCGATGGCAAAAACTCGCTCTCTCGGAGATGGGGCGATGAATTTCGATCGCGCAGCCCTATCAGGCCGACAAGAAATACTCGCGCGCTCAAATGGGCAGCGTTCAAGCGCGATGGTATAAAATCGCTCTCTCGGCGAGGGGGCGATGACTTTCGATCGCGCAGCCCTATGACGCCGATAAATAATACTCACACGCTTCAAAAGGGTCGAAAATCTACCGAGCGGGAGTGCGATGGTGGCGCTTGGTTTCAATTTTGCCGACCTAGTCGGCGCACGAATCAAATGATCAGCGTGAGATTGCTGACTTAGTTGACCGATTTTTTTGAAAATTCAATTATTGGATGTCACATTGTTAACACTTAAATTCGACTAAGTTGTCCATCTCCTCATAAGAGAGCCCAAAAACAAAATGTAAATTTGTACTGACCTCCCGGAACGTTGCCTACAAATAAGTCGTGCTAATCGCTGACATTGGCGCTTGGCACCGGAAATATCCGTGAAATCTGGCTATTTTTTCAAAAGAAAAATTTTTACAGTAATTGGATTCTAATGTTAGGCCAATTTATGACTGAAAAATATCCTTTCATTGGTTTTTGAACATGTAGATTTCGAAAATTTCATAAAAATTATATTGAATATATCAAAATCTCCTTATAAATGCTTTTTTCTTCTTCAAATTTTGGCTAAACATCACGCACCATTGTTTAATCGTGTAGCTTACTCCAAAATGACAGTGATTTATCGATTATCAAGGGGTCCCCCCATGTTGAAATTTTCATGGGCGAAAATATAATGTCGCGCGCAGCCAGGGTGACCGAAAATAAGTTATCGCGCTCTTGGGCCCACCGCGATGAATAATCATCGCTCCTGAAGCGCGAGGGCGCAGGGAAACTATCGGCATATTTTTGACTAATCCAGCCCGCCGATGGGAATTTTTCGCACTGCGCGCCTAGCAGCGAAAATGATTATCGCGCGCTGAAGAGAAGCGCTAGGTGCGCGATCGTCCAGACGACAAAATCTCGGATCCCTGGTTACATCAGCTTGCCTGCCGCCAGCGTACATCCATCGAAAGTGCTCGTCTGTTTCTAGTGCCCAAATTCCATGCTCAGAAAGCTGAAAAACTCGAATCACCCGCTGTTCGCCAATTGACCAAAGTCGAACGGTTCCGTCCGAACTGGCGGAAACGCATTGAGTTCCATCGCGACTCAGTTTTACGGCTCTGATGTTGTCCTTGTGGCCTCTGAGCTTCATGAGCTTTTCTTGTGTTCTTGGGTCCCATAAGCGGATCAGCTTTTCAGTTCCCCCAGCGACGACTAAATTTGCTTGAGGATCCGTGTCGACGCAGTAGATCGAGTTCGTCGCCCCGTGAAGATTCATACAAGTAACTTCGCTATTATCCACCGTTAGCGTGGCGATCGCATTTACATCCCACAAGTAAATTTGATCATCAAACCCAGCCGAGACGAGTTTATTCGTTTCAGGAGCATATGCCAGCGAGGAGACATAATCTTTATGCGTCCGAATCGTGCTCATGCAGTACGCTTTCGTCGAGTTCCACACTTTGAGACTTTGATCGGAGGAAGCTGAAATCAGAAGTTCTCCGTTGTTCGAGACGACCAAATCGTTGACCCAATCGGAGTGGTGTTCCATCGCATAACTTTCGTTGAGATTTTTTGGGTCCCATTTTCGAATGACTGAATCGCGCCCTCCAGTGAACACCGATCCGAATTTCTTGCAAATCTTTTGTTGGGTAATCATCAATGATCTTTTAGCTATTTTTCTGTATGTTTCTCCCATTCCTTTATACAGTTGACCCCGCCGCGATGAACAGACGCGTTCCCATCACGAATTTGGAAGGAGACATTTGTGCGATGGCCGCCTTGAGTCCGACTCAACGTCATCTAAAACTCAAAAATGAAATAACTAAAAAATTGGGTGTATTAATCTGAATGGCCAGAAATGTGGACTCGCACCTTCAAGTCCTCCTGCTCGTTTTGGACGGTGACAGGCTTAATCAGAAGGCTGGGTATATGTATCGGACTTAGGGAGAGGGAAAGTGAGCATTAGCGCAGGCTTCATCTTTTGCGCCAGTTTTGCTCAGCAGAGCTCAGTCGGGAAACGAGCTATTCGTGCGCGCATAACTCGCTTGATTACAGACAGTTCTCCGTCGCCTCCTTGCTGTAACTCCTCAAAAGAGAGACCGAGCCTAACATGGGTAAAATAGAATAATCCACACCCCCTTCCCACTCATTTTCGCCCGAAACGCAGATGGCGATGGACAAAAAAGTCCCATCTCGACGGTTATATACTATTTCAGAGAAAAATACAACAACCCAGCAACAATCCAACTCTACCGCAACTGAGTATACCAAAAGAAGTCTAAGGGGGAGCCTTAGCAGACAAGTAAGCTTTTATCAATCAATCAAGATTATTTGCGTTTTACTAACTTGAACCTTCAGGCTCCTCTTTCAAGAACTAGGCATCGCAGATGTGGGATCAAAAATAGAACCAGAGGAAGGTTTCCTAAAATAACAAATATATCAAAAATAAGCACAAGAAAACTTGAAAAGAATTTGTCACTGTTTTCAAAGTATTCGAAGATTTACCGTCCGACGATGACCTGGAAAAATACAAGCAGCTGTTTATTCAGCAGCAGGAAAAAGGATTCATCGACCGGGCAGGGCTTTCTCTGATTTTGGAAAAGATGGGGAGGCCAATGTCACACGCGGAGATGCGCCATCTTATCAATTCCATGGATAGCCGACGAATAGGTTTGCATAAATAAGAATATCCAGTTCAATTGAGTTCGATTCTACTTTAAAAGATTTTGTATAAATTTCGTTAATTTCGTTATTTTTAGACTTTTCGGACTTTTTGTCGATTTTAACCACGGACCAGGTAAAATAAGAGGATCATTTTTTAATCCTGTTTTTGCTTCTTTCAGGTTCGCGCTGATGAGATGGAATCCATTTTCTCAGAGTTTGACAAGGACAATAATGGGGAGATCTCGTTTGAAGGTTTGTAATTATTTAGTCAGCGGAGATGATTACAATCCTTTCAGAGCTTAAATTAGTAATGAAGGAGGTTGATGAGAGTTTGTCAGATGCTGATATCAAAGGAAAGTGAGTTGCAATACAGTATTCGTCGGATAGCAGTTACAATAGCTCGCGAAAAAAGATATGATGAAAGAAGTGGATCTGAATCAAAATGGCTGTGTAGGAAATTGGATTTCTAGCGCTCTGCGATCAGTTTTGACACTTTTAATTTCGGGTGTTAAAAATCCACTGATCAGATTTCAAGTCATTTTCGGCAATTACCCGTACTGCTTCTGAAACGCTAAGTTCGATGGCGGGCCGTTACATCGCTTCAAATCAAATAGGAATCGCGCATTCTCTCTCATCTCTTTTCCTCTTCATTAAAGTATTATCTCTATAACTATCACTTTCACGGTGAATCAGATCGATGGCCATTTTTATTTTGACAGGAAGATCCGTGAATTAGGCCGCTGCTTGTCCCCGAGGCTAAAGCACACGAGCAGAGTACGCGAGCGGATCTCTCGAGGAGATACAGTCAACTTAGAAGTGCCAGACGTTCGAAACGCCGACTTTGCGCCCACGAAAAAGAGCACCCCGCCGGTACTCATGAAAAAATCAATCATTCATTTAGCACAAATAACTCTCTTTCGCACATTTTTGAGCAAAGATTGATGAAATTCAGGCGCCGAGAAGCTCAGTTACGAAGAAGAATTGAGAAAAACAGAATGTTTTTTTATGAAAAATAAAACTTTGTTTATTAAAAAAATAATAACAAGACTTCTAAGAAGCGAAAAATGAAGATTCAGAAAAGTTTTTTCTTTATAAAGTCGGGTATTTTCTGTAGTATTCTGCAATCGCCCGTGCTAGGTTCTCACCAAGCTCGCTAAAAAACGATTCTTATATTAAAATTGAGCAAAAGTACCAGTATGCTTTCTGTGTGTACGGAACGCTTCTCAAATCTTTCTGGTAGTTGTAAAAGGAGACCTCCAAAGTGTAGCTCTTGGGGAAAAGCCCTCGTAGGACTCTTCTAGCCGTTCCAGATTTCACTGCGTCTTTGTTGAAATTCGTTTTTGACAGCGAAAAGTCTTCTGCAAACGCTGAGAAAATCTTCGGAAAGGCCTTTTTTCAGTTGAAAATGTAAAAATCATCGAATTTAATCGAATTTCCGTTAACTTGAAATGAAGCAACTGTGCCTGTTGCTCACTTTGTTGATCCTCAGAGACGACATTTCCATACATAAACGCGCCGGTCGCCAAGGAATGCGCGTGAATGTCAAAGCAGAAGTCAACAGGATGTTCCTTTTCAAGCCCAATTAGAAACGCTTTGACTGCATGTAGCCCAGGCTGCGCCCAAGGATTCGTATCCCGCCAGTGGCGATTCAAATCTACACTTTTTCAACGAAAAGTTCGCGTTTTTAGACTTACCAAAACCCATCAACGAGCATCTATAGTTTCCGAGCGCGACACCGTCCGGATTTAACATGGGGATTATCTTGAAGGTAACTTGATCGCGCAAGTACTCAACAAAGATAACAACAAATAAGCAACAAAAATAAGACAAAAGTTTATACCAAAAACAAGTTGTTGAGTTATCTTTCCTTTGCGATATTACATTCTTCAGAGGTGATAAAGTCTAAAAATCCATCCATAATGAAGCTCGCTGGACTTTCTCCAGGATGAACTCGGGCCATCACGACTATGTGTCGTTCTCCAGAGCCGATGGTTAGTAGGTCTATGTTTCTTTCTACCTGGATCATCAACAAGTCGGTAATATATAAATCAAGATTTCTTGAACCAGTTCCTTTTCTGAAGAGTGTGCGCTAGAACTCGCCGATCGACAAGACTTGACGGCAGTGATTGAATCTTACTCTGCATGCGAGCATAATCGTAAGGAAAGCAATACGCGAATTCGTAGCGCTCATCAACGTCGAATTTGAAGGTGAAGGAAAGGATGTATCCGCCGCTTTCGCCCTTCCAGTAGTAGCACTGAGACTGAGAAAGGCGCGTCCAATTGACTCGCGAAGTTGAGCGAACTACTGGGCCCATTCCTTCGCGATACAGGGATCTTCCCTAATCAATGGAGTGAGAAAAATGTTGGTGCTGTAAATGGACCTTTGAGAAATTGACGATATGGAAGATACAAGTCTGTCCAACTTTCGCATTCGTGACCGAGTAATGAAACCAAAGCCGATATTTCTGGTTGCAGGTGTCCACGCGAATGTACAGATCGTATTCGTTGTTTCCACAGTACTCTACTTTCCCGAGATTTCCTGATTCAAAGTCCGCATCGAAAATCAAGTGTCCCGGGCTAGTCGGAAGCTCTTCTTCTTCCGGCGGCTTGATGGTCTGGTGTTTTACGTTTCCGATCACGTCCATTTTTGCTTTTCAACTCGACATTTTCTGAAAAATTCGACATTGAAGACTGGTAATTGAATGAAGAATTGTCCTGGTTTTTGCAGTTTTAGAAAAATTTAACGCCATCAGTTCCGATGAGCTCAGCCTTTCGCTCTTTTTGCAAGAGCTTGAGCGCGATTATGATGATTTCTTCGGGTACATTTTGGAAGATTTCGCCGCCTGAAAAATGTCTGAAAACAAAATTCTTTTCTCGATTTTCTTACTGATTTCTTCGCCTTGCGAGAGCTCGAAAATCGTGCAGACTTGATTTATATGTCCAGACATCTGTGCCCAATTATAAAGTGCCGCCGCGAGCGAGGAGAAAGTCTGCGAAGAAAGGAGACATTTACTCTTTGATTTGTCTTTCCAAATTGCGTTGCCCTTTTGTACAAGTTGCGAGAAAACAGCCTCGACGAGCTCTATACTCGCTTGGCGCTCGATCTTCGAATTTGTGAATAGAACACTTCGGCGAATTTCGGAAAGGTCGATTGTTGAAGTGCTTGTTTTTCTACTGTGTTCTATTACTTAATAAAGAATACTTAGAGACCTCCTTCTTGGGAACAAGACTCACCTAGGGATGACCAAGCATCAAGCTGTTTTTTCCTCGTCTCCTCATTTTTCTGAAGCGTGTAAAAGGGAGGAAAACTCACTTGCCACGCCTGGCCCGACATTTCTCTCTACACCTCTAGAATGAATCTGCTGCGTCAATCGGTTTTTGCGAAGAATAAAAGACAAGATTATTTCGGGTTTTATATGGGCTGTATTTTGAATGAAAACGGGGCAGTGCATTAAATTCAACTTTTGCTAAATTCTGGAACTAGTGGTAACTCGTGGAATACATTTTGTAGGGCGGTTCTGGAACTTGATGCAGCTAAGATTTTTTTTTGGTATTTTTTATCCGCCGGAGTTGGATTCGGTTTCTTGGGACTGGTCGTCTTCGTATTGAGTCAGGTCGAAAGTCATGACCTGAGATTGAATTCCAGTGCGGCCTTGTTTTGCGTAGATGCCGATGAGAGCATCTGCCTTCGAGTAGAACTCTTCTTTGAGCGAAATGACGATGCACTAGATCGCGAATAAGAAATTTGCAATAGAAGGCGGGCGTACCTGAAGGTCTTCTCGTCGACCCTTGATGTAATCCGCAACTTTGCCGATGTTGGTATTGTCAAGCGCGGCGTCTACCTCGTCGAGGACAAAGAATGGCGATGGTCGATACGCATGAACTGCGAAAATAAGCGCGAGCGCCGCGATTGTCTAAAAGATTTGAAGATGAATTACCATAAGGATTTTTAGGTCAAAAATTTTTTTTCTTATATAAGGGGATATTCTTAAAGCCCGTAAAAAGTTAGACAGATTCCCAAAATTCTAGTGCCCGATGACGTCATTATGACGTCATAGGGCCTCTTGAAAATTTTTCGTTTTCGACCGTTTTTGAACCGGAAAACGACGGCCGATCCTATTTTTTCTTTTTGGATCTTGTAGCTCAGGACCTGAGCTTTAATTACCCGGGGTTGAAAAATTCTAGAGGTCACGTGTTATTACGTAATAGGGGCCCCCATAATTTGGTATTATCTTATATTGTCAATTTAACTAAATTTATTGTATAAAGTGATTATATTTTTTAGTAAAAATTAATCACGTGACCACAGATGACTCATAAAAGTCATCCGGAGGACCTCTCTAGTGGAAGAAAGATGCTGGAAGACTTCGAAAAAAGTCTCTCGATTTCAATTTTTTTGTAATTTCAATCTTCTCAGCGCTTCATTCAGACATTTTCTATGGTTTCTTTGGTTTTTATTTTGTTTCTGCAACATTTTATAATAATTTTTCGAAAAAATCTTTTTTTTTAAATGAATTCTTCCAGCATCTTTCTTCCACTAAAGGGGTCCTCCGGATGACTTTTATGAGTCATCTGTGGTCACGTGATTAATTTTTACTAAAAAATATAATCACTTTATACAATAAATTTAGTTAAATTGACAATATAAGATAATACCAAATTATGGGGGCCCCTATTACGTAATAACACGTGACCTCTAGAATTTTTCAACCCCGGGTAATTAAAGCTCAGGTCCTGAGCTACAAGATCCAAAAAGAAAAAATAGGATCGGCCGTCGTTTTCCGGTTCAAAAACGGTCGAAAACGAAAAATTTTCAAAAGGCCCTTATGACGTCATAATGACGTCATCGGGCACTAGAATTTTGGGAATCTGTCTAACTTTTTACGGGCTTTAAGAATATCCCCTTATCTAAGAAAAAAATTTTTCGACCAAAAAATTCTTATGGTAATTCATCTGAAATTAATTCGAGTAATGAAAAGGTAAATTACCTTTTCGCCACCCGAAAGATTATCCATTGGTCTGAAGCGCTTGCCAGGGGCGACGCAGTTGTAGCTGATCCCGTCCAAATACGGCTCATCCGGATTCTCGACAGAAAGATACGCTTGCGCGCCCGGATTTCGGCTGATGAATTTGTACGTTTCGTCGATTTTCTCTGAGACGAAATTGAAACAGTCCATCAGAGTTCCTCGGCGGCGCTGTTTGAACTGCTCGAATTGGTGCTGCGCCATCTTGGCTTGTTTTCGGATATCTTCGAACTCGTTCTTTAAAAAAAATCTAATCATAATTTTACGCAAGGAAGAAAGTACCTTCGTGGACTGATAATTTTCACGGGCATTGTCGAGTCGATTAGCGTTGCGCATTTTCGGCGGGATGCATTTATCCACCTTTGCGGCCAGTTCTCGCACCAGGGCAGCCATCTCGTCCTTTTTGACTTCTTCCTCGTCTTTGTGGAGGTCGGTGTATTCGTCGTCCAGAGAAGTGAAGTCAACAGTGATCGAGTTGTCGGTTTGGTAGCGCTGAGAGCCTTTTTAGGGTTAGAAACCTTTGCCGTTCTTATTGGTCGGAGCCATATTTTGACGAATTTTATTGATCGAATATAAATCAACATCAAATATTGCAAGAATGAAACCCTTTCCTAGTTGGGACGTATCCATAGCAGACGAGTCCATTCCATTATCAACGACCCAGCTCAATTCCCCACTGCTGAGAGGCAAGTTGATGCAGTTGACATGGCAGTCGACATAAATCTGATGTCGCTGATCCAATTTCTTGTCGCGACGGATCTCGACGCCACTGATCTCGTCCTTGATTTCTCCTTGCTCTTTGTTCAGAACTCCGAGTTTTTCTTTGCCTCTTCAGTGGCTTTTGATTGAAGTTTGAGGCGGCCTTTCACTTCGACTCGTTTTTCGTGGTATTTTTGGAGATCTTTCTCCGCTTTTTGGATTTTCTCCTTTGTCTCTGTCTCTTTTTCCTGAAATCATCGATAAGTACACCAAATATTAAGAAATAACTGTACCTGGAGATTTTTAAGCTCGACTTCTTCGTTGGCAATCACATCTTTCCACTTGTTGACATGAATGAGAGTATCGTTGCTTCTTTCGTATTCCAAGAGATTGGTCAATCGAACAAGCTGATTTTCAAACTCCAATCGCCGCTTGTTTTGCTCAGTCTGTTGGTTGAGCTCTCCCTGCTCGTACTGTCGGATGTTCTTGACGCCAATGTCGACGCAAAATTGCACGAATACTTCGTCTTCAACCTAAACTCGATTATTTATTTTATCTCTGGAAAAATCAAGACCTTTTCGTGCTCAGATTTCAACGAGTCCATGCGCTTTTGTCGACCAGCCATTCTTCCTTGGATCTCTTCGATTTCAGGCTGAAGATATTGAATCTTCTGCTTGAGATTTTTGATCGCATCCAAGACTTCCGCAATGCTTCGATTCTTGGAGCTCTCGATATCTTTCTCGTTGTAGTGGATTCGGTTTTGAAGCCCGGTGATTTGAGTTTCAAGTTGATGAAGAAGCGGTTCTTTTCGCTTCAATTTTGTGGCTTCTTTCAGCTAGAAAGAAATATATGAAAATTCGGTTGCTTTGAAATAACTTACCCGCTCCGCAAGATCATCGCGTTTGGATCGAAGAGAGTCAATCTCCTTTTCTTCCCATTTCGCAGCTTTTCGCTGGAGATCCGTAGCACCTCCAGAGATAACACCAGACTTTTGAAACAACGTTCCATCAAGAGAAACAGCCTGTTGTCGCCTCCAAGTCCCATCCGGGCGGCGGAAAATGTCAGCATGCCGGCGCAGCTCGCCAGACGAAACAAGTCGCGCATCGGCAGAGTTTTCGCAGACAAGGGAGTTTCCGCAAGCGTAAATGAGCGCCTTTCGGATGTTGGGATTTTTCATATTGATCACGTCGAAGACGAGTTTTACGCCCTTTGGTTCGGTGATTTCACGAAGCTGATCGTTGAGAGGCTTTGTTTCGATGTAATCAAGTGGGAGGAAGGTCTCGGGTTCGCATCGCTGCTCTTTCATGTATTGAATACATTGCTTTCCAGTCGCCTCGTCTTCTACAACGATTGCTTCCATGTTCCTCCCAAGGACTTTGGTCAACGCGACGTTGTATCGCTTGTGAGTAGAATCACACAAATCGGAGATTCGGCCAAGAACGCCTGGATACAAGGACTTAAGCTTCTTGACCAGCTCAGATCGCCGCTGAGCCCGGCGAGATTCTGTTTTCTCGACATTTGCGCTTCCAAGTTGGTGGATGACTTTCTCGAGGTCCTTGTTTAGCGATGCGATTTGCGAATCAGCGCTTTGGACCTCTTCGCGAATCGCTTCCCGCCGCGTCTCCAGTTGGCTCAGCTGATCTCTTGTCCGCTTGTTGTAGTTGTCGAGTGTTTCGAGTCGCTTTGCGTGCTCTTCTCGCTCCTGCTCTTTGGATTTGAGAGTTTGTTGAATGTCCATTTGGCGACGCTCCTTGAGCTGGATGGCTTCTTGATCGTTTTGTTGCTCGCGCTCATACTGGCGGATTTTATCCAAGAGCTCGGAAGACTTGATCTTGACCTTTTCTTTGAGCTGGTGATATTGGGTCAGTTGGCTTTGCTGCAACTGGATGGTCTTTTCAGTTTCGTCGATTTTCGCTTGCTCTTCGAATAGCTTTCGGCGATTCTCCAGGTCTTCCATTTGCCCTTCGAGACCCTTGATGATGCTTTGTTTCTGCTCATGCGTCTTCATTGCTGCATCAAGACGTTTCTGCACGATTTCAAGTTTGTGCACCGTGTGCGCTGTGTTTTCCCGAGCCTTGATGATCGCAGGCTTGAGCTCTTGAATCGCGTTTTGCTTTTCTTCGCACTTTTTCTCGACGCTGTTGACTTCCCGCTGGATTTTGCCGATTTCGGACTTTTCTTTCTTGATCTCGTCCTCGCAATCGCCTTTCTTTTTCTGCACCTTTTCGAACTTCTTCTTGTGGATTTTAAGCTCTTCCTTGTACTTTGTCAGGTCATTGTCGATGATGTACAGCTGAAAGAGCTTTTCTTGAATTTGCGCTTCCTCGAGCTCTTCTTGCAGTTTTTCGTATTGCTGCACCTGCGCCACTTCCTCCCGAGCTTCCTTTCTTTCTTGGGCAATCCCCTTTTTCTTAATATGCGCCGCTTTCGACGCCTCATCCGCTTCCTGCTGCTCGATCTTGGCTCTTTCATAATCTTGCTTGTATTCGGCAGAGCCAGAGATTTCCTCAAACATCGTCATCCGCTCTTTTGGATTCTTCATCGCGATTTCCTCTACTTTGCCTTGGTAGACAAGAAAGTTCTTAGAATTGATGAAAATGTTGAACGTCTCTAGCTTGGAGCGATAATCGGACGCAGACACGCTGCAACCGTCGATGTAGAAATGGGTGGAGTTGTCTTTAATGACTCTGGCGAACTCGATCGACTCAAGCAAGCCGTCTTCGTTTTCCATCTTGATCAAGGCAGACACTCGAGCTGTGTCGGACACAGGCTCTCCCACTGGCGCACCGTGAATGAGTTGGGAAACTCGCGAGACTCGCATGTTCTTGCTCTTTTCGCCCAAAACAAAAGAGATGGCGTCCATGAGATTCGACTTACCGGAACCATTTGGACCTAAAGTATCCGTTCAGCACAAAATCGAGAAGGTCTCTCCTTACCGATAATCGCTGTGAACTTGTGAAAAGGACCAACTTTGATCTTGCCCTTGTAAGACTTAAAATCTTCGATCTCCAAATACTCAAGAAATCCCATTTTCGATCCGTACTCTTGAAAGAAAACAATGAAGATATTTGGCATTGAATATTAGGCATTTATTCAGCTTTTTATACCAGAAGTTGCATTTGTTGCTAAAAGTGGAACTTTTGTTCGGAATGCAGAACGCATTGAAATCAACGAGGAAAAATACAGATAGAAATTCGAGGGAGTTATAAAATAAAGGCATTGTTTGGGAAAGAACAGTAGGAGCATTTATCTTACACAAATTTAAAGTAAAAAAGGCTTTTTGATTCGCACGAAATTCTTTTTGAATTCCTAGAGCATACAGAGGTAAATTTTAAATGATCGAACAGAGGAAGAGAGGCTCAAAAAGTTGGGAACAAGATAAAAGTTGAGATGAAATAGTTTAGATCATGTGTGGCTCTGGATTATAGTCGTTGGTAGTCATTTCCGAGGGCTGGTGTGATAGCCTCGTGATTTCGAGATTATCTTCGTCGCGGTTCGAGCTCAGTCTGATGTGGTAGGTTAGTATTTGTTACAGTCAGAAGTAAAAAGGGATGAAGTGGATCATGGTGGTGGAGGAATGAGAATAATTGAGGCTGTCGGTGTTTGGTACAAAAAAACTACCAGAAACTAACGGCTTCAACTAAAAACACCTTTGAATAAATAAAATTTGAAAATGAGGTGAAGAATCAAACAAATTCTATCTTTGCAAATTTTTGCGAATCAGGAGGATCATGGTAATGTCGGTGAATCTGTGGAAGTACTGACCGGGATCTTGTATCTGGGTAGGATTGATTGAGTGCGTCTTGCTCGGCGCGTAGTTGGTCTATTCGGCGATTATAAATATCCAATAATTTCGTTAAAAGAGTCGCGAATGTTGGCCGATTATCAGCATTTCCTGCCCAACAAGACTTCATGACTGAAAATTAAAATGAAAACAACGAAATCAAGAATAAAGAATCTACCTTTATAAACATTTTCAGGGCAATGTCTCGGCTTTTCCAGACGGTTGCCACTGTCAATATGATCGAGAATGTAAACCGGATCAACTGTGGCGTAAGGCGCGACCGCGCGCGTCATTGTTTCCCACATTGTAACGCCGAATGACCAAACATCGGATTTCTCTGTGTAACGATGGTAGCGAATGCTCTCCGGGGACATCCACTTTAGCGGCAGTTCCGAGTGCTGCGTCGATCTAAAAGCGGATTGGAATCAAGCTCGTAACTCGTTCTTTACCTGTAATAATCGGATTGATTCAAATCGCGGCTCAATCCAAAATCGCCAACTTTGATAATGTGTCGTTCAATTTCGTCATTGTACGATCCAACGAGGACGTTTCTAGCAGCAAGATCACGATGAACTTTGCCCTTCGTTGCTAAATGCTCCATTCCAGCGCAAATGTCGACGCAATAGCCGATCAGTTCTGCCACAGTGATTTCGTTGCTTGAATCGCGCTAGAAAAATCCAAGCTAGAATATTCAGCAACAAAATTCGCTTTACCAAGAAAGATCGAAGATCGCCATTTTCCATGAAGGGAAGAATGATGATGGGATATTCACCAGGAGCAGTGCAGACGCCATAGATTTTGATGATATTCGGGTGGTTGAATTCTAATTCAGGGCTAATACGAATCGACCCCACGGGAGATTTGACCCTTGAACAAGTCTATTTATGTTTTTTGTCTGTCCTAAGCAGATTTATTTACTCAAATATTTTCATTGAGCACACATTCAAAAGTCAGAACTAAGAGACCTTCTAGAACCTTGATTGAAGCTGAAATGGTAAATATTGAAAATTCTATAAAAATCATTCCACAAAAGCTTTTCAGCAAAAACCATGCTTCATGCATGGGAGGTAATTTATCTCAAATAGACTGACGCTATTGCTTTTTTTAGGTAGCGATGACAATTTTCTGCACGACAGCCTCACTCACAATTTACCTCATCTTCCTAAAAAGAGCGCTGGCAGTCGAAAAATCATCAGGAAAAGAAATCAAATGGGTTCAAGACCCCAGGTAAATTTCCTTTGAAGTCTTTTCTATCAAAATTTCTAGCAACCCAAAACGATACATCAAAAAATTCATCGAAGAAAGTGAAAAGGATGAAACCGTGGCTCTAGAAAACGTTGCTTTTGAACTACCAGGAAATGCAATTATCGAATCTGAGACTGTGTGAATCCGAATAAATTACTGATAAGCCCGTTTTCCTTTCATCATGACTCCTTCTTTCAAAAAATTCTCGAGTTGCTGCTGCGATTCGATATTCTTCATCGTTTTCGCCGCGACACGACGAGTTCTTTCCGCGCTTTGGTTCCATTTTGCTTCGTAGACCACTCCGAAATTTCCTTCCTTGATTTTTCGTCCTGAAAAACGGTCAATTTTCCCGCTTTTTCGTCCATTTTACCTAAATGAATTCGATTTCTTTCGATGTAGCAAGAAGCAACAGCTTGTCGCAGCGCTGGATCACGAATCTTGATCTGTGGCATTTGGCTGTTTCCAGTGTGGAGCACTCCTTGCGCGACTTCATAAGGCGGAGGGGGGCCGGACTCATTCCGGTTCGGATAGTTCGAGTGGTACTTGGTTCTAGAGCTTCTTTCGGCGGATTTCGCAGCGACTGAAAGACCCCTTTTAGCGTTTTTTCTTGAGTTTGTTACTTACAAATAATAATGGCGATGATGATAATAAACGCAATCAATCCGCAGACAACTCCGATGATCACCCCCGTCGGCGTCTTCTTGCTCGTTTTGCTGGGATGGTTAGTCTCCCACCATTGAATCGTCTGGTCATGATTTTCGAACACTTCTCGCGCTTCTTCAAAATTGCACACCTCTTCGATGCATTCTCGCTCCAAGTTTCCCTCCGAGATTTCTTCAATTCCGCCAGAGTTCGCTCTTCTTTGCCGGGAAAGAAATTGGCTCGCTTCTGAGCGTTCTAGAGTTGGTAAAGCCGAGGAGGAAGCAGAGAATATGCATATGAGGAGGAGGTGGATTTTTTCTTTCATATTTCTTTTCAAGGTTTTTTAATTAGATTATCAAAAATAATGTAGAAAAGCTTCGCTTCAACATAAGAATTTGTTTTCGAGCCGAAAAAAACTTAACTTTTAATTTAATTATCATTCAATCAATATAAAACTTTCCTAAGTTTGCTTCTCAATCATTCTTTTCTCTTATCTTTCTTCTTTTTGCTGACTCTATTTTGATAAAAAAAATCTTCTCAAAATCACTCGAAATTAGCAATCACGGATGAGCCGCGCTGAGTGTACGCGCGTAGTGAAGCGTCTTTTTGAATGATTCATTTTCGCGCGCGCTGATTGGTCGGATTCATTTTGACGCATTTGGAAGAATTGAGAATTGAGGACCGCTTGATTGCCTCGAGCGGGAAGAACTGGAGGGTTGAAAGAGGAGAATAAGGGCTGAAGAGGATGAGAATTGCTGTTGAAGGTAAGAAATTTGTTGATTTATATTTTTTAATTAATTAAATTAGGACTGAACTAATTTTTCTTTTTTTAAATCTTTGAGAACAAGTGTTCAGGATGGCGGTTTTTAGAAGATTTCTAATTTCTTATCTCCCGATTAAACTACAGTATTAGTTTCATAATTAAATTTATTACGAATTTATTAATTAAAATGTAATTCCAGGCTGCCTGCATGGCGAGCTGGACATCGTCTACAACACGATCAAGTTCATCGAGCAGCAGCACAGCACAAAAATCGACTTGCTTCTTGTTTGCGGCGATTTTCAAGCGGTCAGGAACGAGGCGGATTTGAAATGCATGGCCATGCCGCCAAAATACCGCGCAATGCAGCAATTTTGGAAATATTACAAGGTCAGTCTATTTTCCTTTTCGTTTTAGAACTTGTTCATTTGCGGGAGAATTCGCGAGGCATTTCTTTTATCGTAATTTAGGGCCAGAAAAAAGCGCCAATTATGACTATCGTTATTGGCGGAAACCACGAAGCGAGCAATCACATGCAAGAATTACCGTATGGAGGATGGCTGGCGGAGAATATTTATTATCTCGGTTATGCAGGCGTCGTCGAATATGGTGGAATTAGAATTGGAGGCATCAGTGGCATTTACAAACAACATGACTTCAAAAAAGGTATTTTTTAAGAAGAAAAGCAATTCTAACGGTACTAAGACGTTTTCTCCTTGACAAAAGTTCAGCAAGATTTGCCGAGAACTGAGAAGCCGCCTGGGGCTTCGAGAAAAGAAGCCGCGCTTAGTTCTTCCTTTGCTCGAAGCCACAAGCGGCTTCTCGGTTCTCGGCAAATCTTGCTGAATTTTTGTCAAGAAGAAAACGTCTTAGTGACGTTAGAATTGATTTTCTCACAAGCTCATCACTTTTTTTATTGTTAGGTCACTTCGAGTGCCCGCCATACAACGAAGATACGATGCGTTCTGCTTACCATACGCGCAATGTGGACGTATTTCGCCTCAAGCAACTCAAACTTCCACTGGACATCGTCATGTCTCACGATTGGCCATGTGGAATCCACAACTTCGGCGATTTGGAACTCCTCCTCAAGAAAAAGCCATTTTTCCGAGAGCAAACTGAGCCTGGCGCTAGAAGTCAGCTTGGAAGTCCTGCCCATGCGGAGCTTCTTTATCATTTGAGGCCGAAATATTGGTTCGCAGCGCATTTACATGTTAAATGGATGGCGGTTGTTGATCATGATAAGGTAGGAGAAAAATTCTAGTGTTTTTTCAGCTTTTTAACAGAAAAAAAGAGCACTAGAATCTATTTTCTTTGATCAAAAGAAAAATCATCTTTTTAGTGTTTACTTCTAACTTTTAGTTGAACGAAGAAAGCGATTTTGAAGTGGAAGAGAATCTGAACAAAAACCGCTACACGAGATTCTTGAGTTTGGACAAAGCCCTGCCTCAGCGCGACTTTTTGCAAGTGGTCGATGTTCCAACGAGACATTACGCTCCGTACGAATTCAAATACGACCCAGAGTGGTTGGCGGTTTTAAGAAATACCAACGATCTTATGTCTCTTACAGTTAACAACACTAGAATGCCGATAAAGGGGATCGACAAGGATTACGATCGATCAGGTACTAGTCAATATATCTCCTTCCTTTTCATTCCTTTTTCGCAGCGTCGCAAGAAGACATCGAAATCGTCCGAGCAGACATGGACTTTACCATGGAAATTCCGCGAAACTTCAAAGTCACTGTCGACATGTACAATCCCAAAGAGCACTGGAAGCAGCGACCAGTAGAGCTCTTTCGAAATTCACAAAATACAGAGTTCTGTCAAAAGCTACGTCTGGTCGATCCGTTCACGGTTTTCAAAGAAGGCCGTGATCCGACAAAGCCGATGGAGGGACCGGAAGAGACGAATATTTGGACGGATCCAAGTGAGATTCAATTGGACGACAATGTTGAAAAGTAAGGAATGCCGTGAATCTCCGCTCTACCATTTTTTCAGAGAGAAAGATCCAGACGAAATCGACCTCGATGACGATGATGAAGATGACGACTGCTGTCGACCATCGACATCAAAAGAAGAAGAATCTTTTGGAAATAAAGAAGATCCAAATGCCGGACTTTCTATGCCCGCGATTCAAACGCCAAAAGAACCAGAAAAAGAGGAGCCTTCGAAGAAAGAGGAAGACTCAGATTCGGACTCTGATGACGATGGAGCGCCACAGTCACGGCCATTCTCGTAAGTCCTCGTTCACGGTATTCGATAAATGACCGGCTTAAATTAATCCTCGATAAGTGGCAGTGATGCTTGCTCTCCAAATTGCCTTATCTTTTGAGCGTTCCAGGTTAATGATAGTTCCTTTTTCAGACTACCGTTCTCTCTTCCGCCACCTACTAAAGCTCCAGAAGCAGACGTAAAGATGGAAGAAGAAAACGAAGAAAAGAAAATTGAAAAGGCCGAAGCTCCAAAAATGGAAGAAAACGGCGAAAAACCTACCCTGGACTCCGAAAAAGTTCAAAAACCGTCATTCAAAAGGCGAAATCAAGCAATTTACACCGCCGAAGAAGACGACGATAATTAGTTAAAAGAAAAAGTTCACCCGCTACTGTAGTACTGCCCAGTTTTACTTTGGCCTGACCTGATAAGACAGAAGACAATACAGATAAACACAGCTTGGTACGAAATATTAATGTTGTATTTCTGAAATTTTGGAAGAAAAAAGCAGTAAAAGCTGGTGAATGAATATGTGCATTTGGAAAAAAAGAGACAGAAAATGAAGTTTACTTTTTCTTGCCTTTTCTGTGATGGCCTCTTGTCATTTTGCTGGAGCCGGCTCTCTTGGACTTGGTCCCCTTTTTGCCCTTCTGAAATTTTATATTTTAAAATCAGAGTTTGACGAAAATTTTAATCGACCGCGCGAAGGTCTAAAAAATTCCACACCTGTCTTAATCTCGTTTCGAAAAAGAAGATAAAAGAACGAGAGGGTTGAACAAATGGGATTCTAATTACCTTGAGCGGCGCTTGCTCTGGCGGACTAGCTGGCAGGATGATCGTTCCAGCCTCGCTCATCCCCACAAGTTCCTTTTCTGTCTCCACCTCTTTCGCGCCAAGCGCGGCGAGTCGATCCGCTAAGCTCATTTCTTTGGGGTCATTAGCGGCTCCTTTGCCGAGTTTTTCAGAAATGGCCTTGACAATGCGTTCCGCTTGTTTTTGCTCATCGTTGACAAGATTATACGCGACGAGCTCCGAATCTGCTAGTAAGTCGATTCCGGAAGTGTCGGCCGCCAACTGTAAATATTTGAAGGAGAGGTGGAACACCGTCCGGCAAAGTGCCATCCAAATCTCTTTTGGTCCAGCCGTTGAGTCCTAAATACGAAAATAAAGGAAAAATAATTTAGAGCAACGTTTTTTTCGGGTGGTTTTTAGCGGAATTTATACGGTTTTCTGTCCATAGGAGAGTTTTATGCAAATTCGCATGAGTCACGAAGTTATTCGACCCTTCAAAAACGGAACTGTCTTGAGAGTAGGACTTGTCTGAAAATCAAGTGCTCCCGGGAGAGATCTGAGCTACTGTGTGATTTACAGTTAGATACACAGAGCTTGCATAAACTCGATAGAACAGTCAGCAAATACAGCTTCCCCATCAGGTGTTGATTCGAGTTCAGTTCGAACTCGCAAGCCCTTTCATTTCAAAAATACGGAACTAGCAACAAAGTCGCGACAAAGTCCAAAATATTTTCTTTGAAAACAAACGCTCTTATCAACTAAAGAAAAAAGCCCATTACTTCGCTGTTTTCGCTTTCATCAAAAGTTCCCTTCGAAACTTCACTGCGAAACTTGTCTGGTAAGCATGAACTTTAGGATGACAAGAGTGGATAGAAAATTTGATAGCATCAAATCCGCGAAGTAAACTTGCGCCAGTTCTCACGCAACTTGTCAAAGAGGGGCTTTTCTTTCAGCTTTATTGGGAACTTGATCGTGGATTTTTTCGAAGAGACAGGAACCCCTCTCCTTTGAAACAAAATTAACAAAAGCAGATTTCCGCTTTTGAAAAATCGTCTGAGACAATTTGTTTTTTTCACAGACAGGTGCGATTCTCTTTCCGCCAAATCATCAAAATGATGAATCTTACCTTCATTGAAATTTGCGAAAGATCGACTCTGGGAAGACACAGGGCTTTCCAATACTTTTGCACTTGAGCTTGATCTTCTAAGCCGGCGACGTTGTTTTTCTTCAGCGATTTTTGGAAGTCGCCGGCAACAGAAGATAAGTTCTTGAGCCGGCACATCAAGTCCAAGTAAGAAAATATCGGGGAGGGGTCTGGATTCGGATTCTCCGCTCCTGGAATTGGATGGCCGTATTTGTCCAGGTTCGCTTGATCCGCTTTTTCTAAAAAGAAAAGATAAAGAAGATGACTCTATCAGCCATGAATCCGTCTGATAAGCCAAAGAAGAGAATGATCGTTTTTACGTTATGTAATCCGGATTGCGCCGGTCATTAACCTTCAGCAAAACATGGTTTTACGCTCAAAGCCCCACGTGGGATAACTTCGTTTTCGTCTTGAATTTGCACGATCAAATAAGCGCCTTAGCATTTATTTCATTTTACTACTGTAAATCCAGAAGGAAAAAGTGGATTCGGGACTCTTACGTACCTTTGAGCTCTTTTAATTTCTTGGCCATTTTCTTGAGATCGCTGAGGCTCAACGCGGCACCTTCGAGTTTTTCAATAAATTCCAGCGCTCCGCAAAATAAGCTCTCCTCCTCGGCCGCCCAGCTTTCATAACTGAGCGTGATCTGGCTCAGGTGTCGAAGAATAAAGTCGATGAAGCGCTGCCAGTTCCGGATAACGGAAGGTTTCACGTCTGAAATACCGGTATTTGAAATTATTGGTTTTGAAAGAAAATGTTATTTTGGCACTTTTTCGGCGATGGTGAAATTTTGGTAGATTTCAAAACGAAAGGTCAAAAACGGGGAAAAACGAAACGTGTCGGGGGAAATCTGAACATGTGTTGCGGATAGAGTATCATGCTATTAGAGAAAAACATGATCGCTAGTAGACCAAGTTGCAAAATAGCGGCTAGAATAAGTAATTACTAATTACTAATTACGCCGCAAATTGCATGTAAAAGTAGCTCTTAGGGAAAAATATATTTCATTAGAAAATTGATTTCGCAATAAATTTTAAATTTACTGTACTAGCTTTTTTACTTACTGGCATTTTTAATTTCTGGCTCGGCTTTGGGCAGAGTTTCAGAAACTGTTGGATAAAGAACTTCTGTCATCTTCTTTTTTCTGTTTCTGTTTTTATTGATGGCTTTTTCTTTGTTCTATTTTCTCTTGAAATTGAAATTGCAATAATCAATTGTGGTAATCTTTTCCAGTAAATTTGGACGAGCGCGGGTAGGGTGCTTAGTTACTTATTATTTTTAGCAAAGTTGGGCCGCTTTAGCAGTGCGTTTCTGCCCGTTTCCAAGGACAATCGAGCAGATTACACGCGCTGATCTATAGAGCCACAGCTCGCGCAAATATTTCGGAAACGGAATGGCTCCGCTCGCGCCTCTGGGCAAGTCGTCTCTGCCTGGCGGGCGACGAGCACCTCCGAGTGGCTAGAAGATAAGAGCTTTGCCGAACGCTCTTGAGTGGGATTTCTTCCTTTTGATAGGGATTATCCCGTAGTTTTTTCACTGACGTAAACAGTTTGGTTTTGCTTGAGTCCATTATTTTCTTTGGGATAACAAAGAGAGAGGGGAAGAGAAGACGTCATTTTGAGATATAATTATTTTGAGTTTATTTTATTGAATTTTTGGTAAAATAGATTAAAACAGATAGTTAGAAGTGTACAGAAAAGATTTTTCTTTTTTGGCAGCTTTGATCTTCTTCCTCGTGAAGCTAGTTTTCATCGTCGTCAGCAGGTTCGCCTTTGAGGTTGAGCAAAGTGACCACGACGTCTTCCTCATCTGATTGATTGTCCTCGTCTCCTGAGAGCTGAATGTCATCGACGGTGGCATTGGTCTTGAGGTTGTCGATCATCTCCGTCTCCGACTTGTAGATTCCCATCTGCTCTTCGAGTTTCTGCTGAAGCGCCAGGATTTTTTCTTGGAGTTCCATGATTCCTTCCGAACGCTTGTTTCTTGACCGATTCAGACCCTCGAGTGTTTTCCTGTAGAAAGATCGCTTTTCTGTCTTGCTGTCGACTTCCCCCTTGGGTCGAGGGGTGGAGATGGGAGGTAGGCGCTCGACTGGTCGGGGAAGAGTAGCAACGGCAAGTTGAATGGACGAAGATGGAGATGGAGAAGAGATGGAAGTTTCGACTTTCTTTGGACGCCCAGGGGTCCCCGGGGTGACGATTTCTTGACCAGGGAGAGGAATGTTCTCTCGCCTAAAAAATAAGTTAGTTTTGAGTTTTTCTCGATTAATTTAGTGCTTACTTGTATTTTTGTCTTCGGCTAGACATCCAGTTGTTGATCTTGTTCATCGGCATGTTGACTTCAACGGAGAGCGCCTCTCTTACAGCTCTACTTGGGTAAGGATCGTTCATAAAGGCTCTTAGAAGAGCCGTCTGCCTTCTTTTTCTTCATCGGACAAAGATTGAAAGTTTTTGATTTCGACAAAAGTGTTGTCCATTTTATGCTTTTCTTGTTTTATATTTCGTTTTTTTTATCGTTTTACTAGTCCCTTACCTTTAAATACTCCTCCTCCCTAATAGAGGGCGCTGTATCATCATCACCTGTCCGCCTGGAAACCAGCTGGTGAAAAGTTGTTCCCCCGCTGAGAACTAAAGCTTCCTGCGTCTTATCAGAAAGATCTTAATTTCGGATCCAGATGTAACCAATGGCCAATTTGTCTGGACGGCCTTTGCCTTCTTCTTGATCTTCAAGCATCAATTAGAATCACTGTAAAACGTTATTTACAAGAAATGCCAGAACATGCTTATTAGTGTAAAAAATCTCCTTTTAGACAGGTCTACAGCAAAGATTTATAGCCAGTTCACTGTCACTTTTATGAAATTGTAAATTACGGTATCGAAAGAAAATAAAGACATGCCATCTTTTTTCTCATAAGAAGAATCATTCTTATTTGAACTTTCACGGACTTTTATTGTACAAAAATACTTATTAAATTTTACAGAATCGTTCTTTTCAAATTGAACTAATCATCGCGCAGAAACTTTTTGATCAAAAACGCGGATGCTCCGAGGAGTACCGCGAGGACCAGCAAAGAAACAGGGATGATCAGGCTCAAGGACTTCTTTTCTTCTTTTTCGTTCAAAAGCTTTTCGTTTTGCTGTCCCACTGGCTGAATCGGCGCTACTCCGCTGTTTTGAGTGAGAATTGGAACTGGCTGTTGATTTTGAATTTGAACAGGAACTGGCTGCTGAATCGGAATCGGAGCTGGACCATAAGGAGCTGGTCTTGGAAAAGCGGCAATAGCTGGTCGAGGAGCGACAGGTTGAGGAGCTGGATGCATTGCCATATTCGCCATGTTGTGGCTGCCTCCGAAAACACCAGCGCTTGCACGGTGCGCCGGATTTGGCAACTGATTCGGAACAACTGGAACTCGAGATCGGGGAGAAGGAATTCGCGCGACGGATGTTTTCTCAATCTTTCCGGCGAATGCGTTTGGTGCATATGTTGATGCTCGCTCTGAAAATGTTGAATAAGTCGAAGATGCTGAAAAAGTGCAAACTTTTTTTTTCGGAGGTCAGTTGTAAGAAGATAATTAAGTGTTGTAAGTTGCGAGTACTTACCACGTGTTTTTGAGACTTTCAACTTAAACCTCTTGGGCAAAAGTGGATTTGGATCAGAGTCCGCTCTCAAATACAGGGTCGCAGAGCTCCCATTTGTAATGAAAACTTTCGGATGCTGGCCGCAAAACCGATTGCCGGTCATATTCCAGTCGGCGCTGTCGGTAGTGATGCTCAGAAAGACGATCTTGCAATTTGGCGAAACCGGAATGGAAAAGTCTTCGAATTCGATTTTGATGTTGAATCCCGGATCCGCGGTTACTCTATAATTGAAAGTTAGGTCTATTTTTACTGGACTCTTTGAAGTATGAATTCTGCGGGGTTGTTTTGACCAGCACAAGTCCGGTCAAAAAAGCTTACTCAAGCACTTATTTTTATAGAAAACAAAAGGCTTTAATTAAAAAAAAGGGATGTGACTCGAACGTGATAAATTTGAAAAGTATCAATCAAAAATTTGGAGTCTAAATTTTATTGAATTTATTTTTCGACATACTAAATTGAAGTTGTTTTTCCAACAAGTAGAAAAATACTGTTTTCAATAAAAAGATCTCGCATCACGTCAAACATGTTTTTTTCAATGATAAGAGGACGTGAGAATTGCTAAAGTTACACTAACGTCCATGAATATTGCGCTTGAGTCGGCATATCTGCTGGATACTTTGGAGTTTTGATGTAGCTCGGGCTTCCGACGTGAATATTTGAGACTGCATCTTCCTCAGCTGAAAAGAAAGAATAAGCTACTAGAATCTACGGAAAGAAGGGCGTCTTGTTTTATGCACTAGAATTAACCCTTGATCTGAAGGATCACGCGTAAGCTCGCAGGTCAAAATATCAAGCTAGTAATTGGACTTTTTCCTTCGTCAGGAGGTTTTTTCTGACATTCTTGGGGCATTTTTGAGGCATTTTGGAATTAAATTTATTCAGGGCTTGGAATTTAATGGAGCCAAACGTGACGGTGAAATGCAATTTGAATATTTTCCTCTCTTTTTTAACGGTCTAAAAATCGTCTCTTTCTATTGAAAAAAAACGAGGTTGATGTTCATTGGATGGAAGGAAACGTGCAAGAATGTGCAGGAGCTCTTTATCCTCCAATTTCGGATTCTTCAACCGACCCTAGTTATTCAAGAGCAACTGGGAGGTACACGACGAAAGGAATTTCGTTTCGCAGCGCGCTGAATTCCGCCGAGATGATCTCCAAAAAAGATTTTTTCATTTCAAAGAAGCCATCTTCTCGGCCCACAAACACGTGTTTAGAGGTTAGGGAAGATCCGCACGGGTCTAGTAGTGGACGGATTTAGACCGATAGACTGAAAATAAGTCTCTTTTTTTCCGAGGCAAAAGGTAATTCTTGCTATCGCTTCCTACAAGCCGGATTTTGATACGCCAAAAACAAGCAAGAAGTGGATATTTGTCAAAGTAGTTTATAGTCATCAGAAAGCTTAAACTAAAGCCTGTATAATTTTGCAAAAAAAATCCAATTTTCAAATTTCAAGTCAAATAAAGGCGGATTTAAAAAACTTGGAGCTTTTATTTTCCTCAGAAATGAGGCGATTTTACAATGATTTTTTGGTCGATACTGAATATGTAACGAATGTAACGAATGTAACGAATGTAACGAGTTTGCTGACAATGTAACGAAAACGGAGACATGTTGTTTTTTTGTTAGCTGATTCTAGAAACTTTTTCTAAAGAGCGATCTTGGGGAGTTTTACTTTATTCAACAATTGAACATATCGAAAAGAGCAAAAAAAGACAAAAAGAATGCAGAATAGCATAAATATGGTAGATTCGTTTTCCAAACCTGCTCTGAATGATTAAAAACGCCCGCTCCGCGGGTAAATTTGTAGGAAACTCAAGGGGATGAAATAAGATAAACAAAAAATCTCTAGAATTTTACTGACAATGTAACGAGAAAAAGACATGTTTTTGAGTTTTCGTTACATTCGTTACATTCGTTACATATTCAGTACCGTCGGATTTTTTAGGGTTAGGGTTAAAGTTAGTCATTTTACCCTCTAAGAATTTTCCAAAAGAACTAGATTAAAATATAAAAATAAAAAATAATTCCGCCTTCTTCGCGAAATATGGGGAATTTTTGCCAATTAAAAACTTTATTTAAGAAAATTAAGCATATTCAATTTTTACTTACCATAAGCAAAAGAACAAAGCAGCGTTAGAAACTTCATCATTCTCCACTGTCTCTTCTTTTCTCCCTCTTCTTTTGCTTATCTCTCGATTTTATTCAAGTCTTTCTGTTCCGAAAAATAGTCCCCGTAGACTGTGGCGTCGAAGGAGCCCAGGGAAGATAATTGGAGCTACTATCGGTGATATCTTTGCGAGAGGGCGCCGCAGAGCGCGCTCATGAATGCTCAGGCTGCTCTCTGTCGACCTATCAATTTGGCGCCATCAGATAAGCTCCACGTTTCCTTTGACTGGTGAAAAAGTACGGAATATCGAAGCCAATTGGCCGTTGTGGCCCTACCCATGCGTAGAGGACGTGTTCTACTTCTAACGATTACGAGCATTTCGTAAGTAGAAACCAACAACATCTCCAAATTGGAGACTCCAATCTTTCAACCATTGTTTCGGCATGTCTACTTAATTGGATGAGACAATTATCCAACTTTATTGAATAATTAAACAAAACATTAGTATTTCTAATTAGTAGAGTTATTCTAAAGCAATTATTTGAATAAACAAAATGATAAATTAAAATTGCTTAAGGACCCCCACTACGGTTTTTTTTCGATAATTTTCGTGGGAGAAGTCCTTAACTAGAAATCCTACTAGAAATCCACTCCGCAGGCGCTAGAATTCTAGGTATTTTGACAAGCTGTCTTAGTTACCGGGGACTTAGGTTTTAAGGATATCATCATCTAGGTGCTCTAAAAACCCGCAATTTTTGATAATTTCAATCTTTGCTCCCAAAAACATAGGAACGTTTTGCATACTTCTATCGCCAGAAAAAAGCATGTGTAGAACATATAATTTATGCTGCATGAAAATTGAAAATTGAACAAGTTCGAAAAAAAAAGAAAGAAATCTAACAAGTGTAAAAACCGTTTGTTTTTTATCTTCGCTAGATAAAATAAACCACCAGAAGCTTTATAAATAGAGCCCGACCTCATGAACAAGCAAAATCGGCTGCAGTAGATAAGTACTTACCACCGTTACGAATAAGTTTCAAAACTAGGTAATCAGAACGATTCTGATTACCTTTTTCATTTTGCGGGGGAATAAATGACAAGCGTCTCGTTAAAACTTTTTTTATGATTCGGGTTTGTACTCGGATTCAGAGAATTCCGTTGATTAATTTTAACCATGGATGATACTTGTCTCGAGCAAAGTAAGAAAATTTTTACGATAACAGAGACTAATGAAGAAGAATTGGGACTGCCGAGAAATCATAGCTCACATGATAATTTACACCACCACCATCATCACAATAGCAGAAGGGTTAGTCAAAAACTCATTTGGACATTTAAGGCTCTTCCGTTCTTCCCACGACAAAATTTGTTGTTTAAGGTTGTAGATATCAAGAATCGCCATTTGGTTGAAGCTATTTCTCCAAAATTTTACGTAGTGACACCCTTATTTTTCTCCGACAACTAATAGTTTAGACCTTTATCTTTTTCTGAGAAGTATTTTGAGCAGAAAAATAAGGGGGTTACTATGTTAAAAATTGGAAAATAAAAGACTGCAAGAAAATCCGATTCTTGATATCTACACCCTAAAGGAGGTCTGTTAATTCAATTTTCGAAGTGCCAGGGGGTCATCAATTCGATTTCCTTTTATTTCTAGCACACACAAGCAGCACCCCAGGTGCCGCATTTCCTTGGAACGCTGAAAGGCCGTGATCTAAAAACAGCAAAGCAGCTTTCTGCGCACACTCGTCTTGTTGACAAAGGTGGACGAAACCAGGTTCATCTAAAAGATATGGATTGGGGCTCGGCAATTTCAATCAAACCCGCAATTTTCGAGCGCGTAAAAATACCGCGAGTTCGAAAAAACCATCAATCATAAGGTGAAAAGCGGAGCCCAGTGATAAGAGACCAGTCTCTTCATGAAGGATTATTTTACTTCAATGATCGACACGCCTTGGTATTACGTGCTGGTCGGATTCTTCGTTTCGTTTATTGCAATGTGGGTCGCGTTCGGGCTAATTTACTGGCTCGTCGCTTATCAACACGGAGATATAGACCAGGGTGGGGAAAGGTCAACGGCACGGCACGGCACCGCGGCACGGACACGGCACGGCACGTGCCGTGCCGTGCCGCTCCTTTCAGGGAGTAAAGGTTTGGACACGGCACGGTGCCGCGGCACGAGAAAATGAAGCACCAGCAAATTCTCCTTGAATGATTCGTTTTTGGGCCGGATGATAGGAATTTTCGATAAGCGCTCTCATTTGGGCGCTGCATTTTGCCATGAACTGATTCATGAATCATCAAAGGGGTGAAAAGGGAAAATGTGAGGGGAGCCCAACAACAAACTGCTTTATTTTCCTCAGACTTGCTTTCTCAAAAAGAGAAAATGTCTCAAAAATCAATTTCTGATATTTTTCCTCCGCGGAAACGTCCGCGACCAGAGGACGACGAAGAAGTTTCTGAGGTCGATAATCCCGGACCGCAAAAGGAATGGCGACCGATCAGAGATCAGGCTGAGTCGCTAAGAGAGGAATTTCAGAGAGATCCTGCTTTTCTCGGGATGGCTGGTTTCGAGGGAGAATACGTAATTGCCAGCTCGCAATTCACTGGAAATATTCGCTGTACTGCAGAGAACTGTCCGAATCGATCTTCTTTCCGTGGCATCGCAAAAGGGAAGCCCAAAAAAGACCGAAGTAAGTTTAAGAAATTTGGGCAGTCTTTTATATAAAATTTCCTGCCCCTTATTTTATTCGGGCAGTCTTTATTATAAAATTTCATGCCCTTTAATTTATTCGGGCAGTCCTCACTATAAAATTTCCTGTCCTTTTATACATGTGGGCAGTATTATCTATAAAAATTCATGCCCTTTACTAATCATTTTTATAAGTGAGAGATCATCTCAAAGCGCATCATCTGAGATCAACTCGTCCTCAAACTCAGCCGAGCATCAACCCAATCGTCAACTTGCGCAACAAGAACCCTTTCAAACCGACAGCAAAGCAAAAAGAAGCAGTTGCAGACTGTGAAGCGAAGGCACTTGCGTCTCTCCATCTTCCACAAGGATTTTTCGGAAGGTATAAATAAATCATTGACTGACAAAAAATTAAACAAAATACAGCCAGCATATCCGTGAGCGCGATCGTCTTCTCCTGACAATTAGCAACTGCGATCCCAATCAACTCGAGCTTCTTGGCGGAAAAAACAAGAAATCAATGAAGACAAACCTAAACAACAGCTCGCTCAAAGTGAAAAATGCGATCATTGAAGTCTTGAAGAGGCCTGATTTCTGTTGTTTCAGATGCAAAGCTAGCTGCAGTGGCTCGTGAAACGTGCAAAAAGGAATGATGGTAAAGGCAGTGGAGCTCTTCGATTTGCCTAGCAGCTACGGAGACTCCATCAACACTTTCATCGAAAATATGAGGAAGCCAAAAGAAAGACCAGATCAAGACAAGCCGAAGAAATGGAATCATTTTCTTGAAGAGAGAGGCGACAATCCTGAAGAAAAAGACAAGATTCAGATCTATAGATTAAAGCATCCAAGCTCCACTGAGACTGATGAATCGATCAAGAAAAAACTGGAAACAGAAAAAGTCAGCTACACGAAAATAAAATCCCAATACAGAGGCATCCGGTTCAGCAACAATTATGACAAATTTGGGACTGTTCTCCAGTACGAACACTTGATTCGCTCGATTCAACACGGAAGCCTGAAAGAGTTCTCTTATCTACTGGAGAATGTTGATGTTCCAAACTTCGCATTTCTGAACGCAATCATGTTCATTTACCGACATCTTCATCCACTATTGCGTGCATCAGAAGAAAAAATCAGCTCGGTAAGTCCAAAAATAAGGGGCAGGAATCTTTATAAAAATCCTGCCCTAATCAATACAAATTAATTATGGGCAGGAATCTTTATAAAAAATCCTGCCCTAATCAATACAAATTAATTATGGGCAGGAATCTTTATAAAAAATCGTGCCCTAATCAATACAAATTAATTATGGGCAGGAATCTTTATAAAAAATCCTGCCCTAATTGAACTTTTGTTATAACGTAAATTAAGGCTGCCGAGACTGTCCAGATACTCGCATCCGTTTGTTCCTTTGCTGCTTCTGTTGAGAAAGAATTGACGATCAAGTTCGGCAAGGACTCCTCCGTGACTTCCATTGGGGCGAAGCTGGCGAAAGGGCTCTATTACAAGGCGTCTCAAATGCTGTTTGAAGGATGCTGGCTAGAAAAACGCATAAAGAAAAACGGAATTGATGATGGACCCGGAATCTGGAAAGGTCAAGAGCCGAAACGGGTTTGGCCTATTCACCACGCGCTACTTGTGCTCAACTTCTTCAAAAGAAATTGTAAAATCGTCAAGCTGGAAGATGCACTCAGCGAGGCTGCCAAGACCGACGAGTTCTATCGGGAAAATTTAAATTACGTACAGCAGCAAACGAAAAAATGGGCTCAATCCGGAATGGAGTATCTATCGGCACTTTCGAAAGTTCTGAACGAAAGCAGTATCGCAGAACCAGAGCTTGAAGAAGAAATAAACTTGGAAGAGCTCAATATCGCTGGCAATCGAATTGACCCGGAGTTGCTTCAAGAGAGCGAAGTTCGCGAGCCGCCTCCACCGAAAAATGATTTCGAGCTCGAAGTTGAAGCCTACAAAAAGTTGAACCTCCTTCAACTTGTCGCCTGGCAGAAGAAAATTGAGAAGAAAAACCCTCGAACAAACTGCGAGAGTTTCTTTCTCCGCGAATTCTGGACTTCCGAATTCACAAAAATCTACCTCTTCTCAAAAAATGCGCGTCGACTGTGAGTTTTTATCTTTTTCGAAAATAATTTGAAAAATTAAAGCTCCTTAATTGCCCATCGAGCTCTTCTTCCATCGAACGAGTCTTTGCAGAGGCAACTGCCGACTTGGGAAAGAATAAACCACGACTCAAGGCCCAAACAATTGAGCTCTACCGACAGCGAACCACGGCCGACCAGTTCCTCCAGCTCCTCCGAACAGTCTGCTTCAAGAACGATATCCCTTACACTTTTTAGCACTGTTCCTTGACATATTCTCTCTAAATAAACGGAAATAATTGGAAAAAAACGCGTTTTTTCGTGGTTTAAAAATCAGGGCAGTATATTTTACAGCAATTCCTGCCCATAAAAGGGCACAATTTAGGGGCAGTCAATTTTACAGCAATTCCTGCCCTTAAAAGGGCACAATTTAGGGGCAGTCAATTTTACAGCGATTCCTGCCCTATTTTTCAAAATAAGAAATTTTTCTAGAACATCTATTGACATTCTGAGGTAGAAATCAAAAAACATTAGTTTAAAAGTGAAAAATGCCGAGAAAAGACCGCGATCAGATTGATGTTATCTGCCTGGAATGTCATAGCCTGTACCTTGATGGTTGGCGTTACCATATTGAGAGTATCAAGGTATTAATTAACGTTTATGATTTATAAATATTGTTAAAAGGATCATTTTCTGAAAAAACATTACACGATGATGATGACGAACAATCCTAAGCGTCAGTGGGAAATTATTCATAATAATATTGAGATTATTCCAAAAGGCTCTCAATACGACTCGCTTTTCCATGTTTCGGACTACATCATCGGTATTTTTCTCACTTCAATTTATGAAAAAATCATTTCAAGATACTTTTCATCAAGTTATCTGGGGCCCAAGACTGCGCATTTCCATACGATTCCGATACAGAGGCAAGCACAGTGCTCACCCTGAGCCCAACTATACAATTCTTCCGATTTCGGAACTAAAATGGTCTCAAAAGCTCAAAATGTTCATTGACGCAGCCATTTCGAAGACAAAAGATGACAGGTTATCGATTCCTCAATTAGTATTTCAATAACAAAAGTCTAGAAAGAAGAGAAAATTAATAAAAACTATGCGCGATCGAAACCGTCATGGATATGACGCCGAAGAGCATCGAAATCAACGACTTTACTCTGGGTGTGGAGCATGTAATGCTCGTGAGAATCAAGAAGAACCGGCTCAACCTGAAGTCGAGTATTTTTAATAATATCTTTTATTAAATAAAATTATATTCAAATAGTTTTGAGTGTTTTTTTACGAGAAAAAAAGGAAAAAACTGTGCCGTGCCGTGCTGTGCCGTGTCCCGGCACGCGTTCTTAAATTTTTTGCCGTGCCGTGCCGTGCCGTGCCGCGGCACAGGAATTTTTGGCGTGCCGTGCCGTGCCGGTGCCGTTGAATTTTCTTGAGACATTCCCCACCCTGATATAGACTATTACAGCAATCCGGCGAACATGAGTGATCATACGTAAGTTTACAAAGCGCCATTTATGCATCGAGGAATGTGGTTTTGTTCATTGTTGAAATATTATTAGCGTTTGTGTGGACAATGTTTTCGACTTCACGACTGCCTTTTTATTCTCTTTGGAAGGTCAAACCACCATCGGCTACGGATCACGTGGCCCTACCGTAAGTTAGAAAAATGAGAAATTGTTTATCAGTAATTCAGATAGAGTTGCCTGAAAAACACTTTTTATTTTAGTCTTGTTTCTGTCAAAATGCTTTTTACAGCAATTTCAGTGCTTTAAAATCTGATTGGCTTTAGTGCTCACATTTTCGAATCTGATTGGCCAAGAAAGAAACGTTTCTAGAACAAATTGTTTTTAAAAATTTTCAAAAAAAAAATATTTTTTTTTCCAACTACAACTAAAAAGAAAATTTGAAAAAATAATGATTTTTATCGTAAACAATTTGTTCTAGAAACATTTATTATAGATATAAGCCAATCAGATTTGAAAATCGGAAAACATAAGCCAATAAGATTTCAGAATTTAAGAAGAAACTTATCGAAAAATAAAGATTGATCATGTCGTTGGTATTTTTTTTGTAAATAAAATTTTTAGATTCAATGCTGGTTTGTTGTTGTCGTCCAATTTATCCAGTGGCTCCTCGCTTACGCCTTCGATTCCCTCGTCGTTACAATCATTTTCACGAAACTAGCTCGCCCAAAATATCGAGCAAAGAGCATCGAGTTCTCAAAAAGCGCGGTCATCAACGAGCGCGACGGAAAGCTGGTGCTGATCGTCAGAGTCGCCAACCTCCGCGACTCGCTGATGCTGGACGTAACCGTCTCTGGCAAGTTATTGAAAACGCGGCGAACTCCGGACGGCGAATGGCTCGCACTTGAAGAGCGCAACGTCGAATTCGACAATTCTAAGGCCCTTTTCCTCACTCAACCGGTCGGTAAGTGCATTCTTCTGCATCAAGAGAACTGAAATCATTAAAATTGCAAGACTATATCCACACTATTGACGAGAGATCACCGCTTTACGAGTTGTCGCAGAGTATCCTCGACCGCGATGAAGAACCACTTGAACTTGTTGTGATTATGTCCGGTAAAATTTTACTGTCACTGACTTTTACTTACTGTGTTACAGGCATTGTGGAAGGGACTGGAATGGCATGCCAAGTGAGAACGTCTTATATTCCCAATGAAATCTTTTGGGGACATAGATTCAGGCCAACGAATTGGGGCTCGAACGCGAAAAGGAAAAGCTTTATTTTTCATAAATAAACGATTCAGAACAGGATTGAGCCCCAAAAAGATTACCAAAATAAGACGCTCAATCGATTCCAAGTCGACTACAAAATGTTCCATGAGCACTATCTGGTAATTAAACATCTCACTAGTCCTTTTGTTACAAAAATATTGGAAGATTGAGCCACTAATGTCTGGAAGAAGCGCAGAAGATCGCGACTTCGACCGAGAGTCGGAAAGATCGTCAACGACGCAAGAGTATGATACTATCACTCATGAAGTGGCCGTTCGAGCGAATATTCTGGCCAATATGATGACGAATACATCCATTTGAAAGTTCAATTCTGTACTCTGATTTTCAATAATGTAAAACAAACAATCTCTAGAACGGAAAATATATGCGCATATTTTAATTTTGAGATGAAAAGGACTAGAACAATGGATTTTGAAGAGATACAGAAGATACTAGGAGAAGATGATTATCAGAAGTCCCTTGTATGGTTCTTTCTATGTTTTACTCTTGGTTTAAATGCTGGGAAATATTTCGGCCGTATGATCCGTGCAGCTAAAGAATGTGAGTTCTCAGCTTCAAATTTTATCGAAAACTAAGACTTTTTTAGTCTTCCTCGATTGCTACGACTTTATTCTCGACTGCAACGATTTCGTTGGACGTAAGTTAATTTTTTAATTCAGAAAACGTTTTTGATGACGAGCTGAATTTAAATTATTTTGAAGGGATTTTGAAAGGATATCGAGAGCGATGCAACTACATCAAGCAAAAAGAAATAATGCATGATTTGGTGGATCGGTATTACAGGCCTGTCATAGAAAAGAGGCGAAGAGGGGATGAGATGAAAATTCTAGCGGCACTGATGGAATTCCTTTCGAACGAAGCCACCATTTGCACGAAAAAACTGCTTCATCAACTGCGAACAGCTGCTACTGATTTGAAAATCATTCACGAAGTCCTGGAGAAAAGAAAAGCAAAAATAAAAGTGAATGTCCATTTTATCGACTCTAATCCTAGATAGGTAGAAAAACTACATTGCTCTGTTACGCAGCAGTATCTCAATTCTGTTTTTTTATTTTGTAATAAATATTTCCATGAAACACTCAGCGGTCATTTCTATGCAGTTCGAAGCATGAAGAACTTCTAGAACCCACGTTTTGAAGACTTCTGTGATTGAAAAAAAAATGCAGAACATGAAATTTGACCATCCTTCAAATCTTCCCGAATCAGTGCAGTTATGCATCGTCGGAGTTATTTTAGTGTTTCCTGGCTTCCTTGTCGACATTTATTGTAATGGATGGGCGTATTTTCTCAAAAGTGAGTAGCAAAGCATTCTCGTCGAAAAATTCATTTTGTTTTTAGAGCAATGGTTACGCCTGAAGCTTTTGTTTCTACGGCTCTGCACTTGGGGAATACAAATCGCTACATATGTTTTGATTTGCATAAAGGCGATTCAGGTTTTCATCATAAAATTGAGGCTGATTCTGGTTCCTTTCTACATGCCTTTCGTTAAGTTTTTCAAAAGTAGGTTCGGAAATTGAACGATTCTTCCTAATTGCCTCAGAAATAAGGAAGGATATGAACCGCGATTTTCAATTCACCGAGAACCTGGCGATAGTAGACCGCGTGCTAAAGGTTCGGATGTTCGCTAAAGTCCTCTGAATTATCGCCTCTTTCATAGAAATTCGCACACAAGCCATTCTCAGCGAGAAGAAAAGAAAGCACCGTGGATGCTCGTTTCTACGATCGACCCAACGAAATTCAATACCTCAGTACTCAAGAAAAGAACAGGTTGCTGAGAGAAAGCATGATTGATTTGAAGACACTGCATAGAGTACTGCAAAATTCTTTTAAAAAATAAAGGCAAAGCATTCCTTATAAACGTCTCAAAGAAAAAAGGAAGAACTTTTGAGTTATACAGAGTGTTATGGATGGTGTAGATTGGAAGTCGTAATTCTGTTGTGTTTAGGGATAAAACGGTATATTTATAGAAAAAACTGGAAAGCTTTGGAAGAATATAATTGACCTTTGCATCTCTGTTTTGGCGAAAATAATAGAAGCTCATGTTTGATCCTCTTTCTAGTTCGCTCGGATGGTAAATTATAAGAGACTCGTATATTGTGTATACGAAAAAAGGTAGTTTATTGTGTGGGTTACATATAATCGAGGAATTTATTCGCATGTCCTTTGTGCTTCGTCAATTCTTCGTGGTTGTTCGAGTTCGAATTATGCTTTTTGCTGTTGAAAAATAAGTAGCTATTGCTTCCTTGGTTCTTTTCCGTGTTCATAACTCTACTCGTTTTAATGAAGCCTAAAATTTTTAATTTTCAATTAATGAACGCTCCAGAATTTGCATTGGCGAGATTCTTGAGAAACACTCGGCGGAACTCAAAAGCAGGAAAAAACTAGAAAACGCTCTCATTCTTGTGATTTATGCACTTTCTTCGATTTTGCGCTCGTGTTAAATAGCGTCCCGGTTGATTGAATATTAACGCACGATCAGTGAGAGTTGTGAGTACTATACTACAAGCTATTAATATTAGTGCCACGGATTAGCTCTCTAATCCGATGGAAGGCCTGTATCTTTCCGGAGTTCAGACTCAGAACTTAGAAGATCGCGCTCCTGCAAATAAGAGCAACTTCGATGCGAGAATATGCTCTTCTGACACTGTTATTTCTTGGAATTCAAGTTCAACAGAATTTAAAAAGGGCGTCTCTATTTTACAGGGCAAATACTTTTGAGAGGTCTCCACTTTAGCGGGTACCCGCAAAAGGGTCGCCATTTCAACGGATTTTCTTTAATATAATTGCGTAAAATCCGTTTTTATGGGGACTCTTTTGTGAGCGCCCGTTAAAATGGAGACTTCCCCAAAGTATTTGAACGAAAAAAGAGGAGACCCTATTTTAAATCTTTCCAGATTCAAAGTCAGTCAATCTGTTTATTGTAAAACCTCACATGTGAAACGAAAGAGAAGTGAACTCAGACAGAAGATTTTCAAGAGAAATAAAGAAACAATTAATTAAAAAAAAAGAATGCTTATTTTTACAGAATTTGGTTTTGAAGAGATGAAAAAACAAATCGACTAAATTGTGAAAAATGGGGGCAGTGAGTGTTAAAATCTTCTAAATTTACTTCTTGTCGATGACAATAATAGCGTGCTGTCCTCCGCCAGAAATGGCCACAACCTAAAATTGGCGTTAAAATGCGTTGTCAAAAGTTATATTCGGACGAGATCCACGCAAGTACTAATTGAACAAAACAACTTCCCAATTCTATTTCTGATTACCTTTTGTCCTTCAATCTGTTTGCCAGCAACTTGCACGGGCTCCCACTCGTCGTCTTCCGATCCGTTGGTCAGCTGAAGATTGCTGCCCATTCCCCAGGCAAAGGCGCTTCCATCTTCGGCCAGAGCATAGGAGCAACAACTAATTGACAGATTAGATCCAACAAATATCGACACAAAAGACTAACCTTCCAGTTCCAACAGAAACGATTTTCTTCTCAATCGCTACTTTCCTCAAAACTGAGCTTTCTCGGAGAGTTTCCTTTTCTCCGACTCCTAATCGGCCGTAATCGCCGCATCCGATCGTGAATACATCACCTTGAGAGAATTTGTTCATTCAATTAATTTTAAATTAAGTATGTAATTGAAAATCAAAGCCGATAAATTATCGGCGATAATTGAGAAAGCTTGGGGCTTCTCGATTATTAGATTATACCGAAGATTTCGTACCTTCTTTAGACAGCAGGACGGAATGATGCATTCCCGAGGAGATTTGCTTGACTTCTACAGCGTTCCCTTCGAACTTGTAAGGCACTACTTCGGGACTGAAAAGAAGAAGATGAAATAAACGCTCGAGAAATACAAATCTTACCTGAATCTGATCTCCCGATCGCCGAATCCAATCTGGTAGCAATTATTCAATCCGAATCCAAGAACAGCTCCAGAAGACATGATCAAAAACGAGCTGAATTGACCGCATGCAATGTCCTCTACTTCTCCATATACGCGCTAAAAATACAGCTCCTTATTTCAAATTGCGACAATTCATATTTGATCAGATTTGGCAAATTGCTCTAGCAATACTTGGGTTTTGAGCGCTACTCAAAATAGAAAGAAAAAAGAAAGCATGTCCACTTACCTTGTACTTTTTCTGCAGATGGATCATTTCAGCTTTTAGAATTTTGCCAAGGCCTCTTCGCCCACCCTTGGTGCAGAAGTGCGACGAAATCTAGTCAACTCGATAAAAAACGGATCAATTTTTGATTGCTTACTCTTCCAAGCTGTCCACTTTCAGCACATCCCATACTCCAAACATTTCCTTCCGTGTCCAAAAGGATCAAATGATCCGCTCCAGAGGCAATTCTTACTACCTTAAAAGAAACTCTTGATCCCTCTATCCCCCTTTTCGATTTACCTTCTTTGAGATTTCCAGCTTGGCCGGCTCCTTGATGATCGCTTTACTCATTTCTTTATCGTCAGTATTTCCAGCAGTAGCGCCCATTCGCCCGTTCGCATCTCGGAAAGTACCCCAGATCCACACAGCTCCGTCATTGGTCAAAACAGCGGAGTGCGAATCCCCGGCGCAGCAGAAGATCGCATCTGTCACTCCTGCGACCCTTGAAAGAACATGAGTTTTAGTCAAATTTTTTGATTGCTTACTTTGCTGGAAGAAAAGCTTCCTCTTCCTCTTTCGTCTCGCGGCCGAGGGCGCCTTCGTCGTTGCAGCCGAAAGTGTAAACATCGCCCGAGTCGCCGATGCATACGTTGTGCATGCCTCCAGCTGCCGCGCAGAGAATTGGCTCGTCCAATTCTTTCACAAGAGCGGGCTTCTTTCGCTCTGAAAAATTCTTTTCCTTCAACTTCGTAATTCTCGCTCTTACCCATGATATCTTCTCCACAGCCGAGTTGTCCAGCATCGCCCATTCCAAACGCCAGCAAGACTCCATTCTCCGGCCACTGTTCCCTCGTGAACGGCTTCGCGAAGCTCTCCTGCCTCGACACCGTTTCCAACAGCGATCGTCTCCCCTTTGGTCGGCCTCGTTTCTTTGGCATGTCTGGAAGCTCAGAGAGAGAAGACGACTTTTTCATTTTCGCCGGAGAATCGCCGCCAGAAGGATGAGCGCGCTTTTTCGGTCGCCCGCGTCCCCTCTTAGGACTTTCTTCCACTTCTAAAGTCGTTCTCAAGATGGAGAGCGGAGGGAGATTTACCTAGATTGGCAACTTTGTCGACGATTTCCTTCGTCGTCTCGGATCCCTGGCTCTCTTGGCTAGCCGGCTCTTCTTCCTCTGGAACGTCCTTTAGCACTTCTTGACTCTCTTTAGCTTGGCTCTCAGTTTCTGCCATTTTCGTTGCTTTCTGAAATAAAGAAGGTTATAACCGATTCATCTCTCTATATTATTAGGCAGTAAATTGAGCAAGAGTACCTTCGGTCTCGCCATTTTCAAAAAAAGAGCCTCCTCGAGAATTCAAAAAATAGGCTTTTGCTGCTCTCTGTAAACCGATTTTCGATCGAAATGAGAGCAGTTCAAATTTAGAACAACAACTTGATAAAATCAGAAAAACAAAAATTCTCTCAGGCGGTAGATTGAGATCGCGGACCGTAGGTGAGTTGATGAAATCAAGGAAGAGAAAGGCAGAAATTTCAGCGCTTGAAAAAGCGACTGATAGAACATTGATTAACAGCGGATGTGTTTTTGTTCTTATTTCTTGGGACGCGAGTGAAGCGCCCTTGCATTTTCTTGCTTTTCTGCGCGTTTTCTTCTAGGACTTCTTTCATCGACACTTTCGTAAGCTTGGCCCGAGCGCATTTTCCTTCAAGCTTTTTTCTTCGCTTTTCGTCGTAACGAATCCCATTCCAGAATTCTTCAACGCTCGGCTTTTCGCCTTTTTCCGCATCTAAAAAGATGTGAAGAGATCTTCGAGACCCTGACTCAGGTTTTCTACACAGGTTACCGAATACACAGTTTGAATTACCTCTGATAGAAGTAGAATAAGGACTGTAGAAAGATTCATGAATGGCAGCTCCGATTTCCGCTCTATTCTTTCTCGCCAATCCGTAAATATCTTTGGAAAACAACTGTGAATTTGAACATTTCTTCTTCGAATCCAACTTATCCAAAGACACTTGAATTGCTCCGTTTTTATCTTGGCGAGTGTTGTAAACGACGATGTCGAGGGAAGCTTCGTCGTTTTTTGCGAACTCTTCTTTGGCTCTTCTTTGGTTTGAGAACGAATCAGAAGGGGGGATAGTCGAGCCGCGGCCCTGAGAGAGCGAATTTCGCCAAATTTGGGGATGAGCCACATTCGGATGTTATTGAATCGACTGTCATTAGCCGCCCTGTATCAAAGGTTTTGAATGAGTAGGAATAATGATCTCATTATTCGGAGATTTTTGGAATTATTCCTGGTTTTTGATTGGCTGAGGCAAAAAATACTGGCCTCTGATTGGCTGAAATTCCCCATGGACCCAAAAATAGCCTTATTTTCTAGTCAACATGGTATTTTATAAATTCTTACAAATTTTGATATTTTTTCAAACTAAAAAAATTAAATTTGAAATTCAACTTAGTTTTTTAACCTTTTTCCTTCATCCAATCCAGCTGCAATAATAGTCTTCAGCAATTCGATTTCCTTCTTTTTGCTCATCTCTTCTTCTTTTTCTCCTTTTACAAAAATCGTTTTTTGGAACGTTCGTTTTTTCCAAAACTCTTGAATTCGTGATTGGCCGTTGAATCAGGCGCGCAATTTGAATCGCCGCCGGGATCAGATGGTTTTTGGCCTTTCTCTTGTGAGGTGGCTTGTGGGTGTGGTGGATTTTGAAGATCGAAGCGAATTGATATTGAGCAGGGACGGAGCTGCTCAAAGGAGCCAATAAGCGACGAGCGCTGAGCCAAAAGCAGCTCAAGCTCCAGAGCGCCCGAACCCGACTCCAGCTCAAAAACAATTTCAAAAAAGAGAGAGAAAAGAAATTGAACGAAAAATAACGGAAGAAGATTTTTAAGGAAGAGAAAGATGTGGAATTGCGTGGAGGATCGAGTGGGAAACGACAAATACGGGGGAAGAGTGATTCGAAGAATCATTTTCGACGACATTTACGCCGATCGAATCGCAGTTTTGAGTCAAAATCCAATTTCCAGAGCAGCTTATCCTCATCTAAAGGTACTGTAGCGCTAATAAATTGTCGTTTCCAACCTTTTTTTCAACCAGAGCGGCGACAAAGTGGTCTTCTACGACAACTGCGAAATCAAAGAAGGGAGCTTTCTTCTCTCATCCGAGCAGAAATCCACTTATCTCAACCCAAAAACAATCATCGGCGAAGTTTTATCGACAGAAGAAGAGATCAGAAACTTCTGCAAATCGCATGGAATCGCCAAGAACGCACAAAGTTTACACACGTAAGTTGAAGTTTATCAAAAATGAAATGAATAGAAAGCGAGAAAGCCGCAAGCTTTTCTTCGTTTTTTTTTTCAAGCGAAAGTATCAAAAATCGGATGACTTTCAATTCGTTTTAGTCTGGTGATCGAAGCTTATTTATTCCTGGAACGAAAAATGAGCAGCGCGCGAGAAGCCCACTTCCCAGATAATACTGGTTCACGGATGAGCAGCCCGATGAGCCGAAAGCGTCCAGCGCCCGTGATGAACGAACAGCTGGCGCAGGCGAAAGCTTCGCGGATTCTCAATGCGATGGGCTTTCCCAATCCGGCTTTGGCTGTCTCTCCTCTTTCATCTGCTCCAAACTTGTCACCAATCGCGCTCCAAGCGCAACAACTCGCTCTTCAGCAACAAATTTCTTCAAAAAACAAAGAAGAAAACGATGAAACTCAAACGAAAAAAGCTAAAAACGAAGCCGAATCGATCGAGGTAAGATTAACCCGTCTTAGAGAGGGTTAACCCAGGGACAGAAATAAACCCATTTCTTCAAGCCCAAATCCCCTGAAAAGCAAGCTGCAAGTGAAGACTCAAATTCAATGGACATTCAGGCAAATTCCCAAATTGAAAATAACACTGAAGCAGGTATGAAGCGACCTTTTTTGTTCATCTCTATTTTTTTTTTTGCAGAAATCTCAGAAATTGAAATAAAAACGGAACCAACTGGAGGAGAAATCGCCGTCGTCGAACTCGAAGAAAATAACGACGATAATCTTCCTCTCGATCAACTTCCAGGGCCGAGCAATACAAACAACGTCTTTCAAAATCCCTCCGACTTCCAGCTTCCTAACAACCAATGTAAGTTCTTTTTTAGTTCTCCTTGGTTTTTATTCAAGAGGGAGCATCTTTGCTCGGCTGTGAAAAAAAGCCTAAGTCAGGGACTTGAAAGAGCTTCAACTAAAAGCTGCGAGGCGGCTTTTCGAAAAAACGAAGCCGCAAAGCGGCTTCGCCAAAGTTAGCATCTCGATTCTACACGGTTTTTCGTTAAAGATTTTACGGGACCCTGACTCAGGTTTTCAACACAGGTTTCCGAGCCATGGGGAGTATTTTTTCTAAAGAAAGTCTTCAGTTGTATTCGACAAGCATGAAATGTCGACCGAAGGAAAGCCCTCTTTGAATGATATCGTGCTCAATAAAGTGGTCCGACACGATAAAGGAAACAAGTTTCCAATTATAACTTTTCACGTGAGCATCAGCGGGAAAGAGTATCAATACCTAATTCGCCGGGCGGGCAGGGGTTCCATCCATATTCGATGCAGGAAGGAAAGGGACTGTCGAGCGGGGCTCAGGTCGGGTTGGAAAAGTCCTCCTTTTTCGCCTCTTTTGGTCGGCTTTTTGACCGCTTTTGGTCATTTTTCAACCTTTGAAAAGACTCTATTGCCCAGCGCTGATTTACCAAAACCCGGATTCGGAAAAATTCAAAAACGCCAAGTTTAAATTCGATCGAAACCACCCACTAGTCGAGGACTTGTCGGCCTATCGAATCGCCCAAGCCGCCCCTGAAATGATTCAGGAGCATACTTGTCCTCTTGAAGTTCATGAAACTTGGCAAGTTAATTATGAGCTTCCGACCATTCAAATTCAGCAAGAAGACGAAGACTCTTTTCATATTCATAACTGAAAATCATTTTTTGACAAAATTGCATCTTACCCATTTATTTTTCCATCAAAAATCCCATTTCAGAAAAAGCAACTCAATATTTTTCTTTCAGTATCTCGGAATGGAGTCTTCCCAAACGTCCCCGTATCCGACCAAAACGATCCTGCCTCGCAGCACTGGGCATTGATGCAAATGAGCGGCTTAACCATCCAAAACGGACTTCAACAACTGGCCAATACGCAGAACAGTAGAACTCCACCTAGACAATCTTCAAAGACCTACTCGACCAAGGTAAGATCCTAAAAGCTCGTTTTTCGGAACATTTTGGTGAAAGTGGTCTATTTTTAATGAATGAGAGCTTCATATATAAATTCATAATCATACTGTGATTCTGATTTCAGAGTGACTTATTTTCGCGGAAACTCGAGATCGGACAGTCACTCTGGAATCAGAATCGCGGTAATTTAATATGGCATTTGTATGCATCTTTGCGAGTTTTTCCTTGCATCTTGTCTGTAACGCAAAAAATGGGCCTCATCCACAAAAAAAGTAGTCACGTTCCATCCGAAACGTAATATTTTCCGTTCAGGTCGCGAAAAATAGACCCGATGGACCAACTACTTGGAGGCCTGTTGTGTACGACAAGATGGAGCAAAAGCTCGCGGAAATGCGCGAAGAGGGCATGACCATTGACGGCATTGAAGCAGAATATACCCAAGCAGATCTCCCCACGGGGTACATTCGCTGCGTCGGCCCTTGTCGGAATAAAAACGCGCCCATGTTGTCCCACACCGGCACCGGCAACGAAGTCAAACTTAAATTATTCAACGGTGAATATTTTTATTTCTTCCTCAATCCATAAAAATCTAGTGCGCCGTCACGTGATGCGCTATCACAATCCGAACTGGAGGCCGGGGGAGCGAGGGAATACCGACAATCCCCAAAATTATCATTTGAGCATCGCTACTGCTAATACTGCCAATCCAAAAGAATACATGCAAATGCCATATTATTAAATTGTTGTCAAAAATGCAATAATCTGAAAGCTCCTTATTTATAGTTTTTTTAATGAGCTGAAACTGGTTTAATTAGAGGCAGACTAATAAAGCGAGGGATGAGGATCCGGACGCTACGTACGAGCCGTTAGTGGTCGAGAAAGTAAAGCGCAAAGTGCGAGAGTGGAGTAGCAAGGGGTACACGATCGAGGGATTTGAAGGCGAGTTCAAGAACGGCGAAGCGACAGGGTACGCGCGCTGCGTTGGCGAGTGCAACCAGCCCGGTCTCCTGGTCAAAGTGACCGGCTCGGGCACTGCGCTGAATATTTGGAGACGTAAGTCTTAATCTTTCTTATTTCGCGATATATAGAATTCCAAATATTTATCTCATTTTCTCTAATTTAGTCGTCCAGCACATAAAACGGAGACATGCGCCGCCGCATCCCATGCCCATGCTTGAACAATGAACTTTTATCATTTATCTTCTTCTTCCAAGAAAGCTCAGAACTCAAATCCGACAAATATTTGAAATATTCCTTTTTCCGCTCTTCACTTCAATTCACAAAAATGCCTTCCCTCATTTTCCGAAACAATAATTTTATTTGCAATAAAGAAAAATCAAATTTAAAATCTTCTCGATTGTAATATTGAAGCATTTTAACCAAATTGAATTCATGGATTCCTTTTTTCAGTTGACGGATGAACAACGAATCGATATCATTAAAATCTTCGTGTTGCAGAAAACTTCGAAGGCGCAGCTCGGCAGAATGTACGGGGTCTCGGACGTTTCAATCCACAAAGTCATCAAGAACAAAGAAAAATGGATCGTCCGGGCGCTCAACAAGCTTCGTAACGACGACCCTGATAACGAAGACGAGCGGCAGCTGCTTGGAAGACTTTTGGAACAAGCGATGATCGAGCAAAATCAAGCTCGCTTGGAGCAAACCAAAGCGAGTCAGATTCAAGGGCCTAGCAACAATCCTCGATTATATCCGCAAGTTGCCGCCGGTCCCTCTCAACTAGCAATCGGAAGTGGGTCTCAAATTGTCCCTGGAAGAGTGGCAAGTGATCCATTGGATCCGAACAATCAGCGAACTTCTTTAAATTTGGACATGAGCTTCGCCAGGTCTCCCTATTTCGATCAACCAAGTGGCTTTGCTTCCACTGGACAGCGAATCGTTCAAGACGGATTTCCAGCTGGAGAGTTGCCTCCAACGATGAAAGTAGAAGTGCTCGAAGAAAATTGAATGATCACCAATCACCTTTAAACTATGCCGATTAAAACTGCCTTATTACATGTTTCAAAGTAAAAGATAAATAAAATTTTTCCGTCGAAGAGAATCTGTGTGTCTTTGTCGATGTTTATAAAGCGTGAAATTGATATTGGTAACTCTCAAACTGTAGCTTTTAGAAAAACGTTATGAGTTCTTCCGACGAGTCATCTGATGAAGATAATTATATTTTGTTCAAAAATCGAGAAGGGACTGGTTATATTTTATCGCTGACTCGGAGAATCGCAAGTTTTATAATTCAATAAAGTCTTGTCAGAATTAAATTTTGTTGGATTATTCATTTTAAATATTTGAACGGTTTACTTTCGTCGAAACTAACTACTTTCGGCTTTCATTTTCTATCGATTCTAGAGCTCAATTTGTTATTTTTGAAAACCTAAAAAAGAGTGGCGAGACATAACACCGCTAAACCCAGAGGACAATTTCGAACATGAAGTTGTCCGAATCGCCTATTCCGAAGACTTCAAGGATTGTTTCGACTATTTCCGAGCTATTTGCGAAAAGGAAGAATATTCGCAGCGCGCTTTAGAGCTCACCGAAGAATGCATCAAAAGAAATCACGCGAATTATTCGGTTTGGGAATATAGAAGGCGCATTTTGAAGAAACTTGGGAAGAAACTCGAGCCGGAGTATGAGTACACTCAAAAAATGCTCAAAAGACACATCAAAAACTTTCAAATTTGGCATCATAGGTGAGCGAATATTGGGATTAATTTAATTATAGACAAAGAAGCCGCTTGCGGCTTCGAATAGGAGAGAAAGTGAGCCGCTTTTTTCATCTTGAAATATGACTTTTTATGAATCAAAAGAAAACCAAGAAGCCGCGTGCGGCTTCGAGCTGGAAAAGACGAGAAAGCCGCTCAAAGCGCGGCTTAAGTTTTCTTCCACTCTAATCCGCGAGCGGCTTCTCGATTATAAGTTGATTCACAAAAAGTCGTGGTTTCTGTCGTTTGGAGAAGGAATTTTAAATCGCCCTAGAAGTCGGTTTGTTTTCGGAGATAACGAGCGTTGAAGGCGATATTTATACGATTTGACGGGTATAATCTTTCATTTTTGCGCTTTAGGCAGGTCCTCTGCGAATGGGCAAACGATGGCTCGCGGGAGAAAGCGATGACGGAACTGATTTTCAAGCAGGATCAGAAGAACTACCACGCCTGGCAGCACCGACAGTGGGTTGTCAAACGCTTTGGGCTTTTTGAAGGAGAGATTGATTTTGCCAGAGAGTTGCTGGTAAAAGACGTGTACAACAACTCGGCGTGGAATCACTTGTACTTTTGTATTCAAAACTCGACTGGCTGGAGCGAAGAAATCAGAAAGGTAAAGAAAATTTAAAAACTTCCGAGAAGGCTACTCCTAGAAGCTAAGAGTTCCATTCAGAGCGAACTTTCCTTTGTCCAAGAAAAGCTAGAAGTCGCTATTGACAATGAATGCGCGTGGAACTATCTGCGAGCCGTTCAAAACCACATTCTCACCGCTAATCCACGTAACTATCTACACTTTTTCTGAAATAGAGACTCTTGTTCAGAGTTGGCGGACAAGTTTGTGAGCAAACTTGAAGTAATTGAGGACAGGGGAAATTCGCACAAGCATTTGGCCGCGTACGTCGCCGATTATTTAGCAGAAAAGACGGAAAGGGATAGTGATAAAGAATCGGGAACCAAGGCGGTTCAAATTTATACAGTAAGTTAAAAAAAATAAATGTTCATTTACATTTTTCTTTTGCAATTTTTGACGTCCGTGACATTTTCCATGATGTCATAACTTTGCGTCATTTACGGAGATGAACTAAAGTAACCCTTCTTTTAGGAATTATCCTCCAATTTGGACCCTGTGAGGCGAAATTACTGGAACTATCTCTCCTCCTGCCTCTCCGCCAAAATTTGAAAAACATGTACCTTTCAATACTCAGAATAATAACTGATAATCAAAGTCTTAAATCTGCTGATGCAACTGAATGCATTAAGTTAATTACCGCTCTGCCCTGTGGGCTCTCGGACTTGCCTTGCTCTTTGCAATTATCGGTGGATGCGACGCTAGACAAAGTCGCTTATTAGAAATATCCTCGAAAAAGTCATTTTTGTCCACTCAATTTTTATTGAGATCATAAATAGCTAGTCAAGGTTGACGCATTTTTACAACGCGCTTTATTGGGTTTATTTTTGTCATACACAAAGAGGCATTTTTATTTACTAAAAGAGATTGGATTCTTTAGAATGAGTAGAGGGACAGTCCTCGTCACTGGCGGAGCCGGATATATTGGAAGCCACACTGTAGTCGAGCTTCTCAAGGAAGGCTATGATGCTGTCGTCGTGGATAACATGGGAAATGCTGTCCAAGGTGAGTTCAAACTTTTAAGTCTTCTCTTTTCAAAAGTGAATCCTGATCATTGATATTTATACTAAAGCTAAGCCTTTGACTCATTTCATTCTTATTTTTCCCACTAGTTTACAGTAAACTAAGTTACAATAAACTACCAAGTTTCACTTCACAAAAGTAGCTTTATTTCATTCTCATTTTCGAATTTTTAGGCGACAACGGACCTGAGTCTCTCCACCGAGTTGAAAAAATCACCGGCAAGAAGGTCACATTTTACGAGCTCGACGTCAGGGATGCCGAAAAACTCGAAAAGGTAATGTTCATCTTTGAGGTGGCGAAGAACGATGATATTTAGGTGTTCAAAGATCACAAGATCACGGCCGTTCTTCATTTCGCCGGACTCAAGTCTGTTAACGAATCGGTCTCGCAGCCCCTCGAGTACTACAACAACAACATCTCGGGTACTTTAATTCTGCTTGAAATCATGATGAAGTATGGAGTCAAGCAGTTTGTCTTCTCCTCCTCCGCCACCGGTACGCTCTTCCCTTTCAATCCTATTTCCAACCTTCTATCAAGTCTACGGACCACCAGAACAAAACCCAGTTGATGAGCCACATCGTGTCGGCTTTGGAATCACCAATCCTTATGGAAGAACAAAATACTTCATCGAAGAAATCCTCCGAGACGTCGTCATTGCTGATCCTGAATGGCGAGTTACTATGCTCAGGTACTCCGAAAAACTCCGATCTTAACTTCTCAATACACGGGCGCGCGACTAAGCGCTCAAAACACGGGGTCGGGAAAACCGACCACCAAGCATTATTCAGGCCGGCGCGGCGCGCCAAATCCGTAGTGTGAAAAACAGCGCCGACTATTTTGATCTCTTGTTCATATTTCCGTCGAAGTCATAAGTTCAAAACTATACTGTTAGAAAGCTTAAACACTCAGCTATTCATTCATGTTATTATCAAGGAAAAAAAAACCTTCCGATTTTTCGAAAATGAGCGCGAGAGAAATCTGGTGCAAAGCGCCAACCCTCTTGAGAAAATTCATGAAACTTCACAGAGTGGTTTAATTTGTTCATATAAGTGCACATTCCAAAAATTAGGTCAAACGGATTACTACCTTTGAAGTAATTGCGGGTCAAAGTCGCCGTGGTCGGTTTTACCGACCACGTGCATTGAGAAGTTAATTCATTTTTGTGAAGATATTTCAACCCAGTCGGCGCTCATGAAAGCGGCCTGATCGGAGAAGATCCAGATGGACCACCGAACAACTTGATGCCATACGTTTCTCAAGGTGATTTTTCAGTGCTCAAATGACTTTTAAAATCGCATCCTTCAGTCGCTATCGGTCGCCGACCCCATCTTGTCGTCTTCGGAAACGACTGGGAAACCCCCGACGGAACTGGCGTCCGAGACTGGATCCACGTCGTCGATTTGGCTGTCGGACACATTGCCGCGCTCAACAAGTTGCCGTCCAACTCGGGAATCAAGGTCTACAACCTCGGCACCGGACGGGGCTATTCCGTGCTCGAAGCTGTCAAGGAATTCGAAAAAGCATCAGGAAAGGAGGTCAAGTACGTGATTGGGCCTCGACGACCAGGAGATTTGGCGAATGTTGTTGCTGATCCTCGACTCTCCGAAAAGGTGAATTTACTGTCATCTTGCAGTTTTTATGGATGGTTTAGGAACTGGGATGGAAAGCGACCAGAGGCCTTCCAGAAATGTGCGCCGATCTGTGGCGCTGGCAAGACCAGAACCCCTACGGTTTCAGAAAGAAAGAAGACGCCAAATAAATCAATTCAACCCAAAAAGCCAAGAAGTAGCAAAGTATTTAACAAAAAATTATGGGCCACCGCGCGGTGTGACTTTTACCTACTCGACAACCACTCTATCATAACCTGTCTTCTTTTCAAATGACTGACTTGTGCAATATATCAACTCGTTTATAAATTATAATGATCAATCTCGACAGTTCATTCTTATTCGCAGCATTTCATACGAAATTCTTTTTTTTCATTAGTCAGAAAAAATTTCCAAGCATTTTCATCTCTAGCGATATTCTAGCGCTATTTTCATTCAGGGATTTAGCCCCACTGTTAACAATTTAATCTGCAACTTGACTTGAAAGGATATCTCATTATTTTACTCACTAAATATATTTAATTCTTATAACCAGAAATTTGCCATAACGAATTTGACCATGATTTTTATAATTAAGACTTATGCAAAGTTTGCTTATTCACGGTCATGCGTTTCGACTTCAGTCAAAGTAAGCTTCATTTTCTGGGTTTTTGGACGAGATGGATGTGTTACTTGAGTTTTGGCATCATGCTTTCTTACAAGGAAATGATTTTCAATTGAAATTTGCAAATAAATTTTTCCAATCTTCAATCTTAAAAATTCATTTGTTGAATTCGAAAATAAAGTTGTCATCAGCGAGCAGCAGATTGAAATGGTCATTCATTTTCTCGCCGATTTGGATTCTCGATTTCTTGATGATTACAACTGCAATTGCGCATTTATCAGAAAACAAATGCGCGTATAAAAACGAAGCATCGAAGGATGTAAGTACTTTTTGTTTATTCGAAGATCTAAAGCAAATTCTTGTGGCTTGTTCTGCTGTGTTCCTCAGTTGATCGGGCGAGAAGATCTTGCATTCGCTCGAATTGGAAGACTTCCAGCTTGATTTGATTCTCCGTCGGTTTCGCCGAAGAAGTAGCTGTAATTGTCAACGCTAGAATTTTTGAAAATCTCATTTTTCTGTTCTATTTTTGTTTGATTCCAGCCCTTTTTATGCAGAGTTTTTATGTAAGTGGCGCCATCTGGTGACTCGAGATAGCAATCAATCAACCCGCGGGTGACAAAAGCAGAACAAGCTCTGAGAAAAAATGCCAGGCCCAGCTGGTCCTCTCGGCATGTATCTAAACAAGAAATCGAGGCCACTTCCCATCCCTCCTCGATTTTCACGGTTTAGATCTGTCGGACGCTCTCGTCAAATCTCCTCAGAACTCAATTTCCCCCGTTTCCCACAGAATTTCCCACTTTCTCAGCTTCAATTTTCAGTTCGAACTTGGAATCACGAACTTATCGAATGGAATATTCTCGAGCTTGTTTACCATCATGCTCTTTCTCAAATTAGAAGAACCCAGTTGGATCGAAAGGCCCTTGCCCAACTTGTGTATTTTCATCCCTCTTTGGTCCCTTCTACTTTTCAACATAGTCCTTTATTCTTCAAAGCAATACAAGCAAAGGGGCTTTTAAATCATTACTGTATTGAGATTTATTTCAATTAAAAAACCCTCGAAAGTTTATCAAAACTGCCGCTGAAGCTCGAAAAGATACTTGAACTTTTCAACTGAAATTTGTATAAATATAAAAAACAACGAATCTTCAAAATCGAATCTTCAAAACAAGGAAATCCCGTTTTCAACCGAACCAAAATTGTAGAATGGAATCGGCCCCACCAGTAGCACCTCCTCCTCCACCGCCAGTTCCCAGTTTTACTCCTCAAATATCAATTCCTGTTAATGAAAGTGGCCTGAATAACGACCCGTCGAAAATAGCAAAAGGTAAGAGTTCAATAGTTTCATCTGTCGTATCTCTTTTTTCTAGCGGCGATTGAAGCGAGAGAAACAGGAATTTTGAACCTTTCAAATTGCGGCTTGAGAAAGTTTCCAATCGGCGTGATTAAACTTGCTGGACCAGAAGTGAAAAGAATTAATTTGTCTGGGAACCAGCTAGAATCGCTGCCGACTGATTTCAAGAAATATTCAAAGCGTAAGTTCCATTTTTCAAAACTGATAAAGAGAAGGTTCAATAGTGGAGCATTTGAATTTGGAACGAAACTTGTTTTCGCGCTTTGCCGTAGCGATGGTGGAGCTACCCGATTTGAAAGTTATCAACCTGTCGAACAACTGCTTCGAAGAATTGTCAGCTGAGCATTTGGACAGATTCAGTGGAAATGCAATCGTCGATTTGAGAATCAACAATCTTACTGCAGAAGCGCAGGATTTGGCTTCAAACTACTCTTTTATACAGTTCTAGTCATTTTTTGTTGATTTCTGTTTGCCTACTTTTTATCAAACTGATTTTTTGTAAATATAATTTTCCTAATTCAGTGTTTTTGAGATTTCTTTATTTACGGAGCTCCAACATTGAATCTGTTAGAATGAAACGGATTAAAGAGCTGTACGAGCTATTCGAAAAGAATGTAAATATACCAAAGAGGGAAGAGACACTAAACGCGATATCAAGTCATTCCAAAAGAGACGAGCTTGCCAGACTTGTATTTGAAAGAGCTGATGGAAATGTTTTTGCCTTCGCTAAGAATCAGCTTCTTCCAGCAAATGATGCTGATGAATACGGCCCATTTGATCATCTTCTCGAAGCGGGTCATTGTATGAGGATCCTCAAAATGATGGCTAAAGAAGATTATGTAATCAACTTGTTGAAGGACGATTTCCGGGCTGAACACGGTCGTGAGCCGAACAGCTTGTCGGATATTGCCAGAATTTTTGCCGAGCGAGAATATATCACGAAAGAATCATCCCTTGCAAAGCGGAGAGCTGTTTTTCAAACCGATGGGACAGCAAAAATTGGAAGTACTTGGATCATAACCCTTTTGGGTATTGAAGGTGTCGACGACGACGATGATAGATGGCAAGAATCCGTGTACGTTTATAAGATTTTACGAAAGGAAGGAATCAGTTTGGAGAAGGTGAATTTTCATAGATCGTCCCTGGATATCAATATCTGGTACTTTGACGAAACGTTTCTCTTTGAGCCGTTTCTCATTATGTTGAATTCTGAAGAGAACACATATTATGTTTTAAATTTACTTGAACCAAGTGAGCCGCCAAGGGCCATAAGAATGGGAGGCCGACCATGGTTTATGTTGCAGAAAGATGACATCGGTCAATATCGATACGACAGTGATGTCCGTCTTAATGGCGAGCTTCGAGAAGCTGTCCTCTTCCCGCTCATCTACGTTCAAGATGATAACAGCTTTTGTATCGAATGTGCTCAAATCAGTTCATCATCGATCGAAATTCTTTGGAAAGAAACCATTATTGTACCTGAAATGTGCTTTGAAAAAAGGCTTTACCTGTTGGACAATGATAACTTGATCCTTCATATCATCTTAGAAGTTAACGAAGACCATGGAACCGCCAATGGATTACTTGCTTTTCATATCATTCTTTCGAGAAGAAAAATAATTCGCTACGATTTTCCGCAGATATCGGGGTATGTTGACTTTGGAATTATCAAGGAGCGCCTCGCAGTGATGATTTGGAATCCCAACAATTGGGAAGACAGCGATGACGACGACAGTGATATAGAATTCAGCGACGCAGAAAACAAAGATGCAGACGATAGCGATGGAGACGATAGCGATGGAGACGACAGCGACGAAGACAATGACAAGAACGAGAATGGCGATCCTGGCTTCACCACCTTTTGTTGGTTGTCAGAAGAGAAAGATTTCGAAATTGTTTGTTTCTTCGAGCTTTTATTCAAGCAGGATATTAGCATACATGGAGGGATGATAGTACAAGACAACCTGCTGAACAAAACGCGCAAAAAATTTTGCACAAAACGCCTGATTAATCAACTGGGCGAACTAAAAATGGATCAGACCCCCGAACCTTTTTCGACCAAAAAAATAAATGGTGTCGCAGTTAGAAGACCCTTTGTTCAGTTAGGTAATATCTATGAGATTTTGTCCACAATTAACGTCAATTTAGAAAGGCTTTTCTCACGAGAATGTTCAATAAAGAGGGCGAAGAAAGAAATTTGCGTGAAAGATCGGTCAAAAATAGGATGCGTTACCTATCAACCAAGAAAAGAAGCATTCTCCATCGAAATATTCATCTAGGAAGGTTTTAACCAATGACGTCTTCAGGTTTATCAATTTGTTTGTAGTTTTACTGCGCAGAAATTACCGCGATTTTCATCCGATCGACGAATTTTAATTTTCTTATAAAATCTTATGTACATTCACCGGCAAGTTATTATCGCTCTTCATTTTTTTATATTGCTCTGAATCGGACTCATTTTTTTACTGTACATTGAACTGCTCTGTAGTGTTTCACTGCCCACATAAAATATTACCTCTACAATTGATTACTTATTTTTCGTTAGATCATGGCTCGATCTGTAGACGCGTACGCAGAGTACGAAAGAATCGTCGGCGGTGACGACAAAGGAAAGACAGTGTTTTTTTTAAATTGCACAAAATCTGGGGAGTCCTTTATCTCCGAGCAGGATCGCCGTAGAAAGTCCCCAAAGGGCTTAAAATCTAGCTCAGGGTCTAATCTAGTGCGTAAGGGGGTTTATAAATTCTAGAGCCCACGTGATATTACGTAATATTACGTAATATAGGAAATATCATGATTTTTTCCAGTAAGTAAGGTTACAGATATCAAAAAGTATACCTATCGACGTCATTTTTCATCCACTTTCTCGACTGAGGTCACTTGAGGTCACGTGACCCCAAATGACCTCGATATAAATAAAAAACTTCCTAATAATGAGTGATATATATTTTTGAATAATTTTGAAAGATGATTGACATTCACACTTGAAAGAGGTCATTTGGGGTCACATGACCTCAGGTGACCCCAAGTTTTTTTTTTAAACGAAACATTATGAGTCATACATCATTTTAAAGCCCTTTTAAAGCCGTTTCAGCCCCGTCCCTTGATTTTTAAATTTAAGGGGCTTGACGGCCCTTCGGGCCGTTTCAGCCCCGTCCCTTGATTTTTAAATTTAAGGGGCTTGACGGCCCTTCGGGCCGTTTCAGCCCCGTCCCTTGATTTTTAAATTTAAGGGGCTTGACGGCCCTTCGGGCCGTTTCAGCCCCGTCCCTTGATTTTTAAATTTAAGGGGCTTGACGGCCCTTCGGGCCGTTTCAGCCCCGTCCCTTGATTTTTAAATTTAAGGGGCTTGACGGCCCTTCGGGCCGTTTCAGCCCCGTCCCTTGATTTTAAATTTAAGGGCTTGACGGCCCTTCGGGCCGTTTCAGCCCCGTCCCTTGATTTTAAATTTAAGGGGCTTGACGGCCCTTCGGGCCGTTTCAGCCCCGTCCCTTGATTTTTAAATTTAAGGGGCTTGACGGCCCTTCGGGCCGTTTCAGCCCCGTCCCTTGATTTTAAATTTAAGGGGCTTGACGGCCCTTCGGGCCGTTTCAGCCCCGTCCCTTGATTTTTAAATTTAAGGGGCTTGACGGCCCTTCGGGCCGTTTCAGCCCCGTCCCTTGATTTTAAATTTAAGGGGCTTGACGGCCCTTCGGGCCGTTTCAGCCCCGTCCCTTGATTTTAAATTTAAGGGGCTTGACGGCCCTTCGGGCCGTTTCAGCCCCGTCCCTTGATTTTTAAATTTAAGGGGCTTGACGGCCCTTCGGGCCGTTTCAGCCCCGTCCCTTGATTTTTAAATTTAAGGGGCTTGACGGCCCTTCGGGCCGTTTCAGCCCCGTCCCTTGATTTTTAAATTTAAGGGGCTTGACGGCCCTTCGGGCCGTTTCAGCCCCGTCCCTTGATTTTTAAATTTAAGGGGCTTGACGGCCCTTCGGGCCGTTTCAGCCCCGTCCCTTGATTTTTAAATTTAAGGGGCTTGACGGCCCTTCGGGCCGTTTCAGCCCCGTCCCTTGATTTTAAATTTAAGGGGCTTGACGGCCCTTCGGGCCGTTTCAGCCCCGTCCCTTGATTTTTAAATTTAAGGGGCTTGACGGCCCTTCGGGCCGTTTCAGCCCCGTCCCTTGATTTTTAAATTTAAGGGGCTTGACGGCCCTTCGGGCCGTTTCAGCCCCGTCCCTTGATTTTAAATTTAAGGGGCTTGACGGCCCTTCGGGCCGTTTCAGCCCCGTCCCTTGATTTTTAAATTTAAGGGGCTTGACGGCCCTTCGGGCCGTTTCAGCCCCGTCCCTTGATTTTTAAATTTAAGGGGCTTGACGGCCCTTCGGGCCGTTTCAGCCCCGTCCCTTGATTTTTAAATTTAAGGGCTTGACGGCCCTTCGGGCCGTTTCAGCCCCGTCCCTTGATTTTAAATTTAAGGGGCTTGACGGCCCTTCGGGCCGTTTCAGCCCCGTCCCTTGATTTTAAATTTAAGGGGCTTGACGGCCCTTCGGGCCGTTTCAGCCCCGTCCCTTGATTTTTAAATTTAAGGGGCTTGACGGCCCTTCGGGCCGTTTCAGCCCCGTCCCTTGATTTTTAAATTTAAGGGGCTTGACGGCCCTTCGGGCCGTTTCAGCCCCGTCCCTTGATTTTAAATTTAAGGGGCTTGACGGCCCTTCGGGCCGTTTCAGCCCCGTCCCTTGATTTTAAATTTAAGGGGCTTGACGGCCCTTCGGGCCGTTTCAGCCCCGTCCCTTGATTTTTAAATTTAAGGGGCTTGACGGCCCTTCGGGCCGTTTCAGCCCCGTCCCTTGATTTTTAAATTTAAGGGGCTTGACGGCCCTTCGGGCCGTTTCAGCCCCGTCCCTTGATTTTTAAATTTAAGGGGCTTGACAAAGGCTGGGAAGCCTGAGTTGATCATTCTCAGTTGCGTCCCCAACCCCACCCACCTCCATCTGATGTTAAAATTTATTTAGACCTCATTTTTAGTTTTCTTATGGTTTTTATTAAATTTTTTAAGTAAAGTTTACAGTCGTCAAATACGTGTATTCTTCCCTCATTCTTTCTTCCAGTGAGGTTTCCCACAGAGTCCTCCGGGTCCTCCGCACCAATTTTAGAGAAGGTGAACTTCGAGCGTCGATTACGCAATGATTTAGTAATTTCTAGAGCTAGGCAAACCCCTTACGCACTAGATTAGACCCTTAGCTACATTTTCCACCCTTTGGCATTTCTGTAGCATTACTGTAGCGTGAGAATAAGCGCTCCCCAAGAAGCCCGTTTTTTGTGCAATTTAAAAAAAACACTGTCAAAGCTCTTCTCAGATGCAGAATTCGACGCTTATAAAAAACGTGTTACGCCGCTGCGCATCAACAATCGGATGTTCGTTTCGTGGCAAAATGAAAATGGGATGGATTGCAAACTCATCGGTCCAGAGACCAAATGCCTCTGTCAGTGCCGGTACAAACGACACCAGACGGATGTGACGGAGATAAATGAAAAGACGAAGAAGATTCCTTGCGCCGAGTATGTTCAGATTTTCGGAATTCATTTTCATTCACTTTATAGCTGCGGGTGTAAAGGATTTACATATGTCCCGGCAAATGGTCCCCGACAGCTCCGATGCGGGCGATGCAAGTGCGAAGCAAGTGTTCATAACGCGAAAGTGACGCCTTTTAAGTGCCTAAAGGTGTTTTGGAAATATACAATTATTCAATTATGTAATATATTTTTGAATATAAATATGTTAAAAATGAATTCTAGTGCTCGAAATGCCCTGGTTTCATGACTGCTGCTCGTTGCTCTTGCGGAAAACTCGCGCCAGCTCACCGTTTGGTTGTGGAATCGAAAGAAGAACGCGCTGCTGCAGGAAAACCGATCGGAATTGATTGCATTTACAAAGCGATGGGTGGAATCACCGGCTTCTCAAGTCTTCTCGACGGAGCGCAGAGGCTTGATCCAAGTGGACTTGGCGACTTTCCTTCGATAGCCGCTGCATATAAAGCTCTAGAGTAGCCTCTATGCAAGATTTATCTTCATCAAACGTCGAACTTCCAAGAAAAACATTGTTCAACATCGGCTAACCGCAGCCCTAATTCTTCTTTAATTCCTGGCCCAGCATTCTTCTTCTGACTGAAATCATTCTAATCTTATATTTTCGAAATTTAAAAGATATTTATTTTTTTAATTGATCAGAATTCATCACTTTTTCTTTTCAAGAAATGGCAAATAGACGGTCAAGATATTTCGGAATCGTGCAAGTTCTTCTTTGGTACTTTATTCATTTCGCAGTCAGCTCTATCTCCTGGTTCTTCAAAATTGTGCGAAGATTGAATCCTTTCAAGACAAAACTATCGGTGAGTTTTTAATCTTGATTCTTGACGAGCAAAATTTTTAAGAATAAATTTCATCATGCCCCAGAACACATCGCACTCGTTGCTTACAAAAACAGTCTGATAGACTCATCACAAATGAAATCTGTTGCTTTGGAACTCCTTCAGCGTGGATGCAAAAAGATATCGATTTGGGATCCAGATCGTCGAATGGAAAAGTAACTCGCTTTTTTGTCCTAATTTTTACTGAAATTCTAGGTCGAAAATTGACTGGTCAGAGCTTCATTGCAGACTGCTAACGCCGAAGAATGGTGGAAGCACAGTCTCAGAAAGTATAAAAAGGATGAAGGCCAGCAGTGTCTCGGTGAAGGAAGTAAACTTGGAATTGCTCGACCATTTTATTGGTCCGAACGGGGAGGAACCACACCTCTTGCTGAGTTGTGGAGCGACGGATCTTGTCTCTACTCAGGGTTATCCTCCATGGGTAAGCTTCATCTTCCCTTTTTTATTTCTACAAGAGGGCTTTAGGCGTTGAGATTGACGACGATTTACCCCCTTCCATCGCCGTATTCGAAGTCTCAAATCAACGAAGTGCTCGCAAGATACTCTACCGTTACGCAACGCTTTGGAAAATAGTCTTTCCATTTCCTTTTAAATTCAAGCTTCACGCTGCTTTTTTTGAGATTACTTCATTACCGGCCTTTCTGGGTGCAATTAGCAAAATCCTTCTGTATAATTTTCTTCCATGATTGCACCACTTGCTGGCCTACTCTCTAAGTCTGCCTTTTTTATTCGAACTGGAAGAAATATTCTCAAGCTTCATTCTTATGCAATTAGATAAATAAATAATTAAACATTGAATAAATCTTTCCTTTTTCTTTCAAAGAATGGGTAAGAGAAAGTCAGTTTCATTCGGCGAGCCGCAAGTCAAGGAATTCACAAGAGACGAGGTTGAGGGTTCAAAGAAAGAAGATGCTCCCGCGAAAATTCGCAGAAACAATCGAGTTATTGAAAACACAGACTTCGATTTTGGCACTGCCGATCAGCGAGCAGAAAATCAAAACTTCGTCAATGAAAAAGTAAGATCTTCTTCTTGAATTCCTCTTAAAAATAAGGGGACGCGGATGAAAACAGGTCTGCATACAATCGATTCCGACGACGAAGAAGAAAACGCGCAGAATGAGAAGAAGCTCAAGTACAAAAAGCTCGATATTGAGAAAGTGCAGGGCTTGGAAGCCGACACCTATCACGACAACCTCGACGAAGATGGTAACATGATCACAGGCTTCAATCTCAAAGACGAAGAAGAGGAGGGCGAGTTTGACTCGACCGGACAGTTTCACTTCAAAAAACGAGATGGTAAGTTAAAAAATCAGTTTTCAAAATGAACAAGCTTTTCAGATCGCGATGAGTGGCTCGACACAGTCGACTGGAAAAAGATCAAAAACAAGGAAAAAGAGGAAGAAAGCACGAAAATGGAAGAAGACGCGAAGCCCGACGAAGACGAAAAACTCTCTGAGCGGGAAATTTTAGAAAAGATCGTTGCAAAAATGAACCCAAAAGAAACCGTGACGAAATGCCTTCAAAGACTTGGAAGTGGCGCTTCAGCTTCAAATATTCCAGCTTGGAAACAGAAAAGACTCGATAAACTCGCAAAGGTTCGCCTTTTTTCTTTTGAAAATTTGTCGACTGAAATCATAGAGGAAAGCGGCCGCCAAGGGTCAAAACGCGAGCACTTCAAAATACGAGGTTAAAGAAGAAGTGAACAAGGAAGAAGTGGCACAGCTCACGAATCTTGTTGACCAACTGAGTCGACGGGGCTACTACGATATCTACACTGATACGTATGAGAAGATCAAGCATAAAATTAGCTCCATGCCTGCGGATGAAGGTTAGTTTTTGAGAAATAGCTGATGCTTGATACATTTGCAGACGATGTGCTGGACATGTTTGGCGAGGCAATCGAAGGCGGAAAAAGCATCGCTGAACAAGCAACAGCAGAAGTTGGCCTTTCTGACTCGGACACCAAGTGGGAGTATAAATTCAAAGACAAGGACGACGATATCAAGGGCCCTTTGTCAACGCAGGAAATGGAGCGCGTAAGTCACCAATTTTTTAAAGCAAGTTCCATTTGTTATTATTGCATTTTCAAGAGCTTTTCTAAAAACTACTTTATCCATTAACAATGTGTTTTAGCTGAAAGATACGCACAAACAAGCAGCCGATATCTTCTGCCGTCGCACCAATTCGGGCAACACGTGGTACAGCATAAAACGCGTCGACTTTGACTTGTGGTAAAATGACCACTTCGCTTTCACTGCCTCAGTTATTTAACGAGTGACCACATGTAATAAATAATTCTGGAAAATGAAAATTTCAGAATGGATTTTCCAAAGACTGAAAAGCTGAAACTTGAACTTTTTCCAAAAGGGCTTCATTTTTCTATTTCTGAACTTCTTCTCGAGTTAGTTAATGAGCAGGAGGAGTTTTCCAGGGCATTGAAAAGGGTTGAGCTTCTTCGTGATGTCGGTTAGTTACTGTTTTTTTTAACAGGCAAAGCATTTCTTAGCGCACGATCAACTGAACGCTGGAAAATACTCTGACGTTGACGTTAAATGGCGGCGCGCTTACTATCTCTTCTCATTTGTGGAGGCGTTTTGCAAATTTCGCATGAATCAGAGCTCCGTAGAAATTTTGAAGAGCTGCGATGAAGGGCTTCTAATGGGAGCACCTGTTGACGGATTCAGTATACATGACATTATCGCAGCGACGCGTCCAGCCTACAGCTCTGACGACAAGCCGTCAATAAACTGCTCAATTGAGGAGCAAAACGCATTGCCAGCTTTGAAGAACCCTATTACGCGTTTGTCGCGGCTACCGACTTTAGAGGAATGGATAAATATCCGGATGGCGGGAAAACCAGTTCTTATCAGTCAAGGCGCCTCCTCCTGGCCGGCGGTGGAAAAGTGGAGCTTTGAGTTTCTCTGGGAAAAGCTCAAAGGACGCACAGTGCCGATTGAAGAAGGCGCTAAATATACAGACGAAGATTGGGGACAAAGACTCAGAACTTTCGACGATTTTCTTCGCTCGATTTTCAAAAAGAAGGAGGAAAAGGGGATCAAAAGCTATTTGGCTCAGTAACGGGTTTTGAATTAATCTGCAGCCTGTAGCTTGTTGAACAGAGTACCCTTCTTTCGAACTTGATACTTGACTTTCTTTTGCTTTTCTTTTTGCGGTCGAAACAGGGAACCCTTAGTGCAGCATCCGCTTTTGGAACAGGTGCCCGAATTGTATGATGACATTGAATTTCCTGACTACTGTTTTACCAATTCCTCCGACGACCCTGAAGGTATCCAATTTAAACAGCCTTTCAAATCGTTTGTTCAAGTGAATGCATGGATAGGCCCAGCCGGGACAGTTTCAAGCTTGCACACGGACAACAAGTTCAATTTGTTCGCCCAAATTCGCGGAAAGAAATACTTTGTTCTCGCCGACCCAAAATACTCTTCCTTGATACCTACTGTCAGCAAGGTAATGTTCAATTCAAGCAAGTTGGAAGTCGAGGACAAAGAGGTTTGGGACAATTCTGGGGTGGTCTTTGAAGATTGCATTGTCCAAGGTATTTTTGACACCCTTGAAAGAGTCTTTTGAAGATGATTCTATTTTAGAAGGAGATCTTCTGTATATACCAAAGCTGTATTGGCACTATGTTCGCTCATTGACACCGTCAATAAGTCTGTCGATTTGGTTTGAATAAAACAAAAACTAGTTCACTTTCGTTTGCTAGAAAATATTAAGAACTAAAAATCGAAGACGTTGTTAGTAGTGCGCTGGATAGAATGCTCTTCACCTTCAACTTGAGTAATTCTGGCGTCCGCAAAGGGCACCACGAATCAGAAAAAGCTGATCGCTGCAGGTCGAAAAGGCCGTGAACTTCACCTATCCGAATCGATTTGTCTGAACGACTCAGTTTTCAACGGAAAGTCCCTGTACTTGGATTTGACGGCTTGTATGCAATCAAGTTGAATAACCAGCGTTTAGTTACACCCCTTCGAACCATATACAATCGAAATCTTTATTTTCATATAGCTAGTAAAGGAGCAACAAGTTTGGGTTTTCATGTGGCCGCGAATCTGCAAGAGTTCTTTTTTTGAAGTTTATGCCACAGAAAGAACAGTACATGAATTGACCGGAGTCAGCATAATAATTGGTTTAAAGATATATTTTTCGTGAAAGCCAATTGTTTCCGTTTCCATAATATTATCTCCGTCTTTAAGATCAGTTGACGAACAAGTTTCGTCCTATATTTTGTCAAGAGAAAGCTATCTAATTCAAAGTAAATTTCTTGAGAATCGATCAACCTTTCCTAATTTGAGACGTTGGATAAGTCTAGTGGATTCATAGCTCTCTCCTGGAAAAAGATAAATGTTCATGTTGTCGACAAGAAGCGCAGAGCCAAAGTAATTTATCTAAAAAATAGATTTTTCATCAAAAAATAATGATGAAAATATCTCTGAACAAAGTACTTAGATTATCTTTGTAATGATCATACTTGTAGTAAAAAACCCATTATTTTCCAGCCAGATTCATTGAGCACCCAAGTCTCACTTGTGTATACTTCTTCTTTGGTATCATAACCTCCCAAGGTCGCAATATTTCCTGATGGCAATGTGACTGCACAATGATCTGTAATCTGTCTAAAACAACACTCGAGAAAAATCGCAAAACATAAAAACCTTTCATGTTTTGTGGTAATTTTCCATCCGATTTGAGTCAAGGATTCAGTATTTCCCTTTGTCGAAGAACCGTAAGGCACTTCACCGCCGGTGATTGTTGGAAGTCCTTGATGATAACCGATTGCTCCTCTCCAGTGTGACTTCGTCGTTTGGAATGGAAGAGGTCTGACATCTGTGCCATTAAAGACATCGCAATTTCTTTGTGCGAAGTTTTCCGCAGTCGACTCAAAACAAACGAGACCTTCGAAAACAATATAAATCATCGGGTTTATTCTACTACCTTCAGTTCCATTTGTTATTGAAAGAGCTGTACTTCCGGCCCAATATTCCCTAAGAAGTCGACTACGAAGAACGGAAATTTGGCATCCCTCTAGTCGCATAATCTAATGGCGGTGCTTGTCGGGAAGAATTTAGCTTTTCAATAGGTAGGCCTCGGACGAAAAAAAATCGACCCCTTCAAATCGCTTAGATGCTTAGGAAATTCTTTGAAGAGGGTGTAGATCAGGCCAAAAGAACCCTTAAAACCAAAAAATATCAAAAAAAAATTATGATTTTTCGAGAAACTTTCAAAAAATTGAGATATTTTTCGAGTAAGCTATAGAAAAACGCTTATATGATCCTGTTCCGGACGAATTTTGGTCTTGCTACGTAAATATTAAGAAAGCCTATGAAATTTAGCCAGCCAAGTATATCCAAGCAAAGCCTAACCCAGTCAACTAAGCTCAGCCCAGCCAGGCCTAGCCTTACCCAGTCAAGCCGACCCTAGTCAAACTCAGGTCAGTTATGCCAAGCAAAGCCCAACCCAGCCAGGCCCATCAAGCCCAGCCTAGCCAAGCCCAGACAAACTTAGCTAAGTCAAGTCAAGCCAAGCTTATTCATGTTGATTCTATTCTTACCGCCCAGCCTAGCCCAAACAGCCAAGTTTAGCCAAGCCTAGTCTAGCTAATCATAGCTCACAAGTCAAGCTTCGCCAAGCCCAGTCGAGCCAGGCCAGCAGAATTAAGGGGGAGGTCGACGAGAATAAGAATTCTAAAAACAATTTTCCCGAAAAACCCGATTGTGTAAGTTTATTTTGTCTTCTCGATTGGGAAAAGAAGGGTATTAAGAATCTATCGGCAAAGAGTTTCGCGAGTCTTCGCAGAAATTTCGTGCACTTCTTTACCAAAAGTGTCCGAAAAAAAATGACGAAAAAATCAGAAAATTGCCAAAATTGCAATTTGGGGTCCACTTTGAGACAAATTTTCGACCATATTTTTTGGTCAAAATTTTATCTCCAGGTGAGAAGAAAACCTTTTTCCGATGGAAAGAAAATTTTTTTCAATAAAAACGGGTGTAGGGCGGCCACGTTCGCAATTTGCGAACGCCGTTCGTAGTTCTGCGAACGCCGTTCGCAATGAAATAAAATTGTGTCGCGAGAATGCGTTTCGCGCATTTTCTGGTAGAGAACTCATTGCGTTGGCAGGGGCAGTCTTTCTCTACCGCTGGGACACATTTTGAAAAAAGAAGAATTCGATTTTCGACCGAGATTTTTTCGATTTTGCGAACGCCGTTCGTAAATTGCGATCGCCGTTTGCAATTTAGCCGTTGCGAGCGAGGCCGCCCGCCACCCATTAAAACAACCAAAATAATTTGCTTAAAATTGAGTCGAAATTTAGATTCTCGTATATTTCGTTGAAAAATATAATTCACGACGAGCACCGCCTTAAATGCAGCTGAACAAATATATTCATATGCTTATTTACTATATGTTTATCGTCAAAGCCGCCAAAGAAATGCACCCGACCATTCACAATAGCTGTTTTCGTGTATTGCAAAAAGTTTTTAACACTTTCCGTTATATTAATTCTGGCATTGACGCTTTTAAAGCCATCTCCATTTAGTGCGTACTGTTGTGGTCCTTCGTTCTGATGATTTATTATCGCAGAAATTTGGTGAAGTCGATTTTTGAAGAAATAAACATTTCTTATTTCGGTTTTTTTGTCGAATTTGAAAACTCTTATCCTTTTCTCTTTCATTGCCCGAATATCCTCCATTTCTATACGTGCAATTTCGGCTTCTTTTTCATCGTGAATTAAGAATAATGACGAATTATTTTTGAGTTGATAAACAAATTCAAGTGCCGTCCAGTCGATTCCGAGAGTTTTTCGAGGACAAGATTTTGATCGAAAAAATCTGATGCGATTCCGATTGAACGATTCTTGAAGATTTCAATTTCCAAAAAGGATCTTTCGTCGAAAAATCTAAATTCCAGCATTTTTGCTGCTTTATTTAAGTTGGTTTTCATCTACGGAGCCATATAATGCTATTCTTTGAGGGGCAGTTGTCTGAAACCGACAGAAAAATCCCTACGATTTTTGTCATTTTTCTTTGAAAAGTTTAACAGTTTTTATTGAAGCGTCTTTTTCTGAAAATTTTTGTCGGGCTTTTTTTGTCGATTCCAGACGCCGACCCTCTTTGAAATGCCATAATTTTATTTGGGACTCTTTCCTTCAACTCAAGATGTAATTTTCGCGTTTCGTTGAAATTGAGTTCGAATGAAGTAATATGAAATAATGACTCCTGGAAAGATAGAAAAGGGGAATCAGGAATAATCGACAATGGATATGGCGGAGATAAACTACTTGCTTTTCGAGACTCTAACAACGTCCATTTACAATAAGATTTTCTTAGCTACCCAGACGATCAAAGACACCCTTAAAAGATTTACGTTTGAGCCTTGGCTAATTGTGGAAAAGACTGGAGGTCTTTGGGAACAGCGTTTTTGGCGAAGTTGGGAAAGACATCATCATGAAAAGTGAAATACGGGTTGCTAGTTACATACATATTATTAGAGGCCTCTTGTTGCTGAAACTCCAGCTCGATTTTCTCTAAGAGAAGGATCAAAATATTTATGAAAATTTAAGGGTGGATCATTAAGATTTGCAGTAAGATCCTTTCCGAAATCAAAGAACATTTCAAAAGTTGAGTCGAAGACAGTGTTTTGAATGTATATCCGATCGTTGTTCGAAAACGCGTTGACGAAATACTCACACTCATCGTTATTGCTTCCAAATGGATTCGAATAAGCGAAATCGTCTGGAGCATACAAACCAGAAAAACACCGCGCGTCTCCGGCGTATTTGATCAGTGATCCAACCCATTCACTTCCGAGTGTAATAAACTTGCCTTCTTTTTCGAGAAGCAACGAGTACTGCATGTTAGAGAGAACAATGCTTCTAGTGACAAGAATGAGCATCAATTGACCAAGGTCAACCTTTTTAAGATTCAAAATTAAGAGTAAAAGACCTCATATGCGTAGAAAAGGTGCATCGGGGTGTGAAAGATCTACAATGAATTGTCGCGAAGGAATTTTTGAAAAAAGAATTCGCGAGTCTGCTTCGCCTGAATTTATGAAAGATCGTAAATATAATATCTACGGTTTTTCAAAAAGCCGCTTCGCGGCATTTAATAAGAGATATTAAAGACCCTGATGCAGGTTTTCTACACAGCTTGCCGAGCTTTGATCAGAGAACTACTGAAGATTTACTATCGAATCCATTCCAGAGGGATCACATGAACTGGCTCGAAATCTCGGAACATAGCAGGAAGAGCTATTTCATCTTTGCGCCAGCCTTTTTCGAATTCTTCCGTTGGCCTAATCGAATTGAGGGCGATTGTCTTGGAAAGAGTTATCCAATTCATGCGCAGCCTAATGCTCATCAGGATGAAAGCTCCGTCGTAACTGACGGAAGAAGTTTTTGCGTTGAAATGGTTGCTTGCAATCCAGCCCTGAGCTGATTCGAATCTGTTTATATTATAATCCGGTGCATAATAGTAGCATTTGTCAGCACGGTATTCTGGAGAACTTCTTTTGGTCAAAAATGCTTTTCGAGTGCAAATTTAAGCTATTGATATATATTTTTTTTATCAAATCATATAATTATGTTCATATGATTTTCGTTCATTTTAAGTTTAGTATCCTGATGAAGTCTTTAAAATAAATGAAAACAATTGATACATATCATTTGATCTTTGTTAGCTATTGAGTAATGTTCAATACCTTTATTTTCGACCTTTTCAAAGAACAACTACGGGAAAAACTAGTGTGTTTTTCTCCTTATTTCTTATTTTGATCTCGTGGGTTCCGATCGACGATCGAAAATGGAATTCGTAGTCGCCAGTGCTGAAATGATGATTTAACTAAGGAAAGTGTACTGGGAAAAACCATAAGTCAAAAAAAGTTATTATTATTTAAATAAATCTCAAAGAATATTAAGGAGGTAGTCCCTTCTTTTTGCGATCTCGGCACTTTTTGAACAGCGCTCCAAAAAATTCGCGCTGGGATTGAGGGATAAAAACTCTACGAATAGCAAGGTCGAACCCTGATGAAAGTTTGAATTCACGGAAAAAAGTGCGATTTTGGGGTTTTTCCTCTTACATTTGGAAAAAATGATCAACAGAAAATCTTTAGCTCTTCTAACGAGCTTTCAGAATCTGCTAAGAAAATTTGAAAATTCCGATTTTTTCAAAAGCAAGGACTAACCCATTAACGTGATTTAAAAATTTAGATTTCTGAAATTTATCAATTTTCAATAATTATTTTTAATAAATTACTTCGTTTTTAGTAAAATTTGTCGTAGGATTCGTTTTTTATTTTCGGACTATTTTCGTCCCCCGATTTCCAAAAAAGTCAGGAATTTTTGCCTACATCAAAAAAATATCGACGAATCCCCGCGTATGAGCACGGGACGAAACGTACATTCGAATGTCATTTAAGCAAAAACTTGAATAACTCATGAACCGCTCGTCCGATATTCGGAATATCATATTCCTAAAATTTTCTTGTGTCCCACTCAAACCCCTTATAATCTAAGAAATGTCCTGAAATAAGGAATCCGGAAACTCGGCAACAAACTGTACAACGAGTTTCGTTAATTTCCTCCAGGTTTGAGCTTAGAGCTATCGGAGTCTGTAACCAAAATTATACAATAATTAAACTTTAAGAGCCCGTTACTGCAAAAACAACTTCCAAACCTATGGTGAATACGATTTTCGATAAAGAGCGATTCATGTCCGTCTTCGCGAATCCGCTTCAAATTCCCCTTTCGATCGACCAAGTAATGTTCTCCGTTGAGAAATGTAGCTCCTATTGCCTTTTTCGTTTTTTTCTTAAAATTGATTTCTGTCTCAATTAATTAATTTATTCAAAAAACGTCCATAATGATTTAAAGGTGCACTTGTTTGGTCGACGAGTATCTGAGTTGAAGTAAGAACTCGAGTTTGATCAAAAAATCTAAGAGTCCCATTTTGAATCATCTTTGATTCTGAGTCTTTTGGAATTTTTTAAAAGTGACAGGTATGAATCTGACGGCATTTAAATATATTTTAATAATTCCCTTCTTTTTCTGTTTCGGTTTTTCGACTATAATTACCGCTTTTAAAATCAAAAACAGGAATATATTTCTGATCCTTGTCGGTTTTTTCGCATTTATAGAAAGGGCAGGGACATCCTTTTATGCAATATTTTTCGGTTGGACAGGCACCCCCAGCTGATTTAGTTAACCCGAAGCAGATGTCTTCACAAGGTGAGATTGAATGCGTCTTTGATGATCTCAAAATAAGCGTGTTGGAGCAAAGATGGCGGCAAACTTTTTGGTCCAAAAACTGTTTCTTTTTGCAGCGGTACAGATTCACTTTATTTTCTTCATCAGTAAATTTGATCGGCTCAGTTTCTTGTGGCATGATTAGGGAAATCGGCTTAGGAAGAATGAATTCTTGAGTTTCGTGGCATTGCTTCATCAGATGGCCGCAAAGGTCCATTGACTCGATTTTAACGCATTCTTTGTAGTTTCGGTGGCAGGTTGAAGTCAAGAAAGTCGTTACTGCTTGCAAGCTTTGAAGCGAGAACCAATTTGCTAAAAAATGTCTTGTTTCGAAAGTATTAATGATCCATACTTATAAGGATGATGGTTATCCAAAAAAGTGAGCCAGTTAATAGATATGATGCCAGCTGAGGGTTCGTCGAGAAACCATGCTTTCCGAGCGTCAATTTTTGTTTTATCCTTCTCTTTGTCATTCCTTCCATTGTCTTTTTCGTCCATGTCTTCTCTTTCTTTGATTGTATAATATCATGCTCTTGAGTATGAATGCTTCTTATGGTTAGAACTTCTTGAGGCAATAAATACACTTTTCTTTCCTTTTGTCTCAAAACGCCAATGCAATCGCAGTCAAGACACTTTTATTAAGTTTAATTCTCTAAATTTTTATTGAAATCATTGTTACCTGTATTCTTGTTTGATAAATTTGACCCGCCATTTTCTCATTCTCTTCTTCTATTTCCATATCGAAAATTATCGAAGGGGATTCTGAGACGAAAAATTGAGCGACGCTTGCTTTTAACGCCGAAAACCACGACTGCTTGACTGACACTTGGACAGTTTCAATTCCGTTTTCATTCCCAAAAAGGTCGCAAGAATGTCAGATGCTACTCTTAATCTTTGTGAGCGCTAGCAATAGCAATTTTATGCAGACATAAGGCAAAAACGAGTAAAAACTTGCCACGACGCCGGTACCGTCTTCAATATCGAGCTCAACGACCAGTGCGGAAAACTCGTTCCGAATATCGTTGAACAAGCAACAGGAGAAGCTGGCCATTCTGATTCGGACACCAAGTGGGAGTATAAATTCAAAGACAAGGACGACGATATCAAGGGCCCTTTGTCAACGCAGGAAATGGAGCGCGTAAGTCACCAATTTTGAAAAGCAAGTTCCATTTGTCATTATTGCATTTTCAAGAGCTATTCCAAAAACTGCACTATCCATCCCATTTAGATTATTTCTAGCTGAAAGACACGCACAAACAATTTTTCGCCCTGGAGAGAGTCTTTTGAAGATGATGTTTTAGAAGGGGATCTTCTGTATATACCAAAGCTGTATTGGCACTATGTTCGCTCATTGACACCGTCAATAAGTCTGTCGATTTGGTTTGAATAAAACAAAAATTAGTTCACTTTCGTTTGCTAGAAAATATTAAGAACTAAAAATCGAAGACGTTGTTAGTAGTGCGCTGGATAGAATGCTCTTCACCTTCAACTTGAGTAATTCTGGCGTCCGCAAAGGGCACCACGAATCAGAAAAAGCTGATCGCTGCAGGTCGAAAAGGCCGTGAACTTCACCTATCCGAGTAGATTTGTCTGAACGACTCAGTTTTCAACGAAAAGCCTCTGTACTTGGATTTGGCAGCTTGAATGCAACCAAGTTGAATAACTAGCGTTTAGTTACACCGCTCGGGTCCAGGTTCATCAGAAAAAAAAGAGTGGGTCAAAGAAGCTCGAAAACTCGCCAGAAATGACCCGATTCTTCATGAACCACGGGAATTATTAAAATTCAGGAGTCGCTACTTTGGTATTCATTTTCATGGTCTACTCTTGGGGATTTGTCCCAAGCTCCAATACTAATATTATGCTACTGAATTCCCCTGACCTAAAAAAGCACAGGAACTCTGACCGAGGAGCAAAAACAAAAAACAAACCGCAGACTGAACAGCTGATCCTAGATCATCAAGTAAAAATGGCCACGAAGTTTTTTCTTTTTGATATCATGACAGCTCCTACTCAGCGAGGGTGGCGCTCGCGAGCTGCGCGCTGCTCCGACGTTGGTGTCGGTTTCTCGCCGATTTTCTCGGAGGAGCGGAGGCGCTACTGTTTGACTTGAAAGAGTGAAGAAAGAGATAACTGAGAAAAAAGAAGAATGGAATGATCGAGAAGAAAGAATGGTTGAAGGATTGATAGATACAGGCCAACAGTCGTCGCTCCGTGCCGCTTTCGGTGCAACTTCTACGGCCACGTTTCCCCAGTTTGCAGTTTCGAGCAATATGGAACAGCAGTTTTACGGCAGTTCCATCGCCGGTCAAAGAATTTCAGAGAATGAACAGAAGATTATTGCGCAAGCAGAGTTTTATCTCTCCGAAGATTACTTGACGAAAAATGCATATCTTCTTAGACAGGTATTTTCTTCAATAAGAAGCTCCTTTTTTATTCCCCTTTCTGACAACTTTGTATATTAGAAGACTCTGTAGCCTACTGTAACATTATCTACAGTCGAGTTACAGTCTATGCAAATCTGATAAGCATCAACTAGGTCTCCTTAAAGTTTCGGTTTCCAAAATGAAGAAAAAAACCCCAAAAATTGGCAAAAATTCAAGAGAATCGCCTCTTTTCGCCGCAAAACGGCCGCCATTTCCATTTCTAGTGACATAATTGCTCATTATTCTTGCCCCTCTTCCAATTTTTCTTAATAAAAATCATTAGATAGGACATTTCTTTTTTTGCTGACAGTTGCGGAAACGGGCAATAAAATCGGGCGGCGGGAGTTTTTTTCGGAGAAATTTGATTTTCATGCTCATCGTCAATTTAACCGCTGAGAAGGGGAGCATGCCACCGTAGCGTCACGACTTTCCTAAAAATTCGAAGCTACCTAAAACTGTATTTTTAGAAATAAAAAAGAATCGTAATCGCAAATTTCAAAGTTGGCTACACGTTGCCGCCAATCCAAGTCCCATTTTAGATTACAAACATAGCGCTTGTTTATATTTTATCCAAAATATTTGCAACAAGCGCGGAGATAGAATTGATTTTCTATCTCCGAGCTTTGATTTCTTATTATTTTAATTTCATGATTCAATTTTTTCGAGAGAGGCGATTTTCTGGCAGTTAGACTTTCTGGCAGTTAGACTTTCTGGCAAAGGCGATTTTCTGGCACTGCCAGAAAATCTAATATGCCAGAAAATCTAATTTCCAGAAAATCGCCTCTTTTGATTTTGAATCTGCAGTTAGTGATCCTGGAAGGTAAAAATAACGGAGAGGGTTTTCGACAGTACCACCAATTTTTTCTTACATTTTTTATAAAAATTCATTGACAAAAGCCACTTTTGACCCATTTATTCAAGATTATTGGCTGTAGCAAACATAAATCAGCTTCTTCCAGGAATTTTTGTGTTAACCCGTTAACAGGGTGGTCGATTTTGTCTACGCTTTTGCCGGTCTGTGATTGAGTGAAATCATTTCCACGCGTGGCCGTGAGACTGCCACGCGCCTGTTAACACCCGGTGTTATTTCATCTGATTTCGAGTACTTGGTCACAATGGGCACCCACTGAGATAATGGCGCACGCTCAAATAATATCCATCCTATAAAGGCGATTTCACCACCTGAGGAAGAATTTTCTGGAGAGCTTTATAACAAGTTCAGTTTCAAAAAGCATTAGCGTGCGCCATTATCTCAGTGGGCGCCCACTGTGACCAAGTACTCGAAATCAGATGCAAATAACACCTAGTGATTAACACAAAAATTCCCGGAAGAAGCTGATTTATGTTTGCTACAGCCAATAATATTAAATAAATGGGTCAAAAGTGGCTTTTGTCAATGAATTTTTAAAAATAACGTGTAAGAAAAAATTGGTGGTACTGTCGAAAACCCTCTCCGCTTTTTTACCTTCCAGGATCATTAACTGTAGATTCAAAATCAAAAGAGGCGATTTTCTGGCAGTTAGACTTTCTGGCAAAGGCGATTTTCTGAAAGTTAGATTTTCTGGCACTGCCAGAAAATCGCCTTTGCCAGAAAGTCTAACTGCCAGAAAATCTAACTGCCAGAAAATCGCCTCTCTCAATTTTTTCGCCCATGCTATTAATCCTAATGCAGCAAATACCCAAATTTTGGACTAAACCAATAAAATGGAAGTGCATTTTTGGATAACCAATAAGATTGCTGTATTTGGCCTACCGGCCAATCAAAACCCTGATTCAGAAAATCTCTTTCATTTTTTGGTTCTGCCCCAAATTTCCCTATTTTTGGTCATTTTTGGCCATTATTCTTCTTTTTTGACCATCAATATTAGCTTTTATTATTGTCAATATGTTTTTAATGCTTCAATTAAAAATTGTCTCTAACAAAAAATTTCAGGTCGCGCGAAAACGAAACGGATTTTTATCAGTAAAATTCATTTCGTCCTTCAAGCGCATGCGGGAATTGACACCAGACTGGGCAACAACTGCAAAGGCACTCAGCAAATCGAACAAATTGGAGCTTTCTGCTGATGGGATGAAGGTAAAGTTCAAATTGATCTTGTCCGGAGATAACCTTGAGAGTAGAGAAATTTGAAATTCACGTTCCACGGGGGTAATTCACGTGATTGATCTCAGGACGGGCAACAGGGGGATCCATCAGTGTCTGATTTTTCATTCTAAGTATCTTCCAAAATTGCCATTCTTTGCTTTTTTAATTACTAAATGATTTTAACTACTATGATTTTCCGATTTATGTTGTTCTGTTTGCTCACCACTTATTATGTTTCCTTATAACTTTGTACCATTGAAAAATGGTGATAAAAACTCTCGACAGGAGGGGTATTTGGGAATCGAGAGAAACCTCAGGGCTCGTGCTGCCTTTCGTCAATTTAGGGTTTAGTTGTTTCGGTCACTCTTATCGGTCATATGATATGACTCATATCCCATCTCGACGATATCATTTCGTGATACTTAGTTTCTGGTATTTTTTGTTTCTTAGATTCTTCAGCTGCTTGTATTCCTATGAGTAGGCCTCGATTTTTACGTCCGAGGCCTACGTATGGGGATTCCACCCCTGGACCCTCTCCTCCGAGTAGCGACACACGACCACTACGCTACCCGTCCCCGATAGCCTGCCCTCTTTTTTTCGATAATATCCGGCTTCAGGACATATTTTTTTTCGTGAATTTTAGGAGAAAAGTAAGGGGTGCTTCTTTCTTTTCAGAATTTAGATGAGGCCAATTTTCAATCAGAATGATCCAAGGTCAGAGGCGAATAACTCGTTGCTCGAACACACGTGACCTTCGAGTCCGATTGAGTTGTTTAATCCCTCGTTGAGCCGAGCCTAGTGCAATCGGCGCGGTAAGCAAATATCGCAAATGCAAATGTTAAGTCGGCGATGAATCGAACGCTCGCGCGATCGGGCTCGTCGTCTTTGTCTGAACTCAAATCCGTCGCCGGATAAGGATCATCCGTTTTCATTTACTCGCCACGTTAGAACACCTTGAGCTTGGAGCTGCTGTTCTAAAAGAAGGTTTAAGCCAGGGTAGAGCCTTAATAATAGTGCTTGCTCACTTCAGTAAGCGGATTCGCAGCTTCGTTTCAATTTTGATACTACCCTTTCTGACGAATCAAGCTTCTAACCAGGAATTAGCCTTGTAGAGAGATAATTGGCTCACTTAAAACTTTAAATTTTCAATTGCTCGTTTTTTCGTCTTGCGCATTCAGCGAAAAATTCGATTAGATGGACGAGTTAGAAGATTTGATTGAAGTTTCTAATGAGGCGGCCAGTCTAAACGCTTCCGCACTCGGATGTCCGTGGAGCCTGAACTTGGAACCCGCGTTTTTGACCTTCTGGTCGTGTCCCGTCGTGGCGCGATTTGAACCCCCCAAAAACAATGTTTCTTTTCCAAAGTGCTTAATTAAAATTAGCACAACCTTTTCATTGAACATCGAAAAAATAGGTCAACTTCGATAAGATTTTTTCGAGGTAAGGTGGTACGGAAAGAAACCGCAAAACTATGTCCCCTAGAAAGTGAAATCATTTTCAATAAGCATCAAAAATAGGTCAAACTGTGTTTTACGATTCTTTTTCCTCCTTCGCTCCGCATCCTTTGGACAAAACCTGAGTCAGGGTCCTCAAAATTATTATTGCAAAATTTTTAAAAATTTTGGCGGAGCCGCTTTGCGGCTCCGTTTTTAAAAAAGCCGCTACGCGGCTTTTCATTAGGGATCTTTCAGACCATAATTCAGGTTTTTTTTACATAGCACAGCATTTAGGAAGCCTCTGTTTTTCTTTCCGGATCCAAAACTCTAAAAGTCTACTCTCTGGTTACCCACTTTTTAGTTATCCGGTAAATGTTAAGTAACCACAAAATTGAGTAAGAAACACTCCCTGCTCTAAACTTTAAGGGGATCGATTGCTCCCGTTTCTGTTTTTCTATTTTCGGGAATCGCCAAGCGCCAGCCTCTCGAATGTCTTTCCACGTGTGAAAGAAGTGTGGCGGCAAGGGCGCGGGCCCTGGAATTTAAGCTTCCAAGGAGCTTACTTCTTGGATTTTAGAGTGGAAAGAGTTTGATGCCCGTCTATTCTTCTTTTTGGACTTTTCGCGAAAAGGGATATCCAAACTTGTAGAAACACCCTTCTTTTTTTAATCTTGATTTTGATATGGGGTTTATCTGCCAATTTGAGGCCCGTATTGCTTGTTTGAGCCAATCAAAAACAAGTCATGAAACGGCCAAATGCTTCACCTTGGTACTTGGACCACTGTACTTACTGTAATTCAGGTACGAAGACGACAACCGCTGACTGCATTTATTTCTTCGATCAAGGCGATTCGATCTGTCCTCATCACGGCCGAAGAACTATCCCTTTCGAGTGAGTTGACCATCAAGATTAGAGACCATGGGTACTCATGTACAATTGAATTCAACTCCTCTGAGAACTTCAATTAAAAATTTGATCAGATTTTACAAGATAAACTTGAATTTCATTTCATAAATTATCTGTTCGAAATTAACCAGCTGGCAGTTGATTTTCTACTTTAGTGATCACGAATCTGCTCATTCCGTATGGCGAAATTGTATTTATACAAGTCATCAAACCTGGAATGGAGATCCCGGACAATATTCGGCCCTACTGTGCTCGAGTAAGTTTCCTAATTGAACAAAAAATGACCAAGAAACACGTGTTTTTTCCCGAGAATAACTGGTCATTTAGCATCCCGAACTTGGCTCTCGCCCCGTCGCCGTGGTCAAATTCGACACAGCTGAGGCGGCGCACCGCTGCTGCCGGGAACTCGATAGCCATGAAGAAGGAAGGGAGTTACTGAGGCTTATCCCCGCGCCAGATCAAACTTCATCTTTTATTTCATTGAACAGAATCTGATTCAGCGGACTTAGCCCGCTAAACATTCTAAAGCACTGTGTACTCGACATTCGAGAAAGCGATTAGCTTACTTTGAAAGAGTACTAAAGCGGGGCTGTCGTAGAGACGGGTTTTAATTTAACTGATCGCGCGTTTTCGTATTTGATCTCTTTTCTGACAATCCTAGGGAAATTATTCTTAAACCGATTTTCAAGATGGCATTTCTTCTAAAATTAACTGTCAAAAACCGAGAAGCCGCTTGCGGCTTCGAGTAGGAGAAAAAATAAGCCGCGCGAAGAGCGGCTTTTTCTTCTTGTTTACTCAATTTCAATATCAAGACCCTAGAAGCCGCTTGCGGCTTTGAGCAAACAAGGACAAAAAGCCGCGCTTCGCGCAGCTTATTCTTTCTCTTACTCGAAGCCGCAAGCGGCTTCTCGGGTCTTGAAGTTGAACTTAGCTTGAATATAACGTATTGTCTGTCAATTAAAACGAAATCCATCATTGAGTTGAATTTCTGATGATGGTCCTAAAAGCAGCATTGAAATTGATGAACGAAACTTGATGCTTTCACTTTGTAACTCTCGGAAAGACGGGGAGCTTCGCGTGTGTCTTCTGGGCACGAGGATTCGCTCTTTCGCCCGTCATCGGCGAAAGAAGGAGAAAAGCTGTTTCGGCGAAGAGTTCGAAAACTCGAAGACTGCCAAGGATCGCCTTTCGCCCTCCGACGCATCCGTGGACTCGGCAATCTCTGACGTTTCAAGTTCCCAAGAAGGATCACTCAATAGACAGCCTACTTGGTAAGCAAAAACTGTTGCGTAACTCTTAATTTCACTGTGGAAAGAAAGTTATTTCGCGTTTTGTATTGTACTTCTGGTAGAGTTGCTTAATCTCCAGATGGATAGGTTTTCTTTTTGCAGATTTCCTGCAGGAAGTGGCTGTCCCTTTAGTTACAATTGTCATGTGGCTTCTCGGGGGAGTTATTTTACTCGAGGTGGCCTTACTGTCGTTAAAACAGTATATCCGCTTGTCCAGAAAACAAAAGCAATTGAAAACGAGTTGAGTCCATTACCGGTTGATCTTTTAGCCAACGCGCCGAGTGGAGTCATCAATTACCGCGTTACAACACGCTGCAGTCGAACCCCGCCGCCGCCGTCCACCGTCAACAAGTCAGCCCAGCTCATGTCCCAATCGATCGCATCGCCTTGGCGCAGGCGCAGATCTACATGCAAGAAAAGGTGAGCTTTCTTGTTCTTGCTCGATTCTTCGTCCACAGTCTTTTTTACGAATTTGCGGCCAGATAACGAATTCGGGCTTGTTCGTTTCACCTGTTCGGTTACTACAACTTGTTGCTACTTTGTTCTTCTGGGCGACCTACAAGTTCTCAATCGTATTATCTCGCTGACGACAGTTTTTTGAAAACTTTCGTGTAAAGCCCCCCAAGTTCAGCGACCAAAGCTGTCTCTTTTTAACAGAAAAAATGCGGAAATTAAGGGTGTCGCTTCAAAACGTGCAAAAAAGTTCAAAATAGAAAATTCTTTATTTTGAAAACGAAAAAAACAGCCACGTTTTCTGTTTTTGTGGTTGTTTCGACATTCAATTTTAACGAAAATTGTAGCTTTTGTTCACCGCGCGGTTGCACTATCAAAATGCGCTGATGACGGCGCGCAGCAAAATGCGATCTAATGAGATGTTTTCTCGAGCTGCTGGAAATCAAAACCAAGCACCAACAGCAAGCCAATACGGAGCAGCTACTCCTGGCTACCAAGTTTACCAAAATTGCCGAAAGAGCAGCGAAAGCGAATGGTCTCCACCGCCGCCGCCTGGACTCGAAGCGGAGAGCGAAGCGGAACACTCGCTCCAGGCAAATCAGCAAATTCAATCCTGGATCGGCAAATTGGCCCTGCATTGAAATAATATATTTTTGGAGTCGACAAGGAAAGGATATCACACACAATTTTTTATAAAAAGGATGCTGGTTTTTTATTTGTAAAAAGTTGAGAATCGAGAAGCCGCTTGCGGCTTCGATTAAAAAAAATTTAAGCCGCCCGGAGCGAGGCTCTTTCTTATGCTTGGAGCCGCAAGAACCGATAGCGTTGCTTATCTCCATTTTGATAAGAATCACTAATCGTTGTTTGACAACAGCGCGTCGTCGGTTTTTTAGAGCGGGCCCAGTTGCCGGACATTTTGAACGGCGGTCGGGGCTTGTGACGCGCGCACACTCGAAGCGACATTTCGGATTTGCATTTCGCATGAACACCAAGTGACAAGGCTCTGATAGGTTTCGCCCGACACGCCCGAAAAAAAAGAGAAACTGGGTTAAATTTTCAATTTAGACTCGTCTCGCTATTCGTTAATTTTAAATTGGTGTTTTGGGAGTAATTTATTATATCAAAAATAATATAATAATGAATTAATAAAAAATAATTAGCAGAAAAATCGTCGATTCGAGACGTCATGAATTCCCTGAGAAAGCTGTTGTTTCGCGAGAATCAGCCGCGAATTCAGGCAATTGAAAAGCTCGTTAGTCATAACAACATAATGTTTAGCCGAAGTTATTTAAAATAATTAATTAATGTCATTCTATCTGACAGGTCTGTTCAAGGGCGAACGTGGCATGCCATAAAATTCAATTACCGTTCATTCCAGAAACTGCTGAGCTCAGTTGCCACAGTCAGAGTTTCGGAAAGCGAGAGAAGCTTCGATACAAGATTAAGAGCTTATCAAAAGGTTCCAGTTTTTAATTCCCGGAGAGCACGAGGCGAGTAGACGTCCGATGTTACGCGTCGTCTAAAACAAAGTTCACCAGCTTTCTTTTTCCATAACTGTAATTTTCAACTAACTCTTGTCAAAAATCGAATCCCCGTAAAAGGTCAATCCTGCTCAACGTGTGATATCCTTATTTTCAGTTTTCGCCGTGGCTTAACTTGTCAGCCGTTCCGCTTTTTGTATAATTTTGTAGATTTTTTATTCAATTTTTAATTCAAAAAACTATAATTTTTTTTTTCTGTTTCTGTTTTTATCGTAGATTATCGTCTAGTGAAGGGTGAATTGGCCGCCGTTGTGTTCACTGGGGGACCTTTGGGCACGCGGAATCGGCCAATTCTGATTGGACCAATAAGAAGTTAGAAAAAAGAGCTGCGTCTGCCGCTTGGTGGCGCGCAAGCTTTTGGTAGTATCCAATCAGAATAAGTAGTGAGGAGCGTCTAGAGTGGAGAAGCTACTGCCCGACTATTCTGGTGGATCAGGTGACGAGATCACGTGACACAAAATGACAACATGTCGACATGTCGAAGTTTAACCCATCCGCACATTATTGACCAAGATTTTGGCGCCGCAAACAAAAACAAAAATGGGTATGAACAACGATGCTTCATATTTCCTGCTGTATATAATTACACTTTCTTTCCTTCCTGTACTTTTTTATTCGAGTTTGCAACACTGGTCCCACGGTCCATGGCCCGCCGGATCTTGATGGTGACAGGTTAAGATCTTGAATTGTGAAATAAGCTTGTTTCGTGCAGATTTTAGTTGAAATAATGCAATGAATAAATGAATGAACAAATGATTCAAAATCCCCTTTTTTCCATCATTGAAGGAATACATATATTTGAGAAACTAGCAAAAGTATCGATCAAAAAGAGAAAAAGCTAGAAAAGAGTAACAGGTGATCTCTGGCTGTAGCTGTATGTAACAGCTGTTCGGGGGCTAAGCCGACTCATCGCAGGCTCAATCGATGTTCCACGATAGCCGAAGTAGTAGTAGTTTTTTCATTCTTCGAGAAACTAGAAGCGAGAAAGTAAAAGAAGGACAGAATGAAAGAAGAAAGTAGAAGATGGAAATGATAGAAAAATTTGTTCAATCAGTTCAAATTCGCGCAGCATTACGTTTTCGAGCGGAAGAACATGGGAAATGGCTGCATCAAACATTTCATCATCACGAGACCGGACGCGCGGGTTGAGGGCTAAACAGTAATTACAAAATTTAAATTTACCAAAGACTCTTTCTCAAACCCGCAAGGGAATAACAGGAATAGAAAACGAGCTGGAAGATTTTCTTACGTAGTGAAAATGCTTTCTAAAAACCCCGATTTTTACGGCTGATCTTTTTGAGCTGCATCTCGTGTCTTTCCTTGAAATTCAAGGAGAGCAGCGTCGATAATTTAAATTTAAACCCAGCTGTGTGAATGTACCAGTGCTCGGTCAATAATCACGTGAGCGTTCATTTACTACGAGAGAGCGTCAACCTCTAAAAGGTGTCCCCGATCGCCCCCGCGCCCAATTTTCTGGAGACAACAAAAAAGAGGTTAGAAAATCTTCACGAAAACGGTGCGTCAATTACGAAAAGCCTCGGCGTAAATGCGTGGATCAAAGAACGACTTGAAAGTGTCAAGGTCAGCGGAAACTACTTTTTGAAATTTTTCAACTATTGAGAAATTCCAAACTCGAAAATGCAGGCGTCTAAAAGCGCAACCCTTTCTTTCCAAGAGAGCTGGACACTGTTTGACATGGAACGAGTGGCACTAATGTCAAACTTAGGCTCAAAATTCGCCAGCAACGCTGCGGAAAAAGTTCAGGAAGCTCAAGAAGCGCAGAAGTACGTTTATTACAGTAGAAGGGGTCCAGTACAAGGTACGTGTTATTCGAAGATCTAAGGGGGGTGGACCCCGTTAAAGCCGATTTTCAAACGGATTTTTCTACAAGCTTTTTCGTAGTGACACCCTTAACTTTCTCAATTGAAAATATATTTAGCTCTTTCTTGTCGAAACTCCTCTTGAAATAAGGGTGTCACGTTGAAATAAATCTAAAATATTATGCTCAACAATAAATCCTTAAATCCGAGCATGAGAAAATCTTCCACGTAGAGCCTTAATTTCAGCCTCTAAAACATTTAGTAAGGACCTAACGTTCCCAACCGTGTTCAGAACCAAGCAGAACAAAGTAGATATTTTGGCCTCACTTTATTTCTGCATAAGATTGAACCAAGTGCTTTGGTTCTTTCAATCTGTTGTTGATTTGAGCACGTGTTTTCCGTCGCTTTGGAATTTTACGTCCGGGAGGTTAAAAAAGGGGGTTCAAAAAAGGAATGGCATCGTCAAATTAATATTTGAACAAAGATTTTCCAAGTTTCAACGTTTTTTGAACGTTGCATCAGCAGAAAATGATTTCCCTGGCCTTATCAGTGAAAAAGTAATTCGAAGACGTAGCGCAGCGCTGAAATCGCGTCAACTGTGTAACTTTATTATTCTAGGTTTGCATGCAACGCGCCCAGAAACTCGAAAAAGGAACGGCTATTATTTTTTTAACAATGACTAGGAATATCATAAATACGAATTCCAGAGCGCGCCAAATATTTGAAAACGTACAGGCGTTCAATTCAATTCAAGAGCTCTTGATTGAAAAGAAATTAGAAAGAAAAAAAGCCAAAAAAGACGAAGAAAACCCATCTTTCATGATAAAAGTTCAAAAAAAGTAATATAACTGCACTTTGCTCGACAAGGCTCATTAACATGGGCACTCGATTCGGTAGCATGAACTTTTTTGCTTACTAGATTTTTTTGCCCTCCAAGCCAAACTTGATGATTTTGCCAGCTTGATAAATCATCATATCCTTTTAGTTCTTCTCAAGTACCCTTTTGGAACAGCAGATGGTACTTATCGTCCCAACTTCTATTAAGAGAGTGACACCCTTAATTTATCTGACCAAAATTAAGTTTAATGTTGCGTAGTATTGAAAAGCATCTGTTTATAATACAGTTCATTTTCAAGAAACCCAAAATACAACCAATTGCAGGGTTCAATTTCGATTTTTTTCTAAGTTCATTTCTTCAACTTCGACTTATTATTTATCGAGAAAGGTAAATTTCTTAAAACGTGAGTGCAGAAATAAGCTATTGCCGCGTAAAATGGGTTTATACCTGGTTTTATGTAAGTCAAGCGTGAAGGCCGAAATCAAGTCGATTCGTAAGATTAAAATTACGGCATAAGCAAGGCTTTGATACGCTGCAACTTAAAACCACCAGATGCGCTATTTATCTTAATCCTTCAATTTTTGCCAAATTTGACAAAATTGAAAATTGTTGATGGCATAATTATTAATTTTGATCGAATGAAAAATTAATTGAAAAATTAATAAAAAGCTGGAAGTCGGGGCCAACTTCCCTGCGCGGAAAATAAAAACACGAATGGGATTTTTTCCAAAATCGCAAAACTCGAATGGTAGTTGCCCGGAAATCGTTTTGCGCGAATGGCACTTGCACGAAAACCTCATTCGCGCAAAAACTTCCGCGCAAAACGATTTCCGCACAAAAAAACTCCATTTTTCTCGGATTATTTTTTCTCGAATTTTATATTGCACGCGGAGCGTGCCATTCCCAACTGGCCCACCTTCCCAACTAACCAACCCTCCCCAACTTACTTTCTCTCGAATTTTATATTGCACGCGGAGCGTGCCATTCCCAACTGGCCCACCTTCCCAACTAACCAACCCTTCCCAACTTATTTCCCCTCGAATAATATAGGGCACGCGGAGCGTGCCATTCCCAACTGGCCAGCCATTTTTTACTCACGAAATGGTTGGTAGCTGGGGGTGGGATGGGGGAAATTTTTTGGTCGCCCTGTTGGACTTTTTTGGTGAAAGCGTCCCTAGGAAATGGATTTTTTGCGGAATTTATTTTTGTACCCACGAAATGGTTAGGATGCAACGGAGTTGGGGGCGGGTTGGGGGAAATTTTTGGTCCTCCTGTTGGACTTTTTCGGTGAAAGCGCCCCTAGAAAACGGATTTCTCGCGGAATCTATTTTTGTACCCACGAAATAGCTAGGATGCAACGGAGTTGGGGGCGGGTTGGGGAATTTTTTGGTCGCCCTGTTGGACTTTTTCGGTGAAATCGCCCCTAGAAAACATTTTTTGCTCGAAATTGTGGTAACTGCATTTTATTAGCAAGAATTAAGATTTCGTTTTATGAATAAATAGCACGAGAATTTGATGATATTTAAATATTCGGATCATATTGCTCGCAGATTTAATTTCTAAGCCTCGTTTTTGGCAGAAACGGGGTTTAGGTACGATTTTCCTTTTGGCAGAAGGCGAATCGTGGCTTATTTGATCTCCGAGCAATATGTTTGAATATTTTTGTTAAATTTGGTGTCTTTCTCGCAAAAATCTCGTGTACTGTTTTTGTCGCTCTTTTTGCGGCCAATCGTGTGTGGCAGCCTCATTATTCCGCCTACGCACGCTCTCAATTATATTTCCCCCTTCGGCGTTTCGAGGTATTTCTTAAAACCGGTTTCTAGAAGTGTTTGTTTTTATATTCTAATTACTCTTTTTTCCATCGAATTGGTTGTTTTTATATATAAATTACTTTCTAGAACAGTGGTTTATATCTTGGATTTGTTATAAAAAAAATCAGTTCTTATTTTCCAAATACAGACAAGGCCGAAAGTTGGAAAAATGCCGGTAAGTCCTTTGCTTAAATAGTTAATATTTTTGGCCAATGGATTTTAAATTTACTTAATTTAGAATACTAATGAATCTTCAACCCCCCCTCGTTTCACTGATGAACCTGACCTTACGGTTTCGTCGTCTCAAGTGAGTGAGGTTGAGTATCCTCGCATGGAGACAACTGGTCGCCCTCGTGAGCGCGAGTCTGGTACAAGAGCCCGTTCCTTCAGCGCCGAGCGGGTTCTGAATGCTGAGCCCGTGCAGTTTGGACGTGCAGTTCCTATTCTGGGAGAGCAAGTTGACGCCAGATCCCGTCGCGGTATGTTACCCTTACTTGTTGTACTTTACTTATGTGTGTTTAGCCTGCCGCCTTGATTCGTACCTCCTCCTGCGGGGCAACCAGCTTGGTCCTGTTAATCGTCGAGCACACATCGAAGCTCTTCGATTAGAAGACGACATTCTTCTCGGTCGATACCTGGCATTCGACTCCGACATCGAGAAAGGCAATTACACTGTCTCTCTCATCACTCGCAAAGGTCGATGCTTCCGCCTTGGAAAGTAAGAACGACAGCAGCAATATGTCTACGAAGAACTCGTTCTGCATTGTTGCAAATTTCAAATAAAATATATACTCCTTTTCACCTAAAACTGTGTTTTCATTGAGGTCGATGCGTAGATTTCCTTTATTTTTTCTGTTGGCATTTGAGCAATTGAGTTTGTTGGGTTATTATGTTAACTTAGTTAGTTTATATTAATTTTATGTGAGTTAAGAGTGAGCTTTGAGATTCTATGATAGAATGATTAATTTTTGCATTACGAGTTAGCATTTTCGCAGCTGGGTCCGTTTGCATTTGATTATTAAAGGAATTATCGTTGGTTTAATTATGCTCGTCTATCTATTCTACTATCTAACTTTAGAATTATGTGTTAAATTTATAGTAGGAGTCGCAAGGATAACCAATCTCTGTTGTTTGTTTTTTTATGTTCTAGAAACTCTTGGCCTAAGTCGAACGCCTCCATGATTTCAGTCATTGATTCGTATTTTGAACGATAATCGTTTTCTATTATGTGAATCGCTTTGCAATTTTACGAGGGCATCATCAAGACCGATATTTCTAAATTTTACTCGATGAAGAAAAAAATAAACGGTGGAAATTGAAGTTATTGCATTTATGAGGCTTAATATTCCGTTTTCGTAAAAGATAAAGCGAGTCATTGTAGTTGATTGTTTCTGGTAGATCACCATTTTCATGCATTTTGAGATGCAATTTCCAATTTTCATCCGATATTGACTACAATTAAGATTAAGCTAAATTTTGCCAGAAGTAGACCAATTGTATCAGCAGTTTCCGTTTCTTCGCCTTTTCTAGAATTGTTTATTTGTTGACAGTAGCGGAATGTTTCTATATTGTTATGGCGTTTGTGTCTTCGGTTTTATTCCCTCCGGATAAAGCCATGGGATTATTGGAATTATTGTTGTCGTGAGTAAAGGCCCATTATCGTTGTTTTCAAAAATTTGGTTTTTTTTGCTGTGGTTCCGTGTTTGAGCCTTCTGCACTGTAGATCCCGCTCGCATTATCGGCATAAAGTATTAATCACTTCGCGCGCGGAACTTCTTCCTACCAGCCTCGCCGTGGACACTTCTTATCTGATCTACGATCTAATCTTGATTTCATTGGTCGTCGCGGTGCACATGACTGGTGGAATAAGTGCGGATAATGTTTTGCGCGGAAAATGAGAGAAGTTCCTTGAGAATTATTGCTAACCGAAGATTGCCCATTGTTTCTACTGGAAGAGTGCGCGGAAATGTTTTGCGCGAAAATGAAAGAATTCTCCAGAGAGAAATTCGGTGAACGAAGATCACTTAAAATTTGTTGGAAAGGCGCGCGGAATTTGTTTCACCTGACTATTGCGAAGACTTTCTTATCAGTTTTCTATCTCATCTTGATAATATTTGGCTATCGCGGTGCACATGACCCGTTGAATAAGTGCGGAAATGTATTCGCGCGGAAAATGGAAAATATTTTTAGAGAGAAATTGCTTAACGAAGTTTGCTCATGATTTTCCCACCTTTTGTGCGTGTTGATTAATTTTGATCCACATACTAGAACTTGATGTGTTAGATTTTTTTTTGCATTGTCGATTAAAATCTTCGTTGATTTCGTTTCTACTTACCGTATTTTTGCGCTAGCTACTATTCTATTGTAATTCGTTTAGGCCAGGTATATGGGCCATGAATTTTGAGTCAATCGTTTTGTCGCGTAATTACCTGGCTACTTACCGCAGATGAGCCGATTTTAGTCTATGCTCAATCCTTTCTTTTTAAAAAGAGCGCGAATTCGTGATTTCCAGAAGTTTCTAAACCCTATTTGGCTACAAGTGCTTTTATACCTCTGATTGAAAATTTTAGATTGACAGTTGATTTCGTGGCGGTCTATTATTATGCTCCCTGTAGATGATCGTGCTGATCAAGACAATGACAACGACGACGAGTGGGAGTCTGATGACGACGGTTTTGCTCAGGTAAAGTTTTGCAAGGTGTTTATTTTTATCCTGTCTAATTTAGGGGGAAAAATCATTTATCCCTGGCGGAGGAATCAAGGGACTGTATGAAAAAAGCTTGAGTAAAGTAAAGGATGCCGGTCGAAAAGTATGTGGCGTTCTCAAACGTCCAACCAAGCGTCCAACCAAGCGTCCAGGTGTAGCCAGCCAACATTCTCGCATGTCATCTATTCGAGTAAGTACTTGGTTATACGCTCTCTTTAATTCCTTAATATTAAGTCGACGCGTCATAAGAAACATCGTGGCAATCAAGAAAATGTTCAACTGGCCGCGGACAGAACTGGACTTGGAATTAGCTCAACTTCTCCCCCTACTCGAGAGCAATCTTCCAGACGCCGGTCAATACTCAAAGTTCCATCGCATCAACCCACGAAACTCACCCGGTCTTCCGCGCGCGATCATTGTCAATCTGGTTCCTCTCAAGCTGTTTCCCAATCAGCTTGTTTTGATGAAGACTTAACCCAAAACGGATCTGAGGGTATGGATGTTATGGAGAAATTAGCCTTTTCGACGGATGTACCGAGCGCTCAAGAACAGTGCGAGAGCGCGGTCGCGATGTTCAATTCTGAAGAAAAAGAATACGATTTCGACGATGGCTATAGGGCGTTTCAAGACAGAGTGGAAAAAGCCGCGGCTAACCTCAATTATCAAAGCGACGATACTGACACTGACGAAGGCGAACATCTTCAAGTGCGACCTTTTGGCTCTCCTGGATCCGACGAGCTTGACAATTCTCCTGGCCAACGCGTCAGTAAGGGGACTACTGCTGGTACGTCCGGGTTGAATGTGCCTGTCCCTTCTGCAAAAAAGAAAAAGAAAAAACCTGTAGCGTCCATGCCTATTCAAAATTTCTTCAATGAGAGTACGCCCGCTGAATGTACGATTCCTGATGCGACCGAATTTGTGAGCGAGCTTCCAGCTAATGATATTCACATTCCTGCGACGGCGCTCTGTCATAGACGATTCGAATACATCTCGTCTCGTGGTAATCCTTCTTTCTTCATGGCTCACTATGTAAAAAAAACACCGAGAACCTTATCTCACCGGCCGCGGCGAGGTCTAAATCATGATGTGATTGCTGTTGGACTCCCTTTGCCGGATGACGACGAAGAAGTTATATTTGCTGAATACCGACTCGACAGTTGTTCCATGCGGTATGATTAAATAAATAGATATTTTACTAATAAGCCATTTAGTAATGGTGTTGATAAAGCAAGCTTCTACTTCCGTTGCAATGTGAGAGACTGTCAAGGCCGTATCATTTATTATGGGCCGCAGCACTTGATTGAACCAGCTAATCGACATAACAAGTACAGATTGAAAAAAAGTGCTGTCGACGTGTTCTGGCAGCAGATGAGTATTGTGCCGCCTGATCAGGACGGATCAAATCACAAATGGGGCCCTAAAGAAACTATTCGTCACAGTTGTGGCTGTTTTTAGATCGCAGAGATGGCTGAAAGAGAGGTGGAACGTAGAATTATGGTAACATAATCTGTTTTATTCGTTTTTGTTGATAAATCTGCTTTAGACTGCTGTGGATGAGGTCGGCCTAACCATTCAAAACTCAGTAATCGACACGATTTCGAAGAATGTGAAAGAACGCTACCATGGCTGGTCGATGCCTAACGAGAAGCATTATTACAACGCCCTTTTGCAACGAAAGAAGAACACTGTGCGCCGTAAGAGGGATAAAACTTACCTTGTCAAGGACGATCGTTGTAAGCTGGTGCCGGCACCCTTGGCCAGACTGCGATATCACGCGGCTTTCGAGGTCGACGATAATGATCGATGGGCGAGTTATCAGTGTGAACACTTTCTTATAGGTGGGTGCCTTTTCTCTTTTTATTTTGCGAGCGGAGCGAGCCTCGTTTGGTTATTTTCTATGTATGTATTTTAGTGGTCGACTGGTTGCTCCTTGAGAAGTTGCCTTTGCGTAGCTTCTTGCGAATGATGGCTGATGGAACTTTTTACGTGTGCGGGGGTTGGAGGCAGTTGGTCACGATTATGATGGGCTTGAACACCGGTGTTTCCGAGAAGATGGTCAATGTTGCGGGCATTTATTTGCTGACTAAAGAGCAGAAGCATTATGCTGCTGCGTTTACGAAGTTCTTTGATATGGTGCAAGAGCGCTTTGATCTCGTGCTGCAGTATGTTCTGTTGTCGACTGACATGGAGCCTGGTCTCTATGGCGGGTAAGTTTTATTATTTGTTCCTTCATTATGGTCACTTATCTAGAATAGAGCAAGCGATTGAGAAAAGACGGATCAAGGCACGAACAACGGTATGTGGTGTTCATGCTGAGCGTGCGATATACAAGGCGATCAAGAAGATTATCCCGTTTAAGATTATTCCAACTCCTGTCAAGATGACCACGTTTTTCATCAAGCATATGGTATTTTAATTGTTGATTAGTAGTTAATTATTTTTATCGTAGATGTTTCTCCGTCCTGATTTGATTTACGGCTCCATGCTGTTCTATTTCATCACGATTGCGAAGATCCCTCGAATTGGCGAAAGACTTGCTCGATTTATCAAAGATTTTACGCTCAAAATCTTGCGCCACACATGGGGCTTGCGGTACAACTATTGGCGGACGATGAAGCTTGGAAACTGTACGGGCATTCCTGTGTTTCTGAACACGAATCCTGCCGAGGCACAAAACAGTAGTTTAAATCACCGCTACAGAATTTTTCATGGAAGGGTAATATTCATCGTTTATCAATTTCTCTCGCATTTTATCTTTTATTGTGTGAAAAGTATTTACCGATCTTTTTAGGCGCAACGCAAGTTTGAGCGTGATTTGGAAATATTCAATGGCCACATGAATGATGTTGGCAAGGAAGTGGTTGCTGGCAATTACTACGAGCCATGGAAAAAATATGAGAATGATGAGAGGAAGGAGGATCATCTTCGCCGAATCATGGCTTTATGCGATTCTTATCAAAAGGTCCCCGCCGGAGAGCCTGTGCCCAAGGAGTTTTTTCTGCAGCTAATGTCTCTCATCTGCAATGAGTTTATGGTAAATTTTGTCTTCATTTACTATTATTTTAATTTTTATAGGTCCGTGAGGAGTCGAATCGGTGGGCGAAGCCAACAGCTGATTTTTTGCGTCGGGAGAGATTATTAAGAGCAATGGAACAATCCGATGGACTCACGGCCGACACCGATCTCATCCACTTGTCCCCTGACGAAGTCGCCGATTTGACGAATGAACTCAAGTATGCTGGTGTCGACATGTCTGAGCCAGAAGTTGCGATTTTGACAGAATTAGGCATGGATGACGTGAATTTTGACGAGTTGGGACAGGGCTCAGCGGGCAGCAATCTAATGGATATCAGGGATATGCCTGCCTTGAATGATGATGATCCCGCCGACGACCAGCTCGATAAAGTAATCTCGGAAACAAGCATGTTAACCCGAGCTACTGGCGGAAGCGATCAATTTGCTAGTACAAATCCCACAGCGCCCTCCACGTCAAGTGCGGAAAATAGCGCCGCGCTCTCGGCTTCATCAACCAATCAACCTGCGGGATCGGTGGTGTCTTCAAACGCGAGCGAAAATTGCGCCCTCTTGGATCGTCCTGAGCAAACTTCTACAATTGCTTCAACTTCCGCGGCTAAGTCTGTTCAAACACGTGGTCGAAAGAAGGATGATCGTCAAGAAACCATTGATCGTATTTTTGATTCTGAGGAAGACTCAACTGATAGTGCACATGCGAACGCTACTTCATCTGACGAAGACGTGTGTTTCACTGAGCGTGCGTATAGCAAGAAGCAACCAAAAGCTGGACCAGCTAGCGTCATGCGCGAGTCTATGCGAGTAAGGCCTGTTGTGCCTATGCCCGAGGCGAGCGAAGGACCATCTACGCGTTCGAGAGCGAAGAAGCCCACTAGACGTTCGCCGTCGAATCTCCTTACGCCGCCTGTTGGCAAAATGCCACGCCGTGGTTGCGCGAAACAACAGCATGTTGGACCTAACCGAAAGCACAACTTCAAGTTGTTTAAGGAGATGGGTCTTCAAGCTGCTAAAGATAAGATGCTGAATGATGCTCGTAAGCTTCGTGAGAAGGAACCAGATGTAAATCTTGACGATTTTCATGCAGTTGTCGACCGAAATCGCAAAAAGACTCCTGAAATGAGCAAGGAAACTGCGGCAAAGCATCACAAGGCCGAAACAACGGCGAAAAAAAAGACGGCTGAAGAAACCCTCGAGGCGGAACTTGTTGAAAAGGGACTGTTTGTGCGTTCAGGTAGAAAAAAGGGCAGCAAAAAGCAGAATAATGATGCCAACAACGACATAATGGATCCTGGTCCGTCCGATCAGTCAAATTCTACGTCGAATACCGTGAAGGAACCCTCGCGAACAAAAGACATTCAGGTGTGAAATGCTTGAATATTTTCTTAACTTTCTTCTCAAACTTATTCTCATTAAGGCGGCGTCGATGAATGCGAGCGCCAACCAACAACCTCGCAGCCGTGGTAAGAAGAAAAACGCGTCGGACGTCCTCTCAGACGAGAATGGTAACTTTGTCCAAGCCAGTGGCGAAGCACTTCCTCAGCCAAATTCACTACAGGTTGATACTTGTTTCCGATTCTCAGAGGTTTAATAGTGTCTTAGGCGGCGTCAAACAAAACGAAAGCGAAAAAAACACCTAGCACTCGCAGGAGGAAGAATACTAAGTCAAAGGACGATAACGCTGATTCGACTTCGGCCCGCTCTATGGAATATTCCCAAGCAAAGGCACATAAGGTTTGAATTTTCTCTAATTATAATAAATAATGTCTAAGATGGTGGCTTCCGAAAAAAACACTCAAAAACGAGTCCGAACTCAAAGCAAAAAAGTGAATTTCACGGAGGGCGACGGTGAAACGGCAAAAATTCTCCAGGTTGTCATTGCAATTCGTGATTATTTTTTTGACAGTGTTCAGGCGAAGGCAGACAAGGCAAGCGCCCAGAAATCATCAATTGGTCGTCGCACGAAAGAATCGACCGGTGAAAATCTGCTAAGTGCTCAGAGCAAGAAAAACAACCCGCTCAAATCTGTTGTCAATAAGTCAGTTCAGGCTGGAGATGGTCGGCGAATAATTCCTTCGGTTTAGATTAGTTTTGTTTACTTATAAATAATATGTTTTAGAAAAAAAACATTTGTACCGAAGAAAATGGCGAAGATCAACCGACGGATAAAGAAACTGCTAAGAGTAGTGAAAAGGCTAGTAAAACCACCGCGAAACACGTGAGTCCGAAGGAATCAGTTGCTGATACTCGGCAGATTGAGCAGCAACTCGCAAATCTCGGTCTCCCTGGCTATTCCGAAAAAAATGCCGACGACGGAAAGGTAGTTTTTCAAGCGTTTGCTACCAACTCGCAATCTGAAGAACAGTTTTTAATGCTATACTCACCTTTTGATTATTACCTAATGACTATAAAGCACGCGGAGCGTGCCGCATTACTCTATTTTTATACTTGACTAATAAATATGTAAGACGCCGCCACCTCTGCCTACTTCTACTGATGCTACTGTAATCAACCGGCCAAAGCTCTCATCGGTTCCTACTCAGGTTTGTGACTTTTTGGGGGCTTCGTTAATAATTCTTCTAGCCTTCGACTGCCGAAAATGGCAAGGCAACGCTTCAAGCGTCTGTTACCAGCTCTCCATCTCCAGAACAGGTTTGTTAACTTATTTTAATCTAGTGGCATTCTTAATCATATCAAAATATACGGACTGTTCCGCTTTGTCTTTTTTTTCGGTAGTTGGCTAATTGCTATGAATAGATGCCGCCACCGCTGACAAATTCTACCGACGCCTCTATTATCAGTCAGCAAACATCCTCACCGGCTCTTCTCAAGACAAGCAAGAAATCTTCCCCGGAGTCACTTCCACGAAGGTCCGCGCGTGTCAAAGAACAGAAAAAATAATGAACTTTCCCTTTTTAATTCTTCGCCTTTAAAAAACTGCTCGTTAACTTTACATCTCTTAAAATCTTTATAATGCTTTCTTTATAATAACTATGCTTTATAAAGGTCTTACTTATCTCATTTTAGTGCTGGCGAGTATACTGCGGCGATGATTGATGAATTCATCGGCTATTGTGCAACCAATCGGTTAATACGGCCTCGAAAGAAATCATACATCAAGATTCTTCGCTTCGACATCTCATCGGAGGATGATCTACGCTTCATGTTCAGACAAAATTTCTTTGGTGGATATGTGATTGTTCCATTGGATAGTATGAAGTCCGTCGTTCTTGCTATTGTCTGGTCTCACAAGCAAGACCTTCGTCTAGATAAAACGACCCGATGCTGGTCTCCTCGCGGGAAATATTTTCTTGGCACCGTTGAGATGTTCTGCAATTTTGTAACACGATTCATCCACGGTACGTCTATCTTGTTTTTTTTGATTGATGGATTTCTATTTCGTTCTTATTTTTAGCTGTCCGGATCTTTGGCCGACATAAGTCTCCTGTATACTGTGACATCGTCCACTGGTTGGACCAGTGCCACTCGATAAGAAGATATCCTCGTCAGTGGCCGCTGTCATCTTATCCATTTATTGGGAAACTTCCGGACATGGATGGTCACACTCTTAATATAACTGATCCAATCACTTACTACTACCTCTAATTGCGTTCTATTCTTTATTTCTCTGTTTCTCTATCTGTTTTTTTTTTTTATTTTCTATTTTTTATTTGTTTGACTAAGGCGTAATCATTTTAGGATCATGTTTGAAGGGACCTACAATTGCGCGGAGACTCTTAAGCGTATCGTTGACGCAGTGCTTGTTCTCGTTCCTCATGTCTATGTTGAGATTTCGTTGAGCGGGATTTCCGTACAAACTATGGATAGCGCTCAGATTTGTTTGATCCAGGTCGTTCTCCGAAGTGACTCTTTTGTCGGCTTCCGCATTGACAATCCCATGACGCTCGGAGGTACTGCTATATCATTTGTAATTTTTGATAGTTTTTAGTGAATTTCGATTATCTCAGCAAAATCCTGAAATGCGCCAAGGCTTCTGAAGTTGTGTCACTTGCTTGTCCTGGCATTGATGGCAAACTCTCAATTACGCTCAAAGATGAGGTATAATTTTTCTTGTTCCTTCGAATGCTGCAATATTTAAGGCTACCACAGCTTGCACCGAGTTTGAGTGTCCATTGATATACATCGATAGTGAGCAAATTGCGATCGAAAATCAAGAATTCACGTAAGTTTTGGCTTGCCTATTCGTTTTATTTTTCTAAACAATAGCTGTTCCATCTCGATGCCTGCTCAAGAATTTCACCGGATCTGCAACGACTTTCAGAACATCGGTGAAATAATGACAATCAAGATAAGTCCATCGAAGGTTGAGCTTAGAGCCAAGGGCATGTACGGGACTGTCAGCAAGACACTATCGACCTCGGCGCAATCTTCGGGCATGCCTCATTCTATTGACATCAGCACAAGCGAAACTATTGAGCAAAGCTTCAGCCTTAGGTACTGTTATCTTCTATGCCTGTCACAATTTATTAAGCAAGCGGAGCTTGCTCTTTAAAATTTGAAAAATCGTTGTGACAATCCCTTAACACTGATTTCAGGTATCTTTGCATGTTCATAAAGGCTACTTGCCTTTCTTCGCGTGTCAATCTTCAGCTCGGTGATGGAACTCCACTTATCGTGACTTACGAAGTTCAGAACGTTGGCTCCATTAAGTACTTTCTAGCTTCTCAGGTCCGGGTCGTCTTCTATCTCTTGAATATTGTGAGGTACTCTGTAACTTTAAGTCTATCATATACAGTTTTTAACGACCCTTGTAAAGAACGATGAAGAGTAAGTGATGATTGCCATGAGATAAGAGACGATTCGTTTTTTTACCTGCCGTTTTATATTTTGTGTGAACTGTGGTTAAATAATAACTCAATTTTATCATTATTTTAATAGCTAATGGGCACTTTTGTCGTTCGGTTCGCACTGACTGATAAGTTTGTGGATATTTTGGATTCAATGAACGACTTCTGTGGTCATTGTATCCTGAAGGTAAACTCGTTTGGCCTTTATCTGGATATGGGTTATCCTGGCGAAATGACCGCAGCGCGTCTCTTTATTCGTTCCAGCTCGTTCGATCGTTTCACAATCACACGGCCATTCACTTTCGGAGGTAACGCTTCAATCTGTTGCATTCTTTTTAACTTTATTAGTGGATTTGTGCGTTGTACAAGAATTTCAACCTTGGCTTGGTGGTGATCTTTGCCTTACAATCGATGATCTTCAACAGTTGACCCTTACCCACTCTCATCCAGTAAGTTGGCCACTCATGAAACTATGTAACGATGTCTAGCGCGATGGCGTGCTGCGTTCTCGAGTCCTTACCAGTTCCGCAAATATGGATCGTTTACGGAGGTTCAGTGATGTTGCTGATCGGCATCAAATTAATTACTGGTAATTATACTTATAATTTTATTCAAATTGAAACTGCACGACACTTATGATAATTAAGCTGTGAGGTTGATATTCCAACGTACGGATATCGCCGGATGTGTGAGCAATTTGCAGACATTTCGCAGCGCGTCCGAATTCAAGTCGACAGCGATTGTGCACGGTTTAGTGTCGGTGAAGGACGTTGTTATGTTAGTCTCGTGCCGACGACTTCCAACTGCAAGATCGTCGTCAAATGCGATACTCCGGTTGATAGCTATTATCGCGTAGAGTAAGTCAACAAGCGTGTGCCCGCTCATATGTCCTTTAGACACTTGACGCTCTGCCTCAACGCTGCTGGTTTATCGGACAGAGTCACTCTCAAGGACAGTTCTGCTTATAAATATATTTATTGGGGAATTGTTGTGAAGTTTTTTCTTTTTTTACATTTGATTGCAGAGCTTTTTCAGTTGAGCACTGGGCCTGTGATGTCGATTCTCTACCGTATAAAGCACATTGGCTACGTTTTCTATTCTGTTATGTCAGATTCTATGTGATCTCTGTCAAAACATGAGCTTATTTTTGTTAGGCTATTTAATTGCCGAAGGGTTTGTTCAGGCTTGGAAATGGGCGACTCGTTGATGTTCGAATGCACCTTTCTTACGCCAAAATATATCAAGTTGGCAACCGAAGTGATCGCGGATTTTATGCGTGATGGTATTTGGGAAGTTACTCAAAATGGGCTCTCCCTTCAGTGCAAAGATGATTCTCGCGTTACTCTCCTGCAGATAGTATTTCGACGTGGCGCTTTTTCATCATTTCACACAACGAAAGACGGGCTTCTGCTAGGAGGTACTAAGATATTGAATATTATTTTTTCCTATTTGGTTAAGTGAAGGTGAAAGGAATGCACGAATTCCTTAAATGTGTTCCGCCTGACCATAGTATTCAATTTTCCTGCGATGAGCACGACTACGATAACTTGATGATGAAAGGGCAGAATAAGGTTTGTGTTCATCTTTTGTATTCACATGCTTACTGTTTCTTAAAAGGAAGGGCGATCTGTCAAGTGTCTTATGCATCTGGTTGATCTTGAGATCGAAAATTTGCTTGTTCCACCGGTTGTTTACAGGTATTGCTCAAATATTTTTATAAGAATTCAACTCTTTTAAATTTCAGTTCAACTGTGCGAATGCCGTCATTGGAATTTAAACGCATCATCACGAAACTTGTCCTTACTTCTGATACCGCAGAAATCTCATGCGTGCCTGGGTCGGTGACGATGTTCGCAGTAAAGAAAGACAAAAAAATGGGTGATAAAACTTCTAGGGTGAATATCGTTGAAGTTTCTGACCCTCTCCGGCCACAAAATAATATCTCTATCGATGTATCATGCCCTTTCAAGGATACTTACACTCTCAGGTGAGTAAAACTCAAAAGATTGACATGATTCGCTTGCCAGAAAATAACTTGAATGTTAGGTATTTGAAGAAGATCGCCAAGACGCAGGGAACGTCGCCGATGGTGAAGCTTAGTTTCGAAGACGGCGTTCCGCTAATGATTGAATACGAAATCGAGACTTTTGGCGTAGCGCGATTTTTTCTTGCGCCGTTGATTCAAAACTGATTTCTGTGACCATGTTTTCCTTATTATTTTCAACTTATTTTGACTACTTACTTTTATTTTTACTATTTTTACTAACTGCCTTCGTTTCTTTAAAACACTATCTTTAAAGTATACTGCTTACTTGTTCCAACCAAATAACGCTACTCTGTCGCGAAGCGTTCTCTGCTGCTTTCTGATCTAACAAAGAGTGTTCAGAAATCGGTAGCTGAGTGAATGAGCGATTACAAGAGATTCGTCCACAACTTGAAATGTACCCTCAATTGTGTAGTTTGCAGAGACGCCAGTCAAACTGCAAACCTCTACAGCTGCTGTGAGTGCAAAGTCATAATCTGTGGAGTTTGCATTGATGTGATGTCTGACGAAACCCGTCGCGACAGAGTGAAATGCCCACAGTGTAATTATTTTTTGGCTAAGGTTTTGGACAAATACGTTTTTTGAAGTAACAGCTCATTTAGGGCAGTTTTATCCATCTTCCTTGGGTTAACGCTGCTCTTCAGGATGTTCTCGGTACATGATAATTAATTGATCATTTTATTTATTTCTTTTTAGCCCTCGACGACCATTGCAGTCTTCAAGAAGCCACCATTTCAAAGTTGCAGGCGTCGATTGCCAATCTGGAAGAGGAAAAGAACGCCGAGCGTGCCGCAAAGTCGCACCAAAAAGCGCCGAAATTCAAGGATGAAAATCAAGAAGACGCTCTTCGAGAAGACAAAGTAACGCCTCAAAAACGAAAATGGTATGTTAAGAAAGCTTATTCATATTGCTCCTCAGATCTGGCATTATTTAGGCTGGCTATAAGCGGAGTTCAGTCAATCAAGACAATCTACAAGTCAACGCCTTTCATACCGAAAAAGACAAACTTAAAGGGTGACAAACACGATTCTAGCTGATTTGGTTGTTTTTTTTTTATTTAAATCGTCTGCGCTTCTGCCCAATAAAAAACAAATCTTTGAATTGATGTATTTGTAGGCTCTCCGTTTTGGATTCTGACAATTTGGAAATAGAAGCTTTGTTTAGCCCTGCTGACTTAAAACATACGTTAAGAATGTGAATATGGCTTCCGTCGTGTTTAAAAAGCCTGCCCTTATTATTCATGGCGTCTTCTCAACCTTCAAAAATGATAAGTTTATCCGAATGAGGTTCCGCGAAACGGGTTTCGAATTTCTAAAGTTAGTTGAAAAGGCGCCTCGTCCTTTACAACCAACAGAGCGCCTCTCAAACTACGTCTATTTGAATGAGAAGCGGCAGGTCTACGATTTTACAGGTAAAAATATCAATAAAGATAACTTTTCACACTTTTTTACTCAACTTATACTTAATCCAGTGAAATGCCGCCAATTTAAAGAATTGCTGTTCAAAACGAGAAAAGCAGATTCACTGACATTAAAAGTCGAGGACTTCGACTCATCTAAACTTATGATAATTGGCAGTAAACGCGCGTTCGAAAAGCGTGTCGAGATTCAAGTAAGGCCCTTCAACGGTGAGCGGAAGCATGGAAGTGGGTGGCACGCGACCAGAACTGTGACACGATTCTATGACAAACGCGCAAGAATGCACAACGAGAGGGCAAAGAAGGCGAAGGAAGATGACGACTGCTCAATTGTGGAATTTTTCGTCGATAATCCTGATGAATTACCTTTTACGAATGACTATCGTGCTGGCCCGGTTACGCTTGATTTTCCACTCTCTGATTCAATGCAAGTTGATGTGCTGTCTCTCGCATCGATGTCGGTTAGGAGTATTAAGCGCAATCCCAAAATCTTCGGGAGAGCGAATGGTCGAAACGTATTTTTGCCGTCTCTTGATGACGATAAAATCGACGTTGAAGTGATGAAAATCCTTCAGTTACAGGTTCAACAATATTATCTTATGGCCTCAATTCTTATTTATAATGTGAACCCAAAAAGGCTAAACGAAGATTGACAACAAAAGAGTATTATCGATACCTCTTTCCTTACAAGGCTATCAAAAAACTTCTGACAAGAAATGGGGCGTTTGAATTCAAGATGCGTGACATTAGGTAAGTGATAAATTATCTTTCCGTATTTACAGCAATTAAGCTATTGCTACGACTCGTCAAACGCTATCAAACGAGTTCGAAATTTCGTTATCCGCGACGATGTTCAGTTTATGAACATTTTGTGCAAAAAAAATCCTACACGTCTTGACGTCGGTGGGTTATTCGACACGACGACCTCTTACAGAAATGTTGCGACAGACAAACCCATAGGGCGCGAGGTTGATGCGGCAGTTCTTACGATTGTCTTCATTTGACATGTGTTTAGTTCGTGATCGACATCGACGTTACAGATTATGCGTTTCGATATTGTTGCGTCGGCAAGGGCATCTGCAATAGATGTTGGCGATTTCTTAGCGTTGCGTCACAGATTGTTGACACCACACTTCGGGAGGATTTCAATCTACGAGGAATTTTCTGGGGTTTGTCATTGGCAATAATGGTCTTCAATGAAATTGTTTGCAGTCTTTAGCGGCCAGCGGGGGCTTCATGCTTGGTCAATGGATTCGAAATTTTTACAACACAGCCACCGAAGAAGCCTATCGATCCTTTCGTATTTGAGCAAAAAAAAAATGGCATACTATGGGAAGCGACTAGACCACACCTACTTCAAGCGTGCACTGGCTATCATCGACCGAAATTGGATTGATTTTCTCATGGAACAAGGTAATATTCTTTTGGTAAATGACCCTCTTTACATGTTATAAGAAATAATGACGTCAGATGAGAGAGTTATGAAGCTTCTACGATTCACACGACTGAACAGAAGCGAAAAGGAGGAGCTGCTAGAATCCATCAACACGGCTGAAACAACAGAAGAGAAATGGAATAAAGTAGAGGAACGATTAAACAACGGGGACGTGATTGACGTGAACAGCTTGAAAGTGATTAAATTGAAAGTGCTTCTCCCCGAGATCGATGAGGCGGTAACAGCACAGAAAAGTCACCTGCTGAGGCTTCCTTTCTCAATTCACAATGAGACTGGAAAAGGTAGGCTTAATCAAGTGAACACGACGACAATTGACTTGTTTATTTGTAGTTGCATTGCCGTTCAACGCGCCGGGTGCACAGTGGGAAGATCTTACCAAAGTTCCTTCGTTGACACTGTCGACTGATACGCTGATTATTCTAGAGCAAAGCAAAAAATACTTCGACCATGCGCTACGTGACGCATTTTATTCAGTAACATATCAATTTTTATTCAGAGTGGTTATCTTATACTTCGCATGTCCGATCTCAAAACATTACTAGATGAAATTGCAAGGTAAGTAACCGTTTTTAACCCTATGTAAAGTGTTCCTTAGTGCGACAGCGGAAACCTGCTACGACTTCTTTGCGGCGAAAATTAAGTCGGCGGTATCACGCGAAACACATATTCATCAGTACAATGTGATGATGATGCTAATGCAAAAAATGTAGGTTTTATTTGCTTGGGTTTCATCTAGCGACAAAATAAGGGACCCAGTTGAAGCAACTCGACTTGGGCACAGATTGGCAAGGACTGTAAACTCAACAGTCTTCAATGCACAGGTAGAACTTGAGAAAGGACTTGGAAGGGACGAAAAGGAGCGGATCCAATCATGCATCGAAAGGTTTTTCTATCATATATTTCGAGACTTGATGCAGTTTCAGGACTCTCGCGAAGATCGACTACGATAATGGGTGGACCTGAAGGAATGAGAAAATGTTATCGAACATGGTGCCTTTTTTTAACCGATAAAAATCGGCAACAATTGTTTTCTGTTCGTCTCAAATAACAGTGTATCAAAACCATATCGCTCGTTTATATAGAATGGAGTTTACTCTTGTTAATTCGGGCAAACTACGCAGGGCCATGATGACGGTGATTGATGACGACCTGAGATTCAGGATAACGTTCCTGAATGGAAGCATCTGTTTTTCCGGTCATGACGATAGCATGCAGAAGTTCACGATCTGCGAACTCGACAAAGAAGTGCTTCACACTTACAAGAACTCAAACAATCTGCAGCGGACTTTTGAACGTAAGCTGAAACTCAATCTAAAAATAAAATAACAATTACCTAGTAACAAACCCACGTCGACTGATTTGGGTTATGGAAACAGCGCCGCTGGGCGGTTATGTCTATTTCAAAGTCAGCGAGATTTCAGCGGATAGAGTCTCCGTGGTAACAGTGGCTGGCCAGAGAGAGGTGCAGTTGTACGCACATGCAGTTGAAACATTGGGGAACGAACCGTGGGATACAACGCAGTTCGACAATGATACGTTTGTCTATTTAGAGAAGAACCGCTTCGCAACAGACATAGCCCTGCTCGCCCAAGGAAAAGATATAAAAGAAACGACTCTTAAAAAAAATTAAACATTTGCTTATCTCTTAAAAGTTGGAAAGGTGCTTGGAGTCCGAGTAATTGGCAAGAACAGATTCCAGCTATCGACTAATTGCAAACAAGAGATTATGAAGATAACCTGGGACGATAACGAAGTCGACGAATCGCCGATGAACATCGAAAATGGAGCCGACAAACGCTGTTTCACAAATTTACAGTAAGCAATAAGAGGATTAAATTTACCCATTATTTTCAAATAGACAATTGACGACGTTTGCAAAGAACAGCGAAGCGTGTAGCCTTGTTGCTGTGCGAATTGAAGAAGATATTCCACTTCAAATTACCGTCGATTTCGATTCTTACCAGGTGAGTTTTATTTCAAAGTGAAATCGAATGAACTCTCGCCAACCTAGGTCATTGCGCAATTCAAACTCCGTCCTGAACCAATGAATACTGGATTTCGAGTTGTTGACCCGAATAACATGGAGGATGATCATTTAATGTTGATCCAGCACTTCGAAGATGAAACGGCCTTTCGCATGCATTCACCTTATGCAAAAGAAAACAGGGATAGTAGCGGCGACAACGATAGTCAAAGTGCATCGGAAAATAGCGACGTCCCGATGGACGAAAACAACACGGAGAATGCAACTACGGCGAGTTGCGAAGAGCCCAAAGACTCTTCAAAAGAAGATCCTCAGGAAAAAGTGGAAACGAATGAACAGTCAGATGAGCAAAGAATCGAGACGGCGAAAGGACAGCATCATGATGAGCCACAGTCGGAGAAAGCAGATGTTGTCGACGAGCAAGAAAACAAAGCCGAGTGTCAGCACACTCCAATGAAAATCGATCACAAGAGCGATGTTCCGTCGTGCGAGAAAAAAGCGAGCAACGAAGACAACGTCAGCGTTGTTTCAATGGCGGACACAAACGATAGCGATCCCGACACATTTGACAGTCCTCTAAACTCTGACTTCGAGTTTGAATCGCCAAACCGCTCCCCCTCTACTTCAGCAGACTAAACTCTACAGCGTGAATTCATAAATAAACGGACATCATTTATTCTCGCCTGCTTACCTGCCTAGTAATCAAATCCGTCTTGTCGAATGCGAATTCTCTATTTTAATTGCTTCAAACCGCCGAAACACTAACTGTTAACAAATGTGAGCTTGATGCATACCATTTGCCCTGTTTTTTGCCAGTTTAAACTCAAATCGTTCCCAATTCGTAAGCACGCTCCGCGTGCGCAGTATTTTATGATAGAAACCTACTTCAGTCCTTTTTGCCTTACTTAAGTGATCCAATTGACCCGCCTTAGCTTCATTGTTCGATGCTCGTACATAGTAAACTCGCATAGCCAACTATCTCAAGCTTTAAATGTAGATGGCGTCTTTACGCTAACTGCGCTTTTTAAAATAGCGCCGCCGCTAAAAAGTTTTTTTCTTCAATGCGCTTGGATCAGGATTTTAAATTATGAGCATTCAGAATGAAAAGATTGGGAAATGATGCCAGCAGAGCGATTAATGTGACCGCAGCACCAGACACACAAGGAAAGATACAATAATTCATAAGTTGATTAAAAAGACCTTATCTCGTAGTATTTGGTTGAACGAAACGTCAATAAATTATTCATCACTTGCAGACCATATCCAAGAAGTCGACACTGAAAGCTTTGCCTTAGCTGAACCAACAGCTTACGACAATCAAGACGAAAGGATGCAAAAAGAAGGTTCAGAAGATGATGAACTCGATCCAGACGAGGAAGAATATCTGGCAGCGATTGCGAACTCCACTGACACACTCGATGCTGAGTTGGAGAGGCGCTTTATCGAAGCTGAGGAAGGGTTTAAATTCCAGATGCGCGTTTTTCGCAAAATCTTAGTTTACTTGAATATATTTTATTGATACCTACCTTAGAGCCTCTTGAATAGCTAGAAACCTGCGCACAATAGATTATAAACCAATTTGAGTTCGAAGCAGAGTGCGCAGAATTCGAAGCTATGACGATTAATGAGCGTTATTCGGACGAGGAAATTGATGGACACTTCGAAGGAAGGAATAAAATTTAATAGAAAAAAAATAAAAGAAAGAAGGTAAAATTTTAATCCGACTGTCAGACGAAAGCAACAGTCCGTCTCCTCAAGCCAAGACTCTGGGACGACAGCGTTCGTTCGCACCGCTCTGCAATCAACGCGTTCGTCGCAATGCCATCCAACTCCACGATATTTAGGGTCGCAAATGTCATTTACCTTTCACAAACGCCACAGAAAGATAAACAGAATTCATAAAATGCCATCCGGTAAATAGGAAATCCAGTTCAAGCTGAGTCTGAGGTGACCCTTAAAAAGTGAACAGGCTGTATTAGACCATTATGGATCTATCGACGCCTGGGAGCAGCATTGGGATGAAGAAACAGCTCAAGGGGAAAGCGACAATGAGTATCAGACGAGGAAAGGTTGATACATGTCCATAGCTGGCAATAAATACATGATAAAACCTTTAAAAGCGATGCTGATGAAATTGAACCAGTAATGGAAAATATTTTCATCAATAGTGAGCCGGCTCCAATTGAGATGAGAGAACACGGTCGAGTATACACCGAAGAAGAAGTCAGTGGCTTGGTAGTGGCCTACGATGATGGTCAGGCGCCAGAAGAGTTTCACTGCAACATCTGCATGAGCGAAAACATCGAAAACGTCGTCGGTCTACATTCGTGTAAACACTGTTTTCATCGCTCATGTATCCTGGACTGGTTTCGACGAAACCCGTCATGTCCAATCTGCCGTGCGAGCCAAATTGATTGAAAGCAGGCAAACAGACGATTGGAAAAAATACGTCGAAAACCATCGAAAGCGGGTCTTTCTTTTTTATATTTTCAAATTTTTCATATTTTTGCATCTCTGCATATAAACACATTTTGTACCTCAAGAGCAGCCATTCTATTCCTTAAAAGTTCACAAACTCAACAGATACTCGATTATAATACACCCTTTTAACATTAACACGTGAATCAACCCTTATCACAGAATTTAAGCGAACCACGATTTTCAGATTTTGATGGATCCCCTTGTTGTTGTGCAATCAGTCGTCCTTGAGTCAATTGGAACAGGAGAAGCCAATAAACATTTTAGAAAAGGAAAACAAAAACATATTAACTTTATGTTTTATATAATTATATTCGGCCATTTAAAAGACGTTGTATGCAAATTGCAGCAAACCGTCACATACGTAGAAAGAAACCTGTATTTCTTAAATATTGCGCTCAGCCGGGAGGAGGATGAAGCTCCGGAAGAGCGTGGAGTTCAAATGGTGGTTGAAATGATACTCAGTCAACGTAAAGCGCGAACATCAGTCATTTTATAAAATATTACTAGAATCAACTCGAACAAGACTACGCAAGATAAAAAGGGAATTCAAGGTCGCCGGACGAAAGATCGAGCAATACCTGGCATCCCAGCACGGAAAAGATTGGAGGTACGAACTTTATTTCAAATCGTTCAGAAACGAAAATTAGCGAGCGAGTGAATCAACTTCAGCAGGATAATTCGAGCCCATACGAATCGACCTTATTCCTCGCGAACTGCGCAGAATCAGAATTGATGGCAATGGGAGAAGAGAATCTTCAAATACGGGACGACATCATCGCATTGAACAACGATTCAATTCCAAGGACCTATCGCTATTAAATTCCATCTGTCATGCGATTACTGTACACAATCGCTCGCTCCGCTCGCACAATAAAAACTGAAAATGTGTAAACTATCTGGCACGCAGAAACAGTAAAGATTTGGTTTAAGAATGGCGCAACAGCTTGTTCGCGAACACGACGGAATCGGAATCCAGCAGCTCCCACCTGAAATTATGGAGTCTCCGGAAATAAGATTTCCAGTGAGAGTTTACGACTGGCTGCCACAATACGAAAACATAGATCTGGAGAAACTCAAGAAAATGACCGCGATGCGCAAACGGGCGCTTCAAATCGTTGAAGGTACATCATTATTAATCAATGCATTCTGAACATAGTTAAGTGGCACACAAAGAATGCGTCCACAGCGCTCTCATCAGAAGACGTCTAGATAACTGCTTCTTGAGAGACACAGAAGTAGAGTTGATTGGGCTCGACAAGCAGATTCCAACAAAAGAAGATCGAGAAAACGACATAATTTCCCACTGGACACTCAGATTGGCGTATTGCAGGCATCCTTTCCTCAGAGACTGGTTCGTCAACAACGAGATCAAGCTTTTTAAGTACAGATTTCACGCCTTATCGGATAGCTGCAGAGGACAATTTATCCAGGTAATTTTCCAAATTCAAATCTGATAACATATATAATATTTTTTGTTTTCTAGGAAACAATGAAAGGAATAAAAGAAGTGCCGGATGAGATGAAAACCAACGAGTTTATTCAAACGCTTCAAGAGTGCAATAACATCCGTCCAAATAGATACGTAAGGACTGGTTTCGCGATCGTTAGGTTTAAAAATTCGGTTAAAAATTTCAAAGTGACGGTCATTTGCGCGGATTTTACTTTGCGCGGAAAAATACGTAACCCTAGCTAACCCTAATCCTGATTCTCACCAGGTTGAGACCTTAAAAACTTGATTTCGGCCAAAATGCGATATCGACATATCAATCGATAGCTCTTGAGCTCCTGATTCTAATGGTGATGGTCATTTTGAGTTTCGACTCAAAAATGAGGGGAAAATGGCGTTTAGGTAGAAAATGATCATCAATTCATGATCAGACCTTGTAACACTGAGTTTGAATTTCACAGTGACGATCATTTGCGCGGATTTAACTTTGCGCGGAAAAATACGTAACCCTAGCTAACCCTAATCCAGATTCTCACCAGGTTGAGACCTCGAAAACTTGATTTCGGCCAAAATGCGATATCAACATATCAATCGATAGCTCTTGAGCTCCTGATTCTAATGGTGATGGTCATTTTGGTTTTCGACTAAAAAAATGGGGAAAAAATGGCGTTTAGATAGAAAATAATCATTTATTCATGATCAGACCTTGAAATACGATAACGGCAAAAATTATTGATATTGCGAACCTGAAAAAGAGAAAACTGGTATCAGGCTCCTTGGGAAGAAGTTGAAAGCATTGTTGAAAGTCGGAATCTTCACATTTCGAAAGGAATCGGTAAGAACTAAGCGTCTTAGCTTCTCATTTAAGAAATTTTATTTAAACCTATATAAAAACGCTCATTAAGCATTTTTTTTCGAGTCAAGCATCCATGAAGCCGTGGTGGTAAAATTCCAGAAAGAATGTAACAGATGGCTCGATGGACTTGCTCTCAAATACGATTTACTGATGATTAACGAAGGCGATAGACTAGGTAAAGAAAAAAGGCTCCAAAATAATAAGACTTTCGAAAGCAAAGATACTGCCGTCGTTCGCTGTCAGCTCGTCGGAGGATTACAAATCACAACAATTGCGAACGCTCACCTTGGAGAACTTTACTAGACTTCGACATTCGTCGTTTCCGCCCTGCAAAAAAATGCTGCTTGATAAGCTCTCGGCAGATAAAAAGCTAAAACACAAGGTTATTGCTTATTTCAAGAGAATGCACATACTTATTTTCAGGGAAGACAGCAACTGTGGGCATTCATACGAGAAGCCGGGATGTCGCTACAGGAAGCACTTGAATTTACCTTCGATTCAATGACCGCTTATACAGATCCGAAGGCCGAATTTGACTATCAAGTCAAATATGCATACGGAAAAGTTGGACAGCAGAAAATCACCGCGGCGGCAACATGCGGCCAAAAGATAAATACCATTAAGACGATCGGAGAGCATCATCACTGTCCATTTAACAACTTGGCAGACACGTCGCACTTCTTGCCAAATTGGGGAATACGAAGAGAAGAAATGCCCGACATTGAATCGCTAGTAAGCAGAGGTGAATCAAAGGAAGGGGAATTTATTAACCGTATTAGAGAAAATAAGAAAAAGACGTTAGTCAGTCAGAGCAAAAATACCCTATGACAGAATGCTTGCAGGCTTTTCATGAAACTGACTCATGAGAACATAGAAGGAGCGATGAAACATATTGGCTACAAAACGCCAAATCAGTACCTCGAGCAGAGTTTGGCGTGGAATAACGAAAAGACAAACAAAAATAAAAATGCCTGACTTTCTGCGCAAAAAAACTTTCTTATGAACTGCACAGTAGAATCTCGAAAAGTTGAGTTCAAGAGTTTAGTTTAGAATGGCCTCTTCCAATACAATGGAAACGGAGAATGACCGCGAAGCGCAACATCGGAGGGTAAATGCGTCTATTAGAAAATGATAAATGAGTAATTTAGGATGAGTCAGTCGAAAGGATGGATACATCGAATGTACCATCAGGCGAGGAACAGCCAGCGACATTATGGGACCTCGTTCCAGAAGAAGAAACTGGCTACCAAATGCGACGGTCGACAAGCGTGCAGAGACGCGCCGAACCCGTTTTTTTCCGAGCTATGAGAGGTCGATTAGCTAGAAACCGACGCGGCAGTCGACGCAATGGCGTTGGCAACGCGAGAACTGAGCAACCGAATCGACAAGAATCAGGAAAATGGATCTTAAACTCAAACTTTTTATTGAATTAATTTATATCTGACTACATAAGAGCACGTGAATAAATGAAACACCGATCCGAGAACAGCGAATTCTTCAGGACCAAGTCACGCCCAAATAAATAGAGCTCAAGGAGTGAACAATATTAGCCACCGACCAGCTGAAAATTCTCAAGCTAGAAACCAACCCGAGAATTCTGTAACAGGAAAGGCATATTCACAATTACTATATTCGAAAATAGTGAGAACTTAAAATGTCGATATAAATTGCAGTCCGAGGACGAAGAGCTGGATGGTGGACCAGAGACGACGACGCCAACTGGGATCGTGATCTTCAAAGCCGACCGCAAATGTACGAGTTAATATCTAGGGTCATAAAGAAAGAAAACGTGCTTGCGTTAGACAAGTTGATATTCAATTTTTACAAGCCAACGCACGAAAATATATATATTCACACTTCGACTAACAGAGTACAGTTTTGACCCGCAAAAGCCGCGAAACAGTACATTTCTTCCATCAAAATGAGGAACAGTGGCTGAGACGACACGAAAGTCGCCGCGCACGCGAGCGAGCTGCTGCACGGCCCAGGCGATACAACCCTAGACTGCAACAGATTCACTTTACAGCCGACGAGTTGGCGAGTGATGAAATCTGCACAGTCTGCTTGAGCCCACGCGAGGCGATCATGACTCGAATACCGGGCTGCGGGCATGTCTTTCACGAGAGATGTGTCCGACCGTGGATCGAAGCGCGCGGGCAATGTCCAAACTGCCGAGGAATGGCCGCCTAGACAAAAAGATTGTCTTTTTATTTTTTATTTTCTATATCACCAGCTGCTTTAGCAATTTTCTACTGCCATTTAAGTGACAATCAATCAAATATTGCCTTTCATTCTAGACCATTTGCTATTTCTCATTTTCAAAATCTGGCACGCTCCGCGTGCAAAATAAACAGAGACAAACACTCATAAAGATTAAACTTTATCATTCTGAGACTGATCGTGATCTTAGTTAGCCAGATACATAGCAGTCCTTATCTGATCATCAAACTATTTTGAGATCCTCAATTTTTTTCGTAGAAAATGTCTGGCTAACTAAGCGCCTTTTTCAACTGCAACGTAAGGATAAAAGTGTCACTGCCATAACTCCTGTAGGGTTCACACTGTTAAATAAAACAATTAAAAAAACTGCAAACGAACGCAGATCGATAAAAGATATTTTAAAGAGTTAACGAACAGAATTTAATTATTAGAATGTTAAAAAAGGGATTTATGATTGCTAGAGACGTCATCATGGCAACAACCGATGAGGACATTGCATATAGGCTCCTCACTGCTTACGACAGTATTAGGAAGTTAAAAATTCGATTAGCCAAAGAGAATGCCAGCCAAGAAGTGCCGACTGAATCAAGAGAACTCGAAAGAGTCGGTAAATGATATCAAAATAAGAAAATGAGATTAAATTTTGTTCCTTTAGATTATATAGAACAAAAAATCAAGTCTCTTGACAGGGATTTTGACCGACTTGGACGAATGATTGAAGAATACATGAGCTCTGACGAGCTCGAAGGCTGGAGGTACAGAAAGCAAAATCACTTTTAAAGTAATCAATTTTAGTGACAGAACCGACGCAGTCTGTTACGACAGAGGATCGCCACTTGACGAGCTCTACGGGTTGGATCAAGAACTTGACAATCATAACGACGAGCTTGGAGAAATGAAACGAAGATTTGGGCTGGAGTAGACCCCCGCGAAGGACTTATAAATGATATTTCTAAAATAAACCATCACAGGAGTTGTTTAAAAAAAATGGTTCAGAATGCTTGAGTTCGAAATCATGTTGGCCAGAGATGTCCTTTTAACAGTTGGCAATCATGACATTGTTCTTCAGCTGCTTGATGTCTACGACAAGATACAAGCAGTTCGAACATTGATTCGTCGATTGGGTGGACGATCGCTACTAGACGGAAATTACGAAAACTATTTCGAGTATACAAACGAGGAGACCAGCATGGGTAAAATAAGCACAAGGGAAAATGACCCATAAATTATTTAGATCAGTTTATGGTCGACCACAAGAGTTACCAAAGGGTCGTCAAAAGCATCGGATCAAGGCTGACGAGACTCGTAGGCCTCGAGGCAAGCATCAGGTCAAAAAAACAGTTTTCTCAAAATAACAACGGTTAAGGGACGCAATGGAGACGGACGAAGCGCAGACAGAAATTGAGCGACTTTTCACTGTCCGGGAGAATCTGACCGGCTTGGCAGATCGGATTGAAAGAAAGCGGGAAGAATTAATAAATATGACGGAGCGACAGTAATCTTTCTGTTAATTAGCCTTGATTCATTGGGAACACTTGGAAACCTATAAAGCACAATTAAATATTTTAGTATGATAAATGAAGATTTTTTGATGGCTCGTGCAACAGTGAAAGCAATTAAAAGGAAAGACATTGCGATATGGACAATCCGTGCTTATGACACGATGGATGGTACCTCAAGAATGCTGAAACGAGTGATGGAACAAACAGTGAATGCCAACAATGCGCGCGAACTAAGCCGATTGCGACGAGAAACAGGTAAAAAAAAAAAGAAAAACGTAAAAGCCATAGTAAATAAAAATAAGAACGCGATCACCAAGACATAGTGAAGATCCAAAATGACTTCAAGATTACTGGAAGAGCGTTCAGCTCCTACCTAGCAGGCATGGGACACCGTGGGATGGAGATGTGGTAACTGATTAAAGAACACAGTTCAGAATATTAACGTTAACTTCAGGGAACGAGTAAGAAGAGCGCGACGTGACAGATATGGCCCGATTGCGCGAATTTTGGAAGTTCACCGACAACTTGTCGCCCTCACTAGGCGAGTGAAATGGCGAAAAAGATACGTCAAGCACTTCCTTACCACCGAATTAGAATAAGGTAAATATCAAACAAAGAAAAAACTCAAAATAGCTTTAAGGATGATCTCCCACGAACAGAGAAACAACTGCCTATGTGTTTAAGATCTAGAGTGAACTAAATAAACATTAAAAATCTATCTCAAGTTTCATATTTTCCTAGATAAATATGATCTTTTTATACACGGTTTGCAAAGAATACACGACATGCAAGAGATGCAGGAATAGGTAAAAAAGATGACCTAATCGCATAAGATCAGCTCGACTTACAGAAGCCACTCATTATACGCAGGTGATTACCGGATGCAGAGTACACAAGCACGCTTCGCGTGCGCTATAATCAGGATCAACAAAACAAACTCACTTATTCAATTATTGTAAATTATAATGATGCGCAATATCTTTCCAGTATGTTTTACGGTCGATAGGGTAGAGGTTTGCTTTTCGGGCAAATGTTTCTGAGTAAGACTTTCGAATCTCCGCGAGTCGTTTTGCGGTAAATTCTTCGATGAATTCTTCTTCTTCAAATGACTCAGGTGAGAGCCAGTAAGGGCAATTCTCAAGGATGTAGAGTTCCTTCCCCGAAACGTCGTATTTCATGCCTTTTTTGGTAAATTTAAGACGAAGGAAATTGGTAATCTTTTTGGTAAGTTTCATGTTTGATGGTAGTTATGCGTGAAATCGGCTGTTTTATACTATTCACAGATGTGACTACAGCCGCGCGCCAGCCATCAATGCGCGGACGTAGTTAATGCAGCTGTCAAGTTCTGCGAAAATGAGAAGTAATTACTTTTTCATTCAAGGGAAGGTATCAAATATCTATGACATCAATTTACTTCTGAAACCAATATCACATAAAACTACATTTCTCAACCGTCTACGCTGTCGTTCCGATTCTTTTTCTTAATAAAACACAAGTGATTTTAGAAACAAAATAATTTATTTTTTTTTTATAAAGAAAACCGACAAGAAAGTCAGAACAGTTTTCAAAGTTCGTCACCCCAAACATCAGCTCCACCAAATGAAACAGCCACAGTTGGAGTTGACACCACGATGGAATAGTGTCCATCGCTCAGCTCTCGTTCAAGGTCGGCGAGCTGAGCGTGCTTCTCCTTGTAGAAGTTGGAGATTCGCATCAAGACGACGGACAGCGGATCGCTGCCGTTTTTGTGGACTAAAATATTTCTGTAACATGTCATAAGCATTAAAACTTACCGTTCTCCGCTTCAGTCAAAAGGGGGCGAGTGAAGGTAACCCCTGGACGCTTGATGGGCATTGGAAACAGGTGGTTTCCATAGCCAGCGTACACGGCATCCTCCGGTGTGATGCGAAGGATGGTTCTTCCATGGTTGGCGACGTTGACAGGGGCGCCTTTAATCCAAACGACCCCGTAGCTTCCACCCCGAGCATTCTTCGACGGTGGTTGGCCGAAGACGCCCGCGTTATCCGTCGGACGCTTGCGAGAAGTGGTAGGCTCGTCGAGACCAACTTGGTCGAGCGCCTCCATGCTTCCGATTCGACGAGCGTCACGTTGCTCTACTCGTCGTTGCTGCAGAAGGCGGGGGTGAGCGTCGGCGACGTCGGAGGGTTGCTGCGGAATTCCTTCGTATCTAAACACAAAAATTATGATCAAACAGAAGACAACCAATCTTATTGAAAATGTAAGCGTATTGTAGTGATATATAGAACCCGCAAGTTATCCTACTCCATTAATTATGATAAATACGTACCCAACTTCGAATTCTCGGGTTGGACCGAATCGGAAGAATTGTCCGCTGCCTCCCATCGATGGGGGAAACATCGGGTAGGGAAAGATGGCATTGGGGGTGAGGGAGCTGGGATGCTGGTACAATCGTGCACCCTTCACGAAATGGGGGTCCAGGCCGACGAAAGGTGAGGGCGGAAGCGGAGCTCCAATCGGCGTGCCAGGGACGAAACGATGCGGTGCGTTGAAGCCAACCGGGAACTGGAAGACAGGGTTCACACCCATCGCACCATAGGGGCTAAACGCGTACGCTGCTGGAAGGGCGCTCGGAACTCCAGGCCAGTTCGCAAAGTTGGCGCTTTGCTCCTGTGGTAAAGGAGCAGCAGGCGCGTCTTCGCCGATGTTCGTCGGGATCACTAGATTCCGAAGCCGAGGAGCACCACGCCGAGCTGCCAAGTCGCTTTCCTTTTTACATGTTTTCAAAAAATATTACAATCCATTTAATAATAATTAATTAAAACATTTTCCTTATGGTCAGCGGGCGCCCTTTCCCATCCTGCATTCGTTCGAATCGGACGGGCCTCAAAGAAGAAGCTAGAATCCTTTTCGTCCTGAGAATTCGGATCCCATGCTCCAAGCGTGACTTCGAGCTGGTTATCCGCTAAATTTCATTTTTAGATATTAAAGCAATATCAAATTATTAATGTTACTCATAAAATTCATAAAATATGCAATTCAAATTTAAGTCAAGTGTAGAATATCTTTTTGCAACACTTACATTCATTCAGACGAGTCAGATTCTCGAGATCGACGACTTCAGGGGGGCAATCGGGACGTCGACGTCCATTTCGGTTAAAAATCGTTCCAAACTAAGAAATTTTAAAACTATTAACGTAATTTCTACAACGTACCCGATGCATATTCTCCAAAAGTTATTGTCCGAGAACTGCAACTTTGAAAACTGATTGAATTTGACCACACGATCTCTTATATACCCGTCGAAAACATCCATGTTCTAGAAACACCTGCCAACAATATCTTATGAATTTTTACAAGAAAATGATAAAAATCAATACGAAAATGCAATAAAACAAAGAAAAGAATAAAGCTAGAAAGTAAAGAATTGGAGTAGGAATCGAGATGATGCCAGCGCGAGTAATAGTGTAATTTTGTAGAAGAAAGCCCATATATTCCAGGAGAAAAACCCAAATTTGTCAATAAAATGCCATTTTCTCAGAATTCAACCGTTAATTTTCGCTAAAATTTGGTATATAGAATAATTATTGAGAGTTCTCAATATTTACATAGAAGAAATCCAAATGAATACACTAACTGAAGAAAAAAAGAACTTTAGAAGTGAATACATGTATGACATACGCAAAAACGAATTTCACTCGATTCTAGAACAAAAACAACAATAAAAAAAAAACAATTGTCACAAGAGCCACTTTCAAACTTCTAATGACACAATTAAATTGCATCGATGAATTATCGCCACCGATGGCCTTCTCAATTGCAAAACCCTAATTCATACGCGGCCAAGTATTCCTAACTCGTACGTAACGCTTACTACACAGCTCAAACCGACTACAAAACAACCGTTATCAACAAAAGACGAATCAACCGCGATAAATAGACAGTGATGACAAGACAGGTTAAGAAAGAAGATTATATTTTATTTATGCACAGATTGCACAAAAAAAAGAAAGGCCAATATTTATCGGCGTCGTTGATTCTGGCCGAAGTTGAACTCCATGCCACCGCGAGTTTTGATGGCGATCGTGAAATGACCATTGATCACATCGTCTTCGAAAGTCTGGAAACGCTCCAGAATTTGCGCATCTTGCCGCATGAGAGATTCAACGGCAATTGCCCGTTCTGCAGGGCGGAGAGAGTCCAGTTCGAGGGCCCGATACAGCGCGTTTCGCTCGGCTAATATAAATATAAGGTTGGAAAATGTATCGAATCATACCGTTGTAAGCAGCCGAGCCAGGAAGGTGCTCCACGTCTTCCGGCAAGGGTTGCTGTCGAGGCTGGGGTCGCTCCCGGGGCTGAGATGGTTGATGCTCCACTCGGCGCTGGTCCAACACGCGTTCGCTGCTACGAGCGCGTCGAGAATCACGAACAGAGTCGGTTCGGCGAACTCTACCACGTTCCATTTCAACTTCACTCAGCTGAGACGCCGAGTCAGAGGTTGAAACATCGCTAGCAGAGGACGACGAGTAGGTATTAGCTCGTGTAGACTATAAATAAGAAGTGAATGATTATTATTAAAATTCCACCGCCAAATTATGTCAAAATAATAGTACAATGAAAATAACAATTAAAATTAATCTATAGCTCCACAGTAGACACTCAAAAATAAAAAAGAACTTACCGGCATTTTTGGACTTTCGGCCTTTTCTCTATCCAGACAGACGAGAACTGACGAATTTGAAAACACATCCCAGAAGTTAACCAAAGTTCTAGAAATAGTTAGAAGACGAAAAATAAAAACATGTTAAATTTGTAAACAAACACAGTTCTAGAACACCTGTTATTAAGATACCTTTAAATTTCCATTGAAGCGAACGGAGGCGGACATGATGGATAGCAAGGACGTGAATTCAGTTGAGAGCGTGCGTAGGCGGGCAAAATGAGCCAGCTAACCCAATTGGTCGCAACGCGAGCGACAAAACCAGTACACGAGATTTTTTGCGAGAAAGACACCAAATTTTTAAAAAATATTCAATCATATTTCCCGGAGATCTAATAAACCACGATTCACCTTCTGCCAAAAGGAAAATCATGGCTAAACCCCGTTTCTGCCAAAAACGAGGCTTAGAAATTAAATCTACAGGCAATATCATCCGAATATTTGAAAATTATATAAAATCTCGTGCAATTTATTCATAAAAAATCAATCTTAATTCTTACTTATAAAATGCAGTTCCCACAATTTCGAGCAAAAAATGTTTTCTAGGGGCGATTTCACCGAAAAAGTCCAACAGGGCGACCAAAAATTTCCCCCAACCCGCCCCCAACTCCGTTGCATCCTAACTATTTCGTGGGTACAAAAAATAAATTCCGCGAGAAATCCGTTTTCTAGGGACGCTTTCACCGAAAAAGTCCAACAGGAGGACCAAAAATTTCCCCCAACCCGCCCCCAACTTCGTTGCATCCTAACCATTTAGTGGGTACAAAAAAAATAACTTCCGCAAAAAATCCATTTTCTAGGGGCGCTTTCACCGAAAAAGTCCAACAGGGCGACTAAAAAATTTCCCCCATCCCACCCCCAGCTACCAACCATTTCGTGAGTACAAAATGGCTGGCCAGTTGGGAATGGCACGCTCCGCGTGCCCAATATTATTCGAGGGGAAATAAGTTGGGAAGGGTTGGTTAGTTGGGAAGGTGGGCCAGTTGGGAATGGCACGCTCCGCGTGCAATATAAAATTCGAGAGAAAGTAAGTTGGGGAGGGTTGGTTAGTTGGGAAGGTGGGCCAGTTGGGAATGGCACGCTCCGCGTGCAATATAAAAGTCGAGAAAAATAAATTCGAGAAAAATGGAGTTTTTTTGCGCGGAAAACATTTGCGCGGAAAAAAAAATGCACGAAAGTGAATTTGCCAGGTTTTCGTGCAAGTGCCATTCGCGCAACACGATTTCCGAGCAATTACCATTCGAGTTTTGCGATTTTGGGGCAATTCTTATTCGCGCACTTTTATTTCCGTGCAGTCCAATTGGCCCCTGGAAGTCATTAATTTTATCGTGGATTTTCTTTATCAACGAAAACATAATTATAAATTACTATCATGTCTTGATTGGACATAATTTGATCATTAATTGATTGTTGAACTTTAATTTCCAAACCTCGATCGAAGCGCTGAAAGGTAATTGTTTGTTATGCTCTGTTCCTGGGAAAATTAGGTCTTTCCTAGGCTCGTCAATAGAAGATGAGAACATGTCCGACTTCGAAACGCGGGGAGCTTACGCGGCTTTGTCTCAAGCAGCCGGCCGTCTCAGGTGGAATATACTTTTATTCTACTTCAAATGGCAATCCCGCCCAGCTAAAGAAAAAACGGATAGTCGGATAGATAAGGTTCCCTGAAGAGATTACTAGATCAATTATTTTAAATAAATAATTTATTTAGCTGCTCAGCAAATGAGCATGCTGGGGCTCTACCTGTGTGGGCTCAACCTGTGTAAAACCTGAGTCAGGATATGACAGACCTTTGATGAAAAGCCGCGTAGCGGCTTTTAAACGAAGCCGCGAAGCCGAATAGATTGGAATTTTAGCTTGCGGCTTCGTTAAGAAAAAGCCGCTACGCGGCTTTTCATCAACGATCTGTCAGACCCTGACTCAGGTTTCTACAAAGGTTGCCGAGTCCAGTTCTAGGGTAGGGTAAGTGTTGGGTTCCAATAATGGGTAAGTTCAGGACTTTGATTGGCTAAAAGATAGAGAAGTATTTTCTGATTGAGTGAAGCCTTCAAAGATATTTTTGACTCAAATTAGTAAGAAGAAGAAGCAACACGAACTAAGGTTTAAAAGAGCGTGAACTTTCCGTAGTATGGATTGCGCCGTTTTAAAAGGGCTCACCTTAAGACGGCCTTAAAAGGGCGTGAAGTTATTGTATCAACCTGGTACGGCCGTTCAAAATCGCTCAATCTCGATTTAACTAGATTTGTTAACAACGACCTTTTTGAACTGAGAAGTTCTTAGAAGCGTTATTTTCTTCTTGGAAGGACTCTCCGCTACTCCTGCTGACAGTTGCGGGGAGCAATAAACACAGAAGCAGTAATCGGTCTAGGTCGGGGTAAATTCAATCAGGGCCCTCTCTTGGTTAGACGACTCTGAAATCTGCGCCAACAATTAGTTGTTTAGAGGAATCATAGCACTGGTCAACTCCGGCTACTTGACCGTGGACATTTTGCTCAATAATCTTGAAGCGTCTGCGCGAACTCTTGAAGCTCTCTACGGTAAGAAATTGGAAATTGTTCTCAGCAACCTGTGTGGAATCCTGAGTCAGTATCTTAAGGGAGTGTACCTAAAAAGTGAATGGAAATATGCTCGAAATCGTTGTTGACACCCTAAGTTCAAAAAATTAAATTAAAATGGCACACTTGTCGAAGCCGCTTTGCTCTGAGGTTTTTACACTGGTTGCCGAGTCCTAATTGGAATTTTTGCTTTGAAAAGACCTCAATTGACATTTGTAGCCGTCGAAATGGGCCACGATCATGAAGACGCGAGCGTTTTCACCGAGTGCGGAACCGCCGGTGAATTCAATGCTCTTCGAAGAATCTCGGAAACAGCTGAAATTCCGTCAGAAGTAAAGAACTGGCTGGTCGGGACGTTCTGCCGGACAGAGATTACAAAAGCGAGTAAGTTGTTTATGCAGAGTTGAGCAGATTAGATCATCTCCTAATTGTCGAATTTGCATAAAACAGCGAGGCTGAATTCGAAAAACGCAGAATTAGAAAATGAATCTACTGTTTTCTGGGCAGCAGAAGCAGTTTCAAGCAAAGAATTACAGTAAGGAAAGGGCAAAACGGTAATGATCAGAACAAGCCATAAAGTAATAATTTCTGTTTACTCCAGGTTTTTCATCTTCGAATAAATTGAATCTCGAGAGAAGAGCTGGCGTTTTTATCAGAGGATCGTGTCAGACAGAGGGTGCGCGGCTCTCGAATAGGCACTTTCGCCCATTTTTCGCGGCCATAAAAGTGCCTAAGCCAAGCTTTAAAATGTCAGAAGGCCATCATTAAATACGGATCATCTTACAAAGGTTAAACATTAACCCCTCGCGAAGCAGAGTTGTGCGTATTCCTTGCCGCCAATAAAACAAACATAGAAACGTTTTTTTTTCTTTTTTCGCGAGAAAAAAAAACGAAAAGCGAAAAAAAATCATTCAATTTTCAAAAAAAAACACCTAAAAATCACTCATTTTTGGGAGACATAGAAGAGAAGAATTTCAAAAAACAAGAAAAAAAAACAGTGAATTGCCCCGAGGCGCGTGAGCTCGAAATGAAGCTGGAATTTCAATGAGCCGGGAATTGTCTTGCAAACTTTGTCAGGCGATAACGCAGAGTCAGAAGAAAGGGACGAGATTTTTAACTTACGGGAAAGGGACACGAAAAAGAATGCGCGGGGAAATGTTGTGACATTGAATGATAGCTCTGTATTTGCATGACAGTTAAAGTTACTGAGCGCGTCATACCTTGAACGAACCAACAAAACAGAATTACCGAATTTCCCCTTGTTCAAAACTTCGCTCAAAAAACATAGGAAAAAGGGCCTCAGTCGCCCTAAATCAATATTATCAATTTGAAAAGAGAGCCGACTTATCCTACTTATATTTGCCGAACTTGGCCCTCAAAAATTACGAAAACTCGGCGACTCCATCTGTGCTCACAGAATTAAGTACAATTGTCAGAACTATCAACTTGGAGTTTGTCCTGAGATTAAAATCCTTGAGAAAGTGCGCTTTTCAGTAGTTTTTTTTCTGAAGAAGTTTTTTTTCTTACTGTACTTTTGCGCAGGTAGAAGATTATTTTTTCGTTCGTTGCAATTTGGAACACGAAAACTGACCTTTTAAAGCCCGGAAACATTAAAATTCGAGAATATCCGGTCATTTCTATTTCGATTTTTGGTTTTGTCAATTCTGAAAATTTGTGTCCCGCATAATGGCATGGCTGAGCAGGACGGCAAATATCAGGACTATACCGAGACGTTCCTGCCCAAGGGTGGACACCAGCGCAGTGAAAAGGAGCATCCAGATGATTTGGACAATGAAAAGTGAGTTGCTAACAATATTTTAGATGAAGGAAACAAGAAAAAATTCAAGGTCTTAGGAAAATGGTCCATAAAAATATCATTGATTTTGAATTTTGGTAATTATCGAGAAGCCGCTTGCGGCTTCGAAAACAAAAATTAGAGCCGCGCTCTGCGCGGCTTTCTTTTTAAAAATCTCGAAGCCGCGGGCGGCTTCTCGAAGGTTATTTTTGATTTTAATTTTGGACTTGAAATTGTGCTTGTTAGAAGTTATTACATCAATAATTTATAACTACACGTAAACTTGGTGTTGGAAGAATAAAAAAAAGATGTTGTTTCTTGTTTCGCGGAGCATTAGAATGCTGGAATTGATCGTCAGCCCGGGAGACCCCGCCAGCGGTCGGGCAGATGGCCGCCGATTGACATGGCGGTCGGAAAACATCCAGTAAAATCAGATCACTTCAAATTTGCGAAATTGACTCAACAAAACAGTGAACACAACGGGCCTCCTTCTGAGACACGTTTAATTCTAGCGCCAGTACAGTCATAAACGTGGTCTTGAACGCAAAGAGGCGATAGTCCCTCCTCTCGAATTCGGGACTAAATATTTGCTCGTTCGGACTCTCACTCGACCATAACCGGCATCTAAATGACGACTTGGATCAATAATTTATTAAAATCGGTAAACTACCCCGCTCAAATATTTGCGGCGCCTAATTCCTCGCTTTCGCAAAAAGTACTCTCTTGAAAGCAAATTCTTTTCGATACCGGGTTAGATAGAGATTCCCGAGGTCAAACATTATATAATCGTAATAATGACTGTTACAAATAAAATTTAATTTATGAGAAAAATGAAATAATGAAAAATATAATTACTACGAAAGCCGCGCAGCGGCTTTTGGAAACGAAGCCGCGCAGCGGCTTTCCTGAAACCGAAGCCGCGAAATTTCTTCGCCGAAAATTTGATATCTAGAAACTAAATAAAAATTAAATATCTTTATTTTTTAAGACTTCAAATTTTTGGCGAAGCCGCTCTGCGGCTTCGTTTTTAAAAAAAGCCGCTGCGCGGCTTTCGAATTTAACTATTTCAGCGATGGATTTAGGAATCAAGAAGTAGCGCGGTCTTCCATCTTATCATTTTCTAGGGCAGATAGCCCCGTAAATAGAAGAAAGCAGCATTCTAAATTGACTTCTTGCTGCGAAGTGGATGGAAGGAAATTAGGGGGCAAAGGAGCAACGCGTCATTTTTTTTTTGCGAGTTGGGCAAATACGCACTGAACAGTTATCTTTTGAAGTTTTCGCATTTTTGAAACTTCTCAAGCGCGTAAAGACAATTTACGAAAGCTGCTGTCTTTCTGTTCAAAAAAAAAAATGTTTCCTAAATACCGTTTTTCGGACCGTTTAAAAAGTGACCGGAATTCAAGCGGCCTCGTTTTTGGAAAAGATCTTCAAGTAACAATTTTGATTTACTGCCATTTTGTGTCAGAATCAGTGTCGGAATCAATGTTTACCATTTTTTAACGTAAAAACGTTTCATCGTCAAATTTACAACATCGTTGTCGTCGATTTTATAGCGGATTATTAGATGCCGATCAAATAGAATTTCATCCACCTCAAAAGCAGTAAAACATGGGATAAGTGGTTTATTATAAAAAATAATCATTCCCCTGTTTATTCAGAATCAGAGCTCAGCAACCTGAGTCAGGGTCTTAAGATCGCAAATGAAAAGCCGCGTAGATTTTATAATAGCCGGAATTTTATAAATTATAATAGATTGGAAAAGTAACTTTTCGACTTCGTTTTGAAAAAAGCCGCTACGCGGCTTTTCGTTTAAGATCTTTAGACCCTGACTCAGATTTTCTATACAGGTTGGCGAGTCCAGAGTATTCGCCACCAAGGTCATTTTTCTTCTGATTTAGTTTCAACTTTAGTTTCCCACTTTTTTCCCAAGGAATTTCGCGATATTTGCGTCTTGTCAAAAGCGAAGCCTTTTTATTCCTCAGCTGAGGAAAACATTCCTTGTGCAGGAATCTCTGTTCTTTTCAAACAGGGGGACTGTAAAATGAGAAATCCAAACTGATAGGGTAGTCATCCAGTTGACAGCTGCTTGTATACTTTTGGCTGTGACGACACTAGAAAGAATTGTCATTTGCGCGGAAGAAACGGCCGGATCTTTTAGCTCCAGGATTTCTTCATTGTCGATGGTGTTTTTTTTAATTTTAGACAGTTTTTTGTCGTTAAATTAAAAAGATCAAACATCAAACAGACGATTCTAACCAAAATTTATAGGACGCGTCATATGAACTACCCAAAAGATCTGGTGAAGAGCTTGAGTCTGATAGACAAGTGGGAGTTCAATGTTTTCGACGTCTCCGATGCTTCCAAACAAAGGCCGCTTACGTATGTTTTATACGAACTGCTCAAGAAGTACGATTTACTTTCGACGTTCAAGGTAATCGAAAATCCAAATTTCATCAAAATTCAATCAAAACTGGCTTCTACCTTTCATAACCTTATTTTCTTCTGATTCATTCGATAATTAGCGGGCTAGTTTCAGACAAAATATTTTGTAAAAAATATACAGTTGGCCGTCAAAAGCTCATTCAAAATTTTCTCGAAGGAAAACTCCATTTTAAGGGTATAACCGTCGATTTCCCCAATGATCGAAAATAAACTCATTTATTGAAATTTTACTGAACAAAAGGAAAAGTTCAAACTTTGACGAAAAAGTTAAACAACCAGCGATTTCGTTGATCTTTATTTTTCTAAAGCCTTAGTAAGTATTATGGTTATTTTCTTAGGCTGAATAACCCCCTTCCGCCCGTCGCGCAACGCAGCGCTCAAGTCCCACCTAATCAGCTCCTGTCAGTGACAGTCAGTGCGACTTCTGCGAGTATTTTCTTGAGCACTGGTCGTATTTGCTCTAGCAGCCCCTGGCAGCCGATATCGCTGACAGGATCTCATGTCAAATGTCTCCGATTTCGCCGATTGCGCTTATTTTTCAATTCAGCTTTCTTTAATTAAAAGAAAGCTTCCCTCAAAGTTACCGTAAAAGAAAGCATCGATAGAAAAATATTCCTCCGCTATTTGGGAGACGAAAGAAGCAATTACAAATCTGAATATTTTAGATTCCGACGAATGTGCTCATGTCCTTCGCGGACAAGGTAGACGCTGGCTATAGAAAACACCGGAATCCGTACCACAACCCTAATCACGCTGCTGATGTCGCCCAGACCACCCACTTTTTTATTTGCCAAACAGGTAAAAAGAACACTTTTTCCACAACAGAAAAAGTTCACCTGGCCTCGGAAACCTGTGTTGAAAACCTGAGTCAGGGTCTGAAGGGTCTAGAATGAAAAGCCGCGTAGCGGCTTTTTCTAAGATACGAAGCCGCGAAGCGGCTTCGCGAATGTTACTTTTTCAGTCTTTTATAAAATTCTAGCGTATTTTGAAAAAGCCGCTACGCGCTCAGACCCTTACTCAGGTTTTCTACACAGGTTACCGATCCCGTCAGTTCACAGAAAAAAATGCAGAAAGACTATTTTTTTTGAATTCTTGCCGAGGCAATTTCCGAAATCGAATCGCTGTGAAAAGTGCACTAAAGTCTATTTACATATTTGAAAATGGCTTCCATTACTTCCGGAAGCTCACTTGCGAGAAACATAATCGTGAGATTTCGTTTACTAATCCAATTGGGAATCGCTCCGTTGTCTAGAATTTTCTAGGCCTGCTCAACTGGCTCAGCGAAGTAGAAGTCTTTGCCATGATCTTCGCCGCTGCAATCCACGACTACGAACATACAGGCACAACGAACACATTCCACACGCAAACCAGGTGTGTTTGGCCAGCTACCAGAACTCTTCCGAAAGTTAGATCATCATTGTAAATAATGATTCGATAATAAGGTCGATACACAGTGGCAAAATGGAATGCCCAGTCTTACTACTGATAGAGTACCGTATCGGAGTTTCAGTAAAGTTTTATAAGACCACTTTTTGCTCATCAAATAAGTTGACAAATAAACTTGAATTCGCCAAAACTTTGAAATAAAATCGATAAGATAAGACCTCAAAATTAAGTAATTGATATTTTTATCCAATCAAAAACCTTTATAAACGCTTTTAGCCAATCAAAACCCCAATTTCCCCAACTATTTAAGACAAAACCAAATTGGCCTCGATATCTGGCTGTACAGAAGGTCGTTTTATTTTGTGCAAATAGACAAAAGTGACTGTAATAACTAAAGGATCAATTGAGGTCGCCTTTGGCCGTGCTGTACAATGATCGCTCCGTTCTTGAAAATCATCATGTCGCTGCCAGCTTCAAAATGCTCCAAGACAACAAAGGAAGCAACATCGTTGCCGAACTGACCCGAGATCAATTTGAGGTATTTTCGCTGCTTCGTGTCCTTTTTTCAAATTGTGATTCAGGAATTCCGCTCGCTCGTTGTCGACATTGTGCTCGCCACCGACATGTCGCAACATTTCCAGCAAATGTCCCAAGTCACCGACGCGCTCAACAACCCGAAAGAGCTTGACAAAGTCAAAGTGATGGCTCTCATCGTTCACTTGGCCGACATTTCACACGCTGCCAAGTGCTGGGAGCTGCACGAACGGTACAGTCAAGAGGGAGAGAGCACTTGATTGAATCTCTCTCTCGCCCTGTTCACATAACATAACAGTAAATTGAAGCTGGAGCTACGCGCTCACTGAAGAATACTTCCGACAAGGTGATCGGGAGAAGGAACTTGGACTGCCTTGCTCCACTCTTTGCGATAGAAATACTGTGATGGTGCCGCAATCTCAATTTGGATTCCTGCGTTTTATCATTGAGCCAAGTTTTAACACGCTGATTGAGCTCTTTAGGTACTCTTTTCAATTTGCTTGTAATTTGCTGAAAATCGAGAAGCCGCTTGCGGCTTCGAGAAAAAAAAGAAAAGCCGCGCTTCGCGCGGCTCAAATTTTCTTTTACTCGAAGCCGCAAGCGGCCTCTCGATTTTCAGCTAAGATTTTTCTTCAACCCTTCTCGTATAACATCTCTTCAGGCATATTGCTGACCACTATATCGCGAAAGAAGACGCGGCCCTAAATTCCGCTGATGTCGCTGAGAAAACCGAGGGCTCGCCAAACCGAACGCGCCGCCATATTGTCAAGTGCCGCTTGGGGACTAGTCAAGACCAAGGTCAGTGTCAAGTTTTCTGTCACTGCAGCTGTCGTGATCTTCCCACAAGAACTCGGCAACTTTTATTAGACGCCAAATTATTTCTAGTTCGAGTTAGAATCTTCTCAAGTAGTCTGTGACGCTTATTTACTGTATTTATTATAGGCGATGCACTTTACCCTGACTATACTTACGCAAACGTGGTGGCCCGGCTGGAGGAGAGCGGCAAGAAATGGATCGGAAACATCGAATCAAATAGAAAGAAGTGGTCCGCCTTGGCTGAAAAGGAAAAGGCCACTGCTTCGCCTAAAGATGAAAACAACAAGGACTCACTCTCCACAACCGACTCGACCAAAAACGCCTCCTCAGACTCGGCGGACAACAAAAACGAAAATTCTAATAATAACACTAAGGAGAAAAACTCAAAATCAACGAAATCAGAAACGTCGACAAAAACCACTGCGAAAGACAACGAAAACTGATGCCGCTACGCCGCAACGCTCAAAGCACCAGATGAAACCTCATTTTTTTTTGATATCAAGAAGAGTCTCTGTTCAGAAAATATCAACGTAGAATTTCAAAAAAACAACGATTACTACTATTAAGATATATAATAAATAAATATACTAAATTAACATTTTCTGTTTCCTTGAATATTGGCTTTGGCTGAAGTCATTTGATCAAATATTAGCATTATATGAAGGAGAAAACGTATTTCATGCAACTCAACGAAAAATGAACGGCAATGAAGAACTATTAGCGCTAAGAGATATTTACAGGGAACGAGTTATTCCCGAGAATAAACGATTCAAGCAGCGATGTGTTCTTTTTTCAGCCGAGAGTTTGAAAGAAAATCATCGAAGTTTTTGGAAAGAAATTTTTCTTTTCAACTACTCAGGTGGGGACAGAAATCGAAGCACGGCGCAAGCAAGAGACTCGGAATTCGATGAGTTTTTGGATTTCAAGAGGTTTTCTGATGGATCCGGGCCTCATACCTATTTAAAAAAGCTCCTTGAATACAGAAAATTGCCAAAAGAAGAGCGATGGAAAAAGCTCAAGCTTGCTGATTTCGCAGGCGCTCTTCAGAAAAAGACAGGGGAGGAGGAGGAAAGTCCGCAAACTCTTAGCCCTTTCAGCACTTACATTAGACCACAAACATTCTTGGAAGAAATATTGGACATTCAACTTCATTCACTGTGGCTGGAAAAAACAACGAATGAATTGGGAGAGTTGAAACTCCTATTTCCAAATGAAAAGCAATTCAAAGAAGATGTTTCCAAATCAGATGCTTCGGTGCAGGAATTCGCCAGGGACGAAGCGAAAGCCCAGGCCTGGCTGAATATTTCCACCTGTTTGTTAAAAGCATTTGAAGATCAAGCTGCCTCTGTTTTTCACCTTTACCAAGATTTCTTTAGCGACATAGAGCGAGAAATGGAAGACAAAGAAGATTATTACGGCATAAGCGCTGGAACAACTAATGAATTCAAACTATGGCTGAATGAAGAGGTCAAGAAGCCGGATCATCTGAACCCGTTGAGCGAAGAAAACTTTACGAAAAATTTGAGCTATCAGATTCCGGAGTTGGGCAGACTCGCAGCGACGAAGGTTTCACCGCCAACTACAACTATTCAGAATGCGCCCTATCAAACCATCAATCACTCCGTTTTAAAAACGATCGTTCCAGTTCTCCTCAAAATCCGCTGCTTTTTGGAAGGAAAGGATGAGCTTCACGAGCATTTATCATCTTTCATCTTGAAAACTGACGATTCGAATCGATTCGTCAGTGTCACTTTGGCCGACGTTTTCAAAGAGAAGATTTCCGTGGAAATGAATTCAAAGTGGCTGAACTCGTCTTTGGAAGAAATCGAGGTCCGCTACGTTCACGAAGATTTCAACCCCGAATTATTCCCACTGCCCGAGTGGCTTCCAGATTTGAAGAATCTGTACACATTCTTGCTCGCGACCTTGGCTCGCTATCCGATGACGCTTTGCAGGCACGTGATGAAGAAGTTCGAGAGCGTCGGTTCCAACTCCTTCGACCATTCGAACTTCATCGCCGAGTTCAATCCCGTCTTCGACCAATGCGTAGGCCTCGGACGTAAAAATTTCGATTTTCACCATCGGAGCTTCGTATGAGGACGAGTAGCTCATTCGAAAGCTCTTGAAGAGGGCTTATGGACAAATAAAAAATTGGACCCTGCCTCCCTGTTTCAAGTTATTTCGTAAAAACGTTTTTCGACTTTATCTTTAACGGCAGATTACTCAAAACTGGGAGACAGGGTCCAATTTTTTATTTGTCCATAAGAAAGCCCTCTTCAAGAGCTTTCGAATGAGCCTATTCTCAATCCTATACGAAGCTCCGATGATGGTGATGGATTTTTACGTCCGAGGCCTACCAATGCGCGTTGACCATCTTCTGCGTCGAGAATTTAAAGCTTACCAAGAGCAACTCCAGCACCGATCTCTTGTTCAACACTATGTTCAAGCTCAAAAACGAGTTCAAAGAAGCGCTCAAATGCAACTTTCAAAAGGTCCTTGTCCCGCCTCGGAATCACTTGAAATCGGGCGACTTCGACTTGCACTTGTATCTTCGGCGAATCAATAACTTCTCGCTCTATCCGATTCGGGCTGAGTCGATCGGACGAGTTCTGCAATTCGAAATGAAGCACTTCAAGGACCTCTCTCGCGGAATGCACATTTCTACCAAGCCGAAAATGATCGAGTTCTTTCAGGATAATGCTCTCGTAATGATGGACGTTTTGAACGATTGGATCAAAGAAGGAACGATAGTCAAGCAACACGCATTCGCAGAAAAGTCATCGAATCTCTCAAGTCTCAAAGGCCAGATGAAACAAAGAAGCTTGTCCAGCAGATGATCCACGACTTTCGATCTGAAACGAGCACTTTTGTCGACAGCGAAGCGGACGGAATTTTCAAATTTTCATATTTTTTGAAAGATCTTTCCGAAAATGCGATCGGATACAGCGTCAACAAAAATGTTGATTTTTCACGGATTTTGATGGAGAAGAACTTTTGCATTCTGCGGGTTACAAATGACGAAGAATCGGATTTCTGGATTTTTGCCAGGAAGAAACAATCCAACGATTTATCAACGGGCAATCGACTTGTTTAGAAGAACTATTCGACCAAATGCAGAGTTCTGAGTTCCTCTCGCCAGTCACGAAAGATCTGTTAATTAGAATTGATGACAACGAAAAAGCTGCTTCGAACAGAGCTAGGGTTCCGCACGATTGGAGGACCTTATTTTTCAAAATCCGAATCCTTATTATATCAAAAATAGACTTTTTATAAACTATGGGTTTTCGAATACGGCGAAAAAATGATGACAATAATATTCCGATTCACCATCGGAGTCGCCGATTTTTCTCGGTTTTTCATACTTCTAGTGGCAGCACAAACTTTTCTTTAACACTGTAGATAGAATCAACCCTAAAAATCACAAATCTGCAAAAACAAATTTAAAAAAATTCAAGGTTTTTATGTGCTGTCCATTTGAAAATTATCCATTATTTATCATTATGTGAAAATTGAGGAGGCGCGCTCTGATTGGCTGATGAGGAAGACATTCTCAAGAGTCGATTTGAAGGAAGATTATTCTAAGCTTCCGCGATTTTGTCCTTGTTGGTGAAAAAGCCCTTTCTCGATAAGATTTTAAATAGAAACCATAACAAAGTAAAAATCTTGGATAATTTGACTTTTTTCAACAATGGGTGAGGGCGGGGTTGGGGACATAACTGAGATTGATCACCTCAGAGTCCAACGCCGATCTCAAGCCCCTTAAATTTAAAAATCAAGGAACGGGGCTGAAACGGCCCGAAGGGCCGTCAAGCCCTTAAATTTAAAAATCAAGGAACGGGGCTGAAACGGCCCGAAGGGCCGTCAAGCCCTTAAATTTAAAAATCAAGGAACGGGGCTGAAACGGCCCGAAGGGCCGTCAAGCCCTTAAATTTAAAAATCAAGGAACGGGGCTGAAACGGCCCGAAGGGCCGTCAAGCCCTTAAATTTAAAATCAAGGAACGGGGCTGAAACGGCCCGAAGGGCCGTCAAGCCCCTTAAATTTAAAAATCAAGGAACGGGGCTGAAACGGCCCGAAGGGCCGTCAAGCCCTTAAATTTAAAATCAAGGAACGGGGCTGAAACGGCCCGAAGGGCCGTCAAGCCCCTTAAATTTAAAATCAAGGAACGGGGCTGAAACGGCCCGAAGGGCCGTCAAGCCCCTTAAATTTAAAATCAAGGAACGGGGCTGAAACGGCCCGAAGGGCCGTCAAGCCCCTTAAATTTAAAATCAAGGAACGGGGCTGAAACGGCCCGAAGGGCCGTCAAGCCCTTAAATTTAAAATCAAGGAACGGGGCTGAAACGGCCCGAAGGGCCGTCAAGCCCTTAAATTTAAAAATCAAGGAACGGGGCTGAAACGGCCCGAAGGGCCGTCAAGCCCTTAAATTTAAAAATCAAGGAACGGGGCTGAAACGGCCCGAAGGGCCGTCAAGCCCCTTAAATTTAAAATCAAGGAACGGGGCTGAAACGGCCCGAAGGGCCGTCAAGCCCTTAAATTTAAAATCAAGGAACGGGGCTGAAACGGCCCGAAGGGCCGTCAAGCCCCTTAAATTTAAAATCAAGGAACGGGGCTGAAACGGCCCGAAGGGCCGTCAAGCCCTTAAATTAAAAATCAAGGAACGGGGCTGAAACGGCCCGAAGGGCCGTCAAGCCCCTTAAATTTAAAATCAAGGAACGGGGCTGAAACGGCCCGAAGGGCCGTCAAGCCCCTTAAATTTAAAAATCAAGGAACGGGGCTGAAACGGCCCGAAGGGCCGTCAAGCCCCTTAAATTTAAAATCAAGGAACGGGGCTGAAACGGCCCGAAGGGCCGTCAAGCCCTTAAATTTAAAAATCAAGGAACGGGGCTGAAACGGCCCGAAGGGCCGTCAAGCCCTTAAATTTAAAAATCAAGGAACGGGGCTGAAACGGCCCGAAGGGCCGTCAAGCCCCTTAAATTTAAAAATCAAGGAACGGGGCTGAAACGGCCCGAAGGGCCGTCAAGCCCCTTAAATTTAAAAATCAAGGAACGGGGCTGAAACGGCCCGAAGGGCCGTCAAGCCCCTTAAATTTAAAAATCAAGGAACGGGGCTGAAACGGCCCGAAGGGCCGTCAAGCCCCTTAAATTTAAAATCAAGGAACGGGGCTGAAACGGCCCGAAGGGCCGTCAAGCCCCTTAAATTTAAAAATCAAGGAACGGGGCTGAAACGGCCCGAAGGGCCGTCAAGCCCCTTAAATTTAAAAATCAAGGAACGGGGCTGAAACGGCCCGAAGGGCCGTCAAGCCCCTTAAATTTAAAAATCAAGGAACGGGGCTGAAACGGCCCGAAGGGCCGTCAAGCCCCTTAAATTTAAAAATCAAGGAACGGGGCTGAAACGGCCCGAAGGGCCGTCAAGCCCCTTAAATTTAAAAATCAAGGAACGGGGCTGAAACGGCCCGAAGGGCCGTCAAGCCCCTTAAATTTAAAAATCAAGGAACGGGGCTGAAACGGCCCGAAGGGCCGTCAAGCCCCTTAAATTTAAAAATCAAGGAACGGGGCTGAAACGGCCCGAAGGGCCGTCAAGCCCTTAAATTTAAAAATCAAGGAACGGGGCTGAAACGGCCCGAAGGGCCGTCAAGCCCTTAAATTTAAAAATCAAGGAACGGGGCTGAAACGGCCCGAAGGGCCGTCAAGCCCCTTAAATTTAAAAATCAAGGAACGGGGCTGAAACGGCCCGAAGGGCCGTCAAGCCCCTTAAATTTAAAAATCAAGGAACGGGGCTGAAACGGCCCGAAGGGCCGTCAAGCCCTTAAATTTAAAATCAAGGAACGGGGCTGAAACGGCCCGAAGGGCCGTCAAGCCCCTTAAATTTAAAAATCAAGGAACGGGGCTGAAACGGCCCGAAGGGCCGTCAAGCCCCTTAAATTTAAAAATCAAGGAACGGGGCTGAAACGGCCCGAAGGGCCGTCAAGCCCCTTAAATTTAAAAATCAAGGAACGGGGCTGAAACGGCCCGAAGGGCCGTCAAGCCCCTTAAATTTAAAAATCAAGGAACGGGGCTGAAACGGCCCGAAGGGCCGTCAAGCCCCTTAAATTTAAAAATCAAGGAACGGGGCTGAAACGGCCCGAAGGGCCGTCAAGCCCCTTAAATTTAAAAATCAAGGAACGGGGCTGAAACGGCCCGAAGGGCCGTCAAGCCCCTTAAATTTAAAAATCAAGGAACGGGGCTGAAACGGCCCGAAGGGCCGTCAAGCCCCTTAAATTTAAAAATCAAGGAACGGGGCTGAAACGGCCCATCCCGGATCCGTGTTTTCCAAGCTAGAAAGCTTTTGAAAAAAATGAGACGCGGGTTGGATTCGAGCTCGCCATCTCGTCTGCTCGAAGAGAAGCGCTCACCACTGAGCCAACTCCAGGGTGACAGTGCAGTGCAGTACTCGATTCATATTTCCGCGAAGAGCGCCAGCCAATCAGCGCGCAGCAGGCCTCCTTGGCAAAATATACTTTGAAGCCCTTAAAAGGGCTGAAGGGGGATTTTCTGGAAAAACAGAGGCCAGGAATGAATTTCTAGGCATTATTTTGGTGGAATCTCCAAATTTTATTAAAATGAAAAATTTTGGTCCAATCGTGCGGAACCCTAAACAGAGCTTTCTTGTCGACAATTGTTGATCCCAATCGAGGGAAGTTCAAAATGCTGAGACGAGCGTACTTTGAACCAGGCAACTTTAGCATTGATGTTCCGGATGAAGAAGAAGTGCCAAATCTTTACCAGCAGAAATCGCAAACAACAAGGACGAAGACACTTTTGGCCCGACAGAAAAGTGTTGTTGATGAAACAGAGCAAAATGAGGAGCTCGAAGATGAAGACTCTATTTTCGAGGAGACAGAAGAAGCAAAAGAAGAAAAGAGAAAAATGCCATTGACTGGAGAGAGGAAGACAGCATCTTTGTCGTACGAAAAACAGTGTTCGACAAGCTCGACTGGAAGGGAAAGTCTACGAAATCGCCCCTAATTCAATGACTCTTACCCCCGTTTTTGCCGTTGAAATGGAGAAAGACTGCGATTGCTATATCGTCACAAAAGACATCAACAACGAAACCGTCTTTAGCAACGTCTTTCAAGAAAGCTTAGAACTCGTCGTCAAGCAAATCGGAATCACAAACGAGGCAACAAAAATGGTCGAAAATCTCCGGCAATCAATTTTGAAGATAACGCTTTCTTTGAAAAACATTGTGAAGGAGCATTTTGCGATTTTCCGGCGAGTGGAAGCCTGGTTTCTTGAGATGCAAAAGACTGGAGGAGAGAATTTCAAGCTTCAAGAAACTTTGGATTATTTCATCAAGGAATTTCCGAATGGGACGCGCCGACTTTACGAAAGCCTCAATTTTCTATTTCTTTCCGTGATGGGCAGATTCACCAGAAAACCCTACAATGAAAAGATCATCAATGATCCATTTTATCAGTCATTTCAACGAATGACTCTGGATATTTTGCACGAATGGACGCTTTTTGAAACGACAATCTCGAGTGCTTGGTCGTTTGAAATGATCAAAAATAACTTGCGACGAGGGCCTATTTCGATGGAAAATGAACACTTGGACATTCATTTTTTGAGAACTCTTGGAGGGCAAGAAGCAGAAAAGTACAAAGAAACGCTCAAAAGAATTATTGACGCTCTTCAAAATCACGGAAAGGAAAATCGTGTCGTTCGCCCAAAAAGAATATTCAGCCAGGAAAGTGTCGACCAGATCAATACTTCTCGAATTACTTTCCAGAAAAGATGCCAGGAGTCTGTATCAATGCTTGACTCAAGAATCATGAAGAAGAAGCAGAGCTTGCCTAAAGAACAAAGGAAAAAATTGGGCATTGGAAGAGTTTATGAAGCATCTTTTCTGAAGGCACTAGCGAAGAGCCAGAAGTCACTCTAAGCGAGTGGAGGACTCTCGCCCAAGTGGACTCTCGCCTAAGTGGACTCCCGCCCAAAAGGACTCTCGCCCAACTTGGGCGGGAGTCCATCTTGGGCGAGAGTCCATGTGGAAATTTTCAACAATGAGAAACAGAAAGTTGGGCGAGAGTCGATCTTGGGCGAGAGTCCTCCACTCCATTTGTTAATGAATGACAAAAGAAAGCAATGAGCTGTATATAATATATATGCAATGTACTTTATATAAATAAAAGTTAGGGTTAGGGGGCACTGGGCAAAATGACAGAACAACCTTACCCGAGGGGGATAGGCTAGGGTTAGTTAGGGTTACTGAAGGTAACCCTAAGTAACCCTAGACTAGACCCCGGCATCTTAGGACCTAAGGGGCGAAGCCCCGTGGTAAGGGGCAATTAGATTTGATAATTTCGTCTGAAAAGTGGTGCAGTAGGATTGACCTTCTCTTTCAACCTAGTCGAGGACTAGCACTTTTGAGAGTTCGAGTTTTATTAGCGAAGCGCTATATTTTCACATCAAAGAATTTATGCTTTCGCTTATCTTTCTGGACAAACCGAAACAAATCTAATTGCCCTCTAACCCTAACATTAATTTATATAAAGTACATTGCATCGTTAAATGACATCTGGAGATAAATGAGAAATTCCATCATCAGAGCCAGTTGCTTGTCTTGTAGAACAGTTCACTTTTCTACAAGACAAGCAACTGGCTCTGATGATGGAATTTCTGTTCCGAAAACGTTAAGCCTGCAATAAACGAACTCAAAGTACATTGCATATATCATGTATGATATATGTTATATACAGCTTATTGCTTTCTTTGTCATTGAATAGTCATTAACAATTGGAGTGGAGGACTCACGCCCAAGATCGACTCTCGCCCAACTTTCTGTTTCTCATTGTTGAAAATTTCCACATGGACTCTCGCCCAAAGGACTCTCGCCCAACTTGGGCGGGAGTCCATCTTGGGCGGGAGTCCACTTGGGCGAGAGTCCTCTTGGGCGAGAGTCCTCCACTCACTCTAAGCATCAGAATGTACCCTCATACTATTGATATAGGAAAATCTTTAGGAAAGGTATTTAAACTATCATCTGGAAATTGTTTGCTTCATCTTTTTAGGGTGGCTTTGGCGTGGTAAGCTTTGGAACGAGACGGGACACTGGCGACCAGCTTGCTGTTAAACAAATCAATCCAATTTGGAATGCCGATGCCGAAACAATTGCATCGATGCGAGATACGATCGAAAGCGAATGCGAAGCCAGCGAAAGGCTTCATCACAAAAACATTGTCACTTATTTCGGCTTCAAAATGGAGGTAAATCTAAATCTAAATCGTCCATTGAGAGTTGACAATTGCCGTCTAGGCAAACGATTTTCTGCGAGGGCAAATGATTTACGAGTACTGTGAGCTGGATCTTTCCAAAGAAATCTACCCTGAAGGTCTTGCTCAGATCACCATTCAATCTTACGCAATCCAATTGATCGATGCAATCGAATACATGCATTCCAGTGGCTGGGTTCATCGAGATATCAAACCTGGAAATATCCTCCTTTCTCCAAGACGAGATCACAGGTAGAATTCTATGATTGCTATAGCCTATAGAAAGCTAGAATTACCGCTTTAGCGTTCTCAAACTAGCTGATCTTGGCAGTGCCCTCCTCCTAGACGAAGAGACAATCGTTGATCGGCCAAAGGCAGAAATCGGGTGCACATCGAATTACGCACCCCCAGAAGTGTTTAAGGGAAGAGTGGGCTTGACAAGTGACATTTGGTCAGTTGGCTGCACGGTGCTCGAAATGATCACTCAGAAATTGCCATGGACGGCTGATTGTTGGAAAGAGCAATTTTTTCCTGGGCCAGTTTGGAGAAAATGATTATGACATAGAAAAATGGAGAAATCCACTGGAGCACTATGAACAGAAAAAGGGAAAACTTGAGACTCTCTTTGGCGGTTCCGCGTTTATTTTGTACGCTAAAAACTTCATCAATCGGTACGTTACCTCAGCCTTGCCAAAGAAGTTAATGAACTGTTTCTGTAGATGCTTCGATCACAACCCAGAAACGAGAATCACTGCTTCCGAGCTGAAAAATCACGCATTTCTTGGACAGATAGTAACTTCCTACTCGTGGTATTGAATCTCTTCTCTCTTTGATCGATCTTTTATTTACAGATAATAATACTTAAATAAAGTGGTTTAATTCTTCCTGATCACGTGTCGGATATAGTAGCTGAAGCCTTGGCTGAAGCGCGGATTGCAGAAACTGAAAGTTATCCAGATCATCTGCTTTTTTTCAATTTACCTGTAGAAAAAGCTGTTCAAAATTGAGTTAACGTAGAGCAGCGCTACTATCACGTGCTTGGTGAAATTGCACCAGAAGAAGCTCGGCATTTTGATTTCGACGATTGTCGACAAGTTCCAATACGTAAAGAAGGGAACACGACAGACAAAGAAGCTCAGCACCAGGTTTCTCACCATTCCCAGAGAGCGCTAGAATATCTGTAATTCGGAGAAATGAGAAAAGAGAACTTGCCGATCTGACAAAAGCTCTAGAAGAATTGGACCGCGAAGTTTGCATCACGCGGCGCATTACCAACGCGTTTGCCACTACAATCACCACTGAAACAAGCTTCAAAGGGGTTGAAAAGGACAGTAGCTTACCAGAAGGAATGGTGAAGGCAAACCAAGTCCATGTCTGAAGCCATCTCGAAAAGGCTTGAGTTTCACTGGGAGGAAGTTCGCAGCTCACGAGCGGAGAAACAGTCGAGTTTTGGACGGACGAGTCGGCGGGAATGGAAGTTGAGCTGTCGTTGAAGTCGAGATTGTAGTCGGAGTTCAACACTGGCAAGTCGGGAATGAAAAAGAGCGTCTCTTCTTTGCTCTTGTCCATGAATCTGTTTTGGCATCTTCCTTGATTTTTTGATTATTTAACAAATACCGTTGTCGTTTTCTTGCCTGCGGAGGTAATTGCGAACTCGTTGGAGATCAGAAAGCTGAAGATGGGACAAGTGATCCAGAGACATCGGACCACCCAGCGGGCGAAAACTGGCGTCCTAATTGGTAATTTTTTTTCGCAAAGAGGCTTGTTTGAAAAGTACCTGTATTTTAGTAGTTTGGCAAAGTTGGCACTGACGCTAAAATATCTTACAATCAGGGACTCCAAAATCATCCAAATGGATTCTCTCAAAATGAAGCAGATGGATTTTGTGTTCAAAGTTACTTTCATTAGTAAATAATGAGTGCCTCTTTCTCCCTATTGAATAATGAGTTCCCTGTTTCCCTGTCGACTGACATGACGGCCAAGAACCAGGCGACGATGGTGAAGTTTAGATAATGAAAGAATGCCCACATCCGACAGGATAATTGACGCATTCGCTCGCTGCACATTCGGCTGAGCAGATCAAGCTGATTAGATTAACAAAAGTCTGGCAAATGAGTTATTGGCTCTGGTTCAGTCAGTGTCTTCAAAGCATCGTTTTTGCTTGATTTTCTGATTGCGCTGGAGACAGAAACCGGATTAGCCGACGGTCAAGGGATTATTTCTTGGATCAAAGATTAGTTGCTAATCAGTATTTCTATAAATTCATCAATAGATGTAATGATAGTATTGTCGAAGAAAGAGATCTAAGAGAACCTTCCTCTCTCAAAGGGGAAAAATGGTATCTCGACTGCTTCAATTAAAAATGATTGAACCTCAATTAGAATATTGGCGAGCAAAATAGCGAACACACGCAATTACAGTAATTCGCCAAGAGGCAACAGGCCCAGCCCGTTCCTGTATTCTTCAAAAGCGGAAAACTCCGGCCAGGCCATGAAATAATCCGACCAGAGCTCCAAAGGACCAAACACCAAAAACGTAAAGTCGGTGAAGGTCAAATGAATAGTGTATCGGAAGCTGGAAGTGTGCTGGCTTCGCGCTGCGGACTTTCTTGTGTAGAAATGGATCACCAGAGCGAGGAGGTTGAAAACGAGGCCGATGATCAAAACCGTTCCCTGGAAATAATCAAGTTCATCGCGAAATCCAATAAAACGATAATAATTGAATATTTTATAATAAAAAATAAGTCCATTCTTTTTTTTATTTCTCTAATAAAAGCTCACCCTTAGAATAATATACTGAATCATGTCTTTCTTCTTTCTTAAAATAGTCTTTGAAAAAATGTATCGATACGAAAATGTAAGAAAAAAAGGAGGAAAGAGCAAAGAAGAGAACTCAGGAGATGGCGCGGTTTCCAATAATATTACCTCATTAGAAAAGGTCTAATCTAACGTTAGTTAAGCAGCCCAGCTATTTCTCCGACAGAATTAATCATTTATGGAATTAACGAATCATTATGTCACTTTTGAGTCTTGTATTTCAATTTCAGATTAAACTGATGATTCCGTGTGATGATTTATGTGTATTATAAAATATAATTTATACTCTCGTCACGAGAATCCCCTGGTTTATACTTTTTTCGGCGAAAGACTATCGAATAAGAACCACTTCCAATTTGCCCGGACTGCTAGGAAATTGCAACCATACAGTAATACACCTGCTGTCAATTAGCTGCGTCATAGCTCCTTGATTGCTCCTTCCAGGAACGCAGCTTCTCAAAATTATTCAGGTGCCACATCAATTCTAGCGCCATAGCAGGAGTTTACAAGCAAGTAACTTCCGATGTTCCAATAATAATACTTACGAACAACAAACAGGCAAAAAATGAGTACAAACAGCAAGAAGCTCCAATCCCGAAAGCAGCCAACTTCTCTTCTGATGCAGTCAGCAAACGGCACCCTCTACAACGCCATCGAAGTCGACCTTCTGACCAGAGAGAAAGTCCGGGACGTCGTGGTCAAGTTCTTTCCCAAATCCTCCGTCCGAACCTACGTCGATGTCAAAGGCATTCGCTGTCCTTCGGAGATCTACTTTCACGTCAAAGCCTTTTCCCTTGCCCGTCCCTTCATCGTCGAACCACTCGACTGGATCGAGCGAGAAGATGACTTCGCGATCGCCGTGGAAAAGCCCGAAAGAACCATGGTCCATGGACTTGTTTAACTTCTGCAACAAATTCGGCGTCCAGAGCGAGAAGAGCGCGAGAATCATTTGGACATGTCGCATGCTACAAAATGCATCTGGGGGGAGTGATCTATTCTGACATCAAGGACGAAAACGAACTCATCGACCCCGACACGCTTCAAATTAAAATCATCGACTTCGGCTGCGCGAATTAGGTTCAACATCTCTACGAGAAACAATCGTGAACAGATGCCTACTAGGTCATCACGGAGAATTTGAGGATTCTACCATTTTGGAGGGAGAATTTTGGGCTTCAACGGTCTAAAATTTGTAGAAAATATCATGCGTTTTGATGGTAAGCATGTTCTCCTGTAGCATGGCAACGAGTTGATATATTTGCGAGTCAACTTGTTATCTTTTGCAAGATCAAAACGGACAAATTTATGAGTAGCTTTCCTGCAGAGAAGAGTTCCTTCAGTCTCTCCACGATTTATCTTCCTGCACCGGACAACACTCTCTTTGATGAATTATGGACTTCAGGATCGAGTTTTACCGGTTGGTTTTTACGTCGCTTTTGACTTGATGTTCCAACTCGTTGAAAGATTCAGAAGTAGATTCAGATGATTCTTTGTCTTCAATAGAAAGTGTCGAGGAGAAAGAAGAAAGGGGAGGGATTTTGTCGAGATGGACTTCTATTTTCTGTTGCACTAGAAAACGAAAAGAAATAAACCATAAAATGTGAAAAAAGAATGGCCAGTACGGGGATCGAACCCGCGACATTCGCGTTATTAGCACGACGCTCTAACCAACTGAGCTAACCGGCCTGTCGGGAAAGCTTGAATTTGACATACATATTGTCGATCTTCCATGATTCCAGAGCTCGCAAAAAGTGTCGCCCGCGCCCCCACCCCCGAAAAACGAGCGGGCACCGCGGGCGAAAAAAGCCCGCTAGGAGCCCGCTTGAAGCCCGCCTGTAGCCCGCTAACAGATTTTTCTTTATGAGATGCATACGGATGTCGAATATTGAGAATATTGTATTCCCCATCAAATATGCGTGTATTTACCGTAATACGGCCGTCTGCACTTCGCGGCTGTTATTTTTACTTACAACAGTACAAAATGCTGTCCAAATCAATAATCCTGAGAGTCCGCTAAAGAGGGTTTACGAGAGGTTCACTTCGGAAAAGCTGAATTTAAAAATTTATCAAGAGCGCGATATAGATTAGTTTCTGTATACAACAGACAAGTCAGAAAGTAAATGTAAGGCCAGTGAAAAGAAAAAGAGAAAGTAATGGAGAGCGGGATATATTTTTTATTTCTTCTTATTATATTTATTATTGGTAAGGGCTTCCTTTTGATAAATTGTTTATTAAAAATAGTGACGCTATTGATTTTAATCTGGAATGAAATTCAAAACTACATTTTTTGCAAACACTCTTCTTCAGGAAATTTTCTCAAATTATAAATTTTAAAATTGCATAACTCAAAGCCGCAAACTGACCGATTTGTTGGTAAACGGAAGCGATTACTGTTCTGACGAGTCAGCTTAGAATTTGAGAATAAAAATGAGTCTACGCAGCAGATGATGATGGTCATATGGTTACCAAGTCTGGGCTCGGCAACCTGTGTAGAAAACCTGTGTAGAAAACCTCAAGTCAAAAGCGACCTGAGCTGTAGTGAAAAGAATTCGAAAGACTGATTTGGCATTATTGGCAAGGCCTCTTCGCGGCTTTGTTTAAAAAAAAGCCGCAACGCGGCTTTCAAGAACAGCTTTTCCAAACCCTGACTCAGGTTTTTTACACAGATTGCCGAGCCCGGTTAAAAGTGTCCAAGCTGGGTTGCCTTCAGAAATTACTATTCCCACTAGCTAAGTGAAAATTGACTACTGTAATAAAATCTGGAACAATTCTTCTTTTTTTATGCGAGAAAATTGTCTTTTATTTCGTGAAAGTGCGCTGCGGCTTCGTGGCGGAAATGGAGAATTAATCGCTTTTGGCCGCATTGATTTTTGTATTCGTATATTCTGGACTGCGGTCTCGCCACCGCTCGTTTCTGGACAATTGTAAAAAGTGGGAGAAGCCACTTGATTCCCATCTGGGCGCCTTTCTCATGGACGAATGTATGGGAATGAAATGAAACATTGCCCATTCGGAAATATGAATTTTGGCAAATGCAGTTGCGGGCAGTCGCAATTTCCTTCAGTACTTGACTTGCTCGGGGATTCAAATACATTTCTGAAGCAAAGCAATGTCTACCAGACACTCTTCTTCACGATGTTCGTCCAAAATTGTGGATAAGACTCGAAATTCCTGTCCCAAAATCGTCAATTTCTCTCAAAATTTGACCAATCAGAGCGCGATTTTGTCCAAAAACCGACAATCTTGGGCTGAGATTCCTAAGTTTTGTCCACATTCTTGAAGGAAGATACATTGATACATTATATACATGTTATTGCATTTCAAACTTAATTTTTTCGATTTGTTCAAAGCAAGAGGCCGCCTATCCGGTCTATTCTAGCCCTATTCCGAATAGGCGTAAAACTCAAAACCCTTGCAAGAAGTGTCTCTGGCTGCGTATTTATTATGGAGATGAAAGGCGCATTCCGCCCATCAATATGCGCCAACAAGCGAAAAAATCCGCTAAGGCCACTTACGGCGGCGGATCATCCCTCCTGAATAAAAATAACGAAAAAAAGAGCGCTGACTTTCAAAAATCATGTTTTCACGATCTTCGAACATAGATTTTCGAACAGTCAAGTCTCTTATACTTACTTATTTGAATATTGGCACTAGAATCTAACAGAAACAGCGAAATCACCTAAGTGTGATTCTAGCTCTTTCTTTTTGAAATTTCTTGTTTATTTTTTTCTCTCAAAAAGCTCAAGAAACTTCAATAATGAGCTCGAATAAAGATTCGATTTAATTCTAGTGCCAAATTCTAGTCTTTTAGTTCAAATAGAAGACTTGGAATTTTGGCCCTAGAGGACATTCTAGACTAGTCTCGCCCAGCAACTTGTGCCCAAAACCTGAGTCAGGGCCTGAGAGATCTTGAATGAAAAGCCGCGTCGCGGCTATTTTTAAAATGAAGCCGCACAGATTAAATTGATAATATTGTTATTTTTTTTAAATTTTGCGGCTTCGTTTTCAAAAAAGCCGTCACGCGGCTTTTAATTAAGCCTCTTTCATATCCTGACTCAGGTTTTGAACACAGGCTGCCGAGCCCAAATTCTAGAGTTCTATCTTGAAAGAAACTGAAGCGGAGGAAACAAGAGAAGATAAGAATTTCCTGCCTGAAAAAGATTACCGCGCCGAAGAAAGTAAAATTTCGTCTCGGAGCGAGCGACTCAAAAGGCTGGATCCTGATTTTCTGATGTCATTTTTTGTCGGGTGCAGAAGAGAAATGGCGATATTCCGACTGAAGATGGGCGTCAATTACAATAATTTGAAGGATCTGCGAGACAAGGATGGTTATACGTTACGGAATATTTCGAATGGCCAATTTAGAACAGATTTTATGATAATTTTTTGTTACGATATTAAAATAAATTTTTGAAGAAAATATTCTTTCCTTCAAAATCGACCTCTGATTACTAAACGTAAATCATAAAAAAGGCAAAAAGAAAAATTGAGCAGCGAAAAAAGCGTCAGATGGAAAAGAGAACTCAAAATAATCCTGCCCAGATCACGGAAAATGCCCCACGTGACACTCAAAAGGTATCTTTACATTCAACCTGTAATCATTTCAGAATCATAAATTCCTATTTTAGACGATTCCGGTTAAAAACCTGACGGAAATCTTCGAAAAACTCAGTTCGCAAGAAAATCCACGAAAAGTAAAGTTCATTTTAATTATTTTTTATTTAATAATTTATTTTCTAGCGAAAACATGAAGAAGAAGAAAAAAGTTGAAAATGCGAAAATATCTTTAGAAGCCAATTAATTTAGAATCAAATCAGCATAACAAATAAATTCATCCAGCTTTTGTCCATTTTCGTAAATATTATCGATTCCGAATTTATTTGCCCCAGATAGCATAAACAAATTGTTTCCAAATTCATAATTTTGATTCATCATAAATCTGTTTTTCTATAGATTGCATTATTCATAAAGCCTTAAATAAATAATTTCCATAAAAAAGAGAGATTTTCCGTTAAAAATTCACGATTTTGTTTTTTCATTTACATTTTCATTCTTTTCTCGAATACGTGAATATGTCACGCGAAAATGGCAATTTTCGCAAAATATTAAAATAGTATATTCTTCAAACTTTTGTTCAACTAACAGTTTACTGTACGAAACTACAGTTCTTACTGTCAGTTGAACAAAAAGTTTCAGAATAAAAAAATCTAATATTTTGCGAAAATAGTCATTTTTTTGATAAATTAAGGGGTCCCCATATTAACGGGAAAACAGGGAAAATAGGGGTCCCTATTTTTATTGTCGACTTTCTATTGAAAATAATTTGGCGCGGCGCAAATTCGCGGGTTCTGAATTATGTGAGTCTCGTTTAATCAAATGGGCGACATGAGAAAAAAAGTGCAAGTCCATATTCTGTCATGTCCGGTCGTGGGATAATCGCCCCGGACTAAAACTAGCGGGGCGAAATTTCTTGATTTTCTGATGAATCTAAATCAAATTCGCCTCCCGTCCCTGTGGGAAAAAGAAAATCAGATGCTTTTCTCATTTCGCGCTTCTTTTTTGTAATTTCCAAATTACATATACAATATTTCAGCACGGGCCAGCGAAAAAAGGCGTGGCTACTAAACTGACAAGCGTGTACTTGAAAATTGATATGCTCTTTTCCTCATGCGCCATTCAAGATTGCATGGTTGCATATTGAAAAAGATCCGGAATATGCATTCCGAGATGCAAAAGGAGACATTCCGCATCCTAAATACTCCCCTAATTGATCATCTTTCTAAGAAAAATGGCGAAAGTTTAGCCTGACGCTGGGCTCTCTAAACATGGAAAACCTGTGTAAAAACCTGAGTCAGGCCCCTGAAAAAGCGATTTTTAGCTTTTTAAAATACTGACTCAGGTTTATGAACAGGTAACTGAGCCCACGTCAGGCGGCCTGACTCAGGCCTGCGCTCGGCAACCTGTGTAGACCTGTGCGGAACCTGATTCAGGCTGCATTGATAAAAAAGGTCATTTTGCGAAGCCTGACTCAGGTTTTTCACACAGGTTTCCGAGCCCAGGCCTGAGTCAGGCCGCCTGATGTGGGCTCAGTTACCTGTGTATAAACCTGAGTCAGGATTTCAAAAAGCTAAAAATCGCTTTTTCAGGATCCTGACTCAGGTTTTTACACAGGTTTCCGAGCCCAGAGAAAAAGACTTTTTCGTTGGAAAATTAAAAAGCTCAGTTTCCGTTGCTGGCATTTTTTTCAACAAAATATTCGGAACTGATTAAAACATCTTCAAAAAAGTTTTCTTGCTTCTATTTCCGCTGACAAAAGGGTGGACCGGAAAATGTACAATAGTAATTATATGCGGAACAAAATGCTCAATCGAATGCCATCGAAGGCGCGCGCCGCCTGAGAGTTCCGCTCTTGAAGACTTCCGAAAAACAATCCCTTCCGCTATGCAAAAATCAAAACTAACCGCCGAGGAGACAAGAATAGCTGAATACTGATTTGAAATCAGTGATTTCCAAAAAAGAAAGAAGGAAAAAATCGGAAATGGATTTCTCATGGGAAAATTTTTATGAAAATTAGTAAAAAAAATGACCATTTTGGGTCATTACCGGCATTTTACCAGGGCTTGGAAGATGTCCAATAAAAGCCGCGTAGCGGCTTTTTTAAGAAAAGAAGCCGCAAAGCGTTTTCGCCAAAATTTCTGACCTGATTGGAAAGAAAGTTTTGCGAAGCCGCTTCGCGGCTTTGTTTCCAAAAAAGCCGCTACGCGGCTTTTAATTGAAGATCTTTCAGACCCTGACGCAGGTTTCCTATACAGTTCGCCGGGCCCAGGTTATAATACCGACCGATTTTCTTTATTTTCCAATTCTGAGATTGAGGCTGAAACTGTGAGGAAACTTCTTTCCTTTGCGGTGCTAGACACATTTCATCTTTTAGTCAAGCTGTCGCTGGAAATTAAAATGCCAGTGTGTATACCTATTATAACGCGTATTCATAACGCGTCAAGCCGTTCCGATTTACTATCGCCAGTGCTTCCTATTCCATCCTTTAGATTTCGAAATCCCAATCTTTGCAACTTTCGTACAGATCGATAGCTAAGTCCTCGGAAGCGCTAGAATGATCAGATAATGATTGTATTTGCAAACAATTTGCGGGGAATGCCGGTTTTGGTTTTATTCAGTTTCGAAGTTCCAAAGAGGGCTATAATCAATCGCAATTCTTGGTCGGCATAATTCGATTCAACCTTATCAATCGAGGAATTTACTTCCGATTTTACGTTTTTGAAATCGTTTTTCTTTCCTCTTTCTCTCAAGAGTAATTTTCTTCTAAGGAGGTATGCGCAAATTGATGCATTTTCCGGGCCTTTTTGGTTGAGTTATTTATATTAGAGTAAGGGTTAAGATAAGGGCTAGTGTTAGGGTTAGGGCACCCTTAAAATCAGAGCTCGACAACCTGTGTAGAAAACCTGAGTCAGGTTCTGAGAGGGTTAAATTTGAAGCCACTGCTTTTGTAAAGCTATTTTTTAGGGTAAGGGTAGGGATACCCTTAACGTCCGATCTCAGAGCCTGTGTAGAAAACCTGAGTCAGGTTCTGAGAGAGCTAAATGTGAACCCCTGCTTTTCATAAGCTTTTTGGAGCTCTCTCAAAACCTGACTCAGGTTTTCTACACAGGCTCTGAGATCGGACGTTAAGGGTATCCCTACCCTTACCCTAAAAAATAGCTTTACAAAAGCAGGAGCTTCAAATTTAACCCGAACCCAGTTGCCGACCCTTTTAGGAAGAACCTTTAGTAATTGAAACTACATGGGTTTGCACTATTTTCAGCGCTTGTCAAAAGTGCGATTTTCTAGTTTGTAATTTTTGTGTATAAAAATATTATGCGTTGACAATTTGAGGCGGATACTGATTCCGGAAGTAGAATAAAATTAATTTGAGAATAAAATCACAACTCAAAATAATCAAAATCTCATTTTAGAAGAACATCGAAGGTAAATATAAAAATTAGTGTTTTCAGTAAACATTTTTTCTTTCAGACTCAGAAAAAACGCTGATTTGTTTTGAAATTTTGAAAGTGAAGGAAAAGCCCTTCTTGGCTTTTGCCCAGAATAAGGCGCTAGAATGAGGCGCTAGAATCATGGGAAGAAAGAGCTGCTTCGCGATCAAGTGGGCCTTGTTGTCTTGAAAAATTTGAAAATTTCCTCTTGCGCATTTTTGGCACTTGATGCTGCGGCAACAAATTCAAATTATTCAAAACGCGCCTTTACGGGGTTAATGAAAATTATACCAAATATTCACGGAAGCGCTAAGCAACTTTGTTTTCGTTGACGCCGCCGAAATTAAGGGGGTGTCTCAGTTTTCCTTTTTCTCGTAAAAAAGTTCGACTTTCTTTCTTATTCAAAAAAAAATTGCCATGAAAGATTCATGCGCTAATCCAGGCTAATTATGCCTGTTTGAGATTGACTGACATTATCACGTGAAAGAAGCGGGAGCGAGTCAGCTGAGCTGGGTTTTTTCAAGGGTGGAAGTGGCGGCACCCCTTTCAAATTGACCAAAACTGTATACAAGCACTGACAAACAAGAATACAAGAATACATGTTTTGCATATCAATAGTACTTCTCGACCCGCACAACAAAGCTTTTAGCGGCGATGAGTAGTACTGCTATAAATTATAAATATTTTTTCGCAAAAAGAAATATCAAAAATCTAAAAATAAAGCAATTTTTTATTTAGTGATGTTTTTAAATTGAATCTGTCCATTTTGATAATTGTCCATTATTTTCAATTTTGCATCAGAAATTCTTTTTAATATGTTTTTCATCCCATTACCGGGGCTAGGCGTGACGGGTTAGCACTGACCCAGGTGCGTTTGCGCCTTTATTTTTTTAATAATTGTTGAAGATTTGAAGATTCTTGCTCTTTTTGATCAATTTTTCACACTTGCCTCGCAAATGTTGATTTGAGACATATGGTCAAATTGAAATCTACAAAAAAGAACCCAATGCTTCGAAGTTATATAAATCTTAGATTTTTCATTTTCACAGAAAATCTTTGACTTACTATTTAGGGTTAGGGCTAGAGTAAAGTTAAGGGTTAGGGTTACGATCAGAGTTGGTAAAAAAGTATACTTCACTCGCCCTTCAGAATGAAGTATACTTCATGAAGTATACTTCAGGGCGTTGCAGGGCGTTGAAGGGCGTGAAGTGTACTTCCGCACTTCCCTCTACTTCAACCGCCCTTCCGCCCTTCACTCTACTTCAACTTGGTTCTGTCGGCCATCAGAATCCATCCGCCAGAATTTTTTCAAATTTTACGCTTATTGGCTCTCAGGCGCCATGATTTAAATCACGCTGATTGTGGCAGATGAAGTGGCAGCGAAAGTTTTCGATAAGAACCGATAGCTGAAGTATACTTCAGCGCGTGAAGTATACTTCAGAGCCATTTCGTACTTCACCGCCCTTCAAGAATGAAGGGCGCCCTGCAGATTTTTGAAGGGCGGGGGGAAGTATACTTTTTTCCAGCTCTGGTTACGATCTTTGCTGAAAATCTAGAAACAAGGCTCGGCAACCTGTGTAGAAAACCTGAGTCAGGGTCTTAAAGATCAGAAATGAAAAGCCGCGCAGCTGCTTTTTTAAATACAAAGACGCAAAGCGGCTTCGCTAATATTGCCAACAATCTGAGTTTGTTTATTTGAAGGCTTAACGTTTTCGGAACAGTAATTCCATCATCAGAGCCGTTGAAGTCTTGAGATAACTGTAGATCTTTTCAAAAATCAGACAAATCTATCAAAAAATTTAGCGAAGCCACTTTGCGGCTTTGTTTCTGAAAAAGCCGCTGCGCTGCTTTTAATTTCAGTTCTCCCAGACCCTTACTCAGGTTTTCAACACAGGTTGCCGAACCAAATCTTGAAGCCGCTCCGCGCGGCTAATTTTCTTTTCGACTCGAAGCCGCAAGCGGCTTCTCGACTTTCCGATTAAGGCTTCTTATTTGACAGATTACTGTAAAATCCAAGAAGGTACCTGTAAGTATATGTATTGGAAAGATGAGTGCTTTTGGCTGTGAAATGAAGCGCGTGGAGATATGCGAATTGGAATGCATTTTCAATGCGTATTTCGCGCATTTGCGAATTATTTAAAAATGAAGGCGGCTCGGCCACTCCATTTTCGGGAAATAAAAATGCATCGATATTATCATGTCCTAATCGACATGCATGTCAAACGGGGCGTACTCTGACAGGCTAATTTTGAATATTGAATTACTCCTTCTCAATTATCCTCTAATTAGATATTTACAGATAATATTCCCAATCGACAATATTTCGACTGCTCTTCTTCGATCAAAACGCTAAAATGTCAATTTGAATTGTAATTAATTCTTATTCGGAAACACGCTTCCTTCGGTATAGTCAATTTAGATGTGCGTAAATGATTATGGTGGAAAATGTAGGTCAATGCCTCAAATTAAATGAATTTTTGTCGCGATTCGCGAATTTATTAGAAATTATAATTATGGAGAGAATGAGAGAGTCGTTTTTGAACGCTCTTACGTCTTGACTTTATTACGAAAGATTTCCAAAATGGAGAAAAAGTACGAGAATAGATCTCGATCGATTTTCGCGTGACTCTTCCTTTTCCGGAATTTCGCGAATTTTTCCTGGCAAAAGGAAAGTATAAGAAAGCATTACACGCGTTCTGAAAAAAGCTCTAGAATCAGCTTTAAATATACTCTGGTCACCCGACTGAGAACAGTCTAACCCGATCGTTGGGGACACCCTTAAGGGGAAAAAATTTCGAAAAGTCGTTTAAGAAAAGCCGCGCGCGGCTTCTTTTATCGGCTTCTAAACGCTAAAAATCTCCGCGCACGCGTATTTGTTTACTCCCCAACACAACACCTTCCCCTCCCCCAGCCTCTTCTGAGTCTTTTGAGTAATTTCCGCTCGGTGGCGCTTTCAATATTTTATTCAAATTATTCGCCGCCGCTTATTCGTCTGAGCATACGAGTCGCGCGCCGCTCCGCCCGTGCGCCGGCGCAAAAAGAAAAATGCTCTCTTCCGCCCTCTTGGCGCCGCGCAACTGCTCCCTCCCTCCATAACTCGAGAAAAGAGCATATTGTGCGTACCATATTCAATCAGAGAATTATATCCACGCATATACCTTCTCAAAAAAACAAAAAACTTTCAAACTTCATTTTTAAAAATTCAAGAAAAAATGACAACAGAAACGAGCCAAAACGAGCCAGAGCCAGTTGAAAAGAAGCCGACAACTGAATTTCTCCAAGTTCCAACATCTTCGCCAAAACACGTGACGGCAGGTAGAGCCACGCCAAGTCCAACAGGGACAGCTGTAGCGAGCCAGAGCACGGCGGGGACGCCAAGTGCGGTTTCAGAGGGACAAGATGGGATGATCGCAAAACTCCTCGAGCACTTTCAACAGCAACAGCAGCAACAACAAGTCCACGCTCAAACACAAGGTAAGAGATTAGAACAAATTTTAGAAATTGTAAATCGAATTAGTCGTAAAACTAGCCGATTGCATCTTTTGACTCAAAAAACGACCACCAAATCATAGAATTCATAGGTTGAATAAATCGGTCTCGAAAGCCGCGCGCGGCTTTCTAGACGATTTCAACTAAATATTCAGTCTTCATTTTCAAACGAACATTTTAATGAACAATAACAACTAACCCTAACCCTAACCGTTGAGGCGGACAGTAACCCTACATTAGGGTCCATTTTTCACTAAAATTCTTGTTTTTAGCTATTTTTGACACCTAAAAAATACATTTTCTATTTTTTTCATTTTTAGAAGTAGATAAAGAAAAAGATAGCTGGCTCGGAATAGGCCGCCTAAATCTGTTTGAAGCGTTCATAATGAGGATGCAAATCGCGTAAATATTTCCAACCACAGCAATCCAACAGGGCCAAAAATAAATATTTGATCATGGATATATATTTGAATATCTTTCGTAAGCCCAGGGCGGCCTTTCTGTGGCGGCTTATTTTATGCCAAATGATAAATATATAAATCCGCAGAGTCTGTTTCGCACTTTGGAGGTGTCATCTAATCGTATCAACAAAAATATAACTCCATAAACAGCTCATTTTTAAGGTGCTCAAAAGTCAAATGAGTTTTTTTACTAGAAAAAAATTAATTAATATTAAAAATTATTATTTAAACAAAAACAAAGTTTAGATATTGAAAAATAAGGGGGTCTCTGTCTTAAATAACTATTTTCAGAAGATATTTCTCCAAAAATTAATATACTGACACCCTTATTTTTTCTCTCTTTCAATTGATAAAACCCTTATCTTTGATTTATAAAGGCTTAATTTTTAAAATTCAAAATTTTTTTTAATAAAAATTTCAATCAAAGTTGTCTTACTTTTGGTAAAAAGAGACTCTGAAAATCTAAAATTAGACTGAAGTTGAATTTATTGTTATTTTTTTTCTGGAGCTAGAATTTTTATTTGCAGCTTATCAGAATTATAATTAATAAATCGACTTTTTTATGATCGATGTTTTTTGAAATATCAAAAATAATAAAATAATGACTTATTTGTTTTGAATTTATTTGGATAAATGCGGTGCGGGTTTTTGCACCTCGGGACTGATGGGTAGTTAAATCCGAATGAGATTTTATTTAGAATAAACAGATACAAACCCAACGCGGCTTTTTCATCAAGATTTATTTGAAAAGGAAATCAAACAGACACAGGCTCCTGTAAAAAGTAGCTACTCGGCGATTTCCGAGATTTCCGCAATAAACAATCTCATTTTCGTTCCTCTTCATTCCTAGCTCATTATTATTGAAATCAATTTGGTTCTTGAAATAAGCGACTTCCGACAAGCACTTCCGAGTCTTTTTCTTGAACATCGTGTTTTATTTATTTTTAGGACAACCCTGGGCGAATGCGTACACGAATCAACAACTAGCAATCACCATTCAAATGCAAGCTTCTTTGACCAACATTCAATGTAAGTTTCTTCATTCAAACTACCACGAATCTAATCCCAACTTTAGCAATCGAAAAGAAGCTGGAAAAAAGCGCGGAAAACTTCGCAGAACTCCTCGATCAATTCTCAAAAGCGTCTCGTTCTCCTGAGCAAAAGCACTCGCCCAGTTCCCCATCATTCCAAAGCGGCAGTAACTCGCTCCGGGGAAAGTTCCGCGATTCCGACATTTCCACCGGCAGCAATGGTACGTCACAGCATTCCGGCTCGTCGTCGTCTGCTTCCTCCTTGATGCGTCCCCAGCATGGGCTTCCTCCCCTAGCGATGAGAGGACGGCCACATTTCCATCCCGGAACCATGGATGAAAATATTCAAGTAAGTTTTTTTTCCGCCAGAGATATTGATTTCTCTTCTCTTATCGAAGACTTTAGGGCACTAACTACCATTAGCTTGCGGAAACCTGGTCTCGGCAATCTGTGTTGAAAACCTAAGTCAGGCTCTTGAAGAGCTGACATTAAAAGCCGCGCAGCGGCTTTTTTAAAAACAAAGCCGCGAAGCGGCTTTGCCTGAATTTACGATAGATTTTGATGGTTATATTAGCGAAGCCGCTTCGCGGTTTCGTTTTTAAAAAAGCCGCTACGCGGCTTTTCATTTTAGCTCTTCCAGAGCCTGACTCAGGTTTTTTACTCAGGTTGCCAAGCCCAGCCAGTGGCACCATGATTCGCTGAAAACACACAAATTTGTCCAGCTGAGTATGGACGGGTTAATACCATCAGAACGAGCTGAAGGGTCTGATCTTTACTGGGAATACTTAGTTATGGACGTAGCCATTGATTTAAATGTAAAAGTCAAATTCGGTAGTCATTGTGCGGTCGGCCCTCCACCTGGTCATCCCCCCGCGTCAACGGTCATTTTGAAATAAATTCGGGCACCTGCATTATTCTCGTGAATTTATTAACATACGCCCTGAGAAGAGCCCTTTCTTAACGTAACTCAGAGAGAAAAAATGACCTTTTCGCAGAATATTTTTTGATATTCAAAAAAGCGGGGAGATTAAAAAGCTCCTTTTCGGAGGACTCATCGTATTCTCTCTTGCATAATCCCCTGGTGCGCGTTTGAGTATTCCTCGTGAATCAAAAATTTTTATTTTTTGCATTATCTCGCCACAGGTTATGCAGAAGGCGGGACCCCGCTTGTCATGAGCAACTTTCAATTTTTTCTCTTCCATTTTTTTTGAATTTTTTGCAAAATCGCATCGTTTAGTGCATAAAATACAAATCAGCGGGCGTGAGAAAGAAACCGAAACGCCACAGACATTCAGTCGCAACAAATGCAAAAAAAACGACAAAAATAAAAATGGAAGAGGAGAGAATGGGATTCCCAGCCTCTTCTCTGAAGAAACCGTCTGCGGCCCTTCATTTTTTTCAAAAAGAAAAAGCCGCGCGCGGCTTCGGAGATCACGAGGGAAAGAAAAAACTTGATCTCGAAAGCCGCGCGCGGCTTTTTCCAGGCCTTCGAAAAGCAGGCTTAGGTTGTAAGTCTTATTATGGCTTTTTCTTAACCCATTTGTTCGTCATGGCCATTTTCTTGGACATTTGCTTTTTCGACTCGGAAGTGTTCCAAGGACTCATGAGGTGGAAGTGCCAGCACCTGACACGGGGCCCAGTAACTTCATTTGCTTTTTAATCTCCGGTCGGGCAAATTTTGCAGCTTTTGGCAATATTATTTTTTTGACTTGCATGCAGTACAGGTGGCCATTCGGCTCGCCTGACCCAACCCATGTATAATACTACGCTATGTTAATGAAATTCAGCAAGATAAACCACCACCTGCCGGAAAAAGAATTAGAGCCAGAAAAAAGTTCTTTTTCTTGCGAATTAGAAAATTCAAATTGAATTAAAAGCATTAGGCTTTAATATTCAGTAAAAATTGATAAAAAAATGATGCGAAAATTTGGGTCGTGGAAATCTTGCGAAAATGATTTCATCTTTATGACGCGGGGGAAATCATTAATGTAAATTTTCAATCATGAAAAAACGATTCACGCGAAAATTATGTATAATTTTTTCCTAAACAAGCGATTGCGTAAGATTTCCGATGATGGTCAGATTGGAACATTACTGATGCTTGAATTTTTAGCTTGAAGAATTGGACAGATTCGCGAAGGAATTCAAGCAAAAGCGGATCAAGCTCGGCTTCACTCAAGGAGACGTCGGAGTCGCTATGGGAAGATTGTATGGAAGCGACTTTTCGCAAACGACGATTTCGCGTTTTGAAGCGCTCAATCTTAGGTAACCAGTTTTCTCCCCACCCAAATGAGACGATTTCCTTTAGTTTCAAAAACATGTGCAAGCTGAAACCAATTCTCGAGCGCTGGCTAGAAGACGCGGAACGCTACCTGACTCCGAATCAACAGTCCTTGTCCACTGAAGCTCAGTTGGAAAGCGCGAGACGCAGGAAGAAGCGAACCTCAATCGACAATTCTGTCAAAGGTACTTAGCTTATTGTTTTGTCGAAATTCGCGAGTTAGGTAATGAGCTGCTTAGCTGCCAAAAATGCACGTGGGTGAATACACGGTGGTTTATTCACGGCCTGAATGTGGCATTATTAGCTTGAATGTCGTGGAATATCGCGACTAACACCACGAATATTATACAAACGAATAATCATATTCCATGAGCGCGAATTTCAAGCAAAATCGATAAATGTCATCTTCAAAAACGCTTGAAAATTTCATGAATCAAAATTCAAATTTCACTAAATGTCACTAAATTTTGTTCTTTTAACTGAACTAATCATTTAGTAGCTTTGGAAATGCATTTCCTTCGAAACTCCCGACCAACCAGCGCCGAAATCACGCAACTGGCCGAAGACCTTGAAATGGAGCGAGAAACCGTGCGAGTTTGGTTTTGTAATCGGCGACAAAAGGAAAAAAGAATCGGCAGTCACGGAGAGGTACTAAGAGGACTATCCGAAGAGCGGGGAATGAGTGAGATTAGGAGCAGTCAAATGAGATGCAAATTTGGAGCTCATTTCAATCCAATAATAGAAGGATGAGCACCTGCGCATTTCGGAATGTGACAGGGGCTTGTTTAGGTCAAGCGCGGGTCGAGCGAATATTTTGAAAGAAATATTTTTTTGAGAATAGGCCTTACTTCATTCAGCCCTCACTTGAAACCCCGACTCTGCATGAATTTCAATTAGTCACTAACTCCGTTCTTTTCAGGAGGAAAACGCATCGATTCAAGACTCCGAGCCAACATCTCCAGTTGGCACTACTCACCCGACCCTGCCAGCTTCCAGCCCGATTGCCCAAGTTTCGCAAATCCCTCAGATTCCCGTCTCCATTCCCCTTTCGATCCAGAACGCTGACTTCTACCAGAACTTAGTCAACATGCAAAAGAGCGGAGGACTATTCGGAAATATGGCCTCCGAGATTCCGAAGCTGCCAAACTTTGGTTTCTTCCCTCAAATTCCGCAAATATCGGCGCCAAATCAAATGGCAGAGATAACTGAGCTTCCAACTGCACAGTAAGAGTTACTGTATATCCCCGTCACAGCTTTATAAATATATTTTCACTGTATAATAAAAATATAAAACTCATTAATTTCATTTGATTATTGTTGATTTCAAAGTATTGTTTTTGCTAATGGGCTCGGCAACCTGCGTGGAAAACCTGAGTGGAGTCAGGGTCTTAAGCGGCTTTTCTAAAAACGAAGCCGCAAAGCGGCTTTGCCAGATTAAAAATTGTTTGACGTATCAATATTGATTTAGCCGCTTCGCGGCTATGTTTTTAGAAAAGCCGCAACGCGGCTTTTTACCATCACTCTTCCAGGACCCTGACTCAGGTTTTCCACGCAGGTTGCCGAGCCGAGATATGACTTTATTCGATGAACAGCATATTTTTTAGTTTCCGACAAAGCTCTTATTATTTTTTCCGCATCGAATAAATTCAAGAGGCAGTTCACTCTGTTTGGAATATTTTTCCGCGCAAGTCGTTTTATGTAATTCGGCAAAAACTTGAAATTCAGTCGGGATGCTTAAAATTATGCTGAAAGCGCGGCCGAACAAAAAAATTCATAAAAAACATGAGTGCTTATTATTTTCTCTCCTTTTCTTTTTGCAGTGTTTAGGAGTTAGTGGGAAAATCTGGTTCTTTTTAATCAAAGATCGCATTTTTATCTGGTTTTACGATTTTTCTTGCCCAAGATCTGAAACGTGAGTGCTAATTTTTTATGTATTTATTCCATTGTTTGGCAGATAGTGGAAAAAAACAGGTCAGTTTTTAAAAGTATGGAACTGTGTGGAGTGATTTGAACAATTCTATTCTTCTTTCGCAGTGAGAGATTTTTTCTCAGCAAGTACGATGTTCTCTTCGTTGATTTCATTCTGATTCTCGTCTTTCTTTGGTTCTTCGTATTTCTTTCGTTTCAACACTCGGTAGATGTGCCAGCTTGTGAACAAACTAAAATATGAAAAGTTTAAAACCCAAAGGCTACTAAAGTCCCTCACGTGATAAAAGCGGCAACAGCGTTCACAATGAACAAGACCTTCTTGGTGCCCATCGCCGCGATGAATAGGTTACTGATCGTCGGCACAATAAGCGTCATCAGCCCGTCAAACATCTGGTCGAAGAAGAGGGCCTTGTTGAGGTTGGCCCCGCCGACCAGGTCGATCAAAATCACGTATTTGAGACCAGAGTAGCCAGCCAAGCCAAGAGCAAAGAGAACTAAGCCGATGGCAAACATCCAGTAACTTTCAGCGAAGATAAAGGCGATTTGAGAAGCAAGGAGAACCGCTGTCCACGCGAATTGGAGAGTGGTTTCGGAGAAGCACTTGGTTAGCTCTCCCCAAAGAGGTCGGAAGAGCACCTAGAATGCTGCGTTATTCAGGCAGAAATGATGTTAAATGTACCTCTGGAATAGCGCTCCACAAAATCAGCTGACCAGCCTTTTCTCCATCAATTCCCATTTCAATAGCAACATTCGTAATTTCCGTAAAAACCGAGCTCATGATAAAACCAGAGCAGACCATGCAATTAACGATCATACAGACGATTCCAGGGTTCTTCAGTACGCCGGTGAATTCCTTCACTTTATCGCCAAAGGGGACTTTGTTTTCTTTCTCTTCGAGCGCTCGTTGTTTCTGGCTCTCGATTTCGGAGGAGTGCTGGTGGAAGAGAGTAGCCACGATGGCTAGGGAAGGATGTTAGTTCTATCGCTGAGGGTAGAGTATCTTACCTTGGTGGAAGAAAATTCCAGTCATGATCAAAAGCGCGCCTGTCCAGCTCATAACAGTGGCGAGGTAGGAGGTAATCGGGAGCAGGGCAGTAATGAAGATAGGAGCTCCAATAAAGAGGTAGGGATTCCATTTGTTGCGAGTCTGAAAATTTTCTTTACAAGGAAAGTTGTATATCCTAGACGTCTAGGAAGACTTAAAACTAGCATGTATGTCAGTGCATATTCCATGTTTTACCTCGTCTAGCCAATTCTGTGGGGTGATGCAAATGATTCCGAAGGAAAAGCCAGCGCCGATGCCGGATAAAATTCCCATAATAATCTGCGGGATGACAAAGTACTCGGCAGGCCACCAGTTAGCAAAGTAGATCAGCAAGTAGCCGACAAGCGAAAAGACAGTGGAAAGAGTGAGCCACTCGCGAGCAGAGAGCTTGGAGTAGAAAGCGGAGAGGAACATCGCGCCAAAGTAGAGGAAGCCTTGGTTGAATCGCTGATGCAAGGAGGCTGTTTCTTGGGGCAAACCATAGGAACCCTTCCACTGAAAAACAGATTAGAAAAAAGTTGAGAAATAATAGCAGAAAAAAATGATTCAAAGGGCGCTAAGCTTTGAAAAAGCAATATTTATCTTCTGAATGATCATTCTCTCCTGACTGTAATTTGAAAGTGTACTTACTGAGGCTGTGAGGACATTCTGAAAAGCCGAGAAACCGAAAGTAAATCCAGAAAGCAGGGCCGAGCAGGCGACAATCAACTTCGAGTAGCCGCCATCTTTCTTCGTTGAAAGCCCAAGTCTCTTTTTCGGATAGCCCATATTCTCCGTTCTTTGGGCAATTTGGGTGCTAACGGGCTTAGTGAAAAAACGGCCTAAATTTCGGGATTCTCTCGATTCCTCAAACGAGTCCGGGGCGAAGTGCAAGAGATGACTCATTTTTGAGCTCCTCACTGGACTCGCGCCAACCAATAGGGAATCATCAAGGCCTGAGGAGCTGAGTCAACTTTTCAGCAACCTAAAAATGAGAAAAAATTGAGAATAAAATGAAAACAGTAGCATCCTTCAGTACCGAACTGAAACTTCCGAAACTGATTGAGTCTTGAAGCAATAAATATCTAAGTTGACAAATTTTCAAGAGTTGTTTTTTATAAATTGATTTATTCTGAAATCACACTGATATGAAGAGAAGAAGCAGGAGAATGGAATTTTTGAAGTAAAGTAAGTTTCGAAGCAATGATCTTTGTACAGTCATAGTAAGGTCCTTCAGAATGTTCTTTGTTTACTCATACTGGTAGCAGACAATTTCATCTTGCATGAAGTAGGCTTGTTGATCTGGTTGGTCTGGCTGTCCGACCGCTGTCTCGTAGACGTAGTAATCGCAAGCTGGGAATTCACCGGTGACGACTTGAGTTACAGGAGGAAGAGCAGAGTTGCTGTTTTCTTGGTTGAAGAGGGGAGAAGCTTGGGCAGGTTCCTGAGTCAGGACTCCAGAATCCGGAGAATGAGCGAAGGCGAGAGAAGTTTCTGGAGAGTAGTTTTGCTGCTCAGCGTAGCTAGAATCCGGCGAGAGTTGACCTTGACTGTGATTTTCGACTGGAGAAGCAGATCGATTCGCAGATTGAACCGGTTGTTCTGGAAATGACTGGTTCTGTGCCGGGATCATCCCTTTTCCCATCATCTCAGCGGTGACTTTTTCCAGGTAGAGAATTCGATTGATTGCTTCTCGAAGAATCTTGGCTTTGGTTGGTGTTTTCATGTCTGGGCAGACGATGGTTCGGATGTCTTCGATGCAGTGATTAAGCTTTTCCATTCGTCGTTTTTCTCGTTGAGTAGCCATTTTTCGCCGGTTGGATCGCTCTTCTTTTTTGGGGTCTTGTCGATGCGCCGGGGCAGTTGCGATGGGGACGGATTGGGGCTGCTGAACTGGGGGTTGGAAGGCTTGGGGAGGGAGGTTGACGTGAGGTTGAGGGACATGGAGAAAGTCCTGGCCCCACATGACGGTTTCGGAGGGTTCAGGGTTGATCATCGAGCTCTTCATGGAGTATTCGATCCAGGTTGAAGTCTCTGTAACCATTTTTTGCTTTTTGCTTTTTGAGGTTTTGCTTTTTTGGTTGTTTGAAAGTGTGTTTTAAGTTTGATGAGTGTTCGGAGAGAGGAGGAGTATTTATTGCAAGCGTGTGAATACAGAATATCGCCACCTATGTGCGCATTTTGCATTTTTTTCGCGTTTAGCGGCGGCTGGCGCCTTTCAAATGCCCCGCGCAGGAGGGAAGATTCTTATCGATGGCGAAAATCGCCATGTATTCAGGATATTGGCTTCGTGGAAAGCTAATCTGATACTGATCTCGTATCTGATCGAGTTTGAGGATCAACGAAAAAGCTGGCGAAGGGTTCCGGGAAAGAGCTATTTCCGTTTCCGCTTGTCGCTAGAAAATTGTAATAAACATGTTTTTCATTGCTTCTCTTTCAAATTCATGACAGATAAGCTAACTTACTAGAAAACAAGGAAGAGAGTAGACTTTCGAATAGAAAATCTCGATAAAAAAACTGATTTTAGATTTTTTTTTTGATTAACCAAATGATTTATCTTAACTGAGGCGACTTTAGAACTTCGAGTGGAGGACTCTCGCCCAAGTGGACTCTCGCCCAAGTGGACTCCCGCCCAAAAGGACTCTCGCCCAACTTGGGCGGGAGTCCATCTTAGGCGAGAGTCCATGTGGTAATTTTCAACCATGAGAAACAGAAAGTTGGGCGAGAGTCCATCTTGGGCGAGAGTCCACTTGGGCGAGAGTCATCCACTCCAATTGTTAACGACTATTCAATGAAAAAAAAATGCAATGAGCTGTTTATAATATATATCATATATAATATATGCAATGTACTTGATATAAATTAAAGTTAGGGTTAGGCGGCACTGGGCAAAATGACAGAACAACCTTACCCCAGGGGGATAGGCTAGGGTTAGTTAGGGTTACTGAAGGTAATTTAAATAATTTTAATAATTTCCGCTGAAAAGTGGTGCAGTAAGACTGACCTTCTCTTTCAACCTAATCGAAGATTAGCACTTTTTTGAGATTTCCAGTTTCGGTTTGTCCAGCAAGATAAGCGAAAGCATAAATTCTTTGATGTGAGAAAATATTGCGCTTCGCTAATAAAACTGGAACTCTCAAAAAAGTGCTTATCCTCGACTAGGTTGAAAGAGAAGGTCAGTCCTACTGCACCACTTTTCAGCCGAAATTATCAAATCTAATTGCCCCTTACCACGGGGCTTCGCCCCTTAGGTCCTAAGATGCCGGGGTCTAGTCTAGGGTTACTTAGGGTTACCTTCAGTAACCCTAACTAACCCTAGCCTATCCCCCTCGGGTAAGGTTGTTCTGTCATTTTGTCCAGTGCCCCTAACCCTAACTTTAATTTATATAAAGTACATTGCATATTTATTATATACAGCTCATTGCTTTCTTCTGTCATTGAATAGTCATTAACAATTGGAGTGGAGGACTCTCGCCCAAGATCGACTCTCGCCCAACTTTCTGTTTCTCATTGTTGAAAATTTCCACATGGACTCTTGCCCAAAAGGACTCTCGCCCAACTTGGGCGGGAGTCCATCTTGGGCGAGAGTCCTCCACTCTAGAACTTCACCATGAATACAACAGAAAGTCTTAATTTCTAGCAATCATTAGAGCAAGAAGCTCGCATAAAAAATTTACCACCGCGCAAATTCCAAATTCCAGAGTAGCTGAATTCTCCCCTTGGCTGAAAGATTGTTACCTTGTCATTCTCAAAAACCTCAAAAACAAGTCTGAAAGCGCTGTAATCGACCGTCAGTTGACAGTGAGCTTAGCATAACTTTCGTCGACTTCCTCGAATTAGAAAATCTGAGCGGGATTAGCTCTCTCCCGGGGTGTCATCTCCCACAATTCTCAGTTCTCAAAGACTCCTTCCGTCCGACCAAGTTCATCATTCTCACCTAGGAGGCCGCTTCATCTCTCAAAAGTCTATTAATAGAACTTTGAAAATTAAGGGGCTGGACATCTTTAATCGCGATTTTCGAGATGATATTTTCCAAAAAAAAATTAGACATTGACTCCCTTATATTTTCGAATTCTGAGTACACAGCTTCAAATAAGGGTCTATCCTTTGTTCACATTTGAATAATCAAAAGTTAAATTAATTGAAAATTGAAAAGCAAAGCACTGATTTTTGAATATTAATCAATCAATCAGACTCTGAACTTTCGAACTCATAGACTGGTAATGAACTCATTTTTTGTAAAAATCGATGAATCAATTTATTTCAACTGATTTGCATCGCCGAGCGACGAATGAACTAAAGTCGTCAATTTCAACCCCAAGAGAAGAAGAGAAGAAGGGAGACTGTTAAAACTAATCCCCCAGAAACCAAATTTGAAGTAATTACAAAAATGAACTCAAAAACAGCAGAAGAGATCTGAAGAGAAGACAGAGACGTAGACTGAAACGAGAAAAAGGAAAATGAAGAAAGAAGAGTCTGGAGAATCGAATGCACATAAATTATGTGACATAATTAAATTAAAGAAATGACGTCAATTGTAATCAAAATTAGACAAGTTTGAACTGGGTCACTTCATTTGAACAATTCGTCATAGACGGTTTTTCTTTGAACTTCTCCCAGGTTCAGAAGATGCATTGAACGAAGATAATCGACGGTTCTTATTTCAGTTCTGATGCGTCCAGAAACTTATCTGAAGATTAGATAGCTGCGCGCGGTTTTCGAATGAAGACAAAATTTGATCATTTATATATCAATTCGAAAGCCGCGCGCGGCTACCTTATCTTCAGATAAGTTTAAGATCACAGAAGAATTGAAATAAGAATCGTCGATTATCCTCTTTCACTTGTGGAAAAAGTTCAAAGAAAATTCCAGAGAAGCGTGAATTTATTGCCCTCTGCTCGCGCTCTAATTAGGGTACTCAGAGCGTCGTTCACAAAGTCACAAATTGCGCACATTAAAACCGGTCTGAAATTGAGTAGCTCCAGTTTTCTGTTTGAAGTTGGAAGAAATAGACAGCAATTCAAAATGAATACAAATGAGAGCATAGGAGTCCAACTCCAATGCTGAAAGTCCATGAATCATCCAAGATGATTTCAAAAAACTTTTTGTGGGGCCGGAAATCGTAAAAAACTGCAAGTGCAGTTTTCTTCAGTTCGTCAAGACGAGTCGAATGATGGGTCTAACTCCTGATAATTCTAAGGATTTACCGGTTTACCGGCTGGTTACCGGAAAATACGTTGTCACCGGCCGTTTTTGTTCTAGAAGTGATAGACTAGTGTTTGACACCGGAAATTGTTCTTTATAGTCGGTTCTCCTGCAGCCTAAAAGATGAAGGTTGTATCAATTCTCTGAAGAGAGTTATCACTAAAAACAGTAATTTTTACTAAAATTTTGTTGTTGCTGCACGTTCCTAATTTCTAGTCCCATTTTCGCCAAAAATAGTATTTTAGTGATAACTCTCTTCAGAGAATTGATACAACCTTCATCTTTTAGGCTGCAGGAGAACCGACTATAAAGAACAATTTCCGGTGTCAAACACTAGTCTATCACTTCTAGAACAAAAACGGCCGGTGACAACGTATTTTCCGGTAACCAGCCGGTAAACCGGTAAATCCTTAGAGTTATCAGGAGTTAGACCCATCATTCGACTCATCTTGACGAACTGAAGAAAACTGCACTTGCAGTTTTTTTACGATTTCCGGCCCCACAAAAAGTTTTTTGAAATCATCCAATTCAAATTTCATAATTGTCTTATTCCTTGAAAAGACGGATAACCAGTGGAGAAAACCTGAGTTAGGGTCCGAAAGATCTTTCATGAAAAGCCGCCAAACTCAGATTTTCTACTCAGGTTGTCGAGCCCAGTTACTGTAACTAATTTCCGGCTAAGCAAAGGCAGAATTCAGCACGAAATTAAAATTAGATGAGTCATAATCTCTTTGAAGCTCACTGTGAGTTATCTCCCTTCGTGTTGAAGGGTTGAAGAGGACCCCTTGAACTTGGAACTTGGTCGTAGTGGATCGAGGCGGCTGGGCGCTGAATCGCGGCGCTGTGAGTGGCGCGAGCGATCGACCAATCAGCGCGTCGCTTGCGCCCGCGTCCTCCAGCAGAGCCCGCCTACGTGTTTTCTTTCTGGGACGATCCACACTGCGAGTTTTGCCTCTGGACGAGCTCTCTGTCTCGCCACGGACTCGCCAGTGAGCTCCCTCTTTCTCTCTCTGTTCTCCCAGGCCCGGCACCTCTCTAAGGTGCTCCTGCCCAATTACAAGCCCCCCTTTGTTAAAATAAAAAACAGCCATTTTTGGGACAAAAATCTAAAGAACACAAAACAGACTCCGCCGAAAGAGATTATACAGTAACCCAATACTGCCCAGAAGATTAACATAAGTGCCACAAACTGAATCTTTGAACGTTCAGCTATTGAGAGATACGCCCTTAAGAAAAGTGAAAATTGAGAAAGAAAAAAAGAATATAAGAAACAGAAAAATTTAATCAAAGGTATTTCTTTTGAGTTTTATGATTATGTAATACGTTTTTTGGCGAATCCCAGGAGGTGGAAGGCTATATTTATGCAATAATAAAAATAATCGTTACGCCCATCACGATAGTTATTATTTTTGTCCTTTTTATTTCGAAAAGGGGCTAATTGTTTTTAACCCCTTTGAACCCGAATTGTACTGAAAACGTCTATTCGGCGATTTGCAGACTTTCAAAGAATTTTTTTTATTGAAGAAGGAATGTCAATTAGATTTTAATTTTGATTAAAAATCATTACAGTAAGAAAAATGCGGAAATAGTTGTTCAAATCTAAAGACGCAGATTGAATTCTATGACTAAATGATGAGTTTTCAGAAATAAGATACAGCCGCTCTTGGGAGCTTGATTTCTTGTTCGGAATTTAATCACCGCTTTTTCTAAATAGCTTAATTTAATTTGCTCGGCAGCTGATTACTGATTGTTATTTATTCTTAGCCGTTTTTCTTTCAAGACAACATTCAAGTTCGCTTTTCTTTCGTTTTTTGGTTCCAGTAGTTTGAAATTAGCAAACGCAGCTGTTTCGTTTTGAGAGTTGCAAATGTGCGCATTTTTGGATTGAAACTTTTGCGCTCATATTTGAAACACTTTACGGCAGAATTCCAAAAACTTGAGAAAACTTTCACCCCGGGGCGATAGATGCTGAGGGCCTTACCCACCATTGACAGTCTCTCTTTTCCGAGTTCATCGTGGGCCACTTATCTGCAGTCGTATACTTCGGCCATGTAATTTTCTGAGAAGGTATCAAAGGAATCCTTTGATGAAGTCACTCTGCTCGGAAACCTGTGTAGAAAACCTGAGTAAAGATTTGAGAGAGCTAAAATAGAAAGCCGCGTAGCGGCTTTTTTTAAACCGAACCCGCAAATTATTATGGGTTTCTCTGTAGTAATTTTGGCGAAGCCGCTTTGCGGCTTTCATTTTAGCTTTTTCAATATCCTGACTCAGGATTCCGGGCCTACGAATCAAAGGAGCCATAAAGTGTATTTGGCTCATTGATTTGGCTTCAATTTGGAAAAGTAACTCAGCCGCAGATCATAATTTAAAGAAAAGGAGTGACATTTTCATTCAAATGAATTTGCGCGCCAAAGAATTTTACGTCTCCCAGGAGCATAAATTCTACGTGATTACGCTTTTATCCTGAGTAAATGATAGGATCAGAAAGAAGCTCGGCTCAAATATTTATCGATCCCTCCGTGTTCTGAATTGATACAGTCACATTCCTACTGTCTGAAGCACAGACAGCTGGGGAATTGTTTCAGTATTGCTACAGTCTTTTTTTCGAAGTGTTCTTTGGTTTGGCGATGATTATTTATTGATCATTTTCAGATGTCTAAAGCTGCAGCAGTTTGAGAGGATCATCAGTCAATCCAGTTTTTTTGCAATCAAGGAGGAGTCAATCAAGACTGTTTTTGTCTGGGTTCTTTTTGTAGACAAAAACAATCAGCTGCAGATTGTTCTTTCTAAGGCACAAAAATAACTGATGAAGAACAAGGTCGCTAATTAGTAATAAGCAAATTCGCAGCTTCGTTTCCTCGAATTCTTTGATGCTCATTTTGAAGGGAATAACTCATTCCGAATGATAAACGATAGTAAATTAAACTTTAATCAAAAACGTCATGGCTTCGAGAAGAAAGGTAGGATAAGGATATTCTTCTGAGGTTGGAGAACTGTCGCCACATCGGAGACACGCCGTAGGGCGAAAATCCCCGTTGATTGGCCACCAGAGTTTGACAAGTGGCGTGTTTCACGATTGAAAAGAACCTTTTTTGAACCGCAGTTCAAATTCAAATTGACACTACTGCGAAAACGTTTTGACACTTATCTTTCCAGAATCAGAGGAGTTAATGTTATGACAAATCCTAAAGGAAATGGGCGCTTCCGAATCTCAAGATAGCTTCTTTTTTGCCTTTCAGGGAGATTTTTGGATCATAGATTTCTCTTGAAAATGGCTGTAAATCGAAAAGCCGCTTGGGGCTTTGAGGGAAACCGAGCTCTTAGCGCGGTTTTTTTTTTTATAACTCTTTCTTCTACCCTTTTCTTCTGCGATTCTTTACAGATATGCCTTTGCGTGATCAAACATTTGCGTTAATCTGCGGTTGCTTTCAGATGTCATCGGAGGCAGTCGAATTCGTGCAGGCAAAGTGGCAGAAACTCATTGATCAGCTGGAGGCGCAATCAACAAGGACAAAGGCAAACTGCCCAAAGAAGCTGGGAAACAACGGGCCCTATGTATATGTCGATCGGCGTAGATATGTGGAGGTAATCACATCCTACTAAAGAGAGGGGGTTGAACGACTGTACGGTACAATTAAATTGCAGCAAACCCGATTTTCTTATTTAAAAAACGAGAGAAGCTGAGAAACGCGGGGAAAACTAAGTAACAAGGTCAAATGCTGTATAATCTGACTGTAGCTCCGAGCCTAACTTCATGTCATTCTGAGTTCTCTCTTGGAAGATTAGATTGATTAAACTTGTTTACCAGAACGCAGCGTAATTTTAGCCGAACAGCCGAAACTTTACAAGTTTTTATGTCCTTATGATTGTAATGCCCTGTAACAGATTGTGGACCGTTCATTCAATCTTGTTTATAAAATATTTACGATCGGGCCTAACACCTTTTCTTATTTTGGCCATCTTATATCATCTCTTTCGAATCGGTTCTTCTCGTACAGACATTGCCCTTATTACGACAACCCAAGAGGCTCAATTGAATATTTAAAAGGTAATTGACTCGAGGTGATCCTTAATTTTATAAACGGCCCCCTCCTGGCTCGGCAATCTGTGTAGAAAACCTGAATCAGGGTCTGAACTCAGAGAATCAGGATCTTTCAGAATCTTACTCCGGTTTTCAACACAGATCGTCGAACCCAGCGCGCCTTAGCAGGGCCTATTCAACAGATTTACTGAAGAAACACGCCCGAAAACGGACTTCCTTCCCTCGTTTTGGTTTTGTACTAGATCGGCAGCCAGGAACATTGATTTGATTTTACACAAGTTTGCAGTTTATCGGGCGCCGCTTAGGCTCTCCTTTTCCCGCGCTCGGGGACATATTTCCGCGTGCATTATTTATCTTAAAATGCTGAAATATTTACCCAAAAACTAATCCCGGTCGGTCTTTCTTTTCTGCTCGCCAAGATCAGCCAAGACGGACCCTGGCGGATGTCGACCGACCCTCGGGGCGTAATGATCTTGAATGGACAAAAAATATTGATTCAGACTTTTGCCCCCTGCCAGCATCACCGCTGCTGTACCGTACAGTATTAGCCTTATCAGTTAGAGATAACAAAGTATCCCCAACCTTTTTCCTCGAGAAAATATCGCGATTATCTTTACACAGCTTCGAAAACCCCTGATCTTTGAATAGGAAGCAATTGATGCAGAATTTAGCTAAAGATAATCGAAGCGAATCTTAGCTGCAGAAGTGAGTAAAAGCGAAATAGAAATACTTTATAAGCGGCTGACGTACTTCTATCAAAGAATGAGCGAAGCGAGGCTTCGCTACAAATGAAGAAGAAGCGAAAACCAGCTCTTTTTATTCGCTTCGCTCATGCTCTGTATCGGGGTGATCTCTACAGATCTCTGTAGCGAAGATTCGCTTCGATTCACATCTTCGTAGAAATCCGAAAATTGCGCGAGTCATTGATTTTTTCAGCCCTTCACTCCCTTCGACATCTCCAAGCTGACTCCACCAAATTTGAAAGCAAATAGCAAAGAATCGTAGATCGAAAAGAATCTTTATCGAAAACATCAAAATTGAAAATCCCAATTTGCATATCTCAATTTCACCTTTATTTTTCTACTTCTATTTTCCTGTAATAGATTATTATATTTTCTGTAGCTCTCATTTATTTACCGCTAATCGGATTTATTCAGATTGGGTTATTCTACGAAACAGTGAAATCGTAGAACGCAGAAAAAGAGAGAAAAATGGGAAAGGTTCGACGCCAAGCGGCGAAATCAAGTGGAAAAACGAGCAAAGATTCGAAGACAGTCGCTCCTGGTGCTTCTCAGGGCTTGGTTTTCAATACTTCTGGTTATGGACAGCATATTTTGAAGAACCCGCAAGTCGTACAGGTAATTTAGCTTCTTGAATTCCAGCGTAGCTGAATAAACGACTAACCCAATACGAAGATGAGCTTCTCATCGACTTCTTTAGTCAATGGTTGAAAAAGCTGGAGTTCTCCCAAGCGATACCATTCTTGAAATCGGTCCTGGAACAGGAAACATGACAGTCAAGCTGCTGGAAAAGTGCAAAAAGGTGATCGCGCTGGAAGTCGACGATCGAATGGTGGCAGAAGTTCAGAAGCGCGTGATGGGGACGCCACTCAAACACAAACTCACAATTATCAACCAAGACGCCCTGAAAGCAGAGCTGCCTTTCTTCGATCTCGTTGTAGCGAACTTGCCGTATGCAATCTCTTCGCCCATTACTTTCAAATTGTTGCTTCATCGGCCCATGTTCCGCGTCGCCGTTCTCATGTTTCAGAAGGAATTCGCTGATCGGTTAGGAAAGGGTTTTTAGGCTTCGAAAGCTTGAATAGGTGGAGAAGTCGCTTGCGACTTCGAGAGAAAGAAAAAAATAGCCGCCCATGCCGCGGCTTAAATTAGTAGTATAGTCGCAAGCGGCTTCTCGATTCAAATTTCCAGTATTGATTTATTTTGGCTCCATCTAGGAAAACACGGAGCGCTGTCTATCTCTGTTTATTTACGCAAGTGAACCCTAGAAGTGGCGCAGCCCGGGGATAAAATCTACTCGCGTCTGTCCGTGGCCGTCCAGAGCTTGGCCCGCGTCGATCGCATCCTCAAAGTCGGAAAGAACAACTTCAAACCGCCGCCAAAGGTTGAATCCACCGTCGTTCGTATCGAACCGAGGAGGCCTCCGCTGCCGATCAATTTTACTCAAGGGATTTTATATTTATGCTATTATTCAAAAGCTAACGCATCATAAGCTAACGCGCAATTAGTGCAAATATGAATCTCATTTTCAAAATCACTCTTTTTCTTACCAATCGAGAATCTTGTCATTTCGTAGAAAGAGCGTCGGAGAATTTTTCTTCTATAGTAATGTTACTGAAGAGACCTTCAATCTGTCTGCGAGACAAAAATGGGCGAATTTCGATTGAGGATAACAAAGCTCCCGTGAGAATAAACATTCGTTACTTCACGCAAGAAATGCCCCTTCCTGTCTATCCGACGACAGTACATAAACACGGATGCAGACTGCAGGTTGACATAGATGACTTCTTGCGCCCGAAATAAAACACTTGGGTTTCCATAGAGATAACTCGAAAATACTTCCGATGTTCGCGATTTTTTTCTAATTTTTTTTTTCGTCGAAACAAGTCTTTCTTCCTTCTTCTTCACTCTTATGTGAATCATATTATGCCTGTAATAGTTACTGTGTGCCCAAAGTCGTTTGGGCATAGCAGCTGAGGCGCTTTGCTCTAATATTTGAAGCTCGTTGTCAATATACGATCGCGGAAAGGTTACCATAGAGAGAAATGCAAGAAGCAAAACTCAACTTCACTTTTGAGAAATTGGGAATTTCAGTTTGATGATTTTAAATAGCTAATTTTAAAGCCAGCGCTTTTTATGACGCTCGTTGAGTTGTGAAAAAATGAAGATCGATTATGATTTCAGCGCTAGAAATGAACCGGAAACGATAGAGAGATTTTCAAAATCCCTAAACACAGAGAGTGGGACGCAATGTTGAGAATTTGCTTCAGCCGGAAGAACAGAGTTATGATGGCAGAATTCACAAACAAGAAGGTTTTGGAAACGCTAGAAAAGGAATGGGCTCTTAATTTCATCTTGTGAGGGGTCGTTTTAGATTTTAATTGACCACAAAGTAAATAAAATTATTATTTCAACTTATATTTTCTTAAAATTTAGCGTCTTTCTGTAAAGAAAATTTGATTCTCCCCCCTAAATTGATTCTTCTAAGTTGATCTTAGTTTGTTGCAATTAGTTGAGTGGTTTCGCAACGGATTTACATACCCGAATGTTAGCTTAAAATTCACCTCTATAAAAACAGATCATCTCTGCATCTAACTTTACTTTATTCACTTGATCAAATTATTTAAGCCCGTAATTACTGCCAATAATGGTAGTTTAGTGGGGGTCAATGCAGAATAAACTTGCGTAGTCCGAGCGACGTGATTTCATAAGTGACTTCAAAGTATTACTGAGCCCCGGAAAGAATTTTCAAACGCACTGTAGTTTACAGAATAAGAGCTTACCGATGGATTTTGATTTCAAAGAACTGATCGTCGAGGCAGTTAAATCTTCCGAAATGGCCGAAAAAAGAGCTAGACAGGCAAGACATTTAGTCTTATTATAATACCAGTAGTCCAACATTGAAAACCGAAGAGCCGCTGGCAGCTTTTAGCTAAAAAATTTAGAAGTTTACACTTGCGGCTTTCAAAAGTCATTTTTTAGTTCTTGCTCGAAGCCGCAGGCGGCTTCTCGATTCTGAAATTATCGTTCTATTTTGGCCCATTTCATCCCTTTTTAGATGGATTTGGACGACTTCATGAAGCTGTTAGCCGCATTCAACGAGCGCGGAGTACACTTCGCATAAGAAGGAAATAACGAAGAAGCGAAAGAAGAGTTGTAGATCGTCTTCAATTTTTATGAAGCAAATGTTTGCGAACTCGGATGTGTATAAACGAAAAAGAACGCTCATTTCAGTCGATTCTCACAGTCGTTAAATTTAAGAAAGCCTCTTCAAATTCCAGTTAGGCAATTTTTCACGCAATTCTTAGGACTTTCATATCAAGCGTTTTGATTGGTCCGAATTTCTTTAGAATGCTTTTGATTGGCAGATTTTGCTTCTTACCTTTTTTTCTTTGTTTTTGATCCGCTGGAATTAAGGAATTGTCTGATTTTAGATTGAAATTGGAATTTCGCTTTGATAGGTCCTAAACTACTTGCCTCCATCCCCTGGGTCTGACTTGGCTGACCAGTGGGAGACTCACTCGTCTAGAACAAGCCAAGTCCAAGCCCAGAACCAATGCCAGCCCAACCGACAAATACGCGCAGTCGCAGCCAGCGAAACCCCACAGGAACGGTTTCTAACTACACGGATCTCATTTTTATCGATTAATTCTCTAGAACGTGATAGCACCCGCCTATTTTTTCCATTTCTACTGGGCCTTATCCCATTACAAGAGAGATCAAGGTCGATATTCAATACATGGGCTACAGTAAAAGTAAGAAAATCAAGCCCAACTCACTAGGAACTGCTAGAAAAACTCGTAAAATTGAAGAAAGATTAACTTTAGCTCAAAGCCGCAAGCGGCTTCTCCATTCTGAGCAAATTTATTAGGGTTTCTTCTTCATCGAGATTTCTAGCTGTATATGAGAAATGTTTTCTGAGCCGCGAGATCTCCTCAGAGCTCAGGCACTCCGAACAGAGGGTCGTAGCCTTTTGAGTGGCCAGTTAAGGGTCTTCCTATTTTAATCATTCAATGCGTATTGAAAGCGCTTCTGCGCCCTTACGAAAAATTTTGTGCAGACCCATAAAATTAGCAGCTCATGCTCCATTCACGGACCGCAACTCCGACTTCTGCGGGTGCATCCGTCACCAGTTATAATCTCCCGTCGCCTAGCGGCGGGCGCGGCAAGGGACAAGTTAGAAACTCGGAGTCAGATGGCAGCAGAGATCGAAATGTGCTCATGGTCGGGCCGAACTTCCGCGTCGGCAAGAAGATCGGCTGCGGCAATTTCGGCGAACTGCGACTCGGTAAATCTTTGTCAATGTTAGCTTCTTATTAACGATGACTTTTTAGGTAAAAATTTATACACAAACGAGCATGTGGCGATCAAGCTGGAGCCGATGAAGAGTCGGGCTCCTCAACTCCATCTAGAGTACAAGTACTACAAGTTAATGAGCAACCCAAGTACGTACTCTCTACCTGTTTCCCCTCGTAACTAATTTTCTAATTATAGAGGGTATCCCGCAAGTCTACTACTTTGGCCCCTGTGGACGCTTCAATGCGATGGTGCTGGAACTGTTAGGCCCCTCCTTAGAAGATTTATTCGACTTGTGCAACAGACGATTCACCCTCAAGACAGTTTTATTAATCGCCATTCAACTGGTACGCCCTTAATCATTAACTCTTTGATCAACCTCTTTCTTTTCAGATATCACGTGTAGAATATGTGCATAACAAACATTTAATATACAGAGACGTCAAGCCGGAAAACTTTCTCATTGGCCGGGTTAATTCAGATACACAAAACACAATTCATATTATCGGTAAGCTCTTTCTCGCTACAGCCGCGCTAACCCACGGTTTCTTTAGACTTTGGCCTTGCGAAAGAATACATTGACGCAGAGACGAAAAAACACATTCCCTATAGAGAACACAAATCGCTGACTGGTACAGCGAGATATATGAGTATAAATACTCATCTTGGAAAAGGTAGAATCCACCAAAATCTTGGCTAGACTAACCTGTTCTTAGAGCAAAGCCGCCGAGATGATCTCGAAGCTCTGGGACACATGTTTATGTACTTTTTACGCGGATCCCTTCCATGGCAAGGCTTAAAGGTACGCTTTACTCGCTCAGCCCTCTTTCCGTGATCCATGATATACATTTTTTATTCATCGATCTCTTTGATTTAACCCGTCAACGCACAATGGCGCAAAACTGAAGGCTCCTGCACGTTTTGTGTCACCACTGCCTTGACGGGTTAAAGATAATAAACGACGCCTAATCTCTTTCGAAGTACGAAAAGATTACGCGAGTGTAAAGATGCTTTCCTTGACAAAAAATGCACGACAATAGCAAAAATATGCCCTAAAATGTCCGAAAATGCAGTTTGACATGTATATCAATTTAGGCTGAGACTTTAAAAGAGAGATATCAGAAAATTGGAGATACAAAGAGGACGACGCCTATCGAATCTCTCTGTGAGAATTCTCCAGGTACGAAATGAACAGGAAAGAAAGGGCCAAACATGGAATTTTCAGACGAAATGGCAACCTATCTACGATACGTGCGTCATCTAGACTTTTTCGAGCAGCCGGACTACGACTACCTGCGGAAGCTGTTCACCGATCTCTACGAGAGAATGGGCTACGGCCAAGTGCCCGGCCCCAACGAAATTCCCGAGTTCGACTGGGCTAACAAGCAGCTGGTAAGTAACAGAGCACCAATCATTGACAAAATAAAAGACATAAACTCAGTCCCCAGATGAGCAGATTTTGGTAAGAAACGCGAGCGAGAGAAAGAAAAAAGAGAGAGAGGCATTTTTTAAGCCTTTGAAAATTTTGATAAAGGCAGTTTGAAACCATTTTTTAACGAAAAGGGAGAATAATTGGTCCCTATTTGAATTTTCTCCCCTTATCGAACTTTCGCTTCTCTTAGATTTAATTTCTATTTTCAGCCTCTAACGACGGCAGTGAGCACGCAGCCCAACTCGTCGAGTACTCAGCCGAATCAGGTAAATTTGAAATAAGCCAAGATCAATTCCAACCATTTGACAGAAGATTAAGGAGCCGACTCAACAGCCATCAGTGAATCCACCTGTCAATACTACTGTTAATAGAGATACAGTATCGGAAACAAAGTAAGTCTTCAAAAAACACCAGAAATGCACTGAAATCAAGGAAGAGTAAGTACTCTTAAGAGTTCTTAAATCTTCAAATAAGACCTGAAAATGGCAACTTATTCACCCTTTTTTCAGATGCTTTTGCTGCTGGAAAGGAAAGAGCTCGCGTTCTGTGCCAAAAAGGAGCTGAAGTTGGCATCGTCGCAAATCCAACCTGCCTTGAATTTTGAATCCAATTTTCAAAAGAAAAAAAAACTTGTTGCTGAAAACGCCTTCTCTCTTTGACACTGTTCCTGATATTCACCGCCGTTAAAACCGAAAAAGAAAAGACAAAAAAAAGAGAACAAGAACGCAACGAGAAAAACGCGCAACTTTCAAATGTCAAGTTTTTTTATTTAAAACTAAATTATTTTCAAAACAAACAAAATAGACTCTATTCTAAAAAAATCTACTCTCTGTCTGTAACTTGCTCTACTTTATTTTCAACTCAGCCCAAGTCTCAACTCATCCCATGTATCATTTTTATTTTTCTACCGACTTTTCCGGGCCCCTAAGTTGAATTTACAGTCACTCCACCACTAGTGAGAGCTTTTCAAGTTAACTCTTTTGGTGAGGAAATTTCAAAATTGCGCTGAAATTTCATGAAAACATTATTTAAAAAAAGTGCACAAAACAGTTCATTTCGGCGCCGCAATTCTAGTGTCTTACAAATTTGACATTGATTTAAAAAAAAACTCTTATCGGCTCTTTCAATTTCCCCTCAACTAGAAAACATAAAAACGGGTTAAAATTGTTTAACCCGTAAAAAGCCAACTTTCAACTCAATTTTTCGAAGTTCACTAGCCTTTTAATGAAGACGACAAAAAATGAATAATTAAAAAAAACTCAACACACTGTGCATTTTCTTCAGTCTCCCTCTCATTTTTTTAATTTCCCTGTTTCGAATTTGGCCCGTTTCGAAGTTTTTGAAAAACCCGCCGAATTTCCCGCCAATAAAAACTATCAGTAAATTATTTCTCGTTTTCGACCAATCAAATTTCCCGATTTTCATCCTTGGCCAATCAAGTCAGCCAGTTTCTTTTCAAAAACTTCGAATTGGACCAAGAACCTCCTGTTTTTGCTCTGCATCAAAAAATACTTTTTGAAAGTCAAATATTCCAATTTACACCAAAATTCTCGGAGAAAAAAAACCCACTTTCCTATTTGAATTGAACCAAATTCTACTTGCGGGGGAAGACCTTAGGAATAAAATTAAAAGAAAACCTAAATAAAGCAAAACACTCTATTCTAAAAACCCACTCGTGTCATGTCAACTTTCAAAAAAAAAATTGCAAGAAAGAAAAAATTCACAGAGTTTCAAGAAAAAAATGCAAAATCCGCCACTCTCTGTAAATTTACTATTGAAGACTTTTTGCCAAATAAAAAACTTATTTTCAATGGACCTAAATTTAAAATTTGCAATTCTAAATGCGATTCGCATTTCTCTCCTTCGGCAGACTCGGCTCGGTAACCTGTGTAAAATCCTGAGTCAGGGTCATAAATGAGCTTTAACTTATTTCGGGTCAGCTCTTTGGGACCCTGACACAGGGTTTAACACAGGTTGCCGAGCCCAGTTGGCAGATCCTTGATTCTTTCTTGCAAGAATCTCTAGTACTGTAAAGTCTTTAGTAAATCGTCTCTAGAACCCCGGCAACCTGAGAGTTCCTTCTCCGACTTTCACCGATCCAGGAACCAAGAGAAAATGTCAGTCGTGACTTGTAACGTCCCTTAGCTTCAATTTTATTGTCAGACCTTTTTCAACCAACCAAAAAATAGAAGAAATTCAAAGTGCAAGACCAAAAAAGAAACATTCTAAAAGTCAAATGGTCAAGTTTTTTCAACCAGTTTTACCTATTTTAAACAGTAATTGTTTCATCATCGGGTAACTTTTTTTGTGTATATTTTTCCCTGTACTCTTACTGTAATTTCCAGTATCACACATACATTCATGCATTCAGCCGGTCGAAAAATAAGCAATTAGGTTACCAATTATTCAATTCAATCGGCAATTCTGCCAGATTTTCCCTCGATTTCGACCAATAAAATCGCGCTGCGACTCTTTTCAACAAATATGAAATCCTCTTAGGCCAAAACATGCTACAACGGTTCCAACTTATGCAGTCCCAGCTTACTGTAACTGCTGCTTGGGTCTTTTCTACTTTTAAAAACAATCAAGCCTACTTCTTTTAAAAAAATCTAGTGTAACTAAATCCTTGTTCTATTTTTTAAAATGTTCGACTTTGATTAAAACTTGAAACTTAACATGTTTGAAAAATGATGAGCCCATGTTCTTTTCAGAATTTCGGAAATCTTTATTGAAGAAAATGTCGTTCAAAAACAATGAATATGATATCGAGGAGCAATTTACTGACAAGGACAACTACAGTAGCAACCGCGAAAGATCACCTATTCGCGGAGCGCGACCAGGAAAATTTAGGAAACGGTTCAAGGACGCTGATTATTTTCCTTGGGATTCTTTGCGTCGCGAATTACGATTTGCCATGAAGTAAAATCTGACAATCTGATAGGTCGAAATCTACCCTGGGTTCGGCAAGCTGTGTAGAAACCTAATTTAGGGTTCCGAATGAGGCTCCCTTTTTTATAAAAGCTCTTTCAGGCCCCTGACTCAGGTAACTACATAGGTTGCCGAACCCATTGTAGATTTCGGACAATCAGATCTTGCGATTTTACTTCATGGCCAATAAAAATTCGCAGCGCAGAAGATCTTATTGCTTGAAACGATGAATCAGTCGTGAACCGCAAGATAAAGCTCTGGCGACAAGTTCAAGATTCTTCTGAAAAACTTGCCTTACTCAGTGAACTGGATGAAATTGAAAGATATTTGCAAGGAACATTGCGCCGGGACTGTTATCTTTGCCGATATCATCAAAACTCGAGATGGCCGCAGCGCCGGTTTCGGCCATGCTGAATTCAAAGTAACCAAAATAATAAATTAACTTTTTTTATAAAATAGACAATGACTAGCATTTGGAAAGCTGCTAAAAAGAGAATTTTCTTTAGACGCTGGAAGAAGCAAAATCCGCAGTTGAGAAGCTCCATGGAATGATGTTAGATGGACGGTTAGTAAGCGGAAAATAGGATAGTCTCATTATCGAGAAGCCGCGTGCGGCTTCTATGATTGAAAATGAAGCTTCGCGCGGCCTTTTCATTTTATAGTTCGTAGCCGCAAGCGGCTTTTCGATTTTAGACCACATAAATTTTGCAATCGTCAATTTAGAATATTGACATTAATTTTCTTCTAACATATTTTCTAGCGATGTCCGCTGCGATCTTGACATAAACGATGACCAGCTCCATAGAATGTGCCGAAAACAAGGGCTGGATTTTCGCTCTGAGCGGCAGCAGCAATGGGACGCAGAACGCGCTGAGCGTCGGAATCAGCGAGGCAATGGAGGGTACAGCAGAGATACTGGCTACGGATCCGGGCATCAGCAGAGCTACGGAGGGGGGCCTGGCCGCTTTCCCGGCGACGACGGACCTTACGGAGGGGAGAATCGATACGGCCCGATGCGCAGTGTTGCGCCCAGTCACCAAGGTTAGTTCAAAATAGACAGAAGAGCGGTTTTAATTGAACCTCGAATGATGGTCGAAATCGCAAAGAAAAATTAGTTGGAGACGCAATTGACTGACCGTCGATATTGAGCTGTTTTTTTATTTGCATGACGCAGATTGTCTGAGATGCAGTCTTGTTTTAGACGCGTTTCTCATTATGAGAGTTCGCAGTAGCTGATACAGGCAGATCAGAAAGATGGTTCTTTCGGACAGAGAGAGGAAATTATGTCATTTTGTTCGTTCTTTTAGGCGACGGACTTATGACAATTCAAGTCCACAATCCCTTTTCCGAGGAAGAGTATTGTTTTACAGGTTCCAATTTTCAAGATTTTCTCCACTTATCACACACTGACTTATCCACACTTCCGTAAAAATAGGGTTCCTTTGATTTTGATTCCAAGCCCAAAAGTATTAATAATCATCAAATTTAACGGCAAAAGAGTGGAATCAGAGGCGTCCTAAATTGAAAACTCATATTTTTGTACAGTAAGGTTTTTGTAGAAAAGTTCGCTAAAAATGTCGGGAAAAGGCGACATAAGAAAGACGATAAAGTGTCGCCTGGTTATAAGATTTACATGGTTTTAGCTAGCTTTACCGATAAAGATATGGGTATTTCGATTTTAAAATAAATGTGTCTCCGTTTCAGCTTGGTTATCAGTCTATGTTCAGTACCTATGATTAACGGGCGTCCCCTGACCGAATACCCGGGCTTCGATAATCTGAGCCCGTCGGTCATGGATGCCATCGGAGCGGGTCCAGTTGGGAAGAACATTTTTGTGAGGAATTTGGATTACAAAGTTGACGAGGATAAAATGAAGGAAGTGTTTGGGCTTGCTGGCACGGTTGAAGAGGTTTCGCTGACAAAGGATCAGGACGGAAAGTCGAGAGGAATGGGAGTTGTTTCATTCAGTCAGGTTCGTAAAAAGCAATCGATGTTTGTCAGCTTTAAAATAAAGAAAGAGTTCAAGACTCAATTTCTCAAGACTCCGGGTAATCAAATTAACGCGCAGCTCTGGGAAATGACAGTAATGATAAATCCGCCCGAGCCGGGCTTGAGTGAAAGATATAGATAGTATTAGAGGCTACAGAAAGCAACCTCAATTTGTTTCAGAATTACGAAAACGTTGCGAAATCGAGCTTTCTCACTAATAGAGATTGATATTTGCCCATCATAATTTTGCGGCGCTATTTTGAGAATTTCGAGTGATTCACTTTTTGAACTTTTGTTTAAATTAAGATCCAGAGATGATTAGGAGAATAGGTGGCTTGTGACTTTGAGCACCATTTATGAACACTGAATTTAGCCAATGGAGGCTGTCAAGGCCGTCGTTATGTTCCACACTCAGGCACTTTTTGGCCGCGCTATGTACTGTAAGGTAAGTGCATCTGACAGTTATTCGATCCAGTTATACTTTATCAATGTACTTAGATGGATCGCAAGAACAATGAGGCTCCAAAACCAGAGAAGAAGAAGCTGCCCGAGGGATTGGCCGGACTTAATGTTAATCCGGACATTTTGAATCTTCCCACAGGAACGCGGGCTCTTACTTTCAAACAGCGGATCAGGCGGATGATCTCATACCCGAGATTTCTCGCTCTGAGATCTCGTTTTTCCTGCATTCGATGAATGTCAGTTTCATTCGCTTCAAGCCCGAGAAATAGATTTTAAACCGGCTCCAGCTTCCCAGGTTCCAGTCTACAATCCCCCTCCTATGAGAGATCCCTATGGCGGCTATCAGCAAGCGAACAATGTCAATGCTCCAATGCTTCATTCTCATGGATCCGGCTGCGTCATCACCGTCGATCGTCTACCTCCCAGTGCCACTCAACAGCGGCTCAGGACAGGATCATAAGCTTACAGAATTTATGAGCTTTGAAATTGGGATAGTAGTTGTAATCTAAGTTTCAGGTTGATATTATAAGTCGTTAGCTTCGATATTTTATTAGTTTATGCGTTGTATAAAGATCGATCTGGTTCGAACTTCAATTTTATAATCCCGGATGGTTTTAATTTTTACGAGATTACATCTGGATTTGCTAGTTTTGATAGAGAAAAAATGAGAATAAAAATGATCTCCCAAATTATTTTTTCCATGAAATCAATGAAGAGAACCATGATGATTCCTGATAAAGACGGCTTTTTGAAGACACCGGTCGAGTGGCACAGGTTCACCTGACTGATTTTGGACGAGCAGAGATCAGATTCGAGAGTGCGTTTGATGCGGAGAGAGCAGTCGGTCGATTCAATGGATACATGATTGAAGGAAAAGTTTGAACTTGAAAGCTCATATTGCGCATTTTTCACTCAGAACATTCCAGAGACACGAGTGCTCTTGTGAAACAATACGTTCAATCCTGTTGAATCAAACAGCAATTTGATATTTAAATAATTTAAAGCAGTCTGTGTCAATACTGATATTGAGTGGCCTCCATTCTAAGAATCAATTAGAGTCAGAGAATTTCTCTCTTTGATCGGAGATGGGTAATCAAATTGAAAAACCCTTGTTCAAACTTTAAAAAGGTCACCAACTTTCTGCCAGGATCACCGATTAAGAGCATTCATATCCATCTCCCCACTGCCCAACGATACACCTTACCCTTTATCTTTCAGAAACTTTCACTTTCTTTTGTTTCACCTGTCCAGAAAATGTTCCTTTATTTGCGATTTATGAGAATTTGGCGATTCATTTAGGCTCTATTCTGCATTCTGACTTTTTTGACGGTGCTTCATTTTCCATTTAATAATAGATACCATTCTACAACTGAATAGAAAAGAGTCTTTTTTTCAGAGAAATACACGAATCGAATATGGACAACCAGGGAGATGGCCCAGAGATGATCCAGCTGGACAACAACTCACGTGAGTCCTCAGAATCGCCACGGCTGTCCCCACGCAATCGTCATGAGTCGGCGAACTTCCAGCGAAAGGCGCTAGAATCGCTCAATCTGGACGGAAATGACTCAGGTGAGAAAAGGCTCAGCCAGGCGCTTTTTAACAATTCTAGCTACTACTGGTAGTAGTCCAAAGCGACAAAGAATGTCGTCTGGTATGGGATTACGGTTTTAGGGATGATGTGTAGGTACGTTCTTTATTTCTGAAAACAATTCATTTGAACCCATTTTTTGATGATCAGATAGATTCGCATGTAACCAGCGCGTTTTATTTACAGTTATTTCTTACAGCGAAAGAACTCTTTTCAGAATTATTGATTGTAATTATAGATACTTCCGATGGCTACCCAATCGAGAAGAGCGAGCAAATGAACCATGATCTCATGGAAAACGGACTCCAGGCGAAGCCCTCGTCCAAGAAAGTCCTTGGTAAGTCGTTCTCGAATACAAAATTAGAAAATCGAAAGATTGAGAAGGCATTAAGAGGTTTAAGGGCCCCGGACAAGGAGAATGCTAGAAGGTATACCGTATACGCAATCAGTAGTGCTAACAAAAATATATACTCAAAAGCGCGGCTAATAATTAAAAAAGAGGTTTTTGAACCATCCGAATGAACTCACTAAAACGCTTCTTCTGGTGCTAAACCTACCTAAACTTGCTCCTGAATTAACATTTTAGAGTACTACAACAAGTACCAACTTCCGATGCCTCCAGTTTCACGGCTTCGCACTGAGTCGATCACGGATAATGAACAAAATGAGTACCAAAAGATCAACATTTCCTCTCGAGAATCAACAGGAATGTCACGCGAGTCCTTCCAAAAGATTGCGCATGATATTATGGGGGCCATAGAGATGAGACAGCGTTACATGGCAAACAGGTTAGTTTTCCTTGATTCCAACCGTCTTCCTCAGCCTTTCGTAGCCACCAGACTTTCCAACCAACGGCAGATCGTCATTTACGAATTGCAAGAGGACGCGCCGCGAAGACCCCCACGGACGACTCAAGTTTAGACCTTGATGTACCGTATCATCCGCCGCCAGAGGATACTCACGTAGAAAGCCCATACATTGACCTTAAGGTCGATCAACTACCAAAGAACTGGACTCATACTTGGAAAATGCGCCATGGGATTATTGACATTCGGTATCGAGCTCTATTACTTTCTTCGATTTTAAACTCATCGGTCTTATTCAGGGACGAAGACAACAACCCGCTGCGCTACATCATCCGTCCAGATACTCACGAATTTCTCGACAACCACGCACAACTACTCAAATCCATGTCAAACGGACAATTACGAACTTACTGCTGGCGACGACTGCAGTTTCTCTCCCACAAATACAACCTCCACCATTTGCTCAACGAAACACTAGAAATCAAAGAGATCAAGGAGCTGCCACATCGAGACTTCTACAACTGCAGAAAAGTCGATAATCATATTCATGCCGCTGCGATGATGAATCAAAAACATCTTTTGCGGTGAATTTTCGCGCTGATCGAATGAAATTTTAATGAGAAATTTAGGTTTATCAAGAAAACGCTAAAAACCGACGCTGATCTGGTCGTAACAAAAGATGGAAAGAAGCTTTCTGAAGTTTTCAATCAAATTGGCATCTCTGCGTACGATCTTTCCGTTGACTTGCTCGATTGTCACGCCGATACAAACGTTTACCATCGATTTGACAAGTTCAACTCGAAATATAATCCTCTTGGACAAAGGTACGTTCTTCTTTTCCTCCCAGTTGGTAACACCCTCCATTCTAGCGTACTTCGCGAGCTGTACATCAAAACAGACAACCACATCAACGGTCGTTACTTTGCGCAAATCGCCAAGCAAGTGGCCGAAGATTTCGAGGACGCAAAATACCAACACGCAGAGCCGCGTCTTTCAATATACGGCCGAGAATATGACGAGTTCTCCAAATTGGCGAAATGGGCGGTGTCCAACGATGTCTTTTCCAACCATATTGTATGGTTGATCCAAGTCCCGCGATTGTACGATATCTATAAAAAGAAGAACCCGAAGCTCGTCTTCCAGACCATATTGAAAAATATATTTGGACCTGTAATGGATGCTTCTTTGAAGCCACAAGAGAACGGATAAAGAACGAATAGCATTAATATATTCATTTGACCCAAATTTAGCTTATACCTAATCCCTCCTTGATTGCAGTCATTTCACGAACAGGGTCGATTGAACCATCAGTCCTTCTATGCATTTATCCGCGGAAAAGAACACCCCGAGCTCGCGCGTTTCCTCGAAAACGTCGTTGGTTTTGACTCCGTCGACGACGAATCCCGCCACGAAACCTCACAGTTCACCGCCGAGACGCCGACCCCAGATAAATACAATATGCTTGATAATCCGGTCTATTCATATTATCTGTGGTATATGTACGCCAACATATCAGGTAAAGTATCTCTAGCGTGTGATAAGCGGGGCTCAAGATAATGCTTTCAGGGGTAGACTTAGGGCTGATTATTTAGATTCCGAGAGCTGGTTGCAATTTACAGTTAGACTGTAGACTAAAGAGTAGTGGACTCACTTTTGTTGGTTTTATTTGCAGAAACTTGGTGACAGTTGAATTCACGATATGACAGTTGTAAAGTAGGGTTTATGAAAGATTTGGTGAGGTGACGGATTTTTTCGGGCGGCCTTTCATCGACTGTCGGCAGCTCTGGGCTTGAGCCAGTCTGAAATTTTGTATTTACGACTTTTGTAGGATTTCTTTTTATTTTCAAATTAACTTACACAGCAAAGTCGGGATCAATTTCGAATTCTTCCTCTTTTTCTTTCTTTTTTGTCGATTTGAATTTGGTTATGGCTTTGTTTACCTTGAGTGAAATTCTGACTACTCTATCCATCTTTCCGATTTTCGATTATATTCCCTTGTCTCTTGTGTTCACTTTCAGTCTGAAATAATGCGGGTTGAGATCACTACTGGGCTTGCTACAGACAAGAAGGGACACTCTGTTGCCCCCTCCTTCTGGGGCGACGGGCGACAGACATGAGTGCGTAAACCGCTTGTAAAGGATTCTCTGAGCTTTTCTGCTCGACATATTCTGTTAGTTTAATTTGCTGCCGTCAGAGCAAGCGTTCATTGCAAGGTAGAAATGCTTTCAGTCTGGGACACGGTCATTGTCTCTCCGAATTTAATATTTTTATATTTTCCATCTCTTTCGACCAGAAATGACATATGGGACTGGGTTTAAACATGGTTTACAACTGTGTTAATTTGACATTCAAAAGTCTACTGATGTAAGAAAATCACTGTTTGACGTAAAGGTCTACAGTTTTTTTCACACATCGAATACACATCCTTCTCGGGAAAATTTACATTGCTAGATTATCTCCTATTAACCTTTTGAATCGATGCAAGGTTTTTGCCACGACTTGATCATCCTAGTTATAAAAGCGCAATTAAAAAAGCAAATTGGCTATGCATTTATTGAGAACAGCTGACGTAGTAAATTCACTCTTGACATTCCGAGTCTATAATGAACTTACGAGCTAAGTGCTGGATATTGGTTCAGTCGAGTTTTATTTTAGTCATTGCCCATGTGATTTCGTTCTTATGCACTCGCCAAATGACAGTTGTGACGTTATTTCAAATCATTTAGGAGAAGATATTCAAAGCTCTTAGTCCACTTTCTGGAGATTCTTTATATCATGTCGAAAATCTTATAAGCTCGATATTCCTTCCTGTTGTTGAGCTAAGAGTTTAACGTGATGATTTTAAGCTATTTACTGTATCATTTTCTACAAGAAAGGGAACCTTTGATGATCTGCGTTTTCGTTGAAAGAAATAGAAGTAGCATTAATAATGGAGCGTCCTCATCACCAATATTATCATCATCAACTTGTTTTTGACCGCTGAAGGCAGCAACTGTCAAATGTCAAATAGCCCAGGTTATTAACAAATGCAATTTTCCTAGTGATCAACCAAATACGAAAAGAACGCGGAATGAACACATTTGCCCTACGCCCTCACTGCGGCGAAGCTGGTCACATTTATCACACGGCCACGGCGTTCCTCCTTTCGGAGAATATCAACCACGGCATTAACCTACGAAAGTCGCCGGTAATGGAATATTTTTACTACCTCTGTCAGATCGGCATCTCAATGTCGCCAATGTCCAACAATCACCTATTCCTACCCTACTCAAAGTCCCCCTTCAAAGGTACTAAAAGGTTCTTTCGTCACTTTCTTTACCCAAATTCAGAGTTCTTCGAGCGAGGACAGAACATAGCCCTGTCGACAGATGACCCACTTCAATTTCACCTGACAAAAGAGCCGCTGATTGAAGAGTATTCTGTCGCCGCCCAAGTTTGGAAACTAAACTCAGTGGACATGTCGGAAATCGCGCGAAACTCGGTTTTGATGTCAGGCTTCAAGGATCAACTTAAGGTTCTCCTTTTCTTTCCGATCCCTTTTATTCACTCTTTCTTCAGCAATACTGGCTTGGTCCGCTTTACCGCCGAGAAGGAATAGAAGGAAACGACAACCGACGAACAAACGTTCCACCAGTTCGATGCCACTTCCGCTTCGAAACACTCGACGGCGAGCTGTCTCTTATTTCTTCAATTATCAAAGAAACGAAAAATAACAACCCATAACTTTGCACTACCGACAAGTTAAAACAACGAAGTTACCAACCATGACGAAACTACAAAAAATGACCCCAAAAACGACTTTTTGAAAACTCAACTGCTGTATTTTTCCTTCTTTCTTCAGTGCATCCTTATTCTTCCGTTAATTTTGCACGTTTTGAATATTTATGTACACGTTACATTATCGCTCGCGTTATTCACAGTTACAGTTACCGTTGCAGTTATACAGTTAAATACTTTAATAATAATTAAACAGCTTTTGTTGACATAATATAATCAAGTTGCGCCGTGTTATCATCCTTCAGTTCAAATTCATTCAACTCATGATTTGTGAAACAGAAAACGAAACAGATTCTTATTTAAATATTACAAAATTTAAAAGCTAATGGCAGTTACAAATGAGAAACTGTTGTGTGAATCAGATAGAAATAAATAAAAACAATTTTGCAATTTACCTCTCTCGCTCGTTTTGTATGAAAAAATTTCCTTCGTAAAACGTTACATCAGTAGTTACAGTAATTCTAGTAGTTCTTTTAAAAAATCTTCAATTTACCTTCTGCTCGTGAACAGTTTAGAGTTTAGCTACATTCCGAATACACTAAAATAGCTAATAAAAGTACTGAAAATTTGCATGTCTAATAAACAAAAAAAAACGAATGAAATCAACGAAGAAAACAGATAGCTTTCCTCGATAGTCTCGCGAATTATGAGCAGGCATGGAGAATTCCAGCTTTTCCCGCACTTGTGAAGATCAAACTTCAAATAAAAACACGCAGGGCATTTTGCAAGATGTAATTTCTTTTCCAACTTTCGCACTAACTATCAATAATAGCCGCTTTTTCTATTTTTGCGAGCAAAAGTTAAAAATAATGAAGCTATTTGAAGCTTCGCTGCCGATTCTAGCGGCTGGCTGGAGTGACTTGTACGAGAAAGCAGAGAATGGGGTGGATTTGATATTCAGAAATGACACTGAATTCTATGCGAAGTACAGAGATCACATTGAGAGAGTTGGAAACTGTCAAAACTCGGTTCCGGTGACGGATGATTCTGGTAACAGTGTCACTATTCCACCAGTTTTGTGGCCTACGCAGGGTGCCAATCCAAATGTGGTTGATTATGAAAAGAAAGGGATTAGGCAACATCGATTTATGAGCGCTTTTCTTCCTTGATTTCAAATTTGACATCTCCTTATCCCTCTCCAGTGCGTCTATATTTTCTCGAATTTCAACATGATGTGGTCGGATGCTGAAAAAGTGTGCGAAGAAAAGATCTCAAGCTCATGCACTCCCAATTGCAAGGGAAACCTGGTCAGCATCCATACTGACTTTCAGGACCAAGCAATCTTTGACGCTTTCAAAAACGACGAAGGAACTGGCAAGCCGGCCTGGATTGGTCTTCGACAATACTGTGCGTTCTGCCCGTTAGAGTGGGCCGATCACAGTCCTTTTGACTTCCGAAACTGGCAACAGGGAGAGCCCAACAACGAAGACGGCGATGAAGACTGCGTCGAGACAAATTTTTTCTCCGAAGGATGGAACGACAACACTTGCGCGGCGAAGCGCCAGTTTGTCTGTCAGATTTACACAAGCGCTACGAACCAGCATCCAAAACCTGACATGGACAAGACATGGCCAGCCATCGGCGGCTGCAAAGACGGCTGGTGGAAGTACGGAAAAGCTTGCTTCAAGATTATTGGCGGACGCGGGAACACTGATGCTCAGAAGGAGGAGCCAGTAAGATCTGCATCGCCAACTATTTTTAATGATTTCAGGCAATGAATTGGGACGATTCGAAAACCCAGTGCTCAAATGAATGGGCTGGTGCTTCACTCGCGCAATTCCCAAATATATACTACCAATATTTCGCCAACTCACTAGGATCCGGCTGAATGTGGAATTATTTATATATTATAAAAGAAGAATGTTACGACATAGAGGCTTTCATGTGTACGGTACACATATCACCATGAATCATGGTCCATGATTCAAATTGAATTTCAATAAGGTCCTCCTTCGGCCTTGATGCTTGAATTTCCATCGACTCTATTCATCAATATTGTCGATGACTTGCCCAGCTACTGTATTTTCCATCTCGTCATGGTCTGAGTGGAAATAATTTGACGATTCAAGTGGGCTCAATTTCCATGGATATTTATACTAGCGAAATGTGCGGATCTACTTAATTCCGTATCTTTTCCATCGTTCAGTTCATCTTCTGATAACGATAATTTGTTACTTAAAGTTACATCAACAGGGCACAATCCTGTAATACAGAGAATATTTTTCACGACAGTAGAATTCCATCTCTAGAATTTTACTCGGTTTTCCCAACAAGGACGCGACTTTCCAGTGAGAAAAATCTCGATACAGTATCGAATAATTTCTTGATAAGATTTTTCCTCGCGAAATCAAGTACCGCAGATACATGTCACATACAGCCAGTTCTAGTAAAGCTCGCCGGCCGTGATGTCTACATCGGAGCGCTCACGTCAACGACCGACATAACTTTCCACTGGGACGATGGCTCCCGACTAACATATTCTTACTGGGCGGACGGAGAACCGAATAATTATGGCGGCGTCGAGGACGTCGCATTGATGGCTTGGCTGAACGAGCCACATTATCACACTCGCGGACCAGGAGAATGGAACGACTTCCCGCGGAGCTACGAGCGCGCGGCAATGTGCTATCACAAGCTCGATTCTTCCATGAGCGAGAACACCGGCCGCTGCCCAGAGGGATGGAAACAGCAACCGGGCATTTCTAATTTCTGTTACAAACTTGTCACTGACGGCGATGGATTCGACAACGCCGGGAAGAAATGCGCCGATTTGAAGGGAGAAACCGGTCACCCAACAGCTTTGGCATCTGTAATGGACGTTTATGAAGATGCGTTTTTGGCGTCAATGCCTGTAAGTCAAAGTCCCGGAAAATGATAATTGATGAATAAATTTGCCTGTAGTATTCTGCTGAGACGAATTTCGACCCAACATTTGATGGAAAAAGAGCTGGAATCTGGATTGGACTCAAGGGAATCAAGGAAAGGTTTTCCGAAAGAATACTCGAAATTATAATGTTGTGCAAAACTTATATAAATTTATGACTGAAAATAGCGTCTAAATATCAGAAAAATAGACGTCTTTAAAGACCTTCATATGAGCCTCAATAAACAAATTAGTTGAACTTTATTTTTCTTTGACGAAACCTCACTAGGACGATTCTAATACCGTCAAATGGAAGTGGGACGACGGCTTTCCATTCGCATACACAAGATGGGGGACGAACGAACCCAACTTGCAAGCCATTCCAGCCGGTGGAGAGGGATGTGTCTATCTTGGAACAGATCGAAGTTGGTATGTGGACAAGTGCAACTTGGTGAATCCGTTTATTTGCAAGTCGAACATGGATGATACGAGTGGACAGGTGACCGATGATCGAGGAGAGCTGATGGACTGTCTGCCCGGCTGGGAGCCCACTGGATCTGAGGACAAAGGTAGAACCCTCAAAAGAGCTTGAGTTGTAAATTATTCTAGCAAACGGACACCATTGCATGAAATTCTACGATACAGCGGCAAGCTGGTTCCAAGCAAACTACATGTGCGAAGCTGTTGGCGCTCAACTGGTCTCCATCCATTCTGAAAGCTTCAATCTCCGAGTCAAAAGCTACGTCACTTCTCAAGGAACAGATTTCAAAGAGTATAGTAATAGTTTCTGTCTTGGGTCGATCTTATTAAAATCGGCCAAAATGGATCTCTCAAATAAGGCACCAATGCTAAGTACTGGGTCGGCATGAAACGAAATGAAGTCGGCGGGCTAGAATGGACTGATGGCTCCCCAGCGAGCTACTTCAATTGGGCCCCGGGAGAGCCAAGTGAAGAATGGGTGAGTCTTCCTTGTTTTCAAAACCGTGATTTATACTGCGACTATGTTTCAGGGAGGTGAGAAAGAAGACTGCGTCAATATCTTTAACAACGGAGCTTGGAATGATGCACCTTGCGGCTATGCAGCTCCCTTCGTTTGTAAAGCTTCTCGACCTACAGTAAGTGACTTAGACGACAACGACCATGGTAAAATAATTTTTGAAATGTTACTTGTTCTTATGTCATAATGATTTCAATAAAAAATGTAATTTTGTCTACTAAAAGGGAAGAAAATTGGCGTGAAGATACATGTAGATATCGTTTTATTGGACATTAAAATGCGCATAATTAAAAAACAATCACAAGGAATGCGTAATCAGAGTTCCATTAAAAATTTCTTCAGAGCAATTGTTTCGACATCGCTGAAGTCGATAAGGAGCAGTGTGGCTACCCGGGCATCACAGCTTACGAGTGCGAACATGTCTTCAAATGTTGCTACAACACCTTGACCGTTAACGGAAAGTCATGCTACCATCCTAGAGGGAGAAAGTCAGTCTCAGCTACTTGCGCTCTCGTCATCTCATGATCGATTTTTAGGAACAGTGAAATGACGCCTGGAAAAGCAGCGGGAATCGCCAGTGCTGTTTGGATTGTTCTGATTTTTGCCATTGCTGGGTATTTCTTCTTTTTCCGTGGAAGTGGTGGAGATGGGTTTGCCAATCCGAACATGTAAAAATACTGTCTTTTTTCTATCATGACTTCTGTTGAAATAAATTATCAGATATCGTTTTTGTCAGATGAGATTTTCGACACTTTGATTTTGAATGACTTCGAGATTTACCGAAAAAAGGACTTCTAGATGTTCACCAAGAACATTTAACATGTTCAGTCCATCAAACACTAAAAAATGTCTCAAGCGACGTCAAACGAGAGTTACATATTTTACACCCCTCCCACATCTGCCGTTAGTATTGCAGAGGATGCAGGAGCGGAACGATCGGCAGAACTTTTGAGCGAAAACGAGAAGCTCAAGAAAAAGAACAAGAAGCTGAAGCTTGCCTTTGTGGTCGCTGGTACGAGCATCGCCACTGCTTCTGCGATCGGTCTCGGCATGGCTTGCGCCAAGAAGTTCAAGAAGAAAAAGAAGAAGAAAACTGGAAAGTGATTGTACTCTCCTCTCAATGGATTTTGTCAAAGAAAATTATTGTTGAAATAAATTTTAAAAAATATTTTTTGAACTTTTATTTCAAGATAGTCTATCATATCGTTTTATACAAGCAATTTTGATGCAGCGAAAGGTAGGTAAATGAGCAAAGTTTAATGATAATGCCGCGCTTGTCGAAAATATCGTCTCAGCGAAGGTTTCATTTGTTTTCTGTTTGAACCAGTGAATCGATAAAGCACTCCTGTAGACGATCTTGGACCTCGAGTTCCCTGTTTGAATTGGCTGACGTTGTTTCTGAGTCTGTTGAAGCCGATCATATCAGCAGAAGCAACGAGAATATTGAGTAAAAGAGCGAGAACAAGCATGTTTTATTATTTTTATTTGATGTCGTATTCTGATTTTTGGACTGATACTGATGATTCAAGCGCTGTTTAAATATCCCTTAGATTCAAGCGTTGGCGCCCTCCTCGTTCTTAAGATCAAATCGAGGGCATTGAAAGAGCATTCGCTTTATCACGCCGATATATAACTTATGAGCGACCAGGTCGGGAAAAGGTTTTATTTTCATCTAAACTAACAACTATTCATATTAGACTTGCATCAATTGTCCAAATAAAGATAACTAAATGAGGTATAATCAAATGTTATGTAAGAAAGCATTTATTTTGTTCACAAAAAGAAACTGCTAAAATTAAATTTAATTGCACAGGAAAAATATTATTATATGGATGAGTTACAGGAGTCAGAACGGTTTTCGTAATACAGATGTTGCTCGATTTCGTCTTTTTAGGGCTTAGCTTTGAAAGCGTTAAATGTCTGTTTTGGATATTTCACATTTGACATTTCATTAAAGAGGAACCTAAAGCTAAGCCGTTCCTTGAAAATTGATCATTTCGCTTTGTCGATATTTGTTGTCGAAGAAATGTGTTTTCGGTCGCTCTGGACCTTTAATGTAGCTTTGGCGCACCATTGTTTCTTTTTTGGATTCAAAAAAAGTTAAAGAGTATCTTTAAAATCATCAGTTTTGAGTCCCCTTGGCAAAGTTGTAATTTCCTTTTTTTATCTGTCGTTTTACTTCTATAAAGAAGGATTGTTAGGGTCCGAGGGAATTAGTCCTTACCGTTTCTTGATACAGTAAAGTTCATCAGAACTTCGTTTATATGAACTGGTCGGTTGTAGCGGCCTGTTTTTGATCTTCGAACTTGTCTTTTCGTCGGTTTATATCATTCGCAAGCTTGCTGAAAACGACACTTGTTTTGGAAATCAGGGCGTAAGTATTATGTCATACTTACGATATCCGTTCTAGTTTAGTAAACCAACCAAATAAAGGGTACATCCCGATTATTTCCGCTCAGTGCAGATGCGTTTCTACTTCCATAGAAAGCTGTATATCGAGGAGGGAAACTACGTCATATCTACTGCTATACATAGCCTGTGTATAACTCATACAAGTCCGAATTCTCTCTACTCCAGTGAAATTATGGGGAAACGTTAAATTCATTACCTAATCATGAGCTCTTTCAGAAGCGCTCTGTAGGCAAATATTTCTTCCGCAGTCGGCTCTCTGTCAAATTTATTACTGTCTCTTCTGACTGAACATGAAGATCCCATCTTCTTCTTCTTCTTCTTCCAAATAATATGAAAATTATAGTTCAGTAGCTATATCAAATCAAGTCAAGCCTTTGTAAATTTGTCACTAAAAGTATGAAAGTTTTCTTTTCAGAATTATGCAAACTGAAAAGAATGAAGTGACCTTGGTCGCGAGGAAAGCGATTAAAGTTAGAGCTTGGTCAATTAACACTCGACGTCCCTTCTGCACCTGATGATTTTCGCTATCAGAAGGGAACTTAGCAGCATGATTTTATGCTATAGATCTGATGGAAAGCTGTCAACACTGCGTAAACCCTGTCTTTTGAATATTATCGATGGAATAAGGTATTTTTGGTGATACAAACGAGTTCAAAAATTCAACAATAGAAAAGTAAGTATAAATAATGATTTTGTGATGCATTTTTGATCGAGTTTGCGGTTGATTATTGCATTATTGAGAAATAATAACTAATACATTAATTAATCGATAGCCTCGGGAAGGCACGAGGACGGAGATAGACTTTGCAGGTACCCAACACGTCGAGGAGGATTAGTTATTAATAGCTAGCTTTTTCTCTGCATCCATTGAAAGTAGCAATTCATTCCAAGAAAAAAAAACAGCGAATGTCAATATTTTTCACCGGTTGGAGAAAATACGCCCTTTATTGCTGCCTGACAAGTAAAATCAAAAGAAAAGAGATACAGTGGAGGAAAATATTCTTTAGTAATTTGCATCTTTCATTTTATTGTATGCGCGCAGCTGGAAAATGGACTTGGTGTTTTGATAGCCTTTCCGATGGTCTTTGAGTTGTTGCTGCTTATTGTCGGCATTCAAGGTACTTTTGTCGACGTAGCTACTAGCGAATCGAACGGATAGATTTCTTACACAGTTTTTCATAATCTTAATCTGATTGAACATACGAGGAAGATAAGTTGTACTGAGTACCATAAGATTATCAGATAAGTGACGCTTAAGAAAGCGGCAGTTTTCTCGTATTTTTGATTGATTAGTTGCGCAAATATCGAGCAATTTCTAAATTGGCATTACTATAATGAAATCAAACGTGCAAAAAAATTACTACTGCTGGCCTCATAAGCTGTAATTAGATATTATCTGAGCAGCTGAATTGCGTTTTGGGCCTCTTTGCTTGAAATATTCGATATAAATTTCTTTCAATTACTTGTTATAAAATTCCGACTTACGTATTCTCAGGCTACGAGCGATATCTTGAAAAGAAAAAGACGGACGTCCATCAAATCGAAGAAATCCAAAAGATGTACCCTGAAAACCTCAACAATCTCAAAAACGAATAACCTATCCTTTCAAATTTCTAGAGCATCTGTTTTCTCCGCAATAAATCGCAGTTCCTATTGAGTTTTTCCTTCAAAGAATCATTGAATTATCTCCAAATGGAGAAGACTTGCGGCCAGACAGCCGCGAAATTATTCAGCTCGTTTTTCGGCAGTGATTTTGGCGTTGAGACCTGGTGTAAGGACGTTCCGGCTTGGAGCACAGCCGGAGCAGGAACGGATTTTTCTTATATAAAGTCGAAATCGTCAAATTTATCCTTTGAAAAATTCTCAATGCAGTGTATGACTATATCATGCTCTGGACCCCGTTCGTGGCATTTTTGTCGCATATTCTCGTGGCTTACGCTTCTTACGTCCTGGGTCATTCTTGGGGCACCTTTTTCATGTCCAGCGAGACGGAGGAACATGAATTCACAACGGATCAAATTCAAGAGCGCAGACAGATTCTTCAAGAGCAACTCGCGCTAGTTCTCGATGATTTGAACAATGACAAGAGGAAGATTTTCGATTTGGATGCTGAGTTTGAGTTTTCAAAGCAAGAAATTCCGTCGTTGCAGAATCAAATCAAGCAACTTCAAGGTTTGAATCTTTCTAGATGGTTGATTGGAGCTTTTAATTGAATTAAAAGCAATGTTATTACTGTATTAATGATCAGTAATGATGAAGCTTCGAGCTTCTTTCCGTTATTGATAGTTAGGGTTTCGGAGATTCTCCGATTTTAATTCCCGGTTCTTTAGACAAAATTTGGAACCCTGTATAAGTTTTGTTGATGCTGATTCTTCTGTTTCTTCAACATCTTTTAGAGGAGATCGATTTCCTCCAGGAAAAACTCGACAAGTTGAGGGAAGACCGACTGGAGCTTCACAAGCGATTCTACGGAGGAATCAATGACATCGCAAATATGCAGGCACGTGGTTTCGTATTCTTCTGCTGATTAACAATTCGGAATTGTCAATTCTCTCAATAGCAGTTTAGGGCTCACAATCATCATGACGGAGTTATCGTTGATTGTTTTTCCTCGTTGAATTCATTCAAACTAAATTAGCATTGACAATGTCTTACACAAAATCTTATGTAAGATTTGTTTCATAACATTCCATTTTAAGAAAATCTTGGAGCCTCAAGCGCTAGACAACGAAGCAGCTAAAGAGCTCATCCGGCGTATTTCAAATATTGAGGATACAATTTCATCCTTCCACGATGCCATGCGAAACCAAAACCATTCTTTCAGAAAACGGGATTGATCGATCTTCAGATTAAGGCTATAACCTCTCTTTTGGCCTCTCTGGAAAACGGACTTCCCTTGGTCGATTTCAAAAATTTAAAAGGCAAACATACTTGTTTTCTCCTAAAAAATTCAAAAATGATATCAAAAAATACTTTTCTTCCGTAAATTTTTACTCTAGAATAATTCAAAAATCGCCATTCGGTTTTCCAAGAAAACTGGAAGCTCTGAGGTAAAATTAATCCGATAATAATATTAAGTTTGGCATATTCTATGATCCCTATGGAAAAAATATCAAGAAATTGTCTTAATTATGATTATAGTTCTCTCTTCTTTTAAATCTCTTTTGTTTATAGACGGACGCTTGAGATACACGCGGCCAATCAGAGCGCGATGAATCGCTTGACTCACACGCTCGCCAACAGCGCTCTCTTTTTGGCCTGGAGGATAGCACTCCGCGCAGCGCGTCCACGCGCATTTTTATCCTCAGGTGCGTCCACTAACATGGCGCTAGAATGAAAATTTGAACAGATATCGAAGATTTTTTCCATAGGGATTATAGAGAAGGCTTTAATCTTTTAATTGATCGAAAAAAATCTACCTCTGTAATGGTAAAATTCTTCGGAAAACCGAATGGCGTTTTTTAAATGATTGTAAAGTCGAAATTTCGAAAGAAAAAATAATTTTTGATGGCATTTCTGAAATCTACGATAGATTTTGAGTACATGAGCCTTTTTAATTTTTGAAATCGACCAAGGGAAGTCCGTTTTCCAGAGAGGCCAAAAGAGAGGTTATAGCCTTAAGATTTTACGAACATAAAAATCCCGAAAAAAGACCGTTTGAGATTCAAGATTCCGCTCGATTTTCAGAGTCGTTTTAAAAGAAGTAATTTGTTAATTTTAAATTGAAGACGCAATAAATATATATTTTGTTTTCATTTGGAAAGTTTATTGAAGCAATCGAATTAATGAATTATTGAAGCAGGAAAAAGTTGGTTAGTAGTCGGCGGATAAATCGTCAATGACGTACGCAGGGTTAGATGTTCCGCTCTGAAGCTCAATCTGAGAATGACATGATTTAAATTTCCGGTCCTAAGGACTAGGGGGATTCTATCACTGTTGGCAGAAGACTTCTCATTTCCATGACCGTCGTTGGCCGACGGAACAAAGGTCCGGTCGCCATTGACGCCCTCACTTGTAAAACCTAAGCAGAAAAAGAATGTACCAAATTTTGACTTCAGAAATTTGTGCACACTACTGGTGAAACAAAGTGAGTCTCCCAAATCTTCAAAGATTTAGATTTGAAATTTTTTCATAAAAAAATGGGAGGATGATTGAATGGTTAGATGAGAAGCGAGTTTAAACTTTATACAACCCGGCAGTTTTGTTTATAAAGTTTCTTTTCAAGAGATGTTGAAAATGCGGACCAGTAAAGATAAAACTTACGGATTTGCGCCGACGAGCAGAAGATTCGATAAGGCTATCGTCATATTCCTTCGCTGTTAACGTCATGCTAGAAATATAGAAAATGATCCTTTGATTTTGAGAAAATAAGTCTGAGTTTTAGAATGTCGGTTGGAACTCCTTTTGATGATTTCAAAAAAAATTTCGCGGGCCCGGAAATCGTCAAAAAACGTCTTGACTAGTTTTGTAGAGCTCGTCGAGACGAGTCGAATGATATATCAAAATCCTGAAAATTCTAAGATTTTCCGCCAAAAAAAGTGATAAGAAGGTGGCTTATCAAAAAATTTCTGACCAGCGCCGTTTTTGTTCTAGAAAAGTTGAGGTGATGTTTGACCCCGGAAAATGATCCTTATGATCTGTTCTATTACAGCAAAAAATTTCAGCTCGTAATCACATATCCTGCCGTACTTATCAGCGAAAAATTAGAAATTTAGTGCATTTTGTTGTCGCTGCTCGTTCCTAATTTCTGGCCCATTTTCAGTCCCATTTCCATTCGAAAATGAAATATACTGATAAACTCGGCTGGGTAGATGATGACTGGCTGAAATTTTTTGCTGTAGTAAAACAGATCATGAGGAACATTTTCCGGGGTCAAACGTTACCGCAGCTATTCTAGAACAAAAACGGCGCTGGTCAGAAAATTTTTGATAGGCCACCTTCTTATCACTTGTTTTGGCGGAAAATCTTAGAATTTTCAGGACTTTGATATATCACTCGACTCGTCTCGACGAGCTCTACAAAACTAGCCAAGAGGTTTTTTGACGATTTTCGGGCCCGCGAAATTTTTTTTGAAATCATCTTTTCCACTCTTTGAGTTTTTTTATTATCGGCATTTTTACATGTTTACACCGAATTCAATAATTTTCATACCGAGTCTGATTTCATTCAGTATTTAGTACTCCTTGGGAATCTGTATAATCTATCTTGGCATCAAGATAAGCTCGAAATCAAAAGGATAAAAAAAATAATTCTTTGGGGCTAAAGAAGGAAGAAATTTACCGCTGTATCTTCCTCTAACTCAACGTATTCATAAATATCATCAAGTCCGAATCTCGGGCTATATTTTCCATCATAAACAAGACTTTCAATTTCCTTGTACCTGTAATAGACGACGAAAAAGACCCATCCAAAGTTGAGAAAAACCAAAGCGCCGTATAAAAACAAATCGCCGGGGATGATGTCTTTCTCGTTTTCTTCCCATTCTTTCTTGCCGTTGCTGAACTGGATTCCGAAGCCGATGAAGAAGGGAATCGATATAACAACTAAAGGAGGTTCTCGGGATATTCCTAGGGCTTGATAATCTACCCATGACAATGGCAAGCCACATAAAAAATCTGCACCGTCTCCAGTTTCGTCTGCAATCAGCAAATGTCATCCTCTCTTTTCCTTCTTCTTTTATTCAAGACGTTTCTTTTCTCTGCTCTGTTCCCACCGTGAATCAGAGCTTCCAAAAATTGATATATTGTTTGGCTTTTTGTCTTGCGCGTTACTCACAAAAAAAAAAGGTAAAAAATTAACTCGGGAGAATAACGATGCTGGCGCGAGTTGGTAATCGCGCGTTTCAAAGCTGCTGAGAAGCTCAAACTGAAGCTGACAAGGATTTTTATGATCGGATTGCGATCACAACAAAACAAAAGATCAACCGACAAGGACGTTACTTGAAAAGGCAGCCAAGCGAGAAGAAAAACGGAATAGCGAATAATATGCGCAAAAGACTGGACTTTTGAGCATATAGAAGAAATTAATTTATTAAACATGTATTAGAAACAGAGATTGCGTGGTAGTTCTTGTAGCAGTACAAAAGAATGATAGTTGTACGAACAGAAAAATTGTTGTTTTTTTATCCTTTTTGAAGAAATTGAGTTGCTAGAATTGTCTCGTCCAGTTTTGCGCGGTCCTTTTCTTCCGCCAGTTTTTCGCGCAATCTCGATATTGCGGCGGGGAAAAGCTCTTCGGGAAAAGTGCTTGGTACAGGAAGATACAGTATGTAATGGCGGATGGAGTCACGGTCGTTTTCTACTGCGGAGATAAGGGAACTAGAAGAGAGTTTTCTTTTGGGAGGGTTTGGAGTGGTTATGTTACCAGATAATGATTTTGGACTGGCCACGGAACTTTTGGCAGATATTTGGAATAGCTAGCAAAAGCCAGTTGAAGATTTCATCTCGTTGAGGAAAAATACGGAAGCAGTCGCTCAGAAAGAATAAATATGAAGGAACCAGCGCTTCTTTTGCATTCATCAGTTCGATAAAGAGCTTATTTAAAACCCTAGAAAAAGATAGAATGTATAAAAAGGCAGATTGATTTGTACCTTTCATTGATTGAAATTTCGCTGAATAAGAGCTTCAAGAGAGCGAGCATTTTCGAAGAATGTTTCTTTGGATTGGTGACGGCGGAGTTCAGGATCACGGAAATTACGGGGTCGCTACCGATATCGCTCGAGTTCTTGTTTTTGATGAACGACGCGGAACGCTTTTTTGAGGAGAAATAGCAGCTAAAAACATATTAAACTGACCATAATTTGTCATGATCTTACAGAAGGGAACTCGTAGCAAGAGTAGAGCCAGTTGAAGCAAGATAGGAGTCGTTCGCCATGCTCAGATCAGCTCCTATCTGTGAAAACTGCACCACTTGGTCCGGAAGCAAATGTCCCAGCCACGCGATTCTGCCCAAACCGAGTAAAAGAGGTTCGACGGCTTCGAGGGAAGCCCCAGTGTAGCCGACTTGGCGATGATTGATATGATGTTCGATGTAAAATCGACCTGTGCAGAGTTAGAATGAAAAGTTCAAGATATATTTCATTTTTGATATTAAACTCTTTCCTCGTCTGCGAAATCAGGGTGTCGCTCAATTATCAAAAGAGCGATGGAGAAGTCGTAGAGCTTGAGTTGCAAGTCGATAGGATTCAAGGACATCAATGATGGATGCGCGCTCAGTGAAGTGAGAACCTTATTTGCTATCAGCGTCAAGAAGTTACTGTAAGAAACAGTGAGCCCTCTTGGCATGTCTAGCAAATTCAGTACAGAGCTTCGGACACTAGAAGTTTTGTTACACTTTTGTAGATGTACCGAACTTACGATAAATCGGAGGAAATAGAACAAAAGCCTCGAGAAACAAGGGGCGTAAGAGTTTTTGTCAAAAACTCATCGTTGTAGCCTGCGACAGATGCTGCCTTTGTCAAGCATGGCAACAGCGTTTCCCAAAGAAGAGGATCTTCGTTTTCTGGATTTGAAGTTTGAACAAGTCCAGTTACAGCTTTGAGAGTTTCGTTGAAGTGCTCTCTGGTTGGATAGGCGTTGACGATCATATTTATTGCTCTCGCTGCTTCCAATAGAACTCGTCGATGAGGCGCTAAAATTTATGTTGAAATCATGTCAGAGAATACTTTAGTACCTTCGGAATTCTCATGAATAGCAAAATGAAACCACCGTAGAAACAAATCAAAAAGAAACTGCGTCGAAGAATTCAAATCTGGCGTCCAGGAATCATCTGATTTCTCCGAGGCCTCGAGCTCTATTTCTGCCGAGGAGCTTCTTGCACTTGTCATTGGCGAAATTCCTTGTTTCCTGAAATGATTTGGAGCGCATGAAGCTCCAACTGAAACTATCGATGGTCCCTGGGACTCGGGATTCGAAGACAGCCAAGGGGATGAGTTTTGTAACGACGAAGATAGGTCAGATTCAGCTTGCGCATCTAAAACCCGAGGAAGAGGACATCGAGGGTGGTTTATCAAGGGAGAGACAGCAGGTGAGCCCGCAAATGTCTTTCCATTTTGAAACTGGCGAAATGCGAGCATCGTGAGTACTGTTAATCCTCTAACAGCATCAACCATCGAGTCTATCTCTTCTTCGCGACCAGATCCAATGTTCAAATCGCTGGAAGTCTTGCTCATGATCACCTGTTGCAAGCCAGTCCACAGTGAGAGAAAGCACGTTCGAGTTCCATAGCCAAACGCGCGAAAATTCCGAACTGATTGGGTGATTATTTCTTTATCTTCCAACTCGTTTGGCTCGCCAATTTCAGAAGCGAGAAGAGGCTTCCGGAAGAGCTCTTCTTTGCCGGGAGTATAGGAAAGAATCGATAGGATCTTCCGAACAAGGACGGAGTCAGGACAGTTCGATAGGAATGAAAAGGAGATTAAGCTGTCGATCCCGACCATGGAAAAGATTTCTTCAAGATTCTTGATTGTGTTATCGTAAATTTCATCATCCAAACAGTCAGTTTTGCAAAGATCATCAAAAATATTTGCTAGCTTCCTTCGTTTTCTGCTTTCTACAAGAAGCGTGGTATTCGATGAGCTTTTCTGATCGTTTTCTCCGACTTTGATGGAAAACGGACAGTCGAACATCGTTGAAATCTCGAGTCGTAATCGTCTTGAAGGAATAAGTTGTACGTATTTTCCGACCGTTTCTGCCCAGGCAACCTTGTTCATTGCTAAGAGTTTGACGAGCTTTCGGATAGCCCCGATTCTATTTCCCTCAAATGTCACTTTAACAAGATCTTCATCGACATTCACATCAGATTCGATGAGAGAAATCATGTGTCTTCTAACATACGCCGGTGCGCTGGAAAGACTGGACTTAAAGCTCGCTTGTTCTTCTTTCAGAAAATTCTTGAGTTTAGAACGAGTCCTCGTTGATTTCAATGCGGATTGAATCAAAAGTTCATCGCATGAAAAGGTTTCAAAATCAGAGTTGAAGATTTTAGCAAGTTTGGCACCGGTGTTATTGTAAGTTGAGTCCGATGCGATGAAATTATTGTGAAGTCTGATGGCAGGACAAAAAGTGCTTTCAAGAGTCAAATCTGGAATGAGTTGAGATTCTGCGACGAGCTGCTGACGAGAAATATGCTGGATAAGAACAAGCGTTTCGAATTTTAAACTTTCATCAGAGTATTTCAGCAGCTCGGAGAAGATGCTTTTCATGTTGATTTTTGAAAGAATCCCGTGAAGATTTGATTGAGAAATAACTAGATGAAGAATCCCGAATAAAACCTTGCTGATCGCCGACGATTTATGCCTTTTCAAAGCAATCAAGGCATTGTCTAACATATCTTTGAACGAGTCTTCGTTTGCTTCTAGCACTCCTCCGGTACAGTGCTCGAAAACAACTCTTAGTAGCTCGAGCTCTTTTTTGTCCGAAAATTTCAAATTCAGGACGAAATTTTCGATAAATAAATTTCCAGTAAAATTGTGGACGATTCTAGCACTCACACTTCTCCAGAGATTAATATCAGTGAGCCGATAGTACTTGAGAATGTGAATCAACAGTGGAAAAGATGAGCAAGTAGTGGACATGTTCAGAATCATCGAAAGAATCACTTCTTTCTGCGCAGACTCGGAGACTGTTTCAAGGGAGAAAATATCGTCGACAATCGGAGAAAGCGCTGGAATCGCATGTGTTTCGGGACTGAGCCCGGCTGCGTTGAGACTGTTGCATAGATTGATAACTTCTGACTTTGTAACAAAAGTCTTTGCGCCTCCCTTTTTCTCCCCGCTTAGAAGAACGAGGAAAAGAAAGATGCTCGGAATGACCATTTTTGCATCTCGCCACAGGTTTGCTTCGGCGGTGCTCAATTGATTCAGCAAGATTTTCACGAAGATCCCTTCAGAATCCAGCAAAGAATAATTCACCCGAAGCTGCATCAAATTAGTAAGAAGTTTTAGGACTGCTTTTTGAATACGCTCATCAGTAGAAACTGTATATCTTCGCATAGCACAGATGACGATCGGTTCGAATATTCGAATAAAGTCTTGAACTGATGATGATCCCTTTTTCGCGTTGAAGTTGATTTCTTGGAGCCGCGCGTCTACCATCTGTTTATACGATTTCTGATGGTTGAGTTCGCTTTCAGAGAGGTGTGAACCTGCCTGTGTTGTTGCTTGAGCATCCGTGAGCCGAAGAGATATCAAGGAAAGCGGAGTGTCCCTTAATTTCTCCACCAAATCAGCTTCGTACGATGATGGCAGCTGAGATTCATTGGGCGGTTGTTTGACTTGGAAAAGGGCAGAAAGCACGGAAGTCGCAGTGAAGATGCATTTCGAGGGCAAATCATCATAGGTTGATTGAAGAAGCCCAGTTAAAGACGTCAAGATGATCTCGGCGAATTCGGAAATGACCGAAAACTCGATGTTTTCCAGAAGAATCTGCAAACTCTCAAGAACCCCTGATAGTAAATCTGATAGATTTGAAGACTTGGATGTTTGAATTTTTGAAGTTTGGTATGCTTGATTGACTTTTTTGTAGAACTCATGTTGGGGAACCTCGTCAGAGTTTTTCTCCAAGTCCACAACCGGCGAAGTAGCCTTTGGGACGTGCTCTTTTGGGCGAGAATTATTGAAAGGAATGGAGTTGCGGAGCTTTCTGGCAAAGCTTGGACTCGAGCCACGGACCTTCTGATCATCTTCTACCACCGGTAAAGTTCTTTTCTCCGATTCAAGGTTCAATAGTGCATCGATTTTTGCTTCAATCAAAACAATATGTAAAATTTTTAAATAGCGAACGATCAAATTCGCCAGTCGTTTTTGACCATCCAAGACCATTGCTGGTACAACTGGCTCTTTTAGCTGCAATGTTTGGGTCCACTTAACCATCAGTTTTGACGCTAACTTGAGCATTCTTCCTAAATACTGCCAGTCGACGATTTCGCTGTAAATTTCGCAGGTTTGCAGAACGAAGAACAGGAGTGGAGGTGAAGGATGATCGAATTTCCGAACCCAAGTTTTTGCCGAAGGATACTTCTTTAACAAGATGAAGATTGCTCCACAAATAGAAGCAATTCTAGGTCCATCGACTGATTTTAACAACTCGTTAGTCATGAATGAAATGAACCATTCAGTAGACAGGTCGAAGGGTTCTTCAGTGGACTCCTCAAAGCAGTGGTTCACATATTTGGCGGTGATCAATTCTAATCTGTTGATTTCTGGCGAGTGGACTTTGTGAATAGCTTTTGGCCCGTAGCAATTTTTGCTAAACGCGAAGGTGAACTTGAGACATCCTTCTCGAACCCGCTCGTCTTTTGAAGAGAGACACGCAAGAAAGTATTCCAGGGCCCGTTCTTCGTATAGGAAAACATCTGCTTCTGGCGATAAGGCGTGAAAGAATCGCCAGTCTACTTCGGAGAGGCAGGAAACGAGATCGATTTGCGTTGACCAGTAAGTTACCGTTTTTGTCAGTTTCAAAATGTTTTCCACGGAAGAAATGTAAAGCTCTCCTTTCCGATGCTGGAGAAAGAAAGGGAGGAGATTTCGAATTCCTTCAATTGCTTTCGACAAGGATTGGTTCGAAGAAGTCGTCGAAATGAAATTGATAATTTGCTCGAATTTGGATTTGACTCCATTTTCCTCGTGCTCATTTTTCATCAAGTTGGCAAGGAAGAGAACAGTGTGGCCTTGAAGATTCGGGTCTTCGTGCGAAAGAAGATCTTGAATTTTCGCCATAGAAGGGAGCGAAGAAATGGAGGGGCTCATTGAAACGCAGAAATTTGAAGCAGAAACGATGAGAGACTTGATTGAAACACGCGAAAGACCTGAAATTTGATCAGTTTGAAAGAGATCTTAATTTCGAACCTTTGTCAGGCAATAATTCTCCATCTTTGACGAGAAAAGTGGGCAAGAGATAGCTGCAGAGCTCTTCAATCGCATCTTGATCCAAATTTTTCGCGTTTTTGAGGAGTAAATTGACGAGTTCGAGCGAAATCAAAACTGTAGAATACGCGGGCTCTTCTTTCAAAATGTCCACGAGGGTTCGAATCAACTCAAAGTTCGAAGCGTAAGATTCTTCAAATTCTAGCAGTTTCTTCAGCGCTAGAATTATGGCGGGAAGAATGTCTCGCATTTCCGGGTCTTTGAGTTTTAAAAGAGAGCTTCGACGACTTCATTTTTCGCTGACTGTAATGAACGAGCATTTCGAGCGATTTCGCTGCAGATTCTCGGTTAGACGGAGAAATAAGTGGCTTGGAAGTGATCTTCGCGATGAGCGTCGTTTCCAGATCTTTGAAATCTGCTTCGGTGAAGACATGACCCAGGGATCGAACTAGATTCATTGTCGCATCTGACAGGACTTGTTGGACGCTTTCTTCTTTGCTCGAAATCAGTCGGTTTAAAATTGGAACGATGTGCTGGGCGAATGGCTTGCTTTTTTGCGGTTTAATCGAGCTGGAAAGATTGGAGAAACGCATGAGAAGCTGCTTGACTCGCTTGAGTGTCTTGTCATCCCAGTTTTCCAACGGAAGATTGACGGTTTTCTGTAGGTCCTTGAAGAGAATGTAGCGGAAACGAGGGAGAATATTTTCGGGAAGGAATTGGGTCAGTTGATTTAGCGCGTCGCTGGAACCTTGACGAACGTCACGTGAGTTGTCTTCGCAGAGAAGAAGCAGAAATTCTAGCACAATAGTTATGAAAAAACCACCGTTAGGGACATACCTATGCATGAATTTAAATTCAATGTAAGCTGCTGATCCGGAAGGAGCAAAAGATTCTCGACCATGTTCTTCGCATTCTGGCATTTTTCTTTAGGGCTCATTTGGTGCCGATTAGTGTTTTTGGAGGCGTCGAAATGCAGCCGAAACTGCGCCAAGTTCTTTTGGACCGACTCCATTTTAATTTCATCTCAATTTCGAAGCATCTGAAAAGGTAACAAATATGTAAAGGAATTAGTTGATAGATATAATGATAATTTTTCAAGATATTCGTAAAATTTATATCACGAATCATAACAACAAAGTTATTCTATGAGCTTCATTTTATGCAGAGTTGGAAGGGCCTCATCACGGTGTATGATGCATGCAGTAAGGAACATGGATATAGCTTCATTTTATATTTATACTTTAGTAGAATTATTTTTCATTAACATTTTTATTTCTGGGGACAAGTTCATCTTCAGGTTGTACGATGCACCATGGGGCTAATATGTATCTTGCTTCATTTTATTCAATTAAATTCATATTTCTCGCGTCGATTTCAATTATCTGAAAACAAATTGTAAGTAAAAGAAGAGTTAAATTAATAGACCTTTATTGAATAAATTTAATTAGACGTTGCCTTATGCATTTATGCACTAATTTTGATAAAGCTTCATTTTACGTAGATTTGAATTTAGAAAAGTAACAGTTTACATGCACAATGCACCACGGGAGTATAATTGAAGAAGATTCATTTTATGTAGAGTAGAAAGAATTCGAGATGTATAATGCATCTGGTAAGCAATATGGATAGAGCTTCATTTTATTAAGTATAATAATAATTCAAGTATAATTTAAATTAAAGTTGTTTAATACACCTCGCATCAAACCTAGATATTGATTCATTTCAAAGAAATTATATTATTTTTACTCTAATCTACGGGCAGTTTGTTGTTCGAATACATTTTAATAATTCTTCATTTTCATTTATTCATTTTTTCGAAACGATTCCAACCATCTGAAAATAAAAGAAGATACACTTAAGTTTCAAATTCAAACATTTGATATTCATTTGAGCAGTTAACACAGTTGAAATAGCACTGACTTATTTTACAATCTTCCATGCAGTATGCATATTGGAGCTCTTTTAGCTTCATTTTATTTAGAATTTATTAGTTAAATGAGAATAAATAGTTGCTATATGCATGCAGGGGCGATTTTGGATCTCGTTTCATTTTATAATAAAATTTTTATTTCTTATATTTTTGAATAGCAATATTTTCATTTATAAAGAAGTTGTCTGATGCATGCGACATCTAATATGGATAATGATTCATTTTAAATTCATCGAGTCGATTTCAACAATCTAAAAGTAGAATACGATATTCATCATTCAATTCTCGACTCAAGAATCTCGAGTCAATTCCATCGAGAATTTGTTTTCGTAACAAAAATTTATTTCATTTTTTCTCAACATTCAAAAGTACACTCCGAATTTGGCTTCATTTTAAGAAATGTATGAAAGTACAGTAATGAGACATTGTACTTTAATTCATAAATCATTTTAATGACAGAATTGAGTAATATTTCGATGTTCGGTTTCCATTCGCAGGAATGACCCTAATATTCTCTTAGATTCATATTATTCATCGTCAACGATCATTCTTCATTCCACTTTTTTCTTTTGAAAAAAAACCATAATCTTTCTTCATTTCTCGCGCAAAATAATAGTGCGGAGAAGGGCGATTTCCCGTGGCGCCCAATCAAAAACGAGAGATTTTTCGATCAGCTCTTTTTTGCATTTTAACATTTATAGAGAGAAAAAGTAATTAAAAAAATAATACTCGAAAGAATCCGAGCAATGTAACAAATTCTCACTAGTAATTACCGATTTCTCCGAAGCCCTCTTTTTAGAAACAAATACAAATTTCCCTTATTATTTCAGAATGACCGCAATCGACGACGGACCAGAAGCAAAAAAGGCGAAAATGTTCGCCGCCCCGACGGTCGAAGAAGTCGCCGCTCTTCGTGAAGCCGAGGGAATCTTCAGTGGCCGCTTGAGTCAGCTCAAAACGGACGAAATTCTCCGCGAAATTACTCCTTCCCAGAGCGAACTAAACGAGCTCTCCGAAATCCTCGGAGCGATCAGGACTCTCATGAAGAAGTTGCCAAAGCTTGACGACATGAATCTCGAAGACGTCGGAACTTCAGTCAAGGATTCCGTCATTCCGATCGTGATGAGCCCTCCAAGCGACAAAGGGCTCGTCCGATTTCTCCCACCATCGCGAATTTCACTCATTGATCTGGATTCCAGCGTCAAATACGATGAAAAAATCGAGGCCAGAATCGAATTCGAAATGCCCAAAGCCTGTTTGCAAGAAAAAGACGTCTGGGACGAGCGATTTTTCAGAAAGAGAGCGATTTACATGGCTTATTTAGCGACAGTTTTGACGAAGAAATTCGACGTCAGCTATAGAATCGTCAATGGTTTGAGAATTAAGCCAATGATGATTCTTTCCAACGAGAAATTTCAAATCACGTGCGAAATAAAAACAGAAGTGGAGTTCGCAAAACGAGTAAGGTTCATCCCTTCTCGCTGCAACATTCATTACAACTGGTGGGCCCAGATTTCCGAGGATGATTCCATTCCCGCTGAAACGACGCTTTACAACTCCGCCATGCTCGACGATCAAATTTCCTTCGAGCAAGAAGAAAAAGACCTCCTGGAGAAATTCTCATCTCTGCCCCCTTCGCTGAACAACGCATCCCGATTATTCAAGCTCTGGACGAGGCAGTCATGCATTCATCATTTCGAATCTTCTCCGGATTTTTTCAAAACATACGCGCTCACTTTACTCGTCAAAAATCGAATGCCCCGTCTCGCATCCGCTTTTCAAATCTTCCGTCTCGTGTTGGAATCACTCGCTGCGGGCGATTTATCTTCCCTATCCGGCCTCTCAGATACCGAATGGCCCGCTCCGTGCCTTGGCTCGACTCAGGGGAGAAATCTGTTATCAAATGTTCCGCTGAGCGCTTGCGAATGGCTCCGTTTTTCGGCAGCCCGAGATAGCAAAATTCTAGCGAAGGATCTTTCCAACGGAGTGATTTCCACTCTCGTCAACAAACGAAGCTTCTTGTCTCTTTCCCATGCGATTGTTCTTCTACCAGACGATGGTTCCTTACAGTGCGTTCTCAAGCGAAACCGAAACGACACTAGAATCGCCGCTCTTTCAGGAGACACAGCTACTACAGCGCTGGAGTACTTAATTCTGCTCCTGAAAAACGCCGTGACAGATCGAATCGTCGCAATCTGCCCGAAAGTGCCGGAATTCAAGCCTTGGTCCACAGTGCAACAGCCGCCAAAGTCTGAGGAAGTCTTTGGCCTCGGCTTTGGCATTTCCTTGTCTGAAAGCGAAACGAACAATTTGGCGAAGGTCTTTAGAGGACCAGCAGCGGATAACGATTCTGCGAAAAGGTTCAGGAGTCTTTGGGGAGCAAAGGCGGATGAGAGAAGATTTCAGGACGGATCAATTTGCGTCGCAGCGCATTTCGATTCTGAAGGTTAGTTGAAAATAGAAGATTTATTTTTGGCTAATTTTGGCGTAAAATTTTAGATCCACTGGAAGCAGCTGTTCGTCATTTGCTCAAATTTCACGGTCAAATTGAAAAAGTCGAGTATTTCGGACGAATGCAAAGCGAGAATAGAGCCGACTTCGCGGAGTATCAAAAGCTATCTGATGGTTACGCGGAGCTCGAGCAGATCCTGCGCTCAAATGACCTCGATTTGCCGCTGCGAATTACACACCTCTGGCCGGGCAAGTCTATTTAACAAAGTTCAACTCAATAACTGTACTTTTAGTGAGTCCTACTTTCCGCGGGACAAGTTCTATTCCCTTTTCGCCAAAAGCAAGTCACCTGCCGAAAGCCGCTTATCAGTACAACGTCGACGTTCCAGAAGCAAAATCACTTCCTTCCCATTTCGCTTCCAATCGAATTCTACTTCAGCTTGAAGGATCTTCGAAATGGCCACAGAATATTCAAGCAATTAGGAAACTGAGACAGGCTTATCATATCAGACTTGCGGAGATTCTCGCCAATAAATTTCAAGTAAATAACAAGCTCAAATTTTCCTTATTATTTATTAGATGAGAGCAGCGCTTTCGGAAAATGGATTTGCCGTGAACTGCCGATTCAATGGATTCTTATTCACGCTAGAAACGGTTTATCACAGAGAACAGGAGCTGCTAACAGAATCCTATCATCCTCAAACCAGAGTTCGAAATCCCGCGTTTGCCCGGGGGAAGATACGGGCACGGGCAAGAAAGTGAAGATTCCCGAGGGCAAAGGCGGTCACGGGCAAAAAAACGAATTTTCCCGCGGGCCAAGCGGGCACGGCTAGGATCGACAAGTCCCACCCGACACCCGATCGAAAACCGACGTTTTTGTCGGGTTTTTGTTGATTCTGCCTACCCTACAAAAACCCGACGTTGAAATTTTGGCGACCCTAGAAAATCGGGTTTTTGTAGGGTCATTTATCGGGTTTTTGTAGGGTATTTTTGTCGGGTTTCTCATCGTATCTACTCATCAGTTTCTTTAAAGAGAGCACCAAAACTTCTGTTAGCCAAAAATTATGTCCATTTTCGCCGATTTGGATTCAATTTATTTGATTTAACTTCCGTGTTGTGAAAACGCGACGAGAACCCGACAAAGACCCGATAAAACCCGAAAAATACCCGACAAAGACCCGATAAAACCCGAAAAATACCCGACAAAAAACCGAAAAAAATCCTACAAAAACCCGATAAAAAACCCGACGAAAACCCGACAAAAACCCGATCGGAAAAATCAGAGCTCAAGAAAATCCGATGAAAACCCGACCCGGATTTCGGGGGCATTTGTCGATCCTAGGGGCACGGGCACAATAAAAAATATTCCCGCGGGCAAATTCGGGCACGGGCAAGATTCCCGCGAGCTTTAACGGGCACGGGCAGATTCAATGTACCTTATGAAAAAGTGTTTAAACTATTTAAATAGCGTGGAAATAGACACCAAATACTTGAGGGAGTATATTGGGGGGTATATTGAAAACTAATCTGAATACAGAACTGTTATGACGTGCTTTTTTTAAGGTTAACGAAGTTTTCCAGCCCATTTCCGCCTTATAGACCCCCGAACATTATACCTTTACAAATCAACAGAAAATTTTAAGAACTTTAACGGTTCAAAATTCTAGGAAACTCCACTTCCGGTCGGTTCTAGAGCCGGAAGTTGACGTAATTTAGGTGTTATGGTGAAGTGTGACCCAGTGTTAAAAAATGGCCAAAACTCTAATGAGGGAGTGAGCGCGAGCAGAGGCCCCTAGATTATTAACATGAGTGAGCGAGGGCGAGTAGACCCTTCTGATTTTTTCGTGAGCGAGCGAGCGCGAGCGCAGATACCGGAATGTTCTATGAGTGAGCGAGCATGAGCGCTCACTCGCTCGCACGCGCTCACTCGCAGCTTTTCAACAACGTTTTGATTGAGTTCTTTCTTAAAAAATTCTAGTTCTTTTAAATTTGAATGACTTTTAACTATAATAAGTCAATAATGAGTACTCTAACGGGACTGAAAGATAATATCCAGATAAATTTCATAATTATTTAATGACTCAGTGTTGAGGGTGAATTAACTGTGAGCGACCGCGAGTGACCGCAAAAAGGGACCTTTGAATTTTATGGTGAGTGAGCGAGCGCGAGCATTGGGTTCTCCAAATCACATGAGTGAGTGTGCATGAGCGCTCGCTCACTCGCTCGCGCTCGCTCGTGGCTCGCGCTCACCATTTTTTCAAACACTGGTGTGACCTATCAAATTGATGCTCAGACGATTTCCTATCATTTTAGACCAAGAATCAAGACCAACCGCGGTAAAATAAACCGGAAAAAAGTGAAAAAAAAATTCATCACTTTATGCCTTTTTTACATAATTTTAACGGTCGGTTTGACCAGGTTTGGGACTGTTTCTTCTGAAATATTGATTTTAGGATGACTCGAAATCTTCTGAGCATCAATTTGATAGGTCACACTCTACCATTTTAACTAAATTTCGTCAACTTCCGGCTCTAGAATCGACCGGAAGTGGAGTTCTCTAGAATTTTAAACCGTCAAAGTTTTTGAAATTTTCTGCTGATTCTAAAAAAGTATGGTGTTCGGGGTCTATATTATAGAAAATCGCCGTTTGCCCAACTTGGAGAAACGGAGATCTTGGGCAAACGGCGATCTGAAAAAAGTTTATATTAATTGATCATTAGACATTATTTGGCTTTTTTAATGTCAACCCTGGCTTCTTCAACGCCAATCCTGGCTTCACCAACATCAATCATGTTTTCTATATCAATATCATCGACACTATATCAATTATGGCTTCTCCATCGCCAATTCTCGCTTCACCGACTTCAAATATAGCTTCTCCAATGTCCATCCCGGGCTCTTCGACGTCAATCCCGATTTCTCCATCGTCGATCCCGACTTCTCCAACGTCGATCCCGGCTTCATCCATCTCCATCTCGGCTTTTTCAACGCCAATTTTATCTTGAAGAAGCCATGATCGACATTCGAGAAGCGATGATTGACAACTGAGAAGCCGGGAGTGACGTTTGAGAAGCTTGGATTGAAGTAAGTGACGCCCGGATCAGCATTGAAGAAGCCGGGATTGACGCTGGAGATGCCAGGATTCAAGTTTGAGCCACCAAGATTGACGTCTGAAAAGCTAGGATCGAAGTTTTTGAAGCCGGGATTGAAATAAGTGACGCCGGGATTGACTGTGAAGAAGACAATAAAAGTTATATGATCAATCAATTTAAACACATCGCCGTTTGCCCAAGTCGCCGTTTCCCCAAGTTGGGGAAACGGAGACCATTCGGTCGTAGTTTCTAACTAGCTCCTAAAACTTGCGATTTAAAAATCCGAATTGATTCAGGGTCGTTTTTATTTTATTTTCTTATTTTGAAAAATAGGCTTGAGATTTAGCAGTAGAAAAAATGTTCCCCGGGCTGCCCTCGGGAATATTTCGTGCGGGAACGCGGGCAAACCGCCCGTGCCCGTTTATGCCCGCGGGAATCTTCTCATTCATGCCCGTGCCCGTATCTGCCCGCGGGAAAATTTGTTATAGTGCCCGTGCCCGCTTGGCTCGCGGGAAAATTCGTTTTTGTGCCCGTGACCGTTTTTGCCCCCGGGAATCTTAAATATTCTGCCCGTGCCCGCCCGCCCGCCGCCCCCTTGCCCGGGAGCCGCAAAAATTTCGAACTCTGCCTCAAACTGGCATGCTCATTGTCGAGGTATTTTCAAAATCCAAAACCCTTTTCAACCCTCTTTTTCCAACACCAGAACACAGCAGCTTCGGAAAAAGAAGAGCTCAGAACTCAGATTCGCCCGAAACTTGCAATGATTCTCTCACGAATGTCTTCCGTCGAAATGTCAGTTTGCCGCCTCTTCCGAAGATGGATCGGAAGTCATTACTTTTCATTCCAAATTGATCCGCTTCTTTCGGACTTGTTGGTTTATTCGGCGCTGAGGCACGACGCTGCTGGGCCACCTGGAAGCTTGAGAAATGGATTTTATCGGCTCATGATCTTTTTATCAAGTAAGCTTTTTTATACGATTATCTTGGTAATCGTTTTAACTAGCATTTGACTTCATTGACGAACCAATTTTCATCACTGGCGGCGTGGGAGAAGCATCAGAAGAAGAAACAGAGAACGAAGAGCTCAACCAAAACTCTCTCCGCGAGTATTTTATGGAAAACCGCTCGACGATCTTCGCAAAAAACGGAATTATTATCTCAAGCAAGGCGGATCAGAATAGAAGTTTGATTACACAAGAAGGTCCATCGAATGCGGTCGTCAAAAAATTACAGATGTTGGCGCTTGCTTCAAGAAAAAAGGTAGAATCGGAAGTTTTGTTGAAAAATTTATGCTCTTTTTTAGATGGAATCAGATGTATCCGCAATGAAATGTCAAGATCTCTCCTCCCTCTTCATCGGCTCAACAAAATGGTTCGACGTTTTAGTAAATTTGAAGCCAATGAAGGAAGCTAAACTCAAGACCGCTGCGGAAACATCAAAGAACAAGCACCGACTGGAAATACCCGACTGGTCGCCAGTAAAACTCGTCTTTGACACCTATTCTAGGGCACTCGGCCACAGCGCGCTTTTCTTTGCAGACGAACATAATCAGGAAACGAGATCACAAAACTCCCGAATATCCAAAATTGCAAGAGTCCTCTTTTGTTATTTCTAGCTGGGGAAATGAGGTGCCAAGTAGACTTTTGACGGCGGAGGAGTTTTAATGATCTTGGGAAACAGAAAGTATTAGGTGTCAAGTTCCGAAATGTTGGAGAACTCAAAGGACTGCAAGGAGAATGTTTAGGTTCGGGTCGTTAACAGTTAATTACAGTCAGTTTGCGAAGAATACAGTCTTAGAGCAGAGGCTTCTTTCGGCTTCAAAGTTTTAAGAGGCTTTTGGAATTCGTTGAAGACCCATAAAAAGGTGGAATGGCTCGAGATGAGCTTTCAAAAATGTATTTGAACAAGGTTGGACTCGTGAATGACATGAAGATTCTCGCTGAAAACGCGATTGAGTCAATTTCTGTGCAGAAGGATATTTGAATGAATCTTCGAATTTAATAAATTACCAAGTATGAAAGAACAATCCTGTTTGATGCGTCTTTTCAGATAAATGAGACTTGTCAGTGCAAATATTTGGCTTTTCAATTGTCGCTTGAAAATCGAGACTAGGGAAAATGGTTAAAATCGCGGAAATTGAAGCAGCGTTGGTAAGTTTTTGGAGTTTATAAATTCAAGAAAAAACTGGTAATTCCCAGGGGAGAATTAAAACAACTATCCACCGCACTCCGATTTTGACGAACAGCACAGTGGACAGTCTCGCCGGGCGGCAATTGTTTTTCAAAGCTGAGAATTTACAGAAAACCGGGAGTTTCAAAGCTAGAGGAGCGCTGAATGCAGTTTCCAAGCTGGGAGACGAAAGTTTGAAATCCTTTCCGTCTTGCCCATATTTTTTCTTTAGTCAGTGCTGTCTGCTGCGATTCATCTGGAAATCATGGTCAAGCATTGTCTTGGGCGGCAAAAAGTGTCGGAAAGACATGTCACGTGGCAGTTCCTAAGGGGGCACCAATGGTGAAAGTCGCTGCTATTGAAAATTATGGAGGTCTAGTGCACTTTTGCGAACCGAATGATGCCGGAAGAGAAGCGAAGGTACCCGCTATTCTTCATTTCGAAATGTCTAAAACTTTTGTAAGAGAAATGAGCTTGTCGAAAAGTATGGCGCAAAGATGATCCACCCAAGCCAGGACTTTGACGTCATCGTTGGCCAGGGAACAATCGGCCTCGAACTTATTGAACAATTCGAAGAACAGCCCTTGGACGCGATAATCATCCCCGTCGGTGGCGGCGGGTTAATTTCCGGAATCGCAACGTAAGAAATCTGTTCCCTCTTTTTACAAGCTGTTAAATCCGATAAATTCATTAGGGCGCTGCGTGCGAGCTGGCCGGAAGTGAAAATTATCGCTGCTGAACCTGTTGAAGTCGATGATTGTGCTGTTTCGATGGAAAAGGGTGATCTAGTTGTGACAGAAAAGAATGATACCGTTTGTGATGGAGTCCGGACTAATGTTGGCAAAAACACTTGGCCGATGATCAAGGAACTCGTTGATGAGGTACAATTATTCAATTAACCTATGTACAAATATTCGAAGGTGATCACCGTTGATGATATTTCCGTCGCAAAAGCTTGGAAACTCATCATGGAGCGAATGAAAACCGTGGCAGAACCAACTGGAGCCCTAGCCCTTGCTGTAGCGCTTTCGCGATCTTTCAACGAGTCATACCCACGAGATCAGTTCCCGAGAGTCGGGGTGATTCTTTGCGGCGGAAATCTTGATCTGTCTGTTGTTCCACAAATGCTGAAACTCGCTGATTGTTGATTACAGCGATTTATAACATTTTTTGACTTTCAGAAAGTTCGATCGATGTCGGAAAGCTGTTCAATTTGCCTGGAAGATATTCTTCTTCCCCTGACTCTTCCATGCAACCACACATTTTGCTACTTATGCATCAAAGGGGTTGCGTTATCGCCTTCTGGTCCTACTTGCTCTCTTTGTAGAGCAGTTTTCAGCAACAGTCTAATTGTTAAACCTCCAGCAATTCCGGATGCAGCGGCGGGAGACGAAAATAAACCAAGATGGTACTATGAGGGAAGAAATGGTTGGTGGGAGTACGACGAGCGCACTTGCGAGGTGGAATAGATATTTAAACCAAATGAAATCGTATTAATATTCTTTGAAAATATGGAGGGCTATCAACTAATTTTCAAGATGGTTGAAAAAGCCTTCGTGGACAGAAAAACAAAAGCGACCGTTTTCATCTCTGGCAACACGTATGAAATTGACTTTGAATCGAAGCGCCAGTATCAGCCAAATAGAGGAACAAGACGGAGAAAAGTCACTAGAGGATCGCGAGCTGAACTGGGAGACCGATTTCTGGGAATTGCGGGTGTCCCCAAGCCAGACCCTGTTATTGATCTGACGAATAGGTGAGGAATCCAGTTGCTAAAGGATTTATTCTGATTCTAGTGATTAATTGTAGAGTCAATCGACTTCGAACCGGCCGATGAATAACTAAAGTGAACGACTGTAATATTACTACGATTCATTATTTTTAAACTGATAAGACATATTTATACTGTACCTCTTTCGCTTCAACCAATTTCCTTTCAATGATTCATGGATAATTGACCTAACTCGTGGTTAATGTTTTTTCTATTAGATAAAAAAATATTCTAAAAATGGACAACGAAAACTGCCAAATGTGCAAAGAAAATCTAATCTTGCCCCTTCAGCTTCCCTGCAAGCATATGTTCTGTTTTCTATGCGCCAAGGGGCAGGGATCGAGCTGCTTCATTTGCAAAATGTCCTTTGACAAAAATCTTATCGAAAAGCCACCGTCGATGGATGCTGTTAGAGAAGGAAACAAGGATAAAATTCGATGGTACTATGAATCGAATAATAATGGATGGTGGGAGTTTGATCCTAGAACTTCTGATGTAATTCAAAGTTTATATCAACCCGATCATTTAAATATCAGAATTCGTTAGCTAATACGAATTCCCTAGAAAATCGAAGATGCATTTCGTCAGTCACAAGCTACAGTCGATTTTCCGATCGGTCAAAGAACGTACGAGATCAATTTCGAAGCCAAACGACAGTATCAGCAAAACGATACTGGCAAGAAACGAAAAGTTACAAGAAGTTCTAGGCGAGATATCCAGAATCTAAGAGGCGTAGCAGGAGTACCCTTGCAAGATTATCGAAGAAACAATGATGACGAGTAAGAATTTTTAGATCAAGAACAATTCCATAACTTATTTTTAGCATTGAAGGTCTAAGTGACTCTGACGAGGATTAACTCTGATTGATTCTGCTGTAGAATTTTATATATAATCTCACTGCCGTGATTGGCTTTACTCCTGATTGAAACGAAAAAATACTCGCTCCTGTAAACAAAGTTCCATTGAAAAATTGCCTTCGACTTCAAAATTTCAAATTAATAAAAATGGATAAACACTCCTTGATGATCTAATCGTATTTTTGATAAAAATCTAAACCGGGCGCGGCGCTAAGTTGCAAGATAGAAAAGAATCCAGCGTTTATTGCTCTCTTTATTGCCCATTGCTGTATCGGAAGTGATCTTCCCAGGCATGATAGGAGTTTATTGCCCAAAATGCACAGCGATATTGGAGCCTTGAGGTACGAGGTCACCGTCAAGCTCCACCGACTAGTCCTGTTTTTTCGCCATTATGTAATTTGAATGTCAATTTTCTCTTCCGGATTTTGATGAAAGCTATTTGAATTCAGAATGAAATCTCTGGAAGTCGACAAGCACGTCAACTTCTTGGTCAAAGCAGCGACTACGAGAGGCTTCGAATGGGAGATGACAGAGTATCTTAGAATGTCTGGGAGAGGCTCATAAATGTAGCACTTATTTGAAGCTTTTGATATCATAGAAGAGTACCCAAATAGCCATGAAAAGCATCTATTGGTCCCTAACTGCTCTTGATCTTCTCGGACAACTAGATAAACTTCCTCGGGAAGAAATGATCGCATATGTCTTCTCCTGTCTCCACGAGAACGGTGGATTCTCTCCCGCTCCAAATCACTATCCAACTATTATCTACACATTATCCGCTATCCAAGTCCTGGTGATTCTCAAAGCGCTAGATCAGCTCGGAGAAAAGAAAGAAAAAGTTATCGAGTTCGTCAAATCTCTTCAAAATACGGACGGCTCATTTATCGGCAGCCCAGATGACGACGAAGAAGAAACAGACACGCGATTCTCTTTCTGTGCTGTTGCGACATTGAAACTGCTCAATTCATTGAATGCAATTGATCTCGACAAAACAGTACAGCACATAAAGGCCTGTCAAAACTTTGACGGCGCTTTTGGAGTCCGGGTGGGGAGTGAAAGCCACGCAGGGCAAGTTTTTTGCTGTGTTGGAACACTCGCGCTCTTGGAAAAACTGGACATCGTTGATCAGGAATTGCTTGGTTGGTGGCTTGCTGATCGTCAGGTAGAGAATAAGAAATGAATGGCAACTTGGACTTATACGATTCTAGCTACCGTGTGGAGGGCTGAATGGAAGACCGATGAAAAAGGAAGATGTCTGCTACTCTTGGTGGGCACTTTCCAGTCTTGTCATGATCAAGAAATCTGCTTGGATTGATCATAAAAAACTCGCTGAATTCATCCTCTCCGCTGCAGTAGCCCGTCCTAAAGCTGCCTCCTTTCATAACGTTTTTTTATTCAGGACGAGGAAATGGGAGGAATAGCAGACCGACCGGGAGACATTCCAGATCCATTCCACACACTCTTTGGCATCGCTGGATTGTCTTTACTGCAGTACAATAACAACTTAGAGCTTGATATTTCAAGCTCAAAGGAGAATGTAAAACTGAAACCAATTGACCCAGTACTTTGCCTGCCATCATACCTTCTTCATGAAAAATAGATTATGCAATAAAATTGTTCATTGAATGAAAAACTTGTTATTTCAAAGCTCCAAGTCAATGGCAGAAATATAAGTACTGTTAATTCTCGGAAATGAGCAGGTGTGCAGACTTGTATGAGCCTAAAGTACGCTTATTATGCGCCTTACCATGAAATTGTCGCTTGTAAGCCGCAGCAGCTGCAGCGGGGTGTAGGGCGGCCACGGTACAAATTTGTACCGCCGTTACAAATTTGTACCGCCGGTACAAAAAATTTTGTACCGCCGGTACAAGCCAAAAATAAAATCCGAGAAAAACTGTGCGCTTCGCGCTAGAATTGAAGGAAACTCCGTACTGGTATAGTAAAGGTGGAATTCTGTCCAAAAATGAGCATTATTTTGGGTAAAAATCGGTTTTTATTGGCAAAAAAATTATCATTTTTTGTACCGGCGGTACAAAATTTGTACCCGCGGTACAAATTTCACTTTTGTACCGTCCCCCCTGCAGCGTTAGGTGCTTCAAGCGTCGGCATGATAAGATCTCCTAATAGGAATATACATCGAACATCTCCAATCCTCTAAGAGATTTGGCCTCATTTAGCATCAGATAATTCCTTCCGCATTATAGCTCAAAATTTTCGTAACCTGAAAATTTTTACAAAACAGTGATGCCGCGCATTGATCCGCTCAGTTGAAAATGAGCGACCTACATCAGGCGGCATCGAGCTCAATTAGCGTGAGGTGGTAAATTCTAGTTGCAATTTAGTTCGTCATCAATTTTTCAATTCAAGCCTAAGAATGACTATAAGCAATTCGGTATCTTATCAATTCTTCCCCAAAAACGACACCACCGAATTTGTGGCAGCAATCATTCGCATCGAATGTCTTTCTGCTACTCGATTCTGATGCATTTAGAAGATTGAGCTTTTTCAGCCTTCATCTTCATCGATGATTTCCACGAGCGAAGCAATCCTAGCTTCTTATAAGTGAGATTGAGTCGATCTTTTTGAATGTCAAAGCCCCGAGTTTTCCGACAAAATTTTATAGATGTAATGAGTAAACCCACAAAGCATACTTTCTTTGATACTTCCTGCCGAGTTGCTTCCCCTGGCTTTCCCTACTTTCGCCTATCCCTCCCCCGCTGAGCCCTTCTTCTCGCTATATTTGTTGACCTCGATGATCCCGTGGACAGAGTCTAATCAGCCGCCAGAATCGGAATCGTAAATTCCGCCGCTATCATTTTACCCGATCTCCCCATGTCGCATGAAGCGCGCCCCATGGTGCTCCTTACGAACGATGCGCCACCTATCAGCCTTACAGTCGTAAACCCATATAAACTGTATCCGACTGCAGTTCGACATCACCTCATTCTCAATTCCAAATCAAATCACAACAACCAAACAATCTTTTCAACTCCAAAAGATTCAAAAAGAGAACAAAACTCGCTGAAAAATGAACGCTTTCTACCCTTACAGCTACTACCAAGCCTCTTCCCTTCCAGTCGCTTGGGGAACCAGCGAAGCTACAGCGACTGGCAATACCCTTCCTTGGGAAACATCCGCTGTCCTAGCTTCTGCTAGCCAGGCTCCTGACCAAGTTCTCAACTCCTCCGTTGGATCTGGCTCCCCAACTGGTTCTCCACCACCACCAGAGACAAACTCAACCGAAAACAATGGCATCAACCATGCTCAATTTGCTCAGGCTCAGCTTTACCAACAAGCCTATCAAAACTGGAACTACGCTGCTCAGGGATATCAACAAGCTGCTGCTACTGGAGCTACTGCCTGGCAACAAAATCCATCTGGTAAGAATTTGACAATCATCAACCTTCAGATCGAATTCATAATCTTTCTCATTTTCTAAAATATCAATTCAGCCCCAGCTCCAAACCGAACCCGAACTCGAGACAAATACCGAGTCGTCTACTCTAACTACCAACGAGTTGAGCTCGAGAAAGAATACAACTTCAACAAGTACATCACGATCCGTCGAAAAGTCGAACTGTCCAAAATGCTCGATCTCTCTGAACGACAAGTCAAAATCTGGTTCCAAAACAGGTAAATATCTTGAACTTATAGATCTTTCTGAAATTGTATTCCCAAAGAATTTCTCCTTATAACAAAAATTTTAGACGAGCCAAAGAACGAAAAATGGTCAACAAATCTGGCAACACTTCCACTGACTCTCAGGATCTCTCCGAAGAAGAAAAGTCCGCCCCTGAAACTCACTCTGGCGTTGAGTTCTCTGACGATCCCTCTCCCCAGCAACCAGAAGATCACATCGACCACATGATCAACATCATCGACGTCAAAGCTGAGCCACAGACTCAAGCCCCAAAGCCCGAGATCGAGACCATCATGCAATCCCTCGTCGGCTGCACTCAAAAATACCTCATGTAAATTCATTCTTCCTGCCATAAGTCGTCTATGATTCCTTTGTATTTATGCTCATTTAACTATTACCGTTATTGCTTCTTTACTGCCAATATGAAAAATAAAATATCATGCCAAACTCGAATCTCGTTGATTTTCAAATAATTTCAAATCAATATTTCATTTTTGTGTAGTTGCAACTTTATTAAATAAATGGCAGCTAGTTTGATAAATGAAATGTTTTCGATAAATGGAGGTAAATGAACTGTTGAACTTTAAAAAACGGAGGCTAGTTGTCAGCTTAGAATGTTCATAAGTAGTTTCCGCCGGTGAATGGTTGAATCACATTGTTTGCCATTGGAGTCCAAGACTTGCCACCACCTCGACTTCTCTGACCGTATGACTGCTCATTCGAGTATCCTTCGTTGTTGTTATACTCATTCTGCTGATTTGAGTATCCATCGTTGTTGTCATACCCATTTTGCTGGTCAGAATAACCAGAGTACTTTCCAGTGCCCCCGCCATATGTGACGGTCGACTGTCCTGCATAGCCAGCATCGTTGTTGTTTGACTGATATCCAGCATGGCTATTGTAGCCCCCATCATTATCATTGCTGTGGGATTGGTAGCCGCCGTGACTATTGTAACCGCCCTTGTTGCTATTGACTGGAGCGTGGTTGTTGGACTGATAACCGGAATGGTTGTTGTAGCCACCTCTATTTGACGATCCTCCACGTCCTCCGCGGTCAGAGTACCCCCCTCGTCCACCACGATCAGAGTAGCCACCTCTTCCGCCACGGTTGCCACCGCGATTGCCACCACGATTGCCACCACGGCCTCCGCCTCGTCCACCGCGGTCAGAATAACCACCTCGTCCGCGATTTCCACCACCTCGATTGTTGAACCCTCCTCGGCCACCACGACCGCCTCTGTTGTTGAAACCGCCGCGGTTGTTGTATCCGCCTCTGTTATTGCCTCCATACCCACGATCATATGTAATCATCTCTTCATCCTCTTCGTCTGGATTGTTGAAAGCCTTAGAAGTGCTTCCAAAGCTCATAGGAAGATCGAAACCCGCCATTTCATTTTCTTCTTCAGCGGCTTCTTCCTGTCCAGCTTGAGCACCTCCAAAACTTGTTGGAAGATCGTAGTTCATTATGTCGTCTTGTGTGAACGGATCAGCCGTGTTTTCCGATACAGCGCCGCTATTCCCGCCAACAAGGTGCTCTTGAGAATGTTGAGCCGAGTTTCGGGCCTGAGGAGCAGCATTGTCCCAACCTGGCGCAGGTGGAGCAGCCCATAAAGCCTTAGGTTTAGGAGCAGACGCATTTTGACGTGAGTTTGTGAGTTTCGGAGCAGAATGGTATACGATAGGAGAGGTTTCCTCAATATCAGGCCCAGTCAAATCGATTTCTATGCTTGTAAAGCTATCAGCAGGGCCATTATTGAACGGATTATACGGACTATTTTGGTTTGGCGTTGCTAGTTGCGGCTTCGAAGGTACAGGCGCTTTCGGTCCGAGCTTTTGAACTGGTTTTGGCGTGTATGGTTTGTAAGAAGGATGGGGACCAGTGGCAGAAGTAACGCTTTGTACTCTTGGTGCTTTCGCGGGTGGAGGGCCTTGTGTAGGTGTAGTTTGAGCGGGCTGGAAGTCTTGGTCGTTTGGATCATTCGGTTGTCGTTGCATTTGAACGGGTTTTTGCAGTTGCGGTTGAGATGCTTGACTTGGTTTTGAAGTCCTAAGTAAAATAAAATGTGGGAACTGGGCATTGGACTTACGGTTGCGAAGTAGGCTGCGCACTTTTCTGATTCTGCAACATCATGCATGTCGCCATGTTCGACATAAGCATCATATTCATCGTGTTTTTGGCAGTTTTGACCTCTTCATTTTTCTTTTCCAGCTCTTCCTGCAGCGCCATTTTTTCTTTTTGAGTCTTTTCTCGTTGGAGTCGTTGTAAAACAGACTAAACGGGAGAATAAGATATTGAGTTGAAAACATCAGGCTTTACCTCTTGTTCAGGCTCTTGCGCCAAATTAAGATTGATCTTCGTGCCCTGCTTGAACCCTTCTTGAGGAGGTGGTAGGTTCTCTTCATTTTCCAGCTGAAAAAATGAGATGAAAGGGGACTTTGAAGGGATGAGTTCACCTCTGGAGCCTCGCGGAGCCTATCCAACGAAGCTTTAATCATACTTCTTCTTTTCGGATCTTTTGTCAGTTGCATTTCCTTGATCAACGCTTGTCGTACTCGTTTGCACTCTTCTTCCTGTTCTTTTAGCCTTTCCTCACGCTTCGCCAATTCTATGTCTTCTTTCTTTCGTCTTTCTTTAATCGCTTTTCGTCGATTGTACTCGTTAGTTTTCAGTTGTTTTCGATGATTCTGGACTTGTTTTTTCATATCTTCGGCTGTAATTGCTTCGGAGGAGATTATAGAGCCGTTCAGTTGGGCATTCTGAGTGTGGAGGATCGCCCGGTCACGCGTTTGCTAAAAATGGTTGGATCTCTCTAGCTGGAATTGCATGAAAAACCTGATCAACAAACTCAATGTAGCAGTCACCCGAGCATAGCCTCTTGCCGTGGGTTTCGATATACAAGCCGTATTTTGCTATCAAACAGTTTTTCAAAGGTCCAGAGACCAGATCATCTCTTGTGACGTCTGGTGCGAGACCGGAAATCTTCACGCAGCTCGATTCAATATCAGAAACGCATGCGACCTTGCCAATTTCTTGCGTCTCTTCGTCTGAGCTCTTGTTGTTTTCGGATTGGTAAATAGGCTTTATAACGTCTCCATCGAGCTTCTCCCAGATTTCACAGTCCAAATGGTTCACTATGGAATGAGTTATGAATTGGATTTGAATAGTCAGCTTGCCTTTGACAAATTTGGTTCCAAAAAGCTTCTGATCAAAAGACAAAGCGCGATCCTTGTCACCAGGGGAGTTAAACTTGACCAGAAAGCTTCCACATTCTGTTCTCTTGAACTGAGCAATCTTTATTCCCTTGAAAAATGGAACAATCTCATCGGCCGTAGCACCGTCTGGCAAGTCGAATAAACGAACGAAAAGATCATTTTCTGGCGGTGGTGTGATTTCGCGTGGCGCTTTTTCGGGATCCAGCCCGGCCGTGATTTCAGCGATGACTTTTTTCATCTCCTCTTCGCTGCTCTCTGTAACTTTCACCTTGTACATATGCTCGCCTTCTTCAGGGGAGAGCTTTTTTCCGTCTTTTTCCAAGGCGAGCTGCATATCTAATTAATTCGTAAGAAACATGTTCCTTTCAGTAATTTTCTACCTTCATCATTGTGGAGATTTACATAGACAAGTCCTTTCGGACCGCCTATGATGTGGACTCCTCCATCAGGAATTTCGATCTTCTTGAAGAACCGGCGAACATCAACGGATGTAGCTTCCTCTGGGAAGTATTTAATGCGAACGATAGGCATTAAATGTCGACTTTCGATTTCTGAACGGCGCAAAAACTAGTTCCTTGTTGAATTTTCGGCAAGTTTAAATAGTAAATGATAATAAATGTACAGAATGAAATAGATAAAAGAGCGTCAAAAAATTAAGCACGAGTACAGGCTTCTTTTAAGAAAGATGATCTTCGTTTGAAATTGGTTTTTTAGACTTTTCTTTCTTCACTTCTTGAAGTCTGAAGGCTTTGAAAACCGCCATGGAAGTCACCCTAGCACCCGGCTTGCTCAGTTTTTTGGCGATTTTAATCCAGGACAACTCTTCTTCGCGCATTTCTTTGATGAGTTTGATCTCTTTGGCAGTGAGTTTCTTTTTGCGAAGATCTGGATGGAGCTTTCTGTCCCATTGAATGTACGCTTGGAAGGGATGGACTCCGTTGGCGCCGTATTGAAGGCGCTCTCGTGATGTCAAATGCGTGATGCGTTTGCTCGTCATCTTTACGTTGCACTGAAGAGCGAGGGTATTCAATTTACAGGCGATCAGCATCCAGTCGACTTCCACTTTCTTTCCGACGATATTTTCTCCCTGTTCTTTCATCGTTTCTATTTTCGATTTGAGCTTTTCTTTCGATTGCTCTCTGATCTTATCCGCTTCAGATTCGACTTCCTCTACTTCTCGATCTTCGCTTTCTTTCTTTTCAAATTTGTTCATAAGCCGTTCCCACCATCGTCTTTCGTCCGACATAAGAGATTCGTTGATTTCATTTTTCAACTTCGCCTCAACTTCTTGACGGATGAGATTCTTCAACATTTGCTCCTGACGCGGGCTCATTTCGTAGTCCATTTGGTTCATCACGAAATCCTCGCAGAACTTCATCTTCTCTAAGAACAAGTTGTCACTTGGATTGTCCGGATCATTATAGGGCGAGGCAGTTTGAATCCTATCGAAGAAATAGGGCTTTTGAAAGGACGAGAGGGTTTCTCCATTTTCTAGGCCTCTCGATCGCCGGTGAAGACGGTCGTGTTTTTCGTCGATTTCAGCTCTTATTATCAGTTTTTGCGTTTTCAGATAGGTGATCCGGCGTTTCAAATCATTGACGAATTTCTCTAGAGGTTTTTGTAAAAGCAAATTGTGCTCCAATAAACTGTCGATTTTCTTTCTGTTGCTTTCTTCGGAGACGGGCGCGAGGTCTAGAGAATTTTTCTCAAGTCGTATTGAGAACTAGAACTTACCGATAAGCGTGTTGCTCAGATTATTCTTTGAGGGTCGAATTTTCATTGGAGAAGTGGGAGTGAGTTCTTCATCGTCATCTTCATCTTCCGGAAGTAAAATTTCGTCCGGATTCGTTGGAAGATCAGGAGGTAGTTCGGGGTAAAAAAATTTGCCTTCTTCATTCGTCGGCATATTCTGGATGAGCTCATCAAGATCTGCCAGGTCGCCCGCGTTGCTCGTTTGGATGGAGGGCTTCGTTGTCGACTCCATGATCTCAGAGAAGATCGAATCGAAGTCGTTCGTCATTGTGCTTCTTGAATCAAAGATGGGCGGATTTCGAGGAGGGAGAGGAGCGTTCCAGACTTCAGCTGACCGCGGGTCGAAAAAGTCGAATGGCTCATCACTAGAAAGAAGATGCACTTTCTGTTTCTTCCAATGTTAACAATCCACACCTGCTCTGGCCAAACTCGACATTGATTTTCGACATTCTAGCATCAGGCCTTCTTCTTTTTGCAGGAGGATTAACAAGGGTTTCATGGTCAGAAGCTTTCGAGGTAGAAGGTTTGTCTTTATTCATCGATTTCAAGAGTCTAAAAGCAAATAAAGAGTTAGAAGACAAAGAACCGATTCCAGGGCAGTTAACGGTAACTGGAAGAAACTTGAGGGTCAGCAACTAATAATCAGTTAAATAAGAGGATATTACCAGTCCTCAAGATATTGAGCGCCTTTTGCCGGTCGCCCTTTTTCAAAAGAATATAAACAGCTAGCAGCACAGTTTTATGTGAAATGAGCTCGGGAGGAACTGCCTCGCGCACTTTAGCCAACTGGTCGCACGCTCGGTTGTAATCTCCATTTACACAGTAGGCTAAAATACAGTTTCTTTCTTTGACTGAAGACGAGGGAGGTACCTGCTGCAAGATTTGAACTAGCTAGAACTTTTGCTTGTTGAACTGAGGTTGGGCAAGTCATATTCATTGGATTCTGAGACCAGGAAAGGTCCATATTCATCCATTTCAGAGCGTCTTGTGCGTGAGAAATTGCTTGTTTGTAAACTTTGCAAGCTTCTGTTATTTCATTTAGTTCCATGAGTGCTTCGCCCTTTAGAAGATATTAAATTTTGATTTAGAAGTTCAATTTCACCTTGTACATGTTCGCGAAGTAATTATACCCATGCTCTGGATATTTTTCAAGAGATTTGTTCGTAAAATTGACCGTTTCTGAATATTTTCCAAGGCGCAGGCAAACAAAACCGAGTGTTACATAAATCATCGAATTCATTCGTTGCATCGCTTTCACTTCCTCCTGTGACATCCCAGGCGTTTTCATTGACGGACTGTAACTCAGCGCATTGTGCAAGCATTTGTAAGCGTAACAGTAGGAAAGCCGAGGGTTCGTATCTGGTTGATCGAGCTCGATTGTCTGTTGTTTGTGGTTTGCAATTGCTAAGCGGGCGCAACCTGAATTTTGAAGTTTTACACTGTAAAATTTACAGGGAAAGTAGAGGATGAACTGTACCTTCACCAATTTCTGTAATCACTTTTTCCTCTTCTTTAGCACTTTCGTGTTTATAAGCGATACAACATTCTGCCAATCTGTACCAGACTGAGGGTTGATCATACAATGTTTCCGACGCCTTAATTTAATAGGACGAGGGTACTCTTCCATGATTTCCACGTACCTTCAAAAGAAGTCCAAAGGCCTCTTCACTTTTGCCATGATACAATTTTGTTACCGCGATGTTCATAACTAGCCTCGCTCTCAGGTCCGTGCTGGGGCGGCCGTTCAGAAAGGGAAGTTGATGCTTACTAAATATTTTGTCCAAAAAGTCGACAAATTCGTCTTTACCAGAAGATTTCATCATGTTCTTCGAGTGCCTTTTGGAACGTCCCAGCGGCGAGAAGGTGTTTATGCATCCGATGGTAAATGATTCCAAGGTTGTTAAAATACATCGTTTTGCAGGACTCTCCAAGCTCCGAAGACTCCTGTCTTGATTCAACGATCGGCTCGGAGTTGAGTATCTTCATCGCTTTTATGTCATTCCCGCGATTGATTTCGAACGCCGCTTTGGCAAAGATTGATAGATTTGTTGAAGACTTTGTAAGAGTCTTGATGTCTTTGGAAGATGGCTGCTTTGGGCGCTCTTCTCCGATGCAACAGGGATAGAGATACGCTCGACAGTAACAGGCATTGATTCTTGTTCGCCATGTTTTTTGAAGTTCTGGTCTGAAGGAGTTAACACACATCTGATCTCAAAGTCAGAAACATGTACTTACGACCAGTTCTCTGCTCCGTTGACGATACTGCTCATATTCTCCAAAACAGTCAGTGCGGTCATCGGATCTCGTTGAGCTAGATGAGCGTCCGCAGCTAGATGGAGAATTTTCAGCTGAAATTCTTGAGACAAACTTGTCGAGTCAGATTCGACATCTTCTTCGAACAGCTCCAGTAAATTCTCAAGGATCAACAACGTGTCAGCGTATTTCTTTTGACGAAAAACCGTGACAGCTTTGTTGTACAAAAAGACCGGGAACTTCTTGACAAGAGTTTTTTGATCGTAGCCGGACTCTTTCAAGCAAACAGAGTTCAACTAACATTGGATTGTCTTGATTCTTCCTTGATATCAATGATGAAAAATGATCAAATCCTTTCCTGTTTCATGTTGCTATCAAACTCGTCGCATTGTTCGAACCCTGCTTTTCTGAACTGGCAAAGCTGGATATTGCTAAGTATGCGCATATCGTTGGGTCGGAGTTTGGACAACTCATATAAATCATGCAGCGCTTTTTCTATGTCCCCAGCTTTGTAGTGTTTCCGACTGCTTTCTGCTAGCTCTTGCTCCTTTTCGGTATATACGATTGATTGGTTGTTGCTCGGCTTTTCGCCCATTCTGAACTTGTTTCAGAGGCAACAGTGATTTTCATTCATTAGTTTTATTTAGATATTTAATCAATATTAAGATATTAAAAAGGCAGGTTATCGAAGCAAAAGAATAGTAAAAAAGTCGTACACATGTTTGATTTGTTGAGAAATTGAAATTGAAGAAAAGCAAGCAAAAAGATAGAAGAAGTACGCTTGGCGAAGATAGAGAGAAAGGGATTCCAAGAGGAAGCGCGCGGGAAAAAGAGAGAAAGAGAGGGAGGGAGAGGGTTAAAGTTCAGTAGATTCGGCTATTTACGATACTTTGATAGAAGCGTTACTTTGCTTTGAGGTAATGAAAACAAGGGGACAGAAACAGGAGTTTATTGTTGTGAGCCAAAAACGTTAGCGATTTCGTCGTGCTCAACAATTGGCTCTTCATCATTATCCTCTCCGTTGACAGGAATGTGATGAGGACGGACAAAAAGCTTTATCCTAGGCAATATGTATCGTTTTCCTGCAAAGACCAAGGCAATAATGAGGATTATGAAAATCAAGAAGGTAAATAACATTCCGGCGCGACCAGTGGTTTCGTACGGCTCAAGGGTCCCGTCGTCTTCGGCGATATAAATAGAATGAATAATTAAGTGATTATCGTTGTGCGCTTTGATAAGGCCCTGTATCAGATCCTCGCGGAACTCGTCCTTGTCTCCCGTAAAGTCTTCCGATAGATGGGCGTAGATGTACATCAGTGTTAAGTTTCCCGAGAGTGAGTGGCTAACTGGCAAGATGTCGATGTCAGTTTCGAAATTGAAGTGGTATTTATTGACGAGCTCGTCGACCTTGTCATCCTCAAGCATTTTCGTCAGCAGCAACGTTTTGATGTATTCTTTGATTGCTTGGTACTCTTGATCGTGAGCGGGAGAAACTCTGAATGAAACACAGTCAATTGAATCCAAGGAAGGGAGGAACTTACATCGAGCTTTGAAAATGCACCTGAATCATCTGAAGATCAGGAGAAGTTTTCATTCGACACTGACTCGTCGTCGTCCCCAAAGTCGACCTTACGCTTACTTGGACGTCTAATTGCAGATCCGCAGAGTAGCGATTAGGAAAAGTTACTAAATAATATTGAATCAGAGGAATACATGCATGACATACCATTAATAAAAGGAGTGTTCTGCTCAGAAAAGCCTTCATTGTTTCTGAATCCATCTCCTGACCATGTGAAGGAAACAGGGCCACTAATCTGATCGAGTCCATGAAAATCCAACCAGTGACCATTTTCATCCGATACATGAACATTTAGCTCGTTGATAAATCCGACTTTTGTAAATCGAGGACAGTAGAGTAGCGCGTTCGAGATTTTTTGCAAAACTAATGATTGAGCTTGCTTTTGGAAGATTAATTTCCTGATCACCTGTGAAAGATTCGGTGTTTTTGGATAACTCGTCGCTCACGTGGATAGTGTATTTGCCAAAAGGGAGGTCTTTGTACACAAACTTGTCCGTCGTCTTATTAGCAATTACCTTCTGTTCGTCTTCGGAAAATAATGTCCACTGAAACGGAGGAGTACCGCAGGAATCAAGCAGCTCTGCAGAAAATGCAAGTGGTCCCTCGAGGAAAACCTTCCCTCCAATATCTATTTTGGACTTTTTACAATCGTCGTTTCCTGAAACCGTTAGCATGAAATATCCATTCGTGTAATCTACCTGATGCCCACGAAAATTCCGTGCCGCATAGATTTCCAGGGGCTTTGATCGGCAGCAACGACGATTTACGAAGATAGCCGTTGTAGTCTTTCAAATAGCTGCAACGATGGTCCTCGACTACCTTGAGATTGTTTTGGCAGAAGTAATCATTCATTGAACAAGATTTACAAGGCTTCTGCATTGATTTTTCTTTGGATGATTTCTCAAACGACTCAGAATTGTAGCAACTGTAATTGATTGACAAAATGCTCTACAGACTGCGATATTGAGTCTTAAGACTAAAAGATAAGACTTAAGGGACCTGGGCGAGCAGCGCTGAGCCAAACTTCACGCGCTCGCCGTTCTTGTTAGAAATAAGATTTTTGAAATTTCTTTTGTAAATTATATCTCCAAATCCTCAGCTTTCTGTTCCAATTCTTAGTTTTTCTCTATCATTCTTGGTTGATGAGCTAGCGAGAAAAGAGAAGCCCAACTTCAAAAGGCATCAAGTCTTGCAAACTTAATTTTTCTTCATAAAATTAGCACCATTGAAAAGCGCGTTAAATTCTGAACAGATCCCACTCCATCAGCTTAACTAAATGGGTACTCATTGGCGTGTAAGGCCAGATAAACAAGATAACTTAGCGCCCGCCCAGCGGGAATCATGTCCAGGAAGCCCAAAATAGCTAAATCGGAGCGTCCAGCCGTGCCGCGACCAGCTGCCCGCGCTAAGTAGTTCTCTTTATCTGGCCTTACACGCCAATGAGTACCGATTTAGTTAAGCTGATGGAGTGGGATCTGTTCAGAATTGAACGCTCTTTTCAATGGTGCTAATTTTATGAAGAAAAAATTAAGTTTGCAAGACTTGATGCCTTTTGAAGTCGGGCTTCTCTTTTTTTCGCTAGCTCATCAACCAAGAATGATAGAGAAAAACTAAGAATTGGAACAGAAAGCTGAGGATTTGGAGATATAATTTACAAAAAGAAATTTCAAAAATCTTATTTCTATCAAGAACGGCGAGCGCGTGAAGTTTGGCTCAGCGCTGCTCGCCCAGGTCCCTTAAAACTAAAGTTTTTCAACCGTAACTTGACAAGGGTTTCTTTCTCCAGTATGAAATCTCCGCTCCAATCGTATTTTTATCATCGCAGTTTGAGTATACCCACGACTCGTAGTCGCTCTCCTTGCAGTACTCATACAAATGAGCAATGTTGATCGAAATCGTGACCCATTGATGATTACCGTTATGGGCAAATACGATAAATTCTTCAGCGCCTTCTCCTTTTGTCCAAATCGCATCTAACGAAGATTCGGAGATTTAGAGATAAACTCAAGAAAGAATCCTTACCAGAGACAATAGGCTCAGTCGACATTTGAATCGTCTTCCAATTTTGTCCATCATCAACGGTATAATACAGCTCAATTGACTTCTCAGGAATCACGACTAAAATCGACCCATAATCGAGAAAAGCGTGAAGACTTCGTGTATTCTCCAATTTTCCCGGAAAAGAAGGACTCTTCCATGTCTTCCCAGCATCGTTTGTTATAAACAAATTAAGCTTATCGCTCAGTTGCGGGCCCACAGAGCCCATAGCCAGGACAAATCCTGGCATGAGCTTTTTCGAAATGACTGTTGGAACATAAACTCCCGTGGATAGGTACGCATCTTCTAAGTGAATGTTCAAAGTATCTCCCTCTGCTATTTCTTCAGTTGACAGAGGCTGGGAAAGTACTGACCAGCTTTTTCCTCCATTCCATGTGATCACCGATTGATAACGATCATCATAGTAATGATTCGCCAAAAAGCACCCTCTCAACCCTTTCACTTGATGAATATCAGCGTTGAAAACATTTGGTTGGATCGAAACACTCATGCAACCCGTCGCTACTCGATCAAAAAACTTCACGTCCGTCAATGACTCGCGGAACTGCACACCATTCTCGTCAGAAACGTACAAATTACAAATACCACTGGCGTGCTTGACAGCGAGAAGAATGAAGTTTTGGTCCGTGGAGATAATGTGAAAATCTTCATGAGAAACTTCAGCAGGAAAAGATGTGCGTTGGAAAGGCAGACGATTTTGGGAGACATGGAGGAGAGAGACATAGTTCATCCGACTTTCAAAGAATAAGAAGCCATTCTCGCTTCTGAAAGATCCTTCCGCCATATCATTTTTCTTCGAATATTCTCGCAGCGCTTCATATTCTTCTCCAGCTGAAGAGCAATCTGGCACCAAGCACGAAACAACCTCGTAGTTTCGCAAATAGTTTTTGATCGAAAATCGCTCAAAATGAACAACTCGTTCCCAATTCTTCACCGATGCTTCTTCGCCAGTGATTGTTTCGTACTTTTCGTCGCCCCAGTAGACTTTTTGCGGACTAACAGAGTCCGAAAGCTTATCCAGCGTCTCTCCGAAATCCCGAGATACCCACAGCGTCATTTTCGAAAAATCCTGCAATAGAAACCAATCAACTTGACTTGGGTGAAAAGTGATGCTGCTCGCAGTAACTCCAGGAGGGAGAATTATCTCCTTCATCGTTTTCATTCCATCTTTAGAAACGAAAATAGCTCGTTCATCCCTTTTCGTCTCCGGTGCTTCGAGAAAAACCAACCGGTCTCGATCGACATCGCTCCCTTGCATGAGACTTATGATCACATTTTCGCCAAATTTCGCGCTCTCGTCAGTCCAGGACTTTCCAGAATCAGTTGATGTCCAATACGAAAATTTCGTACTAACAGTTCCCTGCAACAAGATTATTCAAACAAGAAAACGCGGAAAAATTTACCTCGCAATTTCGAAAGAATAAATGAAAAGAATCAGAAGTGTCGCGAATAAAAGCCTGGTGCATGTCTTTTAGATGCGAGGGAAAGGTCTTTTGAGTGACATAATCGGGAATAGTGACAGTTTCGATACCCCTTCTACTTCTGATAACATTTTCAGCTGGGGAAAATGGCAATTTCTGAAGACAAAATTAGCCGAGTCTTCGATTGATAAATGTCTTACCTGAATAAGAGCACCAGAATCAGAATTTCCAGTCACAAAAAGAGCATTTTGGAAAGTCGTTTCGGCAAGAAGAAGCAACCAAGATATGTACAAAAACGGCGACGTCATGATTCAGGTTCTTCTTTAGGATTTCAATAAATTCATCACAAATTTATTCTAAAAGGAACAATTTCAAGTGAACCCTCTGTTTCACCGTCTATAGATTAATGCTATAGCATCAGTAAATTTCAATCAGAACGAATCAAGAGCAGTCAGAGTTAGAATTAGTCTTTTAAATATCCATGGAGTCGTCATCAAGCTTGACAAGCGATGGCTTCTCTCCTGGCTTGAATGCCGGCTGGCCGAGGTAGGGGCAGCTAGCGCATCGGAAAGCATCGCCAAGGTAGCAAGACCCACAGGCAGATTTGGGATTTTCACGCTGTTCCACTGATAAGGCGTCGTTTTTCGCGATTTCTTCCGCTACAAAAACTTTCTTTATTCCATTTTGAGAATCGCTACAGCCGTCTCTTCTTATAGCGAAAATTTTCCATCATGCCTTTCATTGGCTAGCTCATGATTATCCAATCATGAGGCTTGATGGAAATATGCGCTAAAGAGAAAAGCCTCTGTAGAAAACTCAAATTTACCTAATCCACAAGTGCAATTCGCGCAAGCTCTCTTTTCTTATCTTTTCCAGTTCCGCAATCTGCCTTCAAGTCCTTCTCATCCGGCTTCGCCAAATCTTCAGATCGTAAAAGAGACGCTCCATCGATCGTATTCTTATCATCGAGCGTCACTGCACTTCCCAAATTGTACTAATCGTAATAATAATTGAATAAAGCAATCAGAAATTAATTCTTACGTTTGGTTTCGAGGCAGTTATTTGATTTCCGCCGCTTTCGCTAATTTTTACGAAGCCACTCAATGTCAGATTTAGTGTCAAAGTGGCCGCGGCGCCGTCGGGAATGTTGGTGATGGTGACGGATTCGCCTGAGGCGAGTGTTTTGAAGACGGACGAGAGGGATTCGATCGTGTTGTTGGTGGAATAATCGAGGGAGGACATTTTCTTTCTGAAATAAAATGAGGTTAGTCTTGTAATTTGTGATTAATTTGGGGCACCATAACTTATGGTCCATAAGTAAACAGATATTTGGAGTTTTACATTGATCTCGAATCTCTAACTTTCACTAAATAAAATGAATCGATACTGAAAAAATTAGGACGAGGTATGCCGAAGCAGTTACAGTTTATGACAACTACAGCGAACCTATGGAAAATTCAAATCCCTTCTAATACTTATCTGTTTTAATAATTATTCTGTTCAAAAAATAAAAATGATAGCATGTCTATCATATACAGTTTACTCGCACATTTTGGACCTTTTTTGTTTTGCAGATTTCTCGAAAAAGGGCCGAATTGTGCGGGTCCGAAATTCGGATTAACTTGCTGCTCCTTCAAAAAAGATGAATTTTGGAGCCCTAAAATGTTAAAATCTCACTATTTTCGTCAATTATCCCCGTAAATTCTACGTGTTAATCAAAAAGAGTAAGAAATAGCATTTCTGTCGTAAATATATCTTACAAAATACGTTTGAGCAAGGAAAATTGAGTGAAATTCACATAGATGGCTAATTGAGCGATTTTCATTAATTTTCGCGAAATTCGAAAAAAGGGCCGAATTGTGCGGGTCCAAATTGTGCGAGTCGTCTGTAACGTAAAATTCTAGAATAAAAAATATTGTTATCAAAGTGCAAATCAGATCCTCGTTTCTTCTCTCTTTCTTCAAAATTGATCTCTTTACTACGCGAGGTGAGTAATTTTCAAAAATGAGAAACGCGGTGACTCATATTTTCTCTCAATTCAGCTCGATTATAAATTGCACATTTCCTTCCAATCGTTACGTAAAGACCATTTAATTCTAGAGATATGAGATCGAAAGAAAAACGATAGTTGCTGTGAAAACGAAGAAGAACGAAGAAGATGATTTTGAAACTTGGGAAATTCGCGGCGAAAAGAAGAAGTCTCCGAAATTTCGCGGTTTCAAGTGGCGATTTTGCGAGAGGAAGGGTTGAGAAGACGCCTGTTTATGTGGATAATCCCTTTCTTCCGGCGAAGAAAACAGGTTTGTGCGAATTTTTGGTGAAAATTGAAATCGAATTTGGTCAAAAAATAGAATCAATTTTGAACGTATATTAGTCAAATTTCAGATTAAAAATTAAGTCAACATTTTCGTCTTTTTAGCCAGATTTTAGTCGCAATTTTGATGCGGATTTCAGATTCAACGCGAATAACGCCTTCGAACCGAGAAAAACTGAACCAATGGAGCGCGGAAGTCGACAAAATTGAGCTGAAAATGGCGAAGCTCCAGGCGGTAGAAGTTGCTCAACTGTTGAACAAAGAAATCCTCCGCCAAGCAGCTGTTTCTTTCGAGCCCCCGAAAATGTCCGAAAAAGAGCTCAAACGAATCGCAGGTACAATTTCTACCCCTCTCCTTTTCCAAAAAATTAAAGAATTGACTTCAAGATGAGGCGAGAAGTTTGTATTTCTGGACAGTTGAGAAGCACTTTTTCGCGCTGCTAGAATCGACCGCGAGAATCAGCGAAAAATGCTATCAATATCAGCTTACTGGAAATGGAAACAGCAACTTGGCGAACAAATATGCTTATTCTTCTAGCGTTGTCAGAGCAAGATGGAATTATAAAGGTAATAATTTTTTTCAATCTATTTTTCTGGATCTTTATTATATTTTTCAGATCAAAGCACTCCCTTTTTCGGAAGCTATTTCGACAACGTCATGATCCGTGTTACCTCAATTTGGATTTCTTCACAGTGTGGCTCTCTTTTCGTCCATTTCTGTCCGACCTTTCGCATTTCGCTTGTTCTACAAATAACCCACGAAGCTTCTTCAATATGTCAAGTATCTTCAGGCGATCAAGAGTTTAACCAAAACCAGAATTTACCTTCATTCATTTCAAATCAGGATGTTTATCTTATCAAAGTTCCTCTCACCAAGTCCAGCTACCTAAGTTTATATGCACATGTAAGTCAGAAAAATAGGGTGGTTAAAAGCCCCCCCCTCCCTCGGGGTGGAAGCAAAGGAACCCCTCCCGACCCCGCTTTTTGCCTCCCTAGCCCCCCATCTTGTAAATATCTGAATAATTCAGGTCCGAAAAGATGATATTGAAAAAGATGAACATTCAATTTGGCAGTCGAATCCTGTAACACATTCTATTCTTACCTCTCTTTCTTCTTAAAACAATCATTTTTCAATTTTTTCTACTGAATTCAAAATCCTCAAAATTCATCGAACCCTATTCTAAAATCTCCCCCTTTTAGACCAAAAGGCAAAAATGGCGGAGCACGGAGCCGCCCTGCAAACTTACAACAACGAGCTAGTGAAGTGCATCGAGGACTTGAATCAAAGACGGGATGAAGTTTCGAAGGAAATCAAACTTGACGAGAGCGAGAAGGAAAAACTCGAGCATGATATTGCGATCCTCCACGAACGGCTTCAGAAAGTCAACACTTCGCTCGCCAGGAAGATTCAAATTAGAGATGAATACGGAACGGCTTTCAAGTTATAATTACGAGGCCGAGAAAAGAGGGGGCTTCTCCCCCTACCCCCTTCCTCGGTCTTCAACCTCAGTTAGGCTCTAAAATTTGAAAGCCCTCGAAAGACCAGACAATTGCGGAAACCGAAGGCGCCTACTCCAAAATCCTGGAAACATCTCAGACCCTGTTGAACAGCGTAAAAATGCAGATGACGCACAAATCGCCAAAGAAAGACTTCAAAGCATAATTTCTATTACACAATCCATTCCTACTCCTTTCTCCTTGCGAATGTTTTATTTTCTCCTTCAAATTACATTTTTTCTATTTTATATAACTTACTACCAATTTTAATAAAATAAAAGATGATTTTTTATTTCTTTCCTTTCTTTCATTGTTTGCCGCGCTAGAATGCCGAAAAAGGACGAGTCATCAGGGGACGAGTTCGTTCCATCCGGCGAGGAGGAAAATTCAGCGCCGGAGAATCAAGGATCTGACGAAGAAGAAGAGGCCGAGCAGGAAGATGACTTCGACCCTTATCAGCCGAGAAAGGCAAAATTGAATAGGAAGAATATTGTAGAATCTGAAGGTACTCCCCTTTCCCAAACTCCTTTACTCTATCTTCTTTTAGATTCGGATAAACTATCGACAGATCCGGACAACTCGGATGAATACGACCCTGATGAAAAGAAGTCCAAAATGAAGCGATCGGCAAAGCACGCAGATTCGGACTCAGATGATCAGCCGAAATTCACACCATCACCTAAGAAGAAAAAAATTGTCCAGAGAAGAAGAAGGCCGCCACGCAGGAGGCCTGTTTCAGAGTCAGACACGGAAGATTCAGCAAGTACCGCGACAGAATCAGAAAGTGATGAAGCCGAAGCGTCTGATAAATCGCCCGCTGCTCCGACGGGAAATACAGTTGTCGATCAATTACAAGCGAAGTTTCCCGATGTTCCAAGATCTGATATCACTAGAGGTAGGTTCTTTTCAATATCCTTCCTTCCCTTATCATTCAGTTTACTATCAATCCTCCTGCCAAATGGACAAGGCAATCGCGTACCTCACAAACGAATACAGTCCGAGCAAATTTTCAAAGCCAAAAGTTGAAAACGGAAGCAGAAGAGTCCCTGCTAACGGCCCTGATTTGAGCGAAGAATCAGAAGAGAGCGAGGACGAGAACGAAAAAACAAACCTGCAATCTGAAGAAGACCAAGAGAGTGAAGACGAAAAACCTGTTGTAAAGAATAAACGAAAAGTAAGTGCCCTGAAGATATTACCCTTTCCCCCGCTTGAAGCCGTGTGAGTCTTGAAATCAAGGAAGAGAACCGATTTCCCCACGTGATTACGTCATCAGACGTAATAACTAATCCAGAAGGTTCGATAGAACATTCTAGTAGATCATTGCGGGGTTTTTCGTCAGTAAAAAGAGGATTTTTCGAAACTTGCAAGTTTGATTTTTCAAGATGGTTATTGAGAAAATACGGAGTCAGAGTAAAGAGGCAAAGTTTATTCCCTATCACATGGTGGTAAAGCGGGCTAAATCGCCTGTACAGTGCTTGAAGACGAAACAGGTATTCATAGTAATTTTTCTTCTGCGGATTTCGAACTCTTTATGGAATTATATTCGTTGACCATCGAGAGAGGCACAGTGGTCCATATCATGTCGTTTCATTTCATATTGATATTTTCTTGATAATATCTTAGATTTCTTAAAATTTTATTCCAAAATTTTCACGGCGTCTTCATAGCGTTTGATAGTAAATGATTCGCGGTTTCATTTTTTTGTCTCTGATATCTTCAAAACCTTTCCTATTTTTATATACCAAAAAATCAATTAAAAAACTGCCACGCAGCTTTAGAATTATAAATCGATCGATTTTCCAACGATTTTAGGCTCTAAATTCTTCCGATGAAGAATGGTGTCCCGCTGCGAAGAAGCAAAAGACAAAATCCTCCAAGAAAAAGCCAAGCGTCAACTCTCCAGCTCTGACGACGATGAGAGACCAACAGCCCGTCGCGACGAATCTGACATGTCCGATGGTGGTGTCGATGACGATTACTCCGAAGACGAAAAGCCGGCTAAAAGATCAGCGTCGGCGGAAAAGCCGCTGCTGAAATTTCTCAATTCGGCTTCTGCTCCGGAACTCGCGATCTTGAAATCCTTTTCGGACAAAAAGATTGAAATTGTAATGGAGTTACGACCATTCTCGAGCTTTTTGGACATCAAAAAGAAGATCGAGGCTTATAAAAGTGATCTGAAGGTAGGGAGAACTGTTTAGAAAGAAAAATAACAGTTCATAGGACAAAAGAGCCACGGTTTTAAACAGCTTCAATATTGACTCCCTTGCCGATAGTGTGGAAGAGTTCCTGAAAGGCCGCGACATGGTCGTCAGTCTTCTTAAAAAATGCCAAAGCATGGGCAAAAACGTCACTCGTGGACTCCAACGAGAAGGTGGTGGACTCATGATTGAGAAGCCCTCCCTCATGGCTGATCACTTGGTCCTCAAAGACTACCAAAAGCGAGGACTGCATTGGTACACGCAGATCCACCAGTTGAAAATTGGTGGAATCTTGGCCGATGAAATGGGGCTCGGAAAGACTGTTCAGACAATCAGCTTCTTTGCTTGGTTGAAGGAACATTATCCGAACTTCACGAAGCCGCATTTGGTTGTGTGCCCGTCTTCGACGATGGACAACTGGAAGAGGGAGTTTGAGTGCTGGTTACCAAGGTAGATTTCGAATCGAGAGGCGTAACTTTCATTTATTCGTTTTCAGCTTTAAGATCTTCATGTACCACGGCGAGGACCGGCGCCACCACCTCAAGCGCATCATCAAGGCAAAATCGGAGCCGCACAAGGCGGAGGACTGCCATAAGGATATCGACGTTATCATCACGACCTACACCTCTAGCAACTCACACGAAGCCGATCGCGTTGGAATCAAAAAGCTGGGCGTCGGCTATGCGATCTTCGATGAGGGTCACATGTTGAAAAACATGAACACGAATCGTTATCAGCAACTGATGAGAATAGGCGCGCGGAGAAGAGTTTTGCTCACAGGAACGCCGCTTCAGAATAATCTGCTGGGTGAGCAATAAAATCATATTTATTGACTGATTGATTTTTTAGAGCTGATAAGTCTGATCAAATTCCTGATGCCGGACTTGCTTCAGAAGTCGTCAAACACGCTGCAGCGGATTTTCAAACTACGGAATCAGGAATCTGAATTCGCTAAAAAGCAGGTCGCCGAGTGCCGAACTATTCTCCAGGTAGAATATCCTTCGATGTTCCCCTCTATCATGATCTTAGCCCTTCATCCTCAGAAGAGTAAAATCGGAAGTGCTCAAGGATCTTCCTCCAAAAACATCGGAAGAACTGTACGTTGATTTAACGTATCAGCAAAAGATGTTTTACATGGAGATCAAAGACCTTCTTCGTTGTAAATTGTCGACTACGGAAAAGAAGGAGCAGGGAATCAGAGACATCAGGAACCATTTTATCCAGCTTCGAAAGGTAAGACTCGCTGAATCTAAATGCGGCCTCATAATCAATTGAAGGTGGCAAACCATCCTCTTCTTCACCGAAATCACTACACTCCCGATATCCTCCGCAAAATGGCCCGCACCCTTTGCGATAAGGAACTGAAGAAAGAAGGAAATGTCGACTACGTCTACGAGGACCTCGAAGTGATGTCCGACTTCCAAATCCACGAGACGTGTGAAAAGTACGCGTCGCTGAAGAAGTACCGGCTCAAGAAGGACGATATCCTGAACTCCGGCAAGTTCAAAGTCCTAGATGAATTATTGCCGAAGCTCTTTGATCAAGGCCATCGAGTGCTGCTCTTTTCTCAGTTTGTCATCATGATGGACATCATGGAACGATACTTGGTTAGTGAGACATTTTTCTTCTTTATCTAGTTTGTCTTCAGACCGCACGAAAGATCAAGTACATGCGCTTAGACGGATCGACTCCCGTGGAAGATCGTCTTGACATGATCGACACTTTCAATGCCGACTCGGACATCAATCTCTTCATGGTGTCAACTCGCGCTGGTGGCCTTGGCATCAACTTGACATCAGCGGATACCGTCATTATTCACGACATCGATCCAAATCCCTACAACGACAAACAGGTAAACACTCCTCTTGCTCTTCAAAAAAAATTTTTCAAAGGCCGAGGATCGCTGCCACCGTGTCGGACAGACGAAACCGGTCAAGATCATCCGACTCATCGTCAAAGGTAAAGAAAGTCACTCATCTCCTTTGTTCTTATCCGAGTTTTTAGATACGATCGAGGTCCGTATGCGCAAATTGGCCGTCGACAAGCTTGCTCTGGAGTCGAAAATGGACATGAATGACCGAATGGTCTACGGCGAGGGTGAGAAAGGCCCGGTTGAAGCTGAGGACGAGGATTCAAATGATGTGAGTCAGGCGGAAATGCTCGATCTTCTCTCTGATAGCCCCAAGCCCGAGGCAGTGAAAGAAGAAGAATGTTCTGAGAACGAAGCGATGAAGGTAGACCAACTCACGCTGGATACACAGTCTCAGAGCTCGTCTATCAAAACCGAAGCAGAAGGTAGAACGATCATTTTTTGTGTGGTTTACCATCGTTTTTAGGTGAGAAGGAGCCGCTACGAGAGGTCCAACCAAATGGTTCCTAAAATATAGACTTTCATGTGTTCAACATGCGCAACATTCCAGTTTAACTGCCGTATACTCCCTCCATCCAACAATAAACTTTTAAACAACCAACGTGTTCAAAACCACTCTGCCAGACCTAAACGAAGGTTAACTAGGAAAACTTTAACATGCTAGAAAGCTTCTTTTAATATGCTAGATTATTTTTCATTTTGACGATAACCGACTCTTACTGCTCTGAACAAGCGCAATACTGCCCTCATGTGTTATTTTTTCTTAAATTTTACTACCGATTTTATTCGACGATGTCCTTAAATATTTCCTGCATCTCAAATCTCGCTGAAAATAGACCCACAAAGTAATTAAATACTAATGCCCTTCTACTCACGATTTCACTCTAGAATAACATGTGGGACATCGTCTTATCGTATACGAATGAACGAATCGACTTCAAAGTCGACCCAGAGTGGTCGCTAGAAACTCTATTTTCGAAAGTAGAGGACCTGCTTGATGTGCCAACGACGAATATGAAATTGATCGTCGCCGGAAAGGGGCTTCAGAATGTGGCGGATCAGAAAGTTGGAACTTCTGGCCGGGTTTCTAGAAGTAGTCTTTTGTGTTGTTGAGGGTAGGATTTGAGGAACCCAGTGAAGGATAAAAGAAGGAGGAAAACTCATGGTCTTGGGAAAAAAGTGTAGCGCCGCTGAGGATGCAATCATCAGTCAGCTCAGGCCGCTCAGAAAAGACTTCGACAACAAAGTGGCTAAATTGGACCAAACAGGTTATCCTGATGATTTGGCTTCCAGTAACTAATTCTATTTGTAGCCGGGTCTGTTGAAAACTATGAAAAGGGTTTCGTCCAGGAGAAGAAGCGTATCGACAAAGAAATCATCGCCATCAATGAGTTCTTCATGAAAACGCTAGAAAAACTCGATGGTGTGTCCATTGCAGCCGATTTGAAAGCAGCTCGGCAGTACCGAAAGACTATGGTCAAGGTAAGTCTCATAATTCAAGATGAAGATACATTAAAGGCAAATCAAGGATATCCAGGCGCAAATGGACCGTGCTGATTCTCTGCGATCAAGACTATCCTTCAGTCCGATTGGCGAATTCGCCACAAAAGAGTAGACTTTTGACAATTTAGTTCACTTTTCCCTTGTTTTTCCTTTGCGCGTGACATGTTGAATAAATCTTTAACTTTAAAGTTTGATCCTCTTTCTTGACCGCCCCTGCGCTAGAATGCCAAAAGAACGTAAGAAGAAAGGAGCACGAAAGAACAACGATCCTCTGATCAAAAAGCCAAAGCCACTCGGGCAAGAGCCAGTTGAACACATGGGAGATGGAGTTTTGATCAAAGATGTTGATCCATCGAAAAGTATGGATGCTGATGCTTATTTATTTCTTACTTTTTTAAGTCGGACAATCAATCGGGCAGTCAGGACCTAATTTTGTCGACCCAAAAATCACTCGTGGAATTCTTGAGGCAGCTCGGGAACAGCAGAAGGAAGAAAACCCGATTGGACTTGACGATGAAGACGAATTTCCAGCTCTGGGGGCTATTACAGCGAAAAATCCATTGGAAGATGATGACGACGAAGAATATGAGGATATCGATGAAGAGGGCGAAGATGTGGAAGAAGTTGTGATCGACGGAGATGATGAAGAAGCCCTCGCGATGTTCTCTAAGGGAGGAGAGGTAGGATCAGTTTAAGAGGCAGTTTGTCTAAGATGATTTTCAGCGGCAAAATTTGGCCGATTTGATCATGGCCAAAATTGAAGCAAAAAAGCAGGATGTTCAAGAAATTGTTGGCGAAGACGAGGTTGGCTCTAACTTGCCGGAAGAACTCGTTATTCACTACCAACAAATCGGCAATGCCTTGGCTAATTACAGAAGTGGAAAGATGCCAAAGGTAAAATACCTTCAATTTGCAACGTCAAATAAAATGAATGAAAGTTTCATGAATCCTTAAGTCTTTCAAACTCATCCCTCGCCTGACAAACTGGGAAGACATCCTTGACGTCATGGCTCCTGAAAAGTGGTCGGCCGCCGCGATGTACCAAGCCACACGAATGTTTGCATCGAACATGTCCGAGGGTCTTGTCCAGCGATTTTACAATGTGTACCTCTTGCCTCGAATCCGAGACGATATTGAATTTTACAAAAAGCTCAACTTCCATTTGATGAGCGCGCTGAAAAAGGCAATTTACAAGCCCGCTGCGTTCTTCAAGGGAATTCTTCTTCCATTGGTAAAAAAAATCATTGGAATCAAGGAAGACTAACTTCACTTTTCTAGGCCATGGCAGCAGATACTTGCACCCTTCGAGAAGCAACAATCATCTGCAGTTGCCTGAGAGAACATTCTATTCCAGTCATGCCAGCGGCCGCCGCCATGCTCAAAATTGCTGAAATGGAGTACAACGGAGTCAACTCGCTATTTTTACGAACGCTCATTGAAAAGAAATATGCCCTGGTAAACCGATCCTAAATATGGGATTTTGACAGTTGAAATATTTTAGCCTTTCCGAGTTATGGACGCTTTGGTTTTCCACTTTCTCCGATTCAAGAACGAGAAGCGCGTCCTCCCCGTCCTCTGGCATCAGTGTTTCCTATCGTTCGTGTCAATATACGCAGCGGATATTTCGGCGGAACAGAAAGAAGCGCTCATGGAACTAACGAAGTTCCAGAACCACCCGAAGATTGTGAATGAAATCAGACACCAAATTCAGAGGACTGAACCGAGAGATATTGAAATGGAACAGCCTCCAGAGCATATTTTGGAGGAAATGATGATGGCTAACTGAACGAAATAAAACAGACACAATTGTGAACTTATTGTTGTTGTTTTCTTGCTGGTTATCTTTGTGTTTAATTGAATCTTTATCAAAAGAGGAGTAAAAAGATTCAAATTTTAGATGAAGCGAAGTCGAGACTATGGCGCGGGTGTGGAAGTAGATCCATCCGAAAAGCGCGGATGGAAGATCATCCACCAGTCTGTTGTCGTCACGCAAATCAGTCTCCGAATGCGCTCGCTCATGGCGTTTGTAGACTTGCGCATTCGCCCGCTCGATCGAAACTTGAAATGTAACTTTCTTCCTTATCAATTTTCAAAACTTAAAATTCACTAGCAATCAGATTGAACGCCCGTCAGTTGCGAATTTACTGGGTTCGTTGCGACGATATCGTCTGCAAGTTCGGCTACGTGGATCCCAGCTCAAAACTCGCCCGAACCGACTTTCCTCAAAAGAACCACACGTACATTCAGCATTGCTACGAGTCCGCGATCGCCGAATCCGATCCAGATCGAAACCACGGTGAGCTGAAGATTGACCTACCACCTGAGATACTCGAGCGGATTCGAAACAATCCCGAATCTCCTCCAACGCTTTCTATTACAGTTGAATACACGCTTGAAAAGCCCCGTGGAGGTCTTCAATTTATCCAGGGTCCGAACGCCCATTGCTACAGCTATGGCGAAAGTAGACAGTGGTTTCCCTGCGTCGATACGAATACTGAACTTTGCACTTGGACCCTCGACTTTACCGTTGATGCGAATTTAACAGCAGTTTCTTGTGGAGAACTGGTGGAGACTGTTTTGAGCGAAGACAGTAAAACGAAAACCTACCGCTACAAATTACTCGTCCCCACTAGCGCTCCGAACATAGGACTGGCCATTGGAAGCTTTGATATTCACGTGGATCGGGCAATGCCTGAAATGACGCATTTCTCCATCGCTGGACTGGTCGATTCCCTCGTGTTTTCAACCAATACAACTTACCAAGTCATTGAGTACTTTGAGGACCTTCTCTCCGCCAGATTCCCATACGCTCTCTACAAGCAGGTTTTTGTCGAGCGATTGCCAGACAAATTCAAGTCCTATAGTTCGATGACGCTGTATGATACTAATTTACTTTATAATGAGCGAGTCTTGGACCAAGGAAAAGAGGATAATTTTTTATAATTTTTATTTACAATTTGAATGAAGGGTTTACAAGACCTCTTGGGAGAGGTTTAGGAGAATCAACATGTACAAAAGTAGAGCGGTCGATCGTAGCAAAAAGCGATGAATCGAAATGATGGTCGAAAGAGGGGTTGATAACTCCCTTCTTCGTCAAGCAAGGAGATGGGTAGTGGTAGAAAGAAGGAAGTTCCTTCTTAGTCGCTGATTCTTCGTTCGTTTTGCAAATGCAAAGAGACTCGAGGCAGAAAAGGAATCCAACGGTGGAGCAGTAGAAGCAAGATTCGGTGGTAGAGGTGTTCATGGATTTGATTGTTGTTTTTTGATTGATGAGTTCTATCGCTAAAATGATCGCTTATATACCCGGAAGTAAGGCGCTATAATGAGCGATCGCTATCAGCGCGCAGCAGATTTCGCGGAAAGCAGCAGGCATCAATCGGCGAAATGAACATTCGTGACATGACTGGAACAGCTGTGCGCTTTCATTTTTTGTTCATCCCGGCTGGATATCTTTGAGTCATTACTGTTCCTTACCCCTTTGAAGTTTTGTCGGAGACAAGTTTTTATCCTCATGAAAAGTCATTCCAACGCGGAAAATCATCGCTAGAGCAATTGCAGCTCAATTCTTTGGTTGCTTCATGGTCGCTGGAAAGGATGGAAACTGGTTGCCAGCGGCGATTGGTGGTTATTTGAACTCACTTTGGCTGAGGAAGACATTTGGAAACTCTGAATATCGGTATTTCATTTACGATGAGACGCGGAAAGTCTGCGCGTATGAAGAGAAGGAAACTCCAATTGTTCTGGCCAACAGTTTCTCAAATCAAACAGTTCGGCACAAGAAAATGGTAGCAAAGAAAGGCCACCTAGTCCTCCGAATCCTTGAAAATCGTCTCACAACTTCACTTCTTCTCCAAGCCATCAACAAACTTCTTGCTATTTCTCGCGACTCATACCTCAGAACAGAAGGAAAGCTTCTTGCAAACAAATCTGGGAAGTTTGAGAAATCGCCGCAAATCATTTCTTCAGTCAGTTTTTTGAAGTTTGTCGCTTCTGTAACCGAAAAAGATGTGAAAGACTTGTTGGATCTGTGGGTCCGCCGTGGAGGAGTGGCGAATATTGTAGCGTCATTTTCTTTTCAGCGAAATAAGAATACGATAGAAATAGAATTGAAGCAGGATCGATCTGGGTCGGTCAGATACGTTGGTCCAATGACAGTGAGGGTTCAAGAACTCGATGGTACTTTTAACCACACGATTCAAGTTGAAGACAAGACAAACAAGATCTCGATCAGTTGTCATTCCAGAGCGAGGAGAAATAAGCGAAAGAAGATACCCCTGCTGAACGGAGAAGAAGTTGACATTGATCTTTCCCAGAGCGACCAAGATTCACCAGTTCTTTGGATTCGACTCGATCCAGACTGTAATTTATTGAGAACAATCGAGCTCAGACAACCAGACTACTGCTTACAGTACTTGGTAAAATACGAGCGAGAAATCATTGGCCAATTAGAAGGAATCGAACATCTCAAAGACTATCCAACAGACAATACAGTCAAGTCACTGAAAGAAGCCGTGGAAAGCTTAGATTTCTTCTGGAGAGTGCGAGTTCGTGCAGCAGAAATGATGGCTCGTGTGGCAGATCAAATGCCAGATCCTGTTCCTGTAAAAGACGCTCTATTATCGGTGTTCAAAAGCTACTTCTGTTTGTCAGATACAGTTTCGAAAGAACGTCTGGTGCGGAGAAACGACTTTTCGAATTTTCAACAGTATTTCGTCCAGTGTGCAATTCCATTGGCCATGTCGAGAATACGACTCTCATCGGGGATGACTCCGGCTGGCGTTTTTACGTTCATTGCGAATTTGATAAAGGTAAATTTTCTTTTAATTTTTCAATTCACATCCTTCGTTTCAGCACAATGACAACTCAAAAAACGCGTACCTTGATTGTCAATGGAAGGCAAATCTGGTCACAGCTCTTTCTAACACACTTTGCCGCGCTGTTGTAGCACAGAAGCTTTCGTCTGTTTCAGAAGAGGCAAAAGAAGTTATCGAGGAAGTAATGAGAGTCATGAATACAGAATGGTTGCTGCCAACCTACAGACATGTGACTTTTATCGCTGCTATGACAGCGGTAAGAACCCTTCAACGACAGCAGCACATTCCACCTAGTCCAGAACTATTCAGGTTAGATTGATTTTGGTGTCATAGAAATTTAAGTCTTTTTCAGGCGTTTTTCGGAGAGCGACCAATACAGTACAGTACGAGTAGCGGCGATAAAATGTCTGATAGACTACATCAAGACCGAGAAAAGCAACGCGCTGGATGATCTTACGAGACTTTTGCGCTTCGCTTCGAGTGATCCAGAAGCTAGAATTAGATACAAAGTCGTCCGTCTTCTCACCAAAACACCGCCTTTCAAACGAGGGTAAATCAGATTTCTCTTTCATAATTTCTATCGTGAGTCCTTCAGTGATTACAATAACAAATTGAATTGTCCATTGATCCGGCAACTCATCTGGCAGTTGATTTCTGAGGACTCTGCTTGCGACGCCAGAGTTAGACTTGCTGGAATACAGCTTTGGAGGGTTTTGTTCGGCGATGCCGAATTCGACAGGGATAATAAAGTCGTTGCTAATGTAAGACTATTAACTTCTCTACAAATTGCTTATTGGTTTCTTTAGTCGCAAGGGTCAGACGACGAAAGCAAGAAGAAAAAGAAAAAGAAGAAGAAAAAAGAGAAGAAGCTCAAAAAAGATCGCGAAAAGGGAGAGACAGATTTGAACTTCTTCTGATTGAAACTTACTCTGCATTCAAAATTTCTGCTGACGCTTCTTTTCACTACCATTCGATAAAAATATACTTTCAAATTATAATTCTTGGATTTTAGAATGGAAGAGTTTGAAAGTTCAATACACAATTGTCTCGCGGGTGATGAAGAGTTGACAGCAATTTCTACGCGATTTTTTAACATTCTTCAAGACGAGGAAAACGAGCTCCTTGTTGAGAACTTCGACGATGAACAGATTTTTCAACAGATCGAGGTAGCCTAATCCAAGTTTTAGAGTCATTTTGATAAGTCTTTTTTAGCATTTGTATACAAAAGAAGTGATTGAAAATATGGAAGAATACAGATGCTTGGAAATCGAGTCGGACTCGGAAGCAGAAGAAGAGCAAGAACTGATAAGTGACGAGCCTAAGCAACAGGGTTCTCTTTCAGATGGAACGGAGCTAGATCCTGAATTCGGATACAACTCTGACGATAATGATGAAGGCGATGAAGACGATGATGGCGATGAAGAAGGCGGATTCAGCGATGCTGAGGGATCTGATGATGATCTCAAGGCTGCGCTGGAGCATTTTGATGATGATGAAGGAGAAACGAAAGGTAGTACTGTTGAAATTGATCCCAATCAACGATTGATTTAGGCAAGAGCTCCAGATCGGAAGATGAGTTCGAATCTCTCCGGGCTCAAAAGTCCGAAATCGACGATGAATTCTTCTCTCTCGCCCAGATGGAAAAGTACTGCGACGATATGGATCAGAAAGAAATGGACGGAAACTTGGATGAACTGGACTCAGATCTGGAAGACGAGCTCTACGGCGATGGTACAGGGGCTGACGATGGCGAAGAAGAAGACGAGGACGACGATGAAGAGGCGGACAAGCCAATAATGTACGATTCTTTCTTCAAGTCTACATTTGAAAAGCGACAAGAAAAACTCGCAGAGGAGATCAAAAAGCTCGAGGACGAAGCTGTCTCCAAGAAAGCCTGGCACTTGCGAGGTGAAGCCACCGCTGAAGCTAGACATGAAGATGAACTACTTCAAATGGATCTTGACTTTGACGCTCAGGTTGATCTTATCTACATCCCAGATTAAAATTGTACTTTATACAGGCTCCTGCGGTAGCTCCGACAGCAGAAGCGACTGAAACCCTCGAGGCGATAATTATTCAAAGAATCAAAGACATGGGTACGCGACTACCAAAGATCGATAAGAAATTCAATTGAAATTCTAGCATTCGACGATGTCGAGCGAAAGTCACGTGCGATGATTGAACCTGCTGAAGCTAAAGCGCGACTAGTTCCGGACGAAGAGCGAAAATCACTAGCCCAACTATATGAAAATGAATTTTTACAGGTTCAACTGTTTCCTGATTATTTTTTCTTATCAATGTTTCAGAAAGGACAAGATACAGACGAAGACCCAGTTCGAAAAGAAATCAAGAAGGACATGAACGACCTGTTTGCCGAACTTGACTTTTTGACCTACGATACGACAGTGAACCAGAAAGAGGTGGAAATTAAGGTGATAAGCGATACTCCCGCCTTGCGCTCGGAGGAGATCGGCCCTTCGCTCGTCTCGACGTACTCTTCGATGGCGCCGGAGGAAATCGACGGAAAGGCCCGAGGCGCGTTTATGGACAAGAGCGAGCGATCTGCAACGGATATTAAAAGACACAGAAGAAAGGTCAAGGCAAAGATTAAAGCTAGAAAGGAAGCGGGCAAAGAAGTTACGTTTAAAAAGCCGAAAACAAAGGTACTCTTTTTCTTAGATTCAAATGCTAATTTTGATTAGTCGCAAGCGGACCTCAGACCCGTCGATGGTGCAAAGATCAAATGGACGAATTCGACAAAGGTCTTCAAAGCGCTGCAAGACGAAATCGACCACGGGACTCTTTCGAAAAAGGCCGCCTCGAAAGCGAAGAAGGAAAAAGTTTTGGAAATGCGAAAAGCAAAGAGTTTCAAACTGTGAAAAATAATAAACTTCCTTTGAAAAACACACCTTTCACAAAAAATTGGAACATCATGTTAAGATTTCTCCAGTTTCGATTGGCCGGTACGCCAAATACAGCAATCTTATTGGTAATCTAAAAATGCACTTCCATAAATTGGTTTAGTCCTCAATTTATCACTCACAAGGGCCGTATTCTCTAGATTCTAGAAGTCACATCTCAAAAATATTCTTTCTTCTCTATGCAAGTCAGACAAACTCGTAAGAAAATTAGGGAGGCATGAACTGCGGGAGCTGTTGTGGTGGATGTATCAGGTAGTACTTTCTATTTTTACTTCATCAAAAAAGAAATTTCAAAAGAATATTATGCTGCTGCGGCAGAGCTTCTTGTCGAGACCAGGACTGTTTTGGAATAGAGACAGCTATGGAGTGGGATGGGCTTTCAGTTTGCCATGCAGCCATTGTTGAGCTAAACTCTCCTCTCGACCGAATAACCATGACTGACGCCTGGTACAAGACCATTCAGACTCATCCTTTTTTACGCGCGAAATGGAGCAGAGGGTTCATCGCGAAAGTTAAAGAAAATACAGAACCGACGTATCTGGAGATTCCTGGAAGTCAAGATATGGTTGATCAGCTGATTATTCACTCGAATAAAGATGCGAAATTTGCGGAACTGACTGTCTGCGAACAAGGATTGACTATTCAAATTCTAGGTACAAATAATGCTTACTCCTCCGTTTTTCTATTTGAGTTCAGTGACGATTCCTCATTCCCTGGCAGATGGAACAGCAATGATGATAATTCTCAACGACCTTCTGAAATTCTACGAAAAACCGCATCAATCTGCGATTCTAAATGAAGACTATCCCGTTCAAGCCGAAAAACTCAAACCAAAATTGTCTAAAGAAGCTATTAAAAACTACAAGGTAATTGTCTGATGGCTTCAATACAGAGCTTCACCGAAAACACATTCCGTTTTAGAGGAAAATTCTAACCCAGCAGAAAGAATTCAAAAACGTCGTTCCTCATCAGAAATTCAAAGAACGAGATCCCGAATACATGCCTACACATGTTACGATCCGAAAAGGAACTCCAGATGGGCTTCAAAAGCTTCTTCATTTTTGTCGAAATAATGGAATCACCGTTGGTACTTATTTGATGGCCGCTTTCAATTGTGCATTGGCTCAAGACAAGGTAACTCACACCTTGTGGTATACTTTTCATCCAGTTAGATGGTAAAACTTGGAAACGAGCTGAAAATGGACATTGACTTCAATCTTCGAGATCGATTTCCTCAGAAGCTTGGAAATACTGTTGTAGCATGCTATATCGGTGTTGGAAGCATCGTTCCTAAAGGCTTGAGTTGAAATCATTAAAAACTACAGATTTTTCGAGCTGAAATTTTCGTGAGCTTTTTGTAAGCTTGATTTCAATCACGAAAAAAAGCGGAGCTTACCGAAACGCTCGTGGACGTAGCCAAACGGATCAAAAACGAAATCAACGAGCAACTTGAAAACCAAGAGCCTTTTATGATGAGAGCGATGATGGATATTCTAGGATCTTCAGATGGCAAAGAATTCAATAAGCCGATTAATAATCACATCGGTGTGTTTTTCCTTTTGTTTCTAATAAAAATCGTGTTAGCCTCGAGCGTGAATTTCTCAAACATCGGAAAATACAAGTTCGAGACCCAGTTCAATTTTGGGAAAATTCGCGAGCTTTACTGCTCTGGCAACAAATGGACCAAGGCATACGAATACTGCCTGACCGTCCAAACGACTGATAAACTCTGCCTTACCATCACCCACCCGACGATGCCTATATACGAACCGACCGCTAACATCTATGGCGAGTATCTCATGTTATTTGCTAATGATCCAGAAAGATTTGGAAATATGACCCTCAAAGATTATGAGAATTTTTTGAATTAGTGAAAGCTATTTATTCTTTGTACTCTCTTGTAAAGTATTATTCAATAAAGTATATGTATATCTTTGAACAATATATAGGCTATATATAATATAGCGAAATAATATAGGCTATATTATATAGCTCATGCATCGTGAAAGAATACGAGAGAATGTTACGTAACTAAATCTGGGGCATCATTTCTAAACAAGAGTCCCGTACATGGGTGACCCGTTTGCAGTGAAAATAAGCAGTTAGAAACGTCATTTGCAACAAAGAAAAACGTGGGCTCAGAGTTTAGACATGCGTGGTGCAGTTGGTGCCCTGCTGAGTGCCAATTATCGAGATTCGTTTTCATGAGATCATCCACTCGAATCGCTGCCGCTAGCGGTGCACCACGGCGCATAAAGGGAGCAGTTTTCTCCACCAGAACACGTTCAACGTCATAGAGAAAAAAAAAGTAAAAAGATGAAGCTCAGTTTTGCTTTTGTTGCCCTCTCCTTCGCCCAAGACGACTCCAGTTTCTACACATCTACTGTTGCAGCGACTGAACGACCAGATCGGCCACAGTGGTATCCTTATGAAAGCGTAAGTGTCTTTATTTTCCACATTTTCTGGATTCTTGTTCCTGATTTGGATGAAAATTTTATCGTAAAAATGTAGGAAGCAGAAAAACAAGCAGCCGAAGCCGCCGCCCAAGCCGCTGATATCGCCCGACGAGCCGACGAAGCTGCCCGCCACGCCGCCGAGATGCAAGCTCACCAGGAGGCTATGGCCGCTCACGACGCTCGAATGGCCTACGAACAAGAACAACGAGAAGCTGCTGCCGTAGCTGCCGCTGAAGCCCTTGCCGAAGAGATCGCATACAACATGACGCGACAAGAAGAAGCTGATGAAGCGCAGCGAGCGGCAGAAGCTGAGCAACGAGCTGCCGAAGCTGCCGAACGAGCTGCTGAACGAGCTTCTCATCGAGCCTGGCAACGAGAGCACGAGGCTGCTATGAGTGAGCATGAGTCCAGAATGGCTGGTTAGAAATTCCCAGCGAAAGGGAAACGGAATGAACTAACATTAATTTTTAGCCGCTCAAGCTGATGCTGCTGCTGATTCATCTGCTTCAGACTCTTCATCCTCCACTACCGACGAATACTAAAGAATTTTCAAAGGAAATGCAGAGAAACCCGGAAGTCCGACCAATTCACTGTATTAATTTCCCAACAATAAAAAATGCTTGTTTACAAGCTTGTTTGCATTTAGTCAGTAACTATGAAGCGGATTGAACAGATTTGGTTGTTTAATCTTCGCGTTAGAACAATCTTCTCATGGTCCTCAATTTGCATTTCTAGGGAGATCGAGAAGTGTTTAACCGGAAGTCAGAGAAACGTGTGAATTTAAAATTACTAATGGAAAACGAAGGGTTACAGATAACGGTCTTGAAATTGAGCTGACTAGTACTCTATTCATTATAAAAAAAAATGTAGTTTTTCAAGACGAAGACAGATTCGCGTGGAATCCTTGCACTTGACAGGTGAGAGTTTCAAATTGCCTGTGAACCAAAATCTTGAATAAAGATGTTTACGCCGAGCTACTGGAGCAGAGGAGGTCAGAGTTGCGATGCATCGAGATCGTCAAAGTAAACAACGGTCGATTCGGGAGGTGCTCATCGTTGATTTCAGGAGGTTTCCGGAGAAATTGAAGATTTACGGAGTCAAATAGGAGAGATTCTTCAATGTTTTTCGACTTTTTTTCTTGAGAATTTGAAATTTGAATTTGAAAAGTCGACAAAAGACGAATTTCATTCAATGCTTCTTCAAAACCTGGCACCTGCTAACACCTGCTCATAATTAATAAATAGAAGACGACAACTATTTTTGGTATTTTTTTTTGTTCCTTGTTGTGTTGACTTAGAGGCAGTTATGAAGACAAAATGCAATACATTTGGCGCTAATTGGCGCACAGGTGAGCATTTTTTTCGCAATCGTTGAGCAGTTTGTTTATGTAAATATATGTATAAATATATGTACGTATAAGTTAGCAGGAAGGGTGTTCTGTACAGATTCTTGTTTGGGCCACAGCTCGCTACGAAAATATGCAGATTATTTATCTTTCTTTTTTGTACAATTGGAGAGTTTGGAGCTACTTCATACATGGGGTCAGCATTTCTCGGGAAGGGCCACTACGGTCCGCTTTTCCGGCGTCTTTTCTTGGGCTTTTCGTTTCGTGGAGTAGCGATTTAGCTCGGCGCGGACGATCTCGTCCATTTTGTCGTCTGTAATTACGATTCTTCCAGGCTGGTGTTGTCGAAGGTCGTCTTTGGACAAGTCCAAGCTGGATCCACTTCGGGAGGAGTTCCACAAATAGCCGATGAGTCCCAAGACGACTAGAATAGCGACTCCGATGGCGAAGAGCAGAACAGTCGCTAAAAGAGTGTTAGAAAAAGGTTCAAACTGGTCAAAAATCAAAAAGGGGGTAATCGGCTAGTTTCGGATCGCGTGGAGCTGAGCGCCCGCACGAGTGAAAATAAATTTCCACCACCCGCGAATCCGAAATCCGCGATTGCTGAAGTCCAACTGAATAAATACGCGAAAAGGGATGAGCCGCGAGAATGGTCGCTGAAAGTTGGACCTCTGCTATTTTGCTATTTGTGGTTATTCAGTTGAAACTTCCAGTGAGATTTTAACCTAAGGGGGGTTCTGTGGCCGTTTACTTACCAACTGTGTAGGAATGATCCCTGGCGAGTTGCATGGACTCAGTCCTGTACTCAGTGTCGACTCGAATGATCTTATCGCGATTGACATAACTGTACTGGGAATCGTAAGGGATGGAAAACTGCCGTCGTAGTTGGAGATCTTCAATGTGCGCTAAAAATAAAAATTGATTGAAAAGTTGTTGATTCTGCATTTCTGGGGAGAAAAAACGGTGTTCAGCTTTCAGGTGCACCGTTCGCCAAATCGTAAAATGAAGAATTAGCGTTAGAAAATGATTCAGGCCGCGGCCTGACAGTTATATTGCAGGCGGAATACATAAATGCGTTCGCCTCAAGGGCCAGCGGAAATACGCGCACTTGCGCCTTTTTGCGTTTTTACAATTTTGATTTATTAATTGAATGGCGATGGTGCTGGATACCGAAAAAATATGACAATTTCCGAGTCTCTCAAAATCTGAAATGATCCATCAGCCAATTTAACACGTGGCCCAGTTTCTTTTCACGCACTCGAAATTTTGCATAATTGCCTCTTGAACCGGTCGGCCATCTATCATCGACGGGGGCCGGCGTTTGAGCGGTTGACATTTCTTTTTCGAAAGTACGCGAAAAAAACTCATTTCGAAAATTCTCTGTCATGCGAGATATAATTTATTGCTGCTAGTTCCAAATTATTTCTGTCAATTTAGGAGTCTCGTTGTCTCAGGGCCCTTTTTTACTTACAAAAGCAAGGATTCGTGAAGTACTGGTTGCGGAAAGTGTTGCAGTGGAACACGTGCATGTTGACCTTGCTACTGGTGAACTGTAAGTCGTCAATGTCGCAGCTACAGTCACGTGGGAGGCAGTTGAGTTCGATGAGTTCTCGGCGGCCGCGCTCGCATTTTTCTAGCCTTTCCATTTCGTTCTCGTTCTGGCAAGTTGTTGGGGAATCGGGCGAGATGGTACAGTGATCGTTGATTGCTGAAGAGATACTGTGAGACTGGGAGAAGAGAAAAGGGCTTGGAGATAGGGAAAAATATGTCGCAAAAGGGACGCGCATCAGGAAATCAAGCAACGATAATCGTCTGGAAACTCTTTCCCAAAGGAATTCTCCTACTACTAAGCCGGCCCTGCTCGAAGCCGGATACAGCCATTTTTTCACAGCCATTTGCTACTATGAAGAAGCAAAAATCTTTTGAACTTTCGCTCGAAGAGCGTTGAATGGGCCAAGCCGGAACTACGAGCGACTAATAACTCGTAAAAATACACAGAAATTTAGGCCCGGAGCGGAGCATATTAACCACTTATGCACGGTGCATGTAAAATCGCCGCGGAGGTATAAAACTGGCCGAATCTATTAAATCTAAAAACGAATCTGCGAAAAAAGAAATATTCGAAAATTGCGATTGATTAGGTGTACTAACTCAATTAAGAAAAAGTGAGCTCTTTCACAGCGAATCGATCCCAAAATCGAAAAACCGAAAAAGGAGGATCACGTCAAAAAAATTAAGATTTGATTGAAGAGCCCAAATCCGGTACCGATTGTATTGATCCGGAACTTTTCAAGAGGCGCGAAAATTGGCGGCTTTGGAGGAAAAAATCATTGACCTTTGGGCGCTGGACTGTTTGGTTCTTCAAGATGTTACTTTAAGATTTTTATGTAAGATAAATTCAATGACCTTTTTGCGAGGAAAAAATAAGGCTGTCCTTTTTCTATTTAGATGAGTTTGAAGGGTCGGTCTGCTGACTTTTAATAAGTGTGGCACTCTTAACTCCTGCTATTTTCACAAGAAATTAGAGCTAAAGACCCTAAATCAACAAGATGGAAAGAAATATAAATGTGTTGTATGTTCCCAAAAGAAAGAGCTTGAACTGAAGATCTGGGCACACGCGCCGCCGTCCTTTGACAGGCGATCTCTACTATTCATCAAAATCATCACGATTGTTGGTCCTAAGGAGTACGCGTGTTCCCAAGCTTTTTTGGCTACTCGATGAGAAAAAATGAAAAAAAGCGCTCTGGTTTCACTTTTTTCTTTCTTTCTCAGACCAGCAAAGTCAAGGGCAAACTCGAATAAGGGGACACCCCTGCGGGAACATTTTTCAAGATATTCGCTAAAAATTGATAGGGGTCAAGTTTTTCAAGGTCAAATGCAAAAACGATCCATGGGAAGATTATGTCAGACTGGGCACAGTCACGTTACGACTCACGTAAAACATTTTCCCGCACCATCGCATCCGGCTAGCACAATCGACGAAAATTCCCACAACGACTACTTTTTTTCATTTTCGTCGACAAAACAGACAGAAAAATTGAAATAATTGGCCAGGTGCTGGATCATTATCCCATAAACTGAGGTCGAAAATGGAACTTCTACAAATCATCTTCTTTATAAGACTACCCCTAACTCCAACCCTAACCCCTGAACTCCCCCCAACTTTAACCCTAGCCAAATGGCAGACTCTGGATTCTAGCGCCCGATTAACCCGCTTCCGTACGAGAAATATAGGAAGATCCTCTGCTCAGTTAACCTTGTACTGTGAACTTCAGAACCATGGCAAGTCCAAATCGAAAATAAATGACCTCTTCGTAAATCAACTGTTCTCACTGAACGATGTGTCAATATTTCAAGAGCACTTGTAAAATCGACAGAATTAAGAAGCCTTTTCCCTTATTCGCATTTTGAATTCCCTTTGGTTACTAATTCGTAATTCGTAATAATTTAAAATGCGTATACGTCGTTTTTCATGGGAAAGGGCGGGTTTTCCTACTCGACCGCATTTTATTCAAAATTCTGGCTTCTGCCCGATGTTGCTACAAATTGGCCAAGGCGGAAATGCCGCTTGTTTTGGAAGAAAAAAATTTACTAAAAAAAAAAACGAAAGATTTTTTCGAAAAAGGGGATATGCAAATCCCATCGATAAGGGGGTTTGTCGCGTGGCGCTAGAATTAGAGAAAGAGAGAGCTACTGGGGCGGAGAGATGTCTGGAAGACTTTTGCATAATCTTACTGTTTGAACATTGTTTTTGGATAAATAGGAGGGCGAACATGGATCAGATCGAGGGATGACAAGGTCATTTTATACGCTTCGGTTGGGTTCAAATCCCGGTTTCTTAGTAGGGTTAGGGTATATGTATACCTTCTTAGATAAATAGAACGCCTTTTCCTTTTTCACCGTCATTTTTGGAGCTCGCTTTTGAGTTCTTTTTTACGATAGTTCAGAATTATGTTGTTTTCCCAGAGGAAGTTGTTTTTGACGTGTAAAGACAATTACGGTTTAGAGTCGTTAAAAAGTCAAGGGAACCAAAAAGTCTGCGTTTGTCTATCCTGAGTCAGAAGTTCTGAGAAATATTAAAGGAAAGAGCTTGCTGTCCCCTTTCTAGCGTTTCTCAAGGCCCCCGAATCATCTTTTAAAAGTGTGATTAGGCGGAAGGGTCATCACAATCAGGTGGTCAGCGCCGCCTTTTTCTCCCCAAGTCTTTCGAAACCGCTTATCTCAGATTTCAGCCTCAAACGAGCGCCGAGTGTAATAATTAAACGCACTTTAAATTGGCTGGCGAGGGGTCGCGCGCCGAGAATTTCGGAATGCCTCTCGCAAAAAAATTCAACGACAGGTCACATTGTTGAATATAAAGCCATTCGAGCGAGCCCAAATTCTTCATTTTGAAATATTTATTCGAAAATCCGCCAGATCAGAGCCAAACGCGCAATGCACGAGCCTAACCGCCCGGTCAAAGATCCCAGACTTTGCGGCGCAAAGATATTTTTAGAGAAAAATTTTCGGTATTTTCAATATCAAATGATTATCTAACTGATTTTCCTAAAATTCTCCGACAACAATGATAATTTTTGCGAAGCCGCTTTGCGGCTTCGTTTTCGTAAAAGCCGCTACGCGGCTTTTTATTGAAGCTCTTTCAAATACTGACTCAGGTTGCCGATCTCAATTAGGGTGAAATTAAGGGAGATAGGGGCGATGGAAGAGGCCCGAAGATCGTTCGGAAACCAGATCTGATGTTTATTTCAAAAATCAAAGCGGATCAACATCGTATGTAAATTGGCTGTAACATGCGGGGGGAAATTGCATGCGCAGGCGCCAAAGCAAGCAGCTCATATAAATCACAGCATGCCGCCAATCCGCTGTTTACATAAAATATACTCCGTGTAAATGTTCAAATCCGCCAATTTAAAAATCGAAAAAATCCCGACCGTGGCGCGTAAGAGGATTTTGAACTTCGCGCCGAAAGTCATTATTGGATAAGCGGCGGGATAATAATTCCTGGGCTGTGAAACGGAGGGGAGAAGGCAGGTGCGTCGTATACATAAAAACGAAATAATCTGCGATCAATATTTACTATCTGCATGTTCTCACGAATCGCGAAAAGAATTATTCATCATTTCGTCAGCGTTTTTGGATCGACCTCGCTTTTTCCCTCCTTTAGAAAAAGACTTGTTTATCAACCTGTAGCTCCTTAAAATTCCTTCAATAAGAGAGACACCCCCTTAAATTTTAGGCAAAAGAAAAATGGGTAAAAAACATTTCGTTATATTTCTCCAACAAAAAATAGATAAGGGGACATCTTCAAAATATCTCCGAGCGCTTATGGTATCAATAAATTTTCCTTATCAGTGATAAGGGGTGAGCCGAAAGATGTTCTTACCTATCAATGCCCTGTCGCAAAGACTTCTTTCTTTGACAATTTTCTTGTGATCAATGCAGCTCATTTCGACAGCATCAGCTCCATGGCCGAGAAAAAGGCCAGCTGTGATGATTTTCAGCATTGTTTTTTTATTGTTGATCTTCTGATTTTCTCTCTTTTTTTCCTCGACTTCTACGTGTTTTTCTTTTTCTTTCGTGTATCTCTTTTGCGGAAGTTCTTCTTCTTTCTGAAAATAAAAAAGGTGTGTTTTTTTCGTATTTATTCTTGATCTTTTTTTGGCGAAAATGAGTTTAGCGCTCTAGGAAGCTGCGGCGCGAGGATTTTTTTCTCCACCGAGCTCGGTGACTTGGGCGCTGCGGAGCCCCAAAAGAGGGCGCGCCGTGATGGCGAATTTCGCGAGGAGAAGGGGGAGGTCTTTGATTGAGGATTTTGAAGATTTCGAGGTTCAGGGGAAAGGGGACAGATGGGAGGAAGGGCACAAGATGGGGGAAGATAGATTTATTGATAGAAATTATGGATTAAAAGTGCTCAGTGGCGATATACAGGCTTTTCTGGGCTTTGCTGAATAGACAACTCAGATTCAGTAAACTCCTTTTAGTCAGAAAAGACCAGTCTTAGCCTGCAAATAAAAGGGATGAGAATTGAAGAGTACATAATCGATTCAAAATGTAAAGTTGAAATGCCAGCTTTGGGAGTTCCAAATCTGCCAAATCTTTGTGGTGATATTTAACCCCAAATTGCACCTGAAAGTTCAAGAAAGGCGACCACAACTTTTCAATTTGACGACTTCCAAATGTAATTTCATTTTTCTTTTGTATTTTTTCATAAAATGAGTTGTGAAAATGTATATTCCCGGGAAGAACGCCAGGTGTTTCCGAATAGAAGGGGCTTGGGCACACGCCAGGACGAGAAACAGGAAGACATTAGAGGGGAAATTAAGAAAATTGACACGGTTTCCGGTTGCGAACGCGAAATTTAAAATTGGCTAACTAATTTTCGAAATTGTAAAACACGCAACTTTGTTTTTGTTGTTTCCTGTGTGTCATTATCAGACAGTCACTAAGGGCCTCTCTCAATTTATATTCGGCTCGGCAACCTGTGGAGAGACCCTGAGTCAGGATTTGAAAACGTCTAAATAAATAGCCGCATAGCGGCTTTTGCAAAAACGAAGCCGCGAAGCGGCTTCACCAAAATTACTATCTGTTTATATTCCTTCAGGAGTCCTGAATCAGGACCTGTGTAGAAACCTGAGTCAGGGTCCTTAAAAAATAGATTCAGATTGTAATTTTGGCGTAGCCGCGTTGGGGCTATTTTTTGCAAAAGCCGCTATGCGGCTTTATATTTATGCTTTTTCAAATCCTGACTCAGGTTTTTTTCACAGATTGCCGAGCTCAGGAAAAGAGTTTTTAAATTTGAAACTTACCTTTATTAATAAAAAAGCTCTCTGTTTTCTGATCCGGGCTGAGTCGAATGACGAAAGTTTCGGGAAGTCGAACTCGTACGAGTTTTTTGACGCCTACTCAGTTTTAAACTTACTTTTATTTAGTCTTTAAAAAGGCAAAAATTGAAAGAACAAACCTTGAAACCTTGGCTGAACTTGAATCCACAATCAATCACTAGAAAAAAGTGCTTTGTTTTTTTAACAACCAAACTCGCGTGTGGCTCTGATTGATGATCTTCTGGAGCAGAAAAAGTAAGGCTCAATTTTCAATTCAGAATTGCTGAAGTCTCTCTTCTAGAAAAACGAATACGGAGAAAATTGCCCAAATAAGAATGGCTTTATTTTAGGAACACCAGAATTTTTCGAGAAAAATAATTCAAGAATGAACACAGGGCTCGGCAACCTGTGTAAAAACCTGAGTCAGGATCCTCCGAAGCGGTTTTGAAGAAATAACACAGATTTTATTTGCGATGAGTGGTTAATTTATTGAGCGTGATTCACGTTCAGAAGGATGAAAAGAAGAAGTGATTGTTGAGGAAAGAACCATTTCAAACAATTATTGTTACTGTAGTTTTAGCTCTCGGATTGTGATCGTGGTTTAACCAGATCTCTGGATAAAAGAGTTCCTTACAATTTTTTTCAGAAGAATCTCGGGCCCATTTCGACTATTCTAGTGATTTTAAGAACTCTTTCCTGAGAGAAGATCGCGCCCCAATAGCTTCTGATCTTCGTCGATTCTTGACTTTGGTTATTTGAAAATCGTCCTTGGCCTGTTCGAGTCCAGCGTTTGCTCGCTCGAGGCACTCCTCAAGCATCTGCGTCTTTTCATCCAGCTCGCGCTTTTTCGCTTCTGAAAATCAAAAACAGTCAGTTAGTTCATTTCGTTCTTTCAAGGAACCTGAGATGCGAAAGTTCTGTTCGACGATAGAATGCTTCTCCATCAGCTGTTGGTTTTGCGCTTTGAGCTCTTCTTGCCACTTTTGCCACTCTGCGTATTTCTTATGGAAGAATAAGAAATTTCAGGGTTGGATCATTTTTACCTGCTGAAGCTCGCTAAGCTTAGAATTATTGTTTTTCAAAGCTTGAAGTTTGGTGACTAAGTCGTGCTCGGCGACTCTGAGCTGGATGTGCATATCCGTGTCTGCTTCTTCTCTTATTCTGCGAAGAGTCTCATTCAGCCCCCGAGGAGCTGCTTCTGACAGCGTATCTTCGAGCTGAGAGAGCTCTACTTTCTCAATTTCCATTTTGCTGCGCCTCGGAACTGGTGAAAATCGAAACTGGCGAATTTTTTGGAAATTCGCTTGCTATGGTTTCGGTTAGATCGCTTGATAAAAAGTAACGAAAGAAAAAAACTTGTTTTTGAATGTTTTTATTTTCACCCACCATAATTACTAACAAGGAGAAGAGCTGGACGAGGTGATGAAAATTTATTGATTTCAGAATGGGTCCAATAACCGCCTTGGCGCAGATTTTCATATCCGGCGGATGAAAGACAGATCAAGAGCCATAAGAAATATGGTAACAAATTTATGGCCCTTCCCATCCATCTGCCACTAATAAGCTCGCCCTTTCGCCTTGACCTTCCAGAAGAAAATCGACGAAGAGGAAGGAAGACCTCCTGTTCATAATCCAGTCTAAGCACTTTTATGCTTATCTGCGATAAGAACCATGTGTTTTAGGTGTTTAAACTTCGGAAATGAAAAATCACTAGGGTAAGTTTATACAACATCACGTGTTCTGTTGTGGTTGTGGTCGACTTAGAGGTGTCCGAGCGTGAAGACTAATCCAGCCGAGCTTAGTGCAAGTGCATCTTTTGAGCGATAATTTTCCATTTTTTCATCCCCGGCGCGCGCGGAACCCGATAATCCCCTTATTGTATCCAGATCAGCCTAAATGCATAAAGTATACCTTTCTTCTCCAGCCAAAACCGACATGGCAGGTTATGTGCACAAATGCATTAATAAATTTTAAACGATTTCAAACGCTGCAATTATGGTGCTGTTATCAGCCGCGCAGATTCACTGGAGCCAGAGGAAGAGGTTCCAAATTCCAAAATGTCTTATCCAACTTTTGGAAGCGCCAATTTACCGACCTCAAAAAAGGTGATTGATAAGGAGCAGCATTTTTATGGGGACTGACTCTACAGAACTATCGTTTCAACTAATTTCTTTATAAGCATGGTGACACCCTTAAATTTAATTCGAAATTACAAAAGATGAATATTTCGCTGTGCTCGGCAACCTGAGTAGAAAACCTGAGTGAGGGTCTGAAAGAACCGAAATGAAAAGCCGCGCAGCGGCTTTTTCTTAAACGAAGCCGCAAAGCGGCTTTGCCAAAATTTTTGATATATTGTAATTGTAATATTAGCGAAGCCGCTTTGCGGCTTCGATTTTATAAATAGCCGCTGGGCGGCTTCTCATTTCAGTTCTTTCAGACCCTGACTCAGGTTTTCTACTCAGGTTGCCAAGCCCAGATATTTCGATTCCTGGAGAAAAGTCTTCCCCCTTGAAGTTGACTTTTTTTGTGGAACAGGAGGTTTTTGACAGAAGAGCAAATTCTATTACAAGCGCCTGAAAGCCGAATCATCCTTTGTAGAAGCTCTTACAAGAGTAGCGGTCGTTAGAATCTCCATTTCCCGCAGGTGCTGTCGGCGGTACCTTCGAGTAGACTTGGCGCTCCGGACATGTCGCTTTGATCGGTGAGCCAATCTGATCAGTAATCTCCCTAACACGACGCGCAAATCTGATCCACCGAGAATCTGTCTCGGCTCAAGCGCATTCCCCTGCTGAGGATTACAAAAAATCTGCGGTTCGCGAACAAAAATATTTGACAAGCTCGAAGCTTCAAGCGGAAACTTTCAAAAATTCACAACTTCTACAGTACTGTACCGCAAAATTCCACAGAAAAGCTCAAATACAAGTCCGCTCACCATCAAGATCGTGGAGATCGACAGAAAATTGATGGGAAGATGGCCTTAGAAATTTCCCTTTTTTGTTATCAAGGGTAAAATTCAGAATCGTTTTTTATGGCCTCCCAAGGTCTTTGACCCCCTGTTGAATATTTGGCGCGGAAGTGGGGGCATCTGTACAAACGCCAGCCAAAAACTGGGCTTAGACAAAACAACTTTCGACTTTCGTGTAATCAATGTGTATCTCGGGCAAAATGTATCTTCGCGTGTTTGAAAAGAATGTTCCGGGGATATCTAAAATACACCCTTCGTAGATTGGTGATAACCGTCTTTCTGCTTATCACAGTTTTTCTCAGCGTTGTTCTTTTTTTTTTGCCTAAAGCTCAACACCAGGTGCTTTTTTGCCAAACTTTCAAGTACTGATTTTTCTTACAGAAGGAGGTCATTTTAAGACCACCCTTGATCGACTTGCCCGGGCACTTAAATTTTTTAAAAACTTGAAACGAGCAATTTTCATGTCAAGGAAGCAACCAGCCCAGCTTGGAAATCAGTATCCAAGCATGTAAAAAATTTAACCTGGCCGGCTTTAATTATAGATTTTTCACCTGTGTGGATCATCGGCCACGCGTAAAATCGCGCGCTCATTTCCGGAAACGGATCTGTCAGGAATCAGATCCGCTTGTGAACAATGACAAGTGTCGCGCTGAGAAATTATGCGTTTCATCAGTACTTTTTTCGCTTTCCCTTGAAATTTGAAATTTGAAATTTGAAATTTTGTTTATCAAACTTGATCTTTGAAATTTCAACGAAAAAGTGAGAAATCAAACACTAAAAGTACCTGTTTCTCAAACATGATTTCCTGAGCCCCCTAAATAACACACGATGTCTCGAGATGACAGCGAGCTGTCAGATGTAAGACAAACCGCCCCAACTCGAAATGTATTCAGTGACATTCACCGCCGATGTCCTATCCATACAACCAAACGAAAGGTCACGAAAGTCAACCTTTGGCACGTGACTGGTTTTTCTGAGAAATCAGACCTACAACGGAGGCCTGTTTTAAGACCACCGTTGAGCGAAAATGTGTAATGAAATAACCACCGTGTCTAATTTTTAGCTCTTCAATTGCATCTTTTAATTGAAAGCAGTAGGACTTTCTCTGGTCGATAATTTTTCCACCAAGTGGGGCATTGTTTCTGATCCTTGGATTACTGACTCGTGGCACGTGCGTGGCACAATTTCGCCAAGACATTTCAAACAGGGAATTAATCCCAACCTTAAAATTCGCCAAGGCAGAAGACAATGGCTAGAAAGCAGTGCTTGAAATGTCTTTACGGCTGTTATTGGCGGCGGCATCAATGGCACTCCAGGCGAGGGATTAGCCAGAGTTGAAATGCGGGCAAGCACCGTAACAGATGCCCAGATCAAGTAGGGCACACCCTCGAGTACTCGAGCCAGTGCTTTGTAGCCGCACGCGCGAATCTATTTACCGGATGGTTTTACCCGACCCCGCCCGAGATTTATGCGAATATTTGGCGCTTTTCCGCGAAAGTCAAAAGAAAATTCCTTTCAACTGACATTGAGAGAAGAACCTTCTGTTGGAAGAGACAGAAATTGATCCGATTAGAGTCTCCAAAAGGTCATCGGCATCTGAGAACTTTGAAGATGCCTCCTTTCCATTTCTCTCGGATGAATAAATTTTCGAAAAGGCCATCGCCTCTGATCAACGCTTTCAAGCTGATTTTCAAAGATGCTTTTTTCGAAAATGGATGTTTTGAATTCACTCAATCGAAGAAGCGAAAATTTCTTCCGCTCAGATTCTCATCAAGGTAATTTTTAAATTGAGGATAATTAACTGTTGACTCAAGGGGCCATAAATTCGTGTACCGACAGACGCGCACGTCCGGCGCTAACAACAAGCCGTTAAGTGTGGCCATCTTATTAAGGAGGCCCCTCACGGTCAACGAGCACGGCGTGACATCATCGCCAAGGATCATGGCACGTGTACAAAGCGATCCATCAACATTTTAGTGGCTAAGAGAGCTCAACATCGAAAATACGAAAAATACCTTCCTTGACACCTTTGTTCATGAATCCTGGGTTCGAAAATAACAAAATTGCAACCCATAAATCACCGTTAATCACCATTTTCCGACAGTAGTCGACGTAACACCCTAAAAATCATGACTTTCTTCGGAAACAATCTGCGTCAAGTTAGGCATTTATTGCACTCGGTAGTTAAAAAAGATTACACAGACTAGAATTATTCTAATGGACAGTTAATCATTCAGAGCTCGTCATGTTGTCCCTCGTGCAGCTTCTTCTTGGCCTTTTCTTTTGTCCAATCGAAAAGGGTGTCGAAAACTAGAGGGCCTTCGTATTTGACCATGGTTTCCAAGCCTCTGAAGAGCCAAAACTCTCCAGCTTTGACTTCTTTGCCCCGGAGAACAGAGGTCGAAGAAGAGGCGATGATGTAGTTCTTCTTGATGTTGAATTCGGTGATTCTTGGGTAGCCTCGTTTCTTCTTTTTGTAAGTTTCAAGCGGGAAAGCTTCCGCAATTTGTTTTAGGAGTTCCATTTCTCGTTCATTTCCGCCGTGGTGGAACAGGACAAGGTGAGGTTTTTGCTGGGCGATGTTTTGCTCGAAGACGGCAGTTGTCTAAAATAATGTTCAAAGTGAGATAGAACGATTTCTTTACCAAATAGAGCGGTTCCATTTCGTAGAAGTTCTCCGGCGCTCCTTCGGCAAGTTGGAACTTCTCATTCCCAGCAAGTGCATTTTCGAACACTTCAAAAAGTCGATCTGGCTGCCACTCCTTCTTCTTCATGACTCGTCTTCCCCAGCGATTTCCCGTTGCCGTGTGGGAAATTCTGAGTGCGGATAATTATGGTTTATGCCAAAAATAAACGTGCGAAAGTGGCTCACCTGTAGGTAGGAAGCTCATCAGGCACGACATCGAAGAAGCCAACGAGTCGATAATTATCCGGGTTGTCGGCATCTGCCACCATGAAAAGCGTATCCTTCCCATGACCCGCTAACAAAAAACATGGTTACGTTGAGCTCAGCATACTCACTTCCACCTCTCATAAAATGCCTTGACAATAAATACACTTACTTTCAATGGAAGAAAAACTCAACAAAAATGACTTAGAAAATTACCTTGTTCAACTTTTGCGGCGAATTCGATGAAGTTGTCCAAGATCTTAGCATATTTCGTTTCTTCTTCCTCATTTGTCGGATCAGGAAGGAGTAGGAAGATGTGATGAGCTTGATCTTTGTTAAAAATAACCATCGTGTGCTCCTTAATTTTCATTTTGAACAAACCATCATGCGTTTTCATCAAACCTCTGTATAATCCTGCACAAGTGGCTTGCCAAAATTTTCAAGGAAAGAGCTCAGCGTCTCCTTGGTCATTTCTCCTTCCATTTCAACGATTCTTCCTGGCATGGACTGCTTGAAAATGTATGTTCCATGTCTCTCAATCTAAAAACTGAGATTCGATGGCAAGACAGATTTTCCTACCCCAAAGACTTTCGCTACATCGGCATTAAAAGTAGCCGCCATTGTGACCAAATCGAAATCATCGCTTGCATATTCTAGCGTGGAGATATTCGCATCGCCTTCTGGGTAATATCCGAGGCAGAGCACTTGGGTGTCTTCATTGTACTTCTCTTTGAGTGCCTCAGCTGCATCAAGCGTTTCAACGTGACTGGGGTGAGATTTATTGCCAATTGAATTAATGGAAGGGACTCTCACCGAAAACTGTACAAAATTCGACGGGCCATAAATTTCACCAGTTTGGGAATGTGACGACGACCCTGGTATCGCGAAGCTCGTCCGTTTTTGTAAAAATTAATCCAAGGATAGCCTGAAATCAACAATGACAACTCCTCTTCTTTCTCTCTTACCCTCGATGTTGTACATCTCTTTGATTCTCTCTGTATCTGCGCCCATGTTGATCTGGACGAGTTCGATGTTCTGAGCCCATTCGAGATCCTCGAGAGCTTGGGGAAGCTCGTTGAAAGTTTCGGAAAACTCCATGCAAGGGATGCAAGCGGGATGAAAAAAATATGCAAGGACGTATTCATTCTCATCAATCATTTTTTGCAGCTCGCCAATGTCTTCCACATATTCGATGTATTCCTGAAAAAACCATACCGAGAATCGTTTTTTGTTGTAAAATACCTCTTGTTGTTCTTCCTTGATTTCAGTTGAATCTGTGGCCTCAATCTCAACATTTTCACTTTCGACCACGACATTTTCCTCGACGACCGTTTCTTCAGCAAAGGAAACGGCAAAAAGGGCAAAGGCCCAAAGTAATAACCTCATTTTCTTTTATTATTTGCGAGGAATTTCAAATTTTGGCGGCGATATTAGGAAGCACACATCTGTCCACTTTCCCAACTTTACGTGTAAGCCACGTTAGTATTTGTTTCTTTCGTCAATTTTAAGAAAGTTTCGGAATCGAACTTGAGTTTGATGTCGAGGATTTATTTGTTTATTTTCAAAAGGATTCGGAGCAGAGAAATAATTTTTAAAAATGTGATCAAATTTTCAGCTAATTTCTAACGCGGTCAGGGATAAGGAAAGGGTGTTAAAGTCTCAGTTTCAGCGCTGATCAGCTGCTAGTCGTTCCATTGTTCGGTGCCGAAGACGCTCGCGATGTTGTTATGCTCACAAGCATCCTCTTCATCGTTGTCGTTTTCGTTTGCTGGAGTGTAGTGTGGACAATCAAGCGCGTGTTGCAAATCATCATGTTCAATAAGTGGTTGATCTTCGTTGTCTTCTTCTTTTACGGGTTTGTATTGATGACGATTTTTAATCTTCGGCAATATAACGCTTTTTATGACAAAGACAAGAGCAGATAGTAGCACCAAAGAAATGGAGGAGGAGTAGAATATATGATGAGTGATGATTGCAAGGAAGCGTTTGAACCATGTCTTTTTTAAAGAGTTTTTCTTCAAAGTAGTTGGATCATAATCTGCACAGGTCGGAAAATCTTTCGGCAAATAAGAATAGGGCTTGTTCTCTTCCTTGTCTTCAACATTCAATGCAACGGCCATTCCTTGGGCATTGTGGAAAAGTTGATGACAGTGCATAGGCCAGATTCCAGGATTAGTCGCCCGGAAGCGGACAATCGCGTAGCCCATTGCCGGGACTAGAATCGTATTCTTCGCGACGGTGTTCTTACTTCGCAATCTTCGAGTCTTCAAAATGTCTTCTCTGTATTCTACTCTTGGACAGCGGCTTCCACCAATACATGTCAACGCATCATCAAGTCCAATAATTTTTCTATGTTCATCAAGTCTCGGAAATCCAAGTTCCTGGACAAAAAACTCGTAGCCGTGCAAATGAAGCGCGTGATAAGTCCACTCGTACGGGGAGTTTTCGTTTGTGATTTCATGAGCAGCGGATATTCGTATCTCAACAAGCTCGTCTTTTTGGACTGTGAAAATTTGCGTACAAGTTCTGTTCCCCTCATCTCCTAGAATTTCTTCAGTGCAAGGCGTTATATACTCGTCCTTGATTCCATCGAAAAAGGGTCGGTATGGATAGGCGAATTTGATCCCGTTGATTGACGATCCTCGAGCAAGATTCAAATTCAATTCAATGACTTGATCTGGCTCTTCATGAATCTCTGCTGGATCGTACTGATAAGCATCTGCTTCGATGCTTTCATCTCGAAGAAAATCCATTATTCCAACGCAATTGAAGCCACGGTAGTTGGCCAGCGGACAGTTGAGATAAGTGAAACTAGGATGATCCAAATTTCCGTCATAGTCCATAAATTCTGTAACATCCCTGCCTTCGTGAGGTCTTAGAGGAGGTGGCATGTCTTTCCAGGGCTCAAGAGCGACGAGATTCCGGATGCGTTCTCCGCGAAACGGGGCTGAAGATCGCTTAACAGAGACTCTTACAAAAGGTCGAGGGCTAAGCTGGTAGTCCGGGTCAACCACATGTCCGTATCCTTCGACCATGATTTCAGCAATGAACTCAATCTCGTCAAGTCCGTTTAATTCGCTTTCAATATTCCACGTCTCACCAACTCCGAAGATCAGTCCATGTCCAGCTGTTGACTTGATTCTTCTACCATCAGTTCCAGTCGCATAAATAGGCAAACTATCAGCTCGTCGAACTAGAATTGGAACTTCGAAGCCGGCGTGGATTGCTTTCAACTCGACAGTTTCTGTTTCGTAAGGAAGGACAAACTGCTCGCCGATAGAAAACTCTGACGAATCATTTTTATGTCGGAATTGCCCATGGCCGTTGACCAAAATTGAATCGACGCAGTAGCTGCTCACTTTTGCCCCGTTGAGAAAACCCTTCTCCGGAGTGGTGCATGTTCGCGCTCCAGTTCCAGTAAAGCGATCTCCACCAGAGAAGCCATAACGGTAGGGATCCGCAGCAGCGAGAAAGTCAGAATCATCTCGATACCAGTCGGTCATAACAAATGGAATTTTGTTCGCGTGGTCTTTTTGTTCTTCTTCTTCAAGGACGATGAATGCTCCATGAAGTCCATCTGCCCGCTGCAGTCCTTTGTGCGAGTGATACCAGTGCGTTCCAGTGTTTTCAGCCTCGATGACGTATGTAAACTCATTGAAACTGTTTACTGGGCACTGAGAGAACATCGCTCCTCCATCCATCCAGTAGTTGTTCATCATATGTTGCCCATGCCAGTGGAGGGTAAATGCCTGATCATGAAGTGCGCTTTTTACATGGATAATGACCTTCGCCCCCTTATTTACGATAACACTCGGACCGGGAAAATGACCGTTTGTTGTAATAACTCGGCGTTCTTCCTGGCCGTCGGTGAAGAAAAGGTTCTCTAGCTCGTTCAGGGGGTTGAGGGTGTTACCTTTTTGATCGACAAGAAATGGAGTATTGGCGGTAAGCCCGATCTGGACAATGTCTAGGTTATGGCGTGTGTGGTTCCAAGTCACCGAGAAATCACGAAGAGAACCCTTTGCTACATTTGTTCGCTGCCCGTAATCTCGCGTTCGCCAGGTGTTAGTTAGTCGATACTCAATGTTCCAGAAGTACTCGCAGACATCAGCAGTACAAGCATCATTGCAGGGCTCATCGTAATGGCAGATAACTTGGCGAGTTTTGGTTTCTTGCTCCTCATTTGGTTTCGAAAAGGTTCGATGCAAAAATATCAGAAAAAGAAAGTTCATTTTCTTTGTCAGCTTCTGGTGGTGAAGGTCAGCTTTTATACTGTCAATGGCGTCTTTGGGCGGAAGTTTGTCTGAGGAAGGGCGAAAGCGTGATTCCGCTTACCTATTATATTTTGAGATCTATTCTGCGCTGCTAACCGGCAACTAATTATAATGAAAAAAAAGTTTACCATTTCGCACATTTGCGGTTTTTTTGTACCGCTCTCATTATTGAACCAATGATCTTTTATTCTTCAGCCCTCTATCTTGCCGGCGTCAAACAGAAAAGCTGATTACCTATTGTACTGTCAGACGTAATGGCGGGAAAAGAAGTTCAATGTTCCGAGTTTTTCGATCAAATGTGTGATTATATTTGCTATATCTACAAAAAATATGTACATAAAATACTGTAAGCTGAACTAGAACAGAAGCTGAGCTGTAAGAATCACAAGGAGTATATTCAGTACAGTCGTTTTAGAAGAAGAGTCCTCCATCTTGGTTGGATCGTAATTTCCACATGTCGGGAAGTCAGTCGGGAGATACGAATACGGTTTGTTTTCCTCCTTGTCTTCAACATTCAACGCCACGGCCATGCCCTGGTAATTGTGAAAGAGTTGGTGGCAGTGCATCGGCCACACTCCTGGATTTGTCGCCTTGAATCGAACAATCGCGTAGCCCATCGCGGGAACTAGAAGCGTATTCTTCGCGATCGTATTGTTACTTTGCATTCTTAACATAGGTCATCCCCTTGTTACCAGGATAAACGTTGGCGAAAATCTGAATTTAGCAGGATAAACCCCAGGCAAACTTGCCCCCATGTTAGCAGGATAAACTTTGGCAAAAGGGCTCATTGTTAGCAGGGTAAACTTTGGCACTCAATTAACAGGGTTGCGTGAATCATCAGCGCTCGCCCAGGGCGTGACGTAACAGTTAGCCCGAGGAGGACTCAACCTGCTGGAAGAAAATGCCAATGAAAAATATCTTCATAAAATCTGCTTGAAAATTTCAATATATATTTATAAATTCAGTATTTAATACAAGTTAACGATTTTATCATTATTAATTTTAATTTTGATATTTATTCATATTTTTAAATTATTTATTTTTAGGGCTTAGGAGGGTAGGCACCAGAGTTGCAAATTTGGCTTTATTTTCGCTGAGCTGAGTGAGCTGAGTTGAGCTATTTTTACTGTATTTTAGTAGTAAAATTGTGTTGAAATCATTGAGCTGAGCTGAATTATTATCGACGATAATTTATCGTCTGAGCTGAGGAGATCAGTTCACTTTTGAAAATCACTGAGCAGTCTCAGCTCACTTAACTCAGCAAATTTGAAACTCTGGTAGGCACATTATACAGTATTACTAATACTGTATTAGAAAGCTCAGAAGCTGAGCTATTTTGACTATTGATAACGGGGTGATCTCGTACCTGGCCCTTTTCGGACTCTAACCATCTTTCAAGAAGAAAAATCTCCAAAGTTGATCCCGAGTGATCCCAGGTAACCCCAACTTGACCTCAGGTCAGCAATGATGCAGATATTATATCCAATATTAGATATATAAGATATTAGTCCCTATATTCTATAATGATATGGGCTATACTTCACCGAAGTCGCTTGATCTAATGAATGGCCTCGGAATCCTGTAAACAGGAACAGAGACAGGAACAGGGATTTTATTTTTTGGCCCATTTTAATTTAAAAAAAATTATATATTAAAATTAAAATTAATAACATAAAATTGTTCACTTGTATTTCAAGCAGATTTGCTTCATTCGCATTTTCTTCCAGCAGGTTGAGTCCTCCTCGGGCTAACAGTTACGTCACGCCCTGGGCGAGCGCTGATGATTCACGCAACCCTGTTAATTGAGTGCCAAAGTTTACCCTGCTAACAATGAGCCCTTTTGCCAAAGTTTATCCTGCTAACATGGGGGCAAGTTTGCCTGGGGTTTATCCTGCTAAATTCAGATTTTCGCCAACGTTTATCCTGGTAACAAGGGGATGACCTATGTTAGATTGTCCAAGATGCTTTCCGTGTATTGAACTCTCGGGCAGGAACTTCCGCCTTCGCAGGTCATTGCTCCATGAAGTCCAACAATCTTCCCATGATCATCGAGTCTGGGAAATCCAACGTCTTGGACAAAAAACTCGTAGCCATGCAAATGGAGAGCGTGATAGGTCCATTCATATGGAGAAAGTGGATTTGTTATTTCATGGGCAGCAGATATTCTGAGCTCAATGATCTGGTCTTTCTGGACTGTTATCATTTGAGTGCAGGTTTTGTTTCCATCTTCACCCAGAACTTCATCGGTACAAGGAGTTATGTTCTCCTCGTTGATTCCATCGAAAAACGGGCGGCTTGGATAAGCAAATTTGATTCCGTTGACAGATGATCCTCGAGCAAGATTGAAGTTCAATTCAATAATTTGATCAGGTTCTTGCTCAATTTCCGACGGGTTGTATTGATAAGAGTCAGCGTCGACGCTCTGATCTCGCTGGAAATCCATAATACCAATGCACTTGAAGCCGCGGTAGTTGACTACTGGGCAGTTGATGTAAGTAAAGTGTCGGTGGAGAGGGTCGTTGATGTCTACTCCTTCATGAGGTCTTCGAGGAGCAATCAAGTGCTGTCTTGGCTGAAGAGGAAGAAGTTTTCTGGTTCGTTCTCCCCGAAATTGCGTAGAAGATCGACGAACAGGAACTTTCACGTAGGGTCGATGGCTGTGATGATAGTCCGCATGAACGACATTTCCGATTCCTTCGAGCATGATTTCAGCAATGAACTCAATATCATCAAGTCCATTGAATTCGCTTTCAATATTCCAAGTTTCGCCAACGCCGAAAATAAGTCCGTGACCGGCTGTGGACTTGATTCTCCTGCCATCAGTACCGGTTGCGTAAATCGGCATATTATCAGCTCGTCTGACCAAAATGGGAAATTCAAACCCGGCATGAATGGCCTTCAACTCTACTGTTTCTGTATCGTATGGTAAGATATACTCCTCGCCAATAGAAAATGCCATTGATCCGTTGTGTTGTCGAAATTGTCCATGGCCGTTTACAGTGATGGAATCGACGCAGTAGCTGCTCAGTTTAGCCCCATTGAGGAAGCCCTTTTCTGGCGTTGTGCATGTTCGCGCTCCTGTTCCAGTAAATCGATCTCCTCCAGAAAATCCGAAGCGATAAGGGTCTGCAGCGGCGAGAAAATCAGAATCGACTCGGTACGAATCAGTCATGACAAAAGGAATCTTATTACAGTGATCTTCTTGTTCTTCTTTTTCCAAAACGATGAATGCTCCATGAAGTCCATCAGCTCTTTGAAGTCCCTTGTGCGAGTGGTACCAGTGTGTTCCACTGTTATCAGCGTTGATTACGTAAGTGAAGTCATTGAAACTGCTCACGGGGCATTGAGAAAACATCGCTCCTCCGTCGTTCCAGTAGTTGTCTTCCATGTGGAGCCCGTGCCAGTGGAGAGTAAAAGATTGATCGTGGAGGGCGCTTTTGACGTGGATGATGACTTTTGCTCCCTTGTTGACCATGATGCTGGGGCCAGGAAAGTGACCATTGATGGAAATGACTCGGCGTTGATCTTGTCCGTCGGTGAAGAAGAGGTTTTCAAGCTCGTCCAGAGGTTCAAGTTTGTCGCCGTTTTCGTTGACGAGAAACGGTGTATTTGCTGCAAGGCCTTCTTGTATGATTTCTACGTTTTTGCTTGTCTCGTTCCAGGCGACAGAGAAATCGCGAAGAGATCCGCTTCGAACATTCGATCGCTGGCCATAGTCTCGCGTTCGCCAGGTGTTTGTTAGTCGATACTCGATGTTCCAGAAGTACTCGCAGACATCAGCAGTGCAAGCATCATTGCATGGCTCATCGTAGTTGCAGATAATTTGCTGCGATTCTGCTTTTTCCTTCTCCGTTGGCTTGGAAAAGGTTTGATGTAAAAGTAAAACAAAAAGAAATTTCATTTTTGATTTTTTTTGATAACCGTGGGTTACGAGGACTACCTTTTATAGCGTAAAGAGGGCGCTACGAAAAGGAAATTTTGCGTATTCATTTGATTTCCACGTAGGACTCGTGCAGTCATTTTATCGCTTTGCAAACTCTTTCCATAGAAACGTTCGAAGTAATGGTGTTAGAAATGATTATTGGAATCTATTATCTTTTATCGTCATGATCTTTTACTGTTGGCAAATGAATGTGATTGAGACTGGAATTTTCCCGTAGTTAGGTCCTTATGAAACGTGATAGGCTCTGCCGGAGCCTCAAAATCAATGATTAAAAGTACTCTGATTAGTTGTCACTTAAATTTTAAATTATCTTTTCTTCGGCCCTCTCAACGGAAGAATTAGCCCCTAGTACCATATTGGCTGAGTCATCTGATAGCCTTCAACTAATTTTTTTTTTTGACTTTGACTTCGTGAATTTAACCGTATTCAGAATTTTGAACCCAGAATTTATGGGTATTAGATGTAGGAAAGGAGGTCTTTTTCTGCAAATTTTCATTCAAGTTCCTACCTGTTCAAACACCAGCCGTTTTAAACTGAGGTTATGCAGGATATATAATATATTAATAAAATGCATCTTTTCCTACAAGCAATTGTATCAATTGAACTATTCCTATCAGCAGTATTCGGCGGTGCTGTTAAATTATTCTGTACTGGCATTTTTTCAAGGGCAAGGTGATTTGAACTCAAGTAGGATATTCCAATTGAAACCGACATGAGAACAGAATTATTAATTTGAACATATTTCATACTCTAAATAAGATTTCTTTATCTACAGGTTGGCTTATTCAGAAAGCTAAGGGCTCTTCTGAACGAATGTTGTATGTGAATTTCTTGTTGCAATTCAGAAAAACTCAAGTGGTGCAGATACATTTCAAAAACTTGACCCGTCATGCAAAAAGGAAAATTCACACCAATGGTATATTTTGCAATAAAAACCGTATTTGGTCTTCACAGAAGAAAGGAAAATTACCAACAACATCACACCTTCTGAAGGGAAAACATGTCCGTATTTATTCGACTGAATTATATTTTCGACACTAGAATTGAAAAAGAAAAGAACAGAGAATGGCTTCAAATCTTATCGCCATTGATACAGAAGGTGGAACTGGGAATGGAAAAGTTACTGTTGCTCTGGTTTCTTGCTCCGAAGCCATACTTTACCACAAGAGAGGTAAACTTATATTATCACGATAAGTTATCGTCGATAACCCTGAAAATATAGATATCGTTGAATACTCACCAGACTTTAATGCAATGAAAGCTGCTATTCTCCGACATACAAGCGGAAAAACACTTGTTGGACACAATGTGAATGCCGACATTTCTCGAATCGGCCTTAAACCTTCGGACTTCACAGACACTTTTGATACTCAGGGCAGTGGTGCAATCACACACACATCGAATCGAACACATGATGTTGTGGAAGATGCACGACAGAGCATGAAGATCGCGCTCAAACACTTCGGCTATCAGGTAGGACTCACATTCTTCTCTCGCCTCACATATTTTAGAAGCAGTAAAATCTGAATAGAAACCCACGAAAATTTATCATCTTTCATTTTGAAAAATTTAACGGATGGCAAATCATGAAGCGTTATTTGCTGTTCAGCTCAATTTTCCTGACTGACAATAAACTACCATCACATCACTTATGAGCGATTTGAAACAGTATAACAGCTTTGGCGAGAATAAGCAGGGTCAATAACTTCGAGCAAACAACTCAAGTTTTCTCTTTTTGGCAAAAACGTTGTAAAAAAGTTTGAATAGAGGGATAGATCCTAGATGAAATCCGGTTGAAGAATAAAAAACCCACTTGATGCCTCTTCTATTCAACAACTTGCTTCAATTTGACACTTTTAACTTTTATATTCTTCGCGATCAAAAACAATCTCTTTCATTCGAACTAACTAAAGCTGCCTTACTGAAATTGAATAATGAATTACGACCAGCACGCAGAGAATATGGAATATGTCAGAAATATTAGACCGGAGCCAGCGAGTCAGAATCAAAATGATGAAAATACGGTAATTTTCTGCAAATAACTGTTTATTTCATTTTTAAAAAGGATGATGATGGAGATATTTTGAAACAAGTCCTTTTACTTTCCACGCATTTGTCTAACAGATTCGGCGAGTTTTCAAAACAACCAATTTTAAAACGCCCTCTCTCAGCAATTTTGAAAACTAAGCTAAGACAACAACCTCAGTGATATATTCGGAATCGGGCTACTTCTTCTTTTCGTCGGGATTTTCTTTCTACTGATGTGCTGTTGCTGCATTCTTGGCTTGCAAAACATCTCGTTGTTCCAGCAACTGCCATGTTTTCAATCACTTGCGACGCGGCACCATCAAAATCCTGCTCAGAATAACAACTTAAATATAAACGGCCATTTGGGGTGTCCGAATTTCAGAAGAGATCATAGACATTCAGGTTCGTTGAAAATTGCTCTTCGATTCTAAATTCTAGCTTTAGAAGGAGAGTATAGAATAAACATTGAAGATGACATGAACGAAAGCATAATTCTACCGCCTGCCGGGAGCACCAGCAGAGCCAGAGGACATCATCCTTCAGCGCCAAGAAAATGGATTCAGAAAAACTTCTTTGGAAATAATCAAAAGATTTTGTAGTCCATCAAAGAGAAAGTTCTTTGCTCAAGCCGAGCAAGTAATTTCCAGCTACAAAAAACTGCGCGAAGAGCTTCGATCAACTGATAATAAGAACAATCATGTTTCTTGACAAATAAAATTTTTCTCCAAAAGTAGCAGCGAGTCGATCTTGGCGACTTTTTCTCCAGCATTAAACCTGCCAATCTAGACAGATTTCGAAAGAGACCGGCTTGAACCGGTCGGTAGCGAACGTGTCTATTTCTAAAATTGAAGGGGCGTTGTCCGAGCTATGACTACTCTAAAATCTCTTATTTCTACGATTCTAGCGCGCTTTGACCGGTGAACAAGGGGTTCTAACGTATGACGAGTTGTTTGCAAAACATAGTTTCATCATAATTTCATCGAAAATGCCGTAAATACGGATCTCACGAGGTCATTTGTGACGTAAAAGGCTCCATGCCCCGCGGTGTTTTGGTGGTGGTATAAAACGAGGCGCAGGACTGGTGTTCTTCAAAATCTTCGAAAAAGAGATTCTTTTTTTGCCAGCAGCAGATAATGTTGTCCTCCACGACCAGCCGAGCCCTCTCCGTCACTGTCCGACGACCCTTGACAGTTTCCACCGCTTCCTCGCTCAAGAACTCGTCGAAGCAGCAAATGATCCAGAAACTCGGGCAACGAGACCACTTCGGCAACGCCAAGCGATTCGAGGCACAGCTCACTTCCTCTGCCGGTAACAAAAAGTCCTTTCCCTTTTTCCGAAACAAAGTCGTTGCTTAATTACAAGCACGGCAAAACGAACCTACTAGGTATAGCAATTTGTCCTGATTTAATGTTCTGTTTGAATGAAAATGTGTTATTTTTTGAATTCTGATTCTTATGTGTTCTGATTGTTATGACTCTCTGCTCTGATTTGTTTTGATGTTCTACCCCATTCAACAAGAACCCTACCCTTATCGATGTATGCTCCACGACAAAAAGGAAGAAAACTGCTTCCGGAGCTCTATGACTATGACTCTGATTCTGATTGATACTGTATTACTTCTGATTTTTGATATTTTGTGTTATGTTCTGTTATGTTCTGATATGTTTGTTTGCCTGAAAGTTATGTTTGATTGAATAAATGTTTTTTTTTTCCTTAAAATTTGTTTTAATTTCGTTGTTCCTTTTTTTCAAGCGCAGGATTTTGGCATCGTATATTCTCAAGCAGTTTTTTGGAGATCGATGAGTTGATGTTCCGACTTATAACTGGAAAATTACTGTAATATAAATGATAAATAGACTGATTGAAGGGCGGTGACGGTTCTGCCGTGATAAGTCTTCATCTTGACAGTTATTGAAGATTGTAGTCTAAAAATTTACCTTGGAAACTAACCTTGGAAAAGTCACATCAGGCAGCGCTTATACTTATCTCATATCATCGGCGATACTGTCGATATTACTGAATCTGTCGAACGGCGCTACTCAGCCTTATTAATATGCAGAACATATCTTAATCACTTTTTGATATAAAAACCAGAGCGGTCCTGCCCAAAAGATCACCGAAACAAAAAAAAAACTATGAAATTCTTGATTTTTTTCAGCGCATTTTTTCTCCATGGATCCGAGGCCAACCGGCTACGACCAAGTCAGATTCAAACAAAAAGTAAACTTCGAATCAAATAATTTTCAGGCGCGTTTTCGCCGTTTGGCATGATGAAACAGGACGCAGACTACTTCAAAAAAGCGAAAAGAGCTTACAAATCTCCATATGATTCCTGGCAACAGTATTTTCTCTGAATGATAAAATAAATTTTCTATTTACAAGTTCAAAAAGAGTATTCAATATTTATTTATTTACAGTTTTTCTACTACCGGTTTTGTACAGAAATAAATCAATTCGCGCTCAGCTTTTTTATAAACCTCCCGACGTCCAAATGACCGTGGATCTTTTTAATCGAATTCGCCGTCTTGTTCAGCTCTTCTTCCGCGCTCGTCTTTTTGCCGTAGTAAGAGGAGAACTCGCGGTTGAACTCGAGGAGGATCATCGCGCGCGTTGGAACTTTTTCATTTTCCTTTGTTACAGTGTCTTTTACAGGCATTTGCCAGCCTTTGAACATGCTCTTTGCCTTGAAAGGGCTCCAGCTCATTGACATCTTCTTCTTGTTGTCCTTGCAAATCCAAGCTCGTCGAGAAACAGCTTCAGCGCATGAACAAAAGCTTAGACGATTACTGTAACTGTGTTCAAAAACTACTCATTTATCTATAAAGCAGCCCAAAAAATCAGTCTTGAACCTTTCCTTTTATAGCTCGAAATTCCAGCCAACCCAAGTGGCTGATGCTTGCCGTCGTGCTTGTCCAAATGGCCGGCTTCTTTCAGACAAATGGTGTGACAAACTGGACAGGTGGACGCGCATCTGGCCATAGAAGCCTCGGTGTCTCGCTTGAGGAGACATTTGCGCACCTCTGCTGATAGGTCGGAAGGGTTTGGCGCTTCGACAGTACTTATAAGGCGACGGCATTCTTTTTTGATGAGCTTTAATTCGTCTTCAAATGAAATGTTCGTTTCGGCGACTTTTTAGAGTTAGATTCGAGTTAATTATTTATGCCAAATCTAATTGATAATTGAATAATCAAAAAATCTACACTCATAAACTCTTGCCTTCTAATTTATCAGAAAACCAGCTTGAAAGTAAATTCTTGCAAATCGGCCTCAGTCGAGCATCATCTGGATTCGCCACTGCGCTGGAAAGAAATTTCAGTTTCTCAAGAATTGAGTCCCTTTTCTCGCTCTCCTCGATAATTGAATCAAAATGCTTCTCAAGTTTGACTTCCAGGGAATTCTTCGTTTCGTTAATAGAAAAGTGAGCTTCTACTAGCCGCTCGAAAATTCGCCAGTAATGCGCGGCAGGGAAGGAAACATTTTTCAACAAGATCTTCGACACTTCCCCACGAAGATCTTTCACCGAGGAGGCGATCTTTTGGACAAATTCTTTGTCTTTCGAGAGACAGAGAGTTTTAGCGATTTCAGTGGCTAACAGTAGTTTTGTTTCATCATTGAAAGTGATGTTCGCCAGCTGCGAGGTCTTCATCAAGTCGATTTCCATCGTCTTCCACATTTTTTCAGCTTCCAAATCGTTGGAACTCGCTGTTTTAATACTCACCTCTTCAGCGGCAAACTCTTGGAAGCCCTTAACAACCGCCGTTTTAATTTCATTCTTGAGCTGCTCCATCAGCATTTGAAACTCCGTCAGATCTTTACAGCTTGCTTCAAAATTCAGCCACATTTTCTCCTTGCTTTCTGCCGATCCAAATCGCTCGACGATATTATTTTCTTGTTCCCACTTTGAGTGAACTCTTTCGAGACTCTCGGTTGTGTACTTTTTCGCGAAAATATAAAACAAAAGTGCTTCGCGATGCTTTTTGGTGACTTTGTTTACTTGCTGGTGGACTTTGTAGAGGATTTTGTCCACGACGCTTGTTGAAAATTTTTCACAGTTTTGGAGAATGTCGTCGATGGAATGCTTGATTCCTTTGGCGTAATAACTCAATGAAGATGATTCGTCAAGACCGGTTACCGACTCTGTCGACCAGATCTGTTCTCCATCTGAAAAACGGTAGAATTTATCTTTTATTTAAAACTTACCTTCATCCGTTTTACATTTTCTGATTGTGGATGTCTTCTCTTTCAGCGGTTTCTTCCATGTCTCCAGAAACGCTTTGTCTTCTTTGCCATCTTTTTCGCCCACGATCATTTTCATCATTTTTCCCGAGATGTCCATCTTTTCCCGCTTTGCTTTGTCGGATTCTAGCTGCACTTCAAAGTCCCGGAATCGTTCGTAAACCCGGGCTTGAACATCGATTTGCGGCGGTTGATCGGCTTTTAGCTCTTCATAGAAAGAATTGTACTCTTTATCGAAGAATTTTTGGTACTCTTCGGGTTTTTCTTTCATCGATGGGTTGTTTTCCCATGCTTTTCGAAGCTTGTTTCGGAACTGCTGCTCGTAGCGGGCAAGGATGGTGTTGAACTTGAGCGTGTTGGATGCAAAGCGTTTGAAAAGATATCCTTTTGTGTCGTTTATTCTTGAAGCTTGACTTGTCCAGTGATTAACAAACGTGGGCTTGTTTCCGCCAAGCGAGGCAAAGTGTTTTTCTTTGAGTAAGTTTTCATGATTCTGGATGAACTCCTCGACAATCACCCCACAATCGTGCCGATGATCCTCCACCAATTCGTCAATCGTCTCATCTATCTTTATTCAGAGTTCAATTACAGTAAAACCAAAAAAACACGCCTGACAAATCTGATTAAAACTCATTCTTTGAAATCTCACATTTAGCATCAAGCTCGGCCGCCTTCGTTGCGGTTAGTTTTTCCAACCGCTCGGTGGCGCTGGACATTTTTCGCTCAAGATCGCGCTTGAGCTTTTTTTCGGCATTCTTGAGCTGGTTGTATGCTCGGAGTTGGACGGCGTTTTTGAAGTTGAAATTGAAGTCCATTGTGGACATGGAGTTGGAAACATCTTTCATGAGACCCCACCATTCCGACAATCTCTGAAAAAAAAAACGTTCAGTCGGGCTCTGATCAGATGTTTACCTTCGGCTCGTATCTGGAATCGACAGTTTGGCTGTGAATATATTTTCGAAGCTCGCGAACTCGTTTTCCAAAACCGGGCTCAGGCTTGTCATCAGGAGGATTGGGAGAACTTTTGAGCTGCCCAATGAACTTAATATTGCCTTCGAGCTCGTTGTCGCCCGTGGAGATATTGATGAAAGAAATGCTCACGTCCCTGAAATAAGTAAGCGACAATTATCGGCAGAGGTCACCACCTGAGCTCGTTCTTCCCCTTTTCTTTCTTAGCTCCAGCCACGCTCATCACAGAATTATACACCGCATCATCCATAGAATCTCCAATAACGCCACAATCATTCAAAATCTCGTTCGCAGATCGCAAGCTTTCAACGAGAGAAAGTCGCTCGTTCAAAGTCGCATTGAAAGAATGTCCATTCGCATTATTGACTTTGTATAAAACTGTCATTTTCGGACGGACTGTAAGACCCGATTCTTCAGCTTTCAATGCGGGTCAATAGTAAGTCTCAAGAAGGAAAAATCGTTATCAATAAAATTTTGACCAGAGCCTATGGAACTCGATTGATAAGCGCGAAGAACGATTGGTAAAATATCCTTCACTGCTGAGTCGTCATCCCCAACCGTCATCATGATTGTAGAATCAGAAGGAATGATGCTCATTGTCGCCATTTTATTGTCTTTATTCTCGCTAAATGCTCTTCCTGCAAACTCAGGAGCTCTGAATTACAATTTAATTCAACTCAAGAGGGCTTAGTAAGTTACTTACCTAATTCCTTTTGTATCGAGCACTAGAATGTAGTCAAATAACGGAGAAAACTTGGATTTGACCAGTTGCATATTGATTCCCCTAGAACACATTCCATCTCCGCAGCTAAACTGCGTCCCGAACATCGTATTCAAAAGAGTTGATTTGCCAGCAGATTGGACCCCAATAACTGACTGTACGAAGACCCGGACGTCTCCAATTTTCTCAATGACAGAATGAAAGACTGCATCGAGCCACTTCTCGTTCAAATGCCCTGTATCTCCGTCTTGTAATTCTAGAGGGAAACCATCCAAAAGATGTTGCGCAGCGATGGAAGGGAGGAATTTGATCTTGGTTCGTCGCGGATTTCCGACATAGACGTGGCTCATCTCCCGCCAGATTTGAGTCAGAGAAACAGATTGTTTTGTGTACTCAAGTTTAGCCTTGAAGAAATCTTTTCGTGCTTCTTCCCCTCCTTTTTGCTGCATATTGTTCGCCGCAGTCAAATAATTCTGATACGATTCGGCGGTGTATTGCCCCACGAGTCGTTCAAAAACATGCGAGAACGTCTTGAATCCGAGAATTCGTAGCTCGTCGTCCTCATTCTGAAGCACGCGTAGAAAAACGTCGATAATTCCACAAATTCGGCTCGTTTTAATCTGCTGCTGGTACGTCTCTCTAGCGCGTTTTAGCTCTTCCGTCTCTTCGGAAAGCGACAGATTCTTTTCGTCCAAAAGGTTGCAGTAGTTTTGGAAGAGTTCCTGGAGCCCTAGTTCATTTCTCAGAACATTTTTCGAAGCCAAACAGGACTTGACCGCGGCATCGAGTGCTTCGACCCCAGATGATGCGTAAAAATGCTCGACATTTTCCGCCCTCAGTTTTTGCAGCGAAACTCGTTCGTCAAACCACTTCCACTTTGATAGATGCTCGTTCAGCTCGTCCGCGATTTCATCAAGCTCTTCTGACTCATTTTGCAAAGGAACAGTGCCGTTCTTACTGTGCATTGTGTAACTATCCCCGTCAGATACAATGACATCCGCAAATTTCTCGACAAAATCCATGAGCTTTTCTGATTTTCCTGAAACATTCAGGACTATCCAAGGATCCGGTTGGGACTTGTTTTCAACATCGATGAATCCGATGCCGATTTCGACAAATGTTTCTTTGAAAACTCTTAATTTTGTGACATTCGATGTCCCTGATGTCACCGTGTGATGAAGAGCGAGTTCGATCAATTTTGGGTTGCGTTCTTTTTTGTCCTTGTCGGAAATAAACGCGACTCTTGGCAAAGAAACATCGTTCGCCAAATTGATCTTGCTTCCATCTCCAACGAATATTTCAAACAAATCGAGGGCTTTTGAAAAGTTGTCAAAACCAGCTCCTTCCAGGGACTTCAAGATAATGGGCACAGATCCACGCTGCTCTAGAATCTTTTGAAAAAGAAAATTATTTCGGGCAAGGCCATTTCCGCGAATGATCGAAACCAGGTTTTTGAAATTCTGACTTCGCATCTTGCCATCTGTGAATTTTTGCCGATGAACGATGTCGTGAATGACTGCTTCGGGCGTGTTCGACCCGAGTGCTTCGTGGTCAACGTCTTGGAACTCGATTCGATGGGTGAATCGTGGGACGAGGGTTGGATCGACCCAGCGAAAGACTGGTCGTGGCAAAATTATGTCCAGCATCGAGTCATTTTGCGACTGCGAGCTCGAACTCCGTTTGGAAGAAGAGTCCACTGTCATGCAAGATTTCATCGATTTCAAATCGTCCAGCGTGTCACAACTCATTCGCCGTTCGTTCAAGCTTTCCTTGATGTTTGCTAGTTCAGCTTTTCTCTCATTCTTTGCCAGGTGCACCATCTTTACCATGTTCCCATTCTTGTCCATTGCTGCTTTCTGGACGAGTTTTACAGTATACGAGTTTCTGCGCTCGTGTTTGGCCAAGTCTTCGGGTGGCAGTTTTTTGACAGAATCGGACCAGCTCTTGTCGTGGATATCAAAGATGTTGGTGACTTTTACACTTTCTAATTTTGCTTGCTTCTTTTTCGACTTCTTCGCCTTTCGTTTTTCTTCTTTTAGTTGTTTCTCGACTTCTTTTTGTTTTTCAACAAACTCTTCGTATTCCTTCTTCAACTTTTCGTCATCTTCCAGTGTCGATGATTCGGGTTTTTCGGCTGTTTCTTCTTTTGGAAGAGACTTCTCCTTGTTTTTGTCTTTTTTCTTCTTCCTTGATTTTTTCTCGGGCGCTTCAGAAATTGACGATTCGGCTTGAGAGATTTCAGATTTTTCCTCAGGTATTTGCTGAATGTTTACTCCTGGAGTTCCTTTTCTTGCCAGCGGCTTTCGCGATTTTGTTGGTACTTTTTGATGGTTAGTCAAGTTCTTTTTTAGCTCTTCTTGGTGCACTTCGGAAACTTCGGAGACAGACACTTCATCGGCTTCAGTTTTGACCTCAATTTGCGGCGCAGAAACTGGCTCTTCTTTTGGCACTTCTTCTTGAAACTCGGGCTCTTCTTCGATGACCTTAGGAATATTGACAGATTCTTCCACTTGATAAGAGACTGGCATGCTCTCTGCATCGTCGGATGTATTTTGATTGCCATCGCTCAGCGGATCTTCCACGATATTGTCCAATTTAGCATCTAATTTATTCGCTTCATTAATTTTTGCTCTATTTGCCAGCTTATTTTTCACCACATCTTTATATTTCTCCTTCCTGGGAAGAAACTCGGAGTCTGAATCTGTCGAAACATTTGAAGTTGTTCTTGGTACTTTTGGAGGAAATCGAACTACGGGAGGTGTTAGGCCACTTTCTACTGATTTTTCGGCGTCTGGAGCACTTTGCTCTTGAATTGATTGGATTTGCTTTGGCTTTGGGCGGACAGAAAGGCTGAATAGTGTTCTATATGAATTTTGCTTATTATGATATTGAAATGATGATGAAATGAATTTGTTAGAACGCTCCTTAAACTCCCAACGCGACGTTTATATTGCCTCGCTGATTTTCCAGACTTGCTTCCTGAAGAATCATCCTTTTTACATTCAATTTGATCTTTCTGCGGTTCTTGGCCTTCTTTCGATAAATCTTCTATGTCAGGTTTTTCTTCTGGCTCTGTGGTCGAGATTGTTTCAGGCTTCACATTTCCTTCTATCTTTTCTGCTGGTTTTTCCAGAGCAGAGTCTGACGGAATTTCTTCAGGTGAGCTTGATGATTGAGACTCACAAGATGATTTGCTCACCGGTACCCAGGATTTTTCACGGCTGGGATGAGAGCTCGAGGTATTTTGGAACGAGTTTCCAGTGAGTCTTTTAACCATTCGGGCGAGCTCAGATTCATGCGATTCTTTCCCTCCATTGTTACCGGTAATCGGAGCGATGGTTTTAATATTCAATGTTTTGGGCTTTGAGATATCCTTCTTGTCAGCCTCTTCTTTCGGTGGTTCTTTTGTGACTTGTTCTTCTTTAGCAGAATTTTCAGAAGGCTTGGAATCTGTTGTTACAGATCCAACCGTGTCTCCATCGAAATCTTCTCCATTTGTATCTTGCGAGCTAAGACTCAAACCTGAGCTTACATCTGAGAAGTCCGATACTTCCTCCGATATTTTCTCCCTCACTAGGTTTTCGCTTTTTTCGTTTTTCGCCTCTACAGACATTTTTAATCAATAAAGATCTCTCTTTTTTGTTGTTTTAAAAAATATTCATTTTTAAAATAGTGTGACTTTGTCCTGAAAGATTTAGTTCTAATCCGATTCTATGCTCGTTGAAAACAGCAGGCTATAAGGTCATCGTTTGATCTTGCTGGGGTTGAAACACCGCGCTGCCAAACCACATGTGGACTAGCGATTCGGAAAGTGCTCACGTTCCGCGTCAAGATACCGTAAGAAAGGGGACAATTAGAATGCCTAACTACTTGGAGACCTATTAATTGAGATTGTTAGACAGCTCCCCACTGGCAGCTCTTTTGGCACGATGAATTTTCTGTTCGTTGGAATTCGGCCGAAGATAGTTAACTTTAAAATGCTAAATGCACTGTAAATCGCTGTATGTTTGAATAGTCAGAGACAAATCTACATCTGTAAACCAATTCGCCTGTCAATTATCGGTAGAAAACACTCTAACCGCTCATCGTTTGGGTAGACAAAGATTTACGACTCGTTTTGAGACCTGCTCTAATGAAGAGGCTCTTCTGTATTCGAAGGGCGAATTTATTGAGGAAGATAAAACGCACGTTATGAATGAAGTACCCTGTAAATATCAAGCCCTGCGTATGTTCAAACACAGAAACGACCCCGAAACCGAATCACATTTTTCGTCCACCACGGAATTTATTTCTATTTCTTACAAAACAGAGACAAAGAAACCGAAGAAATAGGTGAAAAAGAAGGAAAATACGATGGGGAAAGGGTTCAGAAATCATGAAAGGAGGAGTTAAAGAGCTGATTCCTTGAACCATTATGAAGGCTGCCGATATAAAGCTTCAAGAATCGCTGGAATTTCTGGTTTTGGACTGTTTCTTGGCCTTGTTTCTATTGCTACCGCGATCGTCAATATAATTTTTATAAGTGACAGAACTAACCCTACCCCTAAATATAAAGGTTTGTTTCGTCTCATTTCTACAATAAACAATTGCTCATGCAAGAATGGATCCCGTTGGATAATATGCCGGGATATATTAGTGGATTTTTATCTGTTCTTTCTGGGGCTTTTGGTTTATCCTTGCTTTGTACGGTAAGAGCACACACAGCTTTCATGAGATCTACCTCTTGACTCGTAGTCGACCCCTGCCTCTTCCGCGTCCGGGATCGTAGCATCTGCCCTGGCGTTTTCAATTATTGCTATGGCTACTTCTGCAGCCGCGTTTCTTGTCAATATCAACTCGATTCTTCAACTCGACAATCAGGGTGGTAAGAGTCTCTTACTAAGAAAATTTCATTTCTTTAGAATCTAACCTTTTTTTTCTTCAGATACTTATTTGTGGAAGATTAGTGTGGATGAAGAAGTAATGAACCTCTTTCAAGAAGAAACAAGACAAAAAGACATTGGCTTCATTATGTTAGCTGTTTCTGCTTCAGTTAACATCACCAATTTCATTATTCAACGTAGTTATATAAACATTGTTATGAAGTACTAAGTATTTATTTCAGTATCCACGGCATTTGTCATTTGCTGTAGTGTCCCGGGTTTTTGCTGTGCCCCTTCCGCTACAGATGTATCTATGGAAAAGGGTGAGAAGAATTACGCCCTAGACGAGGCTGGTTCTGTTGGAAATGTCGACGACCTAGCGTCATTTGTCTCTTCTGGCTCGATAGGAACATGTCTTCGATTGATTTTAATTAGCAAATTAGCAAGGTGGCAAAATTATCGCTTGAATTTCTCGGTGAAATTATACGAGATTATACAGCGTCAGAGATAATTCTTTAATCCTTGATTAAGTCTTACATAAACTTGAATAATCTTCAAATATGATGAGTATAGTTTTAATTAATCGAAAAAAGAACTTCCTTTCTACAACGGAATGTATGCTAATGGAATGCCTGCTATTCCAGATGGCCAGGCACCAGCCCCAGAGTCTTATCAAGACATTCCAGCGCCAGACTACTCCAACAGCTGATGATGCTTGCCCTTCCCGCTGTTGATTTTCTAGCGCCCGCTCAAATAAACAAAGTGCTCGAGACAAAAATCGATTGCAAGCTAATCATTGACATTTATTTTTGACGAATATCACAAAGCATAAAAAGGGACTGTTATAGCTTGAAAACATCAAAGGAAGTCGTAGCTAGCACCAGGGAATAAATTACATTAGGAGCAGGAAATAAGTTGATATGAATTCTTTCTGTGCCCGAGATAAAATAAAGTGAAAAGAAAAGCAATGAAGCTTGCTTATTTTTTTCGGAAGAAAAATGGAGAAGAGGACGAGCAGTTTTGAACTTTCGAGCAGTGAACTGTCGTAACACAGGAGGCTGTGTCGTATTCAAATAAATGTTAAAAATAGAAAATCATCTGTCGTTGGAAAAATATACAATCGGGTAATAGAAGTTCGATCAAGAATCATCGCTGAACATGATTTTCATTTTCAGCCGGTCATGGACACTTTCTTGTTCTTTGTGTAGTCGACATAGAATGCCAACATTCGCTTGAGACGATCCAATTCTTTCCTGAAAAGGGTCGTTATCTGGTCTTGAAAATGGGCTTTTGACGGCTGCGGTCTTCTGACATCATATTTACTTTCTCCTCAATGAGTTCATAACGCACGCTCAAGGGCGATTTCAAACCGGAAAAGAGAGAATGATGTCAAAAGAGTCGGGAAACGCCAAAGAAAATTTAACTTACATATGAGTATCGAGGCGCATCTTGAGCTTTGGATTTTCCTCTTCAAAGATTGAAATCTTCTTGAGTTTTTCTTCGATCATTTTTCGTTTCTTTACTCGTGATCGTTGCGCCGCTTCGTTGTTGATCTTTCGCTGAGCATTCATCTACGAAAGAAGTTAGGATTTGGTCAAGATAGAGATTACTTACTCTTTCTTCATATTCTAGCTGCGTTTGGATTGAACTCGAAGGAGATTGCTCGAGAGAAAGCACCATATCTGTGCTTCCAGCGACGGGCTGGACCTTCAGCATTCCGGAGATCTGGTCAGCTGTGATCGGCTGCATCTGGCTCGACTGGGCGATTTGGGGCTGCTCGGGAGTCTGTTTCTCCGGCTCTTCTTTTTCCTTGAAAAAGGGTTTGAAGCAGCCATTTTGAGGGACAAAAAACTGGCAAAAATAGAAAGGATACTTACATTGTAGCGGCCCAGAAAATCGTCGATCTTGGAGAACGCAAAATCCTGTTGAATCCTCTTCAATTCATCAATCATCTGATCCTTCGTCTTCGGCTCTTGAGGAGCTGGCTCAGCATGACCAGGCGGTAGAATCATCGATGGCTTGAGAACTCCACCATTCTGAGCGACTCCTTGTTCGGCCTCGACCAATTCGGAGAATTCATCCAAACCGGACTGCTGCATTATATCGTCGAAGGTGACCATTTGTGACTTTTGCCAAATATTCTCTCTGGGAACCTGAAAAGATGAATTTTCACAAATTTGCATTCAGAATTTTTGAATCTCGAAAGAAAAAAATTGTTGGCAACGAACCCAGAAAGCGAACTCGATTGACCCCGGCCTTAGGGGCAGTATACTGGTGCAAAAGTGTGGATTTTATTTGGTGCATCTTAGCTAGCAGCCTTCGGGTTCGTTGGAGGTCAAAGAAGGGTGTGAACAAGTTGAACCAGACAGAAAATTGAGGTCAAATGACCTCTTGATTTATTCAGTACCTGTCTCGTAGAAGGCTCCATGGATTCTTTCTGAGCCTTTATCAGCTTGCTCTGGTCCCATTCAACATATTGTTGATGTTCAGGCGAGAGTTGTTGAGGAAGGTGCTGCTGCATCGGTGGTGATGGCTTCATCATTGGTGCTTGCCCAGGCCTGAAAGAGAACAAGATAGTCTTCAAGAGGGAGAAAGCTCGAAACAAACCTGAACATTCCAGGCTGCTGGGAAGTTACATTTGTCGGAGACCTCGCCTCCGGAGATGAAGAATAGCTGAAAAGGTCGTCAAAGCCCTCTCCGGACAGCTGCTCCAGATCGTTCATCGAAACGAGCTGGGATGGATTCCAAATTGAATCGTGTACCATTGAGGGGCCCTAAAGCAACTCACTTATTTTCAGCTTCAAAAATAGGGGAATTGAAATCTCTTCCGAAAAAACTGAAAATTCAGTCTCAAATGAACTCTTGCTCTACTGGAAGTTTCTCAGTAGAAAGTATTTCCGCTAGTAGGGATCAATGAATTCCGCTTATAAGTGGTTACGTAATCATTAACCAAGACTTGCTTTGAGAGCAAGAATTCATAAAAGATAATTGATATGAGCATTATAAGATGATAAACCGTGTCTAAGGAATTGAGATCAACGTAATCCATGGGAAAAGAATGCAAAAAGGGTCTGATCTCTTGTATGTTTTCTCGAGAATGAGCGAGAGTCCCGTGTGCGCTCAGCTTTTTCTCCTTCAGAGTTCGAGTTTTCTAAGAGTTCACAAGCGAACCCGTTTGCGCCCCTTGTCTCTTATGTAATTAGTCAGCTCAGACGGCCACTGGCTCAGCCAGAAAGGCGTGGACCACGGTTAACCTCCTTCTTTTCTTTAAATCAATTGGCCTTATTCGAGAATGTTCCCAAGAGTGTTGTGAAAGATAAGGTTAATGCTTTTTTAAACTTTAAATATTACACTGTCTTTGTGGGACAAAACAAGATAAGCGTAAACATATTTTGACGATGCTACCGTATCATATAATTAATATCATCGATATGATAGGGTTCCATATCATTCTATGAACACAACAGTGTTAAAAGATGACCAAAAAATCAGAGAGAAACTCGAAATTTACGAATATTTATGAGAGAAAATCTCTCCCAGAAATACTGTCCTTGCGTTTTTTCGATAACTGAAATAGATATTCTAGCGTTGGAAAACATTTCCACGGGAAAAAGAACCGGCCTTATTCTTCGATATTGTAAAAATCAATCAATAAGATCTTTATCAAACAGTTAACGACGAAGAAATTAACGATACTCGATAGTATCGAGTCGATACTCAGGTAATAAAGATACTCGATTTACGTTTTTCTGTTCAATCAAGTGTAAATTAATAGCCTTCTCTTTCTAATAGACTTACAGCTGGGTTCTGTGAGTATTTGACGGTCCCAGGTTTTCTTGGAGCGCCGAAATTCTTTTCTTGCCCATTCATCGGGTTCCAGATTTCGCGATTCTGCGTGCTCATTCCTTCTCCCTCTTCTTTCACCAGGATTTCGGACGTCACCGGAACTTGTCGACTGATTCTTTCAAAGGGCTTTTTACTTGAATTCTTTTCTTGTAATATTCAATGGCGACATGAATTTCCTTGAAAAATGCATTACTGTATCATAAAAGAATATTTGATTTTGAATCTCTCAAATGAATTGAAATTTGCCTTTTACAGGATCCGGCAGCCTGTGTAAAAAACCTGAGTCAGGTTGTGTGGAGGCTTTTTATTTACCCTCTTTCAAATCCTGACTGAGGTTTTCGACACAGGCTCCTGAGCGCTGTAACAGGTAAATTCCAATAAATTTGAGTTTCATTCTTTTGAAATCCAGTAATTATATAAATTGGAAAAGAAAGAATAATAAATGTATAGAAAAAAATCGATAGTTGATGAGTTAGATAAGCCCCATTCCTAATTGGTATGGTAGTAGGGATGTTCTTCTGAAGAGATTCTGTGCTTCTACCGTTGCTCTCGCTAAAACCGTGGCTATAAATTCGTTGCTTGCCGGATTTGGGCTGAAGGGCCTGCTGAGTTCTGGCCCTTTTCATGGCCCAACGCTCTACTTTTATATATTTTTTGTCGAAAGGGCGATACTCGTGGATTTCACGAGCTCCACCATTCTTCCCTGAGCCCAGATTTCGCCGCGCCCATTGGTCAGGAGCCAGCGCGCCTACGCGATTATATAACCCTAACGCAATTTTTCTGCGAGATTCTTACGACCTCCTTTGAGAGGTCGTCTCGGAGAATCAGTTTATCGGACGTCAGAAACTACATATCACTGCAAATGTCTATTCTTATGATTTTATAGAGAATGAACTTTTTTGAGGCCATTTTTGACCAGAAAATCGACGAGAAAAAGGGTTTATAAAAGCTGTTACATAACTAGATATCGTCTGAGCTGATGATCTTTGTTTATCAAGCGAAATTTCGCCGGTCTGAGATACTGTAACTTTCTTTATCAAAAAAGCTACAAAGGAACCCTTGATCAATGTTCACTCGAGCGGAAAAAGTAGGGGACTAGGGGTGATAATTTGATTAAAGTTTTTTGACCTCTAAAATCAATGTCGAAGCTGATTTTCAACGGATACACGACGTTTTCCTCAAACCGACGTTCTCCTCAACCGACGTTTTCGTTAAACCGACGTTCTCCTCAATGATCAGAACGTCGGTTTGATCAAAACGTCGGTTTAATGAGAACGTCGGTTTTCCTAAAAATGCGGGGGCAATGAGAGCGAATGAGAATGGGCTCTTTTTGGATTAAAAATTGTAAGCTATTGTAAGCTATGAAAAATGATAACAGAATTAATTATTTAGAAAAATAAAAAAGTAAAAAAAAAAATAATTATTAATAAAAGTCGATATGTTTATCGGACAAACATTTGTCTACATAATTTATGCGGTAAAATGATCTTCTTACATTTTATCAGTCTTGTATACATTTTAAAAAGATATATTTTAGTTGTATTAGTTCATTTAATGAAATTATTAATTATTCTTACACTTTAACGCTTAACAATTTAAGTTTTGAAACATAATGAAAACGTCGGTTTGACGAAAACGTCGGTTTCCAAGCTGAGTCTAAGCCAAATTCAAGGCCACGCATTTTTAGGGAAAACCGACGTTTTCATTAAACCGACGTTCTGATCAAACCGACGTTCTGAACATTGAGGAGAACGTCGGTTTAACGAAAACGTCGGTTGAGGAAAACGTCGGTTTGAGGAAAACGTCGTGTATCCATTTTCAACCTTTCTCAAGGGGGGATTAAGTTCGATCAACGATTCTCAAACAGCGAAAACTTCATTCCAGGCTACGGGACTATTTGTTCCGAAAACATAGGTTCTACCGTTGAGCTCAATGAACTTATTGAGGCATTCAATTTGAGGGGTCATTTGAACTTTCCGAAGAAAATTTTCTGGAAAAATCATTTTCTGAGAGTCTAAGATGATGCAACGAAAACATGAACCCAACGAATACGGGGTTATTCATCATCTCCAAAGATAGATACAGAAACGTATGGCCTCGTCACGTGTATAATGGAAAAAATACGATACAATCAACACAACCCGTATCAAAAATCATATGTTATTAAAGCGTCATAAAGTTGGAATCAACAAGGATAATATAATGAATCATGAGGATCGTTTTTCGAACGTTTTCGTTTATTTAAAACATCATCAGGAAAAACTAGAAACTGTTACGACAGAAAAAGAGATAGAAAACTAACTTGGTGTGTGAGAAAGCTGGACAGATAGCTAACTGAATCGAAATTTTCAGAGCAGAAAACAAGTGAAAAAGGAAAACAAGCGAAAGATAGTCGAGCGCCAAGGTGGCCCTAAAACAGTGCTCGACTAAAAAGTTTTAAATTGTTTGAAATCAGATTGTTCGTTGAGTGAAGGTTTATGGAGTAAAATAAGAAATTGTTCCGTGTTTTTTCGTTGACTCTCAAAAGTTAGATTGGTCTGGAGTACGTCAAAGAACTGAAGAGCAAAGTCATTTTTTGATAGTTTACGACGGATTTTTGGTGGATTTTCAGAGTGAAAGAACTCTAAAGCATATTTCGATTGGGCACTTTTAGTTTTTTGTGAACTAAGGAAGTTTTTTGTGCTTGGATCACTGATGTAATTGTGATAGTGTTCTTGAAAGGTTTTGCAGGAGATAATATGTTTATAAATAGAGGAAGGAGCAGATTTGTTCTGATTATTTGAGCTCGTATGTTCACACCAGCGTATACCGGCACGTCTCATGGTTTGACCGATGTAACTAGCACGACAAGGACATTCAAATTTATAAATAAGATCGTTTAGCTCGTGTTTATCTACTGATCTTTTCCAAAATTTACCTAAAGCACGCTCCAAACGAATAGTCCTCCAAGAAATAGTGAGACGAAAAGACGGAGTAACTTTGCGAAAGAGTTTTTGAAGACTTAATCCGATTTTGTAGCACCGTTCACTAGTAAAATCAAGACACAAGTTGTATTTTCTAATAATTCCTTCTTCATCCCTATGAAGCGGTTCAAAGTTTTTAGATTTTATCTCATTAATTTTACGCTTGATAATGGGCAAAGGATAGGAGTTTTTTAGGAAGCGTTGTGTCAATTGTTTGAGTGCGAGGTCTAAAGAATACGGACACGATGTACAGTTGAATCTTCTGTAAATTTCTCCTGTCAATAGAGAGATCTTTTGATTGAGAGGAGTGACACTAGTTTTAAAGTTAGTCAAGATGTCGGACTTATTATCTTTTTCGAAAAAGAAAAGTTGGTATTTTCCATCGTGAAGTTTAATACTAGTGTCAAGATAAGAAATGAAATTAGAAATTAGTTTTAGGGCCACCTTGGCGCTCGACTATCTTTCGCTTGTTTTCCTTTTTCACTTGTTTTCTGCTCTGAAAATTTCGATTCAGTTAGCTATCTGTCCAGCTTTCTCACACACCAAGTTAGTTTTCTATCTCTTTTTCTGTCGTAACAGTTTCTAGTTTTTCCTGATGATGTTTTAAATAAACGAAAACGTTCGAAAAACGATCCTCATGATTCATTATTAACGAAGTCAATATCAAAAATAAAGGATAATATAGTTTGAAACTTGTGAATTCAACAGGAACATTTTTGTTTATTTGAGTTTGTGAAAATTTGAGGTAGACAAGCAAAATGTACAAAGAAAGAAACAGACTTGAACGGTTCATTCATTTTTTCAATGATGAGTTGTTAATTGAGTTTGAACGAGGGTGGATCGGCGGCTTTCGCTTCTCTGGTGTTTTCTGAAAGAAATGGGGGTAAGAAAATGATGCGATGGGCTAGCTTACCTTTTCCAAGCTGGGCCAGATCTTCTGAACTTCTCTTTCTGATTCTACGATTGTGACGGATTCCAGGTCGGATTCGTCCATGAATGTTGAAAAAGTTGGCCTGGCGCTTGTCAAAGAACTATGAGTTGATTTCGGAGAGCTCAGAGGGACCTGAAAGAAAGAGGGTTGAAGTGGAAATAAGGGTCGATGATATTTTACCTGCTGGAGCTGTGGATTTTCATTCGTTCCATCAGAGGCCGATTCCCGCCCGGAATCAGAGTGGAAGCTATTTTCAATCGTACACTGTGTGTGCGGATGATTGGAGCTGGTAAGTTCTACCTGCCACTTGACTCGCTCGTAGTTTTCGATTCTGGAATGTCTGGGCGAAGTTGTCGCCGAAGGTTTGTGTTGAAGAGGCCTTCCTGGCTTTTTATGCGTTTGGGTTTCGTGGAAGAGATGGGGGTTTTCGATGCTCTGATTGCAGCGGGTGTAATCGGGGTTGTGGGGTGGTGGAGGTGGGAAGGAGTTTCTTGAGCTCTTGGATCGTCGACGAATCACGATGTAGAAAGTAACCATGAAGACAACAAAGACAAGTGCAGTAAAAACTGCAACGAGGAAAAATGCCAGCTGACTTGTACTCGTCTTGAGGGACAAACTCTGGCTCTTGAATTCTGGCAACAAGGCCTGAACATCACTTGCTGTCATTGTCACTTCCTCTTCTGTCACGTAAATATTCACCTAAAATGCAGATAAGTACATATTGAGAAAATTTTATCTTGAGGCCGAAGAATGCGCCAAACGCGTAAAATTACGGGCTAGCTGACACCAAGAGCGAGATAGCGCCGGATTCAATTACGGTAAAAATTAGTTGCTGAGTCGAAACTTACACGAGAAGAAATCTGAAGAGGAGGCGAGCCGCCATCAGAGATGCTGATTAGAATTGGGTTTGCACCAAGATCGGATCTTTTCAGTTTCGATGCAAGAAAAACTTCGCCAGCGGAGTTGATTCTGAACAGCTCTCGCGGTTTGATTTGATTGATGATGACTTCTCCGTTTGCTCCTTGATCTCGATCGCGAACTTGAATCGTAGCCACTTTTTCTGCCACGCGGGTGTCAAGAGTAACTTGGATTACGTCGAGGTCTGGATTGGGCCAGATCAGGGCCGGAGCGTTGTCGTTTATGTCTTCAACTAGAATTGAAACTGAAGCAGTGGCGCTTCGCCCGTCCTTGTCCTCGGCGATTATCTCGATGTTATATTTGGTCTTGTCGATATCCGCGTCGATGGATCGCTGAAGAGAAATTTTCCCAGTCTCGGGGTGAATTCGAAAAGGAACGGAGTTGCTTCCAAGCCTGTAGCGGACTTGGGCATTGGTATCTGCGTCGATTGCAGATACAGAACCAATGACTGTCCCTCCCTCGGTGGTTTCCGGAAATGAGAAGTCGTATTCGAGGCGCTCGAAGACTGGATCGTTGTCGTTCTCGTCCAAGACGTTGATAATCACGCTCGTTTCTCCTCTAAGACTTGGGCTTCCTTTGTCGACAGCGATGATTTGGACAACGTGGCGGGATAGAAACTCTGCATCCAGCGATTTCAGAGCTACCAGATTGCCAGTTTCTCTTTCGAGAGAGAAATAAGGAGAGTCTTCTTCACCGAGAAAGTACTCAATCTCGGCATTTACACCCTCATCGACATCCGTCGCGCGGAGAGAAACAATCGACTTGCCAACATCGTTATTTTCGAGAATATTTACATGATACATATCGCGCTGGAAGAATGGCGCATTGTCGTTTACATCTTCTACTTTTATTGACTTCGTGTTCGTCGTTGTCAGCGGAGGGCTTCCATTGTCCATCGCTCGCAAAGTAAGCTTGTAAAGATGCACTCGTTCGCGGTCGAGTTCTTTCGCTGTTTTCAGAATGTAGCGATTCGAGCCTTCGATGCTCTCAAGCTCGAAATCTCCATCTTCTCCGTCTTCGAGAGCAACAGTGAGTTGCTGGTCTTTGTCCGAATCAGTGACTCGAACAAACGCGACAAAAGTCCCAACAGGTGCGTCTTCTGAAATCCTTCCTTCAGCGTCTGATCTTCGTCCAAAAGAAAGTTCGATTTGAGGAGCGTTATCATTAACATTAACAATGTTGATGGTAACTGTAGAAAGAGCGCTTTCAGATCCATCGAATGCCTGAACATAGAGCACGTGTTTCTTCTGCATTTCATAATTCAGCTCAGAATTGACAGCAATGTCGCCAGTTTTCGAGTTGATCTCAAATATCTTTCGAGAGAGCGCGTCTGTCAATCCATCGTCGAAGGAATAAGTGATGATGCCGTAGCGCCCGCGGTCGCCATCGCTAGCGTTTAGCTTGTGAATAACAGTTCCAACGGGAATTGATTCGGTTAGGTTCATGCTGACTTCTTCGCTTCCAAATGTTGGTGAGTGATCGTTAACGTCATCGACAACAACGTTGACTTTCATCGAGCTCGATAGTCCACCGAAGTCGAAAGCAACAAGCTCCAGCTCATGATTCTCTCGTTTTTCAAAGTCAAGGGGTTGCTCAAGAACGAGTTGCGGGATGATCTTGCCATTCGGGTGCTGAAGAGGAAGGATCGAAAAGAATCGAGCAGGGTCGGAAATTTCATATCGTTCTATGCCGAATTCTTTGCTATCTGCATCTGTAGCTGAGGGAAGTCGAACTTTTGTTCCTACGCCCGTGTTTTCAGGAAGATGAATTTCTATGGAGTCTTTTTCGAAAACCGGGCTGTTGTCATTGATGTCCAAAATGTCCAAATCAATGTAAAATAATTTAAAGTCGTTGTCGTTTCGGTAGAGGATCTCCGCGCTGATCGAGCACCTGGGCTCGTCTTTGCTGCATAATTCGCTGTTCTCGCGGTCAATGTCCGTAATCACTCGCAGATCGCCTTCGGGAGTGACGTTGACGATATTTGCTCCTTTGACGACTTGAAAAATCGCGGTAGAAGAGGTGAGGGAGATCTCGGCCAAGTCCTGGACGATGTTGCCGATGTAGCTGCCAAGGCGAGTGCCATCCGTGATCGAGTAGCTCAGGTGACTCCCGGCCAGCGCTGTCGCCAGCAGATGAAGAATGCGCCGCATTTTTCTAAACACAACCATTAGTGCCAAAAAACCCACCGATCCATCAAAAGTAATACGATGTTATTATGCATTGTTTTCTGCATGAATTTTTAAAGCTGAGAAAAAAGTGTTAATTGATGGGGAAAACTGGTATTTGCTTTTTTTTTCAGTTGCAAGATTAGAATGTTGATCCAGTAAGATGAGTAAGAGTGCCATGTCGTGCCAGGAAAGGGGATTAATAATTCGGATCGCACACTTTCGATTGTTGTTCCTTGCAAATAACAGCGTGAATTACTTATTGAAAGTTGAAAATTGGCGATCTCAAACGTAGAATTTTAAAAAGGAATCCCGTGGGAAACGAATTTCATGCATTGAAGTTCAATGATTGAACAACGAAATCAAAATATACAAAAGAAAAAGTTTAACATAATCGGGAACTCTTCTACAAAAAAATGGTACCAATGGGAAGTTCATTAAATTTGAGCCTCATAAAGTACAGTTAACATTAGATCAGACCGCGTCTTAAGGCTACGGGGGTCGACGAGGCTCTAACCATGGCCTTATTCCGGGAAACTCAAAAGAGTTGGAGGCTTGGATCTTTCATTTAGAGTTAATTTGAACCTAGATCTTGATTTGTATAGAAAAAAATCTTAAGTTTATAGACATTTTCTTGCCAAAAAATCGCTTCAAAGTTGGCATCTCGACCTATAATAGGGTAAAATTGGCTTCAATTCTGAAGAATTGAACCTATAAAAATATGCTTAGTATATTTTTAAATAAAATTTCAAACCTTTTTGAGGCTTTGTATAGAAAGAAATCGTGGATTGAATCAATAAAAATATCGAATATAATTTTTTGAAAAGTGAATCTCAGTAAAAAGTGCATTTTTTGAAATAACCATAAACGATTTCTGCTGTAAAATCCAATATATCTGACTACATAAAAAACCAAGACTACCATCAAATTTCTCGTGCTCTGCGCTTTCGAAAGAGCCCCAAATGACGAAAATCCAAGCCAAAAAAATTTTTACGGTCAAAGTTCTAGCGCTCGTATCTCGGAAACTACAAATGATAACGACTCACTTTCAACTGTAAGTCTACTTTATTTTTTGAGGTGAATTCACATGGCATAATGAATATCGTCATACTTTCAAGTTAAGACCACATATAACGTCGACCCCCGTACCCTTAAGGCCCTTAAGTTAAGGGTATCAGGGGCATAAAAAGACCTTCAGGTCCCCGGTAGACACAGTTGACCACAAGTGGTTAAAATAATTTTTACCTTGTTTTACGATGTTTCGTTATTTCTCTGGAACTGATTCATAAATGAATATTCCTGTATTCGTGTGTATAGGAGCACAATTGTTGTCGACTGGAATTGTTTAAACTGGCAATGCGCACAATGGTCCCTCTTTACATATTCTTCCAAAAACAATTCTTCGTAAGAATTACTCTCTGTCTTCCTTTTCGAATCCAATCTCTGGGTTTGTAGTTCTGGAGAGTCTGGTGACTGGGGCCTAGGACATGTTTTTAGTTATGTTGGTGGAGGAACCCTTTGCGCCGCAAATTTTTGTGGCTTTCGGAAAACGCGGTGCAAGCGAGCCTGGCGCGCGGCGGCGGAGCTAGAGCGCGGTGGCCCGCCGATCCCCAGCGCTGATAGAGACGCAGCTCCGCGCACCGCACAGATGCAGATCAAAAAACGGACGATCATCATTGATACTAGGAAACTGAATGGTGGAAGGACTGCTACCGTTATGGTTCATCTTCAATTTCATTGTTGAAAAATAATCATTTTCGTTGTTTTTTATGTTTAATTTTTTATGCAAAGTGTGGGGCTATTTATTTATCTTATCGGCGTCGAGTTTATGCTAATTGAGCCCACCATCTAAGGGGCCTTGTTTACCCTGCAAGATGCTAAACGAGTTAGGAAGATTTATTTAGACAGCTGGGAGGAACTTTAGACAGCGCTAAGGAAGTTATTTCTCGTGACCTTTCTCGGCGAAAATAACGCGACTGGGACGCAAATTTATGCAGAAAATTTTGAAAAATCGAAGAAGAGGGATTCATATTTTTGTAATATATACAAATCATGGCGAATTAATGAGTATGCTGGATCGGATTTTGACAGACGCGCTAATGGTGTTGCCAAAGGAATATAAATTCAATGGGATTAGGAGCCGCGAATCTGAATGACGGGAATCTCGACCTGTCAGAATAATTTACAGATACTCGTACAGAAGGAACGGCGATCCAAAACAGCGATCTACCTCTCGTGTTTCTCAGTATTAGAATAAATACTGCGGTGTATTGAAAGATTCCTGGTCGATTTCAAAACCAAAAAGAAAAACTCAAAACCGGTGCTTCCCGCGGGCCTAATCATAAAAAAATACATTCCCAGAATTTCAGTTGGCGCTTGAAAATATAATGTTAGTTCTGGCAGCGAGGCAGGATGACCACAGCAATCAAAATGTGCATTTCGAGGTGCGCGCTCTTTTCTCAAAAATCGCGACGAAATTTTAGGGACTTGAATTCCGCCACCGAAAAATGTCGGGAGCCAATTGAAGCGCGACCGGAGTCAAAGAAGGACATAATTTCGCGGTTCTAGCTTTACATGCACCAACTTGGTCTCAAAGATCATTACAAGGAGCCGAAATGAAATATTTTATTCATGTCTTCGAAAACCAAAATCGAAAATCGAGGAATAATAATTTTTATTTCAAGAAAAATCCTTTCGGTTATTTTCGCTCTGGGGTCCCTTAATTCGTAACTAGGCCTCTCATTGTCCCGTACAGGAGAAGTAATCAGCCTGGTACAAGATTTATCTTGTTCGGGACAAGGCTCGCATTTTACTTACTTGGGCGAAATTGACCCCTGAACATGATTCGCGCCCTTTTCGCGCTAATCGTCTAAGAGGCTTTCTAGCTGCTCTAGAAACAATTTGCGCCGCTTTTTCCCTTTTCATAATTACGGGGGCAACTAAAGAGCCGGGCCTAATTACTATGCAGGTGCACTTCAAATTTTCCAAATCGCTTTTCAAGTGCTCTGAATATCAACGAGCCCAAGAAAGTTATTGTTCAAAAACAGATTTGCAAATTTTCATTAATTTTTCTGATCTGAGCTGACCTGAGTAAAAATTTCTCTGAGCTGAGCTGGCCTATTTCGGAGGTTACTGAGCTGAGCTGAGCTGAGCTGGCCTTTTTTAGAGGTCATTGAGTTGAGCTGAGCTGAGCGGACCCTAATTAGAGCTGAGCTGATTGACCTGAGCTGAGCTGTTTTTTACCGTTTTTGGTAGTAAAATTGTATTCAAATCATTGAGATGAGCTGAGCTGAGCTGAGTGAAAATTGTCTGAGCTGAGCAGATCAGATCATTTTCCAAAATCACTGAGCTGAGCGACTGCTCAACTCACTCAGCCAGCTCAGCTCAGCAAATTTGCAACTCTGTTCAAAAAACTTTTCGAATTCAAAAATCGCCATGTTAATATTTTATCAGCTCAAATTTGACACGCTTAGCTGGAGAATCCACTGAACTCGCGGCTCAATGGATCAAAAAAAGAGCCAGGTGCAGTTGCTCTTTTTTGTTGTAGTTTTGTCTGAAGGGATTACTGAGCTCAACAAAAAACAGCTGGAAACTGGGGTCTCCGAAATTTATTGGCCGATTAGAAAGAGCCTTAGAAAGGGATGAAGCCTTGGTTTTTAGGATAAGAATCGAAAAAAAATGTTTTGGAAAAATTTTTGAAGCTATCACTCAAGTTTGTCGAAAAGTTATTTTTTCACTTCATGCACGGGTGGGCTAGCATTTCTGACACGATGTTTGGCGCCGTATAAACTCACCGGTACCTCCGATCGATCATGTGACTTCCTGCAAGTCAAAAGCGGAAACTGCAATCTGTCAATCCGATCTCAATACTGGTCTGGATTAAGTCTAATATCTGCCAAGTCTGATAAGCTCAGAAAGACTAATTAGCCCATTGTGGACCTTCTCTGGCGTGCCTAAGCTCCTGAAAAAAGGGATGAAAAGAGGCGGTCCACGATTGCCGCAAAATTTGATTCCGAGGCGACGGTTTTTTAACCTCGCCGCCCTTTTTTTTTTAAATTACGGTACTTTGGCAATTGGTTTTAGCGAGCATTTTTTAATGCTTGAAAAATTTGAAAATTTAAATTAAATTCTTCATTACTCGAAAAGAGAGGGGCTAATGAGTGAGAATAAACTTGTATTTGGATAGAATTGATCAGAAGAAATCAGATATGAATTTTTAAAACAATTTGTTTACATGTTAGATGTTTGAATAACAGATGATGAATTATACATAGAACCAAATTGAAAACTCGCGATATATTCTGGCAAAGCGCCCGGGTCTTTATTTTCGCGCCACTACTGTAACTTTCATCTGACTGTAGAACAGATTTGAACAGATCTTACAGTTGTTCGACTAGCAAATAATTGAGAAGAATTAGTTCGGAAAAAGATTTGATTGTTACGAGAAGCATCGAAAAAAATTGTTATCCTTGTCTGATCCATTTTTTGGAAAGCCACAAATCGCATTTGTAGACCTCTGGAAAAAGTGGAACTTGGCTCGCCAGATGGGCGAAACCGCGACATTGCTGCTTAGGCAATTTTTAGCTGTGTTTAGACTGGAGATTTGGACAGGTGTACTTCCGCTTGAACATTTTCTTTTTCAGAGGCTTATTCATTTTTTTTCTTCGCGGAGGAAAATTTTGAATGTGTGTTTTTGGCGGTTTGGGAAAGGAAAACCGCCAAAGCCGCTTGAAGGTGCTCATCCCCTCTAACTGGGAGACGTCCTCGGATCGAATTCGAAAACGATTATCGCTTCTATTTCCGCTTAGCCGGGCTATTTTTCTACTCCACGGCTGTCATTAATAATGCGCTTTCAAATTCTCTTCTAGCGCCAACATGAAGATTATGTTATTTGATCTTACTACTAGATCCTGTAGAAAATTAAAAACCATAAAAATCATATTTTTTTGACTTAAGAAATTTATGAAGGTGCAGTTTTTGGATTACCAATAGGATTGCTATATTTGGCCTACCGGCCAATCAAAACCCTAATCACTTCCATAAATTGGTTCAACCTTTTTTTCCTTTTTATAAATTTATTCTTCTTTTTATTCCATGAGCCCTAACATGAAATATCTTTAGATTTGTCAACTTTCATGAGACTATCAGAATCATCGTAAAACTCATTTATCAAAATTGTAACTCGTAACCAAACCCTTCCCTTCCGGATGCTTCCCTACTCTGGTTTCAGAAAATCTGCATATTACCTTACCTTACGTTACCCTTATTCAATTCTCGACTCTAGAATAAAGCCTTAGCTACTCGGAAGTGCTTGAAAACCTCTGGTTTATCCCTACCGCCCGGTATAACTCCGGTTTAACGATGTTTACAACACAACCAGAACATGGTTGTAACATTTCTCACCCTCCGAAAAAGGCTCATCAAATTAACTCCCCAGCGCGTGTTTACTATATACAACTGCCAATCCGAAAAAATTTCCGAAATGCTTGACATAAATTTTATAAATTCCATGTTTTCAATGTTACCTTGCTATTTGCTTTTTTCCTGTCCTCTCTAGTTGCTGGGACGGGGATTAAAATTTAAATCCTGAATTCCAAATTTGAAATATTCTGGATTTATGGTGCAAGTTCCAGATTTTTCCCTGCGGCGGAGTTTTGGGTGGCGGAGCTGCCGTCTGTTAGCATAAAAATTTCATCTTCTGAGCCATTATTCAAATCCAGCCAGGTTACATGTCATGAGTTGTATGTTTCCCTTTCATTTGTGATTAATTATTCACGTTTTTCTTTAAAATGCACAATCTGAGAAGCAAAATGCAGAAGGCTATTCAATGGCTGCTTTTTGTTCGTACTCGATTTGAAACCGCTTTTAACATTAGCAGGTGCAGATTGAATCTACTGTGGTTTCGCGTTACAGGCAGATCTGGGCTCGGAAAGCTGTGTAAAAAACCTGAGTCAGGATTTCGAAAGAGCTTGAAATTGGACCTTTTTAACGTAGTATGATCTCAAAATTCGGCCACCTATAGCCGAATTATTCGTCAATATTTTCAATAATTCTGAATGAAAAATTCGTGTCAACGTCGTTAAATCGTATTTTTGGCAAAGCCGCTTTGCGGCTTCGTTTTCAAAAAAGCCGCGTTAATGAAGCTTTTTCAAACCCTGACTCAGGTTGTCTACACAGGTTGCCGATCTTCATCTGTTGTTAAAATAAAGCTTTCCATAGTTTCTTTCTTTTGAATTGATTCTTTCCGGAACGAGTCCCCCTCTTTGATCTTCTTTTAGTTTCAAGAGCGGCTTATATTTTGGAGCATATGGCGAGGCTTTGTGATTTTTGGGAAAAGACTCTTCTTGCTCATAATTAATGATTAGTTTCTCCATATGTTGATTTCCGTGGCTCAATATTTTTTGAATTCGGCGGGCGGCGGGTCAAGAGCGCTTGAAAGGCTTTGTCTCAGCTGCATGTAGTTCCGAATTAGTCCGAATTATAAATCTGTGAATAATTTACTTTCATTTATTTTGACTCGCTCGAGTGAGTCGGCCACGAAGATCGGATCTGAGCGTCAAGGGCTCTTGGACCTTGTTTGGAAAATCTAAAAAGGAAGCCCCTCTACAAACAAATCACCCGTGGAGAGAGTTTATGTACATCTACAGATAAGAGAGGCCTTCGGGAATCCCACAAGTGCCAGTAGTAAACAGTTGCTTGAATTATTTATCTGCTTGATCTTTTTTCAATGAAAGAAAGAACACTTACCATAGCATCCTATGAAAAGTTTCTTTCCCTGGAAATGGAAAGAAAATGAGACAAATCATTATTTGCTTATCTCCGCCTGGAATTAAAGATGTCCCGCTGAGTCCCCCGCTGAGGCGAAAAACGCCACCTTTTTGTCCCGTGTTTGCGCAAAAACGATTTTGGAGAATGGAAGTCTGCGTGAAAGTTACGAATCAGTATTCTTCAGTTACTGCATTCTTCATTATGTAAGAACCTGTTTTGTCTGTCCTTGTTGATTTCACAAAAAGACAACGGTTTACATAAGACATTCGAGACGAATCTTAAATAATAGCATGTCACACATCACATGTTACATTTCCGAGTGAAAAAAAATCATCAAACTGGTTCTGAAAGTTGCTAATTTGGAGGCGTCCCTAAACGAGATAGGCTACTTTAGGGTCATTTTTAATGAGAGGTGTGTGAGTCCCTGTTTTCATCCTAGCTAAATATAGCCAAGCAATTACGACTAATACAGACACTTCCTCAAAAGGGATTGCGTACGGAGGCGAGCGCTAGAATCCTGACTTGAACCTTGTTTCAAAAATTGAATGACTGTAATTGATCATTTAAAAATGACTCAGTATAATTTTTCTCTTGCAGAAATCAGCAAAACTCTAGCCGAAAACGATAAGACTCCTCAATCGAAATTTCATTGAAAAAAAAATTCTAACCGAAACGCCTATTTATAGCTTTCAAAACAGCACTATAAATCGCTATATCGAATAAACCTAGTAACCGAAATTTTCGCCAACATTTCATCATTGAGTATTATTTTGTTTTTCATCATAAAAAGTACTAGACAGGGGTCAACCCTCTTTCAGCCATATTTTGCGCGTCGACAACAAATCAAATTTGCAATTTTTCGATCGTCAAAGGGCTGATCTATCGTCATAAATGATGTAAAAGTACAACTCGAGCCAAGCATTAGAGGAGCGTAAGGGCCGTATAAGGAAAGACGCGTGTTGGATTTGCACGATCGAGCGCGTGAACCCGTCTCGTGCTGGTCGAGCTAGTACCAGCTACCGGATTTTCTAGCCATGCTATTTAAACCTCCGTCCATCCGCTCATTCCTCATCAAAACTCAAAAACAAGAGCTTTAATAAAAAAACTTCGACTTTTTTCTAAATAGAGAGTCCAGAACTACAACAACGATGATTTCCACAAAAATATCACCACGAACCTTACGACAACTCGGCATCCGATCCGACATCCTCAGATCAGTCTCTGCAATGGCCATGGAAACTCCGACTCGAGAAGAAGCCCTGACTACCAAACCACTTTTCTCTGTAACCCCAGTGAACGAGCGAAACCAAACCGAACTGTCGGTAAAAATCGGCAGGGGTTTCGAACAACGTCACGTGGGACCCGGACCCCGAGAGCAACGCGCTATGCTTGAAACGCTCGGCTTCACCACCATCGAAGAATTGATCACACGAACCGTTCCGGAAAACATCCGACTTCGCGGAAACCTACAGATTGCCGATGCAATGACCGAAGCTGAAATGCGCGAAGAATTCGAACGAATCGCGAAGAAAAACGAGCCCTTCACCTCTTTCATCGGCATGGGCTACCACAACTGCTTCACCCCTGGGCCAATCCTGCGGGATGTCCTTATGAACCCTGGCTGGCACACCCAGTACAGCCCATATCAGGCTGAAATCTCGCAGGGCCGACTTCAATCTCTCTTGAATTTCCAAACCATGGTTTCTGATCTTACCGGACTTGCTGTCTCCAACAGCAGCTTATTGGACGAAGCTACCGCTGCTTGCGAATCGCTCTCGCTCATGATCAACGGAACAAAGGGCAAGAGAACCAAAGTGCTTGTAGACTCGAAGTGTCACCCGCAGACGATCGCTTGTCTCCAGACGCGCGCTACTAACAAAAACATCGACGTAGTGATCATGCCCAAGAATCAAATGGGCGAAGCGATGGACACCAAAACATGCGGCGTGATCGTGCAGTACCCAGACACCGAGGGCAACATGGATGACATTACCGAATTGGTAGACAGCGTTCACAACAACGGAGGATTGGTAAATACAATTGCATAACTAGAACTGTTACGTAATATTTTAACAACTAGGTCAGCATGGCTACGGATCTCCTGGCGCTTTCCATCATCAAATCACCTGGTGAAATCAATGCTGACGTCGCTTTCGGTTCATCCCAGCGACTTGGTATTCCAATGTACCTTGGCGGCCCTGCAGCTGCCTTCTTCGCTACTCGAGAACAGTTTGCTCGACAAGTTCCTGGCCGAATCGTTGGTGTTTCAAAAGATGTCAACGGCAAGCCCGCACTCCGACTTTCCCTCCAAGCACGAGAACAGCACATCCGCCGAGAAAAAGCCACTTCCAATGTCTGCACCGCTCAAGCACTCCTTGCCAACGCGGCGGCAATGTGGGGCGTTTATCATGGACCCGAGGGAATGGTCGAAATCGCCGAATCTATTCATCACGCAGCCTTGGTCGTCGCTCATGGCGCGAAATTAGCAGGCCATAAAGTGTTGACCGAGAACTTCTTTGAGACGATGAAAATTGATGTTGGCGAAGAAAAAGCTATTATCTTGAAGAAAGCGCATCAGGCGAGAATCAATCTCAGAGATTACACTGATGAATCTTGCATTGGCATTGCTCTTGGTAAGATTCGAGCTTGAAGATAATTCGCTAACTGATTTATTTCTAGATGATACAGTCACACGCGACCAGATAGACATGCTTCTTTTGATCCTTGGAAGCCCAAAGATGGTCGGCGATTTGGACGAAGTAGACATTGACGACATCGACAGAAACTCAATCGCTTCAAGCGACTTTGTTCGAAAAACTTCATTCATGGAACATGAAGTCTTCAAAATGGTCAGATCAGAGCTCGAACTTGTTCGCTACATCAAGGAGCTCGAACGAACTGACTTGTCGATGGTGCACTCAATGATTCCCCTCGGCTCTTGCACCATGAAATTGAATGCTTCCTCTGAACTTGAGTATTTGAGCATGCCTGAGTTCACCAACTCGCATCCATTTGCTCCAGAGTGGCAGAATCGCGGATGGAAGCAAATTTTCAACGAGTTGGAAAACGATCTTGCTGAAATTACCGGCTACGATAAAGTGTCACTTCAGCCCAACTCGGGCGCTCAGGGCGAATACGCGGGTCTAGCTGCTATAAATGCTTATCACAAAGCAAATGGTGAAAAACGAGGAATCTGTTTGATCCCAACTTCTGCTCATGGAACTAACCCTGCTTCGGCCACCATGGCTGGGTTGAAAGTCAAGGCGGTCAAAGTCAACTCTGACGGATCCATCAACCTCGATTCGCTCAAAAACGAGCTTCACAAGCACCAGGAAACGTATCTAGCATCATGGTAACCTACCCATCCACATTCGGCGTCTTCGATGAAGATATTTCCGACATTTGCGGGCTCGTCCACGATGTCGGTGGTCAAGTCTACCTGGATGGAGCTAACTTGAATGCTCAAATGGGCCTTTCTCGTCCTGGAAAGTACGGAGCTGATGTTTCTCATTTGAACCTTCACAAGACCTTCGCCATTCCTCATGGTGGCGGTGGACCTGGCGCTGGACCCATTGGTGTCCGGGCTCATCTCGCGCCATTTCTGCCGTCTCATCCAGTCATGCCAGGCACAAACCATGCAACTAGCTTTGGTTCCGTTTCCGCCGCCCCATACGGCAACGCTGGTGTCTTGCCAATCTCCTGGTCGATGATTAAAATGCTCGGGCCAGAAGGACTTCGCCATTCATCTGAAATCGCCATTTTGAACGCCAACTACATGCGAAAACGGCTCGATGGCTACTACCAGATTCTTTATACAGGTTCGCATGGAATGTGCGCGCACGAGTTTATCATCGACATTCGACCTTTCAAGAAGACCTGCGGCATCGGAGCACTCGACGTCGCCAAGCGATTGATGGACTACGGCTTCCACGCTCCTACAATGTCTTGGCCAGTGCCAGACACGCTCATGATCGAACCAACCGAGTCAGAAGCAAAAAGCGAGCTTGATCGCTATTGCGACGCTCTGATCTCCATTCGAGAAGAAATTTCCGCAATTGAAAATGGCTACGTCTCCAAGATCGACAACGTTCTCAAAAACGCCCCACACACGATGGAAAGCGTTCTTTTTGGAGAGTGGGATCATGCGTACTCGCGAAAGAAGGCTACCTTTCCTGCGCCTTGGCAGCACAATGGAAACAAGTTCTGGCCTACTGCTTCCAGATTAGATGATACTTTCGGAGATAAAAACCTGATCTGCTCGTGCCCTCCTATGAGCAGCTACAGATAAATTTAAGAAAAATTTTCTTTTCTGTCTGATTAACAATCTGCTACCTCATCAATCATCCTTGCTGCCAACATTTAATGTACATAGAATTGAATCAACAAATTCAAATTTACGATTTATTCTCTGAATCAATGAAAACTGGAAGGTTTTTTAAAAAGCATCATTTTGAGAAACAGTTTCTTCTTCAATTGTTCCTTGTTTCTCTTCCTGGCTCTGATGAGTTTTGTCATCGCGTAGTTCGGTACAAACATTTGTCCGAGTCTTTTACTGTTAAAAAATGAAAGATCAAACGCAAAAATCGCCGAATAAAAGGCAGAAAAGAGTAAAACTAAGTTCATTTTCATGAAAAAATAAAGGTTTTGCTTGTCAGCCTTTTTTACTTAGTTGATTTTGAGGGACAGAGATTTATACTTTTAATTTGAGGGCGCTGTATCCGACTTCTTCATATGCGTTAAATTGAGCTTGAATCAATTTTTCGCAAAATAGTTGTCAAATTTAACTACTGCATTCAATATTTTCCTATTCTTTGGGAAGGCGTGGCTCTCATTAGATCTCATAAATTCAAAAATCATTCATCGCGTAACCAAAATCTCAAGCCAATGAGCCTCAAATTTTTCATCGTTGACGCTTTCGCTGGAGAGCCGTTTTCAGGAAATCCAGCTGCTGTTGTCTTTTTAGAGAAAAAGCTTGAAGAAGAAGAGTACCTAAAGTACAGCGCAGAGTTTAACCTTTCCGAAACGGCTTTTCTTCTTCCGCTTGAAGGCAAGAGTCTAAATTTGAATGAGAATCCAACGAGATTCTCTCTCCGCTGGTTTACGCCCACTGTTGAAGGTTTTTATTGCATTTGAAAGTAAGCAAATAACCGATGTTCTTTTAGTAAATCTTTGTGGTCATGCGACGCTAGCAGCTTGCGCGGCATTGGAAGCTTTTGGAATTGTTGCAAATGAGTTCGAATTTGAAACACTTTCGGGACTTCTCAAAGGTGTTAAAGATGAAGAAAACTGGTGCCTTCAATTTCCATCGAATCCTCCAGCGGGTTTATTTCCGTTTCTTTGAAATTCTCGACAAGTATCAATTCAGAAATGGAGAAAACCTGGCACTCTGAAGTAACAAATTCAATCTTTGATGACAATGACGTCGTTTCGAAGATTTTCTATTCTAGCGCGACGAAAAAGATGATCATCGTTCTTGATGAAGAGGTATTAAAGATGATCATATAAATTGTATAACTTTTAGCTTCCAATTGATTTCTTGAGAAATCTTCAAGTCGATTCTACGAGGATGTTTGAAAGCTGTCCAAGGTTCATGATCGTCACGAGAAAAAATATATATCTGGTTATTCTAGTGGCGAGGTTGTTCGAGGAGTATCAATAACAAAAGCTGTAAAAGAAGATGAGAACCTGGACTTTGTCTCGAGATACTTTTCACCGTGGGCTCGTGTCTGAACAACTACTGACATAATTCAGTAAGAAGCTCAGTCTGTTGTAACAGAACGAGCCTGACGCAAGAACGGGATCCCAGAGGATCCAGTTAATGGCTCGTCGCATACTAATCTCGCGCCGCTCTGGGCGAAGCTGCTCGGCAAAGTTCAGCTCAGGGCGAAAATGGTGTCTAAAAGAGGAGGAGATCTATCTTTACAAGGTAAATTGAACATTTCCTCAGTTAAAAATCATCCTTTTTAGTGAAAGAAAAAGAAGTTATGATAGGAGGACCGTCCAATCTCTTTGCATCTGGCCATGTGTGTGTTGAAATTTAAAAGCCTATCACATTGAAAATAAGTTAACTTTATTCAACAGGGCAGTATTTGCAAAGGGGCTTTTTGAAGTCTTGATAATTTGCGAGTCGTTTTATTTCGGGATCCAAGCATTCGCAGCATCCTTCGTCAGATGAGTTTTCTTGTCGGTACCAAAAGCCTTTTCCAGCGCCCATGGCTTCGCATTCCACCATGCAGTCTGAAAGTTACAGTAGCGAAATTTGATTTGTTGATGTTTGTTCTTACCAGCTTCAGGCAGACAATGGTGATGAAAAGTCGTTTTTGGAAGATGGGCATTTTCGCGATGGAGGAGCCCCGAACTGAACTAAAGGACCACGTGAAACTGTAATTCTGAATGTCTGTATAAAATACCTCGTTCAGGGCAAACATATCAAAGGAAAAGAGGTCTGCATCATCCAAAAAGTCGTTGGCTAGATCACTAGAACAGCGCGTTATCTATGAATTGATTTTGTTACTCTACTTGTATCTGTTTTTCGTGACAAATTCCGAGGTAAATTTGACCGTGCTGTCCTCCTCAATGTCTTCGATTTCGTCGCACACGGCTAGATTATCGTTAATTGGAGGTAAAGCTCCTCAACCGCTGCTCATAAAAGAGCTGGTTATATTTTACGCTGAGAGCTGTCGCGGTAAAGGTCATGACTCGTTTATAATACTACGTCAATCAGCAGAAAATGATTTAATTGCTTCCATTCTGAGCCTTTTAAATGTCATGTCTCTTTCATGCTCACTTCAGGATACAAGTTATCCTCTCGGCTATCATAAAAATAAACCATGGCCTTTCGATAACTACCTGATGGAAGAGTCTTGCGTCTGCAGCAGTCCTCCATGCGATTGCCGACTTTTTCCAAATGAAAAGAAAGACATTCAAAGCATTTGTCACATTCTTCCCTCACTCCTCTTGAAAGCCGACCAGAATTGTGAAACGGGCATTTGGCGCAGTTCAAAGCAGGTCGTTGAATTTCGTGCGAGTCCCAGAGTAATCCGATGCTTCCAACGGTCTTTTCCAAATGACTTCCGCGAAGGGATTTTAGAGCATCGGCCAGGGGGACTTTTTCGACGTCTGTTTCATACGATTTCGGCCGGATGTCTAAACCATGAAGACTGCAAATCGCGTAGCTCCTAAAAATTTCATAGAAAATCAGAGCCTCGAAACTCGATCCTGAATTTCCTCCCTTTTTTACCTTTCACAGACACTATCAAAGCTAACTTCCTCATCTGCTGCTTCTAAAAACTTCAGAAGAAGAATTCCCAGTCTGACCATTTCGATATTATCTTTCTCTTTTTACTGATAAATGACTCTTTTTACGAAACACGGCAGTTTTGAAAATACGAGATTCGGATGAGTTTTCGACAAAAACGTTGTAAAGCGCGATATTTTCTGGTTGACGGCGCTCCGGCTCCTTTGTCAAACTATTCAAATTTGCTCTAGCGTCGTATTCACTCGGCTACTCTGCTGTTTGTTCACTGAAAATCACAGTTCAAAAATATAAGTTTCTACTGAGAAAAATAGCGTAATGATATAATAACGTCATACTTATTGTTCTAGCTATTCTTTAAAAGTCCTTTGTCTGTGTGAAAATTTATGATCTTTGGAAAGATCACTGCTCCCAGCTTCAAAAGCAACATGAAGTTGTTCGCGAGTTGCCTCGTTTTTTCTTCCTCTGCAGAGATTGCCCTGTCTTCTGATGATTTAGCAAAGTTCAAGTGCAGGTCAAGCGGAAGCTGGCAACTTCCTCAGAGCTGTGGGTCCTCGGTAAATAATATCGGCTGATTTTTTTTATTGTTTTTATCTGATTAAAGTGCACCGATTCGGACAAGGCAAATATAGCATGTCAAGTTAACCTATCAATTGACCCCAGTGATGAAAACTTTTTGGTAAGTATTTGCTTTCTATATCTTTTAAAGAAAGTATCAGCTGTTCACTTCCAACGGCGTCCCTGACCACAATGCATGCGCTGCGGCGCCGCAATCAACCGTCGACCCTCAGAATTACTCGTACAAGATTCCTCGAGAACCGGTCAAAAGGGCTGGCAATCCGGAAGACTTTGGTACTACCAACATGGCGGAAATCGGCTTTGCAATAAATGGAGTCCCATTTTACAACCCCTACGACGCTGCTTGCTGCGATGCGGGATTGTACGAGCTACATGCGCTGGATCTTTGCTATGCTCATCCAAATGGTCAAGGAGGCAGGTATCATTACCATGTTTGGTCTCCCTGTATCGCAGAATGCACTGGTGAGTCTGAACTGGTCGGCATTGCCTTAGACGGGTTCCCAATTTACGGCCCTGGAATCAATCCGGAAACTGGCAAAGTCTGGTCCCAGAGCGACATGGACTTTTGCGGCGGAAAAGAAGTTGATGGAAAGTAAGTTCATTTTCAAAAGAATTTTACGCCAACTATTCTAGATATGCGTACTACGTTACAGTTGACTTTCCTTATGTGTTACAATGTTACCGTGGGGAAACGAGCTCGACCTTCAAAGATGGACAGGAGTTCCGTGCTACAGGAACATGCGCGCCGAACAATGAAGGCTGCAGCCCGGGTGCTGGGGGCGGGCCTGGAGGTCCAGGAGGACCAGGAGACTCTGGTGGGCCAGGGGGTCCAAGAGGTCTACCAGGAACCAGGCCAAATCATCACGCTCACGGTCGAAAACGAAGAGATATTCATGATCAAACTGAGAGTTGGTTTCAAGAGCTGGAGAACCTTACTAATCTTGGATACACTTCGTCCTACTCCAAAGAAATCCTGAGACATGTTGAAAAGAGGCAAGATTCTTCTTCAGTTCTTCTTAAAAAATCTTCTTTAGCCGAACAGTCAGAAGTGTTGAAACTCTATCCTCTGCTATTGATGAAGTCATCTCTGCAGGCGACGGTCGATTCACGAAGGAAATCTACTTGAAGCACCTGAGCTACCAGTGCAATTCATGCAACGGGCCTAGAGATCTTTACGTATGTTCGTATCCATCGACAGATTTTTTAATCTTTTAGTTGAACTGCACGGCGGGGAGACATGATACATGTACTGGAGAACGAAGTCTGTTTACGCTCCAAGATGAGGATACTTCTGTGAATAACGGAGACGGAGGGGATGCAGGAGACAGAGAAAATAATGAAGATGGGGGAAACAATGGAGATACCGCGGAAACTGGAGGAAATGGAGCAGGTTTCAATACTGTTTCAATTTCTGTACTGTCGATGATGTCATTATTTATGCGATGATATACCGTATTTCTCTTAGATATAGAATAAAGGATTTGTTAGAATAAATAGCTCATTTACTCCGCAGCAAAAATAATTGCGCCAAGTTGTGATAAGTGCACTAAACCGAGGATGTTGGACTTCTTGCGCATCTGGCTAAGATTGTGTTCGACAGGCTAATCCTTGACTCAACCTTTCGATTGCGAGATAATTGATGTTTTCACAATATAAAGTTGTATCTGAAGAATTTGTCGAACTCACAATTCGCGAAAAAAGAGGAACAGCGATGTTAGAATCGAAAAAAAAGAAAGATGAGATATTGACAATATCATATTGTTTTGCCGTGGAGGATTAGACCACTTTTAGTATAAAGCATTTGTCCAAAAACCTTCAGATGATGAAAGGTTTTAGTTTTTAGCACAGCTATAGCATTCGGAGAGGAGGAGCAAAAGAAATGAATAATTAACAGTAAATTATTGATGAATATTAAACGAATTGCGAATTGACAGAATCGATCTCGATTTACAGGAATTCAGAAATAAGTACAGAGTTTGAGCGTTAATTATGAAGAGAAACAGTACCTGCCACGTAGATAGGCCAATTCGGCAGCAACCGTTTTGCCCGTTTTGCCGTTCTGCCCCAATGCCGTTTCGCCCCGAATGCCGTTCTGCCCGTTCAGGGCAAAACGGAAAAATGGGCTGAACGGCATTTCGGGCAAAACGGCATTGGGCAAAACGGCATTCAGAAAGTAACCAATTTGAAAAATTTAAGTCTTTATTCTTAAAAATTTAAACCTTTTAACCTGTTCAATCATCAATTTACTTTCAAATTTCAATCAATCAAATCTATTTTTGGAATTTCCGATTTCCAAACGCACTATAAAGTCCAGCCCGAGTCAGAATCGAATCAGTTCCGTCGGCTCCAATCAAAAGGTTTTTTCAGGTTTCGAGTATTATTTTTCAAGTACCTACCCCATTTATGGGTATTCTATTATAAAACCCGAGGAGCGGGCCTTTATACCCTCTAGGTATCTGACCTAAAATTACAGTCTGAAATTGGTACTTGGCATACCGATTGGAACCGAGAGGTACCGGTCGGTAAAAACTCAATATGAAATCAAAGTATTCATCAAACTGACAACCTTTTCTGATAGAAATCACGGTCAAAGGGGGTCGGTGGTCGAGAATTCGACCCAGTTTTTCTAAAGCTTCCAATATTAGTGCTTAGTAGTACCTACCTATTAACTATTCTAAATCTATTTTTGGAATTCCCGATTTTTACAACCGACGTTCTCACTTCTGCAGAGATTAGCAGGCGCAACGCTGAGATCGAACTTTTTTTTGAGGTGACAAAAAACTCGAACTCATTGTTTTCGTTTCGTGTAAATTTTAATTATTCAGTATAATTAGCTAAATTCCATCATAATTAAGTAACTTTGCCCTCATCAGCTAATTGAAAATTATTATCGAAATGAACGCTTCAAAAATGCCGTTTTGGCCGAAATGCCGTTCAGCCCATTTTTCCGTTTTGCCCTGAACGGGCAGAACGGCATTCGGGGCAAAACGGCATTGGGGCAGAACGGCAAAACGGGCAAAACGGTTGCTGCCGGCCAATTCAGCCCATTTTCTGGAAGAGGACACCTTGTCCGATTTGAATATTTTAACTGCGCACTTCTGGCCGAAATAAAGCCTGCTTTCCAAGTTTAATTTTATACTATTTTTCAGACGGACAGAAATTAAAACAAAAGAAAAACGAGACCATGCAACTAAAAATATGCCTCCTACTCGTCGGAATCGTCCAGGTACCAAACTCTTCTGAAATCAAGGAGGACTGATTAACCCGCTTTAGTCACGATTCTACAAGAAGGCTCAGAGCGAAGCAGCGGCGAAAAGAGGCGACGAAAAAGCATCTTACTGTACTGCTGAAATCTGCGACAACTGCCGTAAACATATTATCCTTTCTTTCGGCCAGGGTCCCTCGGAAACGACAGAGTCTTGCAAGCAGATTTGGATTGAACCGGACTGTTGCTTCTCGCTTCTTTGAAAATGAATGGTACAGGTAGGAGCTTCTGTTATCATCAGACTGGGATTGGCAACTTGTGTAGCAAACCTAAGTCAGGGTCTTGAAAGAGCTATCTTAGCGGCTTCGATTTTACAATACCCACAGCGTGGCTCTTTCTTTGCCCTGACTTAGGTTTTCTACACAGGTTGCCGACCCCAGTTCTCGATCATCCTTTTTCTAGCGCTCACATCTTGCTAAAACTGGAAGAGGAGCAAAATCTTCACCTTTTTAACCCTTCGCCGCGCAATTACCAACCTGGAATATGAAAAACTGGAATTGCCCTGCTCTTTTTTACTTCATCGATTCTGCTCTTTCCTATTTCTTGCCAGTTTTGCACAATTTTTTTGAATAAAAATAATGACAAAGAAGGCTTTTTAGAACTCGAGCGTGGTGTTATTTTGAACTCCCAAAGACAGGATACATGTTTGATCCAATAAATAGATGGTGGTGATTTCTCGTTCGTCGGAAAACAGGTTGAACAGGTTTAAGCGACCTGGATGTCGATGGTTCGCTCGCCGTCGATGCTGTCCTGGGTGAGGTCGGGGGCGGCGAAGTTGATCTCGGGGAAGACATCCATGTTTCCACCTGAAATGACAGTCAAATTGATTGAAAATGCCCTTTGGAAAATTATTGGAACATAGATTTGAACCTAAACTTGAAAATTAAAAAAACCGCTTGCGAAGAAGCTTTAATAAAAAGCCTTCTAGCCGCTAGAATCTAGCGGTTTTCTCAGAAACGAAGCCACAAAGCGGTTTTGCCAAGATTTCAATTCGAACAGTTATAAACTAGATGTTACCCTGACTCAGGTTTACTTTACAGGTTGCTGAGCTCAGGCTCCTGGATTTCTTGAGTTCTATTTTTTGAAATTGAATTAATTTTTTTCCTCAATAAAATGTTCGAAATAAAGAGTTAGTCAGTGTTATCTTATGTGAAAATTAAGGGGTTATACCTCCGTAAGTTCGGGAAAGTCGCTCCTGAATGTCAGCTCGTTCCTGGGCGAAAGCAGCGCCGCCGTCGACGATTCCTTCGGTCTCAGATCGAGACTTGTACTCTCGGATCTACGAGATTCTATTGAGTGGATGGTTGCGGCGATGATTTGGTACCTTGTTGAGGAAGATGGCCTGGACGGGGTCGACGGATCGTCGGGTGGTGGAGACGGAAAGGGCTCGGGCGGCGACTCGGAGCATTCTAGAATAGAACACTTGTTTTCATTAGATTTTCTGGGTTTTTTAATTGTTGTGTCTGTCGCTTACAGGTAAATTTTTTCGCATAACTGTTAGAATTATCAAATTGTTTGGTAATTAATGAATAAATTGACTACCCTTCTTCTATAACTTTAATATTTTTATACAAATAACTGAACGAATAATAAACAACCATAATAAAAATTACTTTTCCGAGTTTTAACAGAACTAATTTGAAGAAACCCGTTTTCAATTCAAATAACGCCTAAGTTCTAGAAATTCTTCTGGACAACAGGATCTTCTTCTTTAAAATCTCTTATCACTTTCCCACGGTCGAAAGGGAAAAAGGAAAAGCATTAGGAACTCTAGAAAAACTCGAGAAAGTCGAAAAAGCGGCGATTCTTCGATTCGCGCCGTGCTGCCTACGCGCGCGAAATTGAAGCCCTCATTGGCTCAGCGCCGTTGGGAGAGAAACAATCAGAATGAATGAGAAATTCGCTCCGACGTAGAATTTCTAGATTTTCACAAGAGAATGGAATTTCTACTCGCCTGAGGGCAAGAACGAATCGCCCAAGAGACAGAAAATGACTATTTCTTCAAATCTGTTAATTCTTATCTAATTCTATATTATAATGACTATAAATTTATAAAATGAAATCATTAGAATCTCCCTAAATTCCGTAAAATGCGTGCTCTCTTAAAATTGTTTTTCTTTTTTAAAATTAATCTTATTCATAAATTAGTGTTGCGATATTTCTGTAGTCAACCAATGATGACTCTCATAAACTTAGAAAACTCGTTAATCTCAAATCTCTCTATTTTAGTTCGAAATTAGAATGTCTACCTGGAAAGCCGCCGGTATCACCTACGTCCGATTCTCCGCCATCGCTGCTGGAGCTCTCAAGCGAGGCTTGAACGCCGAGGCCATTGGTAAATTCCTTTATCAACGCTAGAATCAACATTTCGTAGCCAAGCGAGCCGGTGGATCTGGCCAGAACATCATCGCCCGACAGTGGGCTAACGGCAAGCCCAACGGAGACTTCATTATCGGAAACAAGGTCATGGAAGCTCTTTAAACGCTCTTCTCCAGCTCTAGAATCCCCCTGTTCGACTGTTCAAATTATTTATTCGTCTCCAGCCCTCGACTGAACTGTCGAAAACGGCGGCCTTGAATTCGTAGAAAAATACAATACAAAAACACACTCCAAAGAAATAAAAACGAGAAAAGAATCGAAATCGAGATTTCAAAGAAGTCGATTTCAAGAACTTTTGTTCATCATTAGCTGTTTTATTGCATGACTTGAACAGATAAAAAGATTTATACAGGATGTATCTCGGAAATTCGCTCGTACTGTAGCGCTTTCAAAAATAGATGTTAATAATGTGCCTATTGAATGCATAATCGACAACCTGCTTGAGGCAGTGCGCGAGGCTTCTGCATCATTTTAAGAATTTATAATATTTATTCATTTGATAGTCGAAAGTTGAGTTTTTATACCAAATGCACCCGCGGGGCTAAATTGATCGAGGGATTTGCGTTTGAATAAAGAGCAGCTTATATCATTGATTTTGGATTATTGACAGTTGGATTAACCAATTTGATTAAGAATTTTTGATAAAAATGAACATTTATCTTAATTTAAGAAATCTAAGTCTTCAAAACAATTTTTGGAAAGCGAGAGCCTGAACATGACTTTGATGGGTTCTGCTGTCTTGTTGCCTCTGTTTCGCCACATCAAAAATGATCCCATAACTGTGTCTTCTGTTTCCATTAGATTTCTTGATGATTGGTTTTGAAAGAACATTTCTCTGGAAAGTATAAGAGTTTGCTAAGGCTCTCCACATCTTGTTCCGGATTTTGAGGAGGATTAAGATTGAGGCAATGCCTACTGAAATTCTCGTCGAGGGTTTGATTTTCAGCTTTTAATTTGCGCTAGAATTATCAATCAAAAATCAACCCTTTGCCCAATTATGTGCAGCATGTAAAGCCGCTCGTTTACGATTTGATTCATTTTCTCTCTTTCTTTCTATTTTGTTTTATTTTCCCGAAATGCCATGCCAAAGCCCCTAAGCCGCACTTGAAAGCGCTCAAGAATGACTCAAGAAAAGGATTTTTCCGAAGTGACTTGAATTCGCGAATTCAATACGAATATTTTCCCGCTTCCAAAGGCAGCCCTGTTTTTCATGCATTCACAAATATTTGTGGCTTGGCGAAATACCAATTCTATAGTTAAAAAATTCTTGTTAATAATTTTATTTTTATTTGAAAGACAAGAAAATCTACTTGCACAAAGTGGCCATTCTCGTGCAAAGCATATTTTCATGCTTATTTTTGTTAATTTCGTATTTACAGAACAGTTAGAAACAATCTCTTTTCTCAGCCAGACTTGCCCTTCTTCTTGCATTTTCTGCCCTTGCATTTTGGAGGCGGCTGGTTCAGAATTGGCGCGTTTACTTTGACTTTCTTTTCCAACCCGTCGATTCGTTTGAGGAGAGCTCGCTGATTTGCGCAGAATTTCAGGTCGGAAAGGATGAATCCTCGAGCGCCCTAGAAATAGCTCTCTCTCTGTCTTTCGGAAAAAAGATGGAACCTGTAGCATATTGAACCAGATTCGTTTTGGCCCAAGTTTTCCCTTCTTCTTTCCTCGTCTTCCTCGCACCTAAGTCATTCACTTGACAAAATCATGGAAAAATAAGAAACTAACATTGAGACTAGAAGCGATAACTCCATCTTTGCTCTCTCCAGGATTCTTCTCGCCGAATTCGTCGTCGTAGTCGGAAGTGTGGTCTAATTTTCTATGTAAGCATAAATTCATATTAACCGAACCTACCTCCGTAAAGAATGTAATCTTCATAGTTGTCATACTCTGCGTACTCATAATCGTAGTCATAGTCGTAGTCGTAATCGTAGTCGTCATCATTGAGCTCTGTTTCACGACGTTTTCGCTCGACCAAATCGTCCTAAAAGGCATTTTTGGGGGGTCAAAAGCTTGATTTTTAGTACATTGAAGAGTCGGGAAGCTTTTCGCTCAGACTGACTGGCTTTTCTGGCCGCTTTCTTGTCCATTCTCGAGTTTCGTCGACCTTGCTGGGTCATTTTTCGTTGATATCTTTCTGTCTCGTCGAAAGGAAGGCACTGGTTGCTTCTGAAAAGAGGTTGGAAAAAGTGGGGATGAGCTGTTTTTCCACCTTTGGCCAGGAAGCGGAAGGGAATTTTTAGTCTTGCTGTCGATTTTGTTCAGAAGATTGTTGATCTTCTTCTTGTTCGATTTGACATTCTTTTCGGCAAATTGTTTCACTAATTTTGTGATGGCTCCCCATCGTTGCTACATTTGAGTTATTCTAGCTTTTTTCTCTTTTCATCGATAAATTAAAGGAATAGCTTCTTTAGAACTCTAACTGAGGTCCCATTTTCTTCTTTTTCTTTCCTCGCTTGGCCTTTTTCCTTCTTCGACCGCGTTCAAATGAGGCTGAAATTGTTCATAAAACACGAATGATGGTTCTTCCTTGATTTCAGTGGACTTTTTTTATGAATAAACTTACCCAAGCTGCTGCCTTTTCCCTTGGCTGCTCGCCTAACAAGCGATCTCTCTGCATTTTCGACACTCAAAGTTTGCCCTAGAATGCCGCTAAAAATCGTGAAAATCGGCAAGAGTCGCATTCTCTTCCCAACTCAAAATAAATTTATCTAAAACGCAAAACCGCAACAAACTAATACTGAATAAAGGCAAAAAAGATCATGATGACTCGCGCTCGCGTTCAAGGGCGCCATCGAGTGGTACACTTTTTTGGCTGCAGCGCTGAATTAAGGAACTGCTACTATTTTGGGATGGAGAAGGTCGTCGGGAAATAGGATCGGGATTAATTATCCAGCGCTGAAGTCATTTTTTGCAGATGTCGTATTTTTGTGCGACGAAGCTTATGAATGATATAAGAAATCAATCAAATAATGAAAAGGACTTCCTCCTTGATTTCCGCTCGGATCGTGGGCTCAGGAACCTGTGTAGAAACCTTAATCAGGGTCCTGAAAATGCTGAAATAAATGGCAAATTCTTGCTTAGCCAGAATATGAACAATAGATTGAGATGGCTAGAAAGCCATTTTCAGGACCCTGACTCAGGTTTCTACACAGGCTGGGGATCCCAAATCGGCATCATAGAATTTTGAGCAACTTGAGCTTGAGCAGCAATCGTCAATCCAAGAAGCAGTTGAAGAGTCGTCAGAGTAAACTTTCAGTGGCGTAAAACATTTCCGCGAAAGCGAAAAAAGCTGTCGCGGCGGGAGTATTTTGCCAATATTTGAGCTCTTTAGGAATTCACAATTCGGGACATCATTTTTCGTTTATTTTAAGCAATCAAAAGATTAGCCCTAGCGCATTTTCTCAACCACTCAGCAATTTCGAATTTCAACAACAGAAGACAAAAAGAGACGGAAGAAACAAAAAAGGTAGAGGTCGAATTTTCGTTACAGTTATAACAGTAGGTTCAACGAAAAATGCGACTTTTTTGCCGAGAAAAGCGGAAAATCCTTCTTTTGAAAAGTGGAGATCTGAAGATCAATTGAAATTACAAAAGTTAATCCAATCAATAATTTTAGCGCCGCGGGTTTGCTTCTGTTTGGGATCTGGAGCGGCTTCTGGGCACACACAAAACAACTTTTTATACTGTCAGGCAATCAACAATTTTGCGCAATTCGAATGAGAAAGATTTGAGGAAGATTGTGTGAGAATGAAATGGTTTATTTTTGGACTGGCGATTCTTTTTCAGACCAGGTATGGAATTAGCTTTTTGCTTCAGCTCAGCAAGTTCAATTTTAGCCCTTAAATTCTAGAGCTTTTACTGATGGCCGAAGAGCCGCTTGCGGCTCTGACTAAAATGAACCCTTAGCCGCACAAACCGCGGCTCTTAAGTTTTTTCGCTCAAAGCCGCGAGCGGCTTTTCGGGTCAAAAAGCTGTTGCTCAAGCTCAGCTTGCTCCGTTCAACTCATTTTCAGCCAAAAATTGATTTTCTTACCGCTAGGTTTTGTTTTCCTAAAAACCGTAAAACAGTAGCAAGAGTGTCAAAATCTACAGCGAATATCCTTGTATTTTCGACAGTAATTTCGCCAATGTTTTATAAGCAGTTCGGAAGTCGACAGTTTTATGAAACTGTAAAATGCATGAAATGTCAACTGGCGAGACAGGTGGCGTCCCAAACAGAATCTTATCTTTTTCTAATTCAAAATTTCTAATTCGCCAAAATAAGAAATGAAAAAACGATGAGCTGTTAAAAGTTCACGAAAAGTAGGAATCAATTCAGCTGTGTGGAATTTAATAAATCTGCTCTGCTGACATTTCGAGCAGCTTAGAAAAATTGAAAGAGGCTTTTCTTGCCAATCAAATGTAGCTCATTTAGCGATTTTAGCGTTTTCGCTGATCGGAAAGTGGCGAAAAGGTGGGCCAGGAACTCGGCTCTTGAATGTGATATATTGACGGTCTCGGAGATAAAGAAGAAAAAGAAGGCGAAAGTGAATTTGGACGAAATTTATAATGGGTAAGATTCTTATTCAAAATATGAGGTTCCCATTTTAAGGATCTCCCCCCCCATCGAGATTTGCGAGTGATGGGGGGGGGGGGGTCCCGAGAAATTTCCTTTAGGATGTGCCCGTTTTAATGAATTTTCTTTTGAAGTCAAAGTCCAAGGCTACAAAAATTTACGGGTGCTTTTTCAGGTCGTATTATTTGAACATGAACTCTGGACATTCCGGGTTATTTTGGGAACGAAGCGCTGAGAATATAAAAGGCCAGTTGCTGGAATTATTCATCACGCGAGGACGTGTGAGAGGTATTCTTCTTTCTACCATTGTCTCGATTCTGTCACTCTTCCACTATTGAGTGTTTCGTCTCAATCTGTAGTTACAGTCGTTCTTTCAAGTCGGGGATAAAAATCGAAAACTGCGGCCAGCCTGGTTGATTGGATACAAGCAGCCGGGAACGGGCCACTTCGTCCTCCGATTTTTCGCCTTTGGAAGTTTGAATTGTCGAGCAGCCCATCGCCTCATTCACTGGAATCAGATCAAGCACTTGACGGCGTACAGCAATCTAAGGAAGATTCAGGAAAGACTCCTCTTAATTAACACTTTCTTTCGAACGAATTAAAGTTGAAAGTCTTGATCAAGATCCGAAAGAACAACTTTCGACATGCGATCTTTCAACTAAGCAATTTGGACAGCTCCCTGCTTTAGAAAATCAAATTTATTCCATCTTGGAAATCTTTCTGTATGTTCCTTTATGTTCCTGTATGTTCAAATTAATAAAACAGCATCTCATTAGTAGCCTAAGCAAAGGACAGTTAAAGAGGTTTCCTTGGTTCAAAGTCAACAGTTCAATTAACAAAAACAACTAACAATAGAATCACTGCCGAGAACGAGAAGCCGCTTGCGGCTTCGAGTATGGGTGATTAGGCCGCGCGAAGCGCGGCTTTTACGCCTTGTTTTGTTCGAAGCCGCAGGCGGCTTCTCAATTTTCAGCAGCAATTTTTAAGTAACAATTACGATTCTAGCGTAAATCGTTGTTGACACCCTCAATCAAAAATTACAAATCAGAGTCTCAACATTTGCCTTTGCTTTGTGAAAACATCGGAAAAGCTCCATCAACCCGTGATTTGTCCGTTAAAAACTAATCCGCCTGGGAAAGTACTTGCGAAGGAGAAAAGTGAAGGTCGACGAGAATGAAAACAAGTTCTGATGGGAAGACGATCGTAAGGAGATTGTTCCATGCGCTTGCCAGCTTCCAAAGATGGATCGGATTAAAAATGCAGAAAAGCGCCGCTTATAAGAAGAGATACAAGTTTTTTGTACTGCCTCGACACTTTTTTTTCGGTCAACAGAAATTTGAGAGGGGAAAAGATTTGAAGATCGAATGCGTCTTTTATATCTTTTTATTTCAGCAGTTGTAAGTAAAAAAAATAGGGTTATAGAAAAAAAAGACGGTGGCGATGATGTCTGATTCGCCAGAAGGCCGAATAATGATTTTTGATTGGTCAAGAGGAGGAAATTAAATTTTGTCTTTTAGCTATCTTTATACGATTTTCGAGATCTGTACGAGCTAAATGATGTCCGTATTCGTCTCATGAATACGCTGGATACAAATACGCCTGACCACAACATCCGTAAAACATAACCTTCCTCCTCCATCCCCATAATGTCTTTTCTAGAGCTGCGAGAGTACATGCCCTACAAAATGCTTTGGAAAAACGACTACTTCCGAAAAAGCGCGGCTTCAGTCCCTATCGAGCGCTAATGAAGAATAATTATTTCTAATATATTTGAAACAGATGTACAGTTAATAAAACAAGAGAGAGAGAGAGATTGAGAGAGGAAGGAAATATTTGACAGTTGCTTTCAGCAGTAATTCAGCAGCTCTTCTTCGAGGTTCTTGAAGATTTTCGGACGCGAGTACGTCGCCAAGTGTCTTAAAAAAGGGGGAAATGAATATTGATTCGGGGCTACTGTAGTCCTTACTGTTGTCCGTCCGGATTGACCATTGCCATGGTCATCTGCAGCGACATTTTGGCAAAAGACTGTTTCGTCTCTCCAGCTCGAATTTCCATCATTTTCGACTTGTGCCTTCGATGCAGTTTTGTTTCGTAAATGAATCGCCAAACCAGCGAAACCAGAAAAACGATCAAAAGGCCAGCTAAAATTATTCTTTGATAAGGTCGAAATTTGAAAGTTAAAACACGACAAAGCGTGTGAAATGTCTAAAAGTCAGAAAAAATGCGCTGTCTAAAACACTTTTTGCTGCGAAAGTTTGATTTCACGCTCTTTCGTGCCTAAAAACGCTAATTGCTTGACATTACGCTTGAAAAGTGTTTAGACGCACGGACGGGTTAATTGTTGTACCGTTTTCGCGTGATAAAATTTATTTAAAAAATTGATTAATTACTTCACTAAAGCTTTCGCTCGGGAACCTGTGTAGAATACCTGAGTAAGGATCTGAAAGAACAAGGATAAAAAGCCGCCTAGCGGCTTTATTCAAAACGAAGCCGCAAAGCGGCTTTGCCAGATTATCAAAATATGATAAAATGGAAGACTTCAGGATCCTGACTCAGGTTTTCTACACAGGTTGCCGAGGCAAGTCTTTAACTCACCTAGGATGACTCCAACAACATCTCCTCTTTTCAACATTCTCCGAAATTCTCGATCGTCGATCGTTCTTTTTGAAATCCGTACTTTTACACTTTTCTCAAGGTTTTCGCCATAAAACGATGCCCATTGAAGCGAACGAGAAAGAATTCAATAAAATGCCAATTTTTTTTTATTGAAACACAACCGATCACAATGAGCGGATTATCCGGCTAAGTTGACGGTCCGAGAGCATCATTTTAAACATGCTATAATTTGCTGTGGTCTTTCATCTTTTTTTGTTTCCAACTACCAAAACTAACCATCATCGCAAAGAAGAAATAAATCATTTTTATTGCACACAAGCTTAGAATTCTTGCATAACTTCAGTTTTCAGATTTCAGATACCCCTTCGAATTACAGCAATTTGTATTAAAAATAGAACTCAACCAAGTAGGAATCCCCTGGCAGCCGAAAATACAATCAGTTGAGTTTCCTCTCCGAAAACGAAGTGCTTCGACACTAGAAATCTTTATAAATTCTTAAATAAAGTGCAACCGACACTTTGTTGATCAAGAAATCAACGAAGAGGAGTTGATGATCTGTTGCTCTTCATTTTGCGATTTCTGCAAGCTACGAACTTTTTTCTTCGTGTGAAAATGAAGTCGTTTTTGAAAATCCCGCAGCTTTCATCTTCCACGATTCATCTTGATAATCCCTTTTGAAGCAAAAAAAAAAACGATATCGGGACATTCATTTCGAGCGAGTTATTTTTGAATTTCTCAACCCACCTCATCCTGAATCATCTTTCACCCGAATCCACCGTATATAAAGCCCCCGAAACTGGCATTTTCGCCATTCAAAAATCCTTCGATTTTCAACAGAAGAAAACAGCAACCACCAACAATCAACCTTCAAGATGCCACTCCGATGCCTCGCCAACGCGATCGCATACTGCTGCGGGATGCAAGTCGTGATCCTCGAACAGAGGGTTGAGGAGAACGAGGAGAAGATCCAAGACAACCAGGACGCCATCGAGGAGATGAAACTTCAAATCACCCATCTGAAGAAAGGCATCCCTTTGCCCTCTGCGAAGAAGACCGTCATCGTCGAGAAACCAAAGGAGTCGAAGGCATCAAACCCCTGGGGCTCTGGAACCAAGAAGCCTTGGGGAGTCCCCGAAGAAACCAAGAAGGACAGCGGCGAGGATGAAGAGTACGAATTTCCTTATAAGTACGTGAAAGAAAGCCATGGCTGGTACTAAGTCGCTTCATCCCAAAACTTCTGCAACAACATCCTGATCATTCCTCCTAACATCTGGAACACTTCTGGCTTTGCAGAAGGGCCCTTTTTAGGGCCACAAATCCTTTTACCTGAGCTTGCTCGGTTTTAGACTAACTTTTAGTTCTTCCCTACTCTTCAGATTCATTTGAGAATCTAATTTACTCATTTAGTGTCATCGGACTCCCAAAATTCGATGGGAATTCTTGACCTCAAAATGTATCATAAACTACGGGATTAAAAGATGTGATTTATCTTGATTCTGTACGTCGAAAGTATCCCTCACCCCTACCACCTGCAATTCTTCAAAAGCTCATTCTTTTTTATCCGAGTTTCGGAAGAAAAGCAAGGTGTTTGAGGTCCGGAATAAATTTTACAACTTCTCCACTTCTCTAACAAGTCAGAATTCCGCTGATTTTCACAAAAAATTGTGACTAACTCAGAGACGTTGAATCGTTCGAAACTGGCGCGTCGCTCCTCCGCCCACGCAGAATAGTCACGCGTGAACAAAGTCTCATTACAGTCGATCCAACAGTAGGGCCTTTTTTCGAAAAAGTACAGTGGACTGTTTCTCGCTTTCTCGTCCGACTGAAGAGAAAAATCGGAATTGTGAGAGTGCGCTTTTGGCTGTTCCATCACGTGCGGGCGCCAGGGCGAGCCGCGCGTTGATTGGCCGTCGCGAGCGCTAGTCAAAACGCGCGTAGAGAGCCCGGAGAAAGAATTTTTCGAAAAAAAAGAGAGTAAAGGAAGATTGCTTTAGCGGAATGGGACATGAAAAGGACTGTAATTGCCACGTGAAATCGACGGGTTTAGAGCAATCTTTGGATGAGCTTGATTGGCAAAGGTTTTTTTAATTAATTAGGAAGATATTATCGTAAGTTTTATCAAAGAGGAATATGGGGAGCAGCTTTTGAAGGAAATTTAGAAAAAGTAAAGAAAAAAATTGCGAATCTAAACAAACATGATAATTATGGCTTTACTGGAAAGTGAAATATTTCACTAGTTTAAAAAATAATTAAATATTTATTTGAAAATTAGTATTTCGCTCCTGAAAGCTATTCATTATGCAGGCATGGATGGAAAATCTAGAATCAGATTTTTGTTTCTAGAATATTCTAAGCGTGTTTTGCGAGTTTTTCCGGTTCAAAAGTTTCTGCTTTTCCAACCTTACAATTCCAGCGCGACAGAAACACAAGCACATAATTCAATTCTTACTGAACCAAAGGGATATTGAAGTAAACGCTAGAACTAACGGTGGATGCACTCCCCTTCATAGAGCAGCCATTACAGGTGCTTTACTGTGAAATACAGTAAGATAAGAAGTAATTAAGGGGATCAATCGGTGGTAGAGCTATTTCTAGCGAAAAAATCCGTCGATTTCTCAGCGGTTGATGACGAGGGCCAAAATTTTCTCCACAAACTTGCCAAGTCCAAAAAATTCTCGAAACAGTTTTTATCTAGAATTTTCGCTAACTATTCCGAACTCCTCGTTTCTGACAATTATTCCAAACTGCCTTCTGATTATCAATCCTAATTTCAATTTTATGAAATTGATCTTTTTTCTCACAAAATTTCTTATTTTTAGACGGTTTATTTTGAGGCAAACTTGGCGAACAAAAAAATTCGTGCGTATTCGCCAAGATCGCAAAGGAGAAGGAGTCAATCTTCAATTCCCTAAGAAGATTTCCTAAAAAAGGAAATCGGGATGGACGAAGATACCAAGCTGGCGCTTGAGCGGCAGAAACAAATAAACGACATCAGCAACTATAAGAAACTCGAGAAGATCGGAGAAGGAACATATGGCATCGTCTACCGCTGCAAATACCTTCCAACAGGACAAACTGTTGCAATGAAAAAATTTCGTCTGGGAGACGAGGAAGAAGGAATTCCGCCGACAAGGTAAGACTTAAATCGTTTTGGGCTGTTTCAACGCAATTCTAGCGTTCGCGAAATCTCCCTGCTCAAAGAACTGAAGCACCCGAACATAGTCGACTTGATCACGATTTTGGTGGAAAAGGAGAAAATCTATCTCGTGTTCGAATTCATGCCCATGGATCTCAAGCAATATCTCGACTCCCTCAAAAGTAAATAAACCCCTTTCCCCTTCCCACTCTAACTTCAAATTTCAGACGGAGGAAAATGCATGCGCGAAAAACTCGTTCGATCATACATGTTTCAGCTTGTTTGTGTAAGTCAAAGACCACTCCCTTCCTCGCTTTTCTGACAGTCATTCATTAGGGCTTGTCATTTTGCCATAGTCGTCGAATACTCCATCGTGATCTGAAGCCACAAAATCTTCTGATCGACGAATCTGGCAACATCAAACTTGCTGATTTTGGCCTCGCTCGCGCTGTTTCCATTCCTGTCCGCGTCTACACCCACGAAATCATCACCATGTGGTACAGAGCGCCGGAAATTCTTCTCGGTCAAAAGGTAGGCATTCATTCTTGTTTCTGGCGACTCAATGAGCTCTAGAACTACTCTACGCCCGTGGATGTCTGGTCCTTAGGCGCAATCTACGCAGAAATGACGACATGCAAGGCCCTCTTCCCTGGCGATTCGGAAATCGATCAAATGTTCAAAATCTTCCGCATTTTGGGAACGCCGAGCAAAGACTGCTGGCCCGAGGTCGAAAACTTGCCCGATTTCAAAGTCGAGTTCCCGCAGTTTCCGCCGATCGGCATCCTGAATCGACTGAAAGAGCAAAACAAAAACATCGAGCTTTGCAAAGAAGGACTTGACTTGATGACGTCGTTCTTGCATTACGATCCAAAGAAACGATTGTCCATGCGCAAGGCCTTTGACCATCCATACTTCGACAAGCCACAGTAAGATCTTTTCCTCTGCTCATGAGCTGATTTCTCTTTTTCAGCTTGGACCGAAAGATGTACCAGGCAATGCGATGCCCTGTGGTCCCCGACTACACGAAACCAGACGCGAATACAGGGGCGCTGAACCTGAACACATCGCTCAATTCGATGGAACAGTAACTTTCCTCGTTCTTTCCTTTTCTCCATTGAAAAGAAGTATTCAAACCGTTCCCCATTCACACTGAAACACTTTGTGACATTCCAGTCATTCACACACCTGCCCCACTAAACTCAAACATTTTCTACTCCCCTTTTTGTAACAAAATCAATCGTTTCAGATTGAAAGGGACCAAATAAATCATGACCCGAGGTCAGAAGAAGCATCTGAAGCGGCTGAATGCCCCCAACCACTGGATGTTGGACAAGCTTACCGGTGTCTACGCCCCCAAGCCTTCCCAGGGTATGATATAGCCCTTGCCTTTTTTCGGCAGAAGTTGTCACGGAACTAATCTTTTGATTAGGACCCCACAAGCAGCGGGAGTGCCTCCCCCTCATCCTTTTCCTCCGTAACCGATTGCACTACGCTCTCACCGGTGCAGAGGTCAAGAAGATCCTTATGCAGCGATTAGTCAAGGTCGACGGCAAGGTCCGAACCGATGTCAACTTCCCCGCTGGTTTCATGGACGTCATCTCTTTGGAGCGAACCAACGAGCACTTCCGATTGATCTACGACGTCAAGGGCCGATTCGCTGTCCACCGAATCACCCCCGAGGAGGGCAAGTACAAGCTCTGCCGTATCACCAAGATCGGTGTTGCTGCCAAGGTAAGATCAACCCTTAGAATCAAGGAAGACTAACTCAAATTTTCCCTGCAGGGTGTTCCATTCGTCGTCACCCACGACGCCCGAACCATCCGATACCCCAACCCCGACATCAAGGTCAACGACTCCGTCATCCTTGACATCGAGTCTGGTGCCATCACCGAGCACGTCCGATTCGACACCGGATCCCTCTGCATGATCACTGGCGGTCATAACTTGGGTCGTGTTGGAGTCATCGCCTCCCGAGACCGACACCCTGGTTCCTTCGATATCGTCAACATCAAGGACGCCACTGGTGCCGTCTTCGCCACTCGACTTGAGTAAGACTCAATTCCTTTGTCACGATCCTATTTTCCATTCTAGCAACGTCTTCGTCATTGGCCGAGGAAAGCAGGCCCTCGTCTCCCTCCCACGACAGAAGGGAATCAGAATCTCCATCGCTGAAGAGCGAGAGAAGCGACTTGCCCGTTAATTTGTCCCTGTGCGCGTAAAACTGTACTTGTGAAGATTTAACTGCGGCTACTGTCCAAAACCAGAAATTAAAGGATCACTCTTTTAGATCAAAGGACTCTTAATTAATCGATATGGATAAGGCCGCCGCCCCAGTCAAGCTTGCTAAGGTCACCGACGTTCTCGGCCGAACTGGTTCCCAAGGTCAGTGTACCCAGGTAAGTCGACGACTTCAAAACTTCCAAAAATGTGTAGAGTTGCTTTCTAAAACTTCACTTTTCAGGTCAAGGTCGAGTTCCTCGATGACACCAAGCGATCCATCATCCGAAACGTCAAAGGACCCGTCCGTGAGGGGGACATCCTCACCCTTCTCGAATCCGAAAGAGAAGCCCGACGACTCCGATAAGTGGACAGCTCCACCACTCTTGTCTACTCAGTTCTGCTGTGTGTGATAAATAAACAAAAATGGAGTAAAATCGGTCTCGTTTCCAAATAGTTTTAAAATTTCGCAGGATTCAGCTAGTTAAAATCCTTTGACGCATGTTTTCTTCCTATAGAGGTGATAGTTTTTAATGATGCGCGAATTCAGATGAGTTGAAATCGTCGAAAAATAAACCATGACAGACGTGGCCGTAATCTTACAGAGCCTGGAGTCGGGCACGCTCCCGATGCAGTCAGGACTCTCGGCGCTTTTGATGAAGTCTCGCGACAATCCGGTAGAAGTTCTTTCCTCTGTTCCCTTTCTCGTCCAGCGATTATCGAACGAAAATGACTTGAACAAGATCTCCATTATTCTAAACATCTTTTGTGAGCTGCTTGGCGCCTCGGAAAGCGAGAGAGTTGGTGATTCCACTGCCGAGAGCATCATCAAGTCGGATGTGTTGACGACGCTGTTCAGTTTATTGCCCGAGACGGAGTTTTCTGTTAGATTCCCTCTTTTGCGAACGCTTCTTTATACTTGTCAACGAGTACCGAAAGATGTCCAACTGGCAGCCGTGTCATCTGGAATTGCGATTGGACAATTAACTGGTATTCTTCAGGATTCTCGAGAGATTCTCAGGTTTGTTTTATCCGAGAACTTATTATAAAACGATTCCCAGGAATGAAGCTGTGCTACTTTTCTCAGAACTATGCGAGGATAATCAAGACTTGCCAGTTCTTTTCGCCTTTGAGTCTGGATTCGAGCTGCTTATCCACATTTTTGAATCTGAATCTTGGGCTGATGGCGGCGTCGTTGTTCAAGACTGCCTCCAACTCATGTGGCTGGTGTTGAACGAAAATACGAACACGCAGTCATTTTTCAAAGAAATGGGGTTCATGCACAAGCTCCTTCCGCTCTTCGCCGCTCCCGAGCGTTGGGGAAAAAGAAGAAGTGCAATCGCTTCGTCCTCGGTTCAGCTATTTTCCGTCTTTGTTTCTCCTTCTCTTCCGGCTAATCATGTGATAGCGATGGTGCAAACGATGGATCAAATCGGTCTTTTGCCTCATGTTCTCAACCTTGTTCGCTCTCCTGGATGCCCAGACGAAGTCGTCGAGTCCTGCTTGATTCATCTTTCCCGAGTTTGTTCGCAGTCTTCAACGCAATCAATTATCGATTCTGGAGTCTGTCTCGCTGCTCTAACACTAACCCTAAACTCTGAGCGACGCTTTCCCTTGCGCCAGGCCGGCTGGGAACTCACAAGAGCATGTATTCAACGATCAGCAGTAACTCAACAAGAACTTGTCTTTGGGATTTCTCAAGCGACGGCTGGAGATACGACACAACCAAAAACATTCGGCTCTCTCATGGGAAGACATATTTTAGTAGCTCTCATGGGCGGCGACGCAAGCTGCTGCTGGTTCAGTGCCACTATTCTCGCCCGTTGCTTGACCGATCCTTCAGTCAAAGAATGGCTTCTCACAGTGAAGCTTCCTTACCAAGACTCAGACGGTTCTGTCAAACGATCCGTGACTTTATTTACGATTTTGACATCGAGAATACTGCAGAGACCCGTTCGCCTTGCAATCTTGCTCTTACTCGCTTCCTGGTCACATGGTTCCCCTGGTGCTATCGCCGCTTTATTGTCCAACTCTCCTGAAACGCCCGAAGCTAACTCCCTCCACGTCCTGCTCAATATCCTTTCGCAAAATCCGAATTCGGACGATCTTCTCGACATTTCCGAGCGATGCGTCTCCAGCTACATCCTTCTCCTTGCCGTATTACAGCTCCCAGCTGTGCGCGGACAACTCATTCCCGTTCTACAGCAACTGGGTGGTCGATTTGTTGATCCACTTAGAATCGCTAATAAAAAATCGTCAATGTATAAAAGTGGCGATCTTTTGCTCGAGGAAGATTTTAGGAAGCTCGTCCGTGATGCGTTACCAGCGGCGGAAGAAATCATGAAAGTCCAGTTGAAGCCAAAAACTCCCTCTCCTACCCAAACACCCGCTCCTAAAGCAAGTACTCCGGAGCCGAAAAAGGAAGAAGAGCTGGAAGAAAACCGTGATTCCGAAATGAAAAGTGAGCACTCGAGCCCAAGCCCCTCTCCTATTCCAACGATGGACTCTTCCATGACAAAAGAGGCCGACACTTCATCTATCATCGAAAAAGAAGAACTAGAGCAGCAAATCCTTGACATGTCAAATGAACTGATTTGCCTCAGAGAACGAATCAATGATCTGGAATCTGAACTCGATACGAAATCAGTTGATGTCGAAAAATACTCCAACGAAGTTAAATCGCTTCAAGAAAATTTGGAAGGAAAATCAGCTGAGAGCAACAAAACTGCGGAAAAAATCAAAGAACTTGAAGCTAACTTGGAAGAAAAATCCAAAGACAACATCAGCTACAGCCGTAAAATTGATGAACTTGAGGAGCAATTGATTTTGCTAGAATCAGAATCAAACTCAACGGCTGCTACTGCAAATGGTGATGCTAAACCTGGTGATCAGAGTCAATCGAAAAGAATCAAGGAGCTCGAAGCCGAGTTGAAATCAGTGACACTGAAGGCAAATCATTCAAAAATTGCGATGACCAATTTGGAAAAAAGTATTTCAAGTTATCACGACAAAATTAATATGCTCGAAGGTGAAGGGACTTTTTTTATTTGATCTGGTGTTCGACTTGTCTTCTGGAATTAAAATAACATTCTAGCGCGAAATGTCGAGATCCAAACGCATCTGACTGGGGTTGAAGAGCACAACAAAAAGCTAAAGAGCGAGTTGATCGAGAAAACGACGCAGTGCGAAAAGTCAGAAGAAGAAGTTCGTGTGCTGATGTCGTCTACGTCATCGGATAATATTGAAAACGCAACAAAGATTCAGGAGTTGGAGGCTGAGCGAGACTTGTTGCTCTCTGAGAATACTCAAAAGTTTGATCAAAATCGCGTCTTGCAGGTAAGCCTTTTCTCTTTTTTCAGTTAAAAAACAATCCCCATTACTAATGGGCCATTAGGATCGAATTCTGAAGCTAGAAACACTTCTGAAGCAGCAAAACGAGTTTATTGACAAGCACGAGCAAGAGGCCCAAAACAATAGAGATATCCAAGAGAAGATTGTTCTCCTGGAAGATGCGCTTCAAGACATGGAAGCGAGACACAAGAGAGAGATGAACTACAAAGATGATGCATTGAGCGAGCTTGAGCGACAGTTGGACCGAAAAGAGTAAGTTTCAAAACTGTTAAGGATAAGATGAAATTGATTGATTTTTCTGTTCAGAAGTCAGGCAAAAGAAACGAAAGAAACCATCAGCGATCTAAAAGAAATGCTCTCAGAGACGAAGGAAACAATCCACGAACACGTAGCTGTGATCGGAAGTCAACGAGCAGAGATAGACTCGCTGCGTAATTTGCTCGATCAAAACGGAATCGAGGTAAGTCAGGAAATATCATTCAATATTTTCTGATTATTAGAGTTTGGAGGAAAGGGCGGTCAAAAGCACTGAAAGCGCTTTTTCAACTAGACCTGGCTTTTCAAGGATTCCGAAACTAGTTAGATCCAGGGAGAAATCGTCGAGTATTTCATCCGACTCATTGGAGGTTAAATGAATTAACCGTCGTAAATCATCATAAATGTCCATTATAAACTTTATAACACTTTATAACTTCGCTAACAAATACAGAAACAAATGCGAATCAACCTAGCGTAAATCGTCGAAAATTGTCTAAAATCATATTTTCGTTCCATACTTCAGTTAAAGCTCTCTTAAGCTGCCTGCTAGGAAGAACTCAAGTGGAAGTACCGAGCGTGTCCGTCAATCATCAGCCGAGTCCTCGACCCCTACTGTAGTTGAAAACGGAGATCAAGGAGAGCCAAAAGATCTAGGTAATGCTTCCCCAATCCTCATTTCCCTGACGATTACCAAATGACTAGACATGATGCATCTCCAGAAACCAGTCCACGCTGACGTCTTGCTGCGAATCGACTCGACAAATAGCGAGAGCTCAAGAACCTCAAATTCGAAAGCTGAAAAACCTGAGAGCAAACCTTCAGCAACCTCGCCTTCAATCGAGATAACAGCAAATTCCGAGATCATCAATCAGTCTTCCCAGAATCCCCCTAAATCAGAAGAGTCAGATGGTAAGTCAATGAAACAGGGGGCGAGGTATCTAACCATTTTTAGATTCATCCTCTTTAGAAATTCAGGCATTCTCGTTTGCCAAATATTTTAAAGATCAAGCATCAGAGGGTGATATTTTATAAAATGCACGCTTTGATTTTTTCCACTCACTATTTTTAACACACGCTTTTCATTTACCGCCAATAAACCTGCCCTATCTTCAAAGAAACAGTTATTGAAAATCAACGAAGCTTCAAGACTGAATGGTAGATTCAGTTTGTAATTTAGAATTCTTCGACTCGCCCAGATCATCACACTATGAGCATTTACGAAGGATGATGCCCTCGGCAGTGTCATCTGGAGCCGATATTTCAGCCAACGAAGGGTTCGACTATGACGCCGATGTAACTGAAACCAAACGACGTAAATCAAAGATTCAGCTTGACAGGTAATCAGAGCACAAAAAGCCCAAAATGGAAAATGAGTGTATGTCGCTTCAGAATTCGACAACACGGAGAGAAGCAGAAAATCAGGGAAAAGTCCAACGAAGCAGACAACAAGAGCCAAGAGCAGGATAAGAACTCCTCCGAAAAATCATCTTCTAGTAAATCTTCGAAGAAACCAAACGCGCCTAGCTCAAGATCAAAAGCAGCGCAAAAGAAGCCGAATAAAAAGATCGCCAATAAGCCCCCTCGATCGAAGAGGAAGTGATACTTTCACACCTCACTATAGGGATGAAGGCAGTTTCAGTTTTTTAGTTAACTTATATAACTTTTATGTTTATTCAACTTTTAGTTTTACCTTCACTTTTCATCATTTCTGTATTCTGTATTAGAAAATATTTCTACTGTCTAAGTTCCGTTTTGTATCTATTTCAAAAATTATAATTACATCCGCCTATCAGTTTGTTCTTATCAACATCAATTCTTCTATTGACCTAATTTCAATTATGATGATTTCATTTTTCCTTTCTTCTTCTTGTATATTTTCTCTAACTTATCTCATGGTACCGGACCGCATGTGTGCAATATGGAGTAAAATAACAGTTCCGAAAAACATTTCCTCTATTTCTTTTCATCCCTCTATTCAGGCAAGTTCGATTGGTAAATGTCGGAGAGAAAAAGATCTTGGGATGGACTCGACGATGAGCTTTTAGAGCCTAAAAAGGTATAGAACTTTCTTTTGAATTCATTTTAATATCTTTTGAAGGGAAAATTAGACAACGAGGAAGAGCATGACGAGGACGCTCTGTTGCTAAATGAAGATCTCGATGATGATCTTCTCAAAGACTCGGACGCGGAGCTAGAAAATGAGCTGAATGGAGCGGATAATCTTTCCGACAGTGAGCTAGGTAAAAATAATATCAGAGTAACACCGGTAAATACTTTTTTCAATTTAGACCTCGAAGACAAGGAAGAGAACAAAGAAGAAACAGTCGAGAAAGAGGAAAAAGCTCAAAGCAGCAAAACTGAAAGCCCCAAGAATACAGAACCAAAAGATGAGCTCGCGGTTGATCTCGAAGAAGAAGAGCTCGACTACGATGACGAATTGTCCGACGATGGGTCTGCAAAGGTTCGAGAGTCCAAATTCAAAAGCGAACGGAAAGATGAAAGCGAGCCTATTCGAACAAAAAGGTATTTCCTGAGCATTTTTTATGCCCTAGCCCCTCTTTTCTAGCCCTAAAGACATCCCTGATAAACTGGAAGTATCAAAAGAAGTGCAGGAAAGGATAGAAAAGGCAGACAACGAGAACAGAAACCGCCGAAATAATCGCAAGCGCGACAACGAGCGTCACAACAACTCAAGTCGTACAAATCCGCCACTGCCGAAAAACGCTCCGCCGGTGATTCGTTACGGCGTGCCACCTCCCAACATGGGTCACATGCCTCCGGGCCCGCCGATGAATATGCCTGGCGGGCATATCCCACCTATGCCGTTTCCGCCAGCTTCAGCCATGGTAAGAAAGCCGGCATTCTTCATTGTGAAGCACTGAGTTAATCGATCTTTTAGCAGCAGCAAAATAATATGAGAAAGATCCACGTAAATCCACGATTTCGCAACGCAAGTCAAGCCCGAGCAACTCCCATGGTAAGCAACGCCTTCCAGAGAGAGTCCTTGATCTGTTTTGTCTTAGCCCCCTCGTCCAGTCTACAACCCTGTCCAGCCGCCGTATGGGATGCCGCCAGGGTTAGGAGCACCACCAATGATGGGTGGTCGTCCCCCTTTTCCTCCAGGACCACCCCCAAACATGGGGATGGGTATGAATTTGCCCCCACCTATGATGCCTCCCCGGCCGTACAAATAATTGATAAAATTGTAGAATTTTACAAACAAGACATTTTAAGATTTATGAAAATCTCTTTACTTTATTGCCTAAAATTGTAAATAATAATACTTGAAGAAAAAATATTTTCTATTACAATTTCTCCTTTATTAGTTCAAAAATGAAAGAAATATCTCCAAATCTCATCTTTATCTCAAGAATTTCTGCTTTAAAATCTTTAAAGTTTGCTAATATTAATATTATTATTACTGTATTTCTGTCATTACCCAAGGTTGTTGCTTTCTGATATATCAAAATAATCTTTTTTAACAAAAAATCTGAACTTTAACCTTCTGACTGTATTTTTCAACCAACAAGTCAACTTGGTGATCCCATAAAAAAGAATTTACCCGTTTCTGTTTCTTTAGTTTCTTGATCTACCAAACCAATTGTTTAATGAAAACAAATGTAACAAATCGACAATTCATTCTGCAATGTGTTTCCCTTGATGATTCAATTTCCTGCTGTACGAGAGATAGTTCCAGTGTCGACGAAATTCACGATTTCAAGAAGACGAATTTCAACTCAAGAAGTTAAAATTTTTAATTATCCAATTACTGCCTCAACAATCCGAAAAATAAACAATAAGACTTTCGCAAAATCGTAAATCGTTGGTATTCTTTCATAAATCGAACTGCAGTAACATTTAGTAGACGGCAAATTGACTCATTCCATGATCATCAAATTGTCTTCCCCAGGCGAGTGTCCTTTGCTCGCGGTCTTGTCCAGCGCTGGCAGGTTGAAGCTCCTCATTTTACGGTCTGTGGGTCTGACAATCGGGGCGAATTCTTAATAAAACTTGCGTTGAATAAATGAATGAATGCTGAAAGTCTAACCGATTACGGTACCAAGAGACATTCGCGCACACTTTGCGTTAGTTTGTGCCGCTTGACGAACTGTGACGAGAAATGATTGAAAATAAAGATATTTTATAATCAAGTAATTATTCTGCCGGTTTGTAGATTATAATAAAAGAGAAGAATCTGTCTCTCTTTCCTTCATAAACGGTCTTGAAACCAAGCGTGCCCACTCGTACGGAAATCGAATCAGTAAGATCTTTCATACGGAAATTTAAAAGTGCTCTTTTGCGGAAAATTATTTTTAACTTTCGAACTTTCCTATTGTATATAAAGAAGAGCTTCTCTCATTGTTCATCTTTCGATAATCAAATAATCTAAAAAAGTAAAATTATTTTTAAAATCTTCGTAAAATTCTTTCGTTTTATGGCGTTGAGAGTGAACTGCCAGCTATATTGGCAATGAGCAGTGGCGCCGCCAAGTGACAATACTTGTATTTAAAATCCTATGACGGAATTCGACCAGATGTTCTTTCTTCAGTCAAGATCAAGAATTGCGAGAAAATATTTAAAGAGCCTCTCAATTCAAATTTTATTCAAGAAAAGTCGGCTCCGGGACAGTTAATTTTATCTCAAGATTGACTTAAATTCTTCAAAAGTACTACTGAATCGGATACGGATGATTAAGCATTATTTTTAGGCGCTTGATCCCGTAAAACACTAATTGGAGGATCCTTTTTTTTTGTTTTCCTCTATTCTTCTACTAAAAAATGAGCAAAAATCTGAGAGTCTTCTCTTTTAAGATGTCGGACGTAATCCCTGACGTGACAGGAATCTCGCCGAAGGAGGCGAAGCCTGGCACGAAGTTGACAATCCGTGGGAACAACTTTGGCAAGTCACCTTCCGATCTCGTGGCGGTTTACGTCTGTGGCAAGAATTGCTCATCCTCAGCGGAATGGCAAAGTGAAAGGAAGATTATCTGTCGCGTAGCTGCTGATTGCGAGGGTAATCTATTGAATTGAAATCAAGGAAGACACTATTTATCTAAGGGCGAGGAAGCGTTGTTGTTCACACAAAACGAGGTCCTGGAAAGTGTCAAATTCAATTCACAGCGCTCAAATCTACCCCGCTCGGTCCACTGGAGCAATCGGCTGTTTGGGTAGACGAGGCGCCCGGTGCAGGGGCTTTTTCAAGGTCAGAACGCGGCTCGATCCGCCCGACGTCGCAGGATCCATTGGGGCTCAAGAAAATCGCAGACAAGCCACTTCAGACAGAGCACATTCGATTATTTCCCGGCCAAAGTCCTGATCCAGGAAACGAGCAATTTTCCCCAACATGGTTTCTGCTACATCATCACAAATCGACCAGTTTTAACGATTTGAAGAAAGGCTTGGTCAATTTGACACAGACAAGTCGAGGAGGGGTCGTTCCTCAACCTACTACCGCGCAATCCGCCTCAATGACGCACATAAAAGATTCATTACCGATCTTCTTCGAGGTTCACGAAGGAACGGATTCTCTTTTCCGAAAAAATAGACAGTAAAATTACTGAAATGATAATCTAAAAATAAGCACTCAACTCGATTCACGGGCAAATGGGCAAGCAATCTTCTGTACGAGGAGAACGACCGGATATGACGGACAATCTTTTAAGGCTATTGAAATCGGCAGAATCCAACTCCCAGAATCTATTCCAAGGTAATTCCAAACGTTTATAAATAGGGTTATAATAAGCGACTTCAAGATGTTCTGACCCAAAAGGATAAGGCTGATAAAATCAGAAATACCCTGGCGGTTCTTCAGCGCTTCAAGGTACTTTTAGAACAAAAATACAAGGCTTAAACAATTTCTAGCTTCTGTTCTTTCTTCCCGGTCGAGTAAACGAGCTAAAAGACGACATCTTGGACGTAGACAAGTTCTCGAAAGTCGTGTCTGATGTAGACAAAGTGCGTTCTCTTTTCCGCGATACAAAAGTTCCCGCTTTCCAGAAAGTGATGAAAGAATTACACAACTCCGTCTCCAGTTTACAGACGCATCTACAGGAAAAGCTCTTCGAGTCGTCTGTTCAAAATCAGACTCAGATTGTCCGACAACTTATCGAACTCGGCGCGACGGGCGATCCGACCTGGGATGCTTTACAAACCAGTTTGAGGGTAAAATCGACCTCTAATTTTAAATTTCTACATTTTCCATTTTCAGTCGATGCGTACGAAAAACTTTGCCTCGTTGGAAAAAGCACAAAAGTCGTGGAATAATGAAGCCACATCTATCCGACGCGAATGTATCTCCGCATTCGTTGAGGAAGTATTAACGTTATTCAAATCCGTCTTACCGGATCTATGGAAGCTATGGAATCGATATTCCAATGGAACCTTAATCTCTAATGACGCCGTTCAATCTTCGAAACTGAAGCAGCTCGCTAGCACTCATGCTAAAGAAGTCAAGCGACTCTTTTCCGATGAAATCCTCCACGGAGTTTCAATGATTCGCGCTGCGGTCCTTCACGAAACTCTACAGGCGAAAAACGCGACGGAAGCTGCAGAAAGGCGAGAATACGGAATCTGGCCAGAAGCGTGCTGTAGTGCGGTGAATGCTGCGACGATGAATCGACTTCTTCAGATTTGCAGGGCGATCGATTACAAGGGCATCTACGGAAGCGATCATATAAAAGAGCTGTGCTTCGACTTCCGGGTTCAAACAATCCGATTGCTAATGGAAGAGTTGTTGGAGGAAATCAAGAGTCTGAAGCATCAAGAAGATTGGGAACTCCTGGCCGATGGGGGAACTAACCTTCCGAAACTCTTCGTCTCCGCGGTTGATGAATTCTGTCTCTTAGTCCGGGAGCCTGTGAAGAACTTCCCCAACGAAGAAGTGATCTTCGATCGAATTCAAGTGGAAACGGAGCTTCGTAGCCTGATAGCTTCTATACTTTGTCAGTTTCCTGTCACTCTCAGGTAATGTCAGAAGATAGATTCCCTCACTATCCGTATATAGCCAACTAGCGACGATGGAAGCACCGGCTAACCTCAAGAAAATGTGGCTATCCGGTGCAATGCGGCTTGTCACAGTCCTCTCGAATTCTATCCATTCTAGGATCACCAAAATGAATCATATAGAAGAATCCCTTACAAAGATCGGCTTCCCCGACGCTAGAAAGGTATCATTTTTCATACTGCATAAAGATAAAAGTAAGGAAATTATCCTATATTTAGGTCTGCATCACCGTTCAGCGAAAATTTGCAGAGCTGGACAATCGGCTGATCGAAGGATATCTCGAAACGCGACGAGATCCGATAGTGTGCGCGGTTGAACCTGGGATGTACGCGGGTATGTTTGACTGGGGAGCGTGTCCCAGGCCGACACAAGTTCGTCCCTACGTGAAATTGTGTTTGATCGAAGTAGTAGCGGTTCATGCCGAGCTTCATTCGGTCTCGCAGAAGTTACTGGCTTCTGTTCTTCCCAAGGTATACCACTAACAAACAATCCAATCAACTCTTATCAACTAAGGTTATCGACGGTCTTGGTGACGAATTCGTCCGGCTACTCGGATCAGTGTCCAAGTTTTCAGCACATGGAGGACTACAAGCCAGAATCGAAATTCGAGCTATTGAAGAATGCACCGCTCTTTATAGCTCACCTCGGTCGAAAGAGCTCTTCGAAGAAGCCCTCAAGCTACTCCCTCCCGTCACTGGAAACGAAGAACGGCAGCTTGAAGAGCAAATCATGCAAACGTTCAGAAAACAAATGCGTATTCAACTTATGCCTCTTCGCGATAACTAAACTAGCTATTATTCACCCTATTCGTACTCTATTTCTTCCTCATTTAGTTCAGCTTATTCTTACCTTCATGCAATTTTCAATTAATTCTCAAGCCTTCTTTCTGTACTAAGATTCCTCGCATGTCATTCCTAAAGCTCTCGTTCTTCAATAAAAAGAGTTTTCAGTACAAAATAAATTCCGTGCATGACAGGGCAACTGATTCGATTTCGGTTTCAAAGATGCTACTCAATAACTTGCCGCAGACTTGCGCCCGAGGACAGAAATGAAGGATCATCCGCAGGTTCAAAGATGGGACTTGGTGAAAAGAAGTTCAAAATCGATTGGACTGATAAAGAATACAGGCAAGAGTTACTGACCTCGAGAGCTATTTTTAATCGCTCTTTAGACATTTTCACGCGCGATACAACGCAAATCCAGTAAATCGACCTTATTACAAGTCGAAAAAGCCGTTTGAAGTGTACGATGAAGCTCGAAAAGCTACAGTAGCTCCTCCTCCCGATGTCGATGGTACTGTTAATTCTGATGAAACAGCTGTTCGAGCGTCAGACGGTCCCGCGGAAACCAGAATTCAGCGGAAGATTCGAGAGCTAGAGGAAGCGGAGCGACTAAGATATTACCACGTTTCCGAGTATAAGGTAAAATTAGAATCGGAGAAATGATAATTTTATTTTGATTACGGCAATTTATATAATAATCCGGAAAATTCGAAATTGGATTGTATGATGAAAAAATTATACAACATATTTGTAACGTAAAGACATACCTAAGTGTTCATAGAAACGTTTTGTCTGTCTTTTTCTTACCAAATGTTACTGGAATTTTAGTCATTGTTCAACTCGAAGAGTTGGATCATATCGTCCTTTGATATCTTCGAGAACGTGCTTTTTCACGTGCTCTATCTTTGATTTTTCACCGTGATTTCTGGAGACGTCTTTTTAGGAAGTTGTCGTAAATCAAAGATACATATAAATTATGTATCTTATGAGAATTATTATCATCAAACATTTTAAGCCAAAATGGCACGAGTTCTACGGTCTGCTCTCCAATCTAGATGTCGATTACGAAAAAGAAGCTGCAAGACACCAAAAATGGCGTGCGCGTTTGGATTTTGCTCACAAGTTGGGTATTTTTGCTCTTTTCTTGATAACCTTTCTTGGTTTAGGTAAGTTCATACCCCCTCATACTCTCTATAAAGCGTTTTCAGTTGATTTTATTCTAATGGAAGTGGGCTCGCAGTTCATCCCTCGCGGAGAGCTGACGCAGCTCCAAGTTCTTGAAGAAAAACGAGCGCAATTACGAGCACAGCTATCAGATCGAAACTGGGTGATTGATTACGATAAGAAAGAGGCGAAATTGAAAGAGCTTAATAAAGAAATCCGCGAGTTAAAGAAAATTAATCAGGAAGTCGAAAGATTAATTGCTTCTGAAAGTGCGTCTGAAAGTTCATCTTCTGTTAATAAATAAATAAAAGTTTTACCATTCTTCACTTATTTACCGTTAGTAAGAAAGTCTACCTATATTAGAGGTCGATAATTGAAATCGTGATGGACAGAAATGCCAAGCTAGCGGCAGCTCGAAGTAAACTAGCAAAGTTTCAAAAAGCAAAGGCATCAACAGTACCCGCCAAGCGACCCGAAAACGAGGCGATTTCAAGAGGCGGAATCGCAGATGAAAGTGGAGCTCCTTCGGTCAATGGAAATCATGAAGCGCCAGCCCCGTTTTCCATGAATAACTTCAGTCATTCTCAATCTCAACCATCTAATGGCAATAATTTATCCGCGCTAGAACAAGTTGAGCTTCATGCAACACGAGAGCAGCTCCAGGAGCAACAGAAACGAATCACAGAGCTTGAAGAAAGCCTCAAACGAGAACATGAGGAAAAAGAAAATAACGCCACCAATGCCGTTCAATCCATTCAGCAACTTCAACGGCTCCTGGAAGAGACGAAAAATCAAAACGATCTTCTCCAGAAAACGCTAACAGACGAGCAGAGCAAATTTAACCAAATAAACTTCAACAAAGACACAGAAATATCAACTTTGAAGAGTGGTAAACTTCAAGCAGAACAACTTTCCCAGGTTTTTCTTCATCCTAGTTCTTCCTTGATTCCAACGAGTGTTTTTTAGCAACTGAACGACCAACTCAACCAGCTGCAACATCAAGTGGAGGTTTATCAGAGCCAAGTGAGCCAGAACAACTCTCAAAATGTCGCCAACCAGCATCAGTTATCTGGAAAAGTGCAGGAGCAACAAATGACGATTGAAATTCTCGTTGAAGAAAAAGCAGAACTGAATGCCAGGTTCTTCTACAAGCGTTCGAGTGATTGTATCTATAATTCCCTTTAGAGTCCGGCAGTTAGAAGAACTTGAGATCTCGTTGAGAGCAAATCTCGAAGCTTCTCTTTCCAGCGATAAGAATAACTCGCAGAATATTCTTAACCTCCGGAACGGATGAAAATTCTAAACATAGTAATTGTTGCTCAATATTCAATTCCGAACATGCTCGCTAATATCTGATCATTTCCACAATCGAAAGAGAATATCTATTTATAATATTTTAATTGTGTCATTACATCCTCGCAAAAGACAGGAGAATAAACGACTCAACGAGTCCAACGAGCAGCTTTCAAGCCAAATTGACGAAAAAGATGCGACGATTAAAAAATTTCAGCAAACTTCTTCAAGGCTGAAATCTGAGGTCGACATCATTTCGCTCAAAGAAGAGGATAATAAACTGATGATCGAGCAGTTGGAAGCGCAGATCAAGGAGTTCCAACAAATTAACGCGACATTGACAGAAGAAAAGAACATGGCGGAAGCATCGCTAATGCAAATGTCTTCGGGATCCGACGCTGTTCTTCTTGAGCGAAATCGGTTGATGGACATCGTCAACGAGTTGAAAGCGCGAGTTCAGCAGCAGCAATACCAACTAGAAGAAATTTCCTCTGAGCGAGACCAGTATCGACTTCAACAACACGCGACTACGGAAAAGAGTCAAGCAGCTATCAACGGCCTGGCCGAGCAATTGGACACTTCTGTGAAGGAGAATGATACGCTGAAGGAAGAAATTGCCGTTCTTCGCGAGCAATGTAAGTTGATGCATAAAATATACTTGAAGTTATTGCAACGCAAAATAAGAAGCATGCTTCTCATACCAGCAGGAAAGATAAATACGTATTAGCATTCAGTGGCAGTAACGATTGAATCCAACACTTTGCCTGTACAGGCTGTTTAGGTCTGGCAAAATAGTTTTGTCTGTAAATTCGAATGTCTGAAGTCTCAGCGCAAGTTTGATTTCCATTCGCAAGTCTACCGGCAAGACGAAAGCATATCTTTGGTCACTCATGTATACACCGTATACAGTATACGAATCATGTGCCAGTAGCCATAATACCTTTGATAGAATTATCATCTATTAAATAAGATGTGTTCATTCATGAATAAACGATTACATAAAAATATACGCGATTTTGTTCCTCGTTAAAAAGGTTTAGTTATCAGATCATTTCGTAACATCTATTTTGAACGGTGTGTGCGCCAGAATATTTTGGCGCCCTCTACACTGGTCTATTCTCCCGTCGACTATTTAAGTTTCTCCAAGGAAATTTTCAGTCATCATTAGTTTCACTATCTTAATAACGAAAAATGAATATCCTCAAACTGTTCGTTCTTGTCCTCTCCGTCGAAGGTCGTGGCTTGCGCAGAAATCGACGGGATCTGAGCTCGCAGAATAGAATGGCCAACAATATGTTTCTCCAAGAAGTTGCACTTCGAAACCCACAGAAACGAGACCAGCTATCATACTATCAAATGCTTCACAGCTATCTGAGCAAGCAGCAGCGTTCAAAACACACTGTCGACTTTCTTAATCATGTTGAAGGTCAACTTGAGCGTTTATAGCTCGACTGTAACCTCTCTTCACTATCGTCGATTATTTATCGAAAATATAAATAAAGATCATTTATATTTAACTTGTCATTTTTCCGTTGTCTTTCTTCATTTATAATTCATTCCAAAATCACTTATCGAAAGTGACTGCTAAGAAGTTTCGCTTCTTCGAGTGTCATTTACAAAACCAGACACTTCGAGAAATGAACCCTTTTATATACTTTTTACTCCTCATCGAATGTTCTTTCGCTCGAGGAAAAATGAGCAAACGAGATCATGCAGGAGTGAACAGACTTTCGAATAACATCTTTTACTCGTACAAAGCATTTTCTGATCCACATGAGGAAGCGCAGGATCTACTCCATCAAATCTACGATCACATGAATGATTATCGCATGAAGAACCAGTTTGGCCTTTTCTTTCATTTTCAATAAATGTTTTAATAAAGCGCAAAATATTATATTCCTTTCCAGGCTTTTCAACAAGCTCCAGGGTTAAATCTATCTTTTTCTCACAATATTTTTCAGCGGTTTCAAAAGCCGACGATTCCGAAATTGACGAGTTGACCAAGACCATTCTTGAGCACGAGGAAACTTTCAAAGAGCTCGACTCTGAAATCAAGCTCCAAACTGAAGCTCGCCATCAAGCCGAGCAAAAAGTGCAAGATGTCCGTAAAGAAAAGGAAGAATTGCAAGCGCTTGTTCAGCATGAACAGGATCGTTCCGAGGCGTTCCAGCGACGATGCACTGATTTGGAGCAGAGACAGATTGAATATAAAATTATGCTCGAATCATCCGAGGGAGATAAAGCGACGATATCACGTGTGTTGACCCAGAATAAGAAGCTAAAGGATGAATTCGAGGAATTACAGAATCAGCTCGTTCTCGTCACGAATCAGAAAGCAGATATGCTTCAAGATAATGACGGGCTAAGGCATAAATTAAAAGCAGCAGAAGCCGCGATTGAAGAATCTCAAGGCGTTCAACTAGATAAAGACCAGTGGAGGTATATTCCTTAGGAAGTGTTTTTCGTAAGTTTTAAAATAAGGGACCAGCTGGAAAGTCACGAGCAAGCAATCAAAAATCTCCGCGCCGATCTTGACTTGTCCCAGCAAGAAGTCAAAAATACACTTCGGGAAAATGCCGAGCTCCGCGATGCTCTGAAGACGGCTAGATCTCAAGCAAGACCACCAGTGTCTTCTATGATTTCCGTCGAAACGGTAAAATTCAAATATAATTTCGAACGATTATAAATATTTTCTTCAAATTTTAAATTAGCTTCCGCTTCCGCGCAGCCGTACAGAATTAGAAGTCTACGTTTTATTTTGTCTGGCTATTTTTTAAAATATTTACATCCGGGTTAACTGCGGTCGTGCTGAAGCTAATTTGAAACGAGAAATGAATATATTTTGGTGACACATTCGGTGAACTTTTCTGTCTAGATGACAACTTTTGATGTAAGTATGAACGGTGAACAAGGTGATGACTCAAGCTCATACTCGTTTGTTGGTGTGAGCGAACAAGGCTCTAGCCAGGATCTTGGAGAGGACCTGGTCGAGATGCATGAATCTGAGCATGCAATCGCTCAGCCGGGCGTGTTCCCTGATGATACTTTGGTGATTCCCATCCTTTTCTATATCATTTTGTTTACAAAAACACTAGGCGAACATTGAACCGATCAATCAAACGGTCTCTGAAAAGCCAGAGATCATCAACAGATTGGAAGCTCAAATCGAAACGCTGGAAAAAGAGCGCGACGAGCTAACCTCCCAACTTGTGGAGGCTAAGCAGAAGCAACTCAAGCTCATGGAAAAGACCGATGCGGCGATGGAAAGACCAGCCCAAGAGGACTACTCTGCTCTCAAATCAGCGAAAGAAGCGTTGGAAACTAAATTTGTCGATGTATGATTTTGCAGAATTTGTTGTTGACGACTATTTTTATATTTTTAGATCATTCAGCAAAATGCTTCAATAAAAGATGAGAACGAGAAGCTTGAGGCCTTGGTTCTTCAATTGAATGCTGAAACGGATACAATTATAGAATATGTTTCTCTATATCGAGATCAACGTTCCGCTCTTGCGAGGAAAGACAAAGCTACGGTGGCAATTTTTTTTAATTTCGGAAGAGATACCGGTGAAACTAAGATCTAAAATGAGATCTCACTTTCCAGGAGAAGGTTGAAAGAATATTTTAACCTATCTCAATGTCGATCTCTGTATAAATTTTGTCATCGTTGGAAAAGAAAGAAATGAAGAACTTCAAGCTCTTGCTTTACAAAGACAAGAGGTCCAGGCGAGGGTAAATCAGCTAGAGATGCTGCTCAAGTCTACTGTTCAAAACATCAGGCCTCAAGTCGAAGCTGCTCAAACGGTAAGAATTAGCTTTATTTTGCTGCTTTTCATTTTGTAATCTTAGATATCCGAGACTAAAAAAGATGAAACTTCTTCCGATGCTGGTTCAACAGCTCCTGAAGGCGAGATTGAAAGATCAGAAGAAGCTCCTGAGTCTTTAGAACTATCCGAAACAGAGAAAGGAAACATCGATAAAATTCTGACACTTCTGGACGAAATTCGAGACCCCTTCCAAGGCCAATCTACTCCCGCAATGATCGGCATGGAGTACGAAGGGCAACTAATGATCGTCTAAGATACCAGCACCTATCGCTATTAAAAAATATTATCATAGTCGACTTCATCCAACTTCTGTAATAATATTTTCCCTAATTCTATTTTCTGTAAGAGCTTCTGTTTATATAAATATCTACCGGTTTTAAAGCTGCTCCATGCTAGTATCTTACTGTTCTTTTACAGTGTGAAGTGGTAAAATGTGCAATAATATCTTTCAAAGATAGTCCATTCAAAATAAAAAAGTAACATTCACAAAAAAAAACAAGGCATTAAATTTTTATTCTTCAGACAGAATGAGCAGATTGCATTATGCGGACTTTAGCGGCACTGAAAGTCATCGAAATGTGAACATCGGCAGGCGGCAGAGGAGCGACAAGAATGATTTCTTGAACAAACGGCAGCAGGAGCGCGAGAGAAGGGCTCAGGAACGCAAGAATGAGAAATCAGCAGTTGTGATCCAAGCTGCGTGGCGGAGCCTTGTGTCGAGGCGTAGGAGCGTCTTGGATTTTCAGAAGGATTTGTCGCAAATACTGGCCAGCGCGAGCCTAGGTGCGCGAAATCGGAAAGCTATCTCCCTTTTCCTCCTTTCTTCGAGGTCCGGGCCAGGTGAAGAGCTCGTGACAGCTCTGGTTAATCATTTGTCCAGACAACAGGAAGTGACGGGATTCACTTTTCATCAAAATGAAGTGTCGATTCGCTGTCGAACACTTTGTAAAAACATGAAGAAACTTCTCTAAAAAGAACCTCAAGAGAATCCCGAAATAAGCGATCAGCTCTTTGTCTGATCATTCCATTTCCACCGCCTTCCTGATCATCGAGATCTTGTCTCACGTTAAATACCTGTGTGGGCACTGGTAGTCTGATATTAAATTTAATTTTCACTTCTGATTTTCCATCCAGAACATCGGAAATTAATTTCACGATCGAATTGTTGATTATCAGTTGAAAGAGAAGCTGCTCCTCGAATTGGCCCTGGATTAAGAGTAGTAGAGAAGCTGATAGCATCTCGCCCAGAATCTATCATTGATGCGATCCAATTTGGCATGTTCCGACTTCTAGCGTCAATCCAACTTTTGCTCCTTCCTTCTGACACGACAGATTTAACGCGTTGCCCGCCGCGAGTCGTTGCCATCACTGATATAATCATGAAGGTCTTGAATTCTGTTGAAAGAAGCCCACGATCAACAATCGGAATAAAATGCTTCCTGCGCGACTACATCGGTTCCACTGGCAATTCCTTCCTTTCATCACAAGTTGCACTTGCGATCAAGGAAGACTCACGTGTCAGCGAATTCATTTTAAATGCGATTGACAGTTTTGTCACTGAACAGACAATCATCGTTTCTTTTTCACAAGGTATTTCAAAAATTTATCATTTGGATGTTAAATAGTGTTGGTTTCAGAAACAAACTCTTTTGGCGATTTTTCAAGAAGGAAACTCCCCCATTTCAATGATGCTCGTTATGTTCCAGTTTTTCCCGATTCCGAACTTCTTCATTTTCTGTTAATAATCGCCTCCAATGCAGCGCAATCTTCACAATCAAATACAGTTCTCAAGTCGATCTGTTGGTGCTCAAAGAGCGCTATTCAGCAGCCGGTCTCTACCGATGCCTTTGAAATGGAAGACGACGATGATTGGCTCGACGAGGACGAAGACGAGTTTGATGATGAAAACTCTTTCGTTTCGACGCTCAATCTTCGTGAACAGGAGCTTCGAAACAACCTGGCTTTGTATTTTGCCACGCTGGACTTTGACGCAATCGATTCGGAGCTCATCGTTGAAGTCGTCAAGTTGATAACGTCTCTCAACGACTCAAGCTTGTACTTGAAAGTTTCGACAAACACAGGTTTCCTGAAAGCACTCTGGACAAAAATCGAGACCATGGAGAGTCCCCTTGGAGGAAAAGTGGCGGAACGACTGATAGGGTTCCGGCCGGTGACGGAAGACGACTTTAATGATTTCTCGTCGTTAGTGCATTACTTTTGCAGCACAATCAGGCTTCAGTTAATCGGTAACGAATAGAGATTTTTAACGATGATTTTCATGATTTTGTAGCGCTATCCGACGATGAGCTTAGCAACGACAAATTTCTGATTCCAGCTAAATCGTTGACAGAATTTACTTCATTTTTCTGTCGCCTAGGCGTTGGAATCGTCAAATTTCTCTTTGGCGGACAACGCGAGACCCGCATCTCAACCCAAAGCGGATTCAACTTACTAACGCCAATGTCAAAGGTACGAGTCTATTTTCTCATTTTTAAATTATCCGGCGAAAATACCGGTCATGACAATGTTGACGCAAGTAATGAAAAAGACGAGCATAAGAGAGAAGGACTGAACAGTTCGAGCGAGGAAATTTTTGTTTGGGTGTTGGATAAAGCTGAAGATGCAGGTGTTGACGACTCCTATCAGAATCTGAAACGAACACTAGAGAAAGAGAGAAGGAGAAAGGATGCTACCTGTCCTGAGATAGAGATAAGGACGAGGAAGAGGAGACATTTCCATGTGAATGGGCGAACCTCGCATCCAGTTGGAACAGAGACTCCATTTTCAAGAGTCCTTGTCTAAAATAAGATCTCATTTCATGTGATTTTTATTAGTTTTACCTGCTCCCAATCTATCTTCCCGCAGAGGTCATACATTACCATGAGAATTCGTAACTATAAACATCAGATTGGAAAATCAAGTTAGCCGAAGAGTTAACCTGATTAGCATTTGCAGTAAGTAAGGCCATGTCCACCGCAACGGACGTAATCGTCTTCTCAGTATGACACAAGCACTCGCATCCGACGGGGCACTCTTGAACAGAAATTTTACATGTGTTTTACACGACTCAGTACGTTTTTTCACGGTCTTTTTTCGTTTGAAGAACCCGAAGAAGCCCGACTTCTTTTCTTTCTTCGGTTCAATTTTCTTTGGAGTCTGTCGTTTTACCTTCCTTGGTGCTTGATGGTTCTTTTCCGGTGGATTTGAGTCGCAAGAATAACCACTGTCTAGGTTGTCTTCTTGGAAGACAATGTCCTAAAATTAATATAAGAAAAAGGCCAAACTGTACCCGAAACCTCTTCGTTAAAAAGTGGTTGCTCCTTGCTTCCAGTAGATCCCTTCTCTCTGTAATAACTCCGATCGTAGGCAGATTTCTTGGCATCTTCTTTAGCTTGTTTAGCTTTTCCAGCTTCCTCGTCTAAACTCGGATAAACCATGTTTGAAAACTAATAAATCTCGTAGATGTCACTTTCAATCGTTTCCTGGCTCCTGTCATCCCTCAAAGCTATTAAGGTGACAGTGCATGTTACTTTCACACTTTATTAAGTGTCCTCAACTCGTCAAGGATTACCTATCATATTCAGAAAGATATCCTGCATCTCTCTTTTCTTAATTTTAAAATAACTGTAGCCTTCAACTCTGCTGGCTAACGTATCTAGGCATCATTTTTATCGCCCTATCGAACTATCACTAGACACTTGTTTTGCTAGATTCCTGGTTATCGGAATCATAAATTGCAAATGAAAACAACTGCTAGTAATTCCTCGTGACCAGCTGTTTGAAGACCAAAATACCTTGAATTTTTCTCGTTTTCCAAAGCAGCCTTGCATATTTCGATTGTTTTTCTTCTCTTCTTGTTTCCTATTCTCATAAACCTGAAATAAGCCTGCGATTACGTCCATGCACGGCCGAGTAACTTTCGGAAACGGAATATACGCAAAATTAACTCTGATGAAGTTGGTATGGCGCGTCGTTTCCGTCTGCTGAGCTGCTAGAATGTTAAAGATTAATGACTTTCTTTTTATCCGACAAAGAAGAGCGTGTGAGTTTCTGAACTTCTCTCAGCTGTTTAGAACAAAAGGAGGCGTTTATTGCTGAGGAAATCCACAATCAACAAAATTCACGATCTCGTTAATTAACTGCAACTTTAAGCTCCTGCGAAACCTCCTTTCCCGTGCAGAGCGGAACCCGAACATTATTCATCGTGTATTCTCCGATCATGTCTATTTCCCCGTCGAAGATTTTTCAAGTGAGTTAATTTCTCCCGCCACATGGCTTGACGCAAATATTCTAAGTTCTCCGGAAGCAGCCGATGCTCGATGAATCCTCGCAAATACAAAACGTTGCTAAAAACTTCTACGGCGCGCGTAATTACGATAAACAACTGATGACGATTCTGTCCTTTTTTCCCTTCGCGATTCCGTTTTCCAAGCGGATCACGATTTTTTATAATCTTCTGGAAAACGATCAAGCTCCCAATCCTTCCATGTTTCGGAACGACACAAGAAGAATGCGATATAGAATCAGACGCGACCGGGTGTTCGAAGATGCTTACTCGCAAATGTCCCATGCTGACTGGAAACACGACTTTGACATTGAAATTATGAACGATGGACGCGTCGAGCCTGGTTTCGGCCAAGGCGTGACGCGCTGGTTTACTGAGGCGTTGCTTCAAGCTGCTTTTGATCCTAAAGTCGGCCTGATGCTGCAGAATGAGAATGGCGAGCTCTACCCCAATCCTTTCGTCAGCCAAATTTATCCAGACTCTTTTGAGGCTTATTACAAGTATGGTTGAACAAATAAGACTTTTATTAATCTTCTTAGGTTTTTGGGGAAGATTCTCGGCTACATGGTCTACACGAAATCAATCAACTATCTACCTCTCTGTTCATTTTTCCTATCAAAGATCCTCCGTGGAAGTATCGAACTCGACCTTTCCGAACTTCAAGGACTCGATAAAGGTACCATTATTAGACTTGAAACGCCTTATATTATCTTTTTAGAGCTTTACAAAAACCTGATGTATTTGAAATCAAATCCTGAGGAAATCGAATCAATGGGTCTCGATTTTACGGCGAATTTATCAGCCCTTGGCAATGCAGAAACTGTAGAACTGAAGCCAAATGGATCAAACGTCCCCGTCGACAAATCTAACTACACAGAATTTATCATCAAAGTTGCAGATTTTCACTTGAACAAGGCTGTCGCTCGTCAATGCAACGGTAAGAGAGAATAAAATATCCTTGTTGATTCCGTATTTTAGCATTCCGCGCTGGCTTCTACTCAATCATCGACCAGGCATGGGTGAAGCTCTTCGACCAGCGCGAGTTCGACATTCTCATCCAAGGCGTCAAACAAGACATCGACATCGAAGATCTAAAGAAAAACACTGTCTACTACAAAATGCGCGACGACGATGATCGATGCTTTACTGCTGATCATCCGACGATTGTTGCATTCTGGCAAGTCCTGAACGATTTCAATACTGAGGAGCGGGTCAAGTTCTTGAAGTTTACGACCAGTTCGCCCAGAGCGCCATTGAGAGGCTTTGCAGAGCTCAATCCGCGGTTCACGCTGATTAATACTAATGAAGGTAATCACCTCCCTCCCAATTTGAACCGAACTTTTCCCAAGATACATCACGGTTACCGTCTGCCTCAACATGCGTCAACTTGCTCAAAATGCCTCCCTATCCAAATCGCCAACTCCTAGAGGAAAAACTCCGCCTCGCGATCGAAGCTGTCACCTTCGAATTTTCCTAAACGAAATCGGACCTAACCAAAACTTGCATCTTACATGAACAAACTCGATGATTTTTCTGCTCTACAACTTCTTCACGGATAATTCTATATTCTTCCCTTTTTAAAAATCTAATAAAAAAAATGATGGAAATGAATCAACAAAGCTACAAAGGACTTTGTTCAAGTAATTATTGTAGCAGCATCCACGCGTTTAGCTTCAATTATCCGAGCAATGGCAATTATCTCTCATGCGTTAAAAACAACATGCCTCTAATTAGGTTAAAGAATCCAGCTTCGTAAGTTGTTAGTACCATTTATTTTTGCTTTGTAATCAGTAGCGATAGATAGATACTAGCGGCCAAGTCCTGCAGACCCCAAAACATCATTCCAGGGCATTGAGCTTCCAGCTTTAAAATTTACATGAAGATTTTCGTCTATCATTTGCATCATCTTACGCTTTTTATAGGCAGAGAGCATCTTCGACCAGCTGCGACTCGAGATAGATCTGAAGGCAGCGTCGGAGCCCTTATCAGCAAGGAAGAATACTACTTTTCCGCTCTTCAATCCATTAGTAGGAAGTTGTTAGTGCTAAAAGGCCATCTTATCAGTTCGGAATTCGACCGTGTTTAGCTAACAATTCCTCCTTATCATATTCACGATATTTTCATAATTAGTACTTTGAGGTTTACTCGTGACGCTAGAATGATAAGATACTGTTTTATTTCTCTACGTAAGTTCTTCAACCTCAATCGACTGATAGTACCCAGCCGATAGGCGGTTATTAAGTATATCTTTAATTTTGTCAAGCGGTTTTCCTGAAACAAGTAAAATCCTTTTTAAAAACATGTTTTCTCCTGCTAGCTCTTAGGTCTTGATAAATAATAATCCGGAATTTCTTGCCCTGCTCCTTTTAACCCTTCAAAATTGCGCCATCATGTGGTCAGTAAGTCAATAGACGTGTATTGTGATTTTGCTGGTGTATTATAAATATACAGTGTGACGCGTTAAGACTATGTACAGTAGTTTTTTCTTCTTCTTTGCTGCATTGGCAATTTGGCAGGGTAAAAATTTCTTAAAAATTAATTCCCTGGCTGAGTTTTTTTAATTTTAAAAATTCAAAAAAATGGTGGAGGAATCAAAATGGACATGTTGATGATTTGTACAGATACTGCTCATAATTTTGAAAAGGAGGATTTGGGGGTTTAGATGGGAACATCGTAGCCGTCCGGACTGTATGACTTCGACTTGGGGCCGAGGCCTTTAAAGTTGCCAAAGTGGACGTGATCGTAAGTCGACGGAACTTGGGAAAAGCTCATTGTTCGTTGGACTCCTCCGTTCATTCCGAAATGAGCTCCTGGAGGAATTCCCATTGGTCCAATGTGCCCATAAGGACCCGACATGGATGCCATAGAAGCGCGAGGATCCATCATTCCCATCTTCAAATTTTCCATTGAGTAATTCATTCAAGAGAACAGAAATAGAATACCTGTTGTTGCATTTGAGGCGGCAAGTGGAAGGTTTCATAGTTGGACGGAATCTGGCTCTGCGGAGACATGTTGCCCAAGTGACTCTGGGTCTCGTAAGGGTGGTGCTGACCTAAAACGCCAAAAGTGAGAAAATGAATCTAATTACCCTCGGTGTTGATTTGATTCGCGTGTGCCCAAAAATATGCAAACACATACTTTTAACGTGGCTCCGCACGTTCACTTCTCGAGTGCCCGGGAAAAATATTCCGCCCCTTTAATTTTCCACGAGGATTTTTTACGAGAGCCTCTCATTAGAGAAAAAGATGGCCTTTTTGAAAGCTTGTAAAAACAGTATTAACAAAATAGGCGCACCGGGCCGAAAGTTTTCGCCCGAGATTTAGAATAGAATTTTTTTCTACTCTTGTATTCGAGGCCCACAAACGCATTAATTAGCAACTAATTAACGCTTTAAAATCGAAGAAAAAATTTTTTTTTTTTGAAAAATTTTTCGGAATCTTGGGCCGAAAATTTTCGCCCGAGATTTAGAATAGAATTTTTTTCTAATCTTGTATTCGAGGCCCACAAACGCATTAATTAGCAACTAATTAACGTTTTAAAATCAAAGAAAAAAAAAAATTTTCTTGAAAAATTTTTTGGAATCTGGGGCCGAAAGTTTTGGCTGCGCAAGATTATTTTTTTAATAAACGGCAAATTTCATGGTGGGCTTTTTCGATGTTGCTCGACTCGCGGATGTAGAGCTGATCGTGATTGACCAGAAAGTTGTTGTCTCTATAAGGAGAAGATGAGTTTTGATTCTCTTCCTTGCTGTCAAAAGACTTACACGAAGGAGCAGAGAAAGTGGCGACTGCAGAAGCGAATCAGAGTGAATCCAATGATCGAGAGCACTTCCAGTGTCACGTCCAAAAAGCAAGAGGTCAGATCGTGCGTCGTCTTCGGCAGTTCCGATTCAAATTTTCAATTTTCAAATTTATAGTACCTGTATCTTATTTTCTCCCACGATGATTTGATTTCCCTCGACGAGTTTGTTTTCAACACTGAAGCCCATCTGCTGAGCATCAATCCGAGCATTTATCAAAATTGAAAAAAAAAGAAGATTTTTTGTAGAAAAATAATTTAAATATCGCAAAAACCTAAACCTTATTGTAATTTTTATATCTTTGAATTTCAAAAAGCCAGCCCCTCCGGCCATTTCCCCACGGGGATTTGGCTGGAGGGGCTTTTTTACGTAAGGAGAGCCTTAGGCTGAAGTCGACCAAACGTAAAAAAGCCCCTCCGGCCAAATGCCTTGACGGAAATATTCTAAGTTCTCCGGAAGCAGCCGATGCTCGATGAATCCTCGCAAATACAAAACGTCGCTAAAAATTTCTACGGCGCGCGTAATTATGATAAACAACTGATGACGATTCTGTCCTTTTTTCCCTTCGCGATTCCGTTTTCCAAGCGGATCACGATTTTTTATAATCTTCTGGAAAACGATCAAGCTCCCAATCCTTCCATGTTCCGTAACGACACAAGAAGAATGCGATATAGAATCAGGCGCGACCGGGTTTTTGAAGATGCTTACTCGCAAATGTCCCATGCTGACTGGAAACACGATTTTGACATTGAAATTATGAACGATGGGCGCATCGAGCCTGGTTTCGGCCAAGGCGTGACGCGCTGGTTTACTGAGGCGTTGCTTCAAGCTGCTTTTGATCCTAAAGTCGGCCTGATGCTGCAGAATGAGAATGGCGAGCTCTATCCCAATCCTTTCGTCAGCCAAATTTATCCAGACTCTTTTGAGGCTTACTACAAGTATGGTTGAAGAAATAAGACTTTTTTTAATCTTTGAAGGTTTTTGGGAAAGATTCTCGGCTACATGGTCTACACGAAATCAATCAACTATCTACCTCTCTGTTCATTTTTCCTATCAAAAATCCTCCGTGGAAGTATCGAGCTCGACCTTTCCGAACTTCAAGGACTCGATAAAGGTACCACTATTCAATTAGAACCCCCTTTTATCCCCTTTTAGAGCTTTACAAAAACCTGATGTATTTGAAATCAAATCCCGAGGAAATCGAATCAATGGGTCTCGATTTTACGGCGAATTTATCAGCCCTCGGCAATGCAGAAACTGTAGAACTGAAGCCAAATGGATCGAACATCCCCGTCGACAAATCTAACTACACAGAATTTATCATCAAAGTAGCGGATTTTCACTTGAACAAGGCAGTCGCTCGTCAATGCAACGGTAAAAGAGAATAAAATATCCTTGTTGATTCCGTTTTTTAGCATTCCGCGCTGGTTTCTACTCAATCATCGACCAGGCATGGGTGAAGCTCTTCGACCAGCGCGAGTTCGACATTCTCATCCAAGGCGTCAAACAAGACATCGACATCGAAGATCTAAAGAAAAACACTGTTTACTACAAAATGCGCGACGACGATGATAGATGCTTTACTGCTGATCATCCGACAATTGTTGCATTCTGGCAAGTCCTGAACGACTTCAATACTGAGGAGCGGGTCAAGTTCTTGAAGTTTACGACCAGTTCGCCCAGAGCGCCATTGAGGGGCTTTGCAGAGCTCAATCCGCGGTTCACGCTGATTAATACTAATGAAGGTAATCACCTCCCTTCCAATTTGAATCAAACTCTTTCCAAGATACATCACGGTTACCGTCTGCCTCAACATGCGTCAACTTGCTCAAAATGCCTCCCTATCCAAATCGCCAACTCCTCGAGGAAAAACTCCGCCTCGCGATCGAAGCTGTCACCTTCGAACTTTCCTAAACGAAATCGGACCTAACCAAAACTTGCGTCTTACATGAACAAACTCGATGATTTTTCTGCTCTACAACTTCTATACGGATAATTCTATATTCTTCCCTTTTAAAACATCTAATAAAAAAATGATGGAAATGAATCAACAAAGGACTTTGTTCAAGTAATTATTGTAGCAACATCCACGCGTTTGGCTTCAATTATCCGAGCAATGGCAATTATCTCCCATGCGTTAAAAACAACATGCCTCTAATTAGGTTAAAGAATCCAGCTTCGTAAGTTGTTAGTACCATTTATTTTTGCTTTGTAATCAGTAGCGATAGATAGATACTAGCGGCCAAGTCCTGCAGACCCCAAAACATCATTCCAGGGCATTGAGCTTCCAGCTTTAAAATTAACATCAAGATTTTCTTCTATGATTTGCATCATCTTACGCTTTTTATAGGCAGAGAGCATCTTCGACCAGCTGCGACTCGAGATAGATCTGAAGGCAGCGTCGGTGCCCTTATCAGCAAGGAAGAATACTAGTTTTCCGCTCTACAATCCATTAGTAGGAAGTTGTTAGCGCTAAAAGGCCATCTTATCAGTTCGGAATTCGACCGTGTTTAGCTAACAATTCCTCCTTATCATATTCACGATATTTTCATAATTAGTACTTTGAGGTTTACTCGTGACGCTAGAATGATAAGATACTGTTTTATTTCGCTACGTAAGTTCTGCAACCTCAATCGACTGATAGTACCCAGCCGATAGGCGGTTATTAAGTATATCTATAATTTTGTCAAGCGGTTTTCCTGAAACAAGTAAAATCCTTTTTAAAAACATGTTTTCTCCTGCTAGCTCTTAGGTCTTGATAAATAATAATCCGGAATTTCTTGCCCTGCTCCTTTTAACCCTTCAAAATTGCGCCATCATGTGGTCAGTAAGTCAATAGACGTGCATTGTGATTTTGCTGGTGTATTATAAATATACAGTGTGACGCGTTAAGACTATGTACAGTAGTTTTTTCTTCTTCTTTGCTGCATTGGCAATTTGGCAGGGTAAAAATTTCTTAAAAATTAATTCCCTGGCTGAGTTTTTTTAATTTTAAAAATTCAAAAAAATGGTGGAGGAATCAAAATGGACATGTTGATGATTTGTACAGATACTGCTCATAATTTAGTGTTATTGCTTTTGAAAAGGAGGATTTGGGGTTTTAGATGGGAACATCGTAGCCGTCCGGACTGTATGATTTCGACTTGGGGCCGAGGCCTTTGAAGTTGCCAAAGTGGACGTGATCGTAGGTCGACGGAACTTGGGAAAAGCTCATTGTTCGTTGAACTCCTCCGTTCATTCCGAAATGAGCTCCTGGAGGTATTCCCATTGGTCCAATGTGGCCATAAGGACCCGACATGGATGCCATAGAAGCGCGAGGATCCATCATTCCCATCTTCAAATTTTTCATTGAGTATTTCATTCAGGAGAACAGACATAGAATACCTGTTGTTGCATTTGCGGCGGCAAGTGAAAGGTCTCATAGTTGGACGGAATCTGGCTCTGCGGGGACATGTTGCCCAAGTGACTCTGGGTCTCGTAAGGGTGGTGCTGACCTAAAACGCCAAAAGTGAGAAAATGAATCTAATTACTCTCGCTGTTGATTTGATTCGCGTGTGCCCAAAAATATGCAAACACATACTTTTAACGTGGCTCCGCACGTTCACTTCTCGAGTGCCCGGGAAAAAATATTCCGCCCCTTTAATTTTCCACGAGGATTTTTTACGAGAGCCTCTCATTAGAGAAAAAAGATGGTCTTTTTGAAAGCTTGTAAAAACAGTATTAACAAAGTAGGCTCACCAGGCCGTGCGTAAAAAAAGGTGTCTACTTTTGTCAGAATAATGGATCCTTTGAGGTAATCCGGTAAATTCTCGCGCGTAAGAAAGCTCATTACAGATAGACGTAACGGTAATAAGATTTTTAGAGTAAGACTCGAGAAGCTTATTAGCGACACTTTAATGCCCGGGTATTAGACAAGTACTGCTCTAAGGATTCCGATAAGCACGTTTCAGCGCGTCTAAGGCGATTAAGGGTCCCCACAGCGATAACTTCCCAGTTTGTTCTTACCATGCATCATAAGAGGATATCCACTAGCGTACGAGTCTGGCGAATTTCCACGCGCAAAGCTTGGGTCGAGCATTCCGGGTTCCTGAAAAAACACCAAAAGTTCAAGAGCGAAATGATTATAAGTTAGTGGCTACCGTGGAATAAATGTTATTTGGATTGTGGGGGAGATTGTGGTTGTCATACGCGCTGCCCTTCTTCCGATCGTGGCGGAGAGTTTCTTCTTCTGACGTTCCGGTCAGCAAAATGTTATAATTCAAAGGGATTAACCCATTTTTGAGTTGTTTTCTGACCCGTTCCTTGTGCTCTTCTAGCGTTGGCGCCGCGCAGGCCATTTTTGGTTTGCTCGTCGTCGATTTCCTCGTCTTTGGTTTGCGAGAACTTCGCGTAGGCAAAGGCGATCAAGCAAATCAAAATTAAACCGCCTACGAGCAAGCCTACGATGAGCATTGTGGTCGCTCCGCCGCCCACGCAGGCGACTTGGGCACTGGTTGCTCCGGCGGAGAGTGACCGGGGGATACTCCAGCCGCTTTCGAAACACGTGATCTGAAGGATATCGATAAGGATTTGGTATAGAAAGGGACAGCTGATTTTTCGCAAGCTTGTCTCAAGTTTGAGATTTTTGAAGAAAAAGTCTCGATTCTAGTTTTGCCAAAAACATGGTTAAAGATGCGCTCAATGGTTAAAATGAAAATTTATTTAGGAAGTCGATGATAAGAGCGGTTCTTTAGAGAGCGTGGAACGTGGTCAATGATAAGTGACCACGAGTTGGCACTTGATCGCCTCCCAGCGCCGTTAGTACAGCTTATGGGTACTTACTCGGTCTATCGATGGTTTGTAGCCCCCGTCGCACTCGAGTCTGCATTTCTGCCCTGGTTTAGCGATCCAAGTCGTCAGTTCAGGACAATTTAGGCGCCCGTGCTCGGGCCTCCGCAGCATTTGGCCGGAACATTGCACTAGAATCAAATGTTAAATTTTATTTTATCAATAATTTATTTTTAAAAAACATATTAAAAGGTTAAAGGAAAGATTCGAGCAAAGGAAGTCTTCAAGGAAAAAATTTTTCTTGAACAAATTGACTTAAAAATAATAAAATATTTATAAATAAAAAAGTGACGTGATTAAATCTTAGCTAAGATTATAAATCTTAAAGTGACCGGAAGTCTCGCCAGGCTGGATCAGTGATCGCTTAGGGCGGATAAGCCGTAATCACATCATCTTCTTGGACTTGTTTGGACCGCTTTGCCAAATAATTATCTCCAGCTTGGAGCAAAATATTTAGAAATTGAGATCACATTTTTTTCGCTTTTGGGGTTTGTTCATCGGTGACTCGACGTGAACTTTAGGATTAACCTCAATTTAGCAAAATTAACAAAAAATAATAGAAGAAAAGTGAAGCTCAATTTTTCAATTTTAGACACTGTCAGGTTATCTTTGACGAAGCTGTTTGACGGAGCTGTATTAATCAAATTCTAATCACGAAAGAATTTGAAATGGAACTTCAGTCGAACAGTTGTTCACGTGACATTTCATTATTTGACAAAAGAAAGCATAATTGATACCGGTGAGACCAACGATCTCGACGGTACCCTACTTCCCCACGGGGCCCCTCTTATTTTTTAATAAGGGTTTTAGTCGAGGTAATACTAAGGGAGTCTTATTAAGGGCAAGGGTTAGGGTTAGGGGCATTTTTTTGACTAGAAATCATGCCCAAATCGTTGGTCTCCTCGGTAACACCCCTTATAGTTATTTTAAAGCACTACCGTAACAGAGTATTTTTTAATCTGAGCTAAGAAGATCGAGCTATTTACGAGTTATTTACAATCTTTCACCCGTAACAAGTGTTTTTACATAAATCTGCGTTCGATCCCCTTTTGCGAAAACAAGCTACAAATATTCACGAAAGTTTCGGTCGACCCGTTAATTTTCTAAAGAACGAATTCGGGGAATCCAAAAAAATGCTAATTTACGTGATTCAATAATCGTGATGAAAGCTCTTTCAACCAGATGACCTTTTTCCCTGCCGCAACTTTTCGAACTTGTCGAGAACGCACTGAAATGTCACTTGCTGACAGTGAGAATGTCAAATGTCACTCCTTATAGTTCCATTGAAACCGAACTTTCTGAGTACAACACAGAGTTGGGACGTTTTTAGACTGGTTGATTTCGGTTCAAGATGAGCAAAGAATAATCTGAAATTGTCAATTTGATCATTGATCAGCAAGAGAAGATCTTGAATTTTCTCATTAGAGCAAATTCTTTTTGGTTGTATAAGAGTCTGAAACGAGCTTGAAATTGCTACTATCGATCATCCTCGGAGAGAGATTCTCAAAATTACATCCGGTCGGGTTCTCTTGGAGGATCTTGGAAGGACTTTATGACAGGTTGAGCGGAGCTTTCCGCCGAATTATGAACATACTAATTCTCAGTCAAAAAAACTACTGCATATTTTATGTCTTAAGACCTTTAGACAGACTTGAAGCTACAGTTCACTGACCTTCTCTTCAGGCATTAGAGTAAAGAGTACTGAGAAACCCTTGCCACAAAAATCATCGGTGCATTCGATATGCTAATAAAATGCTCGATTCCCATTTCTAGCGATTTCTAATGTCGTGAGAGCGGAGGATATGCGCTGGACTGATATGGGCCCTCGTCCGTGAATCCTCCGCAAGAGTAGATATGAGTAGGAGCATCACTTTGTAACCGAGGCCGGATTAGATGCCTTTGCGGCCGTTCCATAACTTTTTAAAATGCGACGGGCAAAAAAAAAACGCTTCTAGCTAAACAGCTCCACGTTTTGCACCTGCAGCTGCTTACGGCGAAATTATCAGCTACGACGTTCGAGTAAACTTTCTCTCTCACCGTAACCGTGAAAAATTTACGATTGCTGCCCTTTTTCAAGCGGTTCACAGAGGCACTTTCTAAGTTTGATTCTTTCAATTTTTTGAGTCGAAAATTTCAAAGAGGAGGAAATTGAATCTGTTTAGATTTTTTGCCCACTGTTTCTAGAGCGAGCTAGCTGTTTTAGACTGCCCATCGCCAAGTTCTAATTTTCTGGTCGGTTTTAGTTTTCGCCGCAGCGGACAGGCATAATTTGTCAACCCCGTCATCATGTAATGAACCGACGCCAAAACTAAGGCTATTTTGGGACCGTTGTTATTCGACCGGGCAAAAAAAAGAAGAAGCTACGGGTTTCTTGAGCATTTAAATCGATTCTTTGGCCAAAGACTCTCTTCAGTAAAAATGAGGATGAAATGCCTCGAGTGTTGTAAACATCGTAAATTATAATTCCAGCGGTTTCTAGTTTCGAGTAAAGAGTACGCCGCGGAAATTCCTTTTCCATAACTTGGGATAGAACGTCCGCGCCACCTCATCTCCAAAAAGGGTTGAAAATGCTAATTTTACTTTAACCAAGTCTTTTTCAAAAGGATGTTAATTTTTTTTATCGCGAAAAAAGTCTGAAAAGTCCAAACTTTCTCAATCATTTTTAGCCTTCTTATCTTGAAGTTTATGAATCCTCCCAACCGACTGATATTTTTCCTCAAAGCTCAGTTTCCTTCCAAGCAAATTTTCTTGCCAATTAAAATATTTTGGCCCGTTCCATTACATCACGCTCAAACATTTCTGTAAACACAATTATAATCTCCAAACTGGCCCAAATAAAACGTAATACCGTAAGTTAGTCGATCTTAAGAAAAATCAAAATTAGCCAAATTTATGCGAATTCGATTTTGATGCTTCCGAAGTGCTTCCGAAAAATGAACATGCCCGTCAAACATAATCTGACAGAATCTGCATTTTTGAAAGTGCAGTTTATTAATGAGCCTAAATTCTATAAGGGATGCTTTTCAAGTTTAGGTTTTAGGGTTGATCGAGGTCTTTTTGTTTCGAAATTTGGACTCAACCAAAAAATGGAAGTGTATTTTTGGATTACCAATAAGATTGCTGTATTTGGCCTACCGGCTAATCAAAACCCCAATCCAGAAAATCACTTCCTTTTTTGGTTGTACCCCGAAATTTCGAGGAAATCTATTTTTTGAATGAAATTTTTAAAGAATTCAGGGAAGAAAGTGCGTCTTTTGGCCATTTTTCGTTGAGGAAGAATATTTAACCAAAGCTGTTTTCCAGAAAAAATAACTCTGGTGTCAGCTGTTGTATATTGACAAGAAAGTTCTTGTTGCACTTCTGGCTACTTATCATTGAAATAATAATACATGCGCTGTCCCCTTGTCTGCTGCATTTTTCACTCTTGACTTGAGAACTCAACAAAATGCAACATGGACATAATCGCTTTCTAACAAGAAAAAGTCAAAAAACAGGGTCAGCTTTCTGCTCTCTTTTTTGTATGTTCAACATAAACAACAAACTTTTTTCTGCCCAGAACCATCCCTTGTTCGAAACTGTTTCGTGCTATTATTAATCAAAACCCTTGATGGATGAAAACACGTGACACAAAAACAGAACCTCCAGGCTGGCTCTGGTATTGTCGAAAACAATTCGAAAGAATTCAATTAAAACGTTTCTTTTTGAAAAAATGCTAATTGAATTCGAAAAGGAAGCACAAAAACATGCAAAGAGGGGAGGCTCATTTCCCAAAATGATTTTGAGAATTGAGAATTCGGAATTGAGATCTTGTAAGAGATAGACAGAGCTTCTAAGCCCAATGATCCGGAGAGTTAGAGGTTTAATTCGATCAAAGGACAAAATCCTTCGAGATTTTCGCCGAAGGGAAAGGTACCTTCAGTCAATCTTTTGGCAAAAGCGCACGAGGAAATTGCGGATTTCCGCGTTAGAGGTTCTAAGTCCAAAAACGTTCTACGCGGCCTTTTTATGACTCAAAGCTCAAAAAAAAAACATTCTTTATCGAAATATGAATTAATTTTCAAAAAAAAGAAAAAAATATGAGAAAATCGATTTTTTAGAAAAAAAAATTAATTTCTAAAATTTTAAAATGAAAAATCATTATTTGATAAATAAAATTTTTAACCAATAATAAAAAAATAATATAATTTTATAAGCTTACCAGACGAACTCATTTTCTTCTTTTGTTTTCTCTCTCAATCCAAGTTTCTTCTTTTTTATTTTTCTTTTTTCGATCTCTTACTTTCTTCTTTAAAAATGATTCTTCCTTGATTTCAAATAAAAATGTAAAGACGCGTCGATTCTTCACTAATTCGTCAATATTTTCTTAATTCCTGTATTCTAGTTTAAATTCCTCAACCGTTTTTTTTGCGTGTTCGGCCAGATGCGTCAGGCGAGCTCGGTTCCTGTGCGGCGCTCGTGCGACTCGTTATCATGAAGACTCAGCGCGCGCTCAACGGCTCCGTGCTACGGACGCGGTGCTCATTGGCCGCGTTGTCCGTCACTTTTACCTGCACCACCGCGAAAATCGCAAAGCGGGACCAAGATCCTTCTCGAGCCGCCCAATTTGGCGATGCCAAGTGGATCAACTCGAAAATTGGCGCTTGCAATAATATAAATGATTATCTAAGAATATCGATGAGATAATTCTAGCTTCGAAACAGATTAATTTGAAGCAACGTTTTGCGGATCAGAGATTTTAATCGAAAATTTTCGACACTAAAGGTCATGAGTTCGAATCTTCGTGGAAACTTTGTCTTTTTTCCTTTTGCTATATTTGAGATCGAGGTCAACTTTTTGGATTGAACCATTTTCAGCCCTAGAAACAACCCGAATTCGAGGCGTTCCGATCAATTTAAGCCTCTCGCCCCTCCTTAAAACGTGTTTTCAATTGAGCCAGCTCCCAAGTTCCTGATCGGGTTATTACTGCACCGCTAAGTTTATTATCGAAGGGAAACTGGTAATTATTATCCTGCCTTTCTTGCTGTGTATTTACACAGGATCGACTGTCCGGATCTTGCAACGTTGCGTTTTGTGTTCAACGAGAACCCATGCATGTTTTTCCTAGTTTACTAAACGTTTGAACTTTTTTGATTAGTTATTTAAAGAACGGGATTTAACCGAGAGTAATCTAAGCGAAAGTGGAAGACACCCTTCTTAAGCCTGTTTTTCAGCGGAGTTTTCTTCCGGAGTTAACATAGCGAGACCCTTATTTTTTCAAGCCAAAAGAAAGCTTAAATCCTCCTCTAAGGTTTCTGCCACAAAATCAATTTTTACAATCTTAAGAATGTTTGATATTCTAGCACCCAAAAAGGGTCTTCAAGCACTTCGAAATACAGAAATTTGAAGCCGTAATCGTTCGCTAACTTTCTTCTACAATAACGCCTTGTAATAACAAGATTGACGCCTTTCTGGAGACCAATAATAATAATATGAAGACGGTATTTATATTAAAAACCAGGCGCAATATTTTGAGTTCGATAAGAAACTCACTTCCCCCGTAATTAGAATCTGGACAGGTTGCATTAAACAAATACCGAACCCACTCAACCTAACCATTTCTCTTATGCGAAAATCAGAGTTCGTTTTAGCAAAACTGCCTAATTTGCAATTTCACGGATGACCTTTTACTCAACGTTCTGATCGCATTAAAAAAACGGGCCCCTAAATTTACTTTTTGTTTGATTCGTCATTATGTCTAAGCTTTTAAACTTTAAACAACTTGTTGTACTGGCGGCTAGTCATTTTAGATGCTCATGTAATTTGACAAAAACGATTATAAAGAACACGTTAAAACTAACTAGTTTTTAATTTTTAAATTCCACAATGACATTGCTAGCCCAATTCCTAGATTTTCTTCAAAAATTTGCGAAGTGACACCCTTATTTTTAAAATATAAAAAAATACAACGCTAGCCAGATCTTTTTGCTGAGTTTTCTTCAAAATTTAACGGAGTGACACCCTTATTTAGCGACTTAATTTTTGTCTTGAAAGGAGAAAGATTAATTAATTAATTATTAATAAATATTAATTTAAATATCTAGTAATTAAACAATCTCGTTTAAAGGCTAAAATTAAGTCGCAAATTAAGGGTGTCACACCGTTAAATTTTGAAGAAAACTCAGCAAAGTAATCTGGCTAGCGTTGTACCTTCAATATCGCTATATTTAAGGGCGTCATCATCTAAATAAGCACATTAGAACTAGTCGACACATAAGACTGACCCTAACTCAATCGATGTGGACACCCTTAAGCAATCTCTTAGCATCTGGATTTTAGAAATTGTCAAGTGGCTGAGAGACTTTGATGGGTGATCCGCTTCTTAGATAACTTGCAAAGTTCTTGAGTTGTTTCAAATATTATTGATAAAACGTGTGAAGATAACAAGAAAAGAAACAGTACTTAGTTTTGATGTCTTTCAGGTGAAAGACAGGCGTGCTGACTAAGAGACAGCTACTTGTCTTGTGCTATTTAGCAACACCTTTGTTTTAGAAAAAAAGAAATGCAATAAAATGTTTGTTTTCGCCAGTACACTCTTTGACATTTCTGGTAAACATTTCAGTCCTCACTCACTTTTCTTTAGAAGCTCACTTTTCATCTTTGGAAAAAAAACCGTGAACAAATTCAATAAGAAAATTTGAAAAGACTTTTCAAGTACAAATTCAATCAAATAAATCGAAGAAAAAATCGGAAGCCACAAACAAAACCCACCTTCAACCCTTTTTTTATATCCAAGGCTGGTCTTTTTCGAGACAGAATAAATTTTTGAATATTCAAATTTTCGGGCAATTTCAGACTTATTTAAAACTTCAAGTCGTGAAAAAAGTCAAAAGCGAAAAGCCAAAATTGATTTTAAAAGAAAACGTAATTATCCCCACCAAGGTCGTAATTAGCGGCACCGCAGAAGCTCATCACCAGCTTGTGTGATCATTTCTACCGTGGAAGGTTGCCCCCCCCTTTTTTGCGATAAGATAGGAGCTCGCGAAAATGTTCTGAAGATATATTTTTATCGAGTTTGCACACTGTGGTCGGGGTAATGCTTATCCAATCACCCCTGGCAGGAGATATTCGACGGAGATTGTGTCATGTTATCTTTCAGACGACCGTTCTTTCTAAAAAATAAGCGTCTCTAACGAAATAAAACTATAATTCAAGAACTTCTTCTTCAAAATTTTTTATGATGATCCGGCGAATTGAATTCAGTGGCCTTTGACGTAATTATCTAACTGTTCAAAATAGAATAATTTCAAAATCTCAGATCAAAAATCGAAAATTGAAAATTGAAAAATTAAAAATGAGAAAATTTGTGAATGCCGCGATCATTTTCCTTCTTTTATTCATATTTTTAGCAAATCTATGTGGCGAAAAAGAGGATTTGGAAGAGAGAAAAGCTCCCGTTGGTCAACTAAGAAGATGGAATCGATCAAAGACCATCGCATTTTTACGTTCGTAAATCAATTTTTCCAAAATCTTCATCAACTCATTCTAGATCCGAAGAAATCAGGAGGTACTTCAATCGATGTAACTCTCTCACCCATCGTCAAGGACCTCTCCACCAGAGAAAACGACAAATACCTTGGTTTTCGCACTTCGACTGGTCATTCTTCAACACTCTTTCGTACAACAACTCTCTTGAGCCGATAATGATGCTGAGAGAACCAATGGCTCGGTCGGTTTCGCACTTTTATTTCAAAAAGACGATGTTTGACGTCACTTCCAAGCGGGAGAACCAGAAGTTTATGAAAATGACGATGGACGAATTTTTCAATGATCCAGTCGAAATAATGCGATTTCAAGAAATTTGGATGGACACCTTTTCCGGCGTTTCTTGGCTCGCTGGAACAATTACGAACCCAGATGATTATACCTTCACTTCTGAGCATTTTAAGAACGATTTCGACAAGCAAAAAAGCTTCGAAAAACTAGAATTGAAAAGGCTAAATGCTTCGTGGAGCTTGACTTTGGCTGCGGACAGACTGGAATCGCTTGGATGGTTTGGAATTTTGGAACGAATGGAGGATTCGGAACGACTTCTTTCGTACGTATCCTTGAATTTTATTTGAATAATTTATTTTTTAAAAGATATTTTTTAGAAGAAAACGTAAAAATTTCCCACAAGCGAAGTACGAAAGAGATCCTAGGGCACAAATACCCGATTCCAAGTCCGTCGGTGTTAAAAAAGCTTCACGATCTTTCGCCTCTTGATCGATGGCTTTATGAATTCGCCAATCGACTCATGGACGCTAGAATTGAAGAGCTTGAAACAGGAGTTTTCGCCCGGCCAGAAAGACCTGCTTTTCCAACAATGACCTGTCTCGCAACGAGTTACATGATCAACTGCCCAAATTCTAGCGCTCTTTCTAATTGGATTAGCTCAAGAGCCACAGCAGAGTATCAAGAGTCATTCGAAAAACTGCTGAAAACATAGTAATAAAGAAACTACTAGTAATTCGAGGTTATTCCAGATTTGAACGAGTTCCCATCAAAATCTAGGACAGAAGTCTTATTTATCTTTTTGACAATTGTGGGCACCTTGGCTCTGCGGACGCGATAACTTCCGATCTGACAAATAAGTTGGTTTTACTGTTCTTTATTTGCGCGCTGAGCTCTTTATCGAACGCCATAATTGGCATAATATTTAGCTTTGAATTAGCCAGAGGCAGTAGTGATTTGCCTCCCAGGCTTCCTCTGAGATCTGCCCTCGGGCGAGAGTTCGCGAAGCTACGAAACATAGAGATCTAAGTAATTCTGGAGACAATTGTTTCGAAACTGGACAAAAGAAAAAATTGCTGGAAAGTGCGTGCCCAAAGCGCTTCTTGCTTTTTGATATTTAATCTTCACAACGAGCGCTAACAACCGCTACGACCACTTACGCGCTGATTACAGTAAAGTTACAGAGAGACGAAAAGAGAGAGCTCTCCCCAGGAGCTGAGGAAAGAGAATGGGGAGGGAAGAATCATCCGTAAATCGGGCAGATCTGCACATTGCTCTTCTTCCAGTAAGTTTAAAAATGAATAGAATTTGGGACCGTCAATCCTGTCAGAAATTTATTTGCCCAGCTTATAGAGCTTTCAAAGAGCGAATTACTTTGAGGATTAGTATGTTTAGTCTAATTTCAAGTAGCTTTTTCAAGTCTTTTTTTCTCAAAAACTCTTATCCAACTTTGGAGTGACCATGACAACAAAGAGTTATGAAAAGCACAATTTTGCGAATTTCCATTGGAAAAACTTTGAATACTTGAATCTTAAATCCGTTTTCAGAGGGAAGCTTGGATTCAAAAGCTCAATTATGCGCAGTTTCAGTCGATTTCGGATGCAGTTTCTTTGGGTTTTGTTAGAGTTGACCCGGATTTCAGGAACAAGCTCAGAATAATTCGATTATTGTAACTCTACAGAGGCTATCTAGAATGGTGTTGCTGTATATTCGCGTTGCTGATTGGTTGATTTAGGAAAAACGGAGTCTTGACCAATCATAAGCGCCGGATGGAGGGGTTCGTTATCAAGGAGAGCTGCAGTAGATTTTCGGTTGAAAATGAGCTTGTTGCAGTTTGAGTCTGATCCGGAAAGAAATCTCCCGTCAAATAAGATTTCGGGAAAGCTTCACCTTTCTTCGCCATGTCGGCCGGGCCCTGGTCGTCGTCAAGAAGAACCAGGAAGAGGAACTCAGGCACAGAGGTCGGAGAAGTTGTTTGATTTGGCATTTGGTTCTTTCAAATTTCAATGTTAAATTGTTTGATCGAAAATTAATCCTCGAAATCCACGGCAGATTTATTTGCCGTTAGTACACTTGTAAATGCTGCCCAACTTGTACAGTAAATGTCGACCTCTCGAACAGAGGTAAACTCATAAATCCATTCTTCTGTCGCGAATTTTCCCTTTAGGGAAGCATTATCTTCCGCCGCACTCGCACTCGTACGAAATTTTATTGCTTCCTGGAGAGTCGCATCTCTATTTGAGCAAAAGCTATACAGATGGCCAGAAACGACCGGTTAAACGGGAACTGACGAGGCTAAATACTTCGCAGATCTTGAGGCAGATGGAGCAAAAGAAATGCCTTGGCGACCGGGTCTAAAAATAAAATAAAAATTATTTTATCAAAATCAATCAAAACCCAATTTCAGACAGCACGGAGTAGTACAACTGGAAAAATTGGCAAAGGAAAATTCTCAAGCTAACAAAGGTTCGTTTACGCTCATTTCTTACAGTAACAGACACCTCGAAATGTGAGTAAACTCCGAAAAGCCATCAGAAGACTCTACGAAGAAGGAATTCTGGAAGACATTTTCCGATTCTTCGAAACCGACAAAGACCGAATCCGCTTTATCGAATGGATGTCCGAGCAGACCTCCCTCGACGACCTTATTCATCAAATGAAGGACGACCCATTTTCAGGAATTAAAAGCTATCTGATCAAGCAGGGCACGTTTTGGAACGAAGGAAAACGTTTTATTTAATAACTATCCCGAAGACTGAAGAATTTCTTAGTCTCATCTTTGTTTCATGACGCGCATTATGAGTGTTTTCATGGACACAAACTTTACTAGTTGCTAATTGAACGTGCAAAAGCCCAAACAGCGATGGCAGCAAATGTCGACAAGCGACGCAGATTCGTCTGGGGCAGCACTGGCGCCGACGCGGAAGCAGTAAGTCATCATTGGCCTCACACGAATCTTGGGATACAGATGTCCATACAGAGTGCTGTTATCAGCGCTAGAGTGGTGAATTTGTGAACGTTGTCTTGCGTCAAAGCCTCTTATCGGCGATTTTGAATTTTGAGTATTTCTTGACTTTTCACCGCAGATTGGCCACTCTAGCAAGCACGCAAACATCTCCAACTTTACTCGGGAGTAAATCATCCCCCGATCTCTGGAATTCCTTCCAAGGAAAGAATATTCTTCTTCCAAAAATTCCACACAGTCAGAGTCAAACACACCGCAACTTTGATAGTCCCGGTTTTGGAAAACAAAAGACGGAAAACCGCGTCGACGAGAATTTGGACCAGCAACACTTGGATGTGTGTATAGTCTCGCTGTTTGAGTTTGTCGAGCAATTGAGTGTCGCTTTTTGAACTCACCGTACTAACTGCTGTTTCCATTAGTAGCCATAACAATTGACATTTTAGCGCTACTCGTTAAAAATGATCCTAAAATGACCGTTCAACCCTAGTGTAGACAAATCTGGACAACCAGATTTCAAATTTCTCTCGAAAAAACGCGAAATCTAACATCTTTCTTCTTAGGCGAAAATTCTCAAAAACCTGGAAGAAAGATTCGATGACCTTCGGGCGACCAAGCCAGAGCCTTCTGAAGCGAGCCCGCAGCAAAGCAGAAGCCGACTTGGACCGAGTGAGTCGCGTGAAAAATCGCGTAGATTACACAATTCACGTTCGATTCATTCTTCCAAGAATCAATCGAAAGGGTCAGTACTCCCTCAGCTTCTTCCGTCGCCCTATCGGAAATGGTTCCAATTCTCGATTACCCTCATTATTTAATAAGCAAAATAAACACCTTCTATAATATTTAGATCCGTGTGGCCACGAAGCGGCCACATATTGAAATAAAATATATATTTTATATTCATAGTGAACTTTGAAATAGACAAGACCCTCGAAGAATGAGCGAGTATTCGAAAATCTCACAAATCGAAGCGAAATCAAGAAGCACGCTTCTTGATTTTGCAGTAGGAAGGTTCATTCAGACTTGCAATTTTATGGAACGATCAATGATTATTTTGAACCTCGAAGGATCAAAAGTTCATCCAGATCTTGTGGTGAGTCCGCCGCGAGATCGATTAGAATCAAACCAAGTGCGGACCAAGAATCTTGCCCTTCCGCCACTAGAACTTGCGCTAGAAGACTCTACTTCTACTAGTGAAGAAAACGCTTTAGAAAAATCCTTGTTAGCGATAGAACCTAATCCTGCTTCGCACGAAACTGACGAAAACTCAATGTACACCGAAGATTTTTCGACTGAAGAAAAATCTTCAGAAAATCGCACGAATTCGCATGTTTCAAATGATCATAAATCCGAAAACGAAAACGCAACTGTCGATCAAAACGCACTCGATATTACAGTGATCAGTAATTCGAACATGGCGACAATAAGTAACACAAACGGGACGGTTGATAATTCAGAAGGATACAACAACGAGTACAGCGACGATGATGGATACGGATATAGCGACGAAGAAAATTACCAGCGGCGGGAGGATGATCGATCTTACGAAAATGGATACTCTAAATCGCACGATAGAAAGGCGAGAGAATCAAAGAGATACCAAAGCAACGAGCTTGATTATCACCACGACCGGGACATACTCAAAGACAGCCAGAAAGGCAACGAGAATCAGTCGCAATTTCCATCAACAAGTACCAACGAAGAACTTGAAGAGAAAATCCGCCAAGGTAAAATTCCAAAATTTCCATCCAAATTTCTCTTATCGTCAATTTATCCAATTCGCCACACGCGCTAATCAAGATTATCCGCCCTTTAGCCCGCGCCGAGCAAGAAGCATTCCGCCGCGAAGAAGAGCGACGTGTCCGGACGGAAGCCGAAGAACGGAGACGGAAAAACGTCTCGCGCCTGAATCGCCTCCGACAAGAGCAGAAAACCGCCGAGGATCGTCGTCTAGCAGTCGTTGCGCAGGAAAGGCATTTGAAAAATGAAATTGCTGATATTGAGGAGCGACGTGCAGGTATGTTTACTCAGATACTATCTACATGGGCGTTTTACATCCTTGGCTTTTACAGTAGAATTCACAAGGAACAAATTAAGAGCTGGAAAAACTAATCATGCTGGAAATTGAACGATCCAGACGACTAGAAGAGCAGCGAAATCCAAATTCAAAGGCCAAGAATCCGTCGAAAAGAAAACCAGTGCTCGGATCAGTAGAATTCAAGCGGAATGCCAATCGTGATAGAATTATTCAGGTCAGTTCCGCTCAATGTCAAAAGGCGAGTTTTCTTTTTAGATGGCTGAGAGAATAAAATTCACAAAATTGCGAAATGAAAATACGATCAAACGAATTGAAAACGAAACAGCCCGGCGGTAATCGATACTTATTCTTCCTTCGTCCTTGAGATCTTTGTTTAGTAAGAAGATGGAAGAGGAACTCCGGCGGGTACGCTCGGATATGATACGTGCAAAGATTAGCCACAATCGAACGTACCGGACCAACAACACCAAACGCAACAGAGCCAAATAATGACAATTCCGCTTTTTTAAAAACCACTGATTTGATCATAAAAATACACATATCTTCAACTTTTCGAACAACTTTTTGTTTACAAAATTATTTTTTATTATTATTATTGAAGCATTAGAAAAATATAATTTACAGTTCTTCTTCCGGCTGACCTTGAAGAGCTCGAGCGTCTTTGATGGCATTGATCCGAACTTGTTCCACTTTTGATTTCAAGTCGAAATAGAGCATTTCAGCTTGCTCTCTGAAAGAAGAATTAGAGAAGACATTCGAAAAATCGTCGTACCTCGTCGAGTCATCATCATGTTCCAAAAGCTCGATCATTTCTTCCATCGCGAAGGGTCTTCTGTTCTTGATGCGGTGCAGTTTTTCATCGAGCTTCTTTTGACGATCCTCGTAGCGCCATTTTTCTTGCATTTTTATCGACGTCTTTGTTGATGGAGCGCTGGAAAAAGGATTGAAAAGAGAAGGCAAACAAAAACTTACATTAGCAAGGCTCGGAGCTGATTGTAAGCGGCGGTCTGGGAAAGCGGCTCGACGTTGTAGGAGTACTCGACCTTTTCATCTTCTGTCAGCTCTAGAATTTTCTCGATGGGCGTCAATTCTTGCTCCAGATCAAGCTCCGCTTCGCGCATCGCCAACGCAGTGATCTTCGACAACTCGGACTCATAAGTCGGCTCCGGCTCGTTTTCATTCTTCTCTTTTTCTTGGACGGGTGGTTCTTCGTCGAGATTTTGTGTGAGGAAGAATGAATCTTGAGGCATTTCTGTTGGGTCTTTTTGGTCTATGGAGATGTCTTTTTCTTTTTCGAGTGACTGGAGTTGACTTTTGGAGTTTTGAATCGCGAGTTGTTCCTTGTGCTTGATTGCTGCTTGTTCTTCTCGGTATGCTTTTATTCTGAAAAGAACTGTAAGAACCTGTTTAGAAGGATCATAAGACTGACCGTTGATCGACTGTAGACTTCTTTACTTTCGGCTCGAACTCTTGAATAATAATTGGATGCTGAATGACAATTGGCGTCTTCTTTGGCGGCTCTGTAGCTTGTCTCTGGATGGCCATCCCGTGTCGCTGGGTCAGATACTCTTTCAAAAGTGGAGGATCGCCTTTTACAGATTGCGTAAGAATCGTATTCGATATAATCAGCCGCTGAAGTGAGGGCATACTCGCCGCCGGAAGAAGCGATTCTTCTGTCTAAAATCATTGAAATCAACGAAGAGAACGACGAGAATTTACTTTACCTTGATAGGATTGGAGGATAAATCGAGCAGCTTCAAGTGCTTTAAAATCAAGTGTCCAGTTTCTGAACCGACAACGGGAATCTCCTCGATGTGGTTTTCATTCAGATAGAGCTCTTGTAGCGACGGAATGTACTGTAGTTGATGGAAACACTGTGATTGAAGCGAATTCGTTGATAGGAGAAGACTTCTTAGTTTTGTAAATGCGCCATCTTCGATTGTTATTTCTCCGATTTGATTTCCGCTCAGATTTAGGACCTAAAAATTGGCTTGAAGTATTTGGATGCTGACTTACTTGAAGGCTTTTTAGCTTTCCAAGGCTAGCCAAGCAATCGCCATTTAGCTTGTTAAAACTCAAGTCCATAAATATCAGGTTTTTGTAGACTTCCGGGTCGGGCAAGCGAATTCGAAATATACTGTTGTAGCTCATCTCAAGGATTTCCAAGTTTTTGGAGAAACACTGTAACTGATCTAGGTTCAGGTAGTTTTCTGTGACATCCAGCGTTACCAGGTTTATATCTAAAAAAGCAGTAAGTAAAAGGCTAATTATTGATACAGTACCTTTCATTTCTTCTGAAAGAACATCTGTATAACAGCCGCCAAAAAGCCGCGCTTTCGTGAGTAAATGTGCTTCCGGCCAGCCATGATTTCGCAGAAGCTCTTTTAGGGTTAAAATATTCGTCTTGATTTCGTCATTTTGTTTTGGAGCGGGAAGACCTTCCTGGTGAAGATTCTTGTTTCGATTGTGTTTTTTGCTGTGTTCTTTTGACAAGTTGATGATCCAGTTTCCGTTTACTGGATCTTGTTTTCTGGCAAAGTTTTAAACAAGGAAAATTTATTTGAAAATACCTGAGATTCTGTGGTCGGAAAACATGATGCGGCACATAATCCGACTCTCCTTCAAGTTTCCAACGTGCCATTTTTTAAAATCTCATTTTTTCCTCTCGTGTGTCGTCTGAAAAAATAATTTTCAAAACTGAATGAATCTCAAAAACAAACAAATCTTCAAGGGATATTCTCGAGAATATATTTCTTTAGAATGTTAGTGAGTAAACTTTGAGTCGATTCTTGCGTTACTACGGCAACAGGACGGGAATAAATGTTAAAAATCAGAGAGATTAGATTGTCTGAGAGTAGTGGTCACTAAAAGAGAAGATAATAGTTTGAGCTTAGCCTCTAATAAGTTTATTGAATTTTTAGTGAGAGCAGATTTAAAATGTGCACAGGAATGGGTAGTCTCTTCAGCAGGTTTCGTCAGCGAAAATGATTGCCACCTCTTCTGATTGATTGCATTCATCGGCGCGTTTGTTGTTCGCCATTTTGGCATCATCGACACCGGCATTGATCGTCTCTCTGAACGAGATGATGTAGCGAAATCGTTTCTCCATTTCGTCCTTGTTGTTGATTGTTCCTTCCTTCGTTTTCTTCATATGACCACGAGTGGCGGAAAGATGATGGATGCTGCTTACTTTCTGTGGGAATGCTTCGATCTCCTTCTTGTATCGGGTTCTCCGAGCGCAGAACCATCTGCTGACGAGGAACAACGGAGAGTCGAGTTCATAAGCGAGTTCTTGCCTTTCCAATTTTGTTGGGTAAGGGTCCGTCATGAAGGCTTGTTCGAGAAGTCGCTCTTTCTCCTTCTTCGAGAGATGAGTTTTTTGCTCGTTGTTGTTTTGCATTTCTTTCTTGTCTGATGTTATGACTGGTTAGCATCCGTTCCCTTTATATACCCTGCACAATCGAAAAGGTGGCGCCACAAGAGCACCGATGAAGAGATCAAGCTGGTTAAAAAATTCCTCCCCTCTCCCGCTGAGAATTAAAGATTCCTGCCGAATATGCCCTGCGTTCTGATGATTATCTTTGCACCAATTCAAATTCGACACTGGAGACTTTCAGCTCAGTTTCAGAAATGCTACTTAGCTGATATTTCATGTTTTTTTTGTATTTTTATTACTCAATATAAAGTATTAGTAAAGTTGAAAGAAATCTTTGAAGAATGGATAACATCGGGTGTCGAAGGTCGAATAGAGAGAAAAAGTCTTCATGTATATTGTTTTATGGGTCAGAGAAAATGTTGCAAAGCTCGGTTGATTGAATTTGAACAAGAATTATTTAGATAAAAAAATGATGAACAGAATTTTTACTGTCTGGGTTGAATATGAATTATTTTAAAAAGTTATACTTGGTTATTTCATTATTGAGTGTTTTACATGGTAATTAGTACTTTAATGGAAGGAGTCGATTATTGTACTGTACAAGCCACGTACCAAAAGGATCAAATGTAGAATTGTTGAGTGGAACTTGGAGTCTATTTAAAAAACACACAGTCTAACTACTGTAACACATTGAACATGAGTAACACCAGTAAGCAGAGATTTCGCGAGTAGGCAACTGTAAGGCTTGTGAATAATAATAATAAATAAAGTTATGCGTGTTTAAATATTTACATAAAAACTCGGGGCTGTTTTTTCTTGCTTTTTCTTTAATTAAGTGTGAACGAAAATAGAACGGTGGGAGACATAGAGCAGCTTCTAGTTGAACGTTGTGAAAGTGGAAGTGAAGTTTGAAGAGCGCATCAGTTGCAGAATTAATGGAGGAGCAAGTTACATTGTCGTTATTTTGTCGGCCCATTCCACAAGTGCGGCGACGAGGACATGGAGGAGAAATTCACGTGCAGCCCGTGCAGACCGTTGTTTTGCTGGTGGTAATGGCTGGAAATGGAATTTAGGGATTGGGTTAGGAAAAATAGTCGTACTTATTCGGCTGGCCTTGTTGCGGTGGATTCGGCCTCTGGACAGGAACTGTATGATGCGGATGAATGTATTGATACTGGCCGAGATTGTTTCTGACGTAGTTTGCTGGATTAACTGTAACTGGCGTGTACTGCTGGTTCGGATCTGGCGCCATGTGAGCATGCGTGCTCGTCTGCGGCAGCTCGCCCTGTTGCGCCGGTGGCAAACCGTTGTATCCTCGATGCTGGAGTTGAGTTGCATTATTCCCGTTCGGCGCGCTTAGAGGCGCCTTGTTCGAGTTGCCTTTCGTCTTTTGCGTTGTTGTTTTTTGTTGATGCTTGTTCTCGCTTGTCACTTGTTGCACGATTTGGTTCTGCGGATGTCCGTTTAGTCGCGGGTTCTGGCGATGATCACTCGGGGTTGCCCGTTTGTGGGGCTCTTCTCGCAGCACCCGCCGCGTCCTCGATCGTTTTGCTTGTTCCTAAAATATGCTTTATATTCCGAAAAGCTGGAGAAACTGTACCTTGTCATATTTTTCGCGTTGCTCGGGCGTCATTAAACTCAACGCCAGGCCATTTGCCTCTTTTAAACTGTTGAGTTCGTTTATCAAATCGTTGATTAGCTGGTCCTTCGACTTGCTTTCTTCTTCAATCATAGTGAGCATGATCTTTTTGCCGTAGTCGAAGAACTCCGTAATCTTGCAGATCGTCTCGTTCGAGCGCACTGGCTCGTCACTTTCAACGCGTACTGGTGCCGCCACCGGTACTGTACGTTTTTGATCTGATAGAATGGGTATTCAAAAACGGTATAAAAAAGCGTAACTCACCGAAAATTTTCTTATCAGGTTTTGGCCTCGGTTCATAATTTTCTGAAGCCGCAGATGAAGTGGGTTGCTGAGCTTCGCGCAATTGATTTCTCGGAACCTGATTCTCATCTTTCGCTTTTTCCTCGAGCTCTTTCACTGGACTTGCGACTTTGGAGATTACTTTTTCAGGTGCTTCCCGCGGCTCGCCAGCTTCAAATAATTATAAATGGATACAATAATTGAAAGTATACCTGGCGACTTTGATTTCGCCCCGTCAACGTCAATTTGCCCGTGATTTTGCTCCTTGACTTTCGCGAAGCCGTCGAGAATGGTTATCAAACTGATAGTAGAAGGCTTCATCGGTGGCCCGAATTCCGGTGCTTTGTTCACCAACTCGGGGGACTTGGGCGTCGAGTTCTTGCCTACTTCGTGCTTCAACTCAACTCTTCTCACGACGTTGATATCTTTACCAGAAGCTGCGTGGCGAATCCCGTCGCCTTCGTTGGGCACTTTATCGGTGATCTCCCACCGATCCTTGCTCCATTTGTTGTTTAATTTAACGCGGATGAATTGTTTCTTGTTCGCTGCTGTTGTTTCCGGCTTCTTCGCGCTCGGGTCGGGCGCTGTTTTGACGCTGGAACCGGTGTTGATGTGGATTTGAGTGTTGTTCGTGATCAGCGGCTCTTCGTCGTCGTCCGAGTCGTCTTCAGAGGATGAAGAAGAGGACTTAGATAAGGTTGAATATATAGTTGGAGAAGTACAGTGTACCTTATCGGGATTATCAACGCCATGGTCAAGCGGGTCGTGCTTCAACGATTGCGGCTTGTCAAGCCGTTTGACTCTCTGTTGGATTTCGACGACCCTGAACCCGCTGTTGGAGCCAACAGGCTCAATTGGCACTGTACGATCCATTGTTTCGTTACTACTGTTCGTGCCTTTCATCCAGACTTCATGAGTGCTCTTTTAGAAACTCTTGTCAGTGTTTCTCTTCGATTCGGATCGTCATTCTAGCGCGAGTTCATAAGTAGGGAGGGTCATAAGAAAATTCGCAAATATTTAAACTCCACTATTCGCGGAAAAGTGAGGCTGTGGCATGGCAAACAGATACAGCTTTTAACAGATACAGCAGTACTAAAGAAGAACTTCTCTAAACGATTTGAGAACGATTGAGGCAGAATTAAAAATAGACTTGAAAAAGAGGCAGTTTTGGGAGTTCATTTTAGCCGGTGATACCGTAGCGTGGGCGCCGAGCAAGACGCCCTGAGCGCGAGAGACAGATGAACTTTCTGATAGCGAAAAATACATGTAATGTATTGAACTTTTGGAAATGTGAATTTTCTAAATTGAGGGTATGACGGTAACACGGCAGTGATGAACTTCAATTACATAATTTAAGAAACAATAACTTTTGACGTCATTAAATATAGGAAAATGACTTCATCTCTGAAAAGCACTGTGTCAGTCAGAATGAGCATCTAGTGACATCGAGTCACCATACTCATCATCGCAAGGAGAAACAGGGAAGCCATAAGTTCGCTTGATCCACTGTCCTTCAATTTCTTCCCCGATTGATTTTCCTTTGATCTAAAAAAAGGAGCAGTTAAAATTAAGAAAAAAACTATCGACAAACCTTGGCAGAGCACAGCCAGACCCAAGGCATCCGATGATAGTCCACCGGTTTCTCCAAAAAGATTTTAAATTTCTTCTTGCTGTTGAAAGTTGTTGTAATCCGTTCTTTCAGATCGTATAAGGTGGAGACTTCCTTCATTTGCTTCATATAAGGATCGTAGTTGTCTGGTCGACCGGTTGGATGCTTCTCATCAAACCAGCATTCGACTATCATGGCGGGTTTATCCTTCGAGACTTCGACATCTCTGTGGCAGTTCATCAGTCGACCACTTTCCAGAAGCTTATGCGTAACGACAACGGGAGAGTTCTTTGGATCATCCAAGTCGGTTAAGATAAGACTCGATTTACTCCAAACTAAAGAGGTGTTTATGCCTTAGATAATCAAAATTCTGAGCTGATATTTTCTCAAAGAAAATACATAAAAACATCATTTTTATCGAAAATACGCGACTCTAGAAATTACCTTCAACTTTGGGAATCTGAAAATCCGCCAAAATTCGCGGATTCTTTCTCAGACAGCTTCTGATGCTCGTCAGTTCTCGCTCGTCTCGAGGGTAGATCATGAAGCTGTTGAGAATTATCCCGCGACAGTTTCTTTGTTCGTCGTACGGGATGTAGTCGATTTTAAAATGCTTCTTTAGTCGGGTGAATACTTCCTTGCTTCGTATTTCCGGATCGTTGGTTTCATAACAAATCTGCAGAGCTAGCGGCAGTCGAGTTTCACTGAAAGACTCTGAAAAAGAAAATAATGAATGCGTTGGATATTCCGCGTTACTTGTCAGGTATCGAAGGGCCATTCGATGCAGATCTCCTGTGACTTCATTTTTGTAGATGACGGTGGCGGTTTTTCTTTTTTCGCGAGAGGACTCGACAAGGTCCAAAATCTGCTCCATCTTTTTGTATGGTCGGATGAATCCAGCTTCGATTAATACTCGCGCTCTGAAAACATTCTGTTTTCATTTTTGAATGCCCGGATTACTTGACAATTAAAAATGTAATTTCACTCACCTAAGAGAAATGGCTTGAATCATCGGCAGCCCCAATTCCTGTCGATCTGGATGCTCGAGGGTAATCAATGGCGCGTCCCGAAAACTCCATTTCGGCAACTGTTCGTTAGGTGAGTCGATATAAAGTATCTTCTGCGCAGAGAGCTCCCGCCAGTACGCGTTAATAGCATCAACTTTAACCAAAGAAAAGGGCGCTGGAGTCGCTCCAAATGCGGTAAACGCGACTCCTTCTGCTGGGCGATGAAGATTCAAAACCGGCGAGAATTTGAAGTCGTGTTCCCGAACTTAATTTCTTATTTTACAGGTTTCCTAAAATTTTCACTCTGAAGAACTTACTGCAGTTTTGAGCTTCTCGGGCGGCGATGATAAATTCCGGTTCATTTCTCTTCGTTGCTTCGCGCTTTTGAAAGTCGTCGACGATTTCCTTCCGTGTTTCAAAGATATCCTGCTCTGACTCAAGTTCCATCGTCCTTTCCTTCATTCTTCGCTCAAGTTGGGCTTTCACTGTACCTTCCTGAATGATCATTTGCCTCGCGAACTCTTCGCGCATCTCTTTGCCCGATCTTTGACGGCCTTGATCATCTTTGCCTTCTGGATGTTTAACTCTTCGACCATGCAATCCGACAGCAGCTGAACTAGAGCCGTAAAAGTGGTGAAAACAGTAAAACATAGGCAGAAACGACATCATAAAACTTTCCAATGCATAATTAACGCGATTACATAATTACAAATTTGAATCTCACGTGAACGAATTATTCTATTAGAATTGTTTGATTAGTTTAAAACTAATCATCAAAAAACGAGTCACCGACCAAACCCTTCGAAAATCAAAATTACCTGTACGTCATCAATATTTTTGTCGATTATATCATCAAATTGCTTTCTACTTCTCAAATTTGAGCTCGGAAAGATCGATTCAACCTCGTGATAGTTCTTATTGCTCTTATTGTGTTCTGCGATTCGTTTTACATGCTTGGCGCAGTAGAACTTGATCCCTCCGGGACAGCGATCGCATTTGAATGATGGCGTTTGTGTTTCACCGACGAAAACGCAAATTGCGCAGCCATTCGGATCAAAGATCTCGGCCATTTTCCTCGTTTTCTTGATGAAATCATCGAGTACTTGCTTTCGTCTCTGAGCAGTATCGACACTCATTTCTAAAAAACAGCTTTTTCAATGAGGATCAAAGTAAAATGAATCAGTACAGTTTTGCTAATGCTAAAGAGCTCCAATCAAGCTCGTATTGAATCAAAATACTGACTCAAGCGTGTCTAAAAACTAAGAAGGTCTGAAAAAAGAAGACAATCACAGAATTTCTCTTATTCAATTGAAAACGTTTTTCAATATTGAAAATCGAAATGGTAGTTACAAATGTTACGAAGGAAGTTCGCAGGGGCTGTCATAATCATATTTTAACGAGAATTCCGCCCGGGGGTATTTTTGTCTTCAGGGTTTCTTTGACCGATTTATTTGACCATTGTCTTCCAGAATCTGGCGCAGACAGTTGTTGATGTGCTTCCATCGGTCGCCTCCAAGGTGAATTCCTCCGTACCAACGAGTCACGATCACGGCGATGTTCATTGCGCCCGTTATGTCCACGAGATGCAACATTCGACCCTGAACACAACCTCATTATTGATGAAGTAGCCTACTTAAACTTGAGGTCTTCAAGTAGGCAAATTGAAATTCTATGGGGTATTCCGTGTTTTTATGAACTGAGCAAAATAATAAAATAGCCATGCCTTGCGTGGCTAACTTTACTATTGGAAGCTGCGAATGGCATCTCAATTTAGAAACAATTGTTCCCGAATAGCATCATTAAAAATTTTATTCCCAAGTCCTTAAACTCACAAAGCCTTAAATCACTAACGGTCCATAACCGGTCATAAAAATAAAAGTTCACCCCAAACTCGAAAAATAATCCCCTCTCTAAGCCATTACCTCTGCTCCACTCTCTCCATCTTCATCAGCATCTGACTTGACTATTCCATTTTCGTTGACTTTATAAACAAACTAGAAAAAAGCTCGTGTTTTTCTCGGAAAATTAGACTACCATGTTGTGAGTAGCCGACGCAATTTTTCGATTTTGAAGGAGTTTTTCTCGAAATCTGAGCGCTTCGGCTACTGTATTAACTTTTGCATAAAAGGGCTGGAAAGTGGACTTGCGATCGATAATTGTCTCGCCGGCGACGATTGCGATATCGCTGATGAGCGGGTCCTCAATTTTCTCAGCCGGCTTCTCACTCTTTTGGTATTCCAAGGAAGCTGCCTCTCTAGATTTCTTGGCTCTCTCACCATCGGCCAAGGTTAGTATCTCTTTAGGACGCTCAAACCAGTTCGATTTCAAATAATTATCGATTGGGAAATTTACCAAGACCTTGATTGACGAAAACACGCAAATGAATAAACTCTAAGAAAGCAAGAAATCGCTTATTATTTCATCAAATGTTATACAAATCTTATACTGCTTATAAATTCGAAAATATTAGGATTAATATGTCTCAAAGTTTGATGATAGTTTTGGGACATGCTAATCCGTTTATTTTTCATTATGATTGTCTGTTATTGATTGGGCTCGGCAACCTGCTTAGAAAACCTGAGTCAGGGACCTGATAAAGCTCTTATAAAAGCCGCGTGACTTTTTCAGGACCCTGATTCAGGCTTTTTTCACAGGTTATCGAGCCGAACGTCGATATTTTTTACATTCAGCATACTGTATGCTGCATACACTAACTTTTCTCAATTTTTAAACTCATCTTATTGTCTAAGGGTTGAAAGATGAATAAATTAACTCGTGTCGAACGTTTTCCTCGAACTTTCTCCGCCCACTCAAAGACAATTGGCTCTCCAGATGAAAACATATCCTCTAATTCTTTGATGAGAGCGCTCTTTTCTTCACGTTGCAAAAAGAACGCCTGCACAGATACAGCAGGGCAGTGGAGGGGATAGTCAGCGGCAATTTCTACCCTCAGTGATGCTTCTAGCGAGCTTTCTTCCCCCTGCAAGAGATGTTCAAATTGATTATATATAAAACAAACCTTGAAATTGATCTCAATACACTTGTCCGACAAAACATCTATTTCTTCATAAATGCTTTGTAAAGCGAGGATTTCATCGGACCACTCTTCCGTGGTCATAGTCTACCAGACAGATTGACGGACAGACAAACTTCAGACAAGAAAGCACAGTCTTCAATACAGTGTGATTCAGTTCTAGTGCAGTATCTTTTTATTTTTGCTTCAAAGAAAAGTTGAGGGAAGCTGAACTAGGGCAGAGTTGGAGCGGCGATCCTTCGCTCGATTTTTTACAGGAGTGCGGCTTACGAGACCCACGTCGTTGATGGAATGTCGTCTTTGAGACCTAAGAGTAAGTTGGAAGAAAATTCAAGAGCGGAGCTTCTTGCTACCTTTCCATCGCTTCGGTGAAGAAATCTGAAGTGTCGGATAACGGCGTTTCTGCCTCAAACTTGTCTTCTTCCGCTAGTAAAATGTCTCCTTTAATTTCTTCTTCAGCTGGCTTTTGAAGCTCAAGTTCTATGGAATTGCTTCTTTCCTGGATTCTTTCTTCAGCAGGAGATCTGACGAAAGACTCGTGAAAACTGCCCACAGATTTTACCCAAGGAAGAAAAACGGTCGCTTTTCCAGGCGATTTTGAAATGATTTCCTCCGCCGTTTCCAACTGCACATATTAATTAAGTTTCAGTTATTGAAGTTGAAGTTTTAATTACTTTGATTGGGCGGCAGCGTTTTCTGATTCCTTTTGGGAGCTCGGGCATGTCCAAGATTTTGTTGTAGTCGACTAGCAGCGATGTTAACTCGGGCATCGCGCTTAATTGATTGGTAACTTAATAAGTAATACTTATCATTGAGTAGGGGGTTCTGACGATATCTATAGAGAGTTCTCTCCTTGCAAAACCTGAGTCACGGTCCGGGCAGAGGTTTTTTCGAAAAAAAAGTCGATTAAAAAGTGGTTTGAAATTACCTGATGGTCCGGGGCAAATAGGTGATTTCATTATTTTCGAGGTCAAGAATAGTGAGCTTGGGGAGAAATGTAACTTCGATGGGTAGCGAGTCGAGTTGATTGTTGTACAACCACAGGCCGCGCAATTCAGAGCATTTTTTTAATCTGCGGCGCGATGGTTTCAATTCTGTTCTGACCCAGGTGAAGATAGGTCAGCGACTCGAGACGATGGAGGTCGCCGGGGATGCTTTTCAAATTGTTCTTTTCCAGCCATAGAGATTTGAGTGAAGGGCACTTGCGGAGCGTCGATGTTTTCAGACTGTTTAGGTTGTTGTCGTTCATGTAGAACACGCTCAGATATCTTCAAAGGGAAGCAATCAGAACATGAGTTGGAGAAGGGTTTTCAGACTTACTGTAGGCTTGTAACTTGGGGTGGAATATTTCTGAAGTAGTTGGAGTCAAGGCACAGGACTTGGATGAATTGAAGTTCTTGCACGGCGTCTGGCAGACGGGTGAGGCGACAGTCGTTCAAGTACAGTCGAGTGATGTGTATCAACATGTCATCGTAAATGACCTGTTGGACAATCGGAAACAGCTCATACTCGAGTGGTAGATCTCGCAGGCCTCGGTAGCCAAAATCTTCAAAAAGACATCCAAAAAACAGTGAAAAAGCGTTGGGCTTACCGATAGTATCTTGTCCATGGCAAATACGTCTCTTTTTCCTGTCGAGTTTTAGGAGAATTGTGTAGACGAAGTCGCACACAGAGACTAAAAAATACATCTTACACATTTCCTCTAACTTTTTCACCATCTGTGCGATAGAATGCTGAATAATTGCTAGTAGATATTGTGGAATATAGAAATTACCGACGATGGCATTCATGGGCACCATAAATGTTAATGAAGATAATTCACACTCGCGTCCCTCACTACTGGACACTTGTTCATTACTGGAAACTCTGCTCGTGGCTAGAGTTTTGGAACGATTGGCTTTTTAATTGATGATCTCTTTTCTTCTTGTTTTTGCTACCGTGAGTCCTCTATGTCTTCAAAATTTGTCCTCATTTCTCTCTGCGTTCTGGTGAGCGAGTGAGCGATACAGTGAAAGTGGATTACAAGCGGCCTGTCTGTATGAGAGCTGCACCTGTCGCTTCGAACAATCAAATTTGAGGCTCGAGCCACGAGATGGCGAAGCCGACAAGTCCGATCGCAAGTGGATTAGCTCCAAGACCGCCCCAAGAATTATTTTCTTTCTCTAGTATCGACCTTTTTCAAAATCCAAGATTATAAAGATCTGTCAAAAAGTGTCACTGGACGACGAACGAATAAAAAAGTATTGAGAACATGTTAGATCTATCGTACGATCTTGGGATAATTTGGGGGCATTATATTGATCAGTATTTTTTTTATTAATCCGAAATGAGATTATCCCGCCCGCGTACCACGACCACCGAAGCTTTGCTCCGCAACCTGTGTGGGAAAACTGAGTCAGGGTTAGAGACCATCTCTATTAGTAAGTATGGCGAATCCGCGAAGCGGCTTGGAAGCTCTTTCAGAACCCTGACTCAGGTTCCCTACACAGGTTCGCGAGCGCAACGCTAAAGAACCATAAATTCTACTGGTTTTAGTAGAGACCGGAAAGAAAACCAACAGACGAAAATTTAGCTGAATGCCAGTTGTCGGTTGGACGCTTTTATCTGTAGGTCTTCCAGCACTAGAATTGGCTAATATTGAAAGTATGGCCCGCTGCAACCCTGGCATCCGAATTATAAGGCTCCTAGGTACGTGTGGGTTGGACAAGTAATCTATTGTATTCAAGTTCTTAAAGTTTCAAGAAACAGTAATTTAGACTAAGAGCAGTAAGTAATGATCAGGCAGGATGAAAAGTTCTTCTAAAAATTTGACTAAATCAGCCGCAGCACCCTCGGCAACCACAATGAACGCATTCAACGACCTAAAGAACATCAATTTCGGCTCTCTTTTTTTTCGCTCGATTCTACCTTTCCCTCCTCAAGTTTTGATTTAGGAACGCGGCAGACGCAAGTGGTCCCGAAGTTGGTATCCCTCGTTTGAATGCATCTGAGACAGCAGAGATTCTCGTATCCTTGCTTCTTCCACTTGGCGATCAAATTCGCGTCAGCAACTCCTTCTCGAAGGCACCAGTCGTACAACTCGCGCTACAAATTCGAAAATTGAAAACCTGTTCGTTTTGGGATAGAATTATAAGTACCTTCTTTTGGCGTTTATATATGCATGGAAAGACGGTGGCTTACCGAAATGGCCTTTCGCTTGTAGAAAAGGTCAAAAATGTAGCGCGATCGCTGATGGTGGATCTTGAAGACGGGCCAGAGTGATTCTACCTTTTGAAGGGTTACGAATTTGGCCAAAAGTGAGAAGCGGAGCAATGAGCGGTTTTGAGCAAATACTAAAAATTCTTCCGCTCATTTTCCGCTCAAAGTTCGTAACCATTCCTTTCGCTTGCCTTCATGAGACTCGTTCTCCGCTTCTTTCATCTTGATCGTAAGTTCCTCAAAGCATCGATTTTTAATTTTAGACTAGCTTATTTCAATTTAAATAGACCAACGAACATAAATCCACTTAAGAAGAGTATCCGACGAGTAAATGAAATTAATCCCGAAGCGATTTCAATTAGCTTGATTAGGAAAGATTGAAAAGGATAATCAGAAGTGCACCGATCTTCGTTGGACATAAAGCCTTACATTCAGTGTTTCTTCAATCAGCTCGTAGCCCTCAGGCGCTTTCTTGCGAGTTCGACGGATTTTTGGCATTCTGAAAAGGTGAAATTATTAGTTCTTCTTTTAAATATTCAATAAAAAAGCGAAATTTCTTAGTAAAAGTCTTTTTTTTCAATAACGAATTGATATTATCATGACACTGTCAAAAATATCCTCAGAAGCTTTCTCTTGCAAATTTTTCTTTCTAAAGAAGTAGCTCAGGAATAAAATATTCTCGTGGAAAAAAGAAAGACGGATTTTGAAGGCAGGTGCGCGCGAAAAGAAAATAATTCTCGATCTTGATTGGCTAAACCGCGCATTCGAGCGCGCGATTCAATTTTGAATCAATTTCTTACCAGACCGAGAGAACAATCGGATTTTCCGAAGATACATTTATTTTACAGATAACAGATAACAGAACTCTCAGAATTGAGTTAAAATTTTTAAATGTCGTCAATTTCAAGCACAGCTTTGATTTTTACCCTCAGATTGTTGATTTTTCCTCGAAAATGAATCGCCAAATTGGGTTTGTGCTCGATTCCCACGCAAGCTTTGATCCTCAGCACTCCTGTAAAGACTGCATCTTCTATGGGGATGTAGATGATCTCTTCCGAAGTCGAAGCAGCTTCGGAAATGGCCAGCGCCGCTTCCCAATATATAACGTAGCGGCTCCGTAAATGTACTTTGGCCACTTCCAGTACGGCCACTTTTCGTGCTCCACGAAGATTCCCTTCAAAACTCAATCAAGGGCTTCTATTTCAATTAAGGGTGTACCTTTCTATTTGCCCATCCGCTGTGGACGTCCATTCTTGGCAAAACTGCTCCCCAAATTGCTCGTTGTTCATTTTTATCGAGAATTTCCATCATTGCAGCTAAAGTACAGTGGTCAACGATGAATTAAAAGACTGAACATACCCGGGTCTGACCAAACATCATCATCTTGAATCATAAAGAATTCCGGCTCCTCGCAACTCTCAAAGTATTCATACGCCGATTTCGTCTTGAGCACCAAGTTCTCATAGCAATCCTTGAAATCTCCAATGATGATGTCTTCCTCATCCTCAAGCTCGATCTCCGTCCTGCCAAGAATGAAGAAAACACTGTATAAATCTCGTTTCGGAAGTCGATGAAAATAGAAACGGAGAAGATTTCGAAATTCCAAGTTTTTCGGAGCGGAGTTGATGATGATCAAAAATTTGGAGGTGGGACATTTTGGCTTCTTCAAAAAACCAAGGGTGAGTTTTCTGCTTTGTCGCCAACTTGGTGGCAACACTAGAAGAAAAATCATTCATCTCCCAAGGACGAGAAATTACCTTGAGGATCGCAAACTCCATTTTCAAAAGTAAAAGAATTCGGCCCTATTCCCGGCGGAACTTCCCAGGGTTTGATGAAACTTGGATTCTTGAAATTTCTCTTGTAGGAAAAATCTTCAAAAATCTTATTCAAAAAGCTTCGCTCTTGTAAATATTTAAGAGCAGAATGAATAAGAAAATGATAATAAAAATAGCTAAAAAGCTAGAATTTGTATTCATTTCAAATCAGCTTTCAATTGAACTCCATTTCGTCATCAAAACCCGGTGATAAAAAGTTTTTCGTCCATTGTACAAAGTAATTATTGTCAATCATCATCAACTCTCTTTTCTTCAAAAATAAGAAAATCTAAGGCCTGTATTTTTCATTGATATTTATTGAATAAATAATTTCGCAAAAAGATATGCTGGGCATTATTTTCAGGCAGTAAAGTTTCTAAAAATTCAAAATAAAACTAATTTTTTCATCCTTCAGAGATCAACAGCTTTTGCTTTGTAGAGAACGTTGAGAAGGAGGTCGTCGTGAAACGCGAATTTCTTCGCGGTCGGATGCACGATCCGTTCGACGAAGACGTTTCGCGACCAGGACGATGGTGTTGCGCGCTACCAGGGGATTATGTTATTGCGTTTTAAGTACTCATTCAGATTGAAAAGCTGTGTTTATGAACTTGATTATTCAAAGGACCGAATTATTATTATAATTTGAATAATCATAATCCGCACCAGAAAGGCAGTACTCCTGACGCAAATCTCTTGTTCCGACGTCGAGATAATATCGTGTTCTGAGAATTTTTCGCAACTTAGCGAGTAGACAAATGGAAACAAATCCTCGGAAGACCAAACTGGAAAGTCCGCTCCAAGTCGCTCTTTTACCATCTTTTTCATTCCGTCTCGAATTTGCTCTTCTGACAGGGGAACTGCCACGTAAACGGCTTGAATTTTATGCCTAGAAACTTGGCTGCGGCGGGAAAGGGGATGAAGAAGTTACCTAAGAACCTGGTCTTCGAGGTAGTCGACAAAATGCTTCAAAGCAGTTGGTACGTCCTCCATGATTTCTTTTACTTTTTGGCATGTTTTGTTGTCCTCCTGAAATAATTCAAACTAGAGGTTTTGACGGACAAACAAAGCTTTTGAATCCTTTTTTTTCTGAAAATATTTGGAAGGCTATAATCACGTTAGGCGCCTTTCACGAGAACCGAGTGTTTTTCTACAGCAGAATTGACGCTTACAGTAAACAATAAACCCACTAGATAAAGCTTTCAGGGTGTGAAAGCTAAGACAGTACCTTTTCTTTACAGTGCTTCATCCAATCATCAGTATCGAATCTGTAATGCACTGCAATGAATCGTTTTCCACCGACAATTTTCTCCATGAATCTGTCAATCATCTTGACGATAAATGGTGGTCTTCTAGTGCTTTGCATCATGTGTTTTAAGAACTGAAGATCTTCCGGGTTCTTGAGCGCTTTATTCGCGTTTCCGTTCCAAGCAGCGTGGAGGTAATTCGTGAAGTCGTTGAATTGAACGTAGGGAAAGACCCAGACCACGCAGCGAGCATCCTGGACGGGGTAGAGGGAGTGGATGTGCTCGTTTCCGTCCAACGCCAGATTTGAAGTCATTTTGCCGTTGAAGTCCTTTGGAAAGGTAGGAATGCCATCTCTCGGCCCGCAATTCGCGTCAAGAAAGGGATAGAGCCCTGTGAATTCTCTAAAGATCTCAAGCCGATCTGCAAGGTGAGATGAGCAAGCCGCCCGGGCATAGAGAACTGCATCGATGTGTCCAGCGCACTTCTCCTGAATTTCTGACATCTCGCAGGTCGTCGTCAAAGACCGCAGTGAACCCAGGTCAAGGCGCAATTCAGGCGGCACGAAAACGTTTCCGCCTTGAATACTCTTTCCCTCGGTTATCAATCTTAGTACAAATGATAGCTTTTATTAGAGGTTTTCCGACCAATCAGAATCGAATATGGTTTTGTGAGAGACCAAATTACTTAGTCTCCTTAATTATTTTATCATGTGACCCAAGATAGCCTTACATCATTTGCAACTTGTAAGCGAACCGAGCCTTATCAGAATGATGTTTGAAGAAGGGAGGCACGCAAATTGTTCTGAAAAAAGTCTATTATTTTCTCTCCATTTCAGTCGCTCATTTTTTACCTGTTCATCTTTCTTGCTAAAATGAGGGCTTCTCTGAATCCACGCATTTGATTATTTGGTCCCCATGCCAAAACCGGAATTAGAAATTTCTCGGGGCTAGAAATTATTTGCATATTTAGAAGTATTAACGAAAGACTTGATTTACTTCGTATGAAATCGAGGGACGATCCCATTTTTTCGAGGATTGTCAATTTGGCATTCTCGCCGTTGCAAATGGTCCTCGATCAATTTGTTCTCCAAGAACTTTTCCGCAGATTCCGGCACTTCTTCTTCTTTGATTAATCCTTCGTCAGCCTCGACCAATTCATCCAAATGAAGGATCTCTTCTTCTTTCAGAATATTGTCGAAGTAATGAGCGACTGAAAACGATATTATTGGATTTAACTAACAATTTGTCTTTCTTAAAACTAAGGTTACGATTTCGCATTTTAAAGGGCATTTCGAATGAAGGGTCTGTTTTGGGTGATAATATATCATTCCGAAGATACGAAGCTAGAATTCGAATTCTTGAGATTAGGAAATTCAATTTCCACGGGAAAACTGGAGAAAACTGGATCGTTTGAAAATTATTTTGATAAAAGTTTGGACGTGGCGGCGCGGGGGTTTCTAACGTGGTTAAATGGCGCTCAGAGGTTAAGGCTAACGTTCCATGCGCATACCCTCGCGGGCCTTATCGTAATTTATCCGATTACTCTTTCTTGTCGCTACTCACAGCCTCGGACAGAATAGTCCACGTTATTAATCTGAGTTAGCAGCCAAAGACCAAGAATAATCCAAATACAGAAGACGGCAGCGCCAGAAATAGCTTCCATTTTTCCTTTCTGGCTTCTTCTACTACTTCTCTATCATTTTTTCTTCGCTAAAAAAGATAATTCTTTGGATTTAAGAAAAGCCAAAAAACTGGAAACTCTGTTTTGGGGACCCTTTCTTTTGATGAGAGTCAAACTATAACGTTCCGCTGAATCTGCCCGCGGCACTCTGCTTTCTACCGCAGTAAATAACTTTTGAAGAGCTTAATTCGGCTTTATTTGCCCCAATTACAGTATTCCGTCGTTCAGTCTGACCGTAATCAGTGCGATATGACCACCTGTAGTTTTTGTTTGATGCCGAGAATTTATTCCACAATTTTTCGTGTTTCCACGATGTCTTTAATTTTATTCTATTCTTTGAGAGGTGCAAGAGTTATTCAGGCAGAGGAGGCAATAATCAAACGTCAGAATCTCCAGTAGTTATCTGCTGTTCTTCCGTTTCTTGGGCGAAATTCTTCGGCAGCTCGTCATGATCTTCTTGTTGCTCCATTTGTTCTAATTTCTTTTCGATTGTAGCTTTGCGTCGCAATGTCTGAAAAAGATAAATTGGTCATTTGACCTTGGCTTTTTCGAGCTTACTCTTTTTTGGTCCTCGTCGATTTGGTAAAGAACGTATCCAGCATAAACCGAAACAGACTCGACATCGATCGCCATGAGCTCGGAAATATGCCCTTCATAACTTTTGATTAGGCTTCGATATCCAGAGTCCTAGAAAGCATTAAACAACAGAAGCTCACCACCAATCTTACTTGGGACAACTCTGCCAGGGCTCCAAGAGCTTCGCGTTTACAATTGAGCGAAGGGGCAAGAGCGAATTGCACAAGAGTTTTGACAACTCCGCTTGGATCGTTGTTCATGAGCAGCTTTCGTTGCTTGTCATCCTTGCACAAGACATGGATCGCGCTGAGAGAAGCCTCAATGACATCGTCGATTTCGAACTGCTCGTATCCCTTTGCAACGGATAGTTCGGTCATCAGCGAGTAGATTTGAGTAATCACTTTCAGATCGTACATTTTGTTTCGACAGCGTTTGTTGAGAGAGAGGTTTCGGACGAGTCTGAGGGCTGCTCGTTTGTAGGTGACATCTTGTTCGTCTGGCTGTTCATGGGTTAAAAAATTAGTCATTTTTTTACTGGAAAAAGAGTCTTTCAACCCGTAGCTCGGGAAAATTCTTGAGCGCGGAATGAAGTTCAGCAATGACATGGCGGTCGGCAATTTGATCTCGTGCCTTTTCAGCACATGGGTTTCTGGAGGTCAGATGTCGAAGCGTACAGATCGCGGGCTCTTTCGTGCTCAGGGAATCAGATGCTCTGTGATTTGGAATTAGGAGTATGTTTTAGCAAGGATTTCTTACTCTAAGATACAGGCGGAAAGTGATCGAACACCGTTGTTTTCCACGACGTAAGCCTTGTTTTTCTCAGAGTTGCAAGTCAAGTTGCAGAGGATGCCACCGGCGATGTGCCTCAAGCTGTCCACAACGTTAGAATCGCCACTGATGATCAAGAGGCAATCAGAGATGAGTCTGTGAATAACTTTGGAATCGTCATCGATTCTATCCGACAAATTTCGAATTGTCCACAGGATTGATTCCTTTATGTCTTCGCTCGCTTTGGGATCGTCAAACGCGGTGATCAAGCTGTTAACTGCATCCAAGCTAAGAATTTCTCGCTGAAAATCGAAAATCACTCACTATAAAAAATATTTTCTCCCACCTTCAGACCAGAGTAAGCGCTGAGGGAGCAAAGAGTTCTAGAGGCGGCGTATCGAAGTTTTTCATAAGTCGAAGATTTCACCGCATCAATAATGAAGCCGATGCAATTCATTTCCGAAACAATCACCTTTGAGCCCACATCTCCCATGCACAGCTGCTCCAGCGAGGCACAAACGATCGCGTGCACCTTATCTTTGAAAGGTCGATTTTCTAAAAGAGATTTTTACTACAGGAAATGTTGAATATAAAAGCTGAAACCTTTGGGGCTAATCAGAGCGGACATCCGTTTGACTCCGCCAGCGAGACGAATTGCTCCCGCCACTTCGTCTTTATTGTATGAGATGAGGTTGTAAAGCGTCGATAGGGCATATTTGACGATGGTGTCTTTTGGATGGCCGAGCATTCGAACCAGCGCTTGGATGGTGTGACCCTGAAAATAAACTAAATGCAGCCGGCATTTTTGACCAGATGTTCTCGGCAGGTAATGCTTCCCGCCGAGATGGCGTTTCTCTGCCGCCACCAGTTGGACTTCTAAGTCGATATAATCTCCCAATGTTAATCCTTCACCATTATTAAAATGATTACTTCTAGTACTGAATTTTGCATATATCGACGAGAATTTGAATTCAGAATATGTACTACACAGTGTAGTCTACACTTCTTTAAAATGAAACTGTAACTATATTCGCAATGCAAGAGAAGCAACCTGTTAAAACCAATAAATTATTTTTTGAATAGAAACTATGAATTGGTACCTTGAACATAGCCATTCGGCCTTTGGGTTCTTCACTAAGGATTGCCATCGTACCAAGAACAGCCTTTTTAGTTTCATCGTGCGTCTTTGTATTCGTGTCTATCAAAAAAAAACTGTTTACTTAGGAAAGCTTTCATTTGAAATTACCTTGAAGAAAATGGGAAAAGGCGGGCATAAGGTCTTTTGAATCAATGAGAGCATACTTCGGCGCTGCTTTCTTCGCGAGTGAAAGGATGGACGAAGCGCCATTGTGAGCCTGGTTCGGATCGGAGGAGTTCAACAGCCCTATCAACTGCGGCAGAACGGAAAGAGTCACTACAATTTTATCGTCAAATAAATTGCTGGGAAAGAATAATTTCTGTCGCTTTAAAACTTACCTAGTGCATCGTCTTTGAAATGGAGGAGATGGATCACGCCATCCATCAATTTTCGAACAGCTGGGGTGAGTTTGTCGACGTTTCTGTTTCGTCGATTACTGAAGGATATTTTGGTCAAATTTTCTAGTGCTAGAATTTAAATCAAGCATTGACAATTAATGATTTTAGGAAAAACGAGCGATAAATTGATCGATGTTTTATTTAAAAATCAAATTAAAAATAAAAAAAGCTCTTCAAAATCATACCTTTTTGGAGCTGATGCATTTTCGTCTCCAATAACTGCTTGTTGGACCCTTTCTCCGATTCCACTAATTTCATCTGTCGGGAAAAACGATTCCCAATTCTACAAAAACCGATTTCTTTCTTGTTGATTTCGCGCTTTCTCTTACCAAAACTCCCAAATCCTTTTCATAATTAGGCTCTTCTCTGGCGATTTGTGTACTCTGAGTCCATGCCATTTTCCGGACAAATTATTTTTATGAATGATTCGCGAAAATACGACTTTCGCGAAAAAAATATGAAATCAGAGCCGTCTTTTACGAGTGAATGGCGATCACAAAAGAGCCCCCAAGTCAAGGAAAAAATGCGCGTACACGGCACTACGGCCATTCAGCAAGCCACGGAGCAAGTCACCATTGTGGGAGGGAATAATGGATTCACCAAAAAAGGCGACCATGAATCATTTATTGCCACCGTTAAAGCCAGTTCTTTTTATTCAAAACTCATCAAAAGTCGAGTTAGCAAATTTGGAGTTTATTTCAAATTCAGGGAGTTCAATGTCAGGAAAAGTCCATTCAGCGGGAAAACAGTAATGGTGTTCTTACTGGAGCTCAGCGACGAATTCAGCGTAGACGTTGGCGTCGCACTTGCCTCCGACATCGCATTGGTCGCACATTTCTCCGTCGGCGAGGCACTTGGCGCAGGGAACGCAAGCCATGATGTCGGCTTCTAAAAAAGAAGGGGAACAGCTTTTTGGTTGCGTTTGGGTTTCGAACCTGGGTGTCGAGCTTGGAGCTCAGAAAGGCCCCGGCTCTGGAGGGCTTGATCTTCAGCCTTGCAGCTGGTGATGCAGCAGGTGATGCAGCAAGTGATGGAAAGTCCGGCGCAGTTCGAGTTCATCGAGTCAGATAAAGTCGAAACTCAAAACGTAAAAATGAAGGAAAGGACAAAATGAATAACATAAATGTTAAAACTTTAACTTTTCAATAATTCATAATTCCTATCCTCTACAGATCATCGCCGCCCTCGTTGCCGCCATCTCCGCCTCTGCCTTGACCGGTGAGTTGGATACCAAGGCCGGTTGTGCTTGCTGCGCCGGACTTTCCATCACTTGCTGCATCACCTGCTGCATCACCAGCTGCAAGGCTGAAGATCAAGCCCTCCAGAGCCGGGGCCTTTCTGAGCTCCAAGCTCGACACCCAGGTTCGAAACCCAAACGCAACCAAAAAGCTGTTCCCCTTCTTTTTTAGAAGCCGACATCATGGCTTGCGTTCCCTGCGCCAAGTGCCTCGCCGACGGAGAAATGTGCGACGAGTGCGAAGTCGGAGGCAAGTGCGACGCCAACGTCTACGCTGAATTCGTCGCTGAGCTCCAGTAATCTCAGTTCCGCCTTTTTCAGATTCAGTGATTCAATGATTAATAAAGTCCCATTCGTAAATCGGGTTGATAGTTATTGATGCCAGCGCGTACATAACAACAAGGGCAACTGCGCAAATCAGGAAATCTTAAAATCCGCTTCGTAAATTATGTCTGAAAAGGTCAAACTCTTTGTAAATAAAAACATGATGAGCGGTTTCCTTCAATTCGAATGTCATCAAGCGGCCTTTGCTCTTGATCGCCTCGCCGTTGATTGAGCGGATTATTGGGAAGAAGCTGGCGCAATAGACGGATAAGTCGCCAGGTTAATGTTTCGTTCTCTTTTTCCAAGTGTTCCTTGATGCGGCGCAACGCGGCCTGGCTTTCTTCAGAAACGCTTTCGCCGATATATTGGGTCAGCTTCACTTGAACCGAGGGCTTTCCTTTCAGACCCAGCAACATGTTCGAGAGCTCTTTCTCTGACTCTAAAATAAGAATGGAAAAGTTATTGCGTAATCTATAAAAACCTTTCTTTTTAGAACATGAATTTTCTTCCAATCTGGAATCGGAATAGTTGACTGCGTATTTTGTGAAGACATCTTTGTATTCTTCGATAACCTTATCCATCTTTTTTGGAGTTATTTTATGATAGTGACACCCTTATTTTTCCTTTCTAAAAGACAGATTTTAAGTTAATGAATAAGGGTGTCACTTTGTTTTTAAAAAGTTTTTAAGAATTGATGATGCATAACTCTGCCTTTGAAATAATGCTATTGGATTGTTTTGGACTTGATTCTTGCATTTGTGGCGGTGGTGGTGTTCCAGCGCGCTCTGGAAAGGGAATAATTCTGCTGCTAAGTTAAACCGCAGAATGTGCCCGTACGACAGGACCGCAGCGGGAGAGAGTGATTACTTATTCCCCTAATCTGATACTCGCTGCTCAGTAGTTTCCTCGGCCATGTGTGAATTCGACATTTCGCACTTTTTTCAGAACTGGGCACCGCCAAATAAACAAGCCTAAAATGGGTTAAAAAATCGCAAACTAGAAAAAAAAAATAAGTAGCACCTTGGTACGAGAATTTGGCAATTTGAAATTAGGTCAATGAAAAATAACAATTGGATCTCTCTTGGAACATCTGTAAATGTGTGAATATCTGCAGCTTGTGTTCACTGATGATAAAAAAGGGTTGTTTCTCAGAATTGCTAAAACAGTGCCCCCTCGATTTCGTGAGAGAGAACATTGTTGATAATATTTTTGATATCCGCTTTATTCAACCCAGATTCTCCATAAAAGCAGTAATACTGTAACTGTCCAAATAGCCTAAGTAAGTTTATGTAATATTACGAATTTGCCGTTATAATGATATTGAGAACTTCTTATGCTTGTAAGCAGTACTAAATAATGACTTATTGATAAGAAGAGTACGCCCTTTTAGGTACAAATTGGAAAGCTGAACATGATTCATAGGGGACTGAAAAAATGCATATTTACAAAATGAATCTTCAAAAATAGAGTTTACGCAATCGTAAAACGCAGGCTTCAAAAGGCAACTCATACAAGTGGCATTATTCATCAAAGACTATCTTAAAATTTCTACAGTTTTATTTTAAACATAAGCATTTTTGACCAAATTTCACGCGAAAAAGCCGCGTGCGGCTTTCGAGTCAAAAAGTACTAAGATTTTTTATTCAAGTTCTATTATTAGTTTTATATTTATTTTCTTTATGAGAAAGCCTCAAAAAATATTATTTTATTTTTATCTTTTTATCGGAAAAAATCATCTAATCCGATTTTTTTTCCGCGAAATTTCGTGGCGCGCGGAGCATTTCTGCTTCGCTCAAAGATTTTTTTGTTTTCGATCTTGATTTTCGGCTTGACGATGGTGCTTGACCGGGCGGTTAAGGTCAGGGGCGATTTTTAACCGTCGACGATTGAATTCGCGAATTCGGATTTGGCGATTGGGCGTTTCGGTGGCGCCCGCGCGGTCCGATTGGGCGCCACGCTTTCCAAATAAGGAAGTTTCTTTAAAACTGGTGGAGACATCGAATACGAAGCAGACTCACTCACTCAACCAAGCGAGTCCCAAGAGAACACTCCTTCTCTACTTTTTTCTTTTTAACCCGTTTACCGACAACACATAAATCCACCAAAATGATGGAAGACGAAGTTGCCGCCCTCGTCGTTGACAACGGATCCGGTAAGTCCGACAATATCGCCGAGAGAACGAATGAGGGCTGGGGATGATTTTTTGTCAAGAAATTTATCTGAGAAACTCGTTTTTGTTAGTTATTTTTATATTTTGGACTCGAAAGCCGTTAGCGGCTTTTGGAAGTGAGAAAACTCAGTTTTCGCTCTGCCGCTTTCTTTTCGAGCCGAAAAACGCTCATTTTTGGAATTTTATTTTTTCGACTCGGGAGCCGCACGCGGCTTTCTCGCATTGTTTCATACTTCTCAAAAGCCGCGAATGGAAATTGTTTTTTCCGTTAGGTTCGAAAGCCGCAAGCGGCTTTCTCACAATTTTCGTCGTTTTCGCGACTCAATTTTGAGTGTTCGAGTTTCCACGATTTTCTAGAATTCTTGAGCATTTGCTTTTCGGAGCTGCTAAAATGATCATTTTCAAAAAATCGAGAATCGAGAGAGACTTATTTAGAACAAATCTAAATTTAAAATGATGTCTGACGATGATATTTCCGCTCTTGTCGTCGACAACGGCTCCGGTAAGAGTTTGGACTTCGCTTTTTTATGAATTCCGACGGTGTCAGTGCGGCAGCGTTAATTTTTTATGAGATCGTCAGATTTTCGCTCTGAAACGAAAAGTCAATATGTGAATGATTCGCGCGTTTTATTTGCGTAAGATTCACATCCGGTCCAAGCCAGAACGATTAACCTATTGCCGGAAATGAGTCATTTATGCGGTTTTCTAACTTATACGCTCTAATGGGTTAAAATTTGAAGTAGTCTTGATTTAATTTATCGCAATTGCTTCGAACTTTAACCCATTGGCGTACGCAAACCAATTTTATGGCCTGCTAGTCTCGAAAATGCTCTGTCTGAGCACCGCGTCATTGAATAAGCCCCCTCTTTATTCGTTCAATTGCTCGATTCATTGAATTGAAACAGCTGACCTAACAAAAACTTTCAAGGTATGTGCAAGGCTGGATTCGCCGGAGATGACGCTCCCCGAGCTGTCTTCCCATCCATTGTCGGTCGACCACGACACCAGGTAATTAAATAATTAATACTCGCTGATAAGTTAATAACTGATAATAGAATTAGTGACGCCCAGGTTTTTTTTATCAATTAAGCTTGGGCGGTATTGTCCTCTCTCAGCACATTTTAATCTTGAATTCAGGGTGTCATGGTCGGTATGGGCCAGAAGGACTCCTACGTCGGTGACGAAGCCCAGTCCAAGCGAGGTATCCTCACCCTCAAGTACCCCATCGAGCACGGTATCGTCACCAACTGGGACGATATGGAGAAGATCTGGCATCACACCTTCTACAACGAACTCCGAGTCGCCCCAGAGGAGCACCCCGTCCTTCTCACCGAGGCTCCCCTCAACCCCAAGGCCAACCGAGAGAAGATGACCCAGATCATGTTCGAGACCTTCAACACCCCTGCCATGTACGTCGCCATCCAGGTACGCTTCAACACCGTATTAGCAGATCTTAATTTCTTCCCTAGGCCGTCCTTTCCCTCTACGCTTCCGGTCGAACCACCGGTATCGTCCTCGATTCCGGTGATGGTGTCTCCCACACTGTCCCAATCTACGAAGGTTACGCTCTTCCCCACGCCATCCTTCGATTGGACTTGGCCGGCCGAGATCTTACTGATTACCTCATGAAGATCCTTACCGAGCGAGGCTACTCCTTCACCACCACTGCCGAGCGAGAAATCGTCCGAGACATCAAAGAGAAGCTCTGCTACGTCGCCCTCGACTTCGAGCAGGAGATGGCCACCGCTGCCTCCTCCAGCTCCCTCGAGAAGTCCTACGAACTTCCCGATGGACAGGTAACCCTCCTTTCCTTGCTTATTTCCTAACTCTTTTTTCCAGGTCATCACCATCGGCAACGAGCGATTCCGATGCCCAGAGGCTCTCTTCCAGCCATCCTTCCTCGGTATGGAATCTGCCGGTATCCACGAGACCACTTACAACTCCATCATGAAGTGCGATGTTGATATCCGAAAGGACCTCTACGCCAACACTGTCCTCTCCGGCGGTACCACTATGTACCCAGGTACGTAACGCACTCAAAAAGTGCCCCCTCTCTCCCCCACTTAGTTTCTTCTCAAGCATGAAAACTCAACTTCTATTTTAGGAATCGCCGACAGAATGCAGAAGGAGATCACCGCCCTCGCCCCATCGACGATGAAGATCAAGATCATCGCTCCCCCAGAGCGAAAGTACTCCGTCTGGATCGGTGGCTCCATCCTCGCCTCCCTCTCCACCTTCCAACAGATGTGGATCTCGAAGCAGGAATACGACGAGTCCGGACCCTCGATCGTCCACCGAAAGTGCTTCTAAGCAGCTTTTCGAAAACCCCGCGCCCTCGTCTTTATTTCCACGTGACACTATTCTTACATGTAATAATTCGACGCGCGTTAAAGTTAATATTAATTTGTTAATTAGTCGCATATTATTTTTTTCTCTATTCTTGTTCTACCACCTTGCACCACCTGTTGACTCCTATTTTTTTATTTTCGTGACGCTCAAAAACTCTCATGTAACTTCTTATCCCCTTCTTGAGGAAGAATGTTTATTAAACTGATTAATGAACATCGACTTTTTTGTTCTTGGCGGTATATTTAAAATTTCATCATTCCCAAAAAGGCAAAACTCTTAACCAATCAAAAAGCACCACCAAAAACACTAAAAAAGCAACAGCGCCACCGTCTGGCCGGGTTGACATTTGCGAGTCTTGTCAAAGAATACTTCTCTTGGTAAAACAAAATCTGCACTATCTACCAATCAACAACCATTCAAGTTGAGCGAGCCCCTCCAAGGCCTGGCCCGAGGGGGGTGAGCGCGAACTGTTGACAATGCACATTGCCAATCGACCGACTGCATGATAATTCTGCTTCATGTTAGACTTAATTCGGTTAAAATCATAATAATAAATAAAAATGCTCTGACAATTCCATCACTCTCTTAAATTTTCTTCGCAGGGCAGGTGTTTATCTATTAGAATTTATTTCAGAATACTGCGGAGGAGGAAGAACTACAGTAGTTGAATCAGAAAAAGCAGGGTTTGAATGTGCCTCTCCGGCTCTTGGGGGTCGGGAGGGAACTGGATCATCTTTCGGGTAGTTTTCGATGTCACCGTATTCTGGTGGGAGATCGGCCATTCCGGGCAAGTTTGAATTTCGCTCTGAAAATCAGGTTGAGTTTTTAGAAAAGGGCCGATTGACTTACCGTTTATGACGACAGTTCCACCGAGATTTTGAATGACTCTGGTGGCGGTTGGATTTCTAGGGCAGAGCTTGGGGATGATCACTTTCATTGTGATGAAAATGAGCAACGTCAGAATCAGTAATCCTCCAACGACTCCTCCTGAAGAAGATCGGATACGAAGGATAAGATAATTTATGTTCTTACCGAGGATGTATTGAAGCAGATTCTCATGGGAGATGCTTGAATTTTCCAACGTCATTTCTTCCGTTGTAAAGATATCTGAAAATAGGTTTTATGGTTCGCTGAATAAATAATTTTATTTACCAATTATTTCGCACGAATCTTTAATTTTCAGATTCGAAAAATTGACTCCAGTGTCGAACTCCCATCCTCCTTGTAAAATTTGATCATTATCTAACTCCAAGCACTTTGAGTAGATAATAGCTTCTTTTGCTGGTATTCCCAAATTGAGACAGCTAGCGTCGTTAATATTTTTGTAAATATAGCAATTGGAAGGAAGCGGCAATGAATCTTCTAATTGATCGGTTGAAGAGCTTTTTATATCTTCGTAAATTTCATCAAAAATTTCCGGGTATTCCTCTAAAATCCCGCTAGTTCAATTTTTTGTTTTCAGTTTTCTCACCTTGCTTTTCAAAATCTCTTTTTTGAATACAACTGTTCCGTTGAGACGCTTCTTTCTCCACATTTGTATAAATCTCTCTGATGCCAACAACAACGACAATCACAGCTAAAGCATAAATGTAAATACAGCAGGTTCCTTCGAGGTCATTCAGTGCCCGAACTTCGAAAGTTCGACTATAATAGGGGGAATTGATCATTTTCAATCTCTATCCAATCAAACAAAAAATAGAAAAAAAATTGTGTTTCCGGTTTGAGAAAAATCCTGAATCCCACTAGTTTTGCTAAATTTAAACTAAAAAAAGTTTTAGTAAAAAACAACCGTTTCTTCCTTGATATCAATTTTAGACATCTAATTTTAATGGATCATTGAGTTTTATTCTTACAAATAGCCATTTTATTGAATGAATTAAAAGCTAAGTACTTTGTCAAGAATATGGGATAATCAAAAAAAAAAATCCGTACCGATAAAAAAGCAGAAAATCGAGCAAACAGGAGTGAAACAACTTCTTCTATAATTCTGAGCTCTGTGAGAACTTCTGAATAAAAAAGCTAAACTCATATTTTCGAACGTACTTCGTTTCAACTCAATTTCGTGCACTAAAGAATCGAAAGAAAAGCAGAATTAGCAGTCGTAAATGATCGGACTCAGGACGGGTTAACGATATGCCCAATTATAAAAAGAAGAATGACGCATGACCCCAGAATCAGGGCACAAACCAAGAATAGGAAGTGATTTTTTGGATAGCCAATAAGATTGCTGTACTTGCCCTACCGGCCAATCAAAATTCAGATCCAGAAAATCACTTCGTTTTCTTGGTTCAGGGTGAAAAGTTCATCCTTACCGATAAATGCTAGAATATAATGAATTCGTTGATTCTGCGGGTGACTGTAAAATCCTCTCATTTCAAAATTCACTCATTATTTTTTTTTTCTCAATTCTGACGAAAATATAATTGCAGCTTTCGTAAAAAGTAATTGCTCAAGTTTGTCAGTTTCAATTATCTGGAATAATTCATTATAGATGCCTTGGGTTTTGTTTTCCATCACCTTACAAAGGCCAAAAAGCTCAAGCGAACAAAGAAAACAAAATGAAGATGCGTGCCACTATTGTCGACCCTGTCGACCGTTGTGAGGATTAGTTAAAATTGGACGCTCCAGAAAAGTTCACTTACCAAACAAAAACCAGCACAGTTGCCAAATACTGAAGCTACTTCTGCTTCTCTGTCTGTTCTGTCTTCTTCTGATTCGAATCATTGTTACTCTCGTCACGACCAATGTGTCCTAATAATTTAAAAAAATCTATTTTGAAGATGTTTTTTAATGACGACTTTCTGTGGCGAGCAAATTTTTTGTTCACGCACTCGCAATTTTTAAGCGATCGCCGGAATCGCCTCCAGACTTTGATTTTTTATGGCTGACTTGAGCTGTTAGAAATTTTCATTTTACTGACCCACTTTTGTTTTTTTTTAAATGTCTATTTTTATCACTTACCATTTAAAAACGATAATCAAGAAACACGCTCTTTTTTTAATTTTTCTGATATCCTTTTTTGATTATTGAGAATAATTCACTTTCAAATACGGCTAGGTCTTTTTACGCTGCTGTGCTTTCGCTGCGAGTGGAAGTAGTTCCACTTCTCTTTCATCTGATAATTGCCAAGGAGAATTTTTATTGAGATATTCAGAGAGTTGTATTCTTCTTTATTACACCGACAATTCATCAAGAAGAAGATTGCCGGTCTTCTATTTCTAAAACAACAATTCTGAAAGACTTGTGCGTTGATGATGTATTCCGGTGGCGTCTGAAAAGGGATCGAAAAGGGCGATTATGCAAACCCTCTGATGCGGCGATTTTTTGGGGCGATTTTCTGTATTTTGTATTGCACGAGAAGTTATAAGCTATCAAGGGATAGTGCCGGATAGGATTCCAATTTCGGGTCGAAATTTTCGGCTGTCAGCTCAGTGCGATATTTGAGCGAGCGGGTTTCGGCTCGAAAATGTTTTACCGCGCCGCTCGCTCACGCTAAAATATCGCTCATCACTCAGCCGAAACTGGAACTTTCGACTCAAAATAAGCTCCGTTAAGAATTTCCGAAAGAAAGGAAAGAAAGAAGGCTTTGGAAAACGGGGGCATACAGTGACTAGCGGAAGTGGCAATCGGACACTTGTGGCGGAATAGACCTCACGCTGCCAGTTTCCATGGCGGGCAGGCTCTTGAGCGGAAATCCGCCAACTGGCCATCAGTGAGAGTTCACATTGGTAAGTCGACGGTGCACGCGTGGCTCAACTCGGACTAGCTGCAACTGCGTTTACTGGCTTTGCTAATGCCGCCGCCTTTTACCAAGTACCCATTTTACTTACTCCATCGATTAGCAATCTAAATTAGCAGCAAAGAACTGATGGGAAAGTCAGAAAAAGAAAAACGCAGAATATTTTCGCGCAACAAGTTTCGGCAAAAAGTACACCACCAAATTTTCTTACCGCCAAACATCTCCGTCTTTTCCTCACGTGATCGGTGATTTAGATAGAAAAACGTGAAATTATACTAATTACTCATTATAATAAACTCATTATGCTGCAATATTCGAATTATTTTATATAGATGCTATAAATAAACAGCGATTATATGATATAATTTATATAATTTATCCAAAGTTTCAGTTATTCTTTGGATTAAAAAGAACTTTAGATCATTTTATCGGTGTCGAATCTCATTGAAATCAGATGACAAATGATCAGCTGATTACTCCTCATAAAAAATCAGGGCAACACCTTTTTTAATCAGAGAAGTCAAAAATGAATCTAATCGAGATTTTTCAAAAAAGTACTTATATGTGAGCTATGTCAATCAGAAGAAAAAGATCCTGAATTTGCGAAAAAATATGAAATGAATAACAATATTTTGTAATTTTTTTGGACACCCTTTGATCATCAACATTTGAATAAATTTCATACTATAAAATTGTCTCTCTTTCTTTAAAATTGCACAAGATCAAGATATCGCTGGAAAATTAGAGATTTCTCTCTAAAACGAAACGTGAAATTTAGGCACTTGCAGGCTGCAGCATCTGGAGGCACGAAATTTTTGATCAGTAAATCAGTAAAAGTAATCCGAATCGGCATGCTTCATTTTCAAAGTTTGGAAAATTTGCTTATTTAGATGCGGATTCAAGTGGCCTGCGCTTGAAATTATATAACTGGCGTGTATTCTTGAGCATCGTTTGAAAATATCGTCCTCGCAACTTGGGCATATTTGCTGTGATAATATACATTTCTGCGCATTCCGCTTGGAACTAAAACTCAAACTTGAAGTGCGTTTAAAAGCTGCTTAGATGCGGCGATTGCGTAAAAAAACGCATTTTCGAGGACGCTATTCTTGTCAACAGCAATTTTAATTACCAACAAGAGTACATACGCGCATCTCAATAATTCGCGCTCACGTGCTGACCGTGTAGCTATTTTCTAGCGCCCGTTTCAAGCCGCCCTTGAGAGTCTCAAATCTTTTCCAAATAGCTAAAAAAAAGTTCCAGCAAAAGATTTTCCACTCTGAACTTTTCAAAACAAAAACAGAAAAAGGAAGTTTAGTAAACGCACTTTTAAAGTTTTCAACTAAAGCAAACGAAAAAAGTGCCACTTCAAAATTGTGATTTTTTCCCAAAAGTGCTTTTTTTCACCGGAATTCGGAATTTTGTGAAATTGAGGATCTCGTTTTTCGTAAGACGGGGAAAGAAGGGATTGGCGCGTGGATCATCATTCCTCCTGCCTTTTCCGAATTTAAATTCGGTTGTTAGAGGTGTTCTGCAGAATCCAGCTGGCGTCGTTTCAAAAAAGAGATAAAAACCTGATTTTGCGCTAAAGACAACTTTATCGGCGAAGCTCTCCTCGGAACCTTGTAACCATTCAAGCCAACGAACAACAAGGCCTTGTTAGATCCCCTCTACTGTTACTGTAATTCATTTCGTTCAACAGTTATGCGATTATTCGATTGGGAAGTTGTTGAAAACAGGAACGTGTTTGTCTGGCGAATGCGCGCTAGAATTTCAAGCACTGTTGGTCAAGAGCTCGAGAATACTAATTCAGAATACTTACTTTGGCAAAAGTACGATCGATAAGCAATTCGCTTTGTTATGTTCAATATTTCTTCAGTAAGTAAAAAGAGGTTTGTTCAATGCATATTTCGTTTAGCTACCCTTATTCTACCGATGATTTTTGATGATTTCCCCGAAAAAACGACACCAAGCGAGAAGATTTCATTTTTTTTTGTGCTTGGAGGACCCCCCTGCTGGAAGAATTTTAAGTAAAAGAAGAATAAACTCTTCCGGGGATTAAAGAGTCTATGGACACTTTAGTCTATAGACTATAGTCTAAATAGTCTTTTATAGTCTATAAATTACAGAGTCTAGACTTTAACTCAGCCAGGAATAGATCAATTACTTCTTTGCGTCAGAAAAACAGGACATTCTAAATTGAGCAAATTTAGCAAATTTGAAATTGTCAAGATTGAGCTTAATCGCTGGCTATTATGAAATAGAACAGTCGCTCTCTATTTTTCTTTTAGAAGTCGTGGAAACGTCATTCCTAATGTTATTGCAGAGCATAATCTCAAGCAGACCAATCTCAAGTTTATAAATTCGTCATAATCGCGTAACAACATATTTACGTAACGAGCACATCGAAAGAATCGGGATGTTTAAATGCTAATGATTGAAGCAAGCAATATTGTGTTAGAAATAAAAATAGGGACTCAGCGCTTTCATAATTTCTTTAATTAATTTACCAGATTTAATTTGCTTTTGTATTTTTGTTCAAAATTATATGATTACACTCCTCGGTAGCTACCTCAGTAATCGACTCAAAACCACGACAGTGAACTAAAAGAGCAGTTTGTTTACAAAGTACCAGTTGCTAAAAAGCGTCCCACAGTCAGTCGGACACTGAAATAGACGATTTGAATTGGACATCGTTAGAGGCGCGCTCTGGATCTATCTCTCTCTCTTTCTCTTCTTGATGATGATGGCGCCAACGCGCGCGCCCTGAGTCGATCGGAAAAAATCGCGCTGGCTTCGTTATTGCTCCAGAGAACCAAGGACTGCTCCTTCACGAAGTAATATTTTTCCATAGATACTTCGGAGCAGCTTTTAAACCGAATTCTTCAAGAGACTAAGACCACGAAAGTGGATAATACGAAAAAAAGGAGGAATACATAAATCGTCTTTAAAAAGGTAACAAAAAAAATTTAAGAGAGGAGTAGAAAAGCAACCTTATTTTTGGTATTTTAATCGTTTTACCGAAGGTTTTACTTAGGGTATACCCTCTGTAAAATTTTTTTCTATTTATAGATGTCTTTGAACGAAAATTTTCTAATTTTGACTCAAAATTTTTGAGTCTCCTAAAATTAAGGGTCTCTAAGAAAAGAATCTCGAACTTTTCGAGTCGAAAAAAAAAATATTTTGAAAGACATTTTCTCTTTGCTAGAAAACGAAAAAGACCCTTATTTTCTTTGATTCAAAATAAAAAAAGTTGTGGAGCTAAATATGATGAAAGTGTAGCTTATGAGCAGCAACCTAAATAGGGCGTCGATGTGTTTTGGGCAGTCATATTTTTAGAGCGTTGTCCAGTTTTCTCAAGTTAAGGGGGTAGAAACAGCTTTCTCGATTTTGGACTGCAGCTACATAAAAGAAAGCATAAGATTTAGTCATGTTCACGAAATTTCCTCATAAATGTTCCTAGAAAAAGGGTTGAGCTTCACAAAAATGTGAATGAAATTTGTTTAACTATCAGGGATCTCGCGATATACGTGTTTAAAAATTAGGGAAAATCGAGAATTTCGGAGAGATGAGCTGCTTCTGAGCCCCCTTACTCAAAAATTCGATGACTAAAACAAATTTCGAGAGAGATGCTCTTAGATCTAAGATGTTTCTATCAAAACCTGAAGAGAAAATTTGAAAATGTAAGATTCTCTTGTCTGTAGCGCCGGTCAAAAATCGCCCATTTCGGAAAAAAGCTGTTTCTACCCCCTTAATCCTCAGAGTTAAATAAGGCTTAACCGTATTCTAGTGATATGCAGATGCGCGGGCTCATTAGCCATTCGGGATTAGGCAAATAGATCTTCTGTTGCCTTTGAAGGGAACTGCTGAACTGTTATCAGATGGGGCAGAAGTACTTGTCCCAAAAAGAGGCTTCCCGCGAAGGTGATAGATTCCCCTCTTCTTTCTTTCTCCACCTACTTCGGCATTAGCGCTAAGCCCCCTCTTCTCGCGTTCCTTACTTGAAACCGTTAAAACACTCCTCCATCGCGACTCGACCCTCTTCCGAGGAATAACGCTTCGTAATCGACGCTCAATGATTTTATCAAAACAAGCGATTAAAAATGATTAATTTACCAATTTATTTTTTCGTTGATGAAATCATAATTTCTCCTGATCCAAAACGAGCTTGGCCATGAGTTGGCTAATATTATTAACAACTCGGCGGGTGACGAGCACTTCGATAAGCGGAACGGGCTAACGCTCTAACCAGAGAGTCGGAGTCGGAGATAAATCCAACTTTTTATTCCCAGCTCGTCATATTTTGATAATGCGCGCGAAACTATAGCTTGACTCATTTTCTCTCATCATTCTTATGAAATTTTATTATGATTTTTTTTGTATAATTATTAATATTTAATTATTTTATTTTTATAATTTTATTTTTAATTTTTATAATTTTTGTTATTTTATTATTTTTTATTTTTTATTATTTTTTTATTATTTATTATTTTTGTTTTTAATAAAAACAAATAAGTTGGTGAGCTGAGCAAGCTAATCTTTAGCCCTTTTATTTTGAGCTCTGTTACTATTATTTTGACGTGTGCTAGAATTTTTACGTATTGCTGCAATTAAGCGTTGGTTAGTTTCGTCACACGCTCTCTAAAAGGGCCGATCTGATGAGGTTAACGTCGAGTGACATAAGTTGGGGGAACCTTGGCAGAATGCGTCGATCATCGGCTGTCTCCTGAAGATACCGGTAGTTACTGGTGGCGGAAAAGATCTTCCAAAAGCGGAAAATTGATTTCGATAAGGCGCTGCGAAGAAATCGGAACAAGCCGCCACATTCATTCACAACAACTAACGGTTCCATCACTTTGTCCAAAAATGATGTGGCATTTCACGAAGCCCACTTGCGCCAGTTAGAACTTCAGAAGAAAGAGACTCTTTTTCGAATGATTTTCGATTACCAAGATGCTGGCTCGCGTATAAAGTTGTGAACGAGGATCAGTCTAACTTGGGGGCGGGTGTATTTTCACACGACGCAGCGGACGGACGTTTTGCATCCCTTCTTCCGGATCGTTCTAATACTTGACCAACAAATATGCAACCACGTGGTTGACTTCAGGCTCCACACAAACTGCACTTTTGTAATGAAAATTGACTTTTTCGAGTCGGAAAAAACCTAGATTTTCGAACTCATCTTTGTCCAATATTAAATATAATATTTAATAATTATATTAATATTTTTTTTATAAAATTATTAAACCTTATATATTGAATTATAATTTATAATATATTAAATTATAAAAATTTTTATTCTTTTTTAAAATATAAATTAATAAATTTTTATATTTAATAAGTATAAATAAAAAATAAATATTTTTTGGCAAAATTAAGTTCTGTGAAAAAATAGACATAATTTCTGAAAGTGGTTATTTACAGTAACTGAAATCGCTTAAGAAATCATGAGATTATTTTTGCACTTCTCTCGTGAAAGCAAAAACGCTCCTGCTTCTGATTGTACATTAAAACTGCAGCTGTATTTGGAGTCACTTAGGTCGGTGGCCGCCCGCCCGGAGAGCAAGGACAATACCGGATCCTTCGAAAGTGAAATGATGCACCTGCAATCGCCTTTTTAGATTTTGCGTCTTAGATCGCTCTTCTCCCCGCCGCGGACTAACTCTAATCGCGCGCAACATCGCCCCGATTTTTTAAGCTTATCCGATTTTTTGACTTACTCCGCCGGATTGATTATAAAAGAAAGAACTGATCTGTTACCCTTTATTGAGCGAATAGAAAAAAATACGAAAAAAATAAGTCTTTGATCGGGATTTGAACTCGCGACCCTTTGAACTCGAGATTTTTTTTATAATTTTTGAGCGTCAAAATTTTTAATCCTAAAATTTAGAATCTGAATTTAGAGGAAAACAGACTAAAACTTGAAGGTTTTTTAACTCTGAGTATCGTTAGCTAAAGTTAGTTTTGAAGGTTAAGGGCTATCGCCCAGATGTACGTAGTCTGGAGTCGCAGGTGCTGCTTATAGTATTTATTGACTTTCGCCATGGCCACGTCGTTGCAGTACGTAACTCCGGGCGGGGGTCGTTGGTCTTACTGCAGCTTGTTTAGAAACTGAGCGGAACGTGATTTGCATCCCTTAATCCCAACTATCGCCACGCATCATCCGCTTTCTCTGTCATTTAACTCCTCATTTAACAAGACAAGTTCTAAACGGATTGCCAAATCATTGTTTTGCCAGATTTGAATATTCAAATATCACGCCGCTGTTTTTTTTTTAAATTTTATCTCGAAACTAAGTTCAAGGCAAATTGCGGGGATACCCTAAATTTTTCTTTACAAATCTTCTCTCCAAAGTTTAAATAGACTCTAAGCTATCTATTAGTTACAAATAATTATTATAACGGAAAGCTAGAATAAGCAAAAATTCGTAATAAAAAGACCTCTCACACTTCATTTTTGTCGAAAAAGCGATTAACTCGACTCTTTCTAAAGCTCCCTCTCTATGTAAAGATGTGCCTACTTTGTGTCGATCTCTTTGTTATCCTCCGAGGTCAGCCAGCCCGTACATATGCTGCGAACGGGTTAATGCTCTCCCGTCTTAGCAATTATTGAAGGACACCGGTTGGGCCAGCGAGCAGCACCAAACAAACCCTTAGTGCCACTCGCTCAAATGTGCAAAATGATTGTTTTGGGAATAAACCCTTCCAACCGATTTAGAAAAAGACCATTCAAGTAGTACAGCGCACAATTTCATCATCAATTATTTTTTTCGAATATGCCGAAATTAACAAAAAGCAATTACCAATTTTACCATTCAAAGATTTTCATCAATAGAAGCATCATTTTGGACTCCAATTTCTGATTATATTTTTCATAAATCACAATCCATTATTAGGGGCGCCCTGGGAAAGTCGCCGAATGTCGCCAAATGTCGCCGAATGTCGCTGAATATCGCCAAACGTCGCCGAATGTCGCTGAATGTCGCCGAATAGCGCCACTTTTTCTTTAAATACAGGCATCCTGAAAGAAAATTGTTTTCTGTTTTTAAAAAAGAGTGGCAACATTCGACGACATTCGATGACATTCGGCGACATTCAGCGACATTCGGCGAAATTTGGCGACTTTTCCCAGTGTCGCCCCATTATTAATCAATTTCAAAGTAGAAAAGGGGTATTTAATCATCATTTTTGTAGACACACAAAAATGCACATTCATCATATTACCTCATCGAGTTTTAGAGCGCTTTTGCTCTCAATTGGAGATAATTTGCCAATTGAAAAACTGTCGATCAAGTTATTTTTTAGATCTCTTGCTGAAATGTTTCGCTTCTTTGCGAAATTGGCGATATTGGCCCTCGCCCGGGCGCAAGAAGATGTGCAAGTCACGTGCGAACCGGAAGAAATGCGCATTCAAGTGACGAAAGCAGTAGTCGAAAGCAACGGCTTCCGGCAAGAAGACGTGCACCTCACCGTAAGTAAATTTTACAACTTGTGAAAAAGTTGTTTCAAGTTGCGAGTTCTTTTTCGTGTTTTCACTCTTGCAAGTGTTGTAACATGAGTTTTTTTTTTCTAAATTTGTGAATTTCAGGATTCCAGCTGCGTTTTCAACGAGGTCGACGAGGACAACCAATACTACGTGTATGTATTTATAGAAATGGGAAATAAGTGGGTTATGATAATTATGACCAATTTACGAATGCAAATTCGCTCGTATTTGGAGTGAAACTATCAGACGCTTGTTCAATTAATTGACCCCTTGGCCGCAGTGTTTCAATCACAACACTCGTCCAATACGTGGCGAACGGGGTATTTCATAAGACGAAAAATTAAGAGTCTATTTTAAATCGAATCATTTATTATAAAAAACCAAACGTTGCGCCCCTTTCCAATCGTCGAAATTTGATAAAAGACTTGAGTCTTTTATTGAAATAAAATCAGCTTTTTGGCTTTTAAAATTGCCTAAAATAGACGATGAAGGACTAGAATTTGGGGTAGATTTGAAGTAAACGAACGTGAAATCTGTATTTTCGGCTCGAAAAATACTTCAGCTGAGGATCTAAAATTTAATTTGTTTTTTAGGTACCGAGTTTCGCCGCTGTCAGCCTGTGGGACTGAAATTAAGGTGAGTTTTTACCCTCGCTGTTTTTATTGATGCACAAATTCATGAGGAGGGCTACTTGATTGAAATTGATGTTGCTTGAAAAATATCAGATTGAGATAAAAACACGTGTTCAGATCAATGGCACCCACGTTACCTACAACAACAAGCTCGCTGCTGGCAGCCCAGATGAGGAGCTCAGAAAGGGACAGGTCGTCATTGGAAGCAAAAATAGCCAGGTACGTTTTTTCATTATATTTGTTTTGTGATTTGTTCGATAATTGATCGAGTTATAGTTTGATTATTTCAGTCGCGACAATCTTTGGCCGCCAAGCTCCGCTGCGTATTCCCCGTCGAGTTGATGGTGTCATCCGCTTTCCTGCCCAACATTTCCTTCATCAACATTCCGGAAAGGATCTATCTCGAGCCAGGAGCGCTCGTTTTTCTAAAAAGCTAGAGACGCAACTCGATACTTAGTCAAGTCGACTAGTCGCGCCCGCGCAGTACTTTCAAAGAATATCATTAAATCGCTAGAAATTGATCCGTTTGAAAAGCTTCCGGACTCTTTTGGCGTTGGTTCTTTCCAGGCGTCGATGGCTCTTTTCGAAAATGAACTTTACGAAGACCAATATCTCGAAAACCCGAAGATTTCAAATGAAGACCTTCTTTACGTCGGTATGGAAAAAAAAAGAAAATATAATTATTAGTCATCATTTTCCAGAGCTCGATTCGCTCAAGCTCGTAATCCCACCTGACGCTCCTCGATTACTCGGTTTATTTAGGCGTTCAACTTCTCGGAGAGATTCAATCGGACGTCTTCTTGAAAATGGATCGATGCTGGGCCACTCCGATCGCTGACGCTAAATCCGACAAACAATTCGAGCTTCTGACCGATTCCTGCCCAGACTCACTCGCCAAGGAGCAGGGAATGAATGTCACCCAGAATGGAGTAGCTGTAAGTAGCAGAAGTGACAACCTCTTTCCGGAATGATTACGAGGCCGAGCTACCGCGAGTTGTATACAGAAATGCATCGACCGCGGCGGGGCATGACTAGCTGCGAATGAAAATGACGCTTTTGAGCTTCAAGAAACAAATCATTTCCGGCCGATAAATTGGCCAATCTTCTTTCCTTAACTTTTCTTTTCAAGACGACCGCCCGATTCCAGATGCCCGTCTTCAAGTTCGTCTCCTACTCCGCTGTCTGGCTTCACTGCGACCTCCAAATCTGCGTCAAAGAAACTTGCCAGCCAACTTGCGATGCGCGACGAAAACGTAGCTCTGGCTCTGAAGAATGGGATCAACGGTAACGTCAATTTTCATAAAATTTTCACATTGAAAATTAAGGCACCTGATTTCCGTCGGTCCAATTCAGCTCAGCTCTGGCGAAGAATTGGCGATTGAAGAGACTGTCAAGTTCATCGAGGAAGAAATCGCCGAACAAAGCGACAAGATTGTTTTTACTCCCTTCCACGTCGCTGTTTTGGGCGCTCTCTTAGGATCGAGTTAAAACTAAACGGATGAAAATCGAAAGAACTAAAATGTTAAAACACATTTATACCATTAAATATCACGTGATTAACTCGTTGGAGCCGTATCAGTGCTCTGCATCGCCCTGACCATCTTCCTTTGCCGAAAACCATCCAAGGCATAAAAACTTTCTAAAGTCAAGTTGAACCGTTATCATAAATTGCCCAGCCCAATCGTTTCAAAAAAAATTTTTTTTATGTAAAATTTCAAACAGCTTTTTTTCGAAAAAAAATCAGCAGCATCATCAAACTGAAAGAAGTTACTTTCAAAAAAATAGTCATTTTTTCAGAAAGAAGCTATTTTTCGTTTTACAAATTAAAATTAAAAGCATTTAAAAGCTTCTGAGAATTTTTAGCTTCTTGTTTCTTGTAAATATTTCACAAAATTAATCAGCGGTGATGAATTATTTTGTCGACCATTACCAGCTTCGGGGCTTTTTTTCTAAAAAATGGAAATATTCGAATTTTCAAATTTTCGCGCAGGCGAAAGAAAATCTACAGATGTCGAGAAAACCAATCCTTCGTTGGAGAAAACAGAAGAACTAGCAATTGTATAAACGTCGTATTTTATTATTTTCTGTTTTCGACTGCGAATTTCAAAACACACAAAAACACAAAACAACACGACTGTTCAAGTACTGTGCCAAATCATTTATTAATAAAAAAACGATCTGTACTATAATTTATAAACAAAAAAGCTTCGGTGGTTTTTAAACGTGTCATAGTTATGCATTTCTAGCGCCGTTTCTCGGGCAAATGTAAAAAACGCTAACCGCTGGTGGTATTAATAAGGACAGGTCTTGATCCGCGGAATGCGTCATCATAGCTTTCTCGCAGCTGGCCGCTCTTGCTCAAAGTACTCTCTAAAGTAAGCAACGTGACTCATCAAGCTTGAATTTAAGATACGCAGCTTAACCCTGGCAGTTCGAAATATGCGTTGAAAACAACGAGGACTACCTCCACTTCAAAATAAGTGAATCGAAAATTTACGTATTTCTCCGTTTTCAAAGTATACGTACCTTCGAAATTACATAACTTTGGCTGTGCAAGAAGCGTGAAAATTGAAAATCGAAAATTGAAAATTTCATTTGTCGAAGTTTAAAATCACCGCCCGCAGAGAACAAACAGCGCCGCCACCTGACGAGCCCAGTCATCAAAAAACGCCGCACTTGGCGAGTCTGGAATTGGAATGTTGAAATTTTCTTGAGTACTTTGAACCGGCCAGATGTGTGGAGAACTCTGACGCGTTTTTTGCCAACTTTTTATTGGACATTTTTTCCATGCTGGCTGGGGGTGAGTACAACAAATTCCCGGAATGGAGGTTGTTAAACACTTGACATCAAAAATAACACAAGCTAAGACAAAAAGACTGTCAAGCTGTCGACGCATGTTGTCAAAATCCGTCCCGTAAATTTTCCGCTTTTATCCTCAGAATAGCTTTTCAGAGATGGTAACCGAAGAAGAAGGAGAGCTCTCTGCAAAGCATATTTTTACACAACAGCTTGTTCTTGATGATTCTCCGATTTTTTATCGGCAAGAAGTTCAGGTGACTAAATCAATAAATTAAACGAATTAAAATGATATAAAACAGTGTCTGGGATGCAATCGAATCGGCATTCTAAATCAAAAGATGGAAAAGTACTCTTGTTTCCTAAAGAAGAAGCTTTGAAAAGAATTTGGACGAGAAAAGTCTCCGGCAAATTGAGCTTTGCAAATCATGGTTTTTCAACGCTGAATCAACGTAACACTTACATGACAGTTGGCTCTATTTTTTGGATTGCGGTCATGATAATTGGTATCCTTTGCTTTAAAATTTTCTCTTTATTTTTCAGCGAATCTGTATTCTTTGGAAAAATCGCGCGGCGTCACTACTTTTCTTACTTCGACTTGCAATCGGAATTACAAGCAGTGCATTCGAAGCGCAACAATGGATTACTGTGGACATTTGATGAAGCAATGTTTTCAAACGAAGAATTTCATTGTTCCGGAAACAATTTCCGAAATCAAAGCGAAAGATTCAAAACCCTCTTTGTTCTCGGAAGAAGAGAACGAAGTGAATTTGCGCCGCTGCCAGAAGAAAAAGTTTTACGATCAAAATGTGTGCAGACATCTTTGTTCGAAAACGCTTGTTTTGGAATCAACAAGGAGAAACCCAATCTCGCCTTGCGAGTCGATCTGTTTCGAGTTGAGCAGATCATTCGATTCCGCCGGGGCAGTTTGTCCCTTTCAAACATATTGTCCAAAGGGTTGTCCTTGCCCTTTTTACGAGTGTGAAAAGTTCGAGGCGCGTCAGAAGTTGATTCCTGTCTTTGATTTGCGCCAGAGTTCGGAAGATCGCAGTATGGAGGCGAATGAGGACTTCAAGCTCATAACGGGTCGTTGGGAGAATCGAAGAATCGGGAAGTTTAAATTTCCAATAATTCTTTCTGAATTTAATGGCAATGGGGAACAAAAGAATGCCTATGCATCGAGTTTATTGCTCCCTTACGGAAGTTTTTATTGATAATCCAAAGATATTCGCCAAAAGTTTTGGCCCAAAACAAGTTTGAAATCAATAAAAACACTCAAGTCAATTGGCGCTACTTTTCTCAATGGCGAGCATTTTTTGGTCGATGCAATAGGAAATCTGCTGAAAGTCAAAGAAAACGGTGATTTCCCCACATTTGTTCCGAATCGAATAAATAGCAAAGGAATGTAGGTAATAATGCCATAATTACTTTTTGACTTTTTCAATAGAGGATTCTTCGTTTTCCACTTTGGCTCCTCGATTGGACTTCATCAAATCGAAATTCGCAGAAAAGACAAAGCCAAAAAAGTCTTTCCGGTAGTCGTCATCTGAAAAAGGTCGAACTAAAATAAGAAAGTTACGTTTTTCCACCCGTTTTGACCTCAAAAAGCTCACCAACTGGAAGGGCAGATAAATGCTTCTATTACGCGCCTGATTACAATTTGGACCGTTTCGAAGAAGCACAGGGTTTCATCGCAAGCAACCATTTCAATGCGAAAACATCTTCTATCAGTTTCAAAGGGGTTTTTAATTTAATGAGTGTCAGGATGGGCGACTATTACATCAAGCTTTCTTCGACTGTTTCCTTGAACTCGATTAGAAAAGACGAAGAAATGGAAAAAGGATGGCGAAAAAACGAGATTCATTTGCCGGCAGAATTTAGAGATTTGGATCCTGTCCTTGTCATTCCTATGAAATGAGTTAAACATTTTTTAAGGAAAATAAATAAAATATGTTTAACTCGGAAAAGATTGATTTGGAAAAGCTGCTTTTAATTCTGGTTTCAAGAAGTATTGAACTCTCAAACACGCTGTACTCGCTGCTGTTCGAAGCGGAAGGGAAGTTTCTCACTCTCGGCAGCGAATGGATTGGCTCTCTGGTCAAATACGAAGAAAAATCTTTCTGCTTTTCAAAACTTTTTTCTTCAGATGATTATTGGTATACAGATCAAGGTGGAATCAACAACGACGAATGCGAATACTTCGGCATTGGAATCATCAACGACGAAAAAATCTTTCTTCAAAACTACGTTTTCGATATTTCGTTTGAAATTGTCATGAATTTCGAACAAATCGAGATCGAGTTCGTGCAGCAAAAGTCGTCGCGGAAAATGCACGTGACAAGCAATCCATTTTTCGCGTTTCACGACGACATCTTCCCCGCTTTTGCGAAAAATGCTGCTTCTCAGAGACAATTTCCTCAGCCCAGTCCCTTCTTGAAAACAATCATTCCGGACAACTCATTTTATTCGCTAGAGGAATTGAAGCATATTTCAACTTTGGAGATGAAACTCAATGGAACAGAACATTTTGAGCTCGACATCGATTTTCGGCGAATTTATATTTTCCCAAGCGAGCTAAAAATTCTTGAATTTCAGCTTTTCGACGGAACAGCTCTTTTCAAACTCGGAAACACTGAAAAAGGCGCGCCTTGGATTGCATCCGACTATTCCAATGATCGCATTATTTTCGACGATCGTATTTTTTATTTAGAGAAACTAAGATTGAATTTCAGTTCAAACAATCAAAGCTGCTCATTTTTTATTGAAGTGAATAAGGAAAAGTTTGAATCCTTTGCACATTATATTATTTCAATCATTTAATAAAATAATCAAATAAATCAATAAATTAAACTCATAAAGAATGGAGAGCGCGAGATCAAAAGTATAATAAAATTGAGTGGACTGGAAAGCATCGAAAACAGAAAAGTTCGAATCTTCAAGTTTGATCGTTCAACGAGCATTCGGAACTTTATTTATTCTTCGGCAAAGTCAAGCCAGATAAATGTTATAAGACCGTGGCCGTGGTTAAACCCTGACTATCGACCTTACGCACTCCTGGCTGACGGGTCCATCAAAGAAAATGCCTTTTTCAATCCTCCTTTTGGCAGCAAAATGAGTATTTGCGAATATGCGCAGGATTTCAAACACGCACTGGTAAAAAATCAACTTCACCTTTTTGGCGGCAGAAATAATAAAGTAAAACAAAAAATTGAAACCGGAGAATTATGTTCATTTTATAGATTGCGCGACTAGATGGATGCCAATTCACAGAGTTGTCTGCGCAGTTTTATTATTCGTATGCGGGATATGCTTCAGTTTTATCAATTTCAGGAGGCAGTGAAGGTAAAGTGCATGATTTTCTAAACTAAAAATATATTCTTAGCGATCATTTGTTTTGATGGAGACTCTGAAAGAAAATGCGAGCTGTTCGATGGATTTAAAGTCAGAGTGACTTTTGCGACTACATCGCCTCATCAATCGGGTGAATTGGCCCTTTACAATGGTCGTCCGACTGCAATCGGGGGAGGTTTACCTTACGGGTAGGAGAACCGGTGATTATTTCGACTTTTTTCTGGGCTTAGGTAGGGAAGAGTTTGATGCAGTTTTGGAAAGCCCAGATCATGCGGATCATTTTGACTATTGACACCATGGGGTAATCTTTTATCCTTAGGGCATCAAGGGCCTTTTAAAGTCCCAAAATCGAAGTTTTTCCGGAAATCCGGTAATTTGAAGGCTTGTCCGGAGGTTTTGTGGAAAACTGCTTATGCCAATTCAAAGAAGAGGCAATGAGGAGTCAGAAACCGTCGAAAAAAGTAGTAGGCTACGGGGTTCCTGAGGAGCTAGAGGCTCTAGAAGTTGAGGAAATCACCCGGAAACGAGTAAATTTTCTCTAAAAAGGGATGAAATTGTATACTTATATATCCGGATTGGCTTTTATTACGTTGTTCTAGGTTTTTGATGTCAACTATTAATTTTGGGGTCATCTGAGGTCACTTGGGGTCATCTTCAAAAAAGATTAGAAATCTTTGAATAAATCACCCCAAGTCACCTCAGATGATATAATAGACATAGTTTATATCATATAAAGCGTTTTCATCCCTTTTTAGAGAAAATTTACTCGTTTCCGGGTGACTTCCTCAACTTCTAGAGCCTGTAGCTCCTCTGGAACCCCCCTAGCCTACTACTTTTTTCGACGGTTTCTGACTCCTCAAAGCCTCTTCTTTAAATTGGCATAAGTAGTTTTCCACCAAACCTCCGGACAAGCCTTCAAATTACTGGATTTCCGGAAAAACTTCGATTTTGGGACTTTAAAAGGCCCTTGATGCCCTAAGGATAAAAGATTACCCCATGGTGTCAATAGTCAAAATGATCCGCATGATCTGGGCTTTCCAAAACTGCATCAAACTCTCCCCTAACTAAGCCCAGAAAAGAGTCGAAATAATCACCGGTTCTCCTACTTACGGGGTAGCAAAAGCAGCAGTCGAGACATTGACCAACTCAGGCTGGGTTTTTCTGCAAAACCATCCAAGGTAAAAAAAAGAAAGAGAGAGATAAAAATAATTGAAGATGGATTTCTTTGTTTTCTGCGATTGGGCTTCCTTCAGGAAGTGTCCTGACAGTTGGAGGACTTAATCAAAGAAATCCAACGGGGAGGAACGGCGAATTCGATGACATTTGGCGACTGAAAGAAAATCACTGGTCCTTGATCGGTTCTCTTGAAAAAGTAAAATTAGAGTACGTCTCGAGTATTTATTACTTCAGTCTGTTCTTGGCTCATCAGCTTTATTATTCGATAAATTCATCTACGTTTTTCCTGGCTCCTACGACAAAGCAGAAGGCGTTTTTGGTCCATCACCAATTATAAAAATAAGCTTAGGTCAAGGTTTCAATTTTTTAAGGAGTATTTGACAGCACTTATTTATATTTTTAATTTGTTTTTGGAGCCTTGAAAAGACTCAGAAGAAAAGGTTTTGTCGACTGATGAAGTTGCAGTTCAAAAACATTCTGTTTACTTTCCTATTCTTTTTGTAACGCCTTCTGAATTTTAGAAAAAAAAATCTATGTACAAAATATTATTAAGACTTGATGTGATAAAAGTCCCGTAAGTTTTATCATATGATTGTTAAACTATCAGAGCAACAGATAGGGCCATCGATTACTAGCTGTTTGAAGTCCGTATTTTCAAAATTTATTGATCATAAAGTAAGCTCCTTTCGATATTACAGGCTGTTATTAGTATAGTATAAATTTTATAGCTTTGATCTGTGTACTGTTCGCAATAAAACTGTCATGGAATTTGACCTTTTTGTAGCTTTTAATTCGTACTTTTAAAGAAAACAAGTGTTTTTGAAGCTCGTTGCTAGAAAGCTGCATGCAATTACAAACTTCGGGGCAGTTATTGTTATTGAGAAGTCTAGCCGAAGAAGTCGCCAAACATCTTGAAATCGTTGAGAATATTATCTAGCCTTGAAAATTGCAGCATCCAATTTTTTATTGGCTTTATTCGTTTTCAAACCTTTTGCAGAGAATCGGAAGAAAGTGCGAGTGCATGTTTCGATGTGTCAATGAACCAAGCTTGTCGTGTTGGCCACAGAAGCCTCGGTTCTTACAGTAAAGTCTTCGAACTGTAATTAGAAATGGGCAAAAGATCTAACCTGTTTTGCGTTACGCGCATGCAAGTAGAGCAGTTTCCCGAAACGAGAGAACTGAGCAAAAGTGAAAGAAGTAAAAAAACCTTCATTTCGTTTTCTCTTTTAGAGTGAATCCAAAAGGGAGACTTGATCTTTTGAACTGAGACTGTCGATTTTCCAATTTACCCATTTCAATTATCATTATTGATTAGTAATTTATCAGGTCTTTTTTGATGATCTTTGACAGGATAACCGATTCAGTCTAGTTTTTATCTTATCTGAGCAGAATATCTTATTCAGAAGTAAATTTTTGGGGACAGGTGAGTCCATAAGTTGAACCCTTCTCATTTTTGCTGTAAGGTACAGCAATTTGAATTTATCCGTGGATAAAATTCAGCCGGCAATTCTTATAACACTTTTACAAAACACACGAGTCGTGTGAGTACGGCACTTTTAAATTAGGAGTGGTGTGAATTTAATTGCCTCAACTTATTTTCCATGTTAAATTGTCCATGCAGTTCCACCAATCTTTCCATACATACTTACCCCATAAAACCATATATTTTCTGAATCCTAACGAAAAGATCTAGTGCTTTGCTTCCGTATTAATAATGCGCCCGATTTTCAATTTTCGGTAAATCGGATTTTTGTCAAATTTTGAATAAAATGAAAGAAAAGTGCTATTTTAGGCGATGAACAGCAAAGTTGAGGTACTATAATGAGTTTCGACTTGGCTCAGTTGCACCGGACACCGTCAATCAAGTAAAGAATTATTAAAAATAAGGAGTTTTTGCAAAGAAAAGAAACGCAAAAAAGCTTTTGTTTTTCGATTTTATTCAAAATTATTGGCAGTGGGATCCTCCGTCAATGGCCCATTGAAAATGGCCTACTCGAGAAGTTCAATCGGCAGGTTCTATGGCGTCCTCTACTTGTTGGCAGTCCGAAATTCCGCTACTAGTAGTAGTGAAAATGTCACAAATTTCCAGAAAGTGATCGATTTCGTGACATTTGTGACATTTCGAGTGCTGTCGGTTATATCACACAACGTTGATTGACACCCATTTCGAAAGTCCCGGCAGCGCACTAAGACCTGTTGTTGAGGATGATAAACTCTTTTGCGCTAAAGATAGAGCTCTTGAGCGTACTAATTGGTGCACGTTAACATAATATAAACTGAGGGTAACAGTGCTGTTAGCAACGGCAGAAAATCCCTCAAAAAAAGATCAAATAAAAAAGCGATGAAAACCATCTTCGCCATGACAATCTTCGCTTCCGCCTCGGCCGAGTACTTTGGCAAAATCCGAATGCCTCGGTTCGAGAAGCTGGTTGGTTCCGAGGTCGATTTAACCGGCCCCATTGCGGTTGCATCGAAGGACGACTGCGTAAGTCTCTGCCGAGCTGCTTCCATTTTCATCAGCCCGACAAGGCAGTACGATTCTCTCTGCGACTCGCCAAGTGCTTACCGCCACGGACAATGCTTTCTTTCTGGAATTCCAACCTTGCAAAAATTCAATCTTGACAAAACTGGCTCTCGCGCTTTGTCTTGCACCTTTCTCTGCTCTTACATGTCTGACTGCATGTTGGTACAGACGGAGACGCGATATACAAGCAGACGAACCTACAAGACCTGCTCGTTTTTCAATGGATACGTCCAAATCGAGCCAACACGTCTCTCCGTCGAAGTTGAGATGAAAGAAGAAATCTTCGATGAATATTCTCGCATGTAACTGTTATTCCTGCTCCACCATCAGTACTTCTTTATCTATTATTTCTTTATATGCTGTAATCATACTAGACAATAATTCCGTTTGTTGTTATTAACTACATGAGACAATCAAATTCAATAAAATGCATTCAAAATAATATTGACGCGGAGAAGATCTGATTCAATTTTGAATAAAGAACTTACAGTGGTACCTTAAACTGGGACCCCCTTTAGATCAACTCAATTGGCATTCCCTCTGAATGCGTTTTTCTTTGCTCTTAGTTTTGAATTTTTTGAGCTCCTGTGGCTAGACAAGAGCCAAAACCCATGGGCCATGGTCTAAGTGGTTCGAACATACTGATTAGTTGATAAAAGGTAAAGCGGGCCGAATTCGCTTCGCTTTTGAGTAAATTCGCTTTAGGGAATTCAGACCTCTTGTCATAATCAGGGCTCTAAATCTGAGGCAAAAATCAAAAGTCCGGTCTGTCCAGGTCCGGGCACTTGGCCTAAATTTCGAAGTCTGGTCTGTCCAAGTCCGAATTGAAAACCCGGACTTTTAGTCTGGTCTAGTCCGGGAAAAGTCCGAAAAAGTCCGAAAAAGTCTGGTCCGAGAAAAAAGCCGAAAAATCCGGTCTGGTCTAGTCTAGTCCGAAAAAATCCGAAAATTTTCGAATAAAATACAACAAAAAATCGATTTTTTTTCGAAAATTTTTCGACTTGAATCAAGAAAAACTATTATGACATAATAATTATGTTCAAAATATATTTGAATAAGACAAATCGAAACTTGCTCATCAGTAAGTACACATCGAAGATTTGAGCGCTGCTAGGACCCATCATCTTTTTTTTTATCTTGGAATCAAAAAATAATTTCCTAAGCTATATTTTCTATGAAAAACTTACTGGGACACCAATCATGACAAAAAACCATATCATATGGCCCATATGGCTATTGTCAATAGCCTATTGAGACTTTTCGGACTTTTTCGGACTAAATTTGTCTAAAAATAAGTCTGTTAGTAGTCTCAAATCGGTCCAGACTTCTCGGACTATCTCGGACTTTTCGGACTAAAACATAAGTCTTGAAGTAGTCCACCTTTTCGGACTTTTCGGACTTAGTCCGGCGACAAAGCCAAGTCTGGTCTGGTCTAGTCCAAAAATTTTCTCAGCCAAAAATCAGAAGTCTGGTCCGTCCGGCCGGACTAGACCGGACGGACTTCGGACTTAGTCCTAGCCCGGACTAGTCCATTTAGAGCCCTGGTCATAAAAATACGGTATTATTAATACTTCTGGTATATTATTTGACCCTGACCGATTGGGTTCGTAAACAAACCGGGTTCGACGGTGAAGCACTCTGAAGCACTTAAGAAATAACAGTAGTCATGGATGATCCATGATGGATCAGTGATCAAAGGTACCAATTTTAAATAACATAAAGGATGCTCCATCAAGCCTTGATGATCAAGGTTCACTCAAGATGTTGATTTTGACAATCAAAATATCTTATTTTATTTGATTGACATGACTGATTGATCTGTACATGAGTACACGAGGTGCTTCCCCGAGATAACTATACAGGCGTAACGCCTGGGAAGAGTATTCAATTAGTTTATCTCTTGATTATCAGTAACAGATGAAGTGAATGTTAATTCAAAGCAATAGGGTAGATCGGAACATTTCTCCACAAACAGCATTCTGATATGATATCGCGAGAATCGCCCGTAATGTACTAGAGGGTTTCTTATGGTTCCCCTGGTGATAAAAATTATACTATAATCTTGGGATTTATCGGGTAGTTCCAAGCTATTTACTTACGATAAAGAAGGACTCATTGAGATCTTGATTTTGTCAATTATCAAAATTTATATTATCAAGATTTATTGAAGCAGGGAAAATTTTGACGCATAAAAATAAGAGGTAAAGCGTGCAGAGAGGTACCAGATTGAGTGTGCTAGTGACGAGGACTTCTATTTCTACGGGATTGAAAGCTCTTCAATGTCTAAAAAAATAAATTAGAAATGCTTGTTTATAAAAAAAATGAAACCTTCAAGACGTCCATGTTGCAAACAGACATGGCATAATCAATCGCAGTTCTTCCTTTGTTATCTTTCTGCTTCAAGTCGGCACCATTTCGCAAAAGCATGTAACAAAGCTCCTCTGTCTCTGGCTCAAAAGCTCTTCCTGCTACATCCATCAGCACAGTAGTGCCAAGCGGGCTTTTTGACTCGATGTTCGCGCCATTTTGTAGTAATAGTTTTATAACATCGTATCGAGGGGTAAGTGCACTCCCGGCAAGTAGGATTGGTGTTAGACCAGATACGGTTGATACATTTATTGAGGCCCCCTTTTGAACGAGCATCTCGACTACTTCTGTTTGCGCATGCTGAAAATAACAATGATTACTGCCGGCTGCAATTTAAAATTTATAAATATCATTAACGCACGACTAATCTAATTTTAATAGCTAATTAAAATAGCTTCTTTTGTAAGATTTAATGACTTTTAATTTGATGATGGGACAACTAAAATAAATATATTATTGTAGTGAGTTTATAATTCTCAACTCACCAAGCAAGCATGATGAATAGCTCTCCATCCACGATTATCAGCAGCATCAACTGGCAACTGTCCGACGCGAAGATAAAAATCCACCAACTTGACATTTCCGACCGAAGCCGCGACGAACATATCCACTAGAATCGTCTTCGAACTCAGCAACGACTTCGTATGCAAATCTCGAACATAGTAACTATGCCTCGCAAGCTGTCTCTGAAATCCAGGACCATTTGTTGGTGCCAACGCTTCTCGTGATTCCGATCGTGCTTTCATTTTCGAGCTCTGAAAAAAAGTTGGAAAAGCTCAAGTTGTTGTTTTTCCACCTTTTGCGGGTAGTTTTCTTTGTCGAGTTTTTCCAAGGATTTCGAGAAGGTCTTTTTCTCTAAATCAAAGTTATGGATGCGCACGTATCTCCCGCTCTTGGCATGAGATTCACTCTCGTTAAGTTTCTTCCGGATCATCTGAGGAGTGTAAAAAAGCTTCATTATCGTAAAATTATGTTAAATTATCTTGCGCTTTGTCGAGTTTTCTCTCGCTGGGATAAATGTTGTGCGCAAATCGTTCGCTTTTGTACTTTTGAGCACTTGAGACTACTTCAAGGCACGCTTCGCAGATTTCAAGAAAAAAAAAACTATAATAGTCGGAATCGATTTCTCAAAAATAGAAAAACAGAAGCGGAACAGAAAGCCGTCTCAAAGAGGACGCAAAAGGTCGTCCGAACCCGTGGGGGGCTCATTCTTCCCATCGGGGCGTCCGGATGGGATTAATTTCTTTATGTTACCTATTGTAAATCTCCGCGAACGGCGGCGGAAGCTCTTTAGTTGCGTCCGATACTTTTTCATTTTCCCCAAGATTGTATATTATTTATGGACAGAACTGGCCAAAGATTGTCGATTAAGCTTCAGATTGGCTTCTCAAAATAGACGATTTCTATTTGAAATGCGTTGTGTAATTGAACTTTGACTGAACTTCAATTACACAAGGTGTTTAAAATAGAAATTTTCAATCTTGAGACGCGATTTTGAAGGTTTATCGACAATTTTTGCCCAGTTCTGTCAAGTTTTAATATTGAGGACTTAACCAATTTATGGAAGGGCATTTTTGAATTACCAATAAGATTGATGTATTTGGCCCACCGGCCAATCAAAACCCCGATCCATAAAATCACTTCCATAAATTGGTTTAACCCAATATCGATGACTAGTAAAACTTAGAGGAGGTTCTCTGGTTATTCAAAAAGTATCAGTACCGGTCACATTTCCTTGCGCAAAAAGCTCTTGAAAGAACTCATCTTTTCTTCCAAAAATCAAAAATACTCTCTCTCTGAAAAAACAACGAGTTAAATGCCTCTAAGCACCGCTTGGTATTCCTTATCACAGATCACCGTCAGAATCGATTAATTTCATCATTTCTCACCGTCGAAGAAAGAACTTACCTAAACTGTTCTTGGGAAGTTTAAAAAAGTCTCCATTCTCTCCAATAGTTTGTCTCAGCTTTTTCTTCTCTTTTTGTTGCGTTTGATTTGAAATTGCCTGGCTTTGGCCGGACGCTTTGTGGGAGATTTCAAACACTCTATTCATGATCTTCCCCATTTTTGGAAAAAATGAAACAAGAAATCAAAAAAATTGAGTCGCTTTCTCGATGTCAGAAACCTTTGGGTTCCGCTCTGATGGTTTCAAATTGATTTTGATCTCTGGCCAAGCCGAAAATCTGGGCCAATTCAGAGAAAAAATATGGGCCAATCCGGCAAACAAAATCGAGCAGCTGCTCCTGTTTTTCAACAGAAAATCTACGAAGAAGCTCGTAAGAATGATTTTATTAAATATTATCAGTTGAAAAAGTGATTGAACTCTTCGAGAATTGCTTTTGAAATCTTCATGTTCTTCGACGAGACCGAGTTTGAATCCAGTATTTCTTCAGTAGCAAAGACATTCAGCGTCGATTTGATTTGTGAGCTCTGAAAGACCGTCAGCATCCGGCGATTTGAGATTTGTTACCTTGTGTTTGTTTTCTTGCCAGCAGGAGTTTTTGATCATGGACTTGAGGATGAGTAAAAAGTCGGTTCTTTTTGGATCGTCGGGTGTCAGGTCGAGGAGATTTCGGAGGATGATTTCAATGAGGATGTTCAGATCTGTTGTGTAGAACAAGTCGGCAGTTTGTTTACTATTTTCGATTTAAAAAAGAAGGCGAATGATGAATTTTCTACCTTGAGAAGATATCCGTCAAGATCTTGAGAACCGAGTGTTTTTCGATTTGGCTTCTTTGGAAAGAAGTGATTTCTTCGTATTCGGAGTTGAGGAGAGGATCGTGTCCGCGATTCATGACCAGCATGAGCAATTCGGAGAAATTGGTCCAGGAAGGGTTCTTGGAAAGCGCTGCAAGGACCGGATTGTGCTCTGGGAGCGAGAAGTGCAGGTTGAAAGCAAGGAAGAGTTTCAGGAGAGAGGAGTTCGTTTTTTCAAGCTACAAGGAAAATCATCAAGGAAAAAATTGATCTGAGTTAGTAACCTTTTTGACAGAATTGTTCTCGATAAAATTTAGCACCGAATAAGCCCAATCTTCAGTCAGATGCTCCAGCGTATGGACGGTAAGGGGCTCTACCGCTGACAACAACAATGAAAAGGCCTCGAAGAGGAGAAGTAAATATTCTTGGCTCTTAGGTTTTTGCACGTGATCACGAATGTCTCTTGCCAGTTCGACTGGGAATACTGTAGGAGTGAGTTGTCTTGCGATGTTTTCAGAAATTCCTAAAAAAAGGTGAAGATTCACCAGAACTGCGAATCTACCTAGTAAGCAGTGAAGAATACTCAAGACGCTCATTCTGATTTCCCATCTCGGCTCGATCGAATAATAATTGACAAGTGTCATTAACGGACCAAAGTTATCTGTCTCAATGACCGCCAGAATCGTGTCTGGATGAGTATTTTGCAGTTTCTTGACGCAATAGGAGCAGAGATTTCGAATCTTGTCGAAGTCATCTTGAATCGGGTTCGTGATCTGCTGCATATCATCTTTGAGATGCTCCAACTGCTCGAAAATCTCCACTAGCTCCTTTTCGTCGTCCTGGTCTCTCGCGAATTTCACATCTGCTAAGAACTCTGTCATGATTTTGTCCATCAATCGATCCAGCTCTGGTACGTTCTCGCCCAAATGACACAAGACCGATCTGAGAAGCTTCCTCGATTTCTCTGAAGAAAGGCCCGACTCTGATTTGACAAGTCGAACCAAGCTCGTTCCGAAGTTCTCCGGCACTGAAACGTTATCTAGCGCTGCGGAAACATCCGGTTGGCTTTGAATAGAGACATAGGATTGCTGGCGAAGCTGGCGCTCTTGTTCAACGTCGGTGCTGTTATCTGAAGTGTCATCTATCGAGCTTACTTCAGACTGTGTCACGTTGCTTGTGTCCCCGTCAGAATAAACTGGAGGTGCAGGGGCCTTTTCTTTTTTCGGTGCTTGTAAGCCATTTGGACCGACTGTTTGTCGGATGACAGAAATCGCGGAGCTCGCCGAAGACTGGGAGCTTTCCGTTCTCATCGGTGGCGGAGGAGCTTTGTTTTTCTTGACAGGAAGAGTTTGGCTTCTTTTTGGCTTGGCACAAAGCTGCGATTCGACTTCTTGCGCGTCTGTGTCCGACATGCTTGAGTTCAAGTCCCAGTTTTCCACTGCTTCACGGAGATTCTTGAGCTTCGTCATCAGGGCCCGGTTTTCTGCTGTAGGCCGATTTGCCATCTCGTGAAAAAGAACTGCGATGGCCTTTTCTAGAAATCTCTTCGTAAATGTCGCGTTTCTACCAAGGTGCTCGGGGAGATACGATCCTGTTTTATGATTCCCAACATAGTACTTTTGATTCTTATAAGAATGTATTATAAGAATATGTATATACAGTGAGATCGATTGATGGGAATCAATAGGAACCATGCCTGGAACGTAACCAACTTGACCCTTCTCATTTGCAGCTAGCCACCAGTCAGACGTAGTCGTTTCAATAATACAGTAAACCCGGCCTGGCTCCAGATTGATCGTATTCGATTCTGTTCCATTATATTTATACGTCGCCCTGAAATATCTGGCAAATGTTTCTCCTATAAATATTTACCGATGAATAGCACCAACAGTTTTCGTATTGCTGGACATTCTCTAATTCTAGCAATTCTGCGTCTTATTTACAGAAGAGCAATTAAACCATGTTTCATTGAATGACAGTCACAGCGGCGGTAGGATATATTTTCTCTGGGGAATAAGCGCTTGCGGGCGTAGTATTTACTCGCCGAATTCCCAAATTCCAAAGAAGCGTATTTTATACAGAGAGAAGCTCTTTTTAGTAATCCTAACACAAGTGCATCTTTCGTGGGCCGAAAATCTCCCCGTGGCCCAATCAACTGGCGTTCAAACAGATCATAGATTATTCAAAACTCTCTTTTCAAAAATAGAACATCAACTACCAAAATAATTCTTCAGTCAAAAGAAAAACCATCAAATGTCTTTTGAAACTCAGTCAGCCTGACTGAGTCAGGAGTAGCGTTGGCCAAAAAAATCGAAGGTCGTGCGCCCAGGCATATAAATTCGCTTGGCGATTTTCGCCGAAAGCGAAAGCGAAGCGAAAGCGAATCGAAAATTTCGCTTTCGCCCCCCGAAAATGACACTCCTGATGTTCGCTTCGCTTTCGCTTTTTGTCCCCGATTTTCGCCAAAAATTCGCTTTCGCCGAGGCCTCGCTTTCGCCAAATTTTCGCTTCTGGCGAATCTTCGCCAAAATTTCGCCGTCGCCAAGGCCTCGCTTTCGCCAGGAGTTTGCTTTCGCCAAAATTTCGCCAAATTCTCGCTTTCGCCAAGAGTTCGCTTTCGCCAATATTTGGCCGAATCTTACTTTTTTGTCTTTCAAAGCGGTAGCTTAGTAGAATTTAATACAGTTTTAGAACACCTAGAAGCTGGGGATCATTTGGCTACTGATAGGTGGGGGTGATCTGAGGGCATTTAGGTACCTCCGAAGGTGGGGTCGGCAAGCCACCAATGTTTGGTCACCAACCGTTGGTGGAGGTGGGTGGGTTGACAAGAAAATCAAATTTTCACTGGTGGTGGTGGGTGTTGGTGGGTTCTTTAAGGTAGTGGTGGTGGGTGAATGATGGGTGGGTGGTGGATTTTTTCGTAAACGTTTTTCTGACCCCAAAATTTATAGAATAGGAGTTGATTACACCGATTTTTCGGTCATTTTTAACCAACAGGAGGAAAACGAAGTAGAGGTAAAGTCATTTTAAATAGAGAACTGATATTTTTGAAAGATTTCGCCAAAAAAGTTTTACCGAAAAATCTTTCCCACCACTTCCCACCAGGGATGTGCCTTTTGCTTTTTTTGGCTCCTGAAGTCGGAGAACTCGGCAAAAATTGAGCACCTTTTCCAAAAAGTCTTTTTGTCGATTTTAATTCATTTAAAAATGTTGAAGTTGTCATTTGGGGTCATCTGAGGTCAAGTCGGGTCACTTATCAGAGTTTTCTGAATTTTCAATTATTCTTGACCTAGAGTGACCTCAGTTGACCCCAAGCGACATCTTAAACACTTATGAATGAATAAACGTCGATTAAGAGAATTCAAATCGTGTACTTTTTGGGAAAAAGTACTCAATTTTCCTAACTTGAAGAGCCCCTAGCTCCCCAGATACCCCACCCCCGCCCTACTTTTCTAGAGCTCAAAATGACTGCCAGAGCCTGGGCCTTCAAAAATTCTGAGCTTTCATTTGGACGGGTATCCCATATCAAGGGGTCAAGGCATTCATGGGACCGGAAGTTCTGAAATCGGAACTAGATCTCTTCAATCGAATTTTTGACTAGCGGGAAACGGCTCAAATGAAAGCTCAGCTTCTCGGTGTTCCAAAACTGTGTCATAATTATTATACTAAATTAGAAATATGGGTCGAAGTTTCATCTTATTAGATCGCGTTTTATTCAAATTTCTTTCAATTTCGGCGAATTTTCGCTTTTGGCGAATATTCGCTTTTGGCGAATTTTCGCTTTTGGCGAATTTTCACTCTTGGCGAATTTTCACTCTTGGCGAATTTTCGCTTTTGGCGAATTTTTCGCTTTTGGCGAATTTTTCGCTTGGCGAATTCGCTTTCGCTTCGCTGTGAAAGATAGGCGTTCGCTTCGCTTTCGCTTCGCTTTTTGGCTGGAAAAATTTTTCGCTTTCGCTTCGCGTTCGCTTTGGGTTTTCGAACGAAATTTATATGCCTGCGTGCGCCTGACACAGTTCACCCCTGTTTCGAAGCGCCTTCTCGAGAGGGTCATTTTGAGCTATTAAGGACCCCCCCCCCCGTCAGCTTTTTTCGAAAAATCAAATTTCGGAATTTTAAAATTTTGACCCCGGAAATGGATTCTACGGGTCGAAAAACGATTTTGAGGCTTCATTTTTGAGGGTCTATCTTGACTCTAACACCCTCAAAATCGCGTTTGAAAATTGGACTTTTCGCCAAAAATTGACGAATTAGCCCTAATTTTGGCAAAAATATTGATTTTCTTGGTCCAAAATTCCTCTCATCATGTTTTTAAGCAAGTTTAACCAGAGGACGCATTATAGACCAAAGATATGGTGTTTTTAAAAATTTCCATTTTTGAAGGAAAGAGCTGACGGGGGTCCTTAACGAAAATAGCAGGAAGGCATCGAAAAAAATAATTTTCTGAAAATTTCGTGATGATAAGGTTTTAGAAATAATGTCAATTGAGTTCCACTTCGTTTGTCAAGGAAATATGCTTAGTCGATTCCTGATATGATATCAGTGATATAATATTAATGATATGCGTGTCCACGAAAAGATCAGTAGAGAATGCACCTAATTGGAATTGCGTCAAATCTGCTGAGCATTCAAAGTCAAAGACGCGGTTATAAATGCTTTGAAAGGTTAATTAAAAGTCCTTCCGGGAGCCACTGTCACTCATGTGTCCGCGTGCCTGTTTCTCAATGCGGGACCAATCGGTTTTGGCTTCTAAAAAGTGACTTACAATCCGGAAAATTAAATGCCACTGGCAATTAGAGCTGCGAGTTCTAATGCGCTTCGAACTTTGTGCATAATATATAATATAATATATCATATAACGTACCCCCTAGCTCGCTCACATTTTGTGAACATTTTTCCCTTTTTCGCTTAGTTAAACTCCAACAAGACCCCCATTGGTCGCTCGCTTTTTGTTACCAAGATCCGTTGGTCGCTTTCCTTCTTTTGCATTCTACGACCCCTTGTTCGCCCTCCTTGGTTTCGACGGCGCACCTTTGCTCGCCCGCCTTTCTCCGTCATTTATCTCTTGTTCGCTCCTGAAGCCCCGCGAGAACGCTTTATAACGCGTAGCTCATTTTCTTTTTCACTTTTAAAAGGCTTTTTAACTCGTAGAATGGTCTCAAAATTCGATTTTCATGATTTTTTCCAAGCAAACATATTTTTTTATGCTCGTTCACGTCCATTTTGTCAAATTTTCATATCTTCTTAATAAGAAGAAATTTGGACACTCCATTTTAAGTAAACATAAGTACTCGAAATACATGGATTGAAACTTTGAGACTGTTTTTATAAAAAATCAAATGCCATTTTCCTCGAGAGTTGCAAATTTTGATTAATTTTTCCGAGCTGAGCTGAGCTGACCTGCGAAAAAATTTCTCTGAGCTGAGCTGAGCTGAGCTGGCCTACTTCGGAGGTTTCTGAGCTGAGCTGGCCTTTTCAGAGGTCATTGAGCTGAGCTGAGCTGAGCAGACCTTTTGTTTAAGAGAGTTGAGCTGAGCTGAGCGGACCCTAATTAGAGCTGAGCTGAGCTGTTTTTTACTGTTCTTTGGTAGTAAAATTGTATTCAAATCATTGAGCTGAGCTGAGCTTAGCTAAGTGATAATCGTCTGAGCTGAGCTGAGCTGAGCAGAACAGATCATGTTCGAAAATAATGGAGCTGAGCTGAGCTGAGCTGAGTGAAAATTGTCTGAGCTGAGCTGAGCAGATTAGATCATTTTCCAAAATCACTGAGCTGAGCGACTGCTCAGCTCACTCAGCTCAGCAAATTTGCAACTCTGGAACCAGTGTCAACATGAAGATTCGACTATTTTGAGTATAAATGTACATATAAAGTCAAACTATCAAGTTTACGGCATAACACAGCGTTGCTACAAGATATAAAAATTTAACTGGCAAATGAGGCAAATGTATGAGGGTACTATATTTAATATAATTATCTTTTTCAGGTTTAAAAAGAGGAAATGAAGTTTAGTTACTGTCAAAATATTCATGAAAATGAAAATATAGTTCCCTATGAAAAAAGAGGGTTTAAAAAGAGGAAATGAAGTTTAGTTACTGTCAAAATATTCATGAAAATGAAAATATAGTTCCCTATGAAAAGCTTGAGTCGAAAGTACAGTAAGAGCTGTAAGAGCGACCCAAGCCGAGCTAGGCTTTGGCGGTCTCGCGGCGAACAAGGGATAAATGGGTGAGGAGGAGCGAACAAGGGCGCGCGAGGTAAAAGAAGGATGGCGACTAATGGAGCGCGCTGAAACAAGAATGAGAGCGAGCAAGGGGACTTTGATAAAATTTAACTAAGCGAGCAAGGGAAAAATGCTCACAAAATGTGAGCGAGCTAGGGGGTACGTTATGATGTACGACCACCCGGCAGTATTCCAGTAGAAACGCGTGAGGTTGTATTTGCTAAGGCCATCACGAGGCTCACAATTTTCTTATTCAGTATTATTTCCTGTCATATCCACACGATCTATGCTAAAAAATATTCATAAGAAGCCTCTCTTTCATTTTCTCTCCGTTTGCCCAACTTGGAGAAACGGCGACTTGGGCAAATGACGATATGAATTAATTTAAATTGATTGATCATATGACTAAATTTTATAAGCTTCTCCACAGTCCATCCCCGCTTCACTTGATTCAATCCCGGCTTCAACAACTTCGATACTAGCTTTTCAGACGTCAATCTTGGTGGCTCAAACGTCAATCCTGGCATCTCCAGCGTCAATCCTGTCGTCTTTAATGCCAATCCTGTCGCCACTTACACTTCAATCCTAGCATTCTCAATTTTTTACAGAAAAATAAATAACTGGTCGATTCGCCCTTGTTTTCAAAATTTTTGGATTTTGGTCAAAATACTCGTAATTCTGGCACTCGTAATTCTCGCAGTCGACTGTATACGTTATGTTTCTAGAACAAGTTGTTTGATATACCACTGTTCAAACAAAATCACTGAACGTTGTTATAAATACCCACATAACCGCTTACAACCTTCTATAAGGATGATTTTTATGCCACACAATCATAAATGACTCCTATTTTTAATCATAAAAAACGTTAATCTACAGAGTTGCTCTTCCAGGATTTTCGATGTAGCATCTTGGGATTCAGGAATTTTTTTTTTTATTATTCTTCCAATTTTTCTGAAATCTTTTTCTTCGGCCTTGTTACCGCCTTTTTTATTTGAACGAATATATTCACTATAAAAAAGTAAAAACTATGAGAAAAAGGATGAATTAATTTTTTTTATCGCGAAGATTCTTGTGGCGCACTTAGCCTCCAAAAGGATCAAGAGCGCCATTGGTCGCTCTGTATAAAACAGCGCATTAAGATATTTACCGTATCAATTTTTGAGTAAAAAAGGAAAGCCCGGTTTTCTCAAAAAGATGAAATTATTTAAGTTTTTTGCGGGTAATTATCAAGAGATAATATTTATTTGAACGTTAAAAAATAAATTTATAATATAATTTCAGAAGCTTGCAATATAGAATTGTTATCTTTCTATCATGATATACCTCATACCACACAATCATAAATGACTCCTTCATTCATCATAAAAAACGTTATTCTTAACAGTTTCTTTTACAGGATTTTCGATGAAGCATTTTGGAATTAAGGAAAAAAATAATTTCAGATTAAATATGAACTTTAAATTCGATAACAAGTGAAGTGAACCAGGGGGTTAAAAATTTTCAAAATTTTGGGAAAAATTGTTGTTATAGTTTTATTCTTAAAGGATAACCTATATTTAATCAATTACAATTTTTTTGTTTTTAAGTCTCCTCGGCTGTCGGTGCCACCGAACGACCAGAAACTGATGATGTGTTTATGAACCAATGTCAAGCAGCATACTTGGAAAGCAAAGGTATTAAGATCGATCAGGAGATGATCATTGAAGACGACTGCGACAAGGAAGGCGAAGAAAATCGTGCTGCCGTCGGGACCGTCACGAGATGGACTAATCTGTGGGACCCAGCTGAGAACAAGTTTATCGTTCCATATTACTTCGCAGAGGGTTATGAAGACCTCGTGTTCGGCAAACACACTGGGGCAAGGTCAATGGAGGTAATCAACGAAAATGTCGCTCATTTTGAGCGACTTACATGCATCAAGATGAAACTTATCACCGAAGTAGAAAAAGACGACTACACTTCGGTCATAAGGGTCTATGGGGATGATCCAAATAAAGAATGCTCATCTGGCATTGGTCGCTCCTTTGGCGATAGTTTTGTCCATATGCGAGCTGATTGCTACACCTGGAACGAGGGCACAACGATCAATCACGAGTTCATGCATCGACTCGGATTTCTCCACGAGCATTCACGCGCTGATCGTGATGAACACGTGACTATTCACGCAAATAAGGTTAACGATTGGAACTACCGAAAATTGACCTACGGTCCATCGGACATCGGCCAATGGGAGGATCTTAACAGTCCATACGATTTCAACTCGATAATGCACTACTACTCTGGGACGCAGCCAGATGGACTTCCAACCATAAGCGTTGCCGGAAATCTGGCAGTCCGCGCTCCTGTTGATCGAACATGGCCAATGTCGGACCAGGATGCATTCCAACTTAATGCTTACCAAGGCTGTGAAATGAACAACAAGTGTGCTGATGCTGGGCCAAATCGATGCGGAGCACCGTTCCACGTTTGCTTGAACCAACCGATCGGTTACGAATGCGTCTGTGTCGTCGGCTTTGAAAGAGTTATTGACGCCGATGGAGTTCAAACTTGTATTCGCAGCCCTGATCCAACATCGGAACCAACACCTCCGCCAGCAAAACTCGTACAGGACATGGTGGTGATGATTGATGGAAGTGGCTCATACAGCGGATATAGGGAGGCCACATGCGACGGTCTCAAGACACTCATCAGAAGAGGAATTGATATAGAAGAAAAACGAAACGAAAAATTCCGTTTCGGTTTTACCCTTTACTCGGATAGAACCTTCATGACAGAAGAGTTTACAAGAACCTCTAGCAGAGTCTACGATTTAGCAATGCCATTGGTTGACGTTTCGACTTTCGTTAAAGATGATGGAAAGACGATAGATGAAGGAAAACTCGACGATGTTAAACAAAGCTGCATAACTCGTCTTGGGAGCATGTACGGCGGAGGTAAGATAGAAATTATCCTTTTGATACCTTATAATACTTTTCAGGTGATTGGGAAGAGGATGTTCTTTCCGGTGCAATATGGACAAGATCAGCTGATGCGATGAATTGGTCGGAAGATTCTGCGAAATCCATCATTGTAGCAACTGATGTTCATTATTGGACTCAAGAAAGGGGTCTCACGTGATCAATTGAACATTTTGAATCATACATTATCTGAAAATCGAATCATCTGTAACCCTCTATTAGAAACGAAAATGCGTGGCATAGTGACACCACCAACCTCCTTATTGCCAGGCCAAGTTCTTAACGATCTCTACATCTTCGGCAACGATCCAAATCAAGAGGGTGGTCAGTACACTTACTATCCGATGGATCCAGCTGTCGAGTTTCTCTTCTGCTCCGAGTTCCGTCTGGACAAGATATTTATTTCTGTCAAGAGCAGCTGGCCTGAAGTTTTCGCGGCCTACGATCAACTGAAAATCAATGCTAAGAATCAATGCGAGCGTGGAGAGAGTCTCGAAATCCATCCAGTAACTGGGAGCGTTGCAACTCAATTCTTGACACTCGCTGAACAGCTTGAGGAGTTCGCAGCGTCCGCTGCTACAGCTGCTGGATCGACGGCAATTAATGAATGCAATCTTGGAACTCATGATTGCCATGCCAAGGCGACCTGTACCGACAATTCATCAGGCTATTCTTGTGCATGTAATGATGGCTTCCACGGCGATGGCTTTGTCTGCACGGCCGTCGATCCATGTGAAACACTCACCTGCGACGGAGCTCACGAATTTTGCCGTAACGGTGCGTGTACTTGCAACGATGGATACGAGATGGTCGATGGAAGCTGTGTCGATGCTGACGAATGTGCTATCATTGCCTCTTCCAGTACTCTGACTTCACTTGGAGACACTCTTCTCGTCCCGTGCGCCGAGGAGCTACTTGCAATAATATCGAAGGATCATACGAGTGTATTTGCGACGGTAAAGGGTGGGAAGAAATCGATGGTGTCTGTGTCAACAAGGACGCTTGGAAACAAATCCAGACTCAGTACACGATCCGAATGAATAAAGTCAACGGACATCTCGCTGTAAGTAATTCTATTTGTTTCAGAAATGAGTTAGATTTTAATTCAAATTGTCATTTATTTAAAGAGATTAATCGACAACCTTGAAAAGACAAGATTTACACGAAATTACATCCGAAAAATGACAAAGAGGATTCAAGTACTCGATGACCATACCAATGAAGATAAACTCCGCTGCGACGGCTCTGACGCTCCTGATGATGATGATGAAGAAGCTGAAGATCTCCGAGTTTTTGACGGAACCACAAATTGCAAGCTCGCCTCTCAAATCAACAGTGCGCTCGTTTCAGCATCCCGAAAATGGGCCTGCACGCGATCCGGCTTCAATAACTCAGCTGCTGACAGACTCGTCCGACATTTTAACAAACTTCACCGTCAATTCAAAAAACGAATGTGCTCAGACGAGCTACTTGTCTCTTGAGGGTCTATTTTATCGCGCTCTTCCGCTTTTTAACTAGCATTCTTGTAAATGCGTCAAGAATCTGCCGAGTTATGATTTTCTCGTTATTTTTTTTTCCTTGATAAAAGTTTTTTTTTACTGTCGACGTCTATTATTCAATAAAAAGCGTGATGTCATGAAAAAATTAATATGAACAGTAAAAATTTCTCATTTCGATGATTTCCCTCTTTCAGGTTTCCAAATGTAGCAGTCAAACAATGAAGCAATTACTTTATTTCGATGTAGCACATGAAATATGAAACAGCATACAAAAAAAGAGCTCCTCTTTTCTCGTAAGATTATCTCTAGAATGTCATATTGTTTTCCATTAATTGTTTAATTGTTAAGTTTTAATTGGTACATTTTATGCAGCTCATGTAGCAGCGTTCAAATATTTATGACAGTGTATATTTATATACAGTTCAACCTCAAATAACTTCTCTTTTTGTTTAAAAATGATAGGCTTAGAGAAAATAAAAAGAAGGAGACGATTTTCTGTTTTTATATCTAAAATGAACTGAATTCTGAGAAATGGCTTGTTTCGTTGTAGTTGTATGAAATCAAGGATGACAAACATTATTGTTTCAGTTTTTTTTTTTTGTATTAATTTTGAGAAAGGAACGAAAAACGTAAATTCATGGGAATTCTAACAAAGAAGGATTGATTGAGCTAGCTGGTAATCCGTAGCAAAGATGCAAGGATTAGAAGCTGTTCAAAAATCGACGAAGTTTTTTGATGTTGTGGCGCATCGCCTTCTCGCTCTGCCGGTAGCGGATGAATTTGGTCATTGCAGGTGTAACCTTGTAGCGATTGAAGAAGCGAAACTCCATCGCGAAGGCCGAAGAAAAGATGGAGAAGAGGATAAAGATGTTCATCAGAGAAGAAGAAGCTGTTGTTGTAAGTTTGTGTTCTTGGGAGGAGTCGATTGATGTGGTTCCATTGAGTTTTTCCGATTATATATTATTTTTTGAGGGCGCTATTTACGCATTGATCTGGTTAGAGCATCACACTTCGGGGCATGTGAAGAAAATTCTCAAATAAGGAAGCAATACATATTCTTTAAAATCTTACTCCACCATGATATGATTTTCCTTTGCTCGATTTTTTCGGCTAATAACTACTATAATAACCAATTTTTTCATGATAAAATTCTACATCAATTTATTCTACTACTCATAAGACTGTCCTTCTCCACGGAATTCTCTAGTAATTCTCTAGCTCTGGTCTCTCTTCAAAACGCATGATTCTTTCGCCTTTTTCTAGAGAATTCCGTGGAAAGGGACACTCTTACGAGTATTTCGATATATTCTAGGTCATAATTTCCACAAACAAAGCGTGCTAAGTCCAAAAGTTTCCGGCGCAGGGTATCTTTTTTTTGTCGCTGCTTATCATCTCTGTCTCCACAGGAGATCAGCCTCTGCCGCGCATACCCGTAGTAGATGTGTTTGATGCTAAATAGTGCTAATAGCACGCGCAAAGAAAATAAAGCCACTCGCCCCGGGGAGCATCACACATCAGATCAGAGCTTTCTACCCATCTAGGCGAAGCACAAGCGGTGGTTTTGTTGCGGCAAAATTTACCGAAAGCGAACCAAGGTAAAATTGAAAATTGCCAATTTTTGGAAAGCCGAATTTCCAACGATATAATAACGTCCTTTTCGCCAAATTTGACTCATTTTCAATATAAAAAATAATAAATTTACGAAATTTCGGATTCAAATAAGCCGTTTTTCACATCAATTATCGATGGAAACTAAAAATTGAAAAAAAAAATTAATAATTTCAGAAGCTGTGCGCGTCAAAACGTAATGGTCGCAAAAGACTCCGGTAAAAAGTAAGAAAAGTGTCTCCGTTTATCCATTCCTAAACATGCTTAAAAAAGAGGGAATACGAATCCAATTAATTCGTGGCTTTTGCGCGCGATGGGGCTGTGTCAGTCGAAGAAGAGGAGTTTGGAGGAAAAGTTAACCGCGAAGAGGTAACAACGTGCATCCATCTTTGAGCGCGATAAATTTTTGAGATTCACGACTGGCAGGATTGACAAATTTATGGGGTCCTTTCCGCGCCCCATTTTTAGTCTAAAGGGTTGAAACTTTGTTCTAGTGAGCATCTTGACGAGCGAGAGCTTGTTGAAAGTTGGCTGGATACGCTTCAAAGAGCGCAAAGCGACGATGAGAAATTTATCCTTTACAAAATCCTCGTCGGCTTCTTTGAGAACCGTGGTCATTTCTGGAACATGGCCGGCTACGCGCAGAAACAATTCGACCTGGTGCGCAACTCAGTGAACAAGGAGCATTTGTTGTGTGGAAGTCTAAACCTCGCGCGTGCAAAGCTCTTTTTGGGCGATCACTCAGAAGCTGCCAAAATGGCCAACTACGTCAGTACCAGAACACGTTTTTGCCACATTAGCAACTCTATTTTCAGAGTCTCAGCATGTTGGAAAACATCGACTTGAATGCGGTAAATTATCGGTTCAAGGAAAGAGTTTTTTAATTAATAATAAGACTCATCAGAAAAACCTTCTCAGAATTTCAAAAATGACCTCTGCGCTGGAACTGGTTAAAATTAAAAAAGCTCTTTTGTTAGGTCGATGCACTACTTACTGCTGGAGGAGCAAATATCGGATGCTCACGGTACATTCACTCGTCTTACTCATCTATGTATTTTATAGATATTCCATAGCTTTGGGACATCTTGATGCAGCGTTGAGGCTTAGCCATATGTACTCCGACAAAGTGACTGAAGCTTTAACATGTTGCCTTCTTTCTCAGCTCTATTTCCAGCTGCGGGACGACGGGAAGGGAACATTCTACCCCATGAAGGTAAAATTCGAAGTTCAAAGCCAAGTTTCAGAGACCAATTTTCAAGGCTGACTCGCTCCTGGCCCGCTTTGGCGAGCAATGGGACGAAAAGTCCAAATGCACAATCATGCTGTCGATGGCGTATGCTGAGCGAAAGGTAGGTAAAAAATATCGAGGCGAGGAGAGGGATGAAAAGGCATCTGAAATGATTCTAGAGCAAAAAGCTTGATTCTGCAATGGCTCGATGCGAGGAAGCGATGGCAATTGCACATGAATCGAATGATAGAGCTACTCAAGCACATACGATTCTCTGCTTTGCGGATATTCATCGACAGCGTATGGATAATGATGCTGCTATTCCAAGGTGGAGGAAGTCGTTTTAGCTTGCTTTCAAAAAGTCCTCTAGGTACAAAGCGGCGCTGAAGATGTTCCAAGACAACGGAGATTCTATGGGAAAACTAAGAGCTCAAATTGGGCTTGCAAAATGCCTTGTCTTCAAAAAAGACCAACGAGAAGCTTCCCACTTTTATCAACTCGCTGTTGCTACCTGCCATCAAACTGAAAATAAGGTACCATGAATACAAGACCATTTAATGATCATATCTCCAAGAGCTACGCAATCAAAATTTACGAAGATCTGATCATCATCGAGACTCACAACAATCTCGTGTCCAATATCGAGCGGTACACATCTTTGCTTCGCCAGGCGTTGAAGGAGATGAAAGTCAAGTGTGGGGCATGTCTGGGTCTGGAAAAAAGACCAGACTTAATTGAGTAATCATTCCTTTTAGAATACATTGGCGACGAGTCGACTCAATTAGAGGCACTGAACTGTACTCATTTCTTCCACACGGATTGCGTCCAAGGAGGAATTTCCGTCTGCAGATGTTGCCAGCAGAACGTCCACGATCTAAGGCCCATCAACTAAAAAGCTATTTTCCATGTTCAAATCAAATTTTTACCGCGCATTCGACTGAGCACTGCTTTACAACTTTAAATTCAATAAATTGATAAATCTTTCATTGTCCGAGAATTTTCTGTTACAAGCGATAATTCATTATAAAACTCATTATTACTCCAATCGCTGTCAGAAAGTCGGGTTCCAGCCAAAAAGTTATGATGAGTTCTAAAACGTGGCCAGCGAAGGAGCCGAACCGCGATCGGACAAGTGCGCATCTCATTAGGTCCGGAAGCAGACGTCTCTCTTACTTCATTCTTTGAGAAGCCATTTTTTATATTCCAATCTATCTTTTTATACGTATTTTTTCACCATGAAAGTCGTGAGTTTCTGGCTCGCCGCGCTCTTGGAAGCGCAGAAAGTAGATAAAGGACCAACAAGAGGACCTCGCGGAAGAGGGCGAAAACTTCAAGAGCTTCAAGCACTGTATCAATCGCAGCTGAAACAGAATCAATCGAGAATTTTGGAAAGAGCTTCAGAACTCGAGGAAGACAGCGAGTTATCCAGAGCGCTTTCATTTTCCTTCCTTGAGCAATTTTCCAAGGTAGCCATTTTTCAACCCTTTTTGGTTCTTATTCCTTCAGTACAAAGCCTGGCGTGAATCAGCCCGAGACTCGAACAACGATTTGTTCATTTCGTTCGATGACAACCGTGATATGATCATCCAACAACTCGACCATCACCTGGCAGCTTCTCAAGATTCCCCTTACGACAAGCTTCCGAACTACGACCAGCTCCTGGAGTACGGCTGCTATTGCAACTTGCTCGATCAAAAGATAACTCAAGGACAAGGAGACCCAGTTGATGAGATTGACGAGGCTTGCCGCGCTTGGAGAAGATGCTCTTATTGTTGAGTTCATAAAACATTTTCCGCTTTATAGCAATATTTTAAAACTAGAATGCTGAACTCTAAAAGCACTAGAATCGATGATGTCGACTGCGAGCCACTGCACACTCCCTATCAGCTTTTCTTTGATTACGAAGCGAACATGTATAACTGCGATAAGAATATTGACAATCCTTGCGCTAGGAAAGGGTCCGGAAAATCTCCAGCTTCATATATAAATTCATCAATTTTTACCCTGAAATAGAAACGCCTGTTCATGTGATGGAGAGCTGGCCCTGCGGTTAGCAGAGCTCGCGCCTATGTTCGACGAGAGAGTATTAACGATCATTACGAAAAATTCTCATAATTCCATTTTCAGTTCAGTAAATCAGGCGGATTCGACAGGAAGCAGTGTCAGTGGAAACTGAGAACAGGACCAAATCCTCCAGATGAATGCTGTGGAAGCTATCCAAATAGGTAAGAGATCTAAGAAATGCGTGGAGGAAATGCGTAAATGGATCTTGTGTGGGGAAACAATTGAATCAATTAATTCTAATTATGCTAAATGATTCGTTAAGATTTCCTTACAACACCAATTTCGGTGACCAGAGATGCTGTAAGAACGATGTATACAGACCAAATGAGGGACAATGCTGCGTGAAGGGCCGCGTAACGACTTGCTCATTTTGAGCCTTTTTGAGACCTTTTTATACCTTTTTATACACGAAAAATAAAACGCTTGTGATTTTCATTGATGGAATATTTATTAATTATTGCACAGCAGTGAAAGTTTAAGATGATGAATCTGACGATTGGTAAGGTAAGTTGAGAAGTTAGAAATCAAGGTAAGTACGCGTCGGGATATAAACATAAAAAGGCTCAATCTTATGTAAAGAGCCGTTGGAGGTTATTGGCCTTGTAGTCGGTTCTGAGCTTGACGAAATTGTGAAGCACATTCTTGTCCAGATTTGCGAGCTGATCTCCAGTGCAGACTTGTCTGAGATTCTCTGGAACAGCAATCAACAGGTTGCACAAAGCATGGAGGGTGTCGAACTTGGAATCAACGAGAACAGAGTTGAGCGATTTTGCGGCAGTTCTGTATTCTTTTATGTCGCAGATGGCCAGCATTCCACCCATGGAGGAAAATTGGAAAGCTAAAGGAAAATATATGACTTGCAAACTTTTCGAAATAAACCTTGAAGATGGTCATAAATGAGCGTGTAGAATTTTCCACCTAAGGCAGTTAGGATCATATCAATATTTTCGCCATCAAGATGCTTTTTCATAGAAGAAATGACCTTGTGGAGGTATTCGACTGCTTTTCGACACGCTGGGGTGGCTTGAGAGGCGAGCTCGTCAGACAGGAAGTCATTCCGTTTTTGCTCAGATTTTAGGATGTTCTTAGCGAAGCCGATTGCCGACGTAATCGTCTTCTCCAGAGCATTATCCATAGTACTCTCCATCGCGTCTTTCATGGCTTTCCTAGCCTGGACGGCTTCTGCGTGAATAGGACTCTGCGCAGTCAAGGGCAAAAGATCATCGTTGAATTGCTTTTCAAACAAGTGCCACACTGTATTTGCTTCTTGGACGAGCAGAAACATGGACATATCTGGCTCTGCCTTTGGCTCAGCAGCTGGCGCCTGGCTCAGGCCAAGATCAATCGCGTACTGGACCTGGGCTCGGCAAACTGTGCTGTGTAAAAACCTGTCACAGGTCCTGTTTCCTGTTTTTGGGGAACCTGTCTGAGTACCTGTGTAAAATCGGGTAATAATTTGGGCCTGTCCTGTGTACCTGTGTAAAATTGGGGGATAAATTTTTCTTTTGCTGTCCCTGTTCCTGTTTCTGTCTTAAACAGGCCTGTGTTTCCCGCTCAGGTCCTGACCATAGACAGGTTCCTGTGTAACCAGGTCAGGAACTGCATAAGTCAGGGAAAATGTATAAAGAAATCAATAGCGAAAGACGAGAAAAAGAGTACAATAATCAAAATTACCGATAAATTCGCGTCTTTTTGTTTCTTTGTAATATTTTTTCTCAGAAATTTCCTGTTTTTTTGTCCTGTCACAGGGCCTGTTTCCTGTTTTCTGGCCCGCTCAGACCTGTTCAGGCAGGCCCTGACCTGTGTAACCTGTTTGATAAGCTGTGTGAAAAAACCTGTCTGAGTACCTGTCTAAAATCAGGATATTTTTGCTTCCTGACCTGTGTACCTGTGTAAAATATGGGACAGAATTTTTTTTTCCTGTTCCTGTGTCTGTTCCTGACACAGTTTGCCGAGCCCAGGTACTGGACATGTTGCTTGATCAAAAACTCCAAAAGTATGTTGAAAATCTTCAACCCATTCTCAGCAATCGAATTGGTTGGAGAAAGCATTCCGCAACGTCTAAATGCCGAGTGGGTCTCTTGCAAGACGGAAGCAGCAAGCTCCTCGGAAATTAGAATTTCAACCTTGCGGTTGTCAGAGCCGAATATTGACCCGACTTTTGATGCCATTTCGGAGCCCAAGCCGCGTTTCTCGTGACCTTGGCGTTCGTAATAACGATCAAGGAGCTCTTTTGACCTCTTTTTGAGGAACATTTCTTCATCAGAAAGATAACTGTAAATAGAATGCGGACTGTAGAAGATGAGTAATCGTTAGCTAAACACTCAGATACACAAATCCAGCATAGAATGGACATAAAATCACTGAATGGCGTCTCTGAATGTCTGACTAAAGAATTCTCAAGGGTTTCAAACTTTCTCTACGGTATGCAAAAATTTGCAATAAAACTAGTCTCATCGGATGAAATCGAATTTGTGATGAGCGAATTCGTCGGCCGCAAATTATGTCCTGCGCGGTGTATTGCTCCGGGGGACAAAATAAAAATTTATCTTGTCGCATACGCAGCTGAATTATGCCACTTTCCGATTTCCGCTTCAATTTGGCGGTGAGCGACAAAGAGTGTGATGGATATCGGGGCGCCTTCAGGTGGGCCCCCTTCGATGTTCCATATGAGTTGAGACATGTGTGGTGATAAGAATAACATGGCAATAAATAGAAAACAGCGCATCCTTTCCTAGAGATAAAGTCGTCGAAGACGGATCGTTGAAGCTTCTTCGTGAATGTCGAATCTTTGTAAGAGTTTTATAGTGTTAGCTGATGATATTTTGTATGAAAATAATAAACTCTTTCCTGATCCAGGTCGGTGTTTACTCAGAGCTGCAGAGAGCGTTGATGTCTTCTCGTACAACTTATGACATTCCGATAGATAGAGCTCCAAGTTCTTTCTTTTCAGCGGGTCAAGTTTTCCATGAATGTACTCTCCCAATTGATTGTCGTAGCAGCTCTGGATCAGTTTCCCCAGCACTTGTTCTGGCGAGTTGAACACCTTCGAAATCTGCGGCGATTTTCCATCGATGAGCTGCGTTATTTGCTCAAAAATACTTTCATCCGCTTCGATTTGCTTCAGCGCTTCTTCCACATACGCATCCACGCAGAGCTGATAGTTCTGGTAGCGACTGAGTGCAGAGTTTGAAATGCTCGCAAATGCTCGCGAGCGAAAAGAGCGAGAGCAAAAATTTATCATTGCTCTGAGAGCAGGGGAGCGGGAGCATGAAAATGAGTTGGCTCGAGAGCCAAAAGAGCACGAGCACAAATTTGAACCCGCTCGCGAGCGCAGAGAGCACGAGCGCATATGTCAGAAATGCTCGGGAGCTAGACGAGCGGGAGCGGCTGCTCTCGTGCTCGCCATGGAATTGACTCACGAGCGGCTCGCGAGCAAAATTAAAAGAGTAATTTTTTTGCATAATTATTCACTTTCATAAATAAATTTCTTTGAGGATCTATTTTTGGTGTTTTCGTATGTATATTCGTTATGTAAGCTTCATTAGGGCCGTAATCTCGGCAGCAGAATGCGAAAAGCCGAGAGTAAACAGATAAAACATGCCCACCGCGAGGTGCTAACTCCTGTGACAGAGACTCATATGGAATTAGTCACGGGGCCGCCGAATCATTTTAGGCCCTTGAAAGCTGCTCGCGAGTCAGTTTTTTCAGCTCGAGAGCCGATCGAGCGAGAGCACAATTCGACCAGTGCTCGAGAGCCAAGAGAGCGAGAGCGCGAAATGAAATGCGCTCGCGAGCGCAAAGAGCGCGAACTCTGAAATAAATGTGCTCGGGAGCACAAAGAGCATCATGCTCGTGCTCGCTCGCTCTCAAGTGAGCCGCTCGCGAGTCACGAAAATTTCAAACTCTGACTGAGTGTCTCGGCAGTGAGCTGCATTTGCTCGATGTCGTTGTTTTCTCCTGCAGAGCGGAATTTGTTGAGCAGTTCTTTTTCGACTTTTTTGTATTGGTTGAGGATCGAGAGTTTTACTTCTTGGAAGTTTGAGTCTAAAATTCATTGATGAAAAAAGCGTCTTATTGAAATCATTCGTGACAGATTTTATATTTACCAGGGAGCTCTTGGGCAATAAGATGCAGTTTTCTGACGACATCAGCGGTTTCGTTGATTCTGTGTGGATTCGTAAGAACATCTTGATCGAGGGAAACAAAATTAAACCTACCCAATGCTGTAATTATTCAGCACGAGACCAGAATTAACGCTAAATTATTGAAATGCATTCACCATATAGACAATCATATGATATGATTAATATCGTATCGTATTTATCATATATAATATAATGTTGTGTGTTTTCGTCGTTTCCTGAATTTACATTTCCCGAAAGAAATTCAGAAAAATAGCCCATCAATCGCTGCGCATCCGCGGCATGCTCTCTCGGCGTGTTGACCCCTTCCAGCTGTTCACCAAGATGGACAACTCTCGCGGCAACGGCGGATATGCGCTCCTCCAGATCTTGGAAACTCTGGAAAGCCTGCTGCTGATGACGCTGAAGTTCTTGAATCCTCTCAGCATGGCGTTTTCCACTGCTGCGCAAGTCGGCCTCCAGCTTTTGGGATTTTTTCTCCAGTTTTGAGTCCAAAAGTCGAAGTTCTAAAAAATGTCTCTAGAACATTGCTGAATATAGGGTTGTTTTTTAAAAAGTAAATCAGTTTTGAAAAGATGCCCGGAGCGCCGGAAAAAGGAAAAGTATTCAATAAAATCTAGTTTTTTTCTACAAAAGAAAAAGATTTAAAGCTCGTATATTCGTAATAAAATCTGCGTAATTGAATATTCTAACGGAAGCCACGCCAAATATAGTGCACCAAAATGCCATCTGGCGAGAAACAATTCGAAAAGAAACAAGATGCCAAAAACTTTACACTGATTATCACATAAATCCACATAAAAAGATTCACAATATTACAGGTAAACTCATCCTAACCACTACACAGTAATGATTCGAATTCAGGCAAGCCTAACTCGTTACACGATACCGCTGAGGGTGAAGAAGATCCTAATTTTTTGCATATTATGAGAGAAATCCGCGTCGAGCCAAGAAAAAAGTACGAGTTTCCCGTCACTGAGAGCCAAGAAATTGGCTGGGAGTCGCGGCCCCTTCTAGATGGCAACACTAACAGTAAGTTGAAATCCTTCATAACTAAAAACAAACGGTAACCTTAGACTTTGCATGGAATGATGATCGACTTCGTTTCCCTGTGGCTAATACTGACATTTCAAAGTACAAAGACGCCGAGTGGAAGATCAAGGAACAAATGAAAATCAATCAAGGCTAGGACTTTTTTAATTGTTGCTCTCCGAAACTGTAAATAAAAACGATACTCCCTTATCAAGAAACAGTAAAGACTGAAATGTTCAACAAAGACAATTCAGCCTTCATAATAACTTTACCTTGAATATGATTGGAAAACTCATCGAACAGAACTTGTGGATCGAAAGTAGTTTCCGAAGACGCGCCACTTCGCCAGGCCAGCCTTTCTTTTATGAGTTGACATTTCGACTGGCGAGAAAATAAAGATACAGCTTACATTAGCGTCATTTCTAACGCTTTCCATAAACTTTGTGGAACAAAGAGTAACTTCGTCAGAAAGGCTCAAGATCGACGACGGACCCGGTTAAACTTATAAAATGAGCTAAGAAAATCAATAATCAAATGACTGTAACTTTTCCTATGTACTGATCAACATCAAACGGATTATTCTCCGACTCATCGAAAATCTCCACATTCGACATGCTAAAAATCAATGTTTTCAACACATTCATCAGTCATAAGAAGAAATCGCTTTGGACTGACACTTTTTCCGGACACGAATGGTTTTAATTTTTATTTCGAATAGGGTGTTTTTGGTTTGGTAAGTTTTCCAAACAATAAATAAGGAATAATTTACTAGTTATTTTGAACATGGATTTTTCAAGTCTTCCGGAGCAGATTTTGTTTTTTCATAAATTTAAGTTTTCTTTTCACTGTTTAGTAGTGCTGCTTGTTGCCGACTTCAAGGCCGAGACCAGACTTGAGGAAGTTTCGGGATCGCATTCGGTTGGCTCCAACGTCGAAGCCGTCGCAGGCACCGTACGCGGCCTGGACGAAATCAGCGTCGTACATGTACTTGTCGACAGCAGACTCGATGTCGGTCTTGCTGACACGGGCAATGTTGGAAGTGATAGTCTTCAAAGATTGCTAGAAAAAGGTATGAGGAGAAGTTTGAATTTCAAACTTTGAAAGGTGTTTTCATAGGGAGAAGGCCCTCTGAGACACTCTTCATAAATCTACAGCAAGCATTGACTTACTCCCTGAGCAACAAGATCAGCCTCAGTGGTTGGGTTGGAGTACTTCTGGTAGAGCTTGAGAATGGCCTTGTTCTTAGCAGCCTCGATCTCGTGTTCTCTGAATTCAATTATATCGCATGGAAATGATAAAATTTCTTACTTGAGTCCCTTCCACATTCGTTTCATTTCTCGCTGCATCTGGTAGAGAACACCCATTCCTCGGGTGGCGATTTCGATGTAACCGTGAGCACCAGCGTAGGCCTTTGGCACATGAGCGTACATGCCGAAGAGACCGCAGTCAGAGTGGGTGGTAAGCTTACCCTTGAAGGAAACGATGTCTTCGGAGTTCAAGTGTCGGGTGTGGCCGCCCTAGAACAAATAGAATGGAAGATATGAGGGAAGATTTACCTCTTCGACTCGTCGGATAGGTCGCTCAGCAGAGTAGAACTTCATAAGTGGGTTGGAAGAGTGCTGAGCATGCTGGATGGCGTTGTTGTACTCGCCAGCGACCTGGGCAAGGACCTGGAAGACAGCAGTCTCTCTAGAAAACGGTTCGGAAGAGAAAAATGGGAACTTGAATAACCGAGGTCGGTCAGAGCCGGGGACGTAGAAACCAAGTCGGAACCAGCAGTCTTCTTCGAAATCGTTACGGTCCTTGAGCTGGTTTCCGTGGAATTGGCAGGGCTCGTTGGGAGCAACTCGGCCAGCCTAAAAACATGGAAATACTGTCTGGCAGATGGGGTTTCCCAGACAAGACGTAGATTGTGTTGAAATCAAATAGTCTTTATCATAAATTATGAAGTCTGTTTCAGACATGGAATTTTTTTACTGTCTTGGAAAAGGATGGATGAACTTACATTGGTGGCGATTTGGCCAGCGATAGCGCAGAGTTCGTCGTGGTTGACGTCTCCGGTGCCGACGATGGTGAGGTTGGAGCCGGCAAGGGCTTCTCGTCGGAAGGAGAGGACCTCCTCGGCGGAGGTCTCGTTGATACCAGAGGTGGTTCCGTAGGGAGAGGCGGAGAGACCAGAGAGCTAGAGAAAATTAGATAGTGAAGGTTGAGATAGTAAAGAAATTACCATGAAGCCAGACATGTGAGCGTAGTCCTCGCAGACAACCTCTTTGTTAGCAGCAACGGCGTTGAGAGCAGAGAGAGCATGAGCTCGATCAGCATCAGTGACAGCGTCAGCGCCAATGGCAGAAACGAGCTGCTCAGCGAATGCAGCGGCGTTACCAGGGACGGTGGTGCCGAAGACGCCGGATCGCTCCCGCTCGAGGTAAGAGGAAACGTTGGTGTTGCCAGCCTCGAGGTTGTTGAGCGTGACCGATCGGTTGAGAGTGGTCTGGGAAGAGGCGGTCTCGTTGCGAGAGCCACAGCCAGAGACGGCACCGACGACAGCGAGTGGCGAAGATGATGGGTTGGTGACCACGGTGACACCGTTGGAGAGGGTGCTCTTGGTCAAGTTTCGGATCGAGTTCAGTGCCCTCATCTGAAATCAATGAAGAATGAGGAAGTGAAGAGGATTATCAGTTGAATAAATAAAATATCAGGATTGTAAGTAGTAGAATTATTGCAGTATCTTTTTTGATGATTTGGCGAATGAAATTGATTTCCTATTGAAGAAATTTGTCGCGCGGATTGACGGGCTTCGGTGGTTCAACAGGAGGATTCTAAATGAAGAAATTAGATCAGTGCTTTTTTTCAGGAGAATAGTTAATAAAGAAATAGTTATTATTTCAAGGGCATCTGTACTCAACGGATGCTCATTTCGAATTTCACCGCTTATTTTCGTAAATAGCCAAACAAAGATGTATTAGAAAATCACCGGAAATATGATTTTGTGGAAATTAAGATTGGATAAGCATTGAGCAAGAGGGGCGCGCGAATTCACGAAGATCACGAAATTTTACGGTAAGATTCGCACAACTCGACCGAGAAAATCTATTCGAAGAATCTTCGAGAAAGTAGCATGATGTAAAAAATTTAGTTTTATCAAGGCTTTATCCTTGTTCTTTTGAATTACCTGTTGTGGAGGAGGTGGAGATGGATTCATGAACCAGCGCTGTATCAGAATAATTACAGTGACAGCCACAGCAGTAGACGCCATCGAATCGACATAATATTTATACTTTTGATAGAACGACTCTTTTGGAACTTCTGCAGCTGACTCTTCTTTCGGGATTTGATTCTTTCTATTTTTTCGCGGCGGCGTTCGAATTGGCCGATTTCGTAAAACCGATGAAATCGAAACTCGCCGGAAGGAGTTGTTGATGATAGTTCTTGACATTCTTGAGCAGCTTTTATCGAAGGAATCGTCGCATTTGTATTCTCTACTACGCGCGTTTTCGTTCTCTCGGGCCAGATCTAAATAAGAAATTTGACCAATGAGCGCGCGCGGCCGCAAGTTGCAAGAATTTGCTTCGCTCCAAAGATTCTAGATTTTCTTGAGACGATTTGAGAGATTTCTATGACTCATGCTAGGCAAACAGAATTTTTGAATGCGTTTTAAATTGATAATTAACGATATCTATTTACAAAATTAGTGATCCCCAGCTGCGAGGATATACCGTAAATAATACGATATAATATGTTTTATCTTACCAATGAGTCTTCAAAGATGACTTTGAAGAATTAAACTACGAATTAAACGATAAACTTGAGCTTTATTATTGGAGAATTCATTCTAGAACTTTCTGAAGTCTATCAGCATTGATGTCGCTTCATCATCATTTTTTCCTCCTAATAAATTGGCAGACCGGGCTGATCCGGCTCTGAAGTATCAGAAAAGCTGCAAGAACTGGACCAGAAACAGTACACATCAATCATTGTCAAAGGCTACTTTATTTACTTTGAAGAACTTTCAATTTCCGAATAAAGATTTCTACACTCTGTGCGGTTTCTGCCAGTAGCTTTTCGACCCCCTCGCCACTCGTTGCGCCTTGTTGTACGTTGACGGAAACATCTTCTTCAATACCCGCCACGTTTGCATTTCCTGGAGATAGTCGAGTCCCTGGCGAATCTTCGGATCCGGCGAGTGATCGGAAAGGTTGTTTCGCCACTTGTTCAGGGCGCTTTTGTAAATTGGCTGTGAGATCTGATCTGTTGACGGCTCTAAAAAGGGTTGAAAAGCAAAAGCGGTTGGATTCATCTGAACCGTTGGGCGCGACTTTAATCTGGTCCATTCCAGAGGTATGATCCAGCATCATCGGGTGGAAATCCTCGCCAATAAACTTCATCGTTTTCCTCATCACAGTTTCCGTCGACAGAACCAAGTCCTCGTACAGAACCATGATGCAGTTTCCCTTGCCCCTGTGCGCTCCATTTTCTCTCTTATTCGAAGGTCAACCTCGTCTCAACTAGAAATCGCAATCAAGGATGAACCCTTTCCCATTCGTTTCGTTGGCATTGAGAAAGCATGAATCTCATGTTTCTATTCCAGTTGGAAAAGATCGACTCCAAGCTGTCGTTGTCGACGCCTGAAATTGTGATGTTCCTAGTTCTCAGGCTGTTCGCAATCGCACGCGGGTCCCGGATCATCAAAACGTATTTTGAGTTTGGAAACATATTCGGCAATGACAGAAGATTCATTTGTCGGAGAACGAACGGATCTAGCAGCAAATACATTACAGAGCTGAAACAGCCAGATTTACCTTTGTTGCACATTTGCGGAGCGGCCCGATCGTGTTCCACGATGACCTTGAGGACAAATTCGGCAACGAGCGCGTCATACATCGCGGTACTCAAGCCCGAATCGGCCATTCGCTGAAAGTATGATCAATTTGACCTTGACGTTCAAGCGTTGAACACGCGAAACTAATCTCTACCGGGCAATAAATCAAGTCTTTATTCTCCTTCACAAAGAAAGGCCTTTGCGAACTTTCTCTTCCATGATTTCACTTTTTACCTTTGTGTTGCGCATTTGAGCCCATCTGGAGATAAATTGAGGAATCACGTGGGTCTCCGGGCTGATTGAGTATTTAGGGTATTTTCAAGAGCAAGGTCTCTTACCCACAGCGGATATTCTCATTGATCTCGATCAAAATTCGCATCAAAGTCGTTCCAGAGCGAGGAAATCCACCAACGAAAACGATCGGGTGATTCTTGTCGTATCGATAGCCATCTTTCTCTTATTCACGGTTCTACAGTATTTTCTCGCGAAACGATCAAGAATAATAAGACCGTTTCTATAATGAATTCTCTTCCAGCACATTCACAAGTACTATCACTATTCAACACCAACGACGAAGAGCTACTAGAACTGCTCTGCGAGTGGATACTGTTACTCGAGCTCTGGTCAGTAGCATGCGCTACTATTGCCAGAAAAATACTTTTCAAAATCATAAAATCGCAAAATCTAGATTGTTCGAGGAAGGAATTTTTCAAGGGGCTTCAAGGAGCAAAAGGGACGATATTTATTTATTCGCCAAAGTTTGTATTTGCGCTCAAGTCTGGACACCCAAAGTTTTCCTCAAAAAGGAAGTCTGGCTTTGCGATTGATTTGACGCTTTTTGAATGAAGAGTCGACGGATTCAAAAAGAGGAGAGTATGTATTTCAGTGAAGGCAAGTTTGTAGAAAAATGTGAAAATGTGAGCAGGAAAGTTGTCAGTCTTCATTCACGCGTCTTCGTTTTTTCGCGCTTTCTTCAAGTGCATTAGTGACATCTACTTGATTTCTATGTCTGCTGGTCCCTGGAAACGCTCTTGAAATACGATTATAATTTAAAGGGATGTAAGAGGCTTACTTGGAACGGACGCACTTGACTCGGAACTTATGGAACTTGCTGTGAACCTCTTCAGAAAAAATATCCTCAGCTGTGTACATACTGACAGACTTGGTTTCTGGAGCGAATCCATCATCGTAGATATCTTCGTCGGTCTTTTCTGACTGCTGGAATTCATCTGATGTCGACAGTCGCTAAATTAATCATATAAAAGTGCTCTTAGAGGTGTGATGTTTACCATAGTCACGTAATATTTCTTCGGCATCCTTGGCATGGCTCTCATCTTGGCGGTCATAGATGTTAGCAACTTTGTAACTGCTTTTTTCAAATCAGTCTGTTCATTTTTATCAAATTTGATTGGCTCATTATCATCCTTCATCTGGAAGCAGAGGGAGCTATCCTTGACAATGAACTTGAACATCTCAAAAATAGTAGTTTCCGGCTTGCCCTTCTCTGAGTAAAATGCCAGTATGATGGTATTGAGGAAGCCCTTTTCGATGTACTCGAAGATCTTCTTGAGCCAGATGCTCACTTGACGCGCGGTGCAACTGTCTTCTATTTCCGCAGCGTACGGGTTCAAAACCTAGAAAATCTATCTAGCTTGCCTGAGTCTTCAAACCTTACCTTGACAGTAATATCATCGCACCTTCGGTCAACGAACAGGTTCTCTTCCAACCTGAGTCGATGCCTGCAAACATGCGAGAATCCAACAGCAACAAGCTTTTTTATTAGTCTGCGTGAAGCTGCGATCGTATCTGTTTTCTCTTTGAAGAGAAAATTTTGCTCTGTCGCGACTTCGTTTCGATATTTCTGACGCTGCATTGTTAAAAAAATTCTAAGGCAACTGAGGAGACATTGTTTTCCAGGCTTTTTTCTATGATGATTCTAGAAACTGGTGCCCTGCTTTGACAAATAGATCGATTTCGGACGAGAAGGAAAGTGAGTCCTTGTTGATTTCAAAAACGATTTTCGCGATTGTTTTGAACTATATTCTTGTTTCGTGTTTTTGTGATCAGTAAATATATATATTTTAACGAGTTTTTCATGTTTGTGATAAGAAAAATGGTTATGAAGGTAAGTTCAGTGTAAATTGAGGTATTTCAATGATGAGATTTTGTTACGCGCAAGAAGTTTTCAATGAGAGTTAGTTTGGGGTACCAGAAGAGTTTTGGGGTTGTGTCTACAGCGGTTTTGAGAAGGTGGAAGTAATAAATAGTATAGAAAGAAGTGTCTTTGGAGGATTGTCTGGCTAGGTTTGATGAGCCATGGCGGCGCCAGAGGCAGGATTCCGACTCAGCTGAAGACGCAGGCGATTTCCTGATTGTTGGATCGCGGCGAGCACGGCCTGGCTCTGCATCTCGTTACACCTACCAATCGTCAGTAAAGACAGGAAATAAATTGATAGGCTAACCTTATGTTGTTGATTTGAAGTATGCGATCAAATGGCAGGACTCCAGCGCGCGCGGCAGGACCGTCCGGCTTGATCGAGTTAACAAAAACACCTTGTTCGTCTACGCCATCAGAAACTGAGAAACCAAAAGTTCCAAGTTCAAGATCCTTGAAGACGATCGCACGGAGGTTTTCTTTATATCCAGCGGTTGCTACAGAGCGTAAGTCCCTGATGACATCATCTAAAAACCCCTTATGAAACATATTATGTATTGATGGCAACGATACCTAAAAATTCACTAGTTTCACTTGGTGCGCGCTCGGGAAATTGCTTCGAATTCGTGTTGCCTTCCCAATTGCTCTCGTCGCTACTTCGGTCTTCTTCTTGATAAAGATGCGGTTGACGATGTTTGACATCTCTGACTCTATGGGCGGATCGCGCGCGGCTCATTTTACTCCTTGTCTCTTTCTCTTCCAAGTCAATATTTCGAATTTCATTACGGCGCTCGCGACCTAATGCTCGATCACGGCTGCCATCTCTACTTCCAAATCTAAGAAAAAAGGATTGAAGGGTGAAATGATGGAGTAAATCTTTACCTGCTACTAGCTCTCATTCTGCGGCTATCCTGTGACCTAGAGCGCGGCAATCTCCTCGCTGAAATGTTGTCCATCGATTCGAAGTTTCTCTGGAAATCGAAATCAACGAAGAGAACAGTAATTTGTGATTTATTGGACAAATAATGTGAAATGACATGGATATGGCGTGTGACGATAAATGAATTACCTTGAGGATGGAGAATTCTAGTGGAACACTGTTATTAACGTTTGTGAGTGAAGACTTGGTTAGTAGGTTGAGTGAGGCGGAATGTGAGAGGCCGAGGCCCATGGTGAGATTTTGTAGACTTGCCTGCGGGATGTGCCTGTCCGAGAGCGCGCGGTCCCGACCCGGCAGCCGCGCCAGGGAGCCGAATTCATTCGACCTTCGCTCTGATGCACGATGCCGAGGGTTGCCCAGTGTGTGACTGAAATATCTCGGTTGAATCTCTTTGAATCAAGTTTTCAGTAAAGGACCTTGAAAAGTTAGGATTGCGGCTGTTAGGCTGCCTAGCTTTGCCATGATTCGATGACGAGTTCTGACTGAGTTCCGAATTGCCTGACTCCCAACTCTCCACGGCCGAGTCGTGGGACTTGTTATTCCTGAAATGATAATTTCACGAATTAGCAACCACCACCAAAATAAGCTTGCAGCTTCAACCGCAGGACTTACGGAGTATGGTATCTCTGGAAGCGCGTTTGCTCATTATCAGATGCTTCCTCTGCTATTCTCTCGTCGAACAGCGCTCCTTGAGTTTAAAAGTTACGGATTTAGACTAGCGCACGCCTGTACCTGTGGAAAGAGGTTGATTTGAACTTGATGGCTTCATCTCATCTTTTTCTATCTTTAATTTTAGTACATCACTTGATCTCATAAGCTAAAAAGAACGGTTATTATCTAAATAAAAGTCTTTTTTTATTAACCTCGATGCATTGTTGAAGCGTTTTCGTTTTACAAGAAGTTCCGTTGATAGATAAAATTTTGTCACCCTTTTGAATAGCTCGTGTTCTTTCGGCAATGCCGCCAGGAGTCAGGTTGGAAACATAAATCGGGTCAAATGGATCGTCCGAGCCCGTTATCGTAATACCTTCGATTTACGAGAAATGTCAGTAATTGATGACAATGATGGGTTTACCTAGCGGGCCGCCGTTACCCTTGAGCTCAACAGTAAAACATAATCCTGTTTCTTCTTCATCCTCTTTTCGTATTTTTAATCTGACCAGTTCTCCTGTGTTTTTCAAGAGCTGAATTGCATCTGATATCGTACAATGATCGAGTTTATGATTGTTGATCGCTAAAAGCTTATCTCCCGCAGCCAAACTGCCTGTCCGATGAGCCACAGATCCAGGAATAATATTCGAAATCGCAAGAGGCTCGCCAAATATTCTATTTCGCGGCGCAGAAACTTCAATTCCAAGACTTTTCACAAGGATAACCTACAGTAACTAGGCCTATCAAAAGGCGACAGTTTCCTGGAGCCACTTTTTCGAATAGTGGCGCCCTACCTTCTCGTTCAGAGCGATTACATGATCATAAAAGTGGACGCTAATTGGCGCGATTTCGTCGGTTACCCTTTTCCTTTGATGTGACTTCCTGTGCAACTTGAGCGTGAACTCGCCCGATGTCGGTACAACAGCGTCGGCAATGTCAAATTCGACCTCGATCTTGACCCGTCCTCGATCAGCGGAGTCCATGAGCATCTGATTTGCCTCGTCTGGGCCCATTTCCTCGAGAGGGACATCGTTCAGTCGTAAAATCCTGTCTCCGGCCTGGAACACTGCCGCCTCATCTGCCGCGCTACCTTCGTCAATCGACTCAATCAGCTTGGGCCCACCCATGAAGTCGCAAGTGGCGAAAACACCGGCAGAAATGTTGATTCCAAAGCTTGTCCGGGGCTCGCACTCGAGCGTACGGCAGAATGTTTCCTGGTGGTTCACTTTGACGAGTGCTCGAAAATATGGTACTAGCGGCCAGTCGGAAAATTTAATAAGATCATCGACACAATTAATCTTGCAAATACGGTCTAGTAAAATCGTTTTACGTTTCCGACTACACACTTGAGCTTGTAAGGGGTCATTTAATACACTGAACATGAGTCAAGTTGTTTCTTGTTGAGCACTGGCCTTGATTTGGCTGCGCGTAGGGGTCGAATGACGCCACGGACATTTGCGAGAGGCCGGATTTCAACTTGCGCCCGCGCATTCTTGAGAAGGTGTTTGATTTCGAGCTCAGCATCGTTCCGGAGCGCGAGAAGGTGCCAGTGTTCAGATGACTGTAGCTAGTACCAGGGCCTATCGATGGTGTGTACCTGCCAGGATATCCGATACTTTTAGGACCTTCAATAGATAGTCGAACGTGACTAACTGGCAGAATTTCCAATTTGATTTGATCGCTAGGGGACGAGAGCAACCTTGTCGCATCATCAAGCGTGAGTTGTTCAACGTGATGACCATCAATTCGAATCACCTGATCACCAACATGTAATGCTCCGCAGCGATCGGCAATACTGGCCGCCACGATTTCAGAAATGACGATTACGTGTCTGTGGTTAATCACAGTTACGCTCAAATTGACTCCCAAATTGGATCCGGGCGGCTTTGCTACTTCAATAGACAGCGGCCCCTTGGCGTTTTGAACTTGATCGACTATTTGAGCCGAGTACTGGACGGTGAAAACCTCCTCGCGATCGATAATGGCGAGGGCCTCGTCGAGGGTGCAACTGTCCAGCCGGTTGTTGCCCGCAGCGACCATTCTGTCGCCCACTTTGATTGGAGTATTCGCATCGCAAAGGGACCCAGGGCGAATGAACGAGACAACAAGAGGGCGGGTCTTCATCGGATCTTCTTTATTCACGCCGCCTCTTAGAACGATGCCACGGCCAGAGCCTGGGACGTCGTCGCGTGGCAAATTGACAGTGACAATCTTTTGGACTTGATGGGGCGAAGGTGGAAATGTAGGAGGCAGCTCATAGTCGATGCCCAGGTTGAGTACGTTGCCCACGTTTTTCAACAAGTTAATAATGTCGTCATGCTTCAGTCGGCTTGTATTGATCCCATTCACCGAAGAGATGATGTCGCCGACTTGGAGCAAGTCGCAGCGCGAGGCCAACCCGCCAGCGCGCAAGTGCTCCACTCGCGCCATCGACAGCTTATCGAGCCCGCCAGCGATTGTCAACCCCAGTGGCTCATCTGAGTCCTTCACAAGCCTAAAGCCAACTTTCAGTATCTTTTCAACGGGTTTAGCATTGATGTACAAAAAAATTAATTGACCCAAATGGTGATTATTCTTTCAGCAAAAATCTTACTAGAATTATTTTCGACCAAGTAAATTTTCAAAAAATCGCCTTACCTAACAGTTGTGCTGCCTTTAATTTCTTCTGGAAGAAGACTCTCCAGAGGCACCAATTGCTGCTCATAATTAGGAAGCGGACTTTGACTGCGCTTGGATCGGTGATTCTTGGAGCCAAGACAATAAAAATTCTTCAGAGGCATTTCTTTGAGCCACTCGTCAAGTGATCGGCAACATTCTAAAGAATTCTCTTTCTCAAATTGAAAAGAAAGAAAGTAAAAAAGACGGGGAGTAAAAATTACGGTGGATTAAGCGTGCGTGCTCCAGATGTAGCTTGGTGATTTGAGAAAATTATGGGGGTTGAACGAAACGATGAACAAAATCAAACGGCGGATCATTATGAGATTAACGATGAATTATGCGTTGTAATGAGTATAGCGCTCGTGAAAAACCGTAAAATGAGCTTTTGTTGGCATTTTGAAAAAGTACGCTTGAATAACGAAATTCAAAGGATCTTTCGAATGAATTTTTTCTATAATTAAAAATTTGAAAGAATTTAACTTTTGAACTTGTCAAAGTACTCAATAAACGCTCTTTTATTTACGATCGATTCAAGAGCTAAGTTAATTTTTGATGATGACAAATTAGACACAGAAACATTGATACAAGGTACTTCTGATTATTACCTTCTGATTCCTCTTTTCTTTAAAAAAATCTCTTTATTCTTCGGTACAAGGCTCTCTAGTAAGTGAGTGTATATTTCTTTTTCTGAATCCTAGTCTAGCTGCAAGATTTTTCTGACACCTCAGCTCAGGGTTTTCAAGGTGAGCGTACTGTTTGTGAGATTTTGAAAAAAAATTTCAACGCTCGTGCTCACTCGAAAATAAACGGCAACCTGGGGGAAACAATGCCCCGGCGCCAGAGTTAAAATTACTCAAGCCAAGAGATGCGTGTCGCCCCCATCTGGACGTCATGATCAAGAGAGAAAAGGTAAACCCGCGGAAATTTCAATTTCCTCAAAATGGTCCTTGATCAAAAGACTCAAGTACCGTTTGGAGAAGCTCCTTTGATAGAAAACTAGACCAAGGGCCAAAATGTTATTCAAAACAAAAATACGATTCCCATGAAATTCGAAAAGAACTTGATGAGAATTTATTCGAAATCAAGGAAGAATTCCTTAGAATAAAAACTATTCCAAAAACTCCACGCTTTATTAGTAAACGTAAAAACAATTCAAGAAATGAGTAAGTTAATTATGCTTAGGTATGCGTTCAAAAGACCACAAGCGAAAATCGCTTCCTCCTTGGTTGTTACTTTCGTTTTTTTTCTTTACCTCTCATTAAATCTCCCGTTTCAGAACCACTGTTTCCTTCCTCTCATGTAAAAAGCTCGTCAGACATAAAATAATATAAATCTATTCAGGTGACTTTGAAAAGTAAGATTTTTGAAGGTCGTCAAAAATGTGGCGTCGTTGTCGAGCTACTACATTTTATTACTATTGACGATATTTATTATCACATTTGAAGATGTGATCTCATTTTCTGGTAGTTTTGCTTTAATCCCACGCGGATTTCCCCTTCTAGATCAATTACAATCTCCGGAAACGAGCTGAAAGAATAGCTCCTTTCTTTCAAAGTGTCCTTTTTACAGTAGAATCGCTTGAAAAGGACAATAGAAATTCCTTTGGCAACTAGTTTTTCTCTTTTTATTTTTTAACATTAGTTATAGCAAAATAAGGAGAGTGAAGATTAATTTTACAGTAGTTGAACTACTGGCCGTTTTGGCCGAAACGAACGGGAGCACCAGTTGAGCCGGTCGAGTTTTGAAGCTTTTGGTAAAACGACGAGCGCCAGATTCCATCGCGAATGCGCGGTTGGAACTCTCCTTTGGGCACACCCGTGTAGAGGGGCCACTGGTTCGTGTCTTCCCGCTCTGGAGGGAGGTTCTTGTCGGGGAGAACTCCCAGAAGCGTTTTCGACCATTTCCACCTAAGAAAATAGATTTTAAATTCAGCTAGATGAGATCAAGGAGGAATGTGAGCACCCTAGAGCTAAAGAATTTCTCGAGAGATTACCATGGTCTCGATTTTCCTTTTGTGTCCGATTCATTAAAGAGGCTTTGTTGTTGATATAGTACTGTTGCCATTCGCGTTGCGGGAAATAGTATTTCTCGAGCGCCTTGCGCGCCGCAAACTTCTCCGCCAGCTGGATCGACGGCCCGTGACCTTGAATAAAGAAAAGTAAGTTGAAACGACGTCAGATGTGCTCATAATACTAACGATCATAAATTATCAACGCTATTTTCGTAAATCATTTAATCGCCGAGTTTTACTTATTTCATTTGATCTCGTAAATCAAACGGATATTCATCAAAACCGAGCTTTTTCTTGTGGCTGCCTAAAGAAGATCGATATTTTTATATTTGTCTGGCTAGAACTTTTAATTTTTCGACCAGCTGTTAATATCAAGACATCACAAGAATTTTAACTAGATAGACAAACTCTTGAAAGTCAATCAATCTCACGAGACTACTCAATTTTGATCAACATCCTTTTGATTTACGAGATCAAATAAAATTGGCGAAACTCGGCGATGAACAAAATGATTTACGAATAAAGATTGTTTCCGTCAAAACTTATTATTCAATAAACGGTACCTTCTCCGATTCTCTCGCCTCTGAAGTAGACTTCCACTCTGTAACGCATCTTTGACGAGCTTGTAGAGCTAGAATTGTGTCTGTATTCTGGCAAGTCGGGAGATCCTTCCTCAGGGCGCAATGTGAGGCAACACTGTTGAAGACAGGATTTAGGATCGTTCCAAACTTGGCTCATAATAAAGTGCTTCAATCGGGGATAGAAGCAGACTTTCATGAAAACGTCCACGGCAATTATTCCTTGATCTAATCGAGTATTAATAAAGTCATTATGAATATAAATTTACCGATGAATAAAGCGCCAATGAAGGATTCCATCAAATCTGCGAGAATTTTTTGTTTCCAGCCCATTTTATCTTGGTTTAGTGATTGGCGCGAAATGACAAACTTTTAAAAGTTTTCAAAAGAGTGTTAAATTAAGCATTTTTTTTCTGTCAAAATTTTATTGAAACTAGCCTTATCGAGTCCAATTTGCTGGGCAACAAGCGCTTGGGTCGGTGCACCAACCATCGTACATCTCAATAATGTCAGATGCCCCTCATGGTGAAGTGGAAAGTGCTTGAATAGATATTCCGCGGCAAGAAAGTTGCAGATCGCGTCACCTAAAAACTCAAGCCGCTGATTGTGACCCTTTGTGATGTCATTATATTTGACGTTCTTGAGGGTGAGTGCTTTGGCGAGGAGGCGAATGTTCTTGAACTTGAGGCCGAGGAGATTCTCCAATTCTGCGCAGCGCTTGAGCACTTTTGAAGATTCAATCTTGGCTCGGTCGCCGTCCGGGAATTCTTGCTGAAGAGGATGAGCTGGGAAATTGAGCCAGATTCGTTGGAGACTTTCGTCGTCGAATAAAACACGGGCGAGGAGGTGGCGAACGGGCTCGAGTCCGCCGTCCATGTAAATAGCACCGAGGACAGCTTCGAAGCAGTTGGCGAGGGCGTTGTTTAGATCCTCTCGTTTGGCAAGATCCTGGAGAGAATAAGGTTGGGATTTTTCGGAAGTAACAAACCTGGGAGTGGATGTAGACGAAGTAATCTTCTAGCGTCAATTTTTGCGCTAGAGCCGCGAGATGAACATTACAAACAAGGGCACATCTCAGCATTGAAAGCGCTCCTTCCCCGAGATGCGGAAACAGATGAAAGATGGAGACGGAAACGATGAATCCTAACACAGCATCGCCGAGGAACTCCGGTCGCTCCAAATAGTTAATTGGACTTTCCTTCGGCTCGCTAGTTCCGAGCAATGCCATGACTTTTATCAACGTAACAATGCCCCTTTTCCGCTCGTACGGACGAGATGGTCCATCCTCGCCGTATTGCGGTTTCCTGATGCCGCAGTTTGTCGTGGAGTTACGCACGTGATCCGGGTTTTCGCCGTAATTGTAAACTGCTGATGGATGGGTCATCGCTCGCGTGAGCCAGGAGAGATTCTTGAATCGATAACCAAGGATTGTTTGAAGCGAGTCCAATGAGTGGATGTATCGGAAAATTGGGATAAAAACTTGATCAAAGAATTTGGAAAAAATATTTCAATTTGGAATCAAGGAAGAGAATTTGGATCCCTGCCTGATATGATGAGTTACGACGGGCAATAAAAATGCATGAGCCGCCATGTCCGGGAAAATACCGGTAAGTCGAAAGTTTTCGCAGGAGATTTCGTTTGTAACTTCGCGCTGCATGTCGGCCATTCGGCGCATCTTCTGAAGAAGAACTTCCAAATCACGGATTTTTGACCAATGCTGTTCTTGAATACGCGGCTTGTTCGTAATTAAATGTCGGTATTTCTGATAGGTCCTGTACACTTTCTGATAAACAGGGTCGCCAGCGTAGCTCAAGTTCGCCGGACGCACGCCAAAGTGCACAATTATGGGCCAACGGTGTTCTTTGTTCGCAGCCCCGGTCATGGTTTTCTCCCGGTCGAGTTGGTCAAGGCGAATAGTAGAAGGCTTCTTGCCAGGGTTCGTGACAAGCTGACCTCGGAAGGTTTTGACAGGGTGGCTATTTTGGATTTGGGGGTTAGTTGGAATTGGATTGGATCCAATCCATTAAGGTTTGGATGGAATTTGGATGGCCTGGGTACCGGATTTTGTTGGGGAAAATTGGGCAATTGGGGGAAATTGGGGAATTGGATCCAATAAAAAATATCTCGCTAAACTATGCAAAGCAGGGTCATTTTCATGATAAAAATGAACAATTTCGGATAAATAATCATTGTTTTGGCCATGTTGATCTTCTTTTCGGATTAAAACTTACTGTTTCCGTTCTTCTCAAAGTACTAAAAGCCTTGGAAAAATTGGAAATCCAATTGGATCTAATTGGAATTGGGGATTTTTGGGGAATTGGCTAATAATTGGATTGGGTTGGATTTTGGATGGATAGTTACGACTCAAAATTTATTGGATGGAAATTGGATGGCCAGACCCCAAAATTTTGTCCAAAATAGCCACCCTGGGTTTTGATATAGTTTTCCCAGGTATTGAAATCCGATTCTTGAGAGAATTTTGAAAGATGTTATCCTTATCATTACGGACTATGTCTATAGAAATTTCTTATAAATCAAATTTTGATACCAACAGGGTCTAATGTTCAGAATTATGATCGGCATTTGATGCGTGTTTTTTAATTCAGGTAACCCCGTAGGGTTAATCATCAGTATGTGCCAGCCCTGAGACATAATCTCCCATTCGTTCTTGGCACGTAGTTTTTAGGTCAGTTCCATATCCGCAAGATAAATCTTCACCCAGATAGCGTCAAGTGTCCCTATCTATAATTTCATCATTCCTGACCCTATCAGGACTAAGGGAAGACGGAGTTTTCCTCCATTAGGAAATCTTATGGTCTTTCAAAACTCTTCCTAACAATCTAACGAGGTCATTTGGCTCAATCAGCGGCTTGTTACTGTCGATAAAATACTGCATAATCTGGTCCATTCCCAGCAATTCCAACTGATTGTCAAGTCCGCGTGATTCGAATCGGGGCAGGAAATAGAAAAATTTTTGGCTAAAAGATGATCCCGGCTCGATTTTGACACTAGGGTCGTTCGAGGGAGTGAGGCCTTCAATCCAATCGTAGAGTTCTAGTGTGTCTTTGAAGAAAAAGTCCGAGAATAGTTCCAGGTCGGCAAGGCAAAATGAGGTGGGGGCAGGTTCGGGAAGCAGGGTGATAGCGTGCTCATTGTGGTATCTAAAGATTGACACGGTAAGAATCAGAGGGGATGGTTTTATTCGACCTGGTGACTGGTATTGTTGGCACTTTTGACAAGTCCCGATGGGAGAAAATTGAATACCCGGCAAATCGGAATGTCTTGTTGTTGTAGCTGATTTTAGTAGTGATATGATCCTTGAAGGCAAAATTCTTGAGAGGACTGACAGTGATTCTATAGTGGAACAGCTTATCGAGGTTGTTGCTTTTGGCAGGGAGAGCGGGAGGCTGGATTTCTTGTGGATAGACGCCGTGGTTGATTCCGTGTTGCTGGTCCATTTCGCATTTGCACAAAGGGCCGTCGTTGGCCATTTTGGGCTCATTGTACCAGAGCTCGGCACACATGCGGTCCGGGTGATTCTTGATTGTTCTGATGTACTTGATCAGTTCGCCAGCTTTGTTGAGGATTTTCTTCGTGTCTCCTTGGAGCAGCGACTTTCTCTTCTTCTTTTCTGACTTGCCGAAGACGCCGGCTTTTTCCAAGTCCTTTCTGAACTCTTTGATAACTTGATAGCCTATCGTGTCTTCTTGGCCATCGGCAGCTTCTTCTAGCGCATCGTTGAGGGTATCTCCGTCGACCGTTTGGCTTTCAGTGGCAGTTTCTTCTTCTGTAGCAGCTTCAGTCTCTTCATTTCCATTTTCCTCGTTTGTTTCTAGGTCATCTTCGCATATGAGTAAATTAGTACCGTTGTCATCATCGGAATCGACATCTGAGAATTCATCTTGCTCGTTTTCAGGAGTTCCGGAGAGGATGGCCGCTCTTTTTCGTCGCAAAACCTGAAGAGAGAAAGTTCAGGGGGAAAACTAAAGCTGCATACCTTCGGAGCTTGCCAGGTTGAATCAGATTGGGCAGTGTGTCTTTGTGAAAGAGCTTGAAACTCTTCGCGGACAGGCTCAAGTGACGGCAAGCTCTCGCGCTTTTCAGTGAAATTCAGCAAGGGAGAATAGTTGTCCGTTGGTGCGGAGATAACTTTTTTATTCGCAACAGGTGCAGGAGGCGGTTTGGGAACACTTCCATGGAGGAGTTTTTTCTCGTAGTTTTCGCGATTCCTTTCTCTGTTTTCAGGTCTTGGAGAAGGGCTCTTGTTGGCACTTTCAATCTTTAAAATAAATAAAACGGAGCCCATTCCTTCGGGAACTTCCAGTTCTAGTGTCCCGATCTCTGTTCCTCGATCTACTCCTATCTCTAGTAGCATCTCCATTCATCATTCCATTGCGAGATCCAGATCTGGAATCTCTATCTCTTGAATTAGAGAAATCTCTCGAGCGTTTTCGGCTATCACTTCTCGGCTCTGGGAAGCCTAGTAAGCGTGAAACAAAGGAAAAGAAAAGTGATCAACGTACCATCGTCGATTCGCTCGAGTTTGACTCTCACAGGAGCTCCTGAAAGTTGAGGCTCTTCTCCTGGTTCTGTTTTGACCCTAGCGGTTGGGTCGAAAGGGATGAAAGAAGATCGGTCTTGCCACTCTTGGTCAGTGATGCGCTCGATTTTCACCCGCCCGTTAGTGCTACTTCTGCCTCTATTTTCCTGCTGGTCGAACGTTTCCTCTCGTGAGTGACCCCACTGTGGCAACTCTCGCGGTTCTCTAAATCTATCCACGCGAGCGTTGCCACTGTACTCATCACGGGAGGAGCTATTTCGCGAAGTTCTAGCGCAATTCTGAGGCTCAGAAGGGAAGCCTGGCTCTTCGAATTCGCGCTTGAGAATCGGTTTTTTAGAATTGGAATTTGTCGTGTTGGAACTGTTCGGGGGCGCTTGGAGCAGCTTGAGCGGTGGGGAGGGACTGTTGCTAGAAGAATCAGTGTTGGACACTTGAAGATTGTTGGAGGCGATGACGCAGGTGGCAATTTTTTTCATTGGCATATCGTGACGGCTTTTAGCAGTATAACGAACGGAAGCGTTTAGCGTGGGCAGTATTTGATTCTCACAGACTGACTGAAGAATAGTGTTGCTTTTCAAAAGAAAAAAGGAGAGCAAACCTTGGTGAAGAAAATGGTGCCATCAATGAATCCAAAATCGGCATCGAGGGCAGTGACGATCCCGACAAAAATATCGCCACTGTCATTAGTCATTTCGCATTGATCTGAACTTGAGTTTTTTTTAAGAAAACAGAATACGAGGACTTGCATAAAGGAGTAGTTTATTTTGTCGTTTAAAAATTGAACCCTTTCAATATTTCAATATTTAGTAGTCATGAAACGATGGCGCGTTTTTTCTTTGGAACCAAGTTTAATTAGAAACTTTTTTAAAAACGCTCAAAAGGCCCAAATTCTGCCCTGATTTTTGTATTTCAAACATGTTTTCGTCTTTGAAGAAGCAAAAAATGAGTTCTGTTGTAAGGAAAGTTATTTCAGGTAAATTCAAGTTCATTAGGTTTTTTATGAATAAAGACTTGCTCGTTCGGCAGTTGTTTTTTTTCTTAATTTGGGGCAGAATGAAAATAATAATGGATCATTTTGGTCATGGCCTTTTTTCCAGTTAATTCTAGTGGAGAAGCATTGGAGACTCGTAATGGAAAAATATGATAACGGGTGGAAAATTGACGAAAACGGGAAGTAAAAAGGGTAAATTTTTGAAAACGCGGTTTTGAAATTGCCAATCGGCAAGTTACAGTAAGAAAAAACTTGTACAGTCGAGAAATAAAGCAAAAGACTAGTACTGTAACACTTGTACTCCTACAATTGAGACGGTAGGTATGGAGTACCGAAAATAAACAGGCTGAGAAAACGCTCAATAGAACTATTTATGGGGCTAAATATGAGGGTTTTCAAAGCCTGCCGTTGATTCGGTTTCGTTGAAGTACACTTCTCACATCTTTTGTAAACCTCAGTGCATCTAACATGGGCAATAAATTAAGTAAACATGTATCGTGCGGATCCTGAAAACGAAAATTAAGATCATTTATTGGAAAAACGAAGGACTTACGGAGAACCACGATTTGATGGGGACGGCATTTTCGACATAGTGGCGATATGCGCCGGGACTATTGTCAAGGATGAAGACGGAAGATAGATCGCTATTTACTGTAGCCAGATCCTGAAGAAGATTTTTAACTTTAGGTCTACCCGACGTTTTCGTACCTTTGTGTAGGAATGATACTCCATCCGGCAATCTTGTCGATAATATCGCCGTCTGAGTATCGTTTTGTGCGGATCAAGCTTGTCGCAAACAGCTGAAAAAGGTTACAAATAATCATCATTAGCAAGTGAACCTGATCCATAAACTTCCATAGATGCGGTGAAGACAACCAGGTCATACCATTGAGAGACAGTTTGAAGAAAATAGTCGACATGTGGACGCTTGTAAACATAAAACGAAACGGGATGTGAGTCAATCACAACGTTCAAAATGAAGTCTGATGTTTTTGCTACAGAATATATTTTCACTTGGTTTTCAAAAATCCTCCTACTTGATCTAGCTGGACCTCCACGGCCAAGGCCATCGTGCTGCGAGTGGATGAGTGTCTCGTCAAGATCCAGCACTAGCGTTTTCCGCTTGACACCAGTTACGCTTAAGTTTCACATTAAGCAAAGCGAGAGGGGACAAGAACGTACCGTTGAATTTCCGCAGGTTCTAGCGGTGCAAATCGATTGGGATATCTCAGCGTCGTAAACTGCTGAAACCATCTGATATTCCTGCTTGCCGTGGTGTACAAGTACTTGATGACACCGACTATAAACATAATGGATCTGATACTGTAGACGAGTACTGTACTCATTAGTTGCAGCATCACCGTACTCCAGGACTTTAGCGACGGGTCACCCATGGAAAACAAGAAATAACAATTAGAAAAAAACGCGATGAGCACCTCACTGGCGCTGCATTTTTTCTCTCTTTTTTAACCTTTTTTCTTTCGATAAACCTCTAAAAAGATGAATGCTCAAGAAAAATGTGAAGAAAACTTGGTTGTTTTTGAAGAAGAGGAATGTCAGAATAATTGGCTACCAGAAGTCTAAAAGGTGTCTAATCCTCCTTTATGGAAGAAGTGGAAGTTCCCAAGGAAAAAATTGTCGCTGTCCACAAAGGAAGAGCAATAGAAAGAACAAGTTGAAAGTTTGAATTTTCATTTTGAGTATACAACTCGATTTCGTCGAGTAAATCAAACGACGCGCCTGGGTAGAGAAATTCGTGTTTGGAAAATACTGCAATCGCGATAATTAAAAGTGGGTGACTCAGAATCGTTAGAATCGCCGGAATTTTCTTGTTGTAAATTGGTAGAGACAGGAAACAAGCAGATAGGAGGAAAATCAGGCCTTGGCCGATACAGAGCAAGCATAAAATAGCAGAGAATGTTGCGTAAGCGAAGAGAGGGATAGAGGATTCGGCGGAGAGGGATTTCTTGCGACTGGAGAACAAAGGGCCGATAGAAGCGAGGAGTACAATTGATAGCTGGGCGGTAATCGTTTTGTGGGGAAAAGAAGCGTATTTGACCAAAATCTCCATGAGGAAAAATGATGATACTCCGCAAACTGCAACCCTTGATAAATGTGACAGGTCGAAATCACCAGCCTATGATTGTTTCAAAAGCGGATAATAATTTGAAAATGTACCTGATTGCCAGTGTTCCAAGACTTGAGAACAGCCACTGCGGGAACGAGAAAAAGAAGTCCAGCGGCAGGCATGTAATATGAAATCGAGGAATAATTATTCACTGAGGAGTAAATGTAAAACCAGATCGAAGCGTGAAGTCTCTCCAGTAGATTATTCTCTGCCCGCAACAGGTGCTCAACAAGCCGTCCAAAATGCTCGTCCCCGTATAGTTTCTTACCCCCTTTTTGCTTATCCTAAACAGTAACAAATCTGTCAGCATATGATGTAAAATAGGGTCGGCCAAAAAAATTTTTTGATCTCCGATTCTTTTGAAACCAGTTTCAGTGGATTCGCGGTGCTCAAAACCTCTATAAACCAAAAATTGCAGAGATCCGATGTTCCGGTCTCATTCAAGGGCATTTTTTCCAAAAATTGGGACTTGAATTTGACACACTTGCTAAAAAATTAAATTCACTATATATTCAAGGCAAATGAAATATTTGATGACAGAATATCATAGAGAAGGGTTCAAATTATACAGGTAGTGAACAGAAAAGAGATAGAAAACTCATGTACCATTTTTATGGAAGGGTGTTTTGTGCCAATTACCCTTATATATGGTTAACTCAGGTATTCATTCATTCATAAATCAATAAAAAAGATGTTTCAATCCCAAATTTTTGCTCGTAAGTTAGATTAAACACTAAGGAATAACTTTTCCCTTTCAGAATGCTTATATGAGTTGGGGAATTTTTTTAAATAATTTTTAAATAAAACTACTGGATATTTACGAGAACTTAAAAATGAAGAAAAAAGTCTTTTAAGAGGACAAAAAAGGTTCAAATTCTTATCTATATGCTTGAACGTTGATTAGAAATTATTAACTAGGTATTGTGTGGATATCACCAGTGATATTCATGAGAGTCTATTAACAGAGGATCTGTTGGTGTCTATCTGTATCATTAAGAGGTCTTGAATGACCGTCAGCACTATAAATGTAGTTTCTAGTCCTTAAAATTACACAAAATGTCTTTTTGAATTATGCTGACATCATCAGAAGTCCTGATACTGATACCTATGATCTGTAAGGTAATGTCTGTATTAGAAACGCTTAGTCAATGACTCTGAAAATCGCATACATTCATAAACAGGGCTAAAAATGCCCAAAATGTCTTTTTGGATAATCCTCAAAGTATCAGAAGTCGTCAAACTGATACCTATCATCTGTAAGTCAGTGTCTGTATTATAAAGGCTCAGTAAATGACTTCCAAAATTGCATACAGTCATTAACAGGGATTAAGATGCACAAGATGTCTTTGATAATAATTCTCAAAGTATCAGAAGTCCTCAAACTGATACCTATCATCTGTAAGTCAGTGTCTGTATTATAAAGGCTCAGTCAATGACTTCCAAAATTGCATACAGTCATTAACAGGGATAAAGATGCACAAGATGTCTCTGAGAATAATCATTTAAGTATCAGAAGTCCTCAAACTGATACCTATCATCTGTAAGTCAGTGTCTGTATAAGAAAGGCTTAGTCAATAACTCCGAAAATTGCATACAGTCATAAACAGGGTTTAAAATGCCAAAAATGTCTTTAATAATAATCCAACCCAGCTCCGTTTCTGCAATTCAGTCTAAGATGGAGCAAAGCCGACCCGAAGGGGAGGCTAACTCCATTCATGCATTCACGTCTGAGACGGGGCCAAGCCGACCTCAAGGGCAACCTAGCTCCGTTTATGCAATTCAGTCTGAGACGGGGCCAAAAAATATTGTTAAAATGAAATTTCAAGCTAACGCCCAGTTACCATAGTACGGAGGCTTACTTTTAACGCAAGATAATTAAGCCCGGTTTCTCGGATTCAGTAAGGAACAGGGCAAAGCCTATTTTAAGGGGAGAATAACCTCATCTGTTGAATTGAGTAAAGTAAGGCGCAAAACGACCCGAAGGGGAGGCCAGCCCCCTTTCTTGGATTCAGTTAGGTAGGGGGCCAAGTCGACTCGAAGGGGAGGCAAGCCTTATCTCTTGAATTAAGTCAGGTAAGGGCGAAGCCGACCCGAGAGATAAGCCAGCTCGTCTTAAATTCAGTCAGGTAAGGGACCAAGCCGACCTGTACCTAACTGAATCCAAGAAACTGGGCTCGCCTCCCCTCCCGGTCGGCTTAGCCCCTTACCTAACTGAATCCAAGAAATGGGGCCAATAATCCGAAGTTATTAGCGCGCGCTTTGCGGGAATCGTGGGCAAACAAGCCAAAAAAAAATGTCTCAAAAGCGCAAACGCCCGCTGCGGAACTGATCCTAACGCCCAGTTGCGATAGTACGGACTCCGGAGGCTTACTTACGGAGGCCAGCACCGTTTCTTGGATTCAATAAGGTTCGAGGCCAAGCCGACTCGAAGGAAAGGCCAGCCTTATCTCTTGAGTTCGGTTAAGCAAGGCGCAATAACGACCGGAAGGAGAGGCAAGCCCCGTCTCTTGAATTCAGTCGAGTAAGGGGCGGAGCCGACCCGAAGGATAAGGAAGCCCCGTCTCTTACATTCAGTCAGGTAAGGGGCGAAGCCGACCCGAAGGGGAGGCCAGCCCCGTCGTTCAAATTCAGTCAGGTAAGGGACAAACAACCCGTACCTAAATAAGTCCAAGAAACGGGGCTGGCCTCCCATTCGGGTCGGCTTGGCCCCTTACCTAACTGAATCCAAGAAAAGGCTGGCCTTCCCTCCGGGTCGGCTTGGCCCCTTACCTTACTGAATCCAAGGAACGGGGCTGGCCTTCCCTCCGGGTCGGCTTGGCCCCTTACCTAACTGAATCCAAGAAACGGGGCTGGCCTTCCCTCCGGGTCGGCTTGGCCCCTTACCTTACTGAATCCAAGAAACGGGGCTGGCCTTCCCTCCGGGTCGGCTTGGCCCCGTACCTAACTGAATCCAAGAAACGGGGCTGGCCTTCCCTCCGGGTCGGCTTGGCCCCGTACCTAACTGAATCCAAGAAACGGGGCTGGCCTCCCTTCGGGTCGGCTTGGCCTCTTACCTAACTGAATCCAAGGAACGGGGCTGGCCTCCCCTTCGGGTCGCCTTGGCGCCTTACCTAACTGAATCCAAGAAAAGGGGCTGGCCTTCCCTCCGGGTCGGCTTGGCCCCTTACCTAACTGAATCCAAGAAACGGGGCTGGCCTCCCCTTCGGGTCGGCTTAGCCCCTTACCTAACTGAATCCAAGAAACAGGGCTGGCCTCCCCTCCGGGTCGGCTTGGCCCCTTACCTGACTTAAATCAAGAGACGGGGCTTGCCTCCCCGTCGGGTCGTTTTGCGCCTAAAATTTAGGAACGGTTCCTAAGAAAAAGTTTTCTCCGAGCCCCCAAGTAAGGCTATTTATATATTTTTTTTTAATATTAGTCTTCAATCAGTTGGTCTTCTAGTAAGGGGGTCCTCCGGGGGGTCCTCCGGCAGGGAGTGGCCGAAATTGGTCGAATGTGGCAGTATGTGGCCATCCAAAGCTATTTATGTTTTTTTCTATTATTGGTCCTCCAGCAGTTTGTCTTCCAGTAAGGGGTCCTCCGGAAGGTCCTCCGGCAATAAGTGGCCAAACTTGACCGAAGTCGGCAATCACTTGCCAATGAAGGCTTGATATTTTGCGTAGCCAAAATTTCGATATTTAGAAACGTCCACGATTCAAGTTTTTGGTGACAAAATCGCGATTTTCAAAAAATTCTAAAAAAATTTCCCCAACTCGCACAGACAAATGGTTGAAACCATTCGAATCGTCTCGTTCTCCTCTTTCTAATGAGGTATAATTCGTAATTGAAACACGAGATCAATTTTTTTTTTGGCCGACCCTAATGTAAAAGTCGACATTACCTTGACAGTTCTGAGGGTAACCGAATGAATTCCATATTTAATCAAGTCCGCATGGTTTCCCGAGCCGTATCCCGATCCAGTTTGAAAGAGTTGTTTGAAAAAGAGCTTGGAGAAGTCCTGAATTCGATAAATTTCTGCCGAAGCGGTGTCGTTCATGATCCTCATCGACATTCCTTCCGAATGACCGCATCGTATCACAGCATTTACTGTAAGAAAATCATTTGAAATTGCATTCAAGAGGAACATACCGATGTCCTGATTGGTCATTTGGCCGTTATCGCCTTCCATTTCCACATTGACGAAGGAAAAAGTCGGCGCGTCTCCCTTCAAAACAACGCCCGTTTGAGGCGAAGCAGCGGACAACTCCAACTCTGGACCCTCGCATTCTTTGTTTTTATTCTCGAAATTGTTCTCCAGCCAGCACTGAATGCCCCGACGCCCATGGGTGGAAAAGATAAAGAAGATATCCTTGCCCCAGTGGGTTTGGTCGGAAATCATCGACATTAGCGCCATCCCGGTGCCGAACGCTGAATTGGTTACTTTCTCGTCCCAGCTGGCGATTGGGACGTTGATGATGATACTTTCAGCGGCTGAACTGCCGATTGGGCAAACTCGAACGATGATGTTTGAAGAGGAAAGATCCGAGTAACTCCAGGATTGTTCTTCATATTTCAGCCTAAAAATAAGATTTTTGAAAACTTGAATCTTGCAATCGTCAATTCCATCATCATTTCTTTCCCCGAAATGGAGGCAAAGAAGGTTGCTAGAAAATCCTACTGTACCTTAAAGTAGTAGCAGCCTTTTTAATCAAATTCTTCCTACAATCAGCAGTCACACAGTCTTCCATCCTCCTATTCATCACTCCCGCCAAACCCTTCACCGTCTGCGAATACTTTGGCGAAGCCATGCGCGGCTGTAACGCATTCTCATCAATATAAGTTCTAGCGTTGAATTGAGCTGAGCTCTGCATGGCCAGCCAACCAATGCCGCATAAAAAGCCGAGAGTTGAGAGCTTACTTCCGAATTTATTGATTTTAGCGCCGATATCTTTTGTTGAACTCGGGTCTGTTAGAAGCCCCATTTTTAAATCTGAAATCAAGGAAGAGTAACAACGAGTCGGTAAATTAGAAAAATAGATATATATTTTATGAGATTATAAGAAAATAAAATCAAAGTGAATGAAGCAAAAGGCCGAGAATGGGGAAGAAGGAACAAGATAGTACAGTAGCTTTTTTGAGCCGTGGAGTGGGAAGGGCAATTATTTTCCTTTTTTGCCTTTGCCCTTTCCACCCTTCTTCTTCTTGCCTTTCATGAGCTTGCGGACCTTGTAGGAGCGGAAGAAGGCTTGAATTACAGTCGCGTTGAATGTCTTGTCTTCGAATTCTTTGCGTTCGCGCTCTTCTTGCTCTCTCTTTAGGCGGCGTTCTTCCATAATTGCGTCGTAGTCAACCTGAAACCGCAGTAAAGAAAAAAAGACAGATAAACCCTTCACTTACTTTTAAAATAGCAAAGCGTTCCTTGAGTTCATCGAGCTGTTCCTTTTCCTCGTCATAAGCGTCCTGGACCTCTTCGAGTTGCTGCTGCTTCTCGATCATAAAGTCGTCATATTTGGCGATCCAGTTTTCGACCTCGTTCTCGATTCGGAATTTTTTACTTCGCAAGTTGAGTTCCACTTCGCGGTGCTCCACCACTAGCTTTTTCAGGTCCACTTCGAGCGGTTTTATCGCCTCGATTAAAGTTTTTTTGCGCTGCTCAGCATTTCGATTTTCATTAGCTCGTTCCTAAACAAAATGGGTCAGTCCTAAATTGAGGTAGATAGCATTTTTGATAAAGTCCTTTTAACACAAACTGTCAGCTTATATAAATACCGATCCACGAGAAATAGATCATAATTAACTGACATGCAAAAGCCTTCCTAAATCTTGTACTACCACCATTTGGAATGAATAACAAACAACCAGAAATCATACTCGACTCAAATGAATATGCGACAAAAAGAATTTTTTACTTTCTTTAAAATGAATTCACTTTTATCTAGAATATTGAAAACATTTTTGAGATATTACAAATAAATAAAAAATTATATATTTCTCCATGTCCTTCTATATTTTATTTACAACCCTGCAAAAATGGGTTGTTCCAAGATATTAATCAGGGTTGTGCAAATATAAAAATGGTCACAGTTGGTTTTTTAACCCCTTTTCGCCGTACAAAAACCCGCAGAGAGTGAAAAATACTGTAGCATTCTTTTGAGAGAAACAAGGGTTCATGTCCATAATATTTTTTATAAAATGACTTTTCAATTTATGCGGTTTCATGGGAGATGATCGTTGATTCTACATATTTATGAAAAAACACAATGAATCATTGACAATGATCATTGACACGAAAAAACTTCGATTGTGGACAAAAATTTTGTACTAAAATGAATCTCAATCTATGTAAGAATACTCTGAAGGAAGCGTGAAAAAAATCATCCGTATTTTGTGCTCAAATACTTTTCAATCGAAAACCACGATAAAAACTGCTAAATAAAAAAACCAATATAATTGTGTTACTTACTTGATCAGCATCAGAATTAGTTTTTTGCGCCATCGCTTCGGCATTTTTCTCAATATTCGCCAGCTGCGTTTTGAGCTCGCGAATGACTGTGGCTCGTTTTTCTGTTTCTTCTTTTTGATTCCTTCCGCGACGGAGAGTTCCTTCTCGACCTTCTGCGTCTGAGTGACGATCTCCTTGAGTCGCTGGTTCGACTTTCGAATGTACATTTCGCGGTTTTCTTCTTCCTTTTGCGTCATCGTCAGTCGGTCCACCATTCCAGAGCGCAGCTCGTCGATCAGAGAAGCCAGCGATTCCAGTCGAGCGTCCGATTTCGAGCTGCGGATTAAAGAACACAAGTTCGCGTCTTTTGAAACATCTCGCAGCGCGTTTCGGGTGAGAATTTTTAGCTCAGCCGCTGAAAAATGAGTTTATATGAGGACGAACAATTCATAATAGAAAAAAGCCGTTTGCGGCTTTCGAAACATCGAAAAACCTCGAAAAAAAATTTTAGCCGCATGCGGCTTTTTATTCAACGGAGAAAATTTCATTAACAAACTTGCTCAAAATAAGCCGCTAGCGGCTTTTCTTCTTTGAAATCTTCTTCGGTAAATGAATTTTTCGCCTTTGAAAAACCGCAAATTCGGCTTTTTGATTGAATCTCAAAGCGAAATTTCACGGGAAGAATTGAAAAGTACCTGGAGTAGATTTCTCCTGGGCCGCTTTTCTGAGAATGTGGCAGGACTCTGGAAATTGTTTGAACTGTTCAGCTGGGACCGACGCGAAGCCGGCGAGGAGAAGAAGCCGCCTGTGCAGTTCGTTGAAGACATACATGATTCGTTCCGCCTCGACGCAGGAAATCTTCTTTCGGACTTCGCGATACGACGCCGCCAGCTGCGCCGGATCCTGAATTATTTCATAACGATTTTCTATAGTAACGATTCTTTCGTAAAATCCGTATTTTGACCATTACTGTACCTTTTTGGCGGCGTCTGGAGGCGGCCCAGAAACAGTGACCGTCATTATTCTGAACTGGTGCAAATTTCAAACTGAGCAGAAATTCCAAAAAGGAGGGAAAATAAACGAGCGTTCTAGAAATCGCACTTTTTTCTAGACGGATATTTACAAGGCGATTAAGCCTCATTCTCGGACAGTAATTATTTGGCTTGAAATTTGAGTTTTTTTAGCAATTTCGTCAGACACGAAGTTTTTAAAGCAAAGGTAATAAAACACAATAATTTTTAACAAATAATTTATTTTAAAAAATCATTAAGAAAACACCGAGAAAGCCGCTTGCGGCTCTAAAATTGATGAAGAACTCTTCATATTTGACACGAATCGTGTTTCGACTCGAAAATTTCGGATTTTTTTTTGCATTTTTTTTCGCGATAATTTAAAATTGATAATTCTCTTTGAAAAATTGACTCTGACGACAGAATATTTTTTTATCCAGGAAACATTCGGTAGTAGCGCCTGGGGTCAGGGAAAGGACAATAAACGCAATTTTTTGGTTTCTTTCTTTTTTAGCGCGAAATGAGTCAAAATGAGTTGCTTTGGCGGGGAAGGGCGCGCCAACGCGGGCCCAGCGCGCGCAAATTCGGACGAAAAAAAGATCTTCTCTTGTGGTTTGACATCTGTTGAATCATTTTTGTTTTGGTTTATTCATAGTAAAGCTTTCGGATCTGATAGATCCATCTTCAGTACTAAAATAGTTGTAAAATTGTTGATCAGAAAACTCTTTTCACCTTTTTGAGAGGCTTGTAAGGGCACACTAAAGAACTTGAATGAGAAAATAAGAACAGATAAAATTTGGTCTAGAGAAGAATTTGATAAGACCTCGGTCTTGCAGACAGAATGTTTTTTGAAAATGTGTAGAAATAGACGGGCTTCGGAACATTTTCAAATTTAGACGGGCATTTTTGAAAATGTTCCGAAGCCCGTCTATTTCTACACATTTTCAAAAAACATTCTGTCTGCAAGACCGAGGTCTTATCAAATTCTTCTCTAGACCAAATTTTATCTGTTCTTATTTTCTCATTCAAGTTCTTTAGTGTGCCCTTACAAGCCTCTCAAAAAGGTGAAAAGAGTTTTCTGATCAACAATTTTACAACTATTTTAGTACTGAAGATGGATCTATCAGATCCGAAAGCTTTACTATGAATAAACCAAAACAAAAATGAAAAAAAGATCCTTACTTTTTGAAAAACCATTTTTCGCCGCTTTTTTCGCTCTCATTCCGGTTTTCCCGAGTTGGTCTGAAGAAGAGATGAGTCGCACGTGATGCGAGCAAGAAGATCAGGGACTGGGAAAAAGGCTAAAGAAGAATTTAGAGACGAAAAAAGAAGGAAGAAAAAATGGGAGCTCCGATTCACGAAGAACCTTTTACCAATAAATTTACAAAGAAAAAGGTTGGAAATTCATTCATTCCATTATTCACCCAAATCAGGAAAAGCCGCGTGCGGCTTTCGAGTCAAAAAGACAGTTCGTTTTCGATCAATTTTTGAGTCGAGAAATCTTTGAAAAAGACGCTTTTTTGACTCGAAAGTCGTGTGCGGCTTTTTCCCTTTTCTCTTCATCTTTATCCATTTTTTCTTATTTCTAATCATCTTTTTGATTAGGAAAGCTTATCAAAAGATTCCTTGAAATAACTGAAGACTATCAAAGCATAAAATTCTCGAAGAATTTTTCCGAGGTGATAAAATTTCATTTTGACCGTTTTTTCCTCTTTGAAAAATGCTCTTCGGGAATTTAAACGGGTCCGATAACTTATCGCGTTTTTCATTGTTCGAGCTGGATAAATTCAAATTTCCATCACGTGACCTGATTAAAATTCCTCTAGAAATGAAGATGTTTTTGAACAGAACTTCTTATTCCCTTTTCTTTATGGTTTTTAGGAGATCGCCCGAGCAGGGTTCAAAATGTAGCAGTGTAGTAATGTAGCAATGTAGCAATTGCTACATTTTTGCTACATGTTGATGTAGCAGGTGTAGCATGTAGCAGCGTTCAAAAAGCGTGTAGCAAAGTGTAGCTTGCTACATTGCTACATTTTTCTGGAGGTGAGGATTTTTATTATCAAAAGAGACGATTTATTCATAGCAAATATATTTTAATGTCTCTTTTGATTAATATTATTGATATTTAGCTTAATTTCTATCTAGTTTGTCTTTAAGAAATTAAAAACCATAAAAAAATTCATATATAATTGAGATCTTATCGAAAATGGTAGCAGACCGGCATAATTTTATGTAGCAAGTGTAGCATGTAGCAGCGGTTTTTTAAGGGGAATGTAGCACATGTAGCATGTAGCAGGGACTTTTCTTGAGGGATGTAGCACGTGTAGCATGTAGCAGCAATATATTGCTACATTTCGAACCCTGCGCCCGAGGGCTACGAGGAGTGATCAGGTGCGTCGAAGATGCAGCTGGAGCCCAGTTCGCGGCTAAAACGATCAGAAAAACGCAAAAAGGGCAGAATATCGTGGACGAGATCGAAATGGAAATGGCCGCCCTGAATCTTTGTGAAGATGTTGCTACTGTAGTGAACTTGCACGCCGTCTACAAGACCAAAAGGGACTACACTTTCATTCTTGACTATCTGCCTAAGGATCTCCACTCGGAAGTCGAGGTAAGCGGAAATTAAGGAGGATAGGGTTGCTAATTTAGGGCTCTTAGAAAGACGAGCCGATGAATGAAGCGGAAGTTATTCAAATCATTAGGGATCTGTTGAAGACGCTGAACTATTTGCATGAGAGACAGATTATTCACCTAGGTAAGGAGAAATTTGTTGATAATGGAAAATATTGAAGAAACTGTTTGCTGACCGTTTTCTTTCAGATCTGAAGCCAGAAAACATCCTGATCGACGAGGAAAAGAAAATCTATCTTTGCGACTTTGGCATGTCGAAAATGCTGGAAAATTCAAAAGAAACCTGCCGAGTTGCTGGAACGACCGAATACTGCTCTCCAGAACAGATTCAGTTCGAGCCGCTTTCTGCTGCTTCCGATATGTGGGCAGTTGGAGTCATCGCTTTCGTCTTGCTTTCCAAGACAAGTCCTTTCGAAAACGGCGAAAAGCACGAGACGCAAAATGCGGTGATCAACTGCATTTACGACTTTGAAGGGGAAGCCTGGTCTGACAGAAGTGCTCTCGCCAAAAGCTTTATTCAAACATTGCTGATTCGCGAACCAAAGGTAAATTTGCTTCAAAGATACAAAAAAAAGTGGCACAAAGGCGGGAAAAAAGGACAAGCGAAATTTTCAATTCGGTCAAATATTTGTTAGAAAAAATGCTTTTTCTAACAAAAATTTCGTAGAAACGAGCGAGCGCTTCTGAAGCTCTACTTCATCCTTGGCTCGAGTCTCCGGATAAAAACGGCGCAGAAATGGCTGCCCCACCGAAAATAGCTAGAAGATTGAGCAAACGATCATCTTCTGTTGCTCTTTTCGGGTTGAACGATATCAATCTGAATCGGTCACTCGATTCGGCCGTCCAAGAAGTGATCGAGCTCCCACCGAAAAAGATCAAAAGCGATAGGTAGCTAGCAATCCCCATTTGATGAATTTTCTTACAGCTTTTTTCAGCCAAGAGTGATCTGAATCGTCTTCAATAATCTACCTCCGTTTGTTTGTTCTTACTGTATCCATATCAGACATACAGTACTTCTAGTATCTACTCATACAGTTCAAAGTTCCGTTCGCTCTAGAATCTCCAACAACTGAAATCATCACCGACCGTACTTTCAAAAAGAAAATCTTCCAAATTCGTACTCAGAGACAACTTTAAAACGTACCCTGCCCGAATCAGTTTCCAAAAAATGACAAAATGACAACAACAAGGACTAACGCTTACTGATTTCAAGCAAAGACTCTTCAGAATGAGATGATAATTCAAAACCTAGTTGAAGATTTTTACCGTCAGCTAGATTTAACGAAACCAGTTCTCATATTATGCGGAATCGATGTGGATGCCATGGCGGCCACGCGCATCCTGATGGCCATGTTTCAAGCAGACCTTATTCAATATAGACTCAAGGTAATAAACACTCATTTCATTCCGTTTCTCAACCTCCTTTTAGCCAGTAAACACGAGACAAGCCCTGTGCCAAGCAATTTACGATGAGAAGGCGAAGATCGAGCAATTTGTGCTTCTCAACGTAGGCTCCACTGTAGAATTTTTCAATGTCGACCCAGATGGATTCGAATTCACCTCAGAAGATCAGAAACCGCTCTTTGGGGACGATGACAACCTCACTTTGTATATTATAGACTCACACAGACCTATCAATCTTCTTAAAAACGGATCTCAAAGAACTTATTTTTCCCCTAAATTTTTACTCTATTTTTCCAATTTCAAAGTTCATTTTGCGATCCTTAATCAGTGTTTTTTCCGACCTCTCGATGTCCAGTAGAATTTTTGTACATGTAGCTGAAGACGAAATCGAAAATATTCCCCTCCACGAAGACGTTTTCTCGTCCGACTCTGAAGATGAAAGTGGAGACGAAGGTTTGTCTCTTACTCTGCTACGTTTCTTCTTACTGTGTTTTCAAGATAATCTGATGGAACGCATGGCTCGCAGGACGGAGAAAGCCCAGCGTAGTGAAGCCAGACACGCACGAGTTGCGGAATACGAAGAGTACACATTTTGCGGCCCAAGTACGGCAATAACAGTATTCGGTAAGGATCGTCTTCAACTTTCATACTTGAATGTTGTGTTTCTTAGATCTTGCACAAAAACTTTCAAAAGACACAATCGCTTCCTTGTGGTGGGGAATCGTCGGAATCACGGATCAGTATGTCTCTGGCCGTGTTCGACCTGAACAGTATAAAACTAATGTATATAAATATATGCTTCATCAGCATACACAAAGGTAATCTGACAATCATCGCTTCTCTGACGAGCTTCGATTTTCTCAGACTTCAATCAAAAGCTGACGCAAATAATCGCGCTCAACTCCTGTTAGAACCACTGGAAGATCTTCAACTTCCTCTTTACAGACATTGGAACGTCAGCGAGGCCCTTACTCATTCACTCCCAGTTGCGTCAGGTACTCTTCCTTGCTTCCAACTCCCGCTCATTTCTTCCATAGCCATTAAAGTTTGGACCGGTTCCGGAACCCGCAAAATAAAAGAACTCGTTGCTCAAATTGGCCTTCCACTCACCCAAGCGGGAGAAAAGTATCACTACATGGAGGAGCGCTTCAAAACCGACTTTCCAAAGCAACTAGAGCAGAAAGCGCCGAATTTTGGAATCAAGAATCTCAAAGTGACAGCGTTCACGGCTCAGCGAGGATTTGGTTATAAATATACTGCTGCTGATACGGCCATTGCGATAAATGCTCTATTAGAATTGGTAAGAAAGACTGCGCTAGACTCATGATTATTTTCGGGCTTCTCTTAGACAAGTGGAGACGATTTAGTCAAAAACTTCGAAGAAGCTTTGGAAGCGCTTAGAACAGAGCAACCGACAATGTGCCGCATGCAAGACGGAATCGAACTCGCCAAGGGCCAGCTGCGCGCTATTCTAAACACGATAAACTCACAGATAGAAACGAATAATATAATCAACGCTGGACCGTTTTTGTACATGAACATGAAAGAAAGCCCAGACAATCACATGTTCGCCCATCCTGTCAGTATACGACTTCTCTGTAAGTTACAGTCAAAGACTCTTGTACTTACTCTTTCCAGCTGCGTATCTTCTCCACTCATTCTGCCGATCCCAGCCAAAACAGCGTCGTGAGAAAATCCGAGCTCTTCCCCTGGTTCTTGCGGCTCCTCGTGGAGAAACAGCGTAAGTGTTCAAATACAAATACTTGATGATCAAAATGAATTCAATTTTAGTCCTGGGAAAAAGCTTGTTTGCGGCTGCCCACCACTTGGCTCTACCTCAAATAAAAACCCCTTCGGAAAGGCATTCAAAGAAGCTGGCGCTCGCTCACAGGCACGAATCGACTACCAGTTTATGGGTAATTTTCAGCCACTTTTTAATAAGCATTTCATCTTGTTTTTAGACGATAGCTTACTCCAAATCGACACGGACGATTTTCTCAAGTTCATGGAAGCCCTCGTTGTAGAACTCTCGATGAACGACTAAAATGAAGAAGATCTAACTTATAGAAACGTCCTATCTTTCAACACATCCTCATATACATTCCACTCATCATCTTCGGTAGCATACTTTTACTAAATATTTTCCGAGCACTCTTTTTTTAATTTTTCGAAAAACGCAACTTTTGGAACACGGAGAATCTTTTCAATTGAAAAATTCATTTGAATTTACTTGTTGAAAACATTCTTTCTGATGACCATCCTGACCAGAGTTTGAAATTTTCGTGACTCGCGAGCGGCTCACTTGAGAGCGAGCGAGCACGAGCATGATGCTCTTTGTGCTCCCGAGCGCATTTATTTCAGAGTTCGCGCTCTTTGCGCTCGCGAGCGCATTTCATTTCGCGCTCTCGCTCTCTTGGCTCTCGAGCACTGGTCGAATTGTGCTCTCGCTCGATCGGCTCTCGAGCTGAAAAAACTGACTCGCGAGCAGCTTCCAAGGGCCTCAAATGATTCGGCGGCCCCGTGACTAATTCCATATGAGTCCCTGTCACAGGACTTAGCACCTCGCGGTGGGCATGTTTTATCTGTTTACTCTCGGCTTTTCGCATTCTGCTGCCGAGATTACGGACCTAATGAAGCTAACATAAAACTGAAAACACCAAAAATTGATCCTCAAAGAAATTTATTTATGAAAGTGAATAATTATGCGAAAAAATTATTCTTTTAATTTTGCTCGCGAGCCGCTCGTGAGTCAATTCCATGGCGAGCACGAGAGCAGCCGCTCCCGCTCGTCTAGCTCCCGAGCATTGTCGAGATATGCGCTCGTGCTCTCTGCGCTCGCGAGCGGGTTCAAATTTGGGCTCGTGCTCTTTTGGCTCTCGAGCCAACTCATTTTCATGCTCCCGCTCCCCTGCTCTCAGAGCAATGATAAATTTTTGCTCTCGCTCTTTTCGCTCGCGAGCATTTGCGAGCATTTCAAACTCTGATCCTGACTATCAAGCGTGAAAGGTAAAGTAAGTTATCTCTTCTTTGGACTCTTTTGTTCACTCAAGTCTTCCTTGATTTCACTTTATGAGTCCTTTTTTCTCGCTTTAGGCCTATGATTAGAATATTTAAATTACAGTCTTAATTAAATCTCATGCAATTAAAGTCTGTTCCCATCATTCCCAGATACCAAAATCATCTCAAAAAGAAAGGCCTCTCATACTGAATGCTCCCGGTCCGCCCAATCTTACAAATTGTTCTTCTCTTTTCCAAGAGATTTATCATTGTAAAGAAATACCAACCTTTTGCTGATCAAAAAAGCACCACTGCCACTTTTTACAAGTGAAACAATAAAATAAAGTTCCAAAGAAAATTTTGTCTTCATTTCCTTGCCTTCATTTTTTGAAGAAAAAAGAAAAGAAACGCGCTATATCTTTTCATTATCGATCATGAGCTTTTTGCCACTTGGAACTGTTTCTGCAGTGAACTAATCCCAATGTGCCATTCTCGCTCACGGACTCTTCCTTTCTCAGAATGCCTGCGCAGTACGCGATTTTGCACAAAGAGGAGAGTGCACATGAAGAGGGGATCTGGTGCGTCGCGTGGGCCACCGATCCGGAAAGCGGCGGCTTCGAGAGAATCGTCACGGGTGGCGCAGACGGTGTTGTTAAGGTTTGAACTCACAGCTTTTCGCATTAAAAATGAACGGCAGAGCTGGAAATGGGAGAACAACATGGTCATTCAAGAACACGCAATGACGGGCCACAATCTCGGAATCGTGGGAATCACTGCGAATGGCAAAAAAGCTGCTTCGGTGGGAATGGACGCGACGATCAGACTTTGGGATTTGGAGAGCGCCCAGGAACTGTCAATTATAGAAGGGACGCCGTCGAGCATGTGGTCGATCTGCTTTTCTCCTGATGGCACAAAAATCGCCACTGGCGCCACTGGAGCTGATGTCAAGGTGAATTTTGAATGATTTTCCTATTGAAGTAGCTTGTCATCTTCAGATTTACGACTCAGAAACATGCGAGGAAATCCAAACCGTTTCCGCTGGAGGCAAGTGCCCTTTTGTTCTCTCCCTCGCCTATTCTCCCGATGGGACGCTTCTTGCAATTGGTGGCATGGATGGCATTATAACGATCTTTTCAACTGAGAATTACGATACTTTCAATGTCATCGAGGGACATGCCATGCCAATCAGATCTATTGCGTTTTCATCAGATTCCCAATTCATGATGTCCGCTTCAGATGATGGTCATATCAAAGGTAAATATTCAAAAAGGTGGCAAAATCACAGCTCTTTTCAGTTTATGATGCAAGCCACAAGAATCTCGTCGGAACTCTTTCCGGCCATTCTGGCTGGGTGCTCTCCGTCGCCTTTGGCCCTGATAACACGGCAGTCTCCTGCAGCGCTGATAAGACAGTCAAAGTTTGGAATGTCGGAACTCGCCAGTGCCTGCACACTTTTCACGATCACACTGATATGGTTTGGTGCGCGAAATACGCATCTGACGGACAGACTGTCGCCACGGTCGGCGATGACTGCATCTTACATGTATTTGATTGCCCTGTATGAAAAGAACAAACAACTGCCAAGAAACCCGAAAATCGAACTGCTGAAAGAACACTTTCTTTTTCAGATTTCGATGCGGACGGACTGAAAAGGGATGAGTTCGGAAACGCAGTCTGGGACACTCGGGTTTTCAGGAGCCCAGTTGCTTTGTAAGAACAAGTGTGGTTTTTACGGCAACGAATCGTGGGAAGGATACTGTAGTCTTTGCTTCAAAAAGGCCAAGAAACAGGAAAGTGTTAAAATGAGCGATTCCACGGTGAGCCTCCTTTTGATTTTGGCTTATCACTCCTGATTCATAAAGAAAAAAAGGGAAAAAGATCGAATCAGTTCTTGAGAGTTTCGTTTTTCGAGTTTTTTCGGAAATCAAATGATTGTCTCTGACCGATCATAAGTCGTGAAAACTTGTGTCTTCGAAAACTTTTTTTTTTAATTTTCAAAATTGAAAAAATAACACCATGAAAAAGCAAGAAGAACAAAGAACGAAGCTCGACAGTCCCGAGAGTCCGAATTCGAAGTCGAGTTGGTTCGATTTCAGCGAAATCTCTTTATTTGGCGAGAAGAAAAAGACTCGTTTGTCCCTAACGAGCGCATTCAGGTATGAAACCGGTAGTGCCCTTTTGCACCTAATCTGCTAAAAATCCTAAAATCCGAGCAAAGAGAAAAAATGCTTGGAAGCGCCCGATCTTGCTCTTCTTTTGCCATTATTGATCAGAATGGCAGTTATATAACAAGCCATTTACCTTCTTGTAGCTCTGGCTCTGGCTCATCCCGTTCGCGATCGCCCGAGGCTGAGGCGACGGGCCCAAAAGCGGACCTCGTCTCACGCCAGTTGTTGACACTCGTGGACAAACAATCCGTCGAGTTTGTCGCCAAAACCAAAAAGAAAAACTTTGCTCCTGAAGAGTTCGGAGAGGTGATAACCTCCTTTTACGATGCTCTTGCTGATGCAATCAGAACCAAAGAGGATGATGATGAAACTGTGGCGACTTGCATGGATCGTGCAGAGGGGAATATAACCAGCGAAATCTATCATAAATTATTTGCACAGGAAGAAGATGAAGCGTTGGATATTGGTACTTTCTATTTTTATCATTTGAGGTCACTTGACCTTAATTTTTCAGATCTCCAGCGAAAGATACGGGCTCTTCACTGGGTCGGACCGGCCATGGTTGGCGCAAAACTAGACCGTGGTCTACCAGAAGTTCGACTTCTTATCGACGATGCAGTAACAAACTTTCTTCAAACAAATTCCACTGAACTACCTCGGTAATTTCTAAATCCCCTAAAATGGCCTTTTGGAACAGCGTTTTTAGCGAAAAACTCGAGCATTTGTCGGCCGCTTGCGACTGTATTATGAAATCACTGTCAATATCTACTGGCTCATCTCCTTCAGCGGATGATCTTCTCCCAGCGCTCATATTCCTCTTGTTGCATACTAATCCGCCACTGTTCAAGTCGAATTTGGCTCTTATCCGGCGCTTATCCCAACCTGAAAACCTTCGCAGGTAAGAAACTTTTCTTTCTATAGTCCAAAGTTCGACAAAGAGGATTCAAATCTTCATTATCATTTAGTGGAAAACTGGCCTATCATTACTGCTCTATTTGCTCAGCTGTGGGTTTTATTGAGCGAGGCATCAGCGAAACGGAACTCAATTTAACGAAGAGACAATTCGATCAGTTCCAGAAGAGCGAGGCAAGGCCGCCAGCTGCGTTGATGGATTTTGACTTCACGACGATGCGAAAGTCGGACAGAATCGTTGACATTTTCGACGTTGACGAGGATGAGGTCACATCTCCAGCGCTGGAAAGACTTCGGTAAAAAGAGGCGAATTTTTGGCGTTTTTTCTAGCACAAGTACAGTTAATTATGGAATTTCTGGACATTTTTTGTCGCACACTTTTCACAAAAATGTCCAGAAATTTGATACATAACCTTGAAAAAAATGTCCCACCACAATTGCTTAAAATTTTTCACGGAGGAAAAATAAACGTTTTTTTTTCAAAAAATTGATTAAGGGATCACCCCCCGATTTTTCAAAACTTTGGCACCAGTCATTATCGCCTATGATTAGATTCCTCGTGTTCTGAGGATCATTTTGATATATGATAGTACCCCTTTACATAAATGCATCCCCGAAATTTTGGCTCCGAAAGTTCGGGAAAATGCATGTAAATTGTACTTAGCGTGAAAATCGCAATTTTTTTCGATTTTTCATTGTAATCGTAATAAGACAAACAAGGGCTCTTTCGAAAGCTTAGAATGTGAAGATTACGAATATAATAACCGCACTAGAATTTTCGGCCAATTGTTGGCGCTAGAGAGCATTTAAGCACCCAAATAACGCCAAAAATGGTTTCAAAAGTTTTACAACTAGAATTATTTTATTCACTTATCCGATCATGCTGATTCTACCAAAAAATATAGATTAGCGTCTATACTTTTAGATAAACCAAAAAGATTTTGAATCCCAAAGCCCAAAAAAAAGTAGATACGATTTGAAAATGACCTAAAATGGCCATTTTTCAAAATGTTAATCACTTTGACGGCCTGTAATGCATAAGCGAATGTTTTGCTGGCAAGCTGATTCTACCAGAATTTGCTCCTTTCGAAGCGTACTTTCTAATGCGCCCAAAAACAGCTTCCTACGTAAGCTCAAAAAAATGTAGATGGAGGTCAAAGTTGGCGAAATCGGGGGGGGGATCCCTTAAAAACAATAATAAAGTGCGATGAAGCAGCGAATTTTGCTTAAAATACTAAGATTCTACAAGAAAAAGTCTTCTTCGTAAATAGAATAACCTTTCATAACTCAAATTTGACTATAAATTTCGGAGTCGAAAATCTTTTTTGAGAAAAAATGTCCAGAAATTTGATTCTTTTGCTTTTTAAAAGTGTCCCAATTAAACCCCTTAAAATTCGAAAAATGTCCAGAAATTTGATGTCCAGAAATTCCATAAAAAACTGTATAGGGAGAAAGTCTAACGAGTATTTCTAGCCTCCTGAAGCTGAAAAACGAAGAGTTCTTCAACAAAGCAAAGAAGATGAAAGAAGAACTGACGAGTTTCTCGATGCATGTGCAGCGCGAAGTGACTGACATCTCCGAAAAGTACTCCCTCTCTCCCGATCCATCCGAGCAATCCGAAAAGAATCCCCCATGACCAGCTGCTACTTCCTTTCTTCTCTCTCTTTTACCTTCTTTTTAATATTATCTATTCAAGAAAAATATACATATTCTGTCATAATATTTCTTCACAAAAAGATTAAACGATGTTGTTTCAAATAAAAAAGAAAAACGGAAAATCAAAAAGCCAAAATTCTCAAAAGAAAAATTCCTCCAGAATAGAATGACAGAAACGGCTCCAGAAAAAGTAGAAATCCTTCTCAGAGCAGTTGGCGATGCGCCAGTGTTGAAAAAGAACAAATTCAAATTGAATAGAACGCAGAAAATTGCATTCGTTTCCGATTTCTTGCGAAAAGCGACGAAATGCGAAGGAGATGAACGTATTTTTCTGGTGAGATTTTTCACTATCACGTTTTCTTAGAATTTTCAGTACATTCATCAAGCTTTCTCGCCAACAATGGACTCACCAATTGGAACGCTCTTTGATAACCACGCTAGGCCCGGTTCTATACTCGCAGAATCTCTAGAATAAGGCATTATTTACTTTCTAAAAAGGAGAATATCCTCAGTTATAAGAAATCTTCTGGTAAGAAAGGGCGTGATTTTCAAGAAAATTTTCCATTATTTTTAACGAAATAGAACCGAAAAAGTGACAACAAACTTGTTGTCCATTACAGTAAGACTCCTGCTTGGGGATGATTATTCACATAGCCACTGAAAAAGAATCTTTCCTACAAAGGCCCATCTGTACATTAATTCAATGGAAATAATCAAAATTCAAATTTCTTCATTCAAATTTCCGATTCATTTTGATTGAATTTTCGCTTTTTTCAGACATCATGGGGCGCGATGAGGGCGGAAAAAGCGACATGGAACGAGTCGGCCTCTTCTCTGAGGTCGGCTACACGACGCTCGGGGACAAGTACCCAAAAGTCCACCCCAGCTCGCGACCTATAAATCAGACGGCTCACAAAGGGAAACAAATGTTGCCCGGTGGGAGCAAGACAATGTAAGTCATTAGCGTCTATTTACGAGAAAATGATTAAAATTTTTTATGATCAGGTCCGCCAACCAGAGCGGCTACTTTGAGCCCAACTTCAAGCGAATAATGGAAAAGGAAGCTTACATTGATCCGGTGAAACTGAGGCGTCAGGAGCGACTGCAGAAGGGAAAGAAGAACATTGGAAAGTCCTTCCTCCCTTCCAACTATCCTAAGAGTACGTTTCTTCGCCCTTAATTCTAGCGCTCACGAATCTCTTCAGAACCTTCCGGAGCTGGAAATCATTACGGAACCTTGTCTGGTCCAATCGAGCATTTCTCCGCGCAGACAAAGCCAAAAGCCGCGTACATCAAGGAGAAGAAAAATTTCCTCACCAATCCTAGCAAGCACGGAACTGGATATGGGTATTTGCTCTTCTTGAACTTTTCTTATAATTCTACCTTTTAGCTACGTCGGAGTGACGCTCGGAAAGTATCAAGACCACGCTGTGGATCCGTATAATCGAATGAAGGAGCTCAAAAGAAAGGAAATGGAAAAAAGCAAGGCGCTCATGAAGGGAGGCCATTTCAAAGTAAGAGTTTTCTTCTCTGTCTCTGATTGTTAAAACTATTTTAGCTCAACCTTCATCCAAAAACTTATTTCAATCCAAATATTTTCAAAGCTGACCGACCGCTACCTCCACCGAAACCAGCTTCAGTTAAGCCACCAGCAGTGAAGCCATTCAAGCACTCGTCGCCTGGAAAAGCACTTGGCGGATCCAAGGCAGGATGTTTCGACAATTATCCTTCCCACTCGAACGATCTTTACACCATCAAGGTAAATCCCCGTCAATTAATTCGATTTCGAAGCGTCGTAAAACTTTTATTTTTAGCAAAATAAAAAAGTCACAGTGAACTCGTCTGGAAAGCTCTTTCACGCCATTCCTGGGCCAAAGTCACGCCCAACCCCGTCCATCATGGCAAAGAACGTCGCAGTGAGGGTGAATAGAAACAACTACAAAACAATCAAGAGCGTTATGTAACTGTTCATCCCTATCTGTTTGCGTCGGACACTGTAAAATCACCGAGATTCCGTATATATTTTTTTCTAATAAAACAAGTTTATTTTTTTATAAAAAAAAGAGAAAAATGTTCTTTACACTAGATTGAGTGGTTGTAAAGAAAAATATAAAAAGAGAAAATGGACATGGATATTGATATGGAAATTGAGGGAGTTGATGAAAGAGAACAAGATGGTGAGTTTAGCCCTAAGTTTGAGGGTTAAAATGGCTTAGAAATCGTCGATTGTGGTGACTATGATTGTGACGTGCCGATGAAAGAAGGCGACACGCGCGAAACCGAGCTCAACCACAAACTCATATCCAACTACAAGGTGCTATTGGCTTCGTTTTAAGATGTTCCTTACCCTGTTCATAGGCTTCAGTACAAGACTTTGCCCTATTGAAGACCTTGGGAAAAGGTGGATATGGAAAAGTAATTCTCGTCAGAAAACGAAACGAGCCAGACAAAGGGAAGCTTTTTGCGATGAAATCGTTGAAAAAAGCGACCATCGTCACAAATCAGAAGGACACGGTTCATACCAAGGCCGAAAGAAACATTCTAGGTTAGAAACACTCGATGGAAAGTGAGAGATAAATCGTGTTTTTCAGAGCAAGTGACGCATCCATTCATCGTCGAGCTTCGATACGCCTTCCAAACGAACGGAAAGTTGTATCTCATCCTTGAGTACTGCCAAGGTGGCGAGTTGTTCATGCTCATGGAGCGTCAGGGCAACTTTCTCGAGCCCATGGCCAAGTTCTACCTCGCGCAGATCACCCTCGCACTTGGCCATCTTCATTCGCTAGGTATCGTCAAAGAGCAAATAGAGACAAAAACAGGAAGGGGAAGTGTCGGGAAGACTCTCCAGAGCATGTTGGTCTGATAGACTCCCTCTTTCGCGTGTTTATTAGTATTTCGTGACGCTCACGATTTGCGTAAAAAAGACACATTTGAGCATGGGAATTTATAATTAATTTTAGGAATCGTCTACAGAGATCTCAAGCCGGAGAATATCCTGCTTGACAAAACTGGCAACATCAAGATCACGGATTTCGGCCTCTGCAAAGAATCTGTCTTCGATGAGGACACGACAAACACATTCTGTGGCACTATCGAGTACATGGCTCCAGAGGTAATCATCAGACGAGGTCACAATAGAAGTGCTGACTGGTGGTCTGTAGGTGTCGTAATGTACGTTGTTGTTTTGTTGTCCGTTCTGTACTTATCGCTATAAATGTAGGTATGACATGTTGAATGGCGGCCCTCCATTCACCGGAAGGGACAGAAATGAGGCGAAGAAAGCTGTCTGCAGGGGGAAATTGAAGCTAAAGAGGCAAGTACTTTCTAGCGCTTTTAAAATGTCAGCAATGACAGCAGTGGCAGATGTTCACAAATTTTAACAAGCGCCAATTCATTTTGATGCGACACTACTTTACTTATTCTGTAGTTACTTCACGTTGAACGCGAGAGATCTGATGAAAGGCCTTCTGAATAGACAACCAGCAAATCGACTCGGAGCGGGGCCGAACGATTATCTCGACATAAAAGTAATTCAATCTCAGTTTAAGTCTTTGAGAATCTAATACACAATCAAGGGACATCCTTGGTTTGCGGAAATTGACTGGGCAAAATTACTGGCGCGGCAACTCGAGCCGCCATATGTGCCACAACTTCGCAGCGAGGATGATACTCAATTATTCGATGAGCTTTTTACGCGAGAGCCGGCGCTCGACTCGCCCAGTCAGTCAAGGATTCAAAATGCAACTTATATCAATAATGAGCCGCTCTCTTCATGCCTTTCCTTTTTTTTTGAATCCATGTCTAGACGCCCTTGAGCATGACCCATGCAGACGCGTTCGCCGGCTTCACATACACCCGTAAGTCTAGACTAGTAGATAAGATAAGGAAAAAAGAAGATCTTTTTTAAGCCGATTAGCCAATTCTCACCGTTCTATTTTTCCTAGACCCATCGATTATGTCAGAGTTGACCAGTGAGCAGAAAGTATCGAATGTTATGGAAAAGGATCGACGAAGGATCAAGATGAGAGACGAAAAGCCAGTCGAGTACACCGCATCGGCAAGTTACTCGTTTTCAGTTGAACAGGGAGGTTTCAATGAGTCCCTAAAGGAGTCCCCCAAAGATCAAGCTCAAGTAGGAAATGGTGGCGACAAGAAATGCAGCATCTGTTGAAACCTATGATCAGAATTCCGGCATCAATATCAAACGATAATTGAGCATATAATTATAAATAGTAATATTTCTTTTTGTATTGTATGGGGCTATAATTATCTGGTTAAGTGCGCGCTAATTTATTTTGTATTTTAATAATCACAAATTTTTATTAAAACCTCCGCTATTTTTTTTCAATTTTTATTATCTGGTGCGTCAGATCTCACCATTCGCAAGTGCTAGGGTTTTCGTAACGTAGTATTTCCTCTACACATTCCAAATAGAGTTCCCAATCATTTATCATTATTTTCGTTATTTACTACTGATAACCTGAAAAGGCAATAGCAGATCAGTCAGCTACAGACCGGCTTGACGTGCCTTTGCCTTGCTGAAACTGTTGTTGTATCGCAAAATTATCCCGTTTTATAAAATTCAATTATGAGTTACTATTTTCATTTATGATTGACGAACAATATCGTACTGTATGTGAACTTGTGTATCTAATCAATAATAATTATCTACTGTATTTTTATTCCGAAGGCATGTGAGTATGACTTCAAAGTTAGCTCTTTCTCCTTTACTACCGCTATTAGTCTGTTATGAAAACTTTATATTTTTTGTTGGTATCTTGCTACTGGATATATTTTTGACCAAAAACCGCCATACTGTTCTATGAAAACAAATATTAATAGGCTTTACTAATTATGATGCAACCCTCTGTCTGCAACTACAGAATACCAGTATCGTGAATTGAATTTGATAATTCTTCCGATCGAAAATCGTGTTGACTTTTCATTTTTCCAAGATTAAAAATGGATGGGGATTTGGACGGAATTAACGACGGGCCTGCGGAAGATGAGACAGAGTTGCTCGACCCGGGCGAAATGAACACTGACGATGTTCACATGCGAGAGAGCGAGATTCAGACAGAAACTCTTGAACTCCGCTACAAGGTATTTTCTTCCATGATTTCAAGGGGGTAACTTCTTCTGAAGGCGAAGGAAGATGACTTTCAAAAGCTCAAACTCCTCGGCCAAGGCGGATACGGACAAGTCTTTCTGGTCAAGAAGAAGCACTCGCCGCATGAGGGCAAGGTCTTTGCGATGAAAGTTTTGCGAAAGGCGAAAATTGTCTCAAGCGAAAAAGATACTGCTCACACAAAATCAGAAAGAAACATTTTAGGTTTGAGGGTTCCCTCTATCCTTTCCCAATTTAACAAAAATTTAGGGAAAATAAATCACCCGTTTATTGTCAATCTTCACTATGCATTCCAAACCAGTGGGAAATTATTCCTTGTCTTAGAATACGTCCAGGGCGGCGAAATTTTTATGATGTTAGGAACGGCTTTTATATTGGAGTCTCCAATTTGGAGAGCCCCTAAAGTTTCTCTGGATAGTTTGAAAGCTTGGAAAAAGAAAATAAAGGGCTCTTACCCGAATCAGAAGTAAAACTTTATCTTGGCCAAATCACGCTCGCGCTGGGGCACCTGCACGAAGTCGGCATTATCTTCAGAGACTTGAAACCAGAAAATATTCTTATCGGAGCCGATGGACATGTTAAACTTATTGACTTTGGCCTGTGCAAGGAGCGCGGGAGCAATGACGAGAAAACCTTTACTTACTGTGGAACTATTGAGTATATGGCGCCGGAAGTTATAACGAAACAAGGCCATGATCAGTGTAAGTTTTGTTTATTATAAAAAGAGTTTTCTTCCTTGATATCAATTTCATTTTACTTGAACAGAAACGACTAGCAATCTTTGAAAAGTAGTCTCATTCTTCTTCGTTTATTTCTTTGAATAATTTTAAAAGCACGTGAGTTTCTCGCATTTCCGACAACCTCAGGTCGGATATTATTGATCGGAAGCGAGCAACATTCGCAACAAAGAACGAAAAAGGGAATTAAAACAGAAACTCTCATGAAATACATTTACTAAAATTTGAAAATTGTCTCTCGCTGAAGTATTAATCTACGTCGATAAGAGCACTGGTCATTTCTCAATAGTGAAATTCCATCTGACGTTTAGGAAAATTTTATCAATTGCCTCTTACGCGCCTCCATGAAACACCCCGTAACGTTTTGCTTCAGCTGCTGACTGGTGGAGTTTAGGAACCCTAATGTATGATATGTTAACTGGGTCGCCTCCATTTTGCGCGGATAGCAGGAGAGAAACGACGAGAATGGTCCTTCACGGGCGCATCTCACTTCCTCATCATTTATCGGCGGAAGCGAAGGACCTTCTCAAAAATCTCCTAAAACGAAATAGCGTATCTCGTTTAGGAGCGGGTTCAGATGATGCCAAAGAAGTCCAGGTAATCATCTATCCTTTGTATTCAGCCTCTAACTTGCCTTTTTCAGAGACACAGCTGGTTCAGAGACATAGACTGGGACAAATTATTTAACAAAGAACTTCCAATGCCTTATATTCCAGAAATCACGAGTATAGAAGATGTATCAAACTTTGATCCTACGTTCACCGAGAGGCCAATTCACGCAGAGTCACCTTCTTTTACCCCTCTAAATATGAAACAAGACCCTTTTACCGGTTTCACTTTTACTGGTTCGTTACTTTTAAACGAACCTTTATTACCAAAAATTTCAGAAGAGCTTCCCGAATCTTTTTACCGCGTCGATAAAGGGTTGGAATTTATCAGTGAAAGAGAAAGGAGGAGAAGGTTACAACAGGAAAGGTCAATGAAAGTTCCACAGGAAAGCAAAGACTTAGCATTTTAGTTTCAGCGGGCTTTTCATGATCACTTTCAGTTAAGCTAATTTAATATTCCTTATGCGCATTTATCCTCAATTAACATCGAGCCTATCCGCGCTGCAAGCCGCCTCGATGGTCAACGGACTCTGTCTTCTGTTTGCTTGAAAGTTAACTTTAAATAATGTGAACGCTTTAGCCTGATCTCCTTTCAACTTTAATTTGTTCGTATTTTTCTTGTCTGATAAACAGCTCAGAAAAAGAAACGCCCCTAAAATAATCTAATTTAAGAATTTGATCAAAATGGCAAAATCTCTTCGCTCCAAGCGCATGAGAAGAAATCGGGCTTACAGAGCTCAGAAGACAGGCCCAAGGGTGCTGAAACGAATGGTCGACAGTCTCGAAAAGGCAAAGGTCTTTAATGTGAGTCTTCCTTCCTATCAGTCGGGATTTTATACAGTTCAGGAAGCACGAGAGGCGGAGAAACTGAAAGAAGGCGGAGTCGAGATGGAAGATGTCACAGAGCAACCAGAAAAGAGCGGAGACGCAGAAATGGTCGACCCAAACAAAAGCTCGATGTCGAAACAGGATTGAACAAAGATGGATCCAAGGTGAGTGCCAAATTTATCGATTTGTTTTTGAACGAAAGCTATTAAGCCCGTTTGGATGAACCAGCGACAGTTTAAAAAGCTCACGAAGGCGAAGAAATCAGCGGGAAAGAAGACGAACAAGTTTGGATTGGTTTTGGAAGGACTCGGCCCAAGGAAGAAGTTCTTGGCTGACAAGAAGAAAAGCTGGAAGGGAAAGAATTGATCTGCCTGAGAGACTCGACTGTACTCTTGAAATAAATGAAGCTCTGAATTTGTCCTATCTATTTTCTTTGTCACTAGAATGTCTGGAAAAGTTCCCCGAAACGAGTTGAGCAGCTTATTAGACTATTTTACAGACGCAAAAACTACAAAATTCGGACATGGAGCGTCATATGATCAGCTCGATAAAATCACAGAATTGCAGCTATCAATTCATAAACAGCACTACGGTAGAAAGAAATGAGAGTTTCTGATGGTACCAATCGCTTTAGAAATCGACAGCGATAATCCGAAGAAAGATAAACTGTGCTGCAGCACAGATGAGCTGGAAAAAGTCAACGAAATCTTCAACAAAATGAAAAACATCAGTGACAAAATTTCTTCTCTGTAAAACTAGTCGTCAATTCCTGTATCTGTACATAAAGAATATGCATTTATCGATTACTCTCAATTTTATTCCTCAAGAAAGATCTTATGAATGCCTCCCCGATTGAAAATCCGGATTGTCAGTTGTAGACGTTTCAAAACGTATGATTCACTCGAAGAAAAATTCCGAAAAGACTTGCATGTCCGTTCAAGAAGGTAAAAAATAAGTCCCGAGCGGTCGATCAAGATCTTTAGCAAGATAAACAAGCTGTATGTTTTTGCCCTCGCTGCGCCAGCTTGCTTTATTTGGGACGCGTCGAACATTTACAGAAGTTTGAATGACCAATTTCACGAAAAACTGGAGTACATTTTGGAGGACGCAAAGACGAAAACAGAGAGTCAATATAAAAAACTCCTCGTGATGTACTGGCACACTAGGTAAGCCCGAGAGATCCTTCATTTCATAAGTTTTTCCTCTTCATGCCAGTCTTGGCTAATCGGATTTTCCTTCAGCTTCGAGAATGGAATTTCTCCTACAAATAACCACCCCTTCGATATTTATACGTTCTACCCCCTGACCACGCCGTGTGCAGCCCTGGTGTACGCCGGATTACGCGACATTTCCCTTCGTCTTGCTCTCGAAATCGCCATTCTCAGCCATGCGGCAAAACGGGGCGATTCCATCCCACTTGGTTCTTTCTGGAAATCGCGATTCATGTCCAGTATTGCCTGCAATACAGTAAAACGAAATCTAAATATGTCCTGGAGTCCCCCGAACGAGCATAGTGGCAAATATTTCTACCATAACATCGTTATCGCAAATTTAAAGAAGCTCCGAGCAAATTACCCTCGATATTCAATCCGCTTCTTTTCCCTCTTGGCTCTTTGCGGAACCTTCGTCGCATCAACTTGCTATCAGTTTATTCAAATTGCCAAGAAACAACAGCTAGAATACCTAAACACCGTTTTCAAAGAAGATGCGTTCAAAGATTTCAAATTTGAAGAACTCGATAGTTACGCCATGCAAAATATCATCATCAACATTCTCGACAACAACCCTGAAATCTTTCACAACAAGAAACAAGTGCTATCGTATTATGTTGGCCTCCTGACACAAAATAATACAGACCCGCTTTATTCCAGAAGTTGGTTGCCTTTCTCGCCCCTCATATCGGTAAGATCATTTGAGTCCTCCGTTTCTCTAATTGTTCAATTTTCAGCTTCAATATTTATTCAACGACCTGGAATTAAGAGTGGGACCATGTCCAAAAGTCAGTACTTTACTTGGTGACTTCTTATTCTACCAAGGGATCAAGTATCCTTCTTTTTCGCCTCTGTATCCTTACCTGAACAACGATGATGCCGTTCTCAGATCTGTTCTGTTACGACAGAAATACTCAATTAGCGAGTAAAGCTCCTCTTCACTGATCTCTTTAAGAATTATCGAATCGGAAGGAAAAGCTCATCATGTGATGAAAATATATACTCATTTCTTACTTATCATCAAATGAAGAACAATATGATTTTTAGCAGTGTCAGACCCTATAAACTTATAGAGAACTGTTTAAAACAATGAATGCGCTACTTGTTGATCTATTTTTGCCGCCTCATCATTTTTCAAAATGCTCTGCTTTCTTTTCTGATCTCTAGATCTATTCTGAAAACAGCCTCAATTAAATATTTTCAATAGAACCGTGAGACTAAATTCGTTGCAACCATGGGCCAGGGAGAATCGAGACAGAACCGCGACAAGGATAAAGATAAGGAGAAAAAGAAGTTTGAAGGTACTTTATTGATAGTTTTTCGAAGTTTCTGATCATATTCTTCAGCTCCTATCCCAACTCGAGTAGGCAAGAAGAAGCGAGTAAAAGGACCAGATACTGTTAACAAGCTTCCAACAGTCACTCCTTACACCAAATGCCGACTTCGTCTGTTGAAGTCTGAGCGTATCAAGGATTTCTTGCTAATGGAAGAAGAATACATCAAGGTAAAATTATTCCGATTTCCGCTTTGAACTCATATCTTCTTAGAACCAAGAGCGAATGAATCCTCAAGAAGACAAGAACGAGGAAGAACGCTCCAAGATCGAAGAGGTCCGAGGCTCTCCCATGGCCGTCGGTTCGCTCGAGGAAATTATCGACGAAAACCACGCCATCGTCTCGACTTCGGTCGGCTCTGAGCACTACGTCAATATCTACTCCTTCGTGGACAAGGATCAGCTCGAGCCTGGCTGCACGGTTCTCATGAATCACAAGGTCCATGCTGTCGTGGGCGTCCTCAGCGACGATACTGATCCACTAGTTTCAGTGATGAAGCTGGAAAAGGCGCCAACAGAGACCTACGCAGATATTGGTGGTTTGGATCAACAGATTACAGAAATCAAGGTAACGAGAACATGATCCCATTTGAAATAACCAACTCTCTAGGAATCTGTCGAACTCCCATTGACGCATCCCGAGTACTACGAAGAAATGGGCATCAAGCCGCCCAAGGGAGTTATTCTCTACGGTCCCCCTGGAACCGGAAAGACCCTCCTTGCCAAAGCCGTAGCTAATCAAACCTCTGCCACTTTCCTCCGCGTCGTCGGTTCTGAACTTATCCAGAAATATCTCGGTGACGGTCCCAAGCTCGTTCGAGAACTTTTCCGGGTCGCAGAAGATAACGCTCCATCGATCGTTTTTATGGATGAAATCGACGCTGTTGGTATGAAGCGATATGACTCGAACTCCGGCGGAGAGCGTGAAATTCAAAGGTGACTTCTTTCTTTTTTATATCTGTTATTAAAATAATGCTAGAACAATGCTCGAGCTTCTCAACCAGCTCGACGGTTTCGACTCACGCGGTGACGTCAAGGTGATTATGGCAACAAACAGAATCGACGCGCTCGACCCTGCGCTCATCCGACCTGGCCGTATTGACAGAAAGATCGAGTTCCCACTCCCAGATGTGAAAACCAAAAAGCGCATCTTCAACATTCACACCACAAAGATGACGCTTGCCGATGACGTCAACTTGGAAGAGTATTACAACTCGAAAGAGGAGCTCTCTGGTGCTGATATCAAGGTACTCTTCCATGATTCCAAAATTTTCTAAAACTATTAGGCCATCTGTACTGAAGCGGGTCTTCTCGCTCTTCGTGAGCGAAGAATGAAGGTTTGCAACGAAGACTTCAAGAAATCAAAGGACAACGTTCTCTACCGAAAGAAAGAAGGTGTCCCAGAAGGCCTCTACTTGTAAACGAATCCTCAATCTTTGGCACTCTTACATGTTCAATGACTTTTTCCCTTCTTCTGTCGCAGCTAGTTTGAATTCCGTTATTATTCTTGCTCTAGAATTAAAGATATCTCAATGAGTTTGGTTGTTTATATATTTGAAAGATGGGTTTTCTTTTGAAGTTTTTGAGTGGCGCAATTAGAGTTTTATCTTTTGTTTTTTCTAAGAATGAGCTCTTCAGAAGGAACCGATCGTTGATGACCTCGAATCAAATCAACTTTCAGGGTATAGTGGATAAAACCAGCTCGGCGCAAGAAAACCCTCACCTCAATATCGTTAAAGAAAAGTAAGAAATTCATTTTTCCGCCTTTTTGGAACGCACATTTTAGAGCTCGGGCAGCAGTGAAGGATCATATATCGCTTATTCAAGGAACTTTTCTCACTGGAAAATATCGCGAGGGACTAAGATCGTCATACAGAAACTTTGCCGATTGTGACAAGATATTTACGCGGCTGGAGAATCGGACGAATCGACTCCAGCGAAACTTAAAAGCTTCGGAAAAGCAGGAAAAGATCATCTGCTCAGGACTCTCTGCCGTACCCACCATTCAGGTGCTCGGTTTTCGCACTGTAACAATTTTTTTAATAATTTACCGTCTAGGCAAATATCGCCGCTGCCCAATCTCACTTCAAATAACTACCTGAACTACTCTGCCCCTATCATGTCATCCGCGAATGAAAAGATTGCCTCTTCACTGGGCAAAGAAATCATAAAAATTATTCATCTCAACGGGAATTTCCTCATTTTTGATCCACCATCCATCATAAGTTGTATGAAGATCAATATTCACGTTGATCTAATTGGCCCGTGTCCGCGACTGCTTGTTTCTGAAAAGGTACGGCATTAGCTCTTGCTAATAGCAGCCGCCTAATTAGCTGATTGTAATTAAGACGGGTCTCCCAGGCCTCCTAACGCCCTACCAGGCAAGCATTCTCCTCCCCTCTCCAAATGTGGAAGTTTTTGATGGCAAAGAGGAACTCGATTCTGTTTTGGGATTGACTGCGTTTTTTATTGCTTTCTCACTTAGGCACATTGAACGTGTCTTTGGGCGCTAGAATGAATACGTGACAATCCCTCTTACTGAGCAGCTAGTCGATTTCGAAGACAAGTTCTATCTGCAGCTAGAGCGCCATGTGAAGAAATCGCACTTGGAAATTGCCGCCAGGAAATGATGATTAAAATATTATTTGTAAAAAATAAAGATAAAAGTGTTTGATATCAGAATCGAGTTATGGCCAAAAAGTGGATATTCCCGCGGCGCTAGAAATACTGACCGAGGTGAAACCCTCCGATCGCCGTTGGAGAGTCAACTTTCTCGATCATGGATCGCTGTTGAAAAATACTAACGACGGCAGTAAATGCTCTCGCTTGCCGGAGATCAAAGGGCTCGACGCAGTGAAAGACAAGTGTCACCGTTATTTATGGGAATGCGGTTATTATCTCACCAGTGGCATGAAGTACGGCTGCGATTGGCTTGCGTACGAGCATCCGCCAGATCTCGTCCACGCCGAGTTCATCGTATCCGTCCTCGACGTCGACAATAAGGTAAAGTGAATGACTCATTCCACGTTCTTGAGCACTTGTTAACAGCTTTTCTGAGCCGTGTTTATGAGCGCGAAGAGTAACAGTATTTAGCTGCGCTCCTCTGAGAAGGGTTGGACGAGCTTGAAAGGGATTAAGAAAAATTTATGAGACATCAGCGTCCAACTCTGGCGTTGACATAGCTGCCAGATCACGCATCGCCACGAAGAGCAAGAAGAAATGGCTGCTTCTTAGTGTTGTTAATGTCATGGCTTTCAGATTTGTTAATCTTTTATGAAACTTATCAATTTGGATCATAGTCATTTTTAATGTCAATTATTAATTGGTTAGCAATTGAAACCCATTCACAGATCGCGTAGAAGGCTCCGTGATTAGCTGGGACCACCGTCGATATTAGGAACTGGCGCTGCCCAGCCCTGAGGCATGTGCATCTTCATTACCGCCGCAGCAGTGCTACTATCGCTAAATGTATTTGCCGAGTGAATCACGGCCAGTCTCCCTCTCCCCATTTTTTTCGTTATATCACCCCTGTGCAGGCCACAATCACTCTTTTCAAAAATGCCTTTTTCATTCACAAAAAATATTTGAAACTAAAACAAAATAAAAGAACGATTGAAAAATGCATACTGAAGATTACGAATAGAGAAATTTTATGTTCCGAGATGACCCTTGTTTAGTTTTTAAAACTTTAAATGAAGAGAAAATTGACGAAGATTGGGTTGAAAATTTATGGGGATAAGGTTGAAGATTTGTCATTTTGTAAAAATATTTTGAGTTATAAACCTTTGAAGAAAACACAATTGTAAAAAAAACTTTAAAGATGGGCCATTTTGTGTTTATGACCAACAATCGAAAACTCGGCAGAAAGAGCCTGAGCCTCGATGGTCTGTGCCTCTTTGTGTGGGTCTCTCTCGCTCTCTCTCTCGTTCAGAGCGCGCAGAGATAAAGAAAACAACTCCGCAAAGAATACGTTTTGAATATGAATAGTGGCGATAGTTTTTATTCCTCTGAATGAGGCCTAATTGATACGTTAATGATGAAATTTTATGCTCCGCGTTTCTTCTATTGACCCTAAAAACGGCAAGTTTCTTATTTTTTCCTCGCGAGAAAATTACTGTTGAAAAATGGGCATTGATCTTGCTCCTTGACCTTTTTTCACAAGGTTTACTACCCTCGCTCCCCGGAGGCATGTGTACCCTAATCTTACGTGGATACTTTTCCATAGATTTTCTTGAAAGAGAAGCTTGCAATTCTTTTTTTGACTCCCATGTATAGGTCAGCGAAAAATTTTGTTTGACTTGGGCACACACGCGTTCCGCTAAATTTGCAGATGTCAAGAGAGTGATTTTGCATGAGCTTTTTACGGTATAAAATTTTTTCTTCCTATCGACATGTTGTTTATGAAATACGCTCCTGGTTAGGAATATTTAGTAAAACCAGCGTTAGATGATAATATGACTCTAGCAATCAGTCAATCACTTTTGACTAAAGTTCATCTCCCATGCCGTTATCACCCGATTAGTGCGCTGCGTGGCTCCCCTTACGCACAGCCCTATTTTTTTATATTTTTGACAAGGCAGCCGTTTATTACATTTTTGAACATGATATCATGTAGAATGTCAAGAGTGTCACAGCGTAAATATCGCTTTTACGAGCCGCTTTCTTTGACAACAAGGAAGACTCATCCTGAGGGTTTCTTAGAATTGGAATCGGGATTATCCAGCTTCGGGCGCAGCCTCAGGCGCTTTCTTTTTTCACACCGCCGCGGGGCGGAATTAAATCTCGCCTAGTTGCCAAAAGCGCCCTTCTGAAAAACTTTTTCTTATATGATTTTTTTTATTCTGAGAGAGAAAAATAGAGGCTAATTGGATTCTGCGTTCAGAGTGAAATGAAATAAAGGAATATGCGTTTGTCGAGAAAACAACCACGATGAGTTTGACGATCGACCACTCAAGGCAAGAAAACGGTCGCGAAAAGCGTCAAGAGCAGCTTGCGAGATGGGACGAGAGCCAAACTGCTACTAGTAAGAATGATTTTTATAGAATTTTTATGAATAATTCTCAGTATCTGATGACCGAGCTGCTTATCGCGGAGGCCCGAGCAAGATCAAGTTCGGGTCAGGCGCAATTTTCCTCTCAGCCTGTCAGGCCGGCGACTACGAAGAAATCGAGGCCGTTCTGAGAGACAATGATGACATCACTATCAACTACGCTAATTCGGACGGTTTGACCGCGCTCCATTCTGCCACCATTGATGGAAATGTCAAAATGGTCAAGTACCTCATCTCAAAAGGCGCTGATATTAACGTGCAAGGTACCATTAATTTCATTCTGGTTTTTGGAAACAAGGAAGACGGAGAATCAGAAGTTGATCGTTCTTTTAGATCATGAAGGCTGGTCCTGTCTGCACGCGGCCGCGTCTTGCGGTTACGTAGAAATTGCCAAAATCCTGGTCGAAAACAAGATCGACCTTCTTCCGGTGACATCCGAAGGCGAGCTAGCGCAGGACGTTGCCGCCGAGGACAATCCGAAAATGAAAAAGTACCTCGACGAGCTGTATGCCTCAATCGACACCGAAGCCGAGCACAACAAGGAAGAGCAGCTTATGTTCCACGATGCCTCGCAATTCTACCACTATTATAAAAAATTCAATAAGGTCTACGAGCCAGAGCCAATCGATCCCAGTACGAAGGCAGGACCTCTTCATGTCGCTGCTGCAAAAGGTACTAAAGATCCTTTCTGAACAACTGTAATCTGGCTTTCAGGCTATCTTACTGTAATAAAGCTACTCCTCGAAGCTGGTTTCTCCCCTCACAAGCAAGACGCCGATGGATGGACCCCGCTCCACGCAGCGTGTCATTGGGAGCAACAAGAGGTAGCTACAGTCGTGATGTTTCAAGGAGTAAGACCTTTTTTAGGCGGCAGAATACCTGGCCGCGTATGGCGCTAATTTCAACATTCGAAACTCGCTCGGCCAGCGTCCTATCGACGTCCTGACTGCGCAGAAACTCATTCCCAAGATTCGCGATTTGGGCAAAAACAGACCAAAGCGCGAATCACTCCCTGAACTTCCTGAGCTACCTCCTTTCAGTTTGCCTGAACCTCAACCGGAGGTAACTTTCCTCGATCAATGTCGATTTTAATTTATTCTAGCCTACCCCCGCGACTCCCGAGCCAGAACCAACGACCTCAAAGACCCTCCCAAGCCGCACTATTGAGCAGCCGAAAAGGGAACCGGAGCAGAACTCCGCTAGCGATAGCCCGAAAAAGCCAAAAGTGGGCTTTGCCAATTTGGATAAAGAGCAGCGAGCTGATAGCCCGTGGGATGTGAAGCTCAAACAGAACTCAAATGCGACCGCCTCGCCTTCGGTGAAAAAACGCGAAAAATATGGCGTCCAGGATGACAGTATCAGTGTCAAAGATAGCTTCAGACAATTTGAGACCTCTGGGTAAGCCATTCTAGTAGAAGACTCCGCTAACCTTTTTGTAGCAAAGAAATTCGTCGTACGAAACGAGTCTCATCGACTGTTGAAAATCCCGATTCCGATCAGCGTCACACAGGCCAAACGCCCATTCCAGGTCTTCTCAATGAAGTTGAACGAAGCCACAAGGCCAAGAACAAGCGTAAAACACGCCAGGCTACAACCGGTGTTACTCTAGACGTGTACAAGCAAGCAAAGGAACTGGCGGAGAAGTCAATGAAGAAGAATCAAACAGAGACTAAATCTTCGACGAGTTTTGACAGAAATACTGATCGTATGTTTTCATTATCAAGAACTGCCCCTTTTAACAAAAATTCTAGCTGTTTCTTTTCCGAGCGGATACATTCCAAGTGATCAGCGCACGGAGCAGCCGTCCATCAATGCCTTGCTGAATCCAAACATTGCGAAGCAAGAGATGCTCAGAAAAATGCTCGCCAAAAAGACAGATTCGAAGAAATCTCCGTCAGAGACAAAGAAATCCATAGTCCCTTCAGTCGATTCCAGTGAAAGTTCAAATACAACTTCTTTGCCTGCTGGAAGATCTTCAAGGTAAACAATCTTAGATATTTTCGTCTGATCTTAAAAATAATTCTAGTGATTCAACTCATTCCGCAGCGACTCGCAAGACCTCATCGGAAACAACAAAGAACAACCTCGAAGCACCAGCTCCATCAGCCAGGACGAGAACGACATCCGAAACCCGCCGCAACTCGGACATGGAGTTCCCCCAGCATCTGAGTCGCATCCGCAGCCCTGTGCCGGACAAAAACGTGAGTACGGTAGAGATACTGGACAAGCCACGGAGGTGCAGCAAAATGGCCTCGCAGTTGATAGAAAGGATACGCATGGAAAGTGCGAGTCTGAATACGAGTCTTCCCGGACAGGCAAGATCGATGTAAAAGTCGAAAAACCGCGCATGTTCGTATCGTATTTTTTGTCCCTGTGTTTGAAAGTTTTGCTGGAATGGAGGATAACTTTGAACTCAGGAGGATGCCGAGGTTGATTACAAGTCAAAGTACGAGGATTTGAAACGCAAGCTCGAAGAGCAAGCCCGACGAATCCAAACCCTAGAAGCAGAAAAAGCGGATCTGGCGAAAGACAAAGCCACTTTATCTGAAAAACTCAGCAATATGCAGCTCAACGGTAAGCAAATATAGATTCGGCAACCTTTTATCGGTTTTAGGTTCGTACGACTCAGAAACCGAGCGGCTGGAGAATCTAAAGCTAAAGCAAGAAAACGCAGCATTGATAAGAATTATCGCCAAGGTGTCGAAGTAGACGCCAAAAATAGACCTTCACTTACTTTTTTTTCTTCTGTTCATGGTTTCAATGCATCAAAAAGACTCTATCAAACTTTAATTTATGACAAGAAAAATTCAAAATTCTCTGTACAATACACCAATGAATAACGCCCCAGAAACATGTTGATCAGTATATTTAAAAGAGACGATATTAAAACAAAAGTTCACGCAAAAAGTAAAACTCGAGATTGTAATTAAAAATTATGACAAGCACGTATTTTTTCTGTAATTTTCATTCTCCTTGTTGATTTCCAAGAAAACCGCACACGAAAATCACCATGAAATAAGGCACACTCACACGCTTTTTAGTATGTATAAAAATTCTCAACTCTTTTTCTGCATTTTACATATTTTTTATCTGCAAAACCACTTTATTAACACGAACCATCCAACTTTGGTCTAACAGAAAAGCATAAATCTCACGATTAAAAATTAATAGAATGAACAAATTTGCAAAACTACTGCTTGTGATAGCAACTACTGTCGGCCTTCAACTCTCGCTTCTTGGTGCGCTTTCTACTCTTTCTTGGGGAGCTTCGAACTTTCTAGCGTTTTGGGTTTTTCTTGCTGTTCTTGCCCAAGTCATCAAGGTAATGAAGGAGCCAAGAAATGAGAACTCAACGATTTCTACTGTAGCAAACCATCGGGTTCGAAAAATGCATAGAAGCAGTCAAATCCGTCTACCGAGAAGATAAAGCTGTTGAGAATTCAAAAACAAAGAAAGAAAACTGAAATGTATCAAAGTCAATCTTGCCATTTACCTTACCTATCGTATCTTCAATCTATTCCAAGTTGTAACACTGATTTCTATCAATAAACATATTTTTATAAAACCCAAAAAAGAGGGTTCAAAATGTGAATCTTTCTTTGAAACCGATTTCTTGTTGGCATGGCAGGTTTATGTCTATTTAAAAGTCTCGTAAAAGAGTCCTTGAAAAGGGTGGAGGAGCGTAAAATCTCGAGATCAAATTTTGATAGCCTCAATCTTGGATCGTTTTGATTGACTGCAGCGTGACATCTTTTCCCGCCGAGTGCTTTTCAGAGTGGCCCGAAGTAGGCCATAAGGTGAGTACCGTGGCGGGGGCATGAAACCGTAATTTTCGAGTCCACTGGGTTCTGACGCGTCTTTCATCAATGTCATCTCATTTCTGGGAAGGGGATGGTTCGGATTCGTTTGAGGTGCTTCCGGTTTTGAATGGAAGATTCGTGCAAATGATGGGAACCGGGGAAGATCTGTCGTTGGTTCCCTTTTTATATGGATTTTTAAATTGAAATTGACCATAAAAGAGGGAAAAAAGATGAAGGGACCGCCCTTAATAATGACCGTAACGTTAAATTGAGAAAATATTGAGATCCAGTCATGAGAAAAAGAACTGATAATTATCATTGATTAGGGAAATTAGGCCCTTTTAATCGATTTAGAAAGGCCTGCTAACGGTTGAAACTTGGTATTCTTATCTAGAAGAAATTATCTAATTATAATCCTCTTTTTATCGGATTCGGTTAGGTCCTCATCCGTCAACGTCTTTCGCCTGGTGGCGCGCCAGGCTCCTCCCCACTTCGCGCGGATATAAATAGCGAGTGGTGCGCGCTCTTTTTTCAAAAACAGTACAACAGATAAACGAATAACAACGATAGAAAAGAGAACCGAGAGTAAAAACGACAAGATCACAAGATGGTTTGGGGGACGGTTGAAAGCGTCATCACCAAAGCTCTCCACTACAGTACTCCTCTGAGTTACGCCTGGTTGTTTCTTCTCTTCACTTTCAGGTCCTTCATCGTTGCCGTCGTTGGTGGATCTGTCTACGGAGATGAAAGCGTAAGTTTAACTAAGAAAATGAATAACAATAAGACTGAGTTTTTCAGGGCAATTTCAAATGCGATACAAATCAGCCCGGTTGTCAAAACGTTTGCTTCAACCGATTTTCCCCAATCTCGCACATGCGCTTCTGGGCCTTTCAGTTGCTCTTCGTTTGCCTGCCGACAATCATCTTCATGGGTTTCGCTCAATTCGAGCTGGCAAAAGTCAACATGATCAAAAAACAAAAAGAAGAAGAACAAGTGAAGCAAACATCTAACGTAAGTCTTCCTTGATTTCAGCGATGAGATCTAACTTCCCATTTTCAGAGCGAATATTACAACAGCGCATCATACTGGTCAAACAAAAAGAAGCTGGATAAAAAGAGCGCGCGATATGGCGTCGATAAGCTGAAGAAAAAAACCACGGTCGCGAAAGAAGGAGTCGTTGATGTCGCTTGGACGCCACGAATCCGCACGATCTTCATTGTGCACTTGATCGCGCGGTTCGGCATGGAATGTCTCTTCATCTACCTTTCCTATCTTCTCCAGCAGCAGCAGAGCAAGAAAACAGGCCTCTCCGCCATGTGGGTTCCCGAAAAGTACGAATGTACTCATGGAGAATTCGAGACAAACTCTGCTTGCTCTCAGAATACACTCATCCCCTGCTGGGTCAGCCGCCCCTGGGAGAAGACAATTTTCATGCTTTACATGACCATCGTAAGTTTCAATGTTTTCAAAAACACTGCTCTCAAGAACCGCAAGAGAGCTACAAAACTTGATAATAGCCAAGAACGCTGTTCAGACTGGTCTTTGCAACGATCATCGACCGAACAATAAATTTTCAGTCTTTTCAAAAATTTAAATTATTTATTCGCGGTTCGAAAATGCTTATTGTGGTGTTTAGATTTCCGTCATTTCCGCCATCATCTGTGTCGTGGAATTCATCTACGTCCTGACTAGAACTACGCGAAAATCCCTTCAACGCCGAGCTCACCGAAACGTCGAAAAGAAACAGCTTATGCAAGGCAATGGCAAAACTGGAAATGGCTCGATTGTCTCTGAATCGACTAACGGACCAGCTGGCTACCCGAAATTGCCAAAAGATGAGAAGGAGCTCGAAGCGATGGAAGGCGCGATTTCAGAAGAATGCGAGCTGGAAGCTGAGGATCCTCCAAGCTACAAGACTGACGAAGAACGAGAGGCGCTCACTGCCTAAATAATCTGTATAAATATCGACACACTCTTCGAATCATCCCTTTCCCAATCGTTCCAAACTGTACAAAGCCAAAATTACCCCCTCAACGATCACCATCCTTTCAAAATAAACGACTACGAGAAATAACTCGATCATTATCAAATGAATAATATGTTATTAATTGCAGACGAATTCAAGGCAAAAATGTTTTCAAAGGAACATTCGGATGATTTTTTTCTCGTGGATCTCAAATCCGCAGTGGCAGTAGAATTTTCTCCTCCTCGCTTAAAAATTTTTAACCATGATGCAAGTCTCATTTCTTACCTTCTCGTTGACGAGCGAATTCCATCTTCATGCAAGTCCAGCAACATCCGTGACCGCAGCTGTGCGAGTATCGCGCTCGTTTTCCGTCGTCGTAGTATCTGAAGTGTTTTTCGATGAATACAGTATTCAGAATACTGATAAAGAACTTACTCGAAGCAGATTTGACACGTCAAGAATCTATCCAGTTGTTCTTTCAGTGAGCAGTTCTCTTCTTTTTTGGGGTCATCGACCGGAGATGATGAAGGTGAAGATGAGCTCTCTCCCAGCTCACTTTCTTCGGATTCTTTCTCTGACAAACTTATTTCCTTTAAATCTTCAACTAACGAAACGATTTCACTGGTGTTCGTTTCCCCATTCGATTTGTCTTGATTTCCTACTGTATTCCAGTCTGCTTCGTGGCCATCATCAAGTTCGAGCTAAATTATTATAAAAATTTGTAAAAATGATGTATTTACTTCTCCGGATACCATGTCGCTTTCGCCTCTGTTCCTTGAAGGGTCGTTCTGAACATCGCCTTGCTTGGTTTTCGAAGTTGTTTTGTTCGAAAGTTTGCTGTTTTGTTTCTTCTCTTTCTTTGCTTTCTTTGGCTTATTGCTGCGAGTTTGTTTCTTCTCTCGCGCTTTTCTGTCTTCTTCGTCGACCCAGTCAGGCATTTCAAATCGGTCAGGGAGCTGCTCCATCCTGTCAAAGACAAACGGAGGGTCGAACCTAAACTTGCCATCCTTGTAAACCAATCGTCGCTTCCTATCTTTTCTAGGTTTTTCTTGCTCCCAAACCCAGCCACATTTCTTAGAATATCCAGAAGTATCCTCCTCTCCTGTATTTTTCTCAGTGATGGCGACTGTAAAAAGAAGCCAGTGTGCGACTTGCCGTTTGCTCCTTTTCGAAATGTCAATCGAAACTTCTATAAAAAAAATGCAGTTATACGGACTGCCCGACGAAATTTCTCTGCTGCTAGTTATTTACCTTCCTCGTCGTCAGCATGAGGAATCAAAAGCCTCTGGCGCTTGCCATCAGGACTAATGAGAAAAAACAATTTCGCATTTTGGCATCTATTTTCCAGAAACTGGTCGATTATCCCAGTTTGACAGTGTTTCTCTACGTGTGAGCAGCGTTCTGGTATCTTCAAGGAAATTGGATCGAACTGCTGAACAACGACCAGCTTCATTATAAACCGACTGGTGCTCAAGGTTATGTTGCTCTCTTGGAGACATTCGTTCATCTTTTCTTCTCCGTAAAAAGTCATTTTCTCGAGAAAAAGGGAAATTAATAATGACTGTTTGAGTACCAACTTGGAACTGATGGTAGCGATTACACTTGTAGGCGGCTTCTTTTAGGTGTCGTGTCCTAATTCAAGGTAACATTCGCGTGGTAATAGACAAAACTTGTCTTTATTACCATAATAAACCGAGTCTAAAATGTGCAAAAGGGCTCATATTATTTTGAGTCAAAATGCTTCTAGATACCTCGGTAACTCGGCGTCTATGCAGCTCTTGAGAGCTTTTTTCTCTGAGGTCCAAAAAATGAACACAGAAAAAGCGACTTCCCGAAAACGCAAGAGCGAATCTTCCTCAGACTCCGGTCTTTTGAATTCGAAACGATGGTCGATCGAAAACGAAGACAAGGAGTCCGAGGAGAAGAGGGAAATTGAGTACATGGCCGATGACGAGTTCGAAAGCGAAGATGAGCTTCAATACGATTTCAGAAAGCTCCGCGAAGGGATGAAGAAGAAACAAGCACTCAAGGAATTCAAGGATTTGGTCAAACAAATCAAAACGACAAAAATCTGAAATGAAGAAAAACACCCTCAAAAACAAGCCTTTTTCAAGGCTACTAATCAACTAAACTGTACTTTTCTCCATCGTTGATAGTGTCATTCACTGAATGAACGAATTGATACTGTAAGACTTATTTTCATAATCGTTACTGTATCATTTCTACAATCGATTTTCTGAGCATTTTCAGTCGAAAACTGAAGATTTTGAGCAGTAAAATTGCTGTTATCGACGAATATACGAGATAATACTGTAATTACTAATAAGCCTCGTTGGGATGGTATTATTGAGATTGCTACTGTAAGTTTTTCTTCTTTCAAATTGACTTTCCTTCGATTTGACCTTGAGAAAACAGGTCAGAAACGACCTGACTTTCAATCTAGAAAAAACAACTTTTCCAGAGCCAAAGTTAGGTCTGGCAAATGAGTAATTGTGTTGTTTTGAGTTGTGCATCTTTCCGTAGGTTTCTGGGGTGTCCCCTTCTGCTGCTTTGATTAGTTCTTTGCGAGCTCGTCGATTCTGGTTGGAGCCAGTTGCCAGAGCAGAAATCGACACCGTCCATACACGTGCGTTCTCAAACGCGCCCGCGCTCGCTTTCAAACTCGAAAAAGCACACAACTCAACTCCCAACTCGCAAGAGAGACAGAAACACCTCCCCTGCTTCACTCTACCTTCAGTTCAAAAACACCCTTTTCTTTATTTTCGAAGAAAAAAAAGAAGGAACAAAAAGATGACCCGAAACGGAGGCGCGCGAAAAGCGAAAGAGGTTATTAAAATTATCACTTTTTTATTGATAAAAAATTATAACTAAAATAACGAAAATTTTTTAAAACAAAATTAATTAAAAAGTATAAAGAACCAGAAATAAGAGAAAAAAAACCTGAAATTTGAAAACCGGTTTTAACTAGTTTTTTCGATGAGAGCACGTGTTTTCGAGTCGAAATGGACAAAAGAAGAATTTCTCATTTTTCGACTCGAAAAGCTGAGTTGGATTCCGTTTTCCGCTTCTCAAATCGATTAGTTTTTTATCTATACCATTTGGTATCTTCTTTAGTAAATTATTGATCCGTGAATTTATTTCCACTTTTTTAGACGAATTTCAATTGAACTTTTGCTTTTCAGGCTGCACCTGCCAAGCCTGCTGGAAAGCCAAAGCGACCACTTTCTGCTTTCTTCCTCTTCGCTGCCGACCACCGACCTCAGGTCCGAAAAGACCTCGAAAAGAACGCCAAGGAGGGCGTCAAGGTCCGAGTTGGCGACATCTCCAAGAAGATCGGAGTCATGTGGAAGGCCGTCGACGAAGAAACCAAGGCCAAGTACCAGGTGAGCCGCTAATTCCGTCCTTATCCCCTACTTATGCCAAGTCTGTGACTTTTTTGAAAAGTTCTTTTTTAGAAAAAAGCCGACGAGGAGAAATCCAAGTACCAGGACGCCCTTGCCAAGTTCAACGTAAGTAAAAACACTCTGACGTACTAGATAGTTCTCAAAAGCCGGCTTTTCGGGTGATAACTTGATAAGCCGACGATTTCATAAAGATAATTGGACATCTTGCCACTTATATTCGAAATAAAAACGATACGCCAGCAGTAAACGTTCAATTATCTTTATGAAATCGCCAGCTTATTATTCTGAAAAGCTCCCTTTCCAACATTTCCCAACATGAATATAATTTTCCATTTTCAGGCGAAACAGGACGAACCTGCTGCCGCCGCCGAGGAGTAAACTTCTCGTCAACTTTTGCTCTTCTGTGCGCTCCCTGACCAACGAATTCGCGCTGCCCTCAAAAACATCGCGCAGAAAAAAACGCGCACGGTCTACTTCTCCTGCTGGTTCTGATCATCGCTAGACCAGTCTTTTCTTATTCTACTGCCATTTTCAAAAGTGTGCCACAAAAAACGATCCCTTCATTTTTACAAATGATCATTTTCAATCCCAACTATTCTGATTCGTCTTTCATGTTCACCAGCTTCATTCATTTGACGATGGCGATTTTGAAAGATGGATTAAGAACTTCGTACAATCTCGTCCTTCCCGGCCACTTTCACTGTTTTAGTACGATTCCCTCAAATTATTACTAGTATTTTATGACTGCACTCTGACAGTTCCGATTTTCTAAATTGTTCCAAATACAAATTAACGCCTCAGGGACCTTTTTTCTCGTCGATTTTTGACATCAACAAGGACTAACCAGTGTCAAGGACCTCTAAAAGTTCATCAGCAGGCTGGAATAGCGCTAGAATGAATCAGAGGAAGCAGTAGACGTATATTTGAGAAAGGAATCATTTGAGTGGACTCAGATCATTTCTGCATGAAAAGCGGCAAATATTTGCAAAAGTTGCGTGGATGTGTGTTCTACAGAATCTACACCCAGTCTCGCGACTTGCTAACGACAGAGATAACTAACAAGAGAAACGGAAAAGAATGGGCACGGTATGTTTTCAAAGGATATTTCGAAGCTCCTGTTCTGAAAAACGGTTGTATTCAGGAAAACGACATTCCAATCGCTGGAGCTGCTCCTCCACCAACTTACTCTGCTGCTACAGGTGCTCCAGCACCAGCTCAGCAGCCACAGATAATTTATGTCCAGCAGGGAGCACCACCACCTCCGCAGCAGGAAAGATTTCAACGAAAAAATAACGACTTTTCGCAAAGTTTTGTTGAAACCAAAATAAGGTTCTCGTTGTCGACCCTTACGGAAATCCAGCTGGAGTACAGACGCGCCACTGTAATTCATGCCAGTCTTCGGTAACGAATCATAATTGATACTATATCCAAATGTATATTAATTTATTATTTTGATTTTTCCTAAAATTCTCTTCAGCAACAAGTAATTTACCGCCCCGGTTACACTCCAGGAACGATCCTTTGTTGCATATTTTTCCCGATCTGCGGCTGGATCATGTGCTGCCAAAGTATGGCTGCAGAAGGTCATTACTGTGTCCGATGCGGAGCGAAAGTCTTCTAAGAAAATTCTCACATGATTCGTACTGTATCTTTTGTAACTGAAAATAAATGAAAGTCAAGAAACTGGAAGATCGTCTGACAGTACGAACAGAAGTGACTGAATAAATTCCATTCTTCTGGGCGCCAAGACTGGATAAACCGCTGATACTTCCTTTTTAGACAAAGCCTGTATTGTCCCGCCAGACTTTACAACTGGTCAATTTCCAACTAAACTAAAACCCAGAATGAGAAATTGATATCTTCCTCGCTCTTTCCGGGGTTTTTTCAAAACAGATGTTCCCACAAATTTTCACAGTTTTTCCAGCTTTTTTAAAATGCGATTAGCCGCACTAGCTGCCACAAGTTGAGCCTAAGCCGCGAGTTGCCGTAGTTACTCGACTAGAGATAATCTTCAATTTCCAGGTTTTCTTTTTTGGAGGCAAGAAAAAAGGTATAAACAAAATTGAAAAATTGGCGGAAGGAAAGTTTCTGACAGTGCCAAAAATTGAGATTCTGTTAGGAAGAGTTTACACTCGGCCTGTCAAAGATAAACCCGGCCATGTCATGTCAAATTGCGATGTCAGTCTCCTTCGATTTGTGATGTTGCGAATGTTAAAATTTCAACAAATTTTGCGGAAAAATTTTGACCAAAGTTTTTTTTCATAAAAAAAAGAAAAAGAGAAAAATGCGAAACGATTTTAAAAATTGAGCTGTTGAAATTTTGAGAAATTTCTATCGATCACGTGAGTGTCAAGTTCTAGCGCGGCTTTCTTTTAAGGTGCGTATTTGGCGCTAAATTCCTTGTCACTTGAAGTACCTTGCGGTTTTCCCCACTACAATAGCGGCTCTAATTCGTCATTTTTCTGTCACCAGATCTATCACACTGCACGGGCCATAAAAACAGAAACTCCGTTTTTTCGGTTTTCCTCTTTTTCCGGCGCCTTCTTTTATCTAGCACTTTATTACTTTTTAATCGACGAATAAATTCCTTTTCTTTAACCCAAAATCGTCCTGAACCATTTTTCTGGTCGCGCGCTTTTTGGGTGGTCGAGAACTTGATTCAGAAAGTAATAAATAAAGTTCAAAAAGAGACACTATTTATAGAAAAGCGCTAACGTTAAAAATGTATCGATTCATTTAGTTAATGATTCAAGTTCGGCTTGTTTTCAATTAATGATCATCACGTCCGAGAATCAATCATTTTGTCAAGATCAATCTTTGTATTCGCGCATAATTGAGATTAATTTAACAATTTTTTTTTTGAAAAACTTTGGTGATTTTGAATCTTTCAGAGATTTTTCTGACCGTTTCAAAAAAAGTTTTTTTTTATAAAATTATTCTCGCTTTAGTAAACCCTAACCCTAACCCCAACTCTAACAACTGCAGTATTTTGAGATTTGTAGGAATTGAGACGTGTTCTCAATTTTGTCTGGCAATCAGTTGATTAGTCTAAGACAAAACTGATAAACTCAGCTAATTTCGCCTTGTTGCATTTCCCCCAGGTCAGTTCTGAACAAATTCATTAAAATAAGCAGTATTTGAATTAATCAAAAAAGCCCGGCAACATAAATTCTCAGAGAAGAGGTGCAGTAAAAACCCAGTGTTGAGGAATGAGCATCAAACCCTGCCTTCGACCTTGAACCTCAGCTGGGCGGTGCTAGATTAATTACGCCGTGCGGCCGCTAGAAGTGCCACACTCTCGTTTTCTTCATGTTTTTTTGGGAAGTAAAAAGGTTTTATTTTTAGAGAATTCCCGGAAATCCGATTTTTTCCAAAGAAAAACCCACTATTTCTAAAAAAACCTAAATGATAGAATTTTTTTTTCTTTTCTTTTATGTCATTTATCATATAAAAATAAGGGTATCAAAACCTAACCCTAAAATTGAAGTCTTGAATAAAAAATTGAGCGTTTTTTAATGATAATTTATTATTTAAATAAAATAAAACAAATTTCTTCAATAAAAAAGCTCAATAAAACGATCTCGTAATCATTTTTCCCTCAATTAAATTCGCTTAACAATTAACTTTGCCATGAACTCAGATCAATGTTTTGGATGCCTTTGCATTGTAAAAACATTATTGTCGTTAAATTTTAACCTTTAGACTCTGTCAGAGATTAGAACGGATTCGCGAGATTCATTTCTTTTTTCTGATTCTAATTTCTACCAAACGAGCTGCGAAAAAATGAAGGAAAGAAAGCAAATTAATTTTTTGGAAGATTTGTGGGAAGAGAGAAAATAGAGAGGGAAAGAACGACGGGATTATCCAGTGTTCAAGTTGCCAAAATAAATGATTCGTTTCGGGCGGGAAAGGGACGGGCATCCGGAGCCGGAGTTTTTGGCCTTCGATTTTTTGAAGTTTTTGAATTTTTTTTTTAATTTTTTTGTTATAAAATTTCACCCCATTTCTCTCCCCTGTTTCCTCAGGCTGCGTGCCAAGAAAAATGACAAGTTCCAAATGATGCGCCGCCAGATCAAAGAGAAAACAACTGAAGATGCATCAATTTTTTTTCGTTCAAATTTGAGATTTCGCCTTTTAGAATGAGAGAAAAAAATTGAGCAAAAACAAGAAAATGTGGAGAAAAGGGACGATACTTTGGCTGCTCTTTCTCCAGGTAAGATTTTTTTTGTTAAAAGTTAACATCATTAAAACAGCGAAAAAAATGACAATTCTGACAAGTGGTTGTTTAACTGGTCACGTGCCAAAAGTACACCCGTTTAATGTTTTTTGATCAAGCCGTAAATTAACTCTACGACGTGACTTGCTTTGATAAGCGGAAAACACGCTCCATAGAGGCTTAAAATAGTTAATAGTGAGAAAATATTGCCAGATCAAACAACTAAACAACAACATTAAACATTTCTGCTGAGACTTAATAATCAAGGCTGCTTCAAGTTGTCATATGAAAGTCAAGCCCCAAAATCAGCTTTCAAATCTGCCGGTAGCGACGCATTAAGGGTGTCAACATCGATATTGAAGTTTGATCAACACTTCTTCTTTCTTTTTTCACTTCAGAAAAAAAAGAAGAAAGTGTCTAAGCGGCAAAATAGTTAAGAGCTTCCGGCCATGAAGATCGGGTTCACACTTTGCCCGACAAAAGGTGATTTAGCGCCAGTTAAAAAGCTTCCGTTCCCCCCTCCGTTTGACATAAAAATCGCGAATTCGCAAGAAGTTACTTCGGTACTCATTTTCAATTAGCATTTCAGCTCGCTGCTGCGCGGAGAAGAGAGCCAAGTCCAACTCGCTGGGTCTCGAGCCACATTCGTCGACAGTTCAAAAAGCTGGAGAGGCGACTCGACGAGTCTGACCTCAAGTTTGAGCAGCAAATGGCGCAGAAAGACAGCGAAATCAAATTGCTCAAGGATTCGCTTGACAAACTCGTTCAAAGCTCAAAAGTCCAGGTTCTCTCATCCTCTCTCTTTTCCCCTCTTCACTTCTTTTAGGACGAAACAATTAGTATATTCACAATTCGATTATCTGATGCTTCCGATACAATCACAAACCAGGACTTGGAAATTCTATCCTTGAAGAACAGACTCGTCCAATTAGAAAACTATTACAACTTCGACCTGACAACTTTTGCCTCCAGTTCTGCTTCGAATTCAGCAGCTTCGGCAAATGATGTCGCTAGATTAGAAGAATTGATCGAGAACAAGGAGAAATCCTTTGTCAAAACTATCTTAGGAAAGAGATTCAACGAGAACTTTGATGAGAAAATATCTTAATGCTTATTTATTACGTCTAAATCTTTTCTCAGAATTATACTCCGACCTGGGACGCCATTCTGACCAGCTTGCCTTCCCAGTTGACCGAAGCAGACTGCCGAGAATTGCCCTGAAGTCAAGGAGGAAATCGCTGATTTCAGAGACCGATGTCAGTAGCAGTTCCGATGCGAGAATTCTCCTCATCGGTGGCATTTCAAAGTACGAGGACGAAATTCACACACCTTTTGAAACCCGTCGAAAAAGCTCGTTCATCAGAAGAGATTATGTGTTTTCTATGGATCCGCTTATAAACTCGACGGTTATGACTCATTCCTTACCAGAAGCGAGGTAAAAATTTTGAAAAAAAGGGCTGATTTTAGGCGGTTTTCAGAGCTTATCATTGCAGCGTTCTACTAGAAAATCGAGTCTACGTCCTGGGCGGGGAAGGGATCGACAAAAAGATACTGAACTCAATGCTGGTCCTGACAGACTGGGGATGGGACAGAGCCAAAGAAATGAATCTTGAGAGAAAGCGCCTTTCTTGCGCCGTGTTTCGCGAGCGCATTTGGGCTTGTGGCGGCACAATGACGTACCACCGGAGGAAGGAAGCTACCTCCAGCCGCACATCTGCCATTACAATTCCTCATAAAACTTGCGAAAGCTATCACCCACAGGTTTTGCTTCTTGGCCCTCTTTCCAGACATCTTTTTAGAGTCAATAAATTTTTTTACTTCAGGACGGTTGGCGGGAAGAAGCTTCGATGCGGCAAGGGAGGCAGTGTGCTACTGCTTCTGTCACTTCTCATGGTTAGTTCAATATCTAATTGTCTTATCAATACTGTAAGGTCTGTACATAATTGGCGGAGGAGACGAGTTGCACAGTGAAGATCCTGAAAGTGTTGACATGATCGAGACTTTTTCGGACAATTTCGTCCGAGGACCCGAGCCCCTTCAAATGAGACAATCAGTTGGGTCTGCTTCTGTTTCCGTTTACGACAGTATATTTTTGCTCGGTGGTTGGTCTCAAATAACGAAACAGTATCTCTACGATGTTCTGGTTTTATATCCACATAATAAAGATCAATGGAAGAAGATTGGGGTGCTTCAGAGCAAACACTACGGCTTCGGGTATTTTTTCAGTGAAATCAAGGAAGAGAATCACTTTTTCAGTGCTGTTTTCCATGGAGGTCTGATCTACGTTCTTGGCGGACGGGACGAAGGAACATCTGATGAAGTGTTTCCCGTCTCGATCGAGCTTCTTTCCGCAGAAGAGCCACTGATAAAAACTTCTGCAATTGAAATTTCTCATCCGACAGGTTCAGACCGTTCCTTCCAAGTCAAATACCACTCTGTCACTGCATTCATCCCTTGATAAACAACTCAAAAGTCATCGGACTAAAACTACTTATAAATGCCAAAGAAAACTTCGTTACCTTTCCGGTAAGAATAGATTCAAAAGAAGAAATTCTTATTCATCATAAAATTTTCAGAAAAGCGAAAAACACAACTCTTCAAAGAAAACGAAACGACTAGAATTGAGTTTCACAAATATCAAAATTTGAACCGTCTTGCCTTTTGTCCACTGTACGTAATAAAATATGTTAATAAATATTTAAAGAGGACTACACAAAGAATATAAAAATATATTTATTCGAAATAATAAAATACAAAAATTAATGATCTCCGGCATGATCAGCAGCGTAGGAAGGATGTGGAAGGAGGTGGCCTCCTTTTCGAGTGAGGCGGATGATCTCGTCCTTGAGCAGGTTGATTTCGTTCTCTTGCTCTTGGATGATTTCGCGAGTTTCACGTCGGTAAGCTTCGTCCCTAATTCGCTGCTCGTCCAAATGTTGTGGTCGAGTATCTTAAAAAGGTTGGAGGGTGATTGGAAGAGGAAATTTACCGGAAGTAGCAATGTCCAGGTCAAATTTAAGCTTGTAATCTTCGCCTTTCATCATTGTTATTTGAGCAATTCGATCTGTGTTCTCCTTGACATGAACGGCGAGTTCTTCCCGGAGCGCTAGAATCTTCTTGTCCATTTCCAGTTCCTCTCGGGCCAGGTTGATTTCATTCTGTTGGTTCACTCGCTGGCCTGAAAAGGAAATAAAAATCAGAAACTCTCAATCATGTCACCTTCTTCAACTGCTCTGGGAACAGTAACCATGGCCAAGGAGTCGATATCGACAATTCGACCAAACTTGAGCATCATCGCTTGATTGCACTTTTCGTCCAGAGCTTTGACCTGATTGACGATGTCCTTGTTTCCCTTGACCAAATGGACGTGTTGTTGCTTCGCTTTTCGGTACTTGAGCTTTTCGTTTTCTTTCTCGCCCATAAGTTCTTCAATTCGGGTTGACAACCGGTTCATTTTTTCGGACGGAACCACGAGTCCTTGTTTCACAGGGAACTTTTCAAAGTCTTGTTCTATCAAAATCTGGGACATTTCCAGCGGCACTACGACCCACAATTCGTTGAGTTTTCCTTGCTTTTCCTGTTGGAAAGCGTCTAAATCTTCCATGGACGACTTTAGCTGGTTGTTGAAAAGCTTGATTTTCTTGGACAGGGCGTCGTGTTCTTTTCGCAAACTCTCTGAAGCTTTTTTCGCGTCTTGATGATCATCTTCAATCGCGCATCGATGTGCTCGGAGGAGAATCGTCTTGTCAAACTGCTCCTGATCGCAGTTTGCCGGGCAGACGGTGTCATCGAAAGGTTCCGCGTCAGAGTCCTCGTCGGAGTAGTCCTCGTCATCGTCGTCCGAATCAGAGTCCGAGTCGCTTCCAGAGCCGTCGTTGTTGCTCTGGGTCGCACGCTTGATTTTCTTTTTGTAAACTTTTGTCAAGTAGTTTTCGAACTTGTTGTTTTCGCCGATCAGTCGCTGGAAATCCGAAAGGCAGTCCTTTTCCTTCGCAGCGAGTTTTTCAACCTCTTTCCGCTTCGAATCAAGGCGAGCTTTGACTTGAGAAGCGCGGGCCGAGGCCTCGTCGATTTCTGCTTCTTTCTTTTCTACTCGCTCGAGGATGGCATTTTCTCGCTTTTCAAAGTCCTTGAGGAGGATCAGCTCTTGATGAAGAGTGTCTAATCGGAGCTCAGCCAGGACCAGATCCTCGTCAAGACGAGCTTTGAACACGTAGAGCGTTCGGACATCCTTGTCAAAGTTTGAAATTCGCTTTGCTGCTTTTTCTAGAGCCTGGTCGCGTTCAAATCGACTGATGACGATCTTTCTCGTGAGTTCTGCTTGTTCAAACTCCGTGAGAGCTTTTGCTTCGCCGGATCCTCGGCCGGAGCGATCAATAAGCTGAGTTTTCGAAGAGACTCCGATTGATTGAGCTAGAGCTTGAGCTGAGCGCGCTCGCCCGAGACCAGTGTCGCTTGGGCTCGAAAATTTATTGGCAGAAGCACGATTTGGTAGCTGAAATTTGTGCTCGTTCGTTTCTTCCGGCCTTATTTCTGGAATCGCTGGTGGAATTTTGTGCTCTTCTTCTGGCAGAATCGCTTCGAGTTCTTTCACTTTTTCGCACAATTTGAGCAGATCCTTTCGAATTGCGATTTTTTCATCTCGACCAGCGCGGACCTTTTTGTTGAATGTTTCTTTGCGTCTAAAGATTTCTTGGGAAAGGAGGGCGATCTGTCGCTTTTTCTGATTCGTATTGCTGCGCAAATGGTCGGGGACGATGTAGTCTTTCGACGTTTTCAGGTGGAAGTAGCCCAAAGTCTTCTTCGCGATACGAATCTCTTCCTCATCTTTGGGATTGATTCGATTATCGTCGGGTTTTTGCTTCATCAGCTCTTCCCACTCGCGCTTTCGCTTTTCTTTTCTTGCTTTCTTTTCTTCCGCTTTTCGCTGAGCACGAGACGCATCAGCTGGCAACTCGTCGATCGCCGTTTCCGAAATTTTTGCAGAAGACATTGATTGAGTCTCTTCTATGTTTCCACGACCACCGCCCCTGGAATTGCCGCGAGAGCTGTTTTCCCGAACGTTTTTCTCTGCTGTTACTGATCGTTCTAGCGCTTCTTTCAATTCTTCAGGAAGAGATCGCAGCTCGTAGGATTTGACTGAATCTGACGATTGAATAGCATGAAGCGTGATTGGATCTTCCATTATGTCTCCTCTGAATCGTTTGAAGACCTTTTCGTATCGCAATTTCGCCTTCGCCAAATCCCACTGATTCTGGCGTTGAATCAGGTCCAGCTTGTCTGCCAGAGCTTGTTCGGCTTCCGCAGTGAGCTTTTGATTGATTTCGAAGTCTTTCTTTAGCAGCTGACATGCTTCGGGCAATTGCGCATTTTTATCCTTTAGCTTGTCGAATTTTTCAATTAGGCTTTCAATTTGCTTTCTCTTTTTGATCTTGAGCAGGTTTGCTTCTTTGACTCGACGGTCGTATTCTGATTTCTGTTTTGCTTCTTCTAGTGAGTAACTTCCTTTGACTTCATCTCCAACTGGAAGATCGTCGAGAGCGATTTCCACTGGAGGGCGCAGTTCAATTTCGTCAACGGGAGTCACTCCGTAGGCAAAGACATTGCCGTCGAGTCCTGCTGAGATCATCCATTTCTGGTCAGAGGTGAGAATAATTTTTGAAAGACTTCCAAGCTGACAGTCGTGCATTGCGATTGTGTGATGGCTCTCGAAACCGTTTTCCAAATCGGCTTCAGAGTAGTGCTCCTTTTCTGTTTGATAAATTCGTACTTTGCCGTCCAAGGAACCGGCGTAGATGCGGTTTTTGCCTTCCGACCAAGATGTCACGTGGAAATCCTCATCGAGCATGAATGCGTCTTCGGGATCGACAGGCTCCGGCATTTCTTCAAATTCACTGAGTTTACATTTGTAAACTAAGCCATGATCGTAGCCGGCCATTTGGCACAGAACATAGCCTTCTTCATCCGCTGGTTTAGCCCAAATAACTTCTCCGACTGTTTCTGGGACGAAGAAATATTCTTCGAGCTCTTCAAATTCCATCGAATTTACCGGCTCGTAGATGTTCTTGATCTCATCATCTTTCACCTGGTCGCCCATATCCGCAGCTTTCTTCTGCGCGGCCTTGAGTTTTTCGTCGCAGGATTTCTTGAGCTTGGCAAGTTTGTCGTCGAACTTTGCTTTTGCTCTTGCTCGCGCTCGCTTGCCCTTACAGCTCTGGAATTGATAGCCGACGATGTTGACGTTGGAAATGGAGAAGGAAACAGAAGTGTCGATCGAGCTGATTTCCGGCAAGGTCACTTGGAAAATCGCGCCAGTCTTGCTCCAGCAGAGAAGGACTGAGTCATTAACCCAGGTAAAATCCTTGATCATTGATCCGAGGGAAACGAAACCGACAGCTTCCATGGTGTTGTCCTTCAAACTGAAGATGAATACAGTTCCATCGTCAGAAGATGATCCAATAAGCTTGCCATTAGGGCTTGAGTGAATTGAATTCACGGTTTTTCCATGCGGTCGGATCGCCTGGCGCAGGAGCAGGGAGTGATTCGACTTCATTTTACCATAAGAGAGGTTTCGAACTGTGCCATCTTCGAAGCCGACAACGATGGTGGTGTCATTTGGCCAGCAGACTGACGTACCCTTGACCGGGAATTTCATCGCGGCGAGAGCGGAAGAAGAGGGAATGTCGATGATCCGGACTTGTCGATCGCCAGTGGATACGTAAATGCAAGCTGTAGGGTGCGCGCACATGTCGACGACATTTCCACCGTGGAATTGATCCAGAATCTTTGGCGGCTTAGTTGTGTGGCTGAAAGAAAGGTCGAGTTCCCAAATTGCGCCATTTTGATCTTGCGCGAACCAGACTGAATCGTCTTCGGAAGACATGATCATCGAGGAAAAGGCAGCGTCGGGCACTTTCAGGCAGTTCATCGGATCGAGCTCGAACGTCATTGATGTCTCGGTAGTGTCGGCTTGGTCGATCGTGTCAATGTCCCAGACGCAGATGGCGCCGTCGACTCCGATGGTGAGCAGTTCGCCTTCGAGGATGAACATTTGCTTGATCGAACCATCGTGGCAGCTCTTTCCGCCCTTTCTGGTGATTTCGACTTTGATTAATCCGCCGTCCCAGACGAGCAAGTTGCCCCACTCGCAGCCGGAAATAACTTTTCCGTCCGGGAGCTGGACGAAGGCGTCAATGTCCGAAACGGATGTTCGTCCGAATCGCCCCAAAGCGCCCTGAAGTTTCAAACCAGTAAAGGTCTCGGCCATGTTCCAGAATCGAATGTGACCGATGCCGCACGACGTGAGTTGTCCATCGATGTCGGGGCTGAAGGAAGCTTGGAAGACGTCGAGAGAGTAGGCTTTTGAGCGAAGAACGATACTCTGGGTCTTCCAGTTCCAAAGAGTGAGGAGATAGTCGGGCGTTGAACTGACGGAAGCAAGGAGAGAGCCATCATGGTTGAATTCAACGTGGGAGAAGCCTTTTTCAGCACCGCCACGGAGGACATAGACGACTTCCATTTCAGGGTAGGAGTAGATTAGGATTTCGGGCTTGTCTCCTTTGCCTCCCACAGCGAAGAATTTCTTTGATGGGTGGATGCAGACCGAACCTAAAAATTTAGTTCGTTTTCGTTTTATCAAATAATTTATCTCGAATAGCTGCACAGCTGATATTGTCAGCTGTTGATTTCTTTAAAAATCAGTTTCGCGTGCTCTAGTTCACGAAATTTAAAATGTCACGAGATATATTACGCCATTACAAGAAAATTGAGTATGGTCAAAATTTGTTTCTTACCTATTGATCCAGCCGGCGAACGAAGAACCGTCTTTTCGTCTGTCTGTACGTTGTGAAATAAGAGCAAGTTTCCGGCAGAATGAAGAAGAACCTGTCCACTGTGTGTCTCCTCATCGCTCGGGAATAAATGAAGATTGAGCCTATTTGAGTTATTGATCAATTTTAAAATATTCTTGCATACCGTTTAGCACTGTCGTAACCAAAGGAGTCGAAATAATTGAAGAGCCTTCCACTTAGGTTCTTTGACAGGACATCTTGGTCACTCATATCCGGCACTAGAATTTCTTATCAGAGAGAATTTAAAAGCGAAGCGCGTGAATAAAAATTGGGGTTAGTGAAAAACTCTAATTTTTGTTAAAAATCACCTTTCCGACTACCTTTGGCGACAAAACTAACGAAAACTAGCAAAACACCAAAAACAACTCATCCCTTCTAGAGACGTTCTAGAGAAAATCGAATTAATACCGAGAGTGGTTTTTGCCTCCTCGACCTTTTTTCTTGGCAGTTCAACTTTAACCGGTTCTGGTGGGGGAATTTCCGGCTCTGGAGAGTAAATTTCTTCATTTTCAGAAAAGGTTAAACTTTCGTCATCAGAAATGCCCTCTGGAAGGCCAGAAATCTTGTTCATTTTCTCGTTTTCAACAATTTCTCGTGCATTTTTGATCAAATGTTCAGTCAGATTTTCAGCGCTCTTTTGATAATCTTCAGCAAGAACGATTTCAGTAGCAGTGTCAATTATAAACTCCGTAAATTGCTTTGCAAATTCCGGGAATAATGCAGAATCGGTGGAATCAACGAAATCACCGGACCCTTGAGAGTTCTCGCTGATAAAAGAGACTTTTGACTTGTGCTTCAAAAGACCCGGCGAGACTGATCGAAGATTTTTTGGATGGACGCTGAAATCAGAATCGCGTCTTAGTCTTGAAAACTTGCCGACAACTTCGATTTCTTCCTCCTCTTCTTCAGGCTCCGGGGTTGGTTCTTTCGGCTCTGGAGTCGGCTCTTTTGGTTCGGGAGCGATTTCTGCAAGATTGACAATCTCTGGTTCTTCCTCGGGAGCTTTTGTGTCTTCTGCGAATTGGACAAAACGGTCCCCGTTGTCTTCCAAGTCGGGAAAGTGAGTGAGCTCCTCCATCTCTTCTTGAGGGCTCTTGACTTTTTGAAAATTAGCAAAAAGGCTTTCTTGTCAAAAAATGCTCATTTATGCTAACTCATTCCTTGATCTGACTCTTCCATGTCTTCAAAATCGTCTTCGAAAACGTCGTCTTCCTCGTCTTCTTCTATTTCTTCTTCGATGATCTCTTCAAAAACTGCTTCAGAAACTTCTCCTTGCTTCTCTTTCTGTTTGCGATCAAATTCTTTTAGATCATCAGCTATAAAAAAGCCGTGTTATTGGAATATTCTATCAATAGCTTCTGTTTTGTAGCTCATAGCTTGCACAGTTTTTTCGCCATAGAAACGGCTGAACGAGGAGGTCCAAGTTCTATTTTTTCAACAATAGGGCCAGAATAATACATTCGATTATTTTCAGATTTTGGAGTGGGTGCGACATCGCTACCCTTTTTGATCATTTTCTTTTGCTTTTACCAAGACTGGCAATTCGACTTTTTCGCCGATCAGGGACCCAAGTTGGATCATTAAGGTGACGCCTCGCATATTGGCGCCTAGCCTCGCGCTTCAGGAGCAAGAAACAGTCCTTTAGCGACTTTGGCTTTTTATGAAATCCTTTTCAGAAGAAAATTTTTTATGTTGAGCTTTTAAAAGATCGTACCTTGATTATCTTCGCTCATAAATTTCTCGATACTGAACTAGAAACTCACAAGTCAAACATGAGCGCAGTATCCATTTTTGTAACCAAGTAACAAAGCAAACATGGTTCATTTTCATTGTTTTCATCAATATGCAATAAATCAAAAGTTCAATCGAGAGGCAATTATTTATTCTGTTTTTATTAAATCAGGATGTTTTAAAAAGAGGCTGTGGATTTTGAGGTCACGTTGATAAAAATGAGTATTTGAACGAAAGGGTTTAGTTAGGCTTTTTATAATAATACTACTGGCGAGTACAGTATTTCACATCTTTTGCTCCGCGCATTCCGAGAATTTGTTTTCCAAAGCGATCGAGATTTTTCGGACACCTACAAAATCAGTTAATTGACTTAAAATGAAGAAGCTCACCTCCTGCAACCATACGAGCCGGAATTCGGCTGATAGTAGCCAGCTGGACAGGTAACACACTGTGACGATTTTGCTCTCGGAGATCTGAAAGTTCCAGGATCGCATTTTTCGCACTGACCATCGCGAAACTCTTTTCCAGCTGGGCAGTTTTCATTTTGTTTTCTGATATTTGGGCAAGTCTGTTCCAGGGTATTCGGCTCCCAACGTCCAGTTGAAATTCGGCAGATATAAATTTTCATTGATTGTCCATCTGAAAAGGTGAATCCAATCGGACACATCACGTGGCAAAGTTTTCCAAAAGAAGCTCGGCGGCATGAAACTCGACCGTCAAGGGGCGTGGGTAGGTCGCGCTCGCAGGGAGAAGCAGCAGTTGTGGTAGTTGTGGTGGAAATTGCTGTAGTTGTTGTTCGGTGAAGATAAGGCTTGGGAGTTGTCATCCAATACTTGAGAGTAGATTCGCCTTCGACGAGGACGGCTACTTGGCAGAGACCGACGTTGTTGAACTTGTCAAAAGCCCTGTAAGTTATTAAATACTCCCCTGGATTCATTGGGACTCTTGGAAGTCCTTCCACATCTATTCGCATCACTCCTGTGTTGTCTTCAAATTTCGGGTCAAAGAAGATCTGTCGATCGGGATTGTAATGATGCATAACTCCCTTCTGACAATTTTTCGACACTGGAGGACTATCATCCACGACATCGACAAAGAAAGAGCAAGAGGCGACATTTCCCGTGAATCGATTTTGCGTCGAGAAGGAAATCTCAGTCACACCAAGATCAAAGCCGTACTCGTATGCACGGCCGTTCATTCTCACTCGAGGATGAGCCGTCGTCGGTTGAGAAGAACTGGCGGATTTGATATCTAACTGGAGCCAGGCAATGGCGTCGTCGGGTGGGAGACTTTCGCGGACATCCGAGGGACATTTGATCGATACTTTTGTCGAGACGCATGCTTCTTGAGGTTGGTCCCATGAGCCGTCAGATTGACAGCGCACATTTTTCTCCTAAAAGATTTTGATCAATTTTACTTTGAAATCAAGGAAGACCAACCTTAGTTCCATCCTCAAAAATGTAGTTTTTGTGGCAGAGCATAATGCATTTGGCACCCGGAAGTATTCCACCAGCAGTACAATGCAGAGGAGCGATTTCCTGGCCGACCTTTGGCGCCAATCCAGGGCACTTAATTTATTCCCTGTTACAAGCACTGCTGTGTTGTGACTTCTCTCACCTCAGCTTTGATGCATCTTGGAGTGCGCGCGGACCAGCCGCTCATTCCACAAGTTGCCTTGCTCGCGCCGATCAGTGAGAAATTTGGCGAACACATAAATCTGCAATTAACGCCGAGAAAAGCGCGTCCGTAGTCGGGCCGGACGCAGCTAGTCGGACCGATTACTCGACCATTATCGGGGATCGTGAGTGGATGACTGTATTTTGAGTTAAAAAAAACTTTTTTATGATTTAAGAATTCAATTTAGAGTTTCCTTTTTCACTAATAATAATGATAAAAGAATAAATAAAACAAAGTGTCTAAGAATTTTTTCAAGCTCTGACAATAACCGTCTGGATTAACATTTGTGGCCGAAGAGTAGGTATAAGGGCGGAAAGCTGGACGGTAGCGACTTCTAGGACTGAGAGCTGTTGGCTGAGGCTCACAATGACGGCGGTCTCTTTGAAGTTTAAGGCCACTCGGACAAGAACAAAAATACCCGGAACTGGTATTCATACAGATGTGGGAGCAGCCACCGTTGTTCGTTTCGCATTCATTTTTATCTGAAATCGTCCGGCTCTAGAATTCGCAGGAAAGAGTACCTTCGCAAGGGATATAAGCTCCAGGATCACCAACAAATCCTCCGGAACATTTGCAATCTGCAACTGTTTTGGTCGAGCTGGTGAAATCGCGCTCGGAATTCGCTTTAGCGCGGGTTGTCAAAACATTGTTCCCTTTTTCCTTATCACTTTGTCACTGAAAGTGTTTAATGAACCCGAACCTGGGCACTTCCGACAGAAATTTTCCGACGTGGCGTAGAACTTGTCCGGACACGAATACCGACATTGGTAACCAGTGGGAGTATCCATCAGCACTTGACCTTCAAAGCAGCGCCGCTTTGAAGAGGCTCGATTAGGCTCAACAATCGAACAGAGATTCAAAAATTTTCACAAAAAATATAAAACCATTTTTGCCCTTTTGAAAAAATGATCTCGCCTCTATTCCTGACAGCTGGTTTGGTCTTCTCGTAGAAAAAACCCTCTTCTACATTTGCACCAATAAAGGCCTTCGCATTTTTAAATGAATAAATTCAATCAATCCAAAAAGCCCATTAGCGCTTGATTGAAGCAATAATTTCAGCTGTGTTTTTACAGCGAAACAGGATCGACCTTGAACCAGCGCTCCGGCTTTTTACTAGTCGCTGCGAAGGCCATTACCTGAATTTAATGGGAGCTGTGACATTTGTCCTACACAAGCCGAGAGGCGCCCCACCACACAACGCATGACCAAGCTACTAGCCTTGGGGTTAGGTTAGGGTTAGGGTTAGGTTAGGGTTAGGTTAGGTTAGGATTAGGTTAGGGTTAGGTTAGGGTGTAGTAGCTTGCTGCAGCGCGGTGTGGTAGCGCGCCCCTCGGATTGTGTAGGACAAATGTCACGCTACTCGAATTTAATTACCAATGGAACTCTTTGCAAGGGATCAATTTTTTGTTTACCTTGAAGTGTCCGTACAAATTTTCGCAAAGTTGTTCACATGGATTCGCACTGTTAGCACATTCGTTGATGTCCACACAAGTCCGTCCGTCACCTGCATTTAGGGCTACTCGCTACTGTTTACAGAAGAAACTGGACTTCCGCTTTTTTATTAATTTCGGAGCCCGGAGCAAAAAGCCTGAATCCGTCCCTACAGTTGCACTTGTATCCGCCGAATGTGTTCAAGCAAGTGTGATGACAAGGGTTTCCTGTTGCGCATTCATCAATGTCTTTTCAAAGTTTCAAAATAAGTAAGAATCCTTTCCGTTTTTGGAAATGATGGATGGGTCAATCTAGGACCCAGGTCATTATCAAAAGAGTAATCCCAGGTATCAAGTAAAAGTGGGCCATAAGGGGTCTTACTTTGAACATGTTGATCGATGGATGCTTAGGACTTAGTAACTTAGTTAATTAAGGAAATTCAAAAGAGCGTCTCGATCATCGTTTTTGAAACTTGTCTTCGCAATCTCCTGTTCTGAAATTGAGTCTGGTACCAACCGAGCAAGCGCAAAAATAGCTCCCAAGAGTGTTTGTACAGGTCTGTCCTCTCATACAGTTGTGGCCGTATCTGCATTCGTCAATATCCACACATTCTCCTCTTGAATTTTACATACATTTATGAACCCCAAGCTCTCCAAACCTGATCATTTTAAACCCGCTCCCGCATCGGGTCAAAGAAGAAAGAATCAATTCTGTGTCATTATTGGTTTCATTCAGAGCTACTGCGATTGCGAAATGTATCGTAAACCTACAGTTTACATTTTCAGGCTGTTTGAATGGCAGATTTTTCAAACCTTTGTATTGAAAACAATTTCATCCTTTACAGCGAAAATTTTCTTCGAAGCATGATTTAGGGCGTCTCTTCAGATTTCTTCAGGGTCTCTACAATCGAGGCTGTTTAAACAAAAATTGGCCTTGTGAGTTGGCCCGTGGTGAGTTCTATAAGTAGGACAACACGAACAGAAAGAGAAGTAGTGGAAGAAGAACTCAGCGAGCTCGAAGAGAGAGGAGTACGCTCGGCTCGCCACAGGGGGGCGTCCCAGTTGGCGCAAGTTCAACAGCATCACAGCATTAATTAACACAAGCTCAGTCCCTTCTAATCCCCATTTCCGATGCAAATTAATATTTTCACAATACAAAATACTAGGATTAGACCGAGACAAAGGGCGTGTTTATTAGTTTATAACCGGAAGTGGGGTACTAGAAGTCAATTAATCAATTTAAGAAATATGAAAGAAAATATTAATTTTTGAATTATTGAAATTTTTATTGAAAGAAAGATCGAAGCAGAAACTTTTATTTGTGAAATTCAATTTTGTCGCGCAAGTTCTTTAATTTCCTTCTAATCTAAAAGCGGGCTCTGATTTGCAAGGGAGAAAAAAATTCAGTAAATTCTGAGCCCTGAAATATGATGGAAAAATCGGGTCGCGGAAGGCGTAAACAAGAGGGTTAGCCACAGTTCGCCAGTAAGTCCAAGTTTTTAGCAACCATAAATAATCGTCAGCGTAACTCCATAGAGCAGGGACACAGACTGAGAAGCAAAGGAGAAGATAATAAGGGCTGAAAACGTTTAGGGCCTTATCCTACTGAAGAAACTTACCCATGAAATGAAAGAAAGCTAACGATGTTTATGATCATCGTTCTGATCATACTTCCAGTGCTCGTCAGTCCATTTTGCTTTTGAAAGCTTGTTCCAACAATTGCATTTGAAAATGATGTAACTCTGAAAATACATTTACTCCCTTCCACTTCTCAGAAATATCAACCGAGAACAAACACTCATCACAGAGCTTCTTCTCCACATAAATGAGTTCTCAGGATGCAAATAAGTGAAGTTCGGGATGTTCGAATTGTTATTTTCATTGCAAGTGATGCAATCGCGGGTTCTGTCGTTCCACTTTCCTGACATTCTTCGCGATTCTGACTCCGAAAGCAGCGAGTTTCTTAATTTTTGTTAGACGTCTTTGGTCATTTTCTACCTTCTGTTCAAAACCAATCTGCTTCTTTGACTATCTGCCGACTTTCTTTTTGCAAGAAAAAGCTTTGCGGCCCGAAGAGCTCTTGAAGATTCTGGCGTTTCAAAAGTATGATATGAATGCCGTCGATCATGAATCAAATCAGGAATACGAGTTATCGAGTAATCGTTTTTCTCTTGCAGTCGGATATCCGGAAGGCTAAATGATTGAGATTACGGAGAAAAGAAAATCAAAAAGCACCTTCTGATCATTTCGCCTGAATCAGGGCCCCTGTTGCTTGATACAGAAAACCAGGAAGTGCGACTTGCTCTCCGATTTCTTCCTTGAAGCGATGAAATGTAAGAGTCGGAGGATTTTATGCTCAGAATAATTGAAGAGTAGCTCCAAATGATCACCACCAGCGGTATGAAAAAGTAGACAAAAGAGGTACTACGCTGGATGAAAGAAAGAAGGCTAAGTTGAAATCAACGAGGAGAATTCAAATATTTCTTCATCCTTTCCTGATTCGATTAAATTGAGACGAATGAAGTGCTTTCAAGCTGCAAATTTTTTCATCAGAACTAAGCTCGAGAATATATAATATGAGGCCACTGAGGACCGGCGCAAGAACCCATAAAATCGCCAAAAGCACTTTCACCAGCGTCGCAGTCCGATTAACACGATATCGAATCGGCGAGTAAATTGACAAGCCTCGGTCGACACTGATCAGCGTAAGACAAGCAGTAGAAATGAAATTCAAGGAACTGTCCGCAATCCCCCAAGTTAAGCAACACCACGAGTCCATTGGGAATGCCGATTCGAGGAAAAAATACGAAGAAATGGGCAGCAAAAGCGTTGAAATCAGTAAATCAGCAGCTGAAAAAAGGGATCTTAGGGGCTAAGCTGATTTTCTTACCAGCTAGTGAGAGGATTATGAAGTTTCCGGGGTCATAACTCAGTTGATAACACTTTTTGCGGCTAGAAAAGATCATTGCCAGAGAAAAAATCGAATAATTTCTAGCGCTGCCCATAGATATCCAAAGATAACCAGCGAGTTCTCTATGATGCTTGCAAGTGAGACCAAGCTATTGCCAACTGTTCCTATGTGAAAAATCGCAGAGTCTGTTACGTTATTCATTCTTTTTTCCTTGTTTTACTGGAGACAAAGAAGAATCGACCGAGCGAAGACGGAGGCCGAGAAGAGGAAGGAGATAATCGTCGTGGATCGGATTTAAACGGGGTGAGACTCGATATTTGCTTCCATTTACCAAAATATAATATATATCTTTAATTTCTCTACTGTATATCTACTATACGAGTTTAATACTCGTCTCAAGAAGATTTGGCACTTGGAAACAACGAATAGAAAATAAGAAAGATTTATTCTTAGAAAACATATTTTACAAAAAAATAAAAGAGCTTGTTTTGAGGTGAATGAAAAGTGGCAGCTTTTTAGATCTTTGGTGCAACACGGAACTCTTCTTCGAGACCTTTTCCTTTCTTTCGGCCGATCCAAGATCCGCAAGGGAATGTCCAGGAGCTAGAAATGAGTTGATTTGAGGCAATTTCAGCGTTTTCTTACTTTGAAGGAGTGGAAATAATGACATTTTTTGGCTTCCAATCAGCATTGCGCCCCTTGTCGTCATGTTCGAGTTTGATTCTAGAGCAGAATTATGAATGATTGAATTGAGAAAAGACCTTACTTTTCTAATTCACCGAGGTCGAGGCAGTTGATCTCAAAGTTGTCAGTATTGCCCCTTTCAAAGAGATCTCTCCATCTTTGCTGCAGAGGCATTTTTCCAGAGTCGCCGAGGGAACCATAGACTGTCAGTTTGACATTTGCGTCCGTGCCTGCTTTCCTTTCATCACAGGTTGAGACTGCCACGCTGTAGGTGATATTCTGCCGATTTCTTTGTTTCGCTTAATATTTTTCAATCATTCATGTTCAATTATTCTAAATTACCGATTCCGTCTTCAAGTGAGACAGTAGCAGTGACGCCATTTCTGTCCACCCAGTTATCCACAATCGCCAAGTACTTATTGCCACCAAATACCGCCTCAACAGTTGAAATATATGTCTTCTCAGCTCTTGAGCCGTCTAAGCTGATCGCAATTTCTTGTAATTCGCCGACGCCTTTACTCGTTTCGGGGTCGAAGCGACGGGATTCACCTTTTTTTAGACCAAGCGGATTTCGCAGACGCATTTCTGTCGAACCAGTTGATCCCATCAATTTCAGCTAAAAATATGATCATTGTTGTTGAAATAAAACGGAGTGTACCTTGAGCGACTCAGATGTTCCGGCATTTTTGACATCAGCGCAAGAAATGGTGAAATTGTATTCAGTCTTCTGATTGTCTCCAGCACCACCTGTCATATTTGTTGGAACCAGCTCACGGACAATTTGCCGATCTCCTTCGCTCTTTGCCAGCCACTGTCCGCATGGGAAGAACCACTCTTTCTCTCCTGCTTTCACTCGTACGTGTTCCAAGTGCCAGCCGGACTTGAATCCCTTGTTATCGTGCTGGATTCTGAGCGTGGCGAGCTCTCCAAGGTCAGGTTTATTGACGAATTTAAAGATATCGGTCTGGTTACGCTCAAATGGATCCTCGTTGTTGCCATTTTCTAGCGCCCAGACACCAGAGGTACCTGAAAACAATCAATAAAGGTGACATAAATTTGATTTACCGTTTTGGCCAGTAATTTCACAGATAACATTCGCATCAGTTCCACAACCAAAAAGATCAGAAGTCTTCACTTCGATTTCATAGTCAAGAAATTTCGCAGAACCGCGAGGCATGAGCTGAACAGTTTGTCCGCCCTCAGTTCTTTCGGTTCCATTGAAGACGTAGATTTTTCCCGAGTCTTTGTTTCTAACTTCAATCTTTTCACAGAACCAACTGACTTTTTTCTCTCTTCTTCCGAAAAGTCCACCGCCTTCAACAGCATCAGTCGATACCTTTGCTGTCACCATTTTTATCGGCTCGATGTCCTCAAGATCAATGTCGAAAATATCCCTTCCAGCTCGGGAGAATGATTCTTCTGATCGCTCAAGTTTGACATCAGCAAGCGTTTTGCTCTCGCCAGTAAATGTCAAGTAAACATCACCTTATTCTGTTCAGAAATATTTTTAATTGATAAGAAAAGAATGATTGATGTAATTAATTATTCATTATTTTACGTCATCTTATTTCTGAACTGAGCCTTCATCAAGACCTGCCCCATCTTCATCAGCCGTCATAACTGTAACTTCATAGGCCGTTTTTGCAGTGCCTTCTTCGATTGGCAGCGCATCTTCAGCATTGAAAACTCTATTGAGAAGACCGTCTCCTTCCGTCTTGCAATACCAGTTGTTCACTTTGAAGAAGTACGTCTTTGCCTTGAGAGGAAGATGAACCTCTAGGAGTTCGACGAACCAGCTCTCGTCTAAGTTCCTGACTCCAAGTTCAACTTTTGTAAGTTCTCCAACATCCATGTTTTCGAATGCCCAAGAGTCGACCGAGTCTTTTACGAATTTGTCCTGTCCGGTTGGGATTGGAAGATTGATTCGTTTCGTTGCCTTTTCATTGTCAACCGATGATGTTGTTGATGATCGACGACGATCACGTGTTGGCTCGTATTCCAGGACATCGTCAGATTTGCCATAGAAGCGAATGTATGCATCTGGCTCACTAGAATAGAATAATTTTATGTGGATAACTATCTTTACTCACGTTGTAGAAGATGCTCCAGGAATAGAGCCTGTTTTGATTCTCACTTCATACTTAGTAGCTGGTCCCTCAAAGTCGCCCTTTCCAATCGATCTTCCGGAGCTGGTAGACATTGCTGACATTGTCGATTTCGATGTCATCTTTTCCGGATCATAGCCCTTGATATACAGAGTTCTTGAAATCTTCTTGTCCTTGAGCCATTTTTCTGCTGGGAAAACGGCTGGTTCGTTTTCTCCATCAGAAATTTCCACGCTTCCGAGGAACCAGTCCGAGCCCAAGATTCCACTGTTGTCATGGCGAATGACCATTTTGAAGACTTGCCCTAAATCTGGCGTTGTTACTGTGAAGGTATCGAGCTGTCCACGCTCGAATTTGTTTCTGTTCTCGGATTCGAGAAGCGGGAATTCAGGAGATTCACCGTTTTCGCCAAGAAGTTTGATGAAAACATTCGAATTGGTTCCGGCTCCCATTTTGTCGCCAGTAAACACCTTGATTGTGTAAGTCTTGTTTTCAATCAACGTCCCTCCTGCGAGCAGATCGAGTTCAATTCGCTTATCCAACTCGTCGGACGCCAGCCATCTGTTGGCGCTAAAGACCGTCTCCTCCGACCCAGACGCGATATCTTTGACGTCTTTCATCGTCCTTACGACGACTTTGTCCAGATGCCAGCCCGATTTAAATCCGTTATCATCGTGGCCGATTCTTAATTTTTCAATAGGACCTACATTTGTTAATTCAAATGTGAATATATCGCAGTTGCCGGCTTCGAATCGCTGTCTTCTTTCGAACTTATCCGGGCATAAGAAAATCTTGTCTGATGAAGATCCGTCTTCGCCGAAAAGCTGAACGTAGACATTTGCATTTGTTCCGCTTCCTCTGTTGTCTGTGGTGTAAACGCTGAACTCGTAAGGAATCTTTGGCACAACTATTTCTGTATCACCATCATCTGGGTACAAATCTCGCTCGATGAGTTGATCCTCTTCATCTTTTGCAAACCATCGTCCAACTGGGAAACGCCAGGCTTTTCCCTCGCCAGGGCATTCAATTTCGACGTAAGAAACGTACCAGCCTGATTTGAAACCTGCATTGTCGTGCCCAAGTCTGATCTTTTTCAAATCGCCGAGGTTTATCGCTTCCACAGAGAATTGATCAAGTTGATCGCGTTCCCATTTATTTCTGTTATTACTCGTCTTGAGCTGGATTTTTCCAGAGTCGTCTTCTTCACCGAAGAGTTGAATGTAGACATTGGCGTCGGTTCCAGCACCTCTTCTGTCGCCGGTTTTGATTGAAATATTGTACGTATCGACGGCGGCTTTTTGCTCGAGAGCGATGGAATTTCGGCCTTTGTTCTGCCACTGAGAAATGGGAATGGGGATCAAGCTTCGTTCGACTTGACCATCATCTTCATCAACTGCTAGCCATCGTTTGCACGGGAATGCCATCTGCTCCGACATTCCTGGCCCAGATACTTTCACGTGATCGACGTACCAACCTGCCTTGAAGCCGGAGTTATCATGACGGATCCTGAGAGATGTCAATTCGCCCAGCTCGGCTGCTTTGATTGTGAAGGTATCCGTCTGATTTCGTTCAAACTTGTTGAGATTCTCCGACGAAGTCAGTGGTCGTTCGCCAGTGTCGCCATTTTCACCCGTCAGCGTGATGAAAACATTCGCATTTGTTCCACAACCCCGCTCATCACCAGTGACGACTTCGATTTTGTACTCAACTTCGTTTATGTCTCCAACTGGATTGCCTGACTCGTCGGTGGGCAAAAGCTCTCTGACAATTTGCTTGTCATCCTTTTTCTTATCAAACCACTTGTCACAAACAAAAATGGTCTTTTCAACCTCTCCTTTGCCATTTTTCGTCGAAATGACTACCCGGTCGAGATTCCACGCTGAACCAACTTTTGAATCATCATGTCCGATTCTGATCTTTTGGATTTTTCCCACATCTACGTCTTCTATTTTGAACTGGTCGACTTTGCCCCGCTCAAAGTTGTCAGATCTGTCGTTGAGGATTTTTTCTTCTGTTTTGCTCTCTTCTCCGTAGATTTGAATGAAAACATTGGCATCTGTGCCCGCAAATCGGACGTCACCAGTTGTTACCTCGATTTGGTAAGGAATAGTTCCGTCTCTGTTTGCTGTTTCTGTTGGAGCCAATTCTCGCCAGGTTTCACCATCATCTTCGTCAGAAGCAAACCAGCGATTGACCGTGAAAACGTATGCTTTTCCTATTTCTGGCACTTCCAGCTCAAGGTATTCAACATGCCAGCCATCTTTCAAGCCTCGGGCGTCGTGCCCAAGTAAGATTTTGGTAACATCACCGACATTTGGCGCTTCCATGTGGAAAATGTCAACTTGGCCGCGCTCAAATTTATCTCGGATTCGATTTTCGTTGAGCTTCAATGGCATTAATTCTGTTGTTCCATCCTCGCCGTAGATTTTTAAAGAGACGTTTGCATTTGTCCCTGAATTCAAAATATCAGAGGTTTTAACGCGGACTGTGTAGCGAGTCGTGTGGAGCATTTCATTGCCGTCGAGGTAGAGATCTCGGAAGAGCTTTCCATCTTCTTTTCGCTGGTCTAGCCAACGGCCGCAGATGAATTCTTGGCTCACTCCACTGGCAATATCAACCACTTCTACCGAGTCGCAGAACCAACCAGCGTTTCCGCCCCAGTTATCGTGCCCAATTTGCACGTGATTTATCTCCTGAAGATCGACAGCTTGAAGGATGAATTCATCAGTGTTTTTCCTCTCGAACTTATTTCGATTCTGAGATTTTTCTAGGGCTCTTTTTCCAGAATCGCCAAGGCCGTAGAGAATCACGTAGACATTTGCATCTGTACCAGCTCCAAAAACATCTCCAGTTTTGACGATGACTTTGTAATCTTTCAATTCTCCCGGCTTTTTCACCTTCTGTCCCGTTGCTGGGAGCTCTCGTACGATTTGCCCATCATCTTCATCAGTAGCAAGCCATCTGTCACAGAAGAATTCATAAACTTCGTCCGTATTTGCTTTCGAAAGCTCGACGCGATCAAGATGCCAACCAGCCATCGGCCTCGACCCGTCATGCCAGACGCGGATTTTGTAAAGCTGATCAAAGTCTGGCGGAAGATCCAAAGTGAAACGATCCATCTGACCTTTTTCAAAGTTGTCTGTTTGATTGTCCAGTGGAATTTCATCCGAACGATTTCCTTGAACATCGTAGACTTGGACGAAAACATTGGCGTTGGTTCCAGCGCCGCGAACTTCCGAAGTCCAGAATTTCGCTACGTAACCGTGCCCTTCTCCAAGATATCGCCGCTTGGACTTGGTCTCCATTAGTTTTCTCTGAGAAGAATTGGTTTTGCTTTGCTCGAGCCATTCGCCGCAATCAAAGGTTTGTTCCAACCCAGTAGTGTTTGAATAAATCACCACTTTGTCCAAGAACCAGCCGGGGCCGCGACCAGAGTTGTCATGCCCAACATGAATGTACTTAATCGGTGAGAAGTTGTCCGCCATTTCGAGATTATTGTGATCGACATCTTTCCTCTCCCACTTTCCTTGAAGCTCAACTCGACCAGAATCTTCTCCTGCTTCGGAAAACAGCTGAACCCAGACATTTGCGTCCGTTCCAGCGTTACGCTCGTCGCCAGTGTAAATAGAGACTTTATGGATGTAAATGTCTTCTCTGCCGCCAAGTTGAAACTCCCGCTCGATTTTTCCATCATCTTCTGACTTGGCAAACCAGCGCTGGCAAATGAACTCGTAAGGTTTTCCCTCGACCTCGATCTCCACTTTTTCCAGATACCATCCAGGCTTTGGTCCTTTATTATTGTGCCCGATTCTGATCTTCTCCGGGATTCCCACAGACGGAAGTTTGAGCAAGAAAGTGTCAGTTTTGCCCCGTTCAAAATTATTCTCCATTCTATTGTCGAGATATTTCTTTCCAGTATCGCCCATGTCGCCAAATACAGTCAGATAAACATCTGCATCTGTTCCGGCTCCTCGGAAATCACCAGTTGTTATTTTAATCGAGTAATTGGTCAGTTGAGCTTTTTGAGAAGGATCGGATGTTCCAACCAGATCTCGGAACATTCCTTCCTTGTCATTCAGCCAAGATCCACAGTAAAAGTACTGTTTGTCATTCGGCCTGATTTGGTTTGTCACAACAAGTCGTTCGAGGAACCAGTCTGATCCGCGACCCCTGCCGTCTTGCTCGATTCGGACCTTTTTGATGCCTCCAACATCTACACCAGGAATGACAAACACATCCGATTGCCCGCGCTCGAAGGTATCGACAGTTTTTGAAATAAGAGGACATTTCTCCGTCTGCCCGCGTTTTCCATAAAGCGTTATGAAAACATTCGCATCAGTTCCAGCACCAACCCTGTCTCCTGTAATGACTACGACTTCATACTTCGTCTTTTGCAGCTTTTTCCCGCGAACGGCCTGTATTTCTCGCGAAATCTGACAATCCCCGCGGTAAAGTGAAAGCCACTTTTCACAATTGAAAAGGTAAGTTTCCGGCGAATCTTCAGGTGTTACCGCTATTGATTTCAAAAACCAAGAAGCGGATTCTTCGTACCCATCGTGTTCAATCACAATTTTTCCAAGACCCCGACGTTTTTAAAATGCATGGAAAAAGTATGAGCAGAGCCGCGGGAAAACTTGAACGGACACAAGTCTGGATCTTGTTGCCCGTTGCCAGAGATTTTGTAAATTCGTTGCTTCTTCGATTGTCCTTTGGAGCCGATCAGGGTCAAATAAACGCGAGCTTCAGTTCCGGCGCCTTTCATGTCGCCAGTTTCAACTCTGACTTTGTATTTGATCTGGCCGCGGACTTTCTTGCCCTTTTTGTTCGTCAGACCAAATTTTTTCTTATAGAAATCGACCATGTGTTTGTCGTTCATGGTGTCATATCCTTTTATTCCACTTGAAGCGGGTCTAAGTGGCTGGAGACCGTATCCACCTCCACCGCCAAAGCCGCCTCGATTTCCTCCTTCTCCAAGGAGAGGATTTGGCTTTGGTTTCTTTGACGGAGCACTAATAGGTCGAGGAGTCGGTCGCTTAGGCGTTTGACATTGAACGTCTTTCAAATCGAGCGCTGGCGGCGGAGTTGGTTCTGGCCTCGGGCGTGGCTGCGGCTGATGGGTTTGTGTGAAACTATCTCGCCCTGTATTTGTCCCGGAGGAATTGTGAGTGATCTGCTGAATTCGTTTTGGAACGGCTTGATCCCGTCTTGTAAGAATTCGCTCCTGCGCTCCAGGAGGCGGGGACGATCCCAAAGCCGCGCTTCCATCGGAATCGTCCCGTGATTTCTCGGTGGCTGAATTCCTGGCTGCAGAACCATCGTCATCACTGGCGAGGAGTTCATATAGAAAGGGTTTCTATTTCGCTCCCGGCCCCACATCTTCTTATTTTCTTCGTTTTCGATCTCTTTTAAAGTATTCTCTTATCGGTTTTCAGTTTTCTATAATAAAAAATGTCATCAGAAGATTCTTTTTTTTTTATTTTTCGTCTGCTGTGGATAACGGAATTATTGTGGACTCAATGACGTGACGACCAGTTGCCATGTCTACCTGCGGCCCAACAAAGAGAAATGTACGACTAACTGCGACCTGTTTACAATGGCGATTTTTCTGATAATAATAAATACGAATTTTCGATAAATTCCTTTGAATCGCTCTTCAGTAACATTTTTTTCAACAATATTCATTTGAAAGTCATAATTTTCAACCAAAAGATGAACATTGATAAGCCCCCGTCTCTCAGCCAAGAGCTTCATCTAAGAAATCTTTCTAGATATTTCATTTCGATGAGATCCTCGATGTTTTGGCAGGATTTCACCCCTAAAACTTAAAAACTTATATTTTATTTTTTACTTATTCGATTTTGCTGGAGTAGAGAAATGGCTGGTAAAAAGAGGGGCAGACCATCGAAGAAGGACAAGGGTAAGTCTGGTGCTAAATGAAAATTTAAGCCAATGAAATTTTGTCATTTTGAAAATTATATTCAGAAGCAGAAAAACTTAACAAGGAGCTGAACAGTCTTCCTCGTGTCAAGATGATCAAAGAGAGACACAAGCTTGATACTGAGAACAATGTTCAGGAACGGGTCAATTTTTTGATAATCAATCGGAATTTCCGTTTTGTCCTCTTGAAATCAAGAAAGACTCACTAGCTTGGTTGATCCTAAATAAGTTCCCCGAGCCATCAACAAAACCTCCTCCAGTCGAAGCTCCAGCACGCCTTGATGATGAAACTCTGCTCAGTAGATCTGCAGAAATTCTCAAAGCTCTGAATCGACCAGTATCGACCATCGATCTGACAGACGAAGTCGAGCCGCCACCATCACTTGTCGATCTGACAGTAAGAAAATCCGTTCCGCTTGAAAAGTTCATGCGTCCGCCATTTTCCAACTTTCGCTTCGTCAAGCCCCAGGAAGGGATGAAAGCCGCTTTTTCAGACAAGTTATTTTTGAAAAGCAATAAGATAGAAAGCATTCTAATCGGGGACACGGACGATGAGTCGGCCACCCAGACCAGATTATTAAAAATGATAACAGCTGGCGCGTTCTCTCATTCTTCTCAAAACAAAATCTATCGAACCTCCTTCGTTCTATCGTGTGTTCTAATCAATATTTAATCAGAAAATTCCTTACACTGTTCTATATAAAGTGGAGAGTTGTTGATTGCGTGATTATTTCAATTCAGAGAATGAAAAACTTCTTTTTATTTTTTATTTTATTTGCCTTGGTTTTCGCTTTTCCGATAATTGAAGACTTCGGAATCGAAAAACGAGGAGATTTTTATGAACACTTAAAAGAACTCTTCATCAATTTTTTTCAACCACATGATCCTTACGAATGGTAAAAGAACTCTTTCATCTCTTCGATAGAAACCGAGACCTCCCATCAAACTCAGACAGTATGCTCGACCCAAGGGCCTTGGACCAAATTATGATTCAGACGAAGATCACTAGCTTACTTTTTTCTTCCCCCTACTTTTTCTTTCAACTCTCTAACTGCCATATTTCATTTATTTAAATCTAATAAATTTACGCAAACTGTCACAAACTCGGTTATTTCGAGCAATTATTGGCATTTCCAGTAAATGAACTTTCAAAAAGAAAGCATGATAATAATTAAAAATGCATTTAAAATGCGTTGATTGTTGCGCAAAGTTTACAGTTCACTAAAAACAGAATTCGGTGAATGAGAGGATTTTCTTTCTTTTTGATATTATTCGTTGAAGCTTTTGCTTTAGCGGAAACACCTGGATTTGAAGTTCAGAAAAGAGGAGACTTCATGTCTTATATGAAAAGAGCCATCGACATAAAAAAGAAATATGTCAAGAGGCTTTTCCATATGTACGTCCATCGACAACTATGATCATCTCGTAAAAAAGAACCGCGATCATCTATCCTGAGTCAAACGACAAACCCTCTGATCTCTTTATCCATATTTTAGTAAGAATAAAAACACAAATTAGAAAAAAATCGAGTTTATTGTTTCATTTTTTTTTCGAAGAAAAATTGATTTACGCGAAGCCAGCTTCCTTGTAGCACTCGTAGACGTTCTTGAGCGAGGTAATGTAGGCGGCGGTTCGGATGTCGAGTCCCAAGTTGTAAGTTTCGGCAGTTTCCATGATCTTGGTTCCGGAGCGTTTCATGGTAAAGGCGAGGCCAGAGTGGACGATGTCTTTCTCGGTGGCGCCGTGGATTCGCTTTTCCAAGTCAGCGGAAGGAGTCACTTTCTTGCCGATGGAATCTGTGACGGACTCTGAAAAGGGAAATTAAAATTTGGTTTCGATTTGAAGACTTACGGAGGATAGCCAAGTTCTGGTCTCGAGTGAATTCCCAAGTGAGTCGGCCGTAAGAAACGTGGTTCAAGTTCTTGAGCCATTCGAAGTAGGAGACGGTGACGCCACCAGCGTTGAGGTAGAGATCGGGAATGACGAGGCACTTGTTCTTGACGAGGATATCGTGAGCTTTGGGAGTGACGGGGCCGTTGGCACCTTCGGCGATGACCTTGGCTTTGATGCGGCCGGCGTTGTCGGCGGTGATGACCTTTTCTTTGGCGCAGGCGCCGAGGATGTCGCACTCGACTTCGATGAGACTGCCTTCCTTGGCTTCGTCCCAAGCTCGGGCGCCGGAGAAGCCAGTGATGCTGCCGGTCTTCAACTTGTGCTCGTCCAAAGCGTAGATGTCGATGCCGTTCTCGTTGAAGAGGCAGCCGTCCCATTCGACAACACCGATGCATTTAGCGCCCTAGACATAAAAATAAGCTAACGTCAATGGATAAAAACTTACGTGGCGGTCGAAGTATCGAGAAGAGTGGAATCCGACATTACCGAATCCCTGCATGACGTAAGTCTTTCCCTTGAGCCCAGTGGTGAGTCCAACCATGTCCATGTACTTTTTAGAGTTGCAGAAGAGATCGACTCCGTGGTAGACTCCTCGGCCAGTCGCAGAGACTCGTCCATGAACACCACCTAAGATAACGCGTGTTAAAAACCAGATTTTAAAGAGTAATTTCAAAAAGAAGAGCTTCTTTCGGAGTGCACTTTAGACAAGAAAACTAAGTGTTCTGAGTTTTTTGAGTTTCGATTTATGATTTAAAGCGCGCTCTCAATTGAACCGTTGGAACACTCAGTTGATGACGATGAATTATGAATAGAAGTTCTGGCAGAGAAAAGTAAGTACCTTGAGAAATGGGCTTTCCAGTGACGCATCCAGCAGCGTTGAGATCGGTTGGGTGGAGTCGCTGGTACTCGTTCGCCATCCAGGCCATTTCCTGCTCGCCAGTGTACATGTCAGGAGCGGGAACGTCGATGGAAGGTCCCAAGAAACCGTGCTGAAGAAAAAAATATTTTCTAGAATAACTTGAGTTTTTTACCTTGCTGAGCTGCTGAGTAAAAGCTCGAGTGATTCGCTCGAGTTCATTCTTTGAGTACTTTTTCGAGTCGCAGGTGATTCCGGCCTTGGCGCCGCCGAAGGGGACATCAGCGACGGAGCACTTCCAGGTCATCAGAGCAGCGAGAGCCTTGACCTCGTCCATGTCGACGTCGGGGGCGTATCGCATGCCACCCTTGGTGGGAAGACGGTGGTGCGAGTGCTGAGCTCTGTAGCCGGAGAAAACCTGAAAATGGCTTTACGAGTGGCTTTTTCGTTCGATTCTAACCTGGCAAGAGCCGTCATCCATTCGAACTCGGAAGGATGTCTCGAGAACAGTGTTGCAGGGCATCATATGGTTGAAAATTCCTTGGATATCATTTTTCTTCTGAGTAGCGCTTCGTTTAGCTGCTTCGGCTTGAGCTGAGCGGGCGGCATTGTCATAACCGACTAGCAAAGAAAATTAGAATGGGTTGAGAACAGTCAGGCTTACGTTTAATTTGAGAGTCTTCGATAAGTTTAGTTTCCAAAATATTGGCAGAGGCCTTGGTAAAGTCCAAAACCATCGAGTAGAATTTTGGATTGTCAGCCTTGGCCGAGGTGGAAGCAGCTCGGATAAATGTTTGGGAGAGCTTCATCTTTACTTGATAACTAAATTAATGATTGTATTGATGATCTGCAATGAAATTCTGTGACGAAAAAGAAACCTGCGAAAATGAAAAATGCGTCTTACCTGGATAGTAAAAAAACAAAAACTGATAAGCAACTGCTGATAAATGAAAAACAACGAAGGATGTTCTAGAGATGTGTATTTATTTCATTATTTAGATCTCAATTTTTGTGATGATGACTTCTTCAAATTTTGCATGTATCTACATAACTCTTTCCCTTCTAAATTCAGTAGTTCGTCAGATCTATCCGCTCTTTCCTTGAACTCGTTGAATAATTTTAGTTCTTTTTCCATTTTTTCAGCGCCAAATTCTTCGATTTTCTTGAACAATGTTCTATTTGCAGCTTCGTGAATCGCTTTATCGACTTTTTGGCGATCAAGAATCTTTTCTATCATTTGTTCAGAAAGATCATCGACGTGGAACTCTTTTTTCTGGTTCTTTTTCGCGCTGAAATAAACGATATCTTCATATTTGAGCCTCAAAAGCTCCTTCAAAAGAATCAAGCTTTCATCGAAATGCTCTGTTATCAGAATAAGATCGTAGTATCCAACAAGCCATTCGGCCACAGCCCTTTCTGATCCGAGCTTTTCATAAATGTCCATCAAGCCTAAAAGTAACAGTAAGGAGAAAGATGATTATAGTACCTAAATCAAAAGCACACGGATTTCGCCCATTCTCCAGAAATCTCGCATTGCCAACCCGTTTTCCAAGATTTTCTTTCGCAATAAATTGTTCAAAAGCTTTGAGTTTTTGGCTATTATCTTTGAATCCCATGTCTATATGAGAAAAATAAAACCAAGCCGAGATGATCTGAGTTACTGGGTCGCGTAAAATCGTAATTTTCTTTGCAGTCGGCAGTGCTTTATCAATGAAAGGGGACCAAACATGATGATTGGCGATGACTTGGTAATTGCCATCAGGTTCGTCTGTACAGTTAGCTTTGATGGGCCTGTGTTTGCAGAGATAAACTTCGTCTCCTTTTGGTAAGCCGACTGTCAAGTTGTATGTCAAGGCGTAACGGTAAATGATGTTTTGCAAAGTTGAGCTTCCAGTTTTGTGCGTTTTCATAAAATAAACTGGATACGCTTCAAAAGGCTCTTCCTCTTCCTGCGGATCAACATAATCAACCACCAGGTCTTCAGAAAAACGCAGATACGACATCTCTATAAAGACAATAATGAATAAAAAAATCAGGACAACCAGATAAGTGGTTTTCGAGTCGGATAATTTCATCGCTGTGAAAATCATTTTCTTAAAAGTTAAAAAGCTTAGCTAAGCGAATGAGCAACGGTTGGAGCGTACTCAGCCGACCGTTCTCGCGCGTAAGTTTTCTTCCTCAGGGCAGGCGAGTATTCTAGGGCCACTATTTTAACATAGGTCATCCCCTTGTTACCAGGATAAACATCGGCGAAAATCAAAATTTAGCAGGATAGACCTCTGGCAAAACGTAGTATGGTCTCAAAATTCGGCTACCCTCATTTTAGGTTAGTGTTAAGGGGGTTCCAAGGGGGCGAAGCCCCCTAGGTTAGGCCTAAGGGTTAGGAACTGGGTACTTTTACCCACGGGGGGTCCCGGGGGGCGAAGCCGCCGGGTTAGGAGTAGGGTTAGGAAAAAAAATTATACTTGGCCGAATTTTGAGGTCATACTACCTGGCAAAAGGGCCCCCTCGTTAGCAGCATAAACTTTGGCAAAAGGGGTCATTGTTAGCCACTACATTCTAACGTAGTCAGCAAATCTGTTTAGCTCATTTTTATGAATAGGGCTGTTTATCCAGAGCTTTTATCATAAATTCACTTGTCCATTGTCAATCACGATATCTCAATGGATATAGAGTCGACTTATAAGAATGCCGTGTGGTTTCGTTTACAAAGCTAATTCCCTGGTAGAAAATGCTTCAATCAGACTTACCATCAACATGAAGTTGACGCTTGAAAGACTCTTCCTCTACCGGTGGATCCACATAATCAACCACCAGGTCTTCAAAAAAATGCAGGTAAGATTTCTCTATAAAGACAACCATGAACAAAAAAATCCAGAGTGCAAGATAAGAATTTCTTGAATCAGTTAAATTCATAGTTTATTTAAAAATCATTATTTTCTTTTGGGGTAAAATGCTGAGCAAATTTGTCTATCTCGTTTGAATCAAACGGTTTGATTAGAATTAAATTGAATTCGCCATGAACGGCGATTTTTTATCTTGTATATAAGCTCAGTATTTATTCCATCAAAAGAGCGCCCAACTTCGAGGCGCTTTTTTCTGAAAATTTTGCAAGTTTTGTCACCAGCAAAAGATCAGCTCAGTGATTATCGAAAATGATCTGATCTGCTCAGCTCGGCTCAAAAAATGATCACTCAGCTCAGCTCAGCTCAATTATTTTCGAAAATGATCTGTTTTGCTCAGCTCAGCTCAGATAAGAATCACTCAGCTCAGCTCAGCTCAGCTCAACTACCTTAAAAAAGGTCAGTTCAGCTCAGCTCTGCTCAATGAGCTCGGAAAAAGGCCAGCTCAGCTCAGCGAAAATAAAGCCAAATTTGCAATTCTGACTTATATTATATAAGTCTTATATAGATAAATAAGAATAAAGTTGATGGTGAAAACGAGTCAAGACTGTATATCGTTTTTTCTGACATAAAGTGATATTGAAAGATAGAGAAAGTGTTTATATTTATTTCATTATTTAGATCTCAATTTTTGTGAAGATGATTTCTTGAGATTCTGCATGTATCTACAAAACTCTTTCCCTTCTAAATTCAGCAGTTCGTCAGATCTATCCGCTCTTTGCTTGAACTCGTTGAATATTTTTAATTCCTTCTCCATTTTTTCAACGCCGAATTCTTCGATTTTCTTGAACAATGTTCTATTGGCAGCTTCGTGAATTGCTTTATCGACTTTTTGGCGATCCAGAATTTTTTCTATCATTTCTTGAGAAAGATCATCGACGCGGAACTCTTTTTTCTGGTTCATTTTCGCGCTGAAATAAACGATATCTTCATATTTGAGCCTCAAAAGTTCCTTCAGAAGAATCAAGCTTTCATCGAAATGCTCAGTTATCAGAATAAGATCGTAGTATTCGACAAGCCATTCGGCCACAGCCTCTTCTGATCCTAGCTCTTCATAAATATCCATCAACCCTAAACATTACGGTGAGAAAAAGAAGATCATTCTAGTACCTAAATCGAAAGCACACGGATTTCGCCCATTTTCCAAAAAACTCGCATTGCCGACCCTTTTTCCAAGATTTTCTTTAGCAATAAATTGTTCAAAAGCTTCGTATTTTTTGCTGCTATTTTTGAATCCCATCGCTGCGTGCGGAAAATAAAACCAAGCCGAGATGGTCTGAGTTACTGGGTCGCGTAAAATTGTAATTTTCTTTGCAGTTGGCAGTGCCTTATCGATGAAAGGCGACCAAACATGATGATTGGCGATGACTTGGTAATTGCCATCATGTTCGTCCGTACAGTTAGCTTTGATCGGTCTGTGTTTGCAGAGATAAACTTCGTCTCCTCTTGGTAAGCCCACTGTCAAGTTGTACGTCAAGGCGTATCGATAAATGATGTTTTGCAATGTTGAACTTCCAGTTTTGTGCGTTTTCATGAAATAAACTGGGTAAGCTTGAAAAGGTTCTTCCACTACCGGTGGATCCACATATTCAACCACCAGGTCTTCAGAAAAACGCAGGTACGATTTCTCTATAAAGACAACAATGAATAAAAAAGATATAACGACCAGATAAGGGGTTTCTGAATCGGATAAGTTCATCGTTTAGCTGTGAAAATCATATTCTTTTTGAGTAAAATAGCGAGAAAATCCAACGCATTTATCTTAAATTCAACGGTCCATTGTCAATGGATATAGAGTCGACTTACAAGAATACCGTGTGGTTTCGTTTACAAAGCTAATTCCCTGATAGAAAATGCTTCAATCAGACTTACCATCACCATGAAGTTGACGCTTGAAAGGCTCTTGAGCTACCGTTGGACCCATATAAGCAACCACTAGGCTTTCAAAAAAATGTAGGTATGATTTCTCTATAAACACCACGATGAACAATATAATCCAGAGTGCAAGATAAGAGGTTCTTGAATCAGGCAATATCATCGTTCATTTAAAAATCATTAAAACAATTGTCTTTTGGGGTAAAATGCTGAGCAAATTTGTGAAGCTCCTTATATTGCTGAACGGCGATTTTTTATCTTGTTTATCAGAACGAAAGCACGGTAGTTATTAATCTTAAGAGCGTGCAAGATAGAACGCGTTTTTGCCAAAATGCTGAAAACAAATTGAGACTGTATAATATACAGTGTATATCGTCATTTTTTTTGACATAACTGATATTGAAGTTGTGCATGAATTTCTAATGCTCTCGAAAATAAAATTCTCATCGGTCCTGATTCAAACAAAGGCAGAAAGTGAAGAGCAGCTAATGAATCAGGGCGGTGACAGGTTTATTATTTTAATAGAAGGTGGCTTTCTGACTGTCAAAAGACGAAACTCGTAATGGAGCTAATTGAAGTAATTAAAAATGCAACCGCGAATGGCAAAAAACCCTAGCATCGAAAAGACCAAAGAAAATAGTTGTATTTTTTCTTAAGAAAGAGGAGTTCAAAAAAAATGAAGACTAGCAAAAGAGCTTCGGCGTTGAAAAAATCCGGCAAAAAACGTAAGTTCGAAATAATTTTCTAAATAAAAATAATTTTCAATAAAAAGTTAAGCCAGCTTTTTTTCGCAGGCTTGAATTTTTAACGAGCAGCGCTTGAATTCGCGCTAAAAGGCCTGATTTCTCATGTTCCTAATGTCCGAATCGAGACCAGCTGGTGAATTCTTAATGCTTTCTCGTTTCAGATAAATCTTTCAAGAACAAAAAAAAACTCAAAAAGAAAATTAAACAAAAACGTCTCCGCTAAAACATGTGCTAAAAGAGCAATCCAGAGCTATTTTTGAAAACATAGAGAAAAAGCCGAAAACAAGGAAAAATGGAAATTCTTCCAGTGAAATGCTTAAAGGACGAGCATTTTTTATTCTTTCATAATTCGTGGCAACTGTATTACATTCCTGAAGGAAGAGCTTTCGGATAATCAAAAATCAATCTTCAATTTAAAAATTTTAAAAATCCTCGTTTTTATCAAGCAGTCGTTATTAATAAATTCATATTGAAACAAGTACCGATACTTGGACCTTTCAATAAACATTTGAATCAATTGCCGCTGACTTTTCCATTTCTTTAGCGGCTTTGATCCTTCTATGAACCCTTTTTTCACCGCCTGAATATTTTATTATTGAAAGCTGAATATTAGAAACTTCAACTTTCAACTGCAAGAAAACCGAACAGGAAGCAGCGCCATCGGTTCTACCAGCTCTTGAAAATCCAGCTAGAGAGACCCATTCTGACTCTGGATTTGTCAGAGAAAAGAGACGTTATCCGCCGCCTTATTTTAGCAGTAAGAAATTTAGTATTAATTATTTGCCGAGAAAATATATAGCGAAAAAAGTCGGATCAAATGATGATGATACTAATAATCAATATTGACGCAGTTGGAATAGAGAAAGGGTCTATTTTTTACTTCTATTTTTTCATATTCTCGTTACTGTAAAATTACAGTATGGGAGGAGACATACGGGAGCATATTAAAAAGGCATATGCTAAGAGGGTATTGGTGATTAAAGGTGATTTGACATTGATAGTAGAGTTGGATATAAAAATGTCATCAATCGAGCGAGGGTGATTCTGAAGACAGGTCGTTTCCTCGCGCAATTTTAACTTGAAATTGAATTTTTAAAAATTCATCCTTTTTGAATGAAAAATGGCGCGTAAATGGACGACGCCGCGTAAAACAAGAGTTTTAGGTCAGAGAATGCCGCCCAAGGGAGGAAGCAATCAGAGGAACGCGCGGCCGCGGCAGGACATTGTCCAGTGGGCGGCGGAAGTCAACAATCAAGGCCAGCAAAATTGTAATAATGAGCAGGGACAATTGCAGGACTCAAGAGTGCCGCCGATTTCAGATGGAGGGGCTGAGCAGGGACCGACTTTTCTACCCGACGGAAGGAACAGTGATTTCGCATTTCTGCTCATATTTATGATGCTCTCTTATAATTAACTTATTCAAAAATCACGTGAACAGATCAGTCTGGCACACAAACGACGGCGGCTACTATATTTACTCTCCGACGGATTTCGGCGGTTCTGCCAGCTCGTTGAATCGCGTCAACCCGCCATACCAAATCGCCGAGATCGGCGCCGCAAAAGGAAAACACAAGTGGGACGATCTTTATTATTTCGGCGCGCTGGCTGCATCTAGACATGCAACTACCCATGTCTTCTCGGGAATAGTGGCGACGATCTTCGGGTTGATTGTGATGAAGACGCAGGCTTTTCAGGTAGACAGGAGCAGTTTTTTGTTGGATGAGCGAGGTGGTTAATTTTGGATTTTGAAATAACTTGTTTCAAGTGGATGTACTCGGAGGGCATTATCGCAGGTGGACTCTTCTTCCTCTGCGGCTTCATCTGCTGCCTTTGCTGCTCACCAAAAACCTCTGTTTTCACCTGTATTTTCTCGAGTATCATAGCCATCATTTTAATCGCCCATGTTGCCATCGTTTTCTACGTAGAAGGTAACCAATTCTATCCTCTATTCGGTGCAATTGGGACTCGATAATTTCGAAGTTTTTGATTCGCTGATGAAAAGAATACTGGCTTTTGATTGGTCGAATATTCATAAATGTTCGAATGATCGATATTTCCAGGAGAACTTCTTCTTATGATTTTTTAAGGTTATCGAGTTCGGGAAATCTGGGAAACACGTGACAATGTCCTGGGCCTCTGGTCTGTTTTGGGGTGTACAATGGCTGGAGTTATTGAACTCCTTTTAGGTAGAAAATCCTTTTTTTCATTTAGCTCATTTTTAAAGGTCTTTCGTCGTGTTCTGCCTGTTTAACCTACGCTGACATCGTCGACCGGTTGGCGATGAGGAAGCAGCAAATGAATCTAGCTAACCAGTACCCAGGTTTTATGAGCACCATTGCTGGTTCAAATGATAACGATTTCGCCTCGTCCCTTAGAGTTTCTAATAGATCGAGTTTGAAGCATCACGGGGAAAGAGTCTCCCTCTGCTCTGAACTCGAGCAATCCGCGGAGTTGACGGAATAATTCGCTATCATTTGATCCTTTTGTAGAAATAGAACTAACTGAAGAACTAATCGAACAGTAGAATCACCCTTACTAATCATTAGATCGCTTTGGATCACTTCTTTCTTCCTGGTCATCGCGATCCGATCTTGGCCTCAACGGAGGAAGAAACACAGGCATTGACGAAGAAGATGAACTCGACGCCGCTAAAGGTTTGATTTTGCTGCTTGTTAGGAACGTTTTGATAACGCTTTTGGAAAGATTCAGAATATGAGTTCCTGATAATGAGTCCGTTATCGATAAAACCTTCCAGTAGGAATTTCCTGTCTGGTCAATGGAAATTTTTTATTTTGAAAATCAGAAACTTTCTTAAATGCGAAAAATTAAAAATCAAATGAATCGAAAGAATATTCTTTCAAGATGATCCAAAAAATGGATAAAATCTCCTCGTTTTTGACCATTTTTTCAGACCAAATGGACGACCAAGGAATGGAACAAGGAGCTCTGGACGATTTCATGGAAAACGACTTGGCGAATATGGCGGAACGCGATGCAGAAGTCGAACTTGTCATGGCCGAGTACGACGCCGGCGATGCAGGTGGTGATGCTGGCTATGATGTCAATGATTAATTTAACCTCGTTTCCTTATTTATAAAGAGCTTATTTACGATTTGCATATTGGTTATTTACTAATATTTCCTCTTTTTTTTAATTTCACTGTACAATCACTTTCAAACTCACTGCTGCCGAAAAGAAAATTTGGAGGCGACCAAATTTTCAAAACGTCAAAAATAACAAATCAAAAATTTTCGAAATCTTCGAAATCAAGGAAGAGAATGACTGAAAATTTGAAAGTTTGTATTGAAAAAAGATACAGCGAAAAAAAATTAGACTTTTGTTTTAAGATTTTTGAAAGAACGGCTTCAACTCATCTCTGTATTTTTTTTATCATTTTCTGCTGTTGAAATAAAATAACTATCATAACCTTTAATTTTCTGATATGAAAAGAAAATTCTAACGAGCCAAGTTGGCAATTAGTTAGACTCTAACTGTTAGACAGTAAAAGATTCATACATACTACTGTATTCAATCAGAGAACAGCATGCAAACAGAACAGAATAGTAAATACTGAATTCAGCCAAAATAAGAATCAAGTGGATATGCATCTTCGCCATGTTTCAGCTTATCCAATCCGTATTTTTCTATGCTAGCAGGGACTCGTAGAAGTTTGAGCTTTTTGAGAGACCAGAAAACAGCCCCAGACAGGGCAATTGTCCACACTAGAATGGCAAGAGTTCCGGCAATGTTCCAGCCGAGGACTTTCCACTCAAAGAAGTCGCATCGAAAATCAGTCCCGTTTGGATATTTTCGGATGTATTCGAGCTCTTGGACGGGACAAATGTCGAAAGCTGAAAATACAGTTGATGCGTAAAAGACGATATAATCCTTACCAATGAGTCCATCATGCTTGAAAATCGGCGTCAAGAAGATTCCAACAAGTCCTCCTCCAAGATGAATCGGCGAAGCAGTCAAAGGGTCGTCGATTTCAAATTTTTCCAGGAGGTTTTTCGAGAAGATCATAAAGAGTGCCCCTAAAATTAATTTTCATAACGACTACCGTCACGGTAATGCATGCAGAAACTAATAACAATCGAGTTTTCTGACGGGTTTCATGATAAAATTGACAGTTCAATCGATGAACAAGGAAAAAGGCCGCATAATTTTGATCGGCTCTCTTAATAAAAATGTTCGGCTTCTTATTATTATTCCTTTTAACCCGGCTTCAGCTCGGGAAATTGTGATTTCTCACTTCAAGTTAGAGAAAGATTACGATCCGTGGCGCATCTTCGACTCTCACATCATGGAGAACTACTTGGAATCGCTAGAACATCAGATTTTTATGCAAAAATATGTGATGGGCTACTGGCCGGAGAATTGAATAAATATCGAAAAATCATTCTTACCTAAAGAGCCGACAAGAAGAGAGTAAGCCTGTGTCAAGCTATTGCTTCCCGCAGCAATGGCTACCCATCCAGCAAGAGCGCCATTCATCAGATAGTAAAGCGAAATGTCAGCGTAACCCCTTTTCCATCGCAGGGTCAAGTAATTGTAGGCCAGCGAAACGATGCCTCCCGCCGAACCGCCGAGGATCGTATTGACAAAGATTTTAGCAACAGTTGTTCCGTGATTTCCGGGGCCAACAATTGCCAGTTCTGATCCTCCATTGAAGCATAAAAAGCCAATAAAGAGGAATAGGAAACCAAGATTGATGAGTGGAACACTATGGCCGAAGAACAGTCCTTCGTTTTCCTAGAAACAGGAATAAACAAATATTCGTTGATTCGTATCGAAGCCTTACCTTTCCAAAACGGCCTCCTCTCGGACCCATAAACCACGCTCCAATCAACCCGGCGACGCCACCTGTGCAATGGACAACGGCCGAACCAGCGAAATCAATAAATTGGACTGGTTGATTCTGGTCGTAGAAGAAAGTCCCGTTGGAGGAGTAATCGTGGCGGTAGAAATTCTCAATCTTCGGATTTCGTAGCCATCCAGTTTCTGTCCAAGACCAGTGCGCGACTACGGGGAAGATAAAGCCCGTTATAAAGGTCGTGTAGATTATATAAGCGCCAATCTTAAACGGATGGTCATTTTGAATCATGGAAAAAAGCTTATTTACCTGAGAACGCTCAGCAACAGAGCCGGAAACAATTGTTGCTGCGTTGACAGCGAAAGAAAACATAAAAATCCAAAAAGCGAAACCACTTCTTTCTGGCTCGTAGGGGTTTCCCATGTCGAAAAAGAATTTAAGCCCGATAAAACGATTCGAGCTTGCATGAGGATGATCTTCGGGGAGGTCTCCAAAAGCAAAGGCGAATCCAACTGCCCAGAAAACAAGAGCTCCAATAACTAGAATTTTTTTCAGAAATGCTTGTCTCTTTTCTTACTTACAGAAGTCTAAAATATTCTTCCAAATAATGTTGACTGTATTCATCGCTCTTACAGATCCTGCCTCTAGAAACGCAAAGCCAAACTGCATCAAGAGCACAAACCATGCCATGATCAACAAAAAGTAATCATTCATATCATTTTCGTGCTTAGAAATTTCATTCGCCAAATTTATCCTGTCTTGTTCTTCGCTCATTTTTCTCTGTATTTTTTTTGTCAACTGAGAAGCGGTCAACAGGTTGCTGGACGAATAAATACGCACTTGGGAAAATTATGACAGGTGCCATAAAATGGCGTTTTCAGGTCATGATGCGCGATATAAATCTAACCCGTTTAAGTGGGATTTATATAGGGTTATAAAATGCCGCTACTAATTACTGCCTGCCTCTGAAATTTATTGTTCCAAGTTGTGCTGACGTTGCATAAGGAGGACCTTCAGGCTGAAGGCCTCAAATCAGAAAAAGAGCCGTAAAGGTAAGAGTTCCCTCTGACAGTTGATTAGTATGTACACAGTTCTAGTGCTTTTTCGAAATGTCCAATAACTAACATCGTCGAATAGAGTTCATTTGTAGGTAAGACCTTCGAATAAGACCCGAAAACAGAAAGACACTTTTTCAAATCAAATGTGTCCTAATATCATGAGAAGCGATTAATGCTAAATCGCCTCCCTTTCCACTTTTTTTTCTATTTGAATGGTTGCCCTGGTGAGCGCACTTGGACGATTTGCACAAAAAAGTATCTACAGTGGTGTTGTAGTTGACACTTCACAGTATAATCTGTTGCACAGTAACTATCAATAAACTGTTATTCATCTCCTAAAAAATTCGAATTTTAACTCTCACCCTATTCAACCAGAGGAAAGAATTGACTAGAGGATGTCCTGTAAAAGTGCCTTTGGGAAAGGATTTTGAAGTATCAAAAATGAATTTCAAAATTGAAATTATTCAAACAATCTTCAGTGAGCGTCATTTTACTGACTCGAAGTTTTCGAGTCGAAAGAACTTTTATAAAAAAAATCCTCTGAAAGATCAAGAACTCCTCGTTTCGCGACAAAAGGTGTCCATCCAGACTGGAAACTGCCCGGCGATTATTTGCAAATCTACTACGAGCCTGAAGTGCACGCTGATAGAAAGACAGAATTTTACAATGTTCAGACAGGTCCTTTCACGGAGGATCATGCTCGCAAACTTCGGTAAACGCCCAAAATATTACTCAATAAGCTTTTTTTTCGCAGCGATAGTCCAGGTTGGAAGAAAGGCTTCGACTTGTCAAAAGAAATGGCGATTCCGCATTTGCTTTACAAACCGCAGTTTGAAAAGAACAAGGAAATCGAGGCCCGATTTGGCCCGGGAATGTACAAGCACACCGACTTCATTCAGGAAATGAACAAAAAGCCAAGCTCGAAATTGGCGCTCTACGACCGGCCGGAATCAAGGAGAACTCCGAAAAACGATACTCCTGGTCCAGGAGAGTATACTCCAAAGAAAAGGGCAACAACGGTCAAATCGGTCAATGGGACCTATGAATTGAGTCCCACTTCGTTCAGGAGAAACGAAATTAACCTCCTCGATCATCCCTCTCAGCCCTCTGATCGGTATCAAACTTCCTCTATTCTTTATAAATTTGCTTCAAGATCGAGCTCTTTCAATCGAGAAACCAACCTCTTCCCGGGCGCTTTTCACAAAAATCTTTCACTGAAGAAATTTTGTCAAAGCAAGTCTCGAAACGCGGCCCTTACGATCTGTACTCTGGCAAAATCGGGCTCAAAATCCGGAAAAACGATGGCATCGGGCCTGGAGCATACGAAGTACAGTCGTTTACAGGTATTTTTTCAAGAGGTTCTTTCTTTTATGCTTTCGAAAAGATGTCCTGCAGAAAGAGAACAAAGGCAAGTTCAACATGAACAAGTATCAGTACAATCCATCAAGACTTGCCAGGCATTTACCGTAAGTCTCATTATTAAAACAGATTTGAAAAGCGTCAACCCTAGGCCATCAGACAACCCAGCTCCGTCAGACTACAGCCCTCATTCTTCTTCTACAACGACTGATAAAACACCGGCGGGAAAACGGGCTCCATTTTTGACATCAGCACCGCGGGAGAGAAAAAACTACAGAATGCCGTGCGAGGGATGGACGGATATCAACAGATTCTCGCGTTATCAATCCAAGTAAACCCATTTTCATTGTCAAATCAAGGGTCAAATCAATGCTTTCAGAAAAGTACTCGGGCCAAAAGTAGAGCCGAAGCAACCCAGATTTGTGCATCCAACAGCTGGGCTCAGCAACCTGTGTAGAAGACCTGAGTCAGGATACTGAAAAGCCGATTGAAATTAAGATTTTCAAGCTCTTTCGGGTCCCAGACTCAGCTTTTCTACACAGGTTGCTGAGCCCAGCCCAACAGACGACCAGCTTCATCAATCCCGGCTTCGACAAAATCGCTCAGTTTCCTTCGCCTAGTTCTAGAGCTGCAATCTACTGTAACTGTACATTTTTATCAGAAAATATTACTGCTTCAAAAATACATGTAACGCAAAAATACGGTACATTCTCAAATGATGAAAAAGCATAAAGAAGAAACCATAATTCAAATATCGGACTTCTTCTAGAATCGGCGAAAACCGGGATGTTGTTGGTGACTGTAATTCAGTCTAGAGATGGAAAGCGTGGGGAAACCGACTGCCAAGCGGAAGTTTTTCCTCCGACAAGAAAAGAAGTCAGGTAAAATTCTAGAAGAGAGATTTTTTCTTGAATTTGAAAGATAATTATAATTAAAAAGAGATCCTGTGGACGTGTCACGCTTCTCCGATGCGTGCCCAAGCCTTGACTCGCTCGTCGATAACCAATGAGAGCTGAGCTCCATTTAGCCCGGGGGTGAGCCGTTCTCGCCCCCGCTGAATCTGATTGTAAGAAGGCTTGACTCAGAGTTCCTCACTGTGGAAGTTCATTCTCGCTCTTCAGAAATTGGGGCGCTCAGCGAATCAGTACGCGGCGTTTGTGGCGGATCAACCAATAAGCGCCGCGCTTCGGGTCGCGCTCCCGAGCGAGATCTCTTGTTGCAGAAAACGCGCGCGCGCCGCCCCGAAATCGCACTTTTTTTGTTTTGTTTTTTTCTTTTGCTGAAGAGATTTTGAAGTTGTGAATTTCAGAAGTTGCAAATCCACCCACCAGCGTCCAGGTTGGAATTAGAACGCTGTCAATCGGAGAGTCTGCCACGGAGATCAAACTCAAAAGCGAAAACAAAGAGAATGAAGAGTCAGAAAATGAAGAGAGAATGAAGATGGAATCCTTCGCCGGCAAAATTGACGCCCAACGACTCGCCAAACTCGAAAGAAGGCTCGTCGAGGAGTTACGGGTTCGAAATTTATTAATTATAGTCAGCTTTTTTCGCCATTTTTCAGAGTTTTTAAAAAAGTCAGCGCGAAAAATATAGCCCCCGGTTATGAAAACAACCAAGCTAGCCAATGCTGACAGATTTTTAGTCAAAAATATTTTTTTCTTTTTATAGAAAATGGATACTTTTGATTGATCCGACTGCAATTAAGATAATTTCAGAATTATTTCTAAGTACATTGAGTGTTATTCATACTTTTTGAATATAATCTAATGGCTTTGTAATATGTTGAATATCAGCTGCTGAATAAATTATACATGCTTCTCAATCGGTGATAATGTCAGAAAAACGGTACTTTTATTTTGTTAAATATTGGCTAACTTTAGCTTGATTATTCACTGATTAGGGGCTCTGCTTATCGATTTAATAATTCCCCGCTAGGAAAATCACCGATTTTCAAAATTTCTCGGACAATAGAAAACTGTTTGCTTGAATAAACACCAAACTAGTTTTCTTTCTTCGACAAGTTCAGTTTTTTCCGGATCGGGGAATGAACCAAATTCTGGTTTGATTTGGGTTGATGGGGCGCGTTTCAAAGGCGTGAAATGCGCCCTTTGAACCCATAAACCTGATTTTTATTTGTTGCGACTGATTTTGATACTTTTTGAGTTCAGACTTGATTTTCTCATGACCACGTGACAAATAATAAGAAAATAATAAAGAAATTTTCTTTGAAAGTTATATTTTTCCTTTTTTTAATTAAAGAGATGATAATTTTCCGAACCCGACTTCAGCCAAACTCGAACGGATCTACCGGCCCCGCGAACCAAATAGCCGCCATGGCGAGTGTAGCAACTCCAGCGCCGCCAGAATTCAACGTCGGAATGAACACTTCTGAATCCGACAATAGCCAGACTGAGGGATCGCCGATGGAGGATCTTTCTGACTTGAAACAGACCTTGAAGACGACCGCCAAAACCCCTGAACAAACTAATCGGAGAGGGTGAGTTTCTTACACTATAAATTTTAGGAAGAAAAGATAAAGACACTAATCCATTTTATGTTCTTTCAAATCATCATTTATTCATAGCAAGCGAAAGCAAGACACGCCCCAGGAAAACCGGAGGACAAAGAACTCGCAGGCGAGCCAGAAGCCGATCGATAGCTATTTTGCTTCGAGCAACGATGTGTCAAGAACTCCCAGGCGTGGAACCGATAATGGAGTTGCAGTAAGTCGAAATCCTCTCTTTCAAAACGGTTACGTAATCGACATCTTTCAGAGGAGCTTGCTGATGTCTTCGAACAAGGATGAGTCGAACGACAATTCTGGAATCACACCTTTAGAGCCGACTACTCCGACAAGTTCAAGGCCGAAAAGAGCTCGACCCTCCCCTACTAATCGCTCGACCGACTGCCAAACGGACATGACGTTGAGTCAACTAGAATTACTTGAAGCTGGACAGGTAATTTTTATAGTAAAACCGGTTTAAACCCACTAGAACCGTTGAAACCACATCAAACCACGCAAAACCGAATGAAACCACCAAAAACCTCCATTTTTAAGGTGCAAAAAGCAAACGCGGAAAAGGACGTAATGTTCCGTCAAAATATGCGACTAGAGATGGAACTGAAACAGGCAAAGGACCTGGCGAGCTCGTTTCAAGACAAGTTTACCCGATGCATCAATCTGACGAAGAACATGCTCATAGAAAAGTGCAACCACGAGAAGCGCGAGGCACGAAGGAAATCGATGGAGGATCGCATTCGTCTCGGCGAGTGGAGCAGCTCTTACAGCGCCAGAGATAGTGTAAGTTATTCGAAAATCATCTTGAAAGAGGGATTGAAAATGGGTTTAGGAAAAATGGCTGAACGGACAAGCATTCATCGCCTTGGAAGATCGCGAGATTCAGCTTGAAATGGTGAAAAAGAACATTGAAATGGAGCGAAAGCTGCTGAGTCGCCGGCGCCCACCATCGACGACATCTTCTGGGAGCAGCCGTCAGCGCGAGAACGCCCTTTCGCTAGACGAGTACAACATGCAGGACATGATACTCAAGAACAGATCCAAGGCGCTCAAGGAGGACGAGGCGGAAATCAACTACGACAGGGACAAGCTCCATCGTGAACGAAGCTTGCACATTCGGTATGTTTAAAACACATCATTATACCTTCAGCCGTCGTTTTTAGCGAAATGAAGCGAATTATCAACGAAGATAATTCGAAATACTCGACGAATGTTGAGCTCCACAACCGCTACCTGCTCCTCAATCTGCTAGGCAAAGGAGGCTTCTCAGAAGTCTACAAAGCCTACGATTTCGAAGCGCAGAAGTTCGTCGCCATAAAGATTCATCAGCTGAACCAGTATTGGACCGATCAGAAGAAAACTGATTACCAGCGACACGCTCATCGAGAAGCTGAGATTCAAAAAATTATTAATCATTCCAAAATTGTCCGACTGTACGATAGATTTGAAGTCGACATTAACACGTGAGTTATATTTTTCTACAGTTTAAGGGTAATCCTATACATCGGCGCGGCGCTGCTCGCTCGATCCGCGCTCTGCCAGAACCTATTTTTCACTAGGCCATAAAATTCGAACGGAGTGAGATTTTTTCAAAATTCATAGAGATTCGTAATCCTTAAACCCTCTTCTATTGTTCTAGCAAAAATGAAAAAAACGGGAGCGAGGAACTATCTGAAAACCGCCGGTTTCCTTTGAAAGACATTTCCCGCCACATTTCTCATTCAAATTTCACAAAAATCAGATGGTCTTGTAGAGAATCGTCTGTTCTACAATTCATCTGATTTAGATTTTCTTTTAACGTTCTCAAAAATTCTCGATGATAGTTTGAAGAAAGTGCTATTCTTCTCTGCCGGAGCGCGCCGTGAGAAATAGGAAGAAGAGAGGCGCGAGGAAGCATAGCGCTCTTTTAAAATAACCATATAAAGTTATTGAGAGCGCAAAAGAAAATCTAAGTCAGAGGAATTGTAGAGCAGACGATTCTCTACAAGACCATCTGATTTTCGTGAAATTTGAATGAGAAATGTGGCGGAAATGTCTTTCAAAGGAAACCGGCGGTTTTCAGATAGTTCCTCGCTCCCGATTTTTTCATTTTTGCTAGAGCAATAGAAGAGGGTTTAAGGTGTTTCCTGGTTTGGTACAGATCCTGGTTTGGTACGAATCCTGGTTTGGTACGAATCCTGGTTTGGTACGAATTTCAAAATCATACCAAACCATGATTTGTACCAAACCAGGATTCGTACCAAACCAGGAAAATCGAGGGTAAAAATCCCGAAAATTGAAATATGAAATCATCGACTCTTATCAATTGTGCTCGACCCCCTTCAGCCTCAATATTTGAAATTATTTTATAGGAAGGAGATCTCATTTCTCAGAATCGTCAAGATATTTTTACACGAGCTCATCTGAGCAATTATTTGGAATCGCATGCTCATTTAAAAGATGTTAGGAGCATCCCTGCCCCTTCGAACAGTACCAATTTTCATACTGCCAGTGTCAATTTCATTTTTTCGAGTGATATTTTTACGGTAGACTTCAGCTATTACCCACAAAAAGAGCAAAAAATGACTTCAAAAAGTTTGATAGCTAGAAAATTTTTACACTAATCCGATTTTGCTGATTCTATCAGAATATAAAATCGGTCTTAGCTTATAAACCAAGCAGAAATATCAGCCCTTGAAAAGACCAAGTAAAAGGAGATTCAGTTTGAAAATGGCCTAAAATGGCCATTTTTGCCAACCTCAAGGAGGGGGTCGACGAGAATCGGGATTTCCGTGACCAAAAATGCGGGAAAACCTGATAAGATAGGCAAAATCTGATTTTACTGGTGAATAGAGAAGGGTTGATAAAATTAACCGGCGAAGGGAAAAAATTGGCCAGAAAAATCGGTCAAAAATACCGTCAAAGTAGGGCCATTTTCGCAAAAATGGTCAATTTTTTACAATTTTGTTCATTTCGACCCCTTAATCTTATTTTTATCAAATGATTTTAGGCTCAACAGATTCGGGAAAATCTGTAGATTCAAAAATATAAGATTCATATCCTGACTATGTGTATAAGCGAAATTACGATCACCCCTAAAAAATTCTCATCGATAGCCTATCCATTTTTCTCTTGTACAGAAAAATGAATGCTCAAGTAAAACCTACCACCAGAGGCGCTTAACCTTAGCCGGCCAAAATGTTATTTCTGACACTATCGGCCAAATGCACCATGAGTGGTGCATCACCTGCTTTTATTCTTGAAAAAATCAACTCAAAGTCTCTTGCGTTCGTCTTTGAGTTTGTTTTTGGGTTCTTGGTTAGGGTTAGAATTTGGATATTAGTTTGGGTTTGGGTTGGGGTGCGGATTCGGGTTTGGGTTTGAGCATCGGATCAAGTCCTCCAATTCGAAGAGGGAGGCTATACGGCCAATTTTTCGGAAAAATACTGCCTACCGGCCAAAAGCACCACCAGTGGTGTCGGCGCAATTGTTGCAACGAAAAACAGGAAATTATATCCACATAAATTACTTTTTTGACACAGCTAGACTAGCTAGCCTAACTTAGAGCCGTTACAAAATTACCGGGGCAAACTTACTACAGTTAATTATGGAATTTTTGGACATTTTTTGTCCCAAGATTTTCGAAAAAATGTCCAAAAATTTGATACACGCTGCCCAAAACAATGTCCCATCCAAATCACTAAAAAATTTTTTTTCGAGGAAAATCTACATCATCCTCTGTTTCATCCTTTTTCATAAGACAAAAAATGTTCTAAGGGTACGAGGTCAACCTTCAATCTTATTTTTCCCAAAGAAAAAATAAGATTTTTGATAAGAAAAAACGTCATATCTTGCAAAAAACAGAAAATTCAAAATTTTGGCGCAGAAAATGTCCAAAAATTTGATACAGGCACTTTTGAAAAGTGTCCCAAGAAAACCTCTTAAAATTGCAAAAATGTCCAAAAATTTGATGTCCAAAAATTCCATAAAAAACTGTATTGCTCTAGCGCATAGGGGCTACATTGTAGCCCAAGACATCTTTATACGGATCGATGGAGAATCTCAAGCTCTATGCCTGTATCATCTCAGATTTTCGAGATCTCAAAAATTTTCGGATTTATGGCGATTTTTCATTTTTCAAAGGGCTACGTGTCCCTAATTCAGCCAATCACAGCACTGTATTTCACGCATTTGCCCCGGTAAATTTGTAACGTCTCTTACTGATGGGGTGTTTGATAGCGAAATTTCCATCAGAGCGCTGTGGCGAATCAGAGTGCCTATCTCCAGCGGGCCTGAAATAGGCTAGTGAGGCCAGTTACCACACATTTTCTTGGTCGGCGCTCCGATTCGTCAGATGTTGGAAAAACGGGTTACGTGAATCTTATGGAAAATTCGAGAAAAATTAAACGGACGAATCAGAGCACCCGTCAGTGGGATGTCTGGTTACTAGCCTTACAAGTCCAACCCAGGCTCCGATGAGAATTTTTCCGCTATCCAACACCCCATCAGTAGCTGAGGCAAAAAAACGCCTCAGCTTAGCTTAGCTAGCTAAGCGTTTTTTGAGAGTGTAAGCTCACAGCTTAGCTAACTTAGGAGAAAATTTTGAGATCCTCAGCTTAGCTCAAAATTCTCAGAATTTAGAACTCTGCTCAGATGAGCTCGTGTAAAAATATCTTGAAGATTCTGAGAAATGAGATCTCCTTCCTATAAAATAATTTCAAATATTGAGGCTGAAGGGGGGTCGAGCACAAATGATAAGAGTCGATGATTTCATTTTTCAATTTTCGGGATTTTTTACCCTCGATTTTCCTGGTTTGGTACGAATCCTGGTTTGGTACAGATCATGGTTTGGTATGATTTTGAAATTCGTACCAAACCAGGATTCATACCAAACCATGATTCGTACCAAACCAGGATCCGTACCAAACCAGGAAACACCAGGGTTTAAGGATTACGAATCTCTTTGAATTTTGAAAAAATCTCACTTCGTGCGAATTTTATGGCCTAGTGAAAAATAGGTTCTGGCGGAGCGCGGATCGAGCGAGCAGCGCCGCGCCGATGTATAGGATTACCCTTAAGGGTGTCCCCAACGATTTTTTTGAAACAGGATCAACTTTGAGTTAATAATTCTATTAATCGGATAGTTTCTACATGAAAAATCTATTTGAATATTATTATTTGGACCCTTCTTTCTGCATTAATCTTGACCGATTTTGTAGATTTTGATCCGTTAATCCCCTACCGCCGCTTCAAAGAAGTTCGATTTCCGTAATCTCGGGGAACTTTGAGATCGTTTTTCTCGAAATCTACTCGTTCAAATTTCAAATTTCGTAAAGAATAATGTTGCTTGAACACTTCTCTCTGCATTAATCTTGACAGATTTTTTATAATTATATCAAATGCATATATAAATATACAATATATATAATGATGATTTTCACAAAATTTGAACCAAATTTTAGGGCTCTAATCGCTTGATTTTTTCTTCGAATTTCAGTCTGAACATAGTTCGATCCTTCAACAAGGCTCTCATGAGCTCAGATTGTGCACCGATAAGTAGGTTAATCCCCTTTTCCGGCGCCAAAGAGCAGGTGTTTTCGAGCTTTGGCGCGCTGTAACAATAAGTAAAATTCTTCGGATCTTTTCGAAAATGGTATCAATAGAAAGGAAATTTTTCAAGCTTTCAGGAGATATATAATTTGCTATACTTAATTTAGAATTTAAAAATAGCCATTTTCACAGTGCATTTCTATGGAAGGCTAATGCATTAGCGCGCTCATAGAAAAAGCCATATCTCGAGAAGTAGATAAGATATTGAAGATCTGAAAAAAGGTTCGGAATCGGAATTTCCTAAATAATAAGAAAAAATTGAGTCACCGAATTAGACATCTTCGGCCTCGATCGTTGGGGACACCCTTAAAGAAGCTGGAGTACTTTCTATATAGAAAATGATTCATTCTCTTTTTTAGATTTTGCACAGTGTTGGAATACTGCGAAGGAAACGACTTGGACATCTATTTGAAGCAGCATTCGAAGATTTCGGAGCAGGAGGCGAAATCTGTGATCATGCAGATAGTCCAAGCCCTCAAGTACTTGAATGAGCTCGAGCACCCCGTCATTCATTATGACCTCAAGCCAGGTACTGTCCTTTTCTAAAATTTATCTCCTCAAGCTGCCTTTCCAGGAAATGTCCTTCTTGCTGACGGTTCTGTTTGCGGAAACATCAAAATCACTGATTTTGGTCTTTCCAAGCAAATCCTCGACGGGGACCAACAAGATGGCGGAATCGAGCTGACTTCCCAGGGCGCCGGAACCTACTGGTATCTGCCGCCAGAGTGCTTTTCCAGACCAAATGGCGGTCCGCCAATCATTGACAATCGCGTTGATGTTTGGTCGATTGGCGTGATTTTCTACCAATGTATTTATGGAAAAAAGGTGAGAAAACAAGACGATTTTAGGCTTCAATCATTTTTCAGCCCTTCGGCCACAACCAAAGCCAGCAACAAATTCTGGAAAACAAAACTATCGTAAACGCGACGGAAGTGAATTTCCCACCGAAGCCGTCGCTGAGCCAGGACGCGAAGGACTTCATCCGCTCGTGCCTGATCTACCGCAAGGAAGACCGCGCCGACATCTTCGCTCTCGCCAGTCACCACTATTTCAAGGTGGGTAGTAAAGTCCACAAGAGTACCAAAGCACTTCCTCCACCAATAACTACACCCATGTCGCCATAAAATATCAAGACTCAAGAATACAAGTTCAAGGCATCATTAAAAAACATGTTTTTATTTGAATTGTTATTTTCATACTGAAATTTTTCAACTATATCTCACTGCACGAAATATTTTTTTACAACAATAAACCAACATCTCATCCCATCATCAGTAAGATCGGCAACCTGCGTAGAAAACCTGAGGCAGGGTCTGAAAGAAGCGGCTTCGCAAGAATATGAAAATGGATTAGACTGTTTATTTTGTGAAGCCGCTTTGCGTCTTTTCGCAAAAGATCTTTCAGACCCTCACTCAGGCTCTCTACGCAGGTTGCCGAGCTGACAATCATTCTCAAGGAGAAAATTCCCTGTTATAAATTCCTCTTTTGATTTGATTTTCAAGGTGCCTAACCGCCGACCAGCCGTTCCGCGCAATCCGCCAGGGATCTTCAACGAAAATTCAAACTGAAAAAAATAATTCATATTTCAAATCTATTCTAATTCAATTTTTTGAAAATTCTATTTCCGACTTTTCCCGATTTGACGTTCGGGCTCAACACACATTTTTCACTCTGCTGCTGCTCAAAAAAGAAGAAGAAAATAAGAAGAAACACGCATTCTAAAATAAATTCTAATGTTACGAAAAAACACCATTTTTTGCGGATTTTATGCTCAACTAGCAATATTGAATATTTTAATAACTAGACACTATTACTATTATTTTTTATACTGTCTGTGTCTGTTGCACCTTCTGGAAAGTTCACTAAACGACAATTGTAATTCTAGTACCCTTAATTTGAAACAAAAACGTACCAAAAACACCAAAGCCGTTTCAAACGCACTCCCCATTTATTTTTACTGTAATAAAACCATACCATGCCGTATCGAAAAATATATTTTGGCAGATTATTTCCAGCAGGATTCCGAAGGCGTAGATAATTTCGGCAAGATAAGATATTGAGAACCTCGCAACTGGGCTCGTCAACCTGTGTAGAAAATATGAGTCAAGGCCTTAAAGAGCACATGTGAAAAGCCGCGTTTTCTACACAGGTTCCCGAGCCCAGGTTCGTAATTTCGGTTGTTTTCTTTATAATTGCTGCTCCGTCATATTTTATATTTTCAATTATTCATTCTAATTTGCCTGCCGCTGCAATAAAATAAAAACTCCAAAATGAACCCGCTCAAGCTATCTCTTTATCGCTCAAATCTCGCCCCTGGTGAACCCGACCGTTTCTTTTTCCTTCTGAAAACGGAAAAATTGCCAGATCGAAAATTTGAGATTTACGGAACGCAGCACAAAAAATAATTATTGTTACTTTTTGAAACAGACAGAAAATAAGGAGGAACTCAAGCCTAGACAGACAAAACATTAGACTACAGGATCACGGGTCACTTACATTTTGCGACGCTAGAACTAGTTTTTGTTGTTTAAAATTTGATTAATCTAGTTTTTAAAAAGAGATAGAGTAAGAATAGGTAATTATTGGAAATTCCCGGCAACTCCTATTTTCAGTAGATTTTTTTCTGGACCTATTTTTCAAACCGATTTTTAAGGGTATTAGAATAATAATTAAGGGTGTCTTCTTGGACCAAAAGAAAGCCCGGGTCCCGGGCCGGGTTTTGTCAGGGTTTGAAGGGGCCGGAAGGCCCCTGACCCCCTTAAAAATCGATTTGAAAAATAGGTCCAGAAAAAATCTACTGAAAATAGGAGCAGCCGAAATTCCCTAATGGTCGTCACATTTAGCAAAGTTAGTTAGAGCAGGATATTCTCATTCCTTGAACCGTAAAAAAGACCGCTTTTGCGAAGCTAGAAACAAAAAGCCTTCCAAGATGGTAATGAGCAATTTCTTGAACCCTCTTTGTTCAGAGCACGAAAGGGCAACGTTGCTCATGAGCCGACCGATTCGACAAAAGCCCGTTCTTGATCTTCCAGCCCAGGTAAAATCCTCGAGAAATAACAGAACATCATTTTTTCCTCAGTTGGGAGAATCTCCTGGAGCTGGGAGTGGCTCAGACTCGCCTCGTCTGACGAGAAAGACGCAGGGTGAGCTCAACGAGGCTGAATCGAAGGGGGTTCCCTTAAATTCAAAATGGACTTTTTGGCTCGACAAGTAAGCTTACTTCTTTTTTATGCGATAGCGAGCCTTTCCATCTCGCGTTTCTGGTAGGCTGAGCTTCCAACGACCGATCAGAAGCGATGGAAAAACTCGTTATCGAAAGAAATCGCAGTAGAATCTTCGCAAATGTCAATTTAGGTCCGTCCCTGGTGCCACAGCGGCGCAGTACGAAGCCAATCTGCGAAATTTGTACACTGTTTCTACCGTCGAGGTAAATTTTTGAGGGAAAAAATGATTGGTTATTCTATCTTTTCAGAGCTTCTGGTGCGTTTACAATAATATTCCGACGCCATCGCGAGTTGCTTGCCGATATTCTTACCACTTGATGAGAGGCGTCCGGCGACCGATTTGGGAGGATGCGGAAAATGTCAACGGAGGATATTGGAAGCTCAAGTGTCCGAAAATTCATACTGTAAGTCTTTTCAAAAGGGATTTTCAGTCAAACGCTTTGCTTGAAAATTGAGCTATTTTTAAGGCTACTGTATGGAAAGAACTGGTCCTTGCCTGCATTGGGGAGCAATTCGTCGACGCCACTGCTGCTGATGACGATGTTACAGGCATTTCAGTCTCTGTTCGGGAGCGAGAAGACGTGATTCAAGTTTGGAACGCGAACTCGACCAAGAGCAACGACGCCACAGTAATTCCAAAGATAAAGTCCCTCGTTCCTCACGTCCAGTTCATCACTCACTTCTACAAAGGTCAGTCTACAGTCGTTCTTACAGTCGTTAACGTTCCGCTTCAGCCCACAAACAACACTTTGCCTTCGAAGGTTCTCGCGGTGGAAAGAATCACAATTCTCATCACGACAATCGCAATAACCATAATCGTCGTTAGTTCCAAAAACCGTACTCTCATTCATTTTCTCTTGAGTCTAATTTCATCTTCCTTTTTTTCTCGCCCGGACTACCTTTTTTCTTCCCGCGAGTCGTTCCATCCCTTCTTTTCATTACTTTCCCCCTATTTGTGCAATACGATGTTCCATGTCAGTTGAAAATCTTTTTTTCATTCATTCAAAGTTGGTTTGAAACTGGGGTGAGCTGAGGCTTTGGAAATCGGTGGGCTTTTTGGGAAACTTTGGGTTCTATGGGATTTTTTAAGCCAATAAGAAGGCCGCATCATCAATTTTGGCCAATCAGAGATCTTTTTGGGTTTACCTTTAACTCTGACTAGTTGGAATAGATGATGTAGGCTTCTGATTGGCTTCAAAACCCCACAGAACCCCAAGCATTCCGCTGGACCCCGCAAACCCGACAGAATGCGCCCACCCCAGTTCCGAAAAATCAAAATTCTGAGTTCACTAATTTTATATTCGCTCCTAAACCGACTGAAACTGTTTTAGTCGCCCCTTCCTATCCTAAAAATATTCTATTTTTACTGTTTCCCTCCTCGTTCAATTTCAACTCAACTGGCGGCCGCGAAAAAAACCGTTTTTTCGCGACTCAATACGCCTTTTTCTCAATTCGATTTTGTTTTCGTTTTCTATCGTTTTGATAAGCATCAATAAAAATGATCGATCTTTCGTTGAATTTCTTTACTTTTGCAAGTTTTGAAACCGATTTTGAAGCAACCAAAGAATTGGTTATTCCCACCGAAGAGGGTTAAAAACATAATGTTCAAAATTGAAGAGAGAATTTCATCGTTTTTAAAATTCGAAAACGCGCATCCTTTATTTACCTTATCCACTCAATTCCACTCTATTTGAGATTCTTTTTTTAATGTCTATTTCGCCTTTTTCCAAGACCGAAAAAAATCATTCGTTTCCGCTGTTTCTTGAATTATTCTTGTTCGAGGACATTTCTTTTTAAAATTCTCAAAGGCAATAAATAAATATTTTGTAGACTTTTCATAAAATCATACTCGTTTCAAAGCTTTTCAATTTCTTTGGAAACTTTGAAATTTTCTAATTTTCACTTGCAATTCCAGCAGTTGCAGAAAAGAAAAGTCAAATATTTGCTTTGGCTATTCTTTGCCCAGGGATCGTAAAGGAAAAAACATTGAAGAAAAATCTTTTCCATAGATCTTTTATGCTTCGCGTTGGTAGAGAACAGATACGGGCAGTTACTCGAGTTCCGATTATCACGAGACCGAGTGTTCCCGCAGAAAATTCGCAGTTTATTATACTCGTAAGTTTCGAAGTTTTTCTACAGGGGCTTCATCGAATAACGCTTGTTCCATCCAAGTCTCTGATTGGCCGGAAGTCTTGACCAATCAGGGCTTTGATGGAAAGATTTGTTATCATAGAACACCGCTGTAGCATCATCCTATCAGCAGAAAGCAGGTTACAAGAACAAAATTGTAGTCTGGCTGGGCTGGAGCCCGCCCGAAAACACTGAAACGATATGCCGAAATGTACGAAGAAATGGGCCACTCTTCCGTTATGGTCGGAGTGGACCTGACTGCGGTCAAAAACAGTGAAAAGGGTGCGGCCCTTGCGAAGCAGCAAACCTTCTGGGACGAAAACGAGCGAGCCATGTACACAGAAATGATGGAAGAATACATGAAACCGTTGTGGGAAGAGCATCCCGATTTGGAGAAAGTTTCCCCAATCGTGCATACCTTTTCGAATAACGGAATTCAAACCTGGTTTAATTTGACGGACGTTTTTCAGCCGCACAAGGGAGTGATATTTGATTCCGGCCCTGCTTGTCCACCTGATTGGGACGTGCCAGGAAAAATTTTTAGGCTCAACAATCCGAATGCCCCGCTTATGATCAAAATCGCGGTCACTTTAGGAAAGGATAAAGAAAATATTCATCAAATCATTTAAGTCATCAATCCATGAACCTTGAAAAGTAATGAACAGTGCTTACAGTTTTCGTGGCTTGGCAAAATACAAGAAAGAAGGAATGCTGATTCCTGACGACTTGATGGCAATGATTCCACCTCAAATAGGAACCGCGCCAAGTTTATTTATCGCTGCTGAACACGACACACTCACGTAAAATTCGAACTACGGTTAGGCAATTGAATTTCTTCAGTCCGCCTTCTTCCGTTGAAAAAGAACGAAATCGAACCAGGGATTTCGGCTTGTCGACGACGGAGTATCATGTGCTCAATGGAGGACATTGCACGATGCTGAGGGATGATGGAGAAAATTATAAAAGAGTCATTGAGAACTGGATAAAAACACTTGATAAATAAAATCTAAATCATTTCACTTTATTCGAAATAAATTATCTAAAAATGGACAAGAATAGGAGTCCAAGAGCAAGGCTGTATTCTCGCGCATCACTACCTCCATTGCCGCCTTTATTCGTCACCTTCATTTGAACATCATTCGATTTAGCTTCAAACTCGCAGTCTGCATAAAGAGCTCCAGTTGGCACAGAAGCAGCCTGGCATTGCGCTTAATTTTTCATTGAAATGTTGACCTTGATAAAAGCACTTACGGAAATTCTTGTCCTTCAAAATAAGATCCATCACATACAGGGTCAACTCGTCGATTTTCAAGAATCTTAAGTCTTCCATTGTATGATAGAATGCAGCCAATTGAAGAAGGCTGTATGGAAGATGGCAGAAAAATTCGTTCGAAATTTCAGCCGCTAATGAATTTGATTAAGATCTCTAGGAAATCTTTGTTTCTATTTTACCCGTAACAGGTACTGGCGGATTTCCTGCATTGTATTCCGTTACATAAGCGTTTATGTAGGCATCAAACTTTGAGTCTTTATCGGTGTTTGGTAACTCTGAAAAAAAATTGGTGCCTTGGATTAAAAAGACGCTTACTGTTCCAGAAATAAATAAGATCCCAAATTCTTGGCCCAATGTTTGAATTGTCGTAGTCCAAAAGACGGTAAGTTCCGTCATCAAGCTTGAAGATGTTGCCCAAGTGCGGATCTCCGTGGCTAAAGACGGCTGGAGACGGGGCCATTTCGGCTTGATCTCGCGCGTATTCGTAGAACTCTTGAAGAGTCTTCATATCACCGATTCCGTTCCTACGATATCGTTTAGAATTCGACAGAAATATTTCTAAATACTTTTGCATGTATCCTTGAACGAAGTCTCGACCATCTTTGAAATAATCATCGTTCAGATGATCCCCGTAAGCGACTGTATTCCAGGGCCAGTGTTGGCTGCAAAAGTCCCTGTTCATGCCTGTATCGCCGTATGGCACTAGATGATTCTTTGCAAGCAACCTAGCCACGGCGAAAATATCATCATCCGTTGGAGTGGTGTCTTCTAAATCACCGCCGTTCAAAAACTCCTGAACAATGGCGAAGTTCAAGCTGCCATAAGGATTTCCATCATTGTAAGTTTTGTAGATCTCTGCGCCAACTCCGATGTCGCCGCCATTTTGATACGCGTTGACAACGTCATTGAGACGATTTTTATTCATCCTGAAGTTTTTATCATTAATACTAGTGTATATAATATACAATATACAGTATAATACAGTATATTTACAATTTTCAATACCTGTAAAAGTTTATAGCGTCCGGATCGTTGTATAGTTTCACAAGAGTTTTTCGCTCAATCGTTCCTGAGTCCGCGGCTACATCATATGTGCACTCAAATAGTTTGGCTTGAGCACCGCTGAATCTGTATTCGAAGACTTTGGGATCTCCGCCGGCAACATCTTTGCAAATCTCATCCGCTTTAGCGGTTTGAGCATCTGAAGGTCCGTCAGCAAGAGCCGAATTGATGGCTGTTCAGGGTGAAAATTTTTCGTCATGAAATGCTTTAGTTTTGAATTTTAACCCTTGTCAAAAAGTGAAAAAAGCTTCATCTTCTGAGACGTCTCTCTGGCACGCCACAAATCTTGTCGAAAATCTCGGACCGTCGGAGAGTCGTAAAAGCTAGAAAGGCGTAGTTGGCTAAGCCCACTATTTCAGCTGGATTTTAGTCTTTTTGAATGCTAACCGCACCTCTTTATTTCTTCGTTCTCAGGGGAGCGGAAACTGCTTTGACGAAAAATATTTTGCTTTGTTCGCAAAAGTTCAAATTATAATAGCCATAGATTCTGGTCCATAGTTGTTTTTGCTCCACGAGATAAGACGAAGAGATCCTCGTACAATTGGTAGATTGGATCTTTTGCCGTTTAATCTCATACAAAAAGAACCTGAATTTTTCATGCAAAATCATCAGCAGATGTATTTCGGGGTGTAAGACGTAGCACGCGCCTCTCAAGAGGCCTCTAGAATATCGGTCAAGGAGCTAATCCGCGGGCTCCGCATCGAGGCAGAAAATAGGCGAACGAAGAAGCTCGGTCGATACCCATCTGTTCGACGGGGAAGCGATTCCGGTGCCCATTGTCTCGCTGCTGCGCGAGTGTTTCAACCCGATGACTTCCAATAAAAATGAGATTACAAGCACAATCGACCGTAAAACTGTCAGCCGATTAGTGATGCCTTGATTATAGAATTTTGCCGAAAGGAAAGTATCAAAAGCACTCTAGGAAGGAATGCAGATATTCGGGAGACGCTCGGTTCGATTACCAATTGGTATTCAAATACCAATTTTGGTATTCAAATACCAAATTCGCCAAAGAATACTAATTTCGCCCACCAAAAAATGCGAGTGTGCGCTCCGCGCCTGTTTTATAGGAAGCTCTAGATGTAATTTACCTGTTTTTCAAGGAAAAAAAATGTTTCCAGTAGAAAAATTTGGTATTCAAATACCAATTTTTGGTATTCAAATACCAATTTTGGCATTCATATACCAAAAATTTTTGGTAATGAAACCGAGCGCCCCCGAGATATTCTGCAACATTCCTACCTCTGATATACCAGCTCAGTTTTCTCCTCATTTTAAATAATCTTTTTAACGAAAAATAAGAAATGTATGGACATCGATTAAGACTCACTGGTAGCTCAATAAATCATTGACTTCTTTCTATAATTGGTATAATTGGTATAATTGCAAAAATAGGCAATAGTTACGGATAATTGTATAATAAAATATTCTCTAGACGGAAACTTAAAAATATTTTTCTTCACGGGAAAACAACAAATTATCAGTAAAATAAAATTAACCGATCTTGCCAGAGAAAATTACATAAACCAACCGGTAATCCCGGATAACCGCGCATTCTGTGACTGATCAATATCCAAGTTTTCTGAGAAGTGTCTTTTGAACTTGTCAAGAAATTGAATTTCGCGCGGTCGGACTCCTTTCAAGCTCGATCGATTCGGAGATCAGCTGTTCACTTTCTCGGCGTGCGCCTGTCCACCGTGCGCCCTCCATCATCCCCTTTATAAATTCCTTCGATCTGTCTTTCTTTTCATAAGCAAAAAAATTGAGCAACAAAATTTCAGAGAAAGAACATGCCCGAGTTTCAAATTCGCAACATCATGTGCCCCTTCGACTGCCGCTACGGACTTGGGAACAAAAACGACTCGCTCTGCAGACATCTCAAGCCCGTTCATCTCGAAAACCTTGCAGCAGAGCTGTTGGAATTCGAACTGTCTCAAGTCGAACCCTCCGAGCTCTTCAAATCCGTGCAGTTGTACGTCGACGACCCGGAATTCTGGAGCAACTGCTTGGGACTCGGCGAGAAGCTCCACCGCCACGCGCCAGTCTGGATTCAAGAAGCGTTCATCGAGTCTACGCGACACCAGCTCCTTCGTTTGAGCGGCGCGAAAATGGACAACAACAACTACCGATTGTTCATCAAACGCATCGAACAGCTGATGATGCTGACATCTCAATGCGACATGCAATTTTTACTCAGCGACATCGACTACTGTATCAGCAATGTCACTCGAGCCAACTCTTTTTAACTGACTTTCATTTAAAAATTTTAACATTCATTTTTTTATTCTTTTTCATTTATTTTTCCAGTTCTTTTATCATTCAAAAAATAAATTATGTTCAACTCAAATAAACCATGTCAATTCGATTCTGTCGTTTTCTGAAAAAGGGAATAGTATCCAAAAATTTGCAGGCTCCAAAGCAGCATGCACAGATGCACAAAAGCAGTGCAACGAGACCAACGACGATCCAAAGGATTGTGTGAACAAAGCTCTTCTTCATTTTGCAGTGACCGATCTAAGACAGTACTTATTGAAAGGAGATGAGAAGGTGCTACTAAATTTACCGGCTTAGTGAAATGGCGTGTATCTTCTCGAAACTCGCAAGTAACCTTGTCCTTCCAAAAGTCCATTCTTCCGTAACAACAAACCCTCGCTGAGCATGTCTTTCCTTCAGAAGCAAATGACAAGACGTGAAAAAAGTGCGTTGGAGCGCTTTCGCATCCGTAAGAATAATCCAGTGCGTAATCGAATTCATCTGCAAATGCTGCCAAAATGAAGAAATGAAAGATAGACCCAGTAAAACGCATCTCTTTAGATATTGAGTGTGAATTTTAGTGTCGGATTTCATGGTGAATAGAAAGGGGTAGTAATAAAAGGGGGTTCAGTGACATTTAGGTACGTCATTTCGCACGAAGAGTTGGCACGATAAGACGTGGTTCTTGTTCTGGGTGTTTGTTTGGTTGATTGTTTCTCCCCCGTGGGGGAGTGGGCCGAGCTCGCCGGTACTGCAATAGCGAGTCAACCCGTGGGAAGAGCGGAGCAAGCCCCTAACTACATCCCTAGTTCCAAAAATCAGGGTGACAATAGACGTCCCAGTAGGGACGGTCCCAGCTGTCACACTGAGAAGAACAGATACTACACTTGATCTTAGCCACAAAGGCCGGAAGCGATACCGAAGAAGATTCACGAAAGTGCCGGGCTCTCAAATTTGGGCGCGCGTTATGGTGTTTGAAACGCGCGCCTCAAATTGACATTCCATTTTGGGGCGCCGAGTAAAAAACCCTTTTTTCAAATTTTAAACACTTCTAGTGATATTTTTATTAATATTTCGAATAGAAAATAAATTTTTTAAATTAAAAATTATAATGTATTTCAGAAAAATAACTATTTTCATTCAATTATTTTTTTCTTATTAGTTTGTTATCGTAATTGAAAACTGCCGTGATTTTCATGTCAGTTTGAATGTCGATCACTTGCACAGGAATCGCGAAAAATCTGAGAACTTTCCCATCAAAACCAGATCAGCCAATTTTCAGCCATTCAGCGCGCTCCAAATGAGCCACGTACTCCTTGCGTCATATTATGGCGCGGTGAGCTGAATAAAATAGAGAATATTTTTTATAAAAAGGAAAATTAAATTTCAACGCTTTCCCTGGCAGTATTGATTTGGGCGAAGAGAAATTCTAGTGGTGCTGATGCGGGGATGGGTGTGGATTCTACTTCTCGGGTCAGTTGAGCTCGCAAGGGCGGAAGAAGAGGTGAAATCGAGAAAGAGCAGAATTGACGAAGTAAATGACGATTATGATGGAAAAGGTAAGCAATTATCGAACGAAAGACGCGAAAAAAATAATATAATCCTAGCTGAAAACGCAGAATTAACGATTCAAGAACAACACCGTCTTCTACACGAAGAAGCTGTCCGAAAAGCCCACGAAGCCGCACTAAAAGCTGCCGGACAAGACCCTCACGCAGGGAATACGCAATCGAATACCGTTACAACTAGCGAAACAGTTCAATCCGTACATACAGAAGTCGTTGACAACGCTTCTGGCGAAACGATAAAGGAGAAACTTGAAGTTACAAAAAAGGTGGTAGACAGCAATGGAGAAGTTAGAGAAGACCATTTTGTCGCTGAAATGGAAGATGAAGACCTACAGCTAGAATCTTCTCAAGAAGAAGAGGTTGTCCAAGAGGAGCAAGATGACCCAAAAGTTGCGGAGGAACCTGCCGAGAAAGAAGTTCAAACGACGATTCAGAAAAACGAGGCTTCCTCCACCGCTGGCTCGGAAGACTCTGGTAAACAAGAAAGCCCAGATGACGAAGAGTTCCAAAAGAGAATGGACGACTTCTCCGAATCCCTGGGGTCGCTCCTCACAGACGCTGTAAATACTCAACGACGGCTGAGAAAAGAGATGGACGACGAAGAACAAGTCAATGTTGGAGATAATATTAAACTCGAAGTTGGAGGAAGAAAACTCAAGGAAATTGAAATCGATGGAGTGAAAATCCTCACCGCTGATACCGTCAAAGAAAAACCTGGTAAAAAGAGCGGTAAACTCTCGAATATCCCTCCGACAAAAGTCATGCGAGAGCACGAAGTAGACGGTATAAAAATCATGACCACAGTAGATCTTGAAAACAAAGGTTTGGGTAGAAAACTTGAAAAATCAAATGAAGCAATGAAATGAAAAACGAAGTCACACAGTAAACATCACTAACTAACCCTAATCTTAGCAACCTTAATCAAATTTTAACATTATCGGCTACCTTCAACGGTACAGTACTCATTTTCAAGTAAGCACCCACTAAAAAGGCAATCCCGATTTACCAATCGACGTTCAAGACGAAGAATGGGAGCAATACGATCGAAACGAACAACTTCTCCTTCGTCGAAAGCGATTTCTCGCAGAAAACCCAACTTTCATCAACCCAACCTTCACGGGCTACAAAAACATCGACAATCTGGAACCAACCGTCGGTAAAACTGAAGATGATTGCCGCCGAATCTGGATTTTCAATGAGCGGCCGTTTTTGAAAAAGTGCGTCACTGAATTCCGTGGAGATATGCGCCCCTGGTGCAGTTTGGATGAGGTATTTCAGGGAAACTTTATCTTCTGTGAAGAAACTGAAGAAGAACGTCTCAAGCGGGAAAAGTACGTCGAAGCGTTGACTCTCTTCACTGAAGGAACTTCGATCATCGGCGGCTGGGATTCGCGACGATCCGTGGTCAAAAGCGGATTCGAAAAGATCGAGAAAGCGTATCAGCTTGGTTATGAAAAAGCATCGGGGCATCTCGCTTGGGCGAAATTGAACGGCTATTTTCTCAAAATGAACGTCCAGGAAGCGAAAGAACTCGCACTTGGCGGTGCCGAGCGCGGCCAAGCCCTGGATCAAGCTGTACTTGGATTCATGTACGCAACTGGTGTAGGCTTCCCAGCTAATCAAGCGAAAGCGTTTCTCTACTGGTCTTTCGCTGCTAATTCTGGCATCATGTCGGCTGATATGGCTCTTGGTTTCCGCTACTCCAAAGGCATCGGCGTCGCGTACAACTGTGAGGCTTCAATGGTTCATTACCAACGAGCAGCAGGCAAAGTGATGAACTCGATCTCGTATTCTGGAGGAAACGCGAAAGCGAAATGGAACCTCGAGCAATTAAATTCTGCTACTTTTGACGAATCGGGGCTGCACGATATCAACTTGATCAATTACTACGAGCTCTTGGCTAATCAGGGAGAAGTCGAAGCGATGGTAAAACTTGGGGAAATGTTTGTCGACCGAGCATATGAGGTAAAACGTCTTCAAAAAGGGAAAGATTTAATATTTTTCTATACAGAGAGATTATCAACGCGCAGCCGATCTGTACCGAAATGCTGCTAAATCATTGCCCGTCGCTGCCGCTCGCCTTGGACGACTCTATCTCGATGGACGAGGAGTTCCAAAAGACTACCGAACTGGGTACGAATACCTGAAATCCGCCGCCGACCGAAAAAGTGCAATGGGCCAGACCTATCTTGGAGTCATGTTCGAAGAAGGAACCTATCCACATCTTGCGATTCAAGATAAGGAAAATCCTGGTATCACGGGAATTCCAAGAATCGAAGAAGCTATCAAGTACTACAAACTCGCTGTTGAGCAAGGTTTTCCTGAAGCCTGCTATCGCCTGGCGATGATCCAACTTGAAGGACGAGGAATGAAGCCTGATATTCGCTCAGCGGTTAAAAATCTTCAAATTGCTGCGCAGCATCAGAACATCAAGGCGATCTACCAACTCGCGGTCATGCAGAGCTCCGGACGGTAAGATAATCGAAATCGAGGAAGGTTCTAAACATTATTTAGGGGAATCCCGAGAAACTGTCCAGCCGCGGTAGACATGTTCAAGAACGTCGCCGAGAGAGGCATCTACGCCCGTCTGTTTATGCATGGTGGCCAACAGTTCAAATCTGAGAACTACCAATCATCTTATGTGATTTACGCGAACCTCGCCGAGATGGGATTCGCGATCGCGCAGAGCAATGTTGCTGAACTTCTTGAGAACGGAGGTAGACTCAACTATCTCAACTCATTCAAACTTTATTTTACTTTCAGAAATCACGATCACAGGCGAGCAAAGCCCATACCCCCGCGCTCTCGCTTCCTTCCAACGCGCGGCTATGCAAGGAATCGTCACTGCCCGCGTCAAAGTAGGCGACTATTACTTTTATGGACAAGGAACTCCTGTGGACGAAAAATTGGCTGGAGACAATTATCGAGAAGCTGCAGAATCTCACGGCAATGGACAGGCCTTCTTCAACCTCGGCTGGATGCACCATCACGGTGTTGGGCTCGTGAAGGACATGCATTTGGCGAAGCGATTCTACGATCAAGCTATTGAAGTCAATCCAGGTAAGATCGAGATAATGTTGATTTCGACCATCTTTAACATTGACTTTTTAGAAGACGCAACACTGCCAGCGACACTTGCAATCATAGAACTTTACTTCGGCGGCTACGCATACGACCTCTTGTCCAGCATCGGCAAGATCACGCTTTCTTCTGTCGGTGAAAGCACGATGGAACTTATTGAAATTTACGTCGGCGAAAGCTGGGACATTTATCTCGGCCTCTTCCTAGCCCTAATTCTCTTCTTCGTTATCAACTTCAGAAGACAGTGATTTGCTGTATTCAATGGACGGAAAACTATCTGCTAGATGAAAATTAAATTCCATTTCTGTACCTTTTGCAATATTATTTAATGATGTTAATAAGACGATGCAATATTCAATTTCAATTCGACCGAAGTTTGTGTAAATTTTCACGCGCAAACTTTACTCTCTTGTTCAGCAGTTTATTATACATGAATTCAGGTCAATATTTCGTCCAAGACGAGTATAGGAGCACAGTCAGCGTATCCCAAATACGAAGCTTTCTGAAAAGCGTCTCCTTTATTTGATTTTTATGCTTCCCTCACCTGCTTTCCACCTTCTTCGCAAACGACGATGTCTGGATAAATCAAAGGGCTGAGAAATATAAAAATGGTTCCAAAGAAAGTCACCAGGAGAAATATCTGAAGAGATTTTAGCGACTTTCTTGAAGTCAAATCTTACCCAAAGTAAAAGCCTATCTAGGACCATCGCTACATACTGCCATTCTGTAGCTACTGCTTTCGCCGCCTCATGATGTCGGATACAATCGCCGATGAAGCTCATTTCCATCAGAGCAGCTCTTATTGAGCCTGAATTTTGATTTCCAACAGACATCTTCCATTTCCTCTTACCTTGAAGGGAAGCAAGCGTACTGTTTCGTTCACCCTGAAGTGCTTCTGTAGTTGATTCTTGAGTCAAAATTATAGGTGGAAATATAATAAGATCAAACCTTCAGTTGAGCTATCAGATGGGACTTTTGCTTCTGAATGTTTCCAGCTCATCTTGTTATCTACATTTGCTTCGTCGATTTTGAAGTTTAAGTTCCGTCGAAAGAAGATGTATTTTGGAAGGACTTGTAGAAAAACATGCCGAAGCCACTAAGCGAGAATTTGTTTAAGTTGTTTCTTGATGAGGATTTACCTTTGGCATGTCATGAGTTTGAGGACTTCTGTAGTGGATGTTGAGAACGCATACTGAAGCTACAATTGATGATGTAACCAGGACCATCGTAAAGATCAAGAATCGTCCTATCAGCGGAACATCCAGTGACGTTGGAGGAATCAGTTTTGATATCAGAAGCTAAACAACGGCCTGATACTCTGTTGAATGTGATGACTTACCAAAAAGACGGTAAGAGCAAGTAAAACCGAAATGCAGAGTGACATTTTTTCACCAGACTCGGATGGCAGGACAAAAACGAAGATCGCCAAGCTTGTAATAAGAATACAAGGAACAATCAAATTCACTGTGTAGAAAAGCGGTTTTCTCTTCATGACGATGTCGAATCTTACTTTGTCCATTTTGTCATTCTCAGTAGTTGTTTTTCTAGCGGGAAGGCCGATTATTGCCCACTCTCCGGAGTCAGTAAAATCATTTCGAATAGCTTGCAAAGAACCATGTTTTGAAACAGTCAGCTGAATCTGCACTTCTTTCTTTGAAAATACCCACGATTGAAATTCCATCGGACAGAGCTGGATGTCAAAGGGAAAGTGACGGACTCTAATCCCACAAGAAGAGTGGAACACAGCCGGTGGAGTCCATTCTACAGAGCCGTTGAAATAAACGATCGCCATTGCCATAAATGTCGACTCGTAAGAGCCGTCAGCATTGTTGTACAGAACCAGTTCAGGTCGCCAGATCTCGTCTCCAGGAAGCTGAACCTTTTCGATTCCACCATGATCAGCTGGGTTCCACTTCAGTCGCTCGTCAAACCAGCTTTGAGCTAGCCAAACTTTCGCGGTCATAAATTGTTCATATTCTTCAAGCGAAATAAGCTGCGATAAAATCAGGGTGAAATTTATATTCACAACGTCATGAACTTCTCTAACTGGCCTAACAAGAGGCGAGTACTTTTTCTTGTCAAGAAGCTTGTTTATCAATTTCTCTTCCTTGTTGTCATACGGAAGTCCGTCGTACTTGGGTATTTCTGCAGAAACAAAGAGCACGGGTAAAAAGTAAACTACTTTCATCCTCTTGAGCGCATTTTTTTCAATAAGCGAAGGCAAAGCTCATGCAGACAATAAATCAATATATCTTCGATTTTTACGCGGCTCACTGTCAGTCGAGAATTCAATTATACAGTTTCAAGGTCATCTTAAAATTATTTGTTTATTTTTTTCGAGAACAGCTTATGTTATTGAAAATTTCTCAAGCTCACAGTGTCTACACTTATTTTAAAAAAGTACAGAGTATGGAATCAGAAGAAGTTATTGCGGAACTGCACAACCTTTTCTCCGATAATGTGCCGTACATGAGCATTTGGAAAAGAGTAAAATTCAACGGTCTCGTGAACGAGACATTTGAGACACCTCTTCTTGGACGTCGAAATATTGAGCACCATGGATCTTTCTATGATATCACGGACGAAATCAAGGCGGCGTTTTCTACTAAGCTTGATGATTGGAAGTGCATCGATCCTGGATCATTACGAATGAAAAATTTCAAGCGGATTTCTCCTTCTAGTAAAGCCTTTGAAAGCTTTTTAATGTCAGGAAAAGAGGTGCTCGATGAATGCAACGGACAAGAGTCTTATGACTTAGGCTTCAACAACAAAGAGGTCTACTTATTGATGCAACCATTTAATAAGAGACTGTTTTTGATCCCGAAATCTGGAAGTAATAATAAAGGTGTGAATGATATAAGTTAAAATCTGTTAATAACATCTTGAAGATGCATTCATCAGATACACGGAAATCGACTCAATGGTTAGTGCACTTTAATTTTTACATCGTATATAATAATCCGAGGATAGGATCAAGACTGGGCTGCAATTTCAACGGTGAAATTTACCATTCAAGACAAAGAAGAATATGATAGACTCAAGCAGTCATCAAAGCCTCCGTCTTCTTATGTGATCCCGGACTGGGTGGAAAAGGAGTCGCAAGAAAGGATGAAGCAAGAAAGGAAAAAGCAAGAAATGCAGAATTCCAAAAAATCCTCAAAGAAAAAGCCGTCGAAGCAAAAAATTAAATCAAATCAGCCAAAGAAAAACGATATTAGTGCTCAAATAGCGGATCTAGACATAATAGACAGAAATGCTCCGTCTGGCGAGGTATGTTCTTTTGGATCAAGATAAACCAAATTGGTATTATACATTTTAGCGTGAACCTGATAATGAAACAGACTGGCTAACGGTTGGAGCGCCAAGTCAAGAAGAAAAAGACAGCCAAAATCCACCGATGAAACCACGAGCATCCCCGCCAGACGCCTCAGAAAAGCCACCGACCGAAACTGAGAAATCAGCTCTCGTTGAACTGGTCGAGTCAACAGATGATGCTCTTCCGGCGGAATCTCAGGGAGATCGAGCGTTGAAAGCTGAAGTTTCTGAACTGCAGGAGAAACTTGAACGCTATGAGATGTGCCCAATTTGTTTTGAGTGAGTTCTAGTCTTTGTTCTATTTCAAATTCATGTTTAGACGCTACGATGAAGATGAACACGCCAAATACTCCCATCAATGTGGCCATGGCTGCTGCTTGACATGCATGAAGATGGAGTTTGCTCGTCAACGTAACTGTAAGAATTTGTGAATTGGTGTTCATTCAATTTGATAAAAACTTTTTTCAGTGAGAAAAATGAAGTTCTACTGCCACTGTGGATTCGAGATACACGAAAAAAAGATAATCAGAATGTTCATTTGAAGAATGTCTACTGCTACAGCCTACAGTTGAAATGTTTCAACTTGAAACGTTTGATTATTGGAATAAACATGAAAAACAAAAGAATGAAACTCAAGTCTGAATTCTTCTTCTGGTCACTTTTTCAACTGCATTGGGGGCCTTTAATTTTAAGACATCGTAATTAATCGTAAATATCGTTTTCCACGTGCCCAAAAATAGCACCATTATTTTCCGCTCAATAGTACTTTTGTTCATTCAATAGAGCAGCTCGTCATTGTCCCTATTTTTATACTGCTCGGTTTTCTTTTCCTATGGGTCCGAAATTGACATCCTTGACGTGCTAACATGGGTAATTTCACATTTGACTGAATATTGTAATTTCCCATTCTCTCTGGTGAGGCGAGATTAGGGCACTTTCGAGTGGCGGTTCATCGCTGGAAATGGGCGATAATTGACCTCACTCGCAATTTGCGACGGAAGAAAGTGTTTGAAGGCGAGCGACGAATCAATATTCAACAGATAGAATTTCCCCCCAAACCTTAGATAATCCCGGAAGAGATTCTATTGTTGAGCATCGCGCTTTTTTCTCATACAATCAAGGCCGGCCTTAAAACTTTTCAAAAACCCAAAACAAAAGCTGAAACAAAAAGAACTTCAAGTCGCTGCTCTTCAGGGAAGAAAACAAAAATCAATCTGCCGACAAACAAACTGTACATTCCAACCCTAAAATCCTAAAATCGATGAGTTTTTATGACGCCGATAATAAACGGTATCAAGTGCGCGATCAACCGCTGAACCGGTTCCTCTTTAATTTCACATTTCAGTGCACCAGCTTTATGATATCGTTAATTTGACCCTGCGATCTTCCAATTTCCGATTTTCGTCATTGTCCTTTAGAATGGTCTCATTCTTGTATTCTACTGTAGAATTTGTACCTGCGAAAGAACCGACAGAGAACTTGTAGACTCTATGTGACTTGCCGACATTTGATCAACAGCATCTTTTTTGGGGCAGCTCTGATGAAATTTTTGAAAGATATAAAAATATGTATGACGCGTTTATGATAGGGAAAGACTCCCACGCTTTATTAAATTTCAAAACTTTTGAATAAATATATATGGGAATAGATATGGTCCATATTGTTGGTGTTTGAGTTATTTTCAATACAGTAAAATTGCAGTAGGAAGCCTGGGAAAACGCTGCATAAAAACCAATTCATCAAGCTAGAAACTGTTTCATTTATCAATCGGCGGCATCAAAGATTTGTCTATTTTAGATTTTTATTTACGCCAATTTATGATTCACGTTAATTGAAACCTCCTTTCCGCATCGTAAATTCGGCGCGCTTGGTGGCGCTGCGGGATCACTATTTTTGTAGCGCGGCTCGCCCTACCATTGTCTAAAAACTCGAAGCGTTTTCATCGTTCCACCACCGGAGCATCTCGCAACTTCGCCAACACAAAAGAGCTCGTAAAGCGCTTATTTTCACCCGTCTCGTTTTTTTCTAATCCCAGAGCATCGCCGTCAAATAGAGAGCTCAAGAAGGTTCCGAAAGGAAGAAAGCGAAGAAAGCCATGTCGCAGATTCTTAATATCGGCACCATCTGCTGCTTCTTGTTCTGTGGACTTACGTTATTTATCCTCTGTAAGTACTGTCATTCTAAAACCGCTTCTTACAGGCATTTTAGTTGATGTACAGTGGCAAAGAGAAAACGTAGCCGGAAATGTCCGAGAAAACCGAATGGAGACAATTGGTTTGTACTCTTCCATGATTTCGAAATTCTTATCTTCTATTCAAGGTCTTTGGCAACGATGCCAGTACTTGTCATCAGGAAACAGAGATTGCGACTACTTCGACAACCTCCTCATCTGTAAGTAAACTCGTCGTGCCCGAGAGCGGAGACAACTAAGAGTAATTTACAAAATTAATGAATGATTACCCGGATTGAATGACTCGGACGCGCGGCGGACGATAAATTCACTATCAAGCGCGCTTTTTCTTTCCTTTTATGGCATTCTACCGATCTTATCAAAATTTCAGGCGTTCCTGGCTACTGGGTTGCCGCTCGAGTCTTCGTCATTTTCGCCACAATTGCTGCGATTGTCAGTCTTGCCATGAGCACAGCCGGTCTTTCCTGCGTCAACTGCATCGCCGATCCAAACACAAAGACCAAAATTACTCGCATTGCTGCCATCCTCTTCGCCGTTGCCGCCCTTTGCCTCGGTAAGACTCCGAACAAGTCCATTCATAACAATGGGGAAAAAGAGCGAGTTTGAATAACGCTCGTTTCAATAGGCCACTTGAAAGCCAGCTCGAGTGAGTAGCAGCTTAGCGCACTCGTTTTTGATTTTGGAAAAAGCTTGCTCAATAGAATAATATGTTTAATAACTTTCATCAAAAACATTTTCAGGTGTCGGTGTGACATGGTTCTCCGCGGTCGTTTACCGAAACTTCTCAATGGTCGGCGGAACTGGTTTTTACGGAGGAGGACTTGGCACCATGGGCGGCATGGGAATGAACCCTCAATGCGCTACTACTGCTTCTGAATATTTCCTCTCTCGAGGCGGTGTCTTCGGCCGAGATGCCTGGCTCGGTAAGTCATTTTTTCTCACCTGACTGCGTTTTATCAAAGCAAGTTCCTGACGCGCCGAACTAACTCCAAATTTAAAGGATGGATCAACACAATCATCGGCATCATCGGCGCCGTCCTCATGTTCTGCGGCTCTTCCGGCAACGATGAAGATGATATGTACAACGACGGAACCATGAACAACAACGGCTACAACTATGGAAAGCCATCTGCCGGCGAATATTTGTAAACTTTGAGAAATAACGAGCAGATAATTGTGTTAGATTTCCACAATATCTACCTGTTGCTAACATTCCTTTTTTCTACGCGAAATGCCTCCCTTCTTGAAAACCAAAAACACTACTTCTACATCTGAAATCTTCACATCTGCACTAGAATTTTTATTCAGAAACAGACTACTGTACAGTCACGTGATATGCGTGATGATACCGATTATATTTTTTTGGCTCAAACTAATTGTGATACTGTGCCAACTGACCATCACAGCCATTTGAAAATTTTGTGAAAAAAAATACGAAAGAATCAATCAGATTATCTGTAACCTATTTCTAGGAGATAATAAAATATATAAAAAAGTCAAAAATCCTCGTTGTTTGATCTTTTCAAGCATGTCTTCGTTGTTTTCTGATATGGCGCCATGATCCATTGGTACTAAGTTTTGCATTCTTTGATTGTTCAAAAAGAGTAATAAATCTTCGATAACCTAGTCATGAAATTAGGCATCTGACCAATAGTAATTTTGCAGAGCGCTCGAACTCGGTATTTACGATCTGCTTCGTTTACGATATCGTCTCGCTTCATCGAGCCCGCAGAAACAATACCAGTTTACGCGGCTCATTCTAGATCATCCTTTTACAATGCAAAATAAATTGTCTCGTAAAATCAGTAACCCATGCCACTGGAAAGATGAAGCTGAGCGCCTGCTGTCGACGAGGTACAACTTTTAGTTAACGATGCTACTCATACAGAACCGCTGATCATGAGAGAGGACCCATAGTAAAACATTATCATATGTGTTCAGATAGTAAATATGTGAAAGAAGCGCCGGAGAAGCGAAAGTTCTTCGAGCGATTTTATTTGCTGACCATTCGCCGACGACAACAAGAAGAGAGGCTATCAAAGCACAAGAATTTTCCAGAGGGGATGAAGATGGCTTTTCACAAAGAGTAATGCTCGCAATTCTTTTCTTTGTCTCTTAAATCCCATCCTATAGAAACGAGCAAGACGTTATCGCCTTCCGAAGATGTTCGATTAAAAAATATCAAGGAAGAAAGTTCTCGTCGCTAATTGACCTTCAAAATGAAGATGGTGAAAAGGAAACAGTTCGATAATTAACTTTTATTGATGAAGAACTCCTTTTGTTTTAACCGAAACATTAATTTTTAAAAGATCTCTCTCTAGAACATGTTTTATGTTAAAGGCGATAAGCTAGAGATACAATCAGATACAGTGGTGTGAGCAGTTCGCACATCCCTTTTGATTCCCGAAGGTTTTTCTTTCTTTTTGACTAGTAACTATTTTTCCCCTCAAATGTCTTGTTTGATTAGGTAAAAAGAAATTATAAAAGGTCAGGAATAGTGTTGCGCGGACTGCTCACACGGCTGCTTCTGGTAAAAATGTGCTGCATCTTTATCTACGGGTATATTTGGACAAAGAAGCGGTTACAGAGCAGAGACGAAATTTCTAACTGTAGATCAAAGACCAGCTACACCGAGCAAGACTACCACAACGCCTACAAAAACTTGATGAAGATCAAGCTTCTCCGCCAAGAGAAAGACCTCGAACGAGCAGAATGCATCGAACACAGCGAATTCGACGATAAACTTTCACGAGTCACAAAAGTCCTGAAGAAGCAGCACTTGTCCCACCGGAATGTTTTTGGAAGCACTTCCCTTTCCAATGTCAGATTCAACATATAAATAAAAATCCTCAAAAACACCAAAACACTCAGATTAAAATCTTGAGCAGCTGCATCTGCATTTTGAATCATTGGAATATATTTTGAATCAGGGCATTTTTATTCAAGAAAGATGAGAATTATTTTGAATTTATTTTTGATAGAGTGCATTCAAGCGGTTTATAATATCGAGCAATGCGATAATTGCGGACTAGATATACAGGTAAGTATCAAAAAAGAAATACTCTTTGGAGTTTCTTTTAGACCGAAATCAAATGCCCGAGAAATCTCCCTCAGTTTTGCGACTTTGCGCCCAATTGCGAGGCAATTGTGGATCTTAGCCAATTTGGAGCAGAAAAGCTTATCCACTTTTTCGGGATGGATTTTTAAAAATTGAACAAAAACATTCTTTTATATAAATAGTTATTCATCCATTTTCAAGACTATAATTTCTTGAGAAATGGTTTCACAAAAGACTCCATTTCATTGAGGTATGAATCCTCCTCGCTGAATAAGGTGCAAAAATAATTTCAGTTTTCACTGGTGTCACACAAGTAGCTGCCTGAATCACCTTTTGACCGATGACGTCGACTGCACGGTCGCCATCGCCCCTGGTCAGAAATTAAAGTCTTCAATCAGTGCAAAGTGTAGCAGCAATTATGAGTGCGACGGTGAATCCAACATTTGCCAAGATACAGGAAACGTGGTCGAAAGTCGACGTCCGGCGACGTTTATTGTATTTTACGCTGTAATTAAGTCTACTCATGGGACTTATTGATTTTCCTATGGTACAAAGGGGTAATTGATGAGCAAATACTTTCACTACGGGCAGAACAATAGACGATCTTTCTGAATATGCGTTTTAGACGTCGCTTCATTCAGAATAATTTGGTTAGATGGTCTGAAAACATCCTCGCGACCATGTATCAGGTCTCTTTCTAAAACTAGTTTCCCAGTCGTCAAGGATCGGCCCGTATTCTGGCTGGGCGAGTCAATCTTGTCAAGGGAATGTTTGCGCCTTCAAGATGTGCAACTTCCGATGCGAGTTTCCTAAGCAAAAAATCATCGTCCATGATCTTGGTCTTCAGCCTTCTTGCTCTGATTGTACGAGTCCTGTGATCCCGATGCTGAAAAGCAAGAGTGACTGGAGTTGCACCGTGAGAGGTAATCATCTTTAAAATTCTTGCGCCGCTAAACCGAATAAGCACTTTTGGTAACGTCTCGGAATGAGCCGATTAAGATGAATGGCGACTACGTCGGCAAGCACATCACGAGTCAGTCAATAGCAATGGGCGAGAATGTACGAGTCATCTATGCCTTCGACAATTATCCAGAAAATATGCGACCGTGGATCGATTCTTGTGAAATAATCCTCCCGTCTTTGAACCAAAATGTCACTGTTGTACGAAACGGAGCCGTGCTCGATTGTAAACTCACGAGAGACATCAATTTTCAACTATTGCAGCCTTCAATCTACTTGCCTGATCCAGGAATCGTCCAGTTCGTTGCATTTACCCCTGAAAATCACAAAGGTTCTAAATCTCATAAACATCTGAGTCAGATGATCTGACTACTTTTCCTAGGAAGTTTCGGAATACGACTCAAGTGTCGTGCCATACTTTTGGAGAAAACGACTAGCCAGTATTCATCCGCTCATAAAATCACGACAAGGGAGACATCTACTACACAGCTCACGAAAGACACCATTGACTGGTCCAGGCAAGAGTCGATTAAACTCATAAAATTAATACCTCGATGAGTTCGAGATTCACTCAACAGTTATGAACGGAATGACTACAAATTCGAAGCTCTTGTATCAAACAATCTACCGGAGGAGTCAGTAACAACCGTCACCATGAAAATCTCGCCTGACAGAAAAACATCTTGGCAATGGGCAGCAATTTTCGTCATTATTCTCACTCTTGTATGCTTGATTATTATTTGGAGGTATGCTAAACTCCTGATGGTTTATCTTTACCTTGACTTTTAGCTCAAAGAAAGGATGTACAAAGAAAAAGGTTCGCTACATTTCACCCTTTTTGGCCGGTATGACAACGAGATAAATTTAGAGAAAGCGCAAAAATATCTGGCACGGGCTGCCGAAATTTGTTGAAAGTCATACCATCAAAGACAAAGAGACCGCGAAGATCGTTTGGGTTGAAAAAACCAAGCCGGAAGGAATTTAGAGTCGACTCAATCAACAACAGTCACATCAACTTTGAAACACCTAGTGCTGTCAGCATGAGCATAAAATAAAGAATTTATTTCACCAAACGATTCTCTAGGAGGATAATTCATCTGCTAGAGATAATACCGATGATTTCAATGCATTGCCCCGAAAAAATCGAGGTATCCATATATGGATACCTGCCCTTTGCCGCACGAAGGCGCTCTTGTGCTAGCCTAAAAAGTCCTCACCGCTTTCTTACTTTTGCTCCAGAGCAGACTCAATTAAAAAAATTGATAAATGGTGGTGTTTGGGCCTGGTGGTGGTGTTATTAAGTAAAAATATTAAAGATGTCACAAAAATCAAACTTGAATATAAAGAATTAATTAAAAAATTCAATGAACAATAAAATAAATAAATACGATTTTATTCTGAATTCTAAATCTGAGCAAATTAAATTAAAGCTTGTCTAAGGTAAAAATTCTGAAACCGAAGATAAAATTTTAAAATCGCTTGAACCAGAATGGATGAAAAAACGGCAGGGGCGAGATTCGATCTCGCGCCGCCCGCCCCAATTTCCAGAGCGATACCACTACGCTACAGGCTCCTGAAGCATGGCCTAACTTTTAAATTTATGTAGTAATTTACTATAAAAATTAAAAATATAAACCCCAACCGTCAACATTTTTCGTAAAAAAATCGAAAATTTTGGAACAGCCATATTTTGGCTTCTTAGTGCAGAGTTCGAAATTTCCCGCGCCGCAAGCTCCCGCGAGCCCCCGCGGGAGCGGGGGAGAGGAAAATTTCTCCCGCGCCCCCGCTCCCCCAAGATATTTGGATATTCTTTCCCCCTCCCCCGCTCCCTCGAGATTTTCGTGAGATCCTTCCCCCTCCCCCGCTCCCGCCGTAAATTTTCATGCCTTCTTCCCGCCCCTTCCCGCGCCGCGAAAACTCAAAAATGCTCCCGCGGGGCTGCGGGAGCAGCGGGGAAGAAGGTTTTAAATTATCGGGCCGTCTCAGCCCCGTCCCTGGCTTTTTATTTAAATGGGCTTGACGGCCCTTCGGGCCGTCTCAGCCCCGTCCCTGGCTTTTATTTAAATGGGCTTGACGGCCCTTCGGGCCGTCTCAGCCCCGTCCCTGGCTTTTATTTAAATGGGCTTGACGGCCCTTCGGGCCGTCTCAGCCCCGTCCCTGGCTTTTATTTAAATGGGCTTGACGGCCCTTCGGGCCGTCTCAGCCCCGTCCCTGGCTTTTATTTAAATGGGCTTGACGGCCCTTCGGGCCGTCTCAGCCCCGTCCTGGCTTTTATTTAAATGGGCTTGACGGCCCTTCGGGCCGTCTCAGCCCCGTCCCTGGCTTTTTTATTTAAATGGGCTTGACGGCCCTTCGGGCCGTCTCAGCCCCGTCCCTGGCTTTTTTATTTAAATGGGCTTGACGGCCCTTCGGGCCGTCTCAGCCCCGTCCCTGGCTTTTTTATTTAAATGGGCTTGACGGCCCTTCGGGCCGTCTCAGCCCCGTCCCTGGCTTTTTTATTTAAATGGGCTTGACGGCCCTTCGGGCCGTCTCAGCCCCGTCCCTGGCTTTTTTATTTAAATGGGCTTGACGGCCCTTCGGGCCGTCTCAGCCCCGTCCCTGGCTTTTTTATTTAAATGGGCTTGACGGCCCTTCGGGCCGTCTCAGCCCCGTCCCTGGCTTTTATTTAAATGGGCTTGACGGCCCTTCGGGCCGTCTCAGCCCCGTCCCTGGCTTTTATTTAAATGGGCTTGACGGCCCTTCGGGCCGTCTCAGCCCCGTCCTGGCTTTTATTTAAATGGGCTTGACGGCCCTTCGGGCCGTCTCAGCCCCGTCCTGGCTTTTATTTAAATGGGCTTGACGGCCCTTCGGGCCGTCTCAGCCCCGTCCCTGGCTTTTATTTAAATGGGCTTGACGGCCCTTCGGGCCGTCTCAGCCCCGTCCCTGGCTTTTATTTAAATGGGCTTGACGGCCCTTCGGGCCGTCTCAGCCCCGTCCCTGGCTTTTATTTAAATGGGCTTGACGGCCCTTCGGGCCGTCTCAGCCCCGTCCCTGGCTTTTATTTAAATGGGCTTGACGGCCCTTCGGGCCGTCTCAGCCCCGTCCCTGGCTTTTATTTAAATGGGCTTGACGGCCCTTCGGGCCGTCTCAGCCCCGTCCCTGGCTTTTATTTAAATGGGCTTGACGGCCCTTCGGGCCGTCTCAGCCCCGTCCCTGGCTTTTTATTTAAATGGGCTTGACGGCCCTTCGGGCCGTCTCAGCCCCGTCCCTGGCTTTTATTTAAATGGGCTTGACGGCCCTTCGGGCCGTCTCAGCCCCGTCCCTGGCTTTTATTTAAATGGGCTTGACGGCCCTTCGGGCCGTCTCAGCCCCGTCCCTGGCTTTTTATTTAAATGGGCTTGACGGCCCTTCGGGCCGTCTCAGCCCCGTCCCTGGCTTTTATTTAAATGGGCTTGACGGCCCTTCGGGCCGTCTCAGCCCCGTCCCTGGCTTTTATTTAAATGGGCTTGACGGCCCTTCGGGCCGTCTCAGCCCCGTCCCTGGCTTTTTTATTTAAATGGGCTTGACGGCCCTTCGGGCCGTCTCAGCCCCGTCCCTGGCTTTTTTATTTAAATGGGCTTGACGGCCCTTCGGGCCGTCTCAGCCCCGTCCCTGGCTTTTTTATTTAAATGGGCTTGACGGCCCTTCGGGCCGTCTCAGCCCCGTCCCTGGCTTTTTTATTTAAATGGGCTTGACTAAGGCTTGGATAAGATTAGAGATGATCAGTCTCAAATCTATCCCCAACCCCACCCACACCCGTTTTTAAATTTATCCCAGTTTATTCTTCCCGAGTTTTAGTTATGGTTTTTACTTAGTATGGACTTCAAATGAATACCATTTTCGGTATACCGGATAATTCCCTTGAAGATATTATTTTTCCTCAATTTGGTTAAAATTCTTCCATTTCCATGGTCCTCCGGGTCCTCCAAAATGTTACATGATAAAATTAAGGACATATTTATGACAAGAAGTTAAAGTAAAGTATATAAATATGGTTCCCCAATGTCGTCTTCTCTCAAAATCTTCCATCAGGTGAGGTCCTCCGGGGTCCTCCAAAAATCCACGTGATTTTTTATCGCGAAATATTTTGTTAACGTGACGAGAAATTTGTTCAACGAAGATTTCCCTGGAAGAGATTATTCTTCTTTCAATTTAAAATTCTTCCACCAGGAGGGGTCCTCCAGGCACCAGGAACGAGGCAAATGCTCGCTTGGTGTCGCTAATTCGGGCTTAAGTTTTCGGGGCAATCATCAAAAATCATCGGTATGGATATCTCGATAAATATATTTAGTAACAGGAATGAAATGACCGTTCTCATAAGTGATATAACAGCAGTGAAGATAAATGGGCAAATGTAATGTTAATTGAATTCTATTTCTTCGGCGTATTCTGAGAACTGTTAGATATTGCTTCCAAGAGTTAGCATACCTTTGGTGTTTTCTGTTTTCTCGGAACTGTAGGGCGCCAGCTTCCTTGTGGAGGCCCATTCCATCCACCAGGGCAAGCATAATTTGGAGGACCATTCCAAATTTCTGGTGCAGGTGGGCCATCAAAGTAATGTTGATGCCACGGATCAGGAGGGTAAGCCCATTGATTTGGAGGAGCAGCCCATGGATCTGGGGGACCAGCCCACGGATCTGGAGGACAACCCCATGGATCTCGAGGGGCCCAGTCCTCGGCCCAACCTGACTGCTGGGGCAAATGTGGAGTAAAAGGCATGCGATGAAAACCTCGTCCTCTGCCACCACCTCTTCCTCCTCCACGAGGAGTTTGTGTATTTCGCGGGATGATTTCCGACTTTCGTCGTTTACTGTCAGGCTCTTCGGTGGAAGGATCTTTTGTTGGGTCGATATTCTCTTGCGCTTTCTCGATTTTCTGACTGTCTAGTGAGTGTCTTTTTGCAACTGCCGCATTTTCAGTTTCGCGCTTTCGCTTTACAGCTCTGTATTTTCTTCTTTGCGTAAGTGCTCGTTCCATGGCATTGCCGAATAGTCGCTCTAAAGAAGGATTGCCTCCTTCTTTTTCGTCTTTGATATCAACGGGGGTTTCTATTTCATAACCCCACTCTTCGCAGCAGGTTTTTAGAAACAAGAAGCTGAGCCAGCGATGAGCGATTTGGTTCCAGTGCACGCCGTCGTTCTCCCGCAGCTTGTCTTGATTCTGTATCTTTCTGAACATGTAATGTGCATCCAAATATGCCCAGTCAGTGGTTTCTATGACTTTTTGAGCGGCAACGTTAGCAAATCCAATGTCTCTTCTGAAGCTTTCAGAGGCACCTCCGAATTGAATTTCTTCCACAAGGCCTCCAAAAGTATGCCGGCTGATTGGAAGAGCACTGCGCCATATTTTCAACGGCTTATCTCTCTTTTGCTGGTTTTCTTTCTCTCTTCTTTCGTTCTCGGCTTTGTAGAGTTCGTCAACGTGATCGACGAGAAGACGCAAATTGTAAGTAAATTGAGGAAAGTAACGTTGCCCGCGGATTTCTTCGCCATCGCCATATCTTGTCACGTCCCAAAAAGTACTCTGAATGTAGATTACATCTGGAAAATGATCTTCGCAATAAGTCGAAATCATCGCTTTCAGGCCCTCGCTGAAGACTCTCGTGACAAAAATAAATCGAATGAGAAACGAATCCTCCCATCCATCTTCCCCGGCTATTCCTCGCCATTCTCGCACCTCGCAAAAGTTCGTTCCGTTCATTTTCGCCGTAGATGCGACCAATCTGTCTCCTCGGAAGCATGCCTCTACTTTGAAGCGCTTTTCGTGTTCAGTCATCATACTGCCATCTTCGATCAGAGAGACGAGGTCTTTATACACGCATCTCTTAATTTAACTTTGACCATCAGCCTCACTAAAGCGTTAAAACCTGGACTGAATCGCCAATTATCATTATGTATTTATTCTTCAATATCGCTCTAGCATGTTCGGAAAAGAAGAGTTCCCCTTCTTGTTGCGATTTCCTTTCCATTATCTCTTGAATTCATGAATTTAAAAGTTTTCTAGCGCCTTGCTTTTAAATAGAATGAACAATTAAAGAATGAAGAATAGAAGACATCAGGTAAATCAGTAAAAATGCACGTAAAGTTGAAAGCGTCAGAAAAGTCGATCACGTGAGATCTGGAATCGACGATGCTTGCCGATGAGCGGATCGAGCAGATTTAGACTTGGAGGAGCGGGAGAAAAGATCGTTTCGCATGAGGTTTGCTCGTTGATTAATGGCGAGTTTCACTGGCTCCGCGGAGAACTTCGATGCTGATTTGTCTTCGATAAAATTGATCAGCCCCTTGCTCTTTTAAACAAACGTGAACGCAGGCAAATGAAGATAGATTTTACCTTTCGAATAAGTCTCAAATTATCGAGTTCATCAACAATCGCCCTCAAATACTTCTCCGCGCGGGGGTCTTCATATGAAACCGAGCCTTTCTTTCCATCTTGCGCTAGAACCATCTTTTGAAATTATTCCTCCTACATAAAACGTACTTTTCACTATTTCGAAATCAGTTGGCGTGGGTAAAACTCGTAAGCAATGACCGAGGGAAGCTGATGAAACTGAAATGAATCGCGCAACATTTGCGATCTCAAACTTATCTTCTGCTTCTTCCATTTGTTTCTTGTTCTTTCCCTGAGTAAAAATTGGCGATAAAAAAATTTGAAATTCCTTACGGATAAGTTTCTTCTGCGAACGGAATGAGGTGCTTTTGGCAAGGCACTGATGATTGGTTTTGGATCAGTTATGCTGAGGTATCCCTGGAGAAGCTTTTTAGATTCAGAAATTTGTTCTTCCCGTAATTCTGAATTTTCCGCGTGTGTTTCTGATGCTGTTGATCGTTCGCTTTCCAGGTTGTTTGAGCCTTCGATGATTTTCAGCCCTAGGTCCGATATATTGTCCAGCTTTCTTTTTCTTTCCGCCCTAAAACTGACTTGACAAAATATCAAATTTCGCTCCATACTTTAACAGTTCGATAGTAGCCTGTTCAAAGCGGTTCTTTTGCTCGTTCTCCTCGAGTTTTTCTTGGATAAATTTCATTCGCCTCTTCACTCGCGCTGATTCTTCGTACAACTTTGCAAGTTTCTGAAGCCGTAGGACCATTTGTGATTGAGGAGAGTTGCGCAGTTTTTGAACCCGAATCGAAAGCTCGTTTATGTCTGGATCGGTTTTCGCATTTCTCTTTTGGAAGTCATCCATGTCATCGATGAAAGCCATCTCTTCATTTACCACTTGAACCGGTGGCATTCGAGGTCTAGAAAAAAAAAGGGATGAGAAAGAGGGAGGATTGAAAAGACATAGAATTTATCCGATAATGCATGAGAAAAGAAGGTGTGAGAAAAAAAGAAAAGGCATTTCAGATTCAATGCTTCTTTTTGGCGCCAAATGAAGCAAAGCCCATTACTGAAGCTGATAGTGGATCTTCGAGACTTTCACAAGCTGCGGCGATCTTTCTCTTTTTCGCCTTTTTGCATTCTTTCTTATATTGCTTGTGCCACTCTTCGTCGGCTTCGGCTTGAGCTTTTCGCTCGGCTTGTTGCTTTTCGAAGGTCATGCCTCCGGTCTTTTTCAGTTCTTCCATCTTTTTTATTCGATCAGCGAAGACTTGTCTCACACCGACGACGCTTGATTCTAAATGGTTCAACTAGGTTAACTTTGGCCAGAGAAGGCACGAAACCTGGCAGTTTGTAAGGGTTGAAGCCCATATTCCTCTGATGTCTTCTTCCATTCATGTGGTTCAAGTACGCTCTTGAATCTTTGACATTGACATCACAAACTGAGCAGTAGTATCCGCCAGAGCCCTTGCCGTTATTCCCGTTTTCGAAACTGATCGCGACCTAGAGCTTCTTCAGACTAGAATGAGAGATGCTAATTTACCGTTTTCCCGATTCCACTTTCCATGTCAAGCTTTTTCTTTCGAGCTTGAACGGGATCTCGCATTGAGCTGGGCAAGTCTCGCTTTTCAAGGTTCGCGTCTGGGCCGTATTTTGTAGCTTTTTCCATGTCGCTTTAATAAAAAATGAGTGCCACGGCGATAATTTTAGTTTCCTACACTTTGAGACGATGTTGAGCAATCTTCTGGTACTCGCCTCGATCCCAAAGTCGCCGACCTCGATCATCCTCTGTCACCAATTCTTTCTCCTTTTCAGGAGGTGTGAGAGCGTTTTTATTCCCGGACATATTCTTCCGGATCTTCGCCTTGATGTCCTCCGCAAAAGTGGACATTCTAAAACAATCATATGAGACTTCGGCCGTTTAAAAATTTCCCGTGTGTATTTGTATCTGTAAATGGAGTGGTGAAGCGGCGCAGGCTGTGAAAAGTACGATTACTCGTCGATTATTTCATGAACTTTTGCAATGTGAGTGTCAACTCGAATCTGGAGATTTTCAAGAAAGTCTGTTTGAATATTGTATGCGCCAAGGGAAGAGAGCTCTTCTGTGATTGCCAGCAGCTTTTGCTTCAACTCGAGATTTTGACTTTCGAGTTCGTCGATGCGGCCCTCGAGCATCATCTGATTTGTGGGTCTATAATATGGCGATAAGAGAGGCTTCTGGTTTGTAGAAATGTACCTGATATTATCAAGCAAGTTCGAGAGACGGTTGGTTACGTCTTCAAGTTTGCCTGATCTCGGAGCAGGGGATTGAGGGATGTAATTCGGCGTGTAGTATTCCGTAGCGGATCCAAATCGACTATCCTTTAATTTTTCGGCAGGTGTGAAGTACATCGGTTTTTCTTTCTTCATCAAATTTATCGTCACATTTTCAGAGGGAGTCATGTAGATCGACTTTTCGAGGGCAAGTTTCGAAGCTTGCTTCTGCTCATTTGGCGTTTCAAACTTCGTCAAGTTTTCATTCAAATCTTTTGCGAAGGATTGCTCGTTGTCATTTGTTATTTCATGGAAGATGCGCCCTTTGGAGTCTTTAATTTCAGACTGATCGTCGCTAAATTCTTCCACGCAGCTGTGAAATGCGTCCGAGTCCATGTCAGAGAAGATGTTTTTTGCTGGACTGTTCACTGAAAGAAAAACGGTTCAAGATAGTAGGAAGAGTCATTCTTACCTCTTGGCAGTGGAAGTTTATTTTCCTTCTGGATACTCTTTCTCTGTGGTGTTTCACTGTTGATGACGGATATGTCTGGAATATGGAAGGTGACTTCTTTCGGCGATCGTTTGTTGAAAGGAGTTGAGGTCTGCTTGTTCTTGTTCGTCAAAATTCCTGGAGAAGGGAAGTTGCAGCTCTCATCTGCTTGAATTCTTGCGAGAAAGGGAGATTGGAGCTTCTTTCGAGGAGTCGAAAACATTTCAGGCTTTTCCATTTTTCAGTCCTACTTTTCAATTTCCAAGGTCTGAAATAAGGATTGTCATTATTTTTACATTTCGAAAGAGATTTAGTCGGATAAAGTATCATTTTCTTCAAGAAACAGATCCACAGATTCCTCATCGAGAAAGTCTTTCAATCTATCCACTCTTCTATCTGGCAGGCAGAAATCTACAGTATTTGTCATTTCTCTGCTCTCGCTAGTTATAAAGTCATCGTAGCCATCAGAATAATCGAAAATATATGGCCAGTCGCTTTCTTGAAGATAAGTTTTTGTATCACGGTTGTATTTGAGGCCGAATTTTCCGATTTCTCCATGTCGACATTTGTGAATCTAAAAAACTCTTAACAAAGATTAAAGTTGATTTCGAAGATACCTGTATCCAATCTTTCCGGACCCCGGTTTCGATATCCTGTGATGTTTGAAGTATGATTACATTATCGGCTTCCTGGACTGATCTCGCTCTCCCAGAGAGGTCATATTCCGTCAAAAATGAGTACCCATCTTTCTTGCTGACATTGCTTGTTTTTCGCGGGTGACAGATTACTGTTACGTGAACATCGGTAAATGTAGCTAATTCACGCAGCATTCTTATCGTGTTATCTAAGAAATGGTAATTAATAATTATTCAGTTTTAAATTGGTAGGTTATTTACCTTGGCTCATGTAAGCATCGTCCGAGCTCGTTCCAAATATCAGAAACTGCATATTATCGATAATTATATGATCGATTCTATGATTCTCTATCAGTTCTTTCAGCTTATCAACAAGCTCATTAGGATCCATCGAGCCTGGCTCGGAATTCAACGCTAGAATTCCAAGATTTCCAAGTTTTTCCTGAACGAATTCGTATTCAATTTGGCAGTCTTCGGAAGATTTCTGGCAGAGTTGCATAGCCTGCATATTTTGCAGCGCCTCTAGTTTCATTTCAAACGAGCACCAAAGCGTTTTTGCTCCATTGAGAGCCAAGTCTATCGAATATTCTGAGAGAAATGTTGTTTTTCCCTTTCCTGTGTGACCCGAGAAGAGTGTCAATTCTCCTTTCCGCAGGCCACCGAGATTTTCGTTGAGCATCGAGAACCGGGTAAATTTTATCGATTCCGCTGCAGTTTGACTTTGAACAAAAGATCGGGCCATATTCGCTCCAAGGTTGACTACATCGCCAGTTTCTCTGATCAGAACATTTAAAAGAGTAAGCGTGGATCGATGATGCTTTGGTCGTGGAATTGACGAGCTAACGGTCGTTATTTTTGAGTCATCAAGATCCTCAAAGATATCTGGGTATTTAGCAACAAGCTGGCCTGGCCAGATTATAATTTCCTTTTTCATCTCCAGAATTGTTCTTTTGAAGAGTGAAGAGTTTTCCGCGCCAGAAATGGGCAGCACGCCTTTTTGAATTCTCGCAGCAGTAGGTTCCAAACAAAGGGCATCCCACTCGTCTTCAACAACGATCACACGGTCAAACTCGCGCCATGAAAATAAACCGGCATAATTGTGATTTCCCGTGCTCGGTACATATGAAAAGTTGTCAGGAGAGTCGTATATTTTGACAGCGTGGACATTTTCGTCGCGTAGAAAATTTTCATCCTCGTGAAAAGGAATATCAACAAAGAGAACTCCATTTGATTTCAGGAATTTTAACCGCTCAACATTCTTATAATGAATCTGACTCATTGGGAGGGGAAATTTAACTTCATGCTCGTCAAGAATCGTTTGAAATCTCGCCTCGTAATCCCTTGATGAAAATTTTAATCGAGAAAATTGACGGAGTAGAAAAATTACCCTTCCAGAATCTTCGAGCTTTCGAGCAAGTTTTTAGCTTCGCAAAAATGATATAAGGCCCCGAGCTTCTGACAAAAATATGTTTTTCTGTTCCCATACAACTTGAATGAATCCTCAGATAAATGCGATGACCTTCGCTTTAGCACGATTGTTCTGACGTAGTTCTGCGTACACGTGCGCATTCTTTAATCAATCTAAGTTACTACTGCTTCGTTAAAATGCGGCTTCTCTTGCTCACTACACTCTACGACCGAAAGAGAAAAACAACAAGTGTAAATATTACATCTTCATCATGTTTATTGGCAGAAAGATGGTTCAACACCAGCAAAAGAACATGAGAAGGGCTTCACCGTAATCGGCCATTTACTTCTTGGACTTGTCGATGAAGATGGTGTGGCCGTTCTTACCGGAGTAATATCGGTCCTAAAATAATGAGATAAACGGAAAGTTCTCCCAGTTGATTTTTACCTTGTGGTTGGCCATGAAGCAACCGGGGCCGGCGACAGGGCATTCCTTGCGGAGTCGAGTGACCTTGCCGTTGTCGTCGACCTTGTAGTATTTGAGAACTCGGAGCTTCTCCTTCTTTCTCTTATGCTTGTTCTTCTTGGGGGTGGTGTAGACCTTCTTCTTTCGCTTCTTACCACCACCTCGAAGTCGGAGCACAAGGTGAAGGGTGGACTCCTTCTGGATGTTGTAGTCAGAAAGAGTTCGACCATCCTCAAGCTGTTTACCAGCGAAGATTAATCGTTGCTGATCTTATATGGAGTCAAAAATGGTTCCGTGGGTTGAGGTAAAGTTCTATAGGTAAGGAAAAAGCCTGAGAGATCAGAGTCACGGGAGCAAGCTTGTCCTTGCGTTATCGACGATTTTGCCAGACCGAGTCGAGCAATTTCTAACAGCGAAACAATGAGAAAAGCGAGCGAATTTAGAGATAAAAATACAGTTCATTTAAATGATTTATACTCGGCCTGGCAGGATCAAGCCGATATGCAACAAGTGAGATTTAGAAAACGCGAAAATAAACCTCGTGGACAAAACAATTGCAACCCGGACCGATCCTCAGGTCTCCCCTTCCAAGAAGTGTATCGAATCGAAAATCCTTTTTCAGACTCGTTCCTGGGGGAATTCCCTCCTTGTCCTGGATCTTAGCCTTGACATTCTCGATGGTGTCAGAAGCTTCGACCTCAAGGGTGATCGTTTTACCCGTTAGGGTTTTAACGAAGATCTGCATATTTGGCCGATCCTACCTGTCTAAACTCAAAACAATGAATAGTTATCTTACACAACCACAAGTCCAGAAATCGACAGAATCCGTACGCAAATGGCCGGAGCCGGATTTATTTGGCGGCAGCAAGGGCAGCGAGAACGGAGGCCTTCTTTTCGTCCTAAAAAGGGATTGAGAAAAGTGTTCAAAAATGATGGTGAAATCAAGGAAGAGAAATCACGAACCTGCTTGGCAGCTCGCTTCTCTCGCTTGAGCTTGTTCTTCTCTCGCTGGACGTGAGCCTGGGCTCGGAACATAGCGGCTCGGCTTCGTCGGGCCTTCTCCTTGTGGATGTGCTCCATCAAGACTCGCTTGTTCTTGAAGACATTACCCTTCGCCTTGAGGTAAAGCTCGTGGTACATGTGCTTGTCGACCTTCTCCTGCTTTCGGTACTTGGCCAAAAGTCGTCGGAGAACTCGCTGACGTCGCATCCAGAGGAGCTTGACGGGCATACGAGCGTTGGCAGTACCGAGTCGCTTACCGGGGCCAGTGTGTCGACCCTTTCGTCGGGCTTCGGTGTTGGCTCGTGCTCGGGCCCGAGAGTGGACAACGGTGGGCTTCTTGATGATCAGACCATCCTTGATGAGTCGTCGCACCTGATGCCTGGTAAATTGTTAGCGACTTACTAAACACGGCAAACGCACGAAACGTCAACTTACCTCGAGTTGGCGTTGGAGATGTTCTGGTTTTCATTGGGGTCCAACCAGACCTTGTTTTTACCGCACTTCATGACAGCGGCGGCGAGCCGCTTCTGAAGGAGGAGAGCCGACATGGTTGTCTAAAAAGGGCGGAGGTTAGAGACTTGCTTTTTGAATATTTTCGGCAGTAGATTTAGTGGCGGCCTTTGGTGGCAGGCGCGTCGGAGAAGAAAAGGACACGTGAAAAGTGACAATAGTTTAGAAATTTGACTAGCGTTTCGAGGCCTTCTTCATTTCGGCCTCGGTCAGACACATCATTCGGGGAGCGATCTGCATCGACATGAGCTCTTGGAAAAGGAGCTTGCACGCGTACGGCATTCGGACCTGAAATTTACATGAGTTTCAACGACTTAGAGTAGGGATTTTACCTGTGAGATGTTCGTCTTGTTTGAGCAAGATCGACACTCGAACGAGTTATTCGTCAGGTTTGCAACGCAGATGAGACCGCACAAGTTGCACACGTGTACTCTAGAAGCAGATATTATTATCTGGTGGATTTTGATTAATCTTACTTGTAAGGATCCGAAACCTCGAACAGTCTCTCTTTCAAGAACTGCGAGGCACCGTGCGCAATTTGACAATCACGTTCCATTTCTCCGAATCGGAGACCACCATCACGTGATCGACCTTCCATGGGCTGTCTGTTCAGCAGCTGAACCGGACCTCGGGCTCGACTAATTCATGATTAAAAGTTGAATGAGACAAGTCCAAGTTACCTGTGAATCTTATCGTTGACCATATGCTTCAATCTCTGGTAGTAAGTGGGTCCGAAGAAGACCTGTGTGTTCATCTTTCTACCAGTGAAGCCGCAGTAGAGCACTTCGTTTCCTCTCTGCTGATATTCATACTCGTGAAGAATATCAGAGACCTTCACAGAAAAAGTTAGAAATGATAACATTTCATCGACTTTTTACCTTCTGTACTGTGACGGAGGGATTGAATGGTGTAGCGTCACCAATCTCTCCCTTAATAGCGCCAACCTTTGACGTCAAACACTCGAATAAATGACCGATGGTCATACGCGATGGAATGGCGTGAGGGTTGACAATCAAATCTGGCTGCATACCATCAGGTGTGAAGAGCATGTCCTGAAGACAATGATGAGAATCGGTTAAAAATTCAAAGGCATTACCTCGCATCGGAGCATAATTCCGTTGGTACCCTTCTGACCGTGACGAGAGGCGAATTTATCTCCAACTTCTGGGATTCGGACTGATCGAAGACGGATTTTGACGAATTTGTAACCGTCTTCGTTAATCGTGACCATGACGGAATCGACGATACCCTTCTCGGTCGGCTTGGCAAAGAGAGAAGCGTCCTTCTTTGTGTATTTCTTCGCCGTCGGATCGAGGACATCGTCACCGTCCTGGAGCGCGATGGTCTTGCCGATCATAACATCATCACCGGAGATACGAGTGCCAGGAGCGATGAGACCGTCGTCTTCAAGTTTGTCGTAGATGGCGTGTCGCATGCCTTGAGTGGTCGCTCTGTCCGGCTTTTCGAATGTCTCTTCGGGGTCCAAGATCTTTTTGTTCTCCGTGTCCCTGTACCCTCTGTAATAAATAGATCGATGGAAACCACGATCGATTGAAGCCATGTTCATAATGAGGGAATCTTCCTGGTTGTAACCGGTGTAGCAAGAGAGTGCGACGATGGTGTTGATACCGGCCGGAAGTTCAGAGAAACGAAGGTACTCCATTGATCTCGTGACGCAGAGAGGCTTCTGGGGGTAGAAACAGATGTTGCCCATGGTGTCCATTCGAATCTGGAAGTTGGTGACGAAGACGCCGACGGCCTGTTTACCCATAGCGGACTGGTAGGTGTTACGCGGCGACTGGTTGTGATCGGGGAAGGGGACAATCGAAGCGCAGACGCCTAAGATCATAGCAGGATGAATTTCGCAATGAGTGTAAGATCTGCAGTAAGCCATCTCGTCCGTTTTCTTCACCTCGTCTGGCGTCATTGCGCACATGATCGTCTCCTCTTCGAGTGTATCGATGTACTCGACGACTCCAGCTTTGATCAACTCTGTCCATGAGTAATTCGAGTATTCGGGGTCTTTCAACATGGCGAGATGATCTTTTTTGAGGAGAAGTCGTTGATCTTCAACGATCAGGAGCGGGCGGCAAATTCGACCGGCATCAGTGTAAATGCGGATTTCTCTGTTTCTGATGTCTCGGACCATCGATACTTCGGAAACGATGATGTCCATCTGTCGACGAAGCTTTCTAAGGGTTCCCATGAGCTGTTCAGGGTCGCGATGGATACCGACCCAGCAGCCATTGACAAAGATCTTGGTGGCGTCGGAGATGGAATTTGGTGTAATTTCTTCTAAATTTTCCATCGACCATTCTTCCAAGAATTCAAGAATAGGACTGGGCTGAGAACCGACAGAGATGTAGGACATGAGGGCAAGATTTTTGACGAGACCGACGGCGTGGCCTTCAGGAGTTTCGGCTGGACATACCATGCCCCACTGTGTTGAGTGGAGCTGACGGGGCTTTGCGAGTTTTCCGTCTCGGCCGACGGGGGAGTTCAGTCGACGGAGATGAGAGAGGGAAGAGGCGTAGGTCAATCTGTTCAAGACTTGAGAGACACCGGGTCGGCACTGAGATGCTTTTTGCTGATCACCCCAGTTACCAGTAGCGAGGGAATACTTGAGACCATCGGTGATGATCTTCGTTTTGATGGCGGTAAGAACGTTCATGGGCTTTCCCTTTTCGATCTCTTTCTGCGCTGCCATTCGCGCATCCTTGGTCAATTTCTTAAAAAGTGATCGGAAGAGGAAAGCGAGGAGCGGGCCAGCAAGATCCATTCTCTTGTTACCGTAGTGATCTCGATCGTCTTCGCCTCGTCGACCGAGACCGGCCTGGAGAATACGATTGACCATGTAGCCGAGGAAGTATGCCTTTTTGGTTTCGCAGTATTCAGAGATACCCACGTGAGGGAGCAACTCTTTTTGGAGGATTTCTTTGGCGTACTTCATTCGCTTCTCGCGAGTGACACCAGGTCGAGCACCTCTTTTACCGATGAAATCGAGGGCAACGGCTTCTTCTTGGATGACGAAGGCTTCGTCAATAGATGGCTGAAATTTCATTTACTCTTTGACAAAATTTAAGTGACTATTACCTTGACCATTTCCATCATTTCCGGATCATCAAAGTCGTAAACGATGTGTTCCAAGATATCACGATCGGAGACAAAGCCTAGGGCTCGGAAAACGATGATGATTGGCGTATCCTGTTTGACGTAAGGCAAGATAGCAGCGATTCGGCGACCAATGGCGGACTTCTTAACACCGGTTCCACCGCTACGGGACAAGAGGTTGATCCAAATGGTCGACGTGGGGCGAGAGGAGTTCTCGAGACATGAGCGGCATTCGGCAGTGAGTTCGTACTTTGAGTCCTTTTTCTCGAAAACGTAGACGGTGTTGTTAGCCATTTTCTCCTGGGCGATGACGACTTTTTCGGAGCCGTTGATGACGAAGTATCCTCCGGGGTCGAGGGGACACTCGTTCAACTCGGTCAAATCGCGATCGGAAAGGCCGCTGAGGAGACAGTACTCTGACCTGAGCATGATGGGGATTTGACCGATGAAGATCTTTTCGTGCTTTTCCTCGTGTGGGCGAGGATCGTCGCTGCGGATGGTGGTTCTGTTGATGTCTACGTACAACGGAGCACAGTAAGTCAGGTTTCGGAGACGAGCTTCGTTGGGCATCAACGGATTTGGACCGGTTCCGACTTCCCAGTGAGTAGGCTAGCAATGAAAATGAGTGTATTGGAAAAAGAAAATGCATTACCTTGGAGAGATAAATCTGCTCAAACTTGATCTGGTACTTTGTCGGTTCTTCCGGCTCGCCGGCATTGTAATTCGGCTCCGACTGGAGCTCGATTACGGGCGATTCTTCAACAATCCGCTGGACGGACATGGTGATGAATTCATCGAAGGACTCCAACTGCTGACGAACGAGGCCTTTTTCGTCGAAATACGCAGTGATAATGGTCCAACAGGACTCATGCCACGTATTTGGCTATAAATGCGAATAAGAATTCGGTTGAGATGGAAAATTGTAGAAATTGACTCGAACAAGAAGAATATCAAGAATATTTTAAAGAAAAAATGAGTGTACTAACCGAGATTTCATTCTGGTCCCCGAAGGAACCAAGCTCATCGTCGTAGTTCATCCAGGAGTCCGTTTCAAATCTCTTAAATTTGAATTTTGCATTTTATGTCTCTCGGAAAACGGAAACATTCGAAAGAAAACGAAATTGTGAACAGTGGTGTGGGCAAGGGGCAGTCAGTTTATCAAATGACGCCGTTTGATTGGCCCATTCGTTTTTAAGCCAGAATCGGGCGGCCAATCGAAGCGCGCGCCCGCTCTGAGGAACGACACGTAACCACATGAGCCCGATACTACGATTCTGGAATTTTGCTAGAAAATTATTTTTCGTAAGACGACTGTTTTCGGTCACCAGAAGGTGACTCATCCCGAATTTGATTAAATATCGACTAGTTCTGACGAGTGACTATAGACTGGACCCGGCACCCTGAGTCAGGGTCTCAAAGATTTAACCGAAAAGCCGCGTAGCGGCTTGGGAAAATTACCTGAGTCAGGTGTTTGAGCTCAGTCCATAGAACGACTAGTAAACTGACATGCTTCATCCCAAAAGTGTCATTTATCACTGTTCAATTTCATGTAAAGGAGAAACGAGAGTTGTGTAAGTTCAAAAGATATCTCTATTTTATCTTGAGTGTGTTTTGGTATGGTGGGACAAGAACTGTCAGGATAATTGTGCGAATATATGGCAGTGTGATAACTGGATGAAAGTTTTAATTGGATTCTAGTTGATTCTGTGTCGAATTGACGGTTTATTCCTTGACTCGTCGGATGACCTTCCTTTGCTTGTCGAACTCGAACTTGTGGCTGCGGAAAATCGCCGAATTGTACAAGCCCTTGAAGCGAGAATGTAAAAAGGGGCGAAACAAGAAAAGTCTTTACCTTGCAAGATGTAATGTTCATCTGTCTAGCCTTGTCGAGCAGATCCTTCTCTGAGATCTCTACGTTGTTCGCCTTGTCCAAATCGTGCTGGAATCTGTTTCGGAGGTAGAATGTCTGCTCCTTGATCAGCTGCTTGAGCAAGAACATCAACAATTCGTTGTTGTCTCGTTTGTAGCTAAAAATAAAACCCGTGTGAAGAAAATTCGAGAGGTGATAAATTTTCGCTCACCTGAGATATTTTGAAAAGGTCTTTCGCATCTGTCTGGCGACAGTGAATTTCTGCGTCTCAATGAATGACTCAAGAACGACTCGGATGCCGATGTTGACGTCTTCTTCCAGCACCATGTTTCGGAGATGCATCTTCGCATTCGCCTCGGCCAGACGGATGACGGATTCAATATGACGAACAGTGATTGGAATCGAACCTGTCGCCATCGATTCTCGTCGCAACTCGGCGTACATTCGCGCCACTTTGTCTTGCTCCATGTCGAGCTTTGGATGCACCTAGAATTTTCTTTTTCAAGCAAAATCATTGATAACCCCCTTACCTTCATTCGCGCGTACTGAATGTATTTCTTCAACAAATCGGTTGGGATGTTATCCAAATCGGATTGAATCATCACTTCTTCTTGCTCCCTTTCTTCCTCTATGAAAAAAGTTTTGACTGATCAAAAAAGGTTGATTTACCATCGGCAAGAGGGTGGTTTCGCGAGTGCGATCGCAGAACAAAACGGGCAAGCTGCTCATCTAAAATTAGCGAAATTTAAAATCATTGTTGTCTTCAAGTTTTTACCTTGAACAGGGTCAATTGTATCCCGCACAACACAAAGCACATCGAAACGAGAGAGGATAGGCTCAGTGAGATCGACATTGTCGGAGAAAGTAATAGAAGGATCGTACCGACCGCTGATAGGATTGGACGCGGCAATGACTGAGCAACGAGCCTAAAATAGAGTTCGCCGATAGAGTTGCTTGAAAACCTGGTTAAGCTACCTGCAGCTGAGTGTTGATACCGGCTTTTGAGATGGAAATAGTCTGTTGTTCCATAGCTTCGTGAATTGATGTTCGATCTGAGTCATTCATTTTGTCGAACTCGTCAATCAGACATGTTCCCTCATCGGCCAGTACAAGCGCACCAGCTTCAAGAGTCCACTCTCCGCTAACTGGATGTCGTTGAACGTAAGCAGTCAAACCTACAGCCGAGGCACCCTGTCCAGTAGCATAGACGCTTCTTGGAGCGATCTTCTGCGTCGATTTCAAGAACTGAGACTTGGCAGTTCCGGGATCACCGCAAAGGAGGACGTTGATGTCGCCTCTCAGTCTGTGCTTCCCGTCGATGTTTTTGCGAACACCGCCAAAGAGTGATAAAGCAATGGCTCGCTTGATATTGTCATGGCCGTAGATGGATGGAGCGATGGATTGGCAAATTCGCTCGCCAATGCGCTCATCTTTCGACAACGCGCGGATCATTTTGATATCTTCTTCTGTGATAGCGCAGCTGGTGGTGCGGGCCTGTGAGTTGATTACGTGGTTGGCAAGGAGGACAGTGGAGAAGACAGGAAAGCCGTTTTTCGTGTTGAGCGAGCCATCGTATGAGTGGGAATAGATACCAGTGATGCTGACTTCATCACCGGGTCGACAGGAATCGACTAAGTCCGCGAGCAGGATCACATCCTTCGATCGAGGAAGACGGCCGGCTTGAACTGTAGCTGGCGACTCTTGAAGAGAGACTCGCTGATAATTCTGATAAATGGTTTCTTCCATGTTGACCTCGAAGGGTCCATATGATTGGCACTGAGGGCATGTTCCTGGCTTGACTTCCTGATTCTGTCCCTGCGCAAATGGGCCAACGATTTCGCCACATTTGAGGCAGGAAAATTTGACCATTCTCATCTGGGGCAAAACACCAGTTGTGGAAGCAATGACACCGTGAGTCTTGATAAGCTGCTCCAAGTGAAGCTGTCGCAGAGCGTTGATTTCTTCGACGAGTGGTAGCTTTGTGATGCGCACGAAAATTTCGGAATGTATGTTGGTGTAGCGGGGGAAGGAGTTGGTCACCAACTCGGTGGCAGCTTTGTTCATGATTTGCAGCATGACTTCAGGCACTTCTGGCAAGAAGTAAGCGAGCGAGTTGGCTTCGGAAGCGAGATTCGTGAACTCCACTTCCAGCGACTGTCGGTTGTCCATCACCATATCGTAGATGGCCTTTTTGAAGATGGGGTGGCCGTTTTCGTCCTTGGCTGTGCGCATGTATTGCTGGAAACGAAGGTAGAGTTCTTTGTTGATTTGGGGTTTTTGGACCCATTCAAGAAGCGAGTGTCCTTTTGTGTCTTCGATGTTTTCAATTTTTTCGTACTCTTCTGCGCCATCTTCGTAACGATCGAGGCGTCTTCGTCGACGAGAGTGATCCACCTAGAAAAAAGATTATATAACTCTATTCGTCATTATTAACGATATAAAGTCGTGTATATATAATTACATAATGATCCTACATCGTCATCTTCGTCATCGTATATCAAGTGATCCATTCCTCGACCTTCGCGTCGATCTCGTCGGTTCAGGTCTTGCTCTGCTCGCGCTCGTGCATCTTCGTCATCATCGACTTCGGCGTCGTCCAGCATTTCTTCGCCGTCTAATCACTTATGGAACGAATTCGGACTCTATTTCACTCACCGAGGTCGCCTCTATAATCGTCCAGCTCCGGAATCGCTCGATAATCATTCTCCATTCCATCGCCGAAGAGTTCATCGCCCTCTCCTTCATCAGCGTCTCCTTGGGCGTCGAGAAGGTGTTCCATTCCTTCGTCGATTTCATCGACTTCATCTCCGGCATCTTCCTCGAAGGGACGATTTGGAGAAGCTGGACGATGTGGATCTGGTGATGGCGGGTTGATTTCGGACGTTCCCAATTCACTACTGTTTGGATCCATTCTGAAAAGTACAAGTTCCGCGGAGTGAAAACAACGAGGAAAGCACGAGGCAGAGATATATATTTATCAAGTTGTGATGTTTCAATTGACAACCATCTCTTCGCTAGCAGTGACCATCTGTTCATCTTCTGATTCCGACTGTTCCTCGATCTCGACCTTTCCTCTTCCAACTTTGATGCGCTTCTGCATCTGATCTGCCTTCTTCTTTTCCTTGAACTGGTTCAGCTTCTCCTTCACAACAGCCTTAAGGGTAAAACATGAAATCGGCGCGGCGCGCCCGCCCGATCGGCGCCCCGCGGTGACCTACTTTTCAAAGACAGGGCAAATCTGAACGGATAAAGCTTTTTACAAAATTTTTTTTGATTTAGGATCGTCAAAGCTTTTTCTGAAATTATAGCAATTTTGAAAAGAAATGATAGCAAGGAAGAGTTCTTAAATGGCGTGAGTTGGTCAAAGTCTATCTCCTCCCACAATTTTCGTCCGATTTTTACCAAAAGATGAGCCTGTAGAGCTTCGTCTAATCTACAATTTCGTAGTTTCAGATTTTGAATTCTAGTTTCATAAATTTTTAAAAGAATTTTTTAAATGAGCGCTCTCTCGCCGCTGCTCGCTTTTTTCCCGCGCTCCTCGCTTCAACTACCTGCGCTAAATTCTGAGCAAATACTCTATGTGGGTCAGCGTATGCTGAATTTCCGACTGAAATGGTTTGAACTGGTGGTGATAATCATGCTTCTAAGGATGTTGATAATCCTTTTTCTTCAGCATTTTCTTGAGTTTGGTGGAATGCGTTCATTTACTATGCCAAAAAGATCTAAAAAATACGACAGAAGTGATAATTTCAAAAAAGCAAAAAATGAAGAAAGAGAGATGGAAAAAGATCAAGAGAAAGATTCAAAGGAAGTCGGCGTCCAAACAGAGGAGCCAGAAGAAGATGACGATGATGAAGAAGACTCTGAAGACGGAGAAATCGAAGAAGAGCAAGCTGAAGATGATGACGATGATGAAATCGAAGAAGAGCAAGCTGAGGAAGTCGAGCCAGAAGATGAATACGCTGAAATACACGATGATGAGAACATTATTGTCACGCTCAAAATAATCAGGAACATTCTACGAATCGTTGCGTGTCCTGGTTGCCTCAAGATTGGGGGACTGTGGCTGGCAGCTTTGAGTTTTGAGTATGTACGTCTTCATTTCGAGCTTGGATGTAACAACTGCAACAAATTCAAGTACAAGTGCTGGATGACAGAAGAAGCGTTCAACAAAATCTTCACATTTGCTCAAATTTTGAGCGGAATAAAGGACAGCCAGATGAAAAGATTCTTAGCAACAATAAGTTACGCTGCAAAAACTCGTAATGGACGTGAAATTTCTCCTGTTTACAACAACGACATCAACTCAAAAGCTTCAAAATGCAAAGAAACCGTCAATCAAGCAGTCATCCAAGAGTGTGAGGCTTCTATGAACTCAAAAATTCAAGAGTTCATCGAATTTCATCATGCCCATCCTGGCGAGCGCGTTGCAGTAAGTCTGGACGGCAACTACAACGACCGCGGCCTTTTGCGTAATCAAGCCCAGGCCTGTTTTGTATCGCTTATCGGAATAATGCAAGGCAAACCATCAGTACTTGGAAGTGTCATTCTCAAAAGAGCACAAGAAGCAAAAGAAGAAACCATCATTAAAAATTCGAAAGGAAGAATTGCTCCTCGTGGAACTCCTCCAAATGCATTGGAAGTCATGGGTGTGAACATTCTGTTTGAAGAAGTACTACAAAAAATTCAAGTCGCTATTCCAGAAAAGAAAATTTACATTTGCGCCGATAAAGATGCAAAAGTTCGAAGCGCAGAAACAAACAAATATAAAAATGGGCCGAAGAAAGGGATGGAAATTTTGCCGAAAGATTCTTTTCAATGGACTTACGATTCCGCGCATCTTCTGAAAAATATAGTCTACCACGCTGAGAAAAATTTGCCCATCGGAAGTTCAAAAGACAGATTCACAAAAAAACAAGTAACACAAGTTGGAACAAGGGTTCAAGATGCCTCAAAACATATAATGAATAACGATCTCTCTCTCGAAGAAGCGAAATTGAAAATGGATAAAACACGGAGACACTCTTATGGAAAACATGAGCTTTGCGATGAAAATTGTCAACAACTTCCTGCGATTCTTCAGCCTCATGGAAATCTAACGCAAGAAAAAATAGAAGAACTAATCGACGAACTTTACAGAAAAAAATTTGGAGAAGAGTTTATTTTATGTCTTCTAAATAACGGTTCAACATCATATAACGAGTATCTTCACAGCCTTATTTATAATCGACACTTATTTGCGAAAGGAGATCCCGCTGGTCCCTTTACTCAGCGATTTGATGTTGCTTGCAATCTTGGAATTCTCATTTACAATTATTCTCAAAATGAAGCTATCAAAAAAGTATTCAATCGACTTGACATTGGAACTGGTGAAATCGGCCTCAAAAGAATGGAGAAAATTGAAATTAGACGAAAAGAAACAAATAAGAAGCATGTCACTCCTCATAAAAATTCAGTCAGACAGAAACGTCGGATGTCGCAGAAACAAAATCGTCAATTTGGAACATATGGGAATAGAGTGCAGCGAGAGATCGACGAAAAACGGGCTGCGGCACTTGCAAAACTTGAAGAGGAAAAGAAACTTGTGAATGTGAAGAAAATTGAAGGAGAAAAGAATATTGGAGAAGAAAAGAAGATTGAAGAAGAAAAGAAGATCGAAGAAGAAAAGGAGAATCTGGAAAACTTTTTGTAAACTTACTTTTTTTTCTTTCAAAACATCCGTCTCTTTATCAAAATACAACTATGAATTCTGAACTGAAAGTTGTTATGAATTTGTTGCAAAAAGAAAAACACGATCTAGAAGTGAAAAGGGCATTCGCAGGAGCGCAGCGTGAGAAAAAGGCGGCCGCGGCGTGAGAGCAGTTGTTTTGAGAGGTCATTAAAAATTCTAGAAAAATCAAATTTGAAAGTTACTCTACGAAATTAAAGAGCAGACGGAGCTCTACAAGAATATCTAAGTTTGACGAAAATCGGACAAAAATTGTGGGAGGAGATAGAGTTTGACCAACTTATATCGTTTTTTAATATTTCCCAATTTTCAATTCTATTCAAAATTTTCATGAAAAGAGAGTAGGCTTTGACGATCATAAATCAAAAAAAATTTTGAAAAAAGCTTTATCCGTTCAGATTTGCCGTGACTTTGAAAAGTAGGTCACCGCGGGGCGCTGATCGGGCGGGCGCGCCGCGCCGATTTCATGTTTTACCCTTAAGCGAAAATTGTTTATCAAAAACTAGGCTGATTCGATTTACCTTGAGTCGCTCATCCTGAACCGCGGGCGCCTGCACGATTTTGAGGTTTGTGTCCACTTCCCATAAATCTGCTCGTTTTTGAACCTCCTAAAAATAATTGAAGGAAGAAGGGTTGGGTGGACTCGCCTTTGAAACAGCCAATCTGCTGAGAATATGATGTGCTTCTCGTTTTTGTCTGATCGCGCTGATTTTCTTGACCGCTTTGACGGTATCCTGCATGAGTTTTCGATCGTATTTGACGGGCTCGTTTCGTCTCTGGAAAAAGGGGTTGGAAAACGAAGAAGAGGAGGTGATGTTACCTTTTCGAATTCAAGGGAGGCGTCGCAGGTAAGTTCCTTTCCGTGAGCCTTTCTGTACGCCTTGGTCCAGCGGATCTTTCTTGGGTTCTTCTTCTTTTTGAACATTTTGTTGCACTTAGCCGTGCAAAATCGAAACTGTTTTGAATCGTTTCTGAACATTTTTTTGTGAAAAAAATTTTTGGGTCCCTTCTTTAACGGGTCAATTTAGAAATTTCTAGCAAAAAAAAACTAATTTTTAATTGTGAAAAAAATTATATGAAATTTTACCTGACGAAAACTGTTCCATGACCTGGATAGACCGGGGCCGAGCAGAAGTAGCATTTCTCGACTCTCATCCTCTATTCTTTCTTTTGAAAAAAGAGGAGAAACGCACGGAAAAGGGAAAATGAGTGACGAGTAGCTGGAGCAAACGCGCACTGAGGGGACCCACGGTGCGCTGATTGGCCGATTTCCTTTTTGAAGCGCGAATTGGGGAATTTGAATTTCTAGTGTAGCCAGATTCTAGAAATAAATAGGGTTGAAAACGTGAGCAAGGGGGTTTTGTGAAAGAAAAAACGAGCTAGCTTTTCGTATAAAAAAATCAAGGAATAAAAACAGTAACGATGATTTTTTTAACCACGAACTATATTTTATGAAATCTAGTACTTTCTATTGAAAAGTATTTTTATCCTACCATAACAATTGTCGATTTCCTAAACTATTTTTACAGTCTTACGGGACTTATTTTTACGCAGCACAAAACTAAGATTTATAGTGAATCAATGTACCAATGACTGGAAGTGACGAATGATTCATTCATGACGCCATTCAAAATTCAAAGGGCCCCATATTGGTGCGCACGAGACTTTGCGCGCCAATCAGTGGCTCCAGGGCGGGCTCTTTCCCAACCCACGCCACTTGAGCGCGAAAATCGACGACGAGCAGTGAAAAAGGAGAAGCGCGTAGTAAAAATTGAGATGACGCGATTTCCCCTTCGACTCCCCCTTCGTCACTTCAGCTTCCGCCAGTTTTCAATCAGCAGCAGCAGTTTTGGAAGAATTCGAGAATTGAACGATTTCGACGAGTTTTTCGAATGGACGAGCGAGGAGAAGATTTTGGTTTATTTCTATGCTGAGTGGTGTAATTTACGCGGATTTCAAATTGAAGAGGTAGAACAGAAAACGTAGAAGACAAGTACTGTATTGAAATCACGAAAAGCCCTGCAAGGAATCGACAAGAGCGCTAGAAAAATGCGTCAAAAGTTCAAAAGGTGAGAAATTCCATCAATTTTCCTTCGAAAAATCCTTTTTCTTTTTGTAAATTTTGAACCTAATTCCTAGCTGAGCTGATAAAAGTCGATTTTGACGAGTACGATGACATTTCAGCGCATTATACAGTCGATTATCTTCCTCAAACCCTCCTTATTGCGAAAAATAAAGGTTTGGAAATCTAAAAATTACAAATTCTCAATTTGAAACTAGAACTCGATCGTTTTATTGGAAACAAAGATGAAGAATTCATCAAAGAATTTCTGAAGAAAAACGATTTGTGATGACCTCTTGAAATTTTTCAATCAGAAGAGAATTTTCTAAACTCGGGATTTTTAGATAATTTTCGATGAATTTCGTTGCTCGAGCCATTTCCAGACGAACTTTCGCTTCGACTCGCCCTGTTCTTGGAAAAGTCTTCGATCTTGGCGACAAATCTGAAATTTCTGGCATTTTGCAAGGTAACAGCCTGCACAACAGACCGTAAATCGAAGAAAAAAGTGAGCCCGGTTATCAAGGAAATTTTTTATCGGTGAGAGATCTGAACGTCGAAGTTTGAAGGTACCTGCGGGAAATTCAAATTTCCAGCTTGCCTTAGGAGCGCGATTTGCAATCGGCGGCTGGGCGTTTTGCATCTGGCCTCGGGCGGGTGACACCTGCTCAATGCTTATAAAAATCAGACCATTCTAGATTTTACCCTCTTTCGATATATTTTTTCTAGAAAGGAAGCTTGAATTTATTCCCTTTTTACAAGCCTCAAATTAAATTATATCATTTTTGATAAAATGAATCTACTGCTTCTTTTTCATATTTATGTTTAATACGATCAAGAGAAATTTAGAATCGCCAAATCTTTTGGTCGACTTCCACGCTTCCTGGTGCGGCCCTTGCAAAATGATGGATCCTTGGTTGAAAAACGTCATCGCCCAAGAAGATGGTTCGTGATCCAGCCAGGCTGCCGGCTCGAGCCGCTACTGGCCCCAGTTCAAACTAACAAGTTCGTTCAGACGTAAATCTTTTGAAAATCGACGTCGACGAGTTTGAAGATATCTCCCTCGACTTTCAAGTGCGGGCAATGCCGACTGTTGTCTTTTTGAAAAACGGCGACGAAGTGAATAGATTTGTCGGAGCTAGAGACGAGTCTGGAATCAAAGAATTTATTGTCAACTCTATGGAGCGCTAATTTATCAGTTCCTTTCCTCAAATATTATTCAGTTTAACTGAATCAGTTCTTGATCGATATTCTAAATTTATCTCGTTATTTCATCGTGATCCGTTTAGACAGCAAAATCGGTTATTGAAAATATATGGTGAGCGAGTACAAGGAGTGTCCACTCTGTAAAGAAGAACTCGTCTCCAAATCACATGTCAGAGAACACATCATAAGCCACCAAGTTGACAAAGGTAAGTTTCTCTCTTCCTTGCTATCAATAACGCTCGATTCTTAGCTTACAGTTGCGCTAAATGTGACGACTTCTTTGCAAACTGGGGCGATCTGATGGAACACCTCGGCGTTCAACACAACGAGTCGTCTTACTCGGAGCGTATTCACTGGAACAACGTCACCACCGGCGAGCTAATAAAAAACATCTGTGAAGACATTTCCTCCGATGTTTCGAACTCTGAGAGTTGCCGGTCGTCCGATATTTCGTGCCCCTCGCCTGACTCTGCTATTCAAGGATTTCTCGATCAAAAAGCTACACCACTGGAGGACATATCTGAAGACATAGAAGAGGCTGATGTTCCCGAACGATCGCCCGATTCTGGCTTCATCATGACTTCTGGTACAGAAGCAGATGCAATCGACGCTGGTTCCTCTGGTTCCCCGTTTACCAGCAGAATCAATTTGAAGAGAACGAAACCGATGTATGTAAACATCACCCGGCTGGATCCATCAAAAGACTACGTCGATGGTGCAAGCAAAAAAGGAGCGGTGAGACGTGTGTCTACGCAGGAAAAGAACAGGATTGACGAGGAAGTACTCGATATTTTCAACGAGTCGCAAGGTTCGCCAGAAGCTCTTTCTCGTCCTGACACTCCGATCGAAACGGTCATCGCTGAAGAGAGTGAAAAAGAAAACATCGAGCCATCACTGGGAGAAAAAGAAAAGCCTGTATCACAGCCCGAGCCAGTCCAATCTGCTGATAGTCCTCTACCTGCTCTAGAACCAGTTGAGGATCAACTGGAAAATGCTCCTCAAGCAGAAGTAAAAGAAGAACCAGTGGATGAGAATGAGCAACATTCTGAGTCACCAGAGCCAGAAATCGAAGTCAACTACAGCGAAGGAGATATCGTCTGGGTCTGGATGAAAAAATTCCCCATTTGGCCAGCCCTTATTTCTAGATCGCCAGTAGAAGAAGGAGGGGACTTTGTGCGCTTGGTGAAGGGACTGAAAAAGGGAACGGATGAAATGGTGAAGAACTACCACTGCCAATTCTTCGGCGATCGAACTGAGCGAGCATGGATGACTGGAAATGCGATTGTGAATTGGGAAGAGAACATGGAGCCGCTGGATCAATTCACGAAAATCACAGAAGCTATCATCAACAAGATCCACAAGGCCTACAAGAAAAAGGAGCGCTCAAAGCAGCTGTTGACCGTGAAAAGAAAGTTGACAAAAACACAAGAAGGCAGTTTTGAAAAGGCAATCGAAGAGGTCAAAGATGCACTGGCAATCGAAAACATAGATGATAGAATTGAAAAATGGGGCATCCAATACATCGATGAAGAGGACATCAGAGAGTTCAAGCGAGTGAGGGATGCGGAGAGGCGAAAGAGCGAACCGAAAAAGACCGTCACGAAGAAAAAAAGCATCTTGCCAAAGACGGTCATCACGCGTTTCGATGAGCTTGATTGGGCAGAAAGCGCGGAAGAGCGAAATCCAACTCTACTCGTTGACGAGAGAAGAATGAACGATCACAGAAGAGTCGAGGCTGTACCTGTTCTTATGTCTCACCCAGAGAGGAAGGAGTACAAGCCCGTGATGCATGAGACACGAACGATTACAAAGGAACTCGCTGAGCGGGCAATTTCGACACTGTTCCGAAAAACCAAGCGATCTCAGCAGAAGGAATCGCCCGTGAAGCCTTTGAAAAAGAAACCAGCTGAAAAAGAAGACGTCGTCGGTTCCAAAGGCGATCACAAAAACGTGTGCGTCGACTGCGAAGAGCCGAGTACCGAAGAGATGGGAGGACATTTCTGCCGCGTTTGCAAGCAATTCTTCCACGAATTGTGTCAGAGCAATGAGAAAGAAAGTGTTGTCTTTATTTGTCGCAAGTGCAAGGATGGGAAGTACAGTTGCTTTGAGTGTAATATGGAGATATCGGATGAGGACGCCGTGCAAGATCCAAGTCTAGCCATAGCATGGGTAAGTTTATCGATGACAATTTTGAAGAATCGCGAAATTAACGGCTTATCTTAGTGTCCAGTCGAAGATTGCGGCAAGGTCTATCACAGGCACTGCCTTGAAGATAACAAATATTCGACACCATTTTCCTCCAAAGAGTCATCCGAGCAAAGTTACAAATGCCCACATCACAACTGTAAAACCTGCGTCCTGAAGAAAGACGACAAAAAAAGATTCGCTGAAGCTAACCTCAAGTTCAAAAGCAAGTTCCTTCATTCTATGCCCATTTTCTTAATCTTTTCTTCAGGGAAAAATGTTCAAATGCATTCGATGCCCAACTGCCTATCATTTTAACGCTGAGAACAAAAAAGACAAAGATGATGAATGTGTTCCTGCTGGTAGCGTGCTCATTGCTGGGACGAGCATTATTTGTCCAAAGCACTTCAATGTAATGAAAAACGTTGCTTAGATTCCTCATCAATGTTTCTAGCGACGGAAGGATAAGAAGAGCCATCGACAGATCCACGTCAATAATTGCTTCCACTGCTTTGAAGGAGGTAATCTGATCATTTGCGACCGATGTCCGGCTGCCTATCACGAGGCTTGTCTCGAGAGCCCTCCTAACTCCGATGGGGCCTGGTTCTGTCCGGATTGCGAGAAGGGATCGACAATTCATTACAACGATATTGTCTGGGCAAAGGTACTAAACTTTAGTAACTAAAGTTTCCGTTATTTATCAAACTAACAATAAACACCAGATCGGTAACTATCGCTGGTGGCCGTCCGAAGTCTGCCATCCAAAAAACATTCCAGACAACATCGCCAACATAAATCACGAAGCGGGCGAATTTGCAGTCAAATTCCTTGGTACCAATGACTACTACTGGCTCAACCAGCATCGGTGCTTTCTTTACAAGGTACTTTCGAGGACTGATATCAATTCTTTCGTTTGAAATATTGCTTTAATGCTTGAAAATCGGCTTCCCAATTTTTAATGCTTCTGAATCATAGGGACTTGTGGATAATCCGGTTGCGTTATTATACCATAATAATCAAGCTTTATACAAAATAAACGAAGATGGCAAGGTTTGATAATCTCACTTAAAAATATTTTTTGCATGATCACAATTTATCACTCATTGCATGGTTCTATTCAATGCTTGCTCACTTTTTTCACGTGTTATTTTCATGAATTAATTTTGTTTTAGGACATTGACCGTTTAACCTATCTCGGAGCTTTGTCTGGAAAGGGTGGCCTCAGAGACCATTTCCGTGAGGCTCTTATTGTGGCGGAGAACTTGTTCGACGAAAGAAGAGGCATCAAATCCTCTGGTGGATCTCTTCCTTTCCAAAAGATCATTAAGAATGTCGTAAGTATCCTGTTTTCTTCTTAGATTTCAGTCGACTCACCATCTTTTTAGGTTCACCAGAGTTTCCCCGACAATCTGAAGCAAGCAATCAAAAAGAGAATAGAGTACAACCTATCAGAGACCGAAATCTGTGAGTGTCACAAGCGCGGGAACATGTGCGACGAAGACTGCCAAAATCGCCAGCTCCAAAACGAGTGCTCCTCGAAGTGTCCCAACGGAGACAAGTGCCAGAACCGTCGATTCACCAAGCGCCAGTACCCGCCTCTTCAGAAGTTCACTACCACTTGGGGCGGGAATGGACTCAAGGCGAAGAAACTCATCTCGAAGGGTACTTTTATCATCGAGTACGTCGGCGAAATCATTTCGCACGAGGAGTCGAGGATCCGTCTCGCAAATTCGGCAAAGATCGGCGTCACTAATTATTATATTCTCGAGCTCGATAATGTAAGTTTCTTTGTTGGAGAGTGGCAAAGTTTGAACTCTTTTCTAGTTGCGGATGATCGACGCTGGTCCAAGGGGAAACATAGCCAGGTTTATCAACCACTCTTGCGACCCGAACTGCTGCATTGACCCTTGGATTGTTCAAGGAGACACTAGAATTGGTAAGAAGCATTCTTATTAACTCTTTTAACGTGCGTTTTCAGGAATCTTCGCAACGCGAGACATCCAAGAAGGCGAAGAACTGACCTTCAACTACCAACTCCAGCAGTCGTCCGAGGAAGGCAAGACAAAATGCCTCTGCAACAGCAAAAACTGCGCCGGCTACATTGGCGACAAGGTCAAAAACGAGAAGCCAGAGTCATCGCAGAACTCGAAGAAGTCGAAGTCCTCGAAAAAGCGCAAGCAAGCTTCGAGGAACTCGACCGCCGCCGATACGAGCATTTCACAAGTCACAAAGAAGAGGAAACTTGCGTAAACTCTTGACTTCACCAGGCACTCACAGATCTTTACAAAAAAAGAAAAACAGTTCACTCTCTCACTCAGCTTATTTTTCCTTTATTATCAATTACAACTGCCACTCACATTTTTATTCTGAATTCTTCTGTGACAAACATGACGCTGCCGGCCAGATTCACTTTTTGAAACAACTGAAGTTGATACTGAGCCTTTTTTACTGTAAATACACGTCTAAAAATAAACTATATTTAATTCACTTTGGCTTATTATCTGCAAAACTTTCGCTAAAACTAATCGAAGCTTGAATGCATCATATTTTGTCTAAGAGACTTTGCAAATATGTTCAAATTTCTCTAGACCCCATTTTTGCATCTTCAGTTTCTTTGCTTTGCTTCTCATTCTGCATTTTCTAGGCCTCAAGGTACGCAGATTGAGGACAGATTTAGCGAAGGATTAAATGAAAATAATCCAAAATGAATTGAATTGTTATTGAAGAGATCATCTCAGAAGTTTCTTCTTCTCATTTTTATTCTTTAGATCTTGATCTGGGCCTCAAAGAAATCGGACAACCATGGACGCTGGTTTCGAATCATTCGAAGTTGAAGAAATTCGTGATAAGCGGGTTACTAAAAGAGGTGAGTCCTTGCAAAAGGATATGGTCTAATTAATATGATCTTCAGGAAGCACGGAGTACCTAATCAAATGGAAAGGATACCCAGAACATGAAAAGACCTGGGAGCCGCCAGAGAATCTACAGTGCTACTCAATGATTTCTGAATTCGAAGAGGCTCATTCGAAGAAGGAGATCCGCAGATTCAAGCGGCCTAAAAACCCCGAGGTAGATTCTTATTGCTTATTTTTGGTTGAAACTTTTAAATAAGGACAAGGACGGTTTTGATTTCAAATACACGGCGAAGCGAATCATGGGAGTATCACATGATGACGATGGAAGAATTCTCTTTCTCATTCGATGGTAAGAGAATCGGCTCTCTTTTTATCAGCATTGTTTCAGGATAACAGATAAAGGCGAGAAAGACGTTTCTTTTGTCTACGCAAGCAGAGCAAACGATCATATTCCCAGCGTAAGTTTGATTCTATCATTAGGGATTAGAGATATTTTTCAGCTCGTGATTGATTTTTACGAATCGAAGCTGACCTGGCACAAGCAGTACCGCGTAAGCAAGAAGAAGACGTAAGAAAATCGAAGAAAAAAATGTCTACCAACTGCCAAACACAAAACAAAATAAACTGTTCTTGGTAGACCCCAGTCACTGACAGTGGCTCACTCACTCTATCACGTAAAATGTTTGCTCCAATGGGTTAAAACTTAAAGCAAGTTGCCTTTCTTTTTTTTCGTTTTTCAAGCTCACTTCATAATTCGACAAACAGTCAGTATTTTACCAATCAAAGTAAATTCACTTCTCTCTTTCTCTCATACTCAGGAACCACACTTCAGTTATTTTCTCTGCTTGGTAAAAATACTCCAACCGAATAAGTCCACGAAATCATCTTTGAAAGATCCTATCCTAACCAGCTTTTCTCTCCTTTCTTCCTTCAATCTAATACTATTCTATTTATAGCTTGCTTCTCCCTTAAAGTTTTAAGGGAGTCGGCGAGCTATACCAAGGTGAAGTTCCTCTGCGTTCATTCTAACCTTACTTACTTTACTAACAATAACTGTAAATTAAAAATTTAAGAAGCTCTTAAATTTCAAGAAAAAAATGCTCCAATTTAAATCTTTAAGCGGCTATAACTCTTAAATCTTGAAGCAGTTGCATAAACTGTTCCTATTTCTTTCACTTCAAAAACGAATTGGGTGTCATTAAAATTCGCTGTAAATAAATGATTTCCGACAAAAATACCTGTTTCTTTCTCAAGAATGAAGTTGTGTCCTTTGTCAGATGATGGCGATGAAATTGTCTTTCCGAAATTTTTGAAGAAATGCAGAATTGGCAGGGCAGAAATAAAACAAGCCTTGCATGGAAACGAAAGTAAGGAGAAAGCTGAAAAAGTGTCGAAATCATCTGTTGATTTTCAACTTCGCGATGATTCTATAACTGTGACTAACATTGGAAAGAACTCGGTGTTTACCGGAGATTTCGGGATGCCTTTGGAAAAACTGGGGCCGGATCAAGAACGAGTTTTGAAATTCGGAGATGTCGTCGGTTTTCGGCAAGACGCGCTGATCTTTCGGATTGAAAGTGGCTCTACTAGAAAAACGTCGAAATCCGATGAGATCAACGAGGAGAATACTGAGGCTATTTCTGAAGAAATACAAAATAAGGAAGAGTCTCAAATAGGGTCAGACAATGCTGAATGGACAAGTGGCTCCATTTCAAACCACGAAGAGTGAGAAAATAAATTCAATCGTTACTTTTTCAATGAAAAGTTTTCAGCGAAAACAAATCTTCAAAAAGCGAAGCTGGCCCCAGTCATATTAACACAGCTGCCCCAGCTCGGACGCGGCCTCCCTGCGAGTACGGGGGACAATGTTACCGTCGAAATCCAAACCATAAAATCGAATTTTGCCACCCTGGTGATGACGATTGGTGGGATCCTCTTGTTGAAAATGATGATCCTGATTTTCAAGATCCACGACCTGGTAATTCAAGGCATTTTTGTAAAAGGCTCTTGATGAATTTTTAGAATGCCAATATGGCATCCTCTGCTACCAAAAAAGCGAAGCTCATCGGCGAAAATTTCAACATAATACAGCCGGAAGCGCACCAAAGAGAAGAGCAGCCAGAAAAGCAGAAGAGAAGAACAAAGAAATCTCTTCTGATAGCGACGATCTCTTGAGAGAATCTGAAAGCGAGGTTGAATACGACATTTCTAGCGGAGAGGAGGAAAGACCAGCAAAAATGCAAAAAATTACAGCTGAAGCAAAGGAGCTCATAAACGAAACAAAAAAGATGCTTCGCGATCGAAATTTCTGATGATCCCTTTTATGAATTTTTTGTACTACAGTTAATTCCAGTGATTCTTTTAAAACATTATTTTCAATTTGATTTTTGTCAAATGAATGGTCCCTTGTTTAGAATGTCTTTTATAAAAGGAGTGGAGCAAATTGCCAACAAGAAAGTTTTCTATGAAAATGCATTGAAATATTGGGACAGGGTTCCACCGACGCTTGATGGTGTCATGGGTGGATTGCCCATGCTTTCAGGTTTGAAGTCTTTTCGTTGGTACTTTTGTTAATATGATGGTTTAGATCTGGATCTTCAAGAATCAAAGCCTTTTCTAAAGAAACTCGGGATGAAACACGGGATGAAGACAGAGAGAGCGTGCGACTTTGGCGCTGGGATAGGCCGTGTTGCTGATAAACTTTTACTCCCAGTCTTCAAAGAAGTGGAAATGGTCGAGTTTTCCGCCAAGCTTTGTGAGCAAGCAAATAAAGATTTCACGGAAAAGGGGCTGATTGAAAGATTGAAGATCACTTGTCTTCCGATGCAAGGTAGGGTTTTAATTTATTGCGGACTTTCTGCTAACTGTGTATTCTCAGATTATGATACATCAATAAAATTCGACTTGTTTTGGTTTCAATGGTGCGTCGGCCATCTGACCGATGAGGATTTTATCGCTCTCTTTACGAGACTGAGAGGAAAATTATCGGAAAATGGAGTCATTGTCATCAAAGACAATTGTGCCTCTACTGAGGAGACAGGTTACTTTCCGAAATATGGAATCAAAAATATAGCTTAGTTTTCAGAGTTTGATACAGCTGATTCGAGTGTTTCTCGACCAGTGACTGAATTGGAGAGACTTGTAAAAGAAGCGGGGTTGAAGGTGATTGAGAAAGAACAGCAAAAGAATTTCCCTGAGATAGGTCTTTATCCTGTTTATACTCTTGCCCTCCGCCCGATGGAATAAACAACCAGAAAATTAATCAGATGAATAAAAAAGGAGCCCGAAATCGTCACTTTTATTTCAGATGATCGAAAGGATACGTGATTTAAATCGTGTCGCTATAATTTTATAGCAACAATGACGAACTGGCTCCAGCTAACTAGACTTTTCGCCAACAAGAAGGCTATAATTGTTCTCCAAGGTATGGGTTCATATTCTTGAGAAGAAGGATTCTTTAGTGAGTAAAAGTATGAACCCTCGTTGTTGTTTTTATAATTTTATTTTTGTTACTTCAATTTCGTCTTCCCGATATCAGTTCTCCGGCCAAGGTAAAAACATCTTTGACTATTTTAGCGAAGATTTTAGCTTTTTGAAACTAATGTCATTTTTAGCACCAATCCGAATCTGAGCTAGAAAGAATTAAAAACTCAGTGAAAATCGAACTGCGAGAACTTGAAAGGTACTTTCTCTCATTCCATGATACTGTAATTATTTTGTTTCCGGTAGGACACGTGACACAGAGCAAAAAAAAGTAGAAAGCGTGCGTAAAAATGTCCTTGCTGAAGAACAGCGTCTCAAGCAACTGAAATCAGATGTGGCTGACTATCGTGGTCAAATTCAAGCTCTTGAGCGCGAATTACGCCAAAAAGCTGCGATTCAGAATCCGCCCGTGATGCCTCCGGAGCGTATCTTTCCACCGCATGAGATTCCGACGATCCCCTTCAGGGCCAATATTGACTGTTCCCGCGGCGACTGTTTTGATTACACCCGATGTCCGTTGACGGGTGGATTTCCGGTTTATCTTTATCCCATCGATCATATTCTCGACGATGTTACACACCGTCGCGCTGAGAATATCCAAGCCGGGCTACGTAAAATGCTGCAGATTGTCGAAGACGCAAATACCGCCTGTATTTGGTTTTTCATAACTGATAGTGTCGGTGATTTCGACCCAGAAACGCTTGAACATTGGCATGGTGATGGGAGAAATCATGTGATTATGGACCTGTCAGGCAGCTCAAGCTGGGGCGATATTGGCAGAGCTTCGAAAATGGGAACAGGCTTTGCGAATGTTTTGCCTTTTGATCTCCTTTTGCCAGAACCGATCGAGCTTCATCAACCAATTTGGGAGATCGCACCGCTTATGACTCCAATAAAACGCGCTCATCGACTCGTTTTTCAATTCTCTCCGCCACAAGGTGCCAGCAAAATCGTCGAGCAGCTGGCCTTGTTGAAGAAGCAACCGGATAATGTGGTAGAACCTGTTTCCTGCGGCGCGAAGCCTTGGGCGAATTGTGGGACGCTGGAAGAAAGGCTTGAGATCTTGTCGACGTCGACATTTTCCCTTGTTCTCGTTGAGAATAGTTTTGCTGATGTTTCTGATCGGCTTCTCGAAAGTTTGCTTTCCGGCGCCGTGCCGGTGGTGCTATCGTACTCTGGTGTATTGCCACTGCCCCTTAACGCTGTTATCGACTGGTCGAAAGCGTCCTTGCAACTTCCACTTTCGCGTCTTCCCGAGTTGTCGTTTTTGCTCAGTTCCATGACCTCGGATGATATCTTCGACTTGAGAAGACAAGGACGGTTTCTTCTCGAAGAATACTTCTCCTCCGAAGTCAAATCAGTCTACAGCGGTCTTCAAGCGCTCAGACACAAGATCGGATTGACCCCTCCTCCGATGGAACAAGCTGTCGGCGAAACGACGGACATTGAAAAGTTCTACCCGCCAACTTTACCCGCCGAACCAAACTTTCTCGATGAGGAAGCAAAGGACGAATTCGTATCAATCCAGGTAAACATGATTTTTTGTCGACTCACTTGGCTATCAATTCTGTTTCAGTCATTATCGCCGCTTCCATCGCCTGTTTTTCCTCAAAATTACACATATTTGATCAAGGATTATTTCAACTCTGTTGGTCCCTTTGCACACAAAATGATCGATGTCAATATTTTGGCAACGCCGCTACCATCAGAAGAAAAGTTCCACGACAAACAACTCCCGTTTGACCCCATTTGTGGGGGAGCAGGGGGCGATGGGACGCAATACCAGGTAACATTATGCCTTCTTCCTTGATTTCATACAATTTTCAGAGCGCACTTGGTGGTAACTTTCCACGAGAAGAGTTCACTGTAGTTATTTTGACCTACAAGCGCGATGATGTCCTTATCGGTACCCTTTCTCGTCTCGTGAATCAGCCACACTTGAACAAAGTCGTTGTTGTTTGGAACTCTCCCTATCCGATTCCAGACAATCTTCAATGGCCAGCTATTGGAGCCCCAGTAGAAGTTGTCATTCCTGAGCAAAACTCGTTGAATAATCGATTTCTTCCTTACAAAAACATCGAAACGGAAGCAATTCTTTCTCTCGATGATGATACGCATCTGAGAAGGGATGAGATCGAGTTTGCTTTTCGGACATGGAGAGAAGTAAGATTTATTAACGATAATTGAGTCAAAAACTGATAAACTTCAGAATCGCGACAGAATCGTTGGCTTTCCGGGAAGACACCACTCATGGGAGAATGGAGGGTGGTTTTATAACTCTAACCACACTTGCGAGCTGTCAATGGTCCTCACAGGCGCAGCATTTTTTCACAAGCAGTACTCGTATCTGTACTCAAACTGGCAGCCTCCCGAAGTCAAGGCCCTTGTCGACGAGCTGATGAATTGTGAGGACATTGCCCTCAACTTTCTCGTTTCTCATCTTACCCGAAAAGTGAGAAAGACTAGAAGTTAAAAACTAAAAAATTGATTTACTAGCCTCCTGTAAAAGTAACTTCCCGCTGGACTTTCCGATGCTTAGGCTGCCCAGAAGCTCTGAGTTCCACAGATGGTCATTTCAATGAGCGCCACTACTGTATAAAGGTGACTAAAAATGACTGCGAATGATCGAAGCCAGCGTTGATCATCAGTTATCGATACCGTCTTTTCTTGATATTTCGCCCCGCGCTTTATAAACTTGTCCGGTTCTGGATATATTTCATTCCTTTTTCATCTAAACTTGGAATAAATAGACTTTTTACTTCTTGGAAAAATGAGCAAAAATGCTAAGAAAATCTACTCAAAACATAAAATGCGCAGATTGAATTACAATACTGGGCCGATTACTAGCTACAATAACGCAAGCTTTCATTCTCTTCAAGCCAAACCCCAAAAGCCGATAAAAAGAATAACAGTGTGGCGAAGACTTGATTTCTCTTCCATCGAAGTAAAGGTAATAATTTCTTATTTCTAGCGCTTGACGAAGATCTGGGGCTACAATCCGCTGCTGTACACTGGTTACAGAGTTGACTCTGTATTATTCAAAACTAGACTGCCCCACGATAAACAGAAATGCTTCAAATTTATCTAACCAATTCTTTAACGACTTTATCAAGCTCCAATTTTGCCTTGCCATGTAAAAAAGATATTATCAAAGATTTAAAAAAGAGTTCTTATTTATTATAATTTATAAATTATATTTGCTTTGCCTCTATGATACAATTTCGCAATACCATATGTTTCCAACCAACTTTCTTCATAATTAAAAAAGGGATTCTTTACCAACAAAATCGTAATTTTTCAATTTAGAAAGAAAGTAAGGACTCATCGCCAAGCTTGACCGAAGTCGACTTTTTGGCTCTTCCCGATCAAAAAATGACGGTGAATTTAATGCCAAGTCGCAAGTCCCGTGGCCAAAGAAGAAGTGTTGAGGGCGAAAATGATCAGATCAAAAGGTATGAAGATAATCAAACTGCATGCTTTCCTCTAGAACACTCTTGTTTATCGAAAACTACAAGATGCTATTTTCCTAAATTCACAAATTTGCGAGTGACAAAATGAAGAAGAGTCCCATTTTTAGAGAACGTTTTCCCGCTTTTAAAGGCAATTTGTGGAAGTATGTCTTTTTTCAAGAGAGTCTTTAAGAGAGAAAATATTTTAATCAAACATTAAGCGAGCCAGAGCCGGCAGAAACGCAACGTCGACCGAATTACGACGATCTGCCTTCAGAGTTCGCTATTTGCGACCCGAATAGCACCACTCCAATGGCCCCAAAACCACCACTACCTGCGACTCCGAAAACTCCGCAAAACGTTCAGAAGAAGCCAGAAGCCTCAAAGAAAACAGAAAATAAGCCGAAAAACGATCGCGCACAGCAAGAAAGAAAACCGCCAAAAGAAATGATGAAGAAGCCTGCAAAAGAAAACCGACAGAATGCGAAAAATCCCGCGAAAGAAGCCGTCAAAAAGCAAGATGATCGAGTCAAACGAGTGGAATCCCAAGAAAGAAGTGAGAGAATTTCTTGTAAAATTGTCCTTTATTTGCTATTTTCAGAATCGACAGAAGATTTGATCAAGGACTTGATCGCGCGCAACGAGGAAATCGGCTCTTTGATGAAGATCGTTCAGGGCAATATTCCCAGCCAGAAATCAACCGAGAAGAAGCTCCTGAAGCAGGAGCTCAAGAATCTGTCTCACATGTAAGTTAAGCAAAAGAATATACACTCTAATTGAGTTTTAGGCAAGACATGTATGCAGGAAACTGCCTCTCCATCGCTCTTCGACTCTTCAATGCTGAATCTTCATCTGAAAAAACTGACAAGCATCGCATCGATTTATATAGAAGCATCGGTCGTTACAAGCAAAAAAGTGAAGAAAAGACGGCGGAAATAAATGCTGCCATGAGCAAGCTTTCTGTAAATAACAAAGAAGCGGAAACGCAAAAGATGGAAAAACAGCCAAAGAAGATTAAAAAAGGTAACAGAACGATTAATTCAAAACCGATTAATTCAATCTTCTCGCAGAGTTTAACCAGGGATCTCCAAAAAACTCAAAAACTGCCGAAAAGAATCCAGATCCAGTCAAACTCAAGCCTGCTCATAAAATGGCCGTTCCAGAGCCAGCCCGAAAAGAAGGATCGGGAATCTCTTCCAATTCCGGCCCGACGTCAGAATCAGAAGTCACTGAAGAGCAAATAGAAGCGATGGAAAGTGATCCATGTAAGTACAGTTGTGGCAAATATTTTCTCAATAACAGCTGCGCGGGATTAATTCTTTGTCAACTAGGAACAAACTTTGAAACAATCTAGACGAGTTTTGACGTATCTTCAAATTTGCCTCCTCTTCATTTTTGTCAAATGCTGATCATTGTGAAGTTACTGTAATTTTCTTACTCTCCTATTCTTTTCGATTTCAAGCCTCTCGTTCATTTCATCGAGATTGATGGAAACTGCTTTTTCAAAATAACGATTTCAGATCTCGTCTATGACGAAGTCGATGCGCTCGCCGGTCAACTGTCTGATTGCGACATTGTTCATGCAAAACAATATGTTGAGCCTGAGCCTTATTATTCTGCGCGAGAAGTTTCCCAAGAGATGGCAAAGCTGAAACTCGAAGAAAACGCTGTTTCTGTGATTCACGACTCCCATCTCGCCCGAGAAATGGAGCCATCTGAATTCACTGAAATCAACGACGACTACTGCAAGGCTTGCGAGGACCTTGGACAACCCTGCGAGGACTGCGACGAACTTTCCGGCTGGTGAATCTCGCCTTCTATCTCAATTTATAACTTTATTTGTGGTGCGTTTTATTTTCAAGCCAACTGCCTCCACTTTTTCTTTTATATACTCGTCGAATTTTAATTTTGAATACACGGAAAATAGAAAAAATTACCACAGAAAAGTTTTCGGAGTTGTTTTCAGGCCAAAAAATGTCTTCGAAGTTCCAGTTGAGTATTTTTGCCAGTGCGGCACTTTCTTCGTTCCCATGCCTTTTACTCAGGGTCGAAATTTGTCACTTCTACTTGCGACTGTTCTGATTTACGGCCCGATTCCTAACGGCTCGTCGTACCAGTATTTGAAGCCAGCACGTGCGCGCACTTGAGCAGCTAGAACGGGAAAATTTGAGATGCTTTGTTGTGAGGGTAAGTATTGTACCTGAGTTTGCTGAAGCGCGTGTTGCCGGGCGCTAGAAAGAGAACAGTCAGTGCGGCTATCATCATCTGACAATAGAGAGGGTCCCGATCATCTTTATTGTTTGACTAGTCTTTTGAAAGTAGTCTCATGCGGATATTATGAAATCGAGGAAGAATATAAAAAAAATATGAGTTGCTTTTGCATGGGAATTCTCCTTGACAACTCCTACGGGAAATCGAGCTTGACAATATCATAAAGATAAAGTCGAACTTGTTCTTTTTCGACTTGAATATGGGCCAACTCATACCTTGAAAGACTCAGTATACTCAGTTTTACATCTGAGCATATTTGGGGCAGTTCTACATCTAACCATCGGGACTGGCCTCCGTTGATCCTCAAGCCCTTCCATATTATTTCTAAGCTTCGCATAATGATCAGTTCTTCTATTCTTCAGCTGTGCCCACTCCTCTCTCGTCCAAAAGGACATCAATCCGTTCGGATAATTGTTCATTCTAGTAAAAACTCTCTCGTCTGACAAAAAGTGGAAACTCTTTTCTAACCCTAATCCGGAAATCTTGAAGCCACTCTTGTGCCGTAGCAGGTCGCTATTGACAATGGCGCTGGCGTGTGGTGGGGATATTTGCTTACCTTAGACTCTGATAAAAGCTGCAATCGTAAATGATACGTGTCAGGCACGGCTGTTGTTTGTAAAACTTTCAGCATTATTGCTTTATGCAGTGTATTTTGCTTGTCAAATACTGCTGTCTTTTGACATTTACTGTATTCTTTTTCTTCTGAGATTTGCAGTTTCATATAGTCTTCTTTGATTTCCCTCAAAAAATCATCAATTTACAATTCTAGACAATGGATGAATCGGACGACAGCTTTTTATACCCGAAGGGAGATGATTCTCTTGTGTACAGCCATCCCAACAATATCTTCGAACCGAATAACTCCGAGATCGCGTATATAAAAAGCGAGCTTCCCAAATGTGACGACTCAGCGAGCCAGATTAATACGTCTAGTCAACTTGCGCAGAAATTACTCGACGATGAAAGCTTTGTGATTCCAGAATTAAATTCAGAAAGTGTTTCTGAACCCGGCCCAGCGCCACAGGAAAGGGCTTGAATGAGTTCGAAAGAAAAGTAACGAGTTAGTGTCTTTGTATTGAACTCGACAAAAGCCCTTATTGAAGCTGCTGTTCACAACGGGAGATCTGCAAAGTAAACTTTCCACAAGAAGCCTCAAATTCAATAAGGACCTTTTTGCGGATCTCGATGGCCCTTTGGTATCAAAAGAAAACCAAAGAAACAAGCCGAGAGGCCTTCCGACGACCGGAAATAAACGAACAGTCACATATGGGAAGAAATACTGGAGTCAGAAATTAAAAGAAGACGATCCTGACGACGATTTCAGTCAAGAGCTGACATCGCAGTACTTCGTCAAGCTTCAAACTCAAAAATCAGTGCAAACAAATGCTATTCCAGCGAAAGAAAAAGTTCAAAACGGTGACGAAGACGATGAATTCGACTTCTCCGCGTACAAGCCACCACCAAAGAGCTCATTCAAACCTCCCTCGAAAAACACATCGAAGATCCACAATTCAGTTGAGACGATTTTCAATAAGGATTTCTGAGTGAAATCCTTACCCCCCTCTTTTATTTGCTTGTTAGAAAGAGCGTAAAAAGTTACACTAGAAACACTGAAAAAATCAAGAGATTTTCAAAATATTGACCTCGTGCCACGTGACTGAAGTTCCAAAAGTACCATTTCTTTCGGACATCGGCATTTCCAAGTCCTCTTAGCTGAGCAGGCATGCGATACATGAAAATGATCGTCTTGTCGAGCTCTACATCGGCATCTTGGTTTCAATCCTTGTAATTTAGTTTTCCATCCCTTTCTAAAATCAGCTGTTTGCTGAAAATATTGATTTCGAGAAAAAAGGGATGAAAAGGTTTGAGACTGACACGCCGATGTAGAGCTCGACGAGACGATCATTTTCATGTATCGCATGCCTGCGTACCTAAGAGTAGTCGGAAATGCCGATGTCCGGAAGAAAAGGTACTTTTGGAACTTCAATCACGTGCTATGACGTAATAACTTCAAAAATTTCATCCTTTTTTGGTGGAATCTGGCATAACTTTTTACGCTCTTTTAAATGAGCTAATAAAAAAGGGGGGTAAGGATTTCACTCAGAATTCCTTATTGAAAATCGTCTGAGTTGCTGAAAAGATTTGATCAATCTGTCGCCACTTCACTTTTTACAACAGGAGCAGGCTCAACCATTGCTCTTCCTGGAGTTCCTTTACCAAACAATATCCAGTCTCCTTCTGTATTTGCCAGTCCTAAAAATCCTCTCAAGGAAGTCGGAAATGATAAGAAAGCGTTTGCAGCTGTCGAGGGAAGGAAACTACCGCTTTCTGAGGTTGATATGAATCAAATAGTTCCTAAGAGTCCGAGAGAAACGAGCTTGGATGTTTCGTTCGATCCATCGCAAGCCCTTTTCACCAATTCGCCTTATGGAGCGAGTCCGATTTACAAGTCTGAAGATACGGATAAACCAAAGAAATCATCCGAAAATTTGAGGAAGGATATCTTTCAAGGCTTGGACGATTCCTTCGAATTCAAAGGATTCCAAACTGGACTCGGAGTCCCTGCTAAAATTGATGAAGCAGCCTTGCAAGCAGTTCGGGCTGCTGGCCCTGAAAGCAAGAACACTGGCTTTGAGAACTGCTTGGGAGTCAAGGCGAAAATTGATGAATCGGCGATCAGTGCAAGTAAGCAGCTCTTGAATACATCTAACGAGCCCGCCGCTTCTGCCAAGACTGCCGACGTTGACGACGAGTTTAGTCAGGATTTGACATCGCAGTATTTTCTGAAGCTCCCAACTCAAACAGCGCCTCAACTAAAGAACACTGGCTTCCAAAATTGTCATGGAGTAGCGCCCAAAATAGATGAAAATGCACTCAAAGCTGTCCGAGCTGGGAATCCTCAAAAGTCACCTGAAAGAAAGAACACTGGATTTCAGAACTGTTTCGGCGTAGAAGCAAAAATTTACGAAAAAGCTCTGAAAGCTGTTCGAGCTAACAACCCTCCCGGTTCTCCAGAAAAGAAGAATACCGGATTTCAGAATTGCTTTGGAGAAAAAGCGAAAATTGACGAAAACGCGCTGAAAGCTGTTCGTGCCGCGGACCCTTCACGGTTGCTTGAAAGAAAGAATACTGGCTTTCAGAATTGTTTGGGTGTCAAAACGAAAATAGATGAATCAGCGCTCCAAGCTGTTCGTGGTGCAGATGCTCTTACGTCGCTTGAACGACAGAACACTGGATTTCAAAATTGTTTTGGCGTCAAAGCTAAAATTGATGAATCCGCTCTACAAGCTGTCCGAAGCTCTAACCCTCCGAAATCGTTTGAAATAAGGAATACAGGATTTCAAACTGCCCATGGCGTCCCAATGCAAGTGAATGAGGACGCACTGCGAGCGGTTAAAAATTCCACAAGCTTGAATCAGAATACCTCTAAGCCGGAGTTCAGAGGCTTTCAAACATGCCTTGGTACCCAAGTCAAACCTGATGAAGCTGAACTCAATTATGTCAGAGGAAAGGAAGAGAAATCCGTGTCGGTGGCAGACAACTCTCAGAATACCACAGCTGAAAATATGAATGCGAAGATGGACATGCTTATCTCTGAAATACCCAAGGAACCTTCAAAATCTGCTACATGTCCATCACAAGCGTTTTTCGCTGATGTCTGGGAAAAAGATCTGAAAAAAGAACGAGAAATGAATCCTTTCGCAAAGCCACCTCCGAATGCAGATCAGCCCAAGCCGACTATCCAAAAAGAAAATGTTGCAAAGCCAGATTTACCGAAGTCAACAATCCAATACAGAGAACTTCCAAAACCAGATTTCGCGATCAAGCCATCTATCAAGCGAAAGTCTGACGAGAATGAATTTCCGGCGAAGAAGTTCAAGCCATCTCATTCGTCATCAGCAACTGAATCGTTCATTCCTCCTTCTAAAGAACCAAAACCTCCAGAACATAAAGAAGCGAAGAGAAAGAGTCTCGATGAATTCATGGCAAAATTTGTTTCCGAAACTTGTCTAAATTCAATTCATTTGCCCACCAGTTTGCGTCATCCTCCTCTCGAATCGTTGTGGGAGGAGTATAGAGATCTGCCAGACGAACCAACCGCGGAGACAAATATTGAATGTGAAGCGGATACAGATATTGAATGTGAAGCGGATACAGAGCTTATTAATAAACAAGAATCGGATTGTCAACCTTCTCAGCCGCCACGCAAGTACGTCTATGTTCAACGCTTACCAGAGCCAAAGCCAGAAGAAGTAAATGAACGAAGCTATCAGTTTTGTGCTAATTTCTTTCATCCGGAAACTGACTCCATTATGTACAAATACGCTCTTCTTGCGGATGAACTGCGTCTCAAAGAGTTGCAAGCAAAGTTGACCAGTGTCAAAAGATCTTCTTCATTCGCCATTCCAGTAAAATCGGCTGCTAAGAACAATTCGAAGCACAGTACTCCCATCCCTACTCGAAGTAACAAACCCGTCAAATCTCCAGATCTTGCTCTTAGTCCGATAAAAGAAGCGAAATCATCGGAGACAACCGGTATGATTAAATATATCGCGGAAGAAGATGAAGACTTCGATATGGACCTTGACGAAGAAACAGAAGATCGTGTCATGTCTGAAGAAGAAGTAAAGCAATTAAATGCATTGATCAGGAAGATCGACGAGGAGATCGATTGTCGGAAGAAAAGTCAAGAAAACCGCTACGGAGTGCTGTTCCAAAGCAAGAAATACTACACCGAAAGAGGCCAGACGATTCCATTGAGTCAGTTCAAGCCGCAAGTAAATACAGAGGATGAGCCTGCTGATCCAGAGCGCAATTTCAACTTGTTCGACTTTTGGCCAAAGGAAGATATTTTGGCTGGTAAGAAAACGTCCGATGATGGAACATTCAGCTGCGCAGCAGATGGAACTTTCGGCTCGCGACATATCCAGCGCACTCTTCACAGCTCGACGATCAATAGCTCGTTCCACTCTAAATTGTCAATTAACTGGGTAGAAAATCACGCCAAACTCGTCAAGCAAAAGCTCGCTGGATACAACAACTATCTCGATCACGAACTGCGCGAAAAGGTCTTCACCCCCGACGCGTTAGTCGACCAACTTCGACTCAGGGCTGACTTGGAATTTATCGACGGAAAGAGAAGTCTCATTGTGAAGATTTCCGAGCAGGATGTTGCTCCGGCTATGCCTGCTGTTCTTTTCATTTCCTCCAAGGAGCCTCTCAGGTATTTCGTTTCTATTAAGACGCTTTTAATTAATTCTGAATAGACTATCAGATGGCTGGTACGAAATCAAATGCGATGGCGATGCTTTGATAAAGCAGCGTCTTGAAAAACTCCCAATCGGTTCCAAAATCCTCATTTGTGGCGCAACCCTTGCCAAAGACGCTCAAGCTTCACACCCGTTGGAGAATATTTCCGAAATTCACATAACCGCGAATTCCACGAAGCGCGTAAAATGGTATACGAAACTTGGGCCGTTTTACAAAAACGTTACGCCTTCGACATTATCTTCTATTTCCTCCTCTGGCAGGAGTATTTACAAGCTGAAGCTGAAAATAACAAGAAAGTACCCAGATATTTGGCTTCAAGACAACCCAGCAAAAGAGAGCAAAGATAGACGAGTAGTTTTTTCAAAAAGACAGCGAGATCGATGGCATGCTCAGAAAGACAAAGATCTGGACAAGCAAAGAGAATCGCTCGCAGCAAGTATCAGGTAAATATATAAAATGATAAAATGCAAGATTTTATTCAAATCTTTAAAGAAAGAAACATCGAGAAAACCTCGACGAAGATCTAGCCAACTTGACAATCAAAGAAATCAGCGTGCTAGACGATCCAGAAGAAATTTACACTGCAGTCACGCTTTCAAAAGACCCAGAATATACAATTTCGAACTTGACTGAAGAACAACGGCAGAAATACCAAAGTAAACACGCTTTTTGTCCGTCCAACAATTCACGCTCTTTTCAGAATTCGCCGAGAAGCAAAACTTCAAGATAAACGAGACTTTCCAACGTGAGCAGCGACAATCCAGCGGAAAAACGACAAAGAAATTGAGATTTAAAGTCAAGGAGGGAAATAGAACCAATATTCTGCAAATTGATGAGAGCAAACTGCGCGACCAATCTCTGAAAGCAGGATCTATCGGTAATTCTAGCATTTGTAGTCCTCTGCTTCAAAGTGTCGCTTCTAGTGATCGTTGAAATGGCAAACATCGCATATCGAGGCCAAATCACAATCCCGAAAAACGGGATCGTGCGTGTCATTGAACAGGAATTCGTGAAACCTGAGTTGCCCGCAGAATACGCTAATATCCTTCCAGAACTCGCTGAGACCACAAAAGAGGTTGACATCGTTGGAATTGTCGTTCATCTTGCACCTACATCATGCGTACTTGCTGATAATAAGAAGCAGTTTGTAACTGTTCAGTTGGAGAAAAATACTTGGGACTTTGAAGCTCTCGACAAAATTGTTCTTGTCGGAGCTGTACTCGGTAATTAGCTTTCAAAGAAACACCCTCTTACCGTGCAAAATCTTAGCATTTAAAAACTTGGAAGTCGACCGCCAAAAAGCAGCGCAACTCAATTATACCCACGTCTCCGAAGTACTTTCCCAGGTGTCCGACTTCCAGGGCTCTCGCGGCGCGCTTTTCAACCTCTTCAATGCTTACAACAAAGTGCTTGCTCGCTCCGGCCACGAGAAGTTCATTTCTGCCTATCGATCTTCACCCAAATCTTCGTCCTTTTCTACACCGACGCGCCCCATACCGAATTCTTCAATAAACCCAACCACTCCCCTTAGTTCCAGAAAACCACCCGGAAATGCCGATCGAATGCACCAGCTGGAAATGGCAGAAGAGAAGTGGTCCCGCTCGAGCTTCTCTTTCAACCAAACCTCAAACTAATCAAGTTCAATCTAATTATCCCCTCCTCATCCCCTTCCTGTCCCATTTTTCTCACTACCATGAACATGTTCGATAAGTTTACAACTCACTAATTATAAAGAAAACACCAACCATTTCACCCTCATTTTTACGATTCAGTCGATCAAAATCGGAATCGATAACAATCATCTCCTCCATTCCTCGATCCTCTATTCTCTTTTATGATACCGCTTTTGCGTACTCTACCACTCTCTACTGACACTCGAGATAGGCTTTTTACGAAGCTTCGTTTTTTCTTTGTGATTCTACTATTTTCGCCAATGCGTGAGAAATTCGTTGACCAGTGCTTTAACTCAGCGCCCGCGGTCATGTGAAATTCTAGCTTTTTTTCAGAACCATTTTTTCACCACTACCCTTTTGTCTGACAGAGAATTACCCAAAGAAATCAAGAGCGACTTGACATGTTAGTATACTTTTCACAAATAGATACAGTATTTTATCTCAGGAATATATTTTGATAACACGACATTTAACATAAAGCAACATTTGTCAGTCCGACAAATTAAGAATGTTGCGAGTACTTGTTGACCAAGCGTACAATCTATCGGAGCCAAGTCCGCCAACCCTGTTCTGTCTCTTGGAATTCGACGGGATGCGACTGGCGACGAGCCACGTCCCGGTCAAAAATGGGAAGGTTAAGTTTAACGAAGAAGCCGAGTTTAACATCAAGAAGGCTGGCAATTTGAGGATTCAGCTTTGCTCAGTAGACTCCAAGCCTGGTCTTCTCAGTCTGGAGGTAAAACAACGCCCTAGAAACAGAACCATCCTAGAATTACATGATTAATCATCCCATATCTCGTCTTAACCCGCCTTTTAGAAGGTCAAGTTCTTTATAAAGGTATCATTTACGATTTTCTGGTAACAATTATTGTCAAAAACATGCATGATTAAAAGTTTGAACTCACGGAACTCAATTTATGTGGAATACTCACTTCATGATCTCATTTAAGGGATCCCCCCCTGATTTCGCCAACTTTGACCTCTATCTACTTTTTTTTGAGCTTACATAGGAAGCTGATTTTGGGCGCATTAGAAAGCCCGCTTTGAAAGGAGCAAATTCTGGTAGAATCAGCTTGCCAGCATAACATTCGCTTATGCATTACAGGCCCCCAAAGTGATTAAAGTTGGCGAAAATGGCTATTTTTGACCATTTTCAAATCGTATCTACTTTTTTGGGGCCTTTATATCACCAATATTTTTGCTTCTATAGATAGCTCAGAGCCTAAACTTAATATTCTGGTAGAACCAGCATAATTGGATGAGTGAAAAAAATTTTCCTAGTTGTAGAACTTTTTGGAGCCTTTTTTGGCATTTTTTTGGTGGTTAAATGCTCTCTAGCGCCAACAAATGGCCGAAGATTCTAGTGCGGATATCATATTCGTAATCAGCACATTCTAAGCTATCGATCAACCCCTTACTTGTCCTCTTTTGGTAACGATGAAAAATTGAAAAAAATTGCGATTTTCACGCTAAGTACAAATTTCATGCATTTTCCCAAACTTTGGAGGCCAAAATTTTTGGGATGCATTTATGTAGTGGGGTACTATAATATATCAAAATGATCCTCAGAACACGAGGAATCTAATGATAGGCGAAAATGAGCTGTGCCAAAGTTTTGAAAAATCGGGGGGTGATCCCTTAAAAACCAATTTCTTTGGACATTTTCTCACTACTTTTCAGGAGCATAAATTATTTGGCCGTACCAAAGTTCCCATCGCCTTTGACAAGGCAACAGAAACGGTTCAACCAGTGCGGGAGCTGGAAATCAAGTCCAAATCTGGAAAGACACGCGCGGTGATGAACCTGCGGCTGACTATTCAAAAGAATCCGAACGCAGCAGTAGCCAAAGAAGAAGAAAGTAACAACCCTTTTGTTTCAGCAGCTCCAGCAGAGAAATTCTCTAATCCACCAACGCCAACTGCGAGAAATCCTTTCAACAGGCCGAAGAGGGATGATTCGTTTAGGTCCTCGACGACTTCGGTCGATTCTCAGGAGCGTGGTTCACGATTATTTTTGTTGTTGAATTTGAAGTTGTTGTTCGAAGGCATTCAAACTGATTATCTCATGGGGTCACCCCTAGGTCAGAAAGCAAACCTACGTTTTCGTTATTGCTTGTCTTTTCCAATCCTTTGTGTCATGGAACAGACACATTGGTTGATTTTAGACAGCGTTAATGTCGATTAACAGTAATCTCCTCTTAATTCCACATGATATGTCATTGAAATATCTTATGGTGACCACAAGATCAGTCGACCTCTCAAAATCCCTTCGAAACATCGGATAATTCAAGCACGAATCCATTCAAGGGCTCTAACCCAAACTTGGCTAGCTCAAAAAGATCCATGTTCGAAAAGCACAAGGACTTTTCCCAATCGCTCACATCTATCGACGGTATCCCCGAGCACTCGACGCCGAAGAAGCCGCCAGTAATCGAAGAAAAGCCAAAAGAAAGGACTCGCGATAAACCGAGCAGAAACAAAAGCGTCCGGAACACGATTATTGGGAATATCGGCGACTGGGGATCAAGCTCAAAGAAGGAGGAAAAAACCGAAAAGAGGGAAGATAGATCGAGCTCAAATAATCACCTAGTCGTGGAAAATGACAGACTCAAGTTTGAAAACAAAGAGTTAAAGTCCATCGTTAAGTCAAAGGTAATTTATTTGACCTTGGAGCCCGAGGTTAATGAGACTGTTTTCAGGATAAAGAAATCGCCGAACTGAACGATTACATCGGCAAATTGTTAGTACGTGTAATGGAGCAAAGCCCCGACATCTTAAAAAGTTAATCCACTGTATTCTTTCTTTTTTACTATTATTTGTTCATTCACCATTTCTTGCGCTCAATCCACTCAAAAATACTTTAAACCCATGAATTCTCATAAATGAACATTCATTCAAAAAACTCATTTCGTTACAAATATTATTATCTTGAGATTTCTTTTTTTGCCTTTACAAAAAGCAGGAGATAGATTAAAAATTTTGACAAGTCTGTTAAACAATTTATAAAAGTTTCCTCCGGTCTTGACAGAATTTGAAAATCAGAATCTTCTTTGAGCTTGTTAGAAATCAATTTTGTAAATACTTCTGAATGGTAATATTCAATTCTCCCTTTATTCAAGTTTCAATCTACCGGACAGAATTCCGCCCCACCGTAAACTGACCGTTCTTCTTTACAACTTTCTTCTTCGAAAAAATAAACAAATGCTACATTTATTCGGAAAAAATCATTCTTGGCTGCGTATTTAAAAGATATCCTGATTCTTATTCATCGCAGAGAAAAGGTTATTTTACTTTATTCATCGCCGTTGCATGTTAGCAGCTGCTCATTTTGCAATGCAGCTAGTTTTTCATTATGTGGATTGACTGGGCCAAGAATATGAGGATAATCTCGCATCAGTCTATCCCAGAATAGTTCTGCAAGAAGCACATGAGCTGTGTGACTCGGGTGGAAACCATCAGTCGTTTCAATTCCTTAATTTATCATCGCAAATGCACGAATAGAGCCTTTTTACCTTGCCATAGTTCTCCGCCATTTTTCTCGTGAATCTCAAAAGCCACGTCGAGAGGATAGTCCATGTAAATGAGTTCGAAATTGTTGAAATTATTTCGTTGGTCTTCAACCAAAATTTCAGCAGTAGCAGTTAGATTTTGGGCTCTCTCAGTTGTGAAATCTCGTCGAGACTGATCGGAAGACATCCAGCCGGTGCAGGGAGAAACTTCAAGGCATTCAATGTAGTTGTAGAAATCTTCGTAAGTTGCGTCTTGATCGAGTTCCCCAAGAGGGTGCAGCCGATCAGCTTCAGATAGGTTTAACAATTGTTTTAACGAGTAAGAATAGTTTTTGGTTTAAACCCTTTGCTAGAATTTCAAACAAAAGCTCTCCCTGAGCAAGGCCAGTCACCACAACTGCGCTTCCTTCGGGGAGAATCGTCTCCAAATAATTGAGGCTCTCCAACGTCTTCTCGTAAAATCTTTCCGGAGTGGTCATATATTCCTCCGTATTTATCTTCGTGTTGCAAACATCATTTCCGACAAGCGATAAGAACACTAGCATTGGTTTGTCCAGATGTTTTCTACCAAGACCAAAGATAGTCTTGTCCGCCATGCTCGACGATTTGCAGCCATTGTTGGCTTGATTAATGAAGTCGTTCAAATTGCAGCGATTTCGCTCAACAAGGCGAGAATAAATGGAATCAACGTACTTTCCGTCGACCCACGATTTGGGCCCCGTCTCCCAGCAATTTCCTTTGAATCCGGTTATCCAAGAAAGATGCGGCCAATCAAGCTCGTTCGCCAGCGCGATTTCAGCGTCTTTGAACGGCATCGATTCTTCGGTCCAAAGATGTGGCGTAAACCAAACTTCTGGGATCGAAAAATGGGCTCCAGCAGAGTCTCCAAGAACAGCGACGCCGATCGCTCCACTGTCAGCGCAATAAGTGTCTTCGATTGAGACATCGTTCTCCATTCCAGATATTCCGTTGCAATTTGCATCGATGAATCTGTCACCTCTCACAGGAGGTTGCCCTGGGTAAATAGTGTCTTCTTGGTCGATGCAATCTTTTGCTCGCCACCAAAATCCTCTTGCACCGCCTGTTCGGAGGCCGAATAAATCGCCATCGTCGTCGATTGCCGGGACGTGTCTATCTAGTCTATCCACGATTTCTTCAAGCCAATCTTCAAAACCAAAAGAAGCAAATCCCTTGCAAATCGCAAAGTTTTCCGGTCCTTCCATGCAAAAATCATCCAGTCTCGACTTCATTTCCATCAAGGATATTTTAATTTGATCAGTATTTGCTGGACAGCCATCGTTTTCTTTCTCAGGATAGAATGAGCAGTAACGGTGTCCCTCTGAAATGTAACACTCTCCCATACAGTAGCAAAGGCTATCAACAGTATTTCCGAGCTCGAATGCCTCCTGGAAGTACGCTCCTAAATCAGCAGAAAATTCCTGGCAAATAGGTTCCAATCGCCCGAGTTTTTGGCAAAATTGAGACATGCCTACATCGTAGCGGATGTTGTTTGCCCGGGAGTACTTAGATTTTTTATAATGAATGTATCTTCATTGAAAAGATACCTGCTCTACCCACGTGCTAATGATCATGCAAGTATAGCAACCTGACCCTCCATTCTTGCTAGCGATCGCCGAAGCAAACAAAATCGGCAACGCCTTCATCTCTCTTATTGAGAAATTGAACTATTTTGCGCTTAAGAAGCTCAGTCAGAAAGAACAGCTGCATATTTCTCATGCAGTCATTCTATCTTCAATATTTATTTTTAAAATGAACTGTGACAGACCTTAAATAGAAGTTTTAATTATCTTTCTTTCGTGAATCTCAAATCCGCAGTAACGGTTAACGCCGGAACGCATATACGACCCATTTTTGGGTAATACGATTTAAAATCGTCGATTTTGCTCATTACAAAACCCATATTATATTTGATAAACGCATATAATATGACCACGGTCAAGTTATATTTTTGTAGCTTAGAGTCCGGTTATAATATATAAACCCGGATTTTTATTCTCTTTATGCCCAAATCGCGACAAAATCGGGTTAAAAAAATTGTCAGAAATTGGCAAAAATGGCCATGCGTTCCGGGGTTAAACTAACTCATTAACAGCATCTGTTTCAGTTTTATCTCTCCAGGAGAAAACTGATGAAACCCCAAGCTATATGAAGCTATCTTCCTGTGATCATATAAAAGATTTTCTTAGGAATGCCTAATGGACGATTAATGATCGTGTTTACTTCTTCCTATGCGCTCCTATGGCAATGACTATGTCTTTTCCGAATAGTCGTAATCCTATCTTCGTCAAAGCAACTCTGACTTCATTTTGTCTCGAGTGAACTCTTCATGGTGGTGCTGTTGTATAAATTTCCGCTTTATAAAAGCAGCACACGAGGCAGCTAACTATCTAGTCGCGATGAGAGAGCCGGAGATAACAACGTTGTTTTCGTTGTTGATTTTCTGTATCAGGAAACTTTCAGAGACCTAGGAGATGCATTGAATTCCTATTTTTGTAATGAAAGATTTTCTTTTAATGTGTTAAAATCACATTATAAATACCGTTAAGGCATTTACCGTATATACTTGGAATTAATTTGAGATCACAATTCAAACACTGCGCACATCCACTAATCCATTTATAGTTTGCCTGTGTTTCTAATTTCGATCACTTGAAAGGATATACAACTCAAATCATGAGATTAGGGTATTTCAGCAGCTTTCGTTCATGACCCGAAACGTTATTTTAATGATCACCATTCAATGTCATCTTTCGCTCGAACTAACATTTATAGCTTTGATATCTTCGGTTACGACTTTCAATAGTCGCGAGCATTAGCTTAACCCCCGAGAATCCGAACTTAAATGTTGATGAAGGCAAAAAAGTTTCACCGCAATCGATTGTTCCTGTCAATACACAAGCTATCCAACCAACGGGTGTGGGCCCGACGGCCCGACGATCTTTTCGCCGGTAAAATGCATGACCGACTGCAAAGGATTCACACGTGCGAAGAAGTTTGAAGCTGAAAAAATCTCGCAAATCGATGGAGTCACGACATATGCTGTTTCATTCAAAGGGAAAACTCAGCCTCCACCTCAAAGCTCATACACTGGAATGCTTCGATTTCGAAGCGGATGCTCACAAAAAGCGCTCGAGTATTTCTACTATTACAAAAAACTTGTGTTTATGAAACTCTCGGACCGGACACGAAATACCTACCAAATCGAGTTTGCGCTTCATCAAATTCCAAAGCAAGAAAAGCAAAAGGACAAAGAATCATATGTCGTTCAATTCTCAAGAAACTTTACTGAGGGAGAAAGTTTCAAAGCAAAAGGCGATGCTTTTATAATGATGGTAGGCCTTGATGACTGGATAATGCCGTATGTGAACGTAACTCACGATGAGATCGACGAATGCGTCGCAGGAGCGCAACTTTGGTATCTCCCTCAAGATATTGACACCAGTGAAATTGACTACACAAAGTGCTTCCTGTCCAAACGCTACAACGAAAGAATTTTCTGGAAAGAATCGTGGGAACTTCCACCTAAGCGGATGCCTAAGACGAAATCATGCCCGAATCCAGTCCAACCAAGCAATGGTGAAGACAACGAAGAGGACTCTGAGACAACTAAAACTCGGCCGATGATTGCTGGTGGACAAGAAAGTAAAAAAGGTCGATGGCCGTGGTTTGCATGGAGTCCTGGAGGAGAAGCTAACTATACTAACGATAACTTTGGACTCACGTAATCTGAGTATGTTTTTTACGCAACTAAGTGTTCCTTTTTAGAATCTTGACGAAGAACGAAGATGGGTCTGATGACTGGCTTCTAACAGATTATTATGCATGCCGTTACAATCCTTCACAGCTTCTTATACATATCGGAGAGTGGAATCTTGAGGAAGAAGACGACTCAAAATTTCAGGTCTATTCAAAGCGAAAAGAATACATTGATTATGGCTGGTATGACCGATACTGCCTAGTCCGTGTTCCTAATTTAATTAATGCTGCGCCAAAAAGCTGTCTTGATAAAAATTGCTTCGAACCTGTTTGCCTGGGATCAGAAGTTCCAAAAGAGTAAGTGCATTTTCAACTAATGTAATCAATAAAATTTTCCTAGTTACACAATCTGCTATTCTGCTGGCTTTGGTGCTGTTAAAAATATTGCTGAAGATGATGACTCATCTGACAGTTCTGACGATTCTTACAGCTACTACAGCTACTACAGCTGGTACTACGACAATTACTTCGAAGATTACTATAATGCTCCTAAGCAAACATTCGTTCTGAAAGACTTTGCTGTTTACGTTGAAAATGGGTATTATCATGCGATTGACTTTGATAATGGAAAAGGGAACAGAGCTAGAAGAAGTCATACCGATAATGATATTGACGGCCCTGCTCATTGTGTCGGTGATGCGGGCTCTCCAATGATTTGTCTAGGTAATATAGGTTTTTTATGCTTTATTAATACTAAATCTTCTAAGTTGATGATTACCCTGTTCTCACATCGATTGTTCGAGGAGACAGGTGGTGTCAGGAATTTCCAGAACGTATTCAAACGCTACCCGCTGACAAAATAATCGAATTTGTGAACAACCCACCAGAGATTTTTGTCTTTCCGAATGTAACATGGGAGGAACCGAAAGAAAATCTCACTTCAGGACTTGTCTGTGACACTCCTCTCGACCCGATTCCAGCTGAGCCAGTTCGTCCACGAATCATTGATGGAAAACCAGCTCCGATCGAAGACTATCCTTTCATAGGTTGGGAAGATTTTTTTATCTATTTCTTACAATATATAATAGTTTGGCTTGGATTCTGTGGCGGTACCCTCATAACAATGAATGATGGTACTTCTAGTGACTACATTGTCTCAGCTGCTCATTGCTGCGAGGTCAGATATACCGTTTTTTCTTGTTCAAGAAATTTCTTAGCTCTATGAATATTATGATATTGATATCCTCGAAAAAACCAACTCAACAACAGAGCGAACGACCACCACTACAAATAAACCATCCACTTCGAGCTGGACCACCACTACTGGCTGGGGATCAACATGGGGTCCGACAACAACAACAACTGGCTCTTCATCTTCTCCAAGACAAATTCTTCTTGGAACGAACGATATCTACGATCTTGGTGAATGCGGGATCAGTGTTGACGTGCAAGCGTACGCTATTCACCACGACTACGACTACAATTTCTACGACTACGACGAGTCGAAGTCAGAAGAGAAAGGAATACCAGCGGACATTTGTCTCATCAAAGTACCTAACATCAAAGCTGAAATCGCGAAGCAGCGTGGTAGTGATGCTTTGAATACATGCAAAAAAGCGATTTCTCCGGCTTGTCTTCCAGCAGAACATGTACCTGAAGGCTCTTACTGTAAACTTGCCGGTTGGGGAGACGTAAGCACAACTTTTTTCTTTACAAATAATTAAACCTTTAAAGGGAAACTCGCCATCTTATCTTCTTCATGATATTGGGCTCTACACTTTTTCAAACGAATACTGCATGGGAACTCCCAATAATGATATCATACCAGTTGAAACCTTCGAAACACAGGTTCTAAAAATCTGTAGCACATGAAATTACTCCTCTAGTTTTGTGCGGGTCTTCCTGATTTTGACGGCGACGGTGACATCGATAAAGGCAATAATGCATGCTACGGAGATTCTGGAGGCCCGTTGGTCTGCGAGGCTTATGGCAAACCGGTTCTTTACGGAGCCGTTTCATGGGGAGCTAGAGCCTGCAGCGACAAGAGTTACCCGGATGTCTATGCAAAGGTTTCTCATTTCACAGACTGGATTCTTGATCTTATTGAATAATAACCGTAGTCTCTGTCCAGATTTTACTATTTAAAATTTCTTCCAATAAATTTCTTAAAAATAATCGAAAAAAAAAACTTTTATTTACATTGTAATTGCAGTGATAAGAAAAAGTGAAGCAGGAGTCGATTATTTGAAGCTACCCCAAACTTCGGTCCCAGCCAGAGTTTTCCGTCGGCACAGGTTTGCCATCAACAGTTTTCTGTTCCAAACGAAGCTCATTCAAGCGTTTGCAATTTAGATCGCATTGAACTTCTCCGGGCTCGACTTTTATCTGATTAGGGATGAGAAAGGCACTCGAATACTCGAAACTCGAATAAATGATCAAAAACATTATTTCTCATCCCAAAAGCGGACCCGATATTCTCTGGTCTAAAACGGCATTCCAGTCGATTTCTTTGAACCATTTATGTTTTCGAATTCCGTCGATTCCATTACTCTGGTACCCGAGACGACTTGTCGGAGATCTTTTACAGAGTGATTTTATCAACGATGTTCCTGCTTCGGAAATCTCGCGACGAATGCCCGTCTTAGAACATTGGAAAACGAAAGGTGCAAGGTCGATTCCGGAGACGATTCTGTCTTGAATTCCCTATAATCCCAGTTGAATATGTAGAGAGAAGGTACGTAGAGTACCTTGGCGGTAGAATCTCTGAAAGGAGTTGAGCAGCTCAACATCTCATAAATGACGACTCCAAGAGACCAATAATCAACAGCAATGTCATGACCGTTGTTTAGAATGATTTCTGGGGCGATGTATTCAGGAGTGCCACAGAAGGTCCATGTTTTTTCTTCGACAATTTTGGCCATTCCGAAATCAACTAGAGAATTAATCTATCATTTCCTCTTGATAAAGAATGATAATACCGAGGACTAAATGTCCATTTTCATGGTTGATCATCAAGTTTTCCGGCTTCAGATCTCTATGGCAAATATTTTTCAAATGAAGATATTCAAGAGCAAGCGTGATATCAGCAGCGTAGTATTTTCCGACGATTTCATCAAGAGGACCTCTTGCCACAAGGAGATCGAAAAGCGAACCGCCCAGGTAAGCGTCTGTGAGAAAATATACAAAATGGAGATCTTTGAATGTGGTGTAAAGTTTGGAGATGAATTTGCAGTGGAGAGAGCTCAAAATGTCCTTAGAACACAGTTAGTTTTGAATGATCTGGTTGTCTTACTCTTTCTCGTAGAATGTATTTTTCTTGGTGATTCTTAACTATCGTATATTTTGGAATCATCTTCAGCGCTAAATGAATCGACTTGGTTTCAGGGGTCGATACAAGATGCACGGTTCCGTAACCTCCTTTGCCCAGGCGCTTTATGACAACCATTTCTGCCAGCTTGAAGTGCGATGCAATTTGTTTGTTGTAAACATCGTTTACAATCGTCAACGAAAGAACTCGCTCACGAGCTGGTGAATTTGCTCGGTGGCGTTCGATTGAACCGATCAAATTCACAAAAAGAGCTTTTTAGTGGTTAAATACTGAAATCAACGAGGAGTACCCACACGAAATGAGGCACGATAAAACCATTTCCTTTGTTCAAAACATAACACGTGACGTCTGTTGCTGCCACAACGTCGGCGTTTCTGTTCGTGTTGGAGAGCAGTGAAATGTCTCCAAAGTATTTGAACTGCTCCAGAGTCGCCAGATATTCGCCATTACTTTTAGAGGGCCTTTTCATTACTTTCTTCCCTTTCGAGTTAAATCCTCGCAGAGTGACTGTAAGATGCACCTGCAGTATCGAACCGGCATTTATGATGTGGCGGCGGATCAAACTGCCTTGTGGAGAGATGCCCTTTCCTGCTCACCTTGACGGAGCCAGATTTGATCACATAAAAGGAGTGCCCGATGTCGCCCTGGCGGATGATCTGACTGCCTTCAGCGAAGAACTGCTCGCTTAGAATAATAAAACAGTGTTTGTTGATCTTTCTTACCTCAAGCAAGCGGCCACTTTCTTCTGTTCCAACTTCGAAAACGTCTCAAAGTGGGTAATTTTGGAGACGTATTCGATCTTTTCTTGGAGACTAGCTGTTCCTATCGTTGCCAGAACTCGCTTGAAGTCATGTCTCTAATATGGATTTTTATGAGCCTCCTGGACTTGAAGATTAAAGAAAGCAAAAACCATAACTTGATGTACCAGACGGTCATTTTTGTCTTCGCTCTGACCGAAGCTGTTCTCGCGCAGTTGTAAAACACGGCAATTTCTCCAAAAAGATCTCCAGGTTTCAATACTTTTTCAGCTTGGCGGATTCCTCCTAGGCTTCCGAACATTTCCATCCCAATAGGCTTCAGAACAGCGGCGAGTCCCTCCTTGATGATGAACATTTCGTCCTTTTTCTTCGCGTTAGCATCGATAATCAGCGTATTCTCCTCGATCGTCTTTTCCTGGAATGCGTCGATCACAGCGTCCATCTGGGCCTTTGAGAGAGTTTCGTTAAATTTGAGAAGTTATAGAATCATATCCTGTTTGAGCACCTGATTCAGCTGAATTCGACCAACTCATAAATGTCATGGAACACTTGTTCCACGCAAATATGACAATATCGGCGTATATTTTGAAAGATCGGTTTGAACTTACTTTCGACAGTTTTTTCATGACAATGTCGTTTTTCAAGGCGAGACGTATTTGCACGATATCGCTTTCTGATTTATTGACAATATGGCGCGGAGATTCAATGGGACCTAAGATGTTAAATGTAAGTCATCGAAACCACCAGCTTCCGCCGCGCTACTGCAAAATCTGCGATATCAAGACGCAAACTACTGCGAGAATTTTTCACTAAAAAGTTTACCTGAGCCGCGTTCTCCGTAAATTGGGTTTCGGATTGTTTCATTTTGATCTCGATTCCCGGATTGAATAGCTTTCTTTATGGACAAGGCATTTCCATTCTTGAGTTCTTGGTTTTCGTCCTTTAGTTTTTTCACACTCGACTCCAAGTTTTCGATTATTGTTTTGATGTTTTCCAGCGACGATTTTAGTTCTTTGCTTTTTTCAGGAAAGACCACCCCTAGTTTCTCTAAAAACTCTTCCAGTACTTCCATTCTGGACGCTGGAGATGGTTATCTTCCTTGATTTCAGCTCTGTTTTTCTTTTCTGTTATCTAAAAATTATAAAATTTTTAACAGAAAGGACGATATTTTCCGGGCAGCACGCTATGCAAACAACGTTTGGATAGAGTTAGAATTTGCGAAGGCTAAATCAAATGTTGAACAAGGGGTCACGCACGAGTCACATTTTTCTTTCATTTCTCTTTTTTAAATTTCAATTTTGAACTTTCTCAACAAAATTTGCGCCTGATTTGACTATTTCTTTTCATTTATACACGGATCAATTGTTCTCTCGCCTTATGACAGTTCTCTCCGTCTCAGTTGATGATTCTCTGTTTAGTTCTCTTTTATTTTTATATTGTTAATTCTGAGACACCGTTTTTGGGAATCTCTGGTTCAGATATAAAAGGAGATATTTTCGTACGATGACGTAGTTGAGCATCTGTGCATCAATTATGGAATAAATGACGAGGATTTATTGCGTGCTTTTGCTCGTTACGACAAATTACTAATGTCATGATTTTTATTTTTTACAAAAAAAAAATATCAAAAAAGCCGTCAATTATCAAAAAGGTTCGTTTTTACCCAGATTCTCCCAGATTTTACCTCTATGTATATTTTCTTAATGATAGCTGAGTCCGAGTTCTCGTCATCTTAGTAATAATTTTTAATGAGACGTCTCTCTTTTCAAGAAAGAGGATTAGAGACAGGTTGAAGGGAGGGGAATACTTTATGGACAGAATAATCTTGTTGCCCTGAGGTGAAACGAAACTAAATGGCGGAGAGTCGGCAGATTCAATTCCGAAGACGTGAGATTTATTCAGACAGGGCATGATTTTAAATCACAAGGGTTTACAGTCAGGCTTGTAAATTGAGAGCTTGAAATTCGAGGAAAATTTCAAACTGGTCTTCAGAAGAGATGATAAACCTTTCGAGAAAGCCATTTTTTTATCATACTGCGGATATTTTATTTTTGTCCTTGAAAGTATTTCAACCACGTGTAAGTAAGTACCTGTAACTTAGAGCGGTAGGATTCACATCCGCCAAGACATTATAAATTGTCCAAAAATGCAAAAAAAAATCTTGCGCTGCCAAAGATTGACACGGAGATGGTTTAGCCAGTGTCAATTCTTGCAAGCATCAATCAAGACTGGCTCATTTGGCAGCTGATCTATACACGACAATTCAACTCTCAAGTCCTTTTTAAGACACTCGTTTAATTTACAATAGAAACGGCATTTTTTCTAAGAAGATTGTACAGTGCGTTATTTTGACAGTAGATCCTTTCGTGTTTATAAGACGAATTCGCGGAAGGCGTCGAGGTGCTCTTTTAGGCTCTCGATATCTTCGTCTCCTTCTGGCCAGATGATTCGAAGAGGAGCACAAATTGGACATTCGGGCTTGGAGCAAGAAAGGCAATGTCTCAGGTACTTTCTTGAAGCGTCACATGCCGCGACTCCGAACTGAAAAAATGATTATAGCTGAAATTTAAATCAAGGAAGAGAATTACTCTCAAATTGCATTTTTTCTCGAAGCACTCCTCTTGATGACAAAGCAGATCCTAAAAAGGGACGTTTGAGTCATGAAATGCAAAAGGAAAGAGCTCACTTGGAAATCCAGGCAGTATGGCATCAGAGCACACTCTTCGTCATCGCAATCAACACAGTGGATCATCATTGAAATTACCTGTCAACGGGTGAAATCAGAAAATTACGACCAAAAGCACAATTATCGCTCATCTCTCTTTATCATCTTTTTTAGAATATTTTCAGAGAAAAAGATGTTTTTTTTTTTCAAATTTTTTTTTGACTAAAATGGCTAATATTGAGAAAATTAACAAAAAAAAATTTCAATTATCTTCGGTTAAAAAGTCTAGTGAAAAATCTTTCTGTTCGTAATTAGTTTTTATAAAAAATATTTTTTTTCTTTTCGAATTAACCCGTTTCCTTTCTGATACCAGCGTACTTGTCAGCTTTTGCGTTTTTCATCTCTGTGACATTCATTTTTTTTAATGAAGTTAACTTTGTTTGTTTGCGCTCGTTTGATGAGTTTTGCGTTTGGAATTCAAGGCCTCGCCTTGATGAAAGAGGTATTTATTCATCAGTGCAAGGGCGGCCACTAGCGATTCTAGTAACAAGTGATAAAGACTGTCCAAAAGTGTCAAAGTGAGTCACGCTCGTCAAACAGTAACATCTGTACATTTCCCATCTGGTGTATAAATCTAAAACACGTCCTCTATCAACCACAGTGATTCATTTTCACTGCACGTACCGTGGTATATGAGAAAGTTACAAACCGCGACGTTCGATTTTTCCCATTTTTACCTTTTTTCGGCGATTTTTTTTCTTTAGTTTTTTTCGTAGAAACGTTGTTAAACTCGCTCTAGAGCAACTTTAATACTTTGGCCTATTTACTATATTCAAGCCCTAATCTAGCCATAAGTCCTTCTAATTGCCGATCAACTATTCCTCAAAAATGCGCTGCTCATACTCGTCTCACTTGCGCAACTCCGAAGACCGCGGAACAATCTTGGGCGACAGGCCATTTTTTCAAAGTTTAGCATGTTGATGAAATAATCATAAAAATCATAAGACTCACGTTGTTGTGAGTCTCTTTGATTTACTCTTGATAATAACAACCGCATCAAAAAGCAACAGCAAATGTTGTTTGGTTTTCGAGCATGGTCGATTTCTTCTTACCCACCGGTCATAGAAATATTTTTCTAAGTACAACTCGTCTCAGTGACATTTCTATCATTCTATTTTATGCGGTAGAAAGATTTGAGCGAAAGCCCGATTCTCTCGCTAGAATTTTTTGATAAAAATCTGAACGAGTAATTATGGCTTGTAAGAATATGGAAAAACTACTGGTAGCAGTGATAAGAAAATGTGAATAATGTAGCGATTCGTGTAGTCGAAGAAATTGATAATTACTTTTCACGTGGAACTTTTTTCTTAACAGAAAAACAAGGAAGAATACGCTAAAAGAAAAAGTTATGCTGAAATAAAAATCGCAATAGGTTAAGTCGTTCAAATTAAGCAGACGAGAAATGAGCTTTTCTCTTTTGCGTTTACGTTTTTCAAAGTTGATAAGTCGCTAACCTGCTTACACCGTGGAATGGGTTGAGCTGGGCAGCTGAATAAAATGCCGATCATTATCCTCGAAATTCGGAAGGCAAATAAACCCCCTCACGCGGTCCTTGCTTCCATCATTATTTTTTTTTCCTCCCCAAATTGAAATTTGCCATTTTTCATTCTTCCTCGACTTTATCGTAAAAAATACGGCGGTGACTTAACATGCCTCGAGTTGACTTTGAATCAGAAGGAAAGAATCAAAATCGAATCTCGGTGGCGAATTTTGTATCATTACATTTTGCGATCACATTACTACTTCGAGGACACCTGCGATGCCACACGTATCCTCATCACTTGCTTCTTCGAGTTTTAATCCCTATCCTTAAGGCCTTCACCTCATCTACTACTTCTTGTCTGTGTAATTCTAGCTTCAATATTCAGATTTTGGAATCAAAATATTTCGCTAGCAATATAGTCTTGTAATCTGGGCCGGCAACCTGAGTAGAAAACCTGAGTCAGGGTCTGAAAGATCAAAACTGAAAAGCGGCTTCGTCAGAAGTATAAAATATGATTGAATCATAATCTTGGGAAGCCGCTTCGCGGCTTCGTTTTTTAAAAAGCCGCTACGCGGCTTTTCATTTTTGATCCTTCAGACCCTGACTCAGGTTGCCGAGCCCAGTTTGCAATTGCAAAACAGCAATTGAGAGACCTTGTCTTGCCTATGCGAATATTCGCTAATTCGCCGACTTCATAAAAAGTTGCATCACAAAAATTCCCCTTATTCCGGCGCTGTTATAAACGTGCGCGATGAGAGGTAAATCCCCCTCCGCCCAGGTCTATTTGTGATTTAAGAATTCAGCGCGATAGATCATCCTCGAGCTTCTCTTCATGATGCAAATTTGAAATTTCGCATCTTCAGCAAAGCCAGCGAAATGAGTCAAACAAGTTCTATCAAAATAGTATTAAAATATTATTAGCCAAAAATGATTTTAACTTACCTTGATCTAACGTTTATTTCGGGACAATTTAACCATGAAACGCAGTTTAACAAATTCAATTAAAAAAATCATTACAAATGCAGTAACGCAATAATCCATTTGTCAGCCAAAGCAGTTAGTAAGGTAAAGTGAGGAGATGATCTGAAAAATTCATATCTGGGAAATGCCGGTAATGAACGGAAAGAACGAGAAATCGTCCGGATCAAGGGGATATTTACGCTCTCTTCAATAATTGCGAGTGAAAGAAAAATTTCTTGCGCAAATGTTCAAGGGCTCATTCAAGAGCAGAATAGTTCGAGTACCAACGCACAGACGATAAAGGCAGCCTTTTGTTGACATGTGAATGTTGACATGTGAATGTGTCATGTTCCTGTCATCATAAATCAACTCGTAAAATTTCCTTTTGGCTGCTCTTGGTTCAATAAATATTGTTAAATTTAAATTCTGAGAGGAAAAAAAGAAGCCTTCTGAAAGGCCATTTTGAGGCGTTTTTAGGTAAGTTTAGGTCGGTAGATCTGGCTGAATAATTGAGCACTTGGTTCGGCTCCCATACTCAAGATAAATATTTCTGAAATAATTATCCGCTCCACTTGTCACTGGCACTAAAGTTATCAATCGCGCCAGGCGGCTTTCTGAAGCCTCGTGAACACATCGTAATATTTTGCCTCTTGCTATTTTTTTGCTTTTTGTCTGGATAAAGATTAAGAGTATCCCCACTTATAGTTGACTAGAGGGCACAACGTCACTATTTTGAGTGTTTGAACGAGGAAAAAAATCCACAGAAAACAGCTTTTTATTTTTAACGAGCCGTTTTGCGTGTTTTTTATTCAATTATGACTTCAAGAGAAGCTCCTGCTCAAACTCAATCCACAAAGAAAGGTAAATTACGCGATAAATTAGAACGATGAGAAAGCGGAGGATACACCCTTAACGATCGTCAAAAATTTTAGCAAGAGATGATTTTTGAAGATTTTAACGATTTTCCTAGAAAAATATTAATTTGCGTCATGTTAAAAAAACGTCTCTTTTGTGATCTGAGCAGCTTAATTTTCGATTGTTTTACTCAAAAAGTGTCTGTTGTTATATCTAATAATTATATCTATTGTGATAAGCAGCTGCTTGCCTCTCAATGAGGGCCTCCTCGAGACGTGAGAGACTTGAGTTCAACAATCATTATCTGAATTGAGAATTGAAAATTGAAAATTTCCGACTTCGAAAAATTTCGAGCTGAAAATTAAAATTGTGTAATTGTGTAATTTTTGTAATTTCGCTAATTTGACGAACACACGACTAATCGATGCGTTGATCAAATTTTCGGAAAAATGAATACACTCGGCGAGGAGGTTCAATTGCTATAATTTAGAAAAATCCACCAAGCAAACGAGCACGGATCATATTCAACTCAACGGGAGAGCATCAGAATCCGAGAAAAATACTCAACAACTTCACGAAATGGATGCTACAGAGATGGAGCGAATGAAACGACTCAATCCGGACATTTTGAGAGACCAAGGTACTTTCAAGCTAGAATTCGGACAAGTCCATTTTCTGTAGAAAAAAGTTGAGAGAAATCAAAAAAGAGGCCGTTCTATGAATTGTCCAAGTGAGACTCTTTTAGATCAAAAGTTTCATCCAAATTTCGCCGCGCAGAATATTCTGACTGGCGCGGGAAAAGTAAGTTTTGATTGACACGAGTGCGCGCTAATGGCCTTTTGTAATTTTTCAGCCGATTTTGTCGCCACTTCAACAGAAGAGAATTCTGATTCACTTGAATCAACTTCAGAATATCAAGCTGGAGAGAAACAGGAATTCGGTTGAAGTCACTTTTTTTGCAAAAACTATCAATGGGTGCTCAAATAGTAGCAAGACTTGCGCCTTCGTCTACCGACCAACCATGTGAGGGACCAGAATGACATGGAAGGCTGAGTTTGGACTTGATAGAACCTTCAAAGGTGGTGAATCCTTCATCATCGATTTGCGGTTTTTTTCTAGTGGGTCAAGGGGACTCTGCTTTGTCACATCTCTCAGAATTTTGCGTTCCGGACCGCCTCTGGTTCCTGAAAGATGCCCCCGTGAAGAGAACAGACTGCCTCCCGAACAGACATCCTCATCCACTTGCATTTTGAACTGCGAAGCCAGATGAGCGTAACAGGAATCCTCACGAAGGAAGAGCAATTAAGCTCTTCGGGATTCGAACACACTTGACCATTTTCGCCTACTAACCCGCTACCCACACCACCGGGTAGCTTCCGATAATGGGGATGAAAAATCAACTTTATAAACCGAAAAAACCGACCTCGAATTTGACAATTCTTACATTTTTACTTTTTATTACAACATTTCTTCGGAAGTAGCCGCACATCAGCTCTTCTCGATGTAATTTAACATTGTTTTCAACTTCCGATTTTCAAAAACGAAGAATTCCGCGCCCGTTAGATCCAAGTAAATGAACAACTAATTTATTGCCGAATCAATATTTTTGATTCAAATAATAATTAATCTAATATGAAGTGATCAAATAACTGCAACTGTGTTTGCGACATTGTCTTTTGAGGAGAACATCTTGAGAGATAAAAGTGTGAAGTTTTATTTGCACAATGTTGTAATTTGCAAAACATGAAAAGACTTCTACTCGCTTGTGAAAACAAGCAATTTCTTTGAAGCAAGTTTATTTCTATGTAAGTTACAAAATGTGGATTCAGCGTGTCAATTTTGACCGCTTTCTACCGCGCTGCTGGAGGAACTGCAAATATTTTTAAAATTCAATGAATTAGCCTTTCGCCGACTCAGCTTTTTTCGTGTTTATCTTCAACCGGAAATAAAGATACCAGCAACTGTGCTTTGACAACGAAGCCTTCATCGACACTGAGCCGACCGGCAAATCTTCAACTTCAAATTCCAACACCAACAGCCTCAATCTTTGATCATCCTCGCCGATTAATCTGCTTCTCATGCACAAAATTGAAATAAAAAAAAAAAGTTCACTTACATCATAAATATCAAAAATACATCATGTTATCTCTACTGGTTTCTTCTTGTTGCGTGAAGATTTGGTTGATAACTGGGAGGACCAGTGCTCTCAAAGTGGATTGCGGCTGTGGATTTTGTGATCTACCTAAAAGTGTGAAATCTGATAACCGATTATATTTACTCAAGAGGTTCTATAAACTGCTTTCTATGTGAAAATATGCAGGTTTTTAAGTATAATTTGATAGATTTTAGACAAGACTTGCTTCGAGAAACACCTTTTTTATGAGATTTCATGATAAGATACACCGATTTTTTTTATAAAAAAGGCATAAATGTTTATTACTTTCTGTACAAAGAAATATCTTTACTTTCACAAAAGATATCTAAATAACCATCGGAGCTTTATTTCTCCAATCGTTTAGGCGCACATGCCATAAGGCTGAATGGTATGGTCGTCGCAGCACTGTTTGTTGAGAGAGTTGAAGATCGTCAAGGGACCGGTTGGGGGACCGCAGCATTCTGGCTCACTTAACAAATTTTGCGTGAGACTTTGTCGGGAAATTTCTCGTCGGTTTACGCCCGCCGCAAACGGGGGCTTATTTTGTAACTGTTCTGTAGCTTATTGTTTCCCGGAAACTCGGCGATTAGAAAAGCTCGTGCTAAGCAATTTTCAAGACATCTATTACAACGCCTGGATATATCATCAAGCCCTTATCCCAAGTGAATCTACTTTTCTTTACATAATCAAACTATTAATGTTAAATTACTCCCTCTCACTAAAATCTCGAGTACCTGACGCCGCTGGTTTTCAAACACGATGAGTTATCACCGCGCGGGTCCCATCCAGTGGTCGACCAGAAGAGATGATAGTCGGAATTGAAATGCACAAGTTGCTCGGGCATCTTTTTCGCGTAGTCGAGGTCGCACTCGCATAGATTTCTCTGGCAAGTGCCCGGCTTGTCCACGCAGATTACACCGCCGTTGGTTTTGCGCCATTTGTACTTGACGAGTTCGCCGATGCATTGCTCGCCAAACTCCATCTTTACGCATTTTTGGCAGTCTTTGTACTGCTTGCATACAACGTCTTTAGACTTGTTCAAGAATTGTTACATAAAGAATCGAATTGTCTATTTGACGAAGCTAGCGTGTCTCGTGTACGTAATTGTTGATAAAAATCTTGAACAACATTCCTAAAGGATCAACCGGTCGTCCATAGCCAGGATCGCTCATTGGGCGGTCGCCAAGGATCAAACAGTGGCATCCGTATGTCCAGTACTTAACACTTGATTGTCCAAAGAACAAAGAGAGTTTTTACCTTTCTTTCATCAAAAGAAGGGTTGTAAAACTGCACGATCTTCAGCAAGTCCGAGTACCTTCTTCCCATCACCGAGATTCCCCCTAAAAAGAATCTTGATATTCCTAAATCATTACTTTTTACCAACCTTGGGGTCGATTTCCATGTCGTCCTAGAATGCCCAACGAGTCGCTTTCATCCGCTTGCGCTTGTGTTCCGCTGAAAAAGGAAGCTCCGAAAAGGGCAAAATTGAAAAACGATTTCATGATGTTGAAGTTCGCTGGTTGATAATTGCTTATTGCAATTAACTGGAAGTGAAATTTGTTTGATGAAATTTCCGGGCTGATGAGATTTTTTATATTGCTCGAGTTATATCAAATGGCGCCGTCTAGTGCACCGGCTGGTAGATATGATTTACGCCACGTGAGCGGATGGAACTGATTATCCCACAAGTTGGACAAACACGAAGCAGATTTTTAAAATATGAAATTCAGGATCCGGAAATTGCTGAAATCAGCTTCATGCGCTTTGATTTCCCAGATGGAAATTCTTCATGGGAACTCTCGATAACTACAGGAGGAACGAAGATGCACGTAACCGTAAAATCTCACCTCTACGGTGCCTATCTTGCCAAAATCCTAGACACGTTGCGAAGGCTAGAGAGGACATTTTCGAAAAAGTGTCCGTTGAAATTGTAAAAGCAAACATGCGATAATAATCATTATTCTCTTGATTTGAGGGTGAAACTATCAACCTAAAACTGAGAATCTTGCTGCTAAGACCTTTCGTTACATCATGCAGAAACTGGGTAAAATTGGTATACAATCTTTTGCTGTTTCATAAGAATTTGGAGAGACGGAAAATCTTATCTTTCTGCAACTTTTAGACGCAAAACTCGTGCATAAACATGTTATCTTCTTTTTCGAAAATTTCCAGATTACTCAGTCAGGAGTTTATTCAATCTTTTTCTTTTTCGACTTTCAAACATTCACAGTTTCAGTCTGTAGGCGTTTCTGAACAGCATCTTGGAAGAGGTTGAAAACCGGCTTCGCGGAATTGGCAGCTTTGTGGAGCGCGTCCATAAGATGACCCTGGAAATCGCCATCGGATTGAACCGCCAGCAGCTTTCCGGTTCGGGAGAATACTGCGTGAATTGAGCCTTTTATTGATGCTCAGAATTTAAATCGCCGACTCAGAATCGTTAATAGTTCGATTTTATAAGAAAAAGATCGAATATATAATAATTTAGAGCACTTTCCTATCGAGTTATTAATATCTTCTAGCGTTGGGTTCCCTAAGATTTTAATGAGAAGACAAGTTCAAATTTGAATGTCATACCAATCAGATCAAGCGTCTTCTTCTCATCAACAGTTGAAGCTAGAAGAGCTACAGTTCCTCCAGCAGCAACGTGGTGCATTTGTATTCCAGCGTCTAACATGGCGAGAATCGCGCAATTTACTAAAATAACATTTTGTAAAACACTGTTTGCTTTCACCCTTGAGGTTTCTCTTTTACAAATGACAACTGTGTGCTGTCATAATCAATAATTTTACCTAAGGGAGTCACGCAAAACTCTGTTTCGAGCGGTTGCAAAACAATCTGAATCTGACATCTAGGGTTGGCTTCTTTCTGGACGAGGGAGGAGAGAAGACCCGAGATGGTCCTTTCAATTTGTCGGTGAACAGGTCCAGCTTGCTGATTCGACGGGGGATGAAGAATCACATTGACTGTAACTCGCATCGGATCCTGTTCTCGCTCCTTTGCTTCTACAGGGCCGTTGACTCCGCAAACGACTGTTCCAAGCTCGGAAACGAGCATCGCTGATCCATCGCAACGACTAAACAGTGAAATCACGGTTTTGCGGAAATTCAATTTCGATTGAAATTTGCAAAGTTACCGAACGAAAGGGAGTTTTTTCACTCCATTATAATCTTGGGCGGGGTTTGTTTTCCCTCGCCCGATAGATTTGATTTCCCTTGAACTAGGAAACAACATTTTTTCTTTCAAAGTAGCTTTGAAAGCAACTTTACTTCAGTCCAAAGAATAGAGCTGAACAAGCGCTGTTAGAAATTCTGTCTGCCAAGGGCAGGTTTATTAACCTCTGACTGATGATTGACAGAAGGTCAGAAAATTAATCGATCGACAGGTACTCGACAAATCGATCGAAACATCACACGTTTACGGCCACTGTTTTGTAATTCTTACTTTCTCTGAAATTCTAGCGAGTCAATTCTTACCTCAAACATCCTAGTCTAACTTCGACTTCTTTCTGCTTCTGAATTTGTGATGGGTGCAGTTCTGCTTCTTTTCTTCCCATCGTTATCGCTCTCGAAGACTCTCAAACCTTCCTTCTCAAAACCTCGAAATTCTTTCTTTCTTTCTCCAGTGAGACTGGCCAATCAGCGAGCAAGAAGAACTCAGTCGGAATCGAAACGGGGCAAATTGTGTGAAGGCTTCACTGAAGCCACTACTATTCAAGAGATGTGCAGCAGAACTGCTGGTTTTCTCTCAACAACTTTTCTTAAAGTTATTTGTCAGTTATATCAATCACACGATGATTCATAAATTGATGAATGAAAATGGCATTCTCGGGACCAAATCATGACCCCCTTCTTTCTAGTGCTTATCTGAAAGCCCATGATCTTAGGAGTCGAATGGTATGTTACTTAGGGTCTGAGTCATAGAAAATGACGTCATTTTGCTCGAAATAAGGCCCTTATGGGGAAAACCTATGTAGTGCCATAACTTTTTATTGAACATATAAAAAGATATTGATCTTAGGCTCATTCGAAAGAGCAGCTCGAGATCTAGGTCGGGAGAGGAAAATCGCAGTCAACCACCCGGTCAACCACGTGGTCAAAATTTTGAAACCGGCCGGTTCAACGTGGTTTATGGCTCCCGACCTAGATCTCAAGTTCCTCTTACGAATGAGCCCAAAATCACTATACTTTTATGTGTTCAATAAAAAGTTATGGCACTACATAGGTTTTCCCCATAAGGCCCTCATTTCGACCAAAATGTCGTCATTATCTATGACTCAGTCCCTAAGTTACATACCATTCGACTCTTCAGATCATGGGCTTTCAGATAAGCTCTAGAAAGAAGGGGGTCATAATTTGGTCCCGAGAATGCTATTTTCATTCATCAAATAGAACAAATAGAATTTCAAACAGATGTCCCCTGTAAGAGGCATCTTGTAACAATGCTGTCGTGTGAAGCGTTTTCACTACTGTAACTATTTCAAAATAGCGCATTACCCGTTTAGGGGCGATTCCGAAACCCGTTGCTCTTTTCGTATTTCCGGCGGGTTGTTTTCTCCCGCTGAGCAATTTGAATACAAAACGGAAAAAAGTTTTCGTAACAGTTAGAAAAACGTAGTGAAAGAGACAATGTGTCAGCTTGGTTTTTTTTCTATTGTAATTTGTCAAAGTTAGCGGGGGGTACTCTGATCTGCGAAAATGCAACGTGGTTTGTTCAGGGAATACTAGCTTCAATAATGTTTTTAGTTTATGATAGAAGGATGATGTTCTCCCGGGCTTCTGTCTCTCGCCCATCGTGGACGTTTTAAGGGTTATACCTTCGATTTCCCAAAAGTCTGAAAAAACCTTTTTTCTTGCTAGAAATGAGCTGTTTTATCTGACAGTCAAGTCAACTGTAAAAAATCACACATTAGTTCACCGCAACTGTGCAACGCTTTAATTGCCACTTGTTAATTACCAGCCACGATGGCTTGTTGTTCCCGTTAATTTCTGGCAACACAGGAATCAGCCCAATTCCTGTATTTGTTTTGTTGGAGGAGGTTATATCATCACGCCACGCAAGTTTCCTGAAACTTAAACGTTCAAGTCAGGTTCATCCAAATCGGATAGACGGAGATCATAAGATGATTGTGAGCCAAGACTAATCAGACAGAACCTGCAAATAAACGAGAAAGCTGTGAAAATCACATTTTCACAGAAATGCTTCTCGTTTTCTTTTTCGTTTTATAAATTATAATTCCTTCATGGTAAATTCTGGTAACAGGTCATTTTATTCATAAGTCTCATTTTATTAATTTCAATATCTCTAATGTTCGTTGCACAAAATTTTTACGATTGGGCCACATTTTGTCACTATAGTTTTCTTAATTCCATCTGCATCATTTTATCTTTCTTTCAAAAAAATTACTTTTGAATTTTAGTTCATTTCATATTTTTTGCTTTTTACATCAGATGATATCTGTTCCGCTGCTCCAAAATCAATAATTCGATCAATCAATAACTGTCGTTTTTTCAAAAATTAATGATTCTCAAAGATAATTTTTGAGTACTTACAGAATAAATACCCCCTGTATCTTCAGTCGATTCGGGAGTCAGTAACTTTCGTGACTGTTCGACCCTTCTAAAGCGAATTCTGGAGCTTTTACTGAATAAGTGCTTGTATGTCAAAACTGGTCCACGTGATGGTTGACGTAAGCTGCTCGATGGTTTCATAAACGCAAGCAGCGATTTCGCTTTCAGCCTAAAAGGATTGCGCGACCGTCAAAAGAATACGCGTTCGAGCGCGTGCCAAACGGGCCCATAATTTACCACCTCACTCTATAAATATTCACCACTAAGGCTCACCATAATTGCACAAAGACTAATTGGCTAAGTTCCTGCCCGGCGGAAATCTTGTCTTTTTTCATGAACAAAAAAAAACGAAATTGAATCAATTTGTCACGTGATCAAAAGTAAAAAAAGGCTGTTTATCCTGACATACTTGAAGTTCCATTTTTACCGTATTAGAGAAACGATTTTAGAAAAATTGAGGCGGGAAAATGATTGAATGCTAAGTGTCCCGATAGCGTCCGATAAGAAAACCTTATGAACAGATTACGAATCGACACGTAATTATTACCCTACTTATTAGACCCTGATGGAGCTTCGCCCGATTTCCTCACCATCCTTCCTCTTTTTTTTTTCACTGGAAAAGCCGCACTTATGCACATTTGGGCACCACAAGCAGCTGAAAAGCAAGCCATTCTAAAAGTTGCCAACGTGTGTATTATGCCATATTTCTCGAAATTTTATTTGAATTTTAATTCAACTAGAGGCGTACCAGATAGTCAATGGCATGCAATGTCAGTTAAGTTTATAGCAGGGAAAAGGGCTACAGAGAAAGATGTCTTATTGGTAATATTGCACTTGGGCTCTTCCGTGAATGGAAATTTCTCCATCGATCTTTTTGCGGGTTAATCTCTTTGTCGCTTCGGATATAATGGCGAGAGCTTCAAAATTAACCTTTCCTTGTTTCTATGAGAAAACGAGATCTTCTGTTCATCGGCAATAGCAATCTTTGCGCGGCAAATTTCCGTTCCTACAAAATTGATTTTACAACAGTAAAAAACGGCGCGATCCCCTTAAATTCTCTAGCATCTAATCTGGCCAAAGAATATTTGGCGCTCTCGCTAAATGCTTGGTGGCTGCACTCATGATGCAACTCGACATTGCTTTTAAAATTGCGACTGTTTTGAATCTCTAAACTATCTCCAAATCACTCAACCAAAATACCGTGAAGTGAATTAGAAAGATGAACTAAAATTCCAGTTTCTCTGAAGCTGATTCTCTTCATGTTCCTGCTTTCGGTTTCAAACTTGGCTGCAAAGAACCCCGGGTTCAATATTATTTCTCGCAAGATTACCGTCGTTTCCGTCTTCTTGAATAATCTTCACCACGAATTCGCCACTAATCTCCTCATCTGCGTCTTCACAAATCTGAATTTTAATTTATCTCAGCCTTTCTGAGCCGGATGAAATTCTGTTTTGACTTGACGAACGCGGAAAAATATTCACCATCGTTTTAAATGGCCAGGTTACGTAGTGCCTCCTTTTTTAACCAAAAGAGTTCATCCTATCAAAATATTTTATATCTCTTCTTACAATTTAAAACCATCAATAGCCAGCTTACCATGAACTCAGCTCTATCAAAATGGACAAATCCAAAGTTATTTTCCGGGTCAATTTTTCCTCGTCCTAGTTCCAAGCTGGGCTCGGCAACCTGAGTAGAAAACCTGAGTCTGGCTCTGAAAGAGCTAAAATGAAAAGCAGCGTAGCGGCTTTTCAAAAAGAAGCCGCAAAGCGGCTTCGCCAGAAGTTTAAGGAAAATTTATGTGATTTATTTGCAAAGTCGCTTCGCGGCTTCGTTTGTATAAAAGCCGCTACGCGGCTTTTCATTTTAGCTCTCCAGAGTCTGAATCAGGTTTTCTACTCAGGTTGCTGAGCCCAGGTTCCAAGACCTTTCCATTCTCGAGCTCTAGAATCGCCAAATACACTTCCTCCCCACTTTCATAGCCAGCTGTGTCGGTAGGAATGCCACATAGATCGCGAAGGTAAAACTGAAAAAACTCAGGTTCATAAGAGTTTCTTAGAAATTTACAAATTCTAGCGCGCGTAAAATCGATTCTAAAATATGCTTTATCAAATAAAATCAATGAAAAAGAAGTCTGCAAAAATACCGAAAGGAAAAGCTAAAAATCACTGCAGCGAAAAATAATTACGAAACTCTCGTTGTTGGAGCATGTGTTACAAGAATCACATCAAAAATTTAATGAAAAAAGAAGAAAGAAAACCTGAAAAACTTTCTTCTTTTCCTTTCCTTCCTCTAACTCTTCCACAGAAACAGGTTTTTTGAGGTCGATAAGACAGTGAATTCGACCGCCTTCCGGAGCCTTCAAATCAAACCACTCGTCCGTAACACCCTTGTTCCACAATTTCTTCAGGTTGATTTTCACTTTCCCAAGAGGTTCTTCTGAATATTCCTGCAGTTTGTCTTCCAGTGGCTTCTTTAGAATATCAGGAATGAGGTCTGTTTTCTCTTTGATTTCTTCAACTTTTTTGTTCAAAAAACCAAAGGAGCTTTTTTCCTGGGCTCAAGAAAAGTTGGCTCGAAAACATGAATAGAAAACTTCAGTCACTGCTCGAAAAATCTTTAACGAAAAGCCGCGTAGCGGCTTTTGAATAAGAAGCCGCAAAGTGGCTTCGGAAAATCTTATTTTCAATCAATTTGCAATTTGCTTTGCGGCTTCGTTTTCAAAAAAGCCGCGATGCGGCTTTTTGCTAGAGATTTTTCAGACCCTGACTCAGGTTTTCTAAACAGGTTGCCCACGAAAAGCCTCATTATGAAGTGGTTGACTTAATTCTCGAGCCCAATTCCTGCCCATAAATCCGCCGAAGCCTTTGTTGATTTTCTTGCCAAGTCCAAAAGGAAGACTTTCTATTTGCTCGGTCGGCAATTGCTCAACGATTTCGGGAACAAGTTTCTCGAAATCGTCCGAGTCGATGACTTCAAGTAGGAGCTGTGCATTCTTCCGAAACACCGAGAACACCTGTCAAGATTGAAGAGATTATTGAGACGTACGAAAACGTGTTGAATTTCCGATAAGAATGACTTGGTATAAAATTTGCTTCTTTCAACAAGGGCGCTCTTTCCAAGTTCTGGTAGATAAGATAAAGAAACTAATGGTACAAAGATCAAATCCAAGAAAGAAAGAAATTTACTAATTTTGAGCTCGGCAACCTGTGTAGGAAACCTGAGCCAGGGTCTGAAAAAGCAAAGAAAAGCCGCGTAGCGGCTTTTTAAAACGAAGCCGCAAAGCGGCTTTGCCAAAATTTTAAGATTGATTGAAGTTGTAACATTTGCTACACCGCTTTTCATTCAGACCCTGACTCAGGTTTTCTTCAAAAATTGCCGACCCTAGATCTTGGTTGTCTTACATATTTAGCCCAGGGACTCCCTGGCAGGGAGGACAATGCTAACCACTCCTCGGTTCTGGGAAAAGTGATAGAACTGATCATTTTAATTGCTACTTTGAGGACATATATTATGATAATTACGCAAGATCAACTTAAATTTAGAATGCACGTGTCTAGCCATTGGAAAAACCCGCTACTCATAGTTCATCGATTATGGAAATGCAACGCAAATGACAAAGGCGAGAGGCGCAATTATGCTTACCGTCTTGAAGTCCCACGTTGGGTTCAGCTCGTTTTTGATCACTGGAGTTCTATTTTTTGGGATTGGCGGAAAGAAAAAATGAAGTATTTATCAAAATTTCACTTTGGATTTTAAAAGTCACTTTTGGTGAAAAAAATGCGGGCTTTTGGTCGTTTCCTATTTCGAAATTACTACAGGAAGGGTTTATTAGATCATGTAAGTATCTCGAAAATTGCTCCCTTCGCCTAAACAATTGAAGGCTGCTTTAGAAGGTGTTTGATTGATCCGCGGCGCTCCTCAATGTCTTGAGTATGTTGTTTGACTCGGGTATTTTTAGCTGCTTGGAGGTGCACCTGTTACCCGGCCGCCTGTAAAAAATGTGTTCCGTTAATCCCTGCCTGGCTTGATTCCGCGGGTCTAAATAGACTTTCACAAAAGGGTCCGAAGCGCCTTGCCCAGGTGTCTGAAATATTTCTTGAAGAAAAAGTGAAGTCAGTCAAGAATTTCTCGATTTCAAAATTGATGAATTAACCCAGCTACAAATTAAGAATCGCATAAATTTTTGTTAGCGCTTTATCACCGATTCCGATCTCGCACCTAAAATGACCCCTTTCGTCTGGAAGCCACAAGGTCGGCAGAAATTTATGAATCGAATTTATACAACCGGAGCGGGTTGGTGCCCGAGCTCTAAGCAAAACTCAGCTTTGTTAGGACACGTGCACCTGCTCCCGGGCTGAGCATGAGCTGGAGCTGGATTCATTCAAAAGAGGATTGATAGACTCACGCTGTCCAGATCAGGCAAATCAGCTGCTTCCAGCACGTTAACGGCAACGATTCTAGCCGGCAACGGGAATTTGTAGACTAAACACGCACATTTCAAAATATACCAGATATAGAATAAGCTCAAATAAATCTTTCAGCTGAATATTTTCTGACTAAAAAACTTACCGGAGGGATCTTTATTGGCTGATTTAGGGGTTAAAAAGCATCATTATTTCCTGACCTCGGCAACGTGAGTAGAAAACCTGAGTCAGGGTTCTAAAAGAGTAAAATCAAAAGCCGCACAGCGGCTTTTAAACGAAGCCGCGAAGCGGCTTCGCCAAAGTTTCCAACTTAATGAACTATTTTAACCAGCGAAGCCGCTTCGCGGCTTCGTAAAAGCGCTACGCGGCTTTTCAGTTTACTCTTTAAGAACCCAGACTCAGGTTTTCTAGTCAGATTGCCGAGCCCAGATTTCTGCAATTAGTAAAAAATTCTTAATTTTAACCCATTTCTAGCGGAATAACCATCCTTTCAGGCTCCAAGAGTTGCGTCGCTATCGCGTCTTTAAGTGCCTTCTTTACGTTTTTGTGAATAAAGGGTTGATTAGCGATCGCAGCCGACTGAAAAAGCGAAAAAGTGAAGTGACGTAAGCGGGGAAGGCTTTTAATACGGCGAGTACTAACCTTTGTCAATTTGAAATCCACGTCGGGCGCTTCTGTGAAGTAACACACGATCGCAGAAATGAATGGAACTGTCGACGTGAGGTCTTTAAACTCGATCTTTTCGACCTGTTACGAACGCGGCTGCTTTTTAACCCGCCCACCTGCATTGGCCCTTTGAAGGTCAGATTTTTGACGCCAAAGGAAAGGTTCGCCATGGCTGTGCCGACTTCAATCGCGAATGTGGCATCTCCATCGTAGTCGACGTCAACTTCTAGCGCGATGTTGTCTTTTCCGATTTCGATGATTCTAGCTTCAGATTTTCAAACATTCTTGAGTCTGGGCTCGGCAACTCGTATCGAAAACCTGACTCAGGGTCGGAGAAATCTTAATGAAAAGCCGCGTAGCGGCTTTTAAACGAAGCCGCGGAGCGGCTTTGCAAAAATTATTTTCTAAGCTATTTGAAAAAGCCTATTTCTAAATTCTAGCGAAGCGGCTTTTCATTTAACATCTCTCAGCTCCTCAGGTTTTAGACACAGGTTGCTGAGCCCAGGCCCGATAATTGTCGTATATTTTGAAAATCTGATCCTTGGGTTGGTGATTTTCGGCACAGCTGATCCCATGGACGACTCAGTGAACCGGAAGAAGTTCATGAAGGAACTAGTGTTCTAGGGTCCGCTATCAGCTCTTCCGTTTTATCACTTATGTTCAAAAAGGCTTCTGTATTCGGAAGCAGATAACGTGAACAGCCACGTTGGATTTCGCAGCGGTAGAATTTTTAAAAAGCCAAAATTTCATAGAGTTAGGAAATTTGATTATTTTTGGAGAATTTAAATTAGCCCCCAAGAATGGCATGCGTATTAAAATGAGCTCTCCAACTCAGCTCTTTTAAACTGCAGGTTGAATAAGAAATTTTTCTTTTACCAAAGTCTGAGAAAAAGCAATGACCGGAAAAGAATTTTTCGACTACAGTAAACAAAGTAGTAATTAACGTTTTTCCTTAATTGCTGAAGAACAAAACGGACCCAAAGCCTGAAATCAAAGCTGCCACTAATTGAACTAGTGATACAGCCCAACAGCTCACTCTGTATGTATTTTGCCGCGTGTGGCCAAATCGAGCTCATTATCCCACCCATCAGATCACCCGTGAAATCTCCGGCGAGCTCTTCCATCCTCAAATATCCTCCTCACGGTTTACTCTTAATTTGTTCTTTCAAATTTGATGACTAGATTTATTGTGAACTTGAGCCAGAAGGACTCAAAGAACAGCTGACGGTGGTGGATTAGCATCTCTCTTTCTCTTTAGCATTTTAAAAGACTATTTTTTGGGAACAAAAAGTTACGAGAAAAAAGTTATAGCAGCTTCTTTTATTGATACTTTTATTGACTTTTTCTTGATAAAAACTCTGTCTTCTGAGTCATTAAAAGCACAATTTCACTATTTCAAATGAAAGCAGTTTCAGTTAACGACCCGCAATTCGTTGAAAATTTGATTCATTTATTTTTTAACGAGAGTGCTCTTTTTGCCCGTTCATTTGAAAAGTTGTTGCATAACATACTACCGGTATTTACTGCTATTTCCGGTAAATAAGAGTTGATGCAATCAATTTCAAAATTGAGTTTTGAAAATTGGGGAGCAGAGATTTTTGATAAAACCCACAAAGAGGTCTCTCAGCGGGTAATCACATCAGAGGCGAAATAATCCCAGCCCGATGGAATTTCCAAATTTGATAATTTCTCCGCCTTTTCGCAAAAAATGGAACAACTTTGGAGAAGGTGGGGAGTTAGAGGCGCGTGTGACCGAATCCTGTTTGAATGTGACCACCAAATCAGGCGGGATCACCCGCTGAGCCCCCTTATACGGTCGTGATAAGCAGCAGGGCGAGAGAGCGCCTGATCAAATGAGTTTTCACGCACTTGAAAAGCGAGAAAACCATGTTCTCAGATAAACAAACGGAGTTTTTCTAACTTCGGTTTGATTTTCGAATATCACGATTTTGGAAATCACATCAAAAACCTTGTCTCTCTATTCCCTAGCTGTGATAAAGAGGTCCATTCGTGAGTGTCTGCAAATGGAAGTCTTATCAAATAGAACATAAAGAAACGCAACGTGTATACTTTCGAAGCCGCCAATTTTTGGCTGAACGAAATTCTGGCAAAAGTCACCCCAGCTGGGGGATCAATCGTCGGGGAGTTAATAATTTCGCAAAATAAAAATGCTGCATGTAACTTACTAGTAGATGACACGTGATATAGAGCTTTAAAAACGCCATTTTGTAATCATCGGCCATTTGAAATCGTCTATCACGTGTTTCTCGTAATCCTCTAAAAGTTCAACGCAAAAAACTTTCGCTCTCTTGAGTAATTACTCGTCAGAAATCTCAATAGAATGTCTAATTGGCCTCGTCATGAGTAGTCATGAGCATCGTTTTTACAAGTTTCGGCAATCGACCCTCACTTTTTTTGGACAAAGAGAGATCGACTGGGCTTGGCAACCTGTGTAGAAAACCTAAGTCAGCCTTTGGAGAGCTAAAATGAAAAGCCGCGTAGCGGCTTTCTAAAAACAAAGCCGCAAAGCGGCTTCGCAACACCATTACTCTTATCTATTTTGAAATATTAGCGAAGCCGCTTTGCGGCTTCGTTTTTTAAAAAGCCGCTGCGCGGCTTTTCATTTTAGCATTTCAAAACCTGACTCAGGTTTTCTACACAGTCAGCCGACCCCAGGAGATCGATAGTGCAGTTAGAGTTCTGCTCAAATTTTCGTCATGAAATCGAAATCGAAAGGACGTCGCCGGCTGACCGGAAGATGATTTCATTATGAATAAAATTTGCGAATGAATGAGATGGCTAGACCGCAGCATTGGCACCTTGACGGGGCCACATAAGGCTTTGCTCCAAAAATGTCGCTAAATGTGACGCCTGGCTTATTTTTTTCGCTCCTCCAGAATTTCAACTTGAGTTGAAATTGGCGAGCAAGTATTGCTATTAGGTAGATAATGATGGGTCTATTTCGAAGTTCGATTGATTCGCTCGCTTCAAACGTGAGGAGCGGCTTACAAGGTTAGTTACAGTAGTTAGAATCGATTTGGACTGATTGCCGGTTCAATTGAGAGTGAGAGTTTTCAATATTTAGAAATTTTCGCACCACGTTTTTTGAAAGAAGCAGTTACAAAAATGCAAGAGTCTACGTGCCACTGTGTACAAATGTGCAAAAAGTGGATCCGCATATCCCGCCGCTTTCAACCACGGAAAAGGAAATACAGCAAGTGGCAACAGTAAACGCCGGCCATGGCTTTGTTTTTGAACTACGTGACACCGTTTTTATATATTTGATTTTTGAGACGATTGGCCTTGAACGAACCCGCCTGGAAATAGAATAAGATGGCAGACAAGTTCGACTAGACTAGTCAAAACTTATTTCCGACATTTGCTTAATCTACTGGGCGGCGTAAAATCTCGATTTACTTAGATTGAGCTCTCGGTCATTGCCAAGCCGAATCAAGTTATTTCTGAGGCTGGAGTGCGGTTATCGGAGCCGGAAATCCGACGTGTTTTGTTTGGTCGAGTTGTTCTCTGAGAACAGCGAGTTGTCGATGAAGATGTTTTAGATCCTCTCCGCTTACTTCCTGGCGAGAAGCTCTCTTGCGCAATTGCCAGATTTTCTAGTTCCTCCGATAGCTACATAATTCTACGTTTCCCCTCTTACTTGTTTGAACAATTGAGAAGCCTTTAATGCTGTAAGAGCCATTCTTTGCCCCGCTGGGCTCGGCAACCTGTGTAAAAACCTTAGTCAGGGTTCAAAGAGAAAATGAAAAGCCGCGAAGCGGCATTTTATATACGAAGCCGCAAAGCGGCTTCGCCAATATTCTAAAATAGATAAGAGTGATTGTGTTGCGAAGCCGCTCTGCGGCTTCGTTTTAAAAGCCGCTTCGCGGCTTTTCATTTTAGCTCTTTGGACCCTGACTCAGGTTTTCTACACAGGTTCCCGAGTGGATATTTGGAGAAGGACTCGTTCTGAAGGAGATAGAAATTCAGAAGAAGAGTGAGTCAAAAATAAAAGCTGGACTGGCATCTCATTTTTCCGGCGTCAAATTTCCATCTAAAGAGAACTTTTGCCATCTGATGCGCGGCTATTTGTGGTTTCTTGTTCTTGGCGAGAAAGAGGCGCAATTTGGATGGAGCGCTGCTAATTCTTCGCTAAATGATGATGAGGGACATCTAATGAGGTGAGAACTGCATCCCCTGCGCTTGATGACATCCTGGTACCGGGATTAGAAACGTCATTTTCTGACGCGAAGAAAGTTATGCTCCATGACCAGTAAACACGTACTCATACATCTTGTTACTTTCGAGGCAGCTCTACTTTTAGAAATTTCAAAAAGTGTCGGACATTCGTTTCACACGATAGTCGTTTTACATCTTTCCGATTTCGTCGCACTTCTAACAAAATTTATCAAAAGACCATATCTTGGTATATAAGTTCTGTGGATTCTGTAAAATAGTGGTGCATGTTCTTATGAAACAGTATCATCGTGATGTGCGGTGGAGAATTTCGAATGTGTTATCGACAAATGATCGCGTAATTGCACAGTTGGGGGAGAAGAAATAACACAGGTCGCGTTTTGTCTGTCGCTGACAAAATTTAATAACGACTTATTCAAACACTTTTCTCCAATATTGGATCATAATCTAATGAGACGCTTCCTTTATTCTTTGTCTTTTTCGACGAAGAAGGACCAAAACCTTTCATCTTTTAGGAATGATTACATCAATGAACTTGATGATAGAATCTTGAACCCCTAGTTGCCTACTTCCTAAAGATCGTAATTAAGGAACTACCCTTCGATAAGGCGTTAAAAACGGTGTTAGAAAAAAAAGCGAAAATTTTCACGATTTCGTTACACAATCCTCTCGGACTTCAATGTACTTATAAAGAATCTCTCGGGAGCGTTATGCAAGAGTATATTTTGGTAGAGAACGACGGATCCAATTCGCCACGGCGGATAACGAAACAATTGCACGTTGACGACGCTTCGCCCTTCCTATTACCTTTTTTAATGAAATGAAATAATAATTTTACGGGCAGCGGGACGATAATGCCCCGAAGTTGGAGGAAGTTTGTACTGATCCAAGAATCTGCTTCTTACTTCTGTTGGACAAAGCCAATGTTTGATCCGGAGACTTCGATTTATCCGCGAATTTCTGCTGAATCTGAATTTGGTTGCAACGTGTTTACGCACTCGCTCAACAAATCCTGCTTAGCGGTATAATAGATCATAACCCCTCTGCAGGTGAGCGCTGTCGACGGGAGAGCATGATTGAGAGATCTTTTTGCAGCTTCTTGCGTGCTAAGTTCCATTCCAAAATATGATGATCAACTGCGGTTAATTCTGTATATCTCTCTTCATTTTCTTGCGTAACAGATAGAATCATTTTCAGGTTCATAATCGCAAAAGTCAAAGAGTCTCGACAGTTTTGACGAGACACTTCGAAAAGCCTCTTAGACTCGTAATTGGAAACAATTGGTTCGCTCTTTCATCTGGTTAGCTCTGATGCTCCTCTCATCTCCCTGCTTCCTTGAATTCATCCATCGAGTGTTATATCAATCCGTACGGTCCCTCTCTTTTAAACCAAGACTGGAATCGTTGAATCAAAAAAGCCGTCTATTCGACCATTTTTAAGAGTCTCGTTTCACATTTCAAGTTCCCCAGATGATTTTTTCAACCCAAGTCCATCTAAAGGTTCTTTTTTAAAGAGCTTTTGGCCACAAGAAATCTCAAATACAAAAATTAATTGAATGAAAATGTTGTCGTTTCGCACTTTATCGCACCTGTCCAGCGGCGCTAATTTAGAGCATTTATGCAACAAAAACCAGCGGTCAGGGGAATCAGTATTTGTAGACGGCTTATCCGAACCCAATAGAGTCGGTGGAAATTCGTTGCGCAACGTGATTGGGATATCTTGGCGGAGATAAATTTAGGAGAGGGTTGTTATAAACGTCCCTTGGAATCAACCCTTTCAGTAATCCTAACTAACCCTAGCCTATCCCTCAAGCAAATATTTTAGCGGTAATGTTCACGAGAATTTGCTGCGTGAGTGATAAAACTTCTTTATAAACCAACTAAAGCTGCATTTTCTCTTTCTTCTTATCAGTATACAGTTATTATTCCATCTGTGGTCATGTCCGTTCATTAATAAAATTCTATGTTTAATTTTATTTCGAGCACTGGAATTAAAAAACACTGTATTAAATTTTGTTTTTATTTTGCGTTTTTTGAATTGCTTTATTATGAAATAAATTTCTGCTTTTCGGAAAAAGCAAAAAGACCGCAAAAACAACGCCCCGTTTTTAGACGTAATGAGGCCCCGTACAAAACGAGTACAAAGGCTGTTGAGAGGCATGTGTGCGGAAGACGAGATTGGCATGTTCGTTTCCAGTGCAAGAAAAGAAAGAAAAATATAAGGGTTAAGTCAAATCGGAACACTTCGAAAAAGTTACGCGAATAAGAATTTTTTCAATCAAATGAGTGAAAAGCATACAGAAACTTTGAAATTCTAGGGCGACGTCTTCAATCAGACTATATTTATTCTAAAGCCTTCTTTCCTCTCACATATTTACAAACAGAGGGTACTGGATCGACCCAGGCGTACCTTCGTCCGAAATGATTAAGGCCTCCCAAATCGTTATCACCGTCGCACTCTCCCGAGCCACTCATCAATCACTAGTTACTTTCCCAAATTTGACGCGCGCCGCGTGGATATTCCATTTGGGCTGTCCAATTCAAGGAAAATCGCTACCTTCGCTTTGATCTTGGCTCAAATCGACAATAGCAAATTTCAATCAAAGACTTTTTCACTACTTTTTACGATTTTTTAGAAAAAATATTTTCTTATCAATTCTATTTCAGATTCCTGCTTTTATGAAGCGTTTTTTCTTCAAAAAATAATTTCACGAGTTTTCTTAGGTTTTTCATAGTTTAAGAGATTTATTTATCGCTCAGATATTTACATACAGCGATTGAACTTTGGCAGATTCGTATTTTTGCGACGAAGAATAAAGAAGTGATGGGTCCAAGCGAGTCCATTTTCTTCTCAGACAGTGCAATATCGAGCTCGCCTCTTGCCCAGTTAGACTGTAACTTTCCGAGTTTCCCTCTCGAGAAATTAAAGTACAGGTCGGGCAAGAGCAGCTGATATTCGAGGCAGAATTGATCCAACCTTTGTCACTCGGGAAAATGCAGCAGTCTTGAGGCCATCTGGGAAATCTTCTTTTGGAGCATCTTTCGTCATCGTTTTTATAGGACTTTTTCACCCCAAGTTTTGGGGCTGTTGGCAAATTGATTAAAATTACGAGCGCGCGAAAATAAGAAGAAAAATTTTCAAATAAATATTTACACACGAAAAGATTTTTACACGGAAGGATCGAAATTCCGTCTTACAATTTAAGACTAGAACTTTTTAATAGTGAAGTATTTGATATTGAGTAACCCGTGCTGTTTTTGGGTGCCTAGAAGAAGAATAAAGAATTTAGGTTTGAGTTGTGTTTCAACTATGGTGTCCTATGAATCTAGTACGCTAATTCTAGTGCGCTTTCAGGTTACATCGGGGAAAATACTTGACCTCGTCGGTAAAAAATTAGAATGTTTCACACATTCCAATTGGTCTGACAGTTTTATCAGCGCAGCATTCTTTGTTCAGGGAGTTGAAAAGAACCCTAGAACAGTGATTAGCTTCTCCGTCTTCTCTTGAATCCATTTTGACTTACATGGGTCCGTCATCGGCTCCACAGCACTCTGGCTCGGAAATTCCTGGGGATCGGACGCAGTTGTTAGGGTCTTGGTATTCCCATGGTCCCCAGAACGCATGGTATTTGTCATCGAAGACATCCCGGACGGCGGGGAGCTACAACTATCAAACAGCCCGCTCAGACTTAACCTGCTTTTACCTCAGAAGTGTACTTGTTGTCGCATTCGCAAAGGGCTCGCTCGCAAGTGTTGGGTTTGTTGGTGCAGACGATGTTTCCCTTTTGGTTTTTCTTCCACTTGTATCGGACAAGCTCGCCGATGCATTGTTCACCAAACTTCATCTGCACACATTTCTGGCAGTCCTAAGAAGAGGGTTACTTTAGGTACTTGTTTGGGAAATGGCTCGATGTGGGGAAGTTCAATGCTTGCTAGTGATAACGAGGTGGTATTAAGGGAAACTGGTGTAGAGAAAAATAGGAAATTTCCGATGGGGAAGTTGAAAGTTTGAACTCCTTACTTTGTAAGCTTTGCAGACGCCGTCCAATTTGTCAACCGGTCTACCGAATCCAGGGTCACTCATCGGTCTATCGCCGAGAATGAGGCAGTTGCAGCCGTAAGTCCAATATTTTCGCTCGTCAAAGTCGGGCATGTAGTGAAGCGCAAGAAGCTTCAAGTCCTTGTATCGTCGTCCTTGAATCGATGATTCTTGAGTCTCTTCTCGTTGTCCTGCTCTTTGCGCAAGAGCGGAGCCGAAGAGAGCTGAGACGATTGACTTTGCAGAGAAAACCATTGTGACTTTTGATTTGTTTCTTTTCTGTTCGGAACAGGAGAAGATTTTACTTCGAGGAGTACTAAAAGGGCAGATGAGCAAAGGGAGGAATTGTTAGTTATCTATTCGAGTTTTTACTTAGGATTATTTTTAAGGATATCAACATAAGTTCGCCAGAGAGTCAAAGTACTCGATGATTAAATTTTAAGCTATGTTTTCAGTCTTATTCTAATTTTGAAAATTTTGCTGTAACGATGTTGATACCCTTAATTTCTTGTCTGAATCTCTATCTCTTTAATCTTCGCTTTGCTGCTATTCTTCGTGTGCCTAAAACTTACCGGTAGAAAAGCCGGTGACGAGAGAAGCTTTTTAAAGCTTTTCCTAAATCGGAAAAAGAAGAAGATGACTTGAGTCGATGTGTTGACACCAAAACGATCGGCGAGTTTATATATCTCCTCGGCGCGGGGCACCAGACGCGCCGCCAAACGCGCTCGAAACAGCTCGCGTGCGACATCGGAGCGATCCTGAGCGGGATGCGCGCTCCGCGGCGAGGCGCTGTTTTCACGCTTTCGCCGCGGCCATCTTTATCAGCGTTATTATCGGTAAATGGAATTATAAATTTCGTAATCATACCGAAATCTCTATAAAAATCAATAATCAATAATTTTTTGATATTTAGCAATGATTTATTATGCTCTTCAGTGCCTAAAATGTCATTTTGATTGTTCTAGCGATCGAATATATCATTTTCATGAATGTAAACTGTGGTCTTTGGCGTCTGAGGAATCCAAGGAAAAGCCGAAGAAATCGTTTCAGAAAGTTTAAACAAACTTGTTAGGCCGAATAGAAGCCAAAAATTGAAGCGTCTTTAGAACTAAAGATTCTAAAGAAAATTCTCTTACCGCCATAATTGATATCTTGGGGTGAAAGTTGTTGCATGCGATCACTTATGGCAACATCGCTTTCAGTTAGGCTGGTTTAGATAACAAGCCGCTTTAACTAGCATGGTGTTTCTCACGAAGAGGCCCTAAAGAACAGTTTTGGTGGTTGAAATTAATTGATAGATCTGAAGTTCAAATTTATTTTCATACACAAATGTGGTAAAACTGATCGTTTTTGACCATTGATCTCCTTTGAAGAAGGGTGTCTAACCATAAAGTGAAACTACTGATAAGAATTGCCCATCCCCTTAACATTGATGGTAATCTTCGGCAATTTCATATTTCGTAGATCCAAATTGGAGCCACCCGAAATGTGCCCAAAATCCTTGTGTGAAGATAAGATTCCCCTTAAAAATCTAAAAATCGTCGGAGCATTTGTCTAAGTCTAAATTTATTGCGAAGATAGCAAAAATTATTTTACGAAAGTTGCGAAAAAAAGAAAATCTAGTCATTCGCCGGGCCAATTTAGAGTCATTTTGTCGCAATTAGGAATCGAATACGAACCTGAAAATCCGACGTCGATTCAAGCACTCACCTGTTAACAAATCCGATTGTTTTCGATCCTTTCCTAGACTTTCAAAGTGTCTACATCGGCGAATATGTATTGCAACATGAAAAAGATGTCTACAAATTGTGAGAGAGAAGTAGAAAAACCTTATACGGAGTTCCCTTAATCAGCTGACGTCTAAATTGAGCGCCGCGTTCTCTTATCGTTTCAATATTTTCGTGTGCACTTGTGAATCTCGGTCTTCACTAGAACTCTCAGGATTTTGTTGCAAAAGATAAACTGTCAAAGAAAAACTCATCTTTTCGTTGCCGCTAGAACTTGATTCTGTATTCATTTTTATGAATACTCCTTGATATAAAGAGCACCAATTTGATTATATGATGAGATGAGTCATCTCTATAATTAACCGTTAATTCGAAGAAGATTTCTAAACGAGCTCACGGTTAAGCTCGATCTTACGCCTAAGCGGGTAGGCAGGCTCTAAAAGTTATCATAATTATTTGAGCGAACTCACACGCTTTCGCCGTCTATTATTAACGACTAAACGGTATCTTCATTTTACGAAATAGACATCTTGCATCTTATAGTAGAAGAAAACTGTTTGAACGTGAGTAGGACCCGAAGTAGAGCTTTCAAGGAAGCTTCGTTCCACCCAAGCCGCTAATGATAGCATCACTCCTCCTATCTGATTCAGGAGCATAAATAAATCCCAGCCAGACGCAGAGGTTATCTCGGGGTGAGGTATAAATAGGGTCGACGAGCAAAAATTCAACCCCAAGAACCCTTTGTGGTAAAGCCTTGAAACTTTGGGACAATATGTATTTGGGCCCAACTAAAAAATTTGTTATTGAAAATTTTTTGGTCTGACCACGTGATCACGGGTTACAGACCCTCGAAAAGCTAGAAAAGCTTGCCGAGCTTGATCCCCTTATGGCATCATCTTCTTGTTTGCCCAAAAAGAAAGGTCTTGGTTTGTTCAAGTGGTTAAGTCAAAAAAATTCTTGGTGCCGCCTTTACAGGACACGCTAGAAGCTATATACAGTTAATTATGGAATTTTTGGACATTTTTTGTCCCAAGATTTTCGCGAAAATGTCCATAAATTTGATACACGCGGCCAAAAAAAATATCCCATCCAAATCGCTTAAAAAATTTTTTTTGAGAAAAATCTCCATCATTCTTTGTTTAATCCTTCTTCTAAAGACAAAAAATGTTTTAGGGGTACGAGATCAACCTTCAATCTTATCTTTCTCAAAGAAAAAGTAAGATTTTAATATGAAAAAACTTCATATCTGGCAAAAATAACAGAAAATTTAAAAATACGGCGCAGAAAATGTCCAAAAATTTGATACGGGCACTTTTGAAAAGTGTCCCAAGAAAACCCCATAAAATAGCAAAAATGTCCAAAAATTTGATGTCCAAAAATTCCATAAAAAACTGTAAGGACCCAAATCTAGCTAAAATTGAGGTAAAAATCCAGGTTTCACGGGTTACTCAGGCAAATATACATTGCAAAAAGGGCCATTTTGGACGCTTCACTTCCCTCTAGCGACTCATGTGATCTCGCCACCAAAAATGTTTTGGATTCTATAGGAAGGACTTTTTGTGCTCTTTCATGTGAGCTACATTATGATCACCTGCGGTCAGGGGATCGAGGTTGGCAAGCTTTTCTAGCTTTTCGAGGGTCCATATCACGTGATCACGTGATCATACCAAAAAAATTTCGATTACAAATTTTTAAGATGGGCCAAAATACATATAGTCCCAAAGTTTCGGGCAGTTACCTGAAGGGGTTTTAGGGGTTGATTTTTTGCTCGTCGACCCTAGGTATAAATGCGTAATATGCATAAATTTTATGAAATTCAGGATCTCTACTTGAAAGTATTTGACTTAGTTTCAAAGGTATGATCAGGTTCAATAAGAAAAAAAGCAGCACTTGATAAATTTGAAATGAAATTGATAGACATAACCGCAAAGAAAAATGTTCCACGCAGACTTTATTTTTATTTTTTCACTTGATTTATTAAATTAAAGATCAGCGAATTTATGCTGTCAAGTTGGAATTTTCAATTCCATCATCCAATTAGTCTCAAAAATACCACACCGAAATTACACCGATCAGAACTGCCAAGTTTCTGAAAAAGGGCCTTTCTTTTATAAAAATGAAAAAAGTCTTCAAAAAAATCACGATCTAAGAAAACATCACCAAGGTCATGTTGAGTTACAGAACCGCAACTTCACTTGCGTCAAGTTCTATTTCTTGAAAGTTGCAATATGTTTTAGCAAAAGAGATTACGGTGGTAGCAATTTCACTTTGATAATATTTGAGCGACCACCCTTTAGAACTTCGGGTCCGGGCGCCTTAGCTTGAAAATCGCAATAATTGTGGAAAAATTGAAATGAGCGATTTTTTAAATTAGAGAGTTTTTTGAAGACTGAAAATATTTTTTACGTGTAGTTTTTTTTTGACCCAGTTTTAACGGCTTAGGAACGTTTGTTTGTCTCAAGTTGGCAAACCTGCTGGAGGAACGTCACTAATAGCGAGTGCTACCAAAAGCCGGCTGGATAAACCCCGGGCTGGCTTAGCAGCATCACATAATACGATTGTGGAGGGTGACAAATTTCTTCTTGTCTACATCTTATAGCACCAAATCGCGTCAACGATTCCGGCCGTTGTGGAACATTTTAGCAACAAGTCACAAGTCACTCATTGGAATGCTTGTAGAGATGCAGTATTTTTGCTCTTGCATACTACGCGCTCAATCTAAAAACAGCCAGTCTAAAAAAAATTGTATTTTTTTTAAACCAGTATTTTTTAAATGGATGAGAAATGTTTTCAATGAAATTTGATGAAATCAAGTTTTAAAAATTCTACCATCGTTAGGGGAAATCACTGAGATCCCCAACTTCAAGAGCTCCTAGCTCCCCAGATACCCCACCCCCTCACTATTTTTCTTGAGCTCAAAATGACCGCCAGAGCCAGGGCTACAATCTAGGCTAGTGGGCAGCCTCTGAAAGGGTTAGTTAGGGCTTCAAAAATTACTATTTCCGAAGTTTGAATCGTTTATTGACATCAGAAGATAAATGAGTTCGTTTTTATTGCAGGCTTAACGTTTTCGGAACAGAAATTCCATCATCAGAGCCGGTTGCTTGAAAACTTGACGATCTTTTAGCAAAGGAGAAACTGACCTTTTCTTGTAGAAGAGTGAACTGATCAATATTCCGAATAATAACTTGATCCCTAGCCACATTCTAGAGAAAATAATGCAACCCGAACTATTTTTATAATCTCAGAGGCTCCAATTGCCTTCAAAATTTTGCCTAGATTCAGAAATGAAGAGAAAAAATTATTAAAACCAATACCAAAAACTGTTCTTCGACCTATTTTAGTTTCTGTGCTTACTCGTCTGACTTCTTTTCGTTGTTTCGACAAGTATTATAAGCAAATTTCGGGACTGAGTATGGGTGACAGTATAAGCCCTAAATTGGCGAATTTTTATCTCAATATTCTTGAAAAAGACAAAATAAAAAAATTAATTGATCAAAAAATCATTTTCGGTTATCGGCGCTATCTCGATGATACCATCGTTTTCTTCAAACGCGGTTGTTTCGACGAAGTCAATAATATTTTCCAAAATCTTCATGAAACTCTTAAAATTACAGTCGAAAGATCTTGTCAAAGTGGTATAAAATTCCTTGATTTTATTATCTATCCTTCAGAATCAAATATCCTTCAAATACGCAATAATCGTAAACACACAGTTCCGATGAATTTCGTAAAAGATACTGCTCCGGTCTCTTTGAAAAAGGGAATTCTTATATCAGAAATCAAAAGGGCACACTACAAGCACTCCTGTCAAAAAACTCTTGACGAGGAGTTGAAAGAGATAGAACAGAAATATCTCTCTCAAGAATTTCCCCTAGAAATTATACGTGATGCATTAAGAGTAGTTAAAGACGGTAAAACGGATAAAAAAGACTGGAAATTGGAAAAATCTGAAAATCCAGATCGAAATTTCACACTCTGTATTCCTTTCACAAGTCAGAGGGTGTCCCGAATAACCAGCGAGTTGCGCAGGTTAATATCCGTATTTTTGCCAGAATATAACTTGCATACGGCATTGTCTACTGTAACGATGCGTAACACGATTATCTCCAGTCTACTGCCGAAGACGGAATTTGAAAAGGCCATTAATGTGGTGTATTCATTTAAATGTCGGTGCGGCGAAGAGTATATTGGAGAGTCTGAATCCCTGAGCATGAGAATTCGAGATCATGGGCAACCATCAAAAGATACAGCTATATTTTCTCATACAAAGGATTGTGAGGATTTTAAGACGGGTTTTAATGAGAAATATCAGCAAAATAATCCTCAATCTCGATTCAATTATCTAAGCTCACATTTTTCGATATTACATAAAAATCTTCCTTATGACAAAAGAAAACAAGTCGAGGGTCTCGAAATCGTGCTTAAAGATCCGCAGTTAAATAAACAGATTCACCATCGAAAAATTTTCATTTTGTGATACCACTCAGAGGCAAGTTTTGAAGGCAATTGGAGCCTCTGAGATTATAAAAATAGTTCGGGTTGCATTATTTTCTCTAGAATGTGGCTAGGGATCAAGTTATTATTCGGAATATTGATCAGTTCACTCTTCTACAAGAAAAGGTCAGTTTCTCCTTTGCTAAAAGATCGTCAAGTTTTCAAGCAACCGGCTCTGATGATGGAATTTCTGTTCCGAAAACGTTAAGCCTGCAATAAAAACGAACTCATTTCCGAAGTTGGCCAGATTTTGGGACTTCGGAAGAATCTAAATGCCCTCGGGGTACGAGATCACCCCCCACTATCAATAGTCAAAATGATCCCCAGCTTCTGGGGATTCGAAAACTGTATTATACTCCCGCCCTACTAAGCTAGAAAAAAAGCTCAAATATTAGTGATTTCCCCTAACCATCGTAGATTAATTTATATTTAGATGGCTCTTGAAAGATTTCTATGAGCTGAGCTGAGCTAAGCTGAGCTGGCCTTTTTAGAGGTCATTGAGCGGAGCTGAGCTGAGCGAACCCTTATTAGAGCTGAGCTGAGCTGCTTGAGCTGAGTTGAGCTGTTCTTAACTGTGTTTTTAGTAGTAAAATTGTAATAAAATCATTGAGCTGAGCTGAGCTAAGTGATAATTGCCCGAGCTGAGCAGAACAGATCCTGTTCGAAAATTATTGAGCTGAGCTGAGCTGAGTGAAAATTGTGTGAGCTGAGCTGAGCTGAGCAGATCAGATCATTTACAAAAATCATCGAGCTGAGCTGCTCAGCTCACTCAGTTCAGCAAATTTGCAACTCTGGACGCCATTCGTTCAGTTGTCAAGCATCGTGAGAGAGATAAGAATGAAAATCATCAATCGCAATAACCGAGACGTAATAACCCGTTGGACACTGAATTGGTACGTTTCTAAAAAATGTTGCATCAAATCGATTACGACTCTGATGTGAACGAAACTACTCTTGTTTCGTGTTTTCCGACTTGTTGTTTAGAACTTTTCTGAATCGATGTTCTGATTCGGATTAAAATTTTATTCACTCGTTTTTCTCACAGTCGCAATTACATGCAATGAGAAGAGCTCGGTTATTCTGAGATGAGCCAAAAACATTCAAAATATGCTGCGACGTTCTTTAAGGAGGTAGATATCAAGAGTTGCCATTTTCTGTCAGACTTTACTCCCAAAGTTTAAATAATAACAACCTTATTTTACTTTGGAAACAAAAAGTTTAAACCTTTCTCTATTTCCTATGGAAGCCGAAATTTCGAATTTCAAAAAAATGTTTAACAAAATTTTTCGTCAAAGATCGCTAACTTTCCTAAAATGGTCATTTTGGCGACAATCGGAGGTGCGCGATTTGCATTGTGGCACCTTGAAAGGTCAAGAAATCTAAATTTTTGGTTTCCATAGGAAAGAGATAATTGCCTAAAATAAATTTTGAGCCGAAAAAATAAGGGGTCACTATGTTAAAAATTTGAGAAAACACTGACAGGAAATACGATTCTTGATATCTACCCCCTTAAAAAAGACGTTTTCAAGAGAGTGAGGAGAAGATTTAGAATCTTTTAAGAATGATGTCATTTATTTGAGCATATTCTAGCGTGCCACTGCGTTGTTTTAGTCATTAGAAGAGTTTTTTCTCTTCATTTTTTTGCATAACTTTTACCGTAATTTGGAGATTTTAGATGATCTATTTCATAAGATCCGTTGTTTACGATTTCCCTGGTAACATTTCCTGTAAAGATGGGAAATCCGGATTGAGCAGAAGGATGATTCCGCAAAAACGAGACGCTTGAGCAACCCGGACATCCGGGGAAAAAAAGAGGAGCAGGTGCAGTTGGAGGATTTTGCAAACATGTGTGACTCGCAAAAAAAGGGAGAAGACGCGCGAAAACGTGCCACTGCTTGTTAGACAGATCGCGCTAAGCGTCAGTTCTCCCTGCTACAGATTTGGGGAAGAGTTTAGCGACAAGTTTACTCGGATTTTGACGGCTTATGAGTATGTTTGGCGAGGGAGAGAGGAAAATTTGTCGATTAGTTGAAAAAAAAAAATATTTTTTATAAGTTGAGGTTGGTACAGGCGGAGAAACCTACAATACTACCCGTAAACTCCCCGTTTTCGCCAAGGAGTTAAAATTCCATTAATCAACATCTTTCTTCTTCTGCGAAAAAGGAAATGTCAAACACACGCGTCTTAACAGTTCATCGCCTTCTCTTGAGAAAAATTTATGTCACTCTTTTATCCGTTCCAAGAACATGTGAATAGATCTCTTAAAACTTAAAAACTTAAAGAATGTATGGAATCTTATGACGAGGAAAGCATCCTCTTACAGTAACAAGGCAGCTGTCGAACATGGGTTTGCCTGTAACTGTGGCGGATCAAGAATTCTTGGCTTTTTAGTACTGTTTTTGCTTTTTGGAAAAGCCAGGAAGAAGTAAGGAAGAGATAGGAAATGAACGTTTTGTTTTACGAAAACGAGATTTACTCACAGCGCTCATTAATTAAATCAGCCTAGCTCTGAACTTTTGAACCTCTCTCCCTTTCCAATTATCAACGCGAAAAAAAAAACGCAGAAGAATTTTTTTTCTTCTTTTTTTCGAAGAATTGAATTTTTGTTACACGCAATTAACGAAGGTCTTTCTATTCAGAACAAAACTTTTGAAGAGTTTATTATATTTTTGCGAGTTTATGAGTAAAAATAAGTTTCATTCAGTTCATTTTTCTGGCCTTTTCGTAAAATCAACATTTGTGGTCGGGCTGTTTTGACAGTCTAAATGGGTAATTTATACTTTTATTGAATGTAGCACCTTGAAACGGGCGCACCGCGCGGCACCGATGTTCTAAACCCGGGCACTAGAAAATGAGTATTTCACAAAACGTTATCTTTCTTACGCTCGCGTCAGATACTGCACATCGTTTTTGCTGGTTGCGTTATCTGGTCGGCAGTGAACAAAATTGGCCATTTTACGTGCTCAAAAAATGCTCTAAAATTTCGCCTCACTTCGTCAGGCCTTGTTGAGCAGAGTTATGAAACATTTGTATGCACAAGTTCCTTCTTATCAACTAAGCTCATTTGAAAAGTCCTTGAGCCCGGTATTTTCTAATCTGAGACAATATCCGAGGCTGGATCGAGACGATTTTCCCCCAATTTACCGGATAATGTCATAACATTACCCACGACTCAGCATTTGTTTGCTCTGGCAGTGAGGGATTATTTTTTCTTTCTGATAAGATTCTATGGATCAAATTAGATATCATTCTTGTTGTCATTCGCTTATGAAGGGAGACGGATAGATTTGAAGGAGTTTCTTATTCAGGGAAATTCAGGATTAAGAAAAATCTGGCAGAAATGAAACTTTAGTTGTTGGCTTGAAAATATGTTGATTTATTGTCTTTCAATTGACCAGTCAATAAAATATAAAAACGCGCTGTGTTATGCGTCAGTTGCTTTTTTCAAGCGATTTGACACCTACAGTGACAAGTCCTCTTCGCTACAGGGGAACAGTTGATCCTCCTCCCCAGATCCAAGTCACTTAGAAAAGTAGCTTCACTTTGCTAAGTCTTGAATCGTAAGTCAAAGCATAATCAATACAGAGAAAATTTCTACTACGAGATCACTCAAAGAAAGAGCATTAAATAATTCTTCATAGAAATTTTTAGTTCAAAAATGGACGACAGAAAGAAACATGAACTCTGGGGAAAGATCTTAAAATTCTGCCAAGGTAAAAATCCAACGCTAGTTTTTATGCTAAATCGTGTCTAAGAGGCTTTGAAAAAGGAAGTCGCCGATGCTGCAGAAAAGAAAAAGCAAGTTTTATCCGAGAGAATTGTTCCTCTTCCAAATCTCAGTGGAATGAGTAAGTCGTTTGTTTTTCGTTGGGGATTAAGTTGAGCAGTCGGAAATTACTGTACACGTACTATATTTGGTTAGCGACACTTTTCACGGTGACCTAATTCGCTAACTACAACTTTAGCTAATAGCGAGTTTGCACTAGCAGTTTTCTTTTCTGACGCTTGAAATGCCGAATTATTGCGTCCCCAGCACGCTAGAATCAAATCAATCCCGTAACCCATCACACAGATGATTAGTTGAACGATTCTCTCTCTTCGCCAAGTTGAAAATCTCCCCGGGCGCTAATCAGATTCGGGAAAATTACAGCTTATCGGAGAGCTCCCAGCAAAATAAGACAGCTCATAAAGTAAAGAAGTCCGCTATTTTGACGGCTCCGCAACATACTTTTTTTTCGAGCTCAATCCTTAAATTTAAATTGACTTACGAAAAAATCTGTCTGAATATTACTGAATCTCAAGACTTTTCTTAGACAAGAAATTTCCGTAATTCATTATTCAAAAGTGCTTGCAATGTGGATTTTTGGAAAAAAAAAGTGTCGCGCTTTTCAAAATTTCAAATTGCTATTTGAGCGTCTTGATTGAAAACGCGGTTTCGCTCGTTCATTAGTTTCATCAAGTACTCGACGGCGTGGACTTATTCCTGGCGTCATAATTTATGCCGCAATTGATATTGCTCATAACGCTACAAAACTCGTTCTGCAAAGTTGATCCTGGCCTATTTGCTGAAAGCCAATTACAGCAGAAATTCGAGTTTAGAAAGATGATTTCCTTTTTAGGCGACGATGAACTCCGTCAGCTGTGCCGAGAAATTCACTCCAAATGCGACAAAGTCGATGAAGAAAGATACGACCTCGAGATCAAAGTCAACAAGTTCGACTCTGAAGTTAAAGATCTCGAAATCAAAATTATGGATCTCCGAGGAAGTAAGTTGATTTTCTAGCTGTCAGAGAAAGCGATTCTAGGAGACTTGATTATTCAGATGACTCTTACGTAAATTTATAATCTAATTTGTACCCGCTCAAAATCAAAGCGGAACTATAAACACTAGCTTGAACTTTCTGACTTATCGTGCTCACGTCTCACCTTTTCAGGCAAATTCAAGAAGCCCCCACTTCGAAAGGTAAAGATGTCTACCGACCAGATGCTCTCCGCGCTCCTGGGCAAGCAGGGTGGCGGCAAGCAAGATCTCCGATCCGGCCTCAAAAAAGTCAAGTAAACACCGAAATCAGCATTTTGTATTCTCACGCGGCATTTTACCCTTGTCTCTTTACTTGTAAATCGAAATAATACACTTGAACTGTCTTTTGAATCTACCTACTCTTCCTTGATTGCAATACGTAAGGAATAATCAGGCAAAATGTGTGATTGTTAATATATTATTTAGATAAATAGAAGTGGATTAAAATATTTAGCTTTTGATTTCTTTCACGCTCATTATTTGGAGAGGAGTTCAGTCGGAAGTGGGAAAACAATCGTGGAGTTTTTCTGAGCAGCGACTGTATTGAGAGTTTGGAGGTATCTGAAGGAAACTTGCGGTTAGGGGTTGAATCTATAAATTACCGAAGTTGGAGGGCCTTGGGATTAGAAGCCATCATTCGCGCAGCATCAGCAATGTTTTTGGCTGCTTCCCGTTCGCCAACAGCCTGGGTCAGTTTGGCCTTTGCTTCTCGAGAAGCTTCAGCTTCTGCGGCCATGGCGCGTTGCATCTTTGAATTAACAATTAAGACACTTATCTTGGTATAAAACTGACCGCAGGTGGAAGAATAATGTCTTTCACTTCGACGCTCTCTACTTTGATTCCCCAGTCGTCGGTGGCCTCATCGAGGCTTCTTTGCAAAACCCGGGAGATTTCTTCTCGCTGATTCAAAATCTCCTGCAAGCTCTTTTGGCCAAGGATATTTCGCAAATGAGTTTGCGCAAGAAGACGCTTAAATAAAAAAACCGTGAGTGAATCAGATTTATGGGAAAACTTACGGTTGTGTGATTGTAATTCATGACAGAATCGATGGCTGCAAGAGGTTTGACAATTTTATACTGCGCAACTGCATCGACTCGGATAGTGACTGCGTCCTTGGATAAAACTTCTTGGCGGGGGATATCGAAGACTTGAGTACGGATATCAACCTTGTGAAAATTTGAAATGAATGAACAATGCTTTAAATAAGATCTTTTTACCTTCTCAATGTGGTTGACAAAGAAATTGAGGCAGAACATACCCCTTTTCTCGCTGGAACCAGCTTGAAGTCGGCCAAGCTGGTAAATGACAGCTCTCTCGTAGTCCTCGAACGATTGTTGGAATCGCTCATTCTAGTAGCGGTAATTACCTGGATCGTTTGAACCGCCTGACACCAGAAACACGGGAAGATTATGATCAGAATCCAGGTCAAAAATACCAAGATTCCGTCAAAAATACCAGGTGGTTTAGCTTCATCTTCATTCTTTCGTGGAATATACTCTTGATGCGCGATTTGCGTGTTGTTGAAAGTCATGTTTGCGCGAATGTGCTTGTATTCAAAATAAACTAGGTTAGAAATTCGTGTCTAGAAACTTTTGGACACTTTTTTGACTACTAGTAACTTTACTAGTAAATGCATCTGCCAATTCCTGAATGCGTAAATTTCCTGAATTCTTGAAACAAATAAAGAACAAATTAGACACTTATCTTACAACTAACTCGAGTAAATAGAGTCTTGTCGCAGAGTATGATTTCAATTCAGAGTATCCTTTTATTGTTTTTCAATGAAGAAGAAAGATAAATGCATAGATTTCCGTGGCAATGATACTTGACAATTTAGATGAAAATAATTCCTTCTGGGTGTTCATTAAAATGCTCTTTGAATTCATTCGCTTTGATGATGCCTTCTTCGAGGCGGTTGCAAATCTTTCGGGCCCAGATCATGGGCCAGAGTTCTGGCTTTCTCTTTCTTTGGATTGAATGTTGGGGAGGCGCTTGTAAATCGTATAGAATTGACTGAAGCAAGTAATGGGTCATCGTTGTTGAGCGGTTGATCAGATGGACACTTATATTGGGTTTTATTATGCATGCAATACTCTGAGCAGTTGATACTTCAATAAATACCCTTCCCTGATAGGACGAATATTGCTCACAGCCGCGCCTCTTGTGGCAAACTCTTTCATAGGAGCTATATGGATATGGTTGCCACTGATCTCTTTTCTTCGGTCCAATCGTCGGTCAATTCCCTCTATTTTAGCCATTGTGACTCTCAAATTTGCACCATCCAAGTACTTCATCAGATGACCATGATCTCTTTGATTGATCATTCCCTTTTCATTTGACCATTTTGCTTTATTTGCGTCTTCGAGCATTTGATTGAAAATGTGAACGTCGAACTGACCACCAGCAAGAAGTAAAATCTCATCCGGTTCATACTTGAGTTTGGTTAAGATTGTGTTGATACTGTCGGCGATATCTGAATAGCTTGTTTGTATCATAGTCCGAACAAAATTACAAACCTTCCATGAAGGTTCTTTGACCGTCATCCATGTATTCATTTGTGAGTTTAACGACTGGGTGCCCGGCTTTGAGGATGTTGCATGTATTGTACTGATTTTGCTTTCGCTCTTGATGATTGTAAACAAAACTGAAGTAGCCATTCGATTCATGAATTGCAATAATCAACAAGGTTTTATTCTTCGGATAGCCTGTTAAAGTCCAATTACGAGTTTGTTTTGGCGCTCCAAGTTTTGTGATGATATCATTCACTCGATTTTTCGAGTACTTTTCTATCCAGCGATCCCTTTTGAAAGATTTAATCGGAGTAACGCTGGAGAAATGTACCTGTCGCTTTGAGGGAATCTTGATTCAGTTTGGACAAAGACGGGCAAGTGAATATTGATGCACCTCTTCTTGATCTCTCTGTAAAGATCCTCCCGGAAAAGTGGCAAGATGAGCCACAGCAACGAGCTCTTGTTCTGCTCCCATGTATTGGGTAACTTTGCTACCCATGATTTTGGATCATGTTTTTCCTCGTTTTCGATCATTATCTCGCTAGGAGCTTTCATTTTGATTCCATTATCGTTGCAAATTTGCATCATCTGCGACTTAACAGCTCCTACAGCTTCTAGCTCAGAGCAGCACATAATTGTCCAGTTCTTAATCGCTACTTTCTTGAGCTTGAGGTTAACTCTGCCTCTCGGAATCAAATCAGGATCGCATTTGAGTGTGTTGCCAGCGGATGTGAACCAAAGTGGAAACATTAAATGCATGGAACCAGCTTTTTGAAACATAAATCGAATCGCTTTCTGTGCATGAGCAAGAATAGAATTTTCCATTCGATATCGATCAGTATTTGCGACAGCTAGGTACTGCTGTTTCTGTGGATCGACAGTTCCAGTCATTGTCCACAACTCTGGAACGATAATTCTTTTCTCAAGCCAGTCAACCCCTGTCATGTCTGGACCGGAATCGAAAGCGACAGTCAAGTATCCATCCTTTTCGTGCTTGTTTTGAAAGCAAATAGGCTGTTCGGCGATAGTGATGTTCAACCCTTGCTTTTCGTACATGCTCTTGATCGTCAGCCGTTTATTGTACGTTCTTTTTCCACCAGGGTTGGCGGTAACTGTCATGCATGAGTTTGGGCGAGCGTCTTTGCGGATGCCATCGATAGACGCGAACACGTCGAGTTCCTCATTGTAGACAACCTGGAATTGAATGGCTTCATCTATAGCTTGATCAAGTGACTCTTGACGGTTATTGTCATCGTTGTCAAAGGCCTCTCTTATAATGGCCATGTATTCCAAAAGCGTGTAGTCCTCTACAATGTTTTGAACGATGACTGCTAAGTGCACTTTTCCTAAAGAATTCTTTTAGAATCCATACAATGGATTTATTAAGAAACCCGTTGCTTCGTCTTCGAAGAAGTGACTGAGCCGATAACTGTCATATCTATACGTTCTCTCCCTCACTGGAATTTCGTTTTCATCCCCGTCTCTATCATGATCATCATCTTTCTCAGTAGCATCTATCGGCGCAAATGCTAACTCAGGGTCAAAGTCGGAGAAGATCATCTGCGCCATGAGCTGGGAAAAAGTGGCACCACCGACGTTTCTATCATCCGTCAGTTTACATGTATCTATAAGCTTCAGATTCCATGCGTCTCCATGTTCTTCCGGAAAAGGCTTGACTTTAAAGAGGGAGATAATTTGACAGCAGAAGTTCCCATCACCGGCATCCTTCAATATTATGAAGAAAGGGAAAAAGAATGAGCAAAAAAACCTCTAAGAAATCATCATAGCCTCCTCTGATATGGAAGCCTTCTTTGGTTTGCAGAACTTCTTCTCCACCGTTATCTTTTAACAGCAAGATCGGAGTCTTCGGAGTGATTCTCGCGGACTTACTCGCGAATAGAAAGTTGCGATACGCTCTTTCTACTTCTTCGTAGGTTAACTGTTCTTCACACGGTGATTTGAAGACTATTTCGTACCAAAAATACTTTCTTATGTTTGGTATGTCCAAGTTGATGGAGTGAGTCCATTCGAGGGCCATTCTAAATAATCTGCGCTAAGACACAGCTTGTCAAAAAAAAAAGGTTTGATAAAGGCAGTGTAAACGGTAACATCAGAGAAAGATAGCTTTACATGTAAAATTTGGTCCTAAAAGCGTGCTGATTCCGCTAATTTACAATGAATTACGATTCCATTTCGTCCTCATTGTTTTTCTGCTCGGCGTTTTCTTTATCGGCTTCAGTGTTCACTTCACCGCCGGCTTCTTCTTCAGCCTCGTTTTCACCCTTTTCTTCTTCAGCTTTTTTTTCCTTCTTTTCTTTTGCCTAAATCTTGTTTTATCAAAAGCTACAGTGGAGAGCGAAAACCTTGTTAGCTTTCTTCACTTTTGCAGCTTCGAGCTCTGATTTCACAAGTGGAACCAAATCGTCAAATTCTGTCTCACTCAGAGCATCGATGATGTCTGATTCTTTTAGCGTTTTTCGCTGATGATTCCTTTTATTATTTGATTGTTGCGGAAATGTACCTTGTTATTTGAAGCAACTTCTGTAGCAGTTTGACTGAGGTAAACGATGAAAAGTGATGTAGCTTTAGCAATCGCAAGTTTTGCGTCCTTTGATGAGAAAATGTTTCAATTTGAAAACTGGGAAAGTTCCAAACCTTGGCAACGATAGATCCTGGTGGAAGAGCCTCTTTGATAATTCGTGCTACGACAGCGTTTGGTAAAGAGAGATCTTCAACTTTATCGGACATCTAGTAAATAAGAACTGGTACTTTAAATTTTTTAACTAATTTTTATCTATATTCGACTGATTTGACAATAATCGTAAAAGCAACTTTTAAAACACAGAACGATAATAAAAATATAATGAACAGAGCGAGTGGTTGAATTTTATTTTCTTTTTGCTTATTTTTCAATTTTCCATCGCGTGTTTCTGAACCCAGTCACGCGCAGTTTTGTAATACTCGTCAGGATTTTCTCGGAGAACTTTTGCTCGGTCAGGATTGAGAGCGTGATCTGGATTTGGAGACATCAGAAATGAGAGGAACGAGATAAGGACTTTTTGAATGCTAAGGGCGGGAGTCCAACTGCCTCTGAAATAGCGTTTTATTTTTGACGAAGAATGTTTCTTACGCAAGTATATCCATGCAGATGTAGCCTTCGTCGCTGACATTTACGTGATAGAGTTTCGTAAGCACCTTTACTTTTGGCGGCTTGAAGGGATAATCCGGGGGAAAACTGATTGTCAGGTTGAATTTACCGCCCTATAAATCGTGAAAATCTCAATACTACGATATGTTCAGTACCTCGTAAGGTGTATCTTTCGGACCCTCGAGAACAGCCGCCCAGCTGAACATGTCATTTTCGCTGGGAGTGATTGTAATTCCTTCGACAGGCGACTTGGCCAGATCTTTCAATTCTTTTTTCACTCGCCCTGTCGCCATTCTAAAACTAACTTTGGCTCTCTGAATAAAAAGGGTCTCGAATAAAAAGTAATTTTGAAGACTTGAGGCGTGAAAGCTATTCAAAAACAGTCTGCATAGAATCGTTAAAAGGGAAAATAAAAATTAGTCACGATTCGTGACTCACGAATCATGAATAACAAGTAGTGGATTAAGGATATTGCAGCGAAATACTGAATTGATGGAAAGTACAAGATATCTGTTAGTAATACGTAAGCTCGATGGCAAGATAATGAAAGAAGATTGAATTCGTAATTGAAACTTGAAAGACTATTTTTTGAGCATCTTGTTCATCTGCTTGTTCATACTCTGTGTTTTCAAGTTGTTTCTTTGAATCGCCAAATCAACATCGTCAATGAGCTCGTCTTGGGCGTCGATTTCAGTTTGAAGCGTCAAACCGAGGTTTTTCAGACGCGATAGACCAGATGACATATCGGTAAGATTTTGCTCAATCTAAGAAACTCCTTGTTGATTTCTCGGGAATTGATGATCTTGTAGTTACCTGTTGTTCTCTTGTACTTGGAGCCTTCTTGTTGGCCAATCTACTCATGTGATCGGCGCTAGAAGACGAAGACATGCCGCTTGACTGGCCAAGCGAGCTAGGGTTCGAGCTAGAAACTGAAGAGGCAGCCGTTGCCTTCGCTGGACTCGATGACTTCTTGGACGGAGAGCTGCTTGCATCACCTTTTGGTTTCTTTCCGAACCAGTTTTGCATCGTCTGACCCCAGAAAGACTTATAAAATCATAGTTTTTGGATGATGGTGAGTCTAGCCTTACTTTTATTGATTTGAGATGACCTTCAGATTCGCGCAGGTGAGACTCGGACTCTTCTAGGCGCCCTTTCGTCCTGATTAAATTGATGAAATGTCTGTAACTTCTTACTCTTATGATTACCTTTCCAAAACTTCTCTTTGTCTGTATAATTCACTCGCAGTTTGGGCTCCTATTTCTTCTGATTCAGCGATTTTTTGAAGGGCTCTCTTGGATTTTTCTTTACAACTTATATTCTCGAAAGAATTCGTTACTCACCTGAGTCGAGGAGAGTCCTCCGTCATTTTTCTGAACCTGAACGGAATAATCCTTGTTCGGATCGAACTCGGCATTGAACTCTGCGTCGTCCCAGTTGCTCATTCTATTGAAAAGAAAAATGAACATTTTTTACAATAAATAGTAAATTTAATTCATGAGAATCTGTTTCTTCAAAAGTTCCAGCGTGGACTTTACTTCCTCAAGTTCTTTTCTCAATTTCTCGTTTTCTGCCGAAATCTCTGAGATCTTATTTGACAAAGTTTGACTTTCGATCGACGATTTATTCTTGTCCAAATGCATCAGTCTCATCTCTTGTCTGAAAAAGGACTGGATAGATAGTAGAAGGACGCTGTCTACCTGATACTCATGATTTCTCTATTCAAGTCTAGCAATTCGTTACTGACCGCTGCACTGGCGTTTTTGGGGTCTAGGAAATCAACGCTTGAAAATGACTTTTTGAAAAGAAACTTACCGATATCAGGATTATAGTAAATAATATTGTAATAAATGTAGTGAAGAATTCCAGAAATAAGATTGTACGCGACGAGAAATGTCAAAAGCTGGCCAAAAAAGTTCGAGCCCTTTTCATTTGCTGATTTCTCGGTAAGATTGATCGACGAGTTCATGAACATTCTCCTCCGAGCTGGATCTTTCTCCAGCCTCGCCGAGATCTGGTGGTCCAAATTTGCAAGACCCTTTTTCATACATTTAATTCTGCGTTATTTCATACTGGAAATCCTTACATTTCCAACAGGAATGAAGATATTCTTTCTGATAATCGGTGATTTTGTCGAAATATCCATACAAATGTCTGTCGCTGGCTTACAAATTGACAGCCAGCTTTTGTAAAGAGGCCCGTGATTTGGAAATGCGAGGTTCCTGACAAAAACGCGCGAAATCATTGAGTTCAATTTCTAAGGTTCAAGATTGTTCACGTATATTTTTTATCCGATGTAATAACAGGCAATAAGATATCCTTTTGTTACATGTGAGTTTTTCTTTTTATGAATGGTGGGTACGAGCTCTCAACAAAGAAGGAAAAAATCTAGGAAAGAAACTATCGGAAAGTTGGATTTTAGGAATAAGCTTTACTAAAAACTAAATCGAGTTAAATAAAGAAACAAGCCGCAATGTGAAGATTAATTTTAAAATTTCAAGTGTACAGAAACAAAAGTCTTTCGTGAGAAGTTGAAAAATAACATACAGGCTAACTTTATACTTTTATCTTTTTTATAACATTGTTACATGTATTGGCGTGAGTGTTTTTCTTCAGTGTTTACTTCCAGAGCTGCTTGACGGACATGTTCTTTTCTGAGTCCTTTTGCATAACCTTTGCCACGGCCATTTCGAAGTCTTCCTGAGTCACGTGGACTCGTCGCTCTCGAAGCGCGTACATGCCAGCTTCAGTGCAGACTCCCTGAAAGACAGCTCTTCTGAGAGGCCTCAGAAATGAATAATTACCTTGGACTCGGCACCAGAAGCCCCCTGCATCTTTTCGGCAATCTTGCGCAAGTTGATTCCTCGAGTGAGGTTCATTTTTCGACTGTGGATCCTCAGAATATCCACTCGCGCCTAAGATTGGTTAGATTTTCATTCAGATTTAGTTTTGATTACGTCTTCATTTGGTGCTGGGAACTCAATCTTTCTATCGATACGGCCGGGTCGGAGAAGAGCGCTGTCGAGGATGTCGATTCGATTTGTCGCCATAATAATCTAAAAAAGGATGATTCTAACCGCGTGAGTATGTGAGCTCTTACTTTGATATTTTGGTGGGGTTCGAAACCATCGAGCTGGTTCAAAAGCTCGAGCATGGTTCTCTGGACCTCGGAGTCGCCACCGCCGCTGCCGGATTCCATTCGAGAGGAACCGATGGAATCAATTTCGTCCATGAAAATAATACTAGGGGAGTGCTCTCGCGCCATCACGAACAGTTCTCTTGACAAAATGGTTAGAACCGAGTTTTTTTATAAAATTCAATAGTACCTGACCATACGGGAACCTTCACCAATGAATTTCTGCACGAGTTCGGAGCCAGAGACTCGGATGAATGTACAATCAGTGTGATGAGCCACTGCTCGCGCAAGAAGAGTCTTGCCAGTTCCGGGAGGGCCGTAAAGAAGAACACCCTGGGATTCGGTAAAAATTCGTGCAAGAGCTGTTTCAAATCTACCTTTGGCTGTGCGATACCGAGCGCTTCGAAGAGTTCAGGATGTTTGACGGGCAATTCGATGACTTCTTTGATTTCTTTGATCTGTTTGTCCAGGCCGCCTATCATTTCGTAAGTGGAGTCTGGCACTTTCTCGACCATCATCAGCGAGACAAGAGGATCGATCTAAACGTCGAGTTCCAAAATCAAGCGGAAGAAGTCTCACTGACCTTGTTGGGAAGGATCTTATGGAGCAGGTAGGAATCGCTCTTGAGGGCAACGCGGGTGGTCGCTTTCAGGTCTTCGATCTTGATTTTTGAATCGATATCAACGACAAATTTTCCTTCAGGATGAATTTTGACGAGAACCTAAATTTTAATCTACCTCGTTGGTTCATTGTTATTAAAACCTTGTTCTTTGTCATCGGCTTGATCACTTCTCCTACATAACTTCCCTGCTCCTGGAGGAGCTGCAGCTCCTCCCGAAGAAGTCGAACCTAAACAATTGTTTAGCAAAAGAACAGGCAAATGCGTCTATTTGCTGTAGTAAGCGAATTACCTGACTGTTCAAACTATTTCGTTGGGCTTCTAGTCGGCGCACATTTTGCTCCTTGTCATTTTTAATCGCATTGAGCTCGAGCAATTGACTGTAAAAATAGATAGAGTTACGTATGATGGTCATTTTGGTACCTTTGATAGTAGTTTGCAATTCCTCCCTCTTGAACTTGATTATCAATATCCATCTGAAGATCGATTAGAAGTAAAAATACGCAATTGAAATCGAGCAAATTTGATGAAGAAAATAGAAGAGAAAGAAAGAAATAGGAAGAAAGGTATTTTGATGAGAACAGCGGATTTCGTGCCCAACTAGTGTGCTCCAATGCGCGCTTCATACAAGGTCAAAAGTGAAAGAAAAAGAGCTTGAGAAGATGGACTAATTGATGATGTTCCTTTTATTATTTTTTACCTGGTTGAGTTGTTTGATGACCGCGGTGACTTCTTCTTGCTCCGCCTTTTCGGATGATTTGGGCGCTCGAAACTTCTTCGAACTGGGTTTCAGATATTTATCTCCTTCGTCAGACTTGCGTGTTCGTTTTTGGGGCATAAAGGCTGTTTCTGGGCTCGCAAAAGAAAAGAATAAAAACTAAGGGTCTGGAAACCACACCTCTATCTCTTCAAGAATGAAAATGAAGGCAACAAAATCATTCGACGCCGCTGATCTAGAAAAGATTGAGCAGTCGGCTCATTCTTTTTTCTTTGATGCTCGTTACTTGAAGTTTGATAGAGTTGAGAAAATCTGATGTTTCAATAGTCTTAGTTTTTTCTTGAGCCCAATTCTTAAAACATAGACGCTGAAGGCTAAAATTTAATCGAAATCAATCTAAACGGACGAAATTAAAATTTGGTCATGTTTAAAACAAATGACTCATAGTCGAATTAAAATTCCTAGAACGACTATCTGATAAGAAGAAAAATGAAGCTTTGCCTGAAGCGATAAATGTCTATAAATTTTCCTACAATCAAAGAGACCAGTGTCTCAAAAAAACCGGCAGTTTCTACAGCAAATACCGATAATGACTAAGGTGTAAATAAGACGAGTAAGTTAGTGTTGGTTTCTGGTGACATATGGTTGGTCTTCCAGGGTGTGCACGTAACTCGACAGGGGATCTTGTAACTCTCGAAAAAGGGCAAAAATCTTTCTCAGCAATACGTTATGGCCACGTCATGCTGTCCCCCTGAATGGCGCTATTTGATTGGCCCGTCTCCCACGGCGACGCAGCACATTCAAGCGATGAAAGTTTCCTTGCACCCTCTTGGACTCACACGGAATCTGGCTATTGAAGCTACTGTGTCTCCCTCTTCTCTTTTTCCGGGTCCGTAGGTGCAAGAGAAACTAAACTAAATGAAGCTCTATTTGGCCTTGGCCACTCTGGCCCTCTTCGGCACTGTTACCGCCCAAGAGGAAGCTGTTGCTGACGACTCTGTCAACTTCCACGACGATGCCACCGACGATGACGTCGCTGCCAAAGAAGACGAAGCCATCACCCTTGATGGCTTCAGCGCTGAGGAGCAGGCCGCGCTCCGAGAGTCCTCCGAAACCATGGCCTTCCAGGAATGTGTTTAACAGCCGTTTTTAATGTAGGCAACTTTTCACTAGTTATTTTAAGCAAAAACAAATCAATTTTCAATAGGGTCATTGGTAAAAACAAAGAGATGGCAATCTAAAAATTTTGCATATTCTCTTTGTTGAATTCAGCTTTGTTAAACTCGCGAAAAGGCTGAAGTCTCCCGAATGATGAAGCTTATTATCAACTCGCTCTACAAGAACAAAGACATTTTCCTTCGAGAACTTATCTCCAACGCTTCCGATGCCCTTGACAAGATCCGACTTATGTCTCTCACTGATCACGATGCTCTCTCTGCCACTGACGAGCTCTCCATCAAGATCAAGGTCGAGAAGGACGCCAATGTTATCCACATCACTGATACTGGTATTGGTATGACCCAGGAGCACCTCAAGAAGAACCTCGGTACCATCGCTAAGTCTGGTACTTCTGAATTCTTCGAGAAGATGTCCAACTCCGGAAACGAAGACTCTGCTTCTGATCTTATCGGTCAGTTCGGTGTCGGCTTCTACTCCGCTTTCCTCGTTGCCGACAAGGTCGTCGTCACCTCTAAGCACAACGAAGATGACCAGTACGTCTGGGAATCCGACTCTCTTGAATTCTCCATCGCCAAGGATCCCCGAGGAAACACTCTTCCACGAGGTACCACTGTCTCGCTCTACTTGAAGGAAGAAGCTGGCGATTACCTTCAGCATCAGTCTGTCAAGGAACTCATCCAGAAATACTCTCAGTTCATCAACTTCCCAATCTACCTCTGGGGATCCAAGCAGGTCGAGGAAGAAGTCCCAGTCGAAGAAGAAGCCGATGAGGAAGTCAGCGCTGACGAAGATGAAGAAGGCAAGGTCGAGGAAGAATCCGACGAAGAAAAGCCAAAGACTCAGAAGGTTACCAAGACCGTCTACGACTGGGAACTCATCAACTCCACCAAACCCATCTGGCAGCGAAAGACCGCCGAGATCGATGAGGAGGAATACGAAAAATTCTACGCCGCTATTGCCAAGGTAAGCGCGGTGATAAAAACGGCTAGGGATTAGATTTACCCTTTCAGGACAACACCAAGCCAATGACTTACACTCACTTCTCCGCCGAAGGTGAAGTCTCCTTTAAAGCCATCCTCTTTGTTCCCAAGCAAGCCGAACGAGACATGTTCAACGACTACGGCCAGAAGAAGGGCGATAACATCAAGGTTATTCACGTTTACGCTTTAGGATCAAAATGCCAAATCGATTGCCAGAGCCCATTTTCACGCCGAAGGAGAAGTTTCCTTCAAAGCGATGCTTTTCATTCCTGAAATAAGCATTTATGAACACAACGCTCGAAAATACCAAGATAAAATCAAGGTTCCAGCTAGTTTGATTGTAAATTAGACCTTTGCGCCGGTATTAGCATAGAAAATTTTTATGGCATTGCAAATGGCACCTTAGTGTTTAATTTAATGTTAAATATTGACTCACGTTTGCTTCGTTAGATGTACGTCCGACGTGTCTTTATCACCGATGACTTCACTGACATGATGCCAAAATACCTCCAGTTCATCCGAGGTGTTGTTGATTCCGATGATCTTCCATTGAACGTTTCTCGTGAAACCCTCCAGCAGCACAAGCTCCTCAAGGTCATCAAGAAGAAGCTTGTCCGAAAGGCTCTTGATATGATCAAGAAGATCGATGTCGATGAATACACCGAAACCTTCTGGAAGCAATACTCCACCAAGTATGAATAATTCATAATTTCATAACCTTATTCATTTTCCCAGCGTCAAACTCGGTGTCATCGAAGATAACTCCAACCGAACCCGACTCGCCAAGCTCCTCCGATTCCGAACTTCTAAGGACGACGGTGCAGGATGGCACTCACTTGAAGAATATGTTGAGCGAATGAAGGAGAACCAGGAGAAAATCTTCTTCTGTGCCGGTACCTCTTTGAAGGATGTCCAGGTATAACTCTCAATTAAATTATCACTCGCTAAACCATTCATTCCAGAGCTCCATCTTCACCGAGCGACTCATCAAGAAGGGTTACGAAATCATCTACCTCGTCGAGCCCGTCGATGAGTACACTATCCAAGCTCTTCCAGAATTCGACGGCAAGCGATTCCAGAACGTGGCCAAGGAAGGTGTCGACATCGATGTCAACAAGAGCTTCCTCGAGCGAATGGAGAAGAAGTACGAGCCACTCCTTGACTGGCTCAAGTCAAAGGCCCTCTTCAACAAGATCGAGAAGGTGATACTCAACAATTTGTAAACATAGATAACAAGGTTGCTTTAGGCTATTATCTCCCCCTCTCTCGAATCTTCGCCAGCTGCCCTCGTCGCTTCCCAGTACGGCTGGTCCGGAAACATGGAGCGAATCATGAAGGCTCAGGCTTACCAGACTGGCAACGACGCTTCCTCCGAGTTCTACGCCAACCAGAAGAAAATCTTCGCCATCAACCCCCGACATCCTCTTTCCAACGTAATATTCATTCAATCTTTTTGTGTTCTAACTTTCAATATTTAGACTCTTCTCGAGCGAGTTGAAGCTGATGATCAAGACGCCGCGGCAGAGGAGATCGCCAAGCTTCTCTTCGACCAGGCCGCTCTCCGATCTGGCTACACTCTCAAGGACCCAACTGACTTCGCTGACCGAATCATGAACATCATGTACGCCAACTTGGACATCGACCCTGAGACTCCAGTAAGTTTATTTCGAGATAATCATGAAATATGATGAAAATTGACCCAGCAACTTTTTTAAAAAATAATTTCAGGTCGAGGAAGAACCCACCGCTGGCGACTGGGATGATGAAGAAGACGAAGAGGAACTCGAGGCCGAGGAAGAGGTCGATGCCTCGTACGAAGCTGATGAGGAGGTCCATGAAGAGCTCTAAACAGCGAAATGTGCAATAATTCTCGTCTAGAACCTTAAACCTTACGTTATTAGAGACATTACTATCAGTTACAGCCTAACCATCCTATAGCTTCACAGTTCACCTTCCCATGCTTTATTTAATATTATTTTCTTATGTTTAATTCTGCTACTTCCGAGGCTAGGGATGGTGCAAGACTTATTTGTTCCAAAGTGCAATCCTGAACACGACTAAAGCTACTACCTTTAGTGAAAACAATTTGTAAAACTTGATCTTCAAAATCTTTGTTATTTTTTCTTTATCTGACATTTACTTTACTTTATCGAATTGAGAATAAATAACAAAAACGCCGAATGTCTTTGGATTGTTTTGAATTCTTGCAGGGATATGCAGGATGAAAGATTGTTAAAAACTCCGCGTATAATTTCTAAATGAGCTTAGATTGTGAGCTTTCCAAAAAAGGGAAATGTCTTGATGGTGGTAACCGAAATCGAAGAAAAATGCGTCCGTGGGGGCGAAATCCAGCTCCCATGGAAGCGTTTAGAAAAAGTAGCAAAGGGAAATCCCCTGCTCTCGAAAATGGGATGGACAAAAGAAAACAGAAAGGAAATTCGTAAGGTTCTTCAAAAGCTGCCTTTGCCCAAACTTGTCCGCCTCTTTTCTTCTCAATGTAAGACAGTCCAAGAAAATTTAAATGAATTCATCTCTGTATTATCATCCTAATGCATATAACTCTAGGTGCCATTACCTCGCTGCTGAAAGTTGATGCCTTCCAATTGGCAATAGAGTGTTTCCGCCAAGGCCTGCCTTACAACCTAGAAATCGAGTTCAGTCCCTCTCGAAATTTGAATCCGCCTTCCAGTAAGAAACAGAAGCTCTCCTCAAACGCTGACCTTGACTTTCTCTTTCTCCTTCGCGAGCTATATCTCCGCCACTCTCCCCTATGGGCGGAACTGCTCGATTCTTACTCTGGCGAGCTGAATGAATCGCTCATTCGCTGGATCTTTGGACTGCGCTGCGGAAAAATCACTTTGGACTATACTCAACCCTTTTTTCACGCCGCAAAACGTGCACTCAATCCTTCCTCTGAAAGTTCCACATTTCTTCTGCCAGAGCCCGAAAGAAAGAATTTGACGAAAAAGACTCTTTTGGCTTCCGAATTTCAATCCGAAACCGGCTTCGTTTCTATCTGTGGTATCCCCATCCGTTCTGGCTCTTTTCATTCTCCTGAGCAGCCATTGAGCAAATCGCCTTTGATAATCGAAAAGTTGCGAGAAGTTTCAATTGGAATCTACCACAAGTTACCCGTCTTGCTTGTAGGAGGAGTTGGAACTGGAAAGACACATTTGGTAAATACGATCGCGCAGCAGACACAAAAAGAGCTACTTTCTTATCAGCTGAGTCCGGAAACTGATGCCGCCTCGCTTATCGGCGGGTACATTCAAGCCAGCGACGGGCAGTTCAAGTGGCGCCCGGGCCCTCTCGCTCTCGCCGCCTCTGAAGGGAAATGGATACTTTTGGAAGACGTGGACCAGGCGGGTGGCGACTGTTTCACGTTGATAGCCCAGCTGATTGAGCGCAACGTCCTCGCAGTTGCTGGCCACGGTCGGCCGATCGTGCCCCACGGCGAGTTCTGTCTCTTTTTGACCCAACGCGCTAGCTCGCTAAACTCCTCTGGCCCGTGCAGTTCCTTGTACGTCAAGTGCCATCTCGTCTCTCTTCCAGAACACACGAAACAGTCCCTCGAGCAAATTGTCAAAGCACACTTTCCAGAACTGTTGCCCCAAATCCTCTCCCTTCCTGTTCAAATCCTCAATGCTGTCGAAGCTGCTTCAAATGGACAAATTCTAAACAGGCGACTTGGAGTCCGCGATTGTCTTTCCTTCGCCAGGCGACTGTCAAAAGCTCGTTCTAGTGCTGCTTCTGGTAGCACTCAAGTTGCTCACGCGCTACTCGACGCGATCGACATTTTCGCCGCACATCTTCATAAAAGAGAAGAAAAAACGCTTTTCTATCGGCGAATTTCGGATGTTCTTTCGGCGAACAAAGAAACCCTTCGCGCTCTTCAAAATGATACCCTTTCGCATGATCCGGTGGAATTTCTGCTTGATAAATATAGACCAGAATTAGCGGAAGAAAATGGATTAATCGCTGGAAGGGCGAAAATAGGTGAGAAACAGTGGGATATTTACGAATGAAAATGAATAAAAAATATTAAGGCGTGAGCGGAGAACTTGACCAGAAACAACTAAAGCGCTCTGGGATGGTTCCAACGATGATCCACTCTCGGATTATCGAGCAAGCAGTCTTGGCAATCAACAATCGAGAGCCAGTTCTTCTGGTCGGCGAAACAGGAACCGGCAAAACAAGTTGCATACAGTACATCGCTGCGCGAACAGGCAACAATCTCCGAGTAGTGAACATGTCTCGTCAATCGCAAGCTTCGGACCTTATCGGCTCTTTCCGCCCAGTAGACGCTTCCGCAATCATGCGACCCGTATTCGCTCGTTTCCATCAACTGATGAGTAACACCTATCCACAGAACGAAGCTGTTCTTTCTCAACTGGGCGTCGCCTTCAAAAGAAACCAGTTCGAAGACGTGCTTCTTCCAATGATGAAACATGTTTCTACCAAAGCCGCTGGGGAAGATACTCAACTGAGCGCGGCGGCGAGAAGCGACTGGAGCAAATTCGCAGCATTGTTAGAAGATGCCGATGTGCGGATACGAAACAAGCAAATTTCCTTCGCTTTTGTCGAGGGCGAACTCGTTCAAGCCGTCAGAAACGGCGACTGGCTTCTTTTCGATGAAATCAATCTCGCCCCAGCCGAGCTGCTCGAGTCAATCTCTGGACTGCTTGATTCAGGCTCTCTTTCAATTGCGGATATTTCTGAGCCCGTGATAACTCATCCAAACTTCCGAATCTTTGGGTCAATGAATCCAGCTAACGATTACGCAAAAAAAGACCTGCCGGACTCACTGCGAAACCGATTCACTGAACTGTACGTTCCAGAAGCAAACAGCGAGCAGGACATCTCCCAAATCGTCGTTCACTATCTCCCTGGTCTACGCGACAAAGCAGCCATTCGAAACAACCTCGTTAAGTTCTATTTAAAAATACGCAACGAAAAGAGCATCCGGGACATGAGCGGCAAGGCAACAACGTTTTCTCTACGAACCCTTTCCCGCTGCTTGCAATGCGCGAGGGACGCTTTCGGAGCAACTCCAAGTGGCATTTTTCAAGCGTTACAGTTGGCCTTCGTCTCGGGCCTGGACGACTCCTCCACGAAGCTGGTAGAAGCAATGATTGAAAAATACAAATTCAAAAGTTCAAAATCGAGATTAGTTCAACCGGACCCAGGCGTACCTCACGTCACAATCAAAAACTATCACATCTACCGAGGGGACGAAGCAGAGCTTTTCGTGGATAAGAAATTCATCATTACAGAGACTGTCGATCAAAATTTGAGAAACTTGAGTCGCGCCATTTCAGCGCGCAATTATCCAATTCTGATTCAAGGTGAAACCTCAACAGGCAAAACCTCGCTGATCAGCTACTTGGCAAAAGCTTCCGGCAACAAACTGATTCGAATTAATAATCATGAACACACTGACTTACAGGAATATGTTGGCTCTTACTTACCTAAGTCCGACGGTTCACTCGTCTTCTCTCACGGGGCTCTAGTCAAAGCGATGCGAAATGGGTGGTGGCTCTTGCTCGATGAGCTCAACCTGGCGCCGGCAGATGTTCTCGAAGCTCTGAACCGAGTTCTGGATGACAACCGCGAGCTCTTCATTCCCGAAACAGGAGAAGTAATCAAAGCACATCCTCGCTTCCAACTCTTCGGAGCCCAGAATCCAGCGGGCGTCTATGGTGGAAGAAAACAACTTTCGCGCGCATTCACAAACAGATTCGTTCAAATGGAATTCTCTGAACTGCCCAACAACGAACTCGAAGTCATCGTCGCCGAAAAGTGCGACCTTCCGCTCTCAAAGTCCAAATTACTGGTCGAAGCTGTTTCTGAGCTTCGAAAGTTGAGAAGAGATTCTGATGTTTTTGGCGGCAAGAATTCGTATGCAACGTTGCGAGATCTCTTCCGATGGGCGGACAGGTACTCGAAAGAGAAAGAAATGGAATATAACGACTGGGATCTGCACTTGGCTCTTGACGGTTACTTTCTCCTCGGAGGACGTTGCAGAAGCAAAATTGAATCAGAAAAAGTAAAGGAGGTTTTGGAACGCGTCTTCCGCCGAAAATTAGGAACGGACGATGAAATTTTCTCACAAAATCGACTTGAAGGGGATGGAATCATCGAACGAACGAGACAAAACGCGGCCCAAGAAAAAGTTCTAAAACGATTTTACTGGGGCGAGAAGTCGCGACGGATGGCTATTTTGCTTGAGAGATGTCTCAAATTCAATGAGCCTATTCTGCTCGTCGGGCCAACCGGTTGTGGAAAAACAACGATTGTCCAGTTGCTCTCACCACAAGGGTTAAGCATTATGAACTGTCACCAGCAAACTGAAGCTAGCGATTTTCTTGGCGGGTTGAGACCCGTTCGTGAAAAAGATTTCACCGACACAGCCTCGAAAGCGCTTTTCAAGTGGAGCGATGGACCGCTCGTTGAATCGATGAAAAATGGAAGCGTTCTCCTCGTTGACGAGATTTCACTGGCGGACGACTCAGTTCTCGAACGATTGAACTCAGTATTGGAGAGAGAAAGGACTCTCGTTTTGGCAGAAAAAGGGATTGTCGACGTTGCCGACAAGGATTCTGCCTTGGATGTCTTAACAGCAAGTGCGGGTTTCCAGTTCGTTGGGACGATGAATCCAGGCGGTGATTATGGAAAGAAAGAACTTTCGCCCGCGTTGAGAAATCGAATGACAGAGATCTGGTGCGAACCACCGGATACGGAAGAAGAGTTTGCTCGAATCATCCAAAACGCGCTAAAAAGAAAAGCAACGGCGAAGAAGATCTCAGCCGCGATTTGGGAATTTGTCCAAATTCTCAAACAAGATTCGACGGTCGGACAACAAGTGGTCTTCTCTGTTCGAGATGCGTTGGCCTACGCGGAGTTTATCAATGCGATGGTGGAACGGGTCGATAACGAGCGGCATTCTTTTGGAGAAATCTTCTTCGACGCTTGCAGAGCTGTGCACTTGGACTCGATCGGATGTTCCGGCTTCGATCTTGCTGTTGATCAAGTCGAAAGTGTGAAAATGAGGCTGGAAAGAAAACTTTCCGAAATCATAGGGAAGTATTTTGAAGACGGAACTTCAAGCGAATCAGTTTTAGTTTTCAACGAGCCGCAATGTCTTCGCGGCTTGATTCCAGTGGCGCCGGGCCCAATTGAACCCAAACATCCCAATTTCATTCGAACTTCGTCCGTTGCTGCGTCGACAACCAGAATCGGCCGCGCTCTTCTCCTTCCTCGCCCGATTCTCCTTGAAGGATCGCCAGGCGTCGGAAAAACATCAATTGTTGCGAGTTTAGCTTCAATGTGCGGCTATCAAGTGACCCGTATTAATTTGTCGGAGCAAACGGATGTATCCGACCTTTTTGGCGCTGATTTGCCGGTCGAAGGTGGTCAGGGAGGTCAGTTTGAATGGAAAGATGGGCCGCTGCTGATTGCTCTCAAGTACGGACACTGGGTGATCTTGGACGAGTTGAATCTCGCTTCTCAACCGGTCTTGGAGGGTCTGAACTCGGTTTTTGATCATCGAGGGGAACTATTTGTGCCTGAACTCAACAAAACTTTCCAAATATCTGGTAAAGGTTGTCGCTTCTTCGCCTGTCAAAATCCCCGAGTACAAGGCGGAGGACGAAAAGGACTACCAAAATCATTTGTGAATCGCTTCACAAGAGTTTACTGCAACGAGCTCACTTGGCTGGACTTAGTAAACATCGTCTATGCCACTGGTCCAGATGTTTGCCCTGCTGGTATGAAGCTCGACCATTTCGACAAAGAATTTCTCGACAAATTCCGTGAAGAAATTGAAGCTGTTGAGTTATCTCGCACACTCGCTTTGAATCCGGTTCAAAATGCTCCAACTTACCGAGATGCAAAAGCCACGAGAGCAATGCTTATCGCCATCGTCCACGCTAATAACGAAGCTTGCAAGTATTTGGAATACACTTCGCTCCGTGCAGAGCTCAATCTCCGAGACATAAGAAGATTCGTCGAATTACTCGGCTCTGGAATAAGTTTGGAAAGAGCGTTTAATCTCATTTACATTTCGAGGCTTAGAAATAAAGCAGACGCAAAAATGTTAGAAGATATCTTTGAAAAATGGCTGTCTTTACCTGAACTTGAGAGTCAAGATCGTCTCTCCCCATCTACCGTTACTAAAGACATAAAAGAATATGAAGAAACGAGCGCAGATTCTGTCCGATTCGGAGTCTCGGAAAATCATGTTCGATACGCGCGCCGTCAAGTTACGTCTCTTCCACCGCCGGTGCTGAATTTAACCGAACGAAAAGTGCTGGAAGACATTTTACTGGCGACTCAACATGGGTGGATGGTCCAGCTCGTCGGAGAAGCTGGAAGCGGAAAAAGTACCTTGGTCCAACTAGCAGCCGATCTAACTCGTCAGCGACTGCGACTAATGTCTCTTTCACCGGCGACGGATGTGACTGATTTACTTGGCGCTTTTGAACAATATAATTTCGAAGAAACATACGAAAGTGCATTTGATATCTTCCGCGGAAAAGTCCGAGACTTGCTCAACATCAACGAAAATTCGAATTCAATTCATGAAGAGTCAATCCTCGAATTGATGAAGCTCCTTGATGAAAAAACGGAAAACGCAGCAAATGTTCTTTCAAGAATCGAGTCAATACTGAAACGCAGCATTTCCAAAAACGAGCAACTTCGAACATCAATCGAAAGATTAAGAAGTCTACTGAAAGATCAGCGCCATTCCGATCGAGGTAGTTTCCGATGGGTGGACTCTGACCTTGTCAAAGCGGTCGAACAAGGCGACTGGCTGGTGCTTGACAACGCGAACCAGGCTTCAGACGCGCTGCTGGACAGACTGAACTCCCTTCTAGAACCCGACGGTACTTTATCGATCATCGAGCGAGGAAACGTCAATGGCAAAATCGTGACTATCCGTCCTCATCCCGAGTTCCGACTCTTCATACTTGTCGACCCATTTTACGGCGAACTCTCTCGTCCGCTACGAAACCGGGGTGTCGAAATTTTCATGCACGAGCGCCAACCTTTCGAGCACCTTTCTATCGGAGCCACTCACTGCCGAGATCAAGAAATTGCCAAGTCACTTTATCAATCACTTTCAAGTGATAGTCGAACTCACAAAAAATTCGCCGGCATCTTTTTCAGCGGTTGTCGTCGCTATTCCATCGAGCGCGCTTGCGCAAGCTCAGAAAAAAATGCCTTCAACTCAGCTCTTCAACATTGCCTTCTTCTTCTCAAACGCTCGAGCGAAACTTCCAGTGTCGAAGCTGTTTCAGTAAATCTTCCGATTGTTGCTCCCGCGGCGCCTGCTTCCCTACTCGAATCGATTCCTTCGCTCTTCAAAGCTCTAGAATGGCACATTGTCACGGAGATCGCACCACAATTCGAGCAGCAACTTGAAATTCCTCGATACAAGGAGCGCTTCAGTTTTAAACAAATCGTCTCTCGTGAGCTAATGCAACTGATGAGGAAGGAAGAGATCTTCAGCGCGTTTATTGGGTCCAGCGAGTTCTCGAACCGGGAAGAGAAAAGAGCAGAAATACTGGAAAAAGCGAGTAGTTGGACATTCTGCAGTGATCTTCAAGGTTTTATAACTACCCGTTTCGCGGACTGGATGAACAACGACCCCGTGGAAATCGACAGAAAACATAATTTCAAGAGCGGAACTTTACTGGGAGCACTGCGGGAACGAGGCGACAAAGCACGAATAGGATTGATGAGTCCAGTAATCGGAACTGTTCTTGGACTGTTTACCAAGCAGTTTCTCTTTGAGAATGAGACGAAACTGATAACTCTCTACTACTTTATTTATTTAATTCGAAGAGTAACACCTGAGGATCTTTCGCTTGCGCCTTTCTTCGCAAGATGGCTCCTCCAACTTTTAGAACAGTATGATGCAGAGTTGGACAGCGAAGAATTCAAGCTTATTCGAACAGAGATTGTCACGTTGAAAGCCTTTATTTCCAGCGACCGTTTCATAACAAGCGATGTTTTGGAGTCTCCCACTTTGAATTCGGTCTCTCCTTTCAAAAGCCAACTAGAATTCGACGAATTAGTCAAGTTATCCAGCATCGTTGAAGCTCTCAACGACGAACCAAGTAAATTTGTCGCATCAAGAAGCCTGATACAACTTTTATCCATTCTCGAACATGGGATTCCTGGAGAAATGATCAGCGACATCGGGAAAATTGCCATCGAAGAGCCCGAAAATGTCGATAATTGTTCTATTCATCCCTTTTTGTTTTATCTTCACGTTTTTCATTTGGAGAAAAAATTAATCGCAAGGATTCGAATGCGCGAATACCCGGCCAACTTCTCGCCAACCTTGCTTACATTTCACAGTCGATCGAGTCTTCCTACATCCCTTCGGATGTGTCTATCATGGCCTACATTTGTTCAAATCCGGAGATGTTGAACTACCAGGCAAAAGGCCAGCTGGGATTCAAATGTTTCGCAGACAGTATTTTCGGTAACGAAGTTGAATGGAAGTCAAACCGATTTGGGCTGCTGACTCTCGTTCCTATCGGCCATTACGAACAATTCAGGGAACGATTCAAGCTCACTTCCGCCCGTGCTTGGCGAAACATGACATTCGCTGAGCCAAAATCATCTAGCGAATTAACTGGTGAGCTGAACTCGATTTTGAATGCGCTTGCGCCTCTACGAGCAATGCCCACGATTGATCCAGTCATAGAAGCTAATTTCAAACACTCGTCAAGTCAAGCAATGGCTGCCTATCTCGAAGATCTGAAGCAGGCGCTCACATTCATCAAACACAATACTGGTCTTGTCTTCGAAAGCAGAACACTCCAAATTCAGAAACAGAGCGACGATCTGAACGAAAACCAACTTAAAGTACTCGCGTCCAAAGTGGGTATCAGAGCTGCCCACGATGAGTATCTCCAACTGCGGCAAGTGGTTGTCGACTTCATCGACCACACTGTGATTCCAACTATGGAGGATAATTCAGGCAACAGCGTCAATGAAAATTTAATCTTGTCTTGTTCCGGCTTCTTGAGCATTTTGCATCGATTTGTTTGGTATCCAGACATTGTTGTTCCCATTTCGAATCTAGTCACCAGCTTGGTTTATGTAGCAAAGCAAATCATCGCGAAACAGCTTGCAACTGTATCCTCGTCTGAGGAAAAAGAGGATCATGTTTCTTCGATAGAACCTTCTCTTGAAGCGTCTCTTGTACGATTTGACGAAGCAGAAGTGTTCGAACAGCAGAATTTGTGTTCAGCAATAAACGATTTTGTCAATCAGTGGCTAGCAAAGAAAGAAGAAATCGAAGCGCGAAAAGCAGAGGAAGAGTCTCAATTCAAATTCAAAAACATCGACCTCGGTCAAAGTGTAGAGGAACAAATGGAAGAGGAAGAACAGGAGTATCACGAGTTCTTCCAAAGCGACAATGAGTTCAAATCAGAAGCGGAAGGACCAAAAGCAGCCAAGGAATGCGAGCTTGAGAATTTCGCAAAAATTGTAGAGCTGTTTTTGAAAACTGATTTGAACGTCAACAGCGCGGTCAAATCGGCGAACAAGTTCCAGCTCATTCGAATTTTCAACGATCCAGAAAGCATGATCGAATGTGATCACGTGATAGTTCCGCCTCTGATCAAGGACAAACACCACTTCGACGAGATCGACGCTTTTGTGGACTCCGATTCCGACGTTTACCGGCGCGCAAATCCAAAAGAAGCTGCTTCAGTGTGTGCCCCCTTGAGAGCACTGGACGAGCGCGTTTCAGAGCTTCAAGTTCAGTTTGACGACCATCCCACACTAGTTTCCATTCGCAAAATGACGGCGAAAGTTTTGGAGTTGCCGCTTTTTGCGCCAGTAATTTCGCTTTGCACAGGCATTGAGATGGTGCTTTCCCGAGTCAATGACTGGCATCAAAACGCGCCCAAACGCCTATCTCTGCAAACAGAAACAGATGCTCTTTGGAACATGGTCGTCGAATGGCGAAAACGTGAGCTTCATCAGTGGAAGGCGATCCTGGAGACGTCGATCAATCTCGAAGCACAGAAGTCAAACCACCTCTTTCCTGAAATCTGGAGAGTGGCGACAGCGGAGGACTCAAGCGAGGAAAATATCCGACTCATGTGCACTTCGTTTTTGAGCAGCGCCAACTGCGCCAACTTCGCAAGGCGCATCAGTCTACTTCGCCGCGTCGCCAAAATCGTGGAAAAACCGTTCACGAAACTGCTCATCGAAAATATCTGCTCATTTTACCAACAGTTCATGCCCAACATTTTGAAACAGACAAATGCAGTCAAAAACTCAATCGAGAAAGAACTCAAAGAATTTGTCGCCATTCAGCGCTGGAAAGACATCAACTTCTACGCGAGAAAAGAAGCCGCCACGAAGATCAGACGACAACTCTTCAAATTCGTCAAAAAACTAAAAGAAAGTTTGGTCGACAGGACGGCCGTTGAGCTCTTCAAAGTCGACCATGAATCTATCAGACTTCCACAAGTTCAAAATGTGGAGATTTTCATTCCGCTTGAGAAAAACGAACCTGTGGAATTTTCAGTTGAAGGAGACGTTCTCTCCCAGCATCCGCGAATTATACCCAAAATGAACAACTACTCCAAAGCTGCAACAGCTCGATTCGAGAAGTTCAACGCCCAATTCACTGCCGAAATCTTAGAAACAACTCAAGACATAAAAGAGCGCTTTGATGAGCTCGCTTGCGAAACTCAGAAAATCCCTAGCGATGGCGACCGAGAAAAAAGAATCAAAATGGTCAAGTCTTTGCTTACAAAGAAGCGACGAGCCCTCTTCGATTTATTCTCACTCACGAAAGAGGCCGGTCTCAGCTTCAAACGCGGCCTCAATCGCTCCAGAGAAGAGACAATAATTTCCGACTGGTTTTACATTGAAAGCGAAACTCTTTCCAAAAACCGCCTTGTTCAAAAGTTACTCGATGTGAATGAGGCTAAAAAGCATCCAGACAAAGCGGTTAGCAAAAATGAGTCTGATCGGCTCATCGGCTACACCTTCCACCTTGCAGCAGTTTCCAAGACTATTGCCCAAAACCGAAATTCTCTCGAAAGACAAGTCAGCAAATTAGAACAAATTTACAAAGTCGCAGAAACAGGAACGTTTTTGGATCTGGAAGCTGAATATGGTGTGCTCTCGGGAAGATTATCGAATATGATCTTTGCAATCGCGAATGTATTGTTGTATCTTGATTCTGCCCCCGAAGAGATTTCCACCTCAAGATTGGACATCAACGACGCTCCATCTATCGGAAAACTTACGCTTCCGCAGCTTCGACAAATTCATGATTTCCTTTCTCAAATGAGAAGAAAATGCGAGGAACTGAAAGGAGCGCTTGGCACGAGCGAGACTGACAATCACATCGACCGAGCTAACCGAGTCCGACAGCTGATCCAAAATTATTTCCGACCATTGTACAACAAAGAACTTCCGATACTAGAGGAAGTGCGGCAAATCCACCAAACCTCCAATCGTAGCATAGAAGATCTCAATTTGTTCTTTGCTGCCATTCGAAAACTCGAAGGAAGCGTCTTGATGACAGAGCAAGTGATCAACGAACAGAGCTCGTCCGAGACACGACTTACCGACTGCAGCCAAAAGCTGAACAAGTTCTTTGCCGAAATCACATTTGCTTTCCAGAAACTCGTTAAAATCCAGTCAGAAGGAGGGGCGCCAGAGAAGTTATTTCAGCAGCAAGGACTTTTGGCAAATATGCTCGAGTCCTTCACCCTCTCAAATGACGTGTTTTCTAACTTTTGCGAGTTTTTCAGAAGCGTTAACGGAAATTGCCCCGAGTTGTCAGTTTTTATCACAAGCCTTGTTCATCCTTGGATTCAACTTTCCAAGTCGATGCTTTCCTATTTCAAGCAAATGGAACAGTTTAACTTTGCCTTGCTAGATCAGCTTACAACTATCTCTTTTCTCGTGCTCAGCCGCGGTTTTTGTCTCCCCGAAGACATTGCCGACGATGTTTTGGAGCAAGAAGGCGAGGAGATCGGCGGAGGCGGCGCTGGCGGAGGGGAAGCCGGTACAAACGATGTCACTGAAGAATTCGACGAAGAAGACCTTGACGATCCTCTTCCAGGCGATTCTAAAGCCGAGAGAAATGAGAAAGACCAAGATCGAGGTGAAGGAATCGACATGGAGAACGGAATGGACGATGCCGACGATGTAGAGGATGTCGAAGATCAAGACGAGAATGAAGCTCAAGAAGAAGAAGAGGAACCCCTTGAAGATGAAATGGGCGACCTCGGAGACGAAAATCTGGCTGATAAAATGGACGAAAAGGTTTGGGGTGACGAAGACGATCGAGACGAGATCGAGGAAAACAAAGAAAATAGAGAAGAAGACGGAAAGGGCGACGAGCGAGAGCAAACTCAGGTAACTATTATTTTTGAAAGAATCCAGTCTTGTTAACTTTTTTAATCTTAAGGAGCTTCAAGCGAAAGATGATGGCCTAGCGGATGGAGCTGACAACGAAAAAGATGAAACGCTTCCTGAAGCTGAACCAGAAGAAAACGGCCCGGAAGAAGGCCCATCCGATGAAGAATTGGACGATCAGGGGGATGAAGGGATCCTAGCTTCTGCTGAATCTCCCACTTCTAGCGTAGTTTGCCTGCTCTCTATATCTGGACGAGTGAAGAAAACGAGTAAAGTATCTTTGACGTCTGTATTTCGAGCTGGAGTAAAATAGAGGTTAATTCACGAACTGCGTGAATTACCGAATGGAGAGAAATACACGGCGGCGACCGAGCAAAGCTCGATCTAGATAAGCAAGTGACCTTAGGGGACGAGGGAGTCTAACGAATCTAAGATCCCAATACCCCCATGAGACTGAAACGTCCTCTAAGGCCAAAGTGTGTGATTTTTGCAGGAGTATAAGCGTAAGATGAGTAACATGGCAGGTTCGAAACGTCGAGGCAGTCTGATTCGCGTTAAAAACCCTTTTTGGGAAAAAGCTTGAATCAGATGCGAAGTTTTCGTGATGTCCGAGCGGTGATGACATGAAGGAGTAGCTGCACATGTAGAAGAACTCAAAATACGTCGGCGACGGTAAACTGTGATAATTTCCGTACCTTTTCAGGCCCCGGTCGATGAATAGGGGACCTGAGTGGGGCAGTACTTGCGCTTAGTCGTATGACTGACCCGAGTTTGTGCCGATGTTTAGAGGTTCGACGGGCCTCGTTTCACGGTGTGCTCGTTTTGTATGTTTCGGGAGATGAGCTGCTCCAACTTCGGTTAAAGTCGCATTCGGATCGGCGCCGGCTGAGTATTGACGATCTGGTGAAGACTTTGGACGGGTTCTTTTCTTGCTGTTTTCAGTTGCTGAGCCCTCAACTACTGTTGAATTTTGTTTATCGACTGACATATGGCTATTGTCGGGCGCAGCAACCTCCGAAATCACTGTAGCATCAGCTGACATGTCCTCGGCAGTTTCATAAAGAGTACCACCAGAGTACCAGCGATCTGACGGCTCGGCTGGAGCTACCGACGAGTCCAAAATAGATGTAGCGGTTGTATCTCCCAGATTTTCCATGTCCAATCGGCGTCTACTTTCCAAAATAGGTGATAGAGATGATCTTGGCGGTTTTTCCATAGCAACCATCGGAGTCGACGCGACCTGAGAAGATTTCCTCCCCCATGCGACTTCGACCCGGACTTTTCCATCGGTTTGGAAGTAGGAACAGGCGATTTTGTGGGACTTTCGACTTAACGATTTCGGTTAAATGTGGGAATACGTACTCGGCCTCGTAGTAATCAATCCAGCGTAAGTCGTGATTTCGTTCTGCGGCGTGAACCACGTGTTCTCGATGGATGAAATCACGTTGTCCTTTTTATCTTCGACCATGACGACCCAGTCGTTGCTCGAAACGGCTTTCAGGGGACCTACCCAGCGTTCCTTCTTGCTTTTAGCGTCGGTCAGGTTTTCTCGCTTAATGTACACGACAGCGCCAGCGGGATTGGTCTCGGCTTAGGCTCGTTTTTCAGCCTGTGCTCCATGGCTCGGTCAGCAGCTTCCATCGCAGTTTTCACAATGGCTTCCGCCGATTTCGCTAAAGCTCCAACATTGAGACCAAACACCTGAGGTGTTTCCGCTGTCATTTCTGCGCCAGTAGAGTGGGTGAAAGTACTTTTTCGGCCAAACCAAACTTCTCGCGGTGAAATTTTCGTGCTTTTGTTTTTCACACTATTGAGCGCGCGCATCACGTGGGGAACGCAGTCGGCCCAAGTTTTTCGACCGGAAGATGAGTTGACCATGCAGAATAGACTGTTTTTGATAGTCCGATTCGCTCTTTCTGCGAAAGCGTTTGATTGAGGGTGAAATGCGGTACTTATTGTATGTTTTATCTGGTTAAGCTTACACATTTCGTCAATCACGCTTGCGCAGAAGTGGGTACCTCTGTCACTGTGTAGATGTTTCGGCAAGAAATCCATGGGAAGGAAGACCTTGTAGATGAGCGCTTTTGCAGCGCGGATAGCAGTGTCGGACCGCGTCGGAATGCACCAAGTGTAGCGAGAGAAAGTGTCCGCCACCACCAAATAATACTTGAATCCGCCAGCGGGAGGCATACAAGCGAAATCGATCTGAATCGATTCGCCAGCTGTTTTTCCACGACGAAGGGTTCCAAGTGGCGGTTTGGTACGAGTTCCAGCAGATCCTTTTCTGCGTAGGCAAGGGACGCAGCTGTGGACGTAGTTAGAAACATCGTCTTGAAATGAAGGCCACCAAACGTCCTCTAATCGCTCTAAAGTCCGCGGCTCGCCCAGATGACCGGACAAGTCGTGAGCTAGAAAGAGAAAGTGACTTTTTACCGCTTCCGGTACCACCGCCCGCGCGCCAGATTTGAATTGACACATCAAGCACCCGGTAGTGTTATCCAGGAACAGAGCTTTTTCCATCTTGAGTAGAGACGATTGTCGGTGGTCGGAGTCCTTCACCAGCGATTTTATGTCCAGTGGCTCCTTACCAGATTCCAGAAAAGTGATGATTGCACTCAGAGCAGAGTCCTCCCTTTGATAGTCCAGAATGTTATTATAATTCGCTGACACCAACGGAATCTCCATTGGCGCCGCGATAGCCTTGACGTTTACCTTATGTATCTTCACCTCTGATAAAGTGATTTTCTCCGGAAACTGATTTTCGTTCCAGAAAGGGACGAAGACACGTACTGGTGAATTCTTGTCGATTTCGTACTCGCGACCAACGGGAAACTCAGAGTCGTATCCAAGTGATTTGTCGTCCTCGCCAGGTCTGCGGCTCATAAAATCGGCGAATTGATTTTCTGATCCCTTGATGTAGACAATGTGAAAATCGAATTCTTCCAATCGGCTTTGCCATCGGCTTATTTTAGAATTCTTGAACTTCTTTTTGTGTAGGAAGATCAAAGATCTGTGGTCTGTGTGAATCTGAAAGAATCTACCTTTCAGGAGCTTTTCCAGTCGCTCGCAGCACCAGACAATGCTAAACATTTCCTTTTCTGAAGTGTTCCATTTTCTTTCAGCTTTGTTGAAGGTGTGGGAAATCGCGCTTACTAGGTGCACTCTCCCGCCATACTCTTGTAGCAGAACACCACCCGCTGCGTACAGGCTCGCGTCTGTGTAGAGGTGAAAAGACTCGTCAAAGTTAGGAAAGCTTATGACAGGAGTCTCGGAGAGTCGTCGTTGAATTTCCTTGAGCGCCAAATCCGCTTCTTTGGTCCACTTGAAACAATTTGTTTCGTTCGCCGAATTTCGAACATCGTTTATGGGTTTCATTCTGCTCGAGAAGCAACCGGATGAAATAGCTTCGCCCATTTTTGTTTCTAGAAAACCTCGGATCCAATTCAATGACCCGATTAATGAAGCTAACTCCTTTTGGGAGCGTGGGGGTTTCATCTGACGAAGGGCGGAGACTTGCGCAGGGTCCGGTTTGATTCCTTCTTCGTTGATGATTCGGCCCAAAAGTGAGCTTCTGATTGTAGGAAAGAGCACTTTTCGCCCTTGAGTTTAGCGTTAAACTTGCGGAGCGCGATGAATAGGTTTCGGAGAGTGTTGTAATAGCAGCTGAAAGACTTCCCAAAACATACTATGTCATCGATATAAGAAAGCATCTTCTTCCTGGTGGGGCTTGAGTCGAGAATCGTGTTTACGACGCGCGAGAATATATTCCCCGAGCATCGATAACCGAAAGGTAATCTGCAGAAGGCGTAAGATTTCCCACCCCACTGGAAGGAAGTCTTATACCTATCGCTTTTCTTAATAGGGCACTGCCAATATCCGCTCCGCAAATCAACTGTGGCGAAATACTTGTTGCCCGGTCCAATGTTCGCGATCGTATCCTCCATGCTCGGAAGATGATATGGGTCGGATTTGTCGGAGAGGCATTTGTTCAAGCTGTTCTTGTAGTTGATGCAGAAGCGCATTTCCCCAGATTTCTTAGGGATTGGCAGAACGGGGCTATTAAACCCTTTCTGGTCCTTGATCTCTTCTATTATTTTCGTATCGAGCAGTTCGGAGATGTGATCAGTGACCTGGCCATGAAAAGCTTGCGGAATAGGGTGTTGACTGATGTTTCGACTCGTACCATCAGTCGGGATTTCGATCTCGAATGGGAATTCACCCATTTTTGACCGTCGCAGCCGAATCTGTCGTCGAAATCCAAACACAGCTCGGCGACCACCTTCTTTTGCCCCGGGTCGGCGTTTGCTGGTAGGGTAATTCCGAGTTTTTGCTTCGCTAGCTGAATGGGGCACCTGGCTGCGTTCTTGTTAGGTGCGTCCAGCTTTGGGACTTTTGGTGGCGGTTGAGTGCGGGATCGATCGCTATCCTTGACCGCTGATCTAGTAGTCAAGTATTTCTTGATTTTGGTCCGCTTCACTCCGTCCAGCTTCACCACTTGAGTCTCAGTTTGTGTGAAGGCTTCGTTGTAGCAAAATGAGAGAGTACGATTCTTATTGTCGACTGTGAAGCTGTCCGTCATCGCATTCTCTAGTATATCGCGGCCCAGTAGACTTGGGTATTTACTGCCTGGCATAATGGTGAGATTCAGGGAGAATGCAGGGCCACCATTGAATGATAAGCGGCAGGGAAGGATACCCATCGGCTGCTCGGCGGGAATATTTGGGCTGAAACCGGTGACCTTGAAGGGACAGGGCTTCAGCATCTGGAGAAATTCGTCGGGAACGTAAGCAGCGGACAGACAGGAGGACTCGGCTCCGCTGTCGACTTCCATCGATACGTCAAAACTTTTAGAGCCCGTAATGATGGTAGCCGAAGCGAAATAAGCCTTTCCTGGTCGCTTCTTCTTCACTGTGTAAAAGTGAACGTCGAATGGTTGGAAATCTTCAACGTTCTTAGTCGTATTTATCTTCTTGGATTCTGGTTGTTTATCGTCTTTCCCATCCTTAGAATCGTTGCTGGCGCGCTTAGCATTCTTCTTCTTTTTGTTCTTATTTCTGTTGAAGTGCTGGGAGACGGTCGCGCTGTCAACTCGATTCTGTCTTGTGGATTGGGCGAGACGGCAGAGTTCGTTGATATCGTAAACTTTTGATAGGCTTGGAAGGATTGCGTTGAAAACGTCTGGTTCTTCTTTCCTAAGATTCAAGTACAGCATCATCGTCGAGAATATGTCAAATATTTCATCGACCCCGGCGTCGGCTGACTTCTCTTGTCGGTAAGAGTTCAAAGTCGCTTGCTTCGCCTCGTTCATCTTTTGCAAGACGTTGGCGGTGTAGTGTGCAAACGGCTTCGAATGGTCGTATTCGACGTCGAAAACTTCGCTTAGCTTCAGTAAGTAGTGACTCTTCGCGGCGAATGATTTCTCTAGCAGCGCCTTGGCCGATTTCCAGTCTTGACAATTCAGAAATTCGGTTCCAAGTGAGCGTTCGATGTTCAAGTCGAAGTGGCTGTACACTGCTGCGATGAAAGGCTGTTCACGTGAAGGTCTGTCGCGGACGTAGGCGCGGTGATAAATGTCGGCTCTGCCCAAGAAGGTGTTGAAAGATGTGTTGCATGCGGCGTCCAGCTTCGGCAAGTCTTGGACGTGACGAGACCAGGTAGTGGCCACCCATGCTTCTTCTCTCATTGTCGCATTCGTAGAGTCTTTTCCTTGATCGAGCTCGCAGGTAAGAAGCGTTGTACTGAGCTGTTCTAATTTTACTCTGCTTTCTGTGATCAAGGGCTCTAGGCTTGGCTTTAGTGATTCGTCATTTCGCACTTGTTCTTCGAGGTAGTTTACTCGATCGTTTATGCTTCTTATTTCGGTGACGGTTTCTAGCAGTGATTTGTTCGCCGCCATAGCTCGAAATATATCGGCAGTAAGGGTTTATGGGCCTTGGATTACCTTTCAGGCCCTCAGAAAATACTGCGACTAAAAGTCGCAATATGATGAGCTGAGGTGCCTTTTGCGCAAACGCCCGACGATTTCTCTGTCCAGCGATTGTCGAAATTTCAAGGTCTGGTCCAAGGGTCGATTCTTCGTAAACTTCTCTCGATTTTTGGTGAAAAGTGGCGAAAGAATTATGTTTTTCTCAGTATTTTAGGTTTTCCCCGGCGTGCGTGCGTGGTTGCGTGGGCGCGACTTTCGGCGCGTGGGTCGTGGTGGCGCTCGTGCGGTGGCGCTCGCTCGGGGTGGTGTTGGTGTGGTGCGGAAAATTCTCTGAGTGGAGTTTCTCCGGCGGCGCGGTGGCGGTTGGTGATTCGGTTCCCCTCGACTCCGCTGACGGCCAATCAGCGTCCAAGTTGCGAAACTTCGGTTGTCGATGGCGGAAAAATTTATCTTTTCTCCAACGGGACTACTCTGATACCACTGAAGGGATCCTAGCTTCTGCTGAATCTCCCACTTCTAGCGTAGTTTGCCTGCTCTCTATATCTGGACGAGTGAAGAAAACGAGTAAAGTATCTTTGACGTCTGTATTTCGAGCTGGAGTAAAATAGAGGTTAATTCACGAACTGCGTGAATTACCGAATGGAGAGAAATACACGGCGGCGACCGAGCAAAGCTCGATCTAGATAAGCAAGTGACCTTAGGGGACGAGGGAGTCTAACGAATCTAAGATCCCAATAGGGATCAGCAAGACGAGTCAGAATTCAACGCGGACGAACAAGCGCAGCCGCCCCCTGAGAACTTCGAAACAGAAGCACCAGAAGTCGACGATGTTGATTTCGAAGAAAAAGATGACGGTGAGAATCAAGACGAAGAATCAAAGCAGGATGATGATGATGGGATCGAACTTGACGATGCTCCGCCTGAAGGTGAGTTTTTAATTTGATTTTCATTGCTGAAGATTTTTTTAGGAATGAGTGATGCAGAGGGCGAAGAAGAAAACACTGATAACAACGAAAATAGCAAAGAAAATGAAGATCAAGAAGAGGAAGAAGATGCGGATGAAGGCGGAGACAAAACAGAAAACGCTGATGATGATCAGGAAAAGATTTTAGATTTACCCATTTTTGATATTCATTATTTTGAGTCATGGTTTCAAATCTCATGAAAAGACAACTGAAGATGATTTGAACAAAGATATTTCTGCTCCTCGTAAAGGCGAAACACCAATGGCCGAAAATCAGCAGAACCACGAGAGAGCAGCGGAAACTTGCGAAGCAACTGATATGGAGCAGGACAATGGAGATAACACTGGAGGCGAAGAGGCTTCTGGAGATCAGACTGGCGCATCGGAGGACAAATCTGATGGAACCAAAGGCAATCAGCAGACACAGGGTAACCTTTTTCTCCTTATCTTTGTTAATAATTCAAATTTTATGTTTAGTTGAGCGGCCAAAACCAAAAAGAGGCGATGAAAAATCATCAGATTCAGCTGAGCTGGAAAAACACGAAACAAAGGAAAAAGAGTCCCAAGTGGAAAATAACGAAGAGGAGCCAGAAACTGGAGTTGAATTCGAGCGTGACAACGCTGCGAAAAAAGAAGTTCTTGACGAAGCAGAAGAAGGAACTCGGGAACAAATCGAACGGATGGAAATCGAAGATGGGGAAAAAGAGCAAAAAGAGGAGCCGATGGAGGTGGAGCACGAGCCAAACTCGAAGCTTGAATCGAAGTCCGGTGAGAAAGTTGATGAGGAAAAGGTCAAACATTCGGAAAATGACGAAGACGAGAGCAATGAAACGGGAAATGAGGATGTCGAAATGCAGGAAGACAAGGAAGAGAGGGAGAATGTTATTATGACGAATCATTTGCAGAAAAGCTCGTTGGAGAAAAAGATGCGCGACTTGGAGAGCATCGAGCGTCACATCCCCGAATTGATCGGAATGAAGCCAGCTGGTGAAGAGGCGCAAATGGCGTGGAGAGGAATCAACATGCTCCAAGCGTCCCAAGCGCAGAGACTGGCGGAACAGCTACGCCTCATTCTTGAGCCGAAGAAAGCTTCTGCACTGAAAGGTAAAATTTCGTTAGTTACATTTCTTTACAATTGAATCAGGTGATTACCGAACTGGAAAGCGGCTGAACATGCGAAAAGTAATTCCGTACATCGCCTCCCAATTCCAAAAAGACCGTATTTGGCTGAGACGCACGAAACCGCGAAACAGAAATCACCAAATTGTGCTTGCTCTCGGTAAGGATCCAATTATTTTGTCAGAAATAACAGTTTGATTTCAGATGACTCGGAAAGTATGATCGACAACAAATCCAAAAAGCTGGCTTTCGAGTCACTGGCGTTGGTTTCCTCGGCGTTGAAGCTAATTGAAATCAAGAATTTGGGCGTTTTTCGCTTCGGTGCTGAAACAGAGTGCATACTTCAACTGGGTGACGAGTTGAATGACCAAGTAGGCACGGTTCTTTATCTTATCATAAATTTAAAAGAAGTAAGAATTATCAACGAAAAATTATCGGTAAAAAAAGATAAAAACCGTTATAAAGGTGGACATATCATCAGCCGCTGCACATTTGAGCAACAAGCCACTGACATGGTGAAAATGCTGGATTTTGCTCGGAGGAGCTTCAGAGAAGCGGACAGCGAAGGGGTCGCTAGCAAATTGCTGATTGTGATAACAGACGCGCAAGGCATTTTCAAACAGGGTCGGGAAGCCGTGGCCGATCAAGTCAAGCTTGCTCGCCAGCGAGGAATGATGGTGATGCTTGTCGTTGTTGACAATGGCGAAAAATCTATTACGGAAATCAGGGTAAGTTATTTTGGATCAGGAATTACAAATGTAATGAATCAATTTCATCGCTGTTTTCAGTCGGCAACGTTCAAAGATGGAAAAGTAAGCTGGAAGTCTTACCTTGACGATTTCCCTTTTCCCTACTATGTGATCTTGCGGAATGTGGAGAGGCTTCCGGAAGCGATCGCGAATGCGTTGCGGCAGTGGTTTGAAATTTTGGAGTCTGAATCTTGAATCTGGATTTCAAAACTATCGATGATGGAAAACGAGCGCTGCTGGGCTCAGAAGACTTTTATATCACTAGAAGATATTTTAAACTGTACATATTCCGTATTTATTGATATATTAAAGTGAACTAGCCCTGCTTAAATTTTTTTTAATTTCTTCGAATAGGCATGCTTTTTGAATGCAACCACCGCAGGTAAATGATAAGAAAAACATCTTAGAATGTGATAATTAATAATATATTGAAATGATTCGCTTGATATGCAATTAAAACTGAGGATAATAGGGCAGTGCTCTGGAGCATAGTGGTGAAAATGGGAATGGAGTGATAGGAGCTCGGAATCCTGGGAAGAAGTATTCATATCGTGTTGTCTGCTTGGCATAGGCTCCATTCGTAAATCCAGGAATTGGGAAGTAGTTGACCACCTCGTGAATCGACTCGTGGGGAGAGCTGAGAAAAGGACGAATATTTTCATCGAGGAGTGCATACAGGGCGTCCGCTTCATCCGATGGGTCACTTGCCTCGCACTCGTTCGAGATTTTATCGTCGTTGAACGAGAGGGCTTCTTCGCCGCTGTCTTGAGTGTCTGGGATGGACTGAAAGTTTCCATTGGGTTTATAATTAAAATAATGAAGTTACCTTTTGTTCGGTATTGAGCTGATTCGCAACCAAAGATGCTTCCAGAACGGGCAGCGGAGCTTCATCCTTTCCGATCGGCAATGCTTCAACGTCGACATCGGGGCAAGGGTCGGTTGTTGCAGGAGCGGAAATCTCGACTTTAGTGGTGATCTGGTCCACCTGCGCGCTGGTTCCAAGATTTGCAGTCTCATCTGGCTGAGTTGGCGAGGTCGCATCGAGCTACAAAAATAATTAAAGTCGTATTTATGGTTGATGAATTAAGTCGAGCATTATGCTGCATAATTAATGTTTACCGGTGAAAGAGCAGGGAGAGAACCAAGAATTTCCTTGAAGGAGACATCAGGCCGAGGAGTCGATGTTGGCACTCCCTTCAATTGTTCAAATCCGTCGAATGACATCTCTGCTTTGAAGCTAGCGATGAGCTCTTTCTTTCGATTCTTGGGTTTTGGAAGCACTTCTGAGACGGATGAGTTGATCGTATCATTCACGGTAGTCTCGTGGCCGGGTAAAGTCGAGCTGGTAGTCCCGTGAAGTAACGTCTCATCTTCCCTTGCTCGTTTCCGAAAACGGCCATTTTTGTAAGACGGTCGTACCCAATTCTTTGAATCTCCTGTAGCAGCTCTTTCATTTTTAAACCAGTTAGATATCTGCCTCAACGGCTTGTCGAAGTGACTCGCGATTTCACGTCTAGCTTCAACATCCGGGTATTTGTCTTCATTTTCGTAGTACTTCTTGAGGTAGTCCTTTTCGTAGTTGGTGAATGTGGCTCGCTTTGGCTTTCCGGTCATGATGCTGATTTGATTTAATCTGATTTCCAAGAAGAAAGGTCCCACTTTTGTATCATCTGGTGCTCGATTGATGGCGCTATTCCAGGAGTGGACTCGGTGGGTGAGCGCGGTACGGTTTTCGCCAAAAAGGGCACCTGTGCGCTGTTAGTTGACATGATATCAGTGATGTCCTGCTTTGAACGATTAGTTTAACAGCGCAATGCAACTGCAAAACACTGTCGCAAAAATTCAAGCTAAAATAATTTATGCAGTTTTCGTTTATTCAGATGAGAAATTGTATTTTTCGGTAGCAACGCTTTTAGTGAGTTAGAAAGACAATTGATATAATAAGCGTATTCTTATAAGTAATTACTTGCGCGGGGATGAATGGTCCATTTTTGCAGGGATGAGTAACTTTCGATTCCATCTCAACCCGGGGGCATAGCGCTGGTAGCCCACAATTTTTCACTGTCTCACTGCGGTTTTTTGCTTGCGAGAGCTGATTTTACACTAGAATTACAAGCCAACAGATAATTATCAACAAGAAAGAAGCCCAGAGACTGAGAAGATGGGGAAAACGTCGCAGAAAATGTTCAATATTTTGAGCACAATTGAATTTCTAATTCTGGGCGCTAGTTTGGGCCTTTCTATTTACATATTGACGTTGGCGCCAACAGTTGATAATGTCTTTTCAATTGTCGTTGTTGCTTTTACTGGGTAAGTTTTAGTTTTAGAAAAATTCAACCTTCAAACTCCATCTAGATTTGGAGTTATGGCCACACTTATCGGGGCGTTAGGAGCATGTGCAGAATCGCGTTGCCTTTTGAAGCTGAACGGAATGATGGGAATCATTTGTTTCATTTTATTTGCGATCATTGCTGTTCTTTCCGGGCTTTGGTACGGCGGAATCGATATCGTTCCAGGTAATATAATGATTACAAAGAGAAGCTGGCTTATGCAAGCACTTTTTAGAGTTTGATGTTGGGAACAAAAACTTTACGGAGCTATGTGCTAATTTCAACGAAACTGAGTTTGAAAAGACGCAAAACGACATTTTGTTGGAAGAAATCAGCAAGAACTTGGAAGATAATGAAGTTATCGATGAGGCCTCAGAATCAACCGTCACTGAGGCGGTTGCTGATGCCCAAGTTCAAGAACCAACAACAACAACTGTCAGCACGATCACAACTTTGAGCACAACGACAGAACTGGAAGTCGAAGAAAAACAACTTGATGTCGGCGATTCGTCAGTAACAACAACAACGTCGAGCGATAGTTCTACCGTCAGCACCACAACTTTATCAGATGAAGCCGGGGATGACAAACCTGTTGATAATAGACTTTTGTATTACTATTGTGAACTTGAAGGTAATCATTCAAAGTTTAACAAACCTCAATAAAAAATTAGGTTTTATGCTGGAAATTATGTTCGGCCGCGCTGATCCAAACTCCGATTCGGACTCCGCCAAAATCATGCTCGCCATACTTATCATATCCTGCTGCGTATCTGTATTTTATCTTCTTTCTTCATGCTTAGCTTTTTATGCCGCCAAAAATATCGACCGCTACAGTGGCTACTAGCTGTAGTTACAGTCGATATGAGCTTGCACAAATATATCTCATTTAGTTCCGAAAAATATATGTTTTTTTCTGTACTTTTCTTTGCATTTCAATGTTAAAACCCAGCTTTACTTCCTCTTGTATCATTTTTATCAATAAACTCAATGAACAAAATACAAATCATCTCTCAAAGTGGTAAAAGAGCAAAATATTTTATTCACATTATGTCAGACAAGGCAGAAAAGAATTGATTCGTTATTTTTTTTTTGCATTTTTTGTTTTTTAAAAGATGTTCATTCCAGCCAATTTGGCATCGGAGGGTTCTCCACCTGGTTTGAGCTCGTCCAAAATAGCAAAGACAGCAGCTCTAAGGTCGCCCATGTTGACTTCCTTTGGCGCTCCGACTGGACCAGGGTTTCCAGGCATACCGGGAAGACCTCTTGGTCCCGGCTGACCTCGTTGACCAGTTGGACCGTTGTCACCAGTGTCTCCAGAGGCACCAGGGGGACCCTTGATACCTTGTTCTCCTTGAGGTCCTGTTACTCCTCGCTCTCCATGAGCACCAGGTCGGCCCCAAAGACCAGGTTCACCCTTGGGTCCGACAACACCGGGGGTACCATCTTTTCCTGGAAGACCTGCGGGTCCCTCGGGACCTGCTGCACCTTGAGCGCCAGGCTCTCCGTCAGCTCCGACGTCACCATCTTCACCAGGTGGACCCTTCTCACCAGGAACACCAGCTTGACCAGGAGCACCAGGACAACCGGTCGGGAGGGGGCACTGGCATTCGCAGTGAAGCGACTTCTGTGGTGGCTCTGGGCACTGGCTCTGACAAGAGTCAATGACGTCATGGATGGATCGCGCATCGTTGTACTCGTAGATGTCGTTGGAGTCGTTGTTGAGCATAGTCATAATTTCTGCTCGCTTGGAGCACTGTTCGACCTTTCGTTGGAAGTTCGATTTTTGGCACTCTTCGATGGTTTTGAACTCTTCACCTCGTGTAACAGCGTGGAGCTCAACATCTGATCCAAGCTGACGGAGCTTTTGTTGAACGTCTCGTGGCTCGACGCTGGGATGGTTGTAACCGTCGGCAACAGTGACAAGGACTTTTTTGCTGTTAGGTCTGGCCTTGTTGAATTCAGAGATGGCTTCATCAAGACCGTTGGTGACGTAGGTTCCCTCGGCGACAAAGTTCTCTGGGGACATTCCCTCGATGGCGGATTTGATGTCTTCGATGTTGTCAGCGAAAGAGATGACAGTCTCTTGGGATTTTGAGTATTGCACGATGGAGATTCGTGCCTCCTCGCTGCTCACGCCGATTTCCATCTTGATTTTAAATTAAAACTAAGTTTGCAAAAAATAAACGTACATGGAATTTCTTCGCCAAAGCTTCAACGTAGGACACAACACCCTGCCAGATATCCCATCCGCAAGAGCACACATCAATCATGATGACAACGTCCAGATCGCACTTTGGAGCTGGCTCTTGTTGGCAATCACAAGTGCATCCTTAATAAAATCGTTAATAATTTTCCACGATTTTTTTGCAAGTACCGTCTTCTTGTTGCATAACAGCAGAGCATTCCTCTGGTGGCGGGCAGATTGGAACCTCTGGAGCCTCACATTCGTCATCTCCGTAGTTGATCTCAGGCTGTTCAGGTCTTGGACCTCTGTCTTGGACGGGCATGTCTTTGTAAGGATCATCTCCCATTGGCAGTTCATTGAAGTTGATGGTTGTTCGCCAGTTGTCCTGTACGCGATTGACTCTCTGTCGACGGGATCCTCGTCGGAAAGCATCGCCTTCTTCTACCAAAAGGGCAGCGAGAAGACCCTGAAAAACATTAATCCCTCATCTGAATAAACTAAGAGTTACTACCTTGAACAGCTTCATTCTCTAATTTTCCGAGCTTCTGAGCTTGAGCCGGGCAAGGTTACGAGTGAAAGCGGCTTTGAAGTGAGCCGGATGAAAACATTTCTGAGATCGTAAAGCCAATTTTAGTACCAGCATCAACCTGCCAACATGCCGATCTGTCATTATTCGGACGAAAAGCACCAATTAGTCAATCAACATAAAAAATGAAAACGATGGTATTTGAACTTCTTCGGCGCTCGAACTTACTTGCTCATCGATAAATTTATTCTTATTCACTGATGAGTTCTTTTCTGCAGCAAAATGAATAGGAATAAGTCTAGGAAAACTAACAAGGCAAAAATAAAGTCATTCATAATTATTTATTGCTCATCTAACATCGCATGTGCAGTATCTTGGCAATTATTTCTCAGAGCGCAGATACGAGAATGATCAGAAGATTCGCGGTGCTCATTTTTGCTTTTTCTAGCGCCTTCAGAAATGACAGAAAAGATTACACAGAATTTGCTTTCCGTGCGCAACTAACGATAAAAATCCCAGAACAACTCCCGGACCAGGACCTTGTCTCTACGACTGAGCCAACAACTTTGATGACAAAAATTGAAGAAGAAACGACAAATAAAGAAAGCGAATTTGTTTCAACAACTAAAGACGTGGGGAAAGATGATTATTTTTTCATTTTTGCTCAAAAGCCACAACCGGTCTTAGGGTGGCCAATCGAATGGAAAACTATAGAAATGAGCTTCATCATGTCAGCTGAAGGAAATTTTGTCGATGATCGAAAGATTAACGTTCCACCTTCTGATTCTGTTTACGGCTACACCGGAGGAAGCGTATGGTCATTTGTGAACGGAGAAGTTTACATTTTTGGCGGACTGGATGATCCGAAGTCTGAAGATCTCCTAGAAAATACGAAGAAGATTTCAAAGTTGGAAAATTGCGAGATACGTAGGACAAATAAGCAGCTCAAATTCGCAGTAAGTGGCGTCTCATTCATCATGGAGGTCCAAAATAAAGAAGGATCCAGAGGTGAGCGGAAGTTTTCTGCGAAACTATCAGTAAAAATTTGTTAATTAGCGCTAATTTGTGGCCATCAAAATCAGTGCGAAGAGTTTGATGGGAACTCTTCATCGCTAACACCACCACTAAAATATCAACATGCTGGAGGTTGTCTAGCTTATTATGATTCTTATCCGACTATTGTTGGTGGTCAAACATGGTGGGGATGGGGAAAGAAAGTTGAATCTCTAACTGGGCCTGGATGGGTGGAACTTACTTCTCATAAAAGGCAATAAACGAAGATTAAATAGTGAAAAAAATGAATTACAAGGAACCTGCATTCTCCCGGATGCATCAGCTTAGAGGGAACACTTTTGACTGTTGGTGGCTATATTTCGAATGATGACTACGTCGACGATGTTTGGAGGCTCAAAAATTCCGAGTGGTCGCTTTCTGGACATCTGAACCATGTTTACTTTTTTATTCTTCGGAACAAGTATTGAAATAAAATTTAGGCTGTTGGGTACAACACACTTTTGAGCCATGGAAACTGGGTCTACTCTTTTCCTGGGTTTGTCTCGTCAGATCGTCAGAACAAGTTTGCAGTGGAAAAATTTCAGCTTGTCGAAGACACTGTTATCGCAGAGAGCGTGAAGTTCTATGGTGGTGACAAGGCGTTCGAATATCCATTTCCTCTAGTCTTACAAGTACCTCTTGACTTCTGTTTGTAAATAAATTATTCTCAACAAATTTATGACTTTGATTCTTCAGATATTCCTTCATTTCAAAAAAAACATTTCCATGCTGTAGAATAGCCTAATCTGAATCTTTCAAGCAGAAAAAGATGTGCCTTGACTGTGGATCGAACACAGGACCTTCAGATCTTCAGTCTGACGCTCTCCCAACTGAGCTATCAAGGCGAAGGATATGGCCAGTACGGGGATCGAACCCGCGACATTCGCGTTATTAGCACGACGCTCTAACCAACTGAGCTAACCGGCCTGGAGAAGGGCGCAATTATTACGCTACTTATTCGACTTTTTTACGTAAACGAAAAAATAATCAAAAATTTGTCCAAATTTTATGCTGGCGTCTTTGATTTTCGCTATTTTGTCAAATGACAATGGCAATTTTGGTCAAAGAAAGAGAAAGTCTCAATTTTGAAATCTGGAAAGCCCGAATTCTCCGCGCGCCGCGATTGGTGCGAGGGAGAGATGAGCCATTTTTGGTGCGTTACTCAAAGTGACAAAAGCTTGCGCCATCGAGAATGTTCTGTCATCGCTTCAGTTTCAATTTGCCCCCGTGAATCATCACTGATAAAAACCCCCTGTTTCCCACTGCACTGCAAGACTTATTGAGTTCTTTTCATTCGAGAAAAAAGAGAAAACTTTTTAGATAAAAAAAGCAAGAGAATCTGATCATGGAAAGTGATGCGAGACCGCCAGATGATGGCGGAGGGAAACCGCAAACTAAAATGAAAAACAATCGTATGTAAAAAATAATTATTATTCAACTTTATATTCAAACTGAAAATATCATTATTTTTTCTTGACTGAAAGTACCCTTGAGAAGTGAAAAATATTGGTTTTAAATTTTGTCGTTTAGAAAATCGATACTCAAAAAACGGACGAGGCCGTCCAAATTCTGGCGGCAAAAGCGGTCAGAATCAGCGAAATCAAGCTGAAGGCGACAATCAAGGTCGAAATTCCATTCAAAATGAAGGCAGAGGTCAGAACAGAGGAAGCTTTTACAATCGCGGATCGCGGGGTCGAAATTCAAGAGGAAACAAGAATTCTCCCGCCCAGTCGATCGGATTCAATGTGAATGCTCCTGTATTCGTCCCAGGAAGTGTCGAAATGAGGAATCCTCCTGCTCGTGGCGGTGGCAGAGGCCGAGGAAGAGGAAGGGGTGGCTCAAGAGCGATAAAAATTATCGACCCAGAGGTAAAGAAAAAGGCCGGAAAGTTCAGTATTACAAATTTTTAGAAAAATGAAGAAATCAGGATTGGAGCAAAATCTCCTGATGACGGAAAGCCCCAGACTCCTCGCAAAGAATCGAATCGAAACCAAAATCAAAGTAGAAATCGAAATAAAAGTGGGAATCCAGCTAATCGGCCAGCAACCAGGCAGGCGGAACAAGCAGATATCAACGCTCTTGCCGATGGAGTCAGCAAGGTAAAATTTCTTTTATAGATAAATTATCTAATTTTACTCATAGTTGATTTCGAAAAGACACAAGACAAAAATGAACGAAGACCAGCACGAAATCCTCTCCCGAAAGATTCAAAAGAACCTGTTGGAATGCAGTATTTGTTTGGAAAAGATGAAGCATTACGAAAAGGTGTGGCACTGCGGCAACTGCTACAATCTCTTGCATTTGAAATGCGCTACGGAGTGGGGAAAAGCAGCACTGAAAGACAAGAGTACGTGGAGATGTCCGTACTGCCAGAACGAATCTCGCTTCCTTCCAAATCGCTACTACTGCTACTGTGGACGCGAAGAGAATCCGACATCGAGTTACGGTGAATTGGCGCACTCCTGCCACCAGCCCTGCGATCGCCCTCAGAAGTGCCCTCATCGTTGTCCTCTGGAATGTCACCCTGGTGCTTGTCCTCCCTGTAAAGCCACCTCTTTAGCTGAGTGCTCCTGTGGCAAGACAAAAGCGCGTATAAAATGTGGTACTGATCTTCGTTGCGAAGAAATATGTGGAAAAGAACTCGCCTGCGGCTACCACAGTTGCGGGGAAAAGTGCCATCCAGGCTCATGCAAGCCTTGCGAAGAAATCGACCTGCTGGAGTGCGTCTGTGGACGAGTTGAGAAAGAGGTCCCTTGTGGCGTCGAATACGACTGGAGTTGCGAGCAGAAATGCGAGAAAATGAAAGACTGCGGGAATCACCCCTGCGAGCTTGTTTGCCATGAGGGAGCTTGTGAAATCTGCCCGTATACGCCCGAAAGAGTCTCTAGTTGTCCTTGTGGCGCGATACCGGTTTTGCGCAACTCGAGGAAATCTTGTCTTGATCCGATTCCTACGTGCGATGGATATTGCGAGAAAGAGCTGATGTGCGGCCACAAATGCCCAGAAAAGTGTCACGAAGGAAAATGCCCCCCGTGCAAGGTCGAGTTAAAAGTCGAATGCCGCTGCGGACGGACTGGCGATTTACTGGTCAACTGCCACGACTATTTCATGGATCCCAAAGCGGCTCAATGTAAGCGCCCATGTAAGAAGAAAATGAGCTGCGGACGACACACATGCCAGGTCTTGTGCTGTCCAGATCGACTCGACAGCGGACCGAATTCGCATATTTGCACGAAACCCTGCGGAAGAATGCTTCAGTGCGGCACTCATCGTTGCGAACAAGTCTGTCATCGAGGAAACTGCCGGCGATGCTTGGAAGTTTCCTTTGACGAGCTGACTTGCCACTGTGGCCAGCAAGTATCATACCCACCGATTCAATGTGGCCAGAAGCCGCCAGAATGCCAAGAGATCTGCCGAAGGGAGCACAGCTGCAACCACACCGTTCATCACAATTGTCATTCTGATGAAAGCTGCCCTCCATGCACCGTGTTGACAGAAAAAGAATGCAACTGTGGAAAAGAAATACGGCGAAATATTCCCTGCCACTTGAACATTGTCTCGTGTGGACGACAGTGCGGAAAAGAGCTTCCTTGTGGCCACACTTGTCCTAAGATATGCCATGATGGAGACTGTATCACTGGCGAAAATCATGTTTGTCAACAGAAATGCCAGGAAATACGGCCAACTTGTGGTCACATTTGCGCGAAAAAATGCCACACTGGAGTTCCATGCGAGCCCTTCGACTACTGCGAGGTGAAAATTGCACTCAAGTGCGCATGCAAAAGACGAACGCAGAACTTTCTTTGTCCAAAGATTGAACAGATGAAGGCTCACCAGCTAAAGATGATGGCGCAACAAGGTCAAGCCGTTCCTGCGGGGGAGATGATCTTGTCGATTGAGTGTGATGCTGAGTGCGAAGTTCAGGAAAAGCTTTAAAAACAATCAATATATTTTGATAATTTAAAAAGGTGGAAGTTCAATTTTTGAGCTTTTTTAGAGAATAAAGGCTAGGGACGAATTCTTAAAAGCTAATAAGGAACGGAACCGTCAGATTGCCGCTGCTCTTGCGATCGAAAATCCGGTCATTTCATCAATCCCAGAAGTTGTCTATCCAGAGAGCGTTGTTCGATTTGCAACGGAAAGACCCAAACTGGCAATAACTGTCGAAACGAACCTGCGAAGGCTAGCGAAGCAATGCGAAGAAGCACCTGGAAAGGGGATATTTGAGTACAACCTACCACCGATGAATAAGAAGGAACGAATGTTTGTACACGAGCTCTCTGATTTTTACAACATCGAATCTAAAGGTAACTATTTTTTCAATAAATCAACATAAGCCTCATTTTTATCAGGTAGGGGAACGGAGCCGAATCGCCACCTACTCCTTGTTGCTGTAAAAGGGATGACAATCGCCCCACCGAATACGCTTTCAAAGATGCTCAAAATCTCTCCAAGCTCCTATCAATCTACATGGAGTCGACCTGTCGCTAACAAGTTCTATTAGTTCTATCGACGCTGCACTTAATAAAAGCTCTTCAAAAAGTTCAAATTCATGCGATTTTTTATGAAAAATGTTAAGAATTAATGCTTCGTATTGTCGATTTCGGTCCAGATATTCATGACAAAGAATCCAAAAAGGCAGATCAGTACATTTCTCATGGCTCTGCTTCTGAGAGACGAGAAATTCTAGACGGGATCAAGGGATTTTCAATATTTGACGCTGATGATGTCGAGGATCTCGAGAGAAATTGCACATCGATGATTGAGCGAGGGGGCAAGGGAAAATTCAGGGTCAAGTCCATAGGTACATACTATCTTTTCGATAGGAAATTAACCGGAAAATCAGACATTTCTCGATTGCGGATGAAATACTTTTTTGGCCACGGATACGACTACGGCGGGGGCAAAGGATCGGAAAAATTCTTCAATCCAAAGGATATTTCGCCTATTCCAGAATGGATCTATGAAAGCATCATTGAAAAGATGGAAAAGACCGGCATCGTCGACAAGAATTGGATCAACTCAGTCGTCATAAACGATTATGAACCGGGAGGATTTATCGTTCAGCACCAAGACCCACCTCATCTTTTTGAAAGGAAAGTTTAAAAAAAGCTATAAAGAGTCAGCAAAAGGCAAATTTTAATCTTTCAACAGACCGATTTTCATCTTGACCCTCTTCTCCGATTCAGCGTTATCTTTCGGGAACAGGTCGCATTTTTTGTAATCCCCTTTTGAAAACCCATGTTTCAAATCGAGACCAAGGTAAAGCTGCAACTTGCGGTTCGATAGAACTGTCGAGCCAGTAGAAGTGACTGCTAGCGATCCAATTTTGCGCCTTCCCATGCAAAGAGGAATTATAACATCTTTCGAGGGCATGTGTATGAATGAGGTAGGCTTAGCGGACGAATAAGAGAGTGAAGAAAGGTTTAAGATCAAACACTGTGTCCGACCAGTAGACACGAAAGAACGTCGTGTAGCCATTATTCTGCGGCGAATATGCGAAGATGGTCCAGTCCTTGAGCCGCTGACAAATGGCGAAAGCCTGCGTAATTTCGACAAAAAGCTACACAAAAAAGTCCAAAAACGATGCGAGAAGATGCTAGCCTCGAAGATCTTGCCCTATGAAAGGTCTTTCCATCTCGTCGAAGTGAAAAGAGAAACGGAAAAATGTAAAACACCGATTCGCAATTCATGCCATTCATTCATTTCATCTTTCAGCTAAAGCTGCGCCAAAAGAAAAGGTGAAAGAACCTTGGAGAAAACAGCCAAAACCGAAAAAAGAATCAAAAAAGAGGAAAGAAAAACTCAAGAAAAAGGGAGTCGGAACTTTCGAACTGGATCGACCTATTGAAAAGGACGAAAATGACAAACAGTGGAACTTTGGGGTATGTTTCTGCTTCCGGCTTCTATTTTTCCTCAGATATAATTTTCAAGGATTCACCAGAGAGAGTTTCAAAGCGAGTTGAGTGGTCTTCTGATGACGAGCAAAAGGAAAAGAATAAACGAATAGGTAGTGGGCTTAGTAAATCCAAGTCTGAAGAATAACTTTTAGGTAAAACTGGCGACATGGCCGATTTGATCTACGATTTCCATCACCAAGACAAGGATTTACGGGATATGGACATCAAGACTATTGAGCGCAAAGTGTACGACTATTTAGCCATACTTGATTGAACTTTCATTTCTTTTTAGTCACATGCAAAAGAGCAGGAAACAGCGAGGCCGCGAGTTCCGCGACAAAATCAACTCGAAGTTCGGTTTCAAAACCAGCGTTGCCAATTCCGATTCTGATTCTTCCGACTCGTCCGACTCTTCCGAAGAAGTCAGACCCAAAAAGACGAGGATCAGCAAGTTTACGTTCTAGTCATGCTTTCTCTGTACTGCCACTTATTTCTCTTTCAAAATGTTTGTCTGAAAATAGCAAAATATTCCACGCTTTCAAACTCTTGAACTCGTTTTATTTGTATTAAAATATCAGAAACGATGGAAAAGTATGAATTCGGAAGTAAAGATGTTCTCTGGTGTCAGATTGAAAACTGGTACCCGATTTTCAAAAGGTTTTGCCCAAAGACGGAATTCTTCCCGCTTGATAAGGTAATTCTCTGACCACTTTAGTCGCTTGCTGATCTGATTCTAGAGCGCGCTCAACTATCTGAAATCAAATGACAGCATCGTTTTACCAGAAGAAGAGCCTGAACCAGCCGGTCCTCAGCCGGATATCTTCGGTCAAATTGACTCGGATGATGCTTTCTCTGACTGGTCCACGGACGAAGAAGCGGAGTCTGTTCCACACGTGAATCCAGTCCCAGATCTTTGCAGAAAAATTCGCCGGGTCATTGGCGAGCGTGCTAGAAAAGCTGTCGTTCCCAAATTGAACTGGAGTTGTCCCTCTGACGCGCTGCATTTTTCGCCAGATCAGTCGCTTAAATCAGGGATGGAAATATGACAAAATTTTCCAGCGGCACCGGCACGGCACGGCACAACCAAAATACCCGTGCCGCGGCACGGTACGGCACGGCACGGCACAAAATTCAATAATGGGGTGCCGCGGCACCACGGCACGGCACGGCACAAATTTGAGTCATATAAATTATTAATTAAAATGAAAAAAATTAAAGCTGCTAGTGTTCTTATAGAATTTTGACAAGGTTTAAATGAAAACCATAATAAAATTAAAATCTTGGGTAATTTGAATTTTTCAAACAATGGGTGAGGGTGGGGTTGGGGACGTTACAAAGATTGACAGCAATGTTCCCAGCCAATGTCAAGCCCCTTAAATTCAAAAATCAAGGAACGGGGCTGAAACGGCCCGAAGGGCCGTCAAGCCCTTAAATTCAAAAATCAAGGAACGGGGCTGAAACGGCCCGAAGGGCCGTCAAGCCCCTTAAATTCAAAAATCAAGGAACGGGGCTGAAACGGCCCGAAGGGCCGTCAAGCCCCTTAAATTCAAAAATCAAGGAACGGGGCTGAAACGGCCCGAAGGGCCGTCAAGCCCCTTAAATTCAAAAATCAAGGAACGGGGCTGAAACGGCCCGAAGGGCCGTCAAGCCCCTTAAATTCAAAAATCAAGGAACGGGGCTGAAACGGCCCGAAGGGCCGTCAAGCCCCTTAAATTCAAAAATCAAGGAACGGGGCTGAAACGGCCCGAAGGGCCGTCAAGCCCCTTAAATTCAAAAATCAAGGAACGGGGCTGAAACGGCCCGAAGGGCCGTCAAGCCCTTAAATTCAAAAATCAAGGAACGGGGCTGAAACGGCCCGAAGGGCCGTCAAGCCCTTAAATTCAAAAATCAAGGAACGGGGCTGAAACGGCCCGAAGGGCCGTCAAGCCCCTTAAATTCAAAAATCAAGGAACGGGGCTGAAACGGCCCGAAGGGCCGTCAAGCCCCTTAAATTCAAAAATCAAGGAACGGGGCTGAAACGGCCCGAAGGGCCGTCAAGCCCCTTAAATTCAAAAATCAAGGAACGGGGCTGAAACGGCCCGAAGGGCCGTCAAGCCCCTTAAATTCAAAAATCAAGGAACGGGGCTGAAACGGCCCGAAGGGCCGTCAAGCCCCTTAAATTCAAAAATCAAGGAACGGGGCTGAAACGGCCCGAAGGGCCGTCAAGCCCTTAAATTCAAAAATCAAGGAACGGGGCTGAAACGGCCCGAAGGGCCGTCAAGCCCTTAAATTCAAAAATCAAGGAACGGGGCTGAAACGGCCCGAAGGGCCGTCAAGCCCCTTAAATTCAAAAATCAAGGAACGGGGCTGAAACGGCCCGAAGGGCCGTCAAGCCCTTAAATTCAAAAATCAAGGAACGGGGCTGAAACGGCCCGAAGGGCCGTCAAGCCCTTAAATTCAAAATCAAGGAACGGGGCTGAAACGGCCCGAAGGGCCGTCAAGCCCCTTAAATTCAAAAATCAAGGAACGGGGCTGAAACGGCCCGAAGGGCCGTCAAGCCCCTTAAATTCAAAAATCAAGGAACGGGGCTGAAACGGCCCGAAGGGCCGTCAAGCCCCTTAAATTCAAAAATCAAGGAACGGGGCTGAAACGGCCCGAAGGGCCGTCAAGCCCTTAAATTCAAAAATCAAGGAACGGGGCTGAAACGGCCCGAAGGGCCGTCAAGCCCCTTAAATTCAAAAATCAAGGAACGGGGCTGAAACGGCCCGAAGGGCCGTCAAGCCCCTTAAATTCAAAAATCAAGGAACGGGGCTGAAACGGCCCGAAGGGCCGTCAAGCCCTTAAATTCAAAAATCAAGGAACGGGGCTGAAACGGCCCGAAGGGCCGTCAAGCCCTTAAATTCAAAAATCAAGGAACGGGGCTGAAACGGCCCGAAGGGCCGTCAAGCCCTTAAATTCAAAAATCAAGGAACGGGGCTGAAACGGCCCGAAGGGCCGTCAAGCCCCTTAAATTCAAAAATCAAGGAACGGGGCTGAAACGGCCCGAAGGGCCGTCAAGCCCCTTAAATTCAAAAATCAAGGAACGGGGCTGAAACGGCCCGAAGGGCCGTCAAGCCCCTTAAATTCAAAAATCAAGGAACGGGGCTGAAACGGCCCGAAGGGCCGTCAAGCCCTTAAATTCAAAAATCAAGGAACGGGGCTGAAACGGCCCGAAGGGCCGTCAAGCCCTTAAATTCAAAAATCAAGGAACGGGGCTGAAACGGCCCGAAGGGCCGTCAAGCCCTTAAATTCAAAAATCAAGGAACGGGGCTGAAACGGCCCGAAGGGCCGTCAAGCCCCTTAAATTCAAAAATCAAGGAACGGGGCTGAAACGGCCCGAAGGGCCGTCAAGCCCCTTAAATTCAAAAATCAAAGAACGGGAATTGTCCTTTATATTTACCGATAATAAAAATTTTATGTGAAAATAGTGTTATACTGTGCCGCGGTGCCGCAACCAGATTTTATTCTGCGGCACGGCACGGTACGGCACGTGCCGTGCCGTGCCATGCCGCTGTGCCGTGCCGTGCCGTGCCGCTCAGATTTGCATCCCTGGCTTAAATGCATGAGCCCGAACGAGGTGTTTCTCCTTCTCAAATCGTCCGACAAAATTAATCACGACTTGACTTATCCTTTTGAAAACTGCAACGACTCTGATGATTCTGAAAGTCCGGTTTATACACTGGCTCTGCAAGAATTTGCAAAACTCGCTCCTTCTCGTGAATTTCGTTGCTTTATTCGCGACAAAAAGCCAGTTGCGATTTGTTCCAGATCGACTACATTCAGCGATGACGAGGAAGACTTTTTCGACGAAGTTTACGAGGAGCTTTTGGAGTTTTTAGATCTACAAATCATTCCGAAAGTAGAACTAAGTTCATTCGTAATTGATGTTTACAAAAAAGAAGCGTCAGGGTTTCTGATTTTTGGATTCAGTCCTTTTGGGCTACCAACCTGGAGCATGTACTTTTCATGGAAGGCCTGGTTCGAATTCCGTTTAACCCGTTAACTGGGCATCCGATCTTATGCGTTAACGGGCGCGTGGCAGTCTAATGTCCACGCACCTTTTGGTGTTTTCTGAGAAATAGGGATGAGAAAAATTAATTCCAAGTGTAAAATCTGATTCAGAAGCGTCTTCTCTTTCTCCTTCATCTTTTTGTTTTGTTTTTGTGATTCGTTTAGGGGTTGAAAATTGAGGTCAAAGTTACGTCAATTTTCGACGCTGAGATTGGAGAAAAAGGGAAAGAAGGGAAAGGCGGGCGATTTGTATTATTCTTTCCCTTTTTCTCGCTCACTGAAGTTTTTCTTTCGCTTCTCCCGACCTGAATTTCATGCCGATTTTTTTCAAAATCACACAAACAGATAGAGAATCGATTGAATTTTTAAAAAATACAAAAATTTTTGATAAAAACTTGAGTTTCTCCTATCTTATGGCTCTACAATGGCTGCGTGGCCGTGAGACAGCCACGCGCCTGTTAACGGGTTAAATAAGCTAGCAATCAGCATAAATTTTTAACCGAGCAAAGGAACTATATGACGACGAATTTGGAGTCGAAGAGCCAGTCTATCGGTTCAATGATGGAGAGCAAGTGATAGGCTTGAGCCAGGACAATCGAGTACCACTGGACGCCATTCACATATCGCAAGGATTAGACTCGCAGAAATTAGTAGATTACATGCAACTTGTCAAAGAAGGAAAGCTTGATGGAGAAGGACTACAGTCGTAATTTCTTCGACGTTCTTTTGCTCAAAATTGTAAAAAGGTGTAATCGGCCAAACTTAATGAAATTTTACTTAGAATGAGATTGAGTCCGTCCGCTATTTCTTTGTTCCAATCGGCAACTGCTCTTCTCAAAAGATCACAAATCGAAAAAGAGCGTCTAAAAGGCTGTATCGTAGGCTTGTGGAAGACAGACGCGTTTTACTCTGACCTTGGCCTCGTCTACGCTGATGAGTCTTCTGTGATCATCGATGAAATAGACGACCCAAAGTTCTCCCCATACAAAGCAATTGATGAGCCGGGAATATATGTTTTTGAAAAGAAGCTTGAAAACCGAAAGTGCCTGATGGATTTACCAGTAGCTCCTGTTCAACCTGAAAAAGTCTCAATGAAAAGTTTCGAAGCACTTGTTACGGAAATCAACAGAATCTGCAAGACATTTCGGAAAACAGATGGGAACTTGAACTTCAAGGGAATCCACGAGCAAGAGATTATTAAAAATCTTTATCATTTTGACGGCCCTACGATGGACAGTGTGAAGTTCTCTCGAGGTCTCAATTCTTGGCAAACAAGAGGGGCCGAAATCCCAAAGTGTCAAAAAGTTTCTGCGAAAGACTTATCCTACGACGAGTTCAAGCACTCTTATGTTGAGCGAAATCGACCGGTAATCATCGCCGATGCTGTTGATAATTGGAAGGCATTTGACCTTTGGTCAAAGGAATATTTTCTCGAAAAACTGGAAGACGCAAAAATTCACGTGAAGCTTGGCGAGAGCGGTGTCTTTGAAGGACCCGAGGAGCGCGAATTATGGAATGATGCGGAGGAAAACGAATTACCGGAAAAACTTACGAAGAAATTGCGATTTCCTGAGCTTGTCATGGCCAGGCCGGGACATGTTCAATTAGAAATGAGTAAAATATTCGATCTGTTTCAAACTTCCTTGAGAGATCCAAACAAGGAATCATGGACATCTGGTAACGTTGATTTTTCTGTTTAACTCAATGAAATGATTTTAGCGTATATCGAGTACACGCCGATGAAATCTTCGAACGCTTTTTCAATTTTGAAACCTGACGTGCCTGAAATCAAAAAATACTTTCACGAGCTCAAGCTGCATCACCAAAATATCTGGATTGGTGATGGGCAGACGTTAGGGAAGATGCATTTCGACGAGTATGAAAACGGACTGGTAATGATAAAAGGATCGAAGCAGTTTCTGATCTACGACCCACGTGACAATCGGAATCTTTACGAGGGACATATTCCAGAAGCCAGATTTGAAATCGAAGAAACAAAGGAGGGAAAATATAAACTTATTCGAGACGGGCTTCAAGAATCAACGTCCATGGTGATGGCTCCTGTAAATGTCCTCAACCCAGATTACGAGAATTTTCCGCTTTTCAAAAATGCAAAACCTATGAACTGTACTGTAGGCCCGGGTGAGATGCTTTACTTACCTTCTTACTGGTGGCACGAAGTTCAGAGCTTTCCCGATTTAGATGAATACTTAAACATCGCCGTTAACTTTTGGTACGAGCCTTTCTTCTCCAAAGAATTTCCTTGTGCCGAGTGTCCTTTAGAGATTAATCCACAATACTTTGATCTTCTGTAAAAAGACCCAATTTTCTGTAGGCCTACTTTAGTGGTTTAAAATAGTGCAATATTTAATTTACAGCTACAATATTATCGACATATTTGCGATTTAGAATGCTCCCAAAGATTCCAAATCATTTACCGCCCACAAACAAAGTCGACTATCTCTTGGACTTGTCAGAATTGCTGGTTATTCACTTGATGGAAGAAACTGGCACCAAAGTGATCCCGTTACAAAGAGTAATCGACTTTATCCTTGAGAACATTCCCAGTAACCTGCCAGTAGGACAAGAGCTCATCGACGAAATACTCTCATTAATTTCGGCGAATCCTAAAATGACATACAAACTCAAAGCGAGGACGAACCGAATTCTCCATGACGGGAAGAATATCCATTTACTCGACGAAAAGTATTGGTTCGGTGAAACCTCCCTCCCATCAGAGCGACCGCCGCTTGGAAGAAAGATAAATCTGCCGGAACATATTTCCAATCTTATATTCGATCCTCAAATACGTTTCGAAGCCGTCCGTGGTTTTTGGTTCAGGCCAAAGCAAAATAAAGGCCTTCTTCTTTCGAGATTGGGGCAGATGATCGGTCAGACACCACGCTTACCTGCATTCGTTTATAATTTCATTTTAGTACACGATTATGGCTGTTTTGTTACCTATCTGCTACAGTGCTGTCGAGAATACCGCCCGCATTGGAACGAAACTGACGTTAAAATTTACGAAACGCGTCTGAAGGATCAAATCATGCAGCGGATAAAATCAAACCTAAATGTCGCCAGTTGCCTCGACTTGCCCTACATATCATTCTACACCTTCACTGTCCCTCTCCTCGTTGATTCCAACCTCATCAACTGTTTCCTCACTCACACGGCAGTCAACTACGCTCAAGATGGCCTCTTTCTGAAATCCGGACCAGGGCAAGTTTCAGAAAGCTGGGACGATGACAACAGCGAAATGGAGCCTGAAGAAGTCATCACAGAAAACTTGAAAAAGCTAGGCGACGATGATATTTTGTCTGTTTACTCCTCATCTTCGCGCACATCATGGAAATAACTGTATTTACTGATAATGTTTAAACAACCCAACTATAGAAAAATCAAATCGATAATAAAATGCCCTCACTTTTTTGTAACAAATTGAACTTTAAAATCGAACCAAACTCTGCCTAACGATCAAACCAATTTCGGCGCCAACAAAAACAGTCACTCGCTGAGATAAGAAATCTCTCGCCTTGCATTTTTGTTGTCTCATTTTTAGCCTACCAGAGCACCTTTTACGTTAGCTGAAGACAGATAGAAATATTTTTTATGAACGATCTCACTTCAGCAATGGATGAGTGGTCCTTTAACGTAAGGGATCAGGCACTTGGCGACAAGACGGGTACCGACGACGTCTTTTCCGGTAGCTTTTTCTTGGAAGAAGACAAACCTGGACATGAGAAACAAGTTCGAAGGAGGTAAGAAGAGAATGAAATAAGAGATGGGTGTCTCTAGGTTAACTTTAAATGTGCAGATGATTGATACAAAATTTTAGCGCTCGGCTTTCATCACGTAAGAAAAAAGGCGTGAAATTTCTCGTGGAAAAAGAAGCCGAGAAAACTCCACGACCACCGGCAAAGAAGAAGCCCAAGCAGGATCTTCCAGTTCCAAAAATCGAGGAATCGGAGGAAAAACCAAAGAAAGCCGCTCATGTCGCGGCTAAGAAGGTGGAACCAGTGCGGGCTACTACCAAGGCAGCGACGAAAAAGGTGGAGAAAACTGAGGCACCGAAGCCCTCTACTGCTTCTCTTCCCAAGCCGGTGGTGAAGGGAAGAAAAACAGAGACGGATCTAGGCGAGTTCTTCAAGTATAAGAACGATAAGGGCAAGGTTCGACGCAGTACGACGAATCCACAGCCCTTTAGTTTCATGGTACGCGAAGAACAGAAGAAGAAAGCACGGGAGGCTGCGAAGCAGGCATCAGCTGCTAATGTGTACAAGGACGACGAGTTAGAGTTCACCTCTAAGCCGGCCGTCCGAACAACCACTGCTGCAACTGTTAACCGTCTTGCTCAGCCAAAGAAAGTAGCGGCTCCCGTCGACGATGAAAAGAAAGAAGCACGACGCATTGCCAAGGCGAGACGAACTACTCGAGCGCTTTCGCCGAAATTTCGCACAGCTGCGCGCGCTGCTTCGCGAAAGTTCTCCACAACGGAAAATAAACCAGCTGAAGGAACTGAAAAGGAGGAACCCAAGAAGGTAACCGAAAATCAAGATCTTCAGGCATCTCTGACTGATTATTTAGAATAACACCGAGCGCAAGCCCTTCAAGCCAACGGTCGCAAAGTCGCCAAACTTCCACTACACAGCACGCGCTAAGAAGCGAGCCTTGGCCGAGCAGAACTGATTACAACGCTGCTCTGATGCTGCCCAAAACTTTCACCATTTCCACATAACAACCGTTCACCACACAACTTTTTGTATAAAAGAAACTAAAAGAACATCCTGTGCACTCTAATAAAACTGACTGTTTTACTAAAACGATAATTTTCCCGACATGATCTAAAATTGCATAATTCTTTGCATATTTTTATTCATAAGTCGTTGTTGTTTTATTTCTAGATTTCTCATGTTTTTTTTTCTCACACATTTTTCGAGCGGTATATTGACAATAGAATCACTTTTTAATCAAATCAGTTGATAATTATTCCTGTTTAAGAAATTGTACTCGAAAGAAAATGACTCTTCTTACGAGTCAGTTGATGAAGCTCCGACAGGATGCTTCATCCAATATGGAAATAGATGCCCGGAAACGCGTCTCAGTCCTGTACACGCCAGAAGAAGCGGCAAAATTGAGCTTGAGCGTCGTCCTTGAACTCGCCCAATCGGGTCTTTCGTTCCTCTCTGAAATCGATGATAAAATTGTCGAATATGCGGATGATCTTTTCTCGCCCGGATCTGTCGAGCTCGAGCGAAGTATGCTCAAGCCAGAAGATCATAAGATCCTATCAGACAAGATTCGCTTATTTCTGGTTCATCTTGCCCCGCATTATCTCATCCGAGCAGGTCAAAAGTGTCTTGAATGGCTCCTTGCTAGATATAACGTCGCAGAAGTTCAATATGCCGACCTTCTTTTCTCCCTGATGCCATATCACTCGACAAACCTTTGGACAAAGGTTGCGTGCCAAATCAAGTTTCAAGGCAACTGGCGCTGGTTGAAGAACTACAAGCACGAAGCGATTCATAGGGATGTCATTGTCAAAGAGTTTTCGTTGAACTTGCAGCTCTTATCCGACTTTTACAAGATCTTCGAGCTCGCAGCGGATAATGAAACTAATCCGATAGTTGTGTTTGGCATTTCGATTTCAAACCTGCTTGCTACAAAGCCAAAAGAAAGTGTCCTCGCTGTACTCGTTCAAAGCGTTATGAAAGGTTTCCAATCTGACAAAGTCGCACTTAGAGCTCATGCGATCACCACCATGGCTAGTCTTACTCTTCAAACAACGAGTTCTGCTTTGCTCGACGAGTCTTTGGCTAAGAAAATATTGAAGATTTCACTGAAGGATGGATGTCCTCTAAACCTCGAAGCTTTCAACTCTGTTTCTCTTGTCGCTCATTGCTCAGAAATTGAAAGTTTGCCATCGAAATTTTTCACCCGCACGATGAAGTACATTGCTGAAGGTTCTATGCTTCCTCAAATTTCCAAAAGCTCAGCGAAAGTCTTTCTTCTCCTCTTGAACCAAGCAACTCCCCTTGCTCTTGAAGAAGATCAATCAGCTTTGGCGACTGTCGAGTACATCTTGCATCAGCAAAGTTCGCATATAGATATTTCAAGCGCTTTGGAATTTGTCGTTGCGTCTGATTCCGATAGTAAGGGAGCGTTATTGGCGTTGTTCAGACGCTCTTGTAACGCTGACCTTCTTCCGAAGATCATGAATGTTTTGACAATTGAAGATACAAGTAAACTTCCTGCGGAAGTACTCATCCAACACCCTGAAAAGAAGATAAGAATGAATGCGCTCTCAAAGCTTGAAAAAGTCCCTGAAAACGAAAATCTTCTGCGCTCTTTCATCGACGGAGAAAATGAAAGCGATTTGGTCACTCTTGCGTTTGAAAAAATCGAACTCAGCAAACGACACGTTCCTTTCGTTTGTAACCAAGCGTTGAGGTTAAACAAGCCAGATTTACTTGAAACGTGTGCGGCGCTAGAAGATTTGCAAAACTTTGAAAAATACAAGTTGCTCGCCTACTCGATGGCATTGGGAAATGAAGAGTCTGTTTCGAAATCTCTCGGAGGTTCTCGAGTCGCAAACTGTAGCTTCGTCGACTTTGATGAGCTCATAAAAATCATGGAAACGGACAAATTGGGAGATGCCTTGAAAGCAATTTCCAAGGATGTAGCACGGACAGGTTTGATACTAGTGTTATGTGAATAAACTAAATTTAATTTCAAGAAACGAATCAAGTCGATAAAGTAACTCGACTTCTGAAACTCAGCAAAAGCTCCAGCGATCGTTTATCGGCGAGTTGTTTGGAATTAAGCTGCCGATTCATATTACCGACAAGTTCGCTTTCTTCGCCCTTTCTTGTCCAAATCTTCTTGGAAATTTTATCAACGAGCATTTGCCCAAGAATGTGGAGCTCGAAGTCTCAAACAAGGTAAAAATTATCAACAAGTAGAACTCAACTAACATTGTCAGGTAACTGCCGGTCGATTTTTCGCGCGTCTTGCGTTCCGGCATACAGAAGGAGTCGGCCCTGCTCTCATGGTCATCAAACTCTTAGGTAAGCGGTTATCAAAAAGTTTTTCTTAGAACTTATTTTTAAAGGATCCACAGAAGAGTATTGTCCGGTGATTGAGCTTTTGGCCCTACTTGGAATGTCCAATACTGAGGATTCAACAAGATCACTTGCTTTCGAAATTTTCGAGGGCATCCAGGCATCTCGTGATTCGGAAGATAAAGTCGCAAAGAAAATCATTAAAAAGAAAGGAGAAATCCTCTCTGATGGCAAGCAGCTAAAGCAAGTTCTTGGTCGAATAGTCGAAAAACAAGGAGCTGAGAACTGGTCTCTTTTACACGGTCAACTTTCTCGATTTGGTTTGCCGAAGCTTCTTGAGCTCTGTTCTGCCAATCTCGCGGATTATGTCGTCCCTGCTTTTATTGAAAAACGATCTCTTGATACAAGCCATGCTTACTTCACCTCATTATTTGCGCTGATGCAAAACATGACAACCGACATTTCCAACAACACTGTCGACGCTATCGATAATCAACTATCTTCCGGTCTTCTCAGTGGTCAAAACACTTCTGAGTTGCTTGTTGCCTTGTCAGGAAAAGCGTTTTCCTCGAAACAGAAGCAAATATCTCTGGCTAAGAAGCTCCTCTCGATTGCGCATGAAAGTGCGCAGACAAATTCTGGCATTTCGGAAGCGACTGTCGGCTATTTGAAAAATTTGCCTTCAGCAGTCATCAAAAGCATTCTTGCTGGCTGCCGCAAAACTAACGAAAAGACCAGTTTAACAAGAGCAAAGAAAGCTAAGAAAGACCAGCCTGAATTCACTCTTGAATTTGTACTCTTCGTAATTGAGCGATTGAGCTCATTCGACCAACTTGCTAATGAGATCAACGACATTTTCGAAGACTCGCTGGGCAACGAAGGCAACACAGAAAACATGATTCAAACGCGTGTTGTTGGCCTAGCTGCTTCAACGAAATTCGACAAGCTTAGGCCCGAATTGCTCGTTGAAGTTGTGAGACGCTGTTCCGCCCGAGGAAATGATGATGGAAATATGCTTCTTGTCTCCGCGCTTTCCTTATTGTCATCAATGGCTAGGTGTAATAGTAGAAAAATCGACCCCCCGATCGCCCTTTTTAAACTTTTAATTTCATGCAGAATAAGAATCCTTATGTCGCGGCGATCATTTTGGTACCAAATTCATCGCAATCGGACTTGGTTTTCGGCCGATAAGGAGCATTTGAAGGCCCAAAATAAGCACTAGAAATTTTCTAGCGCCCGGAAAGGGATGAATACTCCATCTCATCAGTACGCCACTTGTTCCAGATTGTAGAGCAGGCTCTACTCTATCGGAATCTACTCGCAAAAGTTGTGAACAGGGGCTCTAGTGAGAACCAGCGCCCGAAGAAGGTCGAAAAATGAAGCAAAATTGGGGTGAAATCATCAGTCTGAGATCATGGAAGTCAAATTTGGCCTTGATTTTGCCCCATTTTTTGAGCTTCTTCGGGCGCTGGTTCTCACGAGGGCCCCTGTTCACAACTTCTGCGAGTAGATTCCGATAGAGTAGAGCCTGCTCTACAATCTGGAACAAGTGGCGTACTGATGAGATGGAGTATTCATCCCTTTCCGGGCGCTAGAAAATTTCTAGTGCTTATTTTGGGCCTTCAAATGCTCCTTATCGGCCGAAAACCAAGTCCGATTGCGATGAATTTGGTACCAAAATGATCGCCGCGACCTAGGGATTCTTATTCTGCATGAAATTAGAAGTTAAAAAAGGGCGATCATGAGGGCGATTTTTCTACCGTTACACCTATCAATGGCATCGAAGACACCCGACAAGGTGCTTCAAAGCTTGATGTCTGTTTTCACTTTCATGGGCGCCGGGTTGCTCCCACGAGCTGACGATCGCTATTCCTTCCATTCGATTCAAGAAACCATCAAATGCGTAGTCCCACCACTTTTGAAAGCTTCGGGAAAACGTAATCAACTTGGAAATATTCTTGACGTTTTCTGCACGGCACTTCCTCATGTTCCTGTTCATCGACAAGGAGCTGTTTTTGAGTCTCTAATTATCAGATGCGATCCAGAAAAGGCCCTCTGGTTGACTCTTGTTCAGCTAGCCGTTAAACACGTGAAAAATTTCAACGGAGAAGGAAAAGACGAATCCATATTGGATCCCTCTGTTTACACAGAACTCATGTCTCTTTTGGTCAAGCGATTTCCCGTTGAAGTTGTTCTCCAGGCTGCAGTTGAAATACTTTCGTTCTTGAAGGAAACTGGCTTCGATGCTTCTGATGAACTTGATTTGAAAATGAATACTAAACTCACTGGTGGACGAGTTATGCAGGTCAATTTCTATTTAGTCTCTTTCCTCAACAGATTGTTTGGATCAATGGACTTCCTTCATACACAACTAGCGCAGATCACTGATGTCGAGCAAGAATCAATCGTTCAAATTTACAGAGAGCTTCTTGAGAAGTCCTTTGCTTACACGGAAACAGTACAGCCACGACAGAGCGAAAAAACCTTCAAGGGTCTGGCGTCGAAGGTCAACGGAATTATTGAGAAGATTCTTGGTCTTCTACCTAGCGTTGAGTTCGCCCAGTGCGTAACAGGACTCCTTATGAATTCTCTAAAAACATCAACTGACTGGTTGACTCTTCAATCGCTCGAAGTTCTCTGTACTCGCCTGAGACGCAGTGATGCTGATGAAACGGAGACACTTATCGAAGCTGGTATTCTGGAACACTTGGCGAAAGTCTTCGAAAATGAGTCCATCACATGTATCAATCTCGCCGCAAAGTCTGTTAAATTGCTAGCGAAGCTTTCTGGAGAGCATCAACTCAAAAAATTCAAAGGATTGATGCCTTCGCTGAAGAAGCTTTTGACTGCGTCTGATAAGTGCCATATTGGAATGAAAGATAGCGCTTTCGGACCCGTTGTTCTCTGCTGCGCTGTTCTTTTGGCAAGATTGAAAGTTCAGGTAAAAATATTTTGCCAAAAGTCTTCTAATTATGTCAAAATTATAGGCACTGGGGCATTTGAACTGGACTATTGAATCAATCATCGCGGGTATCACGAAGGCTGACTCTGAAACGCTCAAAATTATTACCGTTGCATCGCTTGGAAAAATTTTGTCGGAAATGAGTGGGTTCGTATCCCCACACTTGCCAATGATTTTGACGGCACTCAGCCAGTTTTCACTAAAGAACGATTCTGAATTGGAACGACGAGTTGCTATTTGCATCAAAGAACTTGGTAAGCCAAATTTTAAAGACTTTTTTTTTTATCATTTTTAGGCGGCTTTCCTTCCAGAGTTCTTCTTCCTGAGATCGCCTCTGTTTACTCGACTTTGGACGGCAGCTCTGTTGTGACTCTCCTAGCGATTGTCGAAAAGCACATTGATAGTTTGGAAAAAGGAGCTGCTGTTAGACAACAGTCAGTTTTCCAGGACTTTTTCTTGCGTGCTCTGGCTTTCAGAGAGGAACATCCGGACATCGATGCTGCTTCTGCTACTGAAATTGAAACTGCAACTTGTAACGCAATGGTGCAGTTGGCTCTTCGACTTCCTGAAGCTTCTTTGAGGTGCAAACATCCATGAAAATAGAATTTCAATCGATTTTTAGACCTTTCTTGTTCAAGACATTCAACTGGGCGGCAAATGAAGGGGGTGGAGCTGCTCGGCTATTCCCACTTTACATACTTTATGGGAAGATGACTGAGGTCATGAAGTCAATGTTCCTCATCTTTACAGGATCACTTACACCGCACTTTATTGATATTTTGGTAACTCGTTCTTTTCCCCCATATTGTGTTGATTCTTTGCTTTAGCCCAAGATCACGGACAGAAGCAATGCATTTACGAATTCTGCACCGCTGAAGACCGAATTACTCCGACGAATGCTACAAGTTCTCTCGCTCATTTTCGTGAATGACACTGGAGAGTTTTTGGATGAAAGCGCGATCAATGATCTTATTCCATTACTGATTGACTTGTTGGAACACAATGAGCTTGCTGATTACGACTCTTTCTGCAAGAAAGATTTGGTAAGAGCCTGTATTCCTAACACAGAAAGTAAATTTCATGTAGATTCCTTGTATTTCCCATGCCGCGACTGCAATCAGCGATGATGCTCTCTGGCGGCCTTTGAACTATCGATTGCTTTTGAAAACGAGAAATGAGAATGCCGAAGTTCGTCTCGCAGCTTTGGATTGCCTTGACGACCTGATTGACAAGCTCGGAGATGATTGCCAGACTCTGCTTCAAGAATCTGCACCGCAGTTCTTCTCTGAGCTGCTGGAGGATGACGATGAACGAGTAGAAAAGAAGATGCAGGAGACCATCGCCAAACTTGAACAAGTCTTCGGCGAAAGCGTCCAATCTTACTTTACATAAACTCCTATCGACTGTTTACCCGAATGAATAATAAAAAAAACTTGATAAAAATGATAATTTTGTGACATTATTAGATCTAAAATGAGTGGAACGGAAAGCTGTCCCGCAGGAACAGAAATGGCTGGCAAGGCGTCAGCTTGTGAAGGCTGCCCGAGTAGAAATATTTGCGCCTCTGGGTAGAGTTCTTTGATAGTTGATAGCAAGGGGAAGTAAATCTTTTGTGCGCCGGTAAAGAACTCTTTTCTTGGTGCAACTGGGCCAGACCCTGATATTGCGAAAATTGCAAGTTGCTTGAAAGACGTGAAGAACAAAATCGTTGTCTTATCCGGAAAAGGCGGCGTTGGAAAGTCGACCGTATCGTCTCTCTTAGCGAGATCGTTAGCGAAAAATGAGGAACTGGAAATCGGTCTTTTGGATATCGACATAACGGGACCTAGTCAGCCTCTGTTTATGGGAGTGAAGAATGAAGAGGTGCACAAGAGTGCGTCTGGATGGACTCCAGTTTATGCTGATGAGAATTTAGCTGTGATGAGTGCTGGATTTTTGCTCGCTCATGATGCAGCGCTTGTTTGGGGCGGCGCTAGAGTATGTTATTCAGCAAAGCCATTTTTAACAAATTCTATAATAGAAAAATGGTCTCTTGAAAAACTTTCTCAAAGAAGTTGAATGGGGAAGCTTGGACTATTTGTTGATTGACTCCCCTCCTGGAACTTCGGACGAGCACATGTCGATCACTTCCTTATTGAAAGACGCAGGAATTACCGGAGCAGTTCTAGTCACTACTCCCTCGAAAGTTGCTCTGATTGATGTTCAAAGACAGCTAGCATTTTGTAGAAAAGGTGAAATTTGCGGATAGATTTAAAATAACAGGTTTTAGTCGATTTGAAAATAATCGGGTTAATCGAAAATATGGCCGGGTTCGTTTGTCCCAAGTGCACGAAAGAGAGCGAAATTTTCCGAAAATCAGCGGGCGGCGTCGAGGAGTTCTGCCGAAACAATGATGTTCCTTATCTGGGTGCATTACCGATTGATCCTAAAATCTGCCAAGCAATGGACACGGGTGAAAATCCGGTTGAAATCGATTCGCCCGCGATCAAAAAATTGAACGAAATCTGTGAGCACATTCAATCAAATAGTCAGCAATAATGATGATTCTAGTACATTCTACCGATTCATCCCTTGTTTTTGAAATTTTTCAAAAAAATTTTTTCTCTAGAATGCCTCTCTATGTTTTTGAAAAAATCACAGTTGCCTCATTCGCTCAGCTTTACAGGTACGAATAAGTGATATTATGGTTTTTTTTAAAAGCATTTATGGGTTAATCGGGGATTTTTATTCGTTTTAGGGACCCTTCTTACACAAAATGGAAGGGGCTCGAAGGCGTCAAAGCGCCTTTCAGGCCAGCTCGAATCGTCGGCAGTCACTCACGACTATGAATCTACAAAAATACCAAGAATCCCTGAAGGTAAATTATATTCTCCCAATTATACGCTAATTTTTGAATAGGAACGCACCGCAAAGTTCAAAGCTGAACGAGAGGAGCGTAAAGGGGCAATTGGACCCGTGCATAAGCGAATTTGTGACTACTTGGCTCACCATGTCATGTACATCACTCCTGAGGATGCCGAAGAGCACATCATCGACTCTCAGAAGCAAATGGATCTGATCGAGGACTTCATGAAAAAGGGTGGCAAGCGCACTTTGCTCGTCTACGTTCAAATGTGCGAACCACCAGCATTGGAGACCGGTCGAAGTGGTCAGGTAAATAATCGTGTTCTAGAGATTAGATAGAAAATTTTCTAGCAGAAAGAACCCTCGGTTAGAGCGTTCGTCACAGATTGCAAAGACGCTCCTTGCACTGGAAAGATCGTCTTTTTCCACAAAAAAGATGTTGCCCTAAACGCCCGAAACTGCGCCGACGAAATGACGATGCAATTTATCGATCTGGCCCAATATTCTGGAGCTGTGCTTCCAGCTCTGCGTGAACACATGCAAAAATGTCTGATCCCATCTATTGAACAGGTAAACCTTTTCTTCATTACAGTTGATAAAAATGTATCTCAGTATGAAAACTGGGGACCTCTCAAAGCTAACAAGCAAGGACTCCAGCAAATCGACGCTTTCCGTCGAACACTCAGAAACTTCGAAAATTACCTGGCCTCCGCTCAAAATAATATCGAAGGCGCCGTCACTTTGAAAACGTCCGCCAACGAAGCTGTCAACAACATCGACGAATTCAAAGTAGAAGAACTCGCCAAGGACGCAGACTTTGTCAAGGAAGTCGAAGTTATTGTTCTTGAATGGAGCCACCAGATTGAACAGGTAAAATTCGCATATTTCAACTTTTTTCTAAAGGGCACTTTTAGGTCTTGGCAGAATCGTCTCAAATGCGAAAAGAAGCTGACGATATCGGTCCACTGGCTGAGCTTGAACACTGGCAGTACCTTACTGCACGCTTCAACTCCTTCCTCGAGCAGCTCAAGCAAGCACGATGCAAGAACGCCATTGCCGTTCTCGTCTTTGCCAAGTCCAAAGTCCTCAACAGCTGGAAACAGATTGACATGCAGATCACCGATCACGCCAACGAAGCAACCGATAACGTCCGCTACCTCAGCTCGCTCGAAGCCGCCTGCGAGCCCCTCTACGGCTCCGATCCAACTGGCATGATCGAGCACATTCCTAACCTCATCAAAGTCATCTCAAACATCTACCAGATCTCTCGCTACTACAACACTTCTCAGCGAATGACCTCCATCCTCATCAAAGTCACCAACCAAATGGTAACCGCCTGTAACAAGTACATCACCGACTCCGGTAAACTCACTGTCTGGGAGCAAGACGTCGACGTCGTCCAGCGAAAGATTAAAGAATGCATCCTCCTCCACGACAAATATATCGAGCATTACGAAGCTGAACAGCTCCGTCTCAAAAACGCCGCCAACGATGGCCGAATTGACCCGACCAAGCAGTTCGACTTCTCCGAAATCTACATCTTCGGCAAGTTCGAAAACTTTGTCAAGCGAGTGACCAGCATCAAGAACCTCCTTGAAACTATTGAAGGCTACCGTGGCATCGCCAAATGCCACATCGACGGAATCGACTCAATCAACGCTTCTTTCAACGGTATTGTCGCCACCATCCGTAAGAAGCGATACGACGTTCTTGATCACCGAAAGACTGAGTTCAACACCGACTATAAAAACTTCCGCAACGACATGGACAAGCTTGAACAACAGCTTATCAACTTCATGGACTCTACTTTTGACAAGCTCAACACAATCGAGCAATTTGAAGCCATGATGGACCGATTCCGCAAGCTTGACTTCCCATGCCTGCGCGATGAGCTTCCAGCGAAATACGAGATTTACGCTCAGCTTTACAAGGAGCGTCTTGAATCCATTCAGCGAGAGTACAACGATCGACGAGTATCTGATACTTGGCACATTCCCCAAGATTGGCCAAAGACCCCCGGTATCGTCCGTCAAATGGAATTCTTCCTCTTCCGAATCACCCAGCCAATGCAAGTCATCCAAGCTAATGCGCCTCACCTGATCAAGAGCAACAACAAAAAATACAAGAACTTCGCGAACTTGATCTCAATGCACAACAAGCTCGGAGAAATTTGCGTTGAATGGGCTCGAATGAACTACCTCAAGTGGGCTGAAACTGTCGATCACGATGTACGAGTCGCTCTTCACGCACCTATCCTCTTCCGTGATCAAAAAGGCAACTACTGGGTTAACTTTGACCCGAAGCTCGATCAAATCCACCGAGAAGCAAAGTACTTCAAGCGCATTGGCGAGCAGTACAACTGTACTGATTCCTATCCGTTGACTAAAGGAGCAGAAGACATGCTTCGACGATATGCCGCTATTCGAACAGTTAAGATTAATGCTGAGGATCTTATTCGTCGATATACCCACGAAACCGGCCGAATCCCACGAATCTTCCAGTCCGTTCTCGACAAGCATCTTCGACGAGTCAGAAGCGCCATGAACCGAGGTCTCCTAGATGTCACCTGGTCCTCACTTATCCAGGAGCGGTTCTTTAAAAAATGTAATGACGAGCTCGATAATCTCAGCAAGATTATCAGCGAAACTTTGGATATTAAAAACGAGCGAATCGACACGGTTTTCGCTGAGATCTCATCTTTTGATCTCATCGAAATCGACGAAGATGCAACTTTTGAGCCTGCTGAATTCCTGAACGAGGTTCAAAAGCAAGCAGCTGCTGGTGGAGTTGAGCTTGAAAAGCTTTCTCAGCGAGTTGAAGATGCTGTTTACAATCTTATCAAGGCTTTCGCCCATTATGAAGATGATGTTCCCGAAGACTTCGATATGGACATTCGAGAGAAGATTTCGGTCGCTGGTAGCTCTTCTTTCTGCTTGACCAAGCCAAACGAAGTTCCCGCTGATGAAAAGGGAGAGAAAGACTTCCCTCAGCAGTGTCTGGATATTTTGACTTACTTCCGAAACCGATGTATCGAACGAGTGGTGACTTGCCTCAAGAATGCACTCGAGCTTATTAAAAAGCGAATTGTGCCTCCAAAATCCAAGACTGTCACTCCAATTCTTCGAATCGACATTAACCTCGCTATCCCTAACATCGTCCTCTCTCCACCACTCGACGAACTCCAGCAAACGCTAAACAAAGCGACAAAAGCTATTGTTGATGCTTCCACCTCCATCAAAGCCTGGAATCAGCATCGAGTTCAATCTTGTTTGGTTGAAAACGAGCAGGGCGTCCAGGAAACTCAAATTGTCCCGATCAGCCCAGATAACCTTGACAACTGGTATACTAGCATTCGAAACAGCAAAGATATCGTAAAGAATGTCGTTGTTGTCAATGGCGCGGTCAACTCTTTCCGAGAATCTACTGCAGCCATCCTCAAGAGTTTTAACGTGTACCAACATCTTTGGGAAGGTGATCAGAAGGAAATCATCCAAGCTTTCATTGAAGGCGAAGACGGCGTGAAGCCGACTCTTTCCGATTACAAGGCTGAGATCAACAAATACGTTGAAATTCTCGAAAATATCGACAATATCGACCAAGAATTTATTCTGAATTCGATTGCCTTGAACGCTGCTAATGTCAAACTTGCATTCTCTGTCGAAGCCAAAAATTGGAAGTTCGAACTTTGCAAGTACATGCACAGCGAATACAGAAACATGATGAACGAGACTTTCAACTTTGTCGATGAAGTCGCCAAGAAACTCACCCGACCCATTCAAGATCTTGAAGATGTTCGATACGCTATGGACTCACTCAAGGAAATCCGTGATAACTTCACAATGACAGAGGCGTCTATTCCACCGATTGAAGAAGCTTTCGCCCTTCTTACCCGATTCGAGTACCAAGTTGATCAAGAAGAGATTAATAGATGCGATTCCATCCGATACGCATGGAAGAAATGCCGAAACCAGTCTGAAAAAGTCCAGAGCGAACTTGAAATTATTCAGCCGAAGTTTCTTCTCAATCTCCAGGAGAACGTCGAAATCTTCAAGGAAGATATGGATAACTATGAAAACGACTACACTGAAAGCGGACCTATGGCTGAAGGAATCACTCCTGATGTTGCTTCTGAGCGACTTGCCATGTTCCAGTCCAAGTTCGACACGATTTACCGACGATACGACACCTACAACTCTGGTGAGCAGCTCTTTGGTCTCGCTCAGACCGAGTACCCGGCCATTCACGTCATCAAAAAGGAGCTTGGCCTCCTTCAGAAGCTCTACGGCCTCTACAACGCTGTCATGGATTCTATCGACGGTTACTACGATCTTCTGTGGGTTGATGTTGATACTGAAGCTATAAACGCTCAGCTCTTGGACTTCCAGAATCGATGCAGAAAGCTTCCAAAGGCTCTCAAGGAATGGCAGGCGTTTAACGATCTCTCCAAGAGAATTGCCGATTTCTCCGAATGTTGTCCTCTGCTCGAGCTTATGTCTAACAAAGCTATGAAACAGCGACATTGGGATCGAATCGAAGCTCAGACCAATCACAAGTTCGACATTCATAACGAGAACTTCTCCCTTCGACATGTCATGGCTGCTCCTCTTCTCGAAAATAAGGATGATTTGGAAGATATTTGCATCTCATCTGTTAAAGAAAACGAGATTGAAGCCAAGCTCAATCAGGTCATCGCCGAATGGAGCGCGCACGAGTTCGAATTCACTATGTTCAAGACAAGAGGCGAACTTCTCCTCACTGGTGGTCACACGACCGATATTGTCACATTCATGGAAGATTCTCTCATGATCCTCTCCTCTTTGATGTCCAACAGATACAACGCTCCTTTCAAACCCCTTATCCAGCAGTGGGTTTCAAAACTCTCTAACTCGAATGAAATCATCGAGTCCTGGCTTATTGTCCAGAACTTGTGGGTCTACCTCGAAGCTGTCTTTGTTGGTGGTGATATCGCCAAGCAGCTGCCCGATGCCGCGAAGAGATTTGCGAACATTGACAAGTCCTGGGTGAAGATCATGGCTCGTGCCAAAGAAATGCCGAACGTTGTTCAGTGCTGTGTTGGAAACGATTACATGTCTCAGCTTCTTCCTCATTTGAGTGAGCAGCTTGAATGCTGTCAGAAATCTCTTACTGGTTATCTCGAAGCCAAACGACTTATCTTCCCTCGATTCTTCTTCATTTCCGATCCTGCTCTTTTGGAAATTCTTGGTCAAGCCTCCGACTCCCACACCATCCAAGCTCACTTGCTCGGTATTTTCGAAAACGTTGCCTCTGTCGAATTTAACGAAAAAGACTACAACAGAATCGATGCTGTCCTCTCCCGAGAAGGCGAAAAAGTTCCTCTTGACGAGCCTGTCATGGCTGTCGGAAATGTTGAAGATTGGATTGGTAAACTGTTGGTCCTCCAGCAGCAGTCCCTCCATTCGGTCATTCGATATGCTGCGAATGACATCATGGAACCAGATACTTTCGAGCTCCTCTCTTTCATCGACAAGTACCCTGCACAGGTCGGCCTTCTTGGTATTCAGATGATCTGGACCAAGGATGCTGAAGAGGCTTTGAACAACGCCCGATTCGACAAGAAAATCATGAGCGTTACCAACCAGCGATTCCTCGATTTGCTCACTAAGCTCATCGACCAGACAACACACGATCTTTCCAAGTTCGATAGAATTAAGTACGAAACGCTCGTTACCATTCACGTCCATCAGCGTGATATCTTCAATCAGCTCACTCAATGGCACATCAAGACTCCGCTCGATTTCGAATGGCTCAAGCAGGCTCGATTCTACTTCGATCCTGAAGCTCACAACGGAAAAGGAAAGTGTCTTGTTTCCATCACTGACGTCGACTTCGAATACCAGAACGAGTTCCTCGGTTGTACTGATCGTCTCGTCATTACGCCACTTACCGATAGATGTTACATTACCCTCGCTCAGGCTCTTGGTATGGCTCTCGGTGGCGCTCCAGCTGGTCCTGCCGGTACTGGTAAAACTGAAACCACCAAGGATATGGCGAAAGCTCTTGGAAAGTACTGTGTCGTCTTCAACTGTTCCGATCAGATGGATTTCCGAGGTCTTGGAAGAATTTACAAGGGTCTTGCCCAGTCCGGTTCATGGGGTTGCTTCGATGAGTTTAACCGTATCGAGCTTCCTGTCCTTTCCGTCGCTGCCCAACAAATTTACATCGTCTTGCAGGCTAAGAAACATCGCAGCCGAATGTTCATCTTCACTGATGGTGATGAAGTGAGCATGAACCCCGAGTTCGGTCTCTTCATTACTATGAACCCCGGTTACGCTGGTCGACAGGAGTTGCCAGAAAACTTGAAGGTCCAGTTCCGATCTGTTGCTATGATGGTTCCCGATCGACAAATTATTAAACGAGTCAAGCTTGCCTCCTGCGGTTTCAACACCAACGAAATTCTCGCCCGAAAGTTCTTCGTCTTGTACAAGCTCTGTGAAGAACAGCTTACCAAACAGGTCCACTATGATTTCGGTCTCCGAAATATTTTGTCCGTCTTGCGAACACTCGGTGCTGAAAAGCGAAAGAATCCTGAAGATACTGAAGAACGAATCGTCTTGCGAGTCTTGCGAGACATGAACTTGTCTAAGTTCGTCGATGAAGATGTGCCTCTTTTCCTTTCGCTCATCAGTGATTTGTTCCCTGGAATTCAACTCGGCTCTGCCTCTCATGACGAACTTCAGGCTCTTATCCAACAGAACGTTGAGAAAGCTGGCGATATCGTCAACCACCCATCTTGGAATCTGAAGGTCATCCAGCTTTACGAGACTCAGCTTGTCCGTCACGGTATTATGACTCTCGGACCTACTGGTACTGGTAAAACTCGTGCTATTCGAACTCTCATGGGCGCCTTTACCGATCAAGGCCGACCTCACCGAGAATTGAAGATGAATCCTAAGGCTATCACAGCTCCTCAAATGTTTGGTCGACTCGATGTTGCCACCAACGATTGGACTGATGGTATCTTCTCCACGCTTTGGCGTCGATCTCATCGAACCAAGAAAGGTGAATTCGTTTGGATTATTCTTGACGGTCCCGTCGATGCTATCTGGATTGAGAACTTGAACTCTGTCCTTGATGATAACAAAACACTCACCCTCGCTAATGGTGATCGTTTGGTCATGGCTCCATGCGCCAAGCTTGTTTTCGAAGTCCACAATATCGACAACGCCTCTCCAGCTACTGTCTCTCGAATGGGTATGATTTTCTTGTCAAGTTCTGCTCTTGACTGGACACCTATCCTCGACGGTTGGCTCAACACTCGAAAGGCAACAGAATCCGGTATCCTTCGAGACCTTTTCCACCGAGAAAATGTCTTTACTGATCTGTTGACGCAAGTCTACCAAGTCTACGAGCCAAAGATGAAGCTGTACGAGTGTAACTACATCGTCCAAGCCACAAATGTTCTTTCTGGTCTTATCCCAGAGAAGGAAGACAAATCCACGTTGTCTGCCACTATTCTTGAGCGACTTTTCATCTTCGCTCTTATGTGGTCTATTGGCTCCGTACTTGAATTGGAAGACCGAGCGAAAATGGAAGCTTTCCTCAAGTCCCATCCATCAAAACTTGATCTACCAAAGATTCCAGGTGATACCAACTATACCATCTTCGAATACGTATGCAATATCGAAACCGGTGAATGGGAACATTGGAACGATCGTGTCCTCGCATACGATTACCCAACCAGTCCTGATGAAGATCTCCCAGACTACTCTGGAATCCTCATTCCGAACGTCGATAATACGAGAACAAATTTCCTCATAGATATCATCGCTTCCCAGGGCAAGTCTGTTCTCCTTATTGGTGAACAGGGTACTGGTAAAACCGTCATGGTCCAAGGTTACTGTAAAAAGTACGACCCAGAAGTGCACGTTTTCAAGTCTTTCAACTTCTCCAGCGCTACCGAACCACACATGTTCCAGAACACTATCGAGTCCCTTGTCGACAAGCGAGTTGGTACTACCTACGGACCCCCTGGTGGGCGTAAGATGACTGTTTTCATTGATGACGTAAACATGCCTGTTGTTAACGAGTGGGGTGATCAGATCACTAACGAAATTGTCCGACAGATGATGGAACAGAACGGTATGTTCTCACTCATCAAACCTGGTGATTTCACCAATATCGTCGATATCCAGTTTATCGCTGCTATGATTCACCCTGGTGGCGGACGAAATGACATTCCTGAACGATTGAAATCCCAGTTCGTCATCTTCAACTGCACCCTTCCCGCTGATAACTCGATTGATCATATCTTCCGAACCATCGCTACATCTTACTTCTCGACTGAACGAGGCTTCTCGCCAGATGTTCACGACATTGTCGCCAAACTCGTCCCTACAACTCGACTCCTTTGGCAACAGACCAAGGGTAAAATGTTGCCAACACCCGCGAAATTCCACTACGTCTTCAACTTGCGAGGTAACTTCCTAATTATGAGATTATTAATCTAATCCTAATTATTAAGATTTGTCTCGAATCTGGCAGACCGTTCTCAACGTCACTCACGAAGAATGCAATTCTGTCGAGAGTGTTGTTGCTCTGTGGAAACACGAATGTACCCGTGTCATTGCTGATCGATTCACTTGTCTCGAAGACAAGGCTTGGTTCGAAAATGCCATCAACGATACCCTCAAAACTGTCATTCCTGAAGACGTCGTCATTCGAGAAGAACCTTTCTTCGTCGATTTCCTCCGAGAAGCTCCTGAGCCAACTGGTGAAGAAGGCGATGATGCTGACCTTGACGCGCCAAAGATCTACGAAGAAGTTCCAAGTTTGGACTTTCTCTTGGAAAAGCTCCACGAGTACATGCGAAACTACAACGAAAACGTCCGAGGTGCCAATATGGATCTTGTATTCTTCAAGGATGCTATGGTTCACTTGGTCAAAATCTCACGTATTATTCGAACTCCACAGGGTAATGCTCTCCTTGTTGGTGTTGGTGGTTCTGGTAAACAGTCGCTTACCAAACTCGCTTCCTTCATCGCTGGATACAAAGTCTTCCAGATCACCCTCACAAGATCTTACAATGTTACCAACTTGATGGAAGATCTCAAGGTTCTCTACCGAGATGCTGGTCAAAAGGGTCAGGGATGGACTTTCATCCTTACCGATAACGAAATCAAGGACGAAGGCTTTTTGGAACCAATGAATAACCTCATTTCTTCTGGTGAGATCTCTGGTCTTTTCGCTAGAGATGAAATCGACGAGATCTGTGGTGAGCTCATCGCTGTTATGAAAAAAGTTTCGCCAAAAACTCCACCAACTCAAGATAATCTGTACGAATTCTTCGTCTCTCGAGCAAGAGCAAATCTTCACGTTGTTCTCTGCTTCTCCCCCGTCGGTGAAAAGTTCCAAGCTCGATCTCTCAAATTCCCTGGTTTGTTCTCCGGCTGTACTATGGATTGGTTCACTCGATGGCCTAAAGATGCCCTCGTCGCTGTGTCCAGCCATTTCTTGGGTAATTTCGACATCAAATGTACCGATGAAGTAAAACAACAGCTTATTCAAACTATGGGTTCTGTTCACGATTGTGTTCAAGAGTGCTGCCTTGAATATTTTGATCGATTCCGAAGAACGACTCACGTCACCCCGAAATCCTACCTATCCTTCTTGGAAGGTTACACAAAGATTTACAAGGCTAACCTTGAAAATCTCGAACATCTTGCTTATCGAATGGGTACTGGTTTGGACAAACTTGTTGAAGCTGGTGCTTCCGTCGATCAGCTCTCCAAAGAACTTGAAGTCAAGAAAGTCGATCTCGAAGTTGCTTCTATCAAAACAAACAAGGTCCTTGAGGAAGTCGCCGTCGCGTCTGCCTCTGCTAACAAAGTCAAAGAAGCTGTCATGGTCGTCAAAGAACGAGCTCAGAAAATCGTCGACTCCATTCAGGCAGAAGAAGCCGTTGCAAACGAAAAACTTGCTGCTGCTGAGCCTGCTTTGAAGGCTGCCGAAGATGCCCTCAACACCATCAAAGCTGCTGATATTGCCACGGTCCGAAAACTGGGTAAACCTCCACATCTGATTATGAGAGTCATGGACTGCATTCTCATCCTCTTTGGAAATAGACTCAACCCATGCGTACAGGATCCTGAGAAGGATTGCCCCACACCATCATGGGGTGAGTCTCTCAAGATGATGTCTCAGTCTTCTTTCCTCTCTAACTTGCTGAATTACAACAAAGATACCATCACTGACGAAATGATTGAAATGCTCGAGCCTTACTTCCGAATGGAAGATTTCACTCTCGAATCAGCGATGAAGGTCTCAGGATCTGTCGCCGGTCTCCTTTCTTGGGCTAAAGCTATGGCCTCCTTCTACTCCGTCAACAAGGAAGTCATTCCTTTGAAAATGAATCTCGCTGCTGCTAAGGCTCGTCTTACCATCGCCCAGAAGGAACTTGACGCTGCTCAGGCTGAGCTTGACGCAAAGGAAGAAGAAGCTGCCATTGTACAGGCCAAGTTCGATGCCGCTATGGCAGAGAAACAAGCTCTCGAAGACGATGCTGCTTCTTGTATGAGACGTATGTCTGCTGCTACAGCGCTTATCGAGGGTCTCTCCGGAGAAAAGATTCGATGGACAGCTGCTTCTAAATCTTTCCAAGACCAAATCAACAGACTTGTTGGTGACGTCCTTCTCGCCACTGGTTTCTTGTCTTACACTGGTCCATTTAACCAGGAATTCCGACAGCTTCTTATTGACAATAGATGGAGAGTTGAAATGGAAGAGCGAGGAATCCCCTTCACGGAAGACCTCAACATTACTGATTTCCTCATTGATCAGACTACTGTCGGCGAGTGGGCCCTTCAAGGCCTCCCATCTGATGATCTCTCCGTCCAAAATGGTTTGATTGTCACCAAGGCGTCCCGATATCCTCTTCTCATTGATCCTCAGCTCCAGGGTAAATCATGGATTAAAAACCGGGAGAAGAAGAATGACCTGATGGTTACAAACTTGGAGAACAAATACTTCCGAACCCATCTCGAAGATGCTCTCTCCATTGGTCGACCTCTTTTGATCGAAGATGTTGGTGAAGCACTGGATCCCGCTCTTGATAACGTCCTTGAGAAGAACTTCATTAAGAGTGGTTCCCGTTACAAAGTCAAGGTAGGTGACAAAGAATGCGACGTCATGGATGGCTTCGTTCTCTACATCACCACCAAACTTCCTAACCCCAAGTACACTCCCGAAGTTTCTGCTCGAACATCCATCATTGATTTCACTGTCACATCAAAGGGTCTTGAAGACCAGCTTCTTGGACGTGTAATTCTCACAGAAAAGGCGGAACTCGAAGCTGAACGAGTCCGATTGATGGAAGAAGTCAACGCTAACAAGAAAACAATGAAGCAACTTGAAGATAACCTCCTGATGAAGCTTACCTCTACCAAGGGTTCTCTTGTCGACGACGAATCTCTGATTATTATGTTGAACACAACCAAGAAAACCGCTGGCGAGGTCTCTGAAAAGCTTCAGATTGCCCACGACACCAACATCAAGATTAACATTGCTCGAGAAGAGTTCCGACCTGTCGCTACTCGAGGTTCGATTCTCTATTTCTTGATCACCAAGATGCAGGATGTCAACGTTATGTATCAGACATCTCTCTACCAGTTCTTGGAAATCTTTGATAACTCCATGCATCGATCTACCAAGTCGCCAGTTAATCAGAAGCGAATCGCCAATATCATTGAGTACTTGACGTTCGCTGTCCATGAGTACACTGCGCGATCACTCTACGAGGAACACAAGCTTCTCTTCGTCCTCCTCATGACTCTTCAAATTGATCTGCAGAGAGAAAACATCAAGTTCACTGAGTTCCAGACCTTCATCAAGGGTGGTGCTGCTTTGGACATGGCTTCTGCACCAACCAAGCCTCCATCTCTCAAGTGGATTCAGGATATGAACTGGCTCAACTTAGTTCAACTCAAGCAACTTCCTGAATTCCGAGAAATTCTCAACCAGATCATCCGAAACGACAAGGCCTGGAAGCAGTGGTGGGATACTGACGCCCCAGAAGATGAAATCATCCCTGATGGGTACAACGCCTCCCTCGACACCTTCCGAAAGCTTCTCCTCATTCGATCAATGTGTCTCGATCGATCTATGCCTCAAGCTCTCCGATACATTTCTGACTCTCTTGGAGCACGATACGCCGATCCAGTCATTTTGAACTTGGAAACTATGTTGGCTGAAAGTACCATCCGTGTTCCTATGGTCTGTCTGCTTTCTATGGGTTCCGATCCTACAAACCAGATTTGCGATTTGGCGCGAAAGATGAACCTCGAATGCCGATGTATCTCCATGGGTCAGGGACAAGAAATTCACGCTCGACGACTTCTCAACCTCGCTCGAGAACAAGGTGGCTGGGTTCTTCTTCAGAACTGTCACTTGGGTCTTGAGTTCATGGAAGAACTTCTCGAGTTTACTCTCACCAACGAAAACCCCAACCCAACTTTCCGAGTCTGGATTACTGTTGAGCCTCATCCAAAGTTCTCTATCACTCTCCTCCAGTCATCGATCAAGTTTACCAACGAGCCTCCTCAGGGTATCCGAGCAGGTCTCAAGCGAACCTTCTCCGAGTACGATCAGGACTACCTTGATATTAACAACCTCAAGGAATGGAAACCGCTCATCTATGCCGTCGCCTTCCTCCACACCACTGTTCAAGAACGACGTAAGTTTGGTCCAATTGGTTGGAACATCCCTTACGAGTTCAACTCTTCCGATCAGTCTGCTACCATGCAGTTCATCCAGAACCACTTGGACGATCTCGACCCCAAGCGAGGTATTCAGTGGGCTACTGTACGATACATGATCGGTGAGGTACAATATGGTGGTCGAGTCACTGACGACTTCGATAAGCGACTTCTCAATACCTACGCTCTCGTCTGGTTCTCACAAAAGACTTTCGAGGACAGCTTCAACTTCTACAAGGGCTACATTATTCCCAAATATGCCTCTCACGACCAAGTCATGGGTAAATTATCAAATTATAATCCAGTTATTCATATTTTTATTAAGGCGCTATCAATGGAATGAGTCCTATTGATTCTCCCGAAGCTTTCGGTCTCCATCCAAATGCTGATATCACCTACCAGACTCGATCTGCTGGAGCCATTCTCTCCACAATCGTCGACATTCAACCTAAGGATGCTGGCGCTGGCGGCGGAGAAACTCGAGAAGAGAAGGTCTACCGAATGGCCGATGAAATGTTGGCAAAGCTCCCCGCTGACTTTATCCCTCATGAAGTCAAGGCACGTTTGAAGAAGATGGGCGAATTCCAGTCGCTCAACATTTTCCTCAAACAAGAAATTGATCGAATGCAGCGTGTCATTTCGCGAGTTCGAATCACCCTCATCGACTTGAAATTGGCCATCGAAGGTACAATTATTATGTCCGAAAACTTGAAGGATGCATTGGACAATATGTTCGATGCTCGTGTTCCCGCCCTCTGGAAGAAGATCTCCTGGGATGCTTCTACCCTTGGTTTCTGGTTCACCGATCTTGTCGACAGAGATGCTCAGGTAATATTTGTATTTTTTCTTTAAGGCTCTTATTTTCATTTTAGTTCCGATCTTGGTGCTTCGATGGTCGACCTAAATCTTTCTGGATGACTGGTTTCTTCAACCCTCAAGGTTTCTTGACCGCCATGCGACAGGAGGTCACTCGAATGCACAAGGGCTGGGCTCTCGATTCCGTCACCCTCGCCAACGATGTAACCAAACACAACTACGAAGATATCAACGAGGGACCTAAGGAAGGTGTCTACGTCCACGGCTTGTTCTTGGATGGCGCCAACTGGGATCGAAAGAACAACTGTCTCGCCGATCCTCTTCCAAAGGTTTGACTTCGTATTTTTCAAACAAAAATCTTGACTCACTTTTTCAGGTCTTGAATGTGGCCATGCCCGTGATCCATGTGTACGCTATCAACTCGACTGCGCCCAAGGATCCCGCGCTCTACCAGTGTCCAACATACAAGAAACCGCAGCGAACGGATTTGACCTTCATTTCGTCTCTGTACTTGAAGTCCAAGCAGCCACCATCCAAGTGGGTCCTCCGAGGTGTTGCCCTTCTCTGCGATATCAAATAAGCTGTTTCTGATTTCTGCTTTCACATCTATTTATTTTTATATCAACATAATATTCTATTTTTATATTTAATAACTTTGGTCCGCATATTAATCCCTTCAATCAAATTTCAATAAATAATTCTCCGCAATAAACTAAGTTTGTCTTGTTTAGAAACTTTTTGGTAGTAGCGAGTGTATAATATAGCAGTGTCGAGATGGATTGGGTAGAGCCCGCAGAGGAGGAAATGTACATTTCCAACTTTCCTCCTGAAAACATGCGTCTAAATGTGAAGTTGTTTTCTGTCCCGCCGAAGTCTTCGCCAGATCCACCGGTAACTTGACTATTTCGAGATGAAGATAATTTTCAATGATAGGAAACACACTCCAAAGTATTCAAATGGAAGTCGCAAATTACCGAGGGTCGTCTTATTTCAAGCCTCACTGATCTAAAGACAAATCTCATCACTGGAATTGAAAATATCACGCTGAATCAAAACAACGCAGAAGCTAAGTTTACTGAGAAAATGTTCATCTATGCGAATTTGGCGCGAAATCCGGACGAGCAACAAGAACTTATTGAAATTTTACGAATACGAACAGATGGAAACGGCCACTATTGGTTCAAGCCAGATTTGACAGGAAGCAGGCCTCCCTATCGGATACCGCCGTTTGCGTCTGCCAGCATTTTTACCAACCAAGGTTTTTCAAGAGCTTCTGATTCTTGAGACGATGCCATTTAGAGTGGCGATATAAAATTGAAGGAATTCAAGTCGGACCGGCACACGGTTTCCAAGATGAAAAATCAGTTCTACCGCCGCAAATCACATGGACAGACTCGCACCCGATGGAAGGTGTCGTCAAAGTCCATGTTTTTGGAGAGGTGCTTTCGGCTGAAGGCTTCGAGTATCCAACTATCTCTGGTAAATTCCGCTCTATTTTGCTCTTTTTCGAATTTACCGCCTTAAGTAACGATCAGAAACTCCCTCGACTCGCAACACGTTGTCACGCATTCAGTGTCCCCACGAGACGGAATCAGAAAATATTCGTATCCCTTCACTTTTGAGTTCTCAATGAGAGACGGGGCTCGGTATCCAGAGCTGTTTGTTGAAGCAGTTTCTTTCGGGTTTTTCAATAATCGAAGAATCGAAGGTAATTCTTATCATTTTATCTATTGATAATAGACTATTATCAATTCATTTTCGATATTTTTAGGCTATGGTTACGGAATGATCCCGGAAGAGGCGGGTAAACACGATGTTGAAATCAAATGCTGGAGACCGCAAATGGGACTTCAAGACGAGTAAGTTCCATTGATTTTGCTCCGTTCTGATTTGAACTGCTTTCTAGATTACGCCGTTTCTTCCTCGGTGGCACAGGAGAGCTGGTGTCGCTCAATCCAATCGGCATCAACCCTTATTCTTCCTCAAACAAGTTCTCCCGCCTTGGACTCAACACGATGACTACAGGGACGGTGAAAGTGCGTCTCCGCATCGCCAAACACTTCCACAAAAGCTCCAAAAAGAAATCAACCTCACGACTGCCAGCAGAAAGTTCGAAAGAAGACATCTTGGAAAAATTCCAAAAGGTTCGAGATCAGATGATTCGCAACCGAAGAGCCGTTCCAAAACACATTATTTCCTCTTGAGAAGAAGCCGCTTTTATTTTTTTAGCACTGTCCATTTTATTTTTTTCAATAAAATCTTTCCTTTTGATAATTTTGTGCGTGTTAATTTTTTAAATAAGGTAAAATGGAAATGATTATTTGAGTTGAAAACAGGATTTCGGTGAAAATAAGTCAGGAACTGTCCAAAGATGAAGTTTTTGGAGACTTGAATCAAAACACCATAATGCCATATTTAACCAGATATTCCGGGATCGATTTTCGGTCTTTTGCTTCAGCTCTGGTCTCTCTTCAAAACGTATAATTCTTTCGCCTTTTACTAAAGAATTCCGTGGAGAGGGACACTCTTATGAGTATTTGAATTTTTCTGAAGCCTCACACGAGGCAGTAACCCTGAACTTTGACCTCGGTTCTGAGATCTCACCTCCGACGGGGGATTATCCATCGGTCGCAGGCTGCTCGCAGCGATTCCTTTCCCGATTCGTCTTTTACATCTTTTGATTAGTGTTGGTTGATTTTGACGTTTGTCGATATATGCTACTGCATATAATATGTAATATCATGAATTATGATAATAGTATGACGCGCTTTTTTTAAGGTTGTGCAAGTTATTTCTCCCACTTTTTCTTTGAAATACCCATAACATCATATATATTTGGAATCAGTGAGAAATATCAAAAACCGTGACCTTTTTAGTTTATCGAAAATCATTTCCGGTTTCGACTCTAGAGTCGGAAGTTGGCGAAATTAATGAGAATGTTATGCTTGTGACCTATCAAATTGAAGCTAAGAACGTTTTAAATCATTTTCAGATCGCGTTCAGATTCGGTTCCCTTTGGTTTAGTGCGCTCTTTTTTCAGTTTGAAATTCGTAAAAATATGCCAAATATCGATTTTTTTCTCTCGTTTGACCGGTCGTTCTGACCGCGGTTTGATTTAATTTCTCTTCCAAGAGACTGGAAATGTTCTATGCTCCAGTTTGATAGGTCACATGCATGCCATTCTCATAAATTTCGCCAACTTCCGGCTCTAGAATCGCAACCGGAAGTGATTTTCAAGAAACAAAAAAGGTCACGGTTCTAGATTTTTTCTGCTGATTCCAAATATGTATTGCATGCCAGGTTTTGGAATTAGTAAGTAGGTCAAATAACTTGCACAACCTTAAAAAAAGCGCGTCTATGGTGTTTTATTCCGAGAACTTTCGTCCATAAAAGACAGAGAACTCGGAATAAAGCGCCACACTACAAATATAATCATAGGAATGATAATTGATTATTTTTAGAGTATAGAAAACTGTTAGAACATGTCGTCGATTTTGGTTACATATCCGCGAATATTGAGAACGTACGATTGCGATGCTTCACTTACAGGCGAATGGACGAAGCCCTCGAATGAGATTGCTTTCGCGAAAATGTCGTCAACTGGACAACTCCTTTACAGGTAGCTGGTGTCACAAAAACTAGTCCAAATTACAACTGTATTTAGACAAGGAGAATCTCTTCTTTTCGCCGACCAAAAAGCGCCACCGAAAATCGTAAATGTAACCGAAAAAGTCACTAAGTTCGACGTTTCGGATCGCAACGTCATTTCCCTCACACCGAATTCACTCGATGTCCTCACCCTTGGCCTTCGAAAAGAAAACTCAATCAAAATACCCGCAAATCGCAGTTGTCTTGCTCCAAATACCGCCGACAAATCCGTGTTCGTCGGCTGCGCCATTTCCGGAGAGCTCCACCGAATCTCCCTCGTCAATTATTCCGTCAAAGAGATCCCTATCATCAAGCAACCAACAAATGCTCTGAAATCTGGAATTCTACAAATCGCGCCGATCCACGCATCGCAGAGAAAACTCGCCATTTTGAGGGGCGAAAAGCTTGCTGCTTCAGAAGCCGCCATTCTCGATGTCACTAAAGGCGTTGTAAGCGCCTTTCCGCATTCTAGCCTGGCTCCTACTAAAGCCCTTCGCTGCTCTCCAGTCACTGACACGCTCTGCTTCACTGCCGGCTACGACAAAACTATCAAGCTCTACGACACGAGAGAGGTGAAGATGATCAGCCGCAACACAACCGACTTGATCATTCAATACGCAGACTTTGTCGACGCGCAGAAAATTGCGTTTACTTGCATCAAAGGTGGCGTCTACATGATCGACTTGCGAAATAGCGATAAAATAACGACAATCGCGCAGCCCGTCGAAACCGGACTCGTCAAAAGCTCGATCACTTTGGATCCTACTCATCGAGCTTCTACAATTTTGGCAGAGTTGGAGAACCCACAAGAAAAACCAAAAAGAGACAGAAATTTTCTGGAAAAACGAACTGCGCCGAGAATCCAGTCTCCGTTAGTTTCGCATTCTACGACCACAAGTGCTAGCCTTCAGCCATCTGCAAACACAAATACAATGGAAATTGACCAGCAAAAAATCACGACAAGGCCAAAGCCAGTTCTCAGGGAGCAAGTTTTCCCAAGTTTCAAAGAGAACAAACAAGTCACTCCGAGAAATGAAGACGAAAAGCAAGAAACTGCAACATTGCCAAAAGTGGAACTTGCGAAGATCACCGGTCTACTGGAAACTCTTGTTTCGAAGGTTTCGGCAATTGAACAAAAAGTGGTGAGTTTGGATCAGCGGATTGAGAAATTGGAAGCTCCGGTCAAGTAAGTTTCATGAATATTTTCTTGTTTTCAAAACGAATTCAAGAGAAACGAGACATTTGATTACCTTCCCGATGGAATCTGACTCCGCACGTCCTTTGCAAGCTGGTATTCTTCAATAACAAGATGATCTAATTTATATTTTAAAATGTAGACATGAGAGCTCAAGTGACAGATCCACTCAAGAGGAAAATCGAGCGACTCGAACTTTTCCAGAACGACGCAAACAGCATGATCAAGGAGCTGGGCGAGATGTACATCAAGGACAACGACGAACTGAAAGCCGCTGTGCAGAACCTTGCTGAACAAATAGAACGAGCGCGGTAAGACTCAACGCGATTTTCTTGAAACAAGACTTTTTCTTTCAGCCAGCCGATGAACGCTTCTCAGCTTGTCCTTCCAGACTGGCGAACTTAAAACACCTGTTAAAAAACTAACTTACTCTCACGGTTTATTATTCTCTCACATTCCCTCATACTCAACACATTCGTATTTTTAATATTTTGTCTTAAAAAGTTCAAATACAACTGCCTTTCACTTAAAATTTTAATAAATTTCGAATTGATCTTGAAGCTGATCTCATTTCTCTAAAATTTGCATCTACGTAGAATGTCATTTGCAAGGCACTTGTCAACATCCACTCGCCACCAAATCAACAAAAAGCCCTTGCTGCGCCCTTGGTTCTATCATCACAAATACCAGGACTCGCCTGCTAATGGCGAGTTTGATTACAACAGTGGAAAGGGAGACTATTTCTTTGGAAAGCCATACTTCGTGCACAACAAGGCGAAAGACATCTTCTACGAGCAAATTGGCTGGATCAATTCAACCCATACTTCCGTCAAAGTAGTCTTGCTCAAGGATTTAGTCTACGAAACTGACGAAGAAGGAACCCAAGCATCGGGCACTGTTGGCGATGTTATTTCGCTAACAAAGGTAATCTATTGAAGGGTTGATTTTGACCAAGAGTTTCATCAAAAACCTCAAGGATATGGGCCGAGCGATGGTCAACAATCTTGATGCTCTTTATGCGACGCCTGAAAATATAAAATTCGTCGAAAGCACGACCGATTCGACCGGTCAAACCAAAGAACAACTTGCTTTGAAGAAGAAGTATTCCTGGCTTGAACTTGCGGACTTATTCATTGGTAGCCTTTTTTACAGATCTTTCTCGTCAACTTGATTTCAAGATTTCAAAGCAGGATCCGGCTGGACGGTGACAGAAGAGACTATCGCACGAAGACTTCTTGTCTGTAATAAAATTGTTGTACCAGCGGAAAATATAACTGTTCTCGACGATTCACTCGTCAGGCTCGGCGATGTGGAGCCAAGGGGCGTTTTGAAAATATCTATTGCTTATGATGGAAATGTCTCTTCCATAGAAAAGTCTATTGAAATTTGCCCCGCTGAATAAATTTGACCTTAGAGAATAAACGCACTGCTTTTAATCGTAATTTTTTTTTTAAAGAATGGCAGATTCTGAGGTGGAAAGTTCTGTTCCACAGGACTCGATTTCGGTCGGCGACAATCAGTCAACATTCACCGGCTCGACGGTGACGGGTTTCACATCCACAGCTGCAAGGAGAAAGATTATTAATGTGGAGACCTCGACCCTATTTCAGCTTCGGTCTGAAGTCGCTCAAAAAGCGGGAGAAGTGACAGAGATAAAAAACAAAATCGGCGTTTTTAAAGCTCCTGTTGTTAGGTATCCATCTTCGAGTTATCATTAGATTACTGTTGTTTAGTCGGAAGCTGCTGCCAGAAGAACTGAAAGCGAAGCGAAAAGCGAGAAAAGAGGAAAAGCGAAATGCTGGAATTGATGCTAGAAATGAGCGTGATATGGCTCAGCGTCTTAAAGATCGCGAAACAGCGGATAAAGTCAGAAGAAAACTTGAGGCCAAATCTCGAATCTACGATGCCGTAAATTATGGAGAGGAGCTTGATGATTACATGAGGTAAGCAAAATTTAACAAATTTTTGATGATAAAATTTTTACTAAAGAGAAAACTGTCTGGTCGACTTTGATGGAAAAGAAGTCGAAAGCAGGTCGAGGGATCGAGACTATCGAAGGGGTGATCCGCGTGATCTAGATCGAGATAGACGACCGCGAGAAAGACACTACAGCCATCAGGTACTCGCCTCGTCAACTCACTTTCTTCATGAGTTTTTCTTAGAGCGAGACATCTGACCTAATCGAACATACTGACGCTCTTGGCCGGACAAAGTACATCTCACGGGAACAGCTCCGGGAGGAGCGCGAGTACGATCGTGAGATTACCGATATGCGGCGAGGACATGACTACGACGAGCGCTCAAGTCGATATTCTGATGGATCCCGCTCTCCATCGCCTGAATCGAAGCAAGCAAGATTCCAAAATATCGACGATGGAGATATTCGAGATCTTGGTGTTGGTTACTACAATTTCTCGGCGGACGAATCGACCAGAAGACAACAGATGAGCATTCTTGACACTCTACGAGCCTCGACCGAAGATTCCAGGTAAAATTGTTCTTACTTTCGTTTCTTACTCTTTTTAGGCAGAATAAACAGATCAAAGAAACAGAAAAGGCCGAGAAAAAACGGAAAATGCTCGAGCGAAAAAGAGCCAAGCTCGCGAAGAAATTCAAAGTTGACGCTGAATCGATCGCGATTCCAGAGACAAATGTGGTTGTCGATCTTCCCGCTCCCAAGCCGATGAACATGACGGAGATGAATATCGATAGAAATATCGCAAAAGCAAAGAAGGCGGAAAGAGACTGGGACAAGGAAAAGGTCAGTCGATGAGTGTACGGACTTTGAGACTAACGTTAGTTCAGGATTTGGACGAAATTTATGGAAAGGACGAAGGCCACCGTCGCCCTGTTGCGCTTGAAACTGATTATTATCAGAGAATGAGAGACGAAAGAAGGGACGAGTTTGCTCCTTCATACGATAACCAGCCGACAAAAAATCATTATACGAGCACATATCTTTGTAAGCGCATCAGCCAAAATTTGGCTTTGAAAGCTTTATTCACAGTTACATATTCTAGCCCAGCAGCAGCAACAAACCTATTCAAATCAGTACGGCGGCAGCGGCTACGGAGAAGGCAGCTCTCAACAAAATCAAGGGCCTTGGGGTTATTAGCTTTTTCTCGTTCCATTTTCTGTTCTTTCAAAACATTCTCACGTCTTCCATTTTCAAATTTATCTTTTTAAGAATGATAAGACTCAATCGTCAACTAACATCAACTGTTTCTCGACTAGGAAGACCACGAGTCGGTGTTACTAGCGATAATTTAATAATAGGTAAGCGGCGTTTATTGAAATTATACATTTGTCTGTTCATTGTCGAATTTTGGCGGTTTTCCTTCTGGTCCCCAGCAAGCGCTGAATGCTGTCGGCATCTTGTCCGTATCTCGGCGAGTAAGGCAAAAGCATCCAGTGCAAAAGCCGACCAGAGACGAGACTAGTAGCAGCATAAGCAGCAGCTGCACATTAACTGAAAGTGCTCCGTCGACTAAAATGAAATTTAGAAATTGCATTTGAGTTTTTCTTCTTACTTTGATAATCTTCTAGTGTGTCATTTTCCATCTCGCTATTTTCTCTTTGCTGCTTTTAAAATTGGATTATTTGTGTATTCTTGGTCAGCGTAAGTCTTCAATAGTAAATGTCAGAATACGCTCCATCCTGGGATTGGGACCTTGTGCGGTCATCTTGCCCGCGGCGCATTCTGCACTAGAATGGTTGAATCATACTAGGATTGAATTCACTTGTTTAGTAATGCATCATCCTGCCGTGGAGGAAATCAAATACGAAGACACTCTACCTCTTCCTTTGGATAAGCCCGCTACGGCTGAGGAACTCGGTCGAAAACTGCTAAAAGCAGAAAATATTCAAGGTACCTTCGCTCAAAATTTGAAAACTTTTCAAACACCCGCCTAGAAAAAATATGGAAGTTCACTTTCATGCGAAAACCTATCCGACACCAGAAGGCTACGACGTTCACACATTAGATGACCTCTATCCTGGCGGCATTCTTGGAAAGACGCAAGCTAAAAACTCAGTTGTACTGCCCGAAAAGCTCGGAAAAATTTATCGAAATACGCCACGACAATGGGCAGTTCATAATTGGGCGTTCGAAAGTAGAGCGCTGGCGAACAGGCCTGGAAAAAGACGATTGGAACGTGACCCAAACCTGTAATTTAAAAATAAACAAGATTTAACGAATAAAATGTATTGAAATTATGAAAGCTGAATTCATTTTTTGGTTGAGCTTTTTGGATTATTTTTTGTTTTGAAATGATGCAGGCTTTAGGAAAGGATTTCAGTCAAGCGCCGATCAGAAGAGAGGGGTTGATTGTAAATCATCGCAGCTCTTGCCCTAGCGATGAAGTCGTCGTATTTCTTTTGCTTTCGACTCTCTGCTGTCAGTTCTTCAGACTTGAGCTTCAGCATTGTCAGAATATATTGGAGCTGATCAGCCGGTCGAATGTTTTGTCGAGCCTCGAATTTACGATAACATAATATCACTTTTTTCAACATACCCGATTATCTGCATCGCTGATGACTACAATGATAAAATTAACGATTGCGAAAATCGCAACAATCAGATATCCAATGTGGTAGATCCTAAGGAAGAAAACAGCTTCGCCTTTTTCCACGATCGGTTTGAGATCGTTCGGTTTCAGGTAGCCAAAGACCATCAAAGAAACGACACTGTCGCCAAAAGATTTGAAACGGCCGCTGTATGAGTTCAGATAAGCCATCCCTAAAACTTTTTGGAAAATGAACTAATATATAAATACCGATAAGAGCGAAGGCGACAGTAATAGGGACCATGAAACACGCGAGGCCGAGGGATTTTCTGACAACTTTTCGAATCACATCGAAGTAAATCTTTACCATGTTGAGGCCAGTGAGCACGAATATAACATGGAATGAGTTGAAAAAGAGCGCAAGGGCGATCGTTACCGAGCAATAAGTTTGTAAACTAAAAGTATGATTTTCAAGCGAAAGTAGTACAATTCTTACATGAAAACTTGGTCGAAAGGAGGACGCTGTCTCGGGTTGATCGAGTACAGACGGACCGCTTCCTTGGTCACGAGCAATCGACTGATAAAGAAGTAGATCATCAGGCTGTCCATCAAAACAAAGACCGTATTCGCGAACAATTTTTTGTCGAATTTCTTTGAATATATTCTCCGAATAAACGAGATCAATTTTAAAATGAACTGGATCGCAAAAACACAGTACGCTGCGAAATAAATGTTGGACTGTGAGCCAAACGTGTAGACGAATTGGTTGATCGAGAGTGTCGGAGTGTAGCCGCCACCTGGGGCTCTTTCGAAGGTTAATCGGAGTTGCGCGAAAATGTTGATGTTTCCGTTGAAATAAGTTTGTTCGATCATGAGGAAAGACGTTGAGTTGTCGATCCAAGCACTTGATTGCAGCTCCTCGATGATCAGTTCGCAAGAGTTCAAGTCGACTCCCAACTCGGCTTCGTATCGATGCTCGGTTATTGAGGTGGGAATGAGCTCGATGTAATCTTCAGGAACTTGGCTCTCGCTTGAGATCCACGGAATTAGGAACGGTGACTCCTTCTCGTATTCCTTCATATCTTCAATACTTCGAGGAACCCACTTTGGCGCATAATTGCCTCCTTGTCTTCTTGTCTGCAACAGTCGAGCGGGTCCAACTCGCAGCGATATCTTGTCACTAGCTTTTCGCCTTTCAAATGCGGACAACAACTTCCCGTCGTAACTTGTATTCGCAAAATTGACCCTTTTGAAATCGTTGACAACCGACCAAATTTCATCAACGGTGACGATATTCTCGGTAAAGTCAGAGCGAAAGCGGGAGCGCAGGTTTTTATCGACTTCGAACTTTTCAGTTGCAATGAAGCTTCGAGAAAGCAGAAAGTATACGGCTTAAAATTAAATTATTTATAGAGCAACTTTGATGAGAGACTATTGCTTAGCGTCATACCGCGTAGAATGAACCAGTTCTCGTCCGATCACTGAAGTTAAACTACGACGGGCGGGGTTAGTACTTACATGGGTGACCGGTTGGGAATACCTCGTGCGCTAAGCATTTTGCGTTTTTCGTACGTGGATCATCCTTTTTTCGGCAAGGTCATTTCCGCACAGTCTGGCTGATGAATCGAACGATGAGCTATCGAAAAAGGCTGTGATTGTGTAAGGCAAGTCGCATGGATTGAGAGTGTAGCTTGGCTGGCGGGCGGCTTGGCACTTGCGAAAAAGCGCCCTCTGACGCGCGCTTTTCTGAAAAGAGGCCGAAAATAGGAGCGCGCAGCGACAAAACGACCTCGAAATCAAGCACCCTCTTTCTTTACTCATCCCATTTTTGAGTCCGATTTCGATTGTCTAACAGGTAAGAATCGTATCCATGCCCCCTCTCTCCTATCCCTCTCGCCTCTTACAAACAATAACCAGCACAACAAGAAAAATGGGGTCTTCGGACGCGCTTTTTTAAGTTTTTTCCAGCCAACTTCCGCCATATAAACCCTAGTGTTCACAATTGTAGCTACAACCGCTCGGTATTTACCGCTAAAACGGTCCGAATTCTCTGCTGATTCTAAAAAGGTACCGTATTTGGGGTCTATAAGGCGGAAGTGGGCTGAAAACTTCGTTAACCTTAAAAAAGCACGTCTGAGCATAAATTTGAAAGGTCAGAGTTTACCTTAACTCCTTAATTTCGTCAACTTCCGACCCTAATATCGGACCGGAAGTGAAATTTCCAAAAACTAAAACCGTCAAAGTTCTTAAAATTTCTTGCTGATTGCATTCGGACCGTTTTGGCGGAAAATACCGCTACAATTGTGAGCACTAGGGTTGATAAAGCGGAAGTTGGCTGGAAAAACTAAAAAAAAAAGCGCGTCCTGTTACTCCGAAGACCCTATTTTTCTTGTTGTGCTGGTTATTGTTTGTAAGAGGCGAGAGGGATAGGGGAGAGAGGGCATGGATACGATTCTTACCTGTTAGACAATCGAAATCGGACTCAAAAATGGGATGAGTAAACAAAGAGGGTGCTTGATTTCGAGGTCGTTTTGTCGCTGCGCGCTCCTATTTTCGGCCTCTTTTCAGAAAAGCGCGCGTCAGAGGGCGCTTTTTCGCAAGTGCCAAGCCGCCCGCCCGCCAAGCTCCACTCTCAATCCATGCAATTTGCCTTACACAAACACTGTCTTTTTCGATAGCTGATCATTCGATTCATCAGCCAGAACGTGTGGAAATGACCTTGCCGAAAAAAGGATGATCCACGTACGAAAAACGCAAAATGCTTAGCGCACGAGGTATTCCCAACCGGTCACCCATGTAAGTACTAACCCCGCCCGTCGTAGTTTAACTTCAGTGATCGGACGAGAACTGGTTCATTCTACGCGGTATGAAGCTAAGCGTTAGTCTGTCATCAAAGTTGCTTTATAAATGTATTTATTTATTTTTACCTGTAGTAATTAAAGTCATAATTATCATCCTGAAAGTCTGATGAATTGATTTTTTGAACTGTTTGTCGATTCTTGCAGCCTTTGTTGCTCTGGCATCATTGATTTCCGACGGTTTCTGCGTTATTTTTGCAATTGAAACTTCAAACGAGTCATGCTTTACTCCAGACGGGTCGTGGATGAAATACTTGGCCTGGCTTTTCCTTTTGAAGCCGAAAAAGTACGAAATGTAGCCTTTCAAAAGCACGATTAAAACGGGGCCAGCGAGGAAGTCCGTGATGATGCCAAGGATTTGACTTCCAACCCAATTTTGAACGGGGACCTTGGTCAGCTGTAATCCGTAAAGAATCGTGAAAAAGTACGAAGTCAGAATTACAAGAGTGCAGAGAATGTAAGCGAACGGTCTCATCCATCTAGAGCGCCCAACGTTAAAGTTGTCCGCCCCCGAAGCTCCCTGGAGAGAAGATGGTAATGTGTTCTGAAAAACCCAAGTGAAGACCAAAGTTGTTGTTACTGTCAGTGAGGTAACATAAAGATTGACCAAGTACGATTGTGGATCAAGCTGAATTGGCCCTATCTCGATCGGCGTCGTTTTCGGCGTCTGGTAAAACATCATATTCGCCACCGAAGCAACCGACAAAGTAGCGTGCACTATCATCGTCTTGGCGGAACGATTACAGAATGCCCAAGGACTGTATGAAAATATCGCTATTTTGATGTTCTCAATGTGGAAGTTTTTCTTGAGAATCGTGATCGGATTCGCACTCAGATTTTCTTTCGGCGCCATGTTCAATTGTTTCAAAAGCTTCTTACTCGGTGCGGTGAGAATTTCTGTTTCTTCTGACAATCCAATCTTTCCGGAAAGTTTGAATTGGTTGACCTTCTCGAATTGTTTCTTGATAGAACCAAATGCAGGAATTCCTGTGGTTGATTCTGATCGTGGAATATAAACCTTGACGCTTTCGGGTCTCCAGGAAATGTCCATTCCTTCGAAGTTCGCCCAGAGCTCCACTCGATGTGCTTCTTCTAGAGGCGCGTTACTTCTGATCAAAAACGCTTGTTCGCTTCCTGGAGTGAAATTGCTCCCTTCCGGCAAAAGCAGCGAATAACTTCTGTGGATAAACGCTCCATGAAGGAAGCGCTCTAGATCACTCGCTGCATAAGTGGATTTTATGTGGAACGAGATGTAGCCAGTTTGCGGATTTTTCATGCCAATGGACGCGTGAGTCGAGGTTCGGACGACAATAAGATAGTCCTGTTGATGCAGATTGTACCGGTTGTGATAAGATCGCAAGTCTACCAACTTGAGCTGAGTAAGGTCCTTTTCATCGTTTCTTCGAGACCAGATGCACATGGCCGCCCAAACTCCCACCATGAGTATGACAAACTGAATGATCGGCATTGCACAGTCCATGCACACGTTTTTGAAAACACTGCTGAAGTCGATTGTCGATGGAGGAGCAAACACTTTTGTAGAAACTTTTACGTCTGCCGATGTTTCTCCGCAGTCACAACTGGTCAATTCTGTTGTCGTTGCGAATGGATTGACTTGACAAGTATCGTAGTCCCAGGTGCCTGCAGCAGAATCAAGGATCTGACAGGAAGCTGTAGTGTAAGTGATGTTAACCTCGGTGGGTTTTATAACCTTGATGTCAGTCACCATAGCGCCGACGAATAAAAAGCATTTCGGAGAGTTGGTCTTTTTCATGCAGTTATCAATTTCATTTTTTGGCAGTCGAAGTCCAAATTTATTGCCAGTTGATTCTTCACAATGAGTTCCGCTCTGATCAACAACATTACATTCCGCCGTTGTCAGCGCAGGAATATTCACATCGTCATGAGTAGTAGCTGGTAGGGCAAGTTTGAACTCGTGAACAAAAAATTCCGGATTCGGAGGAGATCCGTAGTTGATATAAACCATCATTGAGAGAGCATCAGTTTTGAAATTGACGTAAAAGTCGGTTGATTTTAGGATCTCAATTTTGATCGATGTGAACTCTTTGTCCGCTAGTGCTCTTGAAACAAGATTCGGTGGTTTTGAGTTTCTAACTGCGAATGAAAGCGGTTTGTCCCCATCTGGTGTTTGTAAACCAAGAACTGGCTCGTCTGTCGCATCATCGTCGAGGGCAAAAACGTTAACCTTAGACACCATAATTGTTCCATCATGATTTCCGTCTTATCGCAGGTTCAGAAGATAAAGCGAAATCCGAAAAGAAGGAAAATAGAACCCGTTCCTAGAGTAAATGAAGAAATATTCACCGGAGCGCCTGATCTTAATTTCTTGGAGCCAAGTTTCATGAACATCATTCCATCAGAAGAATTGCCAATCATTGTTCCTTCCGGCTGAGTATCGAGCAAAGCAATAGTTTTCTCAACTGCACTTTCAACAAGCTTCTTTGCCTCAAGCGCTTTTTCATTAGCCCCCGAGTTTTCATATTCCTTTTTGATTTCCGACTTCATCAGCCTCTCCGCAAAACCATCAGAGTCAGAAGATTCCTTTACGTGTGACGCAGCAGTGACGACCTGAAAAGACTCCAGCACTGTAGCGACTTTGAGCGCTGCGTCTTGAGCGGAAGCGATGTCATTGATTTCGGCGTTATCGACTTCTTTTAGAACAGTTTCACTTTGCGCTAGAACTAAAGCGACTTTTTCATTCAGTTCTTTCGCTACTTCTTCTGATTTCTCGAAAACAACTGCGTCTTTTTCTTCATCTGATGATTCTGAAGTCATTGAAAAGTCATCAACTTCTATCACTATCTTCGTGCATGATCTGGCATCATCTGTTGTCGAGAAACCAATGTCACACTCGCACAAATACGATCCATCGGTATTAATGCATTTTTGTGCGCATGTATTCAGTAATCGGTTTTCGCATTCATCTGTATCCAAACAAACTACCTTGCCTATTTCGTCAAGATAGTATCCTTCCGGACACGTACAGTAAGGAAGCCATTCGACTGGATTTAGATTGCAAATCGCGTTTCCCAGGCAAATGTTATGACGCTCACTGCAGACGTCGATTTTTGTGCAAGTATGATTTCCATCTTTGAAAACGAAACCCTCAAAAGTATGAACGCAATTGCATCCTTCCAAAATATGATCTTCCTTGCATTCAATAAGATTGTCAAGTTTTTTACACGATGCAAAAGTTGCTTGGCCAGTTTTCATGCTATAAAACTTACTCGGGCACCTTATCGGATTCTTGCTCCCCTCGCCACAGTAAAATCCCATCGGGCAAACTTCGCAATCTTCAATTGTTTGTCCTCCTTTTTCGTCGTTAAACGTTCCCGCAGGACAGAGAATTTCCTCGGTGGATGTGATGTTCTCGTTAGAAGGGCAGTATTTTCCTTTCCCGCAAGTTCTGCACTCGTCCACGCTTTTTGCTCTTTCTGTCGGAAGAAAAGTGCCTTTTGGACATTTTGTAGGATCGACGGAGCTTTCGGGGCAGTAATGACCGATCGGGCAGCTCTTGCAATCGCTTCTCGCAGAAGCTTTGGGTTCATTACGAAAAGTGCCAGGGGGACATTCAGTCATGCTGGTACTTTTAAAAGAGCAGTAATGTCCGGGATCGCATGGAGAACAGACCGTTCCATTTACAAACTCGCCAGTTGGACAAGGCACTCCTTTACTTGCTCCTTCTTGACAGTACAATCCCTCTTCGCAGGGGTAGCAAAAGTCCTTTCCTCGGTAATTCTGATAAGTTCCTTCTTCACAGGGAACCGCGAACTGGGGTCGGGAACCCACCACAATATTTCGAGGAGGGGAGGGGTTTCCCATTTTGGTTGGTTTTTGGTGGGTTTTTCATTTGGTTGGTTTTTGAGGGGTTTTAAGGGGTCTCTGGTGGGTTTTTGGTGGGATTTTTTTTGTCCTATCCAAGGTAAAGAAAAAATGAATATTTTTACATAAATATAGTTTTATTAATAGAAAAATAATGATGAAATTCTTTATTTTTTTAAACTCTTGAGGACTTTTTCCATCTCTTCGCCATAACCAAATTGAAGAAATGTTTCAACCGTTTTTGTTTTCAGTGACTCCCTGTCCGAAGAATAAAATTTTGAGCAACGGGCAAAGACACGCTCTTGGCAGCTGCTTGAACAAACCGATCCACGAAAAAGCTAGATATTATTCTTTAACGCTCAAAGAAACAACCTCACCAATCGTTTATGAAAGTTAAATATAAGAAAAAACAAATCTAGAACAATTACCTATTTTGATAATCAGAGTGCTCGTTCTCGAAACTTTTCCATTGAGAAGGGAGCACCATTCCATCACCGGTCGAATATGAATCCGTCGAATATGCACCGAAATCATAAAAAAACCCACCAAAAACCAACCAAAATCATCAAAATTCCCACCAAAAACCCACCAAATCGCAAAATTCGAGGTGGGTGAGGGTCAGGCTGAAAACCCACCAAAAATCCCTTAAAAAAAAACCCACCATAACCAACCTCAACATGGTGGGTTCCCGACCCCAGACCGCGAATTCCAAATAAGCGTTGCATTTGTGACCTAGCGGGCAATACTCACAACTACTCGGGCTTGCGAATCCATACATTTGATTATTGTAAGTTTCCAAATTCTGGAATGTTCCTGATTTGCATGGTATTTCTACAGGAGTGCTCCTGGGGCAATAAGTTCCAAATCGACATTTAATGCAGCTCGTGATATTATGTTGGCCTGTCAGAGGTTGAATAGTTCCTGGAGGACATTCAGTTTGTGAACTTGAACCGACTCCACAATAGTATCCAGCGTTACATGTCTGACAAGAGGTCGCGCGCTCTACTTTGTTATAACTACCAGCCGGGCAGGGAGAACAAATATGCCAGCCTACTTCGTCTATTGTCTGGTAAGTCCCAGGTGGACAGGGGGCTAGGAGCTATTTAAAATTTAATCTTTATGATGAAAATCATCAATTTCTAATAAATGATACCTGAAACTCCAGCCGCATCACATGAGAATCCTGACTCGCATGGTCTACATGAGGTCTGCCCAGTTTGAAGCGTGATGGTTCCCGGCTCGCAAGGTTTGCAAAGGGCAGCTCCAGGTTCATCTTGATAGGTCATCGAAAGACATGGTAGGGGCGACGGCGAGGCTGACGGACAATAATGACCTGTCAAGCAAGTCGTGCACTGATCACTTAGCCCCTCGATTGAATTAAAAGTCCCTGGCTCGCAATCAACACAAATGTAGTTGTTGTGCTCATCGATGATTTGTCGAGTACCAACTGGACATGGATAACTTCCGATTCCGTCTTTTGTGCAAAAAAATCCACTCTCACAGATATCACAGCTTGAACTGCCTAAATTAGGCGCTGTAGTGCCATTTGCACAGACAATGCAATAGTTTTGTTCGATTTCGTCCTGATATTCTCCGGCGGGACATTGAAGGCAAGGGAATTTGCCATTTCCGCCTTCAGAATAATATCCCTCGCCACAATTACAATCAGTTTCTGCAGTGGCTGTCTTGTGACATTCAATATGGTCATCAACAAAGAAACAATTGGTAAAATCACTCTGGACTGCGAATGAGATTTTTCCATTCTGGTAATGTCCGACTGGCCCAGTTGTCCAAAGATTTTCGTTCAGAGAAGTGTTTGAGACGAATAACATTGTGAATTGGTCTTTTTTATGAAGAACTCTTATCCTTAAATTCTGAATGTCCACTGTTGGAATGTATTTCTTCATGGAATGAAGGCCAAAGTCATTTACTGATTTCACGTCTACCGAAAGAAATCTTCCCTTTTCATCGACATCAGAACTGATTGTCAAATAATCAGAGTCATATAAATTCGGAAGGTAATCAACGGAATCATCAAAAGCTGAAAACCACAGTGAAGTACTAAACATATTTGCGGGTATTTCGTGGGGGATCCTTGGATACGTCGCGTCACCATCTGCAAGCTCACTAGTTATCTCATATGTCTCATTGAATTGGCCTTCGTGGAGCTCTGTTGTAAAGTGTGAGCCAGCAGGACATCGGGTTTCTACATCAGCGGAACAGTAATTATTATCCGAACATGGAACTGGCGTGTCTTGATAAATTCGATGTCCAACGTCTGGGCAGAGAAAACCATCTGGACAAACTTCAGGGTGAATAGTTCCAAGTCCAGTTCCTACCCAAAACCCAGGTTGCGCTCGAGAGCAATTGAATGATGGAGATACATTGCTGTACTGCCCAAACGGACATCGTGCGCAAAGTCCTGTGCCCAAGTTGTAATATTGTCCAGGCGGACAAGGCTCACAGAATTCATCTTGTCCACGCACGTATCCGTGATTGCACTGGCAGTCATTCACGGAAGTTGCAGTTTTATAGCAGCGAAGATAATTCTCAGTATCAAAGAAACAACCTGTCCAATCTGAAGAAACTGCAGTCATTATGTTCACCATTCCAATCCAAGGCTCAGAAGCATCTCCTGGATTGTCGATTGGTTGAACATCAATATGACAAAATTTGTCTGTATGGCATAAAACTGTAAACATATTCCACTGCTGAAGGTCGATTCCTGGTAGGTATTTTTTCAGTGGTAGGAGTCCATTTGTTTGTAACTGCTGTCCGAAGATGGATGCTGGGTTGCCAATACACTAGGAGAGATTGAGAATGAAAAGGGATGAATCTCCTTACCTCGACAACAAAAACATCATATTCTTTGTATGCGAAGCAGAAGAGATAGCTATCATAGGCAACGCCTTCGGGATTCTTTGTACGTGCGAATGTTAATCGACAGTTTAAATTCTGATGAATATCTGCCCAGTTTGTAGGACACTGCTCAACATCTGTGGTTGCATATTTTCCCTCAAACTGCATGCTTATGACATCAAAATATTCAGAAGAAGGATAATTTAGCTCGTGTCTTGTTAACCAATTGGACTCTGGGTCGGATGAAAGCTCGTAAGTGACAAAATGAGAATTTTCGGGGCATGACTGAGAAGCTTCGCCAACACCTCTGTAAGTGTTGTCTCCAAGTGGATCTGGGTACCAACCGTTGATATATCCACGACCAATGCCCTCACAGAGAAATCCAGCAGGACAGAGAACTTCCTCTGTAGCACCAACACCGCTATCAATAAACATTTCTTCGCTCGCCCTCGTGCATTCAATCATCCCTTCACTTGGCGTGAACAACCCGATCGGACACGGAACGCATTCTCGTGAAACGGTTCCAAATGTTCCAGCGGGACAGGCAATGCATTGTCCATTCGAGTTCAATTTATATCCTTGTGTGCAGTAGCAGTCGCTTGGTTGCGAAAATTTCTTCTGACAAATGAGCTTTGGCGGATCATTATTAGGAGTAACATAACAAGCAGCAGTGCCATTCGCATCATATATAAAGTCGTAATCGCCGATTTCTGCCCAGTTATTTCCATTGTCATACAACTGATCAAGAAGATCTTGTGTTCCACAGATTTGTTTTTCTGTTCTCGCGAAGATTTCATCTGTACCAGAAAGGAGCCTCATCTCGGTTATTTCCTTGAACCAAGTTTTTGCGTATCGAAACACTTCTGGCCTATGGTTATCGTGATTGCTGTTGATTGCGTTTTGAAGGATGTTGATGTTGTTGTTGCATTCGTCGCTTCTACTCTTCGTCGCATAGAAAATTTGATCATCAATAAAGACTTTAATTGTTAGCAAGTTCTCTTCATCCCACTTCTTGTCCCAATTGTAAGTAACTTTTAGCTTGTAGATTTCATCAAGCAAAAGAGTCTTCGTTCCGAAAATATAATCTTCTTCGCTGCTTTCAAAAAGCTCCTGAGCCACGCTGCATGGTTTCTTCAAGAGCGTTAATTTCTGGGAGCCAGAGTCGTACTTGAACACAATATCTATCACAGGGTACGTCAGTTTCCAAATAATTTTATTCACATATGTTCCCGTTGTTCTGAAATAAGAGACAAAATATTGAACCTTTGCATGCGCGCAACCCGCAGGAAGTTTGTAGAAAGCGTTTTCAATGTATTCACTGTCATATTCTCCATCGGCCCTCAAATCGTATTTCAACCGCATGTAGTACTGTGAAATATCTTCGTTATTTCTAAAGTTCTTTAAAGTCCTTTCTGTAAATCCGTATAAAAACGGCTCGAATTCCACGATGCCTAAATATTCCATATCCGAAGTTGTATTCGCCGGACACACGAATTTTGACCCACCAGTACAGTAATGTCCATCTTCACAACTTTTTGGATGAGCTTGTCCCGGGGTATCGCAAATGGATCCTTCTGGACAAGGTTGGCATATTCCATTTGCATACGCGAACGTTCCAACAGGACATGGTTCGCATGTCATTGTTTCATTGTTGTAGAAAGCTCGGCTGAAATCGCATCTTGAGCATTTCTGAGGATGATTTGAACTTAGCTGAAGAGCAGTTCCGTCAGGGCATTTGTGACAGAGAGGATCTGCTACGTCTGCGAAGTATCCATCAGGACATTGTACGCAATTGCTTGAAACTGGTATTTCACCAAGAGGACACTTTTTAGGGACATTAAACGGGCATATGAATCCAGGTGGACAACTTGCACAGGTTTGACCGGGCGTTGAGAACTCTCCAACAGAGCAAACTCGACATGTTCCTCCAGTTTCTAAGAAGAACCTTGAATCAACAAGTTTCAAATTGCCTTCGTAACCGGACCCAATACTGCAATGAGTGTTCAACTGATCAGTGTAGCTAATTCTGAATGCTGGGACATAACCAGAAATCTGTTGATAGATCAAGTCCTGAGCAGAACACTGGTTGTTCGATGCGCTAACTTCAGAACAGTAAGAATCATAATTCCGCGCATCCCAAACTTCTTGATCTGGAACTGTTCCGTCTAAAATGCATTGATCTCCGTGCCGATACTTTCCAGCTCCGCAATATGTGAAATAACATTGTTCAGTGAACCAGTTGTAATCTCCATCAGATCCACTAAAAATTGCGTCGTCTGCAGATATGAACGACTCGGAAAACGCATCTCTTTGCGTATAGTAAATTTCTTCCGAGGAAATTTCCAAATCTTTAGCCGGAGTCTTTTTGGCAAATGTTATGCCAAGCGCTTTTGGTCGAAAGTTCTCGATTCTCAGCCCGTGTAAGTCAAGATCAAAGGTACTCCCAAACACAAAATACGCGTTTGAAACACCTGATATTGATTCAATGGGAAGGTATATTTCTGAGCTCATCGAAAGCACTTGGCTTCCGCCGCTGTATGAGATTTTTACTTCGTAACTTGGGAAATTCTTAATGTTTCCGTAGAATTGTGAGATTTCAAATTGGTAAATGTCATTATCTGCAATGTATATCCACGCTGATCGGTACTGTATGTAAGCAGAATTATCATCATCCAGTCGGATAGTAAACATTATTTGTTTTCCAGGATAATCAATTTTATATTCGACGTAAATAAAACTCTCGTCGGCTGCGTATTCGATCAAAAATTACGATTACCTTATTATCAAAAAATATGTATATTAATTATTTTTGACCTTTGCTGATTTTCTTAATCTGAAAAGAGTGCATCCAAGCAGGCAGTATTTATTACCTTCTTTAGTAAGTTTCATGATTTTTAATCAACAAAATTTTAAACAAGCAATTATCATATTTTCAATTTACGTTTCATCAAAATATGAAACCACTAACTGAATTCAGCGGGATGTCAACGTCATTCTCAATATTCGATCGGAGTGGCCCAGAGAAGGAAAGCATGATATTCAGAAAATAACTTCCAGTGAAAGTATCCATGGTCATGTGCGAAGCATCAGAAGTACCAATATTTCCAATTTTTTGGTTATTTGTAAGTTGGAAGGGATAATTCAACTGTTCCCGAATTTTGAAGTCTTTGATCAGATAATTATCAAGGCAGGACGAGACAGGCGGGCCATCAAATCGCAGATAGTATTCTTTTCGAAGACTACCTTGAGTTTTATTGATCGAATAAGTTTTGACATGAACTTCATTGAGGCGTACAACTATCTTCTGCCCTGGTACATCATGGTTGAGCTGTGTAATGATTTGGATCGAATTCCATTTATTCAACCTGAGATTGAGTTCTTCTACCAAATCATCGTCAAAAAGAATAACCAGCTTCTTGTCTGTTCCCAAAAGCTTTACTTTTATATGATTTGACCTAAGAGTGCCAGCATACCAGTGAAAAATGACATAATTTGAACATAACATATCCTCTTCAGGAGCAAAAATTTGAAAGCGAAGGCGATTTCGAAAGCGTAAAAAGTTGTACTGCACGTTCAAATGAGAACCAAGGCTTTGAAGAGTCAGTTCATCATCTGGAGCTATAACTACGCCATCATCTTTGATGTACGATTGTATCCAAAAACCATCTTCTTTTTCAACATAGAGGTCACCGTTTCTTGTCATCAACTCGTAATCGAAAATCGTTTTGACGGAAAGTGATTCTTCTGAAAGGAAAATGGAGCTGGCGCCTTCTATGTAATTGTTATAGTTGATCATTGTCTTATAAATCCAGCTTGATGGGGGAACCGATGGAATAACTGCTAGTTCTAGGGGAGAAATGGAGCTTCTCTCTGTATTGACTTTGCAACAGCCTTTGAACCAATTTACAGATTTGTCGGGACTAACATAAAACGACGGAGAAACACTTTTAGCGGTAAAATACTGCGTCTTTTCTTCTCGCCAATTTGTGGAATCTTGATTGTAATCCGCGCCCAGAGCATTCGTTATTACTTTAGGAGTTGATGATTTATCCGGCTTTAGAATTTGCAGTTCAAAATTTTGCGGGTCGAATCCTTCATATTCGAAAGCAACGAGGTCAAAGTCGACAGCTTTGTTGTGTTGCCAAGGCGGGTAGAATATAACATTGACTGGTGCTTGATCTAATAAACGTCGAGTAAATGTCTCAGAGCAGACTACATTCGACACTAAGATTTCATCCTTTTTGAAGCCGATTCGGTAAGTGATATGTCCATTTTCCAGCATCAAAGTATCTATTCGAATCTGATATTCAGAATTAGCAGAAAATTGTGCATACTCCGTCTCACAAGAAGAAAATGAAGGATTTCCATCAATTATACCAAATTTGATAATCGGGAAATTCTCGTGCGAAAATTTGAAGTACAAAAGAAGATGATGAAGTAAGTCGATAACAACAAAGTCTTCTGATTCGCAATTCTCGTAGTCAATGGAACTCATGCCATCGAAGTCACCAAAGTCATCGATTGAATGGCAAGGTACGACGTCCATGTTACTTATTATGACATTGATAGAAAATAATCCAGTAAAATCGTGCAATAACCATCCTCCTGCAGGAAAATGAGACCCAGAATTGTGATACTCGTTTAAAACGTTAGCAATTCTTCCAGCTGTATTTTCTTTTGTGATGAATTTGTAGCGATTGTGTTCTTGCAAGGTTCAATTTGGTGTTGGTTTTTGAAAGCGATAAAAATTGTTCGAATGATAGTTTCAGTGACTTTAAAATCAAGAACCCGTTCCTATTATAGTGAAGTCTTTGATCCAGGACCTTTCAGATGGATTTTTGGTTGGAAAATTGACGTCGAACGGTTTTTTCGAGTAGTAAGCTGACTTTGGAGAAAGTTCAAAAACGTTGAATAGCTTCATCGGTGAGCTCGCCCATTCGTTTCCGGCCTCGTCTTTTCTGATGACTTTGACGGTCAAAGAATGAGAATCTCGTTCTTCGTAAACTTCAAGTTCGATAAGATTCCATTTGTTTGCCGCGAGATTCTTTTGCCTGTAATCCCCGTTTTCATTTTTAACCACTATAGCTGAAGCTTTATCTTTGTATTTTACTTGCAAAAATGTTTCGCCTGACTCAGCAAATTTTATATTGAAGAAATAATTAGTCGATTCTCCCGGGCCCGAAAATGGAATCTGAATATAAATGATATTTTATACGATTATAGAGAGCTTGCTTACATTTTCATCGGGGTAGATTTGAAATCGGACTCGAAATGAAGCCGGAAATAAATCGATTTGCGTATCATAAGAGCTCATTAACGATTGTGTTCGGACAGGGCCAGAAATAATTGTATGCTCAGGGTTAAGATAAGCTTTTCTGAAGTATCCGTCTTCTCCCAAAGATACTTCAATTTGAGATCTAACGGAACCAATGCTCTCTGAATGAATCAAGTCTAAGTTCGTGTATTCTTCAGAAGCTAGAGATTCGATATCTTCTCCATAGTTGTGAGCCAGATTGATAATGGAAGTGTAAGTCCAGGCGCGTGGCTCTACTGATGGTATTTTGTCAAATTGATGAGGACTTATTGTTGTTCGAGGTGAGGTTGGATCAGCATCGCATGGAAGAAGAGTATGAACGCCAGTAGAGTCACACACAGCTCCGTAAGGACAATCAAAGCATTGACCTTCGACAATATATTTGTCGGGAGAGGCACATGTCTCTTCAACTTTCATTTCTGGGCAGTACTCTTTTCGGCAAACAACTTGAAGAATATCTGCAGAATCTGCCATTTGAATCGTTTCTGTTGTAAGTAGAATCTTGGCGTACTTTTTCACATCCGAATACTGCTCACCATCTACCCAAGGGTATTCATTCCAACCTACGAAATTGGTATAGCTTTCGTCTGGATTTTTAAACACTCCCGAGGTATCCAAGGCTGTCAGACCTGTCCAAGCATCAAGGAACCCATAAGAAAGGTATTTTTCAAACTCTTCTTCAGTTTTGAAATACGCAAGCTCCATTCCATCTGCTTCGCATTCTTCGACTCCCGAAGAATAAGGACCGGGAATACCAAGATCCGTGAAATGAACACAATCAATTGGAGGTGCGCTTGGAGTGCACTCATAGATCCGACAATACAGGTCGCCATCAACGGTTGATGAACTACAGTCTTCACTGTTCGTGACGAGAAGCTCTCCATCTTCCTCGATTAAACGAGCGCACTGGTTACCATCGTCGAATAAATCAATTGTGACGTTAGTAAATCGAGCGATATCACTAAATGATCCGTCGGGATTCCACCAGTTGTAATCTTTGAGAGTCAATCCAAGCCAGCCAACGGAGTTTTCAGTAGTCTTTCATTCTGGTTAAATAAGTATTCTTATCTCGTCAAAACAGTGCATTTGCTAGCCATGTCCTGAAGGTATTTCTCGAGCTCCTCGTTCGAACTAAAAAACGGAAGTGTCCCTTGCCTACTAGCACAAGAATCAGCCGCACTTGCATAAGAAATACCCACTCCATTTGAAATTGTTTTCACAAAGTTAACACACTCAATGCCTTGTGCTTTTATCACTGGTAGAAAAAGAAATATAAATAGTCTCTCCACCATTATTACGACGAATGAACTTTACTTTAGACAAAATAAGCTTGGATGTCATTTATGAATATTTGATGAATATATTCATGGATTCTGACGGAAGCATCTTCGCGAATTTTCGCCCTCGAACTCTATTCATTATATTATATTTCGTTACGAATGTCTTCTTTATCATCAAATCTTAGGTGCACTTGCTAAGACAGCTGCAGATCATAAGGTGCATTAATTAGTTGTCTCTGATGATCCGAGCGCAGACTAGCAGCTGGTAAGGTGCACCAACGGACACCTTGAGCTTTCATCATAATTTCATCTACAAGGTGCACTTGGCGCCATTGAGTACAGGTTCCATATAAACAGACAGTTGAGAGCAAACGATCATCAAATCAAAATCAAAGCACTAATCAACAACAAAAACCAAGAATCACCATGACAGGCAAAATCCTCTTCACCAAGTCAGGCAAACGCAAGCAATACCGATCTCCAGAAGCCATTCTCCGTCGAAACGACCAAGAACGCGCCCGTCAAAAAGAAATGAACGAAGCTTTCGACGCTCTCCGCAAAGTCATTCCAAACGGCGAGTGGAAAGGAAAGAAAAAGTCCAAATGCGAAACTCTTCAAGGAGCGATCGAGCACATTGAAAATCTTCTCGAACTTCTTGCAACTCCTGGACCAACTGTTTACGATCAGAACTGTGCAAACTACTACTCTTCGCCAACTTCGTCCTTGGATCAGAGTGGCTATTCCTACGGCTCTTCCGGCTACGGTTCGCCTAATTCATCATTGACTCAAGACCAAAATTGTTTCCCGCAAATGCCTCATCTTCAGACAGCAAGCCCAGAATACCAGTATTTCGAGCAATACCCTGATCTCTCCAACGCCCTTTCGTGCTTTCCTTTCATCCCGACTGAAGAAGACACTCCTTTGCCGCCTCTAGTTTCTTCATCTTCTGCCCGTTACTCTCCCTATTAAAAATGCACCCCATGTATATATCAAAAATAAAAAAAAGACTAACTACCGACTAATAAACCGCCCGTTAGAAATTATCCGTCCTTTGAGTTACTAAAGCGCCCTCTATCGACCAGAAAAAATGTTTTTTTCTCGGCGACAAACCTCCATCGCGCGTGATTGGCCGTCAACGGAGAAAGCTGCTAAAGGAAATCGCCAAAGCGCGCAAAAACGCGCTCGCGCCGCTTTTTCTCTTTTTATTTTTCTGAGTTTGAGTTTTGCACATTTTCTGTTTGCCAAGCTCTGCCTCACTCAATCATTCGATTCTTTACGAACATGCTCCGGTAGAGAATAAACCGAAATGGCAAAAATAGAAGCCGAGCTAGAATCGGTGAAGAGCCATCTGGCGCTTCTTAGGGGCGAGTTCTCAAAGTGCCAAAAGAGAAATTTGGAGCTAGAATCGCAAATAACCGCCCGTGGAGGAACCGTCAATCAGTTCAATCTACCTGCAAGGTACTCCCAATTCTCCAACTTCAACTAATCTTACAAAATCAAGTCTATCAAAACAAGCCCAATCCCTCTTCAAAAATGCTGCCTTATCAGACATCGAGCTTCAAATCTCCGAAAAAGAAACCTTCAGTGCTCATAGATTTCTTCTCGCTGCAAGATCCGATGTTTGGTCTCCAGGAACTCTTCAAAATACGAATTCTCTTGATCTTTCGAAATATTCTCAAAAGGAAAAGTTGCGATTTTATTTTTCTTGCAAGTCAAATCTAAATAATATCTGTTTTCTCAACTTTAAAAGTGCAATATGGCGATGCTAAACTGGCTCTACACAGATCTCGTCCCTCAACTGGAAGAAAATCACGTGATAGAACTTATGCATATGGCGAAAGAATTCCAGCTAATCGACCTTTCCCGCAGAACAGAAGATGCTCTCAAGCCGATGGTAACGAGGCACAATTGCGTCAAGTTCTATCAGCTGGCGGAGGAAATCGAGTCTAAAAGCCTCATCGATTACACTGGCGAAATCGTCAGTCAACACTGGGAACAACTCGGCGCGAAAGAACTAGCCGCAGTGAAAGCTCCTCTCCTTTACGAAATGCTGAAGAGAAAGTCCAACGATCCTCTTCATCGAGCTATACGAGCAGAAAGAGAAGACGTGGTGTTCCTCTATCTGATTGAATTCGACAGCCAAACTTCTCAAAAACTCAACGAAGCAAACGACGCCGGGCTCTTTCCTTTGGACATAGCAATAGCAGCGCAGAATGAGTCGCTGGCGAAAGTGTTGACTTCTCACAATGCGAACATAAACAGGAAAGACAAACAAGGGTCCACCCTCGTCCAGCGTTATATCAGCGAGTCGAACAAATGGGCTGTGGAATTTCTTCTCGACGCTGGCGCGCGACTTGACCTTGTGGATAATAAAAACGAAAGCGTGCTGCATTACCTAGCGAAAAAGTAAGCCTTGGCGACTTGAAATCGACGACGGAGAAGATTCTCATCAGCTCAAATGTCAATTGCCAGAATGAAAATGGCGAAACGGCGCTCCATCAAGCAATAGAAACGAACAACCTAGATCTGATTTCCCTTTTGCTTTCGCAGAATCCGAATTTGGAACTTGTCGATGATCAGCAACGAACTGTTTTGCTCAAAGCTCTTGAATCGAAGAACGCGTCTAAATTGGCAAAGATCTTGATCGAAGCTGGTGCCGATTCTACTGCGGCGAATCCGGAGGGTGATTCTATCGTGCAAGTTTTAATCAAAGCGAAGAAATTCAAACAGGCAGAGATTCTCATACAATCGGGCGATCCTGACTTGGAACATGCAAATAACGCTGGCGAGGCGGTTATCCATACAGTTTTACTTGAAGATAATGCCAAATTGGTTGATATTCTAGTGGAAAACAGGGTCAATGTGAATTCGATTATGCCAGATCGTGAGATGAAAGGGCAAATCATCGGCGGCAGCGCGCTACATTTGAGTCTACAGATGGAGAGCGAGAAAAACACGAAGCTCATTCTAAATAAAATGAAGGAAGATCAACTCAAAATTGAAGGGGATAACAGTTCACGATCTGCACTTGACCAGTGTCTGAAAAACCAATGGACGGACAAGGCCGAAACTCTTCTTGAACTTGGAGCAGACGTAGATCAAATCCTGGGTGGAAATCCAATTCTGATAAATGCTTTAAATTCAAGTGCCGAGAAGTCTGCGCTTTTCCTCCTTGGCAACGGGGCTGATCCAAATCTCGCGTCATCTCTTAACGAGACTCCATTAGAGTTAGCGGTGAAAAATTCTCTTGGCCAGGCAGTTTGTACTCTTTGCATCAACGGCGCTGATAAAGAGAAGCCGGATGTCAATGGAAATGTCCCTCTTTGGAATGCTATCAATATGGAGTTATTCGACATTGCCGAGACACTCGTTCACCAAGGAGCCGATGTGAACAGCTGGTCAAAAACGGCAAATGGGGCGGTAGAATGGACACTTCTACACAGGACGCTAGAAATTGGCAACGAAATGGGAGCCAGTTTTCTGATCAACAACCGTGCGGATATCGACGTCTCGCCCAAAGTTGATAAAGACTTGTTGAATGAGTTCGAATTGACGCAAAAGGGAGACGAAGAAGAAATCGAAAAACCTTCTGAAGCATCATCTTTTGGCGACAGACCAAAGACACTAGAAGAAATCTTAAAAGGAGCTGGAGGAAATTCGAAGAAAAAGAAGAAGGAGAAATCGCCAAATCCATTCGGGGACGATTCAGATTCGGATGACGATAATCCTTTTGGCAAGGACTCTGATGATGACGAAAGTGAATCGAATCCATTTGGATCGAGCACGAGGAGTTCCAAGAGGAGTTTTTCCTCGACAATTTCAAAGGAAAGGTGCTTTATAAATTATAAATTATGATATTGAAAATCTTTGAAATTTGTGTAACTAAAAATGTTATCAAGGTTTTCCAAAAGAAAGCATCTCCAAGGCATCGTCTCGCGGCGGAATCGTCCAAAAACCACCTCAGAAGAAATACCAATTCCCTCTTCACACCGTGGCCAGCCGCGGCTACTACATCGTCCTGAATGCGTTACTCGATAGAAATGTCGATTTGAATAAAGCTGATTCTGATGGAAACACTGCCATGCACTTGTCGATTATTTATGAGCATAAGGATGTGACAGAAATGCTGATCGACCATCGGAACATTAATTTGCGCCTTCAAAATAACGATGGATTGACGCCTTTTGCCACGGCGCTCAGGGTCAAGAACACGAAAGCAGCTGAGAGGTAAAACGTGTTGTACGGGTTTTGCTGAATCGCGATCTTGTTCAGAATTTTGGACAAAGAACCAACGACTGCGGAGCAATACGATCGCCTCGGTCGAAACTTCCTGCATCTCGCCATTAACGAAAAAGACACCGAGAGCGTCCTTTTCCTTATCCAAGTTCGCGTGGACGTGAATTCCAGGACGAAAGATGGCGACGAGGCAACTCCTCTTCATCTTGCGGTGAAAATTGGGGACGACTTTATCGTCCGAAATTTGACTTTGGCCGGAGCCGAAGTCGATGCGGTCGACAAAATGAGCCAGACGGCGTTGCATTATGCGGCTGAGCGCGACTTGGCCGAGATAACCAGGATTTTGCTTCAAAATGGATGGAAACCCGATCTCCTCGACGAAGGTAAGAAATTCTGACCATACCGAGGATTAATCGTTTTCAGAGGGCAATAACGCGCTTCATCTCGCAGCGAAGCACGACGCTTCACAAGTCACTCAGGTTCTACTCTCTGAGTCGTCCGTCGATCCAAAAGCTCCCAACTCAAAAGGAAAATGTTTCCTTCATCTTGTCGCTTTCCACGGAGAAGACAACGCCGTTCAGCAGATGAGTATTCTCCAAGAATATTGGTGAGGCAAAATTTTCGAAAATATAAACTGATCAAACATGCGTCTCTAGCCCTGATTACCCGATAAACGAACAAGATCTCGATGGAAACACGCCTCTACTGATTGCTTACATGAACGGACAAGCAGCTCTATGCGTTGCGCTAGCCAAAGCTGGATCGGTTCTTGCAAAACCAAATAGCGAAGGAATAACAATATTCAATTTGGAAGTCGCTACTAAAAGGTGTCTGTTTTTGTTCGCTAAATATATAAATACGTGTGACATGTGTAACTTGAAGTTCAGGTTGCTCAATCGAGTTTTGGACCAGGTGGAGAAAGAGCCGCCATGGGTAGAAACTGATAGATGCCAAATTACTGACGAAAAATTCTCGATGCGACTCCGGAAACATCATTGCAGGCATTGTGGAAGCTGCGTTTGTGAAAAGGTACTGACCTAGGGAATGAAAAATGGTTTATTTGATGCTTATAGGTATCGAAAAACCGTCTCCAAATCGCGAAATTCGGTTCTGGCGAGAAATCCATGCGCGTTTGCGATATTTGCTACGATGTTCTGACACTCAAAGACGCCGTGAAATCAGGCTACGCTCTTTGAAACTTGAAAACTGCTTCAGCTTCTTATTACTTCGTAAACTTATGTTTTTTTCTACTTCTGTGCCCAGACGATTGTTCATCCCATCAAACTACTCATCCGTTCAACTGTTCATTGCCATTGATACCTCCGCTCATTTCTGTACTAGAATCCAATAATTGCTAAACATGATTTAATAAAGCATAATTTAAATTGAAACGCCTCCTTGATCCGGCCCAGAGTCTCTCTGACTGGATTTATGAAGACAAATGAGTGAATATTGATATGCTTTGGAAAAATAAGGAAATAGGCCTCTCTGTACTCTAGTTTAAAATTGATGATTTGCGGTTTTCCGCGTTCCAGCGAAAACAGAGATTAGTTTAAAGAATTTCTAGCCAGAGACAATGCGACGTATCCGTGAGTGATCCTGCATCTCAGATGCATTTTTGATTGCATTCTTTCTGATTCGCGAAATACTTTATTATTCTTGCGTTAATTTCGCTGAAGTATTCTGCTCGTTTCCTATGGAAACTTGATATTGAAACGTTAATAAGAGGTCTGTCACTTACAGACTGATAGGTTAAAGATATCTGATCAAGTTTAATTAATTATATTATGACAAAGGAATTCGAAAAATATATAAAAACTGGCAAGAAGAGCAGTTAAATAGCATATCTTGCGATGATTAGAGAAAAAAACGAAATCCTATAATGCAAAAAATAGCAGTAACCTCATTTTTATGCCCTTATTCAGAAGGATAAGGTTCTATAAAAAGGAAGACTTAGGTTGTACATTCTATAATGAACCTTGCATGAGAAATAAAGATTTCCAGTCGTGTTTTCACACATCGTGGTAAGTAAAGGTTTTACTATAAAACAACCTAGTTGACACTAGAATTCACTTTAGAATTAACATTGTTAATGATAATTAAACCCTAATTGGATATTTAATATTCTATGAGTTTTGATAAGAACATTCTAACAAAGCATATCTGAAGTACTTTAATTCATTCATACAAAGGGGTGCATTCTGATTCTCCCACAAGATGGTGCGCGGCGCGTTCAATCTTGGCATTAGTTCATAACGAGCATGAAAACATATTGCGCGAGGATAGAGTTGAGCCCCAAGCGTTCTCTTCAAGTCAGTCAATAATCGGCTAGCAAATGCAAAAATAATCTCATCGATAAACGAGATCGCCTTTTTCATTTTATCATATTGCTTTTTCTGAGACGCCAGTGGACAAAAGAAAATGAGAACACGCGGCGCGAATAAATGAAGAATTAAGGGTACCAGAGACGAATAAATGCTCAGAGAGTTGTAGTCAAGAAGGACGGGAAGAATATGAGGTCGAACACGAATGTGCTTGAAGGCATTATTCGAAGGAACGCTTACAGTAGCCAACGTAAGTTTCGCTTCTTTCAGATCCAGGGGAATTCTTTTTTATCTGTAGACGGTGTCTTTGTTGTCGCAAATGCAGAGCTTCCGGAGTTCCCTGTCATTTATGTGTCCGACAAATTCACCAATAAACTCGGCTACACAAGGGCCGATCTCATCGGCGAACCAATAACGTTAGATTTTATGGGGAATAAAGACGTTACACAAATGCTCTCCCAGTTTTTGATCAATATCAGCCGCACCAGTGCTAAACTACTTCCTCAGGAACGGTCTTATTACCCGTAAATTATGGTAAACTGATGATTTTCGGGACCTCCGAAAAGCTGGAAGACGGGCCGAGCTTCCAAACAGAAGGACTCCTGACGCGCAAAAACGGTATTCCTCGACTGTGTCGAATTCGCTTGTCTCCAGGTATAACGGGCAGAGCAAGATATAATTATAAAGTCATTATCGACATGCGTTTTCGATTTTCTGCCCCACTCGCTCGCTCTCAATCTACTCAGACTTACAAAGCGTCGCTCTGCCCCTGCTAAGTTATAAATAATTTAAAGGTGACGTTCATCGTCATTAATCTCTACGAAGTAAAGGACATGGAATTAAATTTATCACAAAAATGTTGCTTTATTGGTAAAAAATGATAAGTGCATAGAATTTATAGAAACAATTTCACGGGCGCCTGCAAACTTTCCACGCGCAAATTCCACAGATCGTCAGAACAGAAAGATTGAATAGACCACTCCAGTAGTTTCTCTCTTCTTTGTCATCCTCCAAATCAATCACTCTTCTTTCAAGCTCCTGCATCCAATCGTTCATTTCGATTTGTTGCTTGAAGAGCTCTTCAAGTTGTTCTTCAACTTTTTCATCTTTGAATTGATAAAAATCGATTCGAAGTTTGAAAGATTCATATTATATTTTTATCCGCGCCTAAATATCTTGGAGTCATGATAGGATTTGGAGTGCTCGTCTGCTCGCGAAGCATTCTAGCACTAGGATCTGGGACGATTTCTTGCGGGCACGGCTGGGGCATTTCTTGGAAGCTGAGGTTGATGCCTTGCATCTGGTCCAAAAACTCCTCCACAACGAGTGAATCGGCTCTAATGTTCCTTGCTGGAGCCTTCATGCTGTACTCGTCCGCATCCAAGAAGTCGTAACCTGATTCCCAGACCATGCTTGCGCTCGTCAATCCAACGGGATGATCAAGTTCGGTTCCAGCGCCATTTTCATCGTCTTCGTAGGGAGCGATCATTCGTGGTGCATGCATTTCCAGATCTGCGCTTGGATTCGGAACCTGATCATCCAGATCGACGTTTTCTCGGAGACTGAGAGAACGAGGAACTCGCATGTTCTTGTTGATGCTCTCGGAAAGCTCCTTTTCGATGGGAAGATCAGCCAAGCTGCCGTTAAATGAGTCCATTTTAAATTCTGAAGCGATTCAAACAAGTTCTCTTGAAAATCAAAAAAGACATCCTACCTCGATAAATGAAGGGGTGAAACTGAATATTTTTCGCTACGAGTAAATATGTCCAAATAAGTTCTAGAAACCTAACAAAATATATTGATTCCAATCAAAGATAAAGGCAAATAACGCCAGCACGCGTAAATTTCGACAATCTGTCTACCGAAAATCAAGGAAGAATACGATCGACCACACTGTAACAAGCATTTCACATATCGAAACAAACTCGACTTCAAATAATCATGATACGAATCAGAAATCGGAGAATGCAAAGTTAGATCAGCTAGAGGAACCGACGAGCCAATCTAGGAGACTGTCTTCGACATCGCTGATTTCGCACAGATCTTTAATAGAATCGCCAAAAGCAGAAGGAAGAGTTGAAAAAAAATAGTAGATCAACTAATCAGAACTTTGATTAACTCTATCAAGGAGACCGGCTCACAATATCTCATTACGGTTCTTTCAAAACCTTGTGGGTCTGGTTGATTCTCCTGCTCACGATCTATTCCGCACTGTTTGTTCCATATAATGTGGCATTCTCCGGGACGCACCATGTCGTGTCGCATAATGTTGTTTGGTTGCTGCTCGACAGCTGCGTTGATTTCATTTTCATCGCCGATGTGTTCATTTGCTTCCTGACGACGATTGTGGCTGAGAATGGGGAGACGATCGACGACAGGAATATTATTCAGATGAATTATGTCTCCAGTTGGTATTGTTTGGATCTACTGAGTTGTCTTCCGCTTGATTTGCTGAACTTTATCACGACAATGGGGCAAGCTCAATCGGGCGATGGAGGAATAACTTCGTTATTTACAACGCTAAAGATTGCTCGGCTATTGAGAGTATCTCGTGTAGCGAGAAAGCTCGATCAATTTGCTCATTACAGCTCTGTCATGCTTCTTTTACTTGTCTTGTCCTTCCTTCTGTCTGGCCATTGGCTCGCTTGTGTCTGGTATGCAATAGGTAAGAACAAAGTACAAATTACGGTGAACTATAATTTCCTGAAAGGCGTGACCGGAAGCTGCTCAGAAGGGATCGTCCAAAACTCCTCCTGGATCGTCAAGCTCGCAGACGACCTAGGCGAGCCCATCGTCTTCCGCAACGATTGCACAGTTCTCGAGATCCCGCCGTCTTCCAAATGCTATGTCGCTTCTTTATATTTTGTCATGACTTCTTTAACTTCCGTCGGCTTCGGCAATATATCCGCTAATACGAAAGAGGAGCAGATATTCTGCGTCTTTGTTTTGCTTTTTGGTGCTCTTGTTTATGCCACTATTTTTGGTAACATCACTACAATTATACAACAGCTACATACCGATACGAACAGATATCATGATGCGATCAACTCAGTCTCGGAATTCAGGTAATTTTATTCGATTAAAATATTTTGAATGGAAATTATTTGATTTTAAGTCGGCAATTCCACGTTCCTCAAGAGCTGCGTGACCGAATTCGTGACCATATCGTATCATCTTGGACAATGAACAAGGGCATTGATGCTAGGAAAGTAATTGAATTCTGCCCTGAAGATCTCCGTGCAGGTAAGTTCATCGCACATCGAAATTTTATGACGTTGGTGTAAGATATCGCTGTCCATCTCCATCGGAAGGTTTTCAACGATCACAAGGCCTTTCGAGAAAGTTCCGATGCCTGCCTGAGAGCGTTGGCTACAGAAATCAAGGAAAAGAGATTTTGCCCAGGCGATATCATCTATCACAAGGTTCCGATTTTTTCTGACTAGTATTAATGATTTCAAAGGGCGAAGCTGTTGATGAAGTTGTTTTCATAATGTCCGGGTGTCTTGAAATCCTGGAAGATGATGATGTCGTCATTGCGATTCTTTCAAATGGGGACGCTTTTGGAAATCAAGTGTGGAAGGTAACAATAAATTTCGTTCCAACTTTCGTCAAAAAAATTCGAAGGACAACGAAGCTGCTCGAGGAAGTCATTTTTACGTGCGTGTTCTTGCGCCTACTGATTTGCGCATTTTTAAATCGGACAGCTTGAAGAAAGTGCTTCAATTCTACCACCACTTCAAAGAGTCTTTCGATGCAAATATGGTGCTTAGTTTCAACTTGTGCAATCCGCGGACAAAGTCATGTAACGGGGAGCGCAAACTGAGTAGCTCAAGTACATGTTCAAAGAAAACACCTGTTGGCCGTCTCTCAAGGTGATTTGTACGCGCGAGAATATTTTATAGAAATTTTAAAGTCTTCCAAATATAACGCACAGAAAGTCACTCTTCTCGCCAGCAACCAAGAGGGCTACTATTGGAGGCTCGTTTCCAATAATTGATGTCGACTGTGCAATACATGGTGGTATGCGGTCACCTGGGTTTTTAAACCCAGAGTCGCAAAATGCTCAGTTTGGGATTACCAGTCCCAGATCGTCCAATTCTTCAGTCTGGGATTTTCAAAACCCAGACTCACCACTTTTGTGACCCTGGGTTTGCCGAACCCAGGTCACCGCATTTTATCAGTAAGTTGAACCTGGGTTTTTTGCTCGTACCAAAACAATTTCCACGTCGTCTAGAAAAAAAAAGATAAAATTTCTACCAATCCTGCTAAACACCTACTTTTAAGACAAAAACATTTTAGTTTTAAGTACTTTCTATGACTTGAGGTTAGTGTTAGGGGGCACTGTGCAAAATGACGGAACAGTCTTACCCGAGGGGGATAGGCTAGGGTTAGTTAGGGTTACCGAAGGTAACCCTAAGTAACCATAGACTAGACCCCGGCATCTTAGGGCCTAAGGGGCGAAGCCCCGTGGCTAGGGGCACTTAGATTTAGTAATTTTCTGCTGCCGAATCTGTCTTTTTCTTATCCTCTGAAGCTTGTGAACCCTAGAAACTTGTTTGGTCAAGCAAAAAAAAACCCAGGCTCAACTTATTGATAAAACGCGGTAACCTGGGTTTGACAATCCCAGGCTCGCAGAAGTGGCGAGCCTGGGTTTTGAAAAACCCAGACTCAAGAATTTTGCCTCCTGGGACTAGTAATCCCAAACTGGGCATTTTGCGACTCTGGGTTTAAAAACCCAGGTGACCGCCTACAACCGCAATACATCCAGCCAAAAATCGCGGAACTCCGAGTCCAATAGCAGCGTCAAAGCAGACTCAACTCAAGAATCTCATCGCTCAGGTTATCAAATCTTCAATTTGTTGCTAATCAAATTATTAGATGAAAGTCTTGACTGCAACAGCAGAGCATCTTCTTTCGAACTGGGATGAAACACCAGACTCAAAATCGACGCCAGAACCCTTCTGCCGAAAAGACTCACTTCTTGTCGAAGGAAAGTCGAGAATCATGTCTAGTTCTTCTTCCAGAAAGAGCATCATTAGCGACAATGATTATCTTCATCCAACATTGGAAGAGGTCGACGGTGAAACTTGCAGCGAACAAAGAAAATCGGAGAACAGAAAATCCAGAACTCTGTCTATCGAAGATGTGCTCTTTGTTGATGAGTCTGAGTCCTAATAAATAAATCACAGGAGACCTGTTATGCTAAACTTTAAGCTTTGTTTCGTAGGAAGTGAGATTAGTTTTGGATAAAATAAAGAGTGTTTATTATTGGTACAGAAACTCGAATAATTAGCTCTCTTCAGACGAACCGTTCATGTTAGACAAAAATACTGCCAGCAAAACGATAAATACAACTTTCTACTCTTTGTATCTTTAACTTTTCGCTCAAAAAAATTCAAGTGTGCTACCAAATGGTTAATCTATCAAAGAATGCGAAAGAATTTCTTATCACTTTGAATTTCATTCATAAATTTCGGGGTTAATAAATAACTCCTTTAAATTTATTCTGTGGCCACTTTTATGGAAGGAACAAGAACTAATTGATAATCATCTACCATAATCAATAATCAAACGTAAGAACTTTAATAAATTACAATGAACCTCATAATATTTTCACCAGACACATTCGCATTCCTCACTACCGTTACATTAATGCAGCGCCACCTGAGCTAGAAAAGTAGCCCCGCAATTGTTTCAAACTCATTCAGGGAAGAATAAATTTTTAAGAAATAAGAAAATGAAACTTTTATCTATCGTTGCTGCTCTTGTTCAGGGAAATACTGACATTGAAGCAATAAAGAGCACCTTCGAGGTAGAACAGAGAAATTGGATGAATATCGATTTAGAAATTTTAGAGCGCGATCCAAGAAATAATTCCAATCGTCCGGGACTCTTCTCAATTTGCAGGACTATCAGAAGCAGTCAAAAGCTCAACGCTTGAAAAGCTCGATGAAATTACAGCCGTTGCCTCCTACTGGCAAGACTTTCTTCTTACAGAAGAGGAGCGCGTCGACTGTAGCACTGATTCTGATTCACAAGAAGATGAGGAATACTTTGGTCCAGTTCTCAGTGCCGACGATGTCTGCCAGAGCACTGCGGACATTTACTTCGCTCTTCATAAAATCATCCGAAACTACGCCTGCTCTGAGGAGAAAAACGGAAATATAATCAACGCGAAAGCGATTCAGACCGATCTTTTCAACAAAATCCTCCGAATGAACAACAAGCTTGGCTGCTCAAGAAGAATTCTTTATGAAAGACTGTAGAAAGTCTCTGCAACTGTACAGAATAAAGATTTTATACTGACGACTAAACTAGAGACTACTTTACTTAGAGAACACTTGATGATTTTTTAAAAATTTATTGTTAAAAAAAGCATGAAAAGAGAGTGCATTTATTCGTCGACGAAAAAAGGTCTCCATGGGCGGGCAGTTCTGGTCTTGGACGATTTTCGAGTAGCAGTCGTTACTCGTGGCGGCTTCCAAGGACGACTGGTGCTCTTCGATCGATTGATTTGGACCTCTTCTTCTGGTTCTTCCAGCTCATCTATATTTTACGTTAAGAAAGGATGGAATTTGTTCCCCGTGATACCTGAGGTTATGGTGGACGATTGAGAAGAAGTGAGTGGCTCGTAGAGCTTGTCATCAGAAGCGATGCCAGATTCTGGTGAAGATTGACGTTTGAAAGAGCTATAAAAAGATAATTTTACAAGTAGTCTGTCAACGAATCGGTTTACCTCTGCACCTCCATTCTCTCAGGCTGTGTCTCCTTTATCATCTTCTGAGTGATCGTTTCCGGCACAAAAATGGGCGGAGAAGGTGGGGCCAGCTTCACAGACTGCACTCCCGAGTTGCCAGCCATGAGCATCTGTGTCTTGCTCATCTGGGTCTGTGTCTGCGGATTGAACACCTGAGTTGGACCGGGAAGAAACGCAGGACGCTGCGTTGGCCCCATCAAAAATTGAGTCGCGCCAAATTCTCTTTCTAAAATTCTTTTTTGAAGTCGTTTATTAAAAGTTTCGAACTCTTTTTCTCTTCAGATGGTTCAAGCGTCGAGTCGATTCTTTTGATGATGTCATCAAGTCGTCTTTTTAGATCTCCGTAGTCGGATCTGCCGAGATTTGACCTTTTATGAGGATATGACAGGATCAATTTACTGTTATTCAGTATCTCTACTGTATGTTAACTATTCACTAATTTTTTATTAAAGAAATATCTCGAATTTTTATTAGTATCCTTTGCTTTTGCCGCTCTGCATCCTGGAGAAAAATGAATAAAATGAAGCTAAATGAAGTTGTAACTCGACTTTATATTGACCAAGATGCCATTTTTTGATACAAATGCGACTCAAAATCCTTCTAGAAAGTCCTCGTTGATTTCAGTCTTGCCATTTTTCTTTTGACACGAACGGTCCGGCCCAAACTGAAGCTTTTTTCATGGAAAAGCGATGGAAAGAAAACTGGACGGAAGATTTGAGAGGATAATCCCGCAGGTGCACTCTTTTCCAGACCGCGGCGAATGTTCTTGACTTTCGAGGACTCGAGTGAAAATTCAAACATCCGGATTAACTCAAAAAGTGCCCTCTTTTCAGCTTTTCTGACAAAATGAAATTTAATAATGAGAAGTTGTGTTTTTTGGAAATTTAATTTTTAGCGAATTTTTTCTTTCTCGATGGTGGTTTGGGAGCGGCGGTTACGGTTACGGTTGAGCTCGCGGTCGCCAATCGGGACAAGGTGCAGGAGCTGCGGTCAACCCTCTCCCGCTGCCAGCTCCGGAGCTACCCGGCGCGGAAGCGAGCTGGTAGACCACGTCACTCTTGAAAGTCAAGTCCTCGAAAGTCCGCACTTCTTTCTTTCTTATTCCGTTTTTCTTCCTCAAACAAAAGATTCGTGCAAGAATTCAAGTTGCATTTCCAACTAAATTTACTCACGTCTTACTAGTTAAACTTGGCTGTATTTACCGTTGTTACAACTTCTACTATTCTACGTCTAGTAATACAGTACTCTGCTTGTAGTCATGCTTCACTGCCAGTGCTAATAGAACTAGTAAGCTGCAAAGAATCTGATTTTTTGACAAAAATGAAAGATTTTTTTTATAATTTTTATTATTTTTTTTGTTCTTATTCGTAATAATTGTTACAAATTTGTAAAGCAAAAAATAAATATTGGCTGAACGCTGTCGTGAAAAGAAATTTACAGAAATCAAGTTTGGTTCGGTTTTTTTAACATTTTCAGATTCAGTAAGGAAATATTGAGAAATCTCAGTAAGGAGGAGCTATTTTTTGGGAAGTTTATTTTGTGCACCATATTTTTAATAAAAAGTTCCGAGTTGACTATTGAGTGCTAAAATGGGTGTTTGGAATTTCTGTTTCGATAGATTTTATACAACCCGAAACTACGCTTGCTATTTATATAGTAATACGAAGTCAAATTCTAATAAAGTTACAACTTTTGTGAACTTCACCTTGGAAAGGCTAAATCGAAAAGATAAAATGTAAAAATATAATTTCAAAAACGAACAAACGCTTTTTTGGAATTTGGTCGAATCTCAAAGTGCATAGAAAAGTTAATTTCTCATAACTTCACATTTTTATCGAAATTTTTGGGCACGAGTTCGCGAAAATCATCGAATTAGGCTGGTTCTTGTTTAGCAGGGGATTCGGACGAGATTATCTCAATTAAAATAAAGGATCCAAAAGCAAAAGTATTTTTGGAGCGAATAAGAAATTTCTTCAGCCTGAAGCAAAGCTGGGCCGGAAGAGCTAAGAGATCTTAGCTGCTTTCACAGCCCGTTTCGGAATAAAGAGTTGAAAGCGTTTTTTTTTTGAAAGAGGCAGATTTCCGATTCTTCATTTTTTTGGTAAAATAATAATTAACTCTTGCATGAAGCGATCTAGGAAAAACTGAAAATGAAGTCGGAAATGTGCGTCTTTCGAAGTTTAAAAATTTTGGTCAGAGAAAATGAGCACGACCAGCAAAAATACTGTCTGTTATCCGTGATTATGATGGCACATCAATGTTGAAATGATAATTTTGTGTCTTTTAGGCACACGCGCGTCTTGGAGAAGTGAGAATGTTTGTGTACCGTTTTGAGATAAGCGTATCTATGGGTCCTATTTTTTGAAGCAGATTCAATTCTAGCGAGTTGGAGAAGGAAATCCGGGCACATGTCGGTAGTACACAGTTTCGTCAAAAAGAGCTGAAGTAGGTCGAGAGGTCGTCGTGACTGTTTTTTAAAAATCTATCATCGTCAGGAGGTCTGGTCCGAGGTCAGTTCCAATTCTGGGCTCGTTTGTGTTGGGTTCTTACTCGAACTCGGCCTCGCGGCGGACCTCATCGTAGATCGGCAGCCTGGTCGGACTCAACGGCCCGAGGACCTTGTTGAGGATGGAGCGGACGGAGTTGGTGGACCGGTCGCGGCGCTCCTTGACCCGGCGCTTCGTGTTGTCGACTTTTCTTTTGCTCTTGTACTTGACGAATTCGGTCATTGTCACTTCATCCAGGGGCGAGGCTTGCTTGTTTTTTCCTGATCGCTGGCCGGCGACGGGCGTCGTGCTCATTTTCTGCGGCGGTTTGGTGGATGTGTAGCCGGTGCCGGACGCCATCGACGAGTTAAATCCGGCACCTGCGAGGGGTTGCCCCTTGCTGGGCCCTTTCATTGGGGCGAACGACCCCATGCCCCCTTGGGCTGCTGATGACTTCCCGCTACTGGCGGGACCATCCCAGGATCTGAACTGAAAGTCATTTAGAGATTTTTTAAGAGATAATATCCGTTTCTGTGCTCTAATGGGTTTTCGAAGGCGGGTGTTGTGACAATCATGTTCCTAGTGAACGGTAAGCAACAAGCAAATAATTAATTTCAAAATAATCAATTATTTTGAAGGTTTTGGGAAGTTTTCATGCTAAAAATATAAAATTTGAGAAACCGAAAAAATCATAGTTTTTTCGTAAAAGCTATGAAGCGATTGATTTTTAAAAAGGTGGACCTACGAGTCGTCAGAGTATTCCGGAATGCGAGTCCTAAGAAATTGAGCTTTAGCGAAAATTTGGATGTGTCAAATAAAGCAGATGTTTTTTTATGTTTTGGGGAAACAGGGAAGCTAAGGGTGTACGTACGATTTAGGGCCTGGTGCGAATGAGTTGAAGCGCGAAGGTGTGGGCGCGCTCGGCTCAACCGGTGACTGCTTTAGCTTCGTCGACTCATCGCTGGAATCACTGCCATCGCTGTCTTTTGACCGGCTGAATAAGATACAGTTAATGAATTGTTTCACACTCAAGCCGGGGACAAAGTACAGCGACTTGGCAGCTGTTCAAAAACTTATGATTTGCTTAGACGCGCTAGAATTGGCCCTATACACCGTGACCGAGGATAAATTCGATTCAGAAATTGGATTTGGAAGTGATAAAGTATCCCTGCCAAAAAGAGGGATGGTGTTACAAGAAAATGTTTTCAAAGAAAAGTTTCGTTCAGAAAGTTTTCAATTAGGAGTTAATTAATTGCGACATTAATTAAACCCCGCTCAGAGTAGCGATAATTTGATTGTTGCTGATTGTGCCAATTTGGAATAATTTGGGCCTAAGTGTGAACAACTACTGATTGACGGATATTATCTCGCGTGTGAATAAAAGAAGACGTTTTTATTTTCGCCTGAGAAGGTCGGCGACCTTTGCTTTACGACTGGCGGCTGTCTCTGAATGGAACTTACCCTTTGTCGGAGTCGTGGGGCCTCCGCGAGGTTGAACGCGAGCTCGAGCGGACCGATGAAGTGGCGAAGCTCTCCGAGTTCGCTTTTCGCTGCTCGACCAGGTAATTATTTTCGGCGTAAATCGCCGCCGAGTACGAGTTATTATGGTTGTTCGGGTGGATCATTCGCTGCTGCTCCAAGTCCCGCGCGCGCTCTTCTTCCTTTTTGTTGAAACGCACGTACCAACAGAAACCTCCACCACACATACACACTGAAAATAAATTTCAATACAAGAAATAAAAAATAATATAAAAAAAGCTCTTTTATTTATCTTTCAAGGCTGATCTGAGGCGATAAATTGTTGGCCAGCTAAGCTAAATTGAGCTTCATTTCGAGGAAATTTCCTCGACAGGAACTTGTTTAATAGGCTTTCTCCTGTTGTGTCAACAAAGACGATATTAGACTTTTTTATGAAATAATAATCCCATTGAGTGAGATTTTATGAATCGGATTAAGGATGCATCAACGACCTTTGTCGCAATCGCTCAAGCCACAGAGCGTTGTAAGAAAGACCACTAATTGTAAACGAACCGGTGCGCTGGAAGACGTTTTTAAGGTCTCCGTAATTGTTTATTTATCCAAGCGCTAAGGCGATTATATATTTATATACGCAGCAGCGGTATTTTTTCGAATCAACGAGTGATGATGAAGACATCTCCTTACGTCAATAATAACAAATAATGGCAAAAATGGACGGGGAAAATGTCATGTGCAAAATAGGCTGTTTTACTTGACATTAGTTACTCGACTCGTAAAACTTGACATTTGACTTGGGAAGAAAAAACAGCTAAAAAGTCGATAAATAGATTTCATCTTCAGTAGACTATGACTGTATTTTCAAATTGTTTTTTGATTTCTAAGCGGGGAAATTTTCGGCTAATCTTGAAATTGCCGAGATTTGCTTATTTGATCATGTCTTAGGGAGGGCAAATTGCCCGGTAAATTGGCGCGCAGCATCAATTTTTTTATTTCCTGATGGAGATGAAAATGTTGTAAATCAAGTTTTACTCAATTAATGATGCTCAAGTGCCAGATTTTTATTATAATCCGTCTTGAATCGACCATAAACTATACGAAAACATGGTAACAACAGTTCGCTTTTATGATAAATACGTGGATTAACTTACCAACTACTAAAACAGAAACAATGACGAGGGAGGCAATGAGGATTGGGGTGAGGTAAGTCATCGGATTATTATACTGCGACACTATCGCTTGCTGGTGTAATAGATCGCGTTGTGAATTAAGGAATTCTTTTTCTTCTTGCTTCGCTATCACATAGTCCAGCTCCTCCATGTCTGCTATCACTTTGTGGGGATCCATGTCTTCGTTAGCTCTGAATAATAATGTTACACACAATTCTTTCTTGATTAATAAGCAACAAGGTTTATAGCCTGTTTTATGAAAGTGACATAATACCGTTAGTTTTTATTAATGACCACCACTTGAACCTATTTTCGCGCTCTCAGACCCCACTTTTTAGGGCGATGAATAAATTCTCTCGTTCATCTTTTCTGTTTAGCTTTATTTTAAAAATAAAATCGCAGTTAATCGCGTTTGTTGAATTTTGTTTTGAAAATCGATTAGCGACACGTCGCGAGAAGGTGCGCTTTCGAAGGTCTTAGGACTTTTCAGAAGGCTGTGGACAGATATAAAATGTCCGTGAGGCAGGTTAGGAATTCGCCCAATGCTGCCTGTCTCAATGAATCCTCGAGAAGGTCCTAATCACGTGCCCATTCACGGTCCCGTCTTCTTGCTAATCGCGTTATATCGCAAAGTGTAATGTTTAGGTTAAATAAAAGGACAAGACCGCACCAAAATATTTATACAAAAGATACCAATTCAGCCCTCGACGGATTGAATTCCGACGCAAACATTATTTTATATCTAATTATCAGGCTATCCTTGAGAGCCTATGAAGAAGATTAAGAAGCTATATATAGACAATTTCAAAAATAACTGTTCAAATAAGCATTTTCCTCGTTGTCTTCCTTGATTTCAAAAACATCATTACGTAAGCGTCTTGAGTTACGTACCAGTTTCTGGGGATAAACTTCTATAGAAGGTTTCATAAAAATTGAACTATCCTTTGTTCATTTCGACTCCGTGATTCTTTCTTTCCTGTGCTTCTGAATTACTCTCTCGGTGGGTACCAAAAAGTGGCGTTTTTCGAAATAAGATTTCTACAGCGCGTGACTAGCTCTTTTCATTTATTAGACAAGTGCGCCATTAAATCGTGCTCAGTCCTTTATTCATTGAGTCAATACTAAAATTGGAGGTCTGTACGCACCGGCCACCATGGCGACAAAAATCAGTGTGGTAAGATAGCCAAAATAGTACTCGTAGTAATGTTTATTCGCGAAAGGGCGCGCTACTACGAGGCTCTTTTCGGAAGATTGAAATAGTAGCTGGCGCTGTTGCCGTTTTCTCGGCCAATAGGAGAGCGTTACTGTCGGGGAAGGGGAGAGGCGGCCCGAGGCGCGGAGAAAATCACCAGTAGCGCTAGGTCAGGAAACAAGCTGCCATGGCGACTGTCTGATAATATTTTGACAAGAATGAAATGCGAGCGGAATGTCAAAACGTGAATTATGCCACTGATGATAGTCAAACACCGTCATCAGTTGATCTTTCTACGATAAATGACAGGCGAAAACACTAGAACTCGCCTTGGCTACAACGAGGCAGCAAGGACAAGTTCTGCGGTAATCCTTAGGTCATCTCGGCGCTTAACTTAGCATAAATCTTTGCAGAAGAGAGGCGACGCAGATGAGTTTGCAAAACGGAAGCTTTCCGACTTATCGGCGGGCGATAAGGGCGAGTCCCTTTTTCGTTGAACATGGCCCAGGTTGCAACCGCGCGCGCCCGCGAAATTCTCATTTACAATTATTTCATTTTCCATTTTTTCCCAAGAATATCTGGCTCGCAGCTCTTGAATTCGAAAAGAACCGTACAATTGTCAATCGTCTTTTAGTCCCTTAACCCTACGCCGCCAAATGTGCCATATATGGCACAAGGGCTTTCCAAAACCCATTTTTCTCTCCGTCATCATTTCGGGTTCTTCCATTTTTACTCATTTTCGGGCAATAGTCTGGGCTTTGGTTTGGGTTCATTTTTGAGCTCGGGTTCTGGTTCGAGTTCGGATCTTGGTTAAGGTTCGGGTTCGGCCATTATATGGGGCCTAGGACGACGGAAAAGATGATGTGCCATATATGGCACATTTGGCGGCGGGGGGTGAAATTTTAGTTTGGCGGCGTAAGGTTAAAATTAGTTGGAAAGATAGTTGAAGATTTTCTTTCTTTGATCCCTTTTTCGCCCCTTGTATTTAAATTGATACGGTGTTTGGTACAGATGATAAGAATGCTAAATATATTTCGCGCACGTGTGATTAAGGCTTCCCACCGAGCTAGTTTAGGATTTATCCGCTTTTTCGGTGTACCGATAAGTATTGATAGCGCCCAGGTCCGGTGCCCGTGATGTGGTCAGCAGCCAGGGACGATTACTTTCGCTATTAGCGAGAGATAAGCAGCTATCGTGGCTCTGTAATAGCTTGCGGAACGGTAGGGACTCTGCTTGTGCCAAAAGTATGTTCCCAAAACAGCGATAATGATTTTGAGAATAAACACTAATACACGGCGGAAACAAGTGTACTAAGCACATTTATCAGGCGGTTGATTAGGGCATCAAGTCGTTGATTAACGGAAAAGACTACCTGACCACGCCCGGCCACTCAATATGCTCTTTATCCGAGTCAAAGGATGAAAAATGCAGTGAAGATCTGAAGAAGCGAGAATTTCAAAGGAAGCGCTTCTTGCGAAAATTGGGCGTTTTTCATTTGTAAATACGGTTGTAACCCTTGATAGCCGAAATCGCGAAGAAGACGAGAGAGAATCATTACTGGCTCATGAAAGTTTGTGAAGATCGAGTTTACAGTTGAAAGAACACGTCATGCTTCAGTGATGATAGAATTAGTCGCGTTTGAATATTTTATTAATACTTAATTGACATATTAATTGACATATAATACATAAATAGACAGCTTGCGTTAAAAAGTGACTCTCAGAATGGAAAGTAATTAGCCCTGAAAGGAGGATGGAATTAACCGGTAAAATGGAACAGGCGCGGGTATAACGAATGAGCAGATCCGGTCGGAAGAGCTCGGCGTGAAATCGATCGCTAATTAGCATTAAAATATTGGGCGGACGGATACACACAGGGGCGCGATTAGAGCGCCATTCAGTTGACAAAGCGACCGGTTGGTAGCGGTTGCTCCCGCCGTTTGGACCGCCACCGCGGCTGGTTTTATGCATTTGCGCACGCCGCAGAGCTCAAATCCGCAGATAATCGCGAGTAAGGAGTTGACGCGATTCACGCATTTTTCAACGCCGCGGAGTTATGTCACCTTGTTTTCAATAAGAAGCCTAAGCCGCGTAAAAAAGGGTAACAACGGAGTAAAGCTCTTGTGACTTTTTAGACTAAAGAAGGAAGAAATCCGCGGTTCCAAGGGAAAGAGATAGACATTTCCAGAAATTGTAAGCGGCTCAATCTACCCGGAAGCGGATCGATCTCATCGATTTTAGCTAGAGCTGCGGATGATCCTTCCGGCGGGTAATTCGTAAAAATCCCGCGCGCCCACAACTTCGCCACAACCCTGTCTCATCCATCAGAATAAACGGGGAAGCCGTTTTTAGGTCTTTTGACTTGCGGTTTTTCATAGTACTATTATCTCACGAGAAAGGACGCGCACGTGAAGATCCAGGTCTAGAAGCTCTACGGCGGTGCCTTTGAAGCGCTTCCGGCTCGGCTAGGTCGAGTACCGTTCCGTCAAAAAGATCACTACTGAATTGAATTTCTCCGCCGCGTACGACCGTCAATTAACCCTCACAGGTGCAACGGGGCGCGGCTCGGCCGAGGAGACCCAAATGCACCGGAATAGCGCAATTACACACACTTGCTTATTACACCAACGAGACCTGATGCCAAATGCTATTTTCAGAATTTAATTCAAGTAAAGATCGTAGTTACGATTTTTCCAGAAAAATATTCTAAAAAGGCGAAAACATATTTTTTGAATATCGAGTTGGGCTAAACAAAGCTGTGTCGTTAGAATCGACCATGTGAACTTCGATGACATCAAATGTCAACGCTAACATCAGTTTTCGACATGTGCCACCGTGTTCCTGTGTGCTAGAATGCGATTACGTAGCTGTTTGCTGTCCGATTCAGTCATTTTCTTGGCATTTTTGTTTGAAATAAGAACATTTTTTCCCTTTTTGCATGATTTAAATAACGTCAGTTATCAATTTGAGCTGTCAAAGTTAGGATAATTTAACGATAAACAATAACGATTTTTGGCTGTACGGGAAGCAGCTGAGCAAAAGTCATCAACACGCTCGCGCAAAAATAGTATTTTACGATGTCTTTTCGCCGCATCGAATGATCAGGTTTCGTAAAAGACAATCGCAGCGGGGGAACTCAACTAAACACGGGAACAAAGGAGCGCACCTCTCTCGTGGGAAATGACTATCTCAGACTGAGCGACAAAGTTTTCAGGTGAAGGGTAAGCTTGTAAGACTTGTCATTGAAATCAAGTCGAGGTTTTCGATGTCGCAATTGCCAAAAACTGAAGACATGGAGGAAAACCGCCAAAAATCCGTCCTATGTCGATTGTGGCCGATCTGTGTAAGATAGAAAGTCGCCACATTATGTCCCGGTGGTGGTGGCGCAGGTGCATCTTTTCAGTCACGTCCGTGCCTCACCTTGACATGGTTGGACTCTCCCCACCCGCGGTTTGTCAAATGGCGTTATTTACTCAGCCAACATCGGAGGCGAAATTTCATTTTTCTTTCGATTTCGACAGGACGAAAGAAAAATTTTTGAATAAAACAAAACTCAAGACGGGACAGCTCACACACAGGGCTCACGCGCCTCGGGGCAGGCCGAGTGCAATCGTGGTTTGTCTTCAAAGAACTGTGGGAAGTGGCGAAACTGCTACTTTACTACACGCCCGGGTCGGAAAATTGAGTCGTTAAAATGTTTCAATAGATTAACTCTCGCTAGCTCGTAGTAAATCGAGAAAAAACCAGTGAGTAAGCGATTTATTTACTACTGAGCGTAATCATCCTCCAGCACGCTTCTCAGGAAAGAGCGAAGGTCAAAGGAATAGTAGTAGCTTCACGTAATGGCTATAAATGGAACCGTTTCAGTGTTATCAGCGGTGATGCATTGTGTCTCCCGCTGAGCCGATGTACATGCGAAAAAGGCGGTCTGACAAGTAGTCAACTGGTGAAATCGGAGAACTCTGTCGGCACGGTGCATTACCGCCTCATCTCCTTTCCCGCGTCCGGTGAGATCGCACCTAAGGGCCACGGGCACCTACGGGAGACATCACATTTTTCACCTCTTGACTAAACACCGTATGTTCCCTTCAAATAGCCCGTGCGACGTCCCGTCATGTCAGGGTTGATATTTAAACTGGTTTAACCCGGTTACGCTCAATTGGGAATTCTGGAGTTCTGAGTTTATTTTCATCACCTGTTCTATTTTCGTTCTGTAGGATGATAGCTTCTCTTGCTGCTCTTTTTCTCCGCCATGTGTAGCGTGGGAGAAGGAAAGTAGATAGAGCTGTTCAGAGAAGCTACAACCCGAGAAGTGGAAAGATACTAGCCAGTTTGTGTACTTTACTTGGACACAGTTACTACTCGTCCTATCTTTCCCCGCGCCGAGTTCTATTTAACCACGTGCTACGATTGAAAAGGAAAAAAGTGCGATCGTAATGTCTATCGCGACGCGGGCTGGCAAGCTTCCAGTTCTGGACAGAAGAAATTTGTAAAACAGTAACACTAGCCGATGAAGATCCCCTCGAGCCTGGAGTAGAAGGAGAGGACTCGAGGGCACAAGTGCCGGTCTAGGCGGAAGTACAAGGAAGATGAAAAGGTCAAAGAGGGCCAGGCCAGACACTTGAGATAGCCGGGTATCATATCAAGTGATCGGGAAATGATAGCTCGAAAAAAAAACGTAAAGTGGGCCATGCGGAGATACTTTATGGCTGCTCGTAAATCTACCCCTCACGAGCCCTTTGAATTCATTTTCTGCTTGAAATCATATCAATACAATCGCGCCCTTTTATTGAACCCTAAATAAGAATCACGGGAAAAAGGGCTGAATATTCGAAAATTTTCGCAACTTGCGCTTAGCTTGGGTTTAATCCTCAAATTTAAAAATTTCCATGAGCGCTCAAGGAATCACTGGAGCGGGGAAAATCACGGATTCTGGCATTTTCAAGCGTGGCATTTTTCAAATATGTCCGACACGTACCTGCTATGATAGGACCCTCCTACGTCCTGTAAAAGGCGTTCCATGACCTTTTCTTAGGTCACAGAGGCTTGATTCTGATTTTTCTTTCTTCTGAAAAATCTCTAGTTCTCCTTTTTCTTGGGAGTTTTTTCGTATCTCTTTTTGGTTTTAGGGTTTTTTCACTCTTCGGCGATGTTCTCGGTATTTCTTCCGTTCACTTGATTTCCGTTTGCTTTTGATCTCCAGGTCGTTTTTTATACAATCGGGATGAGTTTTATCTTTTTCGGTGGAAAAAATTAACTCAATGGAAATAGTGTTGATGGATGGTTGTGTGCTTGGTCGCCGCCGTGCGGTGGAGCTTGCGAGAGAGAGGAGCACGGCGCAATCATCAGGCAACCCACGAGGTCGTAACTGCGCCCTGAAGCGTTTAGAAGTTGGCTATGCTCGCCGGAAACTTAACCCCGGTAGGGCCAGAGGCACCGTGGAGGTGGAGCCGAGCCGCGTTACTACGCCAGACCAGACTAGGGTGGAGCATAACTTCATATTTTTGTTACTCTTCGTCTTATTATTTAATAATTTTTTCAGGGAAACATCCTCATCATCTCCGTTATTGGAAAAAGGCTTTGTTAATTCCATTATTTCGATCTATCATTTACCTTCTTCACATCATTTACGATTATAAGAACCAACATAATGAAAATTTATAGCCACAAATCTTTATTTATGGCCATAAATACAAATTTATGACCTTTATGAAGCGGTTTTTAGGGTATTATTTCGGTAGATTTCAAGATTTTTATTTTCGTAATTACGAAATCATCGAGCTTCTCCGCTCACCCTATCCATGAGTCAACGCTCATGATCATCCCTTTTTTTGTTCCAAGCGCGGCGAAAGTAGTAAGAAGCGCTGGAGGAAGCGCGCGTTGGCGGAGATGCTGCTGGTGGTGTTGGACGTAGACCCCACCTGGTGGTGGAGACAACAAGACGCCACCAAGATGGATAATTGGGGAGAACGACAGGAAGTTAGGGAACGAAATAAGTGCCTTTGCCGACAAGAATAAAATGCGCGCACAGCGTTGTGTATACCATGACAAGAAAAATGTTCCTGTTCTAATTCCAGCGACGATGTTGGAAATTATTATGTTCTCACCAACTAAAGACCTACTAAAAACACTCGGAACTTCATTGAATTCTTCATAAAATAATTTCAAGGATAATAAATAGCGTAACGATGAGACTAGCGATAACATTTTATCGATATTTTCAACCGTATTTCTTCATAAAAGATTCTTCTCATCCTGATTACACTTATCCTCACCTCTATCAGCCGTCGTTCTATGAACCGTGAAAACGATAATTACGAAAGCATCATTCTGGCAAGGTGTATTCCGTAGGCGCATATCTAGGCTATCATTTTTATGGAAAAAGATTTGGAGACCTGTTTGGAAGGAAAACAAGATCAAAGCGGCAGCTGACCGTGTCGGTACAACTGCTCGGCCGATAAGCTCCCCACCGAGCGGTTTCGTTTCTTCTGTTGCATTTCTTTTCTTTCTTATTTTGAACAATTCGTGGCTGACGATTTAAAATTGCCGTAATCATTACCACAAAAAAACGGTCACTTAGAAACCATAAAGAAGAACTTGGTAATAACATTTTATGCCGCCATAAGTAAAATGATTTGAGAGATTCACACGCGCTTACGATTCACGAGCAGTATCCATGATTCTTTCAAAGAAATACGACGCAATTCCGCGGACGTCCGCCGAACAATCACCCGGAACATTCGAAAAGAACCGCGTAGAAGAAGAAGAACGGGGCGACGAATCTTTGAATGCGGTTCTTTTTTTTGAAAAGAAAGGAAACTTATTGTCCAATTATGAATTCTTTTGTAGTTCAAAATCGTCGCTGATTATTCTTCTTTTGAGAAAAAACTACTGTTTCTGAATAGAACTCGTGGAATATTCTACAGCCTGGGCAGATTCTACGCCGTGAAAAAGGATCAAAAGCGTGAGAAGTTTTCGGAAGAACGCGTTTGTTGTCTCAGTGATCCATCCAACAAAAGGTAGTATTGTTGTATTTCCGTCGAAGAATAAAAAATACGTATAACTTGGCCGAGTACCAAATTGAGATAATTTGATGCCAGTTTACAGCTCCGTCGAGCATCAATGATGATAAAATGATAGTTGCCAGAAGACAGGAGTGTTTTGTAAGAAGCTACTCGACAAGAAACGTGTTGTTTCGGGAGCAAATTTAATCAGCCTCTGAAGAGCACTCACGAGTTAGTAATTTTTTCTAGCGTCGAATAGCTAGACACTGACTACTAACAACTTCTAATAACAGTCATTTTGAGCAATTTGCTGAAGAAATTCTTAATTGAACTTGAATTATAAAGCTGGAAAAATCGAGCCGAATCGTCAAGAAAGAAATCTTCAAAGCAAGAAATAAAAGTTCAATAAACATAAATTCCTTTTTCAGACGAGTGTTCAAAAAGAACCACTGTTTGAGGCAAAACAAGATTTGCCCAGAAGCGCGTTATCTCCTCACACAAAAATAATCGTCCAAACAATGCCTGCCCTATTGTCCCGTGGCTTTAGTTTTTCTTCGGCAATGCGCCAAAAGCACCCTTTAGGCCGGCGCCTTGAGCTGCTTTATCTCAGCAGCTGTCTAAATTTACACACTCTCTTTGGTAAATTTAATTTATTCAATTTATAACTCTCCAGGAAAACCTTTGAAAATCGGAAATATTCAAACACTAGAAGCGTTTTTTTTTGCTAAAAAGACTCATCAAGGGTGCTCTAGATAAGAAGAAACTTACGAAACGTCATGTTTATTTGGTACGAAAAAGATTTATTGGCGACTTTGAAATGGAAGTCAAAGACTTTGTAGTTTTAAGCGCGCCTCGTAACTCACAAACATTTCGGATCATCAAACCCTGCGGTCACTTTTATGTCTTTTCTTTATTTTGGCGGCGAGTTCGAAAACTAAATTTCAGCGGGTCAAATTCTAAGTGGACTTAAAACTATATGTTTGCCTCTAAACAGCGAGTAAAGACAATTTCAAGAGCTTGCATTTCATTTCAGTGCTCGAGGAATAAACTAAAGAGTTAAAGGCGATTACTAAGGCAAACATTTTGGCCAAGCACGTCAAATTGGCTAAACGAGCCACTTCCGAAATTTCCGAAAAAATTTTTAGAAAGAAATTTTTGAAGCACGTCCGGGCGCATTTTCCTCTTTTTCGCGGGTAATTGGCAAATAATCAAATATTTTGAGGACAAAAATTTTGAAGCAATCAACTGAAATTTTATTCTCCGGGCAGAAGCCCTGAATTTATTATGTAAGTAAATAGCCCAGTAGTCTGGGAAAAAGGTGTCGAGTGTTCCAATTTTGAATTTATTATCTTGACCTTCTTTTTGAAAAGATAAAATCTCACCACTAAAACTAGGAAAGTGGGCTTGAGTGCACCCACCTGTTCCATTTCCCCAGCTCTTACCCAGACTCTCGGCCACAGAGCCTTGAGCCTTGGGTTAACTGACCTTGAAGACCTGATTTGATCATCAAATAATTGCTAAGTTTGCATCATAAAATCACGTAAACATCCAAATTGGAAGTCGAAAACACAGAGAAATGAAACTCTTTCCCGCGCTCGTTTCCACCTTTCTTGCTGCAGAAACTTGCAGGTTTACAAGCGAATGAATACGCAGCGAAATTCTCCTTTTAGTGAGAAATCTTCTTGCGATGATTTGAAAAAGTACGAGCGCGTAGAAGCGGGCAACTTTGCGCGAGTACAGTCTCATGTGAACATGAAAAAATGGGGCAACTTATTTGGAATCAACAAGTTCTTTCACATGCGAAAGGTTTCAGGACCAGAGGATCCGATTCCGAGGCCGAACGCGGACACGCTTTACTCGATCGGGGTCATTGATCTTTCTGCTGGACCAGTTGGACTTTCGGTTCCAGATGTTGGCGACAAGTACTTCTCCGTCACGTGTTATGATGAAGATATGTACATCACCGCGTACGAAACTGCTCCTGCGCAGTTTAAACTGAAGGACGACGATGAGATGAGTCGATATCAAGTTTGTGCGCTTCGTATAGCCGTAAACAGTAAAGAAGAGCTTCCTGAATTACACAAGATGCAAGACGAAGCCAAAATCTTTAGTCCTCAAGGTAACTCTTTCTAAAGCCTTTTTCCTGAGTTATAAATAAGAATCGTACCCGCCAATCGATTTGCCAGATTATGATCAAGAGCAGTACAAAATTGTTTACTCCAATTTGCTCACTCTTTCCCATCAAATGTCTGAGCTCGGCGATGCATACGCTTTCAAAGGCCAAAAGGATGATATTTCACGAATGCTTGGTGCCGCTGCAGGGTGGGGCGGTCTTGGAACTTCTATGGCCAAGTATGAAGGCGGAACTGTTCAAATCAACGATGGCAAGACCGAGTATATGATCAAAGTCGTCGGAGAGGTACCAACTGATTGCTTTTGGTCCGTTACAACTTACAAGGAAGAGTAAGATTCTAAAAAATCTTTTCCACTAGTCGAGTTATTTAGCCGGCTGACATACGGCATCAATAACATCAATTCCAACAACTTGAAACGCGACAAAGATGGCAACGTCGTCATCATCTTCTCAAACAACCACACGGACGAGTCAGCCAACTATCTCAACATCGAGGAAAACTGGAACTACATCGTTCGAATTTACGAGCCAAAAGCGCCTGTGCGTGATGGAAGCTGGAAATTTCCTGAGCCAGTTCTTTACCAATAAATATTTGGCCATTATTAAATCAGTGTTGTTGACAGTTGTGGGTTAGAAACTTGTTTTAAAAATCGGATTTTCATTTCATCAACCATTCATCTCATTTGGCTAGACATTCGACACGTGACCTTGAAGGTTCACATTGTGAACTCATTAAAATGAAATCTAGCCGATCTATTCTAGCGCAAAGAGTATAAACATGTAAAAATCAGGCTAAAACCTCTTGTAGGAAGTGTTCTGACACTATCTTATCAGTATCAATCTTTCCAAATGCGGTTTCTACTCTTAAACGTACTCGGATTGGTATTTTCCTTTCTCCATAAGTGCAGGGTTGAGAAAAGAATGAGGTATTTGAGCCTCGGAACTGGTAGTTGGAATATAAGCCTTAGTCCGTCACGCTGGGTTAAGAAAAAAGGTTCCGCTTTTTTCGAAATACCAGCTCAAAATACAACACCACGTATGTTACAGTAATCGCTCTTTTCGAGCCTTTTGGACACATGAAACCGGAAGAGCAAACGAACACGTACACGAGAAATGCTTTAAAAGATGGGACTGGCATTTGAGCGTTTATCTGAGGCGATTATCCGGCTGATCGTGGGGCGACCGCGCGCATCACCCACCGCTCGTGTTATCGCCAGTCCAGCCCTGTTATCGGGGATTTAGCAGGGATCCCGCTGGATTTCTATCTTCAGAACACTTCTACCCGCTGGTTTTAATACTTCTTGGATACGTCTTGCTTTACAATTCTCGTCGATGCTCCAATTTTCAAGCGAAATCCAGCATTTTTATGATACGGTAAATAATAACCCAGTCATATCTTTCCCTCTCCTCATTTTGCTACTAACAAATGGTCTTCGTTTCCGAAGGGCCACTTTGTTTTTACAAAATCACCACTCGGGCAGGTGCTGATTTGGGAAATGCTTTCCTTTGCTTTTGCGAAAGAAAAAATGTAAATCCAGAGTTTACTAATCATTTCGTCTATTACCAAAACAATAAAATGAAAGTTGCTCTGGAATTTGGAAAGTTATGTTTTCGCTGTTTTGGCAACAGCACTTGCCGCGCCGGCCGTCTTTCTTGTTGCACCGCAAGCGGAAGCAGTTATGATTTACAAAAATCAAGCGAAAGTAAGCACCTAAAGGCGCTTTTTCGGTCTTAGAGCCTAAGCCACCTGAAAGTCTACGCTTTCAAAACTGCGCACTTTTCGAACGAGCTGGAGTTTACTTTTCTAAAAGACACGTGACATTGATTCTCCTTTTTATCCTTTCTAAAATGTAGCAATATTCTTGACACCCCGGCAGAACGCGAAAGCAAGCTACCACAAGAGCTTATGTTTTAGATAAATAAAGAATTTTTAGCCAATTTGTCAAAAATTCAGTACCAACCGGCGGTGGCATTTAGCTCGTTGATTTTGAGACTAAACAGAGACACCGCTAAGATTTATCCAAAATCAAAAGCCGAAATAACAAATGGACGTCTTTTTTAACTGCCGTAGTTGACGATTTTTAATTTAAGATTTTTGAAATTTCGATTTTGATAGAGCTTGAAATCTCTAATCGCTCGATTGGATCAAAATAAATCAAATAAAGCGAATGATAAATTCGCGCTCCTGTGAAAATACGAATTTAGCAAGTAAAAAATCTGCGCGTGGAATGGCGAATTTGGTTATTTTAACAAAGAACTGGATCAAGTATCGGCCCGGAATCTGATTATGCGACGGCCGTCACCATAATGTAAAACTGGCGGCACCTGCCACTTCGCCCTGAATACAAAATCAACCGCTCGCCACTTGTGGACTCGTCTTTTTTAGAATATCTTTTAAAAATCAACACTTATGCATTCTTACCGTAGTTATTGTTAGACAGGCCTTTTTCGTAGACAGTTTGAATAAAAGTTGGATTCTGAATATTTTTATAGTAATTTTATTTTTGACTAAAACTTGATAGACTCCAATCTTCGTCCGAATTTATGAAGAAGATTGAAGAAAACACCCTTTGTATTCGTTTTTTATCGTCCGAAACCCCCGAAAATGTACCTAACAACTTTACCATCGATCGAAAATTATTCTTTCAAGAAGAATACGGATAGCTTCTTCAAAGAGAAAGAAGAAGAGAGGGAACATGACGATTATCACGACAATGGGATACTGGTTCATCCCGATGACATTTCTCCTTTGTAGTGGAGCCGTCTTGGTAAGAGAACTTGTTGAAAGGCCGAGATATATTTTCTTAGTTTGCGTTACGCCTGGTCTACAAAACCCACAAGCAGGTTTGTGCAATTTCTAAGTATTTGCGAGTTTATGAGAAAATCTGGGGCTAGAATTGATGCAATTACTCTTGAATATTCGCGGTGAATTTAGCGTCTAAATTTTAGACGAACGAGCTGCTGCTGTTGAATTATGCCAATTATTTGAGCAAAGGATGTCGAATTCCGCCGACAGCAAAAGTGCTTCGCGTTTTTAAATTTTTGGCATTTTCCCAAGCACAAACTCAGATTCGCACAGAAAGACGGCGACTTACAGTAAGTTTTAAAAACTAACAGTCAGTTTTGGAACTTCTACGAAGGAAACCGCGTCCAAGTTCAATATTTGCCCATGTCAAAGTACAAGATAAAAAGTGATGGCTTGCAAAAATTTCGAAAAATAGGAGACCGGAAGTATTTTGGGATTCTAATGATAACATGCATTATTTGCATAGCAATTACGGGTGAAAGTTTTCCCAGGTCAAGCCAAGTTCATTTATCCGGGTTTTATCATATCGTGTTTTTTATCCGGGCATTTTTATTCTCGAAATTTGAGAGTCTTTAAATTAGACTTTGAATTATTGAGACATAAAAATTTTAAATGAAGGCATAAGTAAAGGTTGATACTTTTTGATAGCCTTGAAAATAAGATGAATTTATAATTTTTCTTATAAATAAGGCTCTCATGAGGGACTTAGGGTTCATTGTAAGCGCTTTTACAGTTGTTAAATCATTAACTATTATCATTATGTACTGAAACATTATCCTTCTTGCCAAGAGCTAAAGCTAAAAAGCTTTTGACGCAATAAGAAAGGTCTTGTTAAACAAGAAAGACACTCTGTGTTGTCCCCTTTTCTTTTAAAAATTATCTCTGAGGCGTAAAAGCTAATTTAATTCCTTTGCTGACGTTTGAAGACTAGTTCATGTTAGCATTATCTTATCTTTAGTTTACTACTCTTATCTGCTAGAAAACATATCAACTAGAGATCCTCTTTTGAAAAGTATCCAGAACATTTTGTTAAAAACAAATATTTCGATGATAAAAAGGTTCTTGGTGGAAATTACGGTGTCTTTGAAGCAAATTGCGACGCGCGGGCTCGAGCATTCCTTTGAAAATGATTCTGGGAAAGACATTAGTGCTCTGTAATGATGATGGCTGCCGTTCCGTTTCTCACGCGCTTCCTTCCAACCTTCCCAAAAAATGATAGAACATCTCGAAAGTGGCGAAATTTTGAGAGGAAGGAGGCGACCGCCGACCGCGTAAAATCAAGATTGTCGGAATTGCGGACATTGCCACTAATTCTAGTTATATGAGAATTATTGCGCCGAATTAGCTATTTCATAAGTCTCCTTTTTTTCTTCGCGGTTTTGAGGGTTCGCCCTTGGATATTGCGTTCTGACTGAAAATTTTATGAGGAAGCAGAAGTTCTGATATCGATACATATGTTTTTATAAAATTGGAAATGATAGGTTTGAAGTCACTTATGATAAAATTGAGGGCGCGGGGGGAAGCACTCGCAGACCAAAGTGTTCTCTCTCATTTGCCGACTTATCATCCCCTCGCCGGCTTGTCCAGCTTCTACAGTAATTTCGCTAGGTTGAGCAGCTACTACTCACGTAAATGTAAATATGTTTCTGCCAATATGAGAGTAGCCCTTGAGCAAGCGCTGATTGAAAAGCGATACGACGATGGCCTCCACTTGTACACTCCAAACTACTCGGACAAGAGGACTTTTAAAAACATCTGCACTTGGGAATCTAAAGTTTCTCCAGATTTTCACTATTTGGATAGACTATCCAAACCAATAAAAGAAATCTATAAGCACTCTTGTTTCAAGCTATGGAATCTCTTTCCAGCAACAGTGGAAGTGACAGTGCTGATGTCGATGAAGCTATGGCAGAGGTAAATTATTAGATCAATCTTCGTTTCAAGTTGAAAATTTACTTTAAAATTAAGGAAGCGGATGCCGATGATGCTGATAACAACTGCTCCAACTGTTGATTAAATCATCTTGATATTCTAATAAAAATAAGTCGTTTGTTCTAATGTGACTTACTGTACCGAGTAGAATTACTGTCCAGAGATTACTTACAAGACAAAAAGACTTGCAGACCATATCCGATAATCGTTTAGGTCACTACGTACTCTCTTGATGAATTTTTAATAAAGTCTTTGGCCAAATATAAATGCGGAAATCTGAGCACAAAACTAGACAGTAACAATGAGAATACAAAAAGGGTTCGTTCTGGTACTTTTTAATATTTTCAGGAACAGATTGATGAATTTTTTTTGACTTGAAATCGAAGTTTTTATTCATGCTTATGAATAGAAATTATTTAAATCTGAGAAAGCATTGTTCTTTGCAAATTTCAGCGAGTCGGGCTTCATGGAATGTATAACAAGGTATGGATGTATCATCAAAGTTAATGGTGAGCTTTAAATTAATCTAGCAACCGGGGAAAATGGTCCGAAGGCGGGAAGGTCAAGTAGCCTGGAAACATCATTCGGGCAACAACAATGCAAATCAACAACAACAAGACGACGCTCTGGTCCTTTGGCCTTACAACTGGTTTATGCGAAACAACTACTTTCAATCTGAATAAAGTCCAAACAGAATGTTTCCATTTTCCTGAAACAAAACACCAAAATGCATAATTCACCCGGGTCTAATCGGTAACTTCACCATGGCCGCCATGTGGTGAGATTATAACTCAAGCGGCTGATCCATAATTCATTTCGCATCCAATCAGCTGATTATACAATCAACCCTTCGTCTTTTTATTTCCACCCGGGAAATTACTTTTTTATTTTCCGTTTTTATTTTCCCCATGCGAACAGTGACGATACGTCTCTGTACTCAGAGAGAAAAGTAGAATATTGCATCGAGGTCTGCACGACGCCTAAAGCGAGAGAAAGATTGATAAGTCGAAGATTAAGGCTTTCGACAGATGGAAAAGACAGTTTTTATACCGAAATGTGTGGTGCAAGAATTCGAACTCAGTTATCGGCTTTGACAGACGACAAGGGGCGCAGAATATTTATTCTGAATTAGATATTCGATTGCTTCGAAGATTAGAACGATTTTTTAGACAAAAATAAAGTGAAGCCGACATAAGAGAGAACAAAAAATACTTCGAAGCCATAAGGTTTTCTATCAAATAAATTAATGGCGACCTATTAATTAGCCACAAAACAAAATTAATCAAATTCAGAGAAGAAGATTCATTAGAGATCCCTCCCGACAGGCTAGAAAAGATGGACGAAGATCCAGAATACTGGGAAAAGTACAGCTGGAATAATTTATTTTACTACCGAAGTTTAAGTCCAAGCCGACACTTCAGGTACAGCAAAGTATCTACGTGCATTCTATTTAAAAATTAAGCGGCCACTTTAAAGCAACGCACGTCTTTTTTATCGCAGCCGTTAAGTGATCCTTTTCGGAGGACTTATGATGAAAATTCAGATATCACGTGCTCATATCGGTGATATGGATGTTTCTTGGGGGCTTGATTTTAGGTTCCAAGACTTTCCATTTGATATCTATCGAGCCGATCGCGTGTGGTTTCTTGCTCTTGTGCTGCTCGATTCTTGCGGTAAGGCGATTGACCACGAATCGCGAGCCACTTGAAATTGCGGATTTTAGTTCTCCCTCAAGTCTCCAAAAGCGACCATAATTGTTTCTGTTCTTGGAGCAGGTATTGGGTTGCCTTCTTTTCCTCTGCGGTCGATCCAAATTCATACAGTAAGAGGTCAACCGAGCAAGTCTTGTCCATTATCATTCTGTGCCTTGTTGGAATGGTTTTTACGATCGAGCATTATAAAGTCGTCCAAATAACGAAAACTAAAACGAATACAGTTCCTCTTTGGTCTTTGATCTTCCTTTTCATGTCTTGCTTCATCGAGATTCTACTGCTATGCTCATCCTGTTCCGCAATTCTCAGGTGAGCGCGGTGCTAGTTTTCATAAGTTACGAAAAGTAGGTATTCAGACTCTGTTACCCGAATCCGCCTGTACAATCAACTCGCACGTGTCCAACATGAAAATCACCAGCCACGTGATCAACCCAAACAAGAGCATATTTTTTATTTTCATTGCTTGAGAAAACAAATCCAATAAGCTCAGAACAACCCGTTCTTATTCAGTTATATGATCACAAAAACAAGATATTTGGCGATATTCTTGATCACTGGAGTACAACCGATGATTCTTCCGATGATGACCAGGAAAGGTGCTGAATGATGCTCTAATAAAAAGAGATATCTGTAAGAAAGCATATCTTCTCACTCTGTAACAGGAGGATCACGAAAAAATACACAAGAAAGACAACATTGATGATGTCAATGCTGCTGAGCAAGAAATGATGGAAGTCGACTTCGCAGCAGACGCGATGGAAATGGCCGAAATGGCTGACATGCAAGAGCAGGATGCTGAAATGGATATGGCCATGAACGAATTGGGCAATGAATAATTATTTTTGAGGATCTGGAAATATACTCTTCCTTGATATCAATTTTATACGCGATCTGAACGCATCAGACTGCATATTTTTTACCACATTTTTTGGTCTTTAAATTTTCCGTTTGAAAGGAACAGAGATTAATTATTAAAATAGCACTTATGTGAGCTACTTTTGAAGGGAAAAGGAAACAAATGTCTCATCTGCATGTTTTGAGTCAAAAGTTTTGACGCTTGAAACACGGTCTTATGATATCTTTAAATAAAATTTTATTTCTATCGAGTGATGGAAGTCAAAATGATAAATAAGGAACAATATTTGAAGACTTTTGACAGAAATTGTGGATTGAGGTTCGTTTCTGCTTAAAATACGGAAAGTAAAAGCTGAATTGGAAATGCGATTTCCACTTTGTGAACAGTAAGTTTGTACTTTGAAAACACCAATTCTAAAGATGAACTGAAGAAGAATCATAATTCTGATGAGGCACAGTTGTTACCAAGCTCAAGGCGGATAGCTCGTAGATTCGATAAAGCATATGCTTGACAAAGCGCTAGAAAATCATTAGTTCAATCAATAATCGAACCATCTCACCGGCAGCAACGACAAAAATATGAAAAATTTGGTGGCTATGAAAGAGCAGGTCAAATTTTCCGGGCCAGACGCATTCGGGAAAGCGCGTTATGAAGAAGGAAACTCCGATGCCGTACAAGAGACCCATAAGAAGAAGTAGATGCATTTGACCATTTTCAATTGAGTGTTCCCATCCGTACTGCACAAAATAATCACATGTTTTTCTTCAAATATATTACCTTGTAAAGGGCGTGACTAAATGGGAAAATGCCCGTCAGTCCGAAAGAAGCAAAAAGCATTCCACGGAAAGTTCTGTATTTCGGAAGCTGAAATTTCTTGGAGAAACTGACGCAGGTGCAAACCAATCCCAAGAACAGAATTGTGGACATGTAGACTAATTTCGTCGTCGGCTCGCAGTAGAAATTGTAGTAGACCCACGGAAGATACGAGCCAGTAATGAGAACAGCGATTCCAGTGTAATCTAGTCGCCCGCAGAGAAGACAGACATTTGGAGAGTGGCAACTGAAAACAACAAGAAATCAACAAACGTAAGAAATTTGCTTGCTTACCCAAACAAATGGAATGAAACCGAAAAGATGAGGCAGATAAAGGCACAACTGAAGAAAATGAGGCCGATGGATTTTTCCTCGATTGGAGAAATGAATTCGCCGTTACTCTTCAGGACGTAGCTCAGAATGAGACCAAGGAATGAGACGGCGCCGAGGAGGTGAGACCAAATATTGCCGGTCTCGTTGTGGTACTGGAAGATTGTCTTCAGGCAGGTCTGAAAATACGCATTGTTTCTATATGATAAATTTTGGTGATTTACCCAAGAATCTCTCAGCTCCGGCCGGTAGAAGTCACGAATGTATTCATTGTCTTTCATCCACTCCGCCAGTTCCGTGTATTTCACCAGCTTTCCGTCCCATAGTTTCTCCTTGAGCGCCTTTGAAAATGAGCTTACTCTTTCTCGGATCTCCGTCGCATTTTCGCCGAGCTTTTCTGCCAGGCGCTCTTTTCTCTGCTTCAAGTCTTCTTTCACTTTTCCTGCTGATTCTTTTGATCGCTCGCGCACTTTTATTATTGCCTCTGAATTGGACATTTTAAAGTTGATTTCGGTCGTTAATTTTGGTATAAGGCTAACAAGTTATTATTCTGTTAGATTGTAGACATCATGTTTATTGTAAGATGTTCAGCTGAATGTCTGACATTTCATTGTTTTCAAGTTTTTTGAGGATATTGTTTCTAATGAAAGCTCTGCCCACCTTTGACTTCTTTTTTGACATATTGCTCTCCATTCTGTAGCTCTGCGGGAATCTCCTTGAGCAAAGGTCTGTAATTATGGTTCTCTCCTCTGATCATTTCTTTACGGATCGTTTTCGGGGAATAAATAAAAATGTGGTCTAGTTATTAATCACGTTCACGGCTCAATTGCCTGAGCTCAGGGCGCGTAAATAGAGACGTATTCAGCGCTTTTTATCCGAAATTGAAAAGAATCGAAACCGAGCGCCGAATTCAGCCTAACAAAAGCTTACATCAATATTGCTCAACGTAATTACTAAGAAAAAAAGAAACGTATAAAACGACCAAAAATGTCCAACAACATTTCTTTTCACCTTCCTTATTCACTTTTTATATGATCTTACCTGAGTCATATTAAGTCAATATGTATTTTTGAACCATTTCCTGTCATTACTCGTCGTATTTCTATTCGTATCCATATTAATTAATAATTCTTCTCTTCGTAGAGTTTCTTCATAAAATTGCTCTTTCAGTGTATAGTTCGTTAGACAGTAAACCAATTCGACCGTCTGAATCTGGCCTGATCCAATCGTATCACAACCGGGTCAAAGGTCAGGCAAACAGTTGCTACTTGCTCACGAGTTTGACTTGGAAAAAAAGGAAAATTCTTATAACAGGGAATTTCTTGGGGGTAGGTTGGTGGCGCTTACCCCGAGGGCGACTGGAAGGTTCACAAAATAACGGAGTCTTTGGTTGATTCTCTGCTTGATTCTGACTCGACATTTATTTTGGGGAGCCATTTTGCGGTTATATAATATCGCGCGATATTCATGCATCATCGCAGGGCATGCAATAAACAACTCGATTGAACTCGACCTTGTCAGTAAGGTCATATCATCTGACAGTAATCAATGATCATTTTGGTACTTTTTTTTATTTTTGATATATACATCGGATGCATTTTTAATAGGGAGAATAACGGGCAGAAGATGAAGAAACTAGTGGCGGCAAAGGAGTGTCTTCTTCAGTCGGGATGAAAGGAAAGCACGAAAGGGCGTTGGAGAGATCAGGGTATTGCTCGAAATACTGGTATTCTGGACTTGCTGTCTGAAGAGGAGGAATTTGCGGGAAACAATTTGGATCTTGAGTCAATGATGAATTCGGGGAGCCATAGCCAGAAGAACCGTAGGAATAGCCACTTTGATCCAAGGACGAAGTTGGCGAAGAGTAGAAATTTGCACAGTTCTGATCGTAAACAGTTGGTCCAGGAGTTGCCAGAAGTTCGAGAAGATTTTCAATATGCTCAATCGCTCCTTGAAGAGTTTCGCATTTGGACTTTTTCTTTCCTTTCCACTCGCCGTTCGGGATGACTTTGCGGAGAGCGTCGAAAGCTTCGTTCATTTCTTTTTGTCGGGCGCGTTCTTGGTCGTTTCGGCGGAGAATGGCTTCTGGAGATCGGTATTGCTTGCGTTTGCCTGACTTGGTGAAGAGGATTTTTCCAGTCATGGTGATTTTTGCTTTTTGTTGTTGTTTGTTGTTTAGATTTTTGATTTGATGATCGTCTGCTCTCAACTGACCGTTTATATGGAACCTGTACTCATTGGCGCCTAAGTGCACCTTGTAGATGAAATTATGATGAAAGCACAAGGTGTCTGTTGGTGCACCTTACCAGCTGCTAGTCTGCGCGCGGATCATAAGAGACAACTAATTAATGCACCTCATGATTTGCAGCTGTCTTAGCAAGTCCACCTAAGATTTGGCGATAAAGAAGAGATTCGTAACGAAAATAACCCCCGAACATGCATAATATCAGAGACCTGCGGTTGTCATGTCTCCTGTTTGTCTCTGTGAAAAATTTCAAAGGCAATAAAACGCAGCGGAAATCATTGATAGGCAGTGATATACTCATGATTTGAGTCGATAATTGACCAGCTATCGCATCAATAAATGCACCTGTTAAATATAAAAGCTCGTTAGATTTCTTAATTTCATTAAAAAATGAGAGTTTTTGGAGCTTTTGCTCCTTTTGTGATAGGAGATGTGTACTTGCACTTTCCGAGAGGATCAAATAATCGGTTGAATGAGAACACCGAAAATCGAGCGAACGATAATCGCGTTTTTGATTCCCAGGTACGATTTTACCAATAGTTTGGTGAGTAAATCTTTCAGAACAACAATAGAGGCGGTTATAACGTCGGTGATGTTACCGACGCCGCTGCTGGAAACAACAAAGAAAATCAAAATCGAGCCGTCTACTTTGAATCCACCTCTGAAGCTCCGACTGAAATTCAAATAGAATGGTGGAATCAGCATGGATGCGGGAAGCGGGATGAAAACGACGGGAATTGGGTGAACTGTCAGATTGTTCTTCAATACATGTGCGAAGATAGTGCAACGGCTTCTATTCAAAATGGACTTCAGACAAACACGGCTCAATATACCGATGCTGGAGAAGATGAAACCTTGGAGGAGTTTCAAGCGCGAAGAGATGCAGATATCCAAGGTTCAAAATCCTGCGTGATAATTATTTTTTTCATGAATATTTTAGAGAGTGAGAATCGTGGCATCCACGAGTCTTGGGATAATTACGAAACCTGTGTGAATCGAAATAGAAACTACGGGCTTTTCAACGCAGATCAAGAAGTTCAACGAGGCGGTGCAATTTACACTCGTCAAAACCCAAACGGAGGGCGAAGTGGATATGAATGCTCGGAAGAACGCGACTACTACCCTTACTGGCATCCAACTCCATGGAAAGATATCGCGATTCTGACTTCAGAGCCAGAAAAATGTGAAGAGATCGTAGAATCAAGCGCGAATCGACAAATGCGGTTTGAGTGCATTGAAAATATGCGTGGTTACAGGTATTCTTTCGTCGAAAATTAAATTTCTGAACAATCTCAGTAAATGGAATACCGAAAAAGAGTGCGCCGAAAATAATGGAGAATGGGTTGGGTTTTACAACGGCAAGTTTACGTTTCCAAATATCGAAACAGAAGAAGATTGCTCAAAGCTTTCTCAAGAAATTGGACTGTCTAACGACGTAGTTTGGGGACGAGAATATCCAAAGAATGAGATCGTTTTCAATAGAAAAGCGAACTCCTGTATTCTTCTCGAAGAAATCCCTGAATGCATCAAAGCACCGTGGTCGAGAGCAAATCATTTGGGCCATTCAGATCAAAACAACTATTTCTCAACTTATCGTTGGGCTCTTCCTAATTTCCATGGCTTGGTTGAATCTCAAGAGTGTGTTCTTAGAATCCGTTACAATATCACTACCAACGACTATCACGACGAGTTCGACAATGAAGAAACATCCACTTATTTTCCCGGAAAAGAAGCTAACGAAAATCCAGAGGTTGTCTATAAAGGACTCAACTTACAGGATGGTTCAATAGTTTTGCAAAATAACTATTTTGATAACTTTTATTTTGTGAATGAAATAATTTCGGTATGAAACTGTTAAAAGCTTGCAATAAACACGGCCCAAACAGGGAGAGTATTCCAAGATCGCAGTCATGTGTTCCAGCTAAAGCCAAGACCAAAAGAAGTAGCCGTCAACAAGCGAATTGTCAATCTTGGTGTTCGAGGACGGCGCGGTAATATTGTGCAAACTTTCCCAGGTCTATTATTTCTCCGGTAAAATTTTTTTATATTTTGATTTGAAGCTGTCGAATACGATTTTTCGCCAACAATCCTTGAAATCTACGAAGATGATTTGGTACACTTTCAGTGGGAAGGAAGCAACACTGTTCCCGCTTCAGACGGCGAAGGGACAGAAAGCACCGATCGAAGTAACATCGTCCCATTCACTGTAAACAACGGAAATATTCCATCTGGCGAAGTGATGAACAACGGGAAAAGAAACTATTTTTCGATCGACAATAAAAGTCACTTTCATGTGATGTTTGTGAAGAAAAGTACCGTTTCTGAGATCCGTCATCATTGTGAAGAGGCGAAAATGGCCATTCCGGACATCAATTCGACGGAATTTCACGAAGCGTTGATTGAATTTATTCAAGGAAGGGATAAAAATAGCATAAAACAAGCATTAAAGTTTAATGATTAAACTAACGGAATATCCCAATAAAAGCTAAAAATGCTCTTGAAGAAATCCCAATAACGACGGGCCTAGTCGAGCTACAGATGAGCAGCAACAGTAGCTTTCATGTTATGAAGAAAAATGGCACAATTGTTGAGGTCGATGAGAGGGAAAAGATATTCGAAGAGGCAATTTGCGTCACCTCGCTGGATCATGAAGTTTTGAGGACTCAAATCGGTGGACCCGACATGTTCGAAAAGTGGATTTGGAGCTCCATGAATATTCGGTAAGACGATGCAGGAACAAAGTTTCTCAAAATATTCAGAGACATTGAAGATCTCGAAAACCTCAAGCTTCAATTCGCAAGCTCAGGATACTACGGGTGTTACAAACCACAGCACTGCGACACTTCGATGGCTGAGAAAACTGAAGAGCTGCAAAATCAGCTCAACAATGCTCCAGCTTCATTTCACGGCAACATCGTTCAAATGAAGATAGGAAGGCATCATTACATGGGCACGCGAAACAACAACTTCTCAAACAGAGCTCAGAAAGGGACAATCATCGTCAAGGAAGGAGAATATCCAAATCCTCGAAGCTCTGCTGAAATCATGAGTTTTTGCATCTTGCTTTTGGCTTTCGTCTTTATGATTTGATTGAAAACATGAAACATTCTTTTGGAGCTTTTCCAAGCCGCAAAATTCTTTCAGTTCTTTTGCTGGAATATATTCTTGGCAGGTAGAGATAAGCATTTTAGGTTCACCTTGAATCTTACTTGATTTGTTGAACTAAAACGACTGGTTAGTAAAAATGAAAGTAAACAAAATTGAAAGTGATCTGAATGGTGATAAATGAGATGATGATAAACGAGGATGTAAATGTTACCTAAATTATCCCTGGCCCTAGAATATGTCAGTTAAAGTTGGTGATAGGAAATCAATTGGAAAATGTCGGAAGAAGTTGAGGTGAAGAGTGAGAAAAATAAAGAAGAGAGGTTAATCTCTATAAACTTAAAAATGAAGAAGCCTCAAAGTACAATACAGTGAGGTGGAACGGAAAATAAAATATGTACAAAATTGAAATGAAAAGATGAAAATGAGAACTCTGAACTTCATTCAGAGGCATTATTGTTATTTGGGGTCTTACTGGTAAAGAGCTTGGCTCCGGTGGACGACTTCGATTGGCGGCAGAATTTCGATATGATTGCGGAAGCTTGCTTTCCTGGAGGAGTGACGCGTTTTGCGAGCGCTTGAAGTTCTGCTTCCGTCCACTTGAATGATATTTTATAAGTAGCGATCTTTACCCGATGCCAAACCTGTTTTTTGAGAGAGAAAAGGTAATTGAAAAGTGTGAGCGGCTCTCTAGGCAAACTCATCGGGTTGAGATAGTTGATGACTTCTGTGCTTTTTCCTCTTGACGAGTCTGATGAGAGATAGGCGAATCCAAACAAGTCGTTTAATTCTGGTGTTACTTCGCTCGGAAGCACTGCACTCCAAACTTCCATAAATTCGTCCAAAATGATAGATTGGCCAGTTTTCTCCGCATTATCTTTGAGGATGAAAAGAGCAACTTGGATAGAAAGCCTCTTCGGACAGAGTTCGAAAGTTCCCATGTTCTCACTGATCGACATATTCTTCAAGCAATGGTAGATTGCCCACTCAGGATAGACTTCCCCTGCGTCGTTGACAGTCTGAGCCAATCCTTCTGCGTCGATCGCTGCTATTGACCAGGACTCGGAATCTACGATATTTGTGAGCTTTATAAACATAAAAATTTCATTCTATTTAGAGAAAAAGATGTTGTTATTGACAACTTGTTAGGATTCTCTTTGTATACCCTTCAAGCCATCAAAATGTACTTTCCAAAATTTCTAAACGAATCTTTATAAAAGACAAACCGATCGTCATGCAAATTGCCTGCGCTACTTTCTCCATGTCCGTAACAAGTTTCCATCCATCACGATTAACTGCACCAAGCCGATCTAGTTCGTCTAATATTTGAGTTTTTGAAGCTTGAACGCGATCAAGTAGTTCGTCCATAGAGACTCCTTTTGGTTCGCTTTTCTAGTTTAACCGATTGAAAAAAAATGTCGAAAATGAATATCGAAAACTATTCCTGTCGCCTTCAAGACTAAATTTGGGAAGCAATCGTTGTAATTTTTCAAGTTTGGGGAGAATTTCTTTTGGTTCCATGTAATCGTGCACGCGAAGAACAAGATCTGCCTTGGCTACTTCAGGCCCTTCCTTGTTTCGGGAAATAATCAAGTCTGGGCTGACAAGAAGTTCGTTCGATGTAGTGCACATTTTGATGTCAAATGTCTTCGTGTCTGTGCAGACGACAACGCCGTCTTTTGGATCCCCTAAAAAATAAATCATAGAATGAAGAAAATTCCGGTTGCAGACCTCGGATAACAACATCTTCTCCTCTTTTCAACGCTAATTCCAAATCTTCATTGAGTTCAATCAAACGAAACTTGTTCTGCTCGACAAAAGGAGAGAAGCTCACCGAGGCCGATGGAAGATTTATCTTTTCTCGATTGACTTTCGCATAATCTGCGCGCAGAAAGAACTGCTCGCGTTCCTGCTCATTCATCTTAATTTGTAAAAGATTAATTCAAAAATAAAATAGAAAAATAAACTCATTTTTAGCAGTAGTACAAAACAAATAATAAAAAATCTAATAAAAATGAAGAATCAATTAACTCTAACAAATAGGATGAGAGATGACGCGTTGTGAGCCGTACGCCGAGAGTAGAATTTTTCCATTACTTTCCCAGTTTACTCCAGTGAGCAAATAATCGCCTATTAATTCGCTCTTTATGACAGAGCCGGATGAAGTGAATAGAAGGATTCGCCCATCTTCGCCCGTGGAAACGCATAATTGAGGGGAAACATTTGGATCAGCTTTTGAAACTATGCTCGTAACGCCGGCTGTATGGCCATTTATTCGAAATTTGACGGTGTCTTTTTCAAGTCCGATAATCGCACCATCCATCGTTCCGATCAGAAGCGTTTGAGGCGCTACACATACTGTTGTAGCGATCGTTTCCTGGAAAGTTCGTCGAGACTGTTACAAAGTGGCTTGACTACCTGGAGTTTGAGACTGTATAAAAGCTGGTTGTTGACTTCAATATTCCAAACAGTTACCCAGCCAGTCTCATCGACAACGGCAAGAGTTTTGCCATCGCAATCCATGGCCATGATCGAGCAGTCCTTCAAGAATTTATAATTGGATAATCAGTAATAATATACTAATTACTTTTTTACTTGATGAGGAATCTAAAGTCACATCACTGGCAAAGCCCGAGCCAGTAATTTTCATAATTCTAATCCTCCCATCTTCATGTCCAAAGAAAACCCTCGAAATGTCTTCATGACTTGTTGCTGCAGTAATCGGTGTCTTTGAATTCCACGTCGCAAAGTGGCAGTAGGACTTGTGACCGTACAGAAACACCTGAGAAGAAGTGACGATAACGATGCGCTGCTTCGAAACTTTTCCGATTTTCAACGGGTTTTCCGTAAAGTTGATCTTTATTTTGCCGCTTTTCTCGTCGCCAGTGACGACTGCGTTTTTCGAACAAACTAGAGGGACGATTTTGCCGTTCTTCTCGACAGTGATTAGATTGTCATTAACAAGAGAAGTGGTACCACCAAGAGAGAGGGTGCTACTCATTCTTAAGAAAATCACCTAATGGCTTCTGACTCAACCGGAATCTCACTTTTCAGCAACTGACCTGCGAAAATCCTGCAAGAAAAGAGACAAACGAAATTGGGCTCTCATAGATATCATTTATTAACAGTAATTTCCTAGAAGATGATTGAATGCGAGCTAGAAAGAGCAAAATTACATGTACCGTTGCACAGAGGCCGCACAGCCGGGCTTGCGCCCTATGCATAGGCTTACCGGACTAAATTTCGGCACATTTTTCTAGCTTAATTTGGGGGTCATGTAACATATATTTAGAAAGCCCATGTCCTGAGCTTTCATTTGGGCACAGAATAAAGGGGTCTGAGTCATGCCCCCAAGCAATTTATGGGACCGGAAGTCTCAATATAGGCACTAGAAGTCTTCAATCAAATTTTTCGATACGTTTAGGAACTCCTGAGCCTTTAGGAACGGCTGGAATAGGAAGCTCAGACTCTGAGCTTTCTGTAGAGCCCATAAAATCTAGCTGCCCTTCGGTCTAGCGGCCTCTAGTGGTCAAAGAAGGTGAGAATATGGGTATTTTTCGACAGGAACCCGAAAGGAAATTGAAAAAACCTTCCGGTTCTACCGCGGTTCAATTACTAAAGACTCATATATTGTTTATAATTGTTTTATAAATATAACAAGTAAGTTAAGAAGTCGGAAATTCGACTCGAAACCAGAAGATTCTCGACTTAAGCACTTATAAAGTCAACTTCTAGGGCCACAAGAGGGCGCTAGAGCCGAGGGCAGCTAGATTTTATGGGCTTTACAGAAAGCTAAGAGTCTGAGCTTTCTATCCCAACCGCTCCTCAAGGCTCTTGAGCTCCTAAACACATCGAAAAATCGATTGAAGAGTTCAAGTGCCTATTTTGGAACTTCCGGTCACATAATTTGCCTTGGGGGCATGACCTTGACCCCTTGATATTGTGCCCAAATGAAAGCTCAGCTTCTGGGCATTCTAAAGCTGTATCATAAGACCCCCCAACTAAGCTAGAAAAATCGACAAAAATCAGTCCGGTAAGCCTACCTATGCACAGCCACCGCAACAACCATATTTTGAAGATAGTGAGGGGAAACACAACTAATATTGGATCTAAAGAGAGCAGTATTTTTCAATTATAGACGCGGGATCAGAGACGGGGAAAGTGGCTCTTTTGCCGTCTCAAATCGGCCGCGCTAGAGGTTAGAAACATATTAACGGACAAAGGACGAACATTAATAGGCGGAACAGCTTGGTTGACGATCGGGTTTCTTTCAGTTGTCCGGTTAATCGACCTCCTCAATGGTGGGTCCGCCAGAAGCAGCGCCGGATTGGTCACCGCCAGCGGCTCCACCGGGAATCCACCTGGCATACCGCCTAAGAAGAAGTTGAATTCATTGAAAAAGATGTCGATTTTTACCTGGCATACCGCCGGGGGCGCCACCAGCACCCTGGTACATCTTGGTGATGATTGGGGTGCAGATCTTCTCGAGTTCCTTCTTCTGGTATTCGAACTCGTCCTAAAAATATTAGGAAAAGAGTCTTCCATTTTATTTTTACCTTCTCGGCAGTCTGGTTGGAGTCGAGCCACTGGATGGTCTCGCTGCACTTGTCGGAGATGGTCTTGATCTCTTCAGCGGAGATCTTGTCCTTGACCTTGTCGTCCTCGACGGTCTGCTTCATCTGGAAAGCATAGGACTCGAGTTCGTTCTATAATATACAGTTAGTATTGGAAGGCAGTCAAACGAGTTTCACCTTGGCCTGGATCTTGTCCTTCTGGGCTTCATCCTCAGCCTTGAACTTCTCGGCGTCGTTGACCATCTTCTCGATGTCCTCCTTGGAAAGTCGGCCCTTGTCGTTGGTGATGGTGATCTTGTTCTCTTTGCCAGTGGACTTGTCACAGGCAGAGACGTTGAGGATACCGTTGGCATCGATATCGAAGGTGACCTCGATCTGGGGAACACCTCGTGGAGCTGGGGGGATCTGGGTGAGATCGAACTTGCCAAGGAGGTTGTTGTCCTTGGTCATGGCTCGTTCACCTTCGAAGACCTGGATGAGGACACCGGGCTGGTTGTCGGAGTAGGTGGTGAAGGTCTGGGTCTGCTTAGTTGGGATGGTGGTGTTTCGCTTGATCAAAGCAGTCATGACGCCACCAGCGGTCTCGATACCGAGGGAGAGTGGGGCAACATCGAGGAGAAGGAGATCCTGGACTTCCTCGGATTTGTCACCGCAAAGGATGGCGGCCTGGACGGCGGCACCGTAGGCAACGGCCTCATCGGGGTTGATGGACTTGTTGAGTTCCTTTCCGTTGAAGTAGTCCTGGAGGAGCTTCTGGACCTTGGGGATTCGAGTGGAGCCACCGACGAGGACGATATCGTGGATGCCGTTCTTGTCGATTCGGGCGTCTCGGAGAGATTTCTCGACGGGGTCGAGGGTGCCTCGGAAGAGGTCGGAGCAGAGCTCTTCGAATCGGGCTCGGGTGATGGAGGTGTAAAAGTCAACACCCTCGAAGAGAGAATCGATTTCGATGGCGGCCTGGGTGGAGGAGGAAAGGGTTCGCTTCGCTCGCTCGCAGGCGGTTCGGAGACGTCGAACAGCTCGCTTGGATCCGGAGATGTCCTTCTTGTGCTTTCGCTTGAACTCCTGAAATATTTTTTAGAATAAGGGCTTCGATAATTTCGAAGCGTAAGTCAGATCGAGTTTGACAGCTCAGGGTTAAAAAGCTCTTTTGTAACTTCCAGGGAAAGTCAAGACAAATTGGGGTTAACATCCTTGCTGTCGAGGATAGCAAAATAAAAGTATATGAAGTTCACTGCCGATGATTGGCTTATGGTTTCGATATTTACCTGGGTGAAGTGGTTGACGAGTCGGTTATCGAAATCTTCACCACCCAAGTGAGTGTCACCAGCAGTGGATTTGACCTCGAAGATACCATCTTCAATGGAGAGGACGGAGACATCAAAGGTTCCACCGCCAAGATCGAAGATGAGGACGTTTCGCTCAGATCCGACCTTCTTGTCAAGACCGTAGGCGATAGCGGCAGCGGTGGGTTCGTTGATGATTCGGAGGACGTTGAGACCAGCGATGGTACCGGCATCCTTGGTGGCCTGTCGCTGAGAGTCGTTGAAGTAGGCTGGGACGGTGACGACAGCGTTGGGGACGTCCTTTCCGAGGTAGGCCTCGGCGGTGTCTCGCATCTTGGTGAGGACCATAGAGGAGATTTCTTCAGGGAAGAAAGTCTTGGTCTCGCCCTTGTATTCGACCTTAATCTTGGGCTTGGTGTTGTCGTTGATGACATCGAAGGACCAGTGCTTCATGTCGGACTGGACGACGGAATCGTCGAACTTTCGGCCAATCAATCGCTTGGCGTCGAAGACAGAGTTCGATGGGTTCATGGCGACCTGGTTCTTGGCGGCATCACCGATAAGTCGTTCGGAGTCGGTGAAGGCGACGTACGATGGGGTAGTTCGGTTACCCTAAATAGAAGATGTAAGAATGTTATAAATGAAAATATCTAACCTGATCGTTGGCGATAATTTCGACTTTTCCATGCTGGAAAATACCGACGCAAGAATAGGTTGTTCCCAAATCAATACCAACTGCGGCTCCCTTGGCGGCCATTTCGCTGTGTATTCGACTCGAAGCTCTGAAAACGTTGGAGATTAATTCCGTGTCGAGTGATTAAACCGGCGGTCAGGCAGTTGTATTTGTTCTACTTGATCATTTAACCTAAACAGATGACATTCTCGGGGCTGCCTTAGGGTCACGATGTTTGGGGTCAAATCGAAATCGAGCCGGGTTCGATTGAACTAACGGTGAGCGCATGAAGATCTCTGGGTTATAATTAAAATAAACAAGTATAAATTGAGGTGGCTCGACATGTCAAAGGCGCATTTAGCCAATATCAGGGGGAGGGGATTTCGAAAGGGGACAAACACACAAGTCAAAATGCGATAGGATTTTGGGCTCTTTGGTCTAAACTTCAGTTGAAATAACGTTATGTAAAGCCTAAAATCTTATCGCATTTGATCACAAAAAATAACAAAAGGAATTTTGAGTAAAGAAATATATCCTAGTGGCGAAATGCCCCAGCGACAAAGTGGGGAAGTCGTGTACGTGTCTGGGTGGTAGTGATCGACAACGGACAGAGCTCAGAAAAGACGGGATTAATCGACTTCTTCCATTCGGGAGGAGTCATCCTCACCGTCGTCGTTCTCGAGCTCGGGCATATCTTCCTCGGCCTAAGAAAATGATTAAGATATGTGCATATTGCATTTGATTACCTGATCGGCGGAATCATCCTCACCATCGAAGCCAAGACCGAGCTTGATCATTCGGTGGATTCGAGTAGCGTGGGTGCCGGGATCTTCAAGGGAGAAGCCGGAAGTGAGAAGGGAGGTTTCGTAAAGAAGCATGACAAGATCCTTGAGTTATTAATTGAGCGATGTATGGCTTCAACAACTGGTTTACCTTGACAGACTTGTCGTTCTTGTCGGCCTCAACCTTCTGTCGAAGCTGCTCGACGATGATGTGGTCGGGGTTGATTTCCAGGTGCTTCTTGGCGGCCATGTAACTAGAAGCGCCAACGTTAGTTGATGGATTGAAGTTTCAAGACTCACCCCATGGTGGAGGTATCCTTGAGGGCCTGGGCCTTCATGATTCGCTCCATGTTGGCGGACCAACCGTACTGCGAGGTGACGATGCAGCATGGGGAGGAGACCATTCGGTTGGAGACGACGACCTTCTCGACCTTCTTGTCAAGAATGTTCTGAAAGAAGGGAATTACTAATTGATAAGAACAAAGAACTGATTGATCGTTAGTATTTTATACTCATATACGTGAGAATGAGATAGCTTTCCTCAGATTTTCATTCGGATAACTTTGAAGGTAAAAATAGTAATCATTGTAATCTTTTTATAGCTTTCTTTCAAAAGTTATTAAAGCAATTACCTTCATGGTGTCGCTAAGAGCAGCGAACTTGGCCTTAGTCTCCTCGAACTTCTTCTTCTCCTCTTCATCCTCGGGGAGCTCAAGACCCTCCTTGGTGACGGAGACGAGGTTCTTGCCGTCGAATTCTCGGAGCTGCTGGACGCAGTACTCATCGATGGGCTCGCACATGTAGAGAACCTCGAAGCCCCGCTTTGTCACACGCTCGACAAAGGCGGAGTTCTTGACGATATCGACGGACTCGCCGGTGATGAAGTAGATGTCCTTCTGGCCATCCTTCATTCGGCTGACGTAGTCAGTGAGGTTGGTGAGCTCCTCGCCGCCATCGAAAGATGACTTCCATCGGAGGAGCTTGGCGATCTTGGTTCGGTTGTTGGAATCCTCGTGGATGCCAAGCTTGATGTTTCGACCGAACTGCTCGTAGAAGGTCTTGTAGTTGTCCTTGTCTTCGGCAAGTTCCTCGAAGAGCTCGACGCACTTCTTGACAAGATTCTTTCGGATGACCTTGAGGATCTTCGACTGCTGGAGGGTTTCTCGAGAGATGTTCAAAGGAAGATCCTCGGAGTCGACAACACCCTTGACGAAGTTGAGGTACTCGGGGATGATTTCCTCGCAGTTGTCCATGATGAAGACTCGTCGAACGTAGAGCTTGATCGAGTTCTTCTGCTTCTTGTTCTCGAAGAGATCGAAGGGAGCTCGCTTGGGCAGGAAGAGAAGGGCTCGGAACTCGAGCTGACCTTCGACGGAGAAGTGCTTGACGGCGAGGTGGTCTTCCCAGTCGTTGGTGAGGGACTTGTAGAACTCGGCGTACTCCTCGTTGGAGATGTCGTCGGGGTTTCGAGTCCAGATGGGCTTGGTCTTGTTGAGCTCTTCAAGCTCGGTGTACTTCTCTTTGGCGGTCTCCTTCTTTTCCTCCTTTTTCTCTTCGTTTTCGTCGATCTCCTCGATCTTGGGCTTGTCGGAGTCTTCGTCCTCGTCCTTAACTTCCTCGTCGGCGGCGGTCTCGACTTCTCGCTCCTTCTCGACGTGGAGTTTGATGGGGTAGCCGATGAACTGGGAGTGCTTCTTGACGATCTCCTTGATCTTCTTCTCCTCGCAGTATTCGGTCTGGTCTTCCTTCATGAAGAGCTCGATCTTGGTTCCTCGGCCGATGGAGGGACCGTCATCGACTCGGATGGTGAAGGAACCACCGGCGGAAGACTCCCAAATGTACTGCTCGTCCTCGTTGTTCTTGGAGGTGACGCGGACGGTATCGGCGACGAGGTAGGCGGAGTAGAAACCGACACCAAACTGACCGATCATAGAGATGTCAGCACCAGCGGAAAGAGCTTCCATGAAGGCCTTTGTACCAGACTTGGCGATGGTACCGAGGTTGTTGATCAGATCGGCCTTGGTCATACCGACACCGGAATCGAGGATGGTGAGCTTCTTGCCTGAATATATGAGTCATAAAAAGATCGATATTATCAATTGAATTACCGTCGGCATCGGGGATGAGCTCGATTTCAAGCTCCTTCTTGGAGTCGAGAGCGGAAGGGTCGGTGAGGGAGCTGTATCGGATCTTGTCCAAAGCCTGAAAGGTGCGTTAGAAAGGGTTCGAGTTGGAAATAATTTTTGAAATTTCGGATAAGTTTGGCTCATAAAGTTGAGAATGAGATAGTTTTCCTCATGTTTTTTCGGATAACTTTGAAGGTAAAAAGTAGTAATCATTGCAAAACGCGTCAAAGGATAGTAAAAGTAAAGTGGTAGTGTACTTACATCAGAAGAGTTAGAAATCAATTCTCGGAGGAAGATTTCTTTGTTGGAGTAAAAGGTGTTGATGATAAGGGACATCAACTGGGCGATCTCGGCCTGGAAGGCGAAGGTCTCGACCTCTTCATCTTGGACCTCAACTTCCACCATTTTGTCGGTCAGAGCACTTGCTTATCTCTAAAAACGAAACGTATTTAGCCTTTGCCGGAGGGGTGAAAACCCAATAAAGGATGAAAATTTGAAGAAAAAATCGAACCCCTAAATCCACCACTCGAGCGCCACCCAGTCACGGGGACGCCCGAGATACGGGAGGTACGATCGAAGTTTGGGAATTATCAGCAGGGAGGTAAGATTTGAGGTGGATAAGAAAATTCTCTAAAAATGGTTGAAAAATGCTCTCTCTCGATTTCTTCTGACTGAACAGGAAAGCGCGTTCACCGATTCAGCTCGTCGTCACGTGGGCGGAGTCGATGGGCCAATCAGTGAGCGTATTTAGCCTCCCCCGCCAATCGAGAAGCTTCGCGAACTTTCGAGAATGAGGCGGCTCCGCACTCCGAGCGGGCGCTACTACGAGCTGCGCGGCCAATCATCGTTCTCGAAGAATCGAGAAAATGGAAATTCCTCTGAGTCAAGTTGAAAATCGGCCAAAACGGCAATTAATCGTGAGAACTTGCATCATTAGAAGATTCATTTTCGATGAGAAAATACGAAATCACTTATTAGTTTCAAATAATTTGATATTAGCCCATTTTAATATGCATCATCTATTCACTTATCACTAGTTCAACCCTCTGTATAACTACTCATTGAGTCCCTTGAAAATTTCATCAATTTCATTACTTTTAGAATGGGCTCAACAGGTCCCTGCTGGAAAGCGGCCTTTGAAAAGCTTGAATTTGGCGCTCCGGACAGGTAATTTCTTAAAAATCAGTAGATCTGGCATTTCTCTAACTGATCATCAATCGCACTACCAGTGACTTTATATTGATCATTTATGTAGGACTAGAAACGTTAAGAAGGGGAAAGAACATTCTAGCATTTTCCAGTACAATTACAATTGTCGATCGAGAATCGAATCAATAGAATTACGACTACAAAGGTCCTTATTTATTACATAGGATGTTTGTAGGAAAAATACAATCATTTGGTGAATGAATATTTACTTTGAACAAATACCAATAGCGTAGTAAAACTTTGATTCAATTATTCAGCTATCTTACGATGCTGGACCACATGGGCGACCGGCTGGATCCGTCTTCCGGCCGCGAGCTCACCGAATGGGCTTTGGCGAATGAAAAATTTAACAGGAAATATTCGCAAATGCATGAAAATTTCACACCTAAGTGAGTTCGTCTATTCTTGTCGCAGTTTGTGTTTATTTTTGCATTGTTGCGAATCCTCGAAGCCAAAAGTTCGAAAAAGTAGAGTTCAACAGGGATGAATTTTCTAATTGGAGTCCTCCAGGATTGTTGGAAGCTGCGAGAATCTAATTCCGTTAACACTAACTATTAGCACTATTGATTATTCATCCTAATCGCTAAAATACTTTTTTCCAACTCGAAGGGGCAGCGTACCTCGAAAATGTCGATAAGAATCACTGGGTTGAGATCATTTCCTCGTCGATAAAACAGGCTCAAATCGATTTTCAACCCTTGAAAAGCCAGACATGAAGATGGAAGTCGATCAAGATTCAGTGGCCAGCAAGCAAGAAACTCCTTGGTACATGGGCAAAGCTGCCAATCGAGTCATTTATTATCCGCCAGCAAAGTCGGCTCCACACCCTGATGATGTGGAAATGAAGGAGCAGGAAAGTAAGAAACGAAAAAGGAAAGCAGCCAATAAGAAGGAAAATGACCCGTGTGGAAAAGGAAGAGTTTCATCGATTCATATTAGTCTTGATTTTTATTATCACAACTTGAAACTTGAGTCAGCCCGAAAACCAGCCGTCAGTGTGCCGGCGCCTTTTTTACACACTGCTGCTGATGAACTCGTTCGCCAGGCCGAAAAGCAAAACAAGCCGGTTACATCTCCTCCATCAACCGGCAGACCCGTCAAGATTCCAACCTTCAGCACGCCATACATTGGAAGTGTATTTACTAAAAACAAGAAAGAAGAAGAACATGATGGGATCAAAGGAATCGACAAGAAACTGGTGGACATAATCGAGAATGAAATTATGAACACAAAGAAGAATATGTCCTGGGATGACATCGCTGGATTGAAAACAGCCAAAGAGGCCATCAATTATGCTGTTATAGCACCGATGAAACGGCCCGATCTGTTTACGGGCATTCGATCAGCCCCCAAGGGGGTTCTTCTTTTTGGACCACCAGGTTGAGATTCATTAAATTTGCTCGATTCTTTATTGTTTTCTTAGGAACAGGGAAGACATTGATTGGAAAATGTATCGCAAGTCAAGCAGGAGCCACGTTTTTCTCGATTTCTGCTTCTTCCTTGACTTCGAAGTGGATCGGGGAGGGAGAAAAATTGGTGAAAGTCCTGTTCACCCTTGCGAGAAGAAAAGCTCCAAGTGTCGTGTTTGTCGACGAAATTGACTCAATGTTGAGCGCAAGATCAGAGCAAGAGCATGATGCTAGTCGACGAATCAAGGAAGAGATTTGCGACTTCTTAGATTTCACTTTCTTATGAAATTTATTTTCAATCTACGCAAAGACAGAATTCCTGGTCCAAATGGATGGTTGCCGAGAAGACGAAGACGGTAAAATTGTCCTCTTGATCGGCGCAACGAACCGTCCCGAGTGCTTGGACGAAGCTGCCCGCCGTCGTCTTACTCGACGTTTATACATTCCACTGCCTTGCCACGATGCTAGGCGACAAATTATCAACGATCTGCTGAAAGATCAGACGCATACGCTTACACCCCGCGATTTTGACAAGCTGGTCGAGGGAACAGAAGGGTACTCTGGTGCTGATTTGAACTCTCTCTGTCGTGAGGCCGCACTCATGCCGATGAAGGTAATTCAAAAACTTGGAATTCAATTTCAGAACTGATTTTAGGATCTTTGTTTGGAAGATCTTGACATCGGTTGCCAGGGTGCTCGATTCGTCTCGTCAAATTCGTCCGATCCGAGGACGAGACGAAACGAGAAAATTCGTCGTCAATTCGTCGTCCCGGCACCCGAAAAATCCTCGTCCAAACTCGTCCTGACGATTTTTTTTCATTTTTCGTCCGACGAAAATTTTTCGTCCGCTCGTCTCACCGAAAATTTTTTCCGGCCTCGTTTTTTTCGTCAGCTCGTCCAACCGAGATTTCTGTATTAAACTTCAGTAAAACGGGGCCCCTGAATCGCAAAAATTACATTACAATAACTTTCCGTTAATATATTGTTAAAATTTAACCTGCATGCTTCACTCATTTTGATTAGTGAAACATCCTTAATTTTCTCTTTGAAAAAATCGAATTTCTGATAAAGCGCGGTTTGTGGGAGTATCAGGGTGGAACGTTCGGACCGGGCAAGTCGGGCAAAAAACCGGGCGGCGTAGGGCTCGATTTTACGAGGTAAAAATCGGGCAAAGTCGGGCAATAGGGCAAAAATCGGCGCCAGGGAAAATAGTCGGCGCCCGGAAGAAAAAATGGCATCTTATGGGACATTAATACTCAAATTTTCTTTAAGAACGTCCGGTTTCGGTTCTCCATGAGTGCCCTTCTTCCTTCGGGATACAAAATAATCCTTCTTCTTCAATAAATTAACATATTTTTTGGTTTTGGGGTTGCCGAAATTTCCGAGCAAAAGTCGGCGCCCGGGCAAATCGGGCGGGCAAATAATCGGGCGGCCATCGGGCGGCGCCGACAAAAAAAATTAATCGGGCGGGCAATCGGGCGGTCAAATTCAATCTTTTTGCCCGAACGTTCCACCCTGGGGAGTATAGAGGTGAAAATAACTTTATTTTGAACTATTAGATCGACCGACCACCCGACTAATTTCATTTTTGAAATAGCTGGCCACTGTTTCGTATCCAAACAAGACCGACCGATAGCCCGACCTGGTCGGAATGGTCAGTGCCGACCCTTGGTTGCACAAGCTGGACAAGTTTTTTTTCGGTTTTCGGCAGGACGAACTAGACGAGTTTTTTTCGGTTTTCGGTTGGACGAGCTTGACGAATTTTTTTTCGTCCTCGTTTTCGTCCGTTTTTCGTCCGTCCGGGGAAGATTTTTCGTCCTCGTCCGTCATTCGTCCGGGAAAATTAAAAATTTTGGACGAATCGAGCACCCTGTCGGTTGCATGCCTGCCATCAAATTGAGTCATTTTCAATCCGCACTTGCCTTCGTTCGACCTTCGGTGGAAGCATCAGAAATCGTCCGTTACGAAGAATTTCTGAAGAAATTCGGAAGCTAGACTTCTCACACAATCACTTATACGCACTGCCTTTTACTTTAATAAAGTATTAAAGAGAACTTGATATATTTGATTTATTAGACTAATCTGAGGCGCAGTTGGCAGAAATTGTGGCCCCTCTTGCCACTTTTTTTATGACAGGAGTCGAAAAACCGACTAGATGGTCAGCTCCATGATTGAGTTGACGATGTCGTTGTCGTTCTTTCGGAGGGCGGCGACGGCTTTCGCTCGGGAGCAACCAGCTTGGGCTACGACGAGCTCAATGTCCTTTTCTTCGATTCCGGAGGTGTCGACGTCTTCGCTTTCCTCCTCTTCCTCAGCGATGGTCTGAGGGGCAGCAGCCTTGGCAGCCTAAATTTAGATTTAAAAATATTCTTAGTGGGTCAAAATTAAATTCAAAAATACATTCCTGAGCCTGCTGGGCGGATTCAGCCATCTTCTGAGCGGCCATTTCTCGTGCTCGCTGCTTGGTGTCCTCAACTCGGGCTTCTCCAAGAACAACCCAGCTGTCACCTCGTCGGAAAACTTCTGGGGCGGGAACAACGAAGAGAAGGGATTTGTCCTTTCGGAGAACAACTCGGTTGATTCCTTCAACCTGTTGGAGGCCGAGTTTCTAGGACATCAAATGATGAGCGTTGCTGAAGATTTCGACTTACCTGGAGGGCTTTCTTGACCTTTCGCTCAGCGCGGGACGATTTGCTCTCGCCCTCTGGAGCAGCCTCAGCCTGGAAAGCTGGAGCAGCCTGGACGGGCTCCTATGAAATGAAAATAAAGCAAAGCCATTATTTTGCAATAATAACCTCAACAGTCTCGACTTCGATGTCTTCTACAACAGGGTCTTCTGGCTCAGGCTCGTTGGGCTGGCACTCGGAGGTGGGTCGGGAGCGGACGGCATCAGCGTAGGTAACAGTACCCTTTGGGGTGAGGGGAATAGCAGCTTCAGTGGTCTCGGCTTCCTCAGCTCCTTCGTCAGAGTCGGCGTTGATGAAATCAAAGGGATCAACTGCGCCAGAGGTATCAACGTTTTCTGATTCATCGTCCGAATACTCGACGGAGATCATCTGCCAAAAAAGACGTTTTTAATATTTAAAGAATTTCGACGAAAGTAAAGTGACAAAATTTGCAAAATTTAACCATTAGTACAATTAAGCAATCTCAGTGGATGGCTCCGTTAGGGTTATCCATGCAGATACGATTGGATACCTGTTTTCCTTCAGAAGGCTCAACAATGTGTTATTAAATTTAAAATAATTATGTCACATGAGTTAAGTGGTCTGAAGATAAAAGAGCCTGTCCTTCAGCCATTGTAAAAGTCTACCGAACCAAGTTTTCTCTAAAAGAAACTCTTTTAAAAGTTGGAAATAAAAATTTCCAGCGACACAAAAATCAAGGGATCGAAGCCAGAGCTTACCACTTTGCACAAAAGTATCAAAGCGACAAAAAATGCTCTTCAACAGTGCTAGCGCTTCATTCAAAATAACTTCCTTTCAATAAAACAACTAACAACGTCTTTCATAAACTGCATGAAAAGGGAACCAAGCATTATCTTTTTCATGTCATTTTTCATGTTTGCTGAAGTTTATTACACAGTCGATATAAAAGATAGTTTCATAGTATTACTCCAATTTTTTCTGTTTTTCCTTGTAAGGCAGAATAAAATCTAAGAGTCGAATAATTATAGTGAAGGGTGCTTACTTCTACTATCTCTATACTATCTCTGCAGTTGCATATAAAAAGATAACAAAAAGGGTTACAGTAAAAAGGGTACTTTATTCTTAATCTTATCTCAGTGGGACACTCAGTCCGAATGCCTATTTCAGGCGGTTACGCTTCTTTATATACTCGCCGCAGGTGCGTGCTCGCTAGGGGCGACGGTGAGCCGGAAGCGCTGCGCTTCTAGAATTCTCCAGAACTTTGCCCTGCAACTTGTATTGCATAATAGTAGTAGCACCGTTACACTCTCCCCTGCCCGCAAAAGAAGTTTCAGCCCGGCCGCTTGGAGTCGCACTGTTGTGGCCGCAAGGCGCTCGAAATCAAAAAAAAATATGTTCGGCGCGTGACTGAAGCGCCAAGTTATAGCATGATTCAAAATGGTTCCGGTTATCTGATTCAGTGCGGGAGGAGAGAACTTTGTGAACCAAGAAATTTGTTTCTTTCTTTTTAATCAAACAGGTTGTTGGTTTACTGGTTTTGTTTCATCTCACATTCGTATTGCGTCTCGAAAACAATGAGGGTAAAAAATTTAAGTTTTTGTTTTTGAAGGATGGCTTGTGAAGGCGTTATGATCTCAAAAACAAATTGTTGACGAATCGCATTCCAAGTCTCGTCGAAATTTTCCTCAATTTAACTTATCGCAAAATAGTGTTATTCTCAACTTGTCATATAAACCCTTCCCCACCAATATCTCGTGAAGAATTTCGGTATCGAATGACAAACTGTACCTCATCAGATCGATTTCTGCTTTATTCTTACGACTGGTGTTGGCAGGGTAAACTTACAGCGAAAACAATCTTCATCATTTTCCTGTTCTTGTTGATCTTCTTTTGTAGTTCTCCTTTAACAACAAATATGACTAGGCATTCTATTGAGACCCTTCCCCTTGGGAGGAGTACCTTTACAAAAAAGACCACTGTTGTCGGTACGAGGTTACTTCTTTCGGACACTCGGTGGGTTTCTCTCACTCTCGTTTGCTTCCGACTCGTTCTTACATCCTAGACTTTGTTTTGACTTTGTAACGACCACCTCTCATTCTCACTGTCGACAGATTTCAGTCTCGTCATCGTTGGGGAGGCCATTTGAAGTGTCCTTGATCGCAAATGAGCCGTCGATTGACATCTAGGTTCTGTTAATTAACCGCAGCGTTTATTATCGCTTGCCATATCATTGTTCTAAAACAACTTTCTTCGGATCTGTACAATATACTTACTTGAAAGAACCTTCGGAATGACTTCTACTGGACGTATCCGTTTCATGCAAAACAAAAAAGAATACAGATCATATTAAGTAGCCGAAGCCATTCTATTCGTTCGGATGGCAAAAAATTTATCTCTCGTTGTGTTCGTTAAACATGTGAAAAAAAATTGACTTTGATTGATAAACCTAGGATAATCTTTGTCATTTTTGTCACCTGGCTCGGTTTACTCTTGGTGGCTGTGAATCCAATTTCCAACTCGTTGGACTGACTCACCACCCAGTATGCTAGTTCAAAATCGTTATGATTCTTTAATTAAGATTGTCAGATCCGGTTACCTTTATTTTGATAGCAGCTCTCTGTATATTGTCTTCTCTCTCATCAAGGTTATCTCAAATGATGAAAACGACTGTCGGCATTCTAAACATTTCATCGCTTTAAATTTTGGAACAAAAAAATCAGTTTATTCGTCGTCTTTGATTTTTCGGTTTAAGGCAAAGCGATTTCAATTGTTTCGTATGCCGTTGTTTTTGGAATTCAGTTTGCATTATTTTTTTCTTATGTTCGTCTTTGCTCGGTGAAGTACTTTTCTGTACCGTTTTCCTTTAAAAGGTTTTGACTTTAAATATCGCTTACAATGCTTACTCAATTAACTTTTGATGATTTTTCAAAAAGGTCATCTGTTTCTTCGTCGGTTCTTTCCTCAGTGATGGTTCTTTTCCAAAATTCGAAGAAGTTATTGACTCTTTGTTCTTCCGCTTCTAAACAAAATTCATCTTCAAGCTGACTGATTTGACTCGTATTACCAATTTTGGGTCGATTCGGTCGAGAAGAGTCCGCTGTCTCTTCATTATCTTTCATTATTCCTGCTGGTTCTGAGTTCTCTTCTGAAGTAAGGCCTTTGCGTTTTATTTTTGTAGTTGAATACTTTCTGTCCATATTTTCGAAAGCAGCCTCGATCGAACGAAGGCTGAGATTCATGCATTCCTTCCAGTCAAGTTTTTTAAGTCTTCTTGATGAATTGAATGCTTCAACAATGCGTTGATCTCGTCGAGCGTTCAAGGGAAGCCAGCAAAAGATTTCCTGACGAACGAACTCTCCCTCTTTTAGGTTCTGGGATGCGATTTGAAGAATAAGCAGCGCGGCGTAAAAAATTCTCGTTAGATCTTCGTTTTCGGGAGTTTTTTCCAACACGATTGATGTTACATTCAGGAGGATTGTTTTTCTTATCGAAGTATCGTTTCTTTTAATCAGATCTCTTATGGTCCAGATTGAATCTGGATTCATATAAATAAGGTTATTCAGTTGAGAATGGGTATCGATGATCTTATCAATATCACTTTTCGGTGGATACCACGAAATATCAATTTTACCTTGATTCTTCAAACTGTCGCTCATGGCTAGTAATAGTATTGAGACTCGCTGGTTCTTATCGTTCCGAGTCATTCTTAATAAATTAAGATCTTATTCTCTAATTTAAAATTGTTTGCTTCTTATCGAATCAAATTCGTTAAATAATCGTTGTTGATTTTCATGTTATTTTCTTCCGGTGTTTACTCTTCTTCGCCGTTATTCTCCTCGTCTAAATTAGTTTACACGTTGACAAATGTTGAATTTTATTACCGCTTGACTCGCTTCCTAACGCTTCATTATCAAAGGTTCTTATTTCGAAAATTCCGGGTTCATCTGTTTCTGTTCTCAGTTTCTGAGCAAAAATGCATGCGTCCATTAAATCTTGTACAGTTAGGGTTAGGTTCTCCAATTTTTTCTCACACGACCTCTTTATTTCCACCTTCGTGGCATCGCTTGCCACTGCCATAATACGATGATACATTATTGTCGCATCTCCTGAACTAACATTATCATTGTTGGCAAGTTTTATCATAAGGTTAAGTCTTGAAAGAAAGGCAATCAAGGATTCGCCAGGCCGTTTAATTGTTTTATGGATTTTTCGGCTGAGGTCTGAACGGGACACTCCTAAGAAGGTCATCAATGAGTATGTAAATCTTGTGAAGCTCGTTCGCTCTGTCTCTGGTATCAGCTGGTCGATATAGGAAAATTTGCCAGGCAATGTCGTAAGGAGCAGCGAACAAAGTTGTGATTCATCTACTCCTTGGGCTCGTGCCGCTTTGAAGCATATCGCGCATGAGCTTAAATGGTCCAAGAAGGAGCTTTCACTCGGGTTCCATTGAGATAGCCCGAAAGAAGACGCTTTAAGACCGACGGGCATTTTTGAATTGTCTACTTTCTCCTTTACTATTCTAGGTTCTTTTTGAGTCTCGGGTTCCTTTATTTGTTTCTCCAGATTCTGAAATGCTTTCTTTACTGCCTCATCCCCTTGTTTGTTCCTGATTGCGCGCTCCATTTCGGCCAATGCTTGTTCAATTTGCCTTTCGGTATTCATTTTATGTGATCTCAGTCTTAAAACAAACTTCTGGTTAGAAAGTAAGATAGCAACAACCGATCTATCCCTCGTTCTTCATTTGTTTTTGCGTTGGCCGGTTGGTGACGTCTTCACGACGAATTTGACGTCGCGAACTGATGATCAGCAAAATTTTGGCAACAAAAACTTAAATTAAGATTTATTGCCACTTATCCCCTTTTTTGTAAAAAAAAACTCGTGATCAAGCGGAAGCTTTATTGGCTTCGCGCGTGTGTGTGAGCTGTGTGATGGACAAACATGATCTTTACTGATGGGGAGTATGGTACTCGTGATCAGAGGAAAGACCGAGATATCCGATTAGTGTGCTTTGACACTCGTGCGGTCAATCAAGATCCGATCTTTGATGTAAAGAGAATTTCTTTTACTTATAGGAGACTTATATTAACCAATTATATAGCCTTATCACCCTGATTGTAACGCCGAAGCCTAGTTCAGAAGCTAATCAATGTATAACTTATTATAAGCATAATTAGTGGATTTCCGGTTTGACTTTTGGCACTTACAAGCTTGATAGAAATTACGCATCGGGGAGTCTGACCTTTTCAGGACTTTCGATCTCCCACTACCCGTCAAGTGCTTGCATGGCTCGAGTCAAAACGAGGGTAATTAAGCATAATTAGGGGACTTTCGATTTGATTACGGCACGCATAGCCCGGCGGCATTACAACAGGTATCCCTGCGACCGCTCAGGTCTTACAATGGCCTCATGTCAAATCAGAGGGTAATTAAACATAATTAGGGGTTTCCGATTTGATTCCGGCACGCATAGCCCGGCGGCATTACAACAGGTATCCCTGCGACCGCTCAGGTCTTACAATGGCCTCATGTCAAATCAGAGGGTAATTAAACATAATTAGGGGGTTCCGATTTGATTCCGGCACGCATAGCCCGGCGGCATTACAACAGGTATCCCTGCGACCGCTCAGGTCTTACAATGGCCTCATGTCAAATCAGAGGGTAATTAAACATAATTAGGGGTTTCCGATTTGATTCCGGCACGCATAGCCCGGCGGCATTACAACAGGTATCCCTGCGACCGCTCAGGTCTTACAATGGCCTCATGTCAAATCAGGGGGTAATTAAGCTCCTAAACGGGTTACATCAATATAAGGTCAAAAACTGTCACCTGTTCAGGTGTGAGCCACTAAACTTGGGGCCAGAATTCTGGGTGCAAGATATGGCAATGACTCAGGGCTGAAATTAATAGTAAGGCCTTTAGGAGTGAGTTATATACTGTCTTATTTGTTTACTTAAATTCCTATTTACTTTTTTGTTTTCTCCCATTTTACATACCTGTTAGATCGTCTCGGCTCGGGTTCGTTTAATTCTTCTGACACCATTGAAGGGTGCTTACTTCTACTATCTCTATACTATCTCTGCAGTTGCATATAAAAAGATAACAAAAAGGGTTACAGTAAAAAGGGTACTTTATTCTTAATCTTATCTCAGTGGGACACTCAGTCCGAATGCCTATTTCAGGCGGTTACGCTTCTTTATATACTCGCCGCAGGTGCGTGCTCGCTAGGGGCGACGGTGAGCCGGAAGCGCTGCGCTTCTAGAATTCTCCAGAACTTTGCCCTGCAACTTGTATTGCATAATAGTAGTAGCACCGTTACAATAGAGATCGTGTTTTCTCAACCTTACCTTGATGAAATACGCGAGCAAGCACTAGAATATTCAACGTAGAAATAATTCCAAGCGAAGTCATCAGAGCATACCACTTCGCATCCCTGCTGTAATTAGGCCGGGCGAGCATCCTTTCGATTAAATGTTTCCCAACTGAGTAACGAAAAGGAATATTTGTCACTAAATTCAGCAGTTTCACAACGGGGAAAAACGCATTCTCAGTATTTCCGGAATATTTCATCAATAAGCGTGTGTGAACGAAGACGGAATTGACCTCCATTAACAATGAAGTCAGGACGAGACCTAAGTTTTTGAAAATAAACTGCTGAGATGAAACAAGCGCACCTTGATACTTCGTGTCCTTCAGGCACGTGAGCAAAACAAGATCACAAACAGAGTGGTGTAAGACAAAAAATCCAGTGAGAAGCTTGTTGAATGGCCTTTCGACTAGGACCTTGTAGGAGTCGTAAACGTAGAAAGCGGCGGAGTATTCAAGTAACGCTTCTCCTAAGGAGTTTATCTTCGATTCCATCACGCTTGGCTTGAAAATATATTGAGTTACTGGTTTATGGAAAGAAGTTAAAAACCGTTGGAGAAAGATAGATGGCAATGGGAGAACCAACTGCAAGAATAGATGCATTTGCGAGGGCGGCAATTTCATGCTTCCATTTTGCAGTATTCTGAAGAGTTGCTTAAACTGTATTTACGGAAGCTATAAATTTACATGGTGCTCCTTGACATATTCAGGAATCGGGATTTTCTAAAAAGTAAGACAAATTTATCAAAAACGATGACAGCAGCTGGCCACTTAATCGCGTGGATTACGTCCTCTAAGATTTCTAAAATCATTTTTTTTCTAAAAAGATGAGTAACTCACTAGCAGGAAATATGTTTTTTGTGCGTGAACGCGTAACAAACTTTTGATTTATTTTGCATCCACTTATGCAAAAGTGCCGATGGATGAATTTATATCAGCGACGGGCCCATACTCATGAAAACATTGAGCCAAGAGCTCACTTGCGCCGTTCGGACTAAGCCGATGAACCGAGAGTCTCAACCAGGGGCGATAAGGTTTCACCCGGTTGTATCATTTTTGAAGATATTCAGAGGCAAAACATTCCATTGCTTATAAACCTGACAGTTTTCCCATTTTCATAGAAAAGAAAAAATGACGAGTAGAGAACAACTAATAGGATCAAACTCAAAAAGAAGAACACCTCAAATTGCACTGTTTATTATCACATTGGTTCTCTTTTCCTTTGCAGTCAATACTTTGCGAACATATAAAGCGCCGATTAAAAAGGTACAGGAACGGATCATTCATCATCCATTTTCTTGATTACAAAAAGTAAATGAAAATATCCTCAAAAGCGACCGAAACCAATTCCACACAAATCATCTTCCTTTCAACGAGAACAAACCAAGACTCACAGCGAAACACCCTCAAAGCCAAGCCCTCAAGTCGATCCAAACAGAGCCTATCCGCAACCGATGACGATGGAAGTAAAAGATCCATTCTGGGAAGTGTTTCCGAACATAACCGAAGGACAAGATTGTGCTGCTGATTTCAGATGGTTTCGCCCGGAAGAAGGGAGGAAAAGGACTGCGATTTCAAGCTTTCCTGGTTCGGGGAACACCTGGGCAAGACATTTGCTTCATATGGCCAGTGGATATTGGACGGGGAACAGAAGAGGATCGAACAAGTTGGAAGCAGCCGGTTGGAAAGCAGAAAAAATGATTGCAAGGACAGAACAACTATCGCCCAAAAGACACACAGGCTTCATAACAATCAAGGTAAAGCGAATTATATTGAAATTATCTAAGTCTCTTTAGCATGCGAGTTTGAACAAGGAATAATCTTGGTCAGAAATCCCTTCGATGCTATTCTAGCCGCGTACAATCATCACAAAGCCGGAAAAACCGGGGAACCGCCGATGACAGTTTACAAAGGGCCCGACTGGCCAGAATTTGTCGACCACTGGGCTTACCGTTGGGAAGAATTTCACCTTCAGTGGCTTGCGTAAGAGATAAAAAAAGAAATTGAAAATGACTAGATGGATTTCAGTTTTGACGGACCGGTGGAGTGGACATGCTTCCAAACATTGATAAAGGACCCGGTAGAGACAGCTGGAAAATGGCTGGACTTCTTGGAGATGGACCATCGCCGCTTAGGTAAATCCTCTTTCAAAAACTGTCACGACAGTATCTTCTCCTTTCAGGCTGCATCCACGCGGACCCAACAGGGCAATTCCAGCGAAAGAAGACGCAAGACTACTCGCATTTGTACACACCGAAGATGGCAAAATACGTCCACCAGAAAATAAAGACGATCTCTGATGGCTTCAAACAAAAGGGAATCGAAGATTGTACTCAATATTTCAAATACGATAAATGCTGTTGAACTAAAACTCTTATTTATCAATAATTATGTTCTCTGCTCGAGTTGATATCGAATAAACTGCTAATCAAGTTAATTTCCAACCATATTCTCTACCTACCGGTTCGTAATTAGTGCAGGTTAGGGTTAGGCTTAAAATCGAGTCAAAATTAAAGCTAAAAAATGAAGCGCAGATGCGTGGGCGAATGAGCGCGGCGCGCTGAATTCCTCCGAGTCGGAGATTCCAACGAAATGGAGAGTAAAATCTAAAAAAATCTAGAATGGAGAGATAATAACGAAAATAGAAGCAAAGGAAAAATTATGAGAGAAGAATCATGATGACACCTGTGGATGATCGTAGGCGCAGGTCGTCTGCGTCTTCAGTTCAGGTTTAATTCTAGAAATTATCGTTAAATAAGGAATTTTTCTTTCTATAAATAATTTGGAAGGGATAATAAAAACCATAATTATGGGGAGGCAAAAGGGAATTATGACGCGTAAACATTTTTTTAGTCTACGATCAGCTATTCGGATAAAGAACGGCGTTGGGGAGTGTTAGACGCTCGAGTTTGTCTACCAGCCGTCCTCAATGATCCTCGAAAATCATCCCGTTACGCAAACGAGCCTGTTCCAGAGATCCCGGCTTCCACACTTCGCGAAGTGCGCATTTCCGACTTCGATGGCTACCTCCGAAAATTGAAAAACCGCAATCAAGAAAGTCAAGTCCGTCAAGTGGATCGAGAGTCTTCGAATCAGTCATTTCAAAATCGCCAAAGTCAAAGCTCGTCCAAGATTCCGTCGCGTTTTTATCAAAACGACTTTGATACAAAAAAGGAGATTCAATTTTCGTTATCGTCGGGGAAAGAAACTAAATTGGAGAACATATCCGTTCACGATGCACAATTGAAGCACTGGTTGGACTTGACTGAAGTTGAACTGTCAAGAAGATTGAGTTCCCGAGCAGCTTCGTTTTTAGCCGCCGTCAGTGCTCAGGATACACTCAAGGAACTACTGGAAAATGCACAGGTAACATCAGAATTTACGGTGAAAAAGTCCAGTAGCCGCTTGCCGCTTCAAGCAAATGAGAATGAAATAGGCTTTGCGCGGCTTTTAATTATTAACCTATTGAGAAAACTTTCAGAAAAATGCGAAAAACCTCCGAAAAGAAGTGAAAATCATTGGCGAAACTGTCTCCGGTACCTTCGCGGCCATCCACCGAAACAACAAAATCGCGCGCCTGAAAGAAACGACTCGTTTGCTCAAAGTGATCCAAACAGTTCAACAGAGCCCAGCGACCATTCGTCTCCTCATTTCTACTTATGACTTTTCTGCTGCTAAAGAATACATTGAAACTATACGTGAGGTGCTACACAACGAGTTGCAGGGTATTGCCGGCCTAAAGAATCTCCATGGCGAGCTTGATAATGCGGAGAAGCAATTGAATGGGATTCTTGTTGAAGAAGCAAGCAACATTTTTGATGTAAATATAATTATAAACAGATCGATCTCGAGCAAATTTTCTATTAAAAACAACCTTAGATCCTCCTAACTCAAGAAGATATCGACGGAGAAAGAGCGAAGAGCATTCAAGAAGCGATAGTTTGTGCTGGAAGGTTAGCTGATACGACTCAAGCGATCCATGACGTGGTTGAAAAACGCGCGGACACGCTACTTTCCCGATTTAAAGATCTCGAAGGGGTCGAAAGAATCGAAAAAGATGTGGAAAGCTTGACGAAACTGCTGCATTTGGTCAAGAGAGGCGTTTTTGTCGACGAATTTGAAGTTCTATGCAAATCTTCTGTCGAAGTCGTTCAGCACCGTCTTTTGAGAATTTTACAGGAGAAGCATTTTACACAAGAAAAAGGTACGCAAAGAATGTAGAGAACTGAGAACTTTAATTGATAGATTTTCTCCGAATTCTGCCGATTCTTTACGAGTTTACAAACACCTGCTTGCGCGAGTTCAAGACTCAAGGGCCCCTGGTGATGCAGCTCAAGGCGGAAACGAACAAGTATCTCAACAAATTCCACGAGGAAAGGCGGCAGCGTTTGGCTCTTCTGCTGGATTCAGAAGAGTGGCGCCCCGCTGAAGTTCCCAAAGAGCTACAAGAAGCTATCGATGATGTACTGGCGCAAGGTCAGGGGCAGAGACAGGACGGTGATGTACCTGTCAAACCGAAACGACCAGGTATAACAATACCATCAAAGAGGAAAACTTCAATATTTTTGTAGTTATTTCATCGGCAGCTGACATTTCCGGCGAAAAATTCGTTGTTATTGGTTGCTCACTTCTCATGATCAAAATGATCAAGGTACAACATCTTTCTTTGTGAACTTCGCTACCTTCTTTATTCTAGGAATATCTTGGCTGCCTGCGTCAGCTTCCAGAGCCCTCTCTTCTTCATAAACTTGCCGATCTTTTGTTTCTGTTCAATTCTCGCTGCTGCCAGCTCGTTCTCGGCGGCGGAGCGACTACTACCCTCGGCCTTCGGTCTATTACAACCAAGCATTTGGCCATCACAGGTGATTACAGTTTATTAACCTTAAACAACAAAGCTTTCTAGCTCGATCTCTTCAACTGGTCCTGCGAGTGATCCCCTCTGTCCGCGGCGCCGCCTCCTCAGTCCTTTCCGACAGCAACACAACTCAAGTTGCCCTGCGTCAGCTGAACAAAGTCGAGTCAGATTTCCAAACTCACATTCAAGAACTCTGGGGAAAGATCTCCGCGATTATGGACGATTTCTTCGCCAAACACGTGCAGAAATACGAGGTCAGAAACAAAATAATAGCGAAAGTCGATCAATAATTCATATTTTTGAAGGTAAAAGCACCAGTTCCATCGGCGACGATGAAGACAGTCGTCAAGCAACTGAAGAAGCTGAGCGATTCGTTACAAGAAGTCCTCCAGCCGGCAGAACACGTGACTCTTATTTCCAAAATTCACACGAGTTTTACTCAGCAAATGGATTCACGTATCAAAGCTCTTAGTAAGCTTTCCCCTCTTCTCTTCTTTTTATCCGTTTTTTCAGAAACTTCCAAAAACGACGGGCTTCTTCTTTCCGACATTTCATTCTACATGTCAAGCGTGCGCAAGATCGAAGGAATGACCGGGATCGACTGGGCGTGAAAAGAAAAATTCCTCGAATGAAATTTCTATCAAACTTGAAGTGCAATTTAAACTTTCATTCATTTGCTTCTGCGATTTTTTACCTTGAAGTTCTGTCCTCGATTTTTAGAAAAGTCTCTAGTTCAATCTCAATTATTCATACCACGCTTTTCGTATTTTTTACTTCTCTTCTCGCCTTCCTTTAACTAATATTTATAAAAATATAAACGATTCAAGCGATTCTTACTATTCGAAATCAAAGTTTCAATTCTGACTTTTTTAGCTGATTTGAAAATGGCCTCGCTTTCGACATGGCTAAGAGGACTAAAAACCGGACTAACCAGTAGTAGCAGCAGCGTTTCTCGAATTATTATCGGAAATGAAGCTGGGGATCTCGATTCTGGTGAGATTTTTATTTTGATTTTTGTCGCTTTTTAAACTTTTTAAAGCGGTTTGTGCACTTGTTTTGGCGTACACCTTCTCAATCAAGGATCCCAAATCCGTCACGATCCCGCTATTCAACTACTCAAAGGATCTCTTCTTCGTGAAAACTGAGGAACTGGTGACTCTGTTTCACCCCTAGTGTCATCTTCAGCAGGATTTGGGCTGTAAGTGAGGTCACCTTTCTTTGAGGTCGTTCATGTGCTCAAAAAGATTCAACTATCGGAAAACGACGTGTTCTTCCTTCCGCAAATGGTCGACGAACTCTTGAAAACGAATGATTTGGAAATAGTCCTTGTCGATCACAACGAACCAACTGGTCTCTTGAAGCAAACTTTCAGGTAAGGAAACTTTAGATAAGAAGGATGCTTTTAGTTGATCATTTTTCAAGTTCGAATAAAGTGTCGCTGATTATCGATCATCACCCAGAAAACGCTGCGAACATTTTATCTTGTGAGAAAAGGATTGAGCTCGTGGGTAGTTGCTCGAGTCTCGTGGCGGATTATGCGATGAAAGCTGCTGTCAATTTACCCGACGATGCGCGGGAACTTATCGCAAGCGCCATTGTGATAGACACGTCTGGCTTCAGCCCGATTCAGGCACTTTAGCTTTTCAGAGATTATTTTATAATTGAAGAAATAGCTCGTCGGAGATATTGACCGTGAGATGTTCGCGCGTGTGACGGATGGAAAAGAGGTGGATGTCGATTCTTTGGTCGTGGAATTGACCGATGCGCGCTTTCAAATCGATGGCCTTTCGACTAGACAACTCTTGCTCAAAGATGCAAAGCATATACAGGCAGATAAGAACAGGGTTAGTTCTTTTCCGCATTTTATAGAATTATATTTGACAGAATTGAAATATCATCTATTTTGAGATGCTGTTTTTGCCTTTTTTTCAGAGAAAATTTAGATTTTAAATCTCCATGCTCTTTTTTAATACAATTTAGTCCATCTTTGCGGCTACTCTTCACTGCGACTTGGGTGAATTTTTGGCCAAAGAAAATACCTGGAAGGAAATCAGTGAATTCTACAATTCCGAAGAGTGCAAAAGCGCCGAGATCTTGCTCCTAATGGGAACAGTTGCTGACGGTACTAATCGAGGGTTTGGCTGGTATGCGCCGAAAATGGGCGGCGATTTTTCCGAAATTTTCACCGCCTGGCAGGATTCGATCGGATCGTGGAAGATGGGTCCATATGAAAAACTCGCGATGCTACCAGCTGGCGCCGGGGCGAGAACCATTTCTGGCGCAGATGGAAAAGTCGTTTCGAGAAAAAAAGCACTGCCAATTTTTATTCCCTGGTTCAATTCTCTTTGAATCAGTTTCTTGTTTCTTCATTTATTTATTTCAGGAAGATTTATTCTTTTTTAACGTTGAATTTTATTCAGAGAAAGAGAAACGAGAGCTGCTGAGCCCTTAATATCCAGTGAAATCAACGAAGAGAACCGAGAAAATCAGGCACTCAAAAACTCTTTGAAAAATAAAGTTCAAGTTTATTTATTTCACTTTTCAAAAGTGACAAAAGTCAAATCAGACATAAACAACGCTTCAAAAACACGACACAACAATGCTCGTTGTCGTCGGCAGTTATGAGCAAATGCTGCTCGGATATAATATAAGCCAGGTACGAGCATTGACGATTCTTTTCTCTATAATTTTCTCTTTTCTAAACAGGAAAAAGGCGGATTCAAACACGACTCGGCATTCACAGACCATTCGCATTCGGGTTGCATCAAAACGATCACTTCCTCCCCGCGAATCCTGGCATCTGGTTCCACCGACGAGAGAATATGGTGAGCAATGTTCTTGTTAACTGAAAATATCATACTCTTTTTCTCCCGTGAAGCCTGTTTGATATTGAAGAAGGCAAGGAAGAGGGTATTCTCTGCGGACACGAAGGCACAGTCACGAGATTGGCCATTTACAAAGAGCATCTAATCAGTGCTGCAGAAGATGGAACGGTCAGGTATTTTCATTGCACCAAGATTTTCAAATATGTTCCCCGGGAAAAACTAAAGTTATCATTTATAAAATCCGAATTAACTGTGAGCGCTGTCCTCTAACCCCTAAGTGGTGGCGCTTTCTGGATTTTTACTCAAAATATTTGAGTCTGAAAATCTCGGTAAATGGGTCTAAATTATACGGTATAATTTATACCGGAATTGGGCGTAGCATATCCTCTCATTAGTGTTATGTAGATTATATTCTCCGTGAAAATGACATTGCGCAAATTTACCAAGCACACCCTGAATTATAGTTCTGTTTCTATTTTAATTTAATTACACCGGCTAATTTTAATTTGGACGATTCTTGTTTCAAAATAAGAACGAATTCGAGTACGCAACATCTATTTTAGTAAGTCTTCCTTTGTCCAGGGTGCTCTCGTTCCACTCTCAAGAATATTCTTTAACAAAACGTTGTAGAATGTGGTCACTAGAAGATTGGGAAGAAATCAAAGCGCTAAAGCATCCCTGTGCCGTGCGGGACTTTTCCGCCGACCCAAGCGGCAAATTACTCCTGACGATTGCAAACGACAAAACCCTCAGAGCCTGGGATCTGACAAAGGGCCGCGCCGCCTTCACGAAATCCTTCAGAGAGCAGCCAGAAAGAGTGCTCTGGGGACCAGATGGAAAAAGATACGCCCTTCAAACTGGGGCCAGTAGATGCTTGATTCAGACTCTGGAAGAGTCCAAAGAAAAGATTCAGATTGATACAAAGGATCGAATCATGGAAGTCAAGTTTTTCAGGTAAGAAAGTTTCATCAAAAGAGCTATCGTTTATTTTTCAAAAAGTGAGAACGAAGTAGCAATCGGCCTCTCCAGCGGACGCGTCGAAATCTGGAGAATAGAAAAAGGCAACAACAACAGAGACGTCGGAGTCAAGCAGTCGGACTTCTCCGCCCACTCGACGAGAATCAAGGGAATGGACATTTGCAGAGGGATACTCTTTACCGGCGACTCCAGCGGTGTCGTCTCGGCCTGGAACGACAAGGGCGAGAAGATGATGCAGTTCGAAACGAATGCTAGAATCACGTGTTTGACCGTTTCAGGAAGCGGACTGATCGATTTCGCGGAAGTTCAAGTTTGATCAGTACATTTATCCGTTGAAAAGCACCTACAGACGCGAATGAAAACGAAAGCCTCGTGGACGAAGCAAAGACAGAGCAGGTTTCTAAGGTGTGCACGAGAGCTAACTCTCTTCTCTAATTTTTCTCTAGAATTAACCCCTTTTTACATCATTTTAACAGACGGTGTTTTAACATCCTTATGATTTCCAACGTCGGTAAGAGCCTATTTTTAGCGCAAACAGAAAGTTGACAAGAGAAGAAAGTCAAAAGGAAGCCATAAGCTGAGAGAAGACAGAGGATAGAAGACAGATAACACCAGAAAACAGAACACTTCAATTATTCGTTTAGAACGAGCGAGAGCCATCTCCACTTTTATATACAGCCATTTCATTGAAAAAAATAACGATCGTTAAATTCAACAAGCTTCGAAAAAAAATAAGAAAATAAATATTAGACTCACTTTCTCGTCCATTCTTCTTGTCGATATCGAAAATTCTTGCTATTTTCTTGCCTATTTGGCATGAACTTACGCTGAATTATAAAATCACGGAGAAATTAAAATAGAAACAGTCTGCTCTATGAAAAAAACTATTCGTTTTATGTGGAACTTAAAAAGCGCTTTTCTTCAACATATAAAGATAAAAAATATTCTCTAAGCAAAGCGGGCTGATTCTTTCTTCTCTCGCCGTGATTTTGATAATTGAAAATTGAAATTTTGAATATTTCGCAGTTTCACTACACACTTTGAACTTCGCAGGAGCAAACAGACAATTGCTTTCTCTCGCTTTTAAACCATCGCTTAAATATACTGTAGGCTAGCTGCTAGTAGCTCCTTCGTGCTATCCCTTCATGCGAGCTACGATTTATTCGAGCTTCTACCCTAATTACTATTTGGGACTATTTATTGAAAAAAAACTCATTGGAAAAAACACACTCTCACATGTTCTTCATCACACTCTTTTTTGAGCTCGATAAAAACAACCGTTCTCCTGTCTCTCTCTCTTTCTCTGATTGAAAAATCACATTTATTGAAATGAAAGTTATTGAAAGAAAGTAAGCGATATCGATACATGAATACCTACTACTTTTCTCGAACTTTGTAGCTCACGACATCTTGCATTGGCACATTGACAGAAAGAAGCTAATATAATAAAATATATGTGGCTGGTAAAAATTAAGCGTAGAAGGGCTAGAAGGAGTTTTTTAGATGAAAAAATCAAGGTGAAGAACGAGAAAAAAGTTAACAAAATCGGAATATCGGAAATTTGGGATATCGATATCGAAAATCATGTCAATAGAAGATCCCTACTTTGTCGTACGCGATGACGTCGCCAAAGCTGTTGATTCCTGTGAGAAAAGAGTCGTGGAATGGAGACGAATCATGGAGGTAAAATTCATTCTGTATTTTCAGTTGTTTTTATTTTTAATCAAGGGCACCTCAACATCTGTGAAGGCCAGAAATATCACTTCCGAGTTGCGCAGCGCGGTGAGAAGCGCTGAATGGGACCTCGAAGACCTGGAAGAATCCGTCAAGTAAGATATTTTTCAATATTCAAGTGAGAGCTTTTATAGAGTGGTGGAAAACAATCCAAGTCGTTTCGGTATCGCCGACGATGAATTGCGGGAAAGGAAGAGCTTCATTGTCAGGATACGAAACTCTCTAGCAGATATGAAGTCGGAACTCGAAGGTTGCAAAATGTCTTTTCTTCATTTCCCTAATGAACTAAATTCTAGCACCTGATGTAAATGAGCGTCTATTAGCGATGGATTCGAGCCCACATGTGACCATCAAGTATGATTATAAAAAGCGTTCATCATTGATGTTTTTCTAAGCGTGAACAACTCCAGATACGGAAATTCGAATCCAGCCTTTCGGGATAACAACGGAGGATATTCCCAACAATCGCAACTTCTTCAAGAGCAAGATGGGCAATTAGAACTTGTATCAAACAATGGTAATAGTACCAAGTGGTGAGAAGAATTTGACTTCTTCTTATCCGTTATCCGTGACTGATCAAAGAAAGAACAAATTGTAAAAATTAATTTTATTTGATTGAAGTACATGTACTGAATCTTTCATGGCGAAAAGACGTATTTTACAAGACCTTCCAATTTAGTTCGGGTACTCAATCAAATAAGCCGAGCAATTGGAGATGAGCTCGACGACCAGGGACAGCTACTCGACAACCTGGGCAACGAAATCGACTCAGCTCAGTCGCGGATGAACGCGACCCTCTCCAAAATCCAACGCGTTACCAGGTAGACTCATTTTTCTCGCGGCGCTTGTCTAGATCTTTACAATAGACGTATTAGACTTTCAACGGATCGACGGCAGTGGGCCGCTATTGCTGGCTTGGCTTTTCTCATTGTAATTCTGTTTATCATGCTGTTCTCTTGAAACTTTCAAACTGTGCCTTTGCTTTATCCGGTTCAAGAATTTTTTTCCTTTCGTGAAGAAAATTGGTCTTCCTTGAATGAATTTCTTTAGTTTCTTTTCAACTTGCGTCATTTTCCCTTTCGTCTTCTTGTATCAACTCTAGTTGAGAATTAAAAAGTTGAAAAATCTATAATTTTGGCCCAAATTCTGACATTATCAAGACAACAAATTCGAGGTGATCCACTAGCGCTGATAAATTTTATGTTCAAAACAGTTCTGTATGCTTTTTTATTCTATTTTCGTTTCTAAACCGGTTTTCCTCGATTTTCGTTGAGTTTGTCAAAAATACGGCCAGTCGCTAGAACATCGCTAGAACATTTTGCCTCAACATCAAAAACAACATTAGCTAAAATCATTTGATAAAGAGAGTTGGCGGGAATTATTCAGTTTCAGGCGCGATTTTGTCTGTAAGTCTTCGTTTTTTTTCAAAATGTTATCTTTAATAGCCAAATAAAACATGGGGTCGGGTATTGGATTTAATAGTATTCGAAATTATAAATCTATTATACATTTGCAATATATTCATTGTCCAGAGAAATATATTAGTTGATATTAAATTATTTATAACTAACTTTGTCTTCTTCGAAACTTGATTTTACCTGCCTAGACATGGTAAATCGGTAACAAGAAAATGGAACCGACGTCATCCTCACAGGCTGGATCCTGGAAGGCTTACAAGCTTATTAATGATCCAGCTATTCATGGACCAGGAAAGTGTTTTTAACTACTCTCTTTTCTAAACAAGAGTATTTTTTGTTTATAAACATGAACAGGAGGATTCGGCAAAGTAACCCGCTTCGATGGCGTTTCATTCAAACCCGAAGGCTACCCTGGCCAGATTCCTTCAAATCCGCGCGACCCGCGACCCCCCACTTTTGGCTTTTCGGAAAATAAAGAAATCCTCGATCTTCCCGTCCCTCGATTCGTGATTGATGCAAATTATGTCGGCCCCGTTCCACCGCGCATGGTGACGCTTTTCTGCCTCAACGACAACATTCAGGACAGCTTTTTAAGACAAGAAATACAGCTTCGCATGCCAGAACTAAAGAAGAACATGAAAGAAATCGAAAAACTCAAGGTCAGTTTCCGCTTTTAGGTTTTTTCTTACTGCGCTTTAGATCTATTTCTCGGACAATGGACGACATCTTGGACTAGCAAAAGTTTCCTTCCGAACTGTTCGGCTAGCGAAGCGATGCGAATCGAAGCTCAACGGTGTTCAAATGATGGGCTCCAAAATTGGCGCTGTTATTGATCCAAAGGGGGAAATTCTAGCAAGACTGAAGCATGATATTGAAAACAGGCGCCTTGATCGATACAACATTTCTGGCAGCGTTATTTCTAATATTCAAAATTCATTCAAATCACAAGGAAAGTGGATGATTTCTCCAGTAAAAAGATTATTTCGTATTCAAAGAAAAAAATGATTTCATCCGGTCTTAAGGCAACGGAAACGGAAAACAGTTAATGCAGCAAAAAATTGCTGACAATAGTATGATCCAAGAGCTGAAGAACGAATTCGATCAAACTCAAGTTTCATCTGACGAAGGAACCCCTTTAGGTACTTTTGACTTTTTTCTTTGCTTCCTTCTTATTTTTCTTTTAGGTGATGAAACACCAACTGAAGACGACACGCCATATCAAGAATCAAACGGCCACGATAGCCACGAGATTAAAATAGTAACTCGTAACATGCCACAAAGTTGGGGAGCGCCAACTCAACGAGAGCCGCCTCGAATGGAAAATTCCGGCTTTGGAAACAACAAGAACTTATCAACGCCAAACGGACGGTACCATCATTCACCCGATGATAGAAGGTACAAAGACTCGTACAGTAGCTCGAACTGGGACGACGATAGAAGGAATAGAAGAGATCGACACTCTGAATCGAAATCGTCATGGGACGATCATCGCTCTCACAGGTCTGCCTCACTTTCTAAAGTCAAATACATCTGACTTGAATTAACAGAGATGACCGGAGAAGAGATAGATACGACTCTTACAGCAGCTCCAGAGACAAGCGAGATCGTGAGCGAAGATCGAGACATTCTGGTGGATCAAAGACCCGTGACGACGATTACTCAAACGGCGATAAATCCTGGGATCGTCATAGAGCGCGCGATCGGCAGGAACGCGACTTGCGAGTTCCCGATCACAACTCATGGAGCAACAATGAGAGCAATCACATTGACAACAGATACAGCCAAATGAACTCCGACCATGTAAACAGTCAGAACTAGCAGTTCTAAAAATAATCTAATTCAGGGCTGGGGATCAAATGGAAACTACCACAGCGAGAAATCGCAGGCGCATGATCCATGGGCTCGCCACGACAACGAAATGAAGCGCATCCCTTCCTCTGAGGGGCGACCTTACAACTCCCAGCACCATCAAAGGAATGGAGCGATAAAACTAATGCTTTAGTAGAAATCAACGAGGAAAATCATCAAGGTCAAATTCGCACCCCACATAGTGAAAACGTAAACAAGCCCAATAATAATGTACAGAACAGCAACCATTCTACCATGCTCGAAAAGGTGAAGCCACCTGCCGATGGCAGCACTGAGGACATGGAGATTTCCGACGAAGAAGAGGAGGGAAAAGAAGAGAAGCGCAAGCAAGAGTTGTACGACCAGTTTGTGCGCAAGACCATTTACTTGCTGGGAAATGGAATGACGCAGAACATCCAGAAGGACATAATCAAAGTAAAGCTGAAAATTGCAGAACTGTTGGTTTATTAGTAATCTTTAGATTTTCGAGCGTTCGATCATCAACAAATACAATACTTGGTGGCAAGAGCAGCAAGAGGCCGAGGCCGAAAAGAGTCGTATACAAGCAGCAAACAACCTCCGCCCTGAAGTACATTCCACGTCAATCTAACTTATATTTAATAAACTACCACTAGCCCGTGCAATCTCGTGTTTTTAATCCAAATATGGACCCTGGTTCGCTTATTCCCAAATTGCCCAGCTTCAGTCTCAAACGAAAAATTATACGCCAGAGTATGAAATCATTATATTCTCGCCCTCCTGAGAGCTTTATTATAATATTATATTCACCGAATCTATGACTATTGACATTATTTTGAGCAGCTGATCCAGCGGATCCGTCAACTCAGGTTGAGTCCGAAGAGCCGAAAAAAGCCAAACAACCTCAAGAAGAACCACATGTTCCCCCGCCTCCGTACGTTTCTTTTTTTATTTTGTATTTAACTTGTTAGTTATGAATACGTACCTTTTTTCTCGTGATAATTTTGTCTTTGATGGCGATGAAAGCAGAGATCTTAGGGAGTTTTTTTGAAAGGATGACAATATTTCTGACGCGGATCAATGACGATTTTTTATACTAGGAGCTCTTCTGAAGACGAAGTCACTGAAGACGAGTCAGAGCGAGATTCTCTCATCTCGGAGGATGATAAATTGGAGAATTTCGACGCGCCTTCCGCTCCACAAGACATACGGCCTAGTACACCGCCACTTATAGAAACGTCAGAGGATTCAAAAGATGATAAGCCAATCCTTTATTCGTCACCAAGATTTAGGAAGCCGGTTAATACGATTCGTAATTATTTTTTTCAGATAATATCTGATAATCAATGACGTTTCTTGACGCTTGAATTCACACTCTTTCTAAATTTTGTTTCGACACTCTCTAATCAATTTGCCTATCAAACCGGTAAAAGGGGCGATAATCGAGCGCCTGAGTCTCTGCTTCTTGCCAACTTTCTGTATGAACATAGCTATTGCAATCCGGAAAAACTCGCATACGACAAGAAGTCAAAAGTTTTCTTGCAAAGGACAGAAGAGGAAGAAGAAAAGCTCCTCGAGGAACCGACCAGAACCGATGTTGAAGATCTCAAGTATTTGCGCCAAGAGCTCACGAGAAGGAGATTATTGCTTCCAAAATGGAAGCCTCATCCACCTGTGGAGACGAGAAAGAAGGTAATGAGAGTTTGGGAAATATCGTAATCCTGATCAATTAAATTCAGGATAAATTATCATCTGGATGTGCCCGAACTGAGGGGTACTTTAAATACACCTGGGAAGAAAAGCTCCAGATGCGTCTTAAACTACATCGTCTCGGTCAATTAATCGGTAGAAACACATCTTGCGATATCTTCCAACTCTTTCAGATCTGAAACCAGAGGCAACATCTTCCGGAACCGACGCCGCTGGGCGAAAAGAAGCTGTCCAGGCGACCGATCGAGAAACGAGGAATTATCACAGAAGAGTTGCCGATGAATTCTCGGAGTCAACGATGATGAGATACAATCAACTGACGATGCGGAAGAAGAAGGTCAAATTCATGAAAAGTGCTATTCATGGATGGGGCTTATTCGGTACATATTCTTTTGGAAATTGACACTCATCGTTGTTTTCAAGCTCTGGAAGATATTCCAGCCGATGATTTCGTGATCGAATACGTCGGTCAAAAGATCCGCATCGGTATCGCCGACGTCCGGGAACGAGAATATACAAAATGTGGAATCGGCTCCTCGTATTTATTCAGGCTCGATACGACGCACGTAATCGATGCTACTAAACACGGAAGCTCTTGTATGTCAAAGTTGATAGTCCAAAATTTCTTATTATCCTTCGTTTTCAGCTCGTTTCATCAACCACTGCTGTGTGCCAAACTGCATTGCCAAAGTGATTACCGGGGCGGATGGCGAGAAGAAGATCGTTATCTACTCCAAGGTCCCTATTCCCAAGAACGCGGAAGTAACGTACGACTATAAGTTCCCCATCGAAGACGAGAAGATTCGCTGCCTCTGCTTCCACGAGAACTGCCGCGGCTATCTCAACTGAAACTCTTCTTTCGATGAAATATTTCATTACTATTTATTATTACTTTAAGATTCAAAATGCCTGTTTTATTCAAAGAAGCAACACTGATAATGATCCTCTTAACAACGTCTTTTGATAACTATTCTTTTGTAAGGCAAATCACAAATGTGTATTATTCAAAGTATCTTCTTGTTATTTAAAAATAAGTTTTCAACTTAAAAAAATCAGGGAAAAGAGCCAACAACGGCTCTAGTCTAGTCTACTAGTCACCTATCAAGCTAGGTGCTCGCTTCCACTCCAGACCCTACAACGGTAACTGCCACTGAACTTTGCTTTACAAAAAGTTAATTAAATCAACTTTCAACTTTCACCTGTTATGTTTTCTTTTGTTTCTGTTTCGCCTTAATAATACAAAGAAATATACTTGTGACTTGTTCTTTTTTGAGTTCTGCTGGATTTTCAAAACGGCTTTCTTCAAATTCAAAATTCAAATATACGAGGATTAAAAGCGAAAATCGACGGCTAAGTTTTAAATATAAAATGCTCTGCTTTGTGACTTTTATTATTCTAAATATATATTTTAAACGAGTGAGCTGTACTTTTTACTCGAAGGAAACTAAATTAGTTGTTTTCAGAGAAAAATATAGAGATGGGAGGAGACGGAGGAACCTGCTGCAAGGCGCGCTCGATTATGACCAAAACAAAAAAGGAGAAAAAGAAACAAGACGTAAGTTGAGAACTTTAGTTCGTCAATAATTGACTGCTGGATTAATTAGCGAGAATACGAAGTGAACGCAAAGTGGACGTTCTGCTCCATTTCCGGCAAGTCGCTGACCAAGCCAATCGTCAGTTGTCAACTGGGCAAGCTCTATAACAAAGATGCAATAATAGAGTTTCTACTTGATCGTGCTAAACAACCTCCCGAGACCCAGCGTCGTCTCAAGCACATCAAAGGACTAAAAGATGTTGTAGAATTGAAGCTGACGGCGAATCCAAGGTGCGTAACTAAGTTTATATTTAGAAGATGTTTTAAACTAAAAATTACCAAATTATTTTCCAATTGTGAGTCAATTTGAGGCTTGAGTGTGAAGAAAACAATAAAAGAGCATCTGTGATTTCGACATTTGTTTCACATCGTAAACAAATTCCATTCCATATACTTATGACGAGGCAGTAAAGGGTGCGGATGAGTTTCTTACCGTTGAACTCCCCGAAAACCTTCGAAAGTTAAAGATTTCAATTAATGAAAGTTCCTAAAAATATACAGTATATAATATACCCAATTAAAGCCACCGAACCGATGCTCATGGAACGCAGCACGGTGCCAAGTACCACTGCCCGATCTCGACTCTTGAAATGAACGGCCGCCACAAATTCGGCTACATTCTCAGCACTGGAAACGTAATCTCCGACCGGGCGATTCAGCAACTCAAAGAAGACAACATGATTATCGGTAATGAGACTCACCACAAAAAAAATGAGTGCAAGCCATACTTTGTACGTTTTTGTTATGAACACAACCTCATTGACAAGCGTCATCCGTTTTGGAGCAAAAATACAACTCAATTAAAAAATGTTTGTTTTAAAAACTGCAGATGAGCCAATTCTTGAATGTTCGACCAAATTAGATTAAATTGAGGCCGAGTCTATTAATGGAGACTTCTTGAACTAAAAATAATTGTTTCTTCTTCCAGATCCATCGAATGAGCAGAAGTACCCGCTTGATGACATCATTTACATTAATTTGGAAGAAGAAATCGATATTGAAAAACAGCTGAATAGAATGAAGGCTAGAAAAGAAGCCAAAAAAGCTTCAAAGGTTCTCTCAAGTATCAATACTTTCCCAAAACTAACGTTGAATTGTAGGCCAATAAACGGCAGAAAGCAGAGGGCGAAGAGGAAGCCCCAAAGAAGAAAAAGAAGTCGATCATTGTCCCTCAACGTCTGGAAAAGTCAACGATCAACTCCAGGCTCAATACAATAACACGTAAAAATCATGATTCATGAAGCAACAACTTTTAGTAATTGTTAATTTAGGAACTTCGATCAAAGACGGAGCAGAATCCGTCAAAAATCAAAAGCAAAAGTCTGAAGTTCTCTCCGCTCTTTTTACCTCGCACGATTCTTTCATTGGCGATCTTACTGCGGAGGCACTGGCTGGAAGGTAGGAACCATTCTTTGCTAGAATCCCCTGAAATAAAACTTTTTCGAAGAACGGCGAATATGGCCACCGCGGCCATCCAAAAAATCAAAAATGGCGTGCGATCTAACGAAGCTCGAGAAACTCAGAAGAATCTGAAATACGCGCGCTACAAAGCCGGTGGTTTAAACAACTGATCGTTTGTCGTCCTCTTTATTTTCTCGAATAACAAACATCATGTTTGTAAGCGTTATTGTTTCTGCCAGCAAAAAATGTACCATTTTCAAAATGGAATTTCAATTGAACTTGATTTTTACCGACTGTTTTATCATTTCCATAAAAGATAACAAATTTACCGATGTTTGTTTATCGTCTTTTCTTTTTCTTAGAAAGCTATGATAACACTGCGACCGCCGCCACAAAGCATCGCCCGACAAGTCCGACTCCTGAGTCAGACTCAACAACTAGCAGGAAACAACAGACGAATGGCCAAAGAAAAACAATCCCTCGACGGCGACAAGCCCTTGACGTATGAGAGGCGATTCAAGCCGCATAGAATCAACAGAATCAAGCAGTTCCAGTGCGTCAATACGACGAATTTGAAAGATTTTGGCTTTGATGTAAGTAAAAATAGATTCATTCGTCATTTCCAATATGCTTGTTTCCTTGTTATTATAACAAAATGCTTTTAAGAGCAATTGTTCCTGAGCACTTTCGCTTCTTGAGTACAATATTTGTATAAAAATATTAGTCTCATCAATTCAATTGAATTCAGATGAATTACTTCAGACAAAAAGAAACCTCCCAATGAAATCATGTGAACTCGTTAATCCTTGATTCTAGCTCCATGGAGATAATCACGCAGAAAACGCGATTTACGAAGATTTATTCATCAAAAAGTTCCTTCACGGTGTCTTCTGGCATCAGCTGATTCCCGAGCAAGGAATTGCCATTTTGAGAAGATTGAATGAAATTGAAATTGTTGTCACGATCACAGAGGTTCGTGTTTAAGACTTTCGCACTCGTCCGCAAAAGTAAAGGAGAAATTGAGAAATAGACAGAGTATCTGTGTATCTACAAGTTGAGAATACCCGTAGTTGCGAAGAAAATAAGTTTATCTTTGTCGTATAGTTTGTTTTAAGTAGAGTTGATTAAATTAAGTACCGAGTCGGTACTGCCGACTTATGTTCTTGACCATGTATTGAATACATTCTCCAACATTGTTTTTACATTGGTAATAACAATCTTGCTTGATTCGATCTTGGCTACCCCAGTTGGCTGTCTAGTTCTCACCTTTTTGTCTAGAATTCATCAAAATAATTAGTATTATTATCCTATTCATGATCTTTGAAAAGAAAGTGGGTTTAGAAAGTAATTCGAATATTTAGACGCACAATCCACTGACAAAGCCGGTAGTTGACCCACCAGGAAACATCTTAACGAAGCAGCGTCCGATCAAAATGGAGCCCGGGACCGTTGGAGACTTTTATTTCAAAGCTGGCTTTGTGGAAACGATTTTGTCGCATCAGCTGAAAAGAAATGTTACTTGTACAATGAAATTCGCGTATAGGGATCAGACGCATTATTCTTACTGGTAGACACTGAACTCGGAGTTCTTAGTAATTTCTTTTTGAATCAATTGTTTAAAGTCACAAGTTTTCAGATGCGTAATGGCGGAGCAATGAAACGAGTTCGCCCTGAGCGGTTTGTTACTAAGAAATCGCTAAATGATAACGATAGGATGCGGATTCCATCAAAGGCTTCTTCTATCTATGACGATGAGAATTCAAAGTAAGACATCTATCTCGTAAATCTAATTAAAAATTAACGATAAAACCTTCAAAGATAAATTTTTCAAAGATAGAGAAATAATAACATGACGCTTCGAAATTATCATCTTTATCATATGACTATTTTTTACGTATTTTCTGCTTATCAAACACGTGTTTAGCAGCACAGACGAAAGTCTTAACCAACAAAGTCTCTTTGCTCAAATCAAGCAATTGGACAACTCGCTCGGTTCCTACTGGAACGTTGCTCCTGAAACTGATTCAACCGGAAGACGACCAAGAAAGAAAACGGAGCGACTTCAAATGTAAGTTTTCAAAGAAAAATGATTGTCTGTGAGTCAGAAAGGCGCAGTCCGAAAGCGCGATAACCGATCTTCCCAAGATCTGATTTCGTGTCAAGCCAAAGCTACCCATTTCGCTTTTTCATTTATTTATGGAGAGAATGAAGCCCGAGCATATTCCTCTTCGAAAGGCGTCTCTAATAATTTATTTAGAGATAAAATTATATGAAAAGTAAGAAAATAAACTCATTTTTAATGATTATACACTGTATAATATACACTTATTAAGTGTCATTTAAAATGATTAAGGTGGTAGAAACAGCTTTTTTGAAAAAAGCCGATTTTTGAACGGCGCCCAAGCTCAGCCAACCTTAGATTATTTAATTCTCTCTTCGACTTTAGTTAGATTTATCTTAGATCTAAAAACATCTGTTTCTAAAATTATTTTTTGTTATTTAACTGTAGAGAGCGAAAAATCAACCCATCTCGTCGAAAATGCCGATTTTAGCCCATTTTCAAGCACGGTTATCTCGAGTCATGTGATGAACCGAGAATTTCAAATCTAATTTTAGGAAAATTCAACCCTTTTTCTAGGAGCATCTATGATTGAAATTGCGTAATCATGAAAAATGATAATGTTGCGAGGCCGATTGAAACTTGTGTCTCAAATTTTCAAAATTTTGAATTTTAAAGATCATTTTTTCGTGATACCCTTAAGTTATGGTCCTTCCAAAATTATTCAAGATGATCATGTGATCCAAGCAAATCTATTCTTTTCCCGTTGATCCCCTTATTAAACGATTTTTACTGTGGCTAAATTTCGAAAAACTCAAATTTGCGCCAAAACTTCAACTTTTAAGGCAATTTTTAGGGCGTTCCAACATAGTTAGAACATTGTTATTGATAGAATTATATTTTTCGTGCATTGGGTTATCAAAATCTTCAAAAAAATTTTTAAATTTCCATTTTTGGCAAAAGCTGTTTCTACCCCCTTAAGTGACAAAGCTTGCGTATGATGTTCGTGTTTAGAAAGATACTCGCAAAAATAAAGAACTTTCAATGAAAGTTTCAAATTGTCTATAAAACGTTTAGTCTGAGATAGAGACGCCTTTCAAGTCGTTCAGTGAGGGTTGTAAACTTTACAATCTTAAGGGGGAGGTCGACGAGAATCGGGATTTCTGTAACCAAAAATCCGGAAAAACCTGCTTAGATAGGCGAATTCTGACTTTTCAGGTGAAAAGAAAAGTGTTTGAAAAATACAGCGGCGAAAACTAGAAAAAAATTTTTTTCGAAAAATTTTTCAAAAAATTGGGTCAAAGTGGGGGTTACTCGTAACCAATAAATCTCGAAAACGGGATTTTTTTTTTCGTCTAATTAAATAAATAGTAAGTTGAAACCCTTAAAAATACAGCGGTGACAATATAAAACGGGCTGCTTTTATATAAAAAATTTTTTCTGTTTACTAAAAATATGCGATTTTCCTAAAAATCGTCATTTTTGCTCATTTTTCACGGAGAATGTTACCAAAAGCGCCGAGACTCGAAATTTTTTACTGATTATGATAAGAAAACCATTCAAAAACAATATCTAGTGAATAAAAATCGGATTAAGATTGTTTTTGGGTGAAATAAGAAACTTTAAAATTTTGTAAAATCTCGAATTTCAGACACAAAATTGAAGATTTTGTTAAAAAAAGTTAGTCAATGCCCAAAAAGCTGGAGACCAAAAATGTTCCTTTTTTATTAAGGAATCCAAAAATATAACCAAAATTTTGAAAAAGCGAAAAAATTTTTCTCGTCGACCCCCTCCTTAAGTTAAAACAGTTATAATCTTACATTCTCTTTCATTTATCTATTAGGTTCTATTGGTAATTATTATTTGCAATAAATATTCCTAACCCGCTCAAGGTCGATATAAACCGTGCATTATCTATAGAGAAGAAGAAACGAAAAGCAATGGCGATCCAAACAGCCCCGTAAAAAGAAAACAACAGTCTCGGAAGACGAAAAAAGAAGGTAATTACCTTTGGTTAACTTTGTTAGTAAACTCTGATAACGGGCATTTTAAGAATTGAAAAGAGAAGCTGGAGTTGATGTTTCTGATGATGAATCTTTCAAATCGGGATCGAATGATAGGTCTACCCATCAGGGCTCGGACTTTGAGGACTTTGATGAACCAAGAGACGTTCCAACTTCGCTTACTGGTGCTAAAAAACGAAAGGTAACACTTTTTTATTGAAACTTTTTAAAAATCTTTCCGAAATAGGCGAAGACGCGTCCACGTACCGACCTGACGTCCTTAAAAGTGCGCCTCATGCTCAATCGCCACGAAAGCCAACTGTCTTCGACGATGGAGGCAAGTCAAAGTCGAAGATAAACTTCTAAAGACTAAATTTAAGAAACTTTGTGGCACACTAACCCCAAGCGAACTCATCAAAGACGTATCGAAACACCTCATGGAAAGTTATAACAGCCAGCCTCTCCTGCTCAAGTCTGAAAAGACGATTCTCTGCCACATAAAAGACGAGGACTTTGAGGAAAAGACCAAACCGCAAATTTGTCGAAGTCCATCGGTAACCACCCTTTTTCAGATAATAAAATTTAACTTCAAATTCAGCCTGATCGAACGCTGCCAATCTCCAAGAAAGCGGAGCAAGAGCTGAAATTGAGCTTGAAAAAGCGGCTCGCTGATCGTCGCATTCTAGAGCGCGACCCCAACTCTGAAGCGTTCAAAGCAGTGGTCGCGGCGAAGGCGAGTCTCTACGAATTCTTGAGCAAAAATTTCAACAACGATGGGACGCGAAAGAAACCTGCCAAGGCCTAATTCATAGAATTTACTGCTCAACCCAATCGATGACAATTATCAATTGAGAGTTTATCAACAACCATTACTTATGATTTAGATTTTACTGATTCTAACTTTATCAAAATTAAATCTTTCTTTCATTTATTACCTAAAGACGGAATTACAGTTAAATATAGTTATTCTGCATTAAACATTGCCTGACTTATTTCCTATCTCGAACCTCGCTCCCTGAAATCACCAAAAACACGATTCCTTTTGAAGAAAACGAAATAAGTACACCCTTAGAAATTCAAAAATAAAACTGAAGCATATTCTCAATCCTCGTCTTATTCTCTTCACATGATCTTCTCCCCGCCGGATCGGGTTTTTCCCTAAAATCAGGGCAAAAAATGCTAGTGGCGTGAGCTCAGGGTAGCTTATCGCTCCTCACCCCTCCCACTAATATGGCACACACCCCTGCATTATTGTATTAGTTCGAAGTTTGGAAGAAAACGACCAGAGAACTACTGGTATTTCTGATAGAATGTTGCGACGATTTGGACTTCGAGTGTTCCGAGGTGCCTCCCGGGCGGCTTCTTCTTTCAAAGGTGACATATTGGAAAAATACATGCAAGTGTATAAAGATATACAGTACACTATATCATACTGCGCGTCATAACTAGTATTAGCAAGCGGAAGTAAAATACGAGACATAGAGTTTAAAATTGAGCCATCAAAGTATACTAAAATCACGAGATGACTTCCATAGAGGATTTGAAAACTATCAAAAAGAAGCGCCAACTAAAGGGTTCTGAATATGCGCATATATTTTATATGATTAAACTGTATTTTCTAGCGGCTGATTTGACCGTTGAAGTTACTAAATCGCCAGCCCAAAAGCCCGAGTCCGCTGATAACTTGCCCTTTGGCGCCGTTTTCACCGATCATATGTTGGAAATCGACTGGACCGCCGAGAATGGATGGGGCACTCCAGAAATCAAGCCATTCCAAAACTTATCGCTGGTAAATTCAACATTTTCCAAGTTCAATTTCCGAAAATAAACTCTTCTCCTTCTGTAGCACCCTGCCGCCAGTTGCCTTCACTACGCCATTGAGTTGTTCGAAGGGATGAAAGCTTATAAACGACACGACGGCAAAGTGGTTATGTTCCGACCAGACAGAAACATGGCACGAATGCACTCCAGTGCGGTGCGAAGCGCTCTTCCTGAATTTGACCAGGTATGTTTCACTGTCATGTCTTGAAGTCTCCAGCGAAGCCAGGTTCAATTCTTACTTGAACTATTTTAGGAAGAGATGCAAAAATGCATTCAAAAGCTCGTCGACTTGGAGCGAGACTGGATTCCTGACTCTAAAGTTGCTTCGCTCTACATTCGACCGACGATGATCGGCACAGAACCTACACTTGGCGTTTCTGTAAGCAAAAGAATATCTAACGCTTTACCACTAAACCTTTAGCCACCAAAATACGCTAAATGCTTCGTCATTCTTTGCCCCGTCGGTCCTTACTTCCCAACTGGCGGATTCAACCCCGTTTCTCTTCATGCTGATCCCTCCGTCGTCCGAGCTTGGGATGGTGGATCTGGAAACTTCAAAATGGGCGCTAATTATGCTCCTACTATTCATCCTCATATGGAGGTAAGTTTTGCTTTCGAAAACTTAAAATAACTATCATTTTAGGCGATGAAAAAAGGCCACCAACAGATTCTCTGGCTTTACGGAGACGAGCATTACATCACCGAAGTCGGCACAATGAATCTGCTTATCTACTGGGTAAACGAGAACGGCGAAGAAGAACTTGTCACTCCACCTATCGAGCAGGGCGTTATCTTGCCAGGTGTGACCAGAGACTCGCTTTTGACTCTCGCACGTGAGTGGAACGAGTTCAAGGTGACCGAGCGGCCAGTTACGATGAAAGAATTGGTCGATGCTTTGGACCAGGGACGAGTTAAGGAAGTCTTTGGTGCCGGTACTGCTTGCGTCGTCTGTCCAGGACAGGGTCTCTTATTTTTCAAAAAGATTCTCTTGGAGGTCGAATATTTTGTCAATAATGATTATTTGCGGCCCACTAACGACCGCTTATCGTTGTTCGTAACAAATTTCTTTTTATTTTTTGTTAGTTGGAGAATCTTGGTATAAATTATACCGTTATACTACCGTTATATTATCTGGTAGAACGATTTATTGCGCGTTGCAAGTTGTTTCGATGCGCAATAATCAATTTTCGTGCCTGACCTATCGCGGAAAAACAGCACAGTTGCTCCATGTTTAAATTTGTCAAGATAGAACATCGTATTTCTCTAAATTCAGCTCAGTTTGACAAGTATGCAGCGGGCGGGGTTGAAATGACAATATCCCCTCGTTGTTCAAATATGCGTTCGACATATCTTCAACTGCCTAGGACGTGCCAGTCGTGGAATTCACAAGGTTTGCTGTATTTGCAAAGAGGCGAGTTCGAAGATATTCTGTCGCAATTTCGCAACCGAGCTCAAGTTTTTTTTATGTGGAAAGATGAATTTTTACTTTTCGAATGAAAATGACTTCATTTCTAGTTTGCTAGATTACAAGAGCATCGAAATTGATGTTTTCTGTGTCCCCACAGGTGACGCTTTCTAACGTGACCCGAAAACAGTGAACCGTGTCACCTACGGCGACCGTGTCTTGGAAATTCCAACGATGGATAACGGCGCCAAACTTGCCACGCGCTTCTTAAACACTCTCAACGACATTCAGTACGGCAACACCAGCCGAGAAGGATGGCAAGTCATCTTCTAAGCTCAACATGCCAATTATACCTACGAGCCAATATTTTTTGCCACAAACCAACGAACTACACCATTATACTCATTTTATACGATTGTTTTTTTTTCTTAGCAGTGTTTTTTTCGTTTGAATTTTTTACACTCCTAGATCGTTAATCGATTTCTTTATTATAATTATTTAAAATAAGCCACTAAGATTATAATTTATAAATGTTTTGTCTGCTCGTTTCCAAAAGGGCTTGAATTTCACTGTGAAGTTCTCGATTTTAGTCTTTCTGGTGCAATTTCGAACTCCGAAATTTTACCGCTTTCATACTGCACTTCTAAACCTGTTCTCAGCATGGTTTCACAAGTTCCATCCAGCCCTCGTTTTGTTCCACGCTCTCGTTAATACCAAATTATATTATTGTTATTATGATATTTTAAAAATGTACTCTGTTCAACAAGGAGATTCAATAAACAGTACTAACTCAGAAAGCCATTCGCGTATTCCTATGTCGTGACATGTTCTTTTAATTGTACGACATGATAAAAATGCTTTTTAAATTGACGACTCTTGATCATTCTTTTTAGGAAAGGGCAAGCAAGTTGGCTTGCAAAAAGATCGAAAGAAGCACTTTTCAAGTGCGCAAATTAACGAAAGTAACCAGACTAAAGGCTCAGGAAGGTGATTATCATTTTTGGCGGTTTTGAGCTATCTGCTAAACATACCCCGGTGCATGCTCTAATCCTGCTCGTTTTTTCGCAGAAGGCTATCTGCCATGACCTCCAATTTCGTAGTGAACTCGGCGAACCCGTAGACAAATTCTCAAGTTCTCAAGTTTCCTTTCACTAAAGTAGCAAATGCTACTTGAACCGCTTAAAACTTTATTTGGCAAACCAACAAAATGAGCGTTTCATGTTTCATGTTCATTAATTCTCTGTATCGAGACAAACAAGACGTGCGCCTCTTAAGATATTAGTAATACCACATTAACATATTCAGCAAGAATAAAGTTCTTTCGTTTTAGATGATAAGCAAGTCCCAATTTTTATCGACGCTTCCGAAACTTGAGTGATAAGATGGATGAACTTTTGTTCGATGAAAACTAGGTTTAGTAGGAACTTTATAGAGTTCTGGCGCGTTTAGTCTTATCACCTAAAGTTCATGCCTTAAATTTCAGATATTTCTTCCAGCAAATTCCATTGACTGAGCCCGAGGCAGCGGAATAGAGAAAGGGAACTCTACGAAAGAGTTCGATGGTTGTTCCATCATGTTTTTAGAAACGAGCTTTCAGTGGAAGCATGTCCAATTGTTGACGTCGCACACAACTTGTACCAATCAACGGAGATAATCGAACATGCCCACAACATAGTTAGTGAAGAGTTCTCTCCCTTAAATCTACAGCATTTCTGACGAAAAGGTTTATTGAAAGTGGAATTGATGTTCGAGCGGAGACTCGTTCTTTCCAGAGTCTGGGTACCCGCTGAAGTCAAATTGGTCATTTTTAGCCATCAATTTTTTCTGTTTTTTGATCCAGAATAATATTAAGAGCACCAAAGACTTCTTAAAGGACAAAGAAAAAAAATAATATTTTTTGAAAAATTCACCACGTGACTATTTTCTCGGGAATAATTCTAGTTTTTTGGCTCTAATTTGTGACCCCATCACGCCCCATAAATGAGACCCATATATATTGAAAGAGCTTCAAAAATGCTTTCAGAAAATGTCACTCATCGAATTGCAGGACATTGCAGGCAGATTCTAGAGACGTTTAAAGGTCAGGATTTGCGAAATTTCCGCGATGTAGGGTGTTCGAATCCCGACGATGACACTTTTTTTTCGAGGTGGACTTTAGTTATTTCTTATCTTTTTCGAATAACTATTTACCCTTGATACCTAAGAATCAACTTGGGGCGCTAGAGAGTATTGTAAAATTTTTAAATCAAAACCATAATAATGGAAAAAGCCTATATAATTAGAATTTTCGTAGCGGATGGGTGTGGGTGGGGTTGGGGACATAACTGAGATTGATCAACTCAGTGTTCCAAGCCATTGTCAAGCCCCTTAAATTAAATAATCAAGGAACGGGGCTGAAACGGCCCGAAGGGCCGTCAAGCCCTTAAATTAAATAATCAAGGAACGGGGCTGAAACGGCCCGAAGGGCCGTCAAGCCCCTTAAATTAAATAATCAAGGAACGGGGCTGAAACGGCCCGAAGGGCCGTCAAGCCCCTTAAATTAAATAATCAAGGAACGGGGCTGAAACGGCCCGAAGGGCCGTCAAGCCCTTAAATTAAATAATCAAGGAACGGGGCTGAAACGGCCCGAAGGGCCGTCAAGCCCTTAAATTAAATAATCAAGGAACGGGGCTGAAACGGCCCGAAGGGCCGTCAAGCCCTTAAATTAAATAATCAAGGAACGGGGCTGAAACGGCCCGAAGGGCCGTCAAGCCCCTTAAATTAAATAATCAAGGAACGGGGCTGAAACGGCCCGAAGGGCCGTCAAGCCCTTAAATTAAATAATCAAGGAACGGGGCTGAAACGGCCCGAAGGGCCGTCAAGCCCTTAAATTAAATAATCAAGGAACGGGGCTGAAACGGCCCGAAGGGCCGTCAAGCCCCTTAAATTAAATAATCAAGGAACGGGGCTGAAACGGCCCGAAGGGCCGTCAAGCCCCTTAAATTAAATAATCAAGGAACGGGGCTGAAACGGCCCGAAGGGCCGTCAAGCCCCTTAAATTAAATAATCAAGGAACGGGGCTGAAACGGCCCGAAGGGCCGTCAAGCCCCTTAAATTAAATAATCAAGGAACGGGGCTGAAACGGCCCGAAGGGCCGTCAAGCCCCTTAAATTAAATAATCAAGGAACGGGGCTGAAACGGCCCGAAGGGCCGTCAAGCCCCTTAAATTAAATAATCAAGGAACGGGGCTGAAACGGCCCGAAGGGCCGTCAAGCCCCTTAAATTAAATAATCAAGGAACGGGGCTGAAACGGCCCGAAGGGCCGTCAAGCCCTTAAATTAAATAATCAAGGAACGGGGCTGAAACGGCCCGAAGGGCCGTCAAGCCCTTAAATTAAATAATCAAGGAACGGGGCTGAAACGGCCCGAAGGGCCGTCAAGCCCCTTAAATTAAATAATCAAGGAACGGGGCTGAAACGGCCCGAAGGGCCGTCAAGCCCCTTAAATTAAATAATCAAGGAACGGGGCTGAAACGGCCCGAAGGGCCGTCAAGCCCCTTAAATTAAATAATCAAGGAACGGGGCTGAAACGGCCCGAAGGGCCGTCAAGCCCTTAAATTAAATAATCAAGGAACGGGGCTGAAACGGCCCGAAGGGCCGTCAAGCCCCTTAAATTAAATAATCAAGGAACGGGGCTGAAACGGCCCGAAGGGCCGTCAAGCCCTTAAATTAAATAATCAAGGAACGGGGCTGAAACGGCCCGAAGGGCCGTCAAGCCCTTAAATTAAATAATCAAGGAACGGGGCTGAAACGGCCCGAAGGGCCGTCAAGCCCCTTAAATTAAATAATCAAGGAACGGGGCTGAAACGGCCCGAAGGGCCGTCAAGCCCCTTAAATTAAATAATCAAGGAACGGGGCTGAAACGGCCCGAAGGGCCGTCAAGCCCTTAAATTAAATAATCAAGGAACGGGGCTGAAACGGCCCGAAGGGCCGTCAAGCCCTTAAATTAAATAATCAAGGAACGGGGCTGAAACGGCCCGAAGGGCCGTCAAGCCCTTAAATTAAATAATCAAGGAACGGGGCTGAAACGGCCCGAAGGGCCGTCAAGCCCCTTAAATTAAATAATCAAGGAACGGGGCTGAAACGGCCCGAAGGGCCGTCAAGCCCTTAAATTAAATAATCAAGGAACGGGGCTGAAACGGCCCGAAGGGCCGTCAAGCCCTTAAATTAAATAATCAAGGAACGGGGCTGAAACGGCCCGAAGGGCCGTCAAGCCCTTAAATTAAATAATCAAGGAACGGGGCTGAAACGGCCCGAAGGGCCGTCAAGCCCTTAAATTAAATAATCAAGGAACGGGGCTGAAACGGCCCGAAGGGCCGTCAAGCCCTTAAATTAAATAATCAAGGAACGGGGCTGAAACGGCCCGAAGGGCCGTCAAGCCCCTTAAATTAAATAATCAAGGAACGGGGCTGAAACGGCCCGAAGGGCCGTCAAGCCCCTTCAATTAAATAATCAAGGAACGGGGCTGAAACGGCCCGAAGGGCCGTCAAGCCCCTTAAATTAAATAATCAAGGAACGGGGCTGAAACGGCCCGAAGGGCCGTCAAGCCCCTTAAATTAAATAATCAAGGAACGGGGCTGAAACGGCCCGAAGGGCCGTCAAGCCCCTTAAATTAAATAATCAAGGAACGGGGCTGAAACGGCCCGAAGGGCCGTCAAGCCCCTTAAATTAAATAATCAAGGAACGGGGCTGAAACGGCCCGAAGGGCCGTCAAGCCCCTTAAATTAAATAATCAAGGAACGGGGCTGAAACGGCCCGAAGGGCCGTCAAGCCCCTTAAATTAAATAATCAAGGAACGGGGCTGAAACGGCCCGAAGGGCCGTCAAGCCCCTTAAATTAAATAATCAAGGAACGGGGCTGAAACGGCCCGAAGGGCCGTCAAGCCCCTTAAATTAAATAATCAAGGAACGGGGCTGAAACGGCCCGAAGGGCCGTCAAGCCCTTAAATTAAATAATCAAGGAACGGGGCTGAAACGGCCCGAAGGGCCGTCAAGCCCTTAAATTAAATAATCAAGGAACGGGGCTGAAACGGCCCGAAGGGCCGTCAAGCCCCTTAAATTAAATAATCAAGGAACGGGGCTGAAACGGCCCGAAGGGCCGTCAAGCCCTTAAATTAAATAATCAAGGAACGGGGCTGAAACGGCCCGAAGGGCCGTCAAGCCCTTAAATTAAATAATCAAGGAACGGGGCTGAAACGGCCCGAAGGGCCGTCAAGCCCCTTAAATTAAATAATCAAGGAACGGGGCTGAAACGGCCCGAAGGGCCGTCAAGCCCCTTAAATTAAATAATCAAGGAACGGGGCTGAAACGGCCCGAAGGGCCGTCAAGCCCCTTAAATTAAATAATCAATTTTTGTCATCGAAATTGAGTTTTTGAGGGTTGAAATAGCTACTTAACAGTGTTTATAGTCACAAATTCAATCATTAGAAAAAACCACTTTTTCGAATTTTGATGCTCTCTAGTGACCCCGAGATGAATTTTTTTGAATTTTTGACCTCAGAATGGACTTTTAGAGGGTTGAAATAATAGCTAAACAATGTTTTCAGTCACAAATACTTTTATTTGAAAAACTCACTTTGACGAACTTTCATGACCTCTTATGACCCCAAGATGAACTTTTTTCGAACTTTTGACTTCGGAATTGAACTTTTGGGTACTTATTTACTATAGTCACAAAGTTTCGTTCAAAAAGGACTAGAATATCGACCACTCATTTTTTTCAGCGGGTACCTATTTCCAGACCCTTCCAAGACACTTGTCATAAGCATATCGTATGTGTATGATTATATTTAGTACCGTTTTCTAGGTTTGCTAGTGGACAATAATGATGGATCGCAACTTTTCTAGCTTCTCAAAGAGTTAATCTTAAAATCCAGTGTTGAAGGTAACGCAAATATATCGCTTCAGTTCAAAAAACTTTTTCTCGATGACGAAAAATGGGCGTTGCCAGTGTGGAAACTTCCTAACAGAGAATGCAAATATGTACAGTCCGAGCAAATAACCATCACCTCACGCGGACACGCCTATTTTTCTGGTTGATATTTGAACTTAGCATTTCTATTTCGTTACATAATTTCGCTCAATGGACTCTATTGTATGTACACCCAGTTACAGTAGAAGTGCTTTCTACTCAGCCTATTCGCCAAAGAATAACTTTCCGTAATCATATGCTAGAGCTCAAGTCGAATAGATTTTGAAATACAAGCAAAATCCTTATCATATGGTCTGATTTCTATTTTCTTCTCTTTTCCAGATAAATTTTCATTTTTGGTTATGTTTTTCTGACTCAATGCAGAGCGCATAATGTCCCGCGGTGCTGCCCACGTGTCTTTCGAACCCTTATCACTTCCAGCCATTCTTTCTCGGCTTCCATTGAGGCGTTTCGGTTCAATTTGACGGTCTCCAATCAGCGAGACTTTTTACTGTATTTGTACGCAAACGCGTTTCGGGTTTCTTCAGAGTTTCGCCAGAATTAACCTCCAGTCAAACGGCTCCCTGCGGCGTTCTGAATGATAAGACGAGGGCGCTTCGGATGGAACAGACACTGGCGCTGGAGGTCCGTCGCTACGTCGCATAAACCACCAGCTCCGCTCTGCTGCCCTGGTGGAGAAAAAATCATGATATAGTAACACCATATCATTCAGCGATCACTCAAAGACCACAGCAGACAACCCGGAACGAGCTTTTTTTTACTGAAGTTCAGCGGTTTTTTCTAAATTACACGCGAATTTATCAGAGATACGAAGACATTTATCACCAAGGTAAGATTCTCTTGATCGTTTAATGAATAAAGATACCCCAAAAATAACTAAACCATATTTTATGGTTGATATATCACAAACTACGACAGCGCCTGATGTCGCAAAAGAGTCGTTCATGTATATTTTTTGGAAATAAAAGGCTGTTCGGCCGGTTAAAATTTCATATACGCTCCAAAAAACAACATCACTAATATGATATCAGCAATTGCTAAGTCACAAGGTAATTGATGTTTAGAAATGATCATTTTTAACTGCTGGGGACCAAGTGGTACTGCACCAATAGTCACTATTGGGCGGAAGGTCTAGTATCAAAATAAGTCGGCATCTATTTCACTCAGCTCAGCAAGGTTTAAAATTGTAGACTAAGAAATGACAACCCTTCTAGGATAGCAGGGCAGTGAGGATGGGGATGATGCCTGTCCGGTAATTTGACCCAAAGTCCGACATTTGCAGACACTTTGTTGATAACCCGTGATGTTTTTTCTATGCCCCCGGTCGTTTATGTTTTTTTGGAAAAGGAAGTACTGAGAATATTTTGAAAGCAGAAGCCGCAAGCTAACCTCAATCTGCGAGGGTGTTAAAGTTAAGAGGAACCTTAGCACGCGGCAAAATGACCGGTGCATGATGCTGCCGCGTGTAGGCTGAAGGTGCGCAGAAGCTGGCTGCTTGACCGTGGCAGCACTTCTCCCTGAAAACGCGCAGCGCAACACTAACTCGCTCGAATAGAGTGACAGGGTTAGCTCTACTAGCCTCAAGCAGGCCCCCGCAGACGCAAACGCACAGCTCCATGGTGTGGTGTTTTTTTGGCAAAACTTTCGAAATCCATACTTCAGGCCAGAAATTCATACTTTTAGACGTAAAATCTTTAAGGTCGTCTTTCTTTTTGAGAATAACTTACCTCAGATTTATATGATCAACCGACTTGGATTTGCAATTTTTCTTTCATCGGAGTAAAACAAGATATTCAATCGAAAGCTGTGTTTTTAGTAACAATGTTCGCGCTAAGTAATGATTATGGGTTGCGGATGCTGTCTATTTTTGAGTACTGAGCAATCGGAAATAGACAGAACTGTGAAAAAATAGACAGCGTTTAACCTTATCCTATTTATCCTTCAAATACGAGGGTTGTTTTTGGTACTTTGAAACACCGCAAACAAGCAGTTATGTATCAAATTTACTTATTTATTAGAAATAATGCCAAGTAGATATTAATTAAATAGAATATAGTAATTTTTTATTGTATAAAAAGGATGACTCACAGTGCATGAGTATAAATACTAGCGATAGTCGTTGCGACGCGTGCAGTTGGAACGCATGAGAGTTCATGTCTCGGGGGCACTAAGAAACTCACTCGCGTCAGCAGGGACTACGAGACGCTAGAATTCTAACGGCATCAAGCTCGTCAGATAAGGTTCTTTCCGAATAACTACAGTCTTCTTTTGTTATTGGGACAACCTCATTTCTCGCCAGTCTAATTTTGTACTTCCTGTTTAGTCAATTTAAAAATTACCTTGGGACGTCGGAAATTTCACATTCAAATCATTCAACCCATTTTTTAAGAAAAAGAAAACAGAAGAAAGATGGACGCTCTCATTCCTAAACACCTCGGAGAGCTGATGTACCGACAATGCTTCAGCGAGCAGGAATATTGCGACCTCGTCATTCGATCGAAAAATGGCATCAACTTTGCCCACTCCTCCGTGGTTAGCCTTGCCTCGGCCATCTTCAAGAGGCTGATCAGAGAAGCAAACGTCATCGAGAACAAGCGAATCATCGACCTGTCCGACTGCGACCAGCCCTCGATTCAAGCAATCATCGAATACATCTATACTGGCAGAGAGGTAATAATCTTATTCCGCGTTTTGTTCGTTCTTTAGACCAGCTTTTTTTTAGGTCAGCATTTTTACAACTTTTATCTACGGTCGAACTCTAGTTAAACATTAACTCGCAAAGCGATTGCTTGCACGTTCCACTTTAACTGGACCTCACGTGAAGCTTCGAATCCTTTTATCTTCAAGGATTAGGGTTGTTAGAAATTTCCAGAAGACTTTCTCCCTCGGCCACGATTAATGCTCTTTTAATGATAAGATAAGCCCTCTATAAACCTACTGCCATTTGCTTATCAGTCCGAACCTTGAGTCGTCTGAATTTTCCTTAAATTGAAACCGTTGAATTTAGGCTGATTAATTTTTCGGTTCAAAAAGGTTAAGGAAAACTACTAAAATTACAAATTTACATGCGTAACTGCGGCCTAACCTAGATATGGACGAACTCTTAAATTAACCTAAAAACAATTTGTTTCCGGGACCAACTAATGACGTAAATTTACAACAATAGCACAAACGCAGTTTTATGAAAATATCAAAGAAACAAACGTATTTTTAGAATTTCCCATTGGAAAACCGCGCTCAAATCCTGAAGCTTGCCTCTTTTCTCGAATGCCAAGGAATCCTGAAATGTCTCCTCGGACAAATCCGAGAACAGCACTTTGGCACGACTAGACAAACTCAACTTTCTCCAGATTCCGGCCTCCACAGTCCGGATATCAAAATGGAACCTCAAGAAGAACAAGGACATGTGACTCTCCACCGCGTGATCCGACTTGCCCCTGCGAATCAACCAGAAGGTCACGGTTTCTGCAATTCCTCAGCCTATTCTTCCCCTCCACAAAGCGAAGAAGACGAGCAGGAAGAAAGGACTCAGCCAGACCCAGAACAAATCAAACAGGTAAATAAAAAGTGGCGCTCTTGAGCCAATCTCTTTCATGACAACTCATCGTGACATGCTTTTTTGCATTGATCGTCTATCAGCTTTTTAACAGAAGTTTGTAGAACGAAATCGAAGCGCGAAAATACTGCAAAGAGTGCAAGAAATCCTTCGCCACAGTCGGCAGCTACACGAGGCACTTGCGAATGATTCACTTCAAACTGAAGCCACTATCGTGTGCAGTCTGTCGTCATGCGTTCTACCAGCGCTCTGATCTAAAGAAACACGTCCTGCGCCAGCACCCCCACGAGGCGAACGCGATACTTGGCGCAGAGGAGCGCAACCGAATGATAGCCAATATGGGCCCGCCGACACTCATGAATTTCAATCAAGAAAACTGAGAAGACTCTCATTTTTCAATAGAGCAAGAATAAGTTCAGGCCGTCTGCATATTATACACCCTTTTTCTCATTATGTTATTTATTTAAATGGCATAAAACTCTGTTTTTGTTTGCTATTTTTCTTTTCTGGCAACACTTTGCAATCTGTAGCTTCTCCAGAAATAAGACTGTACATATTTGTTTCGCGTTTATTACCTTACCAATCTCGAACTTTGTTGATATACATGTGCGAGCGTTATGATCAAAATAAAGAAAAAAAATACCAAAAATTCGTTTTTTTACACAAATATATTTGCAGAGAATAAAAAAAATATAAATATCAACTTTTGTTCAGTCAAGTTGGCAGAGCATGGCTACGCCTCGGCCGATCCAATGCTCTTCTGGTTGATCAGTAGGAACTGTTAGCATAATGACGAAGTTGGTTGAGTGACCAGTTGTAGAGAGGGTTCCACGTCTTGCAGATGTTTTGTAAACAGGACAATTGTACTGAGGACGAACTGGGAGCTCGTCTTTCTTGCACGGCTTCAGCCATATTTTAGGCATCGTGTCAAACAAGATCTAAATTGAAATTGAAGACGTTCATGTCTCTCTTTATTCAAACCTTTGGGTGCGATTCAGCGAGAAGTTTCTTTTCTCTGTCCCATCTTGCACCTTCCAAAAAGAAGCCATATATAAACGCGCCATCATCTGGTGCTGTGTAGTCCTTATCCTCCATGATTTCGTAGTCGAAAGTTAGCAAGTCAATAGGGATCTTGTATTTTCTAGCGTAGTTTTGTTGAACGCCAGTCAGAAACGCCTGCGTGAAGAAGAATCCAGAACACCAGAATTGTTGAGGAGTACCGTTGTCATACCAGTCCTAAAGATTCAAATAATGAGCAAAAGACTTAAATAGCCTATTCAACAATTGATCATATATCGAAAATAATTACCAGGTTCAAGGCTTACCTTAAGAAAATTAAGTCGATCAAGCAAATCGTTGAAATATCCTCCAAGAGTTTTGAGCGAAGGATAAGACTTTTTAGTCCATAAAGTCGGGATTTGACCACTAAGTACTTCGCGGAACATTGTTTCCAGGTCCGAGTTCATCACAACAAGACCCTAGAATAAAATAATAAACGCTGAAATAGACAAATTAGGGCATTCGTTGTTCAATTATTACATGCGAAAACAAGCTTTTAATAACTACCTTGATCGCCTTTTGAATTTCGATAAGCGAATTGCGCACAACTTTCGTGAGCGCATTGAATCGCACCATCTCTTGAACAAGAACTGTATTCATCGATTCTTCGTATCTCGTCGGGAACTTGCGCATCGTCGCTTCAATGTCAAAGTCATCTGGTAGTTTGTTGAGCATGTCTTTGGTAACTTCAAGCACGGAATCGTCATCTGATGCTCCAGCATTTCCACCAGCTGCTCGTGACTAAAGCAAAAGAATTCATAAATCGCAACGAAAATACAATGTATACCATTGTGAGAAGCACGGAACCAAGGAGAGAGTTCGTCTCATTTTGATCTTTCGTGATGTCAGCATTCGGATGCATTCCGAAGACTTCTGGCTTCACCAACAGCGGCAAATTTCGACAAAACTCCAGATAACTTTCCCTCTAGTTTAACGAAATGTTTTTATCTGGATTTCGATGAAAAAACATCTTTTAATTCCGAATAAGCCAACAATTTATGTCTCAGATAAGTCTGCAGCTGAAAGCTTGCACTCGTTCAAGTCTATCAGTCTGAAAGCCAGTCTGCTCAAGCAATAGAAACTTTAGTTTAAACCAGTCCCTTTCATGATCTCCATCTGGGGGCACGGCAAAAAGACCGTCATTATCAAAAGCATAACCGGGAGTGTCAACTGTATCTCTTCTGTAAACACGTGAAAGCAGTGCCAATAGACATCTTCTATCTTTATCGTCAGTGACTCTACCACCATAATTACATTCTCCAGTCAAGTAATTGATTGCATCTAATGGGATGAAATCGTACTGATTCAGGAAAATCTGCAACTGGCGTACAGAAATACGCAGGTCAGTCTCGTTGAATTCATAAGGTATGTTCCAACCAATCGGGCCGAATTTACGACGCTCTTGGACAAGACCATGGAAAAAGCACAGGCCAAAGAGGAGCTTCTTAAAATGTACGTCTTGTTGGCATCCCGTGAACCACTCGGGATCAGAGATAGGATCGGAAAGATATGACCTGATCATGTTGGCCTTCATTCCTGCTGGAGCTTCGTTCGTCATCTTGACACCATTCTGCAAGACTGAAACGGGAAAGTTCGGACTCGGATAGGAAGTCAACCATAATCTGAAGTTGGGATGAGTGGTTTCAGGATTCAAATCGTAGCAAATTTTCTCAAGAGTCGTCATCCACGAAGTAGCCAAATGACAGTTTTGAAGAACAACCCATTTTCCTTCCTCAATACCCTTGTTGATCATTTTTATTGCGATCGGCCCTTGACCCTGGCCAAGCGAAAGGGATGAAATTTTCGAACCCATGTCTTCGTCGTCAGCAAATTTTAACAACGCAGCATTGGGATCAGATCCAGGAGAAAGAATAAAGATCAGAGGTGCGCAGCTATGCGAGTCGGCGTATGAGCCTGGGAGATCAAATGGAGGTGGCTCAATAAACCTCTGACCAATTTTTTCAGTGATGAATGCTTGAAGAGCAGGTATGAGTTTGTCTGGCCGTAAACATCGAAGAATGAGAAGCCGCTTGAAAAGTGATAAAGATCCGTATTTTCCGGGAGGTACAGCATCTTGCGGCTTTTAACGGTTTACTGCACATGAGAAGATATTTTATGAATAAGAAATATGAGTATTTTTAATTTAATGGGTCTCCAATTGACTAATCGGCAGCTGACATTTCAAAAATAGAGTGTGTAATCATTATTCAAATTGTCGAGTTGAGAATCTCATATTTCAGATGTAGTAAACTGTCCTTGTTATCATCATAAATTACCTTCCATTGAGCACTCAACTCTTTAAAATCGCTTATTATCCCCTTGAAATCGTCTCCAACATCATTTAGTCGGCAGATCTCATCCCAAGATTTCGTCGGTATCCAGTCGACCGGTTTTTCATTGGGATTTTCTAGGCCAACACCGCCGGTTAGAAGGAACCTGAAGTCCTCCATCGACACTTCGTTTCTGTGCATAAGCAGATTTGTGCAGAGAATGAACGAGAACAACAGCTTGTCTTTCTCAAAGAGCGATCTACAAACATTACAGTACAGACTGTACGTAAAGTAGTCCTGCAAATTGCTCAATCGTGTTGTGATGTCATCTGATTTTTCCGACTTTTCGATTCCCTTTTCAAACAGGCTCACAAACCAAGTCAGTGAGTATTGGTACATGGGATCTATATTCGCCAAATCAGAAATCGTAAAGAAGAGAATTGTGGAATGGATGGCGATAGGGGTGTATCCTTTTCTTGCCTCGTCAATTTTACGTTCAGTTACTTCGGCGATTGCCTGTTTTTCAGAGATTTCATTCGCAAGAACTTTCGAGCTGGAGAGGATCTTGATCGCCGTTTCATCTTCCAAAATATTTCCTTCGGAACTAGAGAGCACTTCCAAAATCTTGTCTTCAATTTCCTTGAGCTGTCGCTTGTTTTCAGCTCCTTGAAGAATCAGTTGGTTCTTTTCCTCTTCAAGGTCGGGTCTTTCCAAGGCAACAACGATTCCTAGAAGTTGATCTTGAAGGCCTTCTTTCGTGATCATAAAGTTGAGAAGTGTAACTTTGACGGATGTTTCTGGAAGATAATGTGGATTTCTGAGCTTGGTCGTGATATAAAATCGGAAATCGTTCGAATATTCTAGCGTCGAGTCGCCAAGGCGGATGCACAAAGCGCCTCCTTGTTTAAACGTTTGCTTCAGCAACAGTGGCTCCAATATCGGATCAAGCTCTTCGCCAATGTCTTCTAAAAGAACAGGATTTCCAAACTGAATGCAGTTTTCAAGCGTCCTCACAAAATCTGTGTCAGTTAGTTTTATCACGTGGAGATTGTTTGACTTCTCCATATTTTTGATCCACTTGTTTGCTTGACCCTGAGGATCAATCAGAAGTGGCCAGCGAGTAGAATTCGCGATGATGATGCCATTGTCGATCGAAAAGGAGTCTGAAGGCAGTCCAGCGATATTCCAAGCTCTTATTTTGACTGGATCGCCAAGGACGCCAGAAAGAGCGAATTTTTCAGAACAGGGTATTTTCTCAGCAATGCAAAGCTCTCGCCATTCTTTGATAGCGTCTTCTCTGTATACCGAGGTAAAAGCACCGAGATATGCAACAACTCCTGCTGAAATCAAAACGTCGCCTGTGAGGTTTTCGTACTGGATCCCAAGATTATGCGCCATTTCTGTCCATCTGTCTTTCTCTCCACCAAGTGATTCGATTAGTTGTTTGGCACGGACGAGCTTTTTGGAACAAAGATCGACTTGATTTTCCAAATCGCCTTTTTTCCTCTTGTTATTGATAAGCGTTTCTTGTAGAACCGCCATTTTATCTTGGACCTCTTTGAGCTGGTCTTGCTTGGCCTTCAAAGCTTTCATCACAACTGCTAGCTCTCCTTCTGCTTCTTTGAGTTTTTCCTTCTTTGGTGCTACCACTTTCGCGACTTTGTCGTACGACTCAATTGCTCGGACCCATTTACAAATGCCCGCACATGCTGACGAAGCTTGAACGACCTTTTCTGGATGGAAATCTGGATGAGTGATGTATTTTGTTCGAATTTGCTTGATGTAAGCTGCTGGAATGTTGTCCTTGTCAAACTCAATAAGCGACTGAAGGAACTTCATATCTCCAAGCATTCTCTTCGCCGGTCCCCAGTAGTCCTGAATCATTTGACCAGAGCCAGACGGATCTGGCTTCTTCTCTGGCTTGATACCTTTGAGCACACAAACGGCTTCAAGGATCAATTTGACGACAGCAGGAGGACTACCGAATTGCTTTACGACACCGATATCCTTTGGTGTCAGAGTGTTGAGGGCTGCCATGGCACTTTCCAGAATAGGTATAGCTTCGGCAAGATCCGCGTCACATTCATCCTTGAATAGGTTAAATTGTGTCATAGAATTTATACGATTCTTCTTCTTTTTCTTTGATCTAATTATTATCGATGATTCTTTGTATATGCGACAAATGTAGGACATGGAAGAATATAAGATACGTAATAAAAAGTCTCTATGCCTCGATGATTTTTCAAAAGAGATTTTTAACCCATTCCTTAATCGCTTTAGCTGCCATTGCTTGCTCATTCGCAACGGCTTCATCTGCCCGCACAACTTTCTCCACTTTAGCGACTTCCACGCTTTCCTTTTCGACTTTGATCATAATTTTGTCAACTTCCTTCGACGACTCTACGAGCTGCGGTTGAAGAGCTTCGAGCTCGATTTGCATAGCTCCAACGGCTTCTGCTGCGGCGCCCAGTTTCTCCAATCCAACAATGTATCGATTCTTCATTTTGCTGATTTCCGTGCGTCTTTTGTCGAGCAAATTTTTATACGTAGAAATCAAGACAAGGTATGAGGTTGGTGTGACGTAGTTATGACGGCCAGCTTCATCTTTGAAACGGTCAGTGAGCCCACGTGACGATTGATGAAAGTTTTTACAAAGACGGACACAAGACGCTTTGTGCGCGTCACTCATCTCTACTTCCTCCATGAATTTCTGCGCAACAGAAGCGAGTGCATCGTCAGGCCAGCTTTGGAACCAATCAATCGTGCAACAATTAACGAGCGACGGGAACATTCTTTGATGAGATTTGACAACTATATTCTTGAGCAAGAATACAATAATTATCTTTGAGAACATACAAATTGTATAATAAAATAAATTAAATCTCGTTCCTAAGACGCTCGACGAGCGCATCTCCGATCGGAGACATAGCCAGTACAATATGAAGCTGGTCTTTGACTCTCTCAATAAACATGTTGAACAAGGCGAGCGGAGTTCCATCCGTTTGTAGCGCCTTATCACGCTGTTTGTCCAGTTGACGCATTTTGTTAATGATTTCTTGTTTTTCATCAGCTGCGAATATGTTTGGAACTTCTCCAGCATTCAGCAAATTGTTAATATCTTCGAGGAAGGCTTCCTCCTTGATTTGCGTATCAGTGAACAAGAAAACACCTTGTCAAAAGTTATTTATCGCTAATTCCAAATTAATTATCTTGCTTTATTTTTAACCAAAGAAGATGCTGTTCTTTTTGTTATAAATAAAAACTCTTTCCTTGTCGATCCGTAGCAGTCGCTTTCATCAAGATAACTTTCAGATCTTCTCGCCATTCTGTTAACCCGTAGCCTTTTCCGATTTCCACCTAGACGAAGCTCATAATAATATTTACTTTTTGATTATAATTTGCTTAATTTTCAAAAGAATAAATTCTTTTTCGAGTTAAAATTTAACATGCTACTTGGTAAGCGTAAAATCTTGAGGTAGAAGTTGAGCCTTTCCTGGAAAAGCTCACAGTCCGCCATGAAAGCCGCCAGTCTAGTCAACGACTGTCTGCCTGATCCACCAACGCCGACGAGCAGAGCATGGCCTCTTGGTTGCTTAAGAAGTCGCGAAATACGTGATATGTGCTCGATGGCAAAGCGGAACAACACCAGGTTCATCGGTTTTTTATCAATTAAGTTGAATTCAGCAAGTTGCTCAGTGACGGTTTCTTTGAGCTCTTCAACATCTGGCACCTGCAGATAATATCCATTATCGTTTTTCGGGACAAAGTCGCAGAACATGAGAGAGCGCAGATCATCCTGCGTGATTGTTCCTTTATTCCCTTTTTGTTCAGATAAGAAATTGCTTTGCAAATTTTAATTCCACTTTGGCTTTTTTTATCCGTTCCTTGGTCATATTCATTGAAAAGGGATGCGAAGGAAGTTTTCAGATGTTCTTCTGTCACTTTCTCGATCTTTTCGAATAGCCAGGCTTGATCTACGTCGTCTACAAGACGATCATAGTATACTCTTAGCACTTCGTGTACCCAAAGTTGCTTGATAGAATCTGTTGTTGGGGCGCTAATCGGGTTTGAGAGGCAAACACCCTGAATTACTCTTGCGAAGTCGCGAAGGTTGAAAAGATAGTGCGATTTTTTCGGCGTTGGTAGAAGATTTTTAATCGTCGAGTGAAAGATTTCGAGGGTTCCGGAGATGATTGGTTTGATCAAATCAGAATACGTAGACTCGAACTGGTTCTTGATGTTGAAATGCCAGTCTAACATTCGACTGAAGATCGTGGACATGCTCGCATCGTCGAACTCGTTGATTGTGATGGTATTGAAATGACGTAAAAATCTGGCTGTGACTGGATTTCTTCCTCCACCAGCTGGGCCCATTGCACCCATGAACTGAATATCCACGAGATCAATCTGGTCAGAGTTGTGTTTATGTATTTTAAAATATCTAAAATTATCTACTAGCTAAGTCTATTGACAACCAGCCTTGGTGCAATCTTTCAAGTCATACCAATTCCAGTGATCAAGGGCCTGGCGAACGAGCTCAATCGGAGGCTGAGCTCCATATGTTCCGCGCATAGGCATATTTACGTCATCAATGAAGATAATTGTCTTCTTGCCCATCGGTGGACCGAAAACACCTTTGCGACGTTTGTCCAGTTTGCTCATGATAATGTCCTGAGTTTGCTTCGATGTTGTTTGAGCGGAAAAATTGATGACTAGTGGGCGATATTTGTCCTATGCGGAGTACAGATGTGGATTAAAATGATTGATAGAATAATTTCGGTTAGATACGGTTAGATTTCGGCCATACGGTTGATATGATAATATCATAATTATAAAGATTAAAATGCACGAGACAATAATTTCGGTGTCAATATAATGGCGCGATGTCCCAATCAATTAATATTCATTATGGAGCATTATCAGCTGCTTGGCTGGCCACAAATTGTACTCCGTCCCTGATCAAGATCTTTAACCAAATAATTGTTAACATAAACGGATTTTCCCGTTCCAGTTGGACCGACAAACAGTGAAGGCATTTTGTTTTGAGTAAGAATGTCCATGAGATATGTGTATCGAACTGTGTCTTGCGTTGGAACGACGATTTGATTGAAGTCAAGGCCAGCTGGAATTTTAGGACTATTTCTGAGCTCTTCGGTCCATCTTTCCCAACGACCAATTCCTTCTCGGATAAAGTTCCACGCATAAATGCTTTCAGTCTTTGGAATCGGAACGTAAAGAGAACGTGTCGGAGATTCGACTTTTGTGATCATGTTGAATTTGCTCTTTGTTAATTCTGAGAGAGGGCCGTCGATCATTTCGCGAATGAGCATATCGAACTTTTCTCGACCTTCGCTGTTAATTCCTCCTCCAAGAGACCATGTGCACGAGAACAGGAATATTCCCTCAAGCCAGCTGTAAACATCTCGTTCGTGCATATCAGCTACTATCTTGGGGTCAGAGAGCTCTGTGAACTGACACTGCATCAATCTCATGCAAGAAACCGCCATATTCGTTTGACTTACTGGAGAGAGATGACGGACACCCGACTTTCTATTGAATTCAAGCAAGGCTGGAAGATATCTATCCATCAATGCATTGAGGAATGTCTTCATTTCGGTCGAAAAGCTTTCCGGAAGCGTGTTCAGCCACGAAGCTGCCATCGGCTGCCAACCCAACATGTGAGGCTCCATGTAAATCATACCACAGCGAGAGACAGTAGCTGGCGATGCCACCTCTAAATCTTCCGGTTCGAAGATCAGATTCGTCGTGCTTGCCAGTTGGATGATTTCTCCCGACATCAGACAAAGCTTTTTGTTGTCGTCAAGTACTGTATTCATGTTCTCAATCCAAACCGCATCGACAGGTCCATCAAACATGAGCCATTTTCGATTTGGGTTTGTTGAAACTGCAAACTGACGATAAGACACGGCGAGGATACCATCGGACCACTCGTGTGACACTGGATCGAACTGTCCGTACAGTTGTCCCATCGTGATCGATTTTGGGTTGATAACTGTAATTTCAACTTGATTTTCGAAATTATGCCGTTCGTTGATGATTTTTAATGCTTTTGCCAACACCCTGTATGCTGACGTTTTTCCACCAAACGGATCTCCAACGATCATAAAACCGTGTCGGACGATCATCATTTCATAAATTTGCAGAATTTTGTCAAGGAAAAATGACGGTAACTGAAGATTCATCTCGGTGCAAACTTCTTCGATTGCCTCTTCAAACATTTTGTAATCTGGCGGTGGAAGTTCTATGCCAGGGAATAAATCAGTCGTAATACCCTTGAAGAGAGGCAGATCTTGAGCCAAGAACTTCGGCAAGTTGACATCAATAATCGACCTGAGCATAAGAATATCTTCAACGTCATCTGGGTATTTGAGTTTTAGATTGCCTGCCGCTGTGAGGACAGACTTGACAGCTCTCATACCATAATCATAGTGGCATTGCGAAGAGAGCTGTTCGGAACAGAGTCGATAAGTCGCCACAATTTTAACTGACAGCGGTCGAGCTCTGACGAATCCAAATGAGTAAAGTGAAATTTCAGAAATGAGTGCATAATCTGGTACCATCATAGCAACAGATCGGAAAAGCGCTTTCAAGTTATCTGGAAGCTCTGATCGACCAGCATAGCCGGGGTTCATGGTAATGAAGACTGCGCAAGTTGGATCCAACTTAATGTCTGTTCCTTCGAAGAGAATTCTGCTTGATCCGGCTCCGATTCCTCGTTGAATGGTCATAATCTGCTGTGCGACGACTTTTATTAGTTCAAAGAACTTCAAAGTTCGTTCGTTAACATCGGTTTCGGGTTGCCGAAATGGTGCTGAAAATTAGCCCCTGCAATATGTGAATAATTGATATAAATAGATATCACATCTGATGATAACGAAATAGATACATGGTAATTTTATATGATTTGCTATGTTAGTTCAAAAACTTCAAAGTTGTTAATCTTTATACCAGCTGGCCGATATTCTGGTTGTTAAACAGAATAATGGTGCTAAAGTAAGCGCTGATGTGGTATGAAGTTCTCACTGGGTAAATTTGGAACGATTCAGTTAAATGATCCCAAAATGATTCTTGTTCAAATAACCATTTTAGGCGCAAAATGCAACAGTTGAAAAAACAGATGATAATAAATTATTAATAATCAATGAACTGGCCTGAGAGTACTTCAAGATCGATTCGATTGAACTCGTCAAAGCAACTCCACGCACCACAAGAAGCTAGTCCTTTGAAGAACTTTCCAAGCGCAAGGTAGTCAAGACCATCTGAGCAATTGAATACAACGCACTGTTTCGCCACTGCTTTGGCCAAATCTTTAGTTGTTTCAGTTTTACCAGTACCAGCTGGTCCCTCTGGCGCTCCACCGAGATGAAGATTAAGCGCTCCAAATAATGTCCTGTAGCATCGATCGGTGAGTGGTGTGATGACGAGACGTCCAGAGTTTCCGAGATACTCGTAGCCGTAGTTCAAGTATGCATTGATCATTCTAGTGACGAAGTGGTAGTCGCCGTTTCTGACCTCATCCGGTTCCCAGTAATATCGAAGCTGGGCCAGCCAGTCAAAATCATTCGGCTGATCAATCTTCTTGTTGATCAACACTTGCAGGACGTCACGAGCGTGAACATCGAGTACAACGAGAGCTCCAAGAGTAACTCGATTTTGCTTGCTCAGCTTGCCCCGGACAAGTGCGACAATCTCATTAATTTCCCCGTTGCATTGTTCCAAATATTTTTCCATAGCCTCGTGACCTTCGACGATAGAATTGGTAACATTATCAGTCCAGTATTTTTGAGTCACGGCAAGAACAGCTTGTCCAGGGTATTCCCTGACCCACTGGCCTCTTGGCCGAGTCGGATAAGTTTCCAACCCGACGCCGCAGACCTTCCAAACTGAGTCAACCATGATCTCTTCTAATTCCAGAAGCCACTTTTCAACCTGACCTCTTGCCTTCGAAGTTGATATTTCTTGCGAAAGCTTAACTTCTTCGCCTTCAGATGACAAAATGTGGGTAATGTCGAGAATGTCAGTGAAATTCAACTTCGCAACACCCTCGAAGCACTTTTTCAAATGCGGCTGAACACGAGTTGGATCTTTGGTTTCGGAGAGAATTTCCAAAAGCTCATCGTTTGACAAGAAGAAAAATCGAGGAAAGTAAAGTCGTTTCTTTTCGAGATACTCATTGAGTCCTTTCAAGATCATTTCGAGCAGTTGGTTGGAGCCAATCAGTCGCTCCAGTAGCTTGTCAATTTTAATAACAGCTAGAACATGCTGATCTTGAAGGGCGACTTTGATGATTTCTCGCCAGGTTTTATCAACTTTTGTAAAACGACGTCCTTCTTCCGGCATTTGCGCCATGATATCGGGCGAGGAAAAGATTGGTTCAAGGTAAAGCCAGGTTGCTTGTACCTTTAGCCACTCGTCAAGAACTTCTTGAGTGAGCAACAATTTGCTCTCCCAGTCCTTAATCTCTTCCTCGAACGGCTTTATAAAAGGACTTCCCCGCATCGTCTGAGTTTTGACAATGTGATCATCAAGAAGCATTTGAATATCATCGACGCCAGAGAGGATAGATGTTCCAGTCTCTCGATAAGGCAGCAAGGTAAAGCAAACATCGTCCCATTCGATGATCATCTTTTCCATTGCTTTTTCGAGAGAATACTCTTTCGAAGCAGATTCCGAAACGGCATCAAATTGTTCGAGATATTTTCCAAGATCCATTTTGAGATACTGTTCGACATTGCTGTTATATGCTTTTCAAGGAAATATTTGATGTGTTATTATAAATATTAAGAAAATGACCGTGGTGGACTACCAGGTCATCAACAAGCTGTCATGATTTATTTGGAGATCGTATTTGACATATTGCACCTCAAAAATTATATTACCAATATTGGCAATAAACTTGAAGCACGATCCTTGATTCGTCGGGAGCAAAATTGTCAACACCAACTATTTCTGCCATTTTAGTCCAGTGACGTTCGCGCAGACCAGGATTGCAAATTGTCGAAATGATCGGTAGATTTTCTTTGAATTCATCAACGATAGATTTTGTCGCCGTTGCGATGGATTTTGCTTTTGGATTGTCACCAAGTTCTTTTTCCAGTTTATAAAGAGCTCTCCAGGTTCCGCTCACCTCCTTAATTATTTACTTAAAGAAAGGGCGGATTATTATTTATGTACCTGCTCAATGTCATCTGGGTTCATTTTGGTCATATCTCCGTGCATCCACTTATCATGATTCGCCACAAATGTAGCGCAAGTCTCATACAGCCTTCCATATGGAGCCAAATTCTGAGACACCTCAGTTCTCAGTGGATACGCTGAGACTTCCCATCCATACGCTTCTTCTTCTAAATTGAACTGGTCAATGGTCTCGAGAGCCTTATCGAGCTTCTGCTGTAGTTTTTGAGCTTTCTGATGGTATTTGTCAACTTGGTTCGGATCCGCAAAGCCTTTGAACTCTTCCAGTTGTCGTTGGTAGGATTCGAGGTCTTCTTGAAATCGTGCACGCCTGTTTTTCAGCTCATCCTGATACACATTCGTCTTGTCAGCGATGATGCTTTCGTGATCGACGAAGACCTTTTCAATCCTGCTTGGCCAGGTGAAAACATCAGAATTGAGCCTAACGTCGCGAGGGGCCATTTGCGTCTCTCCACAAAGAAAGAGAAGGCGATCTTTTGTATGACGAAGATCTTTTTCGATCTGCGCCATTTTGCCTCCTGGAGCTCTTATAGCTTTGATTTCTTCTGAAAGAGCCATGAGGTCCTCGGTATCTTTCGGCGTAGAAAGTGCTTTTCTTGAGATTCCATCGAAATCAGAACAGAGTGCTTCAGTCAATTTGACGTGATCATCTTTCATTCGATCGACAAACTTGGCAATTATTTCTTCGACGCGCTTGGACAGACTTCTGATGAGCTCAGAACTGTGAAGCTCGAACATGCCGAACTGAATTATTCGGGGCTCTTCGTAAAGAATTTGGTTCAAAGCTCCGCGATAGTTCTTTATTTGCTTTTGGTACTCGCGGAATGTGTGCTCTTCAGATAGAAACTTGTCCACTTTCTCGTTTGCTTCGCAGGAGATGAGCGGCTTGTACTTCTTTAAAACTTAATTTTCTTGTTTAAAAATAGTCGAATTTATAGATCTCAATTAATCTTAATGGGTCATTTTTAATGGCATAATGACTCATTTATAATATGCTCATTATTTTTTAAAATCGAAGACAGTATATCGATTTAGATTACTGATAGATGACACTGTTTTGAAACAGCGCCATCATTAAAAAACTATAAATACTGATCTTTGATTTCGTTTTCATAGACAACCTCGAAAAAGAAAAACAACAAGGATGAATATATTTTTGGGACTTTTTAGCTTGTTCGGTGCTTCAGCTGCTTTGAGGATGATGAAACGCAGCGGGTAAGGAAAATAGGCGAAATTATAAAATGAAAAAAATTTAAGGCCAAGTGAAAGTGCTATTGACGATGCATCTGATGTCAATTTTAATTTGATGTTCGTGTGCGATATTTTATTGAGCTAAGAGGCCAATGCACTTTGAATGAATCATTCAAATAAGGGCACTACGAGGCTATAATTCGAGCTGCCCTAACCCTAACCCAAGCGGTCTTACAGTGTAAGACTTACACCATGTTCAAAATCATATCGCACACGCCAAATCTGATTGAGCTTTTGAAATTGATGGAAAACGATCCGGAACGATTTGCTGATGATGAAGGGCCAGCTCGAGGATGGGGTGGACAACGAGTTCTCGAGTTTTAATTTCTATTTTCTTCTTTGTTTTCAAAAAATCCTTGCCTGCGACATATCTTTAGGAAAAACCTAAACTATTTTATTTTCATTTCTCGCAAAATAAAATCAAGATATTTTACAGTTTTCTTCCTTGATTTCAACTGTATAACACTTACGGTATGCCTTTTATTATGCGCATGCTTAATCACATGTCTACGAGTTACAGACATTTTATCGAACTTGAAACCTTAACTAATGCAATTATAATGATAATGAGCAATATAAGAATGCATTAGCAGGCTCAGTGACCGTAAACTGACACGTGACTGGCATGAAAAGCAGAAGCAAAATACGTTTTTAGCGGATATTAATCATTAAAAATTCTGAGGTAAATGGCGAATCATTTACCTTTTTCTAAATGCTCTTGTGGCTTTTTAGAAGCCTCATTGATGACGCTGTCGATCATGACCTTGGCTCCTTTGACAATATTCGGAAGAATGATCGGTCGTAGATTTCCCGTGTCACCAGCGCGGCTTGTGAAAGGTTTCTCCGAGTACAACTTCGTCTCGACTCTTGGGACCTGGTTCACTCCTGATGCGATGACGTCGGTAATGCTTCGCATGTACTGGTGGAAATCGGACATTTCAGGCTCGAATTTCACCTGTTCTCCGTCGATGACAAGCCGAATAACGAATGAAAACTAAAGTTCCTTTTTTAGGATGAGAAAATACTGGTTACTTACGGTTGAATCTGGCTCCTGTGAATGCTTGATAAGAGTTTTGTAGTCATAGATGGAGTCAAGTGCGAGATTTTGAAGCTGGCGAGTAAGCAAAGTCGCGGTACTCTCAAAAAAGCCACACAGCTGTTTTGACTTCATATTCTGCAGCGAGTCGTTCTTTTTGTTGTACGCGTAGAAGACATTTTGAACTTCAGGAAACCAATTTCGAAGGAGCTTGTCTTTAGTTCCGTCAATGTGGCTCATTGCTTGCGAGTGAAAGTTTTCTAGTTCGATTGCTTCAGTCATTGCTTTGAAATCGCCCGTTTGGATCAATCTTAGGCTCTGGAAGCCTGTTTCCCAAAGTTTGAGTAGATCTCCATGAATGGGTCTTGTAAATGGAAACAGGTAGTTTTTGCATGCGTCAGTTGCTGCAGCAAAATTTGCCTCTGTTTCGGGAGTTTTTCTACGACATTCGATTCGATGAGCAGTGAGAAAATCATTTTTGTTCTTCTTTTTTCTTCGTCTTCATCGTTTATGATAGTGACCTTATTTAGATTGAATATAATCTGTATAATTATTTTTCGATCAAAAAGCTCTTTGAAGTAATGCTATATCAAGCCGGTTTCTCACGTATCAAAGCCATATCGGTTTAAAGCGGGTTACAAAAATTAAAGTAAATCCAATAATCAGTCCCCTCGGTGACATTCAGACAATCTGTCTGACCCAGAAGTTTCGAGTCCTGATTATATAATGACCAGGGAATAAAAGACAATTAACTTAAATTTATGGAAGAATACTGAATATTCAACTTTCCTGTCGATTATCCTTCAGGACGAAGTCAACGATTGCCTTCTTCACACTCAGCAAATAATCTTCTCGAATAGTTTCGTTCAAGTCTCGGAGTTCTTTTTCATATTGCTTATATTTTAGAATATCGGGCACATGGTTGAAGATCTCGTCGAGCCAGGATTCTTCTAGTGGGGCGACGTTGGAAGTATCAAATCCGTGCTGAATGTAGTAATAGTATCGTAAAATATCGATCTTTGTCTTTCCATCAGCTTCTGTTTTAGAGGGTCCTCAAGTGATATGCTAATTTGAACAAGGCCTGAATCTGACTATTTACTGAATTCGAAATTTCTCGATTTTAACCCTCTCCTGTCGAGCCCGCTTCGGCTAATGCTTGACAAAGCTCCTCTCGAAAAGTCTTTCTGTCCCTCTTTTTTGGTTCCTTGGTCCTTTTCGTCTTCTTTTGCGGCTCCATTTGCTCCAGAGTTGAAAGAGTGCTCTTTTCTGACTCTGGCGGGAAGAATAAAAGTGGATCGGAAGATGTCCATTTGGAGCTTTATTTTTGTTTATGAGTTTTTTCTGGTTGGAACTTACGTGGAAGTTTTGGAGAAGAGTCCGCTACTGGGGCCCCTTCTCTTCTTATCCGGCATTTTTAATCTCTTTTTGGGTCACATGAAAATCAAACACAAAGAGCAATAAGTAACTCTATTACAGGAGTACTGTTAAGTATTTAATTTCTCGAAGCGTCCTATTTAGTTTACGCTCGCACTCAATAATGCTCAGGTCGCCATGGTGATTCCCATAATCTGATCGCTTCAACAAGCAGCTCCTTGAGCCGATTGACACTTTTCTTAGTCACACTTTTTACTTTTATAATATAAATTTCATGCTAGTTAATTCAAATCATAATGTTTGTGTTATATTCAGAATTTTTGAAAAGTACCCTTTCAAAAAAAAAATTTAGCCTCTGGTTCCCGACAAAAAAAATAAAAAATTATAACAAACTCATTATTTTAGGTTATAATTGTTTAGAAATATGGTACTTGAAACTTTGAAGAAAAGAAAACTTACTTTTAAAAAGGATCAGAGTCAAATTCCGGCAGTCAAATTCGGGCGGTTTCCTGAAGATGTGTGTAAGAAAGTCAGCGCCTAGCTTAGAGGCGATATCGGATTGCAACTGCGAGAAATGCAATTCTGAAAAAGCTGGTGTCAGTCCCGGCCGACGCCAATCATGGTGTTTTTCAGCATTTTTCTACTACGCCTGGGATTGGCCCAGAGTAACTACTGTGGTCGAGAGGGATGGTTTTATACAGGAACAGTTGAATCAAGGAGCATTCCACTATGCTTAGACGTACAGAGAGAATAGGCAAAAGTTCAACTTTCTTAAGAAACCGATGCCACCGTCGGATCCTGCTCAAAGTTTTTTGCAAAGCCCTTTACTTGGGAACAAGCGAGAGAAAAATGCTTGAATAAGGTAAAAAAATGAGTTTTTTCCTCATACTCAAACATTATCTTTGCAGGGCGCTCATCTAGCGTCGATAAGAAACGATCGACAGCTCGAAATCTTCCGACAAAATGCTCCTAGAAACAGCGAATTATGGGTGAACCATCGCCAGAGTGAGAACAGCTGGGCAGATGCGTCTAATTTGCCGATGAGCATGTCGTACGAGATTTCCATCGAGTCAAGAGCAAGTTCTGATGAATGCGCCGTCATGGATACTTCTGGTAATTTCAAGGCGAGAGACTGCAATGAAAAGCGCACTTTCTTCTGCCAATACGAGGTAGAGTAGAATGTATAATAATTCTTATTATGCATAATTAAAGGCACCAGTCCGTGGGTGCGAAGCTTTCAAATTCACAACGGTTTTCCGCGAGCTCGATGACTTTGCTGGAGACTACTCTAGAGGAAAGCGATCCCAAAAATATTTACTCCGTAAAAATATACGACTTTTAAAGTCTTTGAAATTCTATATCGCTTCTAAGCATCAAGCAGCTCAGGCGAAGATTTGTTTGTGCTATCGAAAGACATCGAATCCAGTGGCACTGACGGCGACAAGGAGGGTATTACTTTAGAGGTTTTTGTGATTTTTAGCTGATTTTTGTTTTGATACCCTAAACAAAGAAGGCTTTCGTTTCAAAAACAAATGAAAATGGAGATAAGATATGGGCACTTCTTGATGAGAATCTCAATGTCAAAGCTAAAAGTCTTTATTACTCGTCCTGTCCTGCTGACTCTCAAAGCTGGGTCTATTTGGCAAGATCCGGGAAGTTCGAAGCTCTATCTATCAATCAGGAAGGATCTTTAGGAAGAGGATGATCAATTCTAACTAAATAACCAAATGCGTGATAGTACTTTTGACATTACACTAGCTATATTTAGTCAAGATAAGTTTTCATCCAGTTCAAGTTCGCACTGAAAGTTATAACCCCTTCTTCACTACATTCTGTCAGTATTTGATGCCGATTGAGTCAGTAATTGGGGTTGCTGAAATCATGAAGCGAGAAACAGATACTTTTGTACACGGGCTTCCGACTTGGACTAATGCTGAAGCACGTATCGAACGACGAGCTAGTGGCGGATGGAATTTCAAAGATCAAGAAGATCAAATCCTTGCTTATACAGAACAAAACACATTCTGTCCTGGTGATGCCATCAGTTGGACTCTTGTTAGCACTGGAGGTGAAATCAGCAGTCCCTTCTCACTAGAGAATATCCCAGTCAACTGCATCAAGCTCAAAACTTGGACTGCTGGCCATATTAAAATTTCTGTCAATCTTAAATCCGGAGCGGAGAAGGCTCTTTTCGAGAAACTTCAATTCCTTACCGATGATTATAACGAGCAATTCTGCTTTTCAGAAGAAATTGAGTCTATTTCTGTCAGAAACAGCAAAGCAAGCGGATGGTACGGAATGCTGAGAGTTTTTAATCTAGAGGGCGACAATATAAACTACGTTTGCTCTGAAAATTGTGGTGCATCAACGGGTCCGACTAACGAAGGCCTCATGGTCAGTGGTGGAAGAACGACTCAAAATGGAGAGTTATGGATGGCGGTCGCGAATTCTTGCATAATGGGCGAGACTTGCATCTTGAAGCCAAAGTGGACTGTTTACGATGGGGCAATGTGCATAAGTGGAAACGACTGCTTCACGACCGAAGAGACATGTAGCAAGAAAGATCTGGTTAATATGGACCCTACTTGTGTCGCATTCGTAGAGAAACTGAGCTCAGGATGCAGATCCCTAAGCTCATGCATTCTAGCGCCTTCTGTTGATGGATCTAACAGAGTATCGGTGCTCACTAAGATAACTCTTCTTCATGAAACAACAACAACAGCTGCGACGACAGTTTGGACAACTACTGAATTCACAACACTTGAACCGACGACAACGTCAACAACGACGACGACAACTCAACAGACGACAACAACGACAGTTATAAAAACAACAAGTACAACAGAATTAACTACCACGAGCACCACAACTTCAACAACTAAAACTAATTCTTCAACAAGTGCAGCAACCACAGAAGCACCAGAATCAACGACCAAAGAGCAATCATCTACGACGACCACATCGACGACAACATCTACGACAAGCACAACAACAACGACGGCTGAAGAGACCACATCGACGACAACTTCTACTACAAGCACAACAACAACGACGGCTGAAGAAACCATGTCGACGACAACTTCTACTACGAGCACAACAACAACGACGGCTGAAGCGACCGCATCGACGACAACCTCTACTACAAGCACAACAACAACGACGGCTGAAGAAACCACATCGACGTCAACTTCTACTACGAGCACAACAACAACGACAGCTGAAGCGACCACATCGACGACAACTTTCACTACGAGCAAAACAACAACGACGGCTGAAGAAACCACATCGACGACAACCTCTACTACAAGCACAACAACAACGACGGCTGAAGGGACCACATCGACGTCAACTTCTACTACAAGCACAACAACAACGACAAGTACCACTACAACGACATCAACTTCGACAGCGGAACAAACCACAGAAGCGCCAACGACTGAGCAGACAAGTACCACTACAACGACATCAACTTCGACAGCGGATCAAACCACGATAGCGCCAACGACTGAGCAGACAAGTACCACTAAAACGACATCAACTTCGACTACGAGCACAACAACAACGACGGCTGAAGCGACCACATCGACGACAACCTCTACTACAAGCACAACAACAACGACGGCTGAAGAAACCACATCGACGACAACTTCTACTACAAGCACAACAACAACGACGGCTGAAGAGACCACATCGACGACAACTTCTACTACGAGCACAACAACAACGACGGCTGAAGCGACCGCATCGACGACAACCTCTACTACAAGCACAACAACAACGACGGCTGAAGAAACCAAATCGACGACAACTTCTACTACAAGCACAGCAACAACGACGGCTGATGAAACCACATCGACGTCAATTTCTACTACAAGCACAACAACAACGACGGCTGAAGGGACCACATCGACGTCAACTTCTACTACAAGCACAACAACAACGACAAGTACCACTACAACGACATCAACTTCGACAGCGGAACAAACCACAGAAGCGCCAACGACTGAGCAGACAAGTACCACTACAACGACATCAACTTCGACAGCGGATCAAACCACGATAGCGCCAACGACTGAGCAGACAAGTACCACTACAACGACATCAACTTCGACTACGAGCACAACAACAACGACGGCTGAAGCGACCACATCGACGACAACTTCTACTACAAGCACAACAACAACGACGGCTGAAGCGACCACATCGACGACAACTTCTACTACAAGCACAACAACAACGACGGCTGAAGAAACCACATCGACGTCAACTTCTACTACGAGCACAACAACAACGACGGCTGAAGAAACCACATCGACGTCAACTTCTACTACGAGCACAACAACAACGACGGCTGAAGCGACCACATCGACGACAACTTCTACTACAAGCACAACAACAACGACGGCTGAAGAAACCACATCGACGTCAACTTCTACTACGAGCACAACAACAACGACGGCTGAAGCGACCACATCGACGACAACCTCTACTACAAGCACAACAACAACAACGGCTGAAGAAACCACATCGATGTCATTTTCTACTACGAGCACAACAACAACGACGGCTGAAGCGACCACATCGACGACAACCTCTACTACAAGAACAACAACAACAACGGCTGAAGAAACCACATCGACGACAACATCTACTACAAGCACACCAACAACAACGGCTGAAGAAACCACATCGACGTCAACTTCTACTACGAGCACAACAACAACGACGGCTGAAGGGACCACATCGACGTCAACTTCTACTACAAGCACAACAACAACGACGGCTGAAGAAACCACATCGACGTCAACTTCTACTACGAGCACAACAACAACGACGGCTGAAGCGACCACATCGACGACAACCTCTACTACAAGCACAACAACAACAACGGCTGAAGAAACCACATCGACGTCAACTACCACTACGAGCACAACAACAACGACGGCTGAAGGGACCACATCGACGTCAACTTCTACTACAAGCACAACAACAACGACGGCTGAACAAACCACATCGACGTCAACTTCTACTACGAGCACAACAACAACGACGGCTGAAGCGACCACATCGACGACAACTTCTACTACAAGCACAGCAACAACGACGGCTGAAGAAACCACATCGACGTCAATTTCTACTACAAGCACAACAACAACGACGGCTGAAGAAACCACATCGACGTCAACTTCTACTACGAGCACAACAACAACGACGGCTGAAGAAACCACATCGACGTCACCTTCTACTACGAGCACAACAACAACGACGGCTGAAGAAACCACATCGACGTCACCTTCTACTACGAGCACAACAACAACGACGGCTGAAGCGACCACATCAACGACAACTTTTACTACGAGCACAACAACAACGACGGCTGAAGCGACCACATCGACGACAACCTCTACTACAAGCACAGCAACAATGACGGCTGATGAAACCAAATCGACGACAACTTCTACTACAAGCACAGCAACAACGACGGCTGATGAAACCACATCGACGTCAATTTCTACTACAAGCACAGCAACAACGACGGCTGAAGCGACCACATCGACGACAACTTCTACTACAAGCACAACAACAACGACGGCTGAAGAAACCACATTGACTGAGCAGACAAGTACCACTACAAGCTCGACAACCACCACCACTACAACGACATCAACTTCGACAGCGGAACAAACCACAGAAGCGCCAACGACTGAGCAGACAAGTACCACTACAGCCACAACATCCACCACCACTACAACGACATCAACTTCGACAGCGGAACAAACCACAGAAGCGCCAACGACTGAGCAGACAAGTACCACTACAGCCACAACATCCACCACCACTACAACGACATCAACTTCGACAGCGGATCAAACCACGATAGCACCAACGACTGAGCAGACAAGTAGCACTACAACGACATCAACTTCGACAGCGGAACAAACCACAGAAGCGCCAACGACTGAGCAGACAAGAACCACTACAACCACAACATCCACCACAACTACAACGACATCAACTTCGACAGCGGATCAAACCACAGAAGCGCCAACGACTGAGCAGACAAGTACCACTACAAGCTCGACAACCACCACCACTACAACGACATCAACTTCGACAGCGGAACAAGCCACAGAAGCGCCAACGACTGAGCAGACAAGTACCACTACAAGCTCGACAACCACCACCACTACAACGACATCAACTTCGACAGCGGAACAAGCCACAGAAGCGCCAACGACTGAGCAGACAAGTACCACTACAAGCTCGACAACCACCACCACTACAACGACATCAACTTCGACAGCGGAACAAGCCACAGAAGCGCCAACGACTGAGCAGACAAGTACCACTACAAGCTCGACAACCACCACCACTACAACGACATTAATTTCGACAGCGGATCAAACCACGGAAGCACCGACGACTGAGCAGACAAGTACCACTACAAGCTCGACAACCACCACCACTACAACGACATCAACTTCGACAGCGGTTCAAACCACAGAAGCGCCAATGACTGAGCAGACAAGTACCACTACAAGCACAACTTCTTCCACAAGCACTTTTCAATCAACAACAGCCCCCACTACCCAAGCTACAGGAACTTCGTCAACAATTGGAACAACGAGTTCAACAACTACTGTTGATATACACACTCAGTTTCAATACGGTAGATTCATTTTGAGGAACGAGGTTTGCTCGGATATTCATGTGCCTTCTGTTTCCGTCAGCGACATTGATTTGAATGCTTGCTTAGAAAAATGCTATAAAAATGATGATGAAATTGTTTTCAACTGCAATTTTGTCATTTGGGAACATGACCGGTGCAGTCTTTACGAGTTCTGTTATCAGAGAGAGCCACGAACTGATTCTGATAGTTCAATGATAACCGGAGAAATGCAAAGACAATGTTTCCCAGACTATGTTGACAGTTATTCTGAAGACTGTGAAATCTATGGTGATGCATATTGCACAATTACGGGTGTATATACCTCTGGGTGGAAGAAATCGTGGGGACCATTCGAGAGTTGGAGCGAAAATAAAGTCTCTGGATGGAACTGTCCTGAGTGTGGCTGTGACTATTATGCTGATATTGAGACAACAACGGAACAAATCACAACAACTGAGTACTATACAGACTCAACAACTACATCCACAACAACCACTACCACTTCTACAACGAAGACAACTTCATATGATTACACAACTACGTCAACAACTACAACTTCGACTACATCGACCACTACCACTACGACTTCGACAACTTCAACTACATCAACGACTACCACAACGACTTCTACAACGACCTCTACTACGACGTCTACAACAACAAGCAGTACTACCACAGATGAAAAGACAACAAGTTCAACTGTTGTATCATCATGCGATTCTTCTATGCTTACTTCTGGAGCTGAATTCTTAGGAAAGCCCATTACTACAGTAGCTAACGGCGAATCTGTTTCGGTCAAATGCCAAGAAGGCTTGGTGAATACGGCTGCAAAGAACAAAGTTTCGCATACATGCGTCTGCGACGATTCTGGCTGCGATCTCATCCAAAAACAACCATTTAGGTAAATGATTTGTTCATCAACAAATAAAAACGATTTCAGATGCGTTAAAGATGAAGACTGTCCAATGCCTTTCTGGTTTGGCGCAATGAGCCACGAAGTTGTTAGCAGACGACGAAACTGGGCACTTATAAATGGTCTTCATTAGATTTCATGTCATTTTTTAAATTTTGCTTTAGCTAAAATCCAAGCTGTTATCGACAGCGACAAAGGTTGGGACGCAAAATTCTGGCGCAAAACTGACTGGACAGTTGTCTTCGTGTGTCCATTCGATGTCACAGGTGCATCTGACACCGGAAGATTATCATTTGATCTCGAAGCTCGCTATGGTTCTACTTCTAACGATGGCAAGATCTGGTAAAGAAAACAATTTAAGCTTCTTACTAAATTTGATCTAGGGCATTTACTGGCCGAGAAGGAACAGAGATCAGATCCCAGAAGAAGAATGACTTCCAGTTCGCTATTGATACGCCTGATGGAATTATCAAATGGGAACTTGGAAAGAATCAGTACACTTGCGAGGTAAAACCTGAAATCTTTTAGTTAGGATGCCTATATGAAAATTACCTTATTCAGGTCGGTATTGCACCAGTGGATAGAAAGGACTTAGCCACTTGTCTATTCGATACTTACGGCGAAAACCTGACTAAATTCTTGAAAACCAAAGAAGACAAATTCCCGAAGCTAAGAAATTGAGCTCTTTCGACACTACCTTAACTCTTACTAACCCAATGAACGAAATAATATAACTGCGCAGCCGTGTATAATCAAATATTTTGATGAATACCGCTAGTTAGAAGTTCATAAATAAATCATAAACTTTTCAAACTAAATAACTTAGGTGTGATGTCAAAATCTGGCAGGCAGCAGGTCGTTTCCTTTCATTTCCTATTAGTTTTTAAGATAGTAAATTTTTATCGCCATCTTGCGGTCCAATCAAAGATTTGGAGCCGGGTGCGGTCTTTGAGAATATTTCAGAGAGTGTGAATTCTAGTGTAAGGTAGGCGATAATCTAAAATGAGAGAAGACAGAATTTTAACAACCTTCAAAGGTTTTCGAGAAATTTTGCCCTGAAATTCAAGGCTTGAATCAATAAACTTGACAACTAGGGCCCGTTCGCCCAACCTTCTCTAAAGGGAGTCCATCTGTTCCTCAAGTCTTTCCATCAATAAATATTCGCCCGTTCCAAAGAAAGGGAATGTTTAATTCTTGGAAAAGTTTGCGTCCCAGATCCGGCAAATAAAACTATTTCCGGCATTTTATGGGTAATCGGAGGATAAGGCACCCGCTCAGTGCCGGAGACCATGAACCGTGAAATAATAAAAAGGGATTTGTTTATTATTCTCCAAGCACCAGTTGACTTCTTAGACAAGTAGGCCTGGTTACTTCAGCCTTTAGTAAATTGGATCTTTTTATAGCTGTGCAATATTTATCAGTTTGGACATCATGATATGCAAATGAGCTCTTCAAAGTGGACAAGGCTTGACACCAGGCCAGAAGTAAACTTGTGAGAGAATAAAAACAAAGGCTATAATCCAAGCAAATGATCTCCAGCGGTAATCAGCCTCGATTCTCAATCATTAATACTTCTTTGCCAGTTCTCGATGCTTCTGCAAATCATGAGATTTTTACAGCTGAGAACTGATCAAAACTTGAAATGAGGAAAGCAAATCTGAAAGCCCTGAAATTTATGGTACATTTCCTGGCTACTGTCCAAACCAAAAGAGCAGCGTATAAAAACGGGCGACCTTTAACGAGTTCCTTTATTATTCAACCCTTCAAAGGACGGATTATCATCTGGTCAATTAATCGTGTTTTCCATTCTAATCAATATCCCCTTGGAAGTTATAATAAATTAACAAGCTGGGCGAGCTCGGCGCTCCTGAGGCCGTCAATGTCCGGCTCCTGGCTAGACAAGGGCGACAGGGCGAAAAAAATCCCCCCAAAAGTCGAGCTCCATTTTTTTCAAAAATCAATTGTTAGGCGGGTGACGAAATCAGCACGAGATTTATCAACACCACAGCAAGACTGAATCAACTTATCCTGAATTCAAATTTCATGCTTTAGAAACCAAGTACAGAGAGATTGAAGAAAAATGAAAATCTCCGCACTCTTCCTCGTCCAATTTTCATACGGTAAGAAAAAACACTAAGCCTAACCCATAAATTATGTTATATAAGGGTGTCACTATGTTGATGAGAAAATCTAAAGTAGATTCCAATTATTGATCACTATTCTTTTAAAATTACCCTTTTCCAGCTTTGAAATGTTATCATTGCTCGGACAGCCGCGAATGTGTCAAAAACACCGAAGACTCCTGCCCCGAAAGCACCACTAGTTTCTGCTTCCTCGACAATACCTACTGGAGCGGACAGGATCAAGCCCCCGAAGGAAGTCTTTACTGCAACACTTTGGCCGACCTAAACAACATTGGTGTGAACCCAATAATCGCGAAAAAAGTTCGAGCTGAGCTGCGAAAAGACAAAAATGAAATTTACGAGTGCAGCGAAAATATGGGCTTGTACACGTGCTACCACATTTGTTTCACAGGTTTATACAAAAAATTCTTTTTGAAAGTCTAACTCTAAGTTTTAGATTACTGTAATAGCAAGTACCATAACGCGACAAAAGATGACGATTTCTCAAGCGAGCTCGATTACGACAACGGAATGATTATTCCGGATATAAATGAAGAATTCAAAGTCCCGACAGCGCAGACGCCAGAAATAATCGAATTGGACTACAATTTTGAAACAGAAATCGCGCCAGAAGAGAAGAAAACAAGTAAGAAAGAAGAGATTATTGAAGAAGTTGTCAATCTCATCGAGCCGGAAATGGAGAAGATAACTGCTGGAGCTCAGGTTCCTATTCATATAAGAACGGAAGACGGCCAGTCAGGCTCCCGATCCTTCGCCTTCTCTGTTTTCATCCTCACAGCTTTAGTTTTACTCCTCTTATAATCCTCCCGTCTCGAATATCATATGACTTACTTTGTGAATAAATAAACGAGATTCTCCATAAATATAAGTATTTGTGTTCTTAGATCTAATAAGAAGCTCCTTCAGGGAATGACGACTAGGTTCGTAAGGACTAGGTTCGTGTGACTAGGTTCGTGGTGGGTTCTATTGAAATCGGCCTATATTTTGGGGCAGTAAGGGAAATGGGTTGATGACTAGGTTCGTGTGACTAGGTTCGTGAAATTTTAAATAGAAAAACTTTTGGGGCAGTAAGGGAAACGGGTTGATGACTAGGTTCGTGATGACTAGGTTCGTTTGACTAGGTTCGTGGAATTTGGATTTTAAATAATTTTTAAAATTTGGCAAATATAGTCCCACATTTTCTCTATTTTAAATTTCACGAATCTAGTCACACGAACCTAGTCATCAACCCGTTTCCTTTACTGCCCCAAAAATTTTTCTATTTAAAATTTCACGAACCTAGTCACACGAACCTAGTCATCAACCCATTTCCCTTTCTGCCCGAAAATGCTGAAAATACAAAAAAAATACATATAAAAATCCAAATTCCACGAACCTAGTCACACGAACCTAGTCCTCACGAACCTAGTCATCGGTCTCCTCCTTCAGGATCTTCACGAACATTTATCAGCCATTGCTAGTTTCAAATGGTGTTTTACCTTGGTCAAATCTGAATTTGGAAAATAATATGCAAATTTGTCAGAATGTTAGAAGATTGCTTTATCTATCAGCTGCATGTTTGAGAATTGATTAGTAGAAAAGAACCATCGCGAGAGCTTTCATTCTTCTTTTTTCTTCGCTAGAAGTAGGAATGAAGTTATTTTACTATTTGGCTTTGCTGGCCGTAATATCTGATGCCGGAAAGGCTAAGAAAGCAGCGAAGAAGAACAGTGCCTCAAATGATGTTGCAACCGAAGATACCGATTCAGCAGAGATAGAGGAACCTAAAAAGACCGGCAAGTGGGCAAAAAAGCAAGAAAAGAAAAAAGGTAAAGCTGATTCCTCGGACGAATCTGCTCCCGACGAGCCTGGTTGTGTCAAGAAAGGCAAATGTGATAAAGGAAACAAAGCTAAGAAGGTAAAAGGCGAAGTCGAGAAAGAGGTTGTAGAAGAAGCTGCTGAAGAAGAAGCTGTTGAAGAAGAAGCTGTTGAAGAAAAAGAAGTTGATACTGAGTTGTCGCAGCCGGATTCGGAAAGAAATATTGGCGCGATCTTCAGTCATTTACTTGGTCAAGGTGATACCAATGATGATAAAAAAGAAACAGTTAAAACTACCAAGAAGCCCAAAACAACACAAGCTCCAACAAAGAAACCAAAAAACACTACATCGCCAACGAAGAAGCCAAAGAAGACCACAACAGCAACAACAGCGAAGGAATCAAAGAAACCTGGTAAATGGGCTGGTAAATGGAATAAAGAAAAAGGTAAAGGGAACAAAAAAGAGGTAAAAGAATCGACAACTATTGCACCAATAACAACAACCTCGACAACTACAACTACAACATCGCCAGATGAAACGACGGTTACAACGATTCCCACCACGACAGAAGGAGTCACAGTCGAGATCAATGCCGTCATCGAACCTGAATCATCAGACAACGATACAAGAACTGTAGATGACGCTGATACGATCATTGAAGAAACAGTCGAGGAAGTTGCTCCACCTCCAAAGCCAACAACAATGTGGGATGTTTTCCGACGAATCAAAGAAAATCTCCCACCACTGATTCCAACGACTCAGCCAGAGCTTACCACATATGTTCCTTACGGAAATGAAGCGAGAGAGTTTTTTCACGCTATTCTCGATAGTGATGATGTTGCAATGCCCTGTATCAATGGAGAGCATCAGTGTAATGAGCATGCTACTTGTTATCCAGATCCTCTGTCAGTTGAAGGCTACGCTTGCAAGTGCAGAGCTGGACTCAAAGGACACGGTAAGAAAAACCTTCCTGTGGTCTGGAGCACCGATGTAGAGCCTTCGAATGAGATTTTCTGGACTACCTTTGCCGAACAAGTTTCTCTCGTCCCAGAGCTGACAACTGCGTTCGGCCTCAACGATGAGAATAGCAGAACTATCAGTGACATTGCAGACCGTGTTAAGAGCATGGCTGTTCCTGGAAGAAAAGGTACGAACGAAGAGGGGCTTTGGTTTCTGAAAGATTCAATGGTTTTTAACGCTGGCGAAGTGCAAGGCTGCGTAAACATCGACGAATGTGCAGAAGAAAACAAACCAGTGAACGCTAACAAGCCACGATTATGCCAACATACTCAACAATGCTTGGATAAGGATCCCGTTGAGAAATATGATGAAGAAACGAAAGAATATGGACCATTATATGAGTGCGAAACAGATTTTACTAAATTCTGCGCTCTTGGGCTCCACAATTGTCATGCACTCGCTGACTGTCTACCAGCATTCGATCAAGAGGATCCAACAAACTCTACTGGCATCTACTGCCAGTGCAAATCTGGATTCACATCCGCTAAGGGAACTGCTCATGTAGATGACCAATGCTTAGATATAAATGAATGCGAGGAATACGGACTCGACCTTTGTCCAGGTGCCGATCTTCGTTGCTTCAACACAATTGGATCGTATAAATGCGTCGCTAGAAATCCTACTAGTCATCCAGATGATTTTGACTTGTATCCGATTTATACGCCAATCGAGAATGTAACACCTACTGCAAGACCTACGACTCTTCCTGATACTCTGCCACTCTGTGACCAACAAGATCCACTGGTGATTCAACTTCAAGCAGAGCAAGAGCAGCTTCAAATCGCAACAAACTACTGGAATAACCAAAAAGATAAAGCCAATCAGCGAGGAATCGGTGGTTTCATCGATGAACCCTGCCAAGATGATACTTGTGGATACAACGGACATTGCATTCCCCGTTCCCTTTCCACTCCATGGGAATCACTCTGCATCTGCGACGCTGGATTCTCAGGACTCAGATGTGAGATTAATCTGATGAGCGGTGGTGCTGCAGCTGGAGCAAGATATGGCGGAGCGAAAACATGTCAAGAAATCAAGGTTTATCCAGGAGATAAGGGAACTATTGAGATATTCGCGAAAAACAACGATCTCTACGACATCGCTTGCTTCCGATTTATTACTCGGCCATCGTCAAACACTGCGCTCCATTTCCGATTTGGAAATGACGGTGGATGCGCTTACAACCCTGATTTGCCGAAATGCGCCCGATATCAATCGTACTGGCTTGCACTTGATAATGGTGTTGACGAAGTTGATACTAAGCGACTCATTGAGTACCAATCGGAAGCATGGAAGTGGATCTGCGAATCTGATCACGATCCTCATTTTCTCGGAGGACATACGCATTTCATCGAAAAAGAAAGAAGCTCGATCACTCTTATCTATCAGCCAACGGCTATGTCGGTCATGCGAGAAGCTGTCCGTCTCGACTACGAGGCCGATATTGATGAATGCACTCTTGGCATCCATGAATGTCACGTCGAAGCTAACTGCTTCAACAAACTCAAGGGCGATCCTACCTATGATTACAGAGGGTACGACTGCATCTGCAAAAAGGCTGGGTTGGCGATGGCTTTGTTATGTGCATCAACGAATATTTCCAAAATCAGCTTTCAGCGATGATCAACGACCGAATTCCACCGCTTCTCAACAGACTAAATATCCTCTCTGAAGAGATCGCTTCTACCCTGCTCAACATGCGAGGAGTCAAATACGATTTCTATCGAGACGAAGTTATTCCTAAACAAGAGGAGGAAGAAGAAAAGGCCAAAGTTCAAAATGACGCCATTGCCGAGATGGAGACTGATTCTAAGGGATTCCTAGAAGGCAATACACAGAGCATCAACCAGGCAGAAAGTACTTCTGCAGCGGCAAATCAGACTTACGAGGAGAAGATTGCAGAATTAAGTGGAACTTTCACAATTATAGGTGGAATGATCGACAGCTGGGGCAATGACACCGTCAGCCAGAGAGAATCTGCTCTTGCAAATCTTCTTGGCCTTGCTGGAGCAACTAGAAAACGACGACAGACTTACCCCGAGGATCCTGCTGAGCAACTCGAGTATCATAACGAGATCAAAGTCGACATGTTCGCCATTGCCGAAGCAAAACTCGAAGGTGTTCAAGGCGAGATTATTCTTGTCAGTCCCGAAGTCCTTGAACACGAAGCTGCTATGAATAATTTGCTAACTGAAATTGACGAAACTAAGCTTTGGCTTGCGGTAAGACAGAAAATTCGAATACATGAATGCAAAAATTTTATTAAGGAAAAATTCCTCGACAGACAAACGACGCAATTAATTCCATTAGAAACAAATATGAATTCATATGTCGCACAAACGAATGAATTTATTGCCAACATCACCAGTGGAGACGTTTTCAGCGGCGATCTAATTCAAAATAACGTTCGACTTGGATCAAAGCCTCAATCAATCAGAGTAAAGAATGCCCCTATTTTACCGATTGCGTACAGTTTTTTTTTTTAGCTCGACAACGTCTTTACCGCTGAAGGCATTTCACAACAGCGGGCCATGCTTAGTGGTAACTGGCTGTGTCAAGTGCCAGGAACTTACCTCGTCACTTTCGACGTCAAACTGAATCCATCCACAACAGCAAATATTGAACTCTATGTTGACAATGTCGGAACCGGTTTCGGAATCGAAGTCAATGACTTAACTCGTTCCGGCACCGATCTCTTCAGTCAAACGGCGATTTTGAATCTCAACGTCGGACAAGAAGTCTCTCTGATGAATCACGCTGGAGCTATTACTGGAGGAGAAATTACTATTGTGAGCCTTCACAACTAAAACTCTCGTTTACGAATAAATAAATATATCTATCAAATATCTCATCTCTACTCTATCCCCGTGCTAAAGCAAACTCTTTCCCGTACTAAGGATGAATATTTCGACACCCTCATTTTTGGTAAGTGTTAGGAGCAGAGTTCCGAATCACTTCACTTCAACTTCAATAAAGTTAACTTTGAAGTTAAAGTGATCAACTTTAAAAAAAATAACTTCACCTCACTTCACTTCAATTTTTTCGAAAAAAAAAATCACTTCACTTCACTTCGAAATTCCCTGAAGTGATATTTTTTATCTTCACTTTACTTCACTTCAAAAATTTGAAGTCGCGAATAACTTCACTTCACTTTGAAGTTATTTTTTTTTTGATGAATAAATCGCTCATTATCAAGCAAAACTTCCCATAAATGTCTGAGTTTCTTTCAAAATGACGGTTTTTAAGTGATTTCAATAGGTTTTCACTATTAAAATTTGAATGAGGAGGAACTAACTTCATTTTTATTGAAGTGAAGTCACTTTTTTCATGAAGTGTTATTTTTCACTTCACTTCACTTCACTTCAAAATTTTGATATTGAAAAATAACTTCACTTCCCTTCAATTTCGAATGAAGTTATATTTTTTAATTTCACTTCACTTCACTTCATTTTTCTCAAAAATAAAATCACTTCACTTCACTTCACTTCAATATGGCAATGAAGTTATTTTTTCAAAGTAACTTCACTTCAAAGTTAAAGTGAAGTGATTCGGAACTCTGGTTAGGAGGTTCCAAGGGGGCGCAGCCCCTTATCATAAGGCAGCAACCGTTTTGCCGCTCTGCCCATTCAGGGCAAAACGGAAAGATGTGCAGAACGGTATTTCAGGCAAAAAGGTATTAAGAAAGTGACCAATTTCAAAAATTTAAGTCTTTGTTCTTAAAAATTTAGGGTTCAATCATCAATTATCTTTCAAATTTCAATCAATAAAATCTATTTTACGAATTTCCGATTTCCAAAATCACTATAATTTATAGTCTATAAAGTCCAGCCCCGAATCCGAATCGAATCAGTTCCGTCGGCTCCAATCAAAAGGCATTTTCAATATATTGCCTATATTATCCGACAAAGCGGACAAAACGGTTGCTGCCTGAAAATATTCGAGTTGAACCTAAGTTGATCCGAAACGTTCGCATGAACTCAGCTCGAACCCGATGAACCTTTGTTGAATCACTGACAAGACAGAACGGAAGTTAAAAGTAACGAATGTCTAAGTAAAGAGCACGACCTTTAGAGATCAAAGTCAAAATTGTTCGCATTTCTCTTGAGAGGTCATTCACCATGAGTATCAAGAAAGAAGAGAAAACTAATCCAAATCTGGTTCTATTAAATCAGACTAGAGTACAGGTATTGAATTATTAAGGTTGTCAATAATTGTCTATTGACAATCCTATTTGCGCATTGCATGATTTTACCGATTGACTGCATTCAATACCAGTGCTTGGACTGCAACTGCATAGGATTTCTCAAACAAAAAGAAGATGAGGTTTTTTTACTCCCTGATCATATTCTGTCAAATCGAAGCATCAACACGAAAATAAATGATCTTGAACAGGAGAGAACATGGAAGAAAAAAGTCACTGCGCAAATGAGCTTGACTGAGCATGGATTTTCAACGTTGAAACAAAAATTAACATATTTGGGGATGGGTTTTCTTTTTTGGATAACAATCATACTTATAAGTAGACTGATTTGAAAGTCGAACACTTCTTTGAAATATTTTAGCGAACTACTATTCATTGGAGAGATCCCGCGGCATTAAAACTTTTCTGACCTCGGTTTGCCACAGAAACTACAAGGTGTGCGTGAAGTTTGATAGCATGGATTACTGTGCTTATCTGATGGAAGAGTGCCGCGCAACGGGAAAATTCAACCTTTCTGAGCGCACTGCCGTCATCAAAGTAAGAGAAAAGGATGCTGTTGCCTTTTCGGAAGAAGAGAACAACTTGAACCTTCAACGATGTCAGAAGAAGCAGTTTTACGATCAAATTATTTGTCGTCACCTTTGTTCCGAGACGCTTGTCTTGGCATCAGCGAGGAGCATTCATGTTTCGCCTTGTGAATCGATCTGTTTCGAGTTAACTCGATCGTTTGGAGATCGTTCGGCTGGAGAAGTTTGCCCGACTCAAAAATACTGTCGTACTGGCTGTCCGTGTCCTTTTTACCGGTGTGAAAAGTTTGAATCGCCGAAGAAATTGGTCCCTGTTTTTGATCTTGAAAAAGGAACAACTTCAGTACAGTCAGTTGCGACCTCCACAATTTCTGATACATCAATATCAACAACTGCTATGCCTACAATAGAGTCTTCAACAGCATCTTTAAAAGAAGAGCTTCAAGGAGACAACAACGAAACAGATGACACCTCGTTCGACTGGCTGACTAAATGGTCGAATAAGCACGAATCACAAGAAGAAAAATTTTCGTTTGATTTTACGGCATTACTAGGAGGTCTTTTAGATGACTCCACGAATAGTTCTACTGAGCGGGCTACCACACCGTCAACAGACTCTACTTCTACCGCTTCAGTTTCGACAACGACGTCGTCCATGACACAAAATAGCGAATCAAACCAGGCTTTTTCTGATGAGAAGATAACTGGACGATGGAGTAATCAAGAATCCAAGAAATTCCCTATACTTCTTTACGATTTTTCAGATCTCAACAGAACAGCTAAGATAGAGGTTTCGTACCAGTTCTTGTCCTATGAATGTTTTTAAGAATAAAAATTTCGGGAAAAATTTATTCAATGATAAAAACATTTAAGTCAACGGGTGCTACTTATCTCAAAGGCGAGCATTATCTGGTCGACGCAAGGGGAAATCTTATGAAAGTTCAAGAAAACGGAGACACACCAATTTTCATTCCTAATCGCCAAAAGAATACGTAAGCATTCGAATTCTTTGTCGATTCAAGCGCATTGATTTTACAGAGGCTTCTTTGTGTTTCATTTTGGCTCGTCTATTGGAACTCATCAAATTGAAATAAGGCGCAAAGAAAATGACAAAAAAGTTTTTACTGTTGTCGTCATCTGAAAATGGTCGAAAATTGTTTTCTTTTAAAAATATTTTTATTAAACTTTATCAAGCGGTATCCAATTTCGACCGTTGCTAGCTCTCCAACCGGAAGGCCGGAAAAATGCTTTTACTACGCTCCGGACTACAACTTAAACCGGTTTGAAGAGGCGCAGGGTTTCATTGCAAACAAACACTTTAATGCAAAACTCTCTTCCGTCAGTTTCAAAGGAGTATTCCATCTTATGAGCGTTATGCTCGGCGAAAAATTTATCAAGCTTTCAAAAACTGTTGCATTGAACAGAATAAGAGCGAGTGAAGAGCTCGAGAAAGGCTGGAAAAAGGGCGAAATCGCTCTTCCTGTTGAATTTAGGGACCTTGACCCAGTCCATATAATCCCGTTGATTGGAGTTTAATCTCAATAAGACTGAAAAAATATTATATCTAAACAAAACTCAAGAAAGATTGACTTAGGAAAACAGATTCTATTATTGGTGACCAGGAGTATTTCGCTGTCAAACACTCTGTACTCATTTTTGTTAGAGAAGGATGGAAAGTATCTCGTTCTTGGCAGCGAGTGGATCGGCTCACTTGTAAAATACGAACAACAATCGATTTGCTACTCAAAATTGTTTGCATCAAATGATCGGTATTATACTGATCAACGTGGATTCAACAATGATGAGTGCGAGTATTTTGGTGAGGCTATTATTAATGATGAGAAATTGTTTATTATGAATTACATCTTTGATGCTACATTCGAGATAAAGTTCGATTTTGGAAAGGGTCAAAAAAAAAAATGAAGCAGCACGGGAAAAAGAAATAAGCATGCTGCATGCGCTATCTTTTGACTCCTGAACAAAGAAAATCTCGAGCTAGATTTTGCCCAACGAAAGGCAGTGGAAAAAATGTACGCAACAAGCAATCCATTTTTTGCATTTCATGACGATGTTTTCCCAGCATTTGCCAAAAACGCTGTGGCGCAGCGGTCATTTCCTATGTCAAGTTATCACTACAAGACAATTATCCCAGACAAGTTTTTTTCGTCGCTAATTGATTTGAAGCATATATCAACTCTTGAACTGGGCTTGAACGGAACTGAGACGTTCAAACTGCAATGGCAATTTCAGGTGTCTATATTTTCTCACAGCTGCTTAATTCATAAAATTTAAAGAAATATTCGACAATCGACGGCAAACAAAAAATCTTTGAGTTCAAATTTTTCGACGAAAAAAGTTTTTTGAGTTTCGGAAGAAGCGCAAACGCCTCGCTTTGGATTGATTCTGACTTTTTCGATGAGCCTCTAATTTTTCAATCGAAAGCTTTAGAAAGAGAGCAAGAACTTGAATTTTCTCTGCACTCGAATCCGCGTACGGAGTCATATTCTTTTGAAAGCGTCAAGGAATTGTTCAATTGTTCAGTATTATCTCTAAGTTAGGGTAACTAACCATAAGCGGTCCCTTCCGAAAAGAGGCTATTTGCATTGAAACTTTTAAAGCTGGGAGAGGAAAGAATCACAATTGGGTCAAAAATGGATATAAATAAAATCAAAAACAAGAAGGTCCGACTCTACAAGTACGAAAAAGAGGTCGAAATCAAAAACTTTATTTACGAACCTACTCAATTGACTCAAATCAATATAATACAATCATCTCTTCTCTTTTACAAAAATCAAGGCTACGCTCTGCTCAACACTATCGGATCAAAAAATTCGAAGTGTCGATAAAGGCTCCAGACGACTATGAAGACTCGCTATCAAAATACGTTGATGAATCAGTATACGCTTTGGTCAACAACCAAATCCATATCTTTGGCGGAAAAGAAGATGGTTACAGGGTAAAACTATTCAGGGATCTAGATTTTTGCGATAAATAAATAGCCATTGCGACGCAAAATTTTCCGAAAATTCCGATGCGATTGCGATTTTTCGCAAATTGCGCTTTTACGTTTTGCGATTTTCAACTCACAACTCATCGTAATTTGCGAAATATTGACAAAACTGAGCTCACGATTGCTATTCGGTCGTAGAATTTTTGTATCAAAAATATTTTGCGAAAAAGTTTAGATCCCTGAAATTCACAAAAATAATTGTAGAAAGGTTTTGATTTTAAAATCAAATCATCTTCAGTAGTAATTCAAGCATTAGATAAAAATGATTTTTTCTTAAAATACCTTATTAGTGAGAAAGCGGACGTAATCAGTACTCGATAAAATCATAAGAAAGTTCTTAAGATTTAAGGGTAGAACATGAAATCGGCGCGCGGCGCCTCGCTCGCCCAGCGCCCCGCCGTGCCCTACTTTTCAGAATGCCCTTAAATCGGAACGGATATAGCTTTTCAAAAGTTTCTTCGGATTTCAGATCATCAAAGCCTTTACTTTTCACAGATCAAAATGAGCAGAATCGTCAAACAAAAACTCGGAGAAAATGACATGAGTTGGTAAAACTCTATCTCCTCTCGCAATTCTTATCCGATTTTTTCAAATTTAGATAGGTCGAAAGTGCTCCGTTAGACCTAAAATTTCGTAGTCTCAGAATTAATTTTGAAGCTTCTTAAAGTTCCACACGGCTTCTCAAAACAAGTGCTTTCACGCCGCGCCGCTTCTTCTCTCACGCTGCGCGCCTCACGACGGTGCAGCTCTCATTTCAAAAGCTCATATAAAATTCCATAAAGCTTCAAAAGTAATTCTGAGACTACGAAATTTTAGGTCTAACGGAGCACTTTCGACCTATCTAAATTTGAAAAAATCGGATAAGAATTGCGAGAGGAGATAGAGTTTAACCAACTCATGTTATTTTCTCCAATTTATTGATTGACGATTCTGCTCATTTTTATCTGTGAAAAGTAAAGGCTTTGATGATCTGAAATCCGAAGAAACTTTTGAAAAGCTATATCCGTTCCGATTTAAGGGCATTCTGAAAAGTAGGGCACGGCGGGGCGCTGGGCGAGCGAGGCGCCGCGCGCCGATTTCATGTTCTACCCTTAAGGCAGCTTGGCGCTCGATCAAAATCGCTATCTTTCTTTTTTGATTCAGTTTGCGTTACGTCCGCTTTCTCACTTACGAGGTATTTTAAGAGCACTTTTTCATTTCTAATCTTCTTTATCAAATGCTTTAAGTACTGATGATGATTTGATAATAAAATCGAAAACGTTCTACAACCTTTTTGTGAATACTATGAAGTCAACATAAAAACGGGAATTAGTATAAAAGGAAAGATTCGGCCTGATGATGGCGAAATGCCGAAAGCTTGCCAATAATAAAGGAAAGATGCTAATTTTTTAATAGATCGGCCGCTTAGACGGATGTTTTTGTGGAATTGGCCGCTCGACTCAACAATTACTTTTTTAAAGGACATTCTGCAATCACTACGGAAAACGGTCGTAACGGTAATGATTGTTTCCCCAATAAAATCACTTAATTATTTAATCATTGAAGCAATCATCTGCTTTGATTATACAAAAGAAAAAATGTGAAGAGTTCAATGGAATCACTTCCAAAATATTTTCACCATTAAATAGAAAGCACCAAGACGGAGGATTATCAATTTACAACGGTCAACCCATTGCGATTGGGGGAAACAGTCCAAAGGGCTTGCTGAGATATATACAGACGATCGCTGGAATATAACGCAGGCAGGGATGTATATTCGCAGCGCAAAACTGCCCAAAAAATTCCGCAAAATTGCGCACAAAAGCGCATTTTGCGCAAAAATTTCACAAAATTTAAAAACATTCACAACCCACAAAATGCAGTTTTGATGGACTTTGCGCAAAATTTCTGCGCTTTTTCATCTGAAGATTGCCGGATCAATCTTTCAGCCCCGTTCCTTGATTTCTAAATTTAAGGGCTTGACGGCCCTTCGGGCCGCTTCAGCCCTGTTCCTTGGTTTCTAAATTCAAGGGGCTTGACGGCTCTTCGGGCCGTTTCAGCCCTGTTCCTTGATTTCTTAATTTAAGGGGCTTGACAAAGGCTTGGAACTCTGAGTTGATCAATCTCAGTTCTGTCCCCAACCTTACCCACACCCATCATTTTAAAAGTCCAAATTATCATTGTTTTTAGCACTATTATGGTTCTTATTTAAAACTTGATTCCAGGCTTCTTCGATCCCGCGGGGCCTTCGGACGCGAGGGTTACGGGCAATCAACAATTCCGTAAAAGCGCAAAATCCGCAAAATTTCCGCAAAATGAAGAAATTTCGATTCTCCGCAAAACAGCGCAAAATTCCGCAAATTGCGCGATTTTCGGATTTCGCGGCAGAAAAAGCGCGAAATTGCCCGCGAAAAATTCCGCAATCGCAGCGCAGCGCAAAGCAAAAATTTATGCGAATATACATCCCTGAACGCAGGTCCTGGAACACCCAAGGTACAGCGCATTTTTAGTGAATATAAAGGGAGAAGTCTTTAATCATGGTCTCGGTGAAATTTTTCTGCTTTGTGATGTCTACTAGACATTGTCGAGGATCAAAATTCTCCCGATTTCAGAACTCGAGACTTCTTTCTAAAATTTCGATTGAAGATGGATACGTTTTTTCTGCGATCAGCTTGAAATCTGGGGCTCTTTTGACTATTGGGGGATATGATCAAAAGGATGAAGAGCGACTGGATGATATCTGGCGCTTGATGAACGATGAATGGGACAAAATTGGCAGTCTTATAAAAGTATTTATTCTTCATCATTTAATTCACTTGTTCTGCTCTTTAGGCTGTTCAGAGTTCCTCAGCAATATTGATCGACAATTCTATCATTGTTGTTCCTGGATGGATTCATAAACAGCTTGATAATATTTTCACTCTATTTTCGCTGTTTGAGAGTCCAGTTCAAAGAATCAATTTAGGTCATAGTTAACGAATTTTTCGCAAATATTTAAGTTATACATTGTATTCGTATCTTAACACAAGATTTGGAAGACAAGGTTGATTCTATCGATATTCTAGCAAACCAACTTGGAGAAGAAACGATTCCGATTCTTTTTGTTTCGCCTCAAGATTACTGTGGCCCATTAAATGCCTAATTATTTCCACAAAATTTACAAATTTAAATGCTATCCTATGCCAATGATTATACCAATAATAACCTTTCTGTGCTTTTTACACTCAAAATAACGATAAAAATCCCAATAAATTAACAATTTCAAATTTAAAGAACATCAAATAATTTTATTAGTCCGAAAAGCTCTTCGTTTGTCAGAAATAGTTTTCTTTTTTTGATATTTTATTTCTTCATGACCATCATCTGCAGAAGAAATCTTTCTCCTCTTTTTCGCCGTCACTTTTACTCACTGATTTCCGGGTGTCTTACCCGATGCTGCAATCCCTAAATTTCAAAGGTTTATCTTTAGCCTAAGATTTATCATATTTGAAAAGAGAGAGTGTATCTGAGGGTGATCAGTGTTTGAGAGGCGATTTTACGAAAAAAAATTGCGTTTTTTTTCGCCTTTTTTAAACTTCAACATGCATAATTATCCTCAACTTTTAATACCCACCTTTGCTTTGGTACCATCTGTAAATTTCATGAAAAAAGGAAGCCGAATAGTGAAAATCAAAATCGCAGTGAGAAGGTATTCCGAGCCCCACGCGCTCCCGTGAAAAACCCGAGTCATGCCGTCATCAGCTAATTGAAAATTATTTTCGAAATGAACTCATCAAAATACCGTTTTTCCCAAAAATACGTTCAGCACATTTTTCCGTTTTGCCCTGAACGGGCAGAACGGCGTTCGGGGCAAAATGGCATTGGGACAGATCGGCAAAACGGGCAAAACGGTTGCTGCCTTATCATAAGGGCTTTGTGTTTGGCTTTAGGTCCTGAGAGCTCGTTTTCGCATCATAATTAACCTTCTCAACGCCTAAAAGTACTGAATCCTGAACAATGAAACAACTGGCTTTAAAATACTATGTGGCTGCCATCAGGTGGACAAATTGGACACAACTGCTCCGCTTGCTTCTGCAGTTGGCAAGAGGTGACAAGCCAAGGGCCATTTCAAACTCCGTGCGCTCGTCAATTTCCAAAAGAGTGACTGAGCAAACCGCCACTACCTACTAAAACGATCAAAAATAGAAAAAAAAACGACAGAACAAAAATCATGGAAGACATGAGAGCATTACGAAAAAATCTAACGAGCGAGTTGAAAAACTCGTTTTCAACGGTAAAATCGGAAATCGACAATTTTTCAATTTCAAGTTTCAAGAAACAACACCCATATGCTTCATTAACAGAGGATAAGCCAAATGCATTTGAGGTCAGAGAAGATTTTGATCCTGTCGTGAAAATCGGAAATCCACATAATAAGTACTTACTATCAGTTTTTTTTTCGTTTTTAGTTCTTTTAATTCAAGAGGTCGAGTCGAACAGCCTGACCTTGATCTTGCAGAATACTACTATCAATTTCAAAATCCAGACAGTGACAAGCACCTTGATGATAACAGCTCTACTGTAACTTCTCAATCTTCTAGGAAAGGATCTCCAAGTTCGCTTCAGAAAAAAAGCTGAACTTTAATTATCCTTTTATAAAGAGTTATAAACGTAAAAACAAGCTGCGGCGCAGAGAAGCAGCTCATCTTTGATTCCAGAACGCCACCACCTATTCCTGACCTACCGCCTGTTCCCTTTGAGCAGCGCGAGGAAGTCACACTTCATTTCTACCCACCTGTTGACAAGGAAAATGATGAAGAGTTCGACAATGTTAGGCAAATTTGCAAGAATTACAGGAACGGCCTTATCAATCATATTTTAAATCCTTTCCAAAGGATCATTTTCCTCGAAATATAACTAGGGATACCGCACGAATTTTTAGGTACCCGAAAAAAGGGTCCTGTCCAATTTTTAGAAGGATGATCTAGTAGAACTTTGGTCGAGGATTCTAATGGTGTGATTATCATTTCATAATTATTAGTCATTTTCGTAAAAATGACGTGTCAAGGGGTGATTTTTTCGATCAGAGTGAAACTTTCAAAAATTTGGAAATTGAAAATGCTAGACTAACATAAATTTGGACGAGGATTCCAAATCTGGAAAAAAATTCACTGACGCACCTTGCAATCGCTAGAAATGAACTTCCGGGAGTTGTTTTTTTCTCTCTCGACGCTTGTGGCGCTTTTCTGTTTTCAGCTGCGCGCTGATTGGCGGACACTCCTGAAAGCCTTGTTCACAAAAAGGCTCGGAGAGTTTCACTAAAATGATCATTTCTCGGGACTGGAACGTTGAAATTCCATGATTTTTGGACGAAAAAAGTTCTTGAAGACCACTTTATTTACCATCTATTCAAAAATTATGGGAGATGAAGTTGTAAAGAGTTTCTGAAGGTTACATGTAAAGTCGACTCTGGCCATTACGAGCCTTTTTTGTCAGGAATTTCAGAAGCATCTGTCCGAAAGATGAAAGAGGCGTAACTTTTGCTTGATATTTCTCGAAAACTGTTCTCTCAAGGAATCAGCAAGAGATAAAAGCACATCTTTGGAGTTCTTTTCTGTTGTGGAATCGGCGAGGCAAAAATGCGCGCAGAAACGAGAAATTGCGCTAAAGATCCTTTTCGAATTGTTTTTGCGGTCGAGGACGCCCAAATGTGATCGACTCTCAGTCGAAGATTGAAACGCTTCCTCTGGAAAACCTCCCTGCTTTCATACGAAAAGAAATGTCCATGCTCAAACAGCTGAAAATGAAGATGGACTCGGTTAACAAGGAAAAACAATCGGTCCAGTCTGAACTCTTGCCGAATCTGTATCTCTTCAAAAACGCCAAGAAGAAGAAATTGAATGTCTGAATCATAAGTCGGCAATTCTCGAGGAGACTCTAAGGGGCAGCAGCTTGATCAAGCAATCTGAACAGATGGAGTTCGAATATGAAGGGCTCAAGCTCAAGTTCGAAGAGCGAAACAAAAAGATGGACAAGTTCCGCGACATGTTCGCGCATAGCCGAACTAAAATCAGACCTGTTCAACGAAGAAAAGTAAAACAGTTTCACGCAGAGTTGCAAATTTTTGAAAAATTTTCTGAGCTAAGGTCGAAATTGAACTGAGCTGAACTGAGTAGGCCCTTTTTAAAAACGACTGAGCTGAGCTAGACTTTTTCAAAAGAAATTGAGCTGAGCTGAGCTGGGGCATATTTGAAAATTTTTGAGCTGAGCTGACGATTTCTCAAACTGACCTTATTTAATTTCTCACTTGCTTCAATGAAAACTCGAATTATTTCTATCTTAAATTGACCAACAGGAAAGCATAAATAGAAAAAACGTGCAAGTTTTTGAAAATAAGACCAATCAAAAGTAATTTGATTTTGATCAGCTCAATAGACTGAACTGAGCTGAGCTAGCTGAGATGAGGTTATTATTGAGCTAGCTGAGCTGAGTAGAAGAAGCTACAAGTCTTTGTTATTGTCTTGGAGGACCCCCTTGGAGGGCTTCATCTGTTGGAAGACCAATATTAAAAATATTCAATATATGGCCAATATATGGCCACCAATGGCCAACTTTGGTCTAGTTTGACCGGAAGACCCCGGCGGACCTCCCTGGTGGAAGACCATTCGCTGGAAGACCAATATTTAAAATATTCAATATATGGCCGTGCTCAGCCAGTATATGGCCTTCTATGGCCAACTTTGGTCAAATTTGGCCGGAAGACCCCCGAAGGACCTCCCTGGTAGAGGACCATCAGCTGGAAGACCAATTTTAAAAATTTTCAGTATATGGCTTTGCTCGGCAAATATATGGCCACCTATGGTCAAATTTGGTCGAGTTCGGCCGGAGGACCCCCGTAGGACTTCTCTAGTGGAAGATCATCAGTTGAGAGACCAAAAAATAAAATTAAATGCTTTGCTGGGCTAAGAATTTACACTTTCGGCAAACTTTGGTCACTTTATGCCAGAAAACCCTTTTTGCAGAAAGACAATCAACTAAAAGACCAATATTTAAAAATAATAAAAATAAATCAGAGTCAATTCAGTGATGAAGGGGCTACATCGACCCAAAGCCTTGTGGCAACTCGATTCAGTTAAAGGCGAGGCGAAGCAATTCAAAAGTAAAGGCCAGGTCCGTTTCTTCAGCTCAGAAAAGAACGGGCAAGCGTCAGGGAAAGCCGACTCGAAGGGAAGGCCACGCCCGTTCATTCTATTGAATCAAAGTCAGGGCGAAGCAGACCCGAAGGGGTGGCCACGCCCGTTCATTCTTATCATTCAAAGTCAGGGCGAAGCCGACCCGAAGGGGAGGCCACGCCCGTTCATTCTTATTATTCAAAGTCAGGGCGGAGCCGACCCGAAGGGGAGGCCACGCCTGTTCATTCTTATCAATCAAAGTCAGGGCGAAGCCGACCCGAAGGGGAGGCCACGCCCGTTCATTCTTATCAATCAAAGTCAGGGCGAAGCCGACCCGAAGGGGAGGCCACGCCCGTTCATTCTTATCATTCAAAGTCAGGGCGAAGCCGACCCGAAGGAGAGGCCACGCCCGGTCATTCTTATCAATCAAAGTCAGGGCGAAGCCGACCCGAAGGGGAAGCCACGCCCGGTCATTCAAATCAATGAAAGTCAGGGCGAAGCCGACCCGAAGGGGAGGCAACGCCCGTTCATTCTTATCAATCAAAGTCAGGGCGAAGCCGACCCGAAGGAGGCCACGCCCGGTCATTCAAATCAATCAAAGTCAGGGCGAAGCCGACCCGAAGGGGAGGCCATGTCCGTTCATTCTTATCAATCAAAGTCAGGGCGAAGCCGACCCGAAGGGGAGGCCACGCCCGTTCATTCTTATCATTCAAAGTCAGGGCGAAGCCGACCCGAAGGGGAGGCCACGCCCGGTCATTCAAATCAATCAAAGTCAGGGCGAAGCCGACCCGAAGGGGAGGCCATGCCCGTTCATTCTTATCAATCAAAGTCAGGGCGAAGCCGACCCGAAGGGGAGGCCACGCCCGTTCATTCTTATCAATCAAAGTCAGGGCGAAGCCGACCCGAAGGGGAGGCCACGCCCGGTCATTCAAATCAATCAAAGTCAGGGCGAAGCCGACCCGAAGGGGAGGCCATGCCCGTTCATTCTTATCAATCAAAGTCAGGGCGAAGCCGACCCGAAGGGAAGGCCACGCCCGTTCATTCTTATCAATCAAAATTAGGCCGAAGCCGACCCGATGGCGAGGCCACGCCCGTTCATTCTTATCAATCAAAGTCAGGGCGAAGCCGACCCGAAGGAGAGGCCACGCCCATTCATTCTTATCAATCAAAATTAGGGCGAAGCCGACCCGAAGGAGAGGCCACGCCCGTTCATTCTTATCAATCAAAGTCAGGGCGAAGCCGACCCGAAGGGGAGGCTACGCCTGTTCCTTCTTATCATTCAAAGTCAGGGCGAAGCCGACCCGAAGTTGAGGCCACGCCCGGTCATTCTTAACAATCAAAGTCAGGGCGAAGCCGACCCGAAGGGGAGGCCACGCCCGTTCATTCTTATCAATCAAAGTCAGGGCGAAGCCGACCCGAAGGGAGGCCACGCCTGTTCATTCTTATCATTGAAAGTCAGGGCGAAGCGGACCCAAAGGGAGGCCACGCCCGGTCATTCTTATCATTCAAAGTCAGGGCGAAACCGACCCGAAGGGAAGGCCTCGCCTGTTTATTCTTTTCAATCAAAGTAAGGGCGAAGCCTTCCTGAAGGAGAGGCAACGCCCGCTTATTTTACGGAATCAAAGTCAGGGCGTAGGAATCGTAAATTGAACAAGCTAAAAGCGAACCAGAAAAGACCTTAAATCCTTTTCGCCCTGACTATGATTGGAAAAAAATTAACGGGGTGGCCTCCGCTTCGGGTCGGCTTCGCCTCGACTCTCGGTTCTTACGGTGTTGGCTGGAGCGAAGTAGATCGAATGACGCACAAACGCGCTCGAGGCAGATGATCTCATTTTCAGCTTTGAGCTGGCGGGCGCCCAGAGATGCAAACAGGGCGCGATTCGCGCTTTTCTGGGGCAAGGAATTTTTCAGGAACGCCAGAGTCCCTTATCTCATTCCTAGCTTGTCGATATATAACAATGTGTTCTTATCATTTTTTATACGAATACAAAATTTTACCTACTGATTCAAATAATGAAAATTATCTTGCTAAACATTTCCATAATAAAAACAAAAAAATTAATTTTTGAAGAGGTGAATCATATAGAAAGGGTCTTACAGTCGAGTCGGCTTCGCCCTGACTTTGATTGATAAGAATGAACGGGCGTGGCCTCCCCTTCGGGTCGGCTTTGCCCTGACTTTGAATAATAAGAATGACCGGGCGTAGCTTCCCCTTCGGGTCGGCTTCGCCCTGACTTTGAATGATAAAAATGAACGGGCGTGGCCTCCCCTTCGGGTCGGCTTCCCTGACTTTGAATGATAAGAATGACCGCGCGTGGCCTCCCCTTCGGGTCGGCTTCGCCCTGACTTTGATTGATAAGAATGATAGGACGTGGCCTCCCTTCGGGACGGCTTCGCCCTGACTTTGATTGATAAGAATGAACGGGCGTAGCCTCCCCTTCGGGTCGGCTTCAACCTGACTTTGAATGATAAGAATGAACGGGCGTGGCCTCCCCTTCGGGTCGGCTTCGCCCTGACTTTGATTGATAAGAATGAACAGGCGTGGCCTCCCCTTCGGGTCGGCTTCGCCCTGACTTTCAATGATAAGAATGAACGGGCGTTGCCTCCCCTTCGGGTCGGCTTCGCCCTGACTTTGATTGATAAGAAGGAACGGGCGTGGCCTCCCCTTCGGGTCGGCTTCGCCCTGACTTTGAATGATAAGAATGAGCGGGCGTGGCCTCCCCTTCGGGTCGGCTTCGCCCTGACTTTGAATGATAAGAATGAATGGGCGTGGCCTCCACTTCGGGTCGGCTTCGCCCTGACTTTTATTGATAAGAATGAACGGGCGTTGCCTCCCCTTCGGGGGTGCTTCGCCCTGACTTTGATTCAATAGAATGAACGGGCGTGGCCTTCCCTTCGAGTCGGCTTTCCCTGACGCTTGCCCGTTCTTTTCTGAGCTGAAGAAACGGACCTGGCCTTTACTTTTGAATTGCTTCGCCTCGCCTTTAACTGAATCGAGTTGCCACAAGGCTTTGGGTCGATGTAGCCCCCTTCATCACTGAATTGACTCTGATTTCTTTTTATTTTTTTTAAATATTGGTCTTTTAGTTGATTGTCTTTCTGCAAAAAGGGTTTTCTGGCATAAAGTGACCAAAGTTTGCCGAAAGTGTAAATTCTTAGCCCAGCAAGGCATTTAATTTTATTTTTTGGTCTCTCAACTGTTGATCTTCCACTAGAGAAGTCCTACGGGGTCCTCCGGCCGAACTCGACCAAATTTGACCATAGGTGGCCATATATTTGCCGAGCAAAGCCATATACTGAAAATTTTTAAAATTGGTCTTCCAGCTGATGGTCGTCTACCAGGGAGGTCCTTCGGGGTCTTCCGGCCAAATTTGACCAAAGTTGGCCATAGAAGGCCATTTACTGGCTGAGCACGGCCATATATTGAATATTTTAAATATTGGTCTTCCAGCGAATGGTCTTCCACCAGGGAGGTCCGCCGGGGTCTTCCGGTCAAACTAGACCAAAGTTGGCCATTGGTGGCCATATATTGGCCATATATTGAATATTTTTAATATTGGTCTTCCAACAGATGAAGCCCTCCAAGGGGGTCCTCCAAGACAATAACAAAGACTTGTAGCTTCTTCTACTCAGCTCAGCTAGCTCAATAATAACCTCAGCTCAGCTAGCTCAGCTCAGTTCAGTCTATTGAGCTGATCAAAATCAAATTTCTTTTGATTGGTCTTATTTTCAAAAACTTGCATGTTTTTTCTATTTATGCTTTCCAGTTTGAGAAATCGTCAGCTCAGCTCAAAAATTTTCCAATATGCCCCAGCTCAGCTCAGCTCAATTTCTTTTGAAAAAGTCTAGCTCAGCTCAGTCGTTTTTAAAAAGGGCCCACTCTTTTCAGCTCAGTTCAATTTCGACCTTAGCTCAGCTAGCTCAGCTCAGAAAAATTTTCAAAAATTTGCAACTCTGCGTTATTAACAGCTTAACCCCTACCCGCATATCGACCTACGCGTAGGTAAATTGAATTTTAAACGCGATTATCTCACGATTGGTAAATATTTTCTATAAAGCTGACCCCCACATATCGGGCTACTTTTTAATGGAGAATCAGGATCTAAGGTCAAAATAACATTTATTCAAAGATTTAAGATTTTAGCAATTGAGCGAAATTTTGATCTCGGTTCAACATGATAAAACCCAACTTTGATTCAACTGTTCTCGGCAAGATCTATTTGATTAAATTAATGCTCAGTAGCTAATAAAAATTCGGAATTCTTAATTTTTACTGTATTGAAGACTGCATGAAAATATTTAAATTTATTTTGGACGAGATTTGGAGCACTGACGACTTATTCTTTTATCAAAAATGAGTACTATTGAAAAGATGACATTTGTTGACATTTGACATCTTACATTTGACATTTGATCATGTCCAGGAGAAAGCTCAGCCTTTAATCTTTCCATCCATGTCTTTTGGAAAATTTTATCCGGGCTAAAAGACCCCAAAAAGGCCCGACCTACGCGTAGGTCGATATGCGGGCAGGGGTGACAAATTTTTCATGCGGGCAGGGGTTAAAGCTGTTTTCCTTTTCTTCTTAGATTTCGAAGGAGCTGGATTTTCTGCTGATTCCGACGATGAGCCAGTGAGAATATTCCGCGACTCTGCTCCTCTTGATACTCAGCAAAGTGGGTCGGACGATGAAATGATGGAAACAACGAGTTGAGCAGGAGCAGCTCCAAAAAGTTCCAAGTCAAAAAAGCCAAAATGACCCGTTCAACAACAAGAAGAATCCTTCCGCGATCGCCAAATTTGCATGAGAGAAGACCACGAAGATGCAAAAGCAGAGCAAGCACGATTGCTCAGAGAAATGGAAATTAAGTTACCTCAACATCAAAAAGTTTTCTCATTAGGTAAATCTTTCTCCTGAGCGCGCAAAGCTGTGTTGAAAACCTGAGTCAGGGTCTGAAAGTAGCAACTTAACATTAGAGATCTTTCAGACCCTGAGTCAGGTTTTCTATTCAGATTCGCCAGCCCAGCCGTCATATATTCAGCAAAAAGTATCATTTTTTCAAAATCAAATGTCACCGCCGAAGAGTTCAAAGCCAAAAAAGCCAATTCCGGCTGTTTCTGGAAACCAGACCTCGCATATTTCAAATGCCCGGATCCTTCTGCCGAATCCCAAAAGAATCCCGCTCCAGAAAAAGTTCTTCTATCTACGTTGAAAAGCCCGAATAGCCGCGAAAAAAGCCCGCATAGCCGCACTCGGCGCGGCTAAAGCGCCAACACCCGGCCATGGCTTTCTCCAGTTGAATCCAAAAATGTCCGATTTGCAAAAGAAAATGGTCAAGCATCTGACGAAAAAAAAAATCGCCAAAAAAAATGTGTACCAATATTACTGAAACGGTCAAAAATGATGTCGGAGAAATTGTAGAAATCGGAATTCGCCAGCAATCAGCGTTGACGGCGCAATTTGTTGCAGGGAATTTCTTTTGCGTGAGAGTTACTTTAGTTTCATTTTAATAAAACTCATTCTTAACCAGTGAAAGATTGAAAAAAATTTTCTAATTAAGCTATAATTTATAATAAAAAACTTATTTTTATTATCAAATTTTCTTATTATCAATTAAAAATCTTTATTTGTCAAAAAAATCATCTTAAAGGCTCCAGAAATATGCAATTTTATGAAAAATAGCGTAAAATAGTGAAGAGAGAGGAATTTGAAGCGGGCTAGCTTGGCCATGCAGCGCGCGCGCCCCCTGGCGGCCGCCTCCAAAATGACGCAACGCCGCTAAGAATTCACCTCGGAAAACTTTAAAAATTCATATTTTTAAAACGCGAGGTGCGTCAGTGAATTTTTTTACAGATTTGGATTTCTCAGCGCAATATCTATAAGGAAAAAATATAAAATCACTAACGACAAAACAGTCCTCGTACTGATCCGAAAAATGGGCTTTTTGAACGTCATTTTTACGAAAATGGCTCATTATTATGAAATTATTTTGGTAGCATTGAAATCCTCGACCAAAGTTCTACTAGATCATCCTTCTAAAAATTGGACAGGACCCTTTTTTCGGGTACCTGAAAATTCGTGCGGTATCCCTAAATATAACCCATAAAAGCACACCACCTCCAATCCCCAAGCGCGTCGACTCCATCGCCAAAAACATCGACAAATACTTCGACCTCAAACTCGTCAAACGAGCTGACGAGGACGAAGAAAATGCTGGAGAGCGCATCGAAAAACAAATTCTCAACCCTTCAGACGTCGAATCAGACGTTTCTTTAGAAGAAGAAGCCTCTGAGCGTCAGCTAGTGCCATTCACCGAAGATGAGAGGTCCATTCCAGACGTTGGTGAATTCCAGGAGCCGGAAATTTTGGATGCCTTCCCCGCCCCACCAGTGAATCTACCCATTCTGCCCACTGAACAGGGTAAATTCATCACTAATAACATTTTTCACCGACGAAAAATTATGATCCCAAAATTCGTTCAGGCACCGCGGAAAGAGTTGAAACAAAAGGAAATTCTCAGAAAGAGGAGGGCACTTCCACTTTCCATGGTAAACACGCCCGAAAGGCTGCAAAATACTGCTCTAAATTCGAAGTTTAGGATACCATAAGGCAATCTTAGTGACGCTAGAAACATTCTTTGAACTAGAATCAAATCATAGTTATAAAGAAATGGCATCCAGATAATCAGCCTTACTTTTCATGAAATTCTTTGGTTAGATTTTTTTGCGTTTCTGAGCTTTTGCATGCTTTTCTTATTTTTTTGAGCTTTTACGAGCATGAATTTTAAAACTAGAACTTTTGACAAACTTTTATTCAGGAAAAACTGCACCACCAAAGCCCCAGAGGAAGAAGAAATCCAATCCTTTGGATAAAGAGTCTCTCGGGTAAGAAAAAATTGAAGAATAGAAAGAATTAAAAATATTTTAAAGGGGATTAAAATTCCGCGAGTTGATGGCTCTTGTTGGAAGCAAGTCGGAGAAAAACTCGGCGCTTATTGCTGAATTGATTGTAAAAAATGGACGATAAAAAATTCTCTCTGTAAAGCCTGGAATAAAACAGTTCTTGATCCCTGTTAGAAGATCACGTGCTTAATGAACTTTTCAAATGAGACGATGAACATTAGTTTTAATTATCTTATAAGACAGAAAAGTTGATTGTAGCTCATTGATGCGGATAATAAAAACTGAAGACTTCCTAGTTATTAAGGATATAAGCTATGAATTTGAACTTTCGTAGCGCCTAAATGCGAAGTAGGATCATTTTCACTTCAAAAGTAATCCTACCTAAAAATTCACGCAAAACTCAAATATGGTACTTTTAAAAAAAATTTTATTGAAAATTTCCCTTTTAGAGCGATTTCAAATCTTACTCTCTCGATTTCTCGAAATTTTTCCATTGAATCGCTAAAACTAAACCGTGTTTTTTATTTTGATGATGTTAAGCTAGAAAATTGACGGGCTTGTATTTCGAAATCCTTTCGAATTTTTATTCTAGCGTTTTCCTCTTTCTTGCTCGTGTTTTTCTTCTTTTTATGCTTTTTTGCTTGCAACCAATCAAAGCGCTCCGCTCAACCGCGCCACTCTCACGGAAAAGAGGAGTCGAGAGAGCGAGCGCCCAGCGCGCCGCTTTTTACACTATTCGCGCGCTTGGTAAGCCTCATGGAAATGGCTCTAAAATCGGTTTTGGTCGGAATCAGGGAAAACTGATCCGTCAATTTTGTAGATAAGGGTCAAGAGAAGTTATTTATCGAAAAAACTGGACCGATTTAGTGGCAAAATTTCGAGGAATCGAGAGAGTAAGATTTGAAATCGCTCTAAAAGGAAAGTTTTCAATAAAATTTTTTTTAAAAGTACCATATTTGAGTTTTGCGTGCATTTTTAGGTTGAATTGCTTTTGAAATGAAAATGATCCTACTACGCATTTAGGCGCTACGAAAGTTCAAATTCATAGCTTATATCCTTAAGGTTGAAAAGGCTTATTAAAAATGAACTCAGAGCCTGGTGGTGGTGAGAATTTGCCTTGGGGGCTATATCAAGAGACAGTCTTTCTGAAGGATAAGGTCCGATCTGATTATAGAGAAAGTTCAAATCAGAAAATCAAAAAAGAACAAGAGTTTTTACTTTTGAAAAAAATGCATCATCAAAAGAGCCCGAAAAATCCGCAAGAAGACAGTCAAAGGCAATTCATATTTTATCATTTTACGAGGCGAGTGGCGTTGATCGTCCTCGAATCATAAAATTACCGTTTAGCATCAGAAGTTAAGGATTTATGAGAAGCGATTTATGCTCCTGTCGAAATTAAAGCCAGATTCTTTGTTTATTGCTTTTCAAATTAAAAACTGAAATTCTTACAAACGCTATTTTTATCAAGAAGGAATCTTTTCTTGAGATAATTAAAAATGAAAAAATGCGATAACGCTTAAGAATCTCCGCTGCTAAGCTGTCAAGTCTGAACAGGATAATTGCTACTGACCAAATTTTACAACAATTTTCAACCGGCCCTGTTGAAAAGAGGGTTTCAAGAGCAGAGTTTTCTTATTCACCGGGAGCTACACTCGGCGACCTGTGTAGAAAACCTGAGTCAGGTTCTGAAGAGCTTGAATGAAAAAAGCAGTTTTTTAAAACAAAGCCGCAGAATCATTTTTATATTCTGACTTGGCTTCGTTTTAAAACCCAGCTTTTCATTTAGGCTCTTCAGAAAATCAGAACCTGACTCAGGTTTTCTACACAGGATACAAAAATCTTGGCCAGGGAATTTTTCTTTTCAGGGCGGGGTAAGTGGCTCTGAGGAATTTGCGGGGGCGGTTGTGAGACTACTCTACTCTGCTCCAGCTCTTTGTGGAGACGATTTTTTTTTGAAAACTGAGAAGACGAAAAACCACTTTCTCCGTGAGAAATTGGCTTTGCTGAGCAAACACGGCCCAGGCCAAGCCCGGTCCAACATGATTTTTTTCGAGCAGAGAGGAAAAACAACTACCGGAAATTCGAATAGAAGCAAGAAATATGAAAAGAGGCGTTAGCTTTTTGAGAAAAGAGAAATTTCTGAAGACATAGAAGACTTATCATTTTTGATGACCTTTAGATGCAATTTCCAAATTTGATTTTTAAAATTTTTATAACCAATCGTTCCTTTATAAATCGATTTCTTTACTCCGTAAAACACACCATAACCTACGATCAATAAGTTACGGTACAAAAGAGTTTAAGACAATTTGTTTAGTAACAGTTTATCTGTCGAACTGAAGCTCCCCGGGCCCCAAGGGACTGACAACAATATCAACCCAAAATCTAATAAGAGCCTCATCATCCCCAACAGTTTATCGGCCCAGCCCTATTACGTTATTCTGATTACGGATAATTAGCCAATCGGACACCCCTAAATTAGCGCGCCGAGAAAATACCGTAACCGCGCGAGTTCTCGGTGGGTGGTTTTTCGGATGATCTCGCAGTAACTTTAAACTTTTATGGACTTGACTTTTCGCGATTTAGCGCACGACAAAGGACCCAGGATGAAGAGGATTCCTGTCAGACGAGAGAAAGACTTGATCCTCGAAAACCACATTTCAAGGTTTTTTTCTTCACTTGAGTTTTTTGAATAAACGATTTTTGGATCGTAAAAAATGGACTCTACCATCTTTGGTGATTGTTCATTTCAGCAGAGTCGTTTTCAATCATCGAGACCGTAAACTGCCCATTTTCGCAATTTTTCTTATTCATACTAAGTTAGAGGAAAGTTTAGGCGATAATGAAGCCCTTACGAACGAGAAATTACTCTCCGAGAAAATTTAGCGCGATTTTCCTTTTGAAAGTTTGAAGAGAGAAAAATCCACTTATCTTATTAATTGCTTTCAATTAGTCTCCATAGACCTTCTTTTCCACCATCTTTTCAGCTATTTTTATACAGTTACTTTTTCATTCCAACTACCGTCGAAAACATGAGAGGGCTCTTTCTTTTCAAAGACTAATTTTGGATCATTTCCGATATTTTATTATATGGCCATTGGCTTCAAATTTGAGCGACCGACCGCTTTTTCATTACCGGCGCGAATTCCGGTCGACCTTCCGCTCTCAGTCCAGTGAGGCTCTCACTTCGTCTTTTTTGCCAATTTCCATTTATAACTCGTTCAGTTGACAACTGTACAAATGTACAGGCGGTCATTTGGGTGAAATATTGGGCCAACGAAGGCTCCGAATGGGCGTCATGTCGCCGTCAAATAAGTGTGCCGCTAAAGGGGTGATTGATAATTGCCCCAGAACACGCAGTTGCTCTAAATTCAACCCTTCTATTCGCTAGTAAGTCGCCATATGTTTCGGCCATTGATTCGGCCCATAAGTGACCAGGTCAATTTCACATCTTACAACTGCTCGAAAAATCCCCTCCAATTTCAGTAAAGAGAAAATTTCAAAAGAAAAGGTATCAAAAAACGAAAACAGTAGCAAATGACTGTATCGAAAAATCTATTTACCGACCCTCTACTTTGTCACTTTTGCTTTATAAAACGTAACTTTTTCGAGCTATTCAAAGAGGGCACCGGAAATGGAGGTTTCCGGCGGAAACGAGATCAGAGTAGATTATTTATTCAAAAGCCAGATCAACGGGGATCATTAAAATCAGCTAGCTTAGCATTTTTTCTACCTCATTATTACTACCAAGAGAGAGGGCTAAAAAGAGGACAGATTTGGCGTAAGGATTGTCGTAAGATAAGCCTTCCAAGAACAAACCGCTGGACAATAGATAGTAGCCAAAAAAGTAGTATTGGCTAAACTTACTCCAGCTGCAAAATCTGGCCCTCCGCCAGCAGATATTTTCAGCCGAGTTTGTGTTATCTCCGAACGTTATTTTTGTTGTTTTGCTTTTTCCATTTTTTGCGATTGGGGAATTTTTGTTTTTGACTTTTTTTTAAAGATCATTTTTTTCGTACAAATTTCGAGATGGATGAGTAGCGATGAATTGGGGATAACGTCAAACAGATTGAGTTGAGATCTCTTTCAATGAGAAACCTCCACTTTGGTATTTTTGAATTTGAGAAAGAAAGAGAAAGAAAAAAATGTATAGAATATTTATGCCTCCAAATCCGACAAACCACCAAGAGCGCCAGTTAATAATTAATTTACTTGTGAATTTACTTTCTGAATATTCTTTCTTTTTTCGCCTGACTGCGTTAAATCTTCTTTCTTTGCGAAAATTTTATAGAGAAGATGTTTCCATTGAGATTTACTTTTTGAAAAATTGCCAAATTTTCAAAGGATATTTTGCGTAAAATCAGAATTTCGCACAATTAGCGGGTCAACCCCCTATTAGACATATTGGCCTGGATTAGGCCTCTTGGGAGTCATTTACTCGGCTCGTTACCGCCTATTGGATATACTAGCCCCTCTCCCTCTTACTATTCAACTTTCCTCTTTTCTAAAATGTCACCTTATTTTTAAACCTCAATTTGCTGTCGTCTTAATTTAAACCGCCATATGCTTTACCTTTCTGGATCCCTTCCAATAGGATCAAATTTAACAGCATCCCTCTTTATTCAGAATGTGAATAATGAAAATATCGAAATCATCGCCAAACTACGGAAACAGAAGAAGACAAAGAGAAATTAATTATGCTGCGGAATGGCTTCAGTACAGAAAAATCGTTTGATTTCCACAGCAAGCAAAAAGGAAAAGCCCGCAATTGACGTTAATTCAAATTTTCTTCAAAATTTCCACGAGCCGCGGGTTTTTTTTTCTTCCGTATTGCCCAGTAAGACAAGCTGTGAAGATACATACTAATTTTAGATATATAGATTTTCCGTAGATTTTCGATTAAGTCATACGCGCATTCTATATCGGTGCCCACGTGAGACAGAAGAACTGAGTCTTAAAATTTTACACTTGTTTTAACCTCGACAACAATGATCATGAGCTTCTGTCTCAATATTTGGAAAAGGTCAACACCCAGAGTCTGTTGTTGACTTTGTGATTGATTCTACAGTTATTTCGCGCAGTAAATGGCTCAATAGAATTATTTCCATAATCCAGCTATTGATTATGCTGACGATTACGCGAGCTTCGGAAAGAATTAAAAGCTCGATTCCAGGCGGAAAATCGACTTATTGAAGGACTACACGATGCGCAGCACAATGCTATTAACGAGTACGCGGAATATTGCCGCCGGAGAGCCGAAATTGAAACTGAATACTTTCGCAGCTTGAGGAGGCTACATTCTAGGGAAGGATCATCAATATATCAAGAGATAAATTTAGACTCGCTTTCGAAATCTTGTGAAATCTTCCGTTTTAGGGAAACTGGTTTCCGGTAATTCCAGTGCCTGAGAAAAACCCCAGCAAACCGAGTGACCCGGGTTCTCCAGATTCTGGAGTCCAGAATATTATTAGCATAACATGATTCTCTCACAGATGTACCGACAAACGGAATGATTCCAAAACATCAAGGCACTGGTTGTCAGAGAGGGGATTTCCATCGCTACAGGAAGCCTGGGAAAGCAACATGGAAAGACTGAAGGCAGACATAAAGGCTCATGAAAGACTTACTCAGGAATACAACCAGATCATCATCCCGCGTCTCCAGCAATCCGACGAGTTTCTGAACCGAATGTGTCGCCGATCTGGCGAAGTCGATCAAACCTCGCAGGCCGAGTTAGATAGGCAAATGAAAACGTTGGAGAAGACGCTCAAGTATTACATCCAAAGTCGAAACGATCAACGCCAAGCGAAGACGAAATTATCTGGAATCGAGAATGAATCGTCTTCGAGAAGTCTTCACAACCGGAAACGCGAGGATCGCCTTTCAAGGGTTCGTACATTTGCTGAATAGCTTTGCATTCTAATGATTATTAGAGACGCCAAAAATACACGGAGAAAGACAAGGCCTTCCAGCAGATGAAGAACGATTTCGTTCTCCAACTCAAAGCCACGCAAGCCTGCTTCAACACCTATTACGAGTCACGGTTGCCGGAAATTGTTGATTCCTGCGCATTGGGATTCCACGCGATAGTGCGTCACGCGCAAAAAGCGACGATCCAGTCTGAAAAAAATGTTCTCCAAGAGAGGCTCTCGAGGTGCAACGCGTCGCTCAAGCGGCTGGAAAATGTGAATAGCAAATCGGACATGGAACATCTGAAGAACCTAGTCCCGGATATGTTCAAAGAGTTCTCGCTGGAATTTAAGGAGCTCGACCACAGTGTTGATATCAACGAAGACAGCTACAAAGGATTGGCGATGCAGTCAGAGCAAATTCAAGGAAGACTCCATGGAGTGGAAGAGGACTTTCAGAGCTCGAGAAAACGCGCTGATAGAGCAAGAGATGATCTAATGAATAATCTTCCCAATCTCACAGAAGTGATACCTCCCGGATCTGAAGGTAACTTTCTCTTCTTTGATTTCACTGAAACCATTTCAGTAATTTACAAATTACCTCATTAATTGTAATTATAAACACGATTTCTATATACAGGTCCCCCCTAAAGCCTGTCAGTTTCAAATTTGCAGCCGAATTTCTCTTGAGATATTCAAGACTTTTCATCTTGTCGTTATTTCAAATTATAGATTTTCTCAATTTTACTGTCTGAGCACCCCTTGGAAATCGGTCGAATAGTGCCACCGGTTTCAAAAGTAGAACCCCCAAATTCATCTAGCGATAGCTTGACACCCTCATGTGGATAACTTCCCCTTTGGGCAACGCCTACTAACGCATCAGACATAACCGGTAAATGGTGAAATTAACTCGGTATTCATCATTTCATTCTTTAATTATGGTCTTCAGAAACGCGGAACCGGACGGAGCTAGAAAATGAGTTCTTCGAACATCTGGGCAAGTTGTCTGAGCTGGAGTTGCAGAAGAGCAAAATGTCGGCGAAATCGGAGCACTTGACAAAATCTCTTGGTAAGACAACGTTTTTCGAAGGTTTCTTGACCTTTTCGTTTTAAGAAAATGCGGGCCCTATCGCTGCAAGACTGCGTGCACGAGAGAAACGCAGCAAAGAAGCAAATAGTCATCTGCGTAAATCTCGATACATTCTACCAAGCGATATTCAGCTCTTCGGAGGGCGATTGTTGGAGCAAGTACAGCTCTCTGGCCAGGCAGTGCCGAGGATAATTTCCAGCTGCGTTCGATGCATCACTAGACACGGCCTTTACCATCAAGGCATCTTCCGCGTTAATGGAGTTCAGGCTGAAGTTGCTAGGGTAAGAAAATGAGTTCCAACTAACAAAAATTTATCGCATATTTGTAGCTACAGGATGCCTATTCATCGGGCGAAGATCCGCTCGCGGAATGCAAAGATACCCTCTTTTACGACATTAATTCCGTCGCTGGCGTTCTCAAGATGTACCTCCGGAAGCTCGAGACGAAGCTGATACCAGATGACGTCTTCGAAGAATTCAACGACGCGGCGAGCATCAAAGACGAGATCCTCAGAGCAGAGAAAGTCAGGACTATCCTTAAGGCGATTCCGGACTCGATCCTGATTGTCATGCGATATATTTTCCAGTTTTTGCATCAGTAAGCCACATTTTCAGCAAACTTAAACTTAAATCGCTACCTAGTTTGTCAATGAACTCTGACGAAAATATGATGGACGCGTATAACCTGGCGGTGTGTTTTGGCCCCTCCGTAATCGACATTCCTAACCATGCCAATCCAGTCATGTGCCAGGCGAACATAAACAACGTAATAAAGGTATGCGCGCGAGTTCCACGCCAGTTCGATGTTCCAACTCATTCAGACCATGATCGAATGCGCAGAAGACATCTTTCCAGACCATTTGGAAGGGCCGCTGTACGAACGTCATGTGGATGCAATTGTCAACGATTCCGAAGACAACATGTCTTCCGTCGCAGATTCCGCTTCCAATCCAGGCTCGCCGCAATTGGGGCTGAATCTCCAGACTGGATCCAACTCGTCAAAATCGTCACAAAATGAGATGTTGGATTCGCCAACCTCGGAAACGAACTTATTTCCATATCACTCCGGAAAAGGGCAAATTATACGATCAAGCATTCAAGCAGCTGAGTCTGGGGGTAGAAAATCTCAAGCTGTTCTCCGTTTCATAAATTTATTCAGAATTTATCGGTGAAGCAATCGCAGCATACGATTATAAAGCGCGCTCTCAGAAAGAACTTGGCCTCCAGAAAGGCTGCAGAGTATTCCTCAAGAAGAAAATGAGGTGATTTTCGATTTATTTGGTCAGTTTTTGATATTTCACAACTGTAGTCCCGACTGGTGGAGAGGGCAAGTCAACGGCGTGGAAGGTCTCGTTCCTCATATTTATCTGACCTTTGCAGGATCCAGGTATGCCGGCGATTCCTTATCCATAAGCTAACCTGCTTAAAAATTTAGCTCGAGCTCAACACTTTCCGAAAAATCACAATCTTCACTTCACAGACACCGCTTTGGCGATCGCTCACTGCGCCAAGATCCCAGATTTCAAAAACATCACCAAGGTAAGCTTCCTTTTTCACCGAAATCCGTTATTTTTGGCATTTAGTGAACTACACGCGACACAAGGAAATATAATGCACTCTTTGAAACTCACCAGTATCACCTCGATGATTAAAAAAAACTCAGAGATTCTTCTACACAATTCTTGCCTCACGTCAAAACTAAAACCCCGATACCAAAAGAACAAAGCCTCCAAAAAATGAACAAACTATTCATTCTATCTTGCTCAAAGTCAACCTCTCGCTCAACCGAACAAAGCATTCAAAAATTAACTTTTACTAATTTCGCTGAGGAGTTCTCCTCGTTGCCTGCAAAAAAATGCTTCTAGACAAACCGATCTAACCTCTTAACTCGTCGTTACCCTTTATCACGATTTCACCGACAAAAACAATTAAGAAATCCAAACCGATTTACCCCTTTTTTACCTTCTTATCGGTCTTTTTTCCTCGTGCATTTCTTTTCTTTATTCTCACTTTATATTTATATTCTCAGAAGAATGGCCATCTTCGCCACTCATACTGGTTAGAGCCTTGGTTCCTAACCAGGCCTAATAAATTTTCAAAGTTCAAGAAATAAACTGTAAAGCAAAATTGGTCTTCTGTGATCTATTGTCATTTTCGAACTTCACGTACCAAATTTGTACTGAAAGGAGAGAAGCAAGTGTTAATTGAATGGAGGTCTATTTTCTGATCAGCCGCATATTTCTTTTTCTTCCCGAATGAGATGATTTTATGTTGTTTCTTTGGCAACTTAAAGGTGTAAAGGTAATCCAATATAGGGACACGTCTAGCTCGCCTTTGATATAAACGCAAGCGCTACACGTAAGCGGCCGGTTTCTTATCAGTTGCTCCCCTCCTCCGCTCCGGTGTGGTGCTCCTTGAGCTACTAGACGAGACCGTTCAACCAACTGGTGCTGCGTGATGCAATCCACTCCACCTGCGTATTACCACATCGACTAAAACCTAAACAACGCTGACGTGAGTTGGTGGAACCTACATCATGCCGTGGTCCAATTTAGCCTGGTTGGACTCATGCCAAACCGCAAATTCTTTTTCTGTGCCAACTCAGCCCTAGAATCATTTTTTACTCATCCTATTCTTTTTTTCTCCCTAAGAGTTGTATAAAAAATTGTTCAAATAACTCAATGTAAATGCTTTGTTATTATTTTTTGATGATTTTCATCAAAAAATCCTGCATAAAATTATGAAAATAATTTTTTTTTCGAGTCATTTTGTATTTTTACGCATAATAAAACATACAGTTATGTACAGATAGAATGAGATCCAGGAAAGAACTTTACAGTATTTCATTTTTTGTCACTTGTATAAGAACTTATGGTCCGTGATTCCGGACTTTCACCTTCGAATACACACGGCTGTGCACCAGCCTGAGCGGTTCTTTGTTTTCTTGTGACGTTTCATGATTGAATTATAAGTCGGGATTGATGTTTATCGATGGGAAGAGAAGTAGTGGTTGTTGTGATTGTTTAAATGGTCAAACTTCGTTCAAACAGGTTCAGTCTTTTACGATTTTTTGTTTTCTTATTGCTCCGAGGCGAGGACTTGATTGTGTCGTAGTCGTTGTGCGAGGAGAAGGTGATCTAGATGTAAACGTTAAATTCGCGGTTCATTTTAAGTAGTGCGGGATTAACGAGTACTTGCTACACGTGTCCCTGTATTTTACCGTTAGAGAGGCCTCCGTTGTAAGCGGATGAGAGGCTGGCTCCAAGAGGAAAGTATGGTGATCCTTGTGCGAGTCGAACAGAAGAAGCCTGAATTTATTGGTTAATCATTTGGTCAAATTTTTTTTCATACAAAATTTTTGCATTATTGAAAAATTTTTAATTACTCAAAATTTTTGATGAGCATTACCTCAAGCGATAGATGAGGGTTGTACGCTGGAATAGAAGCGGCTTGTGAGGCACTCGATTCTGGCAAAAAAGCAAGTCGCATCTTGGCAAGCTGTTCTTCGGCAGAAAGAACTGGAGTTTTCGCTGGAGCCGGTGTTTCATCAATGCCAGGTCTCCAGAAAGCAGGCTTCTTTGGAGTCTCGCATTTTTCAACTTTGACGGATTCGGACTTTCGATTCATTCGTTCTTCTTCTCGTCGGACGAGCTCGTTGATTTTGTCCTTGTTCTCCAAGAACTTGTCGGAGGAGGAGGTTCTCCTTGAGCATTTGGTCGTTTTTGCCGGTGATTCTGGTCATTTCTTCCTCGAGCCATCGCATTCTGAAGAGATTTGTTAGTTGGGCAAGTGAGTAGCTCGCGCATATAAGGATTTTCATCAATTTCGATAAAACGTCAAATTCGTGCACGTCAACGTGGCCGCGGCTGAGTTGTAGTTTCCGAAAGTAGTGTTATCACTGCGAACCCGTGGCCCTAGCCCCTTGTTGATTAACGACGTGACGTTCTCGGCCACGTAAATGTGCTCTCTAACGTGCGTTTGTTCAAAGAAGCGAGGTGAAAAAATGCTACGGTGAAAAATTGCTAGGGGTTGGGGCCTCAACCCTGCTAGGGTCTAAGCCGACAACGTGCAGCACAAGGCGCGTTTCACGAGATTTTTATCGACTGTTTTCAACATGAATAATCCTCAAGGCTTCAAAAAACTGCTGACAAGCCAAAAAAGGGTTAGTTCTTACCGAGCTTTTTGTCGGTCTCGAGCTCGCTGGGCGGATTCTCGGTTGCGGAGCTTCTTTCGCATGATAGCTTCTTCGATTTCTTCAGGTGTTCGCTTGGAACCAGCTCGGATGGAGCTTTGCACCTGTTGCTTGACGTCGTTGTAGTCGATTTCTGGCCGCTCTTCGCCGGAAATGTTTCCAGAATCGGAGGATCCGTGCACAGAGTGCATGTGGTCCCGTGGAGAGGAGGGATTCTCGCTCTTGTAGGCCATGGCGGCGTTGAATTTCTCTTCAAGTCCCTTCGAAAGCATTTGCTCCATCATCTTCTTAGGATCTTTGCGTGTCTTTGGCGGTCTCTGGGTCGGTTAATTTATAAAAAGTGTTTAAAAACTAGAAAGCTTTTTGCGCGTCTGGTGTGGAAAGTGCAATATGAGTTTATGCCAATGTGAGGAATGGTTCCATGCAAAAACGAGAAGTGGAAAACGCGGCGCCAGCGCAGCAAGGGGGCGCTAGCAGCTCACCGAGTCAACCCCCTTTTCTTATTTCTTGAGCAACGCGGATAAGGGATGACGAGGGGACACTTCAGGGAAAGGGACGCGGTAACGTAGCGCTGCGCAAAGTGACGCAAGAAACACCACCACCACCACCGTGACCGATGCCACAAAGATGCCAATCCCGTTAATGTAAATTACGTGTTTAATCTTAGCCGCACAAATTTTATTTAAGCAAGTTGATAAATTTTAAACAGCGCGTTAATGACACGTCTTCATTTTTATCGAGTTTATTTAGCATTCGAAATAATATCATAATATTATTCTTCTCCAGCGAATTTTATCGCACAACTGTGCATAGCATTTGCTTGATATAAATTTGTCATAAAATTTTATTGTTCTAATAACCTAAAATTCGTCGCATTGCTCAGAATAATTATCATTCGAAAATGGTCAATTGTATAAATAAAATATATAGATTGAAATTATTGGAGTTTATTCTTGTTTAAAAAATTTCAGAAAGCAAAAGATAAAAGAAAAAGGATTTTTGGCTGAGGACACGAATAGCGTCAAATGATGAAGCTGGAGGACCAGCTGAGAGGGCAGCCACACACATGGACAGAGGAGTGAAGAAGGGATCAGTCCGGCGTGACCTTGGCGTGGCGCCAACGCTAGACTCTTCGAAAGAAGCGTTGCCAACTTTCAGATTGTCAGATCGCCTTTCGTGACAGACTGGTTAGGGAGATGTTGCTTGGATGAAAAGTACTGTAATACAGTCAAGACTCGAAGAAGAGTAGCTTAGTAGTCGATTTCGTCGTCATCGAAATCCTCGCAGTTGTCGTAGTCGTCGTGAAGATCCTCGTATTCATATTCGTCTGGGTTTCCCATCAGCATGAAATTTTTATGGTACACCTCGTCTGCTCGATGTTCGATTAAATAGGAGAAGAAACCGGAGGGAGATCGCCACCATGAGGCTGATTGAAATTCGTACCAGCAGCGCTTGAAGACTTCTTTCCATGAGAAATTTTTAGTCACCAGCGGGTAGGTATTTTGCATTTTTTCCATCACGTAAGAGAGAGCGTATTTTTTGAAGAATATCAGAAATTTTTCCAAAAAGAAAAACTTCAATCTTCTTTACCAGTCAATCATAATTGATCGGTCTTAAAATAGGTGAAATATGAAATGATATTTTTATATTTTGTTTAACACGTCGGCGGTCGGAACGTTGCGTAATTCATCTTAAGGGCGGCGTAATATATTGTGAGGGTAAGTTAACAAACAGAAACGCTGTCGGTATCGTGGACGTCTTCGAGCGCGCGTGGAGTGTGGTGGATCGCGGTGGAGGAGGAGGAGGAGTCTAGTAGCGCCGAGAGTCTTTTTTGCAACGGTCGGGCAAATGCGGTGTAGTTATTAACGTCATTCAATGAGCTGGACTTTGGTGTTGCATTTGGAGTATCCGCCGTCACTTCAATGAAAAGCCTATCAATTCGTAGTTACTATTTATGCCCATAACAAACTTTCAATAGAGAATGACCACTTTTTAATCTTTTGAAAAAAATCATATTTTTAGTTACACGATTCAATACGCCTCGATATCTGAAGGAAGAGGAGAATTAACCGGCTAGCTTTAGCCTATAGGCTGACCGAATAAAAGCACGAGGGACGCGTCGCCTAGATCATCATCATCCGCCTCCCGCCAAATTGAATAAGTCAGAATAGCCCGGTAAACTGATTTCCTTGGCGGAACCCAGTCTGGCACTCGTCTGTCCTCAATCTTGTCTACCATCCATCGTGGGTTTTTTTGAAGAAACAAAATTTCTTAGAAGACTTTTTGATTGAAGCCAACTTATCAACAGAACTAACTCCTGCAGTAATAATTGATTGGCTCTTCAATTTGAGATTGGTTATCCATTCTAAACTCCTTGTGTTCATCAGATTTGGAACAGTTCTTGATCGAGCTTGTCTCCTTGTTGTGTTTAAATATTTCTGTGATGCTTCTGCTGGGTTTGTATTGGTTAGACAGATCGGCCACTGTATCAAAGATTAAGAATAGAAGGTTCCATTCGGCTTGGCCTGCATTTTTCATGACTCGGCCTGAGGGCTGAGCGCGCGCTGAATATTCTAGCGGGACAAGTGAGCCCAAATGCCCACCACTGAGTTTTCTAATTCTGAAATATTCACACTCCTGATATATCGCCATACTTTCAAATCGCATTCATTGCGAATTCATTACAACCAAATACGAAGACACTATATAAATATATTTTTTATTGAAACAGTAACACTTGATTAATGACTACATTTACCACGTATCTGGCCAAGAATTCATTTTATATCGTTGAAGTTTTCTCTTTCATATTCTTTTATATTTGTGCATCTTCTCATCTGACTATTATCGATCTAATTGGCACCTCTGAAGGTTATAATCACTACAAAAAATACCTCTGGGTTTTCATAAGATTTTAAATTGAATAAATGAAACAAGTCAAAGCGAAAAGAGAAATAGAACGGCAAATATGTCCCTCCGGCTATTGTCCAAGATCTCAAGATCTCGTCATGTTTACCTTTAGTTTTCGTACTATTAGAACAAGAAGCTCTTTCATTTAACCATCTTTAACGGCCTTTTACATTTGTTAATCGAAACTACATTGCTCCAGAAACAATATGGTCCGTTACCTTAAAAGTCTGCTCTCTGTAGAAAATATTTTTCATCAAGGAATATTATAAGAAAACGATGGATTAATTTTTTCACATTTATTTTTTGATCGACAGTATCGACAAAAATAGTTATTTACAAAGATTTTCGCAGAAAGAAGTGGTTCGCGCGCAGCAAAAAGTATACTTTTTTTTGTACTAGTGCAGAAGTAAATCAAAACGGTTGCTCAGTGCTGAATCGTCAGTTTTCTTAGGAGGCTAAAAATCAGGAAAAAAATCAGACCGAGATTCCGGTCTTATGTCTGGTTAACGTTAACGGAAAAAAATACGAAACTTTGAACTTTGCAGAAACAAGCGGTTTTTTTCGCGTTTCAATATTTTTCAAACCAAAGCGCGGTTAAAAAATAATAGCGATGAAACTGGAGTAGCGTTACTTTACAAAATTGGCGCGTAAAGGCTTTTTTTTTGGCAGTATTTTGAAGATTGGCGGCGTTTTTCGCGTTTTTTCAGCAGTGTTTTTAAATTTACATATTGTCACCGTCCTCCGAGTGGGTGTGTTCGGTGCCGATGCCGTGGTCGGAATCGGAGCGGACGGGAGAGCCGACGTCGATTTCCTCGTCTATGTCTTCGATCTCGCAGTCGTCCTCGACGAAATCTGGGGACTCGCGGCCCTGCTTGTCCATGTGCATGGTTCCTCCGGGCGAGAGTCGGACAGAAGGAAGAGGAGGCATGAAAGGCGAGTTTCGATGGCTCTGAAGAAATGGTTAAACATTGCTCTTGATTTAGCTCTGCTGGAGAAAATTCTGCCCCGAGCGAGAGCTCGTTACCGTGGGTCGATATGAAACCTGGTTAGGGATGATGCCGCCGAGAGGAGTAGACAGATTCACGCCTGAGTATCGCGCGCTTCCTAAACAATAAAATTGAGAATAATTTTTAAGAAATCGTCGTCTACGAGATCGCAAAATGAGATTAAAAAAATCGAATGCGTGACGATGGAATTTTTAAATAAATCAAATTCTGAATAAAAATACCTTGGCTTGGTTTGAGATGAGAAGTGATTCCGCTGGCAGTTATTCTATCGGAAATCATGGAGGACAATTCTTTCTTTTCCTCGCTGGCAGACTTGGATAAGAAACCAATTGAGAAGGATGACTTTCCACGGCGAGGGCTAAATGAAATCATGACCAAATGCTCATTAATATTCACGGATTTCATGATGGAAAAAATATTGAGAATCACACAAACCTGTAGCTGCCGGAATCTTCAGAATCAGATGATCGCGATGACTGTTCTTTGGCGATGGATTCGTTTTCTTTTTGAAGAAGAAGATTGAGCTTTTGCGACTGTTCGCCGAGCATGTGTCGCATGTAGGTATTTTCGCGGAGGAGATTGTCATGTCGTTCGGTGACCAGTCGAACTTGATCCTCGAGCCATCGCATCCTAAACGAATGATTATGAGATCATTGTTGGCATTAAATGATTTTTAGCGCAAATGAAGTGGGACACGTCATAAATCACGGCACAAGATCAGTCTCGATCAGTTGAGGGCTGAGCTCCTGTCGAGTAGATTAGGCTGGTAATTTCTTGTACGTTTCAAATTTGAATGGAACGCGCGCCGCATGGTGTGGTGGAGGAGCGCCGGTGCTAACTACACCAGCTCCAGGAATCCAACTCAGCGCGGTGCGGCGCAATTCAGCGCGGACAACGCGATTCTAAGAACGCGACGTGAAACCGCTACGCCATTACACAACCCCCTAATTTACCGTGATAACTTTGATTAGCAGCGCGCCCGTTTTTTTCACACCAAAATCATAATTTTTATTCAAAGGGTTCTTAATTCCAACCAAACATTGTTCTTATTAATTTTAAAAAAGCAGCTTTCAAAAAAGGATTAATGATTAATAGTAGCTCAAGAAAAACTTTCCTGAGTCGAATCTGAGTCGAGTAAAACTGAATCTGGTTTGAACGCGCTTCAATTATTGATGACTCTGCTCAGTTTGAATGTTTTGTGCATTCTAAATTGAGCAGAGAGCAAGTGTGCATGGATTAGGGACTCTTTGGCGAATAATTAAAACGGCTCTGACGTCAATTGGAACGTTTGATTCAACGTTGGGAAGATGTCCACGTGTTTCTTTTCAAGAGTTTTATTTATTCAATCGAAAAATTATTGTATTTTATCTCTGAAAAAAAATCTATCGACCGAAAATTAAACAATCAAACTTACTTGGCCTTGAATCGGTCCCGAGCTCGTTGCGCTGATTCTCGGTTCTTCTGCTTCTTGCGTTCCCGCATTTCCTCGACTTCATGTGGCGATCTTTTCAATCCCATTTTGTTAAAGTGCGAAATCTTGAGTCTTTTTCTTGTCCTCAAAGGTAGTTTTCAAAATGTGCGTTGTAGAATTGCGAGTAGAATTCTCTTTCTCCCTCTCGATCTTCTTTTTTTGATGTGTTCACGTTTGCTTGTTGAGGACAACTGTGATCGTTAGTCCGCACCGCTTGGTTCCATTCACGTTCGAGCGCAGATAGCGCCGCGCGCCGCGCTCGGGCGCCTATGCGATCTTTTGCGCGAAGACACGCAGCCGCCCGTTTCTTGGAGCTAGGTGTTACCACGTTCAACTTCTAAATATCCCCATAGGACCACTCTTCTAAATCCATACACAATCCATAGACGGCTTTTGGAAGGCGTGCTTGCTTGTTAGCGTGTCTCCTTGACGTTTAAATGGTGAGTTAATCGCTAACAGGCAAAATACTATAGGTAGGATTTTCTTTATTTCCTTTTCAAAATTTTGACTTATTTTTTCATAGATTTTTAGACTGACAAAAAAATTTTATAATTTTCGTCAGAATAGATATTCTGCAAAATCAGAACTCTCGTCAGACACGAGGAGCCATGAGTGACAAGCAAGTGATGTCGATGAACGCGCTAGAAAAGCAAAACTCGGAGACAGACTCTTTCCGGAGAAACACTTGATGATGACGATAGAAGGGAACGTTCCATTTCGAAGAGATACGTCGTCATTTTTCAGCGAACGGACTTCCGCTTTTATACTGTAACCAAAAAATTCTTATTGAAATAGGAAGAACTAGGAATAAGCCTTATTGCCAATAAGTTTTTGGAATTAACGATTGTTTCAAAATCATAAATACCTTGATTTATTTTTAATTGTAGAAGAGAGTCAAATTAATATGGGAACGAGTTTCTTTCGATTTGGCCTTGATAATGATTTGCGGTTACGTCTTTTCTGCACTTCCGGTTTTGATGTCAACCGAGAAAGGCAACGTCACTGCTTATAGCCGCTAAACGCAATGCGATGTGAATACATGCGCTACCTATCGTTAACGTCGTTTTCGCTGAAAGTTGCGCTGGATACTAGCTTCGACAACAAGCGCCAACTACACCTGCCAGCTCAGCTCCACCGCCGTTTAGCCTCGCACCAGCTAAGCGCGCACGCCTTTCACTCCACCGCCAATCCACGATCGCAACTCTCAGAAATTACTACACTTACCTAATGAACACTAAACGACAGTAGTAGGATCCTTTCTTCTCTGATAAGCCTTGCTACGTATTTCTAGCTAAAGAAGATAATTTTTATTCTTATTTTCAAACAACAGGTTTTCGACGAATCCAGTTTTTTTCTGATAAAAGTATCCAAATTATTTTGAACCCTGTTGACATAATAAAATCGTTTTAATAGCCGACCAACTTGATATTCAATAAGGTAGACTTAATTTACGCAAATGCCCTTATCTTGGATGCATGCTTCCTAGTAGGGTACGTGCCGTGGAAGTGATGGTGTTAAAGGGAATTGATAGTCCTCCCGCGTGGATGTTTATACTAACTCAAGTGTCTCATGTCACTCAGACATCGATGATCCTATAATTGCTAGTTTTAAGTAAACAACCTTATCTTTTAACGACATATTATAAAGCTTAAAGCTTTTTCAATAAATTTTACAATTTAGATTGACCTTTGGTATCAATATATTTGATTCTGTTCAAAATGCTCCAGATGTAAAAGTGAAACATCTCTTTTTGATATTTTACCAAGTAGAATTATCAACATTTTAAAGAAAAAATAACGCGTTAAATTTACATCCACGTCCGTCTTCTGCGGATCAACGTGCTTGAAATTTGGAAATAAACCCGCGCGAGCTCATAATAAACCGTAAACGAAAGCTTAGTTTCCTCGAGATTATAATAAAAAAGCCAGACATTCGGTAAAAAATTGCTTGATTCAATCGCAATTTGTCTATTATTTCTTTTTCATCTTTCCAATGAGCGTCATTTCATGCATAAATTTTGACAATTGGATACTCACCGATTTACAAGAAAGAAAAAAGAGCGGATCACTTGATAGCGCGGTAATTGAGCGGTGTTGTCCGAAAACACGAATAAACATAACTTACGCAGGTTATCGGAACAAGTCGTCATCGCATGTAACTGATCATAACAAAGTAGTGTTTATTGTCGCACTATTGATACCCCAAGATAAATATAATATATTCCATCGTCACTAATTTTATGAACGAGTTAGTGCATAACTGCTATTTTCAAAACAACTCCCACGTACTTTGATCAAGTGCGTCACAAGTTGAATCGTGTAGTCCCAGGTAGAACACGTGGATAGTAATTATTGCGATTTAGCTCTACAATATTCTTTGCTTCATGACATACGCATAATATTGATCGTAACAATTAATATCGTCTGATAATCTCTAACTTTTGCAAAGTAAAACCTCTTCTTTGGATTTTAAAATATACTTTATTTGATTGAGCATTAACATTAATTGCATTAAATAATAATGTACCAACACAAATTGGTATAAGCATACAGAAAAGACAGATGAAAAAGAAGAGGGAAAGAGAGATTTGCAGGAAATTGGTAGGACAATAGCCCATTTTTCAATGGGTAATAAACATGGTGTTTATAATAACTGGGGAGTTTTTATATATTTTTAAACGGGTGATGAATTGCGAAATGGATTATTGCGTGTAGGCTGGTGTAGGACTTTTGTACCATTCGAGCATTTCGGATGGTCGAGCGTTGCTGCTTTGTCGTTCAGCGACGGACCGCGCGAGGAGAAAAAGCCTTCGTCTATCGACGATTGTCGGTTGAAGGGAACAGGCTGAGTGTCGAAAACTGGGAGCTCGCCGATGTCGGGGGTCTCTGGAGTGTCTGATAAACAGCTATCCGTTGTTTCTTCATTCTATCAAAATGGATTAGAAATCGAGCTAGAAGAAAGTGCGCGCTGAAAGATTAATGATGCAGGTTAGTTACTTTCGCTGATATTGCATTAAAATAAGATGTTATCATTAGGTGCACTATTGAATTCGACAACTTACCTCGCTGGTTGAGCTATGAGGCGAAGCAGAAGAAATATTTGCATCATCAGAGCTCGATGCTTCTCGCTGAAGCTGCAGATTGTCGACAGTTCGAATATGGTGATACGACTTAGCGCGCAGGCCAGAGTTAACCCGTGGCACTCGGGGAGGAACATCATCGTCCGAGGAGTCGCCTTCGTTCTCCCCTTCGTGATCGCTATACGTAATCTGGAAAGCGGAGTTGACATGGCCAAAGTTGGGCGAAAAGGTGGCTGGTGGTTTCTTGGCACGGCGGCGGCGGTTGCTTCGCCGACCCGAGGACGGTGTTGGTGGAGAGTTCAGATCTGGCGGCGAGACAGACGTAGCGATCTTGTTCATGATCGGTAAGCGGATACTTGAGGGCATACGCACGAACTACAATTAACCATGTCATCTTTATGAACTTGAAGCGAAAACGATGAGAGTTGATTAAACTGAAATTACCGATTGTGTAATGCACTCTGGGCTCAGATCTCCGCTCGTTATCTTGTCCGATACGAACTTTTCGAGTGTTTCGCGAAGTTTCGCGACTTCTTTCCAGTCTTCCTCGACGCGGGTCTTTGTCGACTCTTCTTTTGCAGATTTGTAGTCTTCCAAAGCCGTGTTGATTTCCCTACGCCAAGTGCATCGGTCATCTTCTAGTTGTTCAATCGTGACTCCTTCAAGGTCCATTTCAGCATGCTGAGACACATTTTCAAATTTCAGTTGATTTATTCAAGATCTCACCTGGATCATTTTCTCGAGTCTGCTAAAAGATGGCCTTGCTGACGCTGGCGTCTTCCAGCATGAAGTCATTAGCGAGGCGAGAACCGGGGAACACTTGCACGGAATAGGCAGCTTCAACCTGTTGCTGCCGACGCCAAAGATGATCTGATTTGAGTTCAAGTTCTTGTACGGTTCTTCGCGCGTCACCAACTCCCAGATAATAACACCAAACGACCAGATATCAACCTTTCCGCAGCACTTCTCAGCCCTGATCAACTCGGGCGCCATCCAATTCGGCGTTCCACGGACGGAAATCTTTGCAGATTCTTCTGGATGCGCGAGTGTGTGGGAATCGAGATCGGAAATCTTTAATTTATTGTCGAAACCGACGAGAATGTTGGGCGATTTGAGATCGCGGTGGATGATACGCTTGTTGTGCAAGTATTTCATCCCTTTACACATTTCCGTCGCGTATGTGAGGATTTCTGTAGGGCCGATTGGGATTCGCTGGCTTTGGATAACCTAAAATTCGGATTTGAAGAAAATTAGTTTGAATTAATAAACTTACCTCTTGAAGAGTCATTTTGCAAAATTCCATAACAAGACCAGGTCCTTGAATGTGACTGTGTTTGATCTGCTCGGTTGGAAAACGCTCGACGACGCCTTTCAAGCTGACGATGTTTTCGTGTTTGAGCTTCAGTAGCTTTTTCAGATCGGAGAGAGAGGCTAAAAGTCAAGTTTCAACAATGAGATCAGAGAAAGAGAGTGAGCGAGTTTCAAAGCTAATCAAATAGACTCAAACATACTCAGAATGGTAAATTAACGACATTTTTTTGTCTTTGGGGACACAGTTTATCATAATTTAGTAGCTTCAGCAACGTTTTTAAGGGGATCGTAAAATCGTTTAGGAAAATCATCTGATTGAAAGACTTAGAATTCTATAGAAAGACAACGTATTAGAATTTGACGTACCTTCATTTTCATTTTTGAAAATTTTGCAGGCCACTTCTCTATTCTTCCAGGAAGCTCTATAAACGTACGCTTGGCCACCATCACCGACGATTTTGAAAAGTTTGATATTCACCGGATCGATCAGTTCAGATTCTTTTTCTTCGTTTTCGACTCTTTGCGTCCACGGTGAAAACGCCGCTTTGAAAACATCAAAACACCCTTTTCCGAGATCTTCTCTCCAGTCTTTTTTCGAGTTTTCCATTCTAAAGTAAGCTTGGTCAGATTTCAATGATCTTGGAAATTAGAAATAACGAAAAACAAAACACTCATTACGCTAGGTATTCTCTCTTGCTTGTTAAGCAAGCCGTAGCGTTTTAATGGCTTTCTCCGTTGCGCTAGTTTTACGATTTGTTTTCCTCTGGCGTAAAAAGCAGCCTCTGATTTGGTCGTTGAAAAACGCGGGGAAACCAGAGCCTGCGCGTTGCGAGGCGGACCCACGTTCTATTCTTGTTTGCTTTAGCGATGGCGTATATACACACCCCCCAGGGCAGTTTACAGTCTCATGGTACATTAATTCGCGATAGATGGAATGATACTGGAAATGATCAATGAAGAGATCTATTTTGAGGGAACATCTACTGTATATTTCGTCGAGAACTTCAAACTACCAGTTCTATTCTACGGAATGCGTTTTCTACGATCAACGATACAGTATTTTTCTTACTGAGTTTTACTGCCTCTTTTTGTGGGATTGCGTGAAGATTTTGAGAGAAATAAATTTCAAATGTTACCTTTTGTATTCCATATAAGATCACTTCCTCTAACCCTCGTTATTGTAAAAATGTCAAATTGGCAATATTCTCTTGATTTGAAAGATGTTCTGTGTCCCTGCACCGAACTATCGCGATTGTAATGCAGACTGGTGGCCCGCCCGAGGCCCAGTTCTATCCCAAGATCGAATGTAAGAGCGAGTTCTAGTCCGAGATTGGTTCTCCCATCGATGATTCAGATTCAATCCCGCCGCAAGTCAAGCAACCGGGCATGAAAGGGATGAATAATTAAGGCGCTTATCGCTTTGCAGAGGGCTCTAAGAACTTGACCAGTTGGTTCCAATAAGTCTACTTTGTCTTCTCAAAGGCCATTTTCAAGTTCCTCTTAGTGCAATACACTACACTTGATAGAAGGTAGTATGGGGTTATAAATTATAAGTTGTAATTTATTACTACTAATAAAAACTCTCTTCTTTACGCGTAATATATTTCCGGTTCAACTTATTGCTCTAAAAATTATACGTAAAAACTGAAGCGGTACATGAAATTGGTATATTTTAATCGACTGTCTCTCTCTCTCTGATAATTATTTTCTTTTTCAACGTCACGGGCAGACTGTCAAGGTAAACAAGCAAAGAAAAAAATCAGGCGAGAGTGGTGTCGAACATCCGGCTTGGAGATTTCCAGTTGAAAGGCTATTCCGAACGCTTGAGGCAGTGAAGTTGTTCGACCAGCAGCGCGCACAATCATCATGACGCTTCTGAGTTCTCGGATCCACACGATTGCCAGATTTGAACTTTCGTTTATAAATATTTGAAGCATAATAATGCAGAGGATAGAGCTTCAAGATTCACTGCGGACCCGAGCCTTCAAGATAATGTCGTCCTTCAGAAGTGCGGAAAAGGTCTCGTTCAAAGTCGATCGTGTAGGAATCGGGAGGAAAGAGCTCATTTAGCCGTCGATTGATCGTCTTTAGCTTTTACATGGATGAATCTCAGCAGGAGTTCAGTTAAGTTGATATTCAGACTTGCGATGCAATGACCTTATAGACACGTCTGGAAACAATCGAGTTAGCGTTTAATTGCGCAAGACGAATTAATCAATTAGTCGTGAAAAACGAATAACTACAGTAATTCCGCCATTCCCTGATTGACACGATACTCGAAGTCATTATTCATCAGCTCGCAGCTCTTTCCAACATGGCTGCTTGCTGTGATAGCGCAGGGGCAGAAGAACCCGTCCGAAAGTCGCGTTGAATTTTCAATGAATTGAACAAATGCATTTGAACCTTCTAATGGCTGAGCTGGAGTCATTTTTTCGATGACTTTTGAACTGATGAGCATCGAGTTCATCGTTTGGATCATAAAAATTGGCCAAGCAATCGCAGTAGAGGCTTTCTGGGATGAAATTTGTGCGCTTGAATATAGACTTTTTTCTTTTGTAAATAGGTTTGATCCCGACCTAAAATGCCAAGGAATACAAATTTATTCCTACGAAAATAAACCAAGCGCTCTCGTAAAACCCAGGGGGAAATATAACTTGACTTTGTTTGTTTTCCCGGTGGCAATCTATGGATTAATTAATTATAGTGAGCGGCGGCCGATTCACGTCACCTCTGGTTGATGCTTGACACGGAAACTCCCAGGTCTTTGTACGAACGAACACGGGTAGTGGGATCGTAAATATTCGGAAGCATGGCGGCCAGAAGTGCTCCAGCAACGTAAAACGGGTTCCAAGTAAATTCTTCCCCAGGTTTTTGACTTGTTCAGAGCTGCATAAAACAAGAAAATCGAATAACAATTTTTTTTACTTAGAGCATCCCAGACAATTGGCAAGCGCTTGATTACTGTAATAAACCTTCAAGATCGGGTATTGATCCTGAGATCAGTGCTTGTCGATTCCACTTACAGAAATTAAAATAAAATCTTGCTTTTGGATTCTGATATTTGGGCAGCCCCGCCTGTAGATAGAATAGAGAGGTCCCATTGCCAGGAGAGGAGTAGCAGGGAGATACTGTCGAAGTCTTAGACCTAGTTTTGGATTAAAATTTATGCAAAAATTCTAAAGTAACATCCAATGGAGTAAGGATTACACCGGCTCATTAAAACTACTACAAGTTAAAGTTCAATCCCTGTCGGGCTTTCTTGGTTGAAAAAATAGCTAGAAGACCTAAATCTTTAGACACGTGATATCTTTATAAATTTGATTTTAATCCGTTTTCAATCATCCGCGATTTCAAGAGGACATTCCCCCTGATAACTGCGTGGTACTTTTTATTGGGTCAAGCGGTTATTCTGCGAAGCGAAGCGAAAATTTATTACACAACAATAAACTTGCCCAAACTTGTTTTTTTTAATATAAAAGATTACTCTCAATACGTCTGTAAGACCAGAGCGAGCGAAGGAGAAAAACTTTCTCTAGACGATTATCGTCGTGGCGCTCATGCAAGTCCTCTTCGCCCCGAACAACAACACTAGCAGCTACTCAGTCGTTGAAAGCAGAGAAAACAAAATGAACCGAAGCCATTTCAATAGATTCAGAGACACAAGATTCCAGAGCAAGTGCGAATTCGCGGCAGAGGTGAGTTCCATTTTAAAAAATGTCAACATCGAACACGAGAACTTTCATCATTCGTGAAAAAGTTAACTTTGCTTCTAGAACTTTAGAAGTTCGAAAAAAGTTAGACTTGAACTCTTTTCGTGAATGAAGCTGTTTTGTGCAACGTTAACCTCTCATACGACCAGGTTCCGTTTAAGTGACCTAATTAAAATGGTCAAGATAAAGGAGTTACATAAGATCTTGTAAGAAAACCTTCAGGCGCTAGTTTTTGGTCTTAGCAAACTAATCAACAGAATAGAAAATCATCCATGATTCCAAGCCTCCAAAATTAGATTTCTGGGCCGATCTCATTAAATTCATAAAATGAAATAAACGAAGAGGCGTGTCAGGGGTTTACTGGAGCGAAATTCCATTAAGTTTAGACATCAGCTACGATTTATCAAAAAACAACGCTCTTCCCAGCATAAAATCGTTATCTTATAGATCATCGATGCCAAAGAAAGACTGTCTTTTCTGCATATAAATATGAGTGCAGAATCCGATCGTCTGGAGACGATTCAAACCGTCTTGTCGCAACACGAGTATAACTTGCGCAACCTTAGCTTGGATGAAGATATTGAATTTGTCAACACAATGATCGACATACTTCAAGTTTACAAAGACATCGAGCTTGAATGCAAAGGACGCGTGGTCTACTGGCAGACACTAATCAACGATGCTGCTGTCAAGGACGAAAAGCTCGCAGGAAATGTTCAATTGTCTTTAGAAAGTAAATTTTTATTTTGAAGAGTAATTCTTTGAACAAATATAAGAATTCTACAAAAACCCAGTCTTTTGATAAGACTGATCGAATCTAAAACTAGCTTTTACAAAATATCTTTTCAGAAAAAAAAGTCTTTCTATTTCTAAATCGCTTGACCCTCGCCTGTTCTTTTACATTCGTGAATTTCACCATATCACTTTAGCGGGATTTCGCCTCTGTTTTCATGAGTTCTTTTGTTCAACTTTTGTGTTTTTATGTTACAGCGATGTGTTTTTCTTTATTTTAATTTTCCAGTCCTTCATTTAACTATTTTTCGATTTCCTTTTTTTTTAAATGATGATTGCAGACGACCTTCAATCCCTATTCCTTGTTTCACTTTTCATTCCGTGCCACAGAATTCCTCCATCTTTCCAGCCGTGAATTACCGCGGGGAAAACAGAAAACATCACCAAAAGTTTCGACGTAAGCCAAAGTGGACTTAAAAATAGGATTATAACCGCACGACAAGCTTCACTTCTCTGAAAGTTACCTTGAATACGTCATTCCGTCACAGTAATAATTTCCAGAGAATGTTAGACTGTCTACTTATGTGATCATGTATTTTCAGCTCTTTTCATTTTGAATAAAAACCCATATAGATATCTTGATGACATTTTCTTGTACAAGCCCCTCGTGATAGACAGGAGGAAGCTCATCGTTCCGCCGTGGGTCAATGTATGGAATTTTGTACGGGTAGATGAAATTCAATATCTTTTTGATTCCACTAAATTGCTCAAAATTGCTTTCGTCGAGTCCCTCCAAGCAATAAGAAATTTCCTTTGATCGGTCTACTGCTCCTGAAGACGCGCCAACGAGCTGGGCGAGAATCGAAGAATCACTAGACAATTTGCTTCTTTCTTTTTTCCATTTTGATATTATATCATTTTCTGGAAACATTTTCGATAGAAAAGACACGGGCAAGTTGAGAAGATCCTTTGTTGATTTCGTTATGTGTTGATAGTGGCGTGCTGCGATCTCCGTTTGAATGGAAGCCATTGATGAAACCATTTGACGGGAGAATTCAGTTTGGCAGTTGTGATTAAAGTAGATCATCGGAGAGTATGGATAAAGAAGAGCATATGTTATTTGACCCTGACCGCCTAGAAAGAGCTAGAAAGTTGTGTCCGGGCACAGAAATTGATTTGATCAAGCCCGTTCCTAAATTGTAAGCTGAAAAGATCCGCTGCCTCTGGTTGAGAGTAAACTTATTGATATTGAACTCTGAAAGCGTCACATTTCGCTTCCAAATTTCCACCGAGTTCTTTGGACGATCATCGCCCCAACCTAAGAGTCCCATTCTAAAAATTATAATTTCAAAGGCCTAATTTTCATGTTATTGGCTTCAAGTTCTTCTTTCTCTTTTTGGGTGCCTTCTGCTTGTTTGGATTTGAATTAGCTTTTCTTTTCGCATTATCAACAACTACTTCGTTCTTTTCATTTTGCTCCGAGGGCTCATTATTTTCAGGTTGCGTAGTCAAGGTCTTGTTTTCTGATTTAGATTCATCAGATGCTGATTTATTCGCTGTTTCATCATCATCTTCCCTGATTTCAGGTTTTCTCTTCATTTCTGATGTTCCGGTGGTCTGCTTTCCATTACCAATATCATTGTCGAAATCAGGTTTTTCCGTTTCCAACGTTTCCGAGATCGCTTTGCCATTATCATTGTCGGAATCAATTTCAGATTCCGAATCGTCATCGCTTGAATGATGCTTGTCCTCCAACTCGATGGTGAGACCCTTTCCGTGAGTTAATTCTAAATTGCAAATTTTTTGGATGTCCATTTATTTTGATAAATGGGAATTACAGTTTTCCACCGTCGATAAACGTAAAAATAATTAAATTTCTTTCCATTCTATCTGTCAACCCAGTCCTCTCCGTCTAAATCTCTCAAGAAGGAGCTCCTCGATTTCATTTTTGCCTTGTTTCTCGTCACCGCATACTTCGACCTCGCTTCTTTCGATCCCTCTTCGATTACTTTCACATTCGAGACATTCCAAAATCTTATGTCGTTCGCTCCGAGACCAACGGACAAGCAAATTCGCTCATCGAAAACGTCCAGTCTCTCAATAGGAACACCCTTGCTGTGACAACCGAGCGTTTCCATGATCCGATTTGGCTGAACGTTCACTGCTTGTATTCTGCCTTTGACATCGCCAGTAAGGATCACGTGCTCGTTCAATTTTGCGCAGCATAAATCCCCGACTTCGAAGCGTTAATGGGTTTTTGTAGAGTTCAATTTTGATTTTTTTAACTTAGATAATATCTTTTCTCTTCAAAACCCATGCCCAGGAATAATGTCACTGTGATGACCCCATCCCTTGTAATTGTAAATTTGAATTTGCCCTCCCGACGTTGTGACTAGAGTTTTCTTCTCCCCCTTCATCGTAACAATAGAGCATAGATCCGTTCCGACAGATTCGCTTTCCATAAGAAACATCTGACGTTTACAATTGTAGACGGAAACAGTTCCGTCGTCAGAAGCAGCAATCAGATATTTTCCATCTTCAGACATGTGTACATCCTGAAATATGATTAAAAATAAACACCTGAAATCAAAGCGCATCAGTGTAAACCAAATATTAAAATCAAGATTATGAATCAAAATTAACGATTCCGTGATCTTACCTTGATGGTATCTTCACCAGAGTTCCAAAACACGCGTGCGTACGTGCGCACGCGTGCGCGTGTTTGCGTGCGTGCGCACGCGCACGCACTCGCACGCGGATTTTGAAAATTGTTGCGCACGCGCACGCACGCGCACGCGAAGATTGAGATCGCGCACGCGTGCGTGATCGTGCGCGTGCTCGAAATCCAACAAACTTTGGCGTTTTTAGGTAATTTAAGCCGAAAAAATTTCTAAAGTGGATTAAAATCCGTAAAATTTTCGGTTTTCCTATGTTTCAAAACAATTTTGATTTGTTTTTAGCAATAATTGTTCTAGATTTAATGATTGAAACAAATTAGAGAGGAATAAAAATGTTAAAATTGGGCAATTTTATCCCTTTTTGCGCACGCGCACGATCACGCACGCGTGCGCACGCGTGTGCACGCGTGTTCGAAAGTCGTCTCCGCACGCGCACGCACGCGCACGCGAAATTTTAAATTTCTCCGCACGCGCACGCACGCGCACGCGAGAATTTTGCGTTTTTTGGAACTCTGTCTTCACACCTTCCATCGTCGATTAATAATTCATCGATGGGATTTTTCTTTCGGATGTCAAATAATCTTACAACACCGGATTCATCACCAGTAGCAATTATATGCTCGTGTTTGGAAGATATACAGTACGGCGCATCCCTAAATACTTATTTTACATGAGGGTCAACGACGGGAAAGATTACTCAAAAGCATCCTGAAGCGCAAGAATTGGCGAAGAAGTCTCGACGTCACTAATAAGCAGCTGTTTGTCGGATCCGATTGAGAATAATTTCTTGCCGCTCGGAGCGAAGCAAAGGCCTCGAACGGAGTCTTCATGGGCTTTCACGCTTATGTGCGTTTCTGGCGCCTCACTGTAATTTGAATATTCACTGACAGTAAGATAGATTATTTTCTACCTCGACTCCTCATCAATCCGCCAGGCTTGGATTCTCCCCTCTAAGTCTCCTGCAACGACTAAACACTCTTCTGGATGAAACTTTGCATCAAAAACTGGCGTTTCAAGTTTAATTGCTTTCGGTGCTGTAAGATCAAGTGGAACCTCAGAGTCAGACTCAGCCTCAGAATCAGTCGACCAGTCCGAATCGCTCATTCTGAGATCATTTATTTCGTTTTTTTTCATTCGTGAATGTACATTTATTTCAGATGCGTTATTATTCAAGATTTTGGGGGAGAAAGAGCGCCGAATCGGCCAATAATGCTAACTGTTACTGTAGTGAAAATGAGTAACTGGGAATAAAGGAGGGGAATAAATTTAAAAAAGAGTTGCAGTGAAAGTATGTGCCCATGTCTTGCTGAATTTGAGAAACTAGAAATCGAATCCGCTGCTGCTTCCGTCGGACTCACTTTCCTCGGAAGATCCCTTCTTCGGCTTTGGTAACGCTTTCTTTCCCTTTTTCTGAACATTGATTTATTAAAGCTGCATATTCTGATATTCTTTACCTTGGAAAGAAGATTGACTCTAGCCCGAGAGGGCTTTTTGGCAGATGTGGATGGCGCGTCTTCATCAGACGAATTGAGGTTTTTTTGGAATTCCGGCTCTGATTCCGAGCTGTTTTCGATGATCTTCTTCTTCTTTTTCTCGGCTGGCTTTTTTCGCGATTTTTTCGACGCCTTCGCCTCTGCAAAGATTTAAGACTTTATCGGTAAGAAAAGCACTGACCGTTTACTCTCTTTTCTGCCTCTGATTTGAGGGCGTTGAATTTTCGGTCGTTCTTTTTCAGCTACGAAGATTTTGAAAAGTTAAATTTGTGTTGCATCTTTTACCTTTGCAAGAACTTGTCGTTTAACTGTAAAATCCAGATTATCATCCTCTATCATCTTGGCAAACATATCGACAAATCCAAGCAACTGTTTCTCGATCTCCTCTTCGTCAGTGCTTTCGCCATCTGATCGCTTCGATTTCGCTTTTTGCTGCGCAGCGAGGAGACGCTGCCGCTTGAGCCTATTCTGCTCCTTTTTCTTGGTCTGTTCTTCAAGCGCAATGTCGTGGAGCTTCACGCACTTCTTGATTCGCTGAGTGAAGGCGACGCACTTCTCGACTTTCGAAGGGTCGCAAATGTAGCACATCCATTTTGCGGAGCTCTCGCATTCTGTCACTCCCGCACGGCCCAGATTTCGTAGAACACACTTAAAACTCTTAACCTCGATCAAAGCCATAACTTATGGCCCATAAGCAACTAACCTGTTTACAAAAACTCTCAACGCATTTATCGCAGCCATACAAAGTGCCACCGTCGGCACACCATCGGCAATGCTCATAATACCCCTCCGCATCAGTAGTAAAAAGGCCGTTTGAATAAAAGTCTCTGCACTTTTCGCACTGGATCGTTTTCATCACAGGATGTGTGTAAAACACGCCGAAAGGGTTGATTTGGCCAGAACAAGTGCTGCATCCGATTTCTTCTCGCTGCATCCATGACCACGGATGCTCGACATCCGAGAAAGGATTCATCTGTAATTGAAATTCAAAGCATAAAAACTAGTGCGAGAGTCAAGAGTACAAAAATATATTCAGATTGTTTGATATAAAAATTGATCACAGTACAAAAATAAAAAGTTTCAAGGCAGGGCAATCGGTTTCTCTTTTTTTTATATAATTGAGTTTTTTTCTCAATCTTCAACTGTTTCGTTTTGGCTCTGCGTGGCAGCACGTGACGCTGCTATACTCGTCTTCAACTTCTTGATCGTATCTTTGTCGACGAACTCGGTCACGTGACGTTCCGAGTCTTTTTGAATCACCCTGAAAGGGGGAGAATAGTCATTATAAATAGGCATAAAAATTACTTGAGATATTCGGTGGCTTTGGTCGGGTTCGAGGAAGCGTGGAACTTGACACAGAAAGCGGCAAGATCAGCCATTCTAACAGCAGACTAAAAAGTTGAGAACGCATTAATCCAACAATCAAATCAGTCAAATTTACCTTTCCTTCGTGGACTTCGCGCATGAGCGCGGTAACTTCATCAATACCGTCTGACGGAGAAGAAGCCATCGCTTTTTTGACGTCTAGGAATTTCTTGTAGTCGACTGCTTTTTCGCGAAGAGTGTTGATTTGCTCTGTCGTATCGGCTTTTGAGCTTTGGAGTTGCTTCACGGCTTGTTGAAGCAGACCAAGGGCCTAAATTAAAGTGTTCCTATATCAAGTGATATTTCTGTATTCAACTGTACCTGTTCGTAGTCGCTGGCTGAGTCTATCTGATGCTGCGCGCATTCGATAAAGAACGTTGTCATCAGATCAAGTTTTCTTGCTTTTCTGTAGAAAGTAACAATGGCCTTCAGAATCGCAGGATCCTCTTGCCATGCGTTAGTACTTCTCAAATAGTTGCCAGCGAGAATGAACAAGGAAGGATCGCGAGCAAGCTGCGCGAATTCGACCATCTTTTTCACATCTCCAAGTCTCGCCAGGCATTTCATTGCCTCCTGTCGTTGTCCTGGAAATCAAAATTAGATAAGTGATTCCAGTGATTCTTCGATCAAAAGAAATTCATCATAAATTTTGATAAAAGACGTCAATCAAAGGGAAACTGTGATAAAATCTCAATTTACCAGCGTGTTGAAATAATTTTGCCGCATCCGCGAATTGAGTTTTATCGTAACAGTGCTGAGCAGCGGCTTTCATGATCTTTTCCCGATTAGGTACATCTTTCAATGGCTCAGATATGTCACAAGTGTTGCGAAAAACCAATAAAATCTACCTTAGCCACGTTCCTTGAGGCAAAACCAAAAGCTCTACCATCCTAGGCGACATCTCAACATCTTCTTCAATGATAATTTGAAGAGCACGTGGGTAGCTTTTGGATAAGATAAACAAATGAGCAGCTTTCGCACCACGGCCATGCTCCAAGAAGAATTTGGCGCAGCGACTGAGAACCTCAGGAGGAGCTTGATACAGTTTTCCATCAAATTCGATTCTCAATGTTTATTTTCTCCATTCGATTAAAAACTTTTCCTGAGTGATCTAACTCATCAACCAACTGTTCCAATACTCCAAAGCGTTTCTGCTGAAACACCAGATCGATCGCCTTTGCCAGGTTCCCTGCTCGATGATACAGCAAGACCGCTTTATCCATCGTAGTCTCGCTCTTCTGGAAATGGTCCGCGGCGAGAAGCATGTCTCGAGGCTGGCTTTTTTAGAATTCAAATTTATTCAATTGACTAATGAAAATGAAATTGATGCTGTGGGCTGCTCTTTCCATAAATGGAAAAGTTTTAATCGAGGATGATGGCATCATCATGATGCTAAATAATAAGGGGACGGGAGTCCCCTTACGGTACATTACAAATAAATTATAATAATTTTGAACTTTCCTTAAAAGCGCAACATTGAACAATTGGTCCTCGAATCCATGCTCCTTGCAGATACGTATAACATTATTGTAAGCTCCGGCCCTCGTGTAGAAATGGATTGACTGCTTGATGTCACCCGCCAGTTCATGATGTCTAGCCATGTGGAGACAGGCAGCTAAAATTGAGTTGAAAACGTAAGATTTCGAAAAGATAAAAATACCAGGGTCGCCGGTTTCATTTGCCAGCTTATCTGCTTCATTAAAGTCTTCCTTGACGCAAAGCACGCGGGCTAAGGCTAGGAAATCGCCGCATTGTCTAAAATCAAGTTTAATCAAAATCAAACGCTTGTAATCAATACTTGTAAAACTTCTCCGCCTCTTCGAACTCGCCCGTGTATTCCATGTATTGCGCCCACCACTTGTTCATATCTGCGTTTTTCTTGACATATGCTTCCAATCTGTCTGGTTTGTCAAATAGCATTCGTGGAATCTCAAATCGATGCGTTTTACTTTCTTCATAATGTCCAACCGCTTGGTCGTACTCCTTTTCCCATTCGCATTTCTTTGCGAAATTGTAATGAGTAGCACGAAGATGAAGTCTGTCACTTTCTTTCGCTGTCGATAGCGCATCGTCCCAGCGCCCGATCGCTTGGTAGAATTTATTGAGTAAGTCGAATCGTTTCGATTGAATGTACAGCTCTTCCGCTTCTTTATTCATACCAAGTTGCAGGGCGAGCATTGCCACACGCGCTTCCAATGGCTCTTCATTCTGAGCCTTTCTGACTGCTGCAGCAGCTGCGGCATTGCCCATATTAGCGAGGCAGACCTGAGCCACATCCAAACGCTTTGTATACACACATCTTTTCGCCAGATTCAACCAGACTGTCTCGTTTTTGATGAGTTTAATCGAATTAAACGCCGAGTCCAGGTCGCCAAGAGCCATTTGCCTTGAAAAATCGAGCAGGGCAACTCTTGTCGTATTGTCACACTCGTCCAGTCCGACAAAATCCTGCAGCGGAACTTTCTTTATCTCTGAATCTGTCGTAGAGAAGATCAAATTTGGTGTACATAAGCTGAGGAATTTTCTTCCATCGTTTGGAAAGGCGATTTCTTCCTGCCGAACAACTTCGCTGTCAGTTGACCAGACAAGTACGACGATATGTTCGGATGCTGATGCGTACTCAATCGCTAGCAGTTGTTTATCGTGTTCGTCCCACTTCATATTCAACGGGTAGAATCGATCAAAGTCTTCCTCATTTTCATTTTCGTCGTTGATATCAAATGAGAACATTTTCTGACGATCAGGAGCGTAAATGTGAATCCTCGAATTTGACTCGCCTCGCCCATTGTCAGTCGTCATGGAGAGCCGATTCGAAGTCGAGTTGATGGCGAGGTCCGTGATAACGCCGATGTCAGCGCCTAAACTTGTCAACTCGCGATGGACAGTTTGCTTTGCCTCTCGTCGGGCAAGATCGAAGACTTTCACGGTGCTCGGAACAATCGCTGCTGCGAGATAATTCCCGTTGATGGTCATTTTTGCAGAGAAGCCTCCGAGTGTCAAGATTTGTTTTTCAACACCAGCCAGTGAGTGACAGCGAATCTTTGTCTGGTCATCATTGAAGCTATAAACGGTCTGAGCGGACATGGCGAGTTGCTGTGATGGCGATTCGAAGCTGCCGCTGTTTGTTACAAGTCCGTTCGGACCCATTTCCTGAATGAACATCGATTGTCCGGAATAAATAGTGAAGTTGGGAGGACACATGGCGATATTGTAGATAGGCACGTCGTTGTCGTGAACAAGATTTCCCGATTTCTGAAGAATTTGGAGCCGCTTCGGGCCTAATTGAACTATTTGCATGTCTCCGCGGGAAATTTCAGATATTTCTTGCTCCCGCAAATAAAATGCCGAGTTTTGGCTAGCCACAGCGAGAAGAGGCGTCAAAAGTGACTTCTTAAACCACGTGAGAGAAGAGGCACGCTTTGTGGACGATGATTTCTTAGATTTTAAAACAACAGCGTTTGATTTGTTGCGAGAATAGCTCCAGAAGCTGACACCATTCGCTCCAGACGCAGCGGCTACGGTTCCATTGTGACATGCGACCGAGGTCATCGAGGCTCCGTCTTCGTTTTGGACAAGATGATGCTCTGAAGCTTGCATATCCCAGATTTTTAGCGAAGAGTCGCCAGTAGTAGACACCATGACACCGGGAGCGGCCCAGTCGCAAGATATCGTTTTGCCCGAGAGCTTTATCTTTCCAAGCTCCATCAACGACGAATCAGGAGTGACTCGGAAGGCGGCGAGGGAGATATCATTGCAGACAGTGACGAGAATTGAACGCTCGGGGTTGAATTTGAACTCAGTGATTCCTGCAGGAGCAGCGAGACGCTCAGCGAGCTGTCCTTTTGCATCGATGAAGTAAATCTTTCCATCGTTGGCTCCGACGAAGAAGCCGAGAGATTCGACAGTTTGTGTCAGATCCATGCTTCTGCTAGTATGAAGCTGTCCAAAGAGATCTTCTCCACTTACTGCGGCTACGGCCATCTTGGCGAGATCGGAACTGGCACCCTCTTGTTTTCGGCAAAGAATCGCTCCAGCTCCACTGGGAATGGAATGCTCCCAAGCTGGTTTGAGTTGAAGCTGAGCTTTTGCATTTGCTCGAAAGGATTTCACCACGCCGTCGTTTTGTATTGTGACGAGTCGTTTGCCACCCGGTTGAGACCAGGCGAGATTCGTGATAGAATTTCCATCCGAGGCTAGCTCGCTGTGCTCTGTTTTCTCACCGTTGAGCGTGTTCCAGATTAAGACGCTGCCAGAGGACCAAACAGCTGCGAGAATAGGTTTCTGCGGATGCCAAAGGATCTTGACCGGTCTAACATGCTTAACTTCGCTGTCAACTGCGATTCCATTACTGTTATAAACTGTGACGACGCCCTGATTCGTGGACGAGTTGAAGGATGATACTGCTAATCTTTGTTCCTTGTCGTGGAAGATTATTTCTTCGCATTCGCCTGCTAATTCCGGTAGCGCATGGTCAAAAAACAGTGTCATCTAAACACGCAAAATTCATCGTTACCCTTTATTTAGAATTTCTACAGAATATATCAGTTTTAGTGAGATAACATAAAGAATGAATATTTTTGAACTATTTCTGACTATGCCGAGCACGGAAACGGTAAATTAATAAAAATGCCTTTAGTTAACTGACATGTTCAGACAAATAACATGCTCAGAAACTAGAATTTCTAGAGACTTTTAGTTTCGTACACGAAATAGTCAGGGAAGCCCATGTTTTTTTTTTGAAGATAAGTTTGAGAGGTTCATTTTTCGATTTTTCAGTTTTAAGAGTCTTCTTCAGTCGATGATTCATGTTTTCTTTTTCTTTTTGGTCCGAGAATTCTTTCCAAGTCAGGGGCGTGCAGGACTTCCTCGCGAATGAGCAAATCCACAACTTCCTGTAATTTTTCTTTGTTTTGAAGGAGGAGTTCTTCGGCAGCCGCTATCGCCGCGTTCATAATATTTTGCCGCTCTAGGTCGATATTTCGCTTTGTCCCATCAGAATACATGTTGTCATCTGTAAAATTGACCTGACCAACGGTTGGTGAGAAGCCAAACGATTTGACCATTTTGGTCGCGAGATCAGAAGCGTTTGTCGAATCCCGATCATTGTCAATTTGCGTGGATACTCGGCCAAAGAGCACTTTTTGCGCGATTTTCGGCGCAAGGAGGACGCCCAGTCGTTCTTTTAGATATTCTTCAGACTGAATTATACGTTTTGTAATAGAAAATATTCGAGAGACGACAAACCTGTAAAAAGCGCTCTTTTGTCTGATACTGTGTGTAGCCGACATTCCAGTGCGATCGAGGAACAATGGAAGCTTTCAAAACGGGATCTTGAGTCTCGGACAGCCACGAAACGACGCATTTACCAGCTTCAAGCGCCGCCAAAATTGCTTTAGTCTCCTGTTTAATCGTATTGTTGTCTTTGCGAGTACCAGACATCACTCTGTCGATTGCAGCTTCGAAATGGGAGCTCTTGATGAGATCGGATTCTTCGCGCGCTGCGAGTAAGGCAGCTTCATTCACAACGTTTGCGATTTGGGCGCCCGAGAAACCAGGTGTCAGCTTTGCTAGCATTTCCGCGTATACTTTTGGGGGTTTCTCTGTTTTGATGGTTTTTAAGTGGACCATGAAGATCTCCCGCCGACCGTCGCTAAAGAAAAGTTTAAATTGAACAGCCCAACTAGCTGTCTCTTACGTTGGAGGAAGATCGCACTGAATTTTCCGGTCAAATCGCCCTGGTCGAACAAGAGCTTCATCCAGCGACTCTGGATTGTTAGTTGCTGCCATTAGGACGATCGTGTCTTTCTCGGATCCAGTCATGCCGTCCATTTCGACAAGGAGCTGGTTCAGAGTGTTGTCTTTCTCAGTCGCACCGCCTCCCATCGACATTCCAGTGGCTCGTTTTCTAGTAATCGATTTAGAATGTGATTCATCAATAAAATGGTCGAACTTACTTTCCGATGGCGTCTAACTCGTCGATAAAAACGATGCATGGCTGGTTTTTTCGGGCGATAGCGAACATATCTCTAATGTCTTTAGCTCCTTTTCCGGCTAACGACTGGACGAATTCCGAAGAGGCCTTGTAATAAAACGGCACGTTGCAATCATTTGCGACTGCTTTTGCTAACATGGTCTTTCCGGTGCCAGGTGGCCCGGTCAATAGAACACCTTTAGGCATTCGCGCGCCGAGGGAAGTGAAACGGTCGGGATTCTTGAGGTACTGGACAAACTCCTCGATTTCTTGCTTCTCTCCTTTCATTCCAGCGACATCTGATAGCTTTACGTTGGTCTTCATAACTGGCGTAATCGAGTTTTTCTTGGCATTAGGGTTGTTTGATTCCATTTGGCGCATGACCATCTGACCCATTTGCATCAATCGCTGTCGCAATCCCTTCACTGTTCCTCCGCCAATAACTAAAGAAGACATAAATGAAGATTTGAGAGAGATAAAACTTACAAAGATAGTAAGCTGTGATTATCATGGAGAAAACACAACCGAGAAGTTGGCCTTGAATGTTCGCTTTGTAGTCCGAAAAGTCGTGAATAGATTTGAAAGTCGATCCAGTCGTCAATGTTCGCAAATTTCTCCCAGCTAGAATATTCTTAGAGACTGTTTTTCAAGACCAATTCTAACCGATTCTTTCGCTTGGATGAATGTTGTACTCATTTTCAAACTTTCCGAGCTCCGTATGGAAATTGTTGTAGTTGACGTTCATCAAGAACTTTTGGCCATTTTGAAGGCTGACAACGACTTCTTTTTGCTCTGTTCCGTCGAATCGGATTACCATGTCTTCTACCTCGCCACGGGCAAGATAGTGCGTGAAGAATCTATCCATTGGAATTCGGTCCAAGTTTTCCAAGTCTAAAGTACTCGTAAACTATCGCCAATTCGTGTTTCGTGTTACGTACCTTCTTGCATACGCATTTGCGATGTTAAGTCGATATATCTATACAACGAGTCCAAACCAATCAACAAAATGATTCCAAGAAGTATATTTACAGCCATATTGAGGGCTCTCTCTTTCTTCGCATTCTCTTCTTTGAGCACATTTGCTTTAGCTTTCTCTTCTTTTGATCTGATCTTTTTCTTTTCTTGTTGAACTTTTCGATATTTCTCAAAAGCCTCCAGATGATCTTCTGGTTCTGGCTCTTGTTCCGCTTTGTCGGAATCGGTTCTTTTTGTTCGACGAACTCGACGATCCAGATTAGTTGTGAGGCTCAATTGTCTGGCTGAAAAGATAGCGCTATAATTGGGAAAGCGTGTCGATTATGCCGCATAATTTATGCGAATACTTACATTGTGGAAAGTTAACGGGACGAAGAGAAACTCGCCTGGCTAATAAAAAGCTCCTGCTTAAAAATAATCTCTGCATCATGATTTTTTCTTTAGTTTTTATCCCTTTCTTTTGCGTGTTAAAATTTCTTGCTCATGAATCAGAGAATCTTCTCGAAGCGCACAACCGATCTCGATTCTCAATCTGACACAAACATTACGTAACAGCGTTTCCAGAGCCTTTTTTTTGCCCCTAGGGTGGAGGTACGTATAGGCACATTAGAATTGAGAATTTCACACATTTGAACATGTATTGTGAAACGGGCAGTAAAATAGAATTGGCTCTAGAATCGCTTTCGTCGCGCGACTTCTGGTTTCCACAGGATCGGGTTCGTTTCTTCTGTTGCTTCCGCATCTTCCTTGTAAAGTTTGATAGTCTAAAAGGAAAAATTTTAAACCCAAAAGAAGGCATTTTTTTGAGCCTAACCTTATCACCCTCGCAAGAAATCAGTCGACTCTCTGACTTGTCAAAGGCCAGAGCGAAAATGCCAGATTCGGAATCGAGCGAGCCAGGCTGCACTGGCGCCTGATATCGCTGGAAATTGTAGCCAGTTCTCCAGTCGAACCACTGCATGGTTCCGTTGTCAGCGCCGGAGACCATGACACCGTCGGAGTTGATCGCCAAAGCGTTCAAGATCGAGTTGTGGCCGGAGACGTTTTGGATGAAGTTGCCTAGAAAAGGGATACTTTTTAGCATTCGCTCTTGTTAGAGAAATTAGTACCATCAGGGAACTTCCACTGTTTGATATTGTCGGGAGCAGCTGAAGCAAAAGTGTACTGTTTGGGATGAAGAGCAAGAGCGCGCACGGACTTCTTGTGATTTGTCAAAGTACAGTGACTAAAAAAACGATTTAATTGAGGATGAACAATCGAAAAGTGCTGGCTTACGTTTTGCCAGCAGCCAAATCCCAAAGTCGAACGGTTGTATCGTGAGAAGAAGTAATCACTTGAGGCTCAGCGGCTTGACATCGCACGGCTGCTACTGTATTTGTATGGCCTAAAGAAGAGTTGACATTCAATGATCAGTACATAATCAGGGTAGATTAATCTAAGGTAAACCTGTAAGAGTCATGACATTAGCCTTCGTTCTCATGTCCCAAACTCTTCCACAAGCATCTCGGCCAACTAAATTTCATGATAATTATTCTACAATATTTAAAAATCTCTACCAGAAACAAGAACATCAATAGTAGGATGCAAATCCAAGCCGTAGACCGATGATAAGTGACCGTGATAATGTCTGATAACTCGATTGTATTCCATATCCCAGCACTTGACTGTATGATCTTGTCCGCAACTGAAGATGTAGGGGTGTCTCGTCGATACTTTCACGCCTCGGACCTCGGAAATATGACCAGTCAGGGTTAGCTTCAATTTTCCACTTGCAGAGTCCCAAATTTTGATGCATCTAATTGATTAAAAACTGTAAAAACTGCTCTATTTATTTAAAAATCTACCTATCATTAGATCCCGTAACAAACCACTCGTTTCCAGGCTCGAAGTCAACGCAACGAACCCACCCAATATGCCCAGAAATGACTCGATAAAGCTTCCAAGGCGCGTGCCATTTTGGCTTCGGCATCACTGGAGCTTTTCGCTGGGCGATCTTCATCTTTTCCTCTTGCTTGTCTTTGTCTGATTTTACTGTTTTATGATCACAAAATGAACTAAAATGGCAAAATTCCCGAATAAAAGTTGATCAAAATTTCCTGGTACAATAGCTCCATGTTGATTTGGCCTGGCAATCGGCGTCGGCACATTTTCAGTTCGATTCTGTTTCGCTACATCGCCGTCTCCAACGAGTGATTTTCCATCTGTAATGGCGAGTGTCTTCTCCCCTTCGATCGCCAGCGCCCGGCCAGGAATCTTGGCTGCTTTAGGTTGACTCTTCTCTAATCCGCCATACTCTTGCTTCGTCTTTATTGCTTTCTTCATTTCTTCGGCAGTTTTATCTTCAAGGATTTTCAATTTATCGACCCTTAGAAAGTCACTCGTTCCGTACCTGCTTCAGGCATGCATCCGTGGTCCGAAATGAAGGTATCGTGAGTTCTTTTCAAAGATCGGAAGCAGAGGGTATGCACCCCGTGCTTCGTTACTGGCATTTGCTCGACTTCGGCGCTCATTCTGAATATCATTATTTTTAGAATGTTCTTTAGATAGGATAATAATATATTCAACAAATTTCGAATCTAACGACATGATTCCATCTACGACTGAACCCTAACCATTCAGATGAATGAAAATGGCATTCTCGGGACCAAATCATGACCCCCTTCTTTCTAGTGCTTATCTGAAAGCCCATGATCTTAGGAGTCGAATGGTATGTTACTTAGGGTCTGAGTCATAGAAAATGACGTCATTTTGCTCGAAATAAGGCCCTTATGGGGAAAACCTATGTAGTGCCATAACTTTTTATTGAACATATAAAAGTATATTGATCTTAGGCTCATTCGAAAGAGCAGCTCGAGATCTAGGTCGGGTGAGGAAAATCGCGGTCAACCACCCGGTCAACCACGTGGTCAAAATTTTGAAACCGGCCGGTTAACCACGGTTTCTAGCTCCCGACCTAGATCTCGAGTTCCTCTATCGAATGAGCCCAAAATCAACGTAGCTAAATAAGTCCAATAAAAAGTTATGGCACTACATAGGTTTCCCCCATAAGGCCCTCATTTCGACCAAAATGACGTCATTATCTATGACTAAGACCCTAATTTATATACCATTCGACTCCTTAGATAATGGGCTTTCAGATAAGCACTAGAAACAAGGGGGCCAGGATTTGATCCCGAGAATGACATTTTCATTCATCAATTCATAACTTTTTGATACAGTTTTCATTTTATAAAATTTCATCAGTAAACGGTTAGTTCATGTTTCCAATTGATAATCAAATCTTCTCATTCGTAAAATCAACAGCAAAATATCATTTCTAGAAGCTGGTCGGATTTTCTCTCTTTTTCTTCATCGGGGAAAATGACGCGCGCTGAGTGGTTGAGCTCAGTGAGCGCTCAATTTGAAATTTAGAATTCGCCATTTGAAATGGCCCATTTCGGATTTTTCTGATTTCATATTTCCACATCCTTTTCTTGAGACTTTCTGATCAGATGCTACTGATGGCTTTCATCTCGGAGAGGAAATCGTACAAAAATAAGCTATTTATTATTTTTTTCTTTCTAAAATTAGGATTTAGGACTAGAAATCGGAACTGAATTCTTCGGACAATGATTTGATTGAACTAATACACTGCATTTTTGAACATGATAGAGTTGATTATCTTTGTAAGCCCCTTATAAACCTCGCGCATCTAAAATGACCGATGAAACCGTTCAAAACTCAGGAATCTGGACTGATTTGATTTGGGGCCTCTTTGTGCTCAAATAGAATGATCGTAGATCCTCCTTTATACCTCCCCAACTCTTCACTCACTATTACTTGTCTTCTTTCTGAATACTTTCAACGTCGATGATCGCTTCTTTCTGGAAACAAGCATCCGAAATAGTCGGATCCAATGACGGAAAATAATGATTTATGTAAGCGCCCCAGGATTACTTTTTCCAATAAAAATATTTATATTTTTAAAAATATATATATAAATTTCAAAAAATTGCCACTCTGACTTTTAGGAGGTGTAACATCAACAGTTGGAGGTCGATTTCTTGTTATATCATTATATAGAAAGTCAAGTTGTCCAATTTCAATTACCCCTGTATAACAATATTACTTATATTATAATAGACTATTAGTAATAGTCATATTTAATAAGATAAAAAGTAACCCCTTTTTGAAGGATTTGGCTGGATGCAGGTCTTCGTAGGGGTCGCCTTTTGAGGGCGCGCTGCCTCGCTACCGCGTCCGCTCATAGTCGGGCAGCGCTATTTTTCCCAAAAGAAAAGCTCCGACACTTTTTTGGCACTTTGACTTTCCGTTCTAGGGCTTAGAGAGTTCATCAATCGGAGGAGTGTACTTAGAGATAATGAGCGCAGAAAGGGGTGAAGAAGACACTGCTAAGAGTAAATCTTTGGACGATCAATTGACGGAGCTAGAATCAATCCCGAATCGAAATGCAGCTGCGGAGGAACGGTTTTCATGTAGCAAGATAGCATCCTTTTCTTCACGAAGTTATTGAGTTCACGGTTCAATCATGAAATTCGGGTCAGAAAAGGTTTCAATTGATCGCTGCAAACTTACCCGCTGCGCTGCTGAACAAAAGGATCTGGGACGAGAAGCGGCAAAACTGCCTAAATGTGTCATTCGCAAAGTGCTCCGCGCCGATGAAGATCCTTAATGTGAGTTTATTCAGAAATTACTGGTTGGCCATTTCGATCGATTTTCGATTTCGTCCAAATTTATTGAATTAAAGATTGAGATCTTTGTTTGGGAAATATAGAAACAAGTTCGGCCGGGTGAAAAGGACACATTTTATGGCCTGCGCTATAGAATAATCATAAAGGCGATCTGCTGTAGCCCGTGTCTTTCTCTTTTCCGCCCAAAAATTACTCTACCGCAACGTTCCAACACCGGCGCTAAATAAACAACCGTCACGGGAGCCTGATCTTCTGGATGTTCAGATGGTCGACCAGAACTTCCGGTTTTCATGCATCGCGACTTTTCTATTGCCCGTTATTCATCGGCTAATCGGCGTGTTGTTTATGCATTAGAATAGCATCAATTTCAGGCCTGCAAAGCAGTGAAAATCGACCCTGCCAAGCTGAGCGATCTTTACGGAAGGACGTTGCTCCACGTTGCCGCGCGCGTACCCGACCTGGCCGCTGCGGACGAGCTGCTAAAACTAGGCGCCGATGTTAATTAGGGGTCATAAAACGAGGAATCATCAATCCAAGCCATTTGATTTCCTATCAAATATATGTTAACAAGTTATTAAGCTTGACCCCGTTTTAGCGCTACAAATGCCTCAGGTGTGAGCCCGCTTCATTCCGCAATGGCCGCAGGGCATGAAAAAATGGCCGTGAAGATCCTTGACGGCGGCGGAGATCCTGCACTAGAATCATTATCGGTACGGGCGCCAAAATTAGCTTGCTAAGCAAAAAAAAACCTGTCCAGAGTGAATAGGCCAATGTAGGGGTGCACGGTCGGGGGCACTTTGCTCTCATCGAGAAGTAGCTGAGGAAACGGCCCACTGTGCGTGTCACGTCTCTTCAGTTGCTATAAGCTCGGCAATATCGAGCAAGCTTCGAGCGGCATTTACCTCGTGCCTTCTTTCCGGAATCTGCGGTTCTACCGGATGAAAACCTTGACAATTTATAGCTGATTATGATTTTTGTAACAACTCTTCAACGGAAATTCGAATTTTTTCACATTCATGTGCGCTATTTTACGGCGGTAATGATAATGATGAAATAAGGGTATACAGAGTTGATCCCCGTCGCGACGGCGTCTGGTGGATTTCCTTGAAAATTTAATATTTACCAGATAACTAAACTCTGCTGTCGTTTCACCCTGTTTCGTGTCTTCTGAATCCACTTGAGTCACTCTCAACGCATTGAGCGTCGTGTGCCGCCGGTGTAGAAATCGCATACCAATAGACTGTGTCTTCGGATCCAGCACTTAAAACGAGTTCTACAACGAGGCAGGGAAGAAACGGACCAGCGCCCGACCCATGTGGGAGGCAGCTGCGGGCACCCCGGTCGCGCCGAGATTCTGCTCTACGCAGATTAGCGCTAACCAGAACTATGCCAGCCGGTGAAAACATTAGGAGACACGCAGAAGTGTCACCATTTACCTTTTCTTCTACCCCCAATTACCGTTCAAAATCTAAGAAAGAAACGAACTCTTAACAATTAAAGACAAAACCCACGGCATTTTCATGTTCTTTCTTTGAAAAGCTAACATGCTAGACAACCCCGCAATCCGACATAGACCCTTTCTTTTCTTGTTGAAACCCTAAGCACTCAATTTTCGGCAGTAATGACGGCAAATTGCCCTCAAAAGGAAAGCTGCTAGAAAAGAAAAAGTGTTATAGTAATCTCATCTGAGATTGTGGTATGCGAACCGGCCGGTAGTGAGCCATTTACTCGGCGATAGACCTTTTCCTCGCTGGCCTAAAATTGCGATAAGGGCAATATTTGGCGTCCATACAAAGTGGCGAATCTTTCGCGTTCCTTACCCCGGATTACCCAAGGATGTGTGGAATTGTACACGACCAGATGTCGACGTTGAAATGCCAAAAGAACTTTACGACCGACTGCATGTCCCCAAAATGGCGTGTAAACCGCAAAACTACAGTAAACATCAATCAGGCATATTCAAAGCCTCTTTCGAGGACGATATAGAAACTGTTACGGAGTTCATTGAGAAAGAAACTCATCTGAGTAAGTCGCCACGGAGAATTTCTTTTACAGAATTTACACTAGCACTAGATATCCGAAACTGGCGAGGAGACACGCCACTAACATGTGCCATACGCGGTCGAGCTGACAATACAATCGACTGGTTATTGGAGAACAAGGCTAGCCCGGAATTCGGAGGGTGGTTGTATGAACCGCCAATCGTAGCCGCTACTGCAATCAACAACGAGTCCGCAGTAGAAACTCTGCTGAGAAAGGAGATAGGTACAGGTAGTTATTACGAAAGGGATATATTCATAATAAGACGCAGTTTAACTGCTTAACCACGGATGATTAAGATCAATTGTGGTATAAAAATCGAAGTAACATCCTAAGTTAACGCCGAGAGCATAAATCACGCTCATACATTCTGTTTTCGCTGGATTTATTATCACCCTGTTTTCATAGATGTAGACGGTGTCGACGAGCGTGGCTGGACCGCAGTGTTGATTGCTGCTAAAGCAGGCTTTTACTCGTTAACGAAGAGGCTCATCAATTTCGGTGCAGACTTGAGTCTGCGTTCCAAACAGGTGAGTCGTATAAATTTATAAAAAATCAGCCTGAAATTGATTTAAGGGTGACTCTGTCACTTATTGGGTGGCAAAGAATAATTGGGAGGACGTTTATGAGCGGATAACGCAAGAGTCAAACTTCAAATACCTCTTCCAAGATGCGATGGAATTCGCGGAAGAACAAGACGAGGAGCAACTGCCTGCTCTCTTGAAGAACAAGGATCAAAATGTGAATACAAGAAGACCTCCTGCCTCGCCCGAAGGACCGCCTGCCAAAAAAACCTGTCAATAATGCCATCATTTTACATACAGAATATATTGAAAAATCGGCGATAAAACAAATCATGCCTTCGATGATGATATTTTTACTTCTGGATCATCCGCAGCGTAGAGCGGAGATGAGTTCTTCTGGTTCTCGATTTCTTGTAGCATTTGAATCAAAACGCAGCTTGTGCACCACATTGCAAGGCAAAAGTTTCGCATTGGTCCTTCATCTAGAATTCCGAAGCGCATCATGAATTTGAATCGCGTATCTGTTACTGCCCAAGTTCCACAGCAAAAAGGGTTGAGAAAGTAAAGAGCGCAGTAAGGCCAGCCTTTTCTCCCAATTTGCTCGTTTACAGTTCCTAACGCGACGCAAGGGCAAAGGAATGAAAGAAGGCAGATTCTAGGGCCGAAATTGAACCAGGAGCCAAGTTCATATTGCCAACACCCATCAACAGTTATGTTGAAGTCTGGTCCTGCCCTGTAACTCCCATCTGTTGGCTGAAAGAACATGAGTAAGTGCTGCCAACTTTCTGACTGACCTTTTTGTTGTATTTTGTTAAAGTTCCACGCTTTCCCAGTGGCTGTTCGACGACTGCCATCTGTAAATTTCGTCTCTATGAGTCGACTTTATTTTGAGTTTAAGATCCGCGGAAAATATACTGGGCATATCGGACAAATGCGGCGGTTTGATCGAGCTCCGGGGTAATCGCTGTGACAACGTTGTGGTTGTATCAGTTCGGACACGGCAAATAAAAATGTGTAACACCCTAGGAAAGGATATTAGTAATAGGCTACTTTTCACTTTATGAAGTTATTGCATCACTGGCGGTTTGCAGTTGTTTGCATTTTGCAGACGAAAACGGCTCGAAGTCATTGCTCTGCATATTTGCTTTGCTAACAGCGGCCACTCAAGTGAATCTTTATCCATCAGTAATCCGAGAAAATGATTCCCGAATTTCCCGTTGTTCCTGGCCGAGAGCTCAATGATGGCACCGTCATGCCTCAATTTGGCCTTGGAACTTGGCTCTCGCCCAAGGGCGATGTCGAAGCTGCTGCTTTGACGGCTATTCAGCTCGGTTACCGACATATTGATGCCGCTTGGGTGTACGGAAACGAAGCCGAAGTTGGAAACGCCGTCGCAAAGGCTATCAAAGACGGTTTCGTCAAACGAGAGCAGCTCTATTTGACCACCAAGCTGTGGAATATCTTCCATGATCCCAAAGATGTCGATCGAGCTTGCGACATGTCTCTCAAGAATCTTCAAACTGACTACATCGGTAGGATAATTTCATCTTGAATCAACCTTTATGGGAAAATAGATTGCTATCTGATGCACTGCCCAATGCATTTTGTCGGGCCAGATGATGGACCAGCGCTCCTTGATGAATCCAAACCAGCCTGCCCCGGTAAGATGAACATAGAAATAATTTTCCTATCATGTCCTTAGCTAATGGAAAGAAACCACATCTGATTGGTGACGCCGACTATCTTGATACCTACAAGGCAATGGAGAAACTCGTCCAGGCAGGCAAAGTCAAATCGATTGGTGTTTCCAATTTCAACATCTTTCAACTGCAGCGCATTTTGAACAACTGCACAATCAAACCGGTCGTCAACCAGATCGAGGTCCACCCTTACCTCACCAACGATGCTCTGGTCAATTTCTGCCAAGAGAACGATGTCCAGGTAATGGAATTTTTCAATTAAATTTCATATACAAAAATCTAAAGGTCATGGCGTACTCTCCACTCGGAAATCCGTCTAAGCCAGTTACGCGAGTCTGGGACGAGAACGCAAAAACCATCCTCCAGGACGAAAAACTCCTCGCTATGGCGAAGAAATACAACAAGTCTGTCGCCCAAATTTGCATTCGATTTGGCATTCAGCGAGGTCTCATTCTCATCCCAAAAGTAATCAGTTTTAGTGGATACCTAGAAATTAATGTTAAGACAACCAATCCTCAACGTTTGACCGAAAACGCTGATGTCTTCGACTTCGCGCTTGAATCTGGCGAAATGGACACGATCTCCGCGATGAACCAAAACTTCCGAGTTGTTGAGCTCCCACAAAATGTTGGAGTCAGATACTACCCTTTTGTTGATAACTATTCTGAGTAAAGTTATTAGAATAACATCAATAAATAGACAAAATCTACAAAAATCATGTTTATTTCAGCAAAGTATAAAATCGGGAAACTGTCATGTGCTTTCAAAAATTGAAGTAATTGAAGGATCTGGTGGAAAACATCGGATCAGAGTTGTAAAAATATCGTCCGTCGTCTGTTCCTTCTCGAGCTTCAACACAATCTTCTCATTGCATATGCATTGATATATCAATTCTTAGTATCAAAACTTTTGAGTAATTCATGGTAAAAATTTAAAAGCTCTAACTTCAGGCTCAAAGAAGGGCGACGGGAATCCAGTGTTAGAATATTCACCGTAGTCGTTGTCTCGCCAAACTCTGCAGTTACCCAAATTCAGCAAAAGAGAAAGAACTACTCCTTTATTCATCTCTTCCTTCGAAAATTCTTCTGATTAACTCCTTGCTCTTTGTTTATTATACTCCTCTTCTCGATAAAAAAAGGTCATTATATACGCCTCTCGAAATCACTTCAGAAGATGGGGCTAGAGAGTCAACCCAGCGCCTCTGAATGTGCATTCTGAAACATATTTTCATGACGCAAAGAAAAGTTTCAATTAATAATGGAGGGATTTCCTCATAAACTTAACAAAATGCTTTCTTCACTGACAATACATCATTGGTAAAGCTTTATTAAGAGACCTTAGAAATATATAGCTTATATCATCGATTATCAATTTGATTACCGAAAGTACAGAACTGTTTTAAACAGTAATACTGTAAACTCCTAGTTAATGCCACTGACAGTGCTACCACCCAATATTTTCGAAGAAAAAGGGATGAAAATGTACGAACGTAACGGAAATAACTGTAGTTTTGTTTGTGACTGATATTCATATGAATATTATATTTCTTGAACTTATTTACAACGACGATATCTGATTTTAACTCAAATTTATTCAAGAAAGAGAATCTTGGATACCATCGACAAAACTTTCAATAGTAATCCTGTCAACTTCAGCGACCGAGAATGGATGTTAATCTTATAAAGAACTTGGTCGAAGACAGGTTAATCAGATAAATGTTCATTACTGCATGCTACATTCAAGTAATTCAATAAGTAAAACTTTGTTAAAACGGTACAAGAATGAATTTTCATTTATTCTTCCCCATGCAAGAGAGCATCTGATTCCTGAAATCAATTCATTAAAAATTACTAGCCAAACGTTATGCAATCTTGAAAATCTAAGAAGTCGAGAGTCCGGACTTCGCAATAATTTTTATTTATACAGATTGAATTCATAAGGTGTCGACCTCTTCGCTATGTTATATAATTTAGAACTAAGTGCTCGTCAAGAGTAAATAAAAGAAAGAAATAGACAGAAGGAGGTCTAAATAAACAGAAAAAATGACCGTAGAAAATGCCGGTCAGAAGGCGCAGAAGCAATAAAGTGATAGTAGCCAAGCGTTGTTAGAAATCATCAGAATTCAGTGTCGGACAATTCTTTTTCAAAAGCCGGGCTGACCTGAGACTTCCGAACATCTTCCACTTTCTCGTTTCCTCCCTCTAACTCGGCCTCCCTTGCACGAACAGCTTCTGGAAGACATCCTGCACAAGAAGCTTGGTAGCCAAAGAACCACATTCCTAAAAACGCTGCAGCTGCACCGACGGCCATCGCAAACATTTGAACGAGGAAGTTGTAAGGCGTATCACTAAGTTTTTTGATTATTTAAAGATTCTAGTGTAAGGTCTACTTTACAGCTCACAACGGCTAAAGTCAAGCTCACTGCGCACAATATACCGTATTTTCCCGATACGCGTCGCCGTGTATTACCTGAAGACGAGCGCTGTTCCTAAAACAGGCATGGACAGATTTCCAAGTGCATTTCCCAAGCCAAAAATGAAAAACCACTTTCCCGACATATTTGTCAATATCGACGAATAGCTGATCCCGCTGCCATAGAAGCTTGCCGTGCCAAGCCCGTAGAAGAATGTACAGACCCACAAAACGATTTGATCTTCGGGCCAAATTAGCAGAATTATGCATGGGATGCCGATTAAGACCAAGTCTTGAGAGGGTTTTTTAACTCTTTTCTTAGGTCATGCTTTCAATTAGCATAATTCATTGTCCATAAATGACTTTCAAATCAAATATTTCAACCCTATCCGATCAGAATAAAAACACCAGGCGTAATGAACCTTGTTATAAAGATACCGCTGCCTCTGCCGAGTCCGAATCCTCCCCAGAAAATCGAGTTGAGAAGCGTTGCGTCATTGATGTCCATCTTTACATCTGTGCATACTGCCCACTGAAGTTACAGTACATATCAGTGTGTATATTTCTTTTCAATTATGGAAGCACAAAGGGATGATCCTCATTTACAAGATTATATGCGCTCCTTTGCATTAGACACCTTAGTTAGCATAGTATGTTTTTCCCCGAAACAGACTGATCTTCTCATCTCTCAGGTGTCGGGATTACTGTACTTACAGAAAAGATGTTCGCCTGGTACGTGTTTTCGCCTCCGACAATACAGAAGTAATAAATCGTAACGCAGAGGAAATATGCCCAAACAGTGCCAAATTTGTCTTCTTTTCTCGTCTCACATTCTACTTCGTCGTCGCCTTAGACCGTGTATTTACAATCAAATTTACAGACTATTACTGTATTACTGTAGTCTGCAGTCATAAGAAAATATTTCTTTTAGTACATTTCCTGCGATCTTTTCGACAATATTGATACAGAAAAGCCACAAGACCAAAGCCGCAGCGGTCAACATAATGGCCATTCCGATCAAATAAGGGGTCAGGATAACATTTTCATCACCAATGCCAACACATGCTCCTGGGTCACTTCCGGCATCGCACACATTGTCGTCCACATTTTCGTAGAAGGGAGTAACGATGAGTGGGGCGATGAAGGCACCAATGCTGAAGGTAAAGTGGTGTAGTTGAATTATAGAAGCGGAGGAAACCGATCCCCAAATCTTGAGGATTATGACCTGCCCGGGGTTCAATCGGTTTTCAATTTATCTACGGATTCTCAAGACGGACGATCACGCGCTGATTGACCTCCAGTCCTGAATGGCAGCATCGATGTACCCCAGCATGATCCCTGTAACGCTTATAACGAGGATCATTATCCAAAGATCGGTGAGAATTGGAATTATTCCTAAGCTGGCGCCACAGACAGCCGCGGAGATGAACAGCAAAAACATGTGGCTTAGCTTGTCAGTTTTGTCGACCATTGGGGCCAGAAGACTACCAATTAGGAGACCAGCGGATCTTCCAGCTTTCAACGGGTTTTAGCCAGATTTAGATCTAGTCACTTTCCAGTAATATCCAGAAACCAGGCCTAATATCCATCCGACAGTATCTGGCGTCTGACAAAGATGCTCAGCAAGTACAGGCAAGGTCGGTCCAGTAATCGAATAGATTATTCCCATTCCAATTCGAACTGAACAATTATTGAAAACAAATCTCCCAAGCTAACCGAAAGAAATGCAAAGCAAAATAGTCAAACCTGAGCTCATGACAAGAAGAAAGATCCATTTCAAATACCTCTCTTTCATAACGGGAAGTTTTCCAAAACGGTCAAATGCTAAATAAAATGAACAGTTCCCTCGTTTAACAATCTGACAGTGCAAATGTTGGAACAAGCTTTGCAGGGAGCACAAGCTTTTTCTTCTCTACTGTTAAACACAAATATCGGCGCACCGGCTTGGCAGGGGCGAGTAAATTTGCGCAAAGTACAGCAGTTCCAGAGCTAATGATAGCTTTCTATAGAATTTGGTTTGCGGGGTTTATTCTAATTTAAGAATTATTTTAATTCCTGTATACAATCCTAATGAAAACATGCAAAACAAACTTCCTGTTCTTCAGAATAGTAATTTTATTTGTATCACAAATTAAAAATCCGTTTCATCAGATTTCGAGAGTTTCTTTTCCGGTAAAACCTGGGATTTTCTCAGACTCGGCGATGAGTTCTTCTCATAATCTTCATCCCTTGCTTTTCTGATTGCTGGTAGACAGGACGAGCCTTTAGCTTTGTACCCGGTGTACCACATTCCAATGTATCCGAGAACTGTGCCGATGGCCATCGCGAACATTTGGATCATGTATGAATTCGGATTATCACTAATGATATTTTCCGATTTATACTTTCGTCTTGTAAAGATCGTCTACCTGTAAACAAGGGCCGTTCCAAGGACGGGCATTGATAGGTTTCCAATAGAATTACCAAGAGCAAATATAAAAAACCATTTTCCAGACATATTCGTCAATCGAGATGCATAGGTTATTCCGCTTCCATAGAAAGTGGCTATTCCAAGGCCCCAGAAGAAAGTGCCACACCAAAGGACAATCTCGTCAGCTGGCCAAATAAGCATCACAACTGAGGCAGCTGTGATGACAACGCTATCTTTATCATTTGCTCAGAAAAATCTGAACAGAGGAATCTCTCAAATTTTTTTCTCAACAAGTTCCTATAATAATGTACATTCCAGGCGTTATAAATCTCGTGACAAAGACTCCCGCGCCTCTCCCAAGAATAAATCCAGCCCAAAAGATGGAGTTCAACACGGTGGCATCAGTAGCTTCCATCCCTACTTCTGTGCACACGGCCCACTAAGGTCAGTAAATATAGACTGTATAAAAAAAACTAACTTACCGAGAAAAGATTAGCCTGATAAGTATTTTCTGCTCCAACTATACAAAAGTAATACACTGATATAAAGAAGAAAAATGGCCAGAGCGTTCTCAGTGAATCTTCTTTTCTTGTTTCAACCTTGGAATTTTATGTCGATCAACTTCCACATTCCTTTTTCTCACCTCGACTTCTTCATCAACAGAAATCTTCTCCACAATATCAATAAAATAGAGCCAGAGGACTCCTGCAGAGGCGAAAAGCATCCACCCCATTCCGATTAAAAATGGCACTAGAATCACATTGTCGTCATCGATTCCACAAGTGAGGTCGTCATCGCCAGAAGTACAAACTTGATCGTCGACTTCTTCGTAAAAGGGATTGACGATAAGAGGAGCGATGAAGGCCCCAAATCCGAACATAAAGTGGTGCAGCTGGATAATGGAAGCGGATTTAAACGAGCCCCAAACTTTGAGAATAATGACCTTGAGGGAGGCTTTTCGAGCGGAGGAAATTAGCGTTTTGCATCATCGAAATCGGACAGCCGTCAAGAAAACAAAAGCTGCCGATTAAAAAAGCCTCAGCCTGAATAGCAGCGTCAATGTATCCCAACATGATCCCTGTAATGCTAATAACAAGGATCATTATCCAAAGATCAGTAAGAATTGGGATTATTCCCAAGCTGGCACCGCAAACTGTACATGAAAAAAAGATGAGAATAACGTGTCCGATTTTATCGGTCCTTGAGACTTGGCTTACTTAATTATTCTAAAGCAATTGAGATTCCACGTAAGCCACGTTCCTATCGACGAAGGGGCAAATAATGCTGCCAATGAGGACACCGGCAGATCGACCGGCCAAAATCCACCCAACTGTGTCTGGACTCTCACACAAGTGCTCCGCTAGAACGGGGAGAGTGGGACCCGTTATCGAGTAAATAATTCCCATGCCGATAGCCGCTACGATAAGTACATTATTAATAGTAATTTATTATGAAGAAAACTTTCGTCTTGAAATCAAGGAAGAATACCTGCGTTCATCACGACAATGAAGATCCATTTTAGCGAACTTTCTTTCATGAAGCCGCAGTATCTTTTGTCCGCTTTTCTGACCCGCAATAAACTCTTAAAATGAATTATGATCTTGGGGTTACAAAACGAACAGGCCTTTTGTAAATTTGCTTTTTGCTACTTTGGGCAGCCAAAAATCAAACTTTTCTTGACACTGTTTACGTAATGAGGGACTATCAAATTGGAAGTAAACTTAGAAAAAAAGACACCTTAGTGTTCTCTCTTCAAAATATAGCTTATTTGGTCTCTGATAATTACCTCATTTTCAAACTGTACTTCGATTTTATCCCTCTGCATTTCATAAATTTCAAACTTTTTCGGCTTAAGGGGGTCCCCACGATTTTGCGATTTTGCGAATTAGATGTTTTCCTCTTCAGATCTGAATTCCTCGTGTAAAAAGCTGCAAAAAAGGTCTCTAGCTTTTTTCGATTTTTGTAGAAAAAAGTGTCTAAAATCGACCTTGAAGTTACCAATTTTGCTTCATCTTCATAAAAATTGAAAAATCAACCCTTTTTTATAGTTGTCTAAGGGTCGCACATAGCACCTTTTTAGAAAGGCTATGAGCTAAGCTTTCTGAAAATGCCCGAAAATATGGGTTTGGGTTATGCCCAGAGGGCAATTTACATGATTGAAATTTCCGAAATCGTACATTTTTTTGATCGTCTTTGTTACATACACATTTTCTGGAAATAGAAAAAACTGAGAGACGCTTCACTAGATTAGTGTTAGAGCTTTAAGAAACAGCAGGAAAAAAATTTTTTGTAACCTAAATTTTTGGAGTAATCTCAGGTGAAAAAATGGCCAAAAACGCGATTATCTGCGAGATGCTTTCCTTCTCGGCGCCGTTGCGCGGGATGTGGTTGAATTTTAAAGAATCTGAGATACGCTTCACTAGATCTAGGTTTGACCTACTTGTACGTGAAAAAATTTTTGAAAAATATATGTCTGTGTCGGCGTGAGCGCCGGTCGAAAATGGCCAATTTCGGAAAAATCGTTGGGGACCCCCTTAATTTTATTTTGAGAATGCAGCGGGAAGGATTAGGTTCTTTGCAAGTTCCATCAATCATAATTTCATCCTCATATTACGCTTCTACCGGCCGGTACTAGATACTACAAAGATCAATAAAATGAAGCCCTTCGCTATTTGGTCGTTTCAGTGTAAAATTGCCGACAATCTTGCTAGAATACTAGGGACTATCACATGAAGCAAAGTATGAGAAAGTTAAAAGGACATTTTCATCTTCCAGCCTGGAAGTTCCAGGATTCATTTCGATAAGCGCTTTTGAAGCAAGAACGATATCGAGCCATTCATTGCGCGGAGGGATGTTTTTGAAATTCTCAACACGCTTCATCCTGAATCATTTTCCGCAGTATAAAAAGGCTCCCCGAAACTGAAATTTTCACCATTCAAAAAATCTTTTGCTTTTTCGCAACTGAAGACAACAACCAACAACCCATGATGCCTTGCAAATGGATCGCTTCCACCATTGAGCTCCTCTGTGGGATCAAATGCACCAGCATGGAAGAGCGCTTGGAAAGTGCGGAGACAGCGATTGACAAACTTCAGGATCATGTCCTAGACATCGAGGAACTCAAGTCGGAAGTCGCCAAGCTCAAGAAGCGCATTCACAAATCAACTGCTGCGAAGACCATCAGCCAGCAACAACCAAAGAAGCGAGACAACCATGGTTGGGGAGCCGCTCCTTCGGGAAAAAACCCCAAAGTCGTGGATTCAGATGATAACATCGAGGATTTAGATGAGGATCCATCGAACGTCTGGGTTCCCGTTGAACGAGCCATAAATGCGCTTGGAAAGCAATGGTGAACACCTTCTTCCGCTCAAACTTCTGCGAAATCTGATCCGTCCTTTGAACATCTTGGAACACTTCTGGTATTGCAGAAGGGCCCTTTTTAGGGCCACAAATCCTTTCACCTGAGCTTGCTCGGTTTTAGCACTAACCAGTGGATAGTAAATACGCCGTTATATTGATGTGATGAGCCTGACTCTCAGTCACAACGAACTCGCATGATGCTTAGAATAATTATAAAAAAACTAAATAATTAACAAATAGATACTTGTAATAATGAAAAGTACGCTATGATTTTTCGAAAGAGAATAATTTCAACGTTTGTCCTTTTTGGCGCATGACAAAACACCAGACAAGTTCGAGTGTTTCGAGATCAGAACAAATCGACGGCGAACGAACCAGTTGAAGGGGGGGACCGAACCAGTGTCTTTCCGAGGCGCGTGATTGGCGCGCTCCATCTCAATCGCCAAAATTAATATTTCGGTCGATTTCGCCCCCCGTTTTTTCGCTCTTATCCTTACTGCGCAAAGAAATGAGCGTTTTTGAGCGGCCTCTGAGTAGTATATAGAGTGGCTGTCTGTCGAGGGGTTGTGGTTCTCTGTGAATGGCTAAAACGGGTGTGCGCGAAGTTCGAAATTGGACCAATCCTGAACCATTAGGGCGGCGGTGTACATCGAGGTCACTTCCTGTTTCTCCACCAAAGGTAAACAACTGCTCCAGTCTAAACAAACAACTTTCCCTCAGTGATTAGGGCGGCGTGTCATTTCCGGTCGCATTCTAGAGCCAATCAAAGGTAAACAATCTACACCAATCAACTTCCGGTTTCATTCTAGCGCCCATTTCCTCACTAGTCATAACAATGGTCTCACTAATCATAACAATGACCTTCAGATGAGTAAACACTCGACATAATCATAACAATGGACACAACGACAGTGATGACGTTATCCCCCACTTGGAACAGCAGTGACCTTGACAAGGAAGACCAGAAGAGCAAACATCTGAGTTCAAACAAGGTAACCATTCCAAACTACAAAACATATCCTCACATAACTTTCAGATCCGAACATCTACTGCAGACAATGATGACAACTGCAACTACTGTTACGTAATCAATACTGTAAGATCATTACTGGAAGACCAACAAAACTGTAATTATCCTGCCAATATAATCAAGCAATAATAGACAACCAAACAAATCAATTTCAATGCACTTTTATTCCTCAATACACTGGGAAAAAACGTACTTTAGTTCAGTATCAAAAGCATCTGTTTATGAAATCTTCAAACATTTCGTCAAATGCAGCGTCTTTTAATATCTCGTCGACTAGCTGGTAGACTTCTTTTCGTCTTCTTTTAAAGTCGGATGGTTTCTTTGAGAACTTGTTGACTTCACGCAGGCTTGTCGATGTATCTTCTCGAGGGATGCCCATGTTTCTTCCGTTTAACCTACTTTATTCAAAGTACTTACTTTTGTTATAATTAGAATATCTCTGATAAAAAACTCGTTTACCTCTCAAGTCTCTTTTCTCTCTTGACTGTGAAGGTCTAAGTCAAGGTCTCGGTCAAGTTGTTTCCTGTTTGTCCTCTATCATCCAAACAACCGCATCTAGCAAATTCTACGCTTCAGCTACGTCTACCAAAGGTCATAACAACAATTTTTGCATTGCAGATTTTTGCTAGCATTCATAATTATTTATGATTACGCAACTTCAATCTGACCAAAGTACATAACAAAGTATTTTCCTGCAATTTTTTGACTCTCAGGCGGTTTCTTTCATGATTTCTTTATTGATATTCATTTTTACATATTCAGAAGATTCCTCTCTAGAAAGGAGCGGTGAATTATTGTTTCATTTTATCATATTTATTAAACAGTAATATATAATAGTTTCTGATCGATTTTAAAAGATCTGCATAAGCTTATAGATTCATTTTATAATATTTTTATTTACATTTTATCACATTAAATTATTTTGCATTATTTCATCGATCTTCGGCTTCATTTTATAATCCCACTAATTTAGCGTAATTTCATCGATTTCTTGTTTCATTTCATCTCTTTTTTTGGTTTTTGTTAAAATTTTGTGTTTTTTTTGATTTTGTGTTTTATGTGTTGTTCCTGCTCAGTGCGCGCTGCTTTTTGTAGCGCTTGTTCGCGTCATATCCGCGATAATCGGACTCGAGTTCGAATCCTCTACGTTGATCTTTCCGTTTCAACCTGGGGATTTCGTCATGACTGCTCTCTGCTTCGTCGAATGCACAATTATCAACGATCAATGCAACAGTTCCATTCTTCTCAAGAATGGGGCTATTTCATCGAAGTTGAAGTTTGTAGATTAGTGATGATGTTTCCCAGGGCCACAATATCTGTCAATAATTCTATAAACAGGTATGCTGACCGTTGAAAATTTCACCATATACTATAGTTCAGTTTTTATGTAGATTATGAATTTTAAAATACCACCGGCTGCATTTCTGTTTATTTGTTACTATAAGCAGACATTCAGACGGTGACATTGTAAAATAGGTGACAAAGAGTGAATCTCTATGAAATTTGAAGTCGTTGTTGCTTTCATAAATAGTTTTTAGCCTGGTGGCGCTCGCTCACTAAAAATTTGACGGCCTCTCTTTTGCGCCTGTTCTATTGGAAATAAAATCTGACGGTCGGGTCGAGATCTTCATTCAGATTTGACAAATAAATATTTCTCAGTTTCTCTAGTGTCGTCTATGAGAGATGTGCTGTTCACTCTTTTCGATGTCGGATGCCGCCTGTACTTCGCACTCATTGTGGTAAGTTACACTGCTAATTGATCCGAGTTTATTTTATATTTTAGATTGCTTTCCTTGGAGAATTAGTAACCGAGGTGATTTTCCCTGGATTGTATGAAAGGATGTCTACAAACGAAAGCTTCTCGTCTGGTCGACTGATTGATAAATCGAATGCATTGCTGGGTTGAATGAGAAGACGGACTGAGTGACAGCACAATCTGAACCCTATAATTATATATGTCTCCTCCAATCTAGGATGTCACAAATTTTTCATCTTTTTTATCGCCATCTACTTTTACTTTATGCTCGGTTTTTTTTTTCTGACTTGTTTTAATGTGTATGAAAATTGTTTTTTAGAAAGATCTCGTAGTCCTTTTGTAAATATTGTACCTTTACAAGCTAAAACACTGTCAATGACTAGCGGCCTGTAGGTTTTTTTTTTAAAAAGTAATTCTGTTGCGGTTAGAAAAATCTAGTTGTACCGTGTTAGGGTTAGGTTAGGGCGTTCTTAAAAGTTCATCTCTGTACCTGTTCTGTTAAGTTCATGCATCTGGGTGCACTACAGTTTCTATTAAATTTCATTTCTGTTCACAAAACTACATGAAACTGTCACACATACACCTTAATAAAAAAGGACCCACATATTTTCTAGAGTTTGTGTTGTTTCTTAGCAAATTAGAAATTACGAGGTTATCTCAGCAAAAAAAGTTTCTAGAACTCTGGGAAGCTCCGGACTATATAAACAAGCGCGAGCTGGTCAAAAGTCAGTTTTACAATTTGGTAAAACAAAAAAAAAACAGTTTCCGCTGCAGATTGCGCGTTGATTTTGAAAGATGGTCCGATCCGCTACTCGACGAAACCAGAAGCTCGCCGCCAAGAGCGCCAAGGCAACCCCAACTACTTCGAACCCGTCGCCATCGAACGTGGTCAAACGAGAACCTCGTCGTTGGGCTGCTCGATCACCACCTCTGCGTTCCGCTCGGCCGCTCTCATCCGACGAGTGGCCAGAACTTCCACGATCTAGTTCCACCGAAGAAGCACCTCCTGCTTCGCCGATTGTCTCACCACCACGTGGGTCTGGCACACCGCGACAAAGTACGCCAAAGAAATCCGACCACCCTCAAAAACTTCGAACTGGCGTTCGAGTGTTTCAATTCGACAACATCGGTGCCGAAACCCGCCAAGCTCCTCCTCTTCCTGACCGTCCACCTGCAGTTGGAGAATCTGACGATATTTCCCTGGCTGAAACAACGTCGTTTGATAGACAGCAGGATGCAGAAGAAACCGTCCACCTTGCAAACGACGACGAGACAAAACTTGAAGCCTTCACTTCTGGTTTTCTCTTGAAGTCCGATTTTGATGAATTTTCGTCGTTGTCCCGCTACAACGATAATGTCGTCAAATCTGATTGGTTTTTTAGACCTGTTAAAAACAGGTCTTCTCCAGAAGGGAATTGGAACTTCCCGGCCAACTGTAAGTCTTTTAATGAAGGTGTGTTCTTATTTGTATTTAGACAATCCAAAGGGATCCGCTTTCGCAAAGGCTCTTGGTTTTGCGAAACACTTCTATGCTAACAAGATGGCGAGTCTTGATGCGCTTGAAGAAGAAATAAACTCCTGTAAACTAGGCGTCACATTGGAAACTTCACGTCTCTTATGTCCGCTTCGGGACATTGAGCTCGCAGCTGAAGATTCTGAGAGACCCCCGAACCTAAACGACACTATCGTGGACTGCTTTATGCAAACAGCTGATCGATCTTTTTTCAATTAAAACTGTTTTTAATAAATTTCTGTAATTTATTAACATTAAAAATTGTAAATCATATTCAATGGTTTACTTTTCAAAATTGTTTTCTTTTTTTGACTCTGCATGAAATTCTTATTCTAGAAATTAGGCAATTAACACATTTTCGTATGTTATTTTGTTTGTTTTGATCTTTGCAGGGGGGCTCACTTCTAGAAAAATAGGTCTTTCCCTTTTTTACGAAATTGGAAGCAGATTGCGTCATTTCGCGTTTCGAGATTTCTTTTCGCCGGCTCTGCATTTTTCAAGATTTGGGTATTTCGTCAACCTAGTTTTACTGAAAGAGAATTTACTATTTCACAAGAGAATTTGCGAAGAGATTATCAGTTTGTGCCGGTGCTCTGCCTTTTATCTTATCACAGTTTCCCACACTTGTTTTCAGTTCAAATTGATACCGTAAAAAGGGGATGACGCCTTTTTTGGTTTATAATAACCGGGGTTTTTTCAGGGATAATGTATATCCCACGTGGTGATGGCGGCGCTCCGCAGACGTTTACGGTGAGTTCCCGATCACTTGATGGTGGAAGCACTCTTGAAGAGCGCATCTCACTCGCCTCTTCTCTTCAAGGTCAATTCTTGGTTCCGACTGTCCCTCAACCGACAGCACGCCAAGTTGAGTTGAATTCTCGACAATCGACTTGCGAAAGGTTTTATTCTCCGAGTGTTCTAATTTTAATTTTTATTTAGAGAAAACTTTCCGGAAACAACGACGATGCCTCAGAACCAGCAACCGTCCATGCCTTCCACTACCGTCGCTCCAACTGGCAGTGCCACTACGACTACCACGTCTTTTGCCGCAGGAGCTGGTGGAGCTGGTTCTTCAACCGCCTTTCCCGCTGCGCCCACCAACATCGGGGTCCACATGACTGATGTGTCTCGAACCCGGGTCGAAAATGAAAACCAGCCGTTGATTGCTGGTGTTGGTCGAGGTGTTGGCAATCCAACCGCGGTGTCCCGATCCTCAACGGTAATTTTAAGATACTTTCTTATTATTATTATTATTTTGATAAGGTCTGCTTTGCCACTCGTGCGTTCTGGGCAAGTTGTGCGTTTTTTGCGGCTGGCGCTTTGATTGCGCTTAGCGCATACATTTTGTACTCTACGTACAACAACTGTGTGCCCTCCGCACTTGTCAACCGCCGGGATGAGCTTTCTGTTGAGTCCCGTGACGCTCAAATCCAGACCGATGGCATGGGCGATAACCTCGATGGCTTCAATGAAGCAATCCCCAGCGTTGGTCGAATCGCCGATGACGAGGAAGCCCAGGAGCATGATGAGTACCGGCTTCGAACTGGTCGTCGTCGTCGCCGCGGCACTCGGGCTGTCTTTGTACACCGTAAGTTCCCGATTTGTGCAAAAAAAAAATGTAATTTCAATTTTTAAAGCTGGTCTCTACGGTCGCGGAGTTGAAGATTCTGGAGTCGTCATGCAAAACGACTATGATGCGGAAACCAGCAGCTTTTCTGCCAGTTCCAAATGGTACAGTGGCGATTTGGACACAATTTCCAGCATTACCGACAGTAAGTTTATAATTACACATCCAGTACTAAATTGATCAATCAGTTATCAACCGCCGACGAGCAGCTGTCACTCGGCTCTTCGAAGATGTCGACTCTTCTTCGTCTGAGGAGGACAGCGTCTACTTCATTGCCGGGCTCTTTTCCGAGCCAGAACTTGAGGGCAGCGGCAGTGAGGCGAGTGACGATCTCACTACTCCAACTCTCCCCGAGAAGGACCCTGCGATCGAGTCCCTTCCAGTTGTCTACGTCGCTGAGACTGATGGAAGCGGATCTGGCGATGATTCTCATCCTTCTGCCGGTAATTCAACTGGTTTTGTTTTTCTTTTGATTATCACTTTAGGGGATGACTTGGTGGTCGCCTCTGTCGTCCCAGACTCCAACAATTTGGAGATTTCTTCCAACACCACAACCCAAGCCAATGCCACCATCGTCTCTGAAACCGATGCGGCTGTGACTCCTGGAACCGATTTCAACACTACAGTCGGCTCTAACTCTTCCGAAGCTATGGAAATGACAGAACTCAACTAAGTCTGTTCAATTTGACTAGATATAACCTACCATGGAGTTGAGCTCTAAGGGGAGATTGAGAATCTGAGCTACTGAAAAATGCACTGACTTTTTCAGTAGCTCATTCTTTGCGCGCCTAATTTGGGTGAGAAGCCGCGCGAAGTCTTTTCGGCTCTCTCATTGGCTCGGACTTTCCAGATTCTGTTCTTCAGAATCTCGAAAGTCTTCTAAGCTGCCAAGCGAGCGTTAAAGAGTTTTTCTAGACTTCTCCGACAGTGATTTGGGCGGGATACGGGGAAGGGGGCCAGGGGCTTTCTCCCAAAAGAGTTAAACTCCATGGTAAATTACTCTCTCGTTCACCAAATTGTGCTTCATCCCCTCGAAATTTAATTTGATTAACATTGTTTTTGCGCCCTATTTTACACTCGCTCTCATAAATGAAATCTTTAATATTGAAAATGTTTAATGAATCTTTAATTGAAATCATCAACCTCCTCTGATCCTACTTTTCGCCTCCTAATTTTCTCTCCAATTGTTCCTTCTCTTTTGTCAATTTATTCATGATCCACCGTCGCTTTATCAACATTCTCATTGCCGTTTTTTCTCTCCTGACATAATCTGGCCCAAAATATGTCCAATATGAAGCCACTATTACCACTCATACAGTTTTATCTTATTCAGATTTATATGTATGAGAAAGCTTCGAAGAACGGTGTCACTTGATGCGATATCACTCTCGCCCGATTCCTACGCCAGTTCATGCACAAAATCATTACCGTACTTGGATGAGTTTTCCTTCTATGGACAATCAGCCAAGTGTCCACCTCCAATGGTAAAGCCTTCTTGGATTACATATTCTAGTTAAAAATTAAGATCAAAACGACCGACAAAAACAAGAAGAAGCGTAAAAAAAGTGCCAGCTTTCCAAACTGGTACGAAAAATCTGCCGATAATTACTTTCCGACTGTTGATGAGGTAAACTTATTTTCTTTTTCACAAATAATTTTTAATTGAGCATTTAAATACAAATCTACGACTGGCGATGTATCTCTCGGATTCTGAATTCTTCGAATGGCGAACTCTATCCTGGATTTCATTTCAAAGGGTTTTTACGCTACCTTCTATTTTTAACCACCCGTCTTAGCTTAAATTTCTGCTTGCTTGCCTGCCTACTAACTGATCTTTTGCTTTTGTGCTCTGCGTTGCTTGGTGAACTTTATTTTATTTTATCATAATAACCTTACAGACATTGATTCGGATCACAGACGTTTGGCGCTATTAAGCTGACGACTCTGGAGCGACACCATGGGTCGAACGAAAGGCAAGGACAGCTTTAAGAGTCGTCTTTTGCATGAAGTTGCTTCTCGGGCTAAGATCGGGTATGCAATCATTGTCGTATCGCAATTCTTATTAACATGCTTAGGGAAAAGGTTTCCCGTAAGGTAGGCAAATCGATCGCCTCGGTCATTGCCCCTAAGTCGCCAACTGAGCCACACGGTTCGCCAATTCCGAAGACGGTGAAGTCGCGTTCGCTCCTTGACGTCGCAGCCAACGAAATCCTTCAGCGCGCCATCCCTTCTTTCAACCCCCATTCTCCCAAAAACGGTAGTTCAAACAATATTTTCTTTTTGCTTATTGTTTTAGGTCGGGTCAAGAAGAGAAAGCGAGCTGTTAGTTCAGACGAGGAAGCAGTCCACGAGAACGAGCAACCGGCGAAGCGCTCCAAAGGGCTTTTTGAAAAAGCCAAGCAATGTGCCAAGGATGCCAAGCGTCGAACCATAAATTCCATCAAGGGTAAGTCTTTTAACTCGCCTTCAATTATTAATTCATATGATAGAAACGGTCAATGCCGCTCCAGCGCTCCAGGCGTCCTTGTTGATGGGAACTTACACGGCAAGCCTCTGTGTTACACCAACCGGCAAAACCCCAAAGTTCCTCGACTCCTCCGTTGTTGATTCCGATCGCCCAATCGTCGTTCCTGATAAAGGGATTTTTATCCCTTATTCGTGCTTCAAGGGTGTTTTGCCTGCGTTGCAGGCTCCTCCTGGAATGATGGCAATTGAAGATCATCAGATGCCCGTTCCGCCGCAGCAGATCCCACATTTTCACAATAGCGAGATGCAGGAGGGTCAGTTGGGAAAGCCCACTGTCGCTCAAGATCGCGACTTTGATTTCGCTCAGGGTCAGACGATTCCGGGCGTGCAATCTCCGCCCCCTTTTGGTATGTTTTGAACTTTGGCCACAATTATTCAAATGCTTTTTAGTTCCTATTCACACCGGAACTTCGGCCTCTGCGTTCGAGCCCCGAAATGACGATTACTCTTCCGAAAAGCGGGTAAACATTACCGTCGTTTCTACCTCTCCTCCTCCCGGCGAGACAGAGAACTTTTCGTCTGCGCGCGAATTCTCGCCCCCATTTGCAGCTGAGAAAACTTCGCCCAAAACTGTAAAGAAGAAACCTCTTCTTTTGGCTTCGCGACGACTGGTCTTTGACTCGCCTGGCCCTTCCCCACAAGAAGATTCTGTTGATCCTGATGCGACTCTTTGCCCACAGGTCGACCTTAACGCGACTCTTCGCCCCATTCCCGAGTCGCCTACCTTTTCGATGCCCGCGTCTGGAACTAAATTCCTTCCTGCGGACGATGGTTTTGTCGCTCCTGACGCGATCACACCTGCGTCTCACCGTGTTGTCACTGCTCAACTTCTTCGTGAGCGACGTCGTTCCTCTCCACTCGTCGTTCCTGCCTGGCAGAACTGCATTGACGAGTTGTCCAAGCGTGGACTTCCTTCTTCCGAAGAATGAGAAGAAAACCGTCTGAATTTTTACTGCTTTATTCTGCATGTAATAACACGACCGTTCTCACTTATCTTTGTGTACTTTTATATTTATTATGCAGCTTTTGATTTCTACACAAGTAACTATTTGTAGATTGGATTTTTTGGTGATTTAATGAGTCAGTCATCCAAAAAGAAAAAGGGTTCTGCTCCTAAGCCTTCTATTCCTACGCCTTGCAGCGATATGAATTGGTCTGATGTGGAGGAGCAATCACCTGAGCCATATCCTCAATCTGTCAGCTTTCAAAATCAATTCAATATGGTTTAACTTTCCGTTTTGCGTTAGTTTACGTTTTTTAGAAATCTGATTACGCTCGACAGGCAAAAGTGAAGAACTACTTGGACAAACTTGAAGGAAAGATTCAACTTGATTTCTTTTGCCTTATATAAAGAAATCATTTGAATCTTTTTAGAATCGGCTATGGCGACAAATCCGCGCAAGAAAACAAAGCAGGTCAGCGAAATCGATACTCGCTCTGAGGACGAAAAAGCTGCTAACCGCGCGTTGGCACGAAAAGCCGCTAGAAAGTTTGCCAGCAACCGCGACAGTCCAGCCGGCCCTGCTACCTTTTCATCTGTGGATACGACTGAACGCGGTCAACCCAATGCTTACGATCCGAACGAGTGTAGTTCTTCTGATAGCGACGTCACTTTCGTTTGTGAAAAACCTGCAATGACGGCTCCTTCTTCTTCACAGACACAAGTTGTTCGACGGAAGGTTGTTCCAACAAAACAACCGGCTTATCCCGCGCGAAATAAAAAACGCAAAAAAATTTCAAGCGACGAATCTGATGAGCCTTGTACTGAGCCAGCAGCGGACAAACGAAAACCGAAGAAAAAAGACGGTCTTTGCAAAAAGAATGGAGAAGATGTTGGTAGACGATCACGCTCGCCCAAAAGTAAGCCTATTCCCCGCTACCGTCGTTTGCAGAATGTTCCTCTTGGTACCCTTTCCCAAATGGACTGGATGGATCGTAAAGATCCTAATACTCCAAAGGGTGACAGCGTTGCACCACCAAACGAGCCGATTGTCAAGCCTATTTTGGCGCAGAGCGAGTCAAATCTTCCTCGAGAGATTTCTATGAACAATGCGATTTTCGAGCTAAGTGGTGCACCTGTAGATGTTGTTGAAGGCGACGCCCCTGATATTCCACTTAATCTAGCGCGAAAATCTGATACCGACAGGGTCCAAGAGCAGTTGGCTTCCATTCGACTCGCGTCAAAAGCCGGCAGAAACCGTCGACACAGCGAGAAGAGTAAAAATAAGTTTGGAATTAAAAAGCACCAATCCGTCTTGTCCATGGTTCCTGAAGAGACCGAAGAAGAGCGATACCCTGAAGATCACGAGGACACAGTCACTGAAAGCGAAGATAGCAATGATGAGCTTCGAATGAAAATAAAGGGGTTGGAACAAGAAAAACCTATGTGGTATCTGAATCGTTTCCAGCTGCGTCGGTTTTTTTCGGCAGCTTTTGATTCGAAGAATGGTATTCGGCCTAGCTTACGCTGCACAAGAATTGCTAATTTTCTGCAGCGGGTTGATAGAAAACTCTCAAACGCTGAACACGCAACTGCCGAACAAGACGATTCTCCGACTTATCGCGTGTTCTTTGAAAATACCCCTAAATACACGTCTTTCGACCCATTCTATACGGAACCTGGCGCTTACACAGGTGTTTATGCTGAATGGGACAAATTGGGCGCCTTCAAACCGTACTTTGCAGTGGATGGATTTGGACATTTTTACATTCGCATGCTGAAAATCTGGGTAAGTTTACTGTGATGGATCTCGAAACCATATTAAATTCTAGGTTCACTATCCAAGCGGTGTCGAGGGTGTTGAAGGTGCATGGAAACTAGTCGACTTCGCAGACCGCTCCTTGGGTCACCCTGCAAAAGTTCTGGCTGCAGTTAACAAAATGTCCATTTGCGCGTATCCTTGGCCAACGAAAATACGCGTTCGTTCTGTTGAGGGAAGCCGACAGCTGACAATTGTGGATCCAAATGGACCTTTTAAGGCTTCAATTTTACTGATCAACGGCTTTATTCCACTTGTTTACGATCCACCTTACAAGGAACAGGCCGATCTGCTGTTCAACAATCCTGAGGTAATTTAACGGTCAGTTTCATTTACAGAAAATCTTTAGGTTTTGGACGTGCTGTGCGATTCTGATATGATTAACGAAAGACCGAATCGCGCGCAAGTCGACGCCGTTAATACACGACTGGAGAACTTCGTTTGGCGGTGTATTCCAAATGTCTTCAGAGCCGATCTCTTTGGAGCAACTGATGATACCAACGTTTCCTCGTCTGAGCACAAGACGGTCGATGAGCGCTTTCAAGCTCTTCAAAAACAATTTGACAGTTTGTTTGGCCCACGAGATCGCCCAGAAAATAACGATCCTTTTAACACGAAGAAAAGACCTATTGACATCGCTGTTGACCAAATTTTTGAGGCTCTTCCGCCTATTTTCAAGCGATATGATGACTTTTGGCCTTCAAAATTGCTCATTGAAGCGATTCTTTACGCCAACAGCTCTAAGTGCTTCACCGAATCGACTGACATGATGGCTATGGTAAGATTTATTGTTGCAAGTGTCATTATTATTCTTTTATGTAGATGGGTGTCTCTCGCGGAATACCAGCAAAAATTATTGCTTGGCAGATTTGGGCTCAATATCAACCAGAAGAACTCAACAAAAAGACTGTCAAAAAGGAGCTGAAGCAAGTTCAGAAGAAGCTTGAAAAAGGCCTCAAGAAGAAAAATCTAGGTGTTCCAACTCCTAGCGTCATGAATTCAGTTATCCACAATAAATCGGCGACATCGGAGAAAGGTTATTTACTGTTTAATTTGTATATCAATTTCTTTTAGTCGTCGAATCCGCGCGACCGAACAAACGGAGTCAAAGTTCTGCTGACACAGTCGAGCCAGAGATTCCTGATCCTCTCTTAGTGGGTGGTACTCGACGTGGAGTTAATCGCGATGAAAACCGTTTCGGCTTCTTTAAAACCCGTCCCAAATCATCGACTACTGCTCCTAACCCCCCATCTCTCATCTCATCTTCGAATTCTGATGATTCTTCTGAATAACCAGATTGTAGATTCTTTTTTGTATCTAATTTATTTTAGACATGGTATCATTAACTCACTCGCTGCTTTTGTTTTTGTTTATACCATTATGTCGGTCGATGTTTCCGTTCGACTGCCCAGATTTTATGCATGCGCCAAGCAATCATGAACAGTGGTGTATGTTTCGTATCGGCGTCGATCATTGTTATGATGACGAACTGACAAGTACTAGCACCCGGCCAGCGCGGAAAACAACAACTACTCCCGAGGCGACTACGCAGTCAATAACAACTGCTGCAACTACGACGGCTGCAGCAACTACTTCAAAGACTTCAAGTTCATCTTCTTCGTCTCTGATGAGTACAACCGTTGAAGTAAAGACTACGACGGAAGAAGAAGTAAAGACTACGACGGAAGAAGAAGTAATGACGACGACGGAAGAAGTAGTAAAGACGACGACTCAGGAAGCTAAATCAAACAATACAGAAACTACAATCGTTTTTACGACTCCCTCTTCGACTACAAGTTCCACGAATACCACAAAAGCTTCTCCGATTGAAGAGACAACTTCCACGAGTCCGATTGATAATGTGCCTGAGTCATCGAATTCCTCAACTGAAACTCTCCCACCAGATTTTTCTCCGCTGAAAAAAAATTTGTTGTTCAGGTGAGCTTCGAAGTTATGGTAGCCTTGGGAACGTGGTGGCAAAATGACCCATGGTATCAAATGTTGCTAGGTGGCTTGAAACCCTATGGTGGTATCTGAGACATTTCATCTACCACCATGCAATTTTACCCTACCATGGTAGATTTTGCCACCACGTTCCGAAAGGCACCATGCGATTCCAAAAAAAAATCCAAGCGGAAAAAAAGCTCGAAAATTCCGCAAAGTGAAAAATTTGAAATGATAAATTTGCGTTTTTCACGGGTCCTTATATACAAATCCATTTCCGCAAAATGTAGGTTAAATAAATAGATGAGTAATATAATTCGCGGAGCATTTCCTGTATTATTTGAAAATCAAAACAAATGTTTTACATTTCCAGGAATCGTTTCCTGTATTCTAGCTAAAACAAACAAAAAGAACACGGAATGAACGAGAGTAACCTCATTATGAAAACACTTTTTGACCTACTGACCTATTGACCTATATTTAAATCAGCGTTATTTTAGCGCGCTCACTTTCGCTTTACGATTCACGGTGTTTACGGCGTTCGTTTGCGTGATTCGGCAGTGGTATTTGGTGTTCTCTAATCGCGACCTAGCCGATGCAAGCTTTACCGCTCGATTCAAGGCCGCGACCAGTTTTGTTCTTCGGGAATTACTCTGTCTGCGTTTGTTTGAAAAACGGAAAATGGTCTACAACGTTAGCTACTCTCGTGGTGTGATCCCTGGAGCTTGCGCTTCGACAACTAGGCCTGGCGAAAATTTTACTTCCACGCAACCGCCTGGATATATACCTGGCAGAAGAACTATTCAACAACCTCCTGCGGTCAATTCATCTAGAGCTGACTCAGTCGTTTATTATGATGAAACTGTATCCTTGGAAGAGGCCCGCCGTAGAACTTACGAGTCTAGCCTCAATTTCGGAATCGAAAAAGAGCGCGTTGATCAAATTTTCCGCAAGGCTCCAGTCCAAGATGATCACATCTCCCATCCGTGTCCAGCTGGTCAGCAGAAAACAGCTTCTGAAGAAATTGTTGTAATCCCTCAAGATCACGATCAGGAAAACGATGACAATGAAGATGAGGGAACAGAACCGATTGCAAGTGACGTATTTTTACCAAAGCCAAAATGTAAGTTAATTCAAATTAATTGTAATTAAATTCTTTTTAAGCGAAAGATGAAAATGTCGACAAGTCGAAATTTGCGCGCGTCAAAGACTTTATGGCAAGATCGATTTCTCCATTCAACAAGAAAAAGAATAGAAAAAAGAAGGCGATTTCTAAAAGTAATGACGCTTTTAAACTCAGCATTGGATCTTCTGACGACGAACAGACAGAAGATGAAGAAAAATTTTCCGGTAGCATTGTTAGTCAAACACCCGCTACCCCAGAAAAAGAAAATCTTCCTAATTTGGTTGATGAAGACATGCCATCGGGAGAAGTGAACAACAACAGCGAGAGTAAAGAAGAGTTCTCCGAACGAGAGGTTGATCTTAAACTCGATAAATCAACCTTCTCACGCTTCCATAAAACTCGTCGAACACAGCGTAATATCTGCTCTCCTCGACTTGCTCATCGTCCCCTTCACGAGTCTCCGCTTATTCAGTCATTTTCGCGAACAGACAATGTGCGAAATGAATCCTGTATCAAAACGGAAGCAAAGCCACACGATGATGAGAAGAAAGGTGATGACGCCGAGAAGCTGAAGAACTCCTGCGGATTCAAGAACAACAAAGACCTCGCGACTCCAAAGGTAAATATCCGGTCTGGTATTTTGATCCCGAAAATATTTAATCTCCCTTTGAAATCAGTTTCCCTTTTTCTGGGTGTCTAAATATTATCTCGGGAATTTATGAGACGATTGGGAACGGAAAAAAATCACTGAACCTTGCCACAATATCCGTAGTTTTAGTAACGACCCATCATTCCAAAGCCAAAGTTACGAAAAAATAGTGAGTGCGAAAACTTGCAATTTGTTGATTTCAATCTTTTTAAAGCGGATTCGCTGATAAAATCATTTATGGGAATTTGAGAAGGTTGTAAAGCACTGCGGTCATGTCTTTATATTACTCTGAAGTACCCTGCAATACACAGATCTCCCGCGCTCGCGCGCAAAGATCAAAACAACATCTGCTTTTCCTTCTAGCGCCATCATTCCGCTCTTTAACGCTATCCTACCAAAGTACCAAATATAACCAAGACTTTTTTCTGAGCCAAACTACAAAACAAATCTACTTTCATCCTTTTACAAGCTTTTCAACTTTTACGCAAGTATGATCATCAACGTCCAGCAAATCAAGCCAGAGTCAACTAACAAAAAGACAATGCGCCGTCTCCGCAAGTTTCTGCGAAAAACTTTCTTGGTCAAAACTTTGCGATACCCTATTGGGGAAATCGAACGAGGCCTCAACGTCGATTCTGATATTGACCAACGACCTGGTGCTATTGATTCTGCTGCTGTTCGTTATCTTACCCGCGTCAGAAACCCATATGCTCCTGAAGATGAACCCGACTCGCTGATGACTCGCATGAGCGAGGAAGAGTTGAGATACGCCACTATAAGACGCTCTTATTCTTTCCGATACAAGTACTCCAACAACTATATTTTCCCTTTGTAATTTCTATTATCACCAAATTCAAATATTGCTATGTATCTCAACCAACCGTATTTCCAAACAGATTTAATTCTTGTGAACTATTTTCTTCCAGATTGATTCTAATTATTTTCCCATGCCCTAAACCTATTATTTTAACCCAAATAAAATTTCAAAAGCAAACTTCACACTACTCAGCGGGTAATTTCCTGCAGCGCCCCCCTTTTTTTCCTCATATAGTGGTCTGAGTTTCGTTCAGAATTATCTCAAAAATGTAATTGATAAAAGAAAAAACCCAGTACCAGCTTGTGAGAATGATCGTAAAATGAACCAAATATGTCGAAGAAGACCTCGAGAAAAATCAGAATATGTTCCTTTATGTTATCATTACTCTCCTAAAATGTCGCGTTAACAATTTCTTAACAGTATGTGCAATCAGTCTCTTATGTTTAATTATTAAAAATTATAAAATGGCTCAAAAAGCTAAAAAGTTAGAGAGTTAAAAGAGGGTTTATATTTATATGATAAAATGTAGCTAAATGTTTAGAGAAACGGTATATTATCCATCGGATTTAAATTAATAAAATGTAGCTAAATGCATTTTTATCACGAAGTTTCAGAATTTCATAATATTACTAAATGAGGCAAAATGTAAAGACGACCCAATATTACTTCATCCGATATATAACTGTACTATAAATGAAAACTAAATGAAAATGATATTCTAGTCGCGTTCCACCTTTATTTATACTGTCTTATAAAATGCAATATGCAAAAACTTGGTAAAATATAAAGTACATTTCTCAAATATTTTATTCTTATTAAACATAAAATGAAGCTTAATATCTCAGAGATTTGATGACAGTTGTCTTGCCTTCTATAATATAAAATGAGTCGGTTTGAATTATGATACCTATTCCCCTGCATCTTGTGCAAATGATATGCCTAAAGCTTCTCATCCAACAGTAATGATATTTTCCTCTATCTGTTTCTATTCGTTAATAAATTCAAATATAAAATGATTCTATTGGTAATTTCAAAGCTAAACCACTGCATCGTATAAAATGATATACCTTTAACTATTTATTCTCATATAAAATGATTCGATTGGCAAATGAAACCCTATTCCATGGCACCTGATATTCTTGTAGAATGATATACTTATACCTCATCCTCATTTTGATTCAAGCTCAAACTACAATACATAAAGAATTTATCTATCTTTGTTTTGATCTTTGAAAGCCTGATTCTGAAACCAATGCAGGGTATACTAAACACCAATGTTCAAAACAACACTTTTCTAGCGGTTCTAAATTGCGTTCTACTATTGCAATAACACATAAAATCCTGCTTGATCTTAAACGATTAAAAAGACCATTTAGAAAACACAATCTAGATAAAATTTCAAATTTATTTCATTTTTGATCACGCAAAAAGAAACAAAGTAACGACTCTTTATTCTTTTGCAGCTTTTCGTTTCTGGAGTCGGTAGAAATCTTCCACTTTCGCGGCGAGCCAGGGATCCATTTCTCGGGGTACAGCAAACTCGTCCTCATCGCTACTAATTTCCTCGCCAGATGTGTGCTTGGCCGGTCGGAATTCGTGCATCAGAGCTTCCACAATTGCTGGAGGTTTTGATTTTGCAGCTCGAGCGAGATCGCAAACAATATAAAAGCCGTCGTCCAACAGGTCGTCGATAAAAATCTGCTTTTTCTTGCAAATCGGATTCGAGCAGGTTCGTGACTTAAGACAGCTTAAAAGGTCATAACTCGCCTGGCTGGGACGGTCAGCATTTATCTCGATTGCTCGGTAGTTGATCGAATCGACTGCTTTCAAGAGCTCCGCGTTTGTCCGCTTGATAAACACAATTTCAGTTTTCTTATCAGCGGTAGTGTTACTTGCACTTGATCCCGGTGTTGTAGGTGGCGAGGTTTTTTCTGGAATTCGCTTGGAACATTTTCTCGTATTTTGACTCTTATTTAGTTCAGATAAATTCAAGTGTGGAATGATAGCACACTCGGGAGCGGGTTTTGAAAACTCACGAGCGACTCTTGTAATAACACTTCTTTTAGACCGACGATTTGACTGTCAGCGAACATGCAGCGATGCTTGGCGGTGGTGGAATTCATGGTCACGTTTCCATTGCGGTTGGTGTTACTGCTAGAATTCGCAGTAAACTCGGAGATTTCGCGGATGTACACTCGCCAGGTCTACAAGCCAAATTAATGGAGACTGTGATTCAGCATGAGGCAAATAAAAAGAAAGAAATCAAGCAAGAAAATACGGAAAACTGCGAGGAATTCGAAGGTGAACCCTTTTCACCAATATCCGATAAGCTTGAAAAGATGCGGCCATATAATGAGATTGCTCAAGATTCGTCTATGAGTAAGATCAAGGTCAAGGCCACATCGCCCAATTACAAGGTCAATGAGCAAGAATCAAAACAAGCTCCTGCGCCTACAGACGATGCATCGGAACTTGCGCCTACCTCAACCTCACAACACGATTCATCAGAATCAAAGAAAGAGGTAAAGAGAAATAAGAGTGTTTTATGAATAGAATATTTTCTAAGATTCGATCTTTACTTGCTGCAGTGCCAAAACAAAAACAAATGCTTGAAGAGAAAGCTCAAAATCCAGTTTTCTTCCCTCCACTACCAAGACCACCGACTCCACAAGAAACTATTTCTTCTCCCGCTACTGGAGGAATTAATTATCCAGTGAGATTTCCAATTATCCCGTTGCGCTCGAATGGTCCTAAAAAACCGCCTATTTATGAAATGCCTATTATAACTGACTTGTAAGTTTTAGTTTGCTTATCGTGAGCTTACTGTTCTTAAAGGGTTCGTGAACGTCGAGAAAGAAAACAGCAAGAAAAAGAGGACGAACGACGGCGATATCAGGAAGAAATTAATAATGGGCATCGGACTTTTGGTAAAGGGGGTTCGAATCTCACTCCCCCTGACCCATTTGACAGAAAAGAAGCCGCCTATTTTTCATTTGGAAGCTCGAAAACTGAGGAAGACAACGATGAAGATGAAAGCACTCAGATGGGTTTTGGTAAAAATGTTATCATTGATGAAATCGCGTTGGCTGAAAGAGTGAAAGAAGGCTCGCCTTCTCAAAAAGAAATTTTGGAATCAAAGAAAGCGTTTACGACTATGCCCGTCCCTGATTCGGTCATCAAGAAGGAAGCTAATGATCCGGGTGAGCCTGCTTCTTCGCCCGCATTATCATCATCATCGTCAACCTCGTGGTTTTCATCGTCTCCTTCTTCTTGGAATTCTTCAAGAACTCTTACCAAGTCGACAAGTCAGAGTAGCGGTGGAACGTCATCTTATGACGACGATGAAGAAGATTTCGACGTTAACGATAATTTTGAAACAGATCAACCGCAGAAAACGACTCAGGTTTTGTTACTCCATGAAATAAAGAAAAAGCGAATGGAAGAGCTTGCAACAATCGTTGAAGATAGCGATGACTCTGAAACACAAGCAACTAGTTCCTCGCCGCTGGCTACAAACATTGAATCAGCCGATTTCCAAGCGGTAAATAAAAATTCAGTAGATAACAAATTATCCCATTTTAGGTAGAAGAAACTATGGAAGTCGTAATGAATGAAGAAGAGTTGAAGAAAGATGAAGTACCGAAAAATGATGAAGAGCCTGCAAAAAATGAAGACATTTTTGTTCCTCGAAGATCAAAACGTCAAAGAACACAGACTGATTTTTATGGATATGGCAAGAAAAAGTAAATCATATCTTCACTGTTAGGGACTAGATCACTTATCATTATATTCTTAAAATGTTCGCTGTCTGCCACGGCGGCGGCGTAACTTTCGATCCTTTTTCCTATCTGTGTTAGAATACCGGCAAGTCGCATTCCTTCCGCTATCGCACCTTCACCAATTCTCAAAATACATCCGCGCACTGGCGGTCACTTCTTTTCATCTTTGAAATACTGAAAACAGAATCTACCCTGTATCGTTTGATGCTCATTGAGGGTGTCGCTGTTAAAACTTTAGGATTATACTTGGGAAGTGAGGATTTTCACTGCCAAATTGTTTTTACGTTTGGCATAGAAATAAACCAAGAGGAGATTAATTAAATGTTTACTTTTTCTCATTAATGAGTGAATTGAATGAAAACAAGGAGGACAAATGTCACGAGAGGTTTAATTTTGAAGATTGTCAAGAGAGCTCGAATATCGTTAATGAGTCGACCGATTCAAACAATGGATTACGAGCAATTCCAGTTCCACCAAGAGAGCAATCGACGTCGGTATCAGAACTTTCTCTGGGAGCGTCAACTTCGGATTCATTCGGCGCCAGCGTCGTTACCGCAAATACAAACGTTTCCAGAGAGCGAGAGCTTCATTTCGATGTCAACCAGCTCGAATGCGAGCGGAAATTCCTTGACCTTGACAGCGGACGAATCATCGTCGGAGCCCTTGCCACCGAGGCAAGTACCGTTGAACGAAATAATGGTAATGCGGGAGACTTTAACAATTTCGAGCAGCTTCCAAGAACTACTGCACGCAATGCTTTTGAGAATTCAAGAACACCGCCAAACCGATATAAAACGAGTCACCATAATCCTGGCAATAACACTTCTGCTCCTTTTACTAATTATGGCACCTTTGATCCAGCTTCGCTTGCACTAAACAAGGCTCCTCCTTTGCAAGTTGATTGCGATAAAAGGGAAATTCTTATTATGCAAGAGGATTACAACAGGCGGTTCTCATCAATTTATCGAAAGAATTCGATTCTTGAATCCGAGCTCCATTTGCACACTCACTATCAAAATTCTCCTGCGAACTTATCCTTACCGCTTCAACGGCTTGAACGCGCTTTTATCGGAGATGCCCTCAGACACAGGTTTATGTTTAAGAACTCGGCTATGGATTTTAAACAGCATGTCAAATCTCCTGTGAATGTTCGATTGACAAGTGCACAATGGTCCAGATGCGCCCGGAGGGTTGCAAAAAATATTACAGGTGCCAGCCTGTTTTATCCACATCGCGACAATTGGGAATCATCTTCAGCTGCTGACAATGATCTTTATTCGAAAATCTTTTCCTCAGACGATTCCGGCGCTGACTTTCAACTGCGATTTTTGGATTTCCCCGCTTTGTCCCAGAATAAGTCATTCGATGAATCGTCATCGTGTCTTGCCCTTTTAGAGTCATATTATAGTCTGCTTAACCCGCAGTTCATAAAAAGGACGATGACGGAAAAAAGCGCCAATGGAACAATCCGCAACGTTCAGAAGCTAAGAGTCATAACTACTAATCTACAGTTTCTCAGTCCAGTAGAAGATCATTGCTCGACTTCTGGCTGTAATCGATTTATTCCAAACATCTTTTGTTTCGAAGAACTTGTTAACAAAGCAGCTGAGTATTCATTTGATCCCGGCTTTATCGAATACAACGCAGTGGATATTACGATGGAATACTATTCTCTTTGGGAATTTGTCGCGGGCAAGCTCTTCTTTAATGCCGGAAAAAGGAATTCGACTGCTGCTGAAGTTGACGAAGTAAATCGCCGTGAAAATGAACCTTTTAATGATCATGCTGAGGATATTCAAATTACTCGAAGAGCGAGTGATATTATCCAGTCGCGCCGTGGTCCAATCGAAACCGTTAACGCTGATCCATGTTCATACAAGTTGACCGATCGTTTATTTTACGATTCTTACGGCGAACAGCGATTTATCAAATACAATTATGAGGCCAGCCGTTATTATGTTAAATCTTTTCATCTAGCAGATACCGACTTATTCGCGTACACAGCATTGATCGGCGTTCTTATTCAAGCGGTGGTACCTTACTATATTCCTTCACAACTGATGAGCGGCGATCAACGAAGTCAACTCACTAATGTTCTCCCTGACGATGTGGATTGCGATGTCAACGCCGAGAATAATTATACCCGCAAGATGAAATCAGATTGGCGTGCTGGTTTGAGAGGAATAAAAAGACCGAAGTTGATGAACTCAGAAATGCTGAAACTTGAAAATTGTTTTTGTACCGACGCACGGAATAGCTCTTACTCGAAAATAATTCAGTTGGATATTTTCAAATATGAAGTAATCAGGGATCACTGCCCAAACTCAAATATTGGCTATTTGATAATGCTAACGAAGAATTTTCTCGACTTAACCGACGGGGAGCAAACAAAACTTCGCAGAATTTATTCCCAGCCGGTCGACACATCTTTTGAGGATCCACCAAAGATCAAAACAAAACAACGGGCACTGCGAATGTCACTCTTTTCGCAAATCAAATTCGTTCAAGATCTTTTCAGACGTTCGCAATCACTCTATCACGGATATGTAAGTAAGTGTTACTCAACTGGATTGGCATCTCTCCCAACAAAATCAACATGCTTTCAAAATCTCGTTTCATGTAATGGTTACGCGAAGATTGATGTTGACCTTACCCCTACTCTTTGTCCACGGTGTTTGAGTGGTCTCAATTCAACACGAAACCGTATGGCATCAATACTCAAATGGCGTGAACCCGTTCACAACGCTGTTATTGAAAAAAGGCAGTTGCAGTTCAATACTCTCATATCGGACAATGTGGAACTTGATGAAATTTTCATTCACGATGTCGTCGCAAAAGAAAAGAACCAAGTAAGTTGAATTTATGAACACATATTTGTTCATTTTTTAACTCTCTGCTGCTCTCATGACACCCTCTTTAGCGACTTAAACGTAAACAAACATGGGAAATGGAAGGCTCAGAAAAGATGGAGGCGAGCTTTGCCCAAAAACTACCTCGTCATAACCATTCATCAGCGAAAAAAAGCACCCGAGAATATAACACAAGGTTAGATTTTCATTTTACGACTTTTTAAGAGAATAATTTAGTGACGAACCCACTACGTCAAATGGTGCAAATTTCTCCAAGAAGGTCGCCACTCGCGGACAACAATCGTCAAGATCAACCCCTAGAAGAGACTCCACAAAATTTTACGACTGCCCAGCAGATCGAGCAGGTTTTGAATTAATGAAATGATTGTTTCGAATATAAACCAAGGAGAAGGAAAACATACCTACGATGACACTGATGGTCGAGAGCGATTCACCTCAGACAGAAGCACCGAGCCCAGCGTCGGAAGAATGGGAGTCACCACCTCCTACGCCACCAAGACAAATAATGGAAGAACCGGAACTACCTTCGCTCTCGCCACAGAGTCAGACTTGGGAAAAACATGCACAAACGCCGCCTCTATCACCGCACACAGTGTTCTCGAAAAAGTTGCAGAAACTCCAACAAATGAAAACGGAAAATCTACCACAAGATTGGGAAGTAAGAAAGAGTCAGTTAACGAGTCTGGACGAATACTTTCCGAATTACTCGCCGATGGGAGCTCACGAGGAGTCAACGTCGAGAGACCTGGCGGATCGAGCACAAACATCGAAAGTACGATTCGAGAAAGTAGTGGAAACGGAACCTTTTCATCTATTCGACGGCCACTCGAAAAACAACCCAATCGTATCGCCATGGTATTGTCGGGTGATTTTTCGACCAGGCGAGATAAAAGTTTTACCAATCACAAACCTGGGGGTTGTTGTGATTCCAGCAAAACCAACAACAAACTCAACTTGCCAGAATGTTCAATGCCAGAAGACAATCGAGGAGCTACACAAATATTACCAACAGGAAATAGAGAGAAATCGCATCTACAGGGAAGAACCCTCTCCTCTCCCTCTTCCGGTTTTCTCCAACCTTCTCAACCTGAAAGAGACGAGCGAGCCAGATCACGATTCACCGGGGACTTCGGGATTGAGCAGAAAGACAGACAGCAGCGAACAGCAACGGCCACCTTTTATCGTATCTCAAATGAGCGAAACCCAATCTTCCGAGCCGCCCGCCAAGAAACCGCGCATGGATCATCTCTAACAACTCTCATCGATTCACCAAAACCATCATCTTCATTGCCATCCTATTACTCCGCGGTATTCAACAGAAAGAGAACTGAAGCAACAATGGAAATCGACAGCTTGGTAGACGAACTTAGAGGTAAATTGATAATTTCGAAACTTTCTTACTATCTTGTTTTAGCAACAAATCACATCTATCGCCGCAAATCCTCATCCTCATCTCTACATGACTCTGACACAACTTATTCTACCGGAAACAACAGAAATTCAGCAGAAGACGACAACGAAACGAGCGAAATTTTGAATCTTTTTGTTTAACTTTTATTACTTTTATCTTTTCTCTGCTTAGACCGATTTATTTGCACCCAAACAGAATAATACAACGAGATTTTTCATTAAAATAATTGATTTATTTAAACGCCCAGGCAGCAGGATAGGTTTGAACAATAATTTGATAGGCTAAAATTCTATTTAAACGCACATTACTCTCTTCAAAAACATCGCGGCGGTGGAAAGTGTTCTTTAGCAGGGAGCTTTTGAACTCATCAGGTTGTATTTCTTCAAGCAGTTGTTCCAAATCGTTTTCGTTCCTAAGATATTCCGTAGTGTTCGTACTTCCCCAACAATTTGGATAAATTACAGAATACTTGGAACGAATTTCGGGCTCACCAGTATCCGTGTTAAACCAGGTTCCAGTAGACACTGTGCTGTAAAAAGCGTCAACTGACACCCTCAACAATCCAGTGAATGTTCTCCCTATTTTCTCCACCAAGCCAATATAATCCTTGTCGTTTAACAGTGTTATCGTGTATCGGTTGCAGAGATGAGAGTAACGACCTTTAGGATCTGCGCCAAGAATAAGACGACTATGACGAAAATGGTTTCCTAATAGTTGATTTCAATTAAATGATAATTACTTCTTAATACTTATCAAATGACGTTGAGGAAAGTGTCTTGTGCCACTACCTTCAATCAGAGATTCGAGTTCTTCCGGCTCAAAATAATCATCGCCAGGCCGTTCATCTGGGACGTGTTCTCTAAGAAATTCTAGCTCCCATCCGACATTAGACTTAAGTCCATCTTCTGAGAGGGAAAAATTAGGAATTTTTGATTGACGTGGAAAAAACCACTCGATCTGTTTCTTTGAAAGATTGAATTCTGTTTTTGAACGATAAAATATATCCATGAAATCCTCCATTGATAATCCATTTGAAGGTTTATCCATATCAATATTTTTCGCGCGTCGTCTTGTTGCTTTTCGAAAATCCATTACAACATCAAATACACTTGAAACTTGTAAGTCAATATCTTCCTCTGAAGGTGTTTCTATCGGAGATGAAGAAGGAGACGTTGGACTCGACTCGGGCATCATAGAGCTATCTTCTGGAAAAGACGAAACTATTTTAGAAGACATTCTTAATTTTTGAATATTTTAACACGATAAAATTTCAAATACTACACTAGATACAGAAAATTAAAAATAAGAACCATCAGCTTTTTTCAAGGGTAAAGTAGTAATCTTGTCTTCACAAATTATTCGCTTCTTTAGAATAGAATTAATAATATTTTTTGACATCGTCCACGTTTTTGTTCGTTTAGTCTTCTGATCAAATTGAATAAGGGGGATATCTTTTTTTATGCGTTTGTTCGAGTCCGACGAAAACAGAGCAGCCAAATACTCGTAATGTCTAAAACTCAGTAAGCTTAATACTATCAGGAAAAACTTACTGTATGTGAATCTTTTGTGGGCATCCTTTAGCTGAGCGTTTCTTGATATTCGTCGAATATGCCGAATCTTTATACTCTTCCAAAATCTCGTAGACTCGATGAGCGTTATTTGGGTCAGCCAGTTTTTCTTCCAACTCGCACGGATCGGAATCAGCGAGAATATAACATTTGGGGGACAATGACACCATCCACCCCTTTGAAAGTCCATTCTTCGGTCCTTCTGGCTTTAATAAACCGGGTTCCTTAGCAGACTTAGGACACCCCTCTTTCACAAACCACTCAGGAACGATTTCTTCTTTCCATTGGTCTAACATCTCGGGCTTCACACATTTCTCAAGAGTTTCGGCACCCAAAGCAAGCATAAAAGAGTCGGTATCTGCATAGCACATTGTGCACATTCCATCGACCATATATTCGCGAAGCACATCCAAAAATCGAAAGAACAGTAATTTACTATTCTGATAAACAGCAATCTGGACATGTAAACAGTTATTGTGGACTACTTTCCGTTTCGAAAAAACTGCTTCGTGCAAGGGATCGAATCGCTCACCTTCAGCAGTCAACCCTGTTAAATCCTTCAGTCGCGGATCGCGCAATGCATCAAACAGATTGTTTGCAGAGAGAATACGAGTTTTAAGAAATTTTGAACGATTAATTGCAAAATAGCCAACAGCGGAATTGAGGATAAATTTGATCCAATTTTGAAGTGCATCATCTTTGTTTTTACATGCTTCAACACGATCGGCTACCATCGTGTTCACAAAGTCTTTGAATGGACAGCCTCGTTTATATTCAACAAAATAGTGGACTTTGTATTTAATTCCTTTCGCGTCGTAATAAGAAAGCATGTCCGAAGTTATCATATATCTCTTGGCGTTGTAGCAGAATATGTTTTCCTCGCATGGAAAAAGTTTTTTCTTATTTTCTTCAGTAAGAACTTCATTAAGATAACCTTGAACATCTTCTGGATTGATTATTTGTTTCGCAAATATAGGGGGAACGTCTTTATGAGCTTCGATAACTTCCGGAGGCGACTCCAAATCAACCATCGCAAAACCATAGAATAAGGATTCTCCATTTGAGTTTTTAGTCGTTATTGCATTTTTAAATTCTTCTTCAGTTACTCCTTCATGTCCCGACAACTTGCGTGTTTGAGGTGCTCTTGTTCCCTTGAACAGAAACGGGTAGTCGATCGAATAAGGAGGTTGTCCTTTCATCTCCAATGAACGCCATTCTCGTTTCCATTGACATGAATTCTTTATTTCAATCTGATGCGGAAAGTATGCAGGTCCTTCAGGTTGCACTGTGGTGCCAGTTTCAATGTCAACAACAATAGGATCGGGAAGTCCATCGCCAATACGGTCAAGAGAGCGAATTATCGCTACAATTTTATCGATGCGCGCCTGCTCATGCTCAAAAAGTTCCATTTTTGTCATTGGTTTTTCGATAACTTCACCAGTACCAGGATCGACAAGCTTTTTCTTTGCCGGAAATCTAGGTGAACCCTTACAATAAGGACACACGTGAAAGGCACATCCACGGTATTCAAATAAATGTCTTTTAACAAATTTAACACCATTGTACTCCATTTCAAAACTCTCCGCATATCCGTCAATGAAATATTCTCCAAATTGCTTCTCCTCAAAATTATAAGAATGCTGGATTGGACCTTCTAAAAAATTAACGACAGTTGTGCAGTTGTTTAAGTACTCAAGCCATTGTATCGATTCAAGAGACGTATTTTGGCGTTGCTTGAACATACCCTTTGAAAAAAATCTTATTTCTTCATAATGACAATTTGCAGTAGAGTAACCCATCTTATCAGGCATATAAATTATTCCAGGTCCAAGCGGCAAAGCGTTACGAAATGCTTCTGGATAGAGACTATTGAAATCAAGCATGAGAATTAACTTGTGAACAAAGCCCTTCGATTTCCAGGCAGCTTCGGGAATTTTATCATTCGGTCCATTTAGGTAAACGGCTCGTTTGAGGACTTGGCAAATACCACCAGTTAAATTTGCTCTTAAGTCCTTAAGAAAGTGAGGATGGTCCGGGGATATCGAATATAATGGTGGTAATTTTGGATCATATTTACTGAGAGCGATTTTGTGTGCAATTTGGGAGATGCTGACATCAGAGTGAATACCTACATGGAATTTTTCAATGTTCTTTCTAGCAAAACTTGAAATAGAACCCTCGAGTAAATAAACATCATTGTAATTATAATGTATCAGATATTGCCTCATTGTAGGTTCAGGCACATTGTCCGGATCTCTCGTGTGGGCTAAAATAAGTTTAGCCCAGAAAATGAAGCTGTCAGCGTATTTTCTCGGTGAAAATCGAAAGAATTTAAGTGTTGCTGCACAATTTTCATCGAACTGCCAATAGCCAGTTTCTTCATCAGATATAAGAAGATCCGACAATTTTTGTTTTAAATGATTGCAGTATTCAAGAGGTGTATCCACATCAAATTCAGCCTTAAGCTGCCCCATCGCACAGTAGTACTCAAGCGCCGGATCACTGATTAAATTTTCAAAACCCAAGAAATCGGATAATTTTATATTAACACTTTCTTTACTCAGATCAATCGTAAATTTCCAATCTTTCTTCATCATAGCATTCATCTCAGCCACGTACTCTCGTTTGGTTACAGCAAGCGTTGAATAAAAACAAGGGTATGCGCTTAATTCATTCGCTTTTTCAAGATGAGCGACTTTCGTAAACCATTCGTAAGGAAAGGAACCCTTACAGTATTTATTCGGATCCAAACCACACGCATTTGCCAAACTCTCTAGAGACATCGGGCTTGTGTAATTTTTAAAATCCCTGAAGCTCAAATTTTTGGCGTCTAAAAGCATAATTCCAGCAGCTCTTTTAATGTAAGAAATATCTTCAGTTTTACGATTAACATACTGAAAAAGCACTGACGATAATGGTGTAAACAAGATAGGCAAGTCGTATTTTTCTCCATTGAAGGCGTAAATTTTCAATTTGAAAAAATCCTTCAGATATTTCAATTTCTTATTCCAGGATCCTCGCTGATGGTAATTCTCTGAGGGAAAATTCCTTTCATACTCAATTTTTTGTGTATAATAAGTGATACCAGCAGTAATGCATTCAGGAATAAGCTGCGCCATCCGCCGTTGTGTTTTATCGAGGTAATTAACAAATTCTGCGCACATTATAAGGATAGCTTCGTAATCGTCCTCCTTCCGAATAAAAATCTGTTTTTCGCCGTCACTCGTGTATGTTGCAATGGAAACAAGGTTATGAAAATGCGGTTCATTTTTCACAAACGGTGAAGCAGTCATTAACGACTCAATATCATACGTGCAGAAAAACGTTTGCACGTAATCAAAACTAGGTAAGAAACCATCATCAGCAAGCTCCTTGATGTAATCATTGATTCTCGGACCCTCAACTTTTTGTTCGATGATATTTATTTGATCCAAAGAACAATATTTAACATGTTTCTTCATTCGATTTGGCCTTGAGCTTGAATATAAACAACCTTTCGTCGGGCACACTGGAAGATCTTTTACTGCATTCGCAGGTAGAATACGAACACGAGTATCCTCAGAGAACACATTTGGTACAAGACTAAAAACATTTTTTATAGGCGCGTAATCTCCAAGATCGTTGACAAGTCTTGTGTCGACACTGGGATTTCTGTCATAAAAGTCACTTGTTACGGAACTCTCATCAATGTTTGCCACGTCATGACTTGTTTTTTCTTTTTCGGGACGTTCCTCATCACATTCATCGTCAAGGAAAATATTTCTACGGCCGCACGAGTTCTCAGATTGAGCGTTTTCAGTCAGTCTATCAAAATCTACAAATGACAAGCCATCCTCATTATTCTGATCACTTTTACTTGGAGCAACTAGCATAAGGCGATGGCGATCATCATGAGCATTATTGTCATCGCTCCCATCGTCGTTGTCATCTTCGCTTTCCGATGCGTAGTGATATTGATGAGTTCTAGATCTAGACCAATTAAGGATTTTGGCTATTTTCTTCGTGCTCAAATATTGGTCAGCAACAGCCACCCGTCTATGATAATCGGGATCGACAGCAAAATTTGGCATAAGACTCGGATCGCGCATGAATCGACGATATTCAGAACTGGTAAACTTCTTAAACTCACGAGCAAATTCATCTTCTTTATAGGAAGCCACAAGTAAATTCAAAGGAATGCACTTTGTTGATTTAAGAGTAGCGTATATACACTTTTTAACGTTCACATTGTCGTTCAGAATTTTACCAACAAACAGTCGAATGTCCACTTGTATTTTTTGTTTAATTTTGTTAAGAACACCATCAGCAATAGTAAAGATTTTGTTTTCATAACCATCGCCGAGAATTGTTTTCTTAAGCGTCAGTATTTTGTTGGGATAATCTTGTTTGCGTAAACTTGGCCACTTCACCTTGACAATCGCTGTCCAAATACTCGTCCAAGCAGAGTCGCATGTCTCGAACGGTTTTCTACCAGGTAAGACCCAAAATGTTCCAAGTCGGTGAAAGAAGGGGCGGGCAGATTGGAGTACAACGACAGGTCTCGCGATGGCAATAGATTCATGAGGAACACTTTCTAGTCGATTGATTATCGACGAAATATCATCATTAGAATTTCTTCTCTCCAAAGGTCTGTAAGCAATACCAAGAGGCGCGTATTTACCACCGTAAAGCACATAAATATCAATATTGAGCAAGCGCTCAAGTTTAGGTAGCACACCTCTTGTCGGTCGATTTCCGAATTTTTCAACAAGACTCCTTGTGTCAACTTTAGCCAATTCTTCTCTTAATAGTTGATTCACTTTAGTTGGTACTTTTGGTGATATCTTCTGTAAGTGTTTCCACAAATTAACACCCATTAAAACAGCGTCATAAACATTTGAAGGATAGTGGTCATCAGAATCAGAAGCCGCAGGAAAATAATCAACCTCATTGTCATCATATTCGTCATTATGAAAAGTCGTATCAAAACAGTTTTCATTATATAAACTAGGCCGAAAACTAGCTGTACTTGCAATACTGCTACCAGTTTCATAATCATCAAACATATTTTCATTGGGGAAACTTGATCCAGGAATGTCTTTCGGTCTTGCAAAAACACTGTCACTATCTTCGCGATTTTCTTCGACCTCACTTTCAACGTCAACTGTAGCTCTACAAGTTTGATTCCCGCTAAGTGAAGAGTTTGACGGAATATTATTACGCGAAATATTGCCATTATTTTGAGGGGGGATAACAATACTTGATAAGCTTGACGTCTCACTTGCAGATGAAATATCAGAAAGCAACTCCTCAATTTGCCTGTCAACGGAACCATGCAGAAATCTTCGTCGTTTTATCTCGTCAGTACGTGTTTTGTACTTTGCACGATTAGGTAAAAACCGTTTCATTTCAATTAAAATTGTGGTGACAGTAATTTATTTTGATTTTATAGATACAGTGTTTAGAAAAAGAGCGACTACAGGGAGAAGGAAGTGAGGGCGCTCGACGACTATCCGCGTGGCCTTTTGGCGTTTCGTTTCGCTGTTGCGACTGGGACCTGTGATAGAACAACAGCCTCTAAAAAATAGTAAAGAAAGATATAAAAGATTGATCTACCTTGTTTCACTGAATCAAGAATGAGAGCATCGACCGGAATTCGCATCGCCATAGCACTCCAATTTTCAGTAGTTGTTTCTTTATTTTCATAATTAGCAAACCCCGCAAGTGGTTTTTCAAAAGTCACTCGTATATTAACAGTAGCGTGGATTCCTTGCATTGGAGCAAACGACATTGGAACAATCCAGTTTTCAGTAATAAATTGAAAATAATCCAATCCTTCACCCACAGATTTGTTTTCGTATCTTCCGTTATGGTGTAAAAAATTGATATAATGATCCCGCGGTGATTTCCATGGGGTTCCAAAAGAAAACTTGTTATCTACGAGAATAGAGAACTCCTTGATAACAAATCCTTTTTCAAACAGAGTCGTTTTTGTAATGCACTGATCAAAGGATCCTGGACATCGAGCGCCGCGCATGCCGGTAAAAACCAACCATTCGGGAAGAGGTCCAGAAGAGATTTCGAATTCGTATGTTTGTAAACCAGGACTCAAATTCTGCATAATCAGTCGAGGATAATAAAATGGAATTTTTAACTGTCCTTTAACACCCGTTGTAAGAGGTTTTTCACTCGCTTTGGGCTCACAGAACACACTTTCAAGCATTATGTTCTTTAAATGATATTTCTCGAAAAACCTCTTACTAGGATAATCAACAGCACTATTTTTCTTCCAAAAATGGACATACTGTTTATCATTATCTTTAGCGAGAATAAATTTAGGTATTTTACAATAGACCATATGAGGTCTGAAAGTACCACTTTCAAGTATGGTACTCTTCGGCACAGCTTGTTTTCTCCCAAGATCAAGAATTTCAATGTATTTGAGGTACTCCCTTGTTTCATACTTAGTTTTACCATTTGAGTCAACAGCTAAACAATCACAGTCGTCCAGATACTCGTGTTTTACAGAATTATTCACCAGTAAAAGGTCGGGGTGATAAGGAAATCTGATCTTGGAGACAATTTTTCCATTTGCATCACTCTCGTAAATATTATCGTAATCAGTACGACATTCTGTAAATTCAGAAAATTTCTGCAAAAATAACTTAGCATCGTTTACTTTGACCAAGAAAGAGACCCTTGACCCGGGAGGTAAAACTTTCTCTTGCCGAGCTAAACCATGAGTAATCGGAGTCCGCAAATTGTAATCGTACCAAAGAACATCGTAAGATAGCGCACTGCCATCAGTCGACAATTTGATTGTATCAGGTTCAGGTTTCCAATTTTTTTCTGCGTATTGCTGTCTGTTCTCCACAAGAGTTTTCCCATTGTGCTTCACCCGTTTTGTTTCCAGTTCATCGCTATCAACATCGAAAGCGTCAAAGTGTCCCTCTACAAACATTTCAATCTCTTGAGCTTTTGGGGAGAAGTTAAGTTTCTTGATAAAATGATTGAAAAAGGCGTATTCCAACCCATCAGTAAATGATGAAAAGATAGTACTGTCCAGAATTTTCACTTCAAACTTATTAACCATCTTTGCAGCCACATCGTTGTCAGGAACGAAATTTGAAGGCATCTCCATTTGATAATGAAACATACATCGGTCAAGTTTTATAGGAAGCTTATCTTCGGGAACCGTAAAACAAATTTCACCTTCAAGCGGATGAGTTGCCAATCGCATAACTACTTTGTATCCAGTAAATGGATCTTCAATTTTCTTTTTAGGAATGTAATAAAGAAGCTGCCCATAGTTTTCGGTCATTTTCGTTTACTAAAATTTATTTTAATATCAATGAACAATAAAATGATTGAGATGAGCAAATAAAAAAACAAAAATAATAACATGAATTTTGATGGTAAGAAAGATAACGAAATAAAGGCCAAGATTTGATTTAACAAATAAATCAATGAATTTAAATAAATGTCCGAGTCCGTTGAGCAAAAGTGATCGAATTCTTTTCTTTATTATCGGCGTCGTCGTCGTCGTCGTCGTCTTCGAGGAAACCTTCGCCTCTTCGTTGTTGTTTTCCGACGAGGACGACGTCGAACCAATCTCGAGGTCCTCCGTTTCGGTCCAGGTCTCCGGCGACGTCGAGGAGTTGTCCGAATTCGGGAAAGTTGTGGTCTCAGAATAAAGGATCGTAGACGAGTCATTTTGGTTAATCTCTTCGTCGACGGAGAGTAATAATAAGTCCGTTATCTAAAATATATTCTCAAGATTCAGAAAGCGGCAACACAAGATTGAGTTCGTTTTCATAAAACCGTCGGTCTAAAGTTTCTCCATTGGGCCCTTCTAGTTCAAATGTAAAGACACGAGCTCCTTTATTGATATGTACGATTTGATAAAGCTCTTTCGACCATTTTGAAACCGAGCCTTTATCGAAAATTCGCTGCATGCTTGGATCTTTCACTTTTCGCACAAGATCACCCAAGTGAAGTCTACAGTGGTGTGAGGAGTTTCCGCACCCTTTGTGAGTGCTGCGTTCGCGCACCCCTAGCCCGCACTTTTTCTACTATTTTCTTCTAGAAGTAGCAAAAGTGAGTGCTGCGTTTCCGCACCCTTTACCCGCACTTTAGGGGTGCGGAAACTCCTCACACCACTGTACTTCCAGTTTGACGTTTCATTTTTGATCGTAGACTTTCCAAATAATCAAAGAGCTGTGGTGCGTTCGTACGATTAACATCACTTGGTCTCATGTTTATTGACGAGTGAATTGAATTATTGATTGCTTGATTCACATCATCCAATATATGTGTCCATCTCTTAACTCCATTCTGAGCCGTAAAAGCTCTTGCAAAACGAGTTTCCAAAGTGCGGCTAGAAATAAATAACTGAAAATTTGAAATAAACTTACTTGAATCTTTCCACCATCGCTGCTTTATGGCGGCCGACTAAATGCACAGGCGTCATACCCCATTCCTTCAGTAATTCCTTAGTAGGTCCCAAAAATTCACTACCCTTATCAGAACAAAAGAAAGTATGTCCGGGTAAATCAAGTCGCTCAAAAATATGCTTCAATTCCTTCGAAGTTTCCTCCGCAGTCAAAGTCTTTAACATTCTAACAAAACTCTGACGAGATAATGCATCAATAACACATAAAATATATCTGTATCCATTATTTACACGACCATAGTTTTTATACGCAGCGATAGTATCGGCAAATAACGTGGTATAGAGTCCGCTAGCAATTATTGGATTACGAGTAAAATTATAGCGAAAAGGTTTATGTAAAGAAATAGGTTCGTTCATGCGTTTAAAACGTTTCAAGTCAAATCCACTATAATAAGATTCTTTATTCGGGTTATACATTAAATCGAGAGCAAAAGGAGGTCTTTTAGTTGTTTCAGTATTATTCGAATCATTTTGTCCAGAAATCTGTGATGTCTGTGACTGCTCGATTCTCGACGACATTGTCTCCCCTATCGGAGTCATACTCGGACTTCTCTCCCTCGGAGCTATCTCCGGCTCCCTTATCTCCCTTCTTGTTTTTATTACTAGCGGACTTTCCGGATTTAGACTTTCCTGACTTTGATTTGTTTGGGGGTTTTGATACTGTAGTGACTCTTCCAACAGACCGCTTGGACCGTTCATTCTGTCGCTTGAATTTGTACGCGGGGTTCTCGACAATAACGGACTGCGATCGTCTGGAATCGGCTCGTCTGGCAATGTTATGTCTTCCACCCGATTTTTTTCTAGCATCTTTAGATTTTGGTCTGGTCTCATTATCTGATTCCTCGGATTCATCGACGTCTGAATCTTCATCATTTGAAGTTGTTTCGGAATCGTAATATTTCCGGCTTCGTTTCGAGCTCCTATTATTTGTGTCATGAATTGAATTCCGCCATTTTCGGAAATCAGAGCTGGTGATAGAATAACCGTCGGATTTATTGGCTTTTCTTTTAGTGCGTTTGATCGGATGCCGTCTATTTGGTTCATCTTCTTCGCAACTGCTGACGTCCACGTCTTTATAAAGTCGTTTCCGCCCGCGTTTGGTTGTAGTACGGATGACAGTTGGTTTCTTCTTTCTACGAGCCTTTTTGAACTTCCGTTTTGACCGAGACTTTTCAAAGTCTTGGCTGTCCTCGGAATCATAGAAGTCCCTTTGCTCTTGCTGCTGATACCGTCTCTGATTACGGGCGATTGTGTACTGACCATTCTCTTCATCGGACTCTTCTTCCTCCTCGCTAGATTTTTCTTCCTCATCTGAGCTTGAAAACGCTCTTCTCTTTCGAGATTTTTTTGATGATCCTCTAGGAAGGGTTCTGTTGCATAATCCTGCAACCATTTTGGCTGTTTCGTCTTCCTCCGTGTCATAGTCAGGGTAATTTTCCTCTTTTGTCTTAGGAGCTCGGACTCTAACGCGATTAGTTATTGGATTAATTTCCCAGTAAGAGCATATATTTTCCATCTGGGATAAGGAGAAAAAACATCCTCCATTAAGGGGGGCTTTACTTCCAGTATTTAACGTACTCATGAGAACTTAATATATTAGAATTGCTCAAACTCAATCTTGTAAAAATAGAATAAAAACAAAAATAAAAGAAATAAATTACCTGCGACATTACCTTTTTAAGTCTGAAAAAACTTTTTTCCGAGAGGTGTGATTTCTCCAAAAGAGAAATGAATTATGAGAAACGCACTCAAGGTCAACATTTATAAACACGATGGAACAGCGCCACCTGACACATCATCTAAAACAACAGTATAAATAAACGTGTCCGATCATTCTTGCTCAAAGTACGAAATGTTGAACCTTGAGAAAATAGAAAAAAATTGTTATCAACAATCGTCAGCATCAATAAAATATCTGGCAAAGAAATCATAGGAAGCAACGAATTCAAAGCTACCGGGAACAAATCACTATGTCGACCATTATCACAAAGTTCTTACCAGATATACGATTTCAACATCCGTGCTCTCTATTTATAAGTGGAGCAACTGGGAGTGGCAAAAGTAACTTTGTAAAAAATTTAATAGAATGCGAAGGTATACGCGGAGAAATGACAGATATATATTACTTCATGCCACGTCTCGAGACAATAAATATTCGACCACCTGCACACCAAGAATTATTTTTAATGGAAGGTCTGCCAACAAAAGAATGGGTAGATGACACGTTCAAAACTGAAGATAATAACAACGTGATTGTTGTAGACGATCAGTGGTCCCAAGCAGTAAATAGCCCGGTTATCGAGTACCTTCTCACATATGGTCGTAGACATCTCCGGCTGACTCTAATCTTTATAAGTCAGAATTTCTACGAAAAATCGAAAATTTCCATCACCCTAAGGTAAATGATGACTTAATTTTATATTTATTTTCTGAATTTTTAGGAATTGTATGACAATATTTATTCTATTTAAAAATAATACAGATACAGGCATAAATAAAACAGTCGCCACAAAGACAGGCGAAGTGGAAGCGTACAACGCAGCTATGCGCCTTTTTAAAGAACGAAGAATCCCAACCTTCTACTACGTTATCCTGGTAAGAGACATAAATCACCCGGATCAACCACGTGTTATGACAAACTATTTCGGGGAGATCCCTGGACTTGGCGGCGCACCCTGGCTATTCGACGTTCAACAGTAGTTACCTGCATTACACATTTCAAATAAATAAAAGAGTAAAAATTAAATGAAAGCAGTTTATTTTGATCTTTGGTGAGTAATCAGTTTCTAGAACGTTTGTTTTCTTTTTTTGTCGTGAATAGATCAAGAAGAATTGTCTTCGCCAATGGCGGTGGATGAAGTAGCAGCCTGCTCGTTTTCTTCTTTCCTAAAACCATAAGATAAGAATTCGAGATCGAGAATAAGAATAAATGAGATATCGCAAAATTTGATAAATTACGACTAGATCCTAGCGGTGTGTAAAATATGTAACTTTCGTAACTTACTTCTCACTTTCCAAAATGATTTTCTGCTCCTCTTGATATCTTCTCACAAGATTGAAGATGGCATAATCGAAGTCTTCTGGTTGATGCAGTTGCGGACGAAGCGCATGGCGAGAGAATCCCAAAAACCGCTAAAAAATTATTAAACAAAAAACAAGCGACAGATTACATTTTGATCATCGTTGATTATTTCACGTTCCAAGCAGATAGTTTCAATACGATGCGCAAAACGAACAAACGAGCTTATCGGTCCAAAGTAGTTCGAGAACGCGTAGGTACGAAAGAATTTTCGTGCAAGTTGTCTGAGAATCAGCAATCGAGTGTCGCACATCTGGACCAAGTCGTAGTCTTCCTTTTTTAGTCCAGCGATTCTTACCAAAGATACAACGCGCCTGTTTATTTTGTCCGTGTCAGCTTGATTGTCTTTCTGATACTCCGGATTTCGCTCGAGCAGACTTCTAGCAAAGACTTCCCCGTAAAAGAGGTACACAGAAGTCATCGTAAAAGCATCATCGCGAAGCAATGTGAAATTAAAAAAGATGTCATCCAGATAAGGATAGACGACCTTTTGGTAATCACATGTAAAACTATAGGACTTGTCAGCAGTCTTCACACGCAAATAGGTAAAGCGGCGATAAATAACCATCGGTTCATATGACAGAGTCCCGTATGAACATCCATCAACAGCGTGATGAGAAACAGAAGGTCGTCGGCGGACTATAATATATAAATAACTTTGTTTTGAACTTTGGTATTACCGTATTCTTCGCACAGGTTAATAACAATTCGAGGATGGAAGGTGTTAGTTTCCCTGTCGTACTCCTGGAATAAATGGAATCCAAAACTCATCTTTCGTTTAGCAAAAGCCTCCTTGTTCAGAATTTCAGGAACCGGGAAATTGGAATCATTTTCGTCCCAGCCATCAAAAATGTTCGCTCTAGGTAAAACAACAGGGAACTTCACTTTACACAATTCAGAAAGAGTTTCTTCGAAGATCAACACCATCTCGAAAAACTCTGACGACTAACCACCGAAAGCTACAAACCAAGACTACCAAAAACTCCAACCGACTCTTGACCGCCTCACACAACAACTTCAAACCGAAAAGGAAATAATAACAAATCAGGGATACAGGAAATATTTTTTTTATTTTGTTGCAGCTAAAAAGCGCAAAGAAAGTTGCTTCTGCTTTAGTTGCTTTCGGTAGACCAATTTCGCCCAGCAAGCGTGAAGGAGCGATTCGACGGAGTGGTGAATTCTAGTCGCCATCTCTGATTGCAAATATCGCTCCAAAGATCGTGGTATCGCGCATCGATCTCCCGCTCTTTCACCTGTAAGTAGCCCTTGAGCTGGAGCTGCTCCTCTCTCGTCAATTTTTGTTTGAGGAGATTGTAGATAGCAGCGGGAGAGGGATCGTTCGCTTGGGTAGAGGGGTCGATTGGGTACGACCCAGCGAAATCGACGACTTAAAATAATAAGAAACCAGATAGAAAACTAAAACTTACATTCGCGAGCGGGAGAACGGGGCTCCTGTTGGTCGGGGACAGCCGTTTCCTCACCAGAGTTGGGACGAGGAGGAAGATCTGGATACACCTGCGGGGCTGGGAGGCCACTTGGTCCAGCTTCTTCAGGAAGACGGAGCTGAGGGTCGGAGTTTCGAGATGGACCCCTAACGCGGAAGTGATTAGGAGGGCAATCGGTGTCCATTGGAGCAGAAGCTATCGGGGACAAAGGTGTCGGCTGCGGCTCCGGCTGCTGAACAGGGGAGCTGGGAGCGAGATCGTTAGTCGCTTCCGGGGCAGCGTCTCCTGATCGACGATTCTTGGAAGAAAAGCCGAATTTGGTGATCAGTTTTTTCTTGCCGCGTGGGAGTTCTTCGCTTTCAGATGCGGACGAATTGGATGCATCAACAGAATGCAGAGCCAGTTTCGCCTGGAGTAAGTGCGCTTCCGCGCGAGAGATCGCAGAAGCGAGAGCGGATCGTTTGCTGGCGGATCGGGTGATTCGCTAACATCAATTATTAATTTGAAAAAAATCTAATACGGGTACTTACAGTCATCGGGAAAGTCGAAAAAAAGTCGAAACGTCCTTCTTCTAAAGCTTGCAGAGAGCAACTGATTACTTTTTGCAATTTCGGCCTGATAACGACAACAATTCTAGAGAAAAATCGTGTTTTTGACTTGGAATTTCTTTGTTTTGATCTTTGCAAAACATGTTCTAGAGACGAAATAAAGCATAAAAAACACCATTTTAACCATTTTTACGCTTTCTTTTCGCAATAAAATTGAATCTACTGGATAAAAAATTTTCCTTTTTTGGGAGTAGGTCGAGACCTAGATAAACAAACTTCAAACGCAATTCAAATAAATTCCGACGGTGGAAAAATCTTTTACGGATGTTTATGTACCCGAGAAGGGGTATTTACTAACGAAACCATCAGGAAAAAACAACTAAATCTGCTGAGTAGAGTTCCACGTAGCAACTGATTGTTGTGATAACTTTGAAAAAGGAAATGATCTTGACCGATTAAATCAAAAGAAACAAATCAGAAGGACACAGAATTCTTTTTTTGATTGCAATGGAAGTACAAAGTCAGAGAAAAGAACAAGATGTCAAGCAAGAAAACGAAGTGGTACAACACCCCCGGGATAAAATCAAAGCTTCAAGAAAAACTTACAAAGTAATGTATGAGAAACTCCTTGATCAGCTGCTTAGGACACAACCAGGAAGATTCCACTCACACTGCAACGGTCTACTTTGGGCTATCGGTAACAATGAAGACGGAGCTCCAAAGTACAGTGCAAATCGGCTCAAGTCAATCATGGAAAAATCACCAGACGTGGATTACGACCATAATCTCCGAAAAGAAATTGAAGCTGGTGCTGAACGGAACAATAGTGAAGATTTTGTTATTGACCACACTCTCTTTGATTATTATGCTAGGTATGAGGACAGCGACTTCAACGTGCTCTACATCAGACGAACCGCCAAGGGAGGCGAACAACCATTTCCCGATTATGACAAACGCGACAATTCCGACGACTCAGACGACAATTTCTTCGAATCAGATGACGACATCAGTGAAGACAGTGACAGGACCGTATCTGTGCGAATCGGAGAGCCAGATGAAAGTGAATCAAGCTGCAGCTGTATCAACTTATTACTCGAGGGGAATGACACCAACAGTGAGTACTCAGACGAGAGCACAGACGACGACAGCAGGGATGGGTCATATGATGAGAGACTTGCAAAGGAAGAGACAGATGCGGATGCAACGGCTAAAGCGACTAAAGGTGCTTGAACGACGATTTAAAACAACACAATTGATACGACATATTATTGCAAACAGAAAAGTGCGTAACCTGCGACCCTTTACATATACTGAACTAAAGTACGTTTTTTCCCAGTGTATCGAGGAATAAATGTGCATTGAAATTGATTTGTTTGGTTGTCTATTATTATTGCTTGATTATATTGGCAGAATAATTACAGTATTGATTACGTAACAGTAGTTGCAGTTGTCATCATTGTCTGCAGTAGATGTTCGGATCTGAAAGTTATGTGAGGATATGTTTTGTAGTTTGGAATGGTTACCTTGTTTGAACTCTGATGTTTGCTCTTCTGGTCTTCCTTGTCAAGGTCACTGCTGTTCCAAGTGGGGGATAACGTCTTCACTGTCGTTGTGTCCATTGTTATGATTATGTCGAGTGTTTACTCATCTGAAGGTCATTGTTATGATTAGTGAGACCATTGTTATTGTATGTGAGGAAATGAGCGCTAGAATGAAGCCGGAAGTTGATTGGTGTAGGTTGTTTACCTTTGATTGGCTCTAGAATAATACCGGAAATGACACGCCGCCCTAATCACTGAGGGAAAGTTGTTTGTTTAGACTGGAGCAGTTGTTTACCTTTTGGTGGAGAAACAGGAAGTGACCTCGATGTACACCGCCGCCCTAATGGTTCAGGATTGGTCCAATTTCGAACTTCGCGCACACCCGTTTTAGCCATTCACAGAGAACCACAACCCCTCGACAGACAGCCACTCTATATACCGCGATTGGCATTTCTGACTGACTGATTCTGATTTTCGAGGGAAATAGCTAATCAACCAATTAAAATTTGACTCTAGTGTCTCTTCTTTTAGAGTTCCGTCAAACCAGTGACGCCTACGCAATCTACGTTACAAATCTCCTATGTTTTTTGCATGGAGAATTGTAACGTCAATGTGCATCTTTCAAAAATCAGTCAGTCAGGACTGCCAATCGCGGTACTACTCCTCTGAGCGAGCTGCTATCGAGATGAAGGCTGGAGATAAGCGGATAAGGAGCTCTTGTCGGTAGAATGAGCGCTGGTGGGGGAGAAAGGCGGATGGATCTTGGAGATTATGGAGGAGGAACAGTTTAAATACTTGATTGAACTCTTTATTGATTTTGTTATTGTGAAATGTGTTATTGAACTGACATGATCAGGACTGCTGACGGGAGGATCGTCAGGATCCGTAGCTGGCAGCTCGGCGCCCCCAATTTTTAACCGAGGGAAAAAGACATTCCGCGCTGACCAATTCTCCGATGACATCAGAGAAGGCTTCAGAAAGCTCAGGGAAAATGACTCCCTCAGTGACTGCATTCTCATTGCTCAGGAATTGAGGTCAACTCGAAGATAATCCTTTCTCTTGTTACTGAATTATGTTTGTTGACCTGAGAAATGAAAGGACGTGCAATTTCCCGTGCACAAGGCTCTTCTTGCTTCTGTTTCTGATTACTTTCGTGCCATGTTCTGCTCAGGGATGAAGGAAGCGACCTCGAACGTCGTCTCATTGCAAGGAATTTGTCCAGAAGGGCTCAAGAAGATCATCGATTTCATCTACAGCGGGGAGGTGATGATTGGAATGGACGATGTCTGCGTCATCTTAGACGCCGCTACTCACATGCAAATCAGTCACGTGGTCGCCTTTTGTACAGAGTTCCTTGTCGAGCAACTAACGATGAACAATTGCCTCGAAATCGGCAACATTGCCTCGCAGTTCAACTTGTCCGAAGTCGACGACTTCATCAATCGTTTTCTTCTTCAAAACTTTACATCTATCCCCGACTTGTGCAAGATCCCGTTCGAAAGGTTAAAGTTCCTCCTGGGTTCGAACGATCTCCAGGGAGTCAAGGAGCTCGACCTGTTTCACTACGCCAGGGTTTGGCTGAAAGGAGGTCTGCCGCAAGAAAATCGACTCTCCCGCGCAGGAGAACTCATGGAACAGATCAAATTCCCGCTCATCCAGCCTTCCAGCGACCTAAACGAGATCAAGGGTATGAAACCAATGACCAGAAAATTTTCTAATAAAAATGTAGATGTCGATTTTATGAAAGAGTCAAAATGTATGCAGCTTTTGCTTGAAGCCACAATTTACCAAATGCTCCCAAACATGCAGCCACTTCTTCAAACTTCACGAACCCAAATTCGCTCAAACTCGAATCACCTAATCGTCCTTGGCGGAGTGCTTCGTCAACAACTCTCTGTTTCCAATCAATTAAGGGCGTACGATGAAAACAAAAAGGTACAGTTGCGCTTATAAGTTACTATTGAGTCTTTTCTTCGAGAAAAATTAAAATATTTTTGTAGGATTGGCTTCGATTGCGCGAAATGGATCATCCACGGTACCAACATGGAATCGCCGTGATTGGAAATTTCCTATTTGTCGTCGGCGGCCAGAGCAACTACGATACGAAGGGAAAGACTGCTGTTGATACTGTCTTCCGCTTCGATCCGCGGACGAATTCCTGGCGCGAAGTTGCAAGCCTCAACGAAAAACGGACATTTTTCCACCTGTCCGCAATTGGGAGCAATTTATACGCAGTTGGTGGTAGAAACTCCGCTGGAGAACTGGCAACAGTCGAAAAGTACTCGCCGAAGGAAGACGAGGTAATTTAATCGAAAAATGAGGTATTTAAATCCCTTTTTTTCAGTGGAACTTCGTCTGTAAAATGAAAGAACCTCACTATGGCCACGCTGGAACAGTCTACGATGGAAAAATGTACATTTCCGGTGGAATCACTCACGATTCTTTCCAAAAAGAGCTGCTTTGCTACGATCCGACAGTTGATGATTGGGAGACTAAAAATCCGATGACAGGTCCTAATCAGCTCATTTTTCTATAAATTTTCAACCCTTTTTCAGTCGTTCGGGGGCTTCATTGCATGACAACGCATCGTGACCGTCTGTACGTTTTCGGCGGCAACCATTTTCGTGGCAGCTCTGGTAGGAGCTTTAATTTCGTTCTGGGAATCTAAGAATCCTGCTTATAGATTACGACGATGTCCTGGAGTGCGAGTATTATCTACCGCGAACGGACCAGTGGGTGAAAGTTGCGCCAATGCTGACTGGTCAATCAGATGTCGGAATCGCTGTTTATAATGATCGAATTTATGTCACTGGAGGCTACAGGTACGTTTTTGGAAGAAATAAAAGACAATATTTTTCAAATAGTTGGAATAATCGTTGCATGGTCGATATTGTTCAATGCTACGATCCAGCAAAAGACAAGTGGGAGAACCGATTCGAGCTGCCAGAAGCTCTTGGTGGAATTCGAGCTTGTACTTTGGTGTTGAAGCATCCGTCGGACTATACTGTCGTCAACGTCGAAAAAGAGATTTCAATGCTCGAGATCGGCAGTAATCATGGGTAAGAAAATGGAAAATCCTAGCTTTCAAAACTATTTTTTCAGCGCTCGATATGGCCTCCCGCCTGGAATGCCCAATAATGCGTCACTAGATTCTGCCCCGCCGCTTTAAAAACTAACTATATATTTATATCTATGCTGCATTATTTTAACTACGCTCTTTTCTTTAAATTTGCACATTTAAAACTTTAAAGTTTCCTTATTTCTTTAATATTTGTTGTCCTCCTTTTCTGTCATTCTAAAAAACAATCTGCTTCAGTAAGTCTGTTCTAGCCTGAGAAAAAAATCATCATCATCATTTTCTTCATGAACCAAAAATGATCGCTTTCTTTACTTTTTTTACTGAAAAAAGGTCGCTCTTGCTTTATCAATTATAAAATTTCTTTATATAAAGTAACGTCTGAATTTCAAATGAGTCTGATTCTGAGTTTGAGATTGAGTAGAATCCCAAACAATGGTTGTTAGATTAGATTCCCCTTAACGAGGCTATAAAACGACGCCCACTTCTTTGAGAAGACACCAGACAAAACAGTCATTTCGTTGAATAATTGTTCCATAAGAAGCTACAAGTAGGCCCATTCATTCCGTACAGAATAGCTATTTCATAAGGGAAATCGTATGTTCACGAGATTTCTTGCCGTCGGCCAGAGCAGGAGCTAATATCGCTGCTCAATAACATCAAAAGAGAAGTTCAAAATCATATGATCGAGACTTTCAGCTCCGGGGGCTAGAAATGCTCATCATCGAAAAGAGTTAAACAAAGAACGAAACAACAGTCGTTAATTTTCAAGAGTGATCGAGTGATTATCGGAGAATAGAGCGAGACAAATAGAAAACAGAGAGAAAACGCGAATTTTGGCGCAATGGAAGGAGACGCGCCAATTTCAAAAGCGCCGTCGTCAGATGATCCAGCTCCGCCAGCAACAGCCGCCAAAGATGAGGAAATTGACAAGGGTGGCTGGTGGAGTAGCTGGACGCCTCTAGCGAAGACTATTACAGGTAATGGGAAATTTCAAGTAAATAAAAAACTGATTTGGATCTCCTCCAGAAATAAACAAGTGAACCTTCTGCCTTCCTTCTCAGATTCTAACAAATTAAAAGCTCTTTTTATTCAGATGTCAGTTCCAACCTGTCAAAAACTGTCTCCCAGGGATTGGAAATGGCAAACCAAGTCCTCGACAAAGAAATTGAAATCGAAATTGACGTGGATAAAATGGTCAATGCCACGAAAAACATTGCAAATCAAACCGTCCAAACTTCCAAGGTAATCCATTCTCAAGTCTTTGGCTAATGGGTTTTAGACTATTTACGAAAAATCGTCAGAACTGTCAAAAGTAGTTGCTCAAGATGTGACAGATTTAACAGGAGCACTTGTTGAAGATTCTGTCGAGACCTATTCTGCCTTTTCTGAAGCTACGAGGAGTACTATTGAACAGGTACAGTTCATGATCTAACAAAGGTCATCCTAATCAACGAAAAATAACACTTTAATTTATTCAGTCCTCATCCTTATTTTGTCTCAACGGCATGGTAAGTCTTGAACATGCTGCATGAGACTTCTAAAAGACCATTCATCCTTTATCATCATTTAACACTAGAATAATCTTCATACATGTCATCTCGTTTTTGAATTAGAAAATTCATTCATTTTGAACTTCAAGGTGAGCGGAACGAAAACTGCTGAAACCGCCAGTGCTATGAAAAATTCTGTATTTGGTGCCCTCAACGCTATTTCGTCTGCCATTCTCGCCGATAGCTCTGGTAATTTGACATTTTTTTTCTTCCTTGTCTAGTTTCTTCTTGCTAGATTCTGAATCCGAAGATGGAAAAACAAAATCAGCCCTCTCCGGTCCAGCCGCCCGTCTCGCCAACCTCCGTGTCAATCCAGCTACTTACTGTAACGAAGCAGAAGACATGGTGCACTTTCTCCAGTGGACGGAGAATTTTAACGTCGAGGGGCAAGAAATCAAGACTGAAATCTCCGACGTCATGGTCGAATGTCCCGAAGTTCGGGCGCTCTACTCCAAGTTGGTGCCAAGTGCAGTCGCTCATAATGACTTCTGGACGCGGTATTTCTACAAGTAAGTCTTTTATCATGCTTTTCTTTTTGTATTATGAAATTTAAGGCTTTCGCTGTTGGAAACAGCTGAAATGAAGAGATCGGCGCTGGTAGAACGCGCCACTACAGACGAAGAAGAAGACCTCGAGAGTTGGGGCGACTCGGACTCGGAAACTGACGAACCAGAGACTCAGGAGGAGTTGCCAACCGTTGAAGAAGCGAATAAACAGTTTGATGAGGAAAAATCTGAAAAGCCCGAAGCGAAGAAACCCGAAGAAAAGAAAGCTGAAGAAAAGAAACAAGAAGAAAATAAAGAATCAGAAGAGATCAAAACTCAAGAAACTTCAAGCAACAGCCAGAAAAGCGAGAAAAACACCGTTACCGAAGAATTGAAAGACGCTGCCAAGGAAGAGGAACCAGCTCCAGCAGCTGCGACTCGACAAGAGAGTCAAACACCTTTGAGCAATCCAGATTCGAAGGAATCGTGGACAGCAGTGGACAAAAGTGAATCCGACGATTGGGAGCGCGAGTTCGACCTGGAAATGACCGAAGAAGAGATCGAAAAAGCGCTGAAAAACGAGGTTAGCCCAATGAAAATACCGCTCAAGTTTTTAAAACTTTATTTCAAAAAGAATGAAACTTCCAAAAACGTAAAAGAAGATGACGACGATGGCGAGCTAGATGACTGGTCGGATGACGAATGAGCTCACTACTGTATGAACAGTATCTCTACATAGTGTTAAGCAGAAAATCTCTTGTCTTCATTTTCCCTTTTTTCAAACAAAAAATGCAAAAACGAACCGATACAAAATATTTTTCTATAGACGTTCAACGGAAAAAATTCCAACTTTTACTTTCTCGATATTTTATTTCTGTCATTTTCCTGCTTATTTCTTTTGTTTTTCCTTTTTTCTTCAGCCATGCTTATCCCTCGCAGCTCAAACTTTCACCGTTTATTCTTTACAAAAAAATCATATAACAGGAAAATATATAAAAGTATATTTGAAAACCGCGTCCTTTTCATTCCTCCAGATTCAACAAAAATAAGCATGAAACCATTCGAGTTCGATTCTAATTTTTTAAAAGCAAAGGTTTAAGAAAATGGGAATGCTAGAAGCATTCAACCTCGCTCAGACAAAAGCACTGAATCTTTTGAATCCGTTGAAGTTCTTCCAGGGCGTCGGCAAGCCATCTTCGAACATGAATAAGTTCCTTCCAAAGAATCGTAAGAGCTGGGCAGAGTGTTACAAAAACGAAGAGATGATGCATGTTTACACGACTTCGAAAGCGGGCTTTCCAACGATGACCTGGATGCGCAGCTCGAAATACTCGATACATTACATTTTCTCAATTGCAGGCTTTGCCGCGTTTTTGAATTGGAAAGTCATGTCCATGCAGCTTCAAAAGTGAGCAAAACTCAAGAAAATCATCAAGCTATTTTGATTTCAGAAACGAAGACTACAGAATGGAGCAAGGCGAACTGCAAGTGCCTCAGTACGCCACGAATCTCGGCTTTGGAATCCGCTTTCTTTACCTTGTAATTGGCATGGCTGCTCTTTCCGCGTTGCTTTTGCTTCCCTCGAGAAGAGTTCACAATATGTACATTCATATTCCAGACAAATCTCTCATCATAGAAAGCGGAAGGTTATTCGGTACAAAGCCGACGTACTATATTTTTGACGGAAAAGTAAGATGCCAATTTTCTTCTCATCTCATTAATTTATTGTAGGAAAACGAACGTGTCCGATATATTCTTCAAAAATCAAGGCAAAAAAGTGACAACATGAAAGGTCTGAGCACGGACAAAATCTCCAGTGGGACGCTTTCGTATCATCCGAAACTCGCTTATTGGGGTCAGACGCCCAGATTCTTTCCTAAATTCTTATTCCTGGGCAAAGGAGAGTTTCTCCTGAATATGAACGAAATTAAGAGCATTCAGAAAAATATGCCTTTTGCTGGAGGTAAAAGTAGGGTGGGAATATTTTTTCCGAATGTTGGTCCCGAGGCTAGATATTTTTTGGGGTGAATTCTAGGGTCCTAAGAAGTCCCGAAAAAAAATTTGAGAAAAAATTTTTTTGTCGGAAAAAATTCTAGAGCCGATTGAAATTTAGTTTTTTTTAATCATGAAATATGGTTTTTTTTTCAAAAGGAAATGCCCTAGGGCAATTATTTTGTCCTTCTTTTTTCTTTTATTTTTTAGCCGCGCTTAAGCCGCAAAAAAGCCGCACCTCAAAGATGAAAATAATAGAAAAAATTATAGCTTTAACGCCAAAAATAAGTATTTTTTTTTCGTTTTTCATTTTTTTTTTGACTCAAAAACTAAGTGACCCCCTTAATAAACATAGTGATACCCTTATTTTTACAAAAAGATTCCCTAATTTGTATATTTATATTTAAAAATCGTCAAAAATTAAAAATTCCTTTTTCAAAGGAAATTCGAAACACCATAAAGGTGTTCCTCGCCAAGAAATATGGGCATTGAGGGAATCTTGAGGACCTGCGCGGGCCTTGGCCACACTGGCCATGTGCGCTGGGGCCTTGCGTAACTCGCGATGCGCAGAGGAGGATGCCTCCCGCGCCGCGATCCCAATGACTAACGAGGGATCGCGACGCAAAGAGCCTGAGACGGGCATGGTGGGGACATGGGGGGAAGCTCTGAGGGGCCTTGAAAAAAATTATTTTTGACAAAAAAAATAATTTTGGCCTCTCTAGATCAGCCCGGACCATTGACAATGGTCAAAGCCGCATACGTGCGTACGTCCGTACATCTTCATCGCACGTATTATCGGTTTCGACGCGCATCGTGAGTTGACAGGAAAGTCTGCTGGTGGGCCTAACTCGCCAGCAGGGATCCCTGTCCTAGGCGCTTTTGGCCCGGTATCAGTGGGACGGCCGACTGATATCGTGACCAGGGCAGGGCAGGGCAATGCAGGGCAGGGCAGGGCGGGGAAAGGCAAGGCAGGGAAGTGAAGGGCAGGGAAGTGAAGGGCAGGGCAGGGCGGGGAAGGGCAAGGCAGGGCAGAAAAGGGCACGGCAGGGCGGGGAAGGGCAAGGCAGGGCAGAGAAGGGCAAGGCAGGGAAGGGCAAGGCAGGAAAGGGCAAGGCAGGGAAGGGCAAGGCAGGGACGGGCAAAGCTGGGAAGGGCAAGGCATGGAAGGGCAAGTCAGGGAAGAGCAGGGCAAGGTAGGGCAGGGAAGGGCAAGGCAGCGCGAGGCATTGTAAGGCTCATCAATGCAGCGAATGGCATCGCACGGCTAGGCAACGCTGTGAGTAGCAGCGAAAGGCTGGGCAACGCAGTGAGAGGCAGTGCAGGGCTTGGCGTTGCAGTGAGAAGCCGCGCAAGCCTAGGCAACGCAGTGAAGGGCAGCGCAAGACTGGGCAACGCAGTGAGAGGCAATTCTGGGCTTGGCAACGCAGTGAGAGGCAGTGCTGGGCTTCGCATTGCAGTGAACCAGCGCAAGCCTTGGCAACATAGGGAGGGGCAGCGCAAGGCTGGCCTTAGCAAGACAAAGTCGCGCGATCAAGCTATCCTTTCCGAATGAAAATAAAGGCAACTTTCTACAAGCAACAAACAAGAACAATAATCTCGAAAGACAAGGCATATGAGCGATCTATGATTTATTCAGAGAAAAGCACAGAATGGTAAGCAAGAAAGATACTTTTCTTGTGCTGCTTGCGCTTCTTGTTTGCCTCTTTGACTTTGTTCGCCGCAGTCTCCTTCTGCTCATCGGTCATTTTAAGTCGAATCGCAGAGGTAAATGAATCGTAAGCTTCATCGCGTGTGACCACTCCGAAATCGGCAACAACTGCGTTCGCCTTCGTGAATGCCTGGAAAGCAGCATCGAACTAATGAGGGAGGTTAGTTTCATGAAACCAAAAAGTCCTCTTTTACCTTCGAAGCATCCTTTGGTAGTGCATCAAGTGCAACCGCAAGTTCCGTAAGCCCTTGGAGACGAGCCTTAAGACTTGCCTCTTTGTCGATGGTCTCCATCATTTCGCTCACCGCAGCAGCGTGGGCAGACTTCCTAACATCGGAGCCCCGCTTTTCATCTGCATAGAGTCCTCGGAAGCAGCGACGTAGAGTCTCCTCATCGTCCATGAAGTGGCTCAGAGTTGAATTAATTCGGCAGCAGAAGACGGAGGCGAGCTTTGTTGAGTTGAACTTCGAGACAAAGGTGTCCTTGGCAATGCTGAAGCAGCGTTCAGCATGAACATTTGTCAATGCAACAAGGCCCTAGAAAAATGTATAAGGTACTGCTGACTCTGTGCAAGAGAGAGATGAAAAGTATCGCTTACCTCAATATCTTCCTTCGGAAGCTGCTCGAAACGGCTGAAAGTGGCAAGGAGAGGGTCGAGCTTTCGTCGAATTCGCTCATTCAAATCAGCAGCCCCACTTTCATCGTCAAGAATCGAGTTGAGAAGCTGAGAAAAGCCGGGAATCCCATTATCTCCGTTGCGCGTCATCGGATTGCCCTCAGAAGTTAGAAACAGTGCTGGGCATGCAGCGTCTCGTACAAGCTCGACAGTCTCTTGAAACGTTTTGATGAGCTTCTTGTATTCATCGAGCGTCGCTTCCTTCGCCGTTTCCGTCCAAAAGAAGAGGCAGAGATGATTCCAAAGGAGGTGCACACTCACAAGCTCAGGAATGTAGACTGGCTTGGCATTCTTCACGATTTCGGCCTCTTTTTCCTTGCCTTCGAGAGCCAAAAACTCAACGATCAAATCGTAAGTAACGCATCCGACAGCGGCATTACGGTAGAAAACACCAAATCGGATGTTCTGCTCCAGTTGAAACGGCGTGATTGGGATGTCGAGGCCTCTTTTAATTTTAACTCCTTCAAGAAACAACTGAAATTTGTTTCCCAGGCTACCTTGGTATCCATGTGTGCGGCTGGTGGTAAGAAGACCCTTCATCAAGACATAGCAGCGGGATGCTTCGTCGACAAGAGATGCCTCCAACGTGCGTTCAAGGTGCATGGCAGAATGCATCGAGCAAGTAAGATGCTCTCGCTTGAGACTATACTTCGTCGACAAAAACGCATCCACCTTCTTTGCAATCGATTTTGCCACAGCGGCGTTATCGTTGATCAGAAATTTGCAATTCTTCGCAAATGTCGTCTGAAGATCGGCCGGAAGAGAGTCGAAGAGCTTGGTGAAGGCGTTCATCACAATGTCGACATTCTCCGTTGCCACCGGAAGCATCGCCATGCAGAAGTTCTGCTCACCTGGGACGAGAACAGTCACAACTTCATACTTCTGCATGGCCAGCTTGGACCCGTCAAAGCCAAGTCCAAACGGCTTGTCAAGACGAATGACTTCAAGGAGGTGTTCGCTATGGAGTCGTTCAGTGGCGCCAATCCAAATGCGAGCCGTTCGATCGGTGACGGAAGGAAAGCCGTACATTTCTGCGATAGCGATCATCGAGCGGCTCGAGACGTTCAATTCGACACAGCCTCGTACAAGTCGTGCTTTCGCGATCACATCATCTTCGACACGTTCGTAGTTGCGTCCACCTACTGCAGGAAGATATTCTGAGCTTGTTGATGCTTGAGATGGGGCTGCTTGTGACGAAGGTGCTTGAGACGCGGGCGTTTCAGACGTCGAAAGTTGAGACATGGAGGTGGTGACTGCTTCGGTTGTATTCTGCCGGCGATGTCTGAGCGCTTCGACAAGCTTTTCGTAATCTTCCTTGCCAAAAGCATCAAATGATCGAATGAAATTGATCGCCTCCTGCTGATAATCGGTCGCCATTTCAACATCGATGATTGAAGACGCAGGCTCTCTAAAGAAATCATGAGTATTATGGAGGGACGCAAAGAGAAAAAATCTGAGAAAGGACCACTTACAGTTCAAGACGAGGTTTTTTCTCTTCCGGAATATCCTCTGCATAGACGATGAGACAAAAACCAGTGTACTCAGACGAGTTCTTCAGGAACTTGGTGACGAGAGCGACGTTGCGCTTGTGTTCCTTCGACTTCTTGGATGGAGGCAGCGGCCAACCACCGTTTTCCATGCGCGATTGTCCGTAGCGAGTCAAAAAGGTCTTGACATAGCCCTGGAGCGTTGCTTCAACAACATTCTTGCACGCGGCTAACCCTTTCTTGAGCTGTCGAGAAAGGGCTTCTGCGTCGAGTTCTTGATCTACCTGATCTTTCGTCTTCCCAAGCACCTTGAAAATTTCATCAGACGTAATTGGCTCTCCTGGAAAATAACAGGCGGAGAGATCGTTCGTGGTGGGCTTGCACAAAACCATTTTTCGTCGTTTTCGTCTTTCTCTTAGGTGATCTCTGGTAAAAATGATAAAAACTTCAAAAACATCGACTTATATAGGTTCAAACACCTACGCAATGTTCACTTTAGCCAATGAAAACACTCCAAATTTTCAATCCTGACCAATCAGAACTCTTGAGGTAGACCAAACCATTCTAAACCGAACCATTCTTAAAATCGAACCAGTTACTATTTTCGACCACGTTGAGAAAGAGGGCGGTAATGAGCACAATGAGTCTGCAGTGGGGGAGACAACCTCAAATTGCCTCCGGCTAGATGGTCATCAATAAGCGGATGGCTCATCATTGAAAGCTTATCCCTGACGGCTTATCCGTGAATGCTCACTCATTATGGCTTATCCCTTGATTGCTCATCGCGACGGGTAGACCAAACCATTAAGAACCGAACCATTCTTCAAATCGAACCAGTGACTATTTTTGACCACGCTGAGAAAGAGGGCGGTAATGAGCACAATGAGTCTGCAGTGAGGGAGACAACCCTATCTTGCCTAGAAGCACCGTTTTCAGAGTGTGTTCAAGCTTATGTCATGCGAGCGCCGCGAACAGTATGAGTGGATGCTTGTTTGTTACCAGAGCAGCCTGGAAATAGACTGCGCTCTTTTCAGAAAGAACTGAAGAATCTTTTCCGAATAAGTGGTGACAAATGAAAGAGTGCGCTATTTCGAAACCTTTTCTTGAGAAATGCTTTTGGAAGCAATTCATGGCGCTCGCCAAGGGCTATCAAGCCTTTCCTCTCGATTTTCTTGATTTCTTATGTGTTTAAAGCAGTAAATTAAGGTAAACAAGTGGTTGAAATGGGTTTGTGCAGTCCAAGAATGTTTCCTTCTGATTTTGGCGAAATTTCACTTTTCAATTTTTATTCATCGATTTTTTTGAGTGGGTTCCGACAAATATTTTTTGGTCAATATAGGCTCAAAAAATGCGCAAGACGTTCTTCTTTATTGTATTGGTACTAACTCACTCCGGGACCACCCTTTTCTTAACAATTTTTTTCAAAAACCGATCGGATTTTATTGGAAAAATGGCATTGTCCATCTTCAGCGCCTCATATCTCTGAAATGAGTCATGATGACGTCATCATTCCAGTATTGAAAATGAAGCTTAGACACTGTTCTTTGTTTAATTACTAATAATGATGACGTCATCATGACTCATCACAGAGATATGACTCATTTTTCCGATGACATGCCAAAAAATCATGTTTTTTGCCATAAATCACGTCTCAGATGAAAATTTTCGACGAAACTTCGGGAATGTAATTTTTAGGACCTAACAAATCTACCAAGACCATTCGGACCTATTTTCACCGAAAGTGGAAAAAATATTCCCACCCTAGGTAAAAGTCTAAATCGCTCGTTCTCCTTGTTAAAATTAATCTTAGACATTATAAAAGGCCTTTTGGAATATCATTCTCAAGACTCCTTCACTCTCAGCAGACGGGAAGCCATGACAAGTGGAGAAGAAGTCAGCAGAAATAAAATTCTAGCTCCTCTTTTGTATTTCTTTTCGATGTCAATTCTGTTATATTCTAACCAAGATGTGTTTCTTCAAAACGAGTCTATTTCATATCCAGATAATGCTATTGGCACGGCTGGTTATAAGAAATTAGTCAGTAATCTTGGTACTGTGACGGATGAATAAATTACCTGTAAATCTATTGATGGGATTTTATTTAATGCTGAGACTTTTTATTTTTATTGTTAAGAAAACATGCGTGGCTATGATTGTTTTATCGAAGAAAAGGCGTGGAAAGCCGTTCTACTAGCTGTGCAACTGTATTGTTTGGGGAGTTCAGCGCCATGGTTACAGAGCAAATTCTGAGCTTGCTTGATACATGAAGAGTTGAAAAGTTGAGAACAAGTGAAGAGGAACCACGATGGCTCAGGAGAGGAAATTTTAATTTTTGATGGTAAAGATTCAAAATGTTCGATTTGCTACCAGAAAATCATCCTCTGATAGATGCATTCGCTTCGAGACTGGTACCAGGCCAATGAGAATATTATGGGAGATGCTTCTAACCAGCGGTTTGATGCCAATGCGACAAAGGTAAGAAAATAACTGAATTCCAGTATCTTTGGAATCAAGGAAGACTCACTCGACTCATTTTCTGCTTTCAGTTTGCAGCTCGACGAACTGTGAATGAAACGGATAATCAGACGAAATGGGATAAATACTTGAACGACTGCAGACTGGATGATCGACTGGTGCAGATTGAGCAATGGCGGTGCGAGCTCGAGAGAGTTCTTGGAAATGCCGATGCTGAGATCAATCTTCTGGCTAGAATGAAAGATGATTGCGATGCGGCACTCGCTGCCAAGGCTATTCCAGAGTCTTGTTGCGCGGAATGCTTAGGTAATGATAGATAGATATCAACAATATATATTTATTTGAAAGCTTTATTCTTCATAGGCGGCCTCATAAATTTCATATGTCGATGACGTATTTTATTATGCAGGATATGCTTTCATTGAAAATATTCGGTTTGAATATTTTCATTTTGAATGATCTATATTTTCAGGTTTGCGCGATGGTCGCCTCGAAATTGACGTCGTGAAAGATGTGGTACACGATGAACTTTGTAAAGAAGAAAAACTGATCGAACGCGTGAAAGAAACGCTAGCAAAGGTAACTTATTAGTTGGACAAAGGGGCTTCTCTTTTTAATTTATGAATTTAATATTTGATTTCGGTAAATATTTGAATATTTGTTTTAAGAGATCACAAGAGGCCTTTACGATGATAATGTCCCTAAAAGACGCCAAAAGAAGAGTGTCTGATGACCTCGAAGGAAAACATCATGCACTTGACATCAATCGACAAGCTCTTGGACTCCATACTGAATCATCCGGACTGAGTTACATCAAGTGCGTTGTTATTTCTGCAACAGATTAGCATTTTCGAAATTTTAAGAGGCCTCGGGCGAGTTGCCCAAGGAAACTCGACTCCTGAATCCTGGAATGTGTTTTCAACAAAGAATCGCGACGAGTGCGAGGAAGAAATTCGCGCAAGCACTCAACTCAGAAGCCTGATCGAATCCGATATTCAGAACACAGCGAACGATTTGGAAGCTCAACGCATCGCTTGTGAGGTACTTACGTTAAATATTCATGACTCTAGTCAGCGATGAACCTTTTTTCGTTACTGACGGTCGTTCTAGTACGCTTTCCGCAATCGAATTCACGAATTTGAACAAACCAAGAGTGAGCTTGAATGGCAAAAGACCAGGACGGAAGAGGAACTTCAAGAAATCGAAGCGGAAATCAGAAATGTTGAAAACGCGATTGCTGCGAAAGCAGGGCCTCAAAAGGTCTGTTTCTCGCGATACGAGCTCAGAGCTGAATTGCCAGGAGTCGAGCATTGTAAGTTTAGGGATGTAGCTGAAGGTCTTTACGGCATTTTAGGCCGAGATGAACCTGCCTTTGGCTTGCACAATGAACTTCGTGAGCTGGAGAAGTCACTTGCTACTCTAAACTTGCGATTAGAAGAAGCTCAGAATAACCGAGACCGGTAAGGCCGTGTTTAATCGGCATCTGGTTCTGAATTAGAATTGTTCAGACTCTGCCGTACCCTAGCAACAATCACCCATGATTTGGACTTGAAGCTGAACTCACTTCGCCTGGATCGCCAATGCCTTGAAGTTAGAAAGAAACTAACGGTGCCGCTCTACCGAACTCCAAGAATAGAGCCAACGATGGACACTCTTACTCGAACTTTTGCTTGAAAATTTTATATCGCACTTTCGCAAAATCAAATATATCGAACTAAAATACAAAAAAAATGCATCTCCTTCTTTATTTGCAGTAGAAGAAAGTATCGAAAGCAAATGAGAACACATTAATAATCAGGTGTGATATAGTCGTCGAGGTTTTGGTAGACTGGGTCTCGCGATACTCTAGCGAAAAAACCATTCACTCCTGAATTAATCGTTACGATGGGAAAAGGGAATGAAATTAACCTGATGCAGGGACGCCCAAAAGGTTTCTCGCGAAGGCAGACTCTCTCTTTCCAAAGGACATCATTGGGTTGAAAGCTTGACAATTTTTAGAAACATTTAATTATCAGAAGAACATAAGAAATATACTTGCACTTGCAAATTAACTAATTAAATCTAAAACCTTCCTGAAACAACGGAAAGAATAAATAAGGTACGCATCTCTTAATTCTTATTAGCCGTCACTTTTCTTGTGCTTTATTTCAATTGTGATCTTGCATTGCTTCAAGCTGAGTTATAAATATCGAGGCAATGAATAATTTAGGAAAGAGCGTTACCTCTGGGCCGAAATATTAATCCGCAGAGAAAACAAGTGGTGATAAAGAGTAAATTTCAAGGCAGCCGGGGCATCTTGTACGGTGCTTACTAAGGCAGACGCGTTTCTTTATTAGATTTGAATATTTAAAGCAGTATAAAAATAAATACTGACCTGTCAATAGAAACGTGGTTTCTTCGCTTTTTGATATCCTGTTTCCCTTTCTTGAGTATTGTTTTAAAAGGGTTAATATATGGAAAAGGCGTCTCAATAAATCAGAAGGCTTGTCCAGTTTCTGATAAACACTGATTCTATCAGGGGGAGATTGACTTGTGCATAGAAATCGAGCATCGCACGAATGAGGATGTTTAATTAGATTTGACTTTCTTGAGATGATCGGTCTCAGGGGAGATTTCAGCATATTAATTCATTTCAGTCTTTCGACTGATTAGGATCATCCTTTCAGTCAGGCATTTAAGAGACTCACGTTAATGTTGAGCAATGGTCCGCCGCCAAATTGGGTATGAAATTTTCGAGCTACGAAAAGTCACACTTTTTAGACGACATCAGAGAAAGTAACAGCTCTTGTTTTTGCAATTTTATTTGCAATCTTATCTATATTTTGCTCACCATTATGCCAAAGAAGGTCAAAACACGAGGATGCATCGGATGAAGAAATTGAAAAGATGATTCGAAATGAGCAAGATCGGGATTATATCTTCAAATAAATACCGACTTGTGCCTTTTTTATTCGTTAAAAATTAATGAAAATACCATTATTTATTGTAATGCCTAAATATCCTCTGAAAAGAAATCCGAAAATCCATCATCCAACATCACAAAGATCAACAACTACCAATTTCTATCGAGTCTTAGCCACTTGTCTCAATCTCCATTTCCTTTTATAAATAAAACTTTATAAGTAACTCGTTCTTCCTTTGAACTTCCTTCGATCCAAGGGCAGCGATACTCACAAATCTAAACAAAACATCTCGCCCAAAATCAACCTTAGTAGGTGTTAGGCGCTAGTTTCGGCAAATAGTATAAATTGTGTCTTTTCAAGTGTTTTTTTAATCACTGCTGATTGCAGTTTTGAAAGAGAAAGGAAAGAAACTAAGGCTGGATGAGGCTTGTAGCAGCAATAGTCGGGTAACGTTTCAACCTGCAATTACTTGAGAGCAATGATTTTGATCATCCTATTAGATCGACGGTCGCGAGCTCTGAGCTCGTCCAGTGTCGCCGGGCAAATAGTAATTGCTTAAGGCCATTACCCCAGAGAAGGCCTCAACAACCTGCTTCTGAAAATCCGACAGGTATAACTCCTATCCTCTGGTTCTCATATAAAATGCAGATGTTTTGCGGCAATCTCTTGAAGAATTCATTAATTTCGAATAGACTACTTATGTCTCGGTCACCTTTTGTCCATCAATTACTTTTCTCAAGTCAAGGTTGAAATATTTGCATAGATCTTGAGAATATATTCGGACCACGTGATCGGCACAATCCTTGTCGACATCGCGGTGGAGCTCCATGTTGTCGAAATTTACCACGACCATGCGACGGGGCATGCAGATTCAAAGGAAGCTGGGTCAATTATTTTTATTCATAGAAATATGCAGTTGCTGACCCACATTAAAGACAAATTCATTCCAATTGGGAAAACATTTCTGCCAGATTCTTTTGACCCTTGTGTTATTGGAACGTGTGCAAGGAAAGGTTAACCTAGATGGCTTGATTTTCAATCAATCAATGATCCTGCATCTTGACAACCTGAGTAGCGTAGAAGGACAAGCTAATCCCGAGATCTCGATCAAAACTGAAAAGTGCAATATCTGCCCAAAGGACTGCATCTCGCAGCCTGAGCCCGGCAAGTGCTGTCCAACGTGCCATTGCGGTCCCCTTGGTCCGCGAGATTGGGATCCGAGTGGCAGAAGTGGTGAACCTCAAGAATCCCAGCTCAGGGCCCGGTCTGTTTTTCAACTCAACCAGCTATCAAAATACAAATAAAGCTTCCAATATTGACCGCAATAAAAAGACCCGACACTTGCGGCCCATTAAAGAATTGCCCATTCCTTTCTTGTCCACTCGAAGATCAATACACTAAGGCAGGCTTAATGAACTTTAAAAGTGGATCATCCGTAGACAATTAAGTTTCAGCTTTCAAAAGTATATGGACTGTTGTCCAATGTGCGACTATTGCGTTGATCAGTGGGGAAAGAACACTTATGATGACCAGGAAAAGGTCTTGAAAATTACTGAAATGTTTATAATTTTCAATTACGATCAGACAAAAGCAAGCTTGGTGGTTTTACGACAAGAAATGTATCTGCAACAAGGGAGTCATCCAGTGCGACGATAATGCTTTTCCGCCATCTCCGTTCAGGTTTCCAAATACGATCGAATGATCAACTATGGCATTAACAAATGAGACTATCATTAATATTTACAGGCCCAAAGACTGCCAGGAGCCGAATGACCCTTCGGTGACCCATCAACATGGCCATGAATGGACAAATCCTGAAGAGGAGTGCGAAAGTTGCGAGTGCAGAGATGGGCAGATTACATGCTCTAAACGCTGTCCAGAGCTAAATTGTCCAAATGAGCAGTATCCAGGGATGTTGATAGAAACTCAAGTCAATATCTGCCATTAATTTTACTTTTTCTATCCATAAAAAGGACATTTGCGGGGTGAATGCTGCCCAGTTTGCATCAAGAAGCCAAAGAAATGTATGGCGTATGGAAAAGGCCACATCCTCACCATTGATGGAAACGTAACGAATGTCGAAAACTGTGTTTTCACTCTAATGTCAAGCTGCGAACCCATTCCTGACGCCGTGGAAGGCATTACTGAACTTCAACCTCCAAAGACAGATGGCAAAAATGGAATCAGCATGGCACACAAACCTGATTACTTTATTCCCGATGATAAGGAAAGGAAACAATCTAGTGAATCTGGCCCTTATTAATGTTGTATTGTTTTTATTCTTTCAAAGCTCAGCGAATATGACTCGATCGACTCAATTTCTCTCAATTACGACTATGATGATTACGATCCAACTGATTACGTTCGCCGAGCTAATAGTCAAGTTTTAATAAATCATTTTTGATTTAAACAAACAAAGATTATTGAAAACATGGTGAAAGTAAACGTGGAGAAGCACCAGCTAAAACTACCAAGCCCTGGAGAGTGGATCTGGTCACCGATGAGAGAGGAGAAACCGCTGGTCTTTACGTTCTGATCGGGTTTGATTTATTTATATTTAGGTTAGGCCTTACTTTTTTATAGAGCAACAATGATCGTAGAAATCGAAGATTGGCGAACTCTCCGTCTGAATGGAATGGACATGGGTTTACCTTTTGAGAACTCAGAAATAAAAGTCATCGTCTATTGTGGAAGCATGCAATTGCAGTCACGTGACGGGCTCGTTCTGACTCTGAACAAAGACGGCCAAGTTTCCACCACCCCGCCGGGTACAGAAGAAAGCTGTCCGCATCACATTCCACCTGCTTGGAATCATGGAAAGGACTTTAACGACGGGCGCTGTAAACGACCAACGGATTGTGTTGAAAATCCAACTTGCCGAGATCATCCAAAGGTTATTTTATCGATAGTCTGCAAATATAAATTGGCACACAGTGCGATCCTCGATGCAGAGGAGATGGTTGCAATCACTATGACTGCCGGCATCATCCAAGATGTCCAGAACGTGAGGAGCTCCCGCCGACACCTGTCAAAAATCAAATTTTAAGTCCTATCGGTGGACCGACCTGTTAGCGTTTTTTATATCTTACTGCTTTGATTCATCCCTTTTTTCGATGAAAAACGCGGCTAAAGCGAAAGTCCAAGGATTCCTCCTCCGATTTGCGGCGCATGCGCTTATCCGCAAAGGTTAAATCCAGGAGAAGTTCGAAAATCGTTCCAGCGAAGTTGCACCCTTAATGACTATACAAATTACATTAGGGTCACATCCCCCGTATAGTGTATTAGAACTCGAACAGATTGTGTAATCCCCGAGACGCGTTGCGCCCATCCTTCGGTAAGAAAACAAGCGCACGAGGAATGCTTGATGCTCAAGGAATGGTTTCTTATAAAGATATAAATAACATTCAAGTGACAAGTTTATTAATGATTATGAGCATATGGGTGGACTTGCTGAGTCATGATTCCTAGAAATCTTTATGGAGCAAGCTCCATTTTCGCCTTGTCACGATGTCATTGATCCTGATCCATTTTATCATGCTTGCATCCAGGTTTGTTCCGTCTCTTAGCCACGAAATCACCTTCTTACAGGATCGATGCAGAACTTTTGGAGCAAAGCCCGTCTGCGAAATTCTTGAAGCATACTCTTTAGAGTGTCACAGGACAAGTTAGAATTTTGATTAATAAATCATGTATGCTTTGACATAAGTTTTTCAACTCAAATAAGAGCAAATGTGCGATTACGATGGAGAATGCAGTCGAATTGCTTCAAAACGTGTCCGAAGCCGTTCATCTGGTCAGACTGCGGAAAGCCTTGCGATGCTTCTTGTGGTGATCTGAATCCACAGTGCGAAGGAAAATGCGTTCCTGGTTGTCGCTGCCCAGCTGGCCTCGTTAAGGTTCTCACAATTTCTTGAGCAAATTGAACAAACGTTATTCTAGCACGCTGGAGGCTGCACAAAGCCAGAATATTGTCCAAACTACACTCCGCCGCCAGTTGATTTCGACGACGATACTGCCTGTATCTAAATTTATTCATTCGTATGATAATAAATCATACACACAATTTAAACAGAATATTTTTATAGGAGCACCATCGCATCTGCCCCCTAATAAATTTCTTGAGCGCAACTTTTTAAACTGTTTATTTGAGTCGCAATAAAAGTCGCTGGAGCTCAAATCACTGAGCTAACATATTGATATAAATTCTTGTTTACGGACTTTTTGCCATTCCTTCGAGTGCCAAGATAAAAATGAAAAGGGACATTTGGACAGTCCTTGGCATTATAAGCTTTATTTTCTTCGTTCTAGGAGCACCTGCGTTATTTTATTTTGGATTTTGGATTCCCAAAGAGATTGAAAAAGGTAAAAAGAATGCACGTGGTGTTTTACAGTCCGCGTATTTCAGCGGCTGCTGAAGAAGAAGGAAGAACTCTCATCGCAAGCGCGTGGGTCTTTCAATACCCTCTGCAACCTTATGGCAACAGGTTCAAACTAAGCGCTACCGAAAACGGCAATCAGCTTCATTATTTCGTGCTGAATGCTTTGCAGAAAGGACTGATAAAGAAATTTGACTTCTCTTATGAAGACGGTATTATTTCCTGCAAAACAATCAATGAAAGTTGATCTAGGAGGACAAGAGCAATGCGAAAATCTTGGATTAAAATTCTATGACTATTTTGACGCCCATGATTCGAACAAAACCGAATGGCTTTTCGACGAAAGCGGACATCCTTCACTCGATAGCTGCCTATTCAATCCACTAAAGTACGAATGTAATGACTTACAACCATATCATCAAGGTGGAACCTCGGTCGATCAATCTACTGTTGATGCGATTAATGACATCTTAACGCAGAAGGAGGATCCCGAATGTCATGGAATACTAGATGAATAATGAATTATAAATTAAAGAAAGTAAAGCCATAAAATTCGAGTATTCCTGGAAAAGGAGGAAAATGATCATCGTGAGGTGTGAGAACATAGAAGGAATCTATACCCCTAGAATGGCGTACGAGAATTACGAAGAGGCAGTCGAACAGTGCAATTCAATTGGCATGCGTCTGATTGAAAATTTAAATTTTTCAAAATTTCGAGGTTTTCAAATGAAAATATTTTTCGTAAAACATTTAATACATTTTAGAAATCGACATTGATGATGATCAAATTCCGGTGTGGGAAAGAGACTTCTGGCTTGACAAGACCGTCGACGATCTGGGTGACCTTGAAAAAGAACAGGTTCAAGCGAAGATGAATTCGACAAAAGTAGTGACATCTTACCACCCATCTGGTTTCATGGAGTGTTACTCTCAAAGGTGATGTCGGAGTTTCTATTTCTTTTTTATTAAAAATAAAGCATTGCGTATAATTCCGCAAATTTTTCCGAAATGAGGACCTACGTCTGCGCTGATGACATGCTGACGGATGATGGAAAGCTAAAAATCAAGAACGTAATCACGAAGAAATTCGCTGATGATTGCGATTATCTCCCGATTAATAAAACATTTCTCGATAGCTTTGGCGTCTCGGAAGGAAAAAACAGGAGAGCCTTCTACTATGTTTTAATTGAACTCATAAAATGAATTTGCGGAGCCTAAAATAGACTAGAAGCTAACATTGAAGTTGTGTCTAACTGGGAAGTCGCTGCTAATAGAGAGTTATTCTCAATTTTAACTCCGACTCCTGAAAATAATGAGAACATAACTTGGTGCTGGTAAGACTTTTCTCGCTTTCCGAAATCGATGCTTACTGTTGCTCAGGGGCTCTCCGAAACCGTTGAATCGGTTGGTTGCAACATTTGATGAGAACAAACAGTTGAATTACAAACTTATTTCCGAAGAACAACAGTAAGTCATCTACAAATTTTTTTCACTGAACTTGATTTCAGGGCGAAAACTCTTTGCGAAAAGAAGTCGGCCTGAGAAGAAAAGTCAAGAGTTTAAATCTTCTTTGAAATTTTTCATTAATAAACATGATCTTTCCGAAACGAATGTCTTTCTTGGGGAGATGAGAACGAGTTCGATAAGATATGTTGTGAACATGATTCTTGCTTGCGTCTGAAAAATAGCAGCTGGGTAAAGAGATATGCTTCCTTGTTCGAGGGAATGCCAAGATCTGACGACAGTTATTCTGTATTTCTTTATTTTGTGTGCAAACCTCGGCTTTTTTGAGAAGATGGGAGGAAACGATCTTGGACTTACGCTGAAAATTCGATAATCTAATTTGCACCAAGACGCTATAGAAAAGGCAGCCAGTGGCTATTGATCGGATTACTAAAGTGGCAAAAAGCCATAATGACTCTACCGGAGGATTTATCAAACCGCAATCGAACATTTATCAACTCATCAAAAAGTAACTAAATGAGTTTCTGCGTATTCTTCTTACGGAGATTTACGCCTAATAACTGACATGAATCTCCAAGAAATCTTTGCAACATCGGACCCGATATTTACCATGTTCAGGAAGTGAACATTAACTGATTAAAAAACGTTCGCTATAGACGAATTAATCCAATAATGTCCGGCAATCATGGATATCCCGGAGCACTCAGGTGGCGCGCGCGAGCTCGCTCCTCATGGCGCGATTGGTAAAGAAGAGTGAAATTGCCGCAATTCTATTTCTAGCTCCTCTTTTTTTTGCATTATTGGACTGAAAAATCGTCCGATAACGAGATGAGCTATACAATCCTAGGGACGCTTTTTGCGCTAGTTGCGGGAGGACTATTTGTTAGTCCGTATTGGGCACCTCCTGATGACAACGCGCTAGATTTAGAAGATGAAGTTTTGGTGAAAATTGACAGAGAGACTGTTCCTCTTTTCGAATTTCAACAAGAAGAGCTTGAAGAAAGAGAGGAAATTGATTTGATCAACGAAGAGAAAACTGAATTTAGCTCCGAAGAGGAGATAAGTTTCACGTCGGAATTCCGCGCAACGGAGCGTCCAAGTGAGTAGTCAGGAAACTGACAGCATGTCCGACAGCGGCCCCACTTTTCGCCACTCACTCTCGAGTACTTTCGGATATATTTCTTTCGAGAATCAGACCAAGATCCAAAGAATCTCATTACGCCTCAATTACCAGCGTTTCTAGCTGTTAACAGTCTTTTAGAGTGGTTTCTGCAGAATCGACTCAGAAGAGAAGGCCCCTTGGATCATGAATTTCACAATGATCCTCGATACGCTTCCCCAGATCATGAGCTAGTGTGTTTGAAAAACAAGAAAAGAAACTTTTATATCGAAGAGACAAGAAAATCAATCGGCTGTTGTCCCGAAGGAGATCCCAACGGAAAGCCTTTTCCTGCTGGTCAAGGTGAGCAATAACGCCCGTTTCGGTGTTCATAAAATTTAAGCCTGTTGCTGCGGTAAAATTTTCAACGAGCAGAATCAATTTTGTTGCGAAGAAACCTGTGAAGTGTTGCCTTCTGGTCCAAAAGCAAAGAAACAGTGCAAGAGACAAAAGGGTTCAAAAGAGAAAAATGAACAGCAGCGAATCATAAATCCAACACAGAAGCCAACACCAACTTCAACAACTACTACCACATCAACCACCACTACATCAACTACCATTACAACATCACAACTGACAACAATTAAATCGGTATCTGTTCCACTCACTTTTACGACCTTCACAACAGAAGATTCATCACGACAGTGTCCCAAGCTCTGGGACAGGAAACCAAAGCTGATGAAAAAAGACTGCGAGCAACTTGGAAATGGAATCGAAACATGCTCGCTCTCCTGTCCAGAAGGAACAAGAGTCAATGGAACGGAGTCGCTGGCGTGTATAGGAAAGTTTTTAGCGCAAATAATAAGGTTTTTCGATGAATTTTATGAAAAACTTGGATAAAGGTGGCACTTGGGACATGAAAGCACCCAACTGTTGCTTATCTGTCGGCTGCTCGGATGATTTCAAGCTCGACTTGTTTCTCGTCGTCGATGCTTCATCCTCAATCGGAGAAGAAAACTTCAAGTTAGGAACGGGGTTCAAGGCTAATTGGACGACGCGATTATCGCGCTCATGGAAATTCGGAAGGTCAATGACAGAGGTTGATATTTTCCTTAACCCCAAGCTTAGTCCGCCGTTTCATCAAATCCTTATCCGATTATTTCGAACTAGCGAAAGATAAAGTCCGCATTGGAATCGTATCTTTCAACAGAAAGGTTGTCATGACGAAGACTCTCGATCAAATCCAGTCGAAGGAAGAATTGGACAAAGTCATTGAGGAACGGACTTAACAATTGATTGTGAATAATTTCATATACATTTACTAAGAAGAAAATAGATTCCCAAAGAATATCTTTCAAAAGTCTTTGACAGGAAATGCCATACACCGGCAAAGGAACAAATACTGGTCGAGCTCTACAAGCAGTTCTCGACAATGGTTTGGATAAAAATGGCGATCGACCGGGGGTTCTCAACCAGGTTAATATCTAGCGCTCGATTAATCTTTTACCTTTCATAGATTCTGGTGATTACTGATGGAAAGTCAAAGGATAACATCAAGAGACCAAGTTCTCTTTTGAAGCAAAAGGCGAAAATCATGGCAATTGGTGTTGGAACAAAACTGAGGAAAGACGGTATGAAAGAAACAAAGTCACGCCTTCTCTCATAACATGTTTTAGATCTTTACGACATCGCTTCCGATGAAAAATCGGTGTATTTTCCCGAAACATACGCAGAATTAGGAGAGTTAAAATACGTTCTATCGGATATGTATTGTCCGCCTAAATGTATTGTATAATTCATTCAAAATTCATGCAGTTTATTTATTCAATCTCTTAATCTCTTTATGTAAATTTGTACATAGAAAATAACTGACAAAAATAATTGTTTATAATATTTTTTGAAAAACAACGGGTACTGTAAAAAACTGTCCGATCAACTGGATGTGCGACATGGAGTGCAAGTACAATAATTGGCCCCAGTTGAGATTCACGAGGAGAGTTTTACGCAGCAAGAAGATATTCGCATTTGGCATCGTTCAGGAGATAATTTCGAAGAAAACAGACTGGAAATTTATTTAAAATCGACTGTCAAATGAAATACATTGATTTTCAATTTCAAATGTTCTTTTTTTTGAAAGAGAAGGGTTTTTATGAAAATATAAATTTATTCTGAAAATATTACAGCAGTGCTATTTAGAAAAATATTCACAGTTCGAGGTAGTCGATGAACTCGGCCGAGCCATCTTTCAATACACTTCCAGGGCTTTCCATCAGATCCACAATGTGCAAGTAGTTGTTGAGATGAACAGAGTTCCATGCGCGGCCATAGTCACCGAGTTCTGAAAAAAAGAATGGGAGAATCTATTCTACTGGATTTATTTGAGTATTGAGCAGTTTAATAAAGTCCCTAACTAAAGCCCAAGCACCGCAAAAATACTTCTGACAAGACAGTAATTTTGGCTTTTTCTTTTTTATAATCACTAAATTTTTGAGCTGTTGTCGAGTTAAATGGCAATGATGAGACTTACCTAGAGTCGCTGGTACTCCGGTGAGATCAGCGAGCAACTTGAAGAGAAGGGCGCGTTCACGATAAAGTCCAAGCTTGAGCGATCCAAGAGGAATGACATTTGAGGCTCTGGCTCGTTTCAACTCGACAATGTGCATTTCGTATCCGATTTTTCGCACTTGCTGTTTGGAGATTTCACCACCGAAAGTTTTGGCCACCAGCTCGCCAAGAACGCGTACATGGGTCTCGTAGCTATCATCTAAAAAAGAGAAGCTCATTTGAACTGAATTTTAAGCTATTTTTACCTTTCAAAATAAGCGATTTAGCGGTTTCAATCAGATCGGAAAGAGCATCATCGATTCCGGAGCTTTCTTCGACCTCAGAGGCGACAGAAATTTTTGAAGCACTTGATACTAATTTCATTGACGATGCGATTCTTTCAGTTTTGTGGTCTTTTTCAACTTCTTTGAGTTCTTTTGGTTCTTTCGTCTCTTTTGATTCCTTTGATTTGTCTTTCTTCGATGATTTCGATCGTTTTTGTCTTGAGCTAAGATTTTTCAATGAAATCCTTTATTTTGGTCAATTTACCCATCAGGAGTTGAAGAAAGATCTTTTTGCGAAGCCTCGTCATCCATTTCTTTTGCATCTGATTCTTCGTTGTTCTCGAAATTTATAAGCAAAGTTGGTCTTTTATCATTTATTTTCTCATTTTCCAAGGCTTCTAGCGGCTCAAACAAGGCATCTGGAGCGACAATTCCAGTGTAATAGAAGCCCGCTAAAATGGTCTTATAGAATGATTTCTCGTTGATTTTTCTTACTTGGGATGTGATCAGACTGGTGAAGAATTCCGAGAAGCGCCAATTTCGCGGGCAGATGAAAATCCAGAATAGTTTCAAAACAACATCGACTAGCATTCGATTTCAAATGTGGATCCAAGTTGACCTTTTGTAATTCAGCGAGACAATTAGCATCGACGATCTTGGTCGCAAAGTTTGAGTCCTTGCACAGGCTGACGATCGTATTTGAAGCGGTTATGCGTGTTTGACGATCGCGGGAGCTCAGAAGCTTGATTATATACGGCAATAGGTTTGCTTTGAGCAAATTGTCGCGTGTCTTTGCGCAGCGAGCGTACAATGTAATAGTCTTCAAACATTTTTAGTGAGTTTTTAATATTTTCAATACCTGAAGCGATCGACGATGAATATCAGCAGATCTAGTTCGTGGAAGCATATCTCGAATCTTTGAAAATATGTCGCACTCGATAGCTTCTTGGTGAGCTTGGTCATCGTTGCTGATGCTCGTCAAGAGCGAGAGAATGCCAACAACGAGGTCATCGTCTTGGATTGACATCATCGGAAGGACCGTTCTGATGACGTCATTGGTGAAGATGATGCCTCGGTTCTTTGGGTGAAAGTGAACAAGTTGGGCAAGGGCGAGGATAACAAATCGACGGACCTTATGAAATCTCAACTTTTTTATTGGATGGAAAATGGTTTACCTCAATATTTTCGGCATTCAACAATCCGATCAGCTTGAGCATAAGCCCATTGTCCGAGGCGATATCTCGGAAACTAGGCTCAATAGCGAGCGTTCGAATTGCTCGACAAGAAGCACACTTCAGAGGGTCTGCTAATGTGAGCATTTTGACGACAAGGTCCATGATGTTTGCTTCAATGAACGGTCGGAGAACTGCTGAGCCGGCTTCTTCCGTCGCTTTGCCGAATTTGGCGACCATGTTGCAGAAGAAAACTAAAAATTTGAAAGTAAAATTGCTTTCTGTCCTGAAAAACTTACTTGAAGTTTCATCAGAGAAATTTCCTTCAGCAAGTTTGATCGCCTCAATGACTCGCACGAGCATTCCAGTTTCCTTGAAATTCTGGACGACCTTGGGGTCCTTCATGCAAGTGCCGATACATCGTAAGGCGTAGCAGTGAAGATCGGAAAACTCGTGATTTTCGATGAAAAAGACGAAGTTCTCCAGGAGCGGGCCGCTTGTAACCGTGTTCCGCGAGACATTCTCCTGCAACAGGCAGTAAACAACTTCGAGCGAAAGCTGCTGAATGAGCGGGAACTCGGAAGTCAGCTGGTCGAGAACAACTCGCACGGCGTCGAGTGGCCCCAGCTCAGCCAAAACTTCGGGATCGTTGCAAAGACTCTTGAGCGTGACAAGAGCGTGCTTCTTTGTGTCGGGGTCGGATGAGCTGACGAGCTTGACGATGTGTGGGAGTGACTGTGCCTCGACCAGGGATTCCTTGAGCATGTATCGAGTAGACAAGTTGGCGATTGTCGCCACAGCGAATTCGGCGACGATAGGATCTTCATCTTGGACCAGTTTTGTTAAATCAACGATGAGAGTGTCTTGCTCTTTCGCCAGAAAATCTCTGATCTGTGGGACGCCGCTCATCATGCCAAAGGCCATTCCAGCGTTTCGACGCACCGGAACATCTGGGTGATTTATCAGCTAAAAAGAAACAATTGTCGAAAGATACAAGGTATAAGAGTATATTAATACCTTTCGCAAATAGGAGAGAGCACCCAAGTTCATCAAGTCAACACTCTTCTCCGGCCCTTTCATTGCATAATTGAAGCAAGCCTGACAACATCGAGCAAGAACATCTTCCTCTGCCGTCGATAAATTAAGCACGATCGTTTTGATATTTTTGACATCGATAGAGAGCCCGTCAAACTGATTTTCCTGAATTTAGAAAACTTTTTACTTTTGACGTCAAAAATTTTCGCCTGGAAAATTTTTGCTTGTTTTTAATCTTGTTTTTAGCAATCATCATTGATTAATGATTGAATTTTTTTACAATTCGCGCTAGAAATTACCTCTGGGGCTTCCTCCTTTCCGCCCTTGGCTCCCTTATCCTTCTTGTCCTTCTTTGGTGGCATTCTGAACAAACTGAACAAAATTCTCTGAATAAAAATAAATCTTTCGATGTTCTAGAGAAGCATTAAAAGAATTAGGAAAATATTTTGTCACAACTCATGAATTTTTCACTACTGCGCTCACCATGACAACGAAATCTCGCTTGTGAAAATACTGACCTTGTTTCAGATTTAAAAAAATATGAAACGATATTTCATATTCCAAGTATGAAGTTCATAGTATCATTCTCGCTATGAACGGTATGAGAAACTTTTACTGAGAAATGTCGATTTTTCAACTTTGAACAAGAATCGTCACTACTAATATGGGGGTAGTTTTTCATCCAGTCAGATTCCAAAGGGTTAGTGTTCAAAAATGCCATGTTCGCCCTGTTAATCTTTGAAGTACTAATCCCATGCCGATCTGTTCGTGTGCGATGCCTGTATTTGCACCGATTACAATCAACTAGGCTTCGCGCTCCCCCGCTAAGATTATCAATTCTCACAAGCTCCCTCTCTCCCGCCATCTATGCCACGAATTTTCGCATAAATTCTGAAATCAAAACCTCAAGAGCATTCAAAGGAAACAAAAAAAAAACTCGAAAACGCCTAAAATGTGCAAATATTGTACCTCGATCAACCCGCTTCAAGAAGCCCTCAATGGAGAAAAACGCTGCCGAAAGTACCTTTGGGACCTTGACCTCGGGATCCCGACAGTCGAGGATGATGCTCCACCAAAGATGATAATAGAGAACGCGCTGGAGAATCAAGGCAAGGCCGCGGAGAAAAAGGACGAAGAAGTGACCCGAATAAAGGAAGAAGTTGAAAATCTCAAGGATCAACTCCAGCAGAAATCCAAGGAACTCGAAAAGGCAAAGTTGGAGAACCGACTTGACAGCATCATTCTCTGGGTCCTGGCCGACTCCATCGTCAAGTACGTAGATAAGATCGTTGTCGACGGCGACACTGCTTCAGTCAAGACAGCCAGTGACAGTGGATGCGAGAGCGAACACTTCACGCCGATCGACGAATACGAAGAACTCGCCAAAGAATCTTTCATCTTCGACTTCAACGATCAAACCGAATGGCCCGTCATTTCCTGAGTTAAAATCGCCCTGTAACTATGACAGTATTATTTCCATTGCAACCGCATTTTCATGTGCTCATTTTTTTCACTGAAATTTCTTCGATTCATACAATAAATACTCAGAAATAAATGAGCTGCTTTCTTTATTTTAATAATCCAGCAATAAAATCTTGAGCAGAAGCGAGAGATAATTTGTCAAACTGCAAGGAGTTCAGAGATCCATCTCGAGTTAGTTTTTTCAGGGCAAAGGCAAGTGAGTTGTCTGAGTCTATTCCCAAGGTCCACAACTAAAGTTCAATGCCAGCAAATAGAATTCGCCAGATTCTTGTTTGTCAGAGTCTGATATCTACGGTAACTATTGCTGTCATTGAACTTGACTCGCGTACTTAGGGACTCGCTAATAATAAGGAAATTTATTAAGGAGATTAACTACCTGGTACTGACTGTCGAATTAATCGTCAATTAAAGTTATTACAAGGTATATGAACAGCTTTACTCCTTCCTTTGAATGAAAGGCTCAGATCCCGAAATCGCATGAAACTTCGATCAAGTCTGACTTGATCCGTCAGATCTGATCGCGCTCAATAAACTTGCCAATTGAGCCCTTTTTTCATCCTCGATCGGAGACTAGTTGGATTCAACGCCCACGAGGAGCGCGGACGATGCATCTACGTCATTTTTCATTCCGCTGTTTCATCGCTGTTTCATCATTTCTTCTTTCAAATTACAAATATTTTTTTTCAATACAATCGGTCCTCAAGGCCGCCCTTTGTCTTTTCGTACGTGAATGAGAGAATTTTCAAAAGTCCGAAATGAACAAATATCTGCCTTCAAAAGGTAAAAAGAAAGAAAAAGTGAGTCTGTTCGCCGGGCAGCAGCAAAGATATTTGAGCCAAGCGCATGTTTTTTTTTCAATTGCGAGGAGAGAAAAAAATAAAAATAATCGAAAAAACAAGAGAATAAGCAGTAAGGCCCACAAGAATTATCTACTGTCATTTCTAGACTTTAGGAGATTCTTAAGGCTTCGAGAATTCTAGTCCATCATCTTGGTCGTATGAAAAAATCGTCCATAAAAAAAGAGATTCTTCAGAAGCTTTCAACCCGAAACGAGAAGGTTTGTTGGATATCAGGATATGGTTAATTTCGCGATGATCAAAAACTAACGAAAATCGTTGGATAAAACCCCCTCTTTTGAGTTTTTTTACGGCTTAGTCGGAAAATGTCAGCTCGGTTCTCTCTCTCTCTCTTTCAAGATTTAGTGAAATATCAAGTGACTCCCTTTTCCGACTTCTTTTTAAAAATTGGCAGTTTTATTTTTATCAATGCTCTGTTAAATTATCCGTTTGATGGGGGAGAGAATAATGTGTTTATTTAGGGGCTGGATCGAACGTCAGAATTTATGATGCTGTCTGATACTGGGCTGGTAACTCATTTGGAGAGGTGTGTGTTTAACGATATTGACGGAGACAACAAAAAGCGTGCCCAAGAATAAATTTGTGCCCAAACAAAACTAAGACTCATTTAGAGAACAGGAAATCCAGTTCAGCGTACCAAATTATGCGAAAAAGTGAACGATGAGGCAATTTCCTGCTCCTCGGTAGGCAAAATCAACACGAAACAGTTTGAATGCTGATATGGGTGCATGCGTCAAAAACAAACAACTAATGTTCAATTATTTTTTTCCATTTACTCCAGTACTCATTTATTTACTCATCGTTTTTTGGAATGCCGAAAAATCGTTTTAGTGTGTCACATTTTTCAATAACGATGATCCAAATCGTATCTAACAAGCGATTCTGCACGTGCATGATTCAAGGAACATTGACTAACATTATGGTCCCCTCTCATCGGTTCTTTTTTTTATGAAGGTGTTTCTTCGCATAAAAGATTCACGCAAATCCGCATTGCGATATCGACTTTTTGTTGGCAGCCATGAAAAATCAAAATCGATCATTATCGGAGTCGCATTTGACTCACTGATAATTATAATTACTTATATAGTTTTTGAGGGCTTTTTTTGTGTGGCAAGAGAGCTTGAGGAATTATAATAAAACTAAGAGAAAATCGATTGGGATGATCTTCCTTAGAGATATTCTGGCTATTCGGAGGGAGTTTTCCTTGTTCAATTATCTTTGAAACGACTAGTTTTCTTTAACAATTTAGGGACTTTTAGTGGGCTATTCAAATAGTCAGATTATTCGCTTAGGGGATGTTCAATTAAACTCGAAATGATCGAAGGCCATTAACGAGAAGAAGAAGGTTCAGAACTCTTCTGACATCGTGAGAGATAAGGACTCCCAGGGGACTGTTGATGCCCTTTTCGTTCGTTTGATTTATCCTGCCAATCTTTCAGTTTGAATGAGAATGGAATGCCTGGACTAGTGCCACAGGGCGTACTCCCAAGATTAAAAGTAATCTAATGTAGATGCCTGATGTCTTATTTATAAGACAAACGAAAACGACTCTCACGCTGTAAATGTGTCCATTTATAATTCATGTTCATATCGGAGCGTATGCATCTTTATTAGGCGGATCACTAGAGCAAGAACGAGAACGGTCCTTCAATTCGATTATGCTCACGATGATTTTTGGAGTTTTCCTCCCCCGGGTAACCGAAAAAATGTTCAATAGAGAATTTTTACTTTTTTTGTGAAAAGAAAGTGGACAATAAGAATTAATTTTTTCCACAGAACTGCTCTTTTTTTGTCTTTCATCTGACAGTTGTGTTTCGTATTTTCAAAAGATTGGGAAAACAACGAGCGCTGTGGATTTGGAGCTAGATTTGGAAAATGAAAGAAAGTTAGAGCGTCAAACAAACAAGCGTAGGAATCCATCTTTTTGAGGGCACATTTGGCGCGCCCTGGGGTACTGTGCCTCGTCTCGAAAGTGAAAATAAGAGATAATGCGACAGATAGAGAGACCTGTGGCGATCCTAATCCCGGGGCGCTTTTCAGCTTGTAACTTCTGCCTTACTGATGCAGATTTCTAGAGATATGGGGGCCATTTCTAGCCCGACACCAAAAGGGGTTACAAAAGGTCAGTTCGGCCTTTCAGATCGAGACATACAGTTTTATCAGCACGATGCAGAATTCCTTGTTTGAGCTACTTCTTTAAGCCTGAGCTATTCTCCTTCCTTCAAAATTTTTCGTATTCGTCCTCGTTGAAATCAAGGAGGAAAAAGAAGTTTTCAAAGAATATTTGAACAGGAGCTTGGTGATCTTGATTCAATTATTCTTGAAATGCTCAAGTGTTGACTTTCACTTCCAGTTTTTTCGATAAATCCATGGCAATTTTCGCGAATGAATTCGTCATCAATAGTTCGATATTTGATGAAATCATTTATTTTTGATAACGGTTATTACGATTTTCTGATATTTTATGCTTCGGTTTGAAGAAACAGAGTGATAAGTAAAAGGCAATCAATCAATGAGCTGATAATAGTTTTAAAATTGATCAATTATTTTCTTCCCAAATGAACTCGTTTCGACCACTTGGTCCAATTTCAGTTCGTCGATAAAATAAAAGTGAAGGAGAACAGCTTTTTCTTGAAGAAAAATCAAGCTAGATACTTTTGGATTGCAAAAATGTGCATGAATGTCTGAGAAAAAACAGAGAAAGAGATCGCCGGAATGCCCGAAAGTTAACTAACACGTGCTCTTTTCGCCCGATACGATTTTTATCATTTTATACATTTACGCTTTGTTCACCGCCGAATCTAATTTTTAAACGTTTACATATTCGAGATAATGTTTGTGAATGATTTTATTTCTGTATGCCTGTTCTATCATAATCGCTCATTATTTTACGATGCAGGAACATTGAGAATGGGGGTTGAAAACAAGGATGACTGAAAAAGTCGATTTTCACGCTTGCGGAGGATCATGGAAAAAATCATTGCGCCAAAATCGATAGAAAATACGTCTCGTGGAAGCTGTTAAAATTCTTTTCGTCCAAGAAAGCTATATCATGAATCGGGGAACATTTGAGATAGCTGTTGCTTACGAAAGTGCTGTAAATTATTTCGGATATGGCTCGTTTCAAGTTGAGCGGCTACAATTATCTGAAATTGAGCACCGAAGTAGAACGAAACGGAGTTAGATATGGATGATCTTTACTTTTTTATGTCACAAAGAGAATACTTAGTTGAGTCTTGATCAGCAAGGAATGCTTTTAATTGATTTTAACTTCATTTCCACCAACCCGAGCATGCGCCAAATGAATCCGTGTCACAAGAACAATATTGTTTTTGAACATTCATTTAAATTTAGAGAGAACGAAAAAAATTTCATCCTCGCCTTTTGAAATCTCCTTTGTTTCATTCCCTCACTCTCAGTATTGTTTGCATCTTTATGTAAAATGATTCTAAACCCTTTTCTACATGATTTTATCATCAGAATAATTGATCTCGTATTTCCTTAAATGCAGATAGAACGTTTCGTACTTTACTAATCACTTGCTGCCTGCATGGAGCGACGTGTTTTCCGCTCGTTTATTCACAGTTCGGGAAATCGTGAAAATGCTCAGCTCATTGAATATTTATGCGAGTGTTATTAACATCGATCGGATTTAGAGAAACATGGCAGACTTGCCTAAGAGCGCTTCTGAGTGCCCAAGAACTACTCCAACCACCGTTATTACGGAGAACACAAGCCAGAATAATCCCAAGTGGGCACTGGCTGCCAACGCTTGGAAGCAAGCGCAATCAGCGACGATAACTTCTGCCCCAGTGCTTCAAGATCCGCGAAAACTCAAACGAAAATCTGTAATCACTGAAGACGATTCGGAGATCTCACAGGCGAAGAAGGCTAAATCGGAAAGTCCAAGACCCGCTAAAGCCCCAGAAGATGTGACTATCAACAACAATACAGAAGAAAACACGCATATAAAGACTCACACTCCTGATGCTGTCCATGATCCATCGACATCGATCAAATCAGGTAAATCAACCATCGAAAACAACAAAGACCAAAAATTTAAGATCCCCTCGAAGAGTCGAGAAAACTGCCCATTGCGACGGAGTCGAAGCGTCTCCATGTCTCGAATATCCCCTTCCGCTTTCGCGAACCCGACCTACGTGAGATGTTTGAAAAATTCGGCAAGGTGACCGAAGTGGAAATTATCTTCAACGATAGAGGATCAAAGGTAATTGTCGATTTATATCCACTCCTTTCGTGCTTGACCATTGATCAACAAACAACTTAACCTTGTCAAGATAATCACTTTATACTGTAATTAAGGGGTTCGGCTTTGTTTCCTACGCGGATAAAGACGATGCGGACCGCGCGAAGCGAGAGATCAATCACACCAAGATCGACGGCAGGATGATCGAGGTGAACGACGCGACCGCTCGGAACAAATCAAAACGCGGCCCAGCCGGTAAGTCCGCCAACTCGAGCATCTCAAACCGCTAGAAATCATTAAACAAAACCTTTCACACTCATTCGCACGTGTTATTAAGAGATCCGTAGAAACACTCTTTAGTAGTGCAAAAACTTGATTTTGCGCATGGTTTTCTTGTGAGCTCTGTTCTAATGAATGTTATGCATAGTTACGCAACAAGTAATGATGGGACTACCTGGCGCTGTTCCCGGTGTCTTCATGAACCCCATGATTCGCCCCCAAAGCTTGATTCGACCGGGCCTGGTCGTCCCGCACGAAGGACATCCGTTCATGCGCCACATAATTACGGGTCTAGACTCTACTGTGAATGTTTCCGAAACGAAAAGAGTGACATCCTCTTAGACTTTGATTACGTAGTCGTCGTCGAAACACCGGTTGTTTAACAACCAGACAATAACCGGTTTTGATATTTAACGACTTCATCGCATGTATTTTGGTTTCAGAAAAATACGAATTGAAAGCTTCGATGATTCATTAACTGAAACTTTAGATAGCAACTGTACTCTGGAGTATTACAGCGTTACAGTCTGTTTTAAGTTTCAGTTAATGGATAAATTACAGAAAATACGCCTAGTCTGGGACAGTCTTAATCAGCCAAAGCGTCCCAAACCAGGATTATTTTCGCTCTCGCCTCTGGCGCCACTTTCATATTAAAAAGCACCCCCCAGGCGTGCGCCTTTGATCTTTAAATGGCCCGACCGTCCCAAACCAGGCGTATTTTTGACCGTCCCAGACCAGGAATATTTTCTGTATAAAACTTCCGTAATCACGATTATGTTTGACTTTTCGCGAGCCGCACCGCACATTTTCTTACATCGAAAATCTCCGAGTCTCGACCTAAAAATAGTACAGAATAATCCAATGTTCGCTGCCAATCCTGCGGCCGCCGGAATGAGTCCGATGATGCTCATCGACCAGAACCGTATCTTGGCCCAACAGCAGCTTCAGCAACAATTGCAGCAGCAGCAGCTTGTCCAGCAGCAACAGTTGCAACTGGCTGCGCTTGGAAATCACGTCATCATGGGCAGCCCGATTATGGTGAGATTTCGGAGGTAGAATTTCTCGTAGTATATTTGTTTGCTCAGGCTCAACAAGGACTCGGCACTTCTCTCCCACCAGCTGGCTACCCCGCGCAGATGTTTCAAGGACACAAGCTTCCAGTCATACCGGTAAGAATCCATCCCAATCGAGAGTAACCAAAAGCATTCGTAGAATATTCCAACTATGACTCCGCCGGCGCAGTACAAGAAATAAAAGAAGACAGTTGCGATGAGAAGATTTCATTATTTTATCTGAGATCAGGGAAATAACCTGCCGAGGTCCTCCTGCCACCCTATGCTCAGACAAGTTCTCGTTCTTTCAGTTAACCTCTCTCTCAAGTTCAACATAAAATGTTCATTGCTAAATATTCTAATATTTGAAGCACTTATTAATTAACTGACAATCTCATTTACAAACATTGCACTTTTCTTCCCTGAATTGAGCTGCTTAGATCGAGAGATTCGATTTTCCTGCTCTTGTTCTTCAGAAAAAATAGTTGCTGTACAAAAATCACGTTCCTCCATTTTCAATTACTGTCTTACTCTTTTTCTTTCACTTTTATTAAAATACAAGTGCGAAACTCATTTTGATTCATAATTTATGAACGAAGAAAACAGTTCATAATTCATGAATATTGTAAAGTATTGCAGGAGTAGTCCTTTTATTGGAACCCAGTTTATATTTTGAAATTTGGCAGTGCTCATCAATCGTAATTCCGATATTCGGGCTTCAACTCCCACATGTTTCTTTGCGTCGCCTAGAAGATGTCGATAAGAGAGGAGGATTGAAAATTGGACATTACCCTTGAATTGTAAACAGCGATTTCTTTTAACTTTTCCTTCAAAAAGGCAGTGGGCTGCTTTGTAATATCGCACAAATCTTTGAGCGTGTAGTACTGAAAATAGGGTAAGAAACCGATTTGCAAGAAATGAAAACCTGGTGTTTCTCGAAAAGCTCCAAGAGTCTGCTGGTAAGCTGATTATCATCCATTCTGGTTCGCTTTTCGCTGCCCTTAGCTTCTTGAATTTCCTTTCTGGTGATTCCATTGACCGGTTTGATATGCTGTGGTACTTCTGTTAGTTGTACCGCGCGTTTACGCTTCATCTCGGGGCCTTGGAAGTTCAGCCGTTTTTGCTTCATGTACAGATCGCAAGACATACTGGCCGGACTGCAAACTGCGTTCTACCAATTTTGTTTAATTCACTTCGTAAAATAACTTTACTCAAGAAACAATAAGTAAAAAGATCATTTTATTGATTATAAAGTACAGAGAAAAACAGAAAAGGGACTTCTTATTTGATCCACTCTAGATCGGCTCCCGCTCTTGACACCGTTTTGAGTAATCGACCAAGCTCTGCTGTTTGTTTCAAAGCTTTCTTCTTAAATTCTTCGGCGCCATCATCAGTAAGCAAAGCCTCCAGCTCATCGAATCGTTCTTTCAAAAACTTATCACAATCAAGCATGACTTCATAAGCGATATTAACAGCTTGGTACCGGTTTCCTTCTAACCCTCGCTCATAACGCTCAAGATGTGATTTCAAAATCAAAAGCCGGAAGCTCATTCCTTCACTGTTCTGCATTTCATCGATGACAAGCTTGCTTCCGGGCTTAATAACCTTCTGGAGCGCGTCGAATTCTTCTTTCAGCCAGACATGGTTAAACTTTTCGAGCTCTTCTGCTTCGGCCATCAGCTCATTTCCAGACTTGTGCAGTCGGTTGAAAATTTCAACGATGGGCTGATGTGTTTTCTCAGTGATTTCGTTATTTGTAGAGATGATCATGTTCTTCAGTCGCTCTACTTTTTTCAGCCCTTCTGAGTATTCCATTGCTTGAGTAACTGTCGCTTCTTGCGCTTTTGAGATATTTTTTGAGATCTTCGTGAGTCGACCAAAACTGATTTGCATTGCCGTGACTTCTGCATCAAAACGCTTTAGGAAGTCAGCGAACAGTTCTGGCTCCTCTTTAACTTTCTCGAGTTGATCTGCAAGTTTCGTGAGTTCGCCGAATGAGCCATGTTTTAAGGATAGCTCGCCTACGTCATTTCCGAATCCCTTGTGCAGATCCTTGATTTTTTTAGTTATCGCTTTAAACAATAACGTTCTCTCCTCCATGTTATCACTAATGGACTTCATATTGATTTCATTTCTAGCGGCGCTTGTCCAAAAAGAATTAAGATCGGTCTCCTTGACTTGCTCGACTTCATTTTCTTTCAGGTAATTCTGATGCTGCTTCTTCTTTATATACTCTAGTAAATTGTCGAATTGATCTCTTGGTCCGCCAGTTTTAAATGCTTCCTTTAATTCGCCAAGCCACTCTTTGGATTTCTTGTTAGCCGCACCGATTCGACTGTTTTCAACCGTAAGCACTTGTCTTCCCCATTCAGGATATTCTTTGAAAATGTACGTGTGTTTTGGCCCCATTGGGATCGCATACGCATCCAATTTTTCGCGCAATATTTCATGTTCTCGTTGCAATGCAGTTAATTTCTCGTTATATCCGCTCGATGACCAAAAGTATGCGAGAAAAATACTACACAAAAGTACAGAAAAAGACTCAAGATTGAACATTTATATTTTCTCAAAAGGAAAAAATACTTCGGGAAAGGTTTAAATTGTTATGCCGGATGAAAGATGCGCTGGTAAAAAATAGCGCGCGGCACCAATCGTTGCGCGACAGTCGTTCCTGACGCGAAAAAGGAATCGTTTGGCCGCTTGGATATTTACCTGGACGATTGTGCCTTCCACGCTGCGTTCCTCTATTTCTTGCCCGTCTTCGAACTTTTTACTTCGACAGAGGATGCCGATCGTCTCTGATTTTGAAGGGGCGGATAGACGGAGCTTATGATCGATGGGAGTTCTTGTTTCTCCCTGATTTGCGAGATGCTCATTCAACTAAAATGAACATTTGAAAAAGGAAACGTGTTGCGCTTTTACCTTGAAATTAACCTCTGTGCGTCCCTTGTCCCGGCGAATTTCGATCTTGCCCACTTCCGAACTTGGCGAAGACAGCCACTTTTCGCCTAAATACTTTGGCACTTTCACTAGCCACCAGTTGAGACCCGAATTCGAAGTGTTCATCTTTAGTTGATTGGGGTCGCGCTCTCGCTTTCGCTTTTTCTGCGCTGGCTCTTGAGACCCCCCTGCATCGGACATTCTATGCGATTGCGAATTTCAACTTTGTTGCTTTATATTTAATCCGGGTTTCATTTCTTCATTGAACTTCACAGATACAGTTTGCAAAAGCGCAGGTAGCGCCTATCTTATACGGCCTCAAAGATGGATGTTTAGCAGACTTTGTATTTGGTTAGAGAATCGGTAAAAATTGTGCTAGATGCGTTAATATTACACGCAGGATGATTTACTGATTGGGACATTGAACAAGATTATTATTATTAGCCTAGAGTTTTTTTTGCCCAAATGGACAGATTCAGAAAGATAATTGATTTGGGTACCACTGAATCGTGGAAAGAGTCAGTGGTACCCAAGATCGAAGAGATACAGTACAAAATAGTGTGACAGAACAATAGATTCCCCACTCGATAGCATTCCAGTTCTAAATTATGATAAAAGAGGCTCGACAAATGAGAACTCACGTCCAAATCCCATAATTAATTATCTTCGTCCTTGACACCACCCAGTTCGCTCTTGACACCCTTCTTGATATCGCCCCAACCGATCAATCGCCAGGCTCTGTCGATACGTCTCGAAATGGCGATCTTCTCGCCTTCACTCGTGCACACGGGCTGCTGGAGCATCAGTCGAGCGCTTCTTCCTTTCACATTGATGATTCGACCTCCACAACTCAACGAACCAATGTTCAACATAAGATTTTCATTCTTTTCAAGCGGCTTGATCTTCGATTCCTTTGAAAATAAAGTATTACTAGGATAAAATTGATCCAAAAATACCTTCTTCTTGTTTTCATCGGCAGCAACACCAAGGAGACGAGGAAGTAAATGAGTTCGGATCTCAATCTGTCGGAAAACAGGAGGAAGCGTGCCAGGAGTACCAAGAATTTGACCGACCATTCGATCCGATCTACACAAGAATGGATCGCACTTCGTTCCAACGGCGATAAGACCTCCAGGAACGGCGTACTAATTGAGGTGAGTGTTTGTGTTGTAGGAAATGATTTACCTGAAGATCATTTTTGTCTGATTTCAAAGACATAATCTTCGATTTTGTTGGGAACACTTGCGAGTTGTTGGCATCGTCTCGGACAGTAACTCCAGGTCTGATTTCGATCTCCTGGCCAAGAACAAGGACACCGCGCATGAGCGAGCCTCCACATACACCTCCCTTGAGTTCGTGCACCTAAAAAGATATTTATTCTCTGTTCTGATCCAAAAAGGATACCTCAGAACCAGGGTTATTGACGTCGAATGATCGGATGACGATCATCTTAGGCTGTTCAGTGAAGTCTCTGAGAGGAAGGGGGATGTAGTTGCAAATGTAGTCGCAGAGAACGTCGATGTTATACTTCATCTGTGCAGAAATGGGGATAATTGGTGAGGTATCTAACGGGACGGATAATAAGATGAGGGAAAAGATAAACTTACCGGCTGGTGTGCCCTGGATGAATTTACGAATGTCCATGTAGTTGCTCTTAGCAGAGTTTTGATGGATCAAGTCGATCTTGTTCTGGAGAACAATGATATGTTTCAGTCCCATCAACTCGATAGCAGCCATGTGCTCTTTCGTTTGAGGCTAGAACGTTACTCAGTACTTATTTTTATCACGAAATCAGATGATATAATTATATACCTTGTGGTTTGATATAAGATTGATAAGAAATCACCGCGTTATCTCTAGGTTATACCTGCGGGCAAGGTTCATTACAAGCTACAAGCAAGATAGCAGCGTCCATGACAGCGGTACCGTTCAACATAGTCTGCATAAGAACGTCGTGACCGGGGCAATCAACAAAGGAGACGTGTCGATGCACCTTGTATGTAACCGCTTTTCCTTCAAACTCCCTCGTGATCTGAAGGTAAACTCGGCATGAAGCTAAGCTCGAGAAGAGTTTATCGTACCTCGTCTTTGTCTGATGAGCTGCTGGACATGTAAGCTTCGGGCCTTGGAACGTCCGCGCAATGGTAAATTTTAGCATTTGAGTAACCAAGTTTGATTGTAATGTTCTTTTCCAATTCCTTCTTGTATCTAATGGTCGACTGGCCGGAGATCGCCTTCACCACGGTCGACTTTCCGTGGGCTACGTGGCCAATCGTACCGATATTAATTGTGGCCTTTGAAGGATGAAAATAGACGCAACAGTTGTGGTACTACCTGTCTGGAAATAACTTCCGGAGTATCAGCAGCAAGGCTTGATAAATCTAAGTTATCTTTATCTTGCTTAGCCAAGCCATCAGCAGCAATTTCGATGGTCATTTTCTTGTAAGATGTAAGATGTTTTGCTGGCGCTAAAAACCTCAAGTCTAAATGGGATATTGAAAAAGATCTATGAAAAGAACATGTATGAATTGATATTCGGTAGTTTCTGAAGATTAAACAGCAAGAATATGCATTTATATTGTTGAAAGAGGAGCGAAATTAGGTTTGAGAGATGAAGAAAATAGGTAAACATAGATCAGTGGAGACACAATTCGGAAAGTAACAATAAATCTGTATAAAAAAGTGTATAAACCGAAAATTAAAAGGTAGAAAAGACATTGAAAGAACGTTGAACACAATTATTAGATGGAAATGGTATCGAGAATCTCAGCGCAATTATTCGGAATAGCAGCAACACCTACACCTCCCTCATGCCGGTTCATATTTCCTGAGAGGGACCACGTGCCTTCTTCTGGATCGTAAATTTCGATGGACGACAGATTGGTCATTCCATCATACCCGCCGATCGCATAGAGCTTGTTTCCAGATGATGCAACGCCGACTCTAGCTCGTCGAACATTCATCTCCTGAAAAATAAATAAAATTTAAAGTTTAAACCAAATCACTTGCTACCTGAGTCATGGGAGTCCATTGTTGAGTGGCGAAGCTGTACTGCTCGCAAGTTTGCAAGAAGCGTCCGTTATACCCGCCTACGACCCAAAGCTTGCCTTGGAAAACGAGACTTCCATGTCGGCAACGATTGTGTATCATCGGAGGAAACTCGGTCCACTTCTTTCCGTCAAAGACTTCCACAGAATTGAAGAATTGAACGACGTCGCATCCGCCAGTGACGAACATTTTACCGGCAAAGCAAACCGCTGCCGCTGCGGATCGAGATCGTTGCATCGATGGAACTTCTTCCCAAACGTCCCTAACAGGGTCGTAACATTCGCAGCTGTTGAGGCAGAGGTCGCCGTTATAGCCACCAGATACATAAAGTCGACCGTTCATCGACGAGCATGCCGGCGCGCTTCTACAGTATAACATACTAGCGACGACTTCCCATTTGTTTGTTTTAGGGTCAAATCGTTCAGCTGAGTTCAATCTCACGGCGCAATCAAAGCCACCCAGTGCGTAGAGCATTCCATTCAAAACGGCCACCCCAAGTCGTCCTCGGCAACGATTCATTTGTGGCATGTGCTTCCATTGCTAATGAATAGAAAATGAAATATGTTGAACTTAGAAACATTTGAGTACCTTTGAACTGGAGTCAAACATATCGACAATGTTGATGGACTCGTGGACAGCGTTTGACGCGAAACCGCCAAGTAAATAAATGTGATTCTGCAAGTGCGAGCAATATCTGGGGTTTAGTCGTTCACTTTCAATCAGCAGCCCATCATCGTCTGGATCGCAAACTTTCATTCGCGAGAACTCAACTATTAATGCAAAGAGTAAGTTTTACATAAAAACGCGATCGTTCTACCATTGCAATGGCGCAATATTGCATCATCTATCAAGTTACGGCATTGGATATTGCTCGAAACCAAATCGAAGATCAAGACCTCGTCGCGAATGAATTGCGGCGGCAGCAGGTGCAAGCGAACTTGGCTGAGCATCCCATGGACGAGGTTTGCCTCGCAAGATGGGTTTGCGATGAGCCAGATTTTGAACGCTGACCAGACATTCGCCTCCTGCTCGACATACAAGTCAGATGAGCCAAGAATACTCATCACTGAACAAATGCCGTATTATCAGCGGATCCATCGATCTTCTCAATTGTTACCTAATTCAGCAGGAGCGCTTGTCCAAACAGGAAGTCCAAAAAGATCGCAGAAATAGCGGTCTATGTACTGCCGAGCTCGCCGGGCCAAATCGTGGCATGACAAGCTCTCTGCGACCTGGACAACTTCGAGGACATTTTCAGTGCTCATGCGCCGCTCAATAAAGTCGCAACAGGCTGTGATTACTTGTTCGCAGCCTAGATATCCAGCAGCGACGAGGAGAGACTGTACGGTTTCGTTAGTGAGCTTTATCTCACCAATGTACGCCCATTCAATCACTATTAAAATTTATGTATCTGCACTTGAGAAAGATAAACTGCATACATGAAATGATGATTGCAGGATCTACGCCTGGAATTTCTATTGAAACTTCCGATGTCTCCGGGTTATTCCTCAGTGACATAAAAAGCCCCTGGAAGTAGGGGATTGCTGAGCAAATGACGACTTTATGCGCCCCAATTCGTAGTGGTCCCGATTTGATCACAACGTCAATCGCCTTCGACTCTTCTCGAAACTTGGCAAGTCGATTGAAGCAAGTTGGAAACAAGGAGGACTTGTGAGAAATGACCTCCTTCGACTCTGTTTTCTCGGCGTGAGGTCCCCGCAAGGGCCCGTCTGCGTCCGCCAGTTTGACATCAAGTTCAGGCCTGATAGTGGACGTGCCTAGTTATTTATTAAGCAATACAAACAACAAATTGACAACTCACCAGTTTGAATATTCAGTGAAAATTTAAACGCTCTCACAGCCGCTTTCACCGCTCCCTCCACTTGAGTCTAATAGACAACAACTTAGTTTCACTTTGTCCTGTGACAGCAATTTACCTTAGTAACATTTTGGTACTTCTGTAACGAGTCATTTTCGATAAACTGGGCAATCAGCGACTCGGTCAAGTCCCGAATGACTTCGACGTTAGACATTTTACCGCATTTCTAGCGCTTTCTTAAAGCTTTAAATCAACGAGAAGTAAGTAAAGAGTGTTTCTTTCTGTATTACATGTATCGATAAAAATTGAACGAAGCAGAACTAATGAAACGCGCTGTAAGGCCCAAAAAATAATTGCTTGAACAGTTACTTGTGAAGGAGTTGGGACTGTGCACAAAATTAAAGAGAGAAAAAGATGACGATACGCGCGCGTGTTTATTTCGTGTTCTATGCAAAGGCCTTTGCCTTGACAATTGGCAGCTCTTCGATTCCGTCCTTGGAGATGATCTTCAGGCGGAAAACTGGGAGGTTGATTGAGAAACGACGCTGTAACTCGTCGCAGCACTTTTGAAATAGGGCGATTGCTTCCTCCCGCGTTGGTGGCTTGTCCCTACAAACGTGGTTAAAAGGAATGCTTTGAAAATAGGCGGAAGTACTTGTTGTAGTGTCGGTCAAGAATGGACATGGTGAACATGGCTCCATAACCGTGAGCTCCGTATGGGCACTCAATATCAGCCGCGAGGTAATCGATTAAATGAAGCTCTGGCTTATCCTCGATATCGTCGTATCCAGCAACCAAGAGGTTCACCTGAACATCGATTTTCATTAAGAAAAAGAACGCGAATCTTACCATGTATGATTTTCGCGATCGAAGTGATGTAGCAAGCCTGTGTCGAGTGAAGCAAGCGGCTTCGTTTGGCGTCATATCGTATCCATTTCGCATTTCGTACAGCGCGATGTTCTTGGCGATGGACTCTTGGAAGAAGTTCGTGTCTCCGACTTCTCCGCACACTTGAAAGGGATTAAAAAATGCTATTCTTTCAGTGCGCTTACCAGCCATGGCAGTTTTCTTTCCGATTGGGTAGATCTTGTCGTATTCCTGCTGATAAACGATGACCGATCGTGCGGCGGTCTGATCAGCGCCGACCAAGACGAAATCTTTTCCTTTGATTCCAATTATGTACTCGGTCATTTTCCACCTCTATCTGAACGCGTAAAACGTAAATGAAAAGAGCGTTCGGTGAAATACTGTAAATGGGCAAGGTGGTGGAATTCGGTAAAGGTAAAATCTGGTGTGACACATTGAACACATCGACACAAATTGAACAAAAAACGACACGGAGTGAAGTAAAAATCTATCTATTCCCAAGCTGCTGCTGAGGATTTCCTGTTCCAGCGTGGATGCGTCGCACTCTCGGAACAAATTCCCCACTTGATACGTCCTTTTCCAACTCTTCCATCTGCGGACGCCCTTTTCCTAAATAATAAATAACAGGCTGCTCCAATTCTAGAGCTGTTTTACTCACCTTCATAAAGAAGAATATTCAAAGTTTCTTCGTAAATACGCGCTTCGGGAAACTCTACCTTCGTTTGTTTCTTTTCCGTCGCGTAGACGATGCTCGTACAGCAGATTTCTGATATCTTTCGCCCGTGGCCGTAAAAACTCCAGACGCAAATGTCTTCTCCGACGACGTCGCGGATGAACTTTATTCGATTTGTGAAATTTAGCGCCAGTTTATCAAAAAGCTCGATATTTCTAAGCATGTGATCATCGGAAGAGCTTCAAATAATCAATTAAAAAATCGGAAAATAAAAGATGAAAACGTACTTTGTGTAAGAATACTTGTTGTTGCCACGGTTGTACAGAAGCTTGACAACTGGTTTTTCTGATTGCTTGATGATCTTTTGCTCTTCAAACGGCGATGTGACAATCGGAACTTGGCAAATAGGGGTAATTTGGTCTTCCTTGGGCGGTCGGAGTTTGTTGAGACTTTCATGGCAGGCTTCAATTAACTCCTGAAGAAAATTCTCTTGTAAAAACTGCAAGCTATGATACAAAAATAGCCCCAGTTCAAAGTTCACTGATGCAAAAAAGAAGGCAATTTCTGACGATGAAAATAGTCGGATTCTGAGCGTACCTGTACGGCGAAAAAGTTAGCTTCCTTTAAAATTTGCTTGATCTCTGCTGGGTCTTGTGGAAGGACGATTTTCGAATCGCGAAGAAAATCGAGTATGTAAGCAAAATATGCCCCATTTCGATCAACAAGATGGTACCCGTCTTCGTCTCTACCAAATAAAATTGTAGATAAAGAATGATTTCTCTCCTTTACTTTTCAACTTCCATGCGGCCGGAGAACATCGAGCTCAGCATCGTCTCGCCTCAAAACATTCCAGTTCGAAAAATACTCGAAAAACTCGAAAAGCAGACGAGAAACAGAAATTGCTGATAATTTGGAACTTTTCCTGCTCAAGGTGTCTCGGGTCGTCATGTACAAATACCCACCCACATTGAGCTTGATGTAGTTATCTAACTTTGACATCTGAAGCAATGGTTGGTACTATTTAGTCGGAACGGGAATATATTTTTGTACACCGGAAGTTTGAATACAGAAAGGTTGAAGTAAAATACAGAACGGAAGGTAATTTCACGGCTCTAGAACTTAGAGGCTAGGGCCTAGCCGCTAGGCTTCTTCGATCAGCCGTAAATGTCGCTGTTCCTCGTCTCTTTTCTGCGGGATACAACTGTAAATGGCCAGAATAAGAATGCAGCATGCCAGTAGAATTGCTAGAGAAAGTTTTTAAGATATCAATATAACTCGATATAATTGTGAACAAGATAAGAGTGCAACTCAGACACTTCTTTTTAAAGCCAGATTGTTTCCTGAACTTACCTAGATCAAAAATATGATGCTCCGTTATATAAGCTCTTTCAGTAGAAATGAGTGGTTTGAGTCCCAGTTCCGTGACATTTTTGCCTTTCTGTTCTGCCCATATAAAGTCAATGTTCTGCAGCTCCTGAAGCAACATTTTAACCCATCAATCGGAGCAATGAATTAACCTCTTTCCCGACGATGTAAAAGCCGCCACAAAGAAGAACGACCAAGAAAATGAAAAGATTGAGCGCGCAGCAGACTAGCGGAGGATTTCCTTTCAGACAGTCCTTTTGCGTTGTGTTACACATTTAACGATTTCTGTTTTTTGTCTGAACATCCGAAATTACATAACAACGCGAATATATTAAAAGTTAATATATTTTGATTGATATGTAATGAAAAGGCTCGCAAATGCAATTTCACAGGGAGAAAAAGGGAGATGGAAGATGGGCAAATGCTTCAATGTCACATTTTATTGCAGATGCACATTTTTCAATGAGACAGAGCAGGATTAAGAGTTGGAGTTGGGGCCCTTCTTCTTTCCGAAGGATGGGACGACGTTGACGAATCGTCGGTTGTACTAGAATTCATCGATAAGTAATGATTTTTTTGATTTAGGAGAATTGGAAGTTTCAGGTTGTTATCTAAATTTTTTCAAAATGTAATTTTTACCTGCATTCGTCGCTTAGCTCGTCCAGTCTTGGCCTTCTTCTTCTCCTGAGCGTCGACCTTGGGGGTCTGGCCCTTGACCTTACCAGCTCGGGCAAGGGAACCGTGGACCTTACCACCAAGCATTCGTGGGACTTCCTCGACCTGGAAGCCTTCGGTCAAACCGAACTCCTCGAGGGAGAATCCTGGCTGGATGACTCGGCCATTGACGACGGCGTAGGTCTACGATCAATTAGTAAAATAAATATTTTCTTTGGTATTTAAAATATTTTGAAATTTGAAAAGAAAATTGATTTGAATCATTTCATTCGTTTATTATAATATAAAACATTAATTTATATGAACAAAACTGTACGTACCTCCTCGTTGAAGAGAGAAAGGACCTCGTCGGTGTTCTCAGCGTTGAAGCTCTTGCCTTGGAAGGAGAAATGCATTTTTTTCGGAGCCGAATTAGATCTGAAAACCAAAGTTACATCAACTTTTCTCTTTGTCAAGTGCTCATCAAAAATAACAGAAATCGAAACAACAGTCGGAGGAAGAGAGAATCTCTCTCGGAGGAAGATTCTTTCCAGAGGCGAGAAAATTTTCGAGACTGACGCATCACGCGCGCAGATGCCCGCTCCGCCAATCAAATCGGGCGATTTCTCAGGCAAGGGCGATTGGACGCGCTTTCTGTAAAAATGACACATTTCAGAGATTTTAATTGAAATTTTCTTACTACGCGAGAGAATAAATGCTACAGAAGATTCTATTCGATTCATTTTTACTCCTTAAAATTTTTATGCCGAGAAAATAAGAACTTCGTCATTAAAAATTTCTTTGATTTTAGATTGAAACGGACATGGCTGCTGCAAGACCTGTAGTTTCTGTGTACGGTGCTGACGGATCCGCCACCGCCGAGCAGATCAACCTCCCAGCCGTCTTCAAGGTAGAAAATCATTGAAAAATCCATTTTTAAATTCCTCCTCAGGCTCCAATTCGAACTGACGTTGTCCAGTTCGTCCACTCGAACATTGCCAAGAACGCTCGTCAGCCATACGCTGTCTCTGCCACCGCTGGCGAACAGACTTCCGCCGAGTCCTGGGGTACCGGTCGAGCCGTTGCTCGTATTCCCCGAGTCCGTGGTGGTGGTACTTCTCGATCTGGCGCCGCTGCCTTTGGAAACATGTGCCGAGGCGGTCGAATGTTCAACCCCAACAAGACCTGGCGCAACTGGCACAGACGAGTCAACGTCACCCAGCGACGATTTGCCACCGTCTCTGCCATCGCCGCCACTGGCATTCCCTCCCTCGCCATGGCCAAGGGCCACGTCGTCTCCCGCGTCCCTGAGTTCCCCCTTGTCATCGACAGCGCCGCCGAGGCTTTGAAGAAGACTAAGGCCGCCGTCAGCGTACTCCGGGCCGTTGGCGCCATCGACGACGTCAACCGAGTCAAGGAAACCCGACGATTCCGAGCCGGTCGAGGAAAGATGCGAAACCGACGACGCGTCCAGAAGCGAGGCCCTCTTGTTGTTTACCAGAACGACGATGGTATCGTCCAGGCTATGCGAAACATCCCCGGCGTCACCCTCCTCCCCGTCGATCAGCTCAACCTCCTTAAACTCGCCCCCGGTGGACATGTCGGTAGATTCACCATCTACACCGCCAACGCTTTCAAAGCACTCGACACTGTCTACTCCTCCGCGAACAAGAAGGGCTTCTCGATGCCTCGACCGATCCTGGCGAACGCCGACCTTCAGCGAATCCTCCAAGCCGACGAAATCAAGGCCGCCCTCAAGCCTCGACGATCGGCGACGAAGCGAAGCACGGTGAAGAAGAACCCTCTCAAGAACATCAAGACGATGCTCAAGCTCAACCCTTACGCCGCCGTTCAGAAGCGAGCTGCCTTCAACAAGGCGGCTAAGAACGCTGCTGAAAAGGCCGCCAAGGCTAAGTAAGAAAGAATCTTCCAGTCTTTCCTTGAGAAACTCTCTTTTCTGTTTTACGCACATTTACTTTCTTCATGCGCAATAAAAAAACGGAGTCTAAAAATCCGGATGATAAATCTCCTTATCGATTATTCTTCAGCTTGACTAAAGAATATCGTACAGTAACAACGCAGTTATTACCGTTTTCATTCAATGAAGGGCATAAGCAGGGCAGTGCAGGTATTGTCTCAGAATAAATTCGAATTGACCAATAACTGTCAATAATTAAAATGGACAGGTTGTTGCACGATAGTCCTTTTATACTATCAGCCGCTTTGGTAATGTTGCATCAGTATGAGAACAAGAAATAGGCTTATTGCTACCTTTTCTACTCTTTTGATAGCCATTTATGTTGCTTTTGCGATATGCCAGGGGTTGAAGTCGCTAAGATTTAATGGCTCAATAATTTTAACTCATCCCTATTTAGTCGTAGTAAAGCTAGAGAAACTGCAGCATGAAAAAGAAGAGCAGCATTACCTCCAACATTTGTCAGGACCTGCATTGGAAGATTATAAGATGAATGGAGAGTAAGTCGATTCGCCTTGATTTTCGCTTATGCTGGTAAGATATTTAGGTACGGATATGACATCATTGATCCTTGCCCCTCTTCTGATCGAGCTCGGCATGGCGATTATGGGACTGTGCCAGTATTTGGATAACACCAACTGCGAGGAAATGGATAAATGCAACAAAATGAAACACACGCGATTCATATAACAACGATCCAGTTTAATCTTGTGAATAAAAACCAATTTCAAAACGATCTATTTTTAATCATCTCTAAAGTGCCATTTCACAAGGTCAACTCATTTTCAGCTTCGATTCTCGTTTTACCCCAACTTTGTTGCAATTAAGAAAGCATGACTTCGGTCAGAAAAGATAACTATTCTAGCACTTGGAAGTACTAAGTACTCTGCCGCAACTGTGATTGACATCTCCCGATAAAGAAAACTGCCAGCAAGAAGGATAGCATTCGGTCGCTTTAGAGATCAGTATAATATTATTAATATTAAATATCTTTATGTGTCCTGTTTTTTGTTGGCAAAAAGTTGAGGAGATGGCCTCTTAATTCTCCGAACTTGACCTTTGAATGAGTGAATTCAGTTTATTTTTTAATACAATAAATATCTTTGAATATCTTTTACAATTAATAGGTACAAGGACGGTAGATGTTTTTTGTCTGTTCTTCACACGGATACATTGTGTTGTTGTTTGCGCCTTTCGACGAATGTTTTGAGAAAGAATTCACCTGCTTTGTATGATGATCTGAATAATTCAATAAAACGTCCGTAGCTTGGCCAAGTGGCTTGTTCAGTAAAATTGAAGTGCAAAAGGATAACATCAGGGGAAGATTTCATCAGTATTTCATTTTCTGTAGAAGGAAAACAAACAAGCTCTCTTCAAAATTACGTTGATTTCAAAATATCCACCCCTGGATAATATGCTTTACGCGAAAAAGACTGAATTTTTCCGACTTGAATAACATGAAAAGTACACACTTGGGGTCTGACCGAACAAACTTCGGGTCAGAGTAATTGATCACAATTTACCTGACTAAAGGCCCGGAGGGAACATATGCAAATCCAAGTTCAAGTCCTATTTTCTCCCACATGGCGAATTTATCCGGATGAACATATTCCTCTACTTTCATGTGCCTCTTAGTCGGCTGCATGTACTGTCCGAACGTAATACAATCGACACCAATTGATCGCAAGTCCTTCATCGTTTGGAGAATTTCTTCATCTGTTTCGCCCATACCGAGCATAAGAGAAGTCTTTGTAACTAGGCCAGGAGGTCCACGCTTTTTGGCTTCTTCTAGCGTCAGAAGAGACTTAAGAAAGGAAACGGCTAGAAGTTGGAACAAAGGGCGCTTGATACATAATTAAAGTTGATGCCTTTAGTTTTCTTCAAACTAAGGGCCTGAATAAAACTTGTTGATTGTTTCGTGGCGAGCTTCCGCCTCTAATATCTCATTTGCTCTACCTGTTCATATCCAGCTCGCGGGTCTCTGACGAACTTCTGAAGTCTTTTGACAGTTTCAACATTGTGAGCGTAAACATCGAGTCCCGAATTTGCTGTGACATCGACACAATCCAAGTCACCCCTCCAATCTGGAAGAAGACATTCTACTAACAGATCGGGGTTCTCTTTTTTGACTTGTTTCACCACTTCTGCAAAATGGCTGGCCCCACCATCGGGAATATCGTCTCGATCTACGGACGTTATGACGCTAGAAATTTTGGTTTATCACTTGTTTTATCCGCTTAGCTCAAAGCTTACATGTAACCAATGTCCCAAGATTTTATTCTCTGAGCTGTTTCAATGGGTTCGTTGGGATTAAGCGGACCGGGATTACGGGAAGTTTTGACAGAGCAAAAACGGCAACCTCTAGTACAAGTGTCTCCCATGACCATTATTGTGGCTGTTGCTGAACCTTCTCCACCTCCCCAACACTAGAATACGGATTAGACGAATGCTACGTCAGTTTCCTTTCACCTCGCCAATATTTGGGCATCTAGCTTCCTCGCAAACGGTGGCAAGTCCTGAGCTTCTAAGACCTTGCTTGATCTTCTGGAATGATTTTCCCTTCGGTATATCGACTAAAAACTATATCAAAATCAAATACATGTAGCTTCATCTGAAAGCTAATCGTCATCATCCGCGACGGGAACCGAGATAAGTAGTAGAACATGTTTATTCGAAAATAAATTAGAATCATCACGCGCTTTAGTGCCGAAAAGCGTTTCCAATCCCCCTCCCTGGCGCTGTTGCTCACTCTCTCCGAAAAACCTGTAAAAAGACTGAATATTCATCACGCCAGAGTCCATATAAAGACCTACTGGTAAGCTTTTTTTACTAAACTTCAGTTCGTTCATTCTTTCATTTTAGAGCAATTTGGAAGAGGTAAAGCGAAAATAAAAGAAGCAGCCCAATCTACTCTATTTAATCGAGAATAGCACGATAGCAAATACAGTTCAGAACATTCGTTCTTTTATTTATTTATATAAAGGCGTGTTTCGATCGTTCCATTATGATCTGGAATTGATCCTAACATTTCAAAAAATTAATAAACAAAGAGAGAACTCTTCCAGCCAACTAAGGGATTCACTTTCGAGCACTTTTAAAATCCATGTTTAGAGTGATGACGAATCTACGAAAAATCGTTTCTTTGGTGACAGTTTTCCTGGCCAGTGCTACTTTCGGCTTTTCACAAGATTTCTGCAATGTACGTATTCGATGCATAGATCAGCGAACTAACCAAAAATTATACAGAAAAAGACCTGTGATATGTGTCGCCGAGCAATTACGTACGCACAGTTGGACCAGAACCCATTGGACGACAAGTTAGCTGGAAGTATCATGCAGTGCATAGGCCTGTGGCAAATTCGAGATTGCTGTTTTTCAATTTGAATATATTTAAATTTGCTGGAATAAACTATCAAAAAAAAAGTTGCGTTTCTCAGAAAAAAACATCGCAAAAATGAAATCAACGAAGACTACTCCGATGAGAGATTTTAAATATCACTACCTTTTAACCAAGGAGGCAGTCGTAGACGCTTGTCCCCAGCCTCACGTTTGAGTTTGCCCTGGTAGTCTCGAAATGTTTTTTCTTCCACTTGTCCAGTGACGAAGTCCTCAAGTCCTGGCCCGCTAAATTAAATGCATTAGCAGGTATTGATTGGCACTTTCTTTTCGAAAATAATCACAGATTTGTAGCAATAATAGGGAGCTTACATAATGCACGAATTATCGTCGCGAATAAGGGGATTATTGTCGTATTTTGAGAGTTCAAAATCCGAGGAAAAATTAATATTAGGGGTTGAAATAAAGATTCATATTTTCGGACAGACTCCTCTCCTAGAGTTAACATAGTGGCCCGTTATTTATTAATCTTAGATTAATTTTAGGACAGAATCTCATAAATGAGCAAAGGGTGTCACTATGTAAACTTTCCGACAACATTCTCAAAATGGTTGTCGATATGATACCATTTATCAGTGAGCAATTATGAGGATGAACTTATTCTTATGCCTTCACTCATGCAAAATATTAATCGTTTTATTCTTACTTGAACTGAGACGACGTTCTGACGAGTGCTCGAACACGAACAACCTGATTTCGAAGCATTCTAATTAGGTGATCTTTTAAAAGAGCTTATCTGGAAACAAGTAATTGATCAACAGGGAAATTGGATACAAGTCTGAGACACATGTTTACATCTCCATCTTAGAAGTAAATGAGGTTGAATGAACCTCTAAAATTTAGAGATCAAGAGACCAGTTGTCACGAATGAAAGTTTAACACAAAAATGTTTAAACAAGCCTTAAAGCTTGTATTGAACGACAGTAGTTGTTCAGTACCAAACACGATTTTTCTGCGCGTCGTCATATTTGACAGCTGCCCTTTCCAATTCATTAGACTCGTTCATCTGTTTTCTGCGTTTGCGAGAGCGCGGAACGTATTCACTTAATAATTGCTCATTAACTTTGTTTTCCAAATCCAATCAATCTTACCGTCGGTTGACATTGGGCTTTTCTGGTCCAACTTCTCCCTCTCCAGTAGCATCGTTGTACCAGGCGAGGGCGACTGGGTCGCGATCTTGGCCGATATTTTTCATGCCAGGGAAAGCTTTGCTGCCTAATCTCTTGGTCTTCTTAACTTCGCCGGCTTCTTTTCGAGCGGCGATTTCATTTGCACGCTCTAATTTCGCCTTGGTAGCTTCTAGTTTTTTCAAAGCTTTCTTCTCTTCTCGTTGAGCTAGCTAAAAGAATACAGGTTAAATAAAGCTATATTCCCGTTAGGATTGATGAAATCCCAGGACATCCTAACCTGTTCTTGAGCTGCTTTACACATTCCCGGTCCCCAGCAGTAGCGATCGAAGTTGTAAAACTCTCGAATACGCTCCGCCTCGCTTTGCTCCAAAAACGCCTTTTGCATTTCTCCATCCAACATTCCACTTTGAAGAGTTTCCGGCAGCTCGGAAATGATATCGCTTGAGCGGCAAGCATCGCACGTTTCGCCTGGCTCGTGAACATGAAGAATGATGATTGTCGTGCCGACCTTTACCCTGTCCATGTGTCGCACTCTTTCACGATGCTTATAAATTTTGTAAACAAAAGTATTCATCAGTCAATCGAAAATCACCTCGGCGGGCTTTAATTGCCCATTGAGCTGTCCGAACGCATTAAATTGGATTTCAAAATATGTCTCGGGATTCGGCTCCAAGCTCGGAATTGTGCGATGCTGAATAACCACGTGTCTAAATACGGGATCAGCGATATTATTCTCGGATATTCTACAAGGCTGCATATCTATGATTCGTGATTAGTAGCGATCCTCTCCTAGGCTGGACATGATCTTCTTTTATTCGGATTTGTGCCTCCTGTCCAGATCCAATGATGCACCCAAGCTCTGTGATGATCGTCAGCTTACCAAGCTGAACCGTGTCGGATGCCATAATCATAGCTAAGAAAATATTCATTAGAGCAGAGTCTGTCAAGTTTTCAATTGAAGGTAGTACTGTACTACCTCTAATATTCTCGCCATAATAGACTGGCTCGTCTCTTTCCTCTTCCTTCATCTTCAAGTCTTCCTCTGGCGGTGGCGGTGGAGGCTCGAGGGAAGTGAAATCAATCAGACTGTAGGGATCAGCAACTTTTCTACTGGCCAAATCTGCCTTTTGCTCCTCGGTCGGTTCATCTTCTCCACTTTCTAATTTTGAAAAGTGAGTTTTTGGCAGTCCGCTTACTCTACCTTTTTAGACTCAAAAGTACTCTCTAGTAATAGAAGTTGCTTTTTTATGAAGAGATAATTTTTCTCTTTTTCAATTTGGGTTTTTCAAGTACCGTTTTCATCATCTGACTCTTCAGATAGAATTTTATTGTCATAAGCTGGATCCGTATGCGTTTCGATCAGTTCGCCGGCTTCTGTCTTGCGATAATACTTGTCAACGGTTTTTAACTTGAAGAAATAAGAGATCACGATTTTAGAATGTTCTAATATTTTAGTGCCAATTATGCTGCGATTACGTAACCGCGCCCCTTTCCGCTGCGCTTATCAAAATAACTTCTATCAGTTGGATCGTAGTACAGATTGAGGTCAGGGTCAAAGTAGCGCTTGAGAACTGGGTCAAAGTTCAAGTTCGCCTGCCGCAAACCTTCCAGGGCTGCTGCATGCAGCTCTTCTTCCTTCATTCTGAATGAAAAAATATCTTTATATCTGCATATAGACTGCTCAAATGCCCTTTTTCAAAGTAGCAAGAAGGTTACAACTATTTGTGCTTGCTTTCCGGGCTATTGCATTTATTTTATTAAAAGGGCTAAGTAAAGGTAAGTTAAATGTTTGTTGGATGTGAAAGGTAAGAGTGAAAGAGATTGATATTGCACGGTTATGTCAGCATTCTTTAGTTGTTTTTCTTCGCTGGAGAAACATCTCGGTGATAAAGGATCGCGAAGGACATGAGCGTGACTCCAAGCATCATTGAGAAGGAAGAGAAGTAATAGGGGTAAGCAGATGCAATGAAGCGCTCATACATATCGTGGCGAAGAGGGCGAACGGTGATCTAAAAATGCGGGTTCGAAAACTGCGAAGAAAAGCTAGTAATTACCTGTTGCTTATGCTCGATATAGGTGTGGCCAAGCTTTGTCTGCCAAATGATAAAGTTAAACACGCCATAAGTATCTGGAACCTTGAAAGTGGCCCTGAACTTGCCTCCTCCTTCGTTCGCAAAGGGAATTCTAATGAAGGGGTCGAGTCGGTGGAAATCCAACCAGAGCTGGGGAAAGGTCAAACTTGTCGGCTCCCAGTTGTCATCAACATACTCCTCGACAAAGGCAACAACTTCAATTTCTTCGTTGATGTAGTAGAAGTCGTTTCGCGAGTTTTCCTTGTCCAAAAGTTTGTGTTGAAATCCACTGATTCGAAAAGTTCCAGAGTTGTTGGATCCCCAGGCAAAAACATGCATGGCAAGCTTGCTAACGGAGTTTTGATATCGAGCGTGCTCATTCTTATTGTTGTCCCAGTAGGTCACGAACTTTTGGCGAATAAGTTTGTTGGAGAACATTGATAGAGAGCTGGCGAAAACGATTCGAGCGTTGTTTCGGAGCTGAATTCCGGCGAGGAGGGAGATGTCACGACCGACAGCCATTGGGTACTCGCTAATAGGCTCGTTGGGGAACCAGGAGTAGCAGTAGCTGTTGCATTTGACGATTGGAAAAGCGAGTGTATTTTTCTTGTCAATCTTCATTGCGACGGCGTTGTCAATTAGAAGACTAGCGTAGCCAGGAGGGCCGACAATGGGCTCACTTCCGCCGAGGAATGAATCCGAAGCTTTGAGGCTGAATCGGCTGTGGTCGTGCTGAAGCTGATCCCTTTCATAGTCGTAGTTCATATGGGACATCACTTTGGTGCCAGTCTCGTCGTATTCGATTCCAAACTCGGCTCCAAGCTCACGAATAGCATCACCAATGTTGGAAGAGGCAAAAACCATCAAGTTACCGCCGTTTTGAGTGAATTCAACAAAGGTTTTCGTTGTGACATCGCCGCCGAATTGCTCAGTCGATGGAGCCATGATAACCGCGTTTTGGTAAATATTCTTGCCGTATTTTACAAGATGAAGATCTGAAAGAATACGAGTGAATAGCAGAAAAAGAGCATTTGAAATTACCCGCATCATCAGCAAGTTTGTAATGAGTCTCAAACTTTCCATTGAGCTGGTTGAGAACGGAAGAGTACTGCTCCTTCATTCGGTCGTTTTCAAGGACGACGAGCATTTTCGCCCTGGCAGCAAATGCCGCCCCTAGCAGCAGCGCGTGAAGTATCATTCTAAAATTTTATATTTGATATTTGCTTTCAAAAATGATCTATGAATCGAGTTGATAAATGCGGCAGTGGATTTCTAAATGGTAAATTTTCCTAGTGTCTCTTTCTCGGAAACTATTTCCTTTGAATCATCTATTTCTTCGCCTTCTCGCAGATGAGGATCAACTTGGAGACGAGCCCGATGAGCTGAGTGAGCGAGGTGGTGCCTTCTATAATTCGCATATGGGAGAGCCCGATTTGTTTGATCCACTCAAGTTTGATCAGTTCTGGACTTTTGTGGGTTTTGGAGACCCTGAAAGAATTGAAAATCAAGTTGATTCCGAGGCAAACCTGAATACTGTGGTGATGATATCTTCTGGCGCATAGCCGTAATTATAGAGCTGTCTGATGATGCCTGTCGCTTCATTGGTTTTTCTTTCCAGGCAAAAATCGAGCATTTTCGAAACCATCAGAGGATGTGGCTCGTCGCAGACTTTGAAAACATTTTCTGAGTTGACGACGCCCATGCCGGAGTGAGTCGCTAGAAATGAGTTTACTTTAGATTTATTTTTACTAAAAAGGAATTACCTTGAAGATTGTTGAGTGCTTGACGCATGTCGCCCTGTGCTGTGAATAAAATTGCTTCGAGCCCCTTTTGATCATGATCGACATTCTCGTCTTAAAATTTTTCGTGAAAAAAACGGAACCAACGAAGGAAGTTCTTACGTTTGATGACTTCAGTGATTCTTGTAAGCACTTGCACATCTGAAAGCTTCGAGTAGCGGAGCACAGCGCATCGCGATTGAATCGGCTCAATTATCTTTTCCGAATTGTTGCAGGCGAGGGCGAATCTCGTCGTCTTCGAGTAAATCTCCATTGTTCGCCGAAGAGCTTGCTGAGCTCCTTCTGTCATTGAGTCAGCCTCATCCAGGATGATGATTTTATGCTTTCCCGGCGGAAGAGTGCATTTTTTCTGCGCGAACATTTTAATTCTAAAAATATTTTATACAAAACACATAAATCGTAGATCCTGACTTACTTGTTTCTTACAACGTCGATTCCTCGATCATTTGAAGCGTTCAACTCGAGAACAGCATCATTAAAATTGTCGCCAAGCATTGTCCGAGCAAGGCACAATATTGACGTTGTTTTTCCACATCCAGGAGGTCCTTGAAAACAAAACAGTAAACCTGGAAATTGTTTTCTATCTGATTTTACCTGCAATGATAATATTTGGCAAATTTCCTTCTTTCGCAAAAACGGCGAGTCTCTCTACGGTTTCTTTATTTCCAGCAATATCGGACATAAACGTCGGGCGGTACTTTTCAACCCATGGCAGGTTGTAGCCCTGGTTTCTTTCCATATCAACTTCCATTCTACAAACAACGAAAAATTCATTTTTAAGACTGAATAATGGGCAATCTCGGGGACAGAAAAACGCTGGAAAAGTGCCACGAAGATAGCCCTAGGGCGAATTCGCCCGCTTCGCCAGTAAGAAGCTCTGGTGCAGGAAATAAATTATTTTAACCTTTATTCCAAGAGCTTTAATCAAATGAGGTGAACAGGGTTGTAGATCATTCAGTAAGACATTATTTACAGTACGTCTAATCCATAAGGCAAGGAACTATTAATGGGCATTGAGGACAGTACGGAAGATTCAATCACAAATTCGAAAATTTTTGACTGAGAAGATGGAAGATAAGTGAGCTTAGTCCAACGCAAGCAGCCGCATAAAACAACGCCTAAAATTATCATTAGTAGTAGGAAATTCATCAAGGAATACCTGTGAGAAGAGAATTTCCTGGAGATAGGTGTAGAGAGCCGGCCCGACCATAAAAGACGAGTCGATTAAAAATGCGTAGATCATGAAAGCGGTCGGAAGTCGTTCATATCCAGCCAAATCCACAATGATACCTAGTTTGAAAAGTTATCAAAGGTTATTAAGGAATTCTCTTACATGTTGGTAGCCCACCAACGAAAGCAAAAGAAAATCCTTGAGCAACGGCAATAGCAAGCAATACTCTTGTAGTACTCGCAAGCGGCGTGAGGCCCAAGGAAACGGCAGTGATGATTGTAGCGAAAGTCATGAGTTCGAATTTGAGGCCGCTCTTCTTGTTCAGAGCGGTCGAAAGGATTGGGCGGAAGATCACTTCTGAGATTGATTGAACGAGGGCTACTTCGGCGGCAAAAGAGTATGAATATCCCTTCTCCGTTAAGTACGGATACAAAAGAGTAGTTGACGAGTAACATGTCCAAAAGAGCAGTTGGGCGAGGCCGAATAAAATAACCGCTGGCGATTTCAAAAGACTCCAGGAAAATGGAGCTTTTTTTGTGTTGACTGGACAGGAAGGACATTCGATGAGCATCAACGAAATCCACAGAAGATTGAGACTAATTCCTGCTTGAATAAGACACGTACTTCTCCAGGTATAAGTTTCAAAGAGATAGGTCCACAAAGGGTTGAGAATGAAGCCGCCTAGTGGGACGCCACAGTAAACGATTCCGTTGCCGAAGACGCGCTTTTTATTCATCCAGCCCTAAATTTAATTAGAATGGTTCGTTTCCAAAATCAGGTCATTCCCGTAGCGGGACTTCTTCAGCTATTATTTAAGGGTGTCCCCAACGATTTTTTTAAAACGGGCCATAGTTTGAGCTAAAATTTATAGCACTTCCTAAAGACTTTTTGGTCAAAAAAATTATACCAATTATTATTCAGACCCATTTCTCTGCATTAAATTTAGCAGAATTTCGAAATTGTAATCTTTTAATCCATTACTAGGGAGGGGACACAAAAAAATGAGCTTTCTCAGCAAACGTCGTAGAGACTTTATTTTTGGTGACAAGATGGAATCAGCCCCAGAAAATTTTTTGGCAAAAAAAATTTTTTTGAAATTTTTTCAGGTCACGTGGGAAAGCACTAAATGTATGCTAAAATCGCCGAATGAACATCGATTTTTTTTATTCCTGCATATGTGATAGAGAATTCAATTCTGAATCTGGTGGTACCAAAATCTTTTTGGAATCGGCCTCCTAAAGATCCATAATGACTATTTATATGCCTAATTACGTAATAATTATTACGTAATATAGCAGTTTTTTGTAGATTAAAGTACCTTCTCGATGCAATTCCAAAAAGATTTTGGTACCATTAGATTCAGAATCAAATTCTCTATCACATATCCGAGAATAAAAAAAATCCATGTTCATTCGGCTATTTTGGCATTTTTGGCACTTTTAATGGCGATTTTCATCACGTGACAATCAAAATTCAAAATTTTTTTTTCAAGAATTTTTTTTGGTTGGCAATAAAATAACTTATCCCAAAAAAGTTTTTATCGTTGCTGCTACGAGTAAAAAGTCCATTTTTTGTATCCCCACCCTATCCATTACCGCTTCTTCAAAGAAGTCTGACTTTTCTATTCTGACCAATCTTTGAGATCGTTTTTCTCGAGTTCAACAAATTCAATTTTCAAATTTCGGGCAGATCCGGATTCCTTGAACACTCCTCTCTGCATTAAATTTGGCGGATTTTGAAAATTCAACTGCATGCATCTGAGACGATGCATTATCTAAAGCAACGATTTTGCTAAAGTTTGTGCTCGATTCTAGCGTAGTTTCTGAAATTGAATTTTCCTAATTTTTACAGGGAAAATAGTTTCATCTATTGACAATCTCCCGGTACGCTCAGATTGCGCGCTGATAAATCCCTTAATCCCCTTTCTCGGCGCCAAAGTGCACGTGTTTGCGACTTTTGGCGCACTGTTCGAAAGTGAAAAAATGGTGTTATCGTGTCGATATGGGCATCATTGGATAGAGAATTTTTCAAGCTTTCAGAAAATATACAGGTTGATATATAAAATCGAAAGTTTGAAAATGACACATTTTACAGTGCATTTCTATCGAGCCGTAATGCATTAGCGCGGTCATAGAAACAGTCATATCTCGAGAACCAGATGAGATATTTCAAATCTGAAAGAAGCTTTAGAATCAGCTTCCCATAATTAACACTAAATAGTTTGTTCACCCGACTAAGAAAACTCGGGCCCGATCGTTGGGGACACCCTCAAGATTCTGTTCCAAGGAAAAGCATAATGAAAAAACACGTTTTTATAAAAATGAAGCATAAAGTGGAATACTCATCTGATTTCTATTCAGTCGCTTTTTGACTTAATAAATCATCTAGTCAAATGTCTTTTGAATCAATATTATTTGTAAATTGATAATGATTACCTGGAAAACAATATTCGAAGTATAAACGAACATATTAAAGAAAAAGCCTCCAGCGACGCCCAACAGAATATGCGCCTCCAGAAGATTCCTCGAAAAAGCAACAGCAGCTTGTGATAAAGAAAGGCCAATCGCACCGAGGAGCATCATTCTTCGCGTTCCCAAGATGACCAAAATTATCGGAGCAAGCAAACTGTTGATACAGGATCCGATCGTGCTGAAGAAGAAGATGTAGGCAGCAGTGTTCATCGAAACACCAAAGTAGGGCATCCAGGCACTGACGAAGACTCCGTAGCCTCGCATAAGGCCGATCGTAAAGGACCATGCGAAAGAAACGAGAATAAGAACGACGTAAAAATATCCCTCATCTTCAAAAAGCCTCGACAAAGATGAGATTTTTTAATAAAAAAAGATTTGTACTGTTAATGGCGTTCCTGGGAGAACAGAAAGTCCAAATCTCCTTCTCTCCGTCTTCATTTCTCTCGGCCGAAATTTCAAGAATTTCTCCCCCCTTGTAGATTTTCACATGGCGCGCCTATTGGTCGAGATTCATCGCGACTTTCTTACAAATTGTGTTGTAAGAGCGTTCTTCTCTTCCGAATCGATTGTTGAAATCTCTATCGACCATTTGCATATTTGTCGTCGATTTCGCCGACTTCAGGGGGTTATAACCTGGCCTCGGAATTCTGACCTGTCTAAAAACCTGAAACAGGTCCTGTTTCCTGTTTTTTGGACCCTGTCTTGCATTTCGAGACCAAAATAAACCTGTAAACAGGCCTGTTAACAGGAAATACAGGAAATACAGGAAAACACGCCTGTTTACAGGGACAGCCCTGTAAAATTGAAACAGGCCTGTAAAAAAATTGCAGGAAAACAGGCGAGAAATGGGGAAGATAAGGTATTTTTCGTAAAAAATTTCTTGGAATTTCTTTCAAATATGTTATAAAGGACCTTTTATAGTTGAAACTGTCTATAGACATGATAATATCGAGAAAAAAATTCTTAATTTTGATTCTTCAAGGAAGAATTAAAGCCCTGAAATTTGAGTTTACAGGCCTGCAAAACCTGTAAAACCTGTAAAACAGGACCTGTTCCTGTGTATTTTATCCTGTCCTGTTTCCTGTCTTGCAAATGGGCCAAAAAATAAAATCCCTGTTCCTGTCCCTGTTCCTGTTTACAGGATTCCGAGGCCAGGTTATAACTCGGGACTTGGAATATGTGGGAGGCTCTAAAATAGGTTATATAAAAGATCTATCCTAGATTTCACTTTTGTCACAGCCTTTTACGAAATTTCCAAGGAAATCATGGTTTGCGGATCGCTCAAAGTTGAGCTCTCGGCCAAAAAACGCGAAAATAGCCTCTATTCAAGGCGTTATAAGTCCAAAGTTTCTAAATAAACCTATTGATTTTATGTTTTTTTTCTCAAAATATAGACCCTTATCTTAAAAATGACACAGCATTATACTGTAATCATAAAATTTTCTTGGAAAAATTTTTAAAAGAACCAAGGTACCAAATTTTGACCTTTCACTTTGATAAAATGCCCTGCGGACATAGCCCAAATTTACCCTACGTGGTCCTTAACTTCTCAATACACGTGGTCGGTTCAACCGACCACGGCGACTTTGAGCCGCCGTAATTTCTCTTCTGATAATCCATTCGACCTGATTTTTGTAATGTGAGCTGAAATGACTAAAACGAACCACTTTGTCAAATTTTGGATGTTTTCTCAAAAGTGGTGGCGTTTGGCACCGCATTTATCTTTCATTCTGCAGCTGAAAATCCAAAAAGTTTTTTTCAAAAGTAATTGTAAATCTTGATAGGTGAGTGTTCAAGCTTTCCAGCGATATGTTTTGCAAATTTTTTGCTTGCCGGAAACGCAAGTTAGAGCTCAAAATTTTGAGCGCTCTTTATCACACTCCGAATTTTGCGCGCCGCGTGGGGCTGAATAATGCATTGTGGTCCCCTCACCCGACCCCGTGTTTTGAGCGTTTAGTTGCGCGCCCGTGTATTGAGAAGTTAATAAATGCCCTGAATATAAGCTTTCTAAAAATGTATCATATGGCACCCTTACAAAGCCCCTAAAAATGGTCAAAATTTCAAAATATTCGGCTAATGGTCAAAATGCACAAAATTTCGCCACTTTCAAACGCAATTTGCGGCCAAATGGGTTAAGATAGCCAAAATTATCACAGGGAGGTTTTTGCTCAGAATTTTATGGGCATTCTAAAAATGTGCTCAGATTAAAAATTGGATACCCGACCAAAATCGATGACTATACCCTTAAAACATCGCGTAACAAGCTTTATTGGAAGATTCTCAATAGTAGTAATATTGAATTAATTTATAAATGGTTGTGGTAAAAATTTTTAATGAAGGTGCAAGCTGATTCTTCAGCCAACACTATCTGCTCTTGAAGATGAGTCGTTGATTTCCTGAGTTTTGATCCCTTTGAGTAAACTGATAAAAGTGAGGCTTTTTGATTTTTTCGTGTTTTGTTGAACTCTTAAAAATTGCTTGAGCAACGTATAATATACGTCGTATATCGTTGAAACTATATACCCGTACAATTGGAGCATCAAAGACAAAATTCGAGCGTAAGCAAGCAGGCAGGCAGGGAAAATATAGTCGAAGTTTGATATTCTTCTTTGAGAGTCCTCACTTGGTAGAATAGTGCGAAAATGCACTCTCTATTTATGTTCTTGAAAATATTGTGAAGCACTTTCTCAATAATTCTTCGAAAACAAACCAATTATATCGTACTCAATAGATATACTCGTACTTAATGCAGATTAACCATCGAGCAATTAGATCTTTCCCAAAAACAACTCCTCCCAAATCGAACGCGCCGATGAGTACTTTCGTAAATTGAATATAAACCGTCACGACTTCAACCATTAACTCTAGGAAGCTGAAGTATTCTCTAGAAATCTGTATTCTCCTCGTTGTTTTCAACCATGGCGCTCAATAGAGTTGCATAATCTGATGACGGAAGCTGTCAAAGAAGATGCCGATCTGGAAAGCCTCAACAAAAGGCGAAAAGAGAGCCTGATTCAAGGTGATATTTATACTCAACTCTTCGGCTTGAGTCTTTCAAATTTGTACAAACAGTTCATAAAATAGATTTTTTAATTTGAATATCTATTTTGGAAATCTATTTAGGAGTGCAGAAGATTCTCAAGTAAAATAATCATTTTTAAATTAAGAGCTCGCCACACTGAAAAGATTACGAAAAGATGAGAAGGTTAAGGGAGTTCCCCCACAGATAAAGGCCCTGGTTTCCTTATGTTTGATTGGCATCGTCTGTGGAGCTATTTATTCTGCGATTCCGGCTGAAGAAGAGCAACGAGTTTCGGTTACTACTACAATTACAACTGCTACTGCTACTTCTACTTCTACTCTTGCTACTACTAATAAATCCGCAACAGTAGCAGCAGTAGTTGCATCTAATGTTACAGGTTGATAAATTATTGATATGTAATTTTAGGACATGAACTTAGACCAGGAGAATTTATGCCCTAGTATTCAACAGACTCCAGAAGCGGTGGAATACGAATACCTGGACAGATCGCTTACCCAGTTTGTTCATTTCATATTTTTTTGTTTTGTTAACGTCTTAGGTGGATGCATGTCTCTTACGATGGACAGAGCATGGAGAGAATTTCAGTTTTCAACAAAGACAGAAATATAACTAAACGCGAGATTCGTAGAGAAGAACGAATCGTCGGGGGAGCAGTGACCAGCATTCAGCAGCATCCATTTTATGCCAGTCTTTATCTCAACGGTATCATTTTATTGGATTCTCTTCGAACTGATCACTTCAGGCTACGACTCGCACGTGTGCGGAGGTTCACTGATTACGAAAGAGTGGGTACTTACAGCAGCGCACTGTATCGATGCCTACCCACAGTTGAATAGCTGGAAGATCCACCTCGGTGCCTCATCTGCGCAAGAGATTAAAGACCAAAACTACGAGTTTCATCACGAATCTGACCCTTCCGTGCTCGTCCTTCACCCAGACTGGGATCCGATGACCTTTGTTGGAGACATTGCTTTGATGAAGCTGGAGACTCCAGTTGAAGCCTACACGAGCTATATCCAGCCTCATTGTGTGCACTTGCCCAGTCATGGTCCGACGCTTTCACCGGGTGATCAAGTCACGGTCGTTGGCTTTGGCCTGACAGATGAGAATGCCAGTGGCGCCTCTGAAAACTTACGTGAGGTTACCCTTGATATGCTATCAGCACAAACTTGCAATGATGCGTTTGGAGCAAACTGGGTCCTTGAAGATATGATTTGCGCTGGAAAACTTGAAGGTAAGCAAGGTGATGAAAATTGAGGTAACTCGTTTTTCAGGCGGAAAAGACGCATGCCAGGGTGACTCGGGTGGTCCCCTTTCTTTACCTGAGTACACAAATGATGGCGACCGATGGTGGCTCGTTGGTACTGTCAGTTTTGGCGTTGGCTGCGCCCGAGAAGGACTCGGTGGAGTTTACGCAGAAGTCCGACATTATGCTGACTGGATTGTCAATACAATCAATCATTATGACAATTATCACTAGAAAACATAAAAATATTCTGTATCGTAAATAAACTTGAATTCAATCTCTTTCTATCTCTCTTTCTGACGATAGTACCCGTCGAGTATGGCCAAACAGTTAAAGTGGTTTGTGAAACAGACCTATACGACCTGTGTTTCTTTTCAATTTCAAAAGGCGTATAGTAATCTGAATGTCAAACCGCAACAACAGTGGCAGGTTATAAGTGGAGAAAAGGTGAGATTTCCTTCCAGACTCCACCAGTAGTTCGAAACAACCCAATCACGCGCTTTTTGAGCACGATCTGGCGTCTACCGCCATCATTGAGCAGAACCTTGTCTCTCTTTGGCGCACCTATAATTTTAATCATTTATTGTTTAATTGCTTGGGTTAGAAAAAGAATAACTTAAACTTAATAATAGTAATATCACGATTCAATTCTTAGTCTATTTCTCTATTGTTACTAAGAATTAGCAAAATAATAAAAGTTTCTATCAGAGCAACAAAAAATTTGGCAGTTTTATTATGATCAAAAAACATACTCTGTGCGCTTTCTCAGCCTTCAAGCTCGAATCTGTTCCCCAAAGATCAATTATCCGAAATGTTATTTACGCGTCGGTCCAAATCATTTCATAAAGTCACTACAAATTTTAATAGAATATGATGACAAAATTTATTGATTGGCGAATAGTTTGTTCTACTTTGGTCTTTGGATTTGTTCCAAGTCTTTGATAATTTATGTTTTCTAGCGTATGTAGGTTCTGTATTGGCAGGGCTTCACCGATTAGATTTATTCTTTTACGCTTGGTCGAAAAAGAACCCTTTGAAAAAGTCGGCTGCCCTTTTCAATAGAGTCTTTTGGGAAAGTTCCAATCTTTCTGGTTTGACGAGAATTTATATTATAAGGATTGTATTAATAAAAAGTCTTCTCATGTGATTAAAAATGCTAGAAGTAGATGGTTGACCACCTGATAAAGGATCCTTTTAACGGGGTCTTATCAAAGTATACGATTTTAGTCTATTCGAGGGTAATTTAGAGCAATTAAGAAAATTCAATTCAATAGTTTTGCCAACTTTTCGAGAGTCAAAAACATCGGTGAAAAGCGTCGTTTCGGCGATAAAACGTATGTAACGGACGCTCCTGATAATTGGAGACCTTTGGTGAGTCGTGTACGTTCCCGTGGGGTCGTATTACAGTATCTTTTCCTGGCGATTAGGAGTCTCCGAGCCATTTTTAGCTGGAAATGGGGAGATCTAGGAGACTTTTCTTGGTTTAAAAACGCTTACATAACTGAAATCTCTCGTTCTCTTAATTTCTGAAGCGCTAGCTCTATTTTTATCAAAACTTGGCAGTGCTCTAGAAAAAAACTCGCTGTTTCACGGGCTGCTAACTGTACGCTTTATTCGTAATTTTGAAAAATCGACGTGACGGAGAGGCTAAGTGAGAGCGAAAAGGCGAACCGGTGCCCCTCGCAATTGTCTCTATAATTGTCCAAAAAGCGTCATTTCAAGCGGCAAAGCTTGGCTAAAGCCTGGCTTGCCGAGCTGAAGGTCACGGTTTCATCATCATCTTCTTCCTTCCCTATTCTTCTCGTTGTCTCCCTTTCTCAAAATTATTTGCTCAAAATAAACATAAAACCTTTTCAATAGATGGTCGAAAAGATTTAATTGTAACTCTTGAATAAGGAAGTCCATTATGACTAGGAAAAAGACGGACAAGCTCTACAAATGATCTCTCAAGGGCGAACACATTTTTGTTTTATTCGCTTTGAATGGGATCAATCTGCTTGTAAAACCAAGAATGCTGGATCTGCCAAAATAAGCAATCTTTTGTCCGGCTCATTTCATTTTCGAAAATTTGAACAAACATGTCGCCACGCTTTTTTCAGAGACTGAGTAATTTTGGGTTCAAAACTGGGAAAAAATTTTCTGAATTCTCTTTTTTCTCAAGCTACCGGCTTATTTTGAAGCTTCTTTTCTCCGTCATTCAGAAGGCGAATTACCGGTGCTCTTTTGAACCTCTCTAATTTGACAACCCTAATCACCGCTCGTGAACGCTTTGCCAAAGAAGTACTCGCTCTCTCGTAAAACACTAGAATTTCAAAAACCCTAGAAGTCAATCTGAGCCTGCTTCGGATTGCTTAGAGGCAGAGCAATCTGTCATTATCTTGTCGTATGTCACTGACTCTGCAATAAAACGAGACTGACCAGAATCAAAATTCCTTTCTATCCTTAGTTGAAGTTTTCAAACAAAATGACGATCAAAAAAAACGTTATAAAAATAAGAACAACTGTACCAAAGGCTGAATCGAACATATCATGATCACATCAACATTGATATGAAATTATATCGAAGGTAATTGCTACGATTGTAAATGACGACGCTCAAACAAGATATGAATATAATTGCTGATTTAATTTGCTCGTCATTTTTTCAAACTAAATATAATCCACTTTCAAGAAAGGAATTCTGTTTATATTGGCACTTCAGCGCTAAGTACAGAAGATTTAATGCTTGTAACTTTTCAGTTGCTTTTTTAAACTTTCTTGCAGCGCCTTCTTCTTTTGGGTGTACGATCTTCCTGTCTGCTTCTTTGCGACCTTGTGCATCACCATCTGGAAGGGTTTTTGCTTTCGCTTGTCTTTGTTTGTCGATGAAGCGTATGGATTTAGCTTTTGCCTTGAGAGGGTTTCAAAAATGTTCACAATTATTATGGCGGATGAAGAAAAATATCTTCATCTATTAAACGATATAGTGTAGGAAACCATTCCTATGTCCACGTCCATACTTTTCTCGCCCTTCTCGTCCAGCCAAGACTGTAGCCAGTCTGTCTTCCTTACTGTGCGCTCTTCTACTAGCCACTTGTTCGATCTTCTTTAGCTCTACGAGATTCGAGCTGTTTTCCGCAGACAACAAGCTCGACGGAGTAACCTTTCGATGAATATCAACAGCCTTTTGCGTCGCCTGCTCAATCTTGATCTTCTGGAACTCGGCATCAGTCAGAACCCGAGTTGTGAGAACATTCTTCGCCTTTTCTTGCTTCATTTTCAGAAGTTCCTCTCGGCCGACTTTTTCTTCGAGTTTAGCCTCCTGAAAGGTCGATTAAAAATTGGGAGTTTTTTGAAGTAAATTCAAGGCTGAAATGAGTACGTGCATCATTTGATGATGAAAGAAATTCAAAAAAGTGATCCCGACTATTTAATTAAAATTAAATTATAAATTTGACTCAAATTATTTGAGCGGCTGAATCCTCTGAACTGGATCGACTGATCCTGCGAGTCAATCAAATGTTTTACCGTTTCTGTTCGTTTTTCAATCTCTTCTTTCTCAATGTCCTGTTCAATATCATGCTCAACATCTTGCCACTCTCCATCAACCCACTCCGTTGGCTTGTCTTCCTCCATTACTTCTTCTTCCTCCTCCGGTCCACGAAGAGGAAGCGTTTCAGCGCCAGGAATGAAGTCCAACGCCTTCGATTGCCCGTAAGAGTAGGGAACGATTTGTCGCTGATGCTCGTTCGGTTTGCCTCGATCTTTTTTGGCGAGAAGCATTGGCGCTTCTTGACGGTAGAGAGTGATGAGACCCTTTGCGCCAGCTTTGACTCCTCGGTCGATGTGTTTTTTGTACTGAAATAGGTTAAATAGATCCATGAGCGACTTTCTTACCTGTGTGAGGTCTTGAAGCAGATCATCACCGATGGCAAGTGGATTTCTCGCTGCTACTTCTCGAACAGAGTTCAAACCAACCGCCATTACTTCGCCCGAATTTCGCTCGGTAATAAACTGATTGGAAATGCATCGAACCATTTCTTCACAGACTTCTGGAGGTACTAGATCGTGAGTAGCATGTGCAGCCGCCTATGAAATACACCGTGATATCAGAGGATAAAAAACTCGATAAAACAAAGAAACAAATTCTCTTACAAGCACTTTTATCGTAAAATAATGCCGGCTTTAAGTTACGATTGAAAAATTTATCAGATTGATGTTCCTATCATGTACCTGTAGAACGAGAGTGACATCTCGCTGGCTAGGATTAAGAAATCTTTGCAGATATGGGTAGAAGTTGTAAATAACCAGCTTGTGCACGCCAATAACTCGCGCGATCACCCGAATGTGAAGTAATTTTAACGCGAAGTCGCCATTTGTCGACTCCAGTTGCTTGAAAAGCTTCTCCGCGAAGCTCTGAGGATCGTGAAGCATGTCAATCGCTGTGAAGTTGATGGCGTCTCTGTTCTGACCCTTGTTTGACTTCTTGGCAATTCGCGCCATCATCTTCTTCTTCTTTCTCTTGTTCTTGGCTCCTTTCTTGCCAGTTTGAAATCTGACCATGATGTCACGAGCAGTGGGAAGCTTTAGTTCGTTCTTTTCTCGCTGTCGACGTTCGTCAGGGTCTTCGTCGTCGTCTGAGTCGTGGTCTTCCGACTTCTGGTCGTTTCCGAGGAAGAAATTGAGGGCGCGCGATTGAATCTTTACGATGAAAATTTATGTAGCTGGTAGAGGGCTCAATTTTACCTTTTGATGGCCATGGAAACAAGCAGCCGCGATAACATTAACCGTCTTTTCGTCATTCCAAACATTCTTTCTGTACAAATCCTCGGTAACTTGGAGACTTTTAAACGATGCCGTGACGTCTTGATCCTGCAGCATCGTGTACATGAAGTTTTGCAGTGACTTATTTACAGCATGGTTCTTGCTCTTTAAATTGATTCGCTTGACATCGTTGACGATGAATTTGTGAACAGTTTCGCGTATTTTCTTGTCTTTCATTCGGAAGAGCTTGAAAAAGAGCTCGAATAGCACCTTGTCTTCGATCATCTGCTTGCCTCTGAGAAGCATCAACGATTTGACGATGTCCTGACGAAGCTTTGAAGAGAACGAGTGACCGGAAGTTTCGATCAGCTGGGCGAGCTCGTTGCCGTAGTTTTTCATGTCTTCCTTGTAGCAATGAGCAGTAGAAGCCAGGAAGATCATTGTTTCTGATAATGTCTAAAAGGATCATCAGCGAGGCGAAAAAGAACCGGTAGCTTAAAAAAGGATATATGATTATATTCAGGATAATCGTCCAACTGGCCATGAAAACCGTGATTTAAATTTACGTAAACGGATTAAATGGATGAAAGAGCGTAATAATTATTTTATTAATTACCGTATGATCATTTTCAGGGTATAATTGTTGAAGCTCCAGTGAGGTCTTGAATCTGTGGACTTGGGATTCGTACTCATCGCGGAATCCAGGCGGATCGCGCTTGATTTTGTTCTGGAGCTGAGCCAAGTTCAATGTCAAGTTGTTCGACATTTTATTCAAATATCTGAACTCAATTGCTTTCATTTTATTGTTCTTCGTGAGTTGTTGTGTTACTGTTTGAAATACTATGTAGATCGGGGTTAATAAATTTCTCGTTATCATTTACTTTCAAGTCGCGATAAAGATTATTAAATCATGACCAGAAACCGATCAGGTTAAGAAATTTCTCATTATCGTCTACTTTCAAGCTACGATTAAGTTTATCAATTCATCTTGTGTACAAGAAATACCGTAGCTTCTTCTGCTGAAAATGACTATCAACGACAGACTATCGTGTAGACTAATTATGTACGAAGAATGATAAAGATGCTGCTTGAAATTACGATGCTCATGCAATAAACGAGACGAAGACGAATATTGTTTTTGTTTTAATGATCCAGCAATTTATTGCGAACCTGTTCGTTAAAAAACAGAGATAAGTTTCGGGTACAGAATGTAAATAAATAAAACTCTAACCCAGCAAGTTCAAAAGCAGCACCACTGGGTGGCGAATGCGTGCTTTTGCGCTTTTATCCCGTGTTTGTATGTTTGTTACGCCCCTCTATCTAACAAAGGTTTGGTAAAATTTGGTTTTAACGAAAATAAGGTTGTAAGCGTGTCTCTACACTAGAAATGGTTAAGATTAGCGTTAGTGACCGGCGAAAATAGTGAAATACCGAGGCGAACTGGCGCTGACTTGTTTTGAACTTGTTGGGTGGATAAAATAAATTAACCTATGCCGGACATTAAGACTGGAGGCCATTCAGTGGAGACAACGCTTACGTACGGTTAACGGGGGGACACATATCAAGTTTTAAACTTAGATGTTGTTCTCAACTTAGAAGAAAACGTGAAGCGAATGATGACAGAAGAGCAGGGCAGAAGATTTTTAAACTACTCGGACGAGAGCATTTACAACTTGTCCAAGAATCGGTCGAGTGGTGGGAGAGTTTCGGAGAGACCCTTTCGCTTTCGTGTGTGGACGACGATTTTGTTGGCCTGAGAGTTCTCTTCGGTGGGGTCGGACTCGAGAATCTGCCAGTGATCGAAGACGCACTGTGGGAAGGCCTGTCCGGAGGTGGCGGCTCGGAGCTCGGAATCGAAACCTAGAATTTATTGTTAATGAATGGTTCTTGACTGAAATAGTTGACTCACCGAAGGACTCGTTGACGGGGAGGTAAGCCTTGACCATGAACATGGGGGTACCGGCGACGGCTTCTTCGGCGAAGACGTGACCTCGCTTTCTGTTGAGGACAGAGTAGATACCACCCATGGCGGTTTCTGGGCACTGAACCTCGACGAGGTAGACGGGCTCGAGGAGTCGTGGAGAGGCGGTGAGGACGCAGGCGTAGAAGCATCGTCGAGCAGTGGGGATGAGCTGTCCACCACCTCGATGGATGGCATCAGCGTGGAGGGTGACGTCGTGGAGGTCGAATCGGACTCCTCGCATATTTTCGTCGCAGAGGACACCTTCCTTGGTGGCCCAGTCAAAACCGGCCTTGACGGAGTCCTTGATTTCGTTAAGGAACTGGACTCCCTTGGTGACATCGATGACGACGTTGGCACCGTCCTGGTCTGGGCCGAAGCACCAGATCTTTCGGCAGTCGTTGACGTCCCACTCGTACTTCTCGGACATGTATCGAGCTCGGGTCTTGACGTCATCTCGTGGAGTGATCTTCTTGTCTTCGATCTCGTCAGCCATACCTTCGGGCATAGGGGCCGCCTTCATGTAGAGACGGTTATGCTTGTTGGGAGACTTGGAGAGACAGGTCTGGCTGGACTCGTCGGTGACGGTTTCTCGGTAAGAGACGACGGGCTCGGATTTCTTGATGGGGATGCAAGCGTGATCCTCTTCCAAATCCTTGAGGCAGATTTCCAAGTGGAGTTCACCGGCACCGGCGACGATGTGCTCACCAGATTCTTCGGAGATAATCTGGACCATAGGGTCAGACTTGGCAAGTCGCTTGAGGCCTTCGACGAGCTTGGGGAGATCGGCGGGGTTCTTGCACTGGACGGCGACTCGGACGACGGGGGAGACAGAGAACTTCATCTGCTTCATGTTGTGTGCGCCTTCGAAGGTGGTGATGGCACCAGTCTTGACAAGGTACTGATCGACACCGACGAGACCGACCAAGTTACCACATGGGACATCATCGATGGCTTCGATGTATCGACCCATCATAAGGATGGTTCGCTGGATCTGCTTGCAGTAGAGATCAGCCTTCTGGCCAGGGACGAAGTTGGGGCCCATAATTCGGACCTTCTGTCTAGTGGCGATTTTACCAGCGAAGACTCGACCGAAAGCGTAGAATCGACCCTTAATTTTTGAGTTGAAATCAGAGACGAGTGCCCACAAATTTTTTTGAAAAATCCGTTTTTTCGCTTACCTTATCGGAGGTGGGGACCATCTTGGAGATGTAGGCCATGAGTGGACCGTCAGCGTCGCAGGTTCGGAAAGCCTTGGCGACGTCATCGTCCTGGGGACCTTCGTACAACATCTCGCATCGGTAGTTCTGGGCGGTGAGTGGGGATGGAAGGTGGATGGCAATCATCTGGAGAAGAGTCTCACCAGCTGGGAGCCAGTTTCGCATGAAGCACTTGAGAAGGGGCTTGCCTCGGAGATCCTTGTCCTCTCCTGAAAGTGTTGGTCAAGCAACTATCAAAAATAGTTATTAAAACTTACCCTTGAGGGTGACGCCGCAGACCTGCATGATCTTTTCGGCTTCATCCATCTTCTCGTCCATGATGGACTTGAAGGCTTTGTAGATGGGATCGAGAATCCACTGGACGTAACCACGCTTGGGGGCGGTCTTGGACATCTGCTTGACCCACTTCTTGGCCTTGGCGTCGTAGAAGTAGTCACCCCACAAGTGCTTCATCATCTTGTCAAGATCGATCTTGAACTTGGCGGCATACATCTCAGCGAACTGCTTGAGGGTGAAGGCCCATCCGTGGAGACCGGAACCGAAACCGACGGTACCGTTTCCGGGAGAGACGTAGAGGCAGCCCATGGGACCGTCTTCATCAGCACCACCGTAGGTAGCGATAATGACGTTGACGTTTTCGACAATTCGGGCGAAGGTCTGGTAGAGCTCTTCGGGGTCGAGCTGGAGTTCGAGAAGGGCTCGGTCCATCTTGTTCATGAAGAGGACAGGCTTAATTCGCTCAGCAATAGCCTGTCGGAGGACGGTCTCGGTTTGGACACACACTCCGGAGACACAGTCGACGACGACGAGGGCACCGTCAGTGACTCGGAGGGCAGCAGTAACCTAGGAAAAGGGTTAGGAGAGGTTCGATGAGAGATTTTAGCCGAGTCAGCTGATTTTAGAGCTCTCTAGGGACACTTACTTCAGAGGAGAAATCGACGTGACCGGGGAATCGATCAAGTTGATCAAGAAAGCGTTTCCGTTGGTCTTCTGCTTGACAAAAGTCATGTCAACTTCGCTCAACTCGTAGTACATCTAAAATCGTCGTTTTAGTTTTTGAAAGGGATGAGAAACGACTTACGGAGATGGCGGTAGACTTGATAGTAATGCAACGTTCTTGTTCGTCCTTTCGGGTGTCAGTGAATCGAGTTTCACCGGCCTTGGCGCCAGCGATGATACCAGCTTTACTGTACAAAAGACGGTTAGATCTGATAAGAGTAAACTTGAATCTTACCTGACAAGGGAGTCAGTAAGGGTCGACTTGCCGTGATCGACGTGAGCGATGACGGACATGTTTCGGATGTTCTCCTTCTTGTCCATGATCTCACGGATCTCGTCTATCGTAAAATTGACCATCTTGGGCAATCGACTCGCTCGCTGAAAAGAAAAACTCTTTAGATAAAGGTGATTTTCATAAAAAAATGAAGAAAGAAAAAGATTATTTAGACAGGAAATGGTAAATATCAGAAGGAAAAAAATGGATTCAGTAGTTAATTGGGCAATTAGGTCGAAGCTAAAGTGAATTTTGAGGATAATGAAGAAGGATTAGAGGATATTCTAGAAAATTTTAACGAATTATCAGATTTCAAAGATTAATCCTAAATAAGCAAGTCTTATGTTGCAAAAATAGTTAAACCATCGATTTGTGGAGTAATTATTTACACTTATAAGTTTCATCACAAGTTTTAATAAAAACTTTCATGTTACGTTGTATACGCTCTTTTAGTGTAATTTCACGGCTGTCTCTCTTTATCAAATTTTCCTCCTGTCTCTGGTTTTCCCTTAGATCGCTCTTGACTGCGACGTTTTGCGCCGCGTCGGACGCAAATGGCGAGCTCTTATTGGCCACTGCGCTTGCTCCCGCCCGCGCTGGCTCGGTTCTTTCCCGAGCCCATTGGCCCTGACACGAGATTCACACGTGTCGCTCTGGTTCATTTAATCAGTCTCTTATGTAATGAAAGATCATCGAAAGTTCTAGTGTTATTCAGTTTTCCTTCAATATGTTATCTCTCATTTTCTCATAAAATCTAGCGCAAAAACGTTATGAAAACTGTTGGTTCGTTTGTTTGAGTAGGAGGTGTTCTGTCGCTATCAAATTTGTGGACAAGAGCGCTAATCGGAACGCGTGGGTGGGGAGGACTTTTTTTGGCGGATAGGTTTTGGGGAGGTGGGACTTTTTGGTGTTCTGAGTGGGTCGACTCGGTTCGAGATTTGGCCTTCTGGGTGGGCACTGGAGGATTTTAGGGCGCTGTTGCTCGGAGGATCGTCTGCTGGAAGACTCTGTCACTGGAAAACAATACAAATCTTTTTCAATATTCATTTTTATTTTAGAATTTTTAAGTGTTCAAAGAATGATATACCAAATGTACCAAATTATGGAGAGTAATCATATAGAATCAAGATAACCATTTAGTAGAGTGATCAAAATCAGGATTTTAGTAGTCAGTTTCATCAGAAATCAGTTCAGCCAAGTCGGAAAATTCATCCAGCAAGTTGATCGCAAACTTCGTCAGTTCCCGCTCGCAGATTTCATCGTCATTGTTGAAGTCGACAGTTCTGAAGAGTTTTCCGAGTCGCTTCTCGTTGAAGCGTTGTTTGATGATTCTGTAGATTCGCGGATGTCCGGACATGAATGACTCCATTTCCTCGTTGTTGAGCAAAGTTGGGATTGTCTTAAAAAGATGGTAAGAAATAGGTTGATGTTTGAGTGAATCTTACCTCGGCGAAAGACGAAAGGATGTGGACAAGGTTTTCTTTCAAATCAGGAGGAGCAAACTGGACAAATTTCGCGGCCATAACTCTGATCGCACAGTAGACAGAGTCTTGATACTCTTCCCTGTCCATTCCTCCGTCTCCGTTGACATCAAGAATTTCGTAAACCATCGAGTTCAGTTCTTCAACTTTTGTCAAAAAAATCCTTCGAAAACCAAGCTTACCTGGGTCATCTTCTTCGACCAATTCAGCTAATTCTGGGAACGCCTTGCTCATGTCCGTTAGCATTCTTGTTCCACAAGCAAGATCCTCTTCGAAAGACATGAAATAATCGTCTTCTCCGACGCAGTAGTCGAACATTCTCTCGACGAATCTCATCTCGCCGACGTCCTCGGCTTTTTGGCGATGCATTTTGTCGTGATCCAGATTTGTGAAGGAAGCCTTGAAGATTGGAAAGTAGATTTCCTTGAACATCGTCATCGCTGCATCTGGATCGTTACCAGGGGAAAGCGCGTTGAAGTTCTGAGCGAAGGTAGATGTGAGGAGAAACTGTAGGATTTTCATTTTGATTTTGATGGAAAATGAAAAATCGAAGCGTATTTATGTGAAAAAAGTGCACCAGCAGGACACCAAGCGGGACGGTGGAACAGCTGAAAAGTAAATAGGATAAGTGCCTCTCCAGCTGACCGAAATGCACTGATGCCTCTTTTGATAGCCCGGAATGAACCATTTTTGTCGTCACTTCTAAAATGACGGTTTCCCTTCTTCCGAAGAAAGTTTTTCCTGTTTCGGCGTTTTAAATTTCCTATTTTGATCTTGCACCACATCCAAACTATTTCCCTTCCAATAAATGAGCTAACTTGATATTAACTGATATCGTCCTATCACTCGTACACTGCGAGCTTGTCGACTGCGGTCTGGCGTGTTGCCTTGGCCCGCGCTGTTCGGAATTTCTCGTCTTTCCTGATTGGGCGAGCGGCGCTGATCCCTGCTCTTCGGCGAAAAGGAACTCGAAATTTTCACTTACTTCTAGAGAAGAAAAAAGTGTCAGTAGAAGTTGAAAACGATGTGTGATGTTAGTTCTCAAGGATCCGTTAGGTAATTTTTACGGAGAGTTGAAACTGGAATCAATTTTCTTTTTTTCAAGATCATTGAATCTTTATGGAGCAAAGCTGCCGGAAAATCTCGATCAAATGGACGATGTGGATACCCTAAATCTCTGCTATGCTGGCCTTCAAAACCTCGATAGCATTTTACAACTGCAGAATCTCAGAAGATTGTTTTTGCGATACAACGAAATTTCCTCATTTGAAGAAGTGGAGAAACTCAAGAATCTTCCGAATCTGGAGAGCTTAAGCCTCATTGGAAACGAAATTTATAAACATCCGGATTACAGGTAGACAGGAAGAAGGAAAGTGATGATGGAGGGGTTTTAGGGAGCAAATTTTGTCGATTCTTCCGCAACTGCAAGTTCTTGATGGGGAAATGCTCATGCATCATGAAGAGGATGATGATGACGATGAAAAGTCAGATGTCGAAGAGGATATGGAAGGACATGATGCTGACGGAGAAACTGATGAGCAAGAAGCTGATGTTTCCGGTGAGATAATTGATGATTTAGTACAGAAGTTGACGCATATTTTCCCTCAAGTGACCCTTCGAAAACCTAATATCGTCACTGCCATGAGTTTGCTCATCCAAGAGCTCGATCATTTGGACGATATCGACGAGCTGACGACGCTTCTTTCGATGAGATCCAAGAAGATTCGAGAAAATGAAATCTTCGAAGTCTGAAACCATTTTTCCCTCCACTACCATTTTGAATTGTCAAGATTATTTCCACAATCCAGCTTCAATATTTGAAATTTCAATTCCATTCCTAAAGAGTTTTCTTTATTTTATACTGAATAAACCTTTCGTTTTCTATTTTTTCTCGACTTGTTTTGACAGTTATTATTTTATACGCCCAATGGCCATGTTAGCATTGGTAGCAGCACTTGAACGCAAACTTTGAGGATGAAAATTTTTAGACGGAAATCTACGGATTTCTCCGGAGAATGGAATTCGCCCACGCGGGGAAACCAGCAGGTTATGCGAAGTGGCAGTCGATCTATCCTCTGTACATCAATTCGAAAAGAACAGTCAAGTGCGGACGGAAGCTTCCAAGAGAACAGTCTATTGTTGACCCTACAATCGATGAAATTGTCCAAGCACTCGGGCAGCTAGGTTTCAAGAATGAAGAGAACATGCTCAAGGAAGACAAGGTTTGTCTAGACGCGAGTTTCGTTCAATTTAATGTTGTTTCTTAAGGTGCATCCTCGCGCTAGAACGACCTGGAATCCAAAGGATCATGTGAGAGGCTTTTCCTGCTACAACGAGTTCGGCCGAGTCAAGTACAATCTCCACAGCCTGCCAGAAGAAAATAAAATGACCAAGAAGGAGCTTTTGATAAAAGTTTCCGAAATCGTAACAACCCGTCGCTCAACTCCTCAAACGTAAGCATTCCTGTTTGCATCAGCAACCAAACCTAAGAATTCTTATTTAGAGAGTCTTCTACCAAGCCAAAGAAGAAGAAAAAGGGCAAAAAGTGAAACAAAAACACCTCAAATCTAAATTCAAATCGCCTCATTTTCAACGTGAAAAAATTTTAATGTCTTCAGTTTTCAAAGTTTACGTAATTTTTTTCTTCAATTTCAGTCTTCATCTCTTCTTCTTGTCGAAACTAGCCATATTTGTCCTTCAACTTTCTCCTCAATGTTCCTCATTTTTCAAATTGAAATAAAAATTATACTCGTTCAATATTTTTAATTACAATTTTCTGTTGAAGATGTCAGATTGTTCGGATCCCGAGGACGAGATTATCGAGAACACCTCGGACTCGTGTGGCCACTCACACGCCCCTGGGCATGGACACAGCCATGTTCACAGGCCTGCGCGACCACAAGTGCCTGAAGGAGCCAAAAACTGGCCAGCTATTTATCCGATTTACCTGAACAAGTTTAGGACAAGAGAACAGGTTCGGATAACTCTTAGTTTTCTGAATTAACAATTCGATCAGGGCCGAAGAATTGCGAAAGAAGAAGCAGTTGAAAATCCGACTTTTTACGAAATTAAAGAAATCTTGGAACACGAAGGATTCAAGGTTTTCGTCGAAAATAAGGTAAATTTCATTCAAAGCAAAATAGCCAAGTAGCAATTTCATTTATAGGTGCATCCACGAGAGCCAGACAGATTCTTTCCCCTTGGCCCGCCGCCGATGGGAAATCCTCACCGCGGACGAGTTAAGTTTCAGTACAAAAATGCTGATGGAACATTGTGCAATCCTAAATTCAAGAACAAGCATAGCCTCTACTCATACATCGCTCAAATGATTCCGAAGCTAAAGTCTCGAGTTGAAGGTATTCTTCGCTTATCTAAATATCTTCTTGCTTTATTCTAGCTGTTCGAATGCGCGATCAAGCAGCGAAGCAAAAGCAACAAGCTGCTCAAGCTCAATCCAGTGGTAAAAACAGTAAAAAGAAAAAGGGCCGAAAATAACAGACGAAAATCAAAACCTCTCTTTCTCTTCTTATCAAAAGTTAGATAACAATTCCCGTTGTATCAGTCTTCAGTAGTACTAATTTCGAATTCTATTTCAGTCAAGCTGTGCCTTAACGCTTCAGAATACACTAGTAAAGACTACCACTTTATTCTAATGTATGTTCCTTGCTCTAGAATGGCTCCGACAGTTCGAGTCGGATCGGATTCTGGTTCTCGAACTCCGAGTCGGCGGGCTCAAGACACCCCAAGATCTGGTCTCATCTGCCGTGTCAAATACACCAACAAATTACCCGACATTCCATTTGATCCGAAGAGCGTCAAAGTTTACCCAAATGGAAGGGATAGATTTGTTGAATACAAACCGACGACGCTAGAGAAACTCTGCAAAGTGGAGCTTCATACGGATTTCGATCTGGACGTCAATATTGATTTGATTGATCCAGAGACGTATACTGTGTAAGTTCTTTTAAGTACTGTTGATGAGAATTTCAATCTTAATTCAGAAAACCCGGTACTGTCCTGCATCCCGAGGACAGTAAGCTACTCCAGGAAGAAGATTCCAAGAAGAATGATTCAAGGTTTTAAGGGATCCCCCCCTGATTTCGGCAACTTTGACCTCTATCTACTTTTTTTTGAGCTTACGTAGGAAGCTGGTTTTGGGCGCATTAAAAAGCCCGCTTGGAAAGGAGCAAATTCTGGTAGAATAGTGTGCGAGCAAAACATTCGCTTATGCATTACAGGCCGTCAAAGTGATTAACATTTTGAAAAATGGCCATTTTAGGTCATTTTCAAATCGTATCTACTTTTTTTTGGGCTTTAGGATTCAAAATCTTTTTTGTTTATCTAAAAGTATAGACGCTAATCTTTATTTTTTGGTAGAATCAGCATGATCGGATAAGTGAATAATAAAATTCTAGTTGTAAAACTTTTTGAAACCATTTTTGGCGTTATTTGGGTGTTAGAATGCTCTCTAGCGCCAACAATTGGCCGAAAACTCTAGTGCGAAAATTATATTCGTAATCTTCACATTCTAAGCTTTCGAAAGAGCCCTTGTTTGTGTTATTTCGATGACAATCAAAAATCGAAAAAAATTGCGATTTTCACGCTAAGTACAATTTACATGCATTTTTCCGAACTTTGGGAGCCAAAATTTCGGGGATGCATTTATGTAAAGGGGTACTATCATATATTAAAATGATCCTCAGAACACGAGGAATCTAATCATAGGCGATAATAACCGGTGCAAAAGTTTTGAAAAATCGGGGGGTGATCCCTTAAGATAATAAGTGGAAAATGATTGATCATCTATACTTGTAGGCGATCGGGGATCCACAACCGACAACTTACCTTCTTCCGGCCATCAGAATACATTTCTCAGGACTTCAAACAATACGGAAGCAACGCAAAAGACAAAGTCGAATCAAAGCTTGGCGCCGGCGTCAAAGACCGATTCAAAGACGAGGAAATCTACAAAGACCGAGACGCGCAGATCAAGGCAATCGAGAAAACCTTCAAAGACGTCCAGCAAGATGTTTCAGAGCATTACTCGAAGAAGGATGTTCACGCGGTCGAAGTTTTGCCACTTTTGCCCGATTTCGAGACTTGGAAGCATCCCTGCGCGCAGGTACAGACAAGTACTTTAAAGGCGCTTTTAAAATCCGTATTTAAAAGGTCATTTTCGACACAGATCCCGCTCCAAAAGGCCACTCCAAGGAAGCTCAGTTGGATATCATGTCTCAAGCGATCATCAGAGGTATGCAAGATGAGGAGAATCAACAGTTCGTCGCCTACTTCCTTCCGGTAAAGTAACTTTTTTATCACGAAAATAATGGCTTTGGAAGACTCAAGAAACGATGGAGCAACGGACGAGAGATAAATCTCTTGGACTGGACTTTGACGACGATACGACGTATGATTACAAACTGGCTAAAGAGTACAACTGGAACGTCAAAAACAAAGGTTCAAAACTCAAGCTTCTCCAGAAGTTTCAGCTGATTATTTTGTCTAGCTTCGAAGGGTTACGAAGAAAACTTCTTCTTCTGCTACCGCCCAAACGATGGCGTGTACTACAATGAGCTGGAAACCCGTGTTCGTCTTTCCAAGCGCGTCCGCCAAAAGACAACCGAAGGGGTTGATAATTTGACGAACTATTTCAACACTGTACTTCGAGTTCAACATAGAGAAAACACGGAAGATGAGGATAAAGCACAGAAGATGCGTGAAAATGTAAGCGTTTTTTAACCCCTTCTCCGATAAATTTATTCTTCAGGCTCTCATGAATACCAGCGATCACAGTGATGAGGATGATGATGACTCGTCCGATGCCGTAAGAATCCGTTAAATGAGCCGGTTTATTCATCGATTTTTTTCAGTCATCTGTGGCAGCAAAGGATTCTGATGCAGAAGGAGAACCGGGAGAGTCATCGCCAAAACGCAGAGGCACCAACAGCGACTCCGATAGCAATGACGAGGGCGATACAACCGCGCGAGCTGGCGAAACGATCACCAAGTCCGATAGCGATTCGGACTCGGACGATGATGCCGACGCGCAAAAGAAGGTCTTTGGTGACTCGGACTCGGATTCAAGCATGTCCGAGTAGACCAACTCAATCTAGACAAAAATTATTCAAACTGCCAAGGATAAATGAAAAAAAAACATGAAACTGTTTTGACTGTTGAAATAAAAGGAAATGAGCATGTCTTTTTAGAAATCGGTACTGATGATCGAAGATGGAAGAAGAGAGATTCGATTGAGTTTATTATGGAAGAGGCTTTGAAGTCACTACTGCACCGGTCCAGAAACGAGCTGGCCAAGGTCGACAAAAACCTAAAGATCGAAAATGCTAAACTGCCGAAAAAGCCTCGAATTGAAAAAAGGTTCATAAACAAGAATCTTTTCATTATTTCATCGTTTCTAGGCCTCCAACGAGTGGAATTCAATTGCATTTGTTCCAGAATGGCTATCAGCTGGTGCGTGGAGACTCAAAACAATCATCATCCCTCATTCCATACTCCAATAAAGACATATTAGGTCAGTTGACAGTGACTTTTATTTTTCATTATCAATTTTTTTTAGACGAGGTCAGCGCGGGTCGAATTCCGCTGAGCATCACTAGTTGGTTAGAATCCGATAAGCTGCTAATGAAAAACGGGGAGCTTGAACTCACTATCGTCGAAAGAGGCTCCTCCGGAAACGTTCTTTCAACCGAAACGTTGACGCTTTACCATTGTAACACTGCGCTAGAATCGCAACAGATCCTCAACGAAACCCGTCAGATCTATCGCTGGTCTGACAAGGACCGTCTTATTTTAGGTAAATTTGGATCAACAATTCACAATAAATATATAATTCTGAACCAGCAACTGTTGAAAGGAAAATCGATACAATTATTTTTTAAGATTCGTGCCTATCGCTAGCAACAAGCGATCCGCTATGCTTAGAGCCAGATCCAATCGTCCATCTCATCCAAAATCGTGCCAGTAGAAATCCGTTTCAAGCCGAAAACTCTTCTTTTAACTGTCGTCGCCCGTCGTTATCAGCAACGTCCACCAGTGTACCTCCAATTGACCGTTCTTCCATTCACCCCGGTGTCAAAACAAATCACGACAGGCAAAACAACAAGCAACATCAAGTAGCAAAAGCTTCTCCAGAGACTTCTACTCAACCAACTCCTCCTCTTCCAGGTTTGCGAAGAATCTTATCTACTTTTTGTCTAATTAATTACTTCTTGAAGATGTCCCTATTGTCAAAATGCCCGCCATAGTACCCTCCTCAAATGTGTCTATTCGCCGAGAGATTCAAATCAAGTCCCAGCTCGGACGGAGCAGTCAACTTGTCACTATCGAGATCATCCGAGATTCAATTCTGTCTGGTTACACTGGCAAAGGTATCTTTTGTACAATAAGCAACGGGTTGAGCCGAAGCGACAGTCTTTCAGTTTGAAAATTCGTTCATTTTACCATCAATTTTTTAAATTACAGTATCTGCTTACAGTATAATCTCATCCCCTTGAGATTACAGCTACTCGCGGGCGGGTAGCAGCTCTAATTTATACTCATTCAGCACTTTGTCAGCAGCTAACGCCGACAGGATGCCTCTCCCCAGGCTCAGTCGTATCTCACGAGTTCGAAGCCGCCTCGCCCAGAGAAGCTGAACTTCTGGCTCAACAGTACGTGATGCTGTACTGTAACAACAGCCCGAAAAATGCGACGATTACTGTCACGGAAGGTGAAATTGTAGAAGATCACGAAAACCCCGATTCTTTTCCGGAACGGATTTTCAATTTTATTTTTTGCTTCATCAGCTGGATTGATGCCGGTTAAAATAGTAGATAGTTGCTGTTATGAGTGTCAATATTGATGAGGGAAAGAGAAATTAGTCATCAGTCTCTCCAATAATCGTAAAACAGGATTCACCGTCAGCTAGTGTTGCTGCCGGTGGCCGTTTTATCCGACAAAAGGAGATGTAAAATACATTTTCAGTGGTTTGTGCGGCTGTTAATAAAGAATGAGAGCGTAAAGAGAATCGATAATAACTAAAAAAGACAGTCTTTTTAAAAACAACAGAAAGAAAAAAAAAGAGACAACAAAGAAAGCCACTTATCGCATGATTCTGAAAGCCTATTCTGATTTTGAATAAACAAGAGAGGCTCTGAGCTGAATTTTGAAATGTCAAAAATCCGAATTGAAAGTTTCCCCTGTTCCGTTCTCTCTGGGAAAATCGCTTCGAGCCCGTTCTTGCGTCTTCCAAAGCGAAGAACACTAAGAAGAGGAAAAAACCAGGCGGGAATTCAAGCACGCGGGAAATCAAGCCATCTACGATCAAAGATTTCCTAGATCTCATCACGTGATCTCTTATTTATTCATTTTAACTATTGTATCTATTCTATTTTTGGTTTCTTATTTCTATTCTCACCTGTTCAAACGAAAAAATACCTTGGTTATACAAACTTAATTATTATCATCATTTTGTGGCTTCGTGGGTTCGATTCTGGCTTCTTTAAAAATTATTTATATTCGATTCATTCGTTAGAACGCCAGATTCATTTTCGACCCACTTTCAAATTTAAAATTTGTTCACATTCAATTTCTGTATCGATCAATTCATTTTCGCCGACTGTATTTCTTTTTTTCTTGCTCAAGATAACAGTCAAATCCCTTTGTTAATGCAAGGGTTCTTTTCGCTGCTGCAATATTACAATTAGCGTCCTTTTTTTGGTGCCCGATTTTCGTGAAATTTTCAATATTTGTTATCAATAATTCTAGCTATTGAATCATGAAAGAAATAAATTAATTAAACCTCAAAAATAGCAAATTTCAATAAAAACCTTTCTACGGGAAAATTGGTAATAATACTTCTTATTTCAAAATGCGCAATCAAAATCATAACTTTATTGAGCAAAATTTTTGCAACCAAATATTTTTTATATTATTTAAAAGAAACTTTTTTAGGGGGCTAAAGTCTGGCCTTCTCGATTTCATTTTTTCTGTTACTACCTTACCGGTTGAATGCTACTTTACTCTTTTCTCAAACAACTTTTTAAAAACAAAACGACTCGTCGACTAACTGTAATAACCTCTACTTTAGTTTAAAAGTAAAATGTTCTCGGGCTATCAATGGCTAGTGTGTTCATGCATTTTTCAGAGCAGCTTTGCTTATTCTACTATCCCACTCAGCTCGAGTCCGTTGTTCACTGAATGACTAAATATTGTTCTTGGTGAATCCGGTCTTTCCTAGTTCGCTTTTTAAAGTCTCATGTATCGCCTATTAGATAGTATGGCCGACGAAAGCGTTCCAGTTCCAGAGACCGAGCCACTCAACCTCGAAGAGGACTTGAAAAAGCTCGAGGACGAAATCAACACCCTCAAGCAGGTGAAACCTCACTGAAATCAAGGAAGAGAACCGTGAATTTTAGGTCCTTTCATCGAAAGAGCAACAAGCTTCTGAGCTGAGGAAAAAGCTCGGAATCACGCCTCTTCAGCAGCTTCAAGCGAAGATGGACGCCTTTGGAAAGTCCGAAACGTATGTAAAGGCTCAAGAAATGTATGTTCATCAGTTTTGCAAAACGATGATTTGAGGAAAAATTGAGAAAAAGTGAAACGGTCACTTTTTTCGATCCTTGATAAAGTTAAATTGGTGTAATGTCTGTAATTACCTTGCATCTCATTGCATGAGTCAAGCAAAATTTGACAACTGGTATATGATATACCGTATATCTTTTCCCTTCAGAGTGCAGAAGACTTCAGCTAAACTCAACGAAGTTGGCGATGTTACTGGCAAGGCCTTGACCGACTTTGGTCAATCGGTTTCCAGCAAATTCTCCGAAATGAAGTATCCAACGCTTGTTTTTTTCTCAGTCTCAAAAACTGCTTTATTCAGATCGTCTCCTTCCTTCCAGTCCTTTGAGCAGAAGGTTGGTGGCTTCTTCGGTCGCAGCTCTACCACCACGTCTCCGCCTGCTGCCACTCCAACTGAGCCAGCAAAGGAATTGTTTCAGCCATAACTTCTTTCTTCACTCCATTCTTGAATAAATCACAATTGTACTTCAACAAATCGCTCTATTTTAATTATTCAAGAATCTAAATCTATCATTTGCTGAAACCAGTGCCAAGCAAGACGCGCCACTCTAGCCATACTATATCTGCGGACCTGACTACCGACAATTGACAGAAAAATCGCTTTCTACGACGAATCCTTCGTAAATTGTCCATTTTTAGAATCGACACATGTTCATCCCTTTCTTATTCATTCGCCAACTTGTTTTCCTTCATTTTTATTTGCATATTAGTGGCAATATAATTAAAATAACACACATCTGTAGTCTTCAGTGACCACCCAAATAAGACCCAAGAAATAAATCTATACAGTATATTTTATAGTTTACCTTTTTTGTTACAACTAATTCTATTAATTAGCCAACCCATCTTATTCAGTTTCCCATTTGCTTCATTCTTGATTTTGAAAAAGACCAACACAATTTTTCAAAAAGAAAATTGGTGAAAATAGATACCTGTCGTTCCCAAAGAACTATTGATTCAGAATGCAAGCTGAGTTACTGGAAGAAGCTACCAGTAGCAGTGACAGAGGAAGCGCTAACCAGCAAAAGGCACTTATTTGTTGTATTCCTGGCGCGTTTTCACGGGCACTTGAAGGGCGACTTAGAGAATGTGAAGTGAAAATAGCGGGAGAGCAAGAAGTTATCGAGCATCTATCAAGGTAGCTTTCGCTCATGGAATTTCGTAGCTAACTTCTACTCCAGTGAATGGTCGTGTTTGATGGAGTGCGAAAGAGATTCAGAGCTACGAGCTGAATTATTGAAAAACGCGTTCAATAGATTCGAGTCACTCAAGTATACAGTGCTTTCTTCCGTTCCTGGAATCCACACACTCTCCGATTTTATCAGAAGTAATCAACGATTCAATTAACGACCTTCGTCTCCTATTTCCTTTTTTAAGAATACCCGGACTGCAAAGTTGTCTTCATCAAACAAAGCTTCAAGCTGCAAGACTTCTGTAGCACCTTCAGGAGGACGGACTGGTTCGAAACTAATTTCGGCATCCGAGGTCCTGAATTGCGATCGTTTTACTGGATCATTTTGCCGCTCTTTATGCAGAGTTTCTTCAATATTGATCCACCGCGCAATCTTTTCAACAGTCCTGCCAAGGGATCAGATTGTAATTCTACTTCAGGGAAAGTAATTGATCATTTTCCTGATCCTCTACAAAGCTGCCACACTCTATCAAATAAACCGCCATGAACTAATCGAGGCCGCGGCCGGATCACAAGATGCCATAGAAGTCTTTCTCAGCCATAAAGTGAATCCACAGAATCTTATGAAACTATCACTCGATGACGATATTGATGATGCGGTTCGGTTTTTAGGAGGAAAGATTAACCCTGTTGGGCATCAGGATTACGACAAGGCCTTTACGTCAGAGTACTGGAATCGAATGAAGATTAGAGACACCTTGCTCGTCATAGGAAAAGTTCGCCACCAGCTAAAAGCTTAAATAAAGCCTCTAATCCGAACTTTCCAAAGCTAAATGCTGCGTTGCCATCCTTATCGTCGCTCTTCTTGCGGAGATTCTTCTACTGTAATTAAGATTAATACGTTTCTTTCTAGTCGTAGTTTTGGACAGTTCTTCAAAAAACAAAAACATATCCCTATTTCTTTGCCACAGAAAAATGCCTCCATTCATCAATCATGACTTTCTTCAAACCAAATCCAGTCCTTTCCAGTTACAATTGTAAATCAATGCGATTTCTTACGAAAATACGAGCCTTTCTTACTTGATTTTTTTAATAAATCAATTATATATTCAATTCAGATTTCGTAATTTATTTTATCGAGTAAATTACGTCCCGTCTTAAATATTTTCTGCAGTTTTTTTTTAATGAAGCAGCTTGGATTTCAGAAGGCATTTCCGAAATGCGCCGTGCTTCGAATTTTTTCAAATCGTACCATCTTTATGAAAATCGTTTTCCCGAGAAAAATAGCAAAGAGCTTGCAAAGAAAACTCTTCATCACATGAAGCTGGCGGAGTATTCTGAAATCAAGCCGGTTGAAATCCCCTTCAAGCCTGATGGCAGATTCGGTTGGAACTTTGGCGAGTTCAAAGACAATCCAAATAACCCCTGGAAAGAAAGCTTGCACAATTTTTATAACTCGAAAGAAGGTTGGGCAATATCTGAAGGGGATCATGTTTGTTTTATTTCTGGAAGATTGGTGGAGACGTTTCTAAGTGAGCAAGCCTTTGCGATTGTCTATATGGGTAAATTAATGTCCGTAAATAATATTCCTTATCTTAATAAGGTTCGAATTTCTCCCGATATTTATCATTACCATCGAAAGAAGATGCAGAGCAGAATGCAAAATACGCGACTTTGTACGCTTTAGATTTGGCACTGAAAGTTGCAATCGCGGAAAAATGGAATTCTATTCAAGTTCGAACAGATAACCTGGCCGTTGCTAATTTGTTCACATATTCGCTCCCCAAAGTCCAAGAAGCAGAAGAAGCAGATGAAATAGAATTATCTAACAGCGAGTCTGCAAACAACCCAAAACGCAAACAACTGCTAGATGGGATACTCAAGCACCGAGCAAATATCTCCTTCAACGTGGCATATATAGACCCCAGAACGCGCATTTCGAAGCAGAAGAAGCGCAACGTTGACGAGGGCATTGTCAAGCTCAATCGTCTCGCGGCCGAAGCTCAGAGAAAACTCGTCGAAAGTGAAAATCTATATCTTTCTAAATTTCAGCTAGAACGAGAGCCTAACAATTAAAATCAAGGTCTTCAGAGTCTTCAGGAAAGGGGACTTCTCGAATGAATATTTCTGATCGTTTTTTATTGATAGGAAGAGAATAATCCTCCAAAGATAGAAAGTTGTAGAATGTTGAAAAGAGCCGCCTCGATTCAAAAAGTTGTTAGACTATCGTCTGGACTCACTCCGCAGTATACTGCCGAAAAGTACTCCGTTCAACGCGGCGACTATGGAAAACTCAGCTCCGATGATCAGAACTATCTCCTCTCCCTCGTAAACGGAAAAGGCAAGTCGTAACACGATTTGTGAAACAACAACTTCGAACAAATTGAAGGTCTCGTCGGTGAAAAAGAGCTAGAAGGCTACAACGTCGACTGGATGCGAATCGTTCGTGGGAAAAGCGAGCTGATGTTGAAGCCAGAAACAACGCAACAAGTCTCCTCTATCCTAAAATTCTGCCACTCAAGAAACATCGCAGTCGTTCCTCAAGGTGGAAACACCGGTCTCGTCGGCGGCTCTGTTCCTGTCTTCGATGAAGTCATCCTGAACACGTCATTGATGAACAAAGTCGAGGAAATTGACCCCGTCTCTGGCGTTGTCGTTGCACAAGCAGGATGCATCCTCGACCAGCTAAATGCGGAATTGGCCCCGCACAAGCTCATGATGCCGCTGGATCTCGGCGCAAAGGGAAGTTGCCAGCTTGGAGGAAATATTGCTACGAATGCGGGTGGATTAAGACTTTTGAGATATGGAAGTTTGCGCGGGAATGTTCTTGGAATGGAGGTAAAGTGAAAAGTTAGCGATATAATTTCTTATACGACTCTAGGCAGTGTTAGCTGATGGAACAGTTGTCGATTGCATGCAAACTCTGCGAAAAGACAACACTGGTTACGATATCAAACAACACTTCATCGGCTCCGAAGGAACCCTTGGAATCATCACAAAAGCATCAGTTCTATGCGCTCCTCTTCCATCTTCCGTGAACCTGGCCTACCTATCCGTCAATGCATTCGAGGATGTTCGAAAGTTATTTTCCCGTGCTCGAGAAGATCTTGGCGAAATTCTCTCTGCCTTTGAATTCATCGACAATTCCTGCCTCGTCTGCCTTGAAGACAATTTGAAGTTAACGCCTCCTGTTGACCCAAGTCCCTTCGCAGTCGTTATTGAAACTCATGGCTCGAACTCGTCTCACGATTATGATAAACTTGAAGCTTTTCTCGAAAGCGTCATGTCAGATGGAACAGTTTTAGATGGCTGTGTAGCCGAAGATTCCATGAAAGCTACAAATCTGTGGGGCCTGAGGGAGAGAATGGCAGAATCTCTCATGCATGATGGCTATGTCTACAAGGTAAATTGATTATTGAGAGCCGAAAGATAGTTAAATTCTCATCTAGTACGATGTTTCTATCCCTCTTCAAAAGTTCTATGAGCTTGTTACAGTAATGCGTGAACGTCTCGGAGAAAAAGTATTGAGATGCGTTGGATATGGTCATGTTGGAGATTCAAATCTTCATATTGTGAGCATTTTTATTTAGAGAGACAGGGTTATGAATATCTTTAGAATATAACTACGCCAGCGTATTCAAAAGAAGTTGACCAGCTTATTGAACCGTTTATCTTTGAATGGGTGAGGTACGTCTAGTGATGCCATGTTATCCGAAATAAATTGACCCTTTTAGCCAAGTTAATGGATCGGTATCCGCTGAGCATGGAATCGGATTCAAGAAAACGCAGTTCCTTCACCTCTCAAAGTCGCCAGAAGCCATCGCACAAATGAAACTCCTGAAAAATGCAATGGATCCCAAAAATATTCTCAATCCCTACAAAGTTCTTCCACTTATTTGAAATAAAAGAGCAAGAAAATTAGAGAAACATGAAGACAAAGAACAAATCGTTCTTTGCCTTACCAAGACTCATCGTTTGTAGATCAATTTATTCCAATTTTAATGCCCAAATGACTTCGGAGCTCTCATTTTCAAAAGGGCAGATTCAGCCATATCCGCGCGCTCTTCAACAGCATCAAGCTCGTGCTGCAATTGACGATACTTATTCATATATTGGTTTGCTGCTTCTTCTTGCTCTTGTGCAACCTTTTGATACTTCTTTGCTTGTGACTGGAGCCTCTGAGCTTGTTCTAAGAGCCGTGCGATTTGTTCTTTTTCGTCAGAGGAGATAAGCTTAGTTTCTTTGAGCTTCCGTTCCATCCTTCTCGCTGATTTTTGTGAGTCCGCATTTCTCCGACGCTCATCCTCAAGATCACATTCAAGCTCACGCAGTCGTGCCTCGAGCTCCTTCGCCTTTTTTCTGTCGGGATTCATCAGTTTTCAAGAAACTTTCCTCTGTTATTCTTACTAAAGGTGCTAAACCATCAATGAACTTTGGGAACAGCTTATGTAACACCTACTAAACTAGTCGTTCCCGATCATACGTTGCCAAAAAGAAACCTCGAAAGCTGAACTCAAAAACAGGCCACTAAACACTTCATCATTTTCGGTCATATATTTCGCAGGATTTCCTGCAATTCACACCTTCCTTTTCTGGTGAATATTTTCAAGAACCATACCGCTTTTGCAAAGTCTCCAGCAATAAAATAAACACCCGGCCAGGAAACACCCAGTGTTATTTTACTTTCTAAATCAAGGAAAAGTTATGTTGTTGTCTATTGCTCATCGCACATACAGTATCCGCACTATTTTGGCAAGAAATACAAGTTATCAAATAATAGGCTGTATTTTAATACTCAGTATTTATGCATTCTAGATAAGCATTCTTGTTGTTTTTTCGATTAATCCTGCCTTTACAGTTTCAATTTACGAAGGAGCCCTTTGGCCATGAAAAGACATGGCCAAGAGAAAGAAAAGTCGAGCTGTTTCAACTTTTGCTTTGGAGTAAAAGAGCCCATCTCCCGAATCTCGATAAAAGTCAAAGCAAAAGTTAAAGGAGCCAGCAGGAGAGTCACTTCTTTTCGACATAAAAGACAGAGAGTTAACTCTATCAGTGAAAAACCCGACTTAGAATTAGCATCAGTTCGATCAGGTTCAAAACATTTGCACAAATGAAAGACCATCAGTTTTTTAGGCTATGAGTTGTACCAGCAGGGCGACGCAGTTCGACAGGCGAAAGCAGTCAAATACCTCAAGCAGCAAAAGCCCAAGCTTTTCGAAGAAAAGGAGAACAACGAGCCAAGCGATCTACACGAAAGTTATCTTCAACATACCGACTTGAAAAGGAGAATGAGCGCGGCGAGCATGCGTTCAAGAAATTCGCAACTTTCCAACGTTTCTTCAAGATCTCAGACTCACATTGAGAAACCGGTGAATCTTTTCCAGGAGATTTTGAATATCAGAGATGAAACAGAAGCCAAAAGGAGACGGTCTGTCAATATATTATCAGTTTTTTAGAAGCATCGAATACATCTTCTTTTCAAAAATATCAGCCCATTGACAAGATTGAGTCTTTCTAAGGACATACGAAAAAAATCTGCAGTAAGCCTCAATAGCTTCAGATCTTCTAGCAATCACAATCTGGCACCCAGCGCATTGGAAATACGAAAATCAAACCTGAGCCTCTCTCCCAGCTCATGTCACAATCTCGCTCCTTGATGTCACATCATGTGATACCCTTATAATATTCTGTACACATGAACACATGAAAAATAAATGAAGCTCTTATATCAGTAAATGATATCACAGCACTTTTGATTTATCTATTGGAGAGTGGTCAAGTTGTCGATTGAATACAGTACTCAAAGTTCATCTGCCCACTTTTGGAAAATCGACAAAAATAGGTGATTAGGTGATGACAAAATGTGTCAAGAATCTCCTCCACTGGGTGCATTTAAACTCAAGTCGCACGGCTGCCACTTCAGTTCTGCAAGCACCAGACAACTCTTAGGTAAGGTGTTGAAAGTAAAGTCTTGCTAGTGATAGATTACATTTAAAATATTGTGTGAGATAACTTATAGAAAAAATGTAACAATAGATTCTAGTCATGGCGCTTTGGGATCCCGAGGCTGCCGGCAATGCCGCCGTTTATCTTCGACTCGACAACATGAAGTTGATCGATATCCGAAACGCTCCATTCGAGGGTAAAACCGCCGTTTGGGTCCCTTATTCCGAAACCGGTTACACTAAGGTAGGCTCATCTTTTAGAACCATTTATAAACTCGTTTTTAAGGGTAAAAAGCTTGGCGAAAAGGACGGCAAGATCGAGGTTGAGCGACTTGTCGATGGAAAAGTCAAGCAGTACAAGCCCGATCAGGTTGAGCCCCAGAACCCTCCAAAGTACGAACTTTTGGAGGATATGGCTAACATGACATACCTGTCTGAGGCTTCTGTTGTCCATAACTTGAACAGCCGATACACTCTCTTCCTTATCTACACCTACTCCGGTAACGTTATTCAAAGAGATACTCTTCGTTGATTTTTATCTCCAAGGTCTTTTCTGTGTCACCGTCAACCCCTACAAGTGGCTCCCCGTGTACGATAACCACGTCGTCCTCTGCTACTACAACAAGCGTCGAACTGAAATGCCTCCCCACGTTTATTCTGTCGCTGATAATGCGTACCAAGATATGCTTCGAAACTCCGAGAACCAGTCTATGCTTATTACTGGTGAGTCCGGAGCTGGTAAAACCGTCAACACGAAGCGAGTCATCCAGTTCTTTGCTGTCGTCTGTGCTCTCGGCGACAAGACTTCTTCTAAGAAGGATGATGCTCCCTCTCTCAAGGGTGGCGGAACCCTTGAAGATCAGATCGTCGCTGCTAATCCTGCTATGGAGGCCTTCGGTAACGCCAAAACCATCCGTAACGATAACTCCTCCCGATTCGGTAAATTCATCCGAATTCACTTCCAGGTCACTGGTAAACTCGCCTCCGGTGATATCGATACCTACCTTTTGGAGAAATCTCGAGTCACCTTCCAGCTCAAGGCCGAACGATGCTTCCATATTTTCTACCAGATGCTTACTGGCCACAAGCCCGACATCAACGAAATGTGTATGATCTCTACCGATCCCTACGAGTACAAATGGTGCTCTCTTGGTGAAGTCAAGGTCAAGTCTATCGATGATAACGAAGAACTCGACGCCACCGACGAGTCTTTTGATATTCTTGGCTTCACTGCTGAGGAGAAGGCTGGTATCTACAAGATCTCTGCTTCTTTGATGCACTCCGGTAACGCGTTGTTCAAGGAAAAGCCCCGAGAAGAACAGGCCGAGCCCGATGGATCCGAAGCTGCTGATAAGATTGCTTATCTTTTGGGTATCAACTCCCAAGAGTGGCAGAAGGCTGTCTGCACCCCGAAAGTCAAGGTCGGCACCGAATGGGTTGTCAAGGGTCAGACTGTCGCCCAAGTCTACTACGCTATTGGTGCCATTACCAAGGCCACCTACAAGCGACTTTTCGAATGGCTCGTCGATGTTGTCAATCGAGCCCTTTCAACTGATCTTCCTCGAAACAACTTCATTGGTATCCTCGATATCGCTGGTTTCGAAATTTTCGAATTCAACACCTTCGAGCAGCTTTGCATCAACTACACCAACGAACGACTTCAGCAGTTCTTCAATCACCACATGTTCATCCTCGAACAGGAAGAATACAAGCGAGAAGGTATCGACTGGGAGTTTATTGATTTCGGTATGGATCTCCAGGCAACTATCGAACTTATTGAGAAGCCTCTCGGTATTATGTCCCTCCTTGAAGAAGAGTGCATTGTTCCCAAGGCTACTGATATGACTTACCGAGACAAGCTCTTCCAGCAGCATTTGGGTAAATCCGCCTCCATTGGTAAGGTCAAGAAGCAGGGCAAGTTTGAAGCTCACTTCGAAATCTACCACTATGCCGGTACAGTCGCATACAACGTTATTGATTGGCTCTTGAAGAACAAGGATCCTCTCAACGGCTCCCTTGTCACCCTTTTCAAGAACGCGTCCGTTCCTGTCTTCAAGAAGATTTGGGAAACCTACGTTTCTGCTGATGACGCGCCAAAAGGTGGCGGAAAGAAGGGCGGTAAACGACAGAAGGGTGGTTCCTTCCAGACTGTCTCTGCCCTTCACAGAGAGTCCCTTCTCCGATTGATGACCAATCTCCACGCCACTCAGCCTCATTTCGTCAGATGTATCATTCCTAATGAACAGAAACGACCCGGTTACATGGATAACAACCTTGTCCTCCATCAGCTTCGATGTAACGGTGTCTTGGAAGGTATTCGTATTTGTCGAAAGGGTTTCCCATCTCGAGTCGAGTACGGCGACTGGAAGCAGAGATACGCTATCCTCAACCCCAATGCTGTTCCAAAATCTGGCTTTATTGACCCCAAAAAGGCTTGTGAAAAGATTCTTGCCACTCTTCCATTCGATTCCGCTGTCTACCGATTCGGTCACACCAAGCTTTTCTTCAAGGCTGGTATTATTGGTGCTTTGGAAGATCTTCGAGATGACAAGATTGCTGAAATTCTCACCAAGCTCCAGACTCGAATGCGATTCAATCTTTCTCGAGCTGCTTTCTTGAAAACTATCAAGGAACGAGATGGCGCTGTTGTCATCCAGTCCAACTGGAGAGCATACATCACCTTGAAGGATTGGGAATGGCAGAAGCTCCTTTTCAAGATCCGACCACTCCTCAACACTGCTGAAAAGAAGGCTGAGTTCGACGAACTCCTCAAGGAATACGAAGAGATGAAGAAGGAACTCGAAGTTGAGACCAAGCGACGAAAGCAACTTGAACAAGAGTACTCCAAGTTTATCCAGCTCAAGAACAAACTCATCTCCGAGTTTGCCGGTGAAACTGACGCTCTCCAGGATGCTGAGGACCGAGCTGAGTCTCTTATGAAGTCCAAGATCGATCTCGATGGAAAGATCAAGGAACTCAACGAGCGACTTGAAGACGAAGAGGAAATCAATGTCGACCTTCAGAACAAGCGACGAAAGCTTGAGACTGAGTGCAAGGAACTCCGAAAGGACATTGATGACCTTGAAGGAACACTTTCTAAGGTCGAAAAGGAGAAATCCACCGTCGAAGCTGATGTTCGAGCGAAAACCGATGAGCTCTCTGCTCTTGAAGATACCATCGCCAAGCTTCAGAAGGAAAAGAAGGCCCTCCAAGAAGCTCACCAGCAGGCTCTTGATGATCTTCAGGCTGAAGAAGATAAGGTTAACTCCCTCTCCAAGGCCAAGAATAAGCTCGAACAACAAGTTGATGACCTCGAACAGTCTGTTGAGACTGAGAAGCGATCTCGACTGGATCTTGAACGACTGAAGCGAAAGCTTGAAGGTGATCTCCGACTCGCCCAAGAAACCATCATGGATCTTGAAAACGATAAGCAACGACTTGAAGAGAAACTCAAGAAGGCTGAATTCGAGTACAACCAGCTCTCCACTCGATATGAGGACGAGCAGGCTCTTGTCGCTCAACTTCAGAAGAAGATCAAAGAGCTCATGGCCCGAATCGAAGAACTCGAGGAAGAACTCGAAGCCGAGCGAGCTGCCAAGGCCAAGTCCGAGAAGTCTCGATCCGATCTTTCTCGAGAACTTGAAGAGCTTTCCGAGCGACTTGAAGAAGCCAACGCCCAGACTCAGGCTCAAATTGAGATCAACAAGCGACGAGAAGCTGAGCTTGCCAAGCTTCAGCGAGATCTTGAAGAGCACAACATCGCTCACGAATCAACCCTCTCTGGTCTCCGAAAGAAGCACGCCGACTCTTCGTCTGAGCTCACTGAAACCATCGACAACCTTCAGCGAGTCAAGACTAAGCTCGAAAAGGAGAAGTCTGAGCTCAAGATGGAAGCCGACGATCTTGTCTCCAATGTTGAGTCCCTTACCAAATCTAAGACTACATACGAAAAATCTTGCCGACACCTTGAAGATCAGTACGCTGAGCTCAAGATGAAATTCGAAGAGCAGGAGAAAGCACTATCTGATTCTGCTGCTAATAAGGCTCGACTTTCAACTGAGATGAACGAGCTTCGACGAACCTTAGAAGAAAAAGAGCAGATAAACAATCAGCTCACTCGACAGAAGAACTCTGTTTCTCAGGCTAACGATGAGCTCCGACGATCCCTTGATGAAGAAGTCAAGGGCAAGAACGCCCTCGTCCACCAGGTCCAGGCTGCCAAGCACGATCACGAACTCCTTCGAGAACAGTATGATGAAGAAGTTGAAGCCAAGAACGAACTTCAGCGACAGCTCTCCAAGTCTAACTCTGAGTCTTCTCAGTGGCGAACCAAGTATGAGACCGATGCCATTCAGCGAACTGAAGAACTTGAGGATGCTAAGAAAAAGCTTTCTGGTCGACTTGGGGAAGCCGAAGAATCAGTTGAAGCCGCTCTTGCTAAGTGCTCTTCTCTTGAAAAATCCAAGGGTCGACTTCAGTCTGAGATCGAAGATTTGACTGTTGAACTTGAGCGAGCTAATGCCGCTGCTTCGGCTCTCGAGAAGAAACAGCGATCATTCGACAAGATTCTTGAGGAAAACAAGGCGAAACAGGACGAAATCAACGCGGAGCTTGAGAAGGCCCAGAAGGAATCCCGAGAGGCTTCCAACGAAGTCTTCAAGATGCGAAACGCCTACGAGGAAGCTGTTGACTCTCTTGAGTCTGCTAAGCGAGAGAACAAACAGGTCCAGGAAGAAATTGCTGATCTTACTGATCAGGTCGCTGAGGGAGCCAAATCCATCTCTGAACTTGAAAAGGCCAAACGAACAATTGAAGTCGAACGAAACGAGCTTGCCGCTTCTCTTGAAGAAACCGAAGCTGCTGTCGAATCTGAAGAAGCTAAAACTCTCCGAATCACCGTTGAACTCCAGCAAATCAAGAGTGAATCCGACCGACGACTCCAGGAGAAGGACGAAGAAATGGACAACAACCGACGAAATGCTAGCCGAACTGTTGAGGCCATCCAGTCTCAGCTTGACTCTGAAATCCGATCCCGATCTGAAGCCGTCCGAATCAAGAAGAAGCTTGAGGGAGATATCTCTGACATTGAGATTCAGCTGGCTCATGCCAACCGACAGCTCAACGATGCCCAGCGACAGAACAAGGACATCATGGGCCAGATCAAGGATGCCCAGATGGCCCTTGACGAGTCCGAACGAATCTTCGACGAAGTTAAGGAACAATCCGCTGTTACCGACCGACGAGTTAACCTTCTCCAGGCTGAAATTGACGAACTCCGATCCGCTGTTGAGCAGGCCGAGAAAGGCCGAAAGGCTGCCGAACAGGAACTCATGGAAGCCAACGAACGAGCCAACCTTCTCCATACCCAGAACACCGCCCTCGCCAACCAGAAGCGAAAACTCGAGCAGGAACTCATCGCTGTCGCTAATGAAGTCGAAGAAGCCATCCAGGAGGCCAAGAACGCTGAGGACAAGGCCAAAAAGTCCATCCTCGATGCTTCCATCATGGCTGAAGATCTCAAGAAGGAACAGGATGCCTCTGCGCATCTTGAGCGCATGAAGAAGAACCAGGAAGTCCAGCTCAAGGAACTCCAGGCTCGATTGGACGACGCTGAACAGGTTGCCCTCAAGGGCGGCAAGAAGCACGTCCAGAAGCTCGAAGGCCGACTTCGAGAACTCGAATCTGAGCTCGATAACGAGCGACGACGCGGTGTTGACTCCCAGAAGGCTGTCCGAAAGATGGAGCGCAAGGTCAAGGAAACCGTCTACGCCGGTGAAGAAGACAAGAAGAACCTTGGCCGACTCCAGGACCAGGCTGACAAGCTCCAGCTCAAGGTCAAGCAGTTCAAGCGAATGGCTGAGGAACAGGAGGAAGCTGCTACCCAGAACATGTCTCGATACCGAAAGCTCCAGCACGAGCTCGATGAGGCTGAAGAGCGAGCTGACATGGCTGAATCTACTCTTTCCAAGATGCGATCCAAGTCCAGCGCTTTTTAAATGTTTTCTTACTGTAATTTAAATTCAATAAATTGTTTTTACCCGTATTCAAGACGAGTTTATTGATTGGTAGCCCTTAAAAGGGCTGGTTTTGATCATGATCAAGTCATGATTAGTTCTTCCAGTCGGAAGTAGATGGCTTCGTTCGTGGAAGAAGATTCGGATGGATGTAAGGGGTCACTCCACCTTGAGAGAAGGTCACATCGCCAAGGAGCTTGCAGAACTCTTCGTCTGTGCTCATGGCGAGCTGGATGAATCGAGGCTTGATCGTCTTCTTCTTGTTATCCTGCGCGGCGTTGCCAGAAAGCTCAAGAACTTCCGCGCAGAGATACTCGAGAACACCGGTGACGTAGATGCACGCGCCGATGTTCACCTTGTTGTTGACGTTCATTGCCCGGAACTGACGCTTGATTCGGTGGACAGGAAAGGTCGTCCCACATCGCACGTCGATGGGTTTCTTCTTTCGCTTGCCTCCGGTTTGCATCGCTCGCATCTTGGCCATCTTCTCCTTCGCTTCGGCTGAGCCTTTGACGAAGGATAGGTCGACGCTGCCATCGGCGGATTCAAGCGAGGCGCGCTTCTTGGTTTTGGCCATCTTCGATCAGCTTTAGTTGAGTTGCTTCTTTTCGGAAAAAAAGTCCAAGTGAGGAAAACCAAATATGTAGCCCGTTTTATACTCAATCAGCCACCAAGTGGCCGATGGTTCTGGATCGAAAAGTTTTCGCCACCGTGTTTTTTGAATTCTGGAAATGAAGATTGCGAAATTCGCGACTGATTTCGGCGGGAAATGGAGAAAAACTGCAGCTGTCGAATGTAAAAGTTCATTCCGAGCGAATCATTTGATTTCCCATTAATAATTGACATGAAAGTTCGTTATCGCTGATAACAGTTCGCCCATTTTCATCAAAAACATGACTAATCTGGGCTCATCAGCAATCGCTTGGTTGTCTCCCACACGTGTTGCCCAAGTTTTTACCGAATCGACCAATAGTTTCTTCCCTTGCCGCCCAGTCCCCATTTCGTCATTGCCAGCAACACCGGAATTCATATTCTCGAAAAATACAGAGAAGAAATTCTTCTTTCAAAAACAGAGGAAAACGGAATTACAAATCAAGAAGGACGAGGATTTTACGTGTTTTACTGTAAAAAGTACAACTAAGACGAGCTTCAGGTAATAAATGGATCTTTTTTAATTGCAAATTTCTAATTGTGAATTAATGATATGTCTACGAGACACCGCCGGTTTCGAAATCGACATCATTGACTCCATCTCGGAACACTTTTAACAAGAAATTCAGGAAAACAATGACGAAGACAATGGGTTGGCGACTTGCTTCTTCTGCTGCCGCAGAGCAGGGTGATCGTGATTACATGGAGGACGTCACTTCGGTCCAGTTCGAGCGAGTAAGCTCCTCGAAAGGTTCTACTGAAGACGCGAGCTTCGCCGTTTACGACGGGCATGGTGGCTCAGAAGCTTCGCTCTTTGCTAAGGTAGCTTTCAGAGTGTCCGTTATTGAAGGTTAGTCACTGCTTCAGGATCATCTTATGGAATTCATCAAAGAAGAAGAGGGCTTCTACTCGAGGGACGTCGAAACTGTCATGCGGGCGATTCGATCTGGATTTCTTTCTTGCCACGAGGCTATGCTTGAAAAGCGACGTAAGTTTTGAGTTTTAAGGGATCACCCCCCGATTTTTCAAACCTTTGGCACCGGTCATTATCGCCTATGATTAGATTCCTTGTTTTCTGAGGATCATTTTGATATATGATAGTACCCCTTTACATAAATGCATCCCCGAAATTTTGGTTCCCAAAGTTCGGGAAAATGCATGTAAATTGTACTTAGCGTGAAAATCGCAATTTTTTTCGATTTTTCATTGTCATCGAAATAACACAAACAAGGGCTCTTTCGAAAGCTTAGAATGTGAAGATTACGAATTTAATAACCGCACTAGAATTTTCGGCCAATTGTTGGCGCTAGAGAGCATTCTAACACCCAAATAACGCCAAAAATGGTTTCAAAAAGTTTTACAACTAGAATTTTTTTATTCACTAATCCGATCATGCTGATTCTACCAAAAAATAAAGATTAGCGTCTATACTTTTAGATAAACCAAAAGGATTTTGAATCCCAAAGCCCAAAAAAAAGTAGATACGATTTGAAAATGACCTAAAATGGCCATTTTTCAAGATGTTAATCACTTTGACGGCCTGTAATGCATAAGCGAATGTTATGCTGGCAAGCTGATTCTACCAGAATTTGCTCCTTTCGAAGCGGGCTTTCTAATGCGCCCAAAACCAGCTTCCTACGTAAGCTAAAAAAAAAAGTAGATAGAGGTCAAAGTTGGCGAAATTGGGGGGGGGATCCCTTAAGCGACGTTAACTTATAAATTATAAGTTATAATTTATAAGTCTATTAGGCTAAATTCTCAATTTCATTTGAAATTATTTAGCCAAGTGGCCATATCGACACAACCACCTCAGCAATGCTGGAACGACCGTTGCGCTAGTGATTATCCGTGGCGACCTAATGTACGTTGCTCACGCTGGGGATTCTGCAGTGATCATGGCAACTCAAAAGGATAAAAAGACTCCTCTGCAAGCGATGTTGTTGACAGAGGACCACAAGCCCGAAAGTCCGAAAGAGAAGAGTCGAATTGAAAGAAACGGTGGCCGCGTGCTCAAAAGCAAGAGTAGCTACCGAGTGTGCTGGGAAAGAGTGAATCACCCGGGAACAAAGTTCGAATGGACAGATCACATGCCTTACTTGGGCATCGCCAGAAGCTTAGGGGACTTTTGGTCCTGGAACGAGCGATCCAAAACGTACTTGGTAAGATTCTACTTCCGAATGATCTCAGCTGATAACAACAAGGACAAAATTTACTCTTGTAGGTTTCGCCTGTTCCCGACATCAAAGTCTACGACTTGGAGAAAACCGGCGCTCGCTACATCATCCTCGTTTCTGACGGAATCACCAACACGATGAGAGCTCGCGATATGGTGGGCATCGTCGCCGACTTTGAAGAGCGAAAGAAACGGGGCGAAGTCAAAGGAGTAACAGCCGCCAGCGTGCTTGTCAAAAAAGCTCTCTCCTTGTGGTCGGATCATCACAAGCGCGCGGATAACAGCTCTGCAATCGTCGTCAAGATCGAAAAGGCACTGATTGAGGCCAAGAACGCGAAAGGAAGTTTCTTGGAAAGCTGGGTGAGCACGGAAAACAACCGTTTGGTTAGGACTCCCGTCTCGGAAAATCGCGCGAAGAAAATCCTTGAGCTTCGATTCCAGGAAGTCGATCAGCAGCTCAAGACGCCAAGAAAGAGAATGATCCACGAATGCAACAACTTGCTTTCTCCAGAGGAATCAGTGGATTCTCCGCCATCGAAGAAAGCAAAAACAGCAGTGAAATTGAAGCCGAGACGTTCGCTCCGACTGGCCGTGAAAAGCTGCGATCCCCTTCTGACTCGCTCTGCTGCACGAAAACGCTCGTCCCTCTGAAAAACTTCCCCTTCAGCGATTCCAAGCACATTTGAACTACTGTAAAAGATAACTGCCTTCTCACATGATCTTGCTTTTACTGTAATAAGAATGTCTTTTGGAATATACGGTAACGATATTGAACCGAAATTGAAGTTATAAATACGCAGGATAAAGGATAATCCTTACTCATAAATATCATGCAGAAAATAATAACAAAGGTAATACTTACATCCATATGATTTATGTGACATAAAGTAGTTGCTCATAATTACGTTATGAAAGATACGGTATGAAGAAAGAATGTCTGTATGCATGAACTGGCTTGTGATGCAAAGATGAGCGAATTCGAATTCCTGAAGGGAAAATCCGTTGTGATTTTGAAAACGCGCGCATTTTCGGTCGAAAACTTGATGAGTCGGCTTTCTGCTGCGTCGATTTCGCAACTTTTTGGTTGTCTCCAGCACTGGTTGCCTAATTTTCAAGCGAGTCGACTCAGTCGAGGAATGATTTCTTGCGGCGGGCCGCTCGTGGCGCCAATGAGCCTTTTCCTCTCGTGCTTCTCAGCCGACGCTATAAAAAGGCCTGCAAACCCAGAATTTCATCATTCCATAAGTTTTCAAAAATCTAACTTTTTGATTACAAGTCAACTCAAAAGATGGCAAAGACAGTTCAGAAGCGAGGCCGAGGACGCCCAAAGACAAAAAACACCAGCTCGGTGAAAACTCCAGAAGAGTTGAAGAAAGCCCAGCGCGAGCTTCGATTCAAGAAGGTCAACTTCAGTCACTACATCTACAAGGTGCTGAAGCAAGTTCACCCCGACACCGGCATGTCCAGCAAGGCGATGAGCATCATGGATTCCTTCGTCCACGACCTCTTTGACCGCCTGGCCGCTGAAGCTTCCAGTCTCGCCAAGAAGAACAAGCAGTCAACGATCTTGGCTCGAGACATCCAATCAGCTGTTCGGCTCATCATTCCTGGCGAACTCGCGAAACATGCTATTTCCGAGGGAACCAAAGCCGTCACCAAGTACAATGGCTCTCGTTAACTCTTCGAGTTATCACTACAGGCATTAGCTCGATCTGGACTTGTTCAGAAAGAGTTACGGTCTCAAGGCCCTTTTCAGGGCCAAAAATAATCTAAAAAAACTTCATCTTCTTTCTGAAAACAGTGTCCTATCCGGACTTTCTTAGTCAGAATTTCTGACTGACTTTTTCGGAAAAAGTTTTTCCAAACAAATACTACAGTGACTAAACATGAGACTAAAAGATAATCACTGATTATTAATCAGTCAGAAAATCAATGAAAAGATCGTGACCGAAGCTTTGATATTTCATGTTCTACCGTTCTTGAATTCCGAAGGGATTATCAGCGTTCATAAACTCCCGCAGATTTTCAATCGTGATGAGTCGGCTTTTTAATCCATGTAAATTTCGTTTATTTCGCAATCGGGTTGTCTCCCGCACGACATGGCCGACTTTCAAGTTTCATCCGAATCGAGGAATGTGTTTTCGAGTTCGCGCCAAAGACGGAGAGCAAATTCATTTCGAGAATCGGCCTACTGCCGGACGGGGAGATCTCGTGTCGAAGTATCAGTTCACTCAATTGGTCGGACATCCACCTCCGCAGATTTATTTACGAAAATTTAATTTTATACACAAGCTTTTGCAGATTTAGAGAACCACTCTTCACAAGAGAAAACTTTAAGAAGACATCCTTATCTGTCGGTACTCTTCCTTGCTATCAGCGATTTATATCACAGCTTTCAGAATCGGCAAAGATGAGAACAAGACAAGCTAACAGAGGCAAATTCAACGGAGGACCAAGGTCGTTTGACGGAGCTCCACCACGAGGGAGAGGACGAGGTCGAGGACGTGGCTATTTCAGCGGAAGACCACGCCAGCCCCTGACCCACGTACGTCTCGGATCATGTCTCTTTCTTCAACTTTTATTTCAGGCTGGATATGTGACTCCCTACCGAAACATTCCACCGTCGCAGAGAGATCTCCTGTGGGGCCCACAAACGCACTACAGTGATGGAATTCGTCGGTTCTACACGAGCTTCAAGACGAATCGCAACGACGCGAAGCTCCTCTGCGGCGAGATCAACATGGATATGAAAAGGAGGGAAGATACCAAAGCGGAGAAACAAGTGCTTTGGTTCACCGAGGTCGGAAGAGAAGATGATGCCGAGAAGCCCGATGAAGAGCGAGAACTTATCATTATCTGTGAAGAAACCAGCGCCGGGCCGACAAGAATCTTCAACTTCCTATCAAAGAAGTACCCGACACTCGGCTTGGTAGAAGTTCCAGTGGATCAGAAAGCGCTGGCAGGACGGAAAGCAGCCCTTCGTGCGGAGAAGAGTGGAGCAGGCCTTCAAGCAGGCACAAGCCGCTTTTTAAATCGAGAGAGGAAGGACGAGAGGAATGAAAGATACACAGAAGCGTTCAAGGAAAGGTGCATGAAACAATATCACGAACGAAAGCAGCGTATCCGGTCTGAGCGAACAAATGACTCTGGAATGGAGACTGAGACGTCATCGAGCGACGGAAAAGCGGCAAATGAATCTGAACGAAGGGAAAGCACTGATGTATTCTCGGCATTCGGAAGTTCTGGATCAGCTGTTCACGATACCGAGATGGAGACTGAAGACGACCTGGACGGCTACACGACGTTTTGACTAAACCGACGTTCTCGCTAACCGACGTTTTCGCTAAACCGACGTTCTCACCAAAAGTCAAAACGTCGGTTTAGTCAAAACCTCGGTTTAGTCAAAACGTCGGTTTTCCCTAAAAATGCGGGGGCAATCAGAGCGAATGAGAACATGCTCTTCCTGGATTAAAAATTCTGTCTGAAGCCCGCCGTCTTTTTCAAACCGAAATTTTCCTTAAATTGTTAACTTGGAAAAACAAAATATATATTTTTTAATTTATTATTTTAAAATTATTATTTGAATAACAAAATCAATAAGTTTAAAAAATATTAAGTCTGCATAATTTACTTATCTTTTTACATTTTATCGGTCTTGAGATCATTTTTAAAAGATTTATTTTAGTTATATTAGTTAATTTAATGAAGATATTCATTATTCTTATACTTTTACTCTTCACAAAGATCTTTCAAAAGATAATGAAAACGTCGGTTTGACGAGAACAACGGTTTCCAAACTGAGTCTTAACCAAATTCAAGGCGCCCACGCATTTTTAAGGAAAACCGACGTTTTGACTAAACCGATGTTTTGACTAAACCGACGTTTTGACTTTTGGTGAGAACGTCGGTTTAGCGAAAACGTCGGTTAGCGAGAACGTCGGTTTAGTCAAAACGTCGTGTAGCCGACCTGGACTTCACTGAGGAAGTGGGAAGTTCAATCATTACAAAGGTGAAGCCCCAGCCAGCTCATGGCGTCAGTCGTCGTCTTCCAACGCCTCCAGCTGCCGATGATGGATCCTCAGTCAAATCTCGCGTAAGTTCAGAAGAGAATTTATCTTCTTTTTTCATTTAAATTTACTGGTCATTCCTTTGTAGTTTCTCTGCTACGCGATCAAGAGAGAATGGGATCTGTGCAAACGCGGCGATGCTCTCCTCAACGAGTTCTTCGACGATGCAGAGCGAATTTGCGATGAAGATGAAGAATTGATGGACGATTTGCCGAAGAAAATTTGCGAATGGCTTGATGAACCACCATGCCAGCTGCCAAAGATAGAAGAAATCTGGCTTAGATTCGGCCAGAGGATTCTTCTGAAGACGTATTTCATGACCTACGTGGTCGAGCTTTACGGCGGTTTGATGACGAATGAAGACGAGCGAACTGGCATCTTTAGACGGAGAACTCCCGGTGGAACGTTTTACACCATGTTCAAATGCGTCAACATGAAAGAGGATCACTGGATCAGCCGATTCGAGTACTTGAAGAAGCACAGATTCGCCTACAAGCACGAACGTGCACGTAAGTACACATTCTTTGAAAGAAAGGTTAATTTTTTATTTTCAGGACTTGGCGAGGATGCCGTTCGAGAACGCACTCAAATGGCGAAGATCAACGTCGCGAATCTGAAGCGCGAGGGAATGAGCGATTGTCTCTGTGAGTTCGATTACATCTCCATAAAAGATCTGGACCTCGATCACAAAGACGATATTCAAGAAATGATCGTCAAAAGGTATTTGTTTCTTCTTAGAAAGTGGCTTCAATCAGTATTCTAGTATGAATAGAATGGAGCTGGATGACGAACAAGACGTTCCTCGACCTGCACAGCCTGAAAAGCAATACGACAGTAGCGCCTCAGAATGGTCCGACGAAGAGTGTTACGATGACCCCTTCGGCTACGCCCGTGAAGCACAGCGACAGCGTGAAGCACAGCGACAGCTGTACCAGGATAACTGACGCGTTTCTGTTTTCCCCTTACACTGCACTTATCTTCACCAACTTCCTTACCTAGAAATTATCAAAGATTCTTTGATATGTCTGACCCATTTTCCCATCCCTTTTTTACACTTACTGTACATTCATTTTTTATTAATATTAATATTTTTTATCGGAATCTTGATGTAATTTTCTTGTTTTTATTTCGTGGTTGAAAATGGCAATAGAGTGCAGGGCAGTTCTGAGAAGTTTCAATTTTTTAGCGACCGTCGTAGTCGCTTCCGATGTAGACTGCTTCGGCAAATTCGGAGAATTCATCCATCAAGTTGATTGACAGCTTTGTGATGCCTCTGGAGGTAGGTTCAACTTCCTGGAAAAGATTGGTCAGCCGTTCTTGATTGAAGTGTTGCTGGAACTTTTGGTAGAGTCGCTGATGTTCTTGAAAGTAAACCCTGGCTTCATCAGTGTTCATTGCTTCCGGAATAACCTGAATAGACAGTTAAAGTAGTTGATTAATATTGAGATTTACCGTTGAAAGAGTAGAAAGCTGAGCAATGGCGTCTGCGGGAATCCCGTACATTCCGATGATCTTGGACCAAATGATTCGCATGTAGCAGTAGAGTACGTTCTTTGATTCTTGGCGAGAGAATTTTCCATCTTTGTCGACATCAAAAAGCTTGTAGAGCATCGTTCGCAATTCTTTTAAAATATAGTTACACAAGTCCTGGAAGTTGTGGTAGTTTTACCTTCATCTTCTGGTTGATTTGCAAACGTCTCGGTCGGGATCATATCTGGAACTTCGTTCTTAATCATTGCCACGATCCTTTGAGAGCATTCCTTATCTTCATCGAAGGAGATGTCCTTTCTGTCCTCTCCAACGCAAAAATCGAAGGCCCGGTCAACGAATCGCATGTCAAGGTTGTCTGCCTCCATTTCTCTGTGCATTTGCTCGTGGTCCAAACTAAAATGTAAGCCGTTTTTTTTCTGCATATACTCTCGAAAGTCTTACCTGTCGAACTCAGCCTTGGCCATTGGTATGACGATTGTTTTCATGAAGTTGATGGCAACATCGGGATTGTTTGGGAAATCAGCCATTCCTTCGGGAAGGAAAGCATTGGCGAAAGTGAGACAGAAAGCAAAAACTCTCATGGTTTGATGAATTCATCCTTCTGCACAACGCTTTATACTAAGAAATCGCCTGACCGCCATCTGCCGGAGAATTACGAAGTGGTTTATTTTGAAAATAAAGCATATTTGCGATGAACTTTGAGGAGTTCTCAGCGGGATGTCGTCAGCTGGTTCGATCTATTCAAGTAAATATGAACAGTGCTTTTGAAATGGAATGACCCCTTTTTTCCCAATGAAAATTTCGGCGGGAGATCCAAAACTCTTTGTCTTGGAAGAACTTTATCCTTTTCAGCAGAATCGAACCGTAACGACGAATCGAAGAAACGATCTCTGACGGTTAGCTCGACAATTTTTCTTTGAAACATCTTCGTTGGCTCTGAAGTCGTGAAAATAACTGCGAAATAAACATGTATCTTGTCATTTATATCGTCAGTTATTCTAAACATTTACCATATTGAGCATTATTTATGATCAATATCTAAATTTAACGACTCATTTTACGATATTCCTCTAGTCTGAAGATTCCCAAAAGGTCATTGTGAAAAATGACATCGCAAGAATACTACAACGCGAAAAGCATCAACATAAAATCTTTGGTGATCGAGATTCCAAAGAGCAGAGATAAATCGGTGATCAATAAGAAGCTAATTTGGACTCCAATCGACGAGTTTTTCGGAAAACTGACAACAGAAAATGGCGAAGTCGTCCATAACGATATCGGAAAAATAACAACTAACCCGAAATTCGAAAACCGAGATGTATTTGCTATCACAAAGGTACACCAATTAGCATTCAAGTAATTTATAGAGAAATCCAGAGAGGAGATTCCTTCGGGATCATAAGCGTCGGCGACAACGAGGAAGACCTTCGATTCATGACCAACCATTGCGGGCTAGTGCATTTCCAATCATTCGAAGACGCTAATCCCCAGAAGCAAGACTTCAAGTTGAAATTTCAATAAAGATTTTGATAGAGGATATTTGTTTTATTAGCCTTTTATACAAATAAATTAGACTGGAACTGTTTGTCTGGGCATTGTCAGTAGTAAAAGAAGCAAATGTGAATGATATTAAGGTTGAGGCAGCGGGTAAGCAGCATTGATGTATTTCGCGGGATTGTTGCCTTGTTGGACGTTGATGTTTAGATTGAGGAATGGGTTCGGCGAGTTTGCGACCCGTCGGAGAGTGAAAACCACGGGCCTAGCGTATCGCCTCCAAAGCTGAGATTCGGGCACTTCTTGGCATTGAGTCATCATTGTCAATTGCCAGTCGTGGGTTGCTGGCTCAAGTCGAACTTTAAGCCCTACAAATGCATAAAACAGAGAAAAATCATATTTCGGCTTACCTGCTGACATTTTCGCCACGCAAAAGACTTCAGCCGGGCAAAGCGGCTTCGATCTGTTATCACGCTCATCCCTGTCGATCATGTCATACGTTGCTGGCAGCTGATCACTTACACGAATGCGAATTTGCACTTCGTTTCCAGACAGATCAACTTCTCTCCCGTAGACCAAAACGTAGACAGCTTTATGAGATGCGAATCCGCGGCTGTTTGGTGAGATCTTTGGGGTGCCAACAATCGACCAGCTTCCAGTCTCTTTAAGGAGCAAGGTTGCAACACTTTGGTATTGACTCTTGACTCGTTCGACCTAAAATTTGGAATTAGACCTGCTAAGTCTTCCTTGATTTCAATCTATAAAAAATTACCTTCAAAGCTGCACCGATCGGCTTAACTTCTAGATCCCAGCCGTAGTAATCACCAGGAGAAATTCTTTCGTGATTGTTTCTCCTTGTCTCTTGTGAAGAATAAATTTCATTTCCTGGATGAACACAATGCGGAATCATCAGCTTCAACGTCTTTCTTATTTTCAATCCTGGAGGCCCGACGATAACCACCGGAGAAAGAAGAACTTGATGCTGAGGAAGCAAGGGCCCATCAGATCCACAAACTCGAAGTGAAATCATTTGATCTTTACTCAACGCATCCGGGGGAATACTCAGCGTAACTCCGGCAAAGTTCTAAATTGGCCGGGTTATTGAAAACCAAGTGTGTATTGTCGTGGTCTGAGCGAAAGAAAGCGCCCCATACATTGTGACTTTTCGCATGTCAGAGCGTTATTTCACTAATGATGATCGATGGCTGGGTTGACTTACCATATCCCCACCGTGCGCGGCGGTGATGAATTTCTCGATTTGATTGTCGCCGACGTTGTTGCTCAGTTGTGTACTCATCATTTGCGGTTGGCGGTTGTCGCGCTGCTGTGCCGACTCGGAAGAGGATGAAGTGGACGGGGCCATGTAGCCAGGAATGTAACGGTCATAGAGATCGCTACAGCGAGATGTTTGGCAGCGTTCCATCCTCATTGAGCGCTAGAATGAATAATCAACTGACGAGTTCAAATTGAGATGTGTTGCTCAAAAATAACTTGATGTATTTGCACTAGATTACCTTTGTATTATTTGCACGCATGCGCTGGATAACACAAATGCCAATGCCGATGGCTGTCAAAAACATCACCGTCACGACGGCGAGTCCGACCGCCAAGGCTGGCTGATCCACCAAGCTTGAAAAGAGCGTTTCTTTACAAGCGCCTCCTTGACAAGGGATTTCTTCGAGACCGATTCCGGAACACTCGTCGCCGCCGTTTTTAGGAGCGGGGCGATTGCAACGCCTTTCATGAGTTTGAACACAACGCTGACTACACTCTGTCCATTGAGACCAGTTCGACCAGCCTCCGTCAATCGGGCACTCGTTTTCGCAGTCACGCTCTTCACGTTCATTTCCAACGCATTCTTTTCCGTCATTATGCGGGGCCGGAGCATTACATGCGCGAGTTCGAAAGGCTCGAATCTTTGCGCAAGAATTTAGAGGGCAATGCGACCATTCCGACCAGTGCGACCACATCCCATCAGTCACAACTTTTATCGTAGCTGCTGGAGATTCACGACTCCCGACAATGTTTTCGGCACGGCAGACGTAATCGCCAGAGTCGCTGTATCTACAAAAGCGCTAGTATTCCGAGATTTCTAAGCGAAGTTTACCTTGCAGCTTTGACAATTAAATCGTTGTCGTAGTTGATGATTAGATTTTTGTCACGATTTGGGTCAAGAGGCTCTCCATTCTTGATCCAAGTGATTGTCGGCGCAGGAAGACCTTTAGGAGGCACACAGTGTAGTTGAATGTTCTCGCCAACAGAAAAGTCTGGTTTTGTCGGAAACGGTTTCGCCTGAAACTCTTTGTGGAGAAAAGCGAGCTCGACATTCGCAGAAGCGGATTGCGCGATGATCTCCTCGCCATTTTCGTTATTCCAGGCGACGCAGTGGCAATTAAACTTTTCCTCTCCAAAAACACTGACCACATCCGACTTCTTGACGTCAATAGAAGCAGCTAAAAACGGAACGCCATTCGAGTCCTTCCAACTTGCATAATGAGGTTTGTAGCTGTCGAACCACTTCTCATTGCACTGGAATTCGAGGTTTTTGGCGTTTTTGGCTTGACATTTTAGCGTGGCGACTTGATTCTTGACGATGTACTCGGTTTTCGGGTGGAGAGTGAACTCGGGCTTGATGGCTTTTTCGAGGATCAGAAAGAAAGTCTCACTTCTGCAAGATTTTGTGTATGAAAATTGATGATCCTTTCCTTGAGAAACATAAAGAAGGTTCCAAAATACCAAAAGTGCCATAAAGTTCGTTAGCATTGGCTGCTATTCACCACCGTTGAAGCCTCGTTAATGACATATCTGACATTTTTTCTTCGTATCTGAAATAGTTTTTAGTCGGTAAGTATCGCCACCTCAAAATTTACGCTGCGCAAAGTTTGGGAGGAAACTTTGCGGAGTGATAAGAAAAAATTCTCGATTCGGAACAATTCGTAAAGCATTTTAATTTCTGAAAAAGTAAGTTTTGTGATAAGAGTGTCTCGTATCGCTGATAGGTTAAGCTAGATAGTGTCGGCCGGATCAGACTGACGATAAGCTCTGATAATATTTGATTTGATTAAATGAAATCCACGACATGAGTTTGCTCAAGAATTAGGAAGGAAAATACTGCGGGGATCCGGCGCGATTTGACGTTCCTCAAATTAACCACTAATTAATCCGCCCTTGTTTAGGTTAATTTATGAGCTCATAAATTATTCCTTCTTTGAACTTCGTCATAACTGTTTCTATTATCACACAAAAGGCACTCGTAATAATGGTAAAGGCGTCACTCGAAATTCAAGAGTTGGATTCGCCTAATTGGACGCAAATTGTTTGACAAATTTGAGTGGTGATGAATTAGGCGATGCACAGGCGGGCTCATTCCAAAATATCAAACGGCGCCGCCATAATCCCGCTTTAAAAAATTACGCTTCGCTGTTGAAATTTTGGCTGGGTCGGTCACGGGGTGGCCCGCCATTCTGTCGGCGCCAGTCCGTCGCCGCGGCGGGGCAGAAAAACGCGCAGCGCGCTCCACCTCCACCAGAAAGAGCAGTCAAGCGTGCACGCAAGCGAGCGGATCAATTCGAAAGCTCAACCCTTAAGTGAGATTTATACACAAGCGGATTACTGCGCGGCTTAGTACGCCGACAACATGTCGGTTTCCCGGATTGCCTTGTGTGTGCGGAAGGATTACAAAATGCACAGAGCCTTCTGGGAGATTCAATTTCACTTCCGCGATTTTCTCAATTAGAAAATGGTAGATTTGAGACGGAAATCAAATCCTAGCGCTGGTCAAGCTGCTTGACTCGAGCCTAAAGCAAAATTGATTGCTCAAAATTGAATGGGATAAAAAGGAAGAATCAAATAATCATAGACCGCAAATAAAGCCAAATCAGAACTTTATAACCATCAAGGGGCCACAACTCAAAATGAGCTGGCTCAAGGCCGCTCAAAGTCGAACGGAAGCAGTTTTGACGAAGAGGCGCCGTCAGGACGGCGAGGGATCTTCAAGAAACCAACAAAATTCATCAGCTCTTTCCAAATGAGCGCTAACCCCAACACGGCATTTACGATGGGAGAGCTTTCATCTCAATTATAGCTTGGTCTCCTATCGTCGTATTCCGTTGCCGGCCTATTCTTTTGACTATCAGAGTCTTCTGACCGTTAAAAATCGGCATGAGAAAGTTCTTTTGCATAACCCCACGAAAGATAAAGTAATTGACCTGTAGAATCTGATGATCGATAAGAAAAAACGGGAATCTCAAGTCCCCAATTTTTATGGGTCAAGAGATTTGAATCCTCCCGTCACGGGCCATTGAAAATTTTCTCTTCGACGTTCATCTTTTGAAAATAAATAGGCTAATTTGAAACACAATTATTATTTCAAAAATACCTTTCTCTCAAATCCGGTTACTACGAAATGCTGTTTACCAAGTGCTTTCTGTAAAGCCATTGTAGGGGGTCGATTTGGATTTCGATAGGAAGATCCTCGGAAAATGTACCGATAGGAACTCGACAAAATTGTTGTATGTGATGGTAAGATTATTTTGTATGACGAAAAAATGAACAACTCAAGAATATAAAATGTTCTCATGAAAATTACCTGAGGAGAGTCTTCCTTATTCTTATCTTCGTTCGGCTAAAATCTCTCAATTCAAGAACGCCTTCATCTCGGCGAATATCTCTATCTCCGTCGTAAAGGTATATTTTTTATCTTTCGTTTGGCGAAATAATGGTGCAACAGGTGCGCGCCCAGCTCAGTTCAAATAGAAAAGCGAAAAATACGAAAAAGCGAGTTAGTTGCTTCAGCACGGCGGCCGAGGCGCCCCCGCTAAGGCGCTAGTTTTACTACACCACCGAGAGCGCGCGCTTTCTTGGCGGCGCGGTGTAGTAACGTTGGTGCAGCAGGGCATGCACCAAGACAGCCGGAAGCTCCAGGACTGGCCTCACGAACGGTACAAAAGACAGAAACTTCAAAGGGTATCGAAGCCTTTGTTGAAACTGAAATCAACAAGGACATCTCGTTTTTGTTGACTTAGCAGTGTTGATAATTGACAAAGCGTAATCAAATAATGATCACATTATGTAACAACAATTCAGACGCAAGATAAAATCATAACCAACTGATAAGTCTCATACTAAATTAGCCCTGCATCTTTCCTTCCCGGAACCCGTATTACTGTTACCACACCGTGACTGAATGGAGCCATTGGACACACAGAGGACGCGCTCAACCGGACGACAAATGGTCACTCGACAGCCATTGTCCACCAAACACCAAAACACTAAATCAACTCAAGGAGATTCCGGCGTGACCCTCCGATTTTACTTTTTCGATACTTTGCCCTGCTAAAGTTTGTTGTAAATCTAATTGCCAACAAATTATGGCTAAGCGTCCAGTTATTTTATAAAAGATTATTTCTCGAAGGGCTTTTCAATAAGGTCTAACAAAAGATCTAAAAGAACATGAAACCCTAAGGCAGCTGCGTTTTCCTAACCTGCCCTTTTGTCCAGAAATAATGAGCAAATAGGACATTATATGACATCAAATAAATGCCACATTAGACAGGTCTTTAATTATCATTTATTAAGAATAAGAACAAAAAGCTTGGTCTGAAGTGAGAAGTAACAAACGAAAAACATGTATTTTAGAAGGAGATAAGGGAACAGAAAAACAGAAGCTAAGAAAACATGCGGAAGGGCCTTCCGTCAAACAGAAATATTATTATTTGTCGGAGATACACCAACTAAAATTATTGGCCGGAAAGGGCGATAAACAAATAGTAGACGTCGAAAATAGAAGGGATTGATGCTGAGTAAGTTGGACTACTTTGAATACTTTTTGATGGAGGTAGGTCAGCCAGATTTTTAATTTGAATAAATATAAATAAAGTTAAACAGTTTTCGATAAATTACTCTTTTTTGGGATGGGTTAATGAGCTAAAGAAGATCACGAGCTTTTGATGAGCAAAAAGCGCGTGAAAATCTTTTTAAATTTTTAATATAAACAGCTTTGACAAGTTTTAAATAGAAGTAGAAACCCACAACCGGCAGTTTTCTTTCCAAGTAATACTGGGAGGTAAGTAAGGAACAGTAGTAACGATTTCGATGAAGTATTTTTCCTTTATTGATTCCATGAAGTTGGCGGGATGACGGTTGATTTTTGATTTTTTTAAATATTGATAGTATTGCACCTTCGTTAATTAAAGTTCATCTTGGCGGGGTGTCCTAAAATAAAATTATCTTTTCCGATTCTTTATTGTCGGATACAGTGTACGATACACTGTGTATCTTCGCACGAAAATTTATTGTTTCATAACCATTCAACGCGCATAAAGTACAAATGTTATTAAGGAACTGTGCCATCCGCTACTAGTTGCCGGTCCGTTTCACTGCTACTAGTTGTCGCGTGGGTCGCATTTTCATCCTTCGCGCTCACCGCTAATAGTTGCCGCTTAGGCCCCCGCCAAGGGGAATCTAGGGCGCATACCCCGCCGAGAAAGGGCAACCTTCGCTTGAGCGCCGAAGAGAAAGCGCCCGTTTTCACTGCTACTAGTTGTCGCGAGGTTCGCATTTAGGCGGCAACTAGTAGCGGATGGCACAGAATTTGAAATAAACGAAATAAGATAAACGGAATGTACAATTATATTGACGATATGGGCAGACGTCTTCACTCCAAAATAATCTCATATTGACGCACTCATGTTTTATTAATTTAAATTTACAGTATTTCTCAGCTGTTGTCATTTGCCACGCAAATTGATGAAAATATCGATATTGAAATTTGCTTGGCAAACAAAGACAATTCCCAACGTTCATTTTACTGCCAAAATTTAAACGAAATGTTCTTCGACATTTTGACGTTTCCGACAGCTTCAAAATTGCCTCGTACGACAAGTTCAAATTTGCGAAGAACTTATGAAAAGGCAATCGTTTGTGCACTAATCTTGGCGGTCAGAAACATTCAATAGAGCGCTAATGTTGTGGCCAGGGGAAAACAGCCGACGTAAAAAGTTCAATTTGGATCTTCTTGAGAAATAAGATAAAAATATCTGAAATTATTTTGGAATAGATACGTTTTCAAAAGATGTGACAAGTTTTTTGAGCGAGATAAATAAGAACATAGGCAGAAGGTTTTTTATTGTATAAAAAGTAAGGATGAAGAAATATTGCGTGAGCCGGAGAAGAAAAAGCCATTGAAGGGATATTCAGCTCCTCAGATATCCGGACATGATGTCTTTCACTTTTTCAGATTTGCGATTTGAGCTCGTCGAAATCGTCGAGTCTCCACTTCGTTGTCGAGTCTTACGAGAGCCTAAAATCAAGATGGTTAATACTTGACCTTCGCAGAAGCAATCATGGGGTACGCGCTAATAATTACGTCGATTCACAAAGTGGCAATCACGTTTTTACGAGTGTCTAACCGATGATTACAATAAACGATGGCAGATAACCTTATAAAAACTAGCACTTTCCCAAGGCCAACTCTGACAAAGAAATCCTCCTTTGGAAAGTTCAACCGAATGATTAGAAGACAAAATTTGAATTCTTGAAATACCTGAAATCGGCGTAGCAGTTTCACATCGAACTCCGAATCTTGCCAGCGATACATCATCTCCATCGGGATCCAGGGTGAAGTTAGATTGACCAGAAGGAGCTCGGTTTCGTTCTTTGCGGCTTTTCGAACTTATCGGCTCAGTGAAAGAAACGCGACTGCTTGCTCGATTCGAGGAACCTTCAGAGCTTTGTCGACTTGTTCTTCCCTTTATGTAGTCCTCAGCTATTTTCCTAGAAGTCGATTTTATTTCTGAAGTGCGTAATCTGTTTACCTTTGATCAGGTTTTTCGGTGATGCTTCCACGGACTTTGTCGAGAAAACGCGAGCGGAACTTTGGAGTACTGTCGTTGCTATCTTTTGATTGTCTTTTTGGAGGAACATCGAATTCATCGTCGCCTTCTGATAGATCTTCGTCATCAGATTCAGGAGTAGTGGACTTTTTCTTTTCCAGGACGTCATTGTAAACTCGGTCAAACTAGAAGAGAAAGATTCTTATAGAATCATCGACTAGAGATACTTACCTTGGCGTTATCTATGGGCTCCGCATCTAGAGCACTAAGTTCAGCGCTCATTTTTGCCGCTCTGGCTGCCATCTCCAACCAGTCCTCTCCTGTTCTCGATGCTTTGGATGAAGTGGAAACTGTGGACTCTCTATCATCGTCTGATTCACCTGCTTCCGATGCTCGTCTTGCTTTCATCCTTGCTTCAAGCATTTTTTCGATATTTGCAGGATCAAGGGGATCATTCGGATCGGGCATCAACAGCCGATGTCGAGTTTTAGTGAGATCTAATGGGTCTTCTTTCTGACGCTCCTCGAGTGTCTTCCCGCCAAGCTTTCGCGGAGCTCGCTTCGGTTTAAATTCATCGTCATCATTTTCGTCGGAAAGTACAATTTTATTTGTTTTTTTCTTTCCACGCGCAGCTTGAAGCTTTTCTTCTTCGTCCGAGATGTCATTGTCGTCATAGCCGACGGATTTATTGAACTTTTTAGAGTTGGTCGAGTATTGAGCCATCGTCTGTCTGACAATATCATCAGCGATATCGTTTGCATCATCCTCGTCATCATCGTCATCCTCGAAGTCATATTTTCTATCTTTCAATCGGCCAGCGTTAGAGATAGAATCATATGGCGAAATTTCGTCATCAAGGTCAACAGAAGTTCGTCCCTTCGGTTTGCGCAGGATTGATTTCCTCCTTGCCTCCTGTGGCGACTTCTTGATCGAATCATTCGAGCATGAATCACTCAGCGATTCGGCTTCATGTCTCGCAAATATTTTGCTCCTGATGTGATCAGTTTTCATGTTGTCAATTTGCCTAGTGACATCTGCGAACGCTCCAACCTTAGCTCTGCGTGATTCTTTTTCCTCCATGTCGGACGCTCGCGAGCGAGATCCGTTTCTTGATCCCATTCGCGATTCCGTTCGGATGATTTCGATCTCTTCGTTGATATCACCGACGTCTTTAGTTCGCCGCATGCCAAGTTCTTTGGCCAGTTGTTCGGGCGTTGAGTGAAGAAGCAAATATGGATCAATATCTTCTAGTTTTCTCAAGATAGGGTCATTTTCTTTTCTTGCTGGCGGAAGAGTCATCGGTCGTTCAGGAGAACCAGCTCTGGAACCTGCTCGAGAACCGACACGTGAACCTGGTCGGAGAGTCGACGCCCGAGACATTCGAGACTGAGCTCGGTTAGCGCCGAAATCATCGACAAGATTTACAAGCTCCTGTCGGCTTTCGGAAATCATAGATCCAGTTGGAGATCCAGCACGGCTCAGGCTATCATCAATCTGCGAGACGGCCCCTGAAAAGAAAGATTAATTGATTAACAGCGATGATTATTCTACCGGAAAGCTTTTTGGTAAGCTCATCCATCGTAAAATCAGCACCGGCTTGTTTGGAATTATACTCCGTATCAGCAAGAATATTTCTGTTCGCTCTGGAAACTGAGCCGCTTCGTGAACCAGGTCTAGAGCCAGCCCTTGACGCACAGCGTGATTCAGATCGCTCCTGATATGCATCCATTTCCTTCACAAGCTTCTTTCGGGCCTTTTGGGCGGCTTTCTTGCGCTCAGCACCTGTCATTCGCTTCTTTGCTCTGCCAACAGTAGATAGACCAGTGATCGCGGAATGAAGAGTTCCAATAGTTAGAGAAGATTCTGGCCTTTCTGAGGCACCACAAGAGATGCAGCTATAGCAATACAAATAGAGCAAGGGCAATAAGAAAATGGCTCACACGATGTTTCTGTTTTGTTGCTGTTTTTAGTACACACACAGTTTTTTTTTGTATTAGACAGGTTTAGCTTAAACACTCGGATGGAAGGATGGCAGTGAGATTGTTTGAAGAAGTTGAATGGTTATGAATTAAAAAACGCTTTTTTTGGTATATAATCTTTTATAAATGAAAACTGTTCTGCAAACTTCGATATCTCGGGCGACTGTTACGATACCTTTGATCGTCGCGATCAAGTCTGGAAATTGAACCACCGAGGCGGGATACAGGAGGTAAAGCGGAAGAATAAAGCCTGAAAAGTCATCAGTACTGGAAAGTTTTCATTTTAATTTACGTCATATTATCGGGATCGTCGTCAGACGAAACATCAGACAAGTCGACATCTGAATCTTCAAGAGCCTCGAATGCCTGCTGTAGATCTATAATAATGAGTAGTTGAAACATTCGGAAATTTAACAAATGTTCAAAATTATGTAGAAGTACCTGATATTCTTTTGAACGCGAGTTTGAGGTCTTGCTGGAGAGCTTCGTTGGTCGAACTGAGGCGGGTAATCTCGAGCTCAAGCTCTTCAACCTTGGACTTGGATTCGTGATACTTGCGCTCGGCAATAGTAAGATCCTCGCGAGCTTCCTGCAAAGCTTTCTTTGATTTTCTCGACGCATCCTAAAATTATTATAGCCTCAAAGTTCGCTTCAAAATAAGTCACCTTCTCACGATCCTTGTCGGAGAGATCTTGCGTTCTCTGATTTTGATATTTTTCAGCGTTGTCCTTCAGCCTATTGATCTGCGTTTCAAGCCTCTTGGTGGTGGATTTTTCAAATTCAAGTTTGGTTTCTGCTTCTCTAGCTCTTGCCTCAGCTCTGAGAACATGAGATTTGTCGACATAGTTGGTCTCGTATTGTTGATTCGACATTTGAAGGTTTCTAACACGCTCTTCAAGAAGATATTTTTCTGATTTGAGCGCTTCGAATTCCGTGTTGACACCGACGAGTTCAGACTGAGATCTGTTGTAGTTATCGACCGCGGATTTGTACTTTTGCATCGTTTCTTCGAGATCTTCTTCTTGCTCTTCTATTCGATTGCAGAGGTCATTTCTAAAGACAAAACATCCGCAAGTTGTCTTAGACAGTGGCTTAAATTTACGGAAAGAAGAGTATAATCCTCTACAAATATTCATCGCTTTTTCAAAATATTTTTGTTGTCAAAAAATAAACCGCAAAGCTCTACTTTATATATAAAATATCTAGATCTTACCGTTCTCTATGTGAGTCCGCAAGCTGTCTTTCAACTTCCTGCTTTGCCCTGGTGAGTTCCTCAATCTGGCTCACAAGATCCTCATTTTCAAACTCGATCGATTTCTTGCTCTTCGACACCTTGTTCTGATTCATCGAGGCCTCTTCAAGTTGAGTCTGAAGTTGCTTGAGCTGTGCTCGTGAAACAGAGTCGTTTCGTAGAACTTCAATTTGGAGCTGGGCATCCTTCAGAAGGGCACGGTATCGCTATAAAGATGATGCCAATTTTTATGAAATCCCGAATTTTTCTCGCACTTGACGGAAAATATAAATTGCTCACCTGGATATCTCGACGAAGTTTCCTCTCGCTCTCCTCGTTTTTGGCGGGAACGGTAGTGCGCAATTCCTAGGCAATAGAAGTATGAAAAATGAAAAAACTACATGAACTAACATTAAGCTTGAGTTCAGCTTCCTTCCGCTGTTTATGAGCGCTTTGACGCTCGGACTCTTCCTCTTCAAGCTGTATCTCGAGTTGTTTAATTCTCTTTTGGAAACCCGCTCGTTGGTCGTCTAAAGATGAATATACGAGATTTGCAGCATACGTAATTCAATGCTCTAATCTTCCTCTACAGACTATAGATTCGTGGTTTTTACAAATCCTGTGTCTATCCAACTAGGACAAAAACTGTATTCTATGTCTTACTATTGCTAAAAGTTAAGACCCAAAAATTTTACCAATTTCTTGATCCTTAGCTTCAAGCTGACGCTGATATTGCTGTCGATCGCGCTCATTTTGAACCTGGAATCTATCGCGAGCTTGCTCAGTTTGCTGATTTTCAGCGAGGAGCTCATCGAATTCCTCCTGTAATTCTTGGAAATTTTGCTCCAATTCGCGTTTGCTACGTTTGAGCTGGTTTACCATTTCTCCGTCGTCTAAAAAGGCGATTTAATTAAAGGTTAACGTCAAAAAAAATGGAAATATTATATTAAATGGTCGGTCGGAAAAGGAAATATCTTCGTTTTCAGGTCCCAGATATTCCATGAAAAAAAATGAATGATATACGCCCCAAATCATAAAATTGAGTAAAATTTGAAAAATTACCGTCATCTCTCGAAATATAATCTTGAATTTCCGCTTCCAATCGTTGGTTCCTCTTTTCCGACAGCTCGAGATCATTGATTTTCTCATCAAGCTCATTTTTCAGCTTGAAAACTTGCGCCTGAAATTTTAAAAAGTTAGTCGATTTATTTATCTTTTTCTTCCCCACCTGAAGATTCTCCTTCTCTCGCTGGGATTTATCCTTGTCGATCTTGTGCTGCGCAGTTTCCGCTTGCTGACCGTACATTTCAGAGTCAAACTTGCGCTGCTTCTTTTCGAGCTCATGATTCTTCGCTGAGACTTCCTCTAGCTGCAATTTTGTATCGTGAAGCTCGGCAAGTTGTCTGGCTTGCCGCTTCTTGGATTGGGAAAGATCTTGATCGCGGTTTTCAAGCTCTTCTTTTAGCTCGTTCAGTTGTTTTTCAGTGTTGCGCTTCTCAGTTCGCATTACTTCGAGCTTTTCTTCAAGGTCGCCTTCGAGCTTTTTCTTTTCGAATTCGACTTCTCTGATTTGATGTTCCAGGCGAATACGAACTATATTTATATTTTAGAAAATGATGAGCAAATGACTAGAAACCTTCTTCAACAGTCTCGTCGCCATCGCCGGAATCATCAACAACGGTTTTGTTCATTTGCTCAACTGTGTGATTGTGGCGTTGGCGCAGTTCGGCTAGCTCGATGTCGATTTCTTCAAACCTCTGAAAAGGCGGTTTATCTTTCTGGTTTCGTAAAAAGGAAACTCGAAATTCCGAATTATTGCCAAGTCAAATACTATCAGAACAATAATATTTGCTTGACAGATATTAACACTCAATGAAGTCAATCTCTTAAGGATATAAGCTATGAATTTGAACTTTCGTAGCGCCTAAATGCGAAGTAGGATCATTTTCACTTCAAAAGTAATCCTACCTAAAAATTCACGCAAAACTCAAATATGGTACTTTAAAAAAAAATTTTATTGAAAACTTTCCTTTTAGAGCGATTTCAAATCTTACTCTCTCGATTCCTCGAAATTTTTCCACTAAATCGGTCCAGTTTTTTCGATAAATAACTTCTCTTAACCCTTATCTACAAAATTGACGGATCAGTTTTCCCTAATTCCGACCGAAACCGATTTTAGAGCCATTTCCATGAGGCTTACCAAGCGCGCGAATAGTGTAAAAAGCGGTGCGCTTGGCGCTCGCTCTCTCGACTCCTCTTTTCCGTGAGAGTGGCGCGGTTGAGCGGAGCGCTTTGATTGGTTGCACGCGAAAAAGCACAAAAAGAAGAAAAACAGGAGCAAAAAAGAGGAAACGCTAGAATAAAAATTCGAAAGAGTTTCGAAATAAAAGCCCGTCAATTTTCTAGCTTAACATCATTGAAATAATAGACACGGTTTAGTTTTAGCGATTCAATGGAAAAATTTCGAGAAATCGAGAGAGTAAGATTTGAAATCGCTCTAAAAGGAAAATTTTCAATAAAATTCTTTATAAAAGTACCATATTTGAGTTTTGCGTGCATTTTTAGGTAGGATTGCTTTTGAAATGAAAATGATCCTACTACGCATTTAGGCGCTACGAAAGTTCAAATTCATAGCTTATATCCTTAATCCTAGCGGTAGAATATTGAATTCTACGGAGAAAACGCCTTCAGGTTATTCGCGTATAAAATGATAATTCTTATGCAAAGATCTGGCATGTCTGCTATTGTCTGACTGATTCTATCAAAAGAAACTAATTTGAGCAAGAATAGCCCTTCCTTTGTCTCGTTTAAAAATATTTTCTCGATAAAATGATAATTTTTCCATGGATAATTTAATTTATGATTTATCACACCTTTTCGCTGTCGTCTGCGCGTGATTTCAAGTCACGATTTTCAAGCTGGACTTGTCGTCGTTCTGCGATCTCGATTTCAAGCTGCTCGTTTGTCTCGGCGTTGGCGTTTTGCTCTTCGATTAGGTCGTGTGTGAGCTCTTCTACCTAAAACAAAACATTCTAGTTTTCTTGGCAATTATCTTCTTTCATATTTTTCAATAGGTTTGGCACGGATTGTTAAAAAGACAAAGGGGGGAGTACAAAAAGTCCTCCTTGATTTCACACTACGGAGCTTAGATACAGTTTTCTCGATTATTTATCAAGCTCCAAGTTTAGAAAACAACAATCACCGAACCGGTGCCCTCCGGCACCACCTGTTAAATGTCGGATCAGAAGAAGCTCAACAAATTATTTGTCGATGCTCCGAAAAGTCACACTTGGTCGGCGCAATCCAAAAATAATTATTTTGTGAATCATAAAAAGAGGAAGTCTTTTCTTGATAGTGATTGATTATAGCTTTTTTAATCTCAAGCGTTAAATAATAATTTTACGGCTGAAGGTCATCATTTAAGCCGATCCCTGGTAGCTCTCTAGTTAAACATTCCCTGTAAAAATATCCTCGGGGAAAGAGAGGCTTTTAAAATTTTAAGGAGGTTTTAAACTGGACTCTCAAAAGTTACCTTGGAATTCAGTTTGTCCGCCCGTTCTTTGTTCCTAGCATTCTCTTCCTCCAGTAGCTCGAATTTGAGCTTTAATTTTTCCAGCTCTGTGGTTTTCTCGTGAAGCTCCACATCCGCTCTGTGAGTTTCAATAAGGGGGATGATGTTGGTATAGAGTTTCCACCAAGGCCACGATTTTCTTTCCATATAACTTCGGATATTCCTCTGAATCGTTCTAGCAGCGACCTCTCCGACTTTTCGCTTTTCAAACTTCTTCCTTTGAAGATGACCTTTGCAGCGAGCTTGGAAACTCGAGAGAAGAATATTCAGTTTCTTATTTCGCCTTGTCTCTAATTTCGCAATGATGCCAGTTCTGAAGAAGATCTTCGATCGACCGATCTTATATTGAGTTCGCTCTAGCTCATGTGCATCGCAATGCAGCTTAACAATATCGGGCGTTTTGTGGTAATCGTTGGGATAGACCTTCACCAAGCAGCCAAATTGTCTGATAAATTCGTCAAAGTTGAGTGAGTCTGGGAATCCCTGTTTGATGAAGCGGCCGGATTCAACGAGGCGCAGACCTCTAATCTGCATTCTCAGGAATGGCATGTCTGTGAGTGCCGATTGCTCCGCTTGGATCGTTGGAGACAAGGCATTGACAAAATGCACTTCGCATCGTCGAAGCTTATCAACGATCAAATCCACGGAGACCTTTGCTTGGAGGGTTGGACTCTTTCGTTTCGTTGCTGGAAGACTTGAGACATTTCTTCTTCCAGAAGTGGTTGATCTTCTGATTGTACCTACACGGACAAAATCTCCTCCTAGGTCGTTTGAGCGTTTGGCGAGACTTTGTATTATGACCTTCTTCGATTCGGACAAGAAGTTGGCTGTGCAGGTAAACTGAGGGGGGAGCTTCTCTTGAGCCCATGAGCCAAGAAGCTGATTCATATTCAGCCTCGAACTGACCATGTTGATGTCGGATCTTAAATCCGCTCCTAGATTCTGTCGCTGGTAGGACGAGTGGATCCCTGCCGATGCCGTATTGAGTCAAAACCTTGCCCGTGAATGTTTCAGCAGACGAGTTAGGATACAGCGCTTCCTCCTCAAGCATCCACAAAATACCTTTGGCATCATCCTCATTGTAAGCCGCACGATTTTGTCGGTCCACCAGGTCCACAGATGCTGACAAGTCCACATCTGGCACGGGTAAATCAAGTTCCAGCCCTTCTTGCTCATACCGTTTTTGGACATCTTGAAACAGTTTTTCGTCATGAACTTGCATTAATCTGTCGTTAGTGTAGTTGAAGAGCAAGGATGAAAGAGATTGATGTTTACCAAGCTGATAACCTGGAATATCAACAACCGTGATCGTATGAACTCCACTTTCTCGTCCTTTGAAGGCAGCATTCACAATAGAGTAAATAATCTGGTACACTTCACAGTACAATCCTTGTGCAAAAGCATCGATAGCAGCTTGCCCAAGATTAGTGTTCTTCGCTGGTCGTCCAGGAACAGTCTGTTCGAAAATATATTTTTGAAGACTCTCCTGTGGAATTCCGAGGACAGCAGCTGCTCGTTGAGCTGATTCAGGATCGGAGTATTGGAATCGCTTTCCGTCTGGGGTCTTTTCGGAACCTGCACATCCCAAATGAAGAATCGCTGCCAAAAGACACATAATATATCTAATTTGATTAGCTTCGGCGTCGAGTGCTTTTAATGCCAGATTGAATTTTTCTAATCGACGAACCCAATAGCTTGGCTCGTTCTGAGACTTGGTAGGAGGGAGGTATCTGTTGTCAGTCTTCGTCCTGTCGTTCATGAATAAGTCTTTCCTCAGCTCAGCTTTTGCCCCCTCCGCGAGGATATGAAGAGCGAGGAAGTTAGATTGATCTTGTGAGCTTGATGTTATGTGCTCCTTGTCTAGCAGAGCACTCTGGACATCAATGGAAACAAGAGACCCTGACTTATCGTAGTCAAGATGAAACAGCTTCACATCTTTTGAACTTGCACGACCCTGGGGTGATTCGACGCAACTGACGGATTCAAGCGCCATCCATGCAGCATTAACCACATCTTTTTTGATGCTAGTATTCGATACTGTTAGGAGGTAGTTTAGTGTGTGTTCGACCATGATACTCTTTCCAGCACCAGAAATGCCAATAGGACAAATGGCTTGATTCTGGTTTGCCTTAAGCATGCGACGATAGGCGGATTGTGCCGTCGCATAAATGTGGGGCGGCAGCTCTTCTCGACGGCAGCCACGGAACATGGAAATAACTTTGTCCGAGTATGCAGCTAGCGAATGACGAGGATTGATTGTGATCAACTGATTCCCGCAGAAAGTATGAATAAGTTTCCCTCCCAGACGCTGCCTCAGCGTGTGCAACGACGATGACTCGTTTAGGAAAGTCAAATGGGTGATATCTTCACATCTGTCTTTTTTAGAGATGAGATTGAAATTTCGAACGTTAATAAGGAAGAACGTGTACCAATTTGAAACGATACCGATGGAATTGAAATTCAAATAAGCACAAATACGCAGCACCATGATAAACAATCGTTTCTAATATGATAAATAAGCGTAAGCTTTTCTCGAAAAATGTAGATTCATACCATAAACGCGAATGTACAACACATCCGAATTCGGTAGATTGTAATAATGATTCCAGTAAAGATGGAATTTGAACCATCTCTTTGTAAAACTGATATTAAATATATACCCAGTAAATCACTAGTCATCTCCTTTCTTGGTCAGGGTGATTTGCTGGCTCAGTAGCTGCCTCATCAACAATAAGAACAGACCCGTCCTGCTCAAGTCTGACTTTAGTTTTGCCGTCCATCAAATGACCGGACGGCGCTTCTTTTGGTAGAATTCTGCAGGACGCGATGCCTGCTCGATGAATAAGCCACAATTTTTCGCCCTTTTCCCACAGCTCATCCGGCAAATCATCGTCAACGCGGAGCTAAAAATTTTTTTAAGAATTTTTTCTACTAAAATTTAAATCTATTCATGTTAGGCAAATGCTCTTTGTCTGGTAGAAGAAAAGGGGGTGATAATTGCTTTGTCGGGAAAATGGCTCATCAAATGGCGCTCGATGACGCTGCGCTCTTTCAAGTCCCCAACGGCCAAACTTTCAACTTCAGTTAAAATTTTTCTCGATTGATTTTCAAACTCAACACAAAAAAAATCAACCTGCTCTAATTCTTCCGCGGCGTCAACAATTTCGTACGATGACGAGTCCGATGAGTCGATGCCATTTTGAAGCTTGACGAGAGTCCACTCTTCTTCTTCTTCTTGAACTTGATCCTGTGTTATTGTAAGATTCTCTCTCAAAGGTCTTCTCAAGCTGTTGGTTTTGTCGAATGGAACTCGAAGATCTGCGGGCTGAGGAAGCTTAGACAGATCAACAGACTTTCTCGCGCTTGTCTTGGTTATATCCATTCCGGACATAGAACTCGTCCTTCTGCCGGAAGTCGTGTATTTTTTCTTTACTTTCGGAGGGCCAGAAGATTTGCCCAACACATGTGCAGACTCAGGCGAGTTATTAGGCGATGGGGTAATCTTCTCTTCGGAAATATCGTTCACCCAGTTTTGTATTCTGTCCATCTTCGATGACGGATTTCTTCCTTGGGCTTCCTCTTTCGCGGATGTTGTTTTTGCTTCGAACATTGCCAGTGCTTTATTTGTTCCTAGTTTCTTCGGGCCTGCCTTTGGAGTCTTTGGGGATGTTTCTGGGGTTTTTATTTTTGAAAGAAATTCCATTTTATCTTTATACAGGGCTTTATACAGAGACATCAACGGGTGCCAAATTTTTTTTAGAAAAATCACCTTTTACGTAAATCATTTTCATCAAAATTGAAAATTTGAAATTCAAATTAAGAGATTACGAAATTCAAAAATTTTAAATTCGCTTTTTCTCAAAAATCTAATCAAAATGATAATTTTATTATTATGAATTTGTGGAAAAGCCCATGCCTAGGTTGCTTATTTTACCATCAATATCTCCGTTGAGCTTGGCCTGGGCCTCTTCGATTTTTTTGATAGCAGTTGGTTTTTTCTTCTTCATAGGACCAAAAGGGGTTTCACGCCCGGCATCCGATTTATTATCGTCCAAGGGTGCTTTCGAGCGGCCGCCGATAGTCGATGCCTTTTTATAGTTTTAGACATACTTTTTAATTCATAAATAAGGGTATACTCGTTGAGAACTATTGATATCAAAATAATCAATATTCAAGTATGAAAAAAGGCTGAATTTACCCTTGATACTGGCCGCATTGTCGGGCCCTTTGGAGTATCATTAGCTGCTTTTTGCTCCCAAGCGGCGAATTTTCCTGTCAGCTTCGGCATTCTATTTTCTTCGATATCTTTCTATCTTCTACAGTACTTCCAATCTCTTTTTTCTTCCTACTCTCTATCTACTCATATTTCTTAATTTTTCTTTGTCTGGTGCGGTTTGATGTTTTTTGGTCAAGTTGAGGGTGCAAAAGTGATCTGGCACTAGCTGTCAACTGACTGCTAGGCCAATGGAGGGACAGTTTAGGGACCAAAGTGCTATTAATACGCACCCGCCCGAGGCAGAGTTAGCACGTTTGCTCCAGCACTACTCACTAATCACTAGCTGCGACTTGCTGTGAGGGCTACAGCGTCATCAAGAGCCATTTGATAAGACGCAAACTTTGAACTTGGAGCCTTTTCGCCCGCTTTTATTATGTAATCGGAAAACTTCAAGACCTCAAAACTTACAGGTTTGCCTCGTTCTACCAGCGAGCCGGCAAAAGACAGCTCAGCAATATTTTTCTCCGACAGTAAATGACACTTTTCGATTCCATCCGGCTTACGTACAGCCAGCTCCGTCAATTCCGGTATAGACTGCACGGTAAGCGTCACGCTATTCCCAGCTGCCTCAAGGTGGATTTATCATTGGTGGAATCATGAGTCTTCCATATTAGCGTAATCATTTTATAACTAAGTTGGGGTGAGTGACTCTCCCCTGGAAAAAAACAGCATGATCGACGTCAATGGAATCATGAATCCACTCCTTAATTTTTGCAACAGCATCTTCTTGCTGAGCGTGTTCAACATCGACACCGTTGATTTCTAAAAGCCTATCGCCAGGAAGCAGTCCACAACCGCTAGCTCCTGGTTCGGCAAAGAGGACAGTTCTTCTGGTCTGATCTCGCTCGGAAATCGTACTTCTTCGGAGAGAAAAGCCGAACCCCGTGTCTGGTCGGCGCGTAAGAACTACCTTCCTCCTCGGGCCCAGGAGTTTTGTCGAGTCTGGCGGCGGGACGGGAATCTCTTTCGGATAAACCTTCTCTTTAACGTAGCAGCGTTGATATGGATCGGGTTGTTCAGACGGGAATGGGGCTGAATGAAGTGAAGAAATGGATTGTTTCCAGCTCTGATTGCTGTTGCCCGGCCGGATGCCGCTGGCTAACGACCACGTATCTGGAACAGGCTGTCTTTGGTATGATGAAGGAACATTGCTGTAGTGGCCGATGGAGTCCTTGCGTTGAGGAAGAAGGTGGGAAGGAGTAGAATGAGCATGATTGGACGCATGCGAGGCGGAACGGGTAGGTCTGACAAATTGAGCTTGCTGATCGCCCATTGAACTTCGGGAAGATGTACTAATCTTAATTGTCAGAAAAAATAGCAAAGTCTGCGAAATGGTACCTTTCATTATGCTTATTTGTATGAACGACGGAATTATCGTGGGATAGGTTTGATCCCGAACTGTGAATAGAAGCGCGGTCCTCTGGTCCAGCGACCGCCTGGGCAACGTGTTGAAAGGCAAAAGGGGTTGAGATCTCGATCTTGGACTTTTTGGATTCTTTTCGACCAAAGACCTTGTTTCGGAAAGAAGACGGCGTTTGAGCATGCGAGAGGCCATGAGCTTGAGCGAGCTCGGAGAGCCGTTTTTGCTCGTCTTGGCTGTAAACGACCGAGTCTTTTTTCTTCGACTTCTTTTTTGAAAACATTTTCAAAGAATTTTCTCTCTCATTCTAAAATTCGAATAGAAGTAAAAGCAAAAAACCGACTTTCAATAAACAGATGGACAGACATTCTTTTTCTATTTCTTTCTGAGCTGTACAAAATTGTACTTTTTCGCTAGCTTCGCATTTTTAATTTCTGGCTTCTTTTCGCGGCTTTCTTCTTTTCTCATGAGCTCGTTTTTGGCGTTTTGGAGCTTTTCAAGTCGTTTCATTCGGTCGAGCAGTTCTCGCTGGGTCTTCAGCCGTTCTATTTTTACTTGCTCGTAGTCTTCCTTTTTGTATTGCGGGAGATCCTGAAAAGCTGATTTAGCGATGGCTTTCTTTCAGTTTAGTACCTCTAGTTGTTTCTTGGTAAGTCGATTATGTGTCCTGCCCAGCATCTCCTCCGTGGTTTCGAGTTGTTCGGCAAGTTCGATGCCCTCTTCATCTTCGTCTTGGAAAATAATGTGCTGGTTGACTGGCTTGCTCGTCTGCGCAAATAGAAAATAAAAATTGAAATTTGACGGCAAATATACCTCAAAAATGTGCACACTTTTCCGTAATCGCTCGATTTTACGGCTCTCCATGACGATGCGCTTCTCCAGCCATTTCAAGTCCTTTGTTTCGATCAGCGCGATCTCCTCTAAACTCCAAGCTCAAACACACAAGAACTCAATAAAAAAGCAAACATCTTTTTTGTTACAGTAACAATGCTAAAACTGTACGTACCTTTTGTGAGCCCTTCTTTGAGCGCTGTATGTTCTCCTTCGACCAGTTTGGCGCTGCACATTCCAAAGTAGAACTCATCTGGATTCTTGAATTCCGCTTTCTGTCTCAACTGAAGCAGCTTGGCCTGCTTGTTCTTGAAATTTGTCGCCCGGGCTTTGTAGTCTTGCTTCTTCTCGAGAAATCCAAGTTTCTGGCGGAATTCTGACCACAGTGTTCATAAAAACCAGCCTCTTTATGGCCAAAACTGACCAAAATTTTTGGTCCAAAAAGTCAAATAAAAATGAACTAAAATGAACACTTTCCTGGCTGGGAACGCTCGCGATGAGGTTTTGCCATTGACTTTTGGTATTTTTTGAATGCGGATGCCATTTCGATCGGTTCTCACGGACTTTTTCTTAATTATGATCATTTAATTTTGAAACAATTGCATATTTTTTGAAGAGTCCTAAGCCGAATTGTTTATTTAATTCACCAAATTTAAAAAAACTGATGATATAAATGAAGTTGAAACTGAAATAGAAAAACTGAAATTAAGAATAGTTCAATTGGAACAGGAAAATAGAGAAATAGAAGGTCAATTTTGATTTTCGAATGAAATAATTTTAAATCAAAATTTAAAAGAAAAAAGGACACGAACTTGGAAGAACATTAAATTTGTAATTAATAAGCCTTGAAAATAAATATAAGGACGGAGAATAGTATCATCATATTCCTGTGAAATAGAGAATAATTCTTTTTTATGGTACTGAGTGGTTCTGTTAACAAATATAGCCTGCTCAGTGAAAGTTGTATTTTTGCGAAAGAAAATATTGAATCTTTTTGGCCTCCTTCGCAGGGCCATTCTTTTTTTATCTTTTTTTTGTAAGGGTTTTAATGGATTTTTTTGTTAGGATCCTCGGGACTGAAACAAATATGCCCGATTATAGCAGGATCCTGTTTTTTTCTGTGTTTAGACGGTTTTTGTTGGTTTTTCGTAGAAGGATACTGAGCTAAATATCACTTGGTTAGTATCCAAAGGAGTTCTGATTGTTGAAAACAGGAGCGGGTTTGGCGTTGGTTTGAGTTCCATTGAGATGCCTAAAATTACGGTAAGCCTATTGAAGATATCGCGAAATGATAAGCGCTGGGCGCGTTTCCGGAAAGCATAAAAGCTCAACTGACCCTATCAAATGCTTCTGAGAGGCGGAACGCTCGAGTGCCTTGGCGAGAGCAGGATAAACACCGAGCAGCGGCGGGAGCACTCCCTTGACGGCAACTGCCGCGATCTCCCGCGTCAATGTCTTCACCAGATCGAGCCAGGCTTGGCGCCAGTCGGCCGGAAATTCCTCAAATTAAGCTCGATTCCAATTCAAATGGTCGCTTTTACCTGGATGGACATTTGACTGAGAAGGATTTGGCCGCGATCGAGTAATTTGCAGATCATGGACGCGCCAAAAGAGTGGCACGCAATTGGCTTCAGGTTGTTGTGTCGCTTTCTGCTCGCCATTTCAATAATCTAAAAAATTTTTTTAAAAACTATCTAAAATTACTAAAAAACAAACCTTTTCTAAGTCAAGAGTATTGATAGTATTGGCCAAGACATCGTAGAGCTCATGCAAAACATCATCATCAGCATCGCGCTTGATCAACAACGCCAAGTTGTTGAAGAAGCAGACAAGAATCTCAGCGGCATCTTCTTGGTTCAAATAAGGCAACGTTCTCTGGACAAGGCGTTTTCCTTTGCGAATGCTCAAAAGAGAGACGAGGCGCACTTTCTCGCTGGGTTTGATGAACGAAACAAGTTCTTGAGTTTTCTTTGCTTCTTGGCCAAAGTTTCTGAGCTCGTCCTAAAAATCGAGAAATAGAAACAAGACAAAGAATGCGTAAAAATACCTGGACCATGAGCTCAAGGTCCATAAGGACCATGAAAGCAGCTTCGATTTCCTTCAAAAGTTTCAATTTATTCGTTTGCTTCGGTGGCTCAATTGCATTTTGTCCTTCACCGCCTTCTTCCGAGACTGATTCCTCTGCCGATTTCACCATGATTTGAATCATTTTTCGCGGGTTATGAACTAACAATAGAAATGACCTCTCATGCATTTTTAATTCGCCAATTACCGGAGCTAGAGACCGGTTTTCCAAGAGAGCCTTCTGACCAAGGCTTGCGCTCTTTCTTTTCTTTTTCCTTTCCGTCCTCGTCACCTTCTTTCTTTGACTCTTTTTCCGAATCGTTGCGTTTTCGATTCCTGTTGTTTTCTTTCGGAGCAGGAGTTACGAGCTCGCGTTGGTTCTTTGCATTGCCTTTTTGCATCAGTCTCTTCATGTAATTTACGTAGTAATAGTCCTTCAAAATGAGTTAAGGTAAGAAAAGTGAAATTGAAAACCTCGATCTCCGGATTCTTGATTTCAAGAGCTCTCAGCTGCATAGAAGTGATCCATTCTCGCTCTCGACGACTCATCAGATTCGCTAAAGAATGCTTTAGATAGAATTTGTCTGTTATCTCTTACCATAAGGGTCTCGTCGGCGTTGTTGATTATGACGGTTGTTACGATTGTCGTTCCTATTTTTATTGCGCTCCAGTGCTCGCCGATGCTCAGGATGGAGTTGGCCGATGGTACCTTTTTTTAAGTTTTAATTTGATAGCTTTTTTTTGGAGAAATTTTCTTTCTAAAAATCGAAAATTGGAAACTTACCTTGTGGTGGTTGCCGAATTTCCTGTGCTACAACCTGCGCAGCTTCGAATTCTCGTGAATCTTTCCCAACCATCGTCCCTCGTCGAGAAAGCGCATCAAGCCCTTCTGCAAAATGCTGTCTTTCCAATTCTTCGACGTTGAGCCCTCTTTGCATCGGAGCTCCTGGAGGGCCAATATTTCCCGGTCCAGCCTGTTGAACAAGATTTCCAACAATCGAGTCGGCGGTCCCAATGTTTCCGGGCATTGGTGGTGCTACTGGCTCCTGTCTCGGCGCGAATCCTGGTGGAGGGCCAAAGCCAGGTGGAGGGGCGATTCCACCGGGGGCAGCGTTGTGCTGTGGAGGAGGAGCTTGGTTCCAGATTTTCTCCATGTTTTGGAGAGGGTTCGAAGGAGGCTGCTGCGGCTGACCCCAAATCTTCTCCATATTCTGCAGCTGTGCACTTCTATCAGGCATTGACACAAGCGGCTTCTCTTGAAGACTCATGATCGCCGGATCATCGGGAAAACCTCCAGCACCACCGTTCGAAACCGTCATACTCTCCAGCTTCGAAACTAAATGCCGAGAGCCGCCAACTTCGCCCAGTTTCGGCCAGGCGCCCGCATCAGGTCCAAATGTTTCATCGTTTTTCGCATTACTCGAGCGACTAGCCTCGTCTTCATCCCAAGCGCCAGTGTCGTTGTTGGGAATCGACGTGTCAAATCCGAAAAAGCCAGCAGTTTCAGCCATTTCAAATTTATCAGCACATTCTAAGCGATTCGATTCCTTTACTTTCAAGCACTCGTTAAGCGCATTCAGTGGCTCAAGTTGAGCCCTCAACTCTATGTGCAAAATCTGAGTCAGGGTCATGAAAGAGCCTCAATAAAAAGCCGAACAGCGGTCTTCTCAAAAACCAAGCCGCGAAGGGCCTTCGCCATAAATATTAATAAGGATTGAAAAAACGGAGTTGACACAGGCTGAGTTAGGGAACCTGTGTAGAGAGCCTGAGTCAGGATTGGAAAAAGCTTTCGTAGGTCTTTTACAAAGACGAGGCCTATTCATCAAATTTGTTAGTTCGTTCCATTAACCCGACGCAAAATTTTTACACAGATAGCCGAGAACAGTACACAGGTCTCGGAAAAAAACAGAATAAATTTCTAATAGAAATCAACCTGCAAAATGACTCCTGCTTGCACTAGAGAGGTAGAAATGACAATAATTATGGAAAAATACCCGTCACAATTCTTATTTTATTGAAAAGGACAGAAAACGAAAAATCAAGATCCAGAAGCGATTTACATGGTGCTTGGTCGTTTGGTGGCAAATCGAGGAGCGTTCTGCGCCTTTCGGGACATGATTCTTCGTGGAAGAGGGAATCGGATCTTCGAGTCCAAGAGCTGGGTGATGTGTGGTCGCTTGGCTCCCTGCTTCTCGCCGGCAGCGTTGGTGACGGGGAGTCGCTCTACCTGAAGAGGAAATTGTTACTTTCCAGTGTCAGAAATCATGGTCAGACGATCTTGATGTGAACTTGCTGCTAGGGAGTGAAATGGTAGACAGGAAGTTGTCTGTGGACTATGTTCATGCCCGGGTATGAGACATTCCTTTTTTGAAAAAGCAGATGAAAAGTTAAAACTTTCCGTCCATACTGTCTGACAGTCTGACTTCTTTCCAATACAGAATTTAATATAAGACTTGTCTATTTTCATTCAGTTTTGAAAGTCTATGAAACATTCAAAATGAATATCTTTAATTTACTATTGTCCGTTGAAAGTTTCCTAATTTTGAACAAATTTGGATGTTGGAAGAACGCTCGAGTCAAAATAGTCGAAAGAATCAAAAACTGTTTTTATGGGGAAGAGGGGGGGGTAGAAGTGCGTGGAAAACTTACTCGAAGGATCTGGATAGAGCCAGGTCGAGCTCGATGGCGGGCACCCATGTCTCGGTAGCACTGGGTGACGGCACCAGCGGTCTGGGTGTCTCGGTACTCTCGGTACATGTTGTGGGTACCAGATCGGGAGTCGTATCGGACCCAGATACCGAAGTTCTTGACGAGACCGGGGGTCTTCTCAGCGACCTTCTTGACTGAATTTTTAGTTGATCAAAAGAAAGATAAGAATTTCCGGAATAGAAAAGAACCAGTGGCTATTATTTCTTACCGGAGATGATTTCACCAGCGGTCTTGTTGACCTTCTTGTAGTAGGACACAAAGTACCAGAATCGAGATTTGGCAGCAATTGGGTCTGGGGCGAAGAGTCGGACTCGGTAGACCGATGGGTGGGGCTGAGAGTCAGAAGGCAACTGAAAAAGTTAATATCAGAAAAGTTTGAGAAAAGGGTTGCCAGAGCTTTAAAAAACATAACTGTCTATGTCCGGGAAGCTCCTGTCATAACGAATCTTACAGATAACTATTCTGGAGATAAGCGACTTCAAATGATTGTAAAAGGGAGCATCAAGGCTTAACTTATTGAAAGGTTCTGACATTTAACTTTCTTGATACAATATAATATTTATGCAGTAATTATTAACTTGTAATGATTACCTTTCGGCCGGTGACGATGAACTCGCGAAGATCGCCCTTTGCCTTCATTTTTGATTTTTAAAATCCGGTCTCGGTCTAAAACGCAAAAGTTATTACTCTTTTTCTCCAAGAAGATTCCCAAAAAACAGCTCTAGACGCAATTTTCCAGCAGTAAAAGGTCTTCTGATGAATCTCTAGAATTCTCTATTGACTGGAAAGACTGTCCGACAATTCAGCAGGTGAAATTTCAACGCTGAAGGGCTTCCAGAAGAAATTCTAAAAGAGTTTTCAGTGGAGGCGTATCGTCACACGAAGCGCGCTCGGCCAATCGGATCAATCGAATCGCCCACGCGCGCAGTAAAACGCGCTGAGAATAAATTCGGACGCGTCCGATCCGATTCTCCTGCAGCTCTAGATCTATTGAAAAAAGACGCAGAATGCGTTCGCCAGTGAAAAAGGTTTTAATTGAAAGCTATGGAATCGTGAATTTCTGAGCAAATTTTTCTCATTGTCACAAGTCCTTTTGGGACGCGGATTAGTTTGGAAAATCTTCAATTTAACCAGAATCATAAAAAAGATCAGAATAAAGTAATTTGATTTGACGTCTTTTTGGCGGAAATCAGGAATTTTGAATCTGTTTGAAATTTGTTTGCTGCCAGTGGATTTCCACATTTCCACCAGGAATTCTGTTCCCGGACCCGGTTCTTAGGGCTGCACTGGGGGATCTACGGAAATCGTCAGATTCAAAATTCCATGATTCGCAATGATTGTACGGTACCGGCTCACAGTCATCAAAATGCGAATCCTCCTTTTGATTACGAAAGGCTCGATAAGATTGAGAATTAATTCGAAACGTCATTGTAGTTTGAATTTTCCGAGGGTAGAATTGAATAATCATAATCCCACTAGATCCCCAATTCTCTTTCAGGCGGATGACGATCATAAACCCAGCCTGGTTCCAATCCCCTCTGGAAAATCGCGAAATCGAAGTCTCCCTGTAGATGATAGTACGAACGAGAAGAATCCGTTCGTCATTCCGCCAGATGCGGACATGTTCAAAATGCAGGATGATGAAGTGAAACGACAGGCGCAATTCAGACGAGAACAGCGAAATCTAAAAGGTACTGCAGTCTGACTCAAATCCGAAGAATGATTGATAATTTTCAATTCTAGTGCACGAAAAGCACACGAATGCAACACGAACGTCCGAGCTAACGTCACGAATGAGAAAAATTGTTCTGGCAGAAGAACCCGACGATGACGAAACGGATCTTTTGGCGGAAGATCGTGGGATAATATGAAACCACATCCGGTCAACAAGGCAGGAGTTCCACAGCTCGTGAACTTGGACTGACTTGGCTTAGTGTTGAATAATCCTGCAGCTTGTTTCCGAATCATCACAGCTCACATGAGCCTCATTGCTTTTCCCAGACAGGGTTCATCAAATGAACTTTCGATGATGACGATAGAAAATTCCGATCAAGTCAATTTTCACAAAATTTAATCTGCACACTTGCCGGAGCATTGGTTGTATAATTCTCGGCGTTGGTAGACAGCCTTTCGAGATCGACTAAGATTCTAATGATCTAGATCCGCATCTGCGTCATTTTCAAAAATTGAAAATCGCAAATATATGAAGGATTGGCTGCAAAAGTAAATCCGTCAATATTTAGCCTTTCTGAATGAGATCAGATAAAATGCTATTTTCGGGAGCATCCGGGCTCGGAAAACTGTAGAAAACCTGAGTCAGGGTCGTCATTGTTAAAAAAGCGGCTATGTATTAAAAAGATCCTTTAGACTCTGACTCAGGTTTTCTTCGCAGGTTGCTGAGCCCAGGAGAGCACCGTTTATCCCATCTATTGATAACCAGTTGCAACTCGAAACGAATGTTTCGGAACTCAAAAAAAGGAAGGAATAACCGAGTACATCGCCAGAAAACGCGAAATGTTCCACGTCAAATATGCGATTTCCGTGAAACGTGAAGAAATGCGCCAGCTGGAAAATCTCGCCCGGGAGGAAGAAAAGAAACTGGTTATTGCTGAAAAATGTCTGGAAGAAGACGCGGTACAGACAGCTTTTTCCTGCAACAATTATTATTTCCTTTTAGATAACTTTCGACAAGTTTTTGAAAGAAAATGACGCCAACTCGGTTGAATCGATCAAAAGAGTCGAAGAAGAAACGAGAAGAAAACTGGAAAAAGTAGCTGCTGTCAAAAAGCTTCACAACACTATCCGAGGCATCGAAACGGAAATTTCGAAGTCCGAAGAAAGGCTCAAAATGTACAAGGTAAACTAAATTTAGCATGGAAACATGCTGCCTTGAAGTGCCTTCAAAAACGGTCTCAATTTGTGGCTCCCTAAGTCAGTGGCTAGCAGACCTGACACCTCTCTCTCTCTTCTAACCCTTTTGAGAATTTCTTATCTTACCTTACGCAAGCTTATGATGACATTTGAGAGTTCCAACAGTCTGAGTCGTTTTCAGCGTTATTTAATTTCAGTGGAAATAAAAAATTAAATTATTCTAAGCGATTGAGCACCCTATGAGGGAGTGTTGAACTTCCAGTGTTATGCTTTGATTACGGCTTTGGTGAGTAAGGTCTTCTGATGAGCCTCGATTCCGCCGAATATTAGCATTTGTTTGGATGGGCGATTTCAAGCTCACCTTATCTGAAAGAACGTAATCGAGCATAACACTTGAGGTTCACCACGCCCTAATGTAGAACCATTCTTTCCACTGAAGATTAACATTTTTCAAATTAAGAAATATCGCTCATTTGTCGATACATTGACGCCAGAAGAACACCGAAAGCCTAAAAAGGAAAAGAAGCCATCTCGTAAACAATCTGCCGTCTCATCGGCTGGCGATTCAAGTTCAAATTTGCGAGCAGCATCCAGCAAGCGAAAGAGCTCAGCACGAGCTTCTGTCATGAGCCAAGGGCGAAGAGCGAGTGCAAGGCCTTCCAAAATATCAGCTAATCAGAATCGTGATCCAGCGAGTTCTATTTCATTCACGCCTTCTACTGATCGTCAAACGGATGAGAGGAAGACTCCCGACCTCGTCGATTCTAGCTCCGATGAGGAAGAAGCCTATCTTTATTTCAGCAGTAAGTTTCCACTTCGTAGAAAATTGCATGCTCAAGAATTCAGATCAAATTATTCTACTTTTTTCAGACCCGGAGGATTTACTGACTCTGTTCCACGATCTGGAGGATCAAAATCTGTCAATGATTCAAAACGGACAAGACATGGAGGAAGCACTGGACGATATGAAAGCGCATGCAAAAGTAACAGAAGAAAGGCTCAATAAAGAAGTCAACTTTCTCACCGATCAGGAACGGTTCTTCTTTTTTTTCTTAGAAAATTGGAGATTTTTAAAATTTGAACCACGAAAAGATCGAAATGCTGGAAGCAAACGTAAAACGAGAAACAGAAAAAGTCGAAGACTTGAAGGTAAAACGCCGGTTTTCTAGAACTTTTATTTGAAAATCAATGTTTTCAGTTGAAATGCGAGTTTTTCTCTTTCGGCAATTATGACGAAGCAGATCAGGATAAGATGGTAAAGCAGTATGATGATGCGATCAAAAAGGTCTATGGAAATATCGTCGGGAACGAAGATGCGCAAATTCCAACGCTTCATATGGTCGTAAGTTTCAGTTTTTAGGCGACCTTTTCGTTCTCTTCTATGTCTTCATGATTCAGATCATCAGTCGCTTTTCAGGTTTCTATCGAAAACACCTTGTCTCAATTGTTGGATGAAATGGAGAACCTTCCTTCCGAAACCGTAGCTCAGTACGAAAAAAGCTTCGAAAAAGATCGACGCGCACGAGCCCGAGAGGAAAAGGCAAGAGAACAAGAAGAAGCCCAAAAAAGAGCGTGTCAAACGCGCTCTGGAACGAGCCCAGGCTGCCCCGAGGAATAATATAGGACGAAAGCCTGTCAGACGATCCGAACCTCCTAGGACTAAAACTAAGGGAGGTGTTGAAAACTTACATGTGTGGCAAAGAAGCGGCCAACGGAAGCGCTCTTTTTGGTGCTAGACAAGTCGGGTCTTTGACAGAAAAGATTCTTTTCAACACCGTAAAAAGACAAAAGCGGTCAACGACGAAAACAGCAAAGAACAACAAGAATATCGATACTTTTTCGAATACTAGAAATGCTTTTCCATTCCTCTATCTCTTATTTTACGATTTTCTTGTAACATAACCTGTAATTTTGTAACGCGCATATAATTTTATTTTTATACTTCACCACCTTAAACATATTTATTTTTGATAGATGCTTAGATGGCTGTATTTCTATGTTTAGAATGGCGGACGAAGAGGTTCCTGATGGAGTGTTGCCGATTTTGATCACTGGACCAACTCAAGTAAGTCGAAAACCAAATAGAAGGGATATTCATAGTAGCTGGATCGTCTCAAGAATTTCCCGTCTAGCTGACATTTCTCGCTTGGGCGAAGGCTGCTCAAATATAAACAACTCGATTTCCGTTATATCATATAACTTATATGTGAGGCTTAACTTCTGCGATTTCAGCGTCTGAGCGTCTGAACTTTAGATTAGAGAAAAAAATGATGGCCTTTAGTTTTCTCTGAGAATATCACGTCTCTCCGCCATTTGTCGCTTGGCCAGATACATATATTGCCTAATCTAGGTATTTCCTCTCCGTTTTGCTATCTTCGCACATTCGCCGTCTGACATTTAGAAGTGACGATTTTTCTTATAGATGTAGGACCTTTTCAGTTTCCTCTAAAAACCTCTAAAATGTGTTAAAAGACAATCATCGAATGCGTCATCGACGAGCACGTAACCGAAGAAAACCCGCATAAGCTCATTCCAAAAGATGTATTCCTCAAAGATATCCAAACCCGTGCCGCTGTGTCCGATTTTCAGCCATTCAAGAAGAGCTTCATCGATTCGGACTGCGAAGAAATCCTAGTTGTGATGGATGCTGAGTTTCTATACGGGCAGAACTTTTACCTGTGTATGACGGAAAAGGCGAAGAATACCGTTTTGTATCCTGGTATGGAACTTGGGGAGGATGGAGCTCCCGTTGGCGATATAGGGCAAGCTGGACCAGGTGCTGCGGCCGAGGAATCCAACGAAGTTTTCGTGTATCGACCTCCTTCACCAAGACCGTGGATTTCCATGGGCTCAGAAAAGGAGATCGAAGAAATTCGGGTTAAAAATGAACGACCATTGATTAATCTCCGCTGTTCAAGAAAAAGAAAACATTTCGGCAAGAAATTTAACTTCAGGTAACTCAAGAAAGATGAAGTTTTCGTATTTTTATACAAATTTTAGCACATCAAATGGCGAAATTCTAAATGTAGCGGCAGAAGAATCGCGGCCGAATCAAACACATCGAATGCTGCACGACATGGCAATCCAATCAGTTAAAACGAAGACAGAAGGCGAAACGCAAACTTTCTGCCCGGAAATGCGCAACCAGTGGAGTCAGTACGAAGCTCGGACCGAGTCAGTCGTGTCCAATGAGGAGCTGGAAAAGAAATTTGCAAATGTGATTCCGCTGGTGAACCTGGCGCTTCAGCAAAATGAGCTGGTCAATGTGTTTGATGGTAATTATTTGTTGATTTTGACTAAGCATAATTTTCATGTCTGAAGGCCCTTGGTCAAGGGCATTTGGGTATAATTTAGTCTCTCAGATCATTAAAATACTCAAGTAATCTGAAAGGATGTCTGTCAGAATTGACCATGAATACCTTTCAGTAAATATCGTCAGTAGATGAGCACTGGATTGTCCGAGAGCATAGAAAACTTTATCTTATTTACATCACACCCGTCATACTAATTTCAACATTTGTTAAACACCAAATAAGGCGAATTGTTAATATCCTCTTTCAGATCCATGGGCGGAATTGGGCGACGAAGATGATGGCTTTGGTTCCAAGTCAGACGGGCACTTGCGCGAATACCAGAGTTTCACCGATCTCATGTACTCAAAGGACAAGCGTTTGACAGCTGTCGAATGGCATCCCCACATCAAGAGTATTATCGCCGTTTCCTGCGCGCAGAGATATTCGCTATACGAGCGGATTGAGAAGGCGCCGAAGCTTTTGCTCAGTCGCAAGCTTATTCTTATTTGGAGCTTCCAGGATCCAATTCACCCTTGTATCCTATTGGAGGCGCCCGCTGATGTCTATTGTTTCAAGGTACATCTTTAAATTCCTTCAATTTCTTACAAAAATTTAAGTTCAACCCGACAAACCCAAATCTAATTGCTGCAGGATGCATAAATGGCCAAATCGTCATCTGGGACATCGCCGAGCACAAGGAAAGACTCGTCCAAGAAAAAGCCCAGTCGAAGAAAAAAACATCTCTATTTGGCGAAAAAGTCGGCCCAGAGACTCCAATTATTATGTGGAAGGCAGTTTCCTCGATTGAAAATGGACACAAAGGAGCTGTCACGCAGATAAATGTGAATATATTTTCCTATGCCTACAGATGTTGAACTTTATATTCAGTGGGTTCCAGCTGGCCTTCAAGCGACCAAAAATGGCGTCTGGGAAAAAGTCGCCGACAAAGAGCCGGTTCAGATATTTACGACCTCCTCAGATGGCTCATACGCAATCTGGGACTTGAGACCTCCACCGGTGAAAAAATCCATGACGCAGTTGAAGAAAAAGAAGCCAGGTGCAGAAGATCCTCTTGAGATCGATCCTTGGGCACATCTTAATCTTGTCTGGAAACCACTCCTGAAAGCAACTCTTAGCAAGGGCGAAAATGGGTGCCATCGTCCTTCCAGGTGAAAAAATTTCCAGCTTCTCTCTCTTAATCCGTTCCCTTTAGAATATGCTTCGACTTTTCCGGAGAAGATGGTTTCCCCAAGCCTGAAATCTTTATCGGGACGCAAGATGGTGACGTTCTGTGGACGAAAATAAAGTTGGTAAAAGACGGCGACTCCGGAAAAATGGGTGCTCCTCCTCCTCTCCTTCTCAATCCGACTCATTCATCGTCAATTACATGCGTCAGACGAAGCCCGTTTTTCAAGGATGTTCTATTGACAGTCGGCGGCTGCAACTTTTCCATCTGGAAAGAGTCTGATGATGCCACTATTGCAAAGATACCGCTACTTTCTGTTCATGTAATTCGTCTTATCTTTGATTCGGAAATCAACAACAATTTCAGTCCAACGATAAAAAATATACAGCAGGCGAATGGTCTCCCACACGTCCAGGTCTCATCCTTATGGCCACCGACGAAGGAAACATCGAGGTTTGGGATTTGCTGGAAAAGACTCACGAGCCAAGTGTCGTCCAAAACGTAACCACTGCGGCTATCACAGACGTTACCGCTTCGATCATCAACGCGAAGCTACACTTACTCGCAGTGAGTGACTCTTGCGGAACTCTGCACATTTTGGAGCTGCCCTGGAACTTGCGACACCCGACGCAAAACGAGAAGTCATCAGTACATGGGTAAGTCTTGCTTGTCATGATCTTTTATAAATATCGTTTCCCCAGATATATAAATCGCGAAGAACAAAGAATACTCTACTTTGACGAAACCGAAAATCACGAAGAAGAGTCGGAAAATCTAACCCTAGCTGCCGATGCAGACATGCTCGAAAACATCCAGGACGACGAGCTCGAGGGCGAATTCAAGGACTATCTCAAACTCGAGAAAGAAATCCTCGAAACGCTAACTGTTTAAAAATCGTTATGCATAAATACCCTGTACAGTTTTTATTTTATATAATATTTCAGAAAATATATTTTTATACAAACTACCATTTTTCAAAACGGCGTTTTTTGCTGCTCGCAGCGTTGATGGAAGTGCGTTGAAAGTATCCAGGGTAGTGATGTTGCGGGCTCGAGATCTGAAGTTTTTAGTAGAACAGTCAGACTGGAAAAGTGAAGCTACCAGATTCGTCCACATCTTGCTCCCAGTCACCGCCAGAAAAGCTTTTCATGAGTTTCCTACAGCTTTGAACGGTTTCCTTATAAACTGATCAAGGAGGTCGCTTTCTATACTGACCCATTGGAAAGGGATGCTGAAAACTCCATGCCTGAACACGTGTACCTTTTCATCTGTGCCAGTTGGCGTCGGCAGCCGCTCCTGGCTTTTATCATACGGGCGAATAATCACTAAACTTTTTGTAAATGCAGTAAAAACCATCATAAGCTTACTGAGAGCACTGAGGAAGGTGCTTCCGGCTGCAACGAGTCCTGCGAAGAACCCGTTTCCAAATGCGAATTTAGCCTCGATTCCCTCGTCGTGCTCGTGCTTATTTTCTTCAGCCTCGTATCTGTTTTCCATGCTTTAATAATTAATTCAGACAAGCGTTCTCTATTCCTAGACATTCATGAAGCATGCAAAGATCATGGAATCAAATCACGCGATCATGATATTCTTTTGGGAACGAGATTAAACATCTTTCCTAGCTAACCTTGAGTACCAAAGGCAGGCCACAGACATCATCATGGAAGAAGCGATGATTATTGTTCCACTAGGGAGGATTATATTTACATTTTTTCATAAAATTTTCCACGATAACCGCACTCATCCACGACATTTATAATTTATTTATTATCAAGATTAGCATAAAGCTTGACGGTTAAGCCTTGATCTACCTCAATAAGATCAAAATATTTTTTCTTCGTAGATATTTTTTATTTGGATGATATTGCGTCGCTTGAATTTGATTCTTTTTTCCGCATATTGAACAGCCAAGGTCGTATAAAAATATATTTCAATATAAAATATATTCAAGGGCAATGCCCATTCGAAATTTAAAAAACCATTCCTTCAATTGCAAGCTGCTCATTTTGAATACCAACCATGCTGAGCACGCCTCCAAATGCGGATAGGATGATAAAGCTTGAATTATTATTTATGAATTCTGTTTTAACATTTCCCATGTGTTGGAGATGAATATATTATTCGAACGTACCATATGACCATCGATCGACAGGCTAAATAATCACTGCAAGAATTGTTCGCAAAACGCTGTTACCTTTCAATACCACATTGACAAGAGGAAGAATTGAGCTCGATCTATTCCCAAGGATGACATATGTATTCCAGTTTTCATCTCTATCAAACAAAGCTACTTATAAATACGAAAAAGGTTACTTAATGTCGCGAAAACCATTTGGTTTTTCGTAGCAGTGGTCAGTTAGTTTTTCAGTTGTTATTCGTGTTAGTAAATTTACCCCATCAGAAACAAAAATGAGCGATAAAAAATGGTCTTCCATTTTCGTGCCTGTCATTTTTCATATGTTACCCCTGTATGTAAGACGAGCAGGCGAAATTCGAGATCTCACTTTTCCACACGCATTCTTCCCAAAGACCTAAAGCCGGGATTAAACCAAAACATAACAAAAATGAAAGTACCTTTATAGCCAATTTGAAATGGTTTTACTGATGAGTTCAGATGATCATCTACAAAATCATCGCTTTTAAAATGTCGCTCTACCGTCCACGAGGGCTTGAAAAGTCAGATGCATATTTTAACTCCTTGCTTGACAAAAATCCTTAAAAAAATCTGCACCGTTCATGAAGACAAGCAAAAACACCCATTATAGATCCGAACCAGCAGAAGACAAGCCCCAAAAATTGAACGTTTTCAAAACACTGCTCATTTTTCTTCGATTTCATATTCTCTGAGAAAACAATATCGTCGCTTTCATTCTCCAAGGGAATTTTCCGTGCCATCGTGTTGCAATTGCAAAAGTTAATTAAGGCTGTCGGCATTAATTAGGTTCAATTCGAGGAGACGCCACTTCAAATAACGCCCTCCTTAAATATTCTGCGCTAATTACACTTCGCAGTCTGATTTTTCAAATCTACTCTTGTAGTTATAAATATTGTACTATAGACTATAGTAGTAGTATCTGTGTTCTGGAATCTTCGTTGATTTTTGCTTCAAGCAAAAATCGAACAGAAACGAATGAACTGGCGGAGAGACAGTCCTCGTGATATCGATAGGATGATAAAATATGTTTCCATTGCCACAGTTTCTTAACGCAAGAGCTGACAGATTGGCGAATTAGCTCCTCCATGGAATCTCCTTTCTCTACACAAATTCGGATATCCTACTGCTCACGTGAAGATCTTCACGTGTCGCTTCCACCCATTCGCAGTATTTGACGTAAAAACCGTATTTTAATACATGATAACACTGCTGTCTACTCGAAAATAGAATAAAATTTGAAGGTTTGAAAAGATTTTTATTATGACTTTTCGGCAGCTGTTAAAGAAGAGAGAAGAGTTCCGGACAACGGGCATACGAAGGGTGAGGCGGCAGCTGAGGGTAGGCAAACATATCTAGGGAAAATTAAGTTTCCTTTTTTAGGGTCAGGGATCCACAAGTATAGCCAGATGTGCTTGTAGACTTGTGGAGACTCACCCTTTAGGATAAAGATAGAAATCATCTTGTATCCTTTTACCGGACACTTTGCACTGGTTATTCCTCCAGTTTTCCTCTGATCTTTCGAGCATAATATTTTTGTCCTTTATGTCTTCCATTACTGTGAGCAATGTCTCCGTCTTAATCACTATAACCATGTTCTAAGTGAGATAAAACTACCAGAAGAGCATTCTGCGTTTGAATAATTTTGGATCGATGAGAAGAAGCTGCAGATATGGCCCTCATGATTTTGGAATATTTGGAGATCGGAGCATCAGCTGGAAGAAGATTCAATATCGCTTTTCCGTCGATATATTTTCCGAATTTGCCTTAATATGAAACCAAGTTAAGATGGTCTTTCGAAGATATGATGGGCAGTAAGATGTTCATTTCCGACCGGAAGCAAACTTTTACCGAGAAAGTCGACTGTCTGAGGAAAGTCATTTTCCAGAAGATATTCGGCTAGTTCCGTTAACGCATCTGGGCCTCTTCTGAAAGTAAATTCCTCAAGCTCTTCGAAATATCCGCCGTTTATGAGAGGCTTGCGTAAAGTTGATCAAAGAATTTACTACACTAAATTACTCAAAAATAGAATAAGAATTTTTTGGGGGAAGTTTCATAAAGCTGTCAGTCTTTCCACCAAAGATAATATCCGGGTCTTCGATCTCTTCCTGAAACGTTAATTTTCTTTCCCCGACTTCGCCAAAAACGCTACACTTGGCCAGTAAGCCATGAACACTTGTGCCAAAGTCCAATTCCATCAATTTCTTTGCTCGAACGAATTTCCAAGTTTCAGGGTTTTCCGTCAAATGTAAAAACTTCTTGAAATCTTTTTCCTTTTTTGGTTAATCCGAGAAAACGGAGAAACTCCTAACTAGGAATTATCTAACTGTACAAGCGACTAACCGTTCCCTTGTAATACTCTTTGAGGAGTTCCTCGTACACGAACTTTTTTGTTGTCGACTGCTCAACAAGATGTTCCAAGTAACGAATTTTCAGAGCTCTTGACTTTGTGATCTTCTTCATCACAACTTGATCGCTGACATCGGTAGCCTTGATAACTCGGAAAGCCAATTCGGGGCTGACAACGATGATTTCGTCCAAAAACGAAATGAAGGTCTCAAGAACTGACGGATCATTTGTTTGGGAAAGGATGAAATTGATGAAATCTTCGATTTCGTGACTTAGGGAGTTCTCTTTCGTGTCTTCAGAAATTATTTGAAGAAGTCGTTTCAGTGATTTTTCATGGTCGCCGGAAAACCAAAGTATCTTTGCTTTTTTAAGAAGCTACAAATTTACTTCCTTCTTCGAAAATTTATAATTTTTTTTGAATGAAGACTAGACTGAAGTGCCTGGAACGCAGCCAAATATACGCCGGCCTTATACATCTACTACCTTTTTCTTCGTATTCATAATCAAGTAGCTCTACCTAGCGGAAATACCAAGTCCTGGTCGCCATCTTGAAACAGGGAAAGTAAAAAGTCCCAAGAAATGGAAATTCCCGAGAAGAAAATCTCATCTATTGCACGAGATAGGACTTTGGTATCCTTTTGATTGATCAGCATTTCGAGGTACACATCGCAAATGAGGGAGGAACTCGTTTTAGTGAAAGTGTCGATTGAATTCAGCATGAAATATTTGACTGCGTTTTCTGAAGCTACTCGTTTTGAGAATTTTTCCTCGATAGGCTGAATGAACTCGTCATCATTCTCGCTTTTCATAATATAACCTAACCTCCGCGTCCTTAATCTGCAGATGGCTGGATGGAATCTTGCCGTATTTCATCAGCGTCCTCGAGATTTCCTCGAAATTTATGCCACACTGACCAAAGAACGTCTTGGCTTCATCGAATCGTCCCATAGAAATGGAAACAAAGCCGGCGGAAGTAAGAATTTTCTTGGTCCAGAGATTAATATCGTCTTCGGACATTGCGGGAGACGTCTCCCGAGCTTTCAAAATTTCCGCCATCACTTCCTCCACGCAGTTATTTTCGAGAAGATGGAAACAGATTTTGTAAAATGGCTTTCTCGGGCTGTTGATTTGGTTAAAAATTTGTTTGAAAATCTTCCATATTTATAGAATCATCGATAAATCACTATTTTTTCGAACAGCCTGGCAAGGAGGAAAGTGAATAGACAGCATCTCTAGTTGCGCAAAGTTGTATTCTCCCGCTTTCGGAAAACGCAAGAGTTCGGATTTCCGGTATTGGGAGGATTTGTCTCTGAGTTAGATCTGAGCTTTCACCCTCTCCAGACTCTTCTTCATAGACCGTTAAAAATTCTCCTTTATTCGGTTTGTCTCGGTTTGAAAGCGAATTTAGAGTGTAAATTTATTCGATGTTGAAATCGCTTGACCCTGTTGTGTAAACTTTACACTGTAAAGATCAATGTTAAAAGTTATGCTGGTGAATGAGGGCTCAAGAATCATGATCACGAGATTATACCGTTCCTCCTCCAGCGCATAATTTACTGCCAATGGAAACGATGAAATCGGATGTCGAGTCAAATTGGAGTGGTGGTCTCGTGGGGGCACCAGTATCAGTAGAGATGAAGATTCCAAGGCGCCCTGGGCCAGATAGAATGAAGCTATCATCCTCAGCAAAGACCGCTTTTTTACGGAATCAAAAAATAGATAAATCATAAATGGTGCTACGAGCTGGTATCTGTTGACGGTGACGCTCAATGTCAGACTAAGTGAGTCGTCTTTTGGAATTTCTGCCGTAACTGGATTGTCTGACATTCAATCGAGTTCCGCGCAAAAAGTATCTAGATAAAAATATCTTTCTTACGCCACAAAATTTGTTTTCTTATCCCGTAGCTATAGGAGCATCCTTCTCAGAAAAATTGAGGAGAGGAGTAAGGTTCTTTGAATTTAAATCCAGTAGCTTATAGTGAGTCGGAAATTGGATCAACGCCGATGACTTGTGGCAGACAATTTTTCCTGGCGGCTCTGGAAAGTTGTACTCGTAGAGTGGCGTTATTGAATTGCTAGCATTGAGAAGCACATTGACTCTTTATTGAAATCAACGACGATTACCTCGGAGAAAGTCGAAGTAAAGCAGCTGCTTTCTTCTTTTGAATCGCGATAAAAATCTCAACATCAAGCGAGCTTCCATTCGTCGCCGAAGCATTGATGTAGAAATCGGAAACGTTTGTCAGTTGACTCTGTTTGCCAGTTATAATAGTCAAGGAATCAATGTCCAGAATAGAGAGAACTCCGTCAGTCGTGAGGATCAGGACACGGGACTCGTCTAGCGCTTGAACCTTTTTCAGCGGCTTGCGGATTCCGAGATGTTTCTTGGCGACAAGTTTGCTTCCATCAAAAAGGTAACCGATCGAGGCGTTCGTGGATATAAAGATCTTGCTGTGGCAAATGGTCAGTCCTTCAAGATGAATTCTTTCCTTCAACATGGTTCAATATTTTTGTTGCACTTTGAAGCTAGAAATCAAAGAAGAACCCTCATCTTATCGCATCCAATTGCGTCGGGAGGAATAAGGAGCTCCAAGTCAAAGACCCTCGCCATTTATGAGACGGAAATACGGGTTCGTTTCTCGCTATTCTCGGTTAACGCTCTCGAGCCTTCTAAAACGTGATTTTGTTATTGTAAAAATAATCATTTATTGATTTTATGATATACTCTTGATCATTCCCTAAAAGAGTGACCGAGAAAGATGTAAGAGCTCGTAAGATCTCTGGAAGACGAGGAGGCTATTTTCGGTGTTTTCTTACAATTCTTTCCTGTAATTTTGGAGCGTCGACAAAAGGAAAACCACGAGGGCAAATGGCGAACATCTTTCCTCTTGCGAAAAATAAACATGAGAAACAATTAGAGTCTTAGAGGAATCTGGTATCACTGGATAAATTTACTGAGAATTCTGTACAACAGAAACTGTAGTAACTAAATAAATTTATTTTGGTACCTTTTCATGTTTTCGCTAAGATTAAGGTACATCCCGGGGGTGATAGCCCCACTAATCAAAGTGTGAAGAACTATTGGTAATTTAGGACTGTAAAGTTAAGCAATTTAACATTAGATATCGTTTCTATTGTTCACTTCCCAGTATAAAATTTCTTAAAATTTTGACCTTATCGACAATAACTTATGGTTTTTCTGCAGAGCTCGTGAATGTGTGGTAGCGCTTTCGGATGAGCTTCTCTGATTGGATAAGCGCGAAAGGCGACGCGCGATCCCGAAATCGCCAGGCCGCGCAATCAATATTCAACTCCCTCGGGGACATCCAAATTCATAAAATTACAGTACAATAAGCGGGGTATCAGAGAAATCCTTTCCGGCGAACGATGGATGATGCTCTTCCTGTATGTTTCAATATAATTTTATATCATTGCTATAATTAAGTGCATTATAATCTTTTATTCTCTCTTTATCTTTTTATATTTTTCTTTATGAATAGCAAAAAAATGCAATTAGTTCTATATTTAGCTGGAGAATGTCAAAACGCTCATCGAAGATGAAACAGTAAAAGTCGAAGTCATCGAAGAAATCGAAAATACCCCCCAATATGGCGATGACGAAGTCGCCGTGAAGCTTGAATATGCGGAAGACCCTCCTCCGACGGCAGCTGTCGCCCCGACGCCAAAGAAAACTCGCCGCCTGCCATCAATCCTGCAGAAACGAGCGAAGAGACCTAAGATTTCCAACGGAGCTCAAGCTGGTCGCACGTCATCAACACTGATGTCTGCAGCACAATTCCAGTCGAATTCGCCATCAGCACAAGATGTCAATTTAGCGAGCCGCATCCTGCCAATGCCACGGCGGAATGGAGTGCCATCTGCGCTGGATGGAAGTCCTCAGCAAAAGCGGATTATCTTGCCGAAACCTAGAGCAGCTATTCAAGGAATCGCCATAGGAAATCCAGTCAAGATCAAAGTTAATGGAGTTCGAAAAACATCAACCGATTCTGACAAGTCCGACAAAATCGCGTCAACGGCTCTTCATCCCCAGCTGAGCCAGCCCGTCATAACCTCTCCGCCCGAGCTCGAAGTAAAAACTCCAGACCCGCGGGAAAAGATGAGGCCAGGAGAAGACTCAAGCCTGAAAGTAACGGGGCTGATGAAAATCAGCGGAACGGACCACTGGAACTTCAAATGGGATCTCACCGGTAGAGAATACTGCTCTCGCTGCAACAAAATCCACAACGTCGATGAGAAAGCAGTAGATGATGATGAGGGAGGTTTTCATATTGGAAATTCTGTCGCGAAGAGTCACAAATGCGTTGTCGACACGGTATGGAAAAAAGATTTTGCCGTCGAACTAGTCTTCCTCAAAGTAATTTATGTAACCATTCTTCAGTGTGGAATCTGCGGAATGGAATTAACGGGCGATTCAGAACAGCTACGTCTGCGACACATTCTTCACTGTGAAAAGGAAGAAATAGAAACTGTTCGGGGAAAAGGTAACGTAGCAGAGACACGTACAGAGGAGGTTAAATTTGTGGATAATTTTAGCCCTCTACATCGCGGACAAGGGAAAAGAGAGACGTCAATGCCGGATTTGCAATGAAGACTTTTCCAACATGATGCCCTCCGTGGAATATAGTTATTTCCGAAGACATTGCGCTTCACATGTCATCCCGGATCATATTGACGGTCAAAAGTTCTTTTACAGATGCTTCTACTGCCCAGAAAGATACAAGAGGTTTGACAAAAATTACCCTTGAAACGAATGAGATACCAAATGTTCTTTAGTAAGATGACTTATGTAAATCATCTTTTCTACCATTACCAAAATGGTGTCCACTGCGCAGACTGCCATTTTCTATCGCACGAAGAAGGAGAAATGTTTCTACACAAAATATGCCATGGGAGAGCCACGTGTCCTTCTTGTCAGGGATAAAGTATCTTTTGATAAAAATTACGGATGCCAAGATGTGGTTTTCCGTAAAGAACATCTTGTTGTTTACTATCGCTAACGCTTCTTTTTCTGTGGAATTTACCATAGAGTATTAATGTAGAATATGAACATTATATTTATCCCTCCAAAGCTGTGCCATCTTTCTCGCGAGTGACGGCTACACGACGGAATCGCTCAAACTTCACTGGCAAAGTTGTTATCACAATACTGTCGCGAAAATGAACAAATGTGGCTACTGTGGCAAGGGATTCAAAGATCCCTTTTCGCTCAACGACGAATGGCGCATGGTCGAACATTTGATGCGTTGCGGCGGAAAGCATGATAAGCGAGGGGTGAGGAAGACGGAATGCTTGGCTTGCGGAAACGAGACCGAGTTTGAAAAGAGCGTAAAGAATCACGCTCTGCTCCATGTTTTGCCAAATGCGACCGAGGATAAGCCTCTTGCTTGCCCGATTCCTGTTCCCTGTTGTTTGAATCAATGCGGGCGAGTATTTTATGATAGAACAAGGTAGAAGAGGCAAAGCTCTTTCTTTCCAATCAAATCTTTTTCAGTCTTTACCAACATGTGCTTGGAAGCTTCAACAAACGCCAATGTGCAGCTCATCAACGAGAGGAGTGCCTGAACCGCCTTCTGGATCAAACTCCTGCTGCCCTTACTTTCCCCGACCAAGATAATTCGCCAAGAGAAGAAGAAACACAAATCGTCCCGAAAATTTCGCCTGTCCCAGAAGAGAGTTCCAACGCCTCCAACAATTATTCAAGCTCCACTCACTGCCTCTCAATTTCTCCAAAGTGCCCAGTTTCCGGCGTCAAGCCAATCTAAAAGGTTTCATCTATTCACCTCATCCTCTTTCGTTCCTAAGTCTTCTTCAGTGCACCTGCAACACCCGTGAAAATCCGCCGGCCGAATATTCTGAGAAGAAAGCCAAAACCGCCAAAGAAACAAGACGTTAAAGTAGAGCTGTTAGAATCTGCCTAAAAATATTTCTCATATCTGTAAATACTATTGTATCTAACTCTTATTATACCACATTTACTAAATTAAGATAATTTACGATCCTTAAAGTTCTTCAACACTGTGGTTGAAATAAACAGAAACAAAGCTGGAAATTTATGTTGAAGTCCTCTCTCTTGATCTTAAATTTATCTGTCGAAAGAAGGAAAAACGTATTTAAAAATATACGAATTCCCTTACGATAGGTATAAGACGGAAAGCTTAACGGAAAGAGGCCAACTGTCGCGGTTTCTCCAAATAAGGTTGCTTTATAGACGACAGTCCGCCAGTCTTAACTTTTGTCAAAATATGAAGCATCAGAAATAACGCACAAAATTATTTCAGGTGTTATCCTGAAGCATATTCATGACACGCAAAATGGAAAACGAAAGAAGAACCTTTTCGCGTTCTGAGTAAGGAACTACAGAACAAGGTGCTTGCCAGATAAATCAAAGAGTCACCGAGCTTCTCCACATCAGTATGAATCATCATACTACATAATCCGGGTTTTTAAATATCTACAGTGTAGTCATCAGGAAGGACTGTGCACTGCAACTGTTTCGAAATAATCCACAGACAACATACATGTATCTTAGTACATTCATCTAGCAGACGAAGGCAAATGCCTTCGTGATAGACTCACGATGAGGCTTCGAATAAAAATCTAGACAATATAATAGTTTATTAATAATGAAGCCTCGAAGGTTGACTTTCACTTCTTTTTTCTTTGTTACACTCTTTCTAGTACTCAAGATGATTCCAAAACATCCGTTACGCTTAAGGTTAACTGAAATAAACAAATTCTAAATTTCATTCACCAATTTGTCCATTTGTCAAACAATAAGAGCGAATTCGTTTTTAAAGAATTTCAAACGCGGAGAGTGATTGCTTGAAGAAAGAATGACAAGAAGTAGTTTTTGAATGATCAGGAGATTGTATTTGATTCGGAATGTTTGCAAGTAAATGTACAATGGTTATAAATAGAGTTCAAGTGAAAGAGGCGGCTTTTCAGATCGTTTAGTAAATGATGGAGTTGCTGGGTCGGAGATAAGCGTTGCAGCAGTTCATTTCTGGGTTGAGAATGATCTTGCATTTGCTGACGGTTTTCTGGTAACCAGGTCGGTTTTGGGAAACGACTTCGTCGCATTTGTTGCAGACATCGAAGTTGCAAACAGATGATTTAGTGATGAATCGAGAGGCGCTTGTGATTTGGATAAGAGCGAAGAAGAGAGCGAGGAAGTTCATTTTTAAGCTGTTTTTGGTTGTTGTGGTATGCCTTCTAGCCTCGCTGACGGCCTTTAAATAGCTTCTGCGTAAGTATGATTTGGTGAGAGCGCTCTCGGACTCACTCACTTGAGGCGCTCCGGGTGAAGCAAAGAGGATCTTTTTTACCTGAATCGGAAAGAATGCAAGGGTGATGGGTTCAACACTTCAACTTGAAGAGCGAGAAATTTTTACGGCAATGGATATTCAAACACCTGTAATAACGATCGTAATAACTTCCAAATGTACTGCCAGAAAGATCAAATTTTCTATTCGATACGGTGCTCCTGTGCCTAACGACCATAGACTGCAGTTATGTGGAATCAAATTAGACATATCTTGTTTATCTTTAGCGATCATGCCTTATTTCTTTCAGATCAAGGCCGTATGAAGTCGGAGACGAATAGATGGTCAAGGACTTCATCATTTAGTCCAGACACGCGAACGAAAAACTAGGAGTTAAAAAGCGTCATTAACTTCTTGTACTCGCCAGGTAAATCGACGAGTCACCGAGCGCAAGCATCATGAGTATGATTTGGATTCTTTTTGCAAATCTTTAATCTTTGAGAAGCACTGTGAAATGCTCAAAAAATTCCAGAAAGCAAGGCTCATTGGAAGACTCAGGAAGACATGTCATACATTTAAAATAATAATGTTGAACGTGTGATTCCCTGATTCTTCGATGATTTCACCTAAAATAGAATGCGAAAATTAAGCCTCCTACAATCGTCATTATGACGATTCGGCATATATTATACCGTATAATTTATACGGTATGTGACGTATTCCAATGATCGTTTCATGGACCATGCCGCATGGTCCTTGCACTATTCTCCTACGAACGCGACCACTCTAACTCTGCCACTTCGATAAATGTGTGAGCTACAACTAACAGATCTGGGACTATAAATGCAAAGTTGAAACAAGCTGCACATTTATATTGAAGTTGTATTAAACTTGTTAAACAAATCGATCTGTTGCAAAATAACTGGATGCATGTCTTCCGGTGGCATTTGTCGATTCATGAAGTGATTTTGATAAACGCCGTTCGGGTTGATTAGATAAATGACAATCGTGTGGTCAAGGAGATACTCGCCCTCGTCACTTTTAGGTCCAACGCTAGAATTTTTTTTTTTGGCGAAAGTTTTACGAGCAAATTTACCTAAAGTAAATCTTGTAGTTTTTGCACATTTGCTTGATTTGCTTCGATGAACCAGTAAGACCCAAAAAGGACGGATAATCTTAATTAAAATTAATATTCTAACATAATATGAGAATTAATATTCTACCTTCAAGATAATAAGCAAGATTCTCGGGAGTATCTCGCTCAGGATCGATTGTGACAAAGACAGGCTCAAGATCTGGAAGATCTGCATTCTTCTTTCGCGCGTGATCGTGGATTTCCTTGATGTCCATTATTTTTTCCATTGTTTCGGGGCAAATGTCTGGACAGTGGGCGAAACCGAAATACATTAGGAGCCATTTTCCTTTTAGATTTTCTTTCGTTACAACTAGAATATCACGATTTCAATGATGAAAACGCATTTGCGATAGAACCTGAGTTGTCGCGACAGTTAACAAGGGTCCAATCATTCCTCCCAATGTTGTACTGCTGTGTGTTATTCCACAAGTTTTGCTCTCGCTCCTGCTTGAGCTTTTCCTTTTTAAGCTCCTCGTCATACCAATGCATGAAATACACTGAGCCCGCAACGAATCCAACAATCCCAAAACGAGTCGCAAGTGGAATTTTCCTGCTCGAGGGATTTCCACTTGATGCTCGAGCTAAGATCCTTCGAGAAAATGCCCGGTGCAGCATTCTGAAGTTAAGGGGAAAGTAATAATGAAATAAAATGGAAAAGTCAAGGGCAGATGCGAAATTCGTCTCGCGCTTTTTAGATCTACACGTGCCAGACACAACTTCGTCGCATAAACTGAGTCCGTCATTTCTTGAAACTCCTAATAAGTTCCCGGGCGCGCAGATGGATAAATGTTAAATGAGTTGGTTGAGAGCTTGTCGAGACACGAAAAATAATCCAAGTAGAAAAGAAAAGTATTTATTCGATATTTACAAGTCGTCATGTTTGGGAGAAATTTCTGGCCGCAGATACGCTTTCTTCGTGTACAGATCCCGGAAGAACAGTGGTGGGCGAGTCGCTGGAATCTAATAAACAATTTAAGGAATGCTGATGAATGATAGTTGTGGTACCTTATTGGTAAGAGCATCGTTGATGACCCGACCAGAGTCTGAGGCAAAGACAAACTTTTCTCGCGATGGAGGACGGGCTCGCATCGTTGAATCGAATAGAAGATTTTCTCGTAGATATATAAATCGCTCAGAGCCTTCGAGTACATACGCTAAAAACATGATGTAAACAAGTGGAAACGATCAAGATCACAATAACTTATTGTCAATAAGATATTTTGTCTGTCTCTCTTGAAATACACCGCGTAGAACAACACTTACTTCCTATCGAGTTTCTCAGTGATGGTTGCCCATGGCGCGTGACGAGATTTAATGATCGACTGAAATTACTGTTAGGCTCAAATAAAACCTTGAAGGAAACCTGGGGAGTGCCGTGTTAATCATCCTGCAGTCAAATGTTCTCAATCGCGTGGTCGAGCTGTCCAAATGAGTCGCTTTATGCACATGGTGAATATCTAAAAAGCGCGAATAGAATTAGGCAATTTGAAATGACTATACCTTTATAATGCTTATTGGAGTAGTCCTCTTTCTTATTTTGCTGATTGTAAAATCTTAGAGCCGGGTTAGCATTTGTCGCCCCGCGATGAGCTCGTTTCGTCGACCATTGCTATTTTTGATAACTCTCTTGTAGCAGTATTGAGAAACTTACGTGATTCTTGTACTGCGGCTTGTTACTTCGAAAAGGAAGACCATTCTGGCTGGCGATAGAGGCCATTTCCCGCATCGAATTCTCATCCGTCTCTTGCTGATTCTGCTGGGCTCGATTCAACCGGTACTTGTTCGCACCGAATCGTTTCGAATTCTGCGGCCAGGAAGAGCTACTCTGCCAGTTGACGCTACTGCGCCCTGAATATACAACGATAGAATTAATCGACATAACTAGGGGGTGCACAGTGGGAAAATCGATTTTTTTATCATCCTCTTAAAGGGATGAATGATACATCGATGGAAAGCCTGAGATCCACTGATCATTTTAACATGTGACTTGAGGTCATCGAAGGTCACGTGAGGTCACCTGAGGTCAAAATGCCATTTTTCTCAAACCCGATTTATATCAGGGTTTTTATGCATGAAATTGATCGCTGATGATCACTGATCATTTTCATCATCATAAAAACCCCTTAAAATTACCGATTTATATCAGGGTTTTTATGCATGAAATTGATCGCTGATGATCACTGATCATTTTCATCATCATAAAAACCCCTTAAAATTAAAAATGAAGGAACGGGGCTGAAACGGCCCGAAGGGCCGTCAAGCCCCTTAAAATTAAAAATGAAGGAACGGGGCTGAAACGGCCCGAAGGGCCGTCAAGCCCCTTAAAATTAAAAATGAAGGAACGGGGCTGAAACGGCCCGAAGGGCCGTCAAGCCCTTAAAATTAAAAATGAAGGAACGGGGCTGAAACGGCCCGAAGGGCCGTCAAGCCCTTAAAATTAAAAATGAAGGAACGGGGCTGAAACGGCCCGAAGGGCCGTCAAGCCCTTAAAATTAAAAATGAAGGAACGGGGCTGAAACGGCCCGAAGGGCCGTCAAGCCCTTAAAATTAAAAATGAAGGAACGGGGCTGAAACGGCCCGAAGGGCCGTCAAGCCCTTAAAATTAAAAATGAAGGAACGGGGCTGAAACGGCCCGAAGGGCCGTCAAGCCCCTTAAAATTAAAAATGAAGGAACGGGGCTGAAACGGCCCGAAGGGCCGTCAAGCCCTTAAAATTAAAAATGAAGGAACGGGGCTGAAACGGCCCGAAGGGCCGTCAAGCCTTAAAATTAAAAATGAAGGAATGGGGCTGAAACGGCTCGAAATTAAAAATTTGTCGAAAATTTTCTCCTTCCAGGAGCACTCTTCCACCAGAAAAGTCCTCCGGAGGACAAAAAAAGACTCACCCTAGATCACATGATCAGTGTTGATCATTTTTTTTGGAAAAAACGGCTTGAAAAAAAAATGTCATCGTCGGGATTCGAACGCCCACCCTTGGCCAAAAGTGAAGGATTTTGACAGAAAATCGGCTCTAGAATTTTTTCCTCACGAGACCACAAGATCATATGACTATCACTTGAAAGCGCTTGATTTGCTCTTTTATATGGTGGAAAATTACGAGGTAACCTTTTGGCACTTTTTTTCTACAGGCAAAAGTATGTTTTGTCTACCCTTGTCACGTGATTTTAGGGGTGAAAATGTGCTTTTTGGGTTTTCTTGTAATGAAACTAAATGATCCTTAGATAAAAACCAATCTATTTGTAAGGTTACAATATAGATACATGTACTATTAAATTTGCCGATTTTCCCACTGTGCACCCCCTAGACATAACAAAAGGCCCGTTCAAGTTTACCCAAAACATATGCTTTTGACCATTAAGAAGCGCTAAAGAGTGAGTTGAATTTACCTAGATTAGTACGACTTGTATCGGTCAGTACGTTTGTGATTGGAGAAGTTTGACGATTGAGATTATTCAAGGACACTCGTTTTCCATCCTTCTTCTTTGTTCGTCGTCCTTCTCCTACTTTGGCTAGCGCGCACTTTTAACGGTTATAAAAATCTCACAATATAAGAAGTAAATATGGAAGTTCCGTAATGGAGATTTCTTGCTGGGAGCGATGGGAAAGGTTACGTCAACCAGACTGACAGTTGACAGCAAGTACTCTGAGTACAGATGACATCTGTGAAAACCGATCATCCTTCCTAGAACTTTCCTATATTACTGCAGATTGCTGTAACATCGTTATGTCAAAAACGTAAAACAAAAATGAAGGAAGTTTTCAAAGCCGTTTCCTTAACCACCTCGCGCCCTGCCATGCCGCTTAGAACTGATTTTCATCCTTCATCTGATAAACAACTTATCAGCTGTTCTAGAGATTCTCTTATTTATTGAGTAATAAATTCTAAATTCACCGATTCGAGCCTTTATAAGAGCCCGTTTCCATAAATGCCGCCGGATGATCGAGAAGTGACGTATTTTGATGGACATTCATGAGGCCGTTGGATTTTCTGTGGGTGGAATCGAAGTATTGGTGGCATTTTGTAGAGGGCTGAGTATGAGAGGATTCTTTAATTTATAATTGTGAACAAGCGATAAAGCAAGATTTTCCAATGTTAATAACAAATAAATTAAAGGGGTATATAATCCCCCATCAATGATAGGCTATTATCGATTATATTTTTTATTATAAATTTTATACTTTAAAGTATGAATCCCATATGTAAAAACCATTTCCATCGGGGTGTCAAAGAACTGTTTTTGTAGTAGAGCTTGGAATGGCTTTTTGTCGATTTTTATGGTTCGTATGAATCACCATTATATCTCACCGTAGAACCGGTTCAACCCGGACCAACTTTAGTGTCTTTGACAGAATTGTAGGTCAAGATATAATCTCCAGAGCCCTTCCTTTACGATTATCGTCAGTAAAGAAAGAAGCTGACATGCGCATGCCGTAGAAGCACGAACCCAGAAGATCGACATAGAACCATTAGCTATGAAAGAAAAGTCAAATAATGCAAATTCTACTTCAAACATACGACAACATGCCTTGATAGGTTAGTTATATACTATCGATACAACATACCAATATGGTCCATTTGGTCCGTACGAAATCTTTCAGATGCGGCGGGGTCGAACCAGTTTGTCAAAGTAACCATCATATAGAACGAGCCGCATATAAATACAAAGTGCAAATGCCAGTATGTATACTTGAAGCTGTTCTTTTCATCGTCAATGTAAGGCGCATAAATTTCCTCCGGTGTCTTCGGTCTGAATCGGATTCTCTTACTTGCTTTAAGAGTCGAAATTGTACCTTGAGACACATCTGTTTGAGCAATCCAAAAACATTGGGCGCGATGGAATCGTCAGGAACTCATTGAACTTTGCAACATTTATCACAGAGCTGTAGCAACCGGATAGTACCGCTATGAAGATGGAGAACCATTTGACAATATTTTCGATTTCGAAGACGAGTGCTTCCTCTGCAGAAACAGTTCTCGCGCCAAAGAAACTTTCATTCGGACTGATGTAACCCGATGAACGAGACGGATTCTTTTTAGAGATGCAGTGGAAATTCTAGTTAAAAGGGGCTGGATTATAAGCCTTTATCAGTCTTTGTCTAAGAGAATTTTCTGTCTGGCCTTCAGACACAATATATCTGTTAAAATCGTTTATGAATCACAGCCGTAGACAAAATTACATGTTCGCGTCGACCAGTGCACCGATCCTGTTGGCTTAATATTTTCTCAACGAAGGTGAAATCCCGGCAGGACTCAGACTTATCCTTATTCGGATAGGAGTTGAGACTTGTACCAACCAGAAATGTTACGTAAAGGGTGAGAAGTGACGATTGTAAAACACTTAGACGAGTTCAAATGAGTTATGCTTGCGAAATCGCGATATTTTCATTTCTGGGTTGTTATCTGCCCAGGAAGCAGGTTATCCCTGAGGAGACAGGCATATGATTTGCCGCATATCCTCTCTATCGCAGACTCGAAGTGGAGTCTTCTCGAATGGTTTAGACAAGGTTAAGTTCTCACTTTTACGCAACAATGTACGTCTGACTTAGTAATTTTCATAACTCTCTATGGATTTTTCCGCTAATATTTCGAACTCATGGCCAGATGAGGAAGTTTTCCTAAAAAAGAAATATCAGACTAATAAAATCTATAAGATCGCCCTTACGATAGATATAAGAAAGAAACTAAGACGGAAACCAGACTTAACGTCGCGTTTACTCCGAATATAGTCGCGTTGTAGACACAAGTCCTTCCGTCGGAGCTTTTTGTGAAGATGTGGAACATCAGAACGTACGCACAAATGGAGATCCCTGGTAAAGTAATGACAAATTTCAATTATTTTTTCACGTGTTCTTTTGACGTATATTTTTATCGAACCTAGAGCGGAAACTGAAATGGACTGAAATGAAACCAAAAAGTTCAGCGCGTTCTTTTTAAATCCTTTTCAGTCGCTAATAGCAGTAATCTCAAATGAATGACGTGAATCACGAAGTAAGTCACTCGTTCCTGAAAAAAGGAGGGAAAGCGTCCAAATAAGAAGATTCCAGTGGTATCCGCGTTCAATAGCTGCTAGTTCCCAGCTGAGGGCAACATTTGTCGCCAAGTCATAGAGGCTTTTGGTGATTATTTCTAGGAGAAAATCGATGGCTACAGTAACCCGGATATCTCGTGCTCTGGAAGGTGTGGATTAACTACTCCCGGTGTATATGATCATTTTCCATCAAATGTCATTAAATAATTAAAACTTTAGATTAAATCAGACGATAATCATCCCTCGAACCAGAATAATTGAATAATTAGAAAAGCGCAACCGCCGGCGACTCCAATTATCATCAGTACATTCATCGCCGGTGAAATATTAACCTTGAACGTTGCGTACAAATTCACAAGCAAAAGGGCCGACTTCCAAAACCAAAATCCATTGTGCAGACGGGCAGAGACTGAGCGATTCGTTTTCGTGCCAACTGTTATGACGAGAAGCAAGAGATGAAAGAATGACAAATTGAAGAAGATTCTGTAGATGCCAGCTGGAGCGGTAAGATCGTCGCAATGAAACGAAAAAGGTCTTCTGTAACCTTCCACGAATGTATTGCAGACGAATGATGCATCGAAAAATCTAAGTGATAGACCTTTGTTAAGCTTGGCCTTGATGTACCTTTGCTTGACAATATCAGACAGAAGGAAGACAGATAAAGAAGTGAAGATGAACAATACAGAAACGTACATAAAACGAGTCCCTGTTGAAGCCTTTATAGGCCTTGTTATCGGATAAGACGACACTGCAATCAAATAGAAAATAAGATTACTCTTCCTTGATTCGAGTTGATCTTCATTCACTTATTCAATTCAAGTTTATCCGCTCCTGAAGTAGCTGGAGCAGCGAAAGTAGTCACCTCCCCAGTACCAACCCATCGTAGACCGTGGATCGTCTTCGCCCTTCCTTTTTTGAATTTGTCTAGCTCTTTAGCGCTGATCTACTTTTACGTGGTCCGCCTATCCTTTGCGTATCAGGTAAAAAAGATCTTCTTTGGTCAAACCAGAGCGCCTCAAGTGAGTGCGCCCAAGAGCGCTCTCCCCAAATCATACTTCGGCAGCAGCTATAAAAAGACCGTCAGCGAGACTAGAAGGCATAACAAAACAACCACAAAAACATAAAAATGAACTTCCTCGCTCTCATCTTCGCTCTTATGCAAATCACAACCGCCTCTCGAATAATCACTAAATCATCTGTTTGCAACTTCGATGTCTGCAACAAATGCGACGAAGTCGTCTCCCAAAACCGACCTAGTTTCCAAAAAACCGTCATGAAATGCAAGATCATTCTCAACCCAGAATTGAACTGCTGCAACGCATATCTCCGACCCAGCAACTCAATCATTTACTAAACAATCTACAAAACTGATTCTTTCACTTAACACTCTCCTTTCAATCATTGTACATTTACTTTCAAACATTCCGAATCAAATACAATCTCCTGATTATTCAAAAATTACCTTTTGTCATTCTTTCTTCAAGCAAAACTCCTAGCACTTAAAATTCAATCTAAAACAGTTTGAATTAAAAAAATGAAAGAGTTAAATGAGGCAGTGTTACAACATAAATGTGAGTTCTGTGACAGTGAGAAAAACATGTAGATAGGCTCCTAGTTTCTGTCCTGAAGCTTTTTGATCATTTCACGAGCTTCTTCGAGGTATTCTTTCTTGCAGCTTGATGAGCCGCGCCCAATTGCCAGTGCCCTGAGAAAATTTAGTGTGTGTTAGCAAACTTGAAATAAAACATGAAGAGTTTTAATCCCAAAAATGATCACTGCAAAAATTTGCAATACGTCACAGTGTGACTGTCATATACCGGTTATATCATGAGACGATTGTATCTGTTAAAATTTTCTCATTCTATTTTAGGTGAAATCATGGAAGAATCAGCGAATCATTCGTCCAAAATTTGAATTTTAGGTCTATGACATTTCATCCCGGGTCTTAAAATGTGCCTTGTTGTCTATTCTTTTGGGCATTTCACAGTGCTTCTCAATGATTATAGATTTGAAAAAAAAATCCAAATCATACTGATGACGCTTGCGCTCGGTGACTCGTCGATTTACCTGGCGAGCACTAGAAGTTGATGAAGCTCTTTTACTCCTAGTTTTTCGTTCGCGCGTCTGGACTCAATTATAAAGTTCTGGACCATTTGCTCGTCTCCTACTTCGTAAGGACTTGATCTGCAAGAAACAAGGTACGATCGGATTTTTGCTAAAGATAATCAAGATATGTCTAATTTGTTTGTACATTACCGTAGATACAGGAGCCCCGGGCAGTATCGAGCAATCGCTGAAAGTACTCTTCAATGTTCAAGTCAATGTCTGATTTCACCAAAACGGAGTAATCTAAAGTTGTTCACTTGGTCGAGCGAAAAAACGGAAGCGCTCCTTACCAAACGGAAGCAAAGGCTTTCCCTTAGAGATGACAAGGCAATTTGAATCAACTTCAAAGTCCTTCTTGTAGAACTGGTAGTCGAATTCAAGTTTTTGTTCTTCCGAGGGTCTCGTTTGGAAAATCATTATTAAAAAAAACCGTGAGAAAACCGTTCCTTCAATTAAAAGCTTGAGGGTTTCAATATTTTTCATTCCAACTTGCGTCAAATTTCCAGCGCTTATGCCACATTCATTTAGGACCATCAGTGTTCCAGGCTTTTTAACGGATAAAAACGCACAGTATTTATACTTTCAATTTGCTTCTGTTGATTTTTAGGGCTTCCTGGATCTCTCCTGGATTTTTCACTTTTTTCAATCTCTCGGAAAATTACTTCGTCCTAGTCTAGGACTCCTAGACCTTCCGTTACCCGAGAAAGGCGTTTAAAAATGAAAAATGCTGGATTTCATTCAAAATTTTCCCTCAAAGCGGGTGTCGATGCGGGGGAATGGCATTTTTGCCTTCGCTAAGGAGCTTTTTCAGTGGAAAAGAAAGCATTTCCAGTCAAAAGGCTCCTATTTTTCGTTTCAATGGTAATGGAATATTAACTGCTAGACAGTCCTGCACCTTTGAGATATGAGCTAAGGTCGGTCCGCGATCCTGGGTAGAAATATCAGAATGAAGTAGCTCCTCATCCTCGTAGTTCTTCGTCGGCGCCAATGGTCGCTTATTGAGGTAATCGATTGAGAGAGGTAGTGTGGTGAGTGATGGAACAATTTCTTTGAGAACTCTTTCGATGCCAATGAAACAGCTTTCGCAATCTTAAGTTGGGCTTACTAGAAGATTAATAGAAGACGTACGATGAATAGTTGCGATTTTTATGTATGGGATTCTGATGTTGTCATAAATGTTTGATTTTGATTTGGCTCGATAGACTAAAGTCCGTGATAATTATATTATCTATATTAAATATAGATAATATATTATATTATATTTAGCTATGCTTATCACGTTCAATTAGGGTCACGTTTTTAAGCTACATAGGGAAATTGATAAGTCGTATACGTTCGTAAGTCTATCCACGAGAAATTTACGTGAGCTCGCGTCTAGAGTTTCCAAGAACACCTTCCACAGTTTTGTCTATTTAATTTAGTTGAGCAGACAGTTATAGATAACTAAATGGAAACGTTTTGAAAAAATAATTGTTTTATCATCCTCGTTATGGAATTGAATTTATTTGCCAGGTGAGGAGCGTAAATTGAAAATACATCTTTTTCGGTAGACGTAGAATCGGATGAATTGCCATAATAAGAATTGATTTATTCTAAGCCTTTCCTGCTGTATCCTTTAGATTCAAATTCAGTGTTATTGGCCCTAGAATGACTTCAGCTCTGCGCATGTAAATCGATGAGACAAGTGAGCAAAGCAAAAACTTCGCAGCAAAACGATCTCCCAACAGCGTTTGTGACAGCAATCCTAAAGTGTCTTCGAAGAGCGTTTCCTTTGGAGGCAATTCATTTTCGTCGGCCAAACTTTTTGGCCCAGTCTGTTTGGCTTCGATCACGTGAAGGCTTCCAGAATTTCTTTGAACAGGGTCTCTTTCAGAAGAACTTTGAAAATGAATTCGAAAAAGAGGCAACTCGATTAATCCATAATTTATTTATGCTACGTAAAAGACGTTTCCTGTCATCCTCAGATGGGTAAAATATCGCACGAACATGATAAACCGTAAGCACTTTGAGAGGCACATCCGCATACATCTTCAGCACGAATTTGGAATCCTTGCTGAACTCGAGCTTGTCGTCGTTGTGCGATTCTTCCGATTTTGAATTGTACATTTTCTGCCATCGAACTTCCGCCCATTCAGTGTCATTATTGGGAATGCGAGCGAGGTAGCAATTTCGGTCACGGGCGTTTTCGAAGTTTGTTTCTTCTACTCTCTCGCAATTTTCTAAACTTCTGCGTTAACATTTCGAAAATACAGAATGGAGTAGAACTAGGCTTGACGGCAGGTTCCTCGAAAGGTAATACGTTGTGCTTACAGTAATCAAATTTTCCGAATTTTCCTTCAGCGAAATATTTGCGTTATATATATACGCTCGTCCGAGCAGTCGATAATAATTAACATCCGCTATCGTCATTATAAGGGGATCGAGGTTTTTTCGTGGAAAATAAGCTTCCGTCGATTATCCTGTATCTCCTAATATTGACGATAACGGAGGTTAATTATCATCGCTGAACGAAATTCCTCGAAGATTTTTGCGAAAATTTGGATAGGTGTAATTTCAAATATGGTCAAGCTCACGAATCGGATATCATCAAATACGGTCAGAAGAAGATCGATCATCAAGGCCTGAGAAAACAATACCTGGTATGTCCACTGATTCACGAAAAGCGGTAACGCACTCTATTCTCTCTCCTGTCGTTTTATCTTTGAATGTGAGCGTTGGAAAGAAGATCTCCTGGTCAATATGGTCGATGATTAAAAACCTGGTCGAGATAAATTGACCAGAAGAGGTATTTTTGTTCAACGGTGGGGGCCGAGCGCTCTCTGGAATTTCGGAATGCAAAATTGAAATTTCTAACTGCTGGAATCTAGTCTTGCTTGGAACTAACATTTCCATCCGCTTTCCTAATCCTTTGAACAAGAGACTCACATCTTTCGTCCAGCTTTCCGAGTTGAAAAGCTGCGGCTCGTTCGGCAGAAGCATCATTTTTTAAACGAATTCTCTTTCTTGATTGCAAGGTTTAATTTCAAACTTAGAAATTGCAGACGAAAATTTCGTCACGAAATCATTCAGCGTTGGCAGTTAAAGTCAGTTTTCAAATCTAGAGTTTCAGTTAGCAGCGGTCTCGGATGACTGTTGCACGGGGAGATACAGTTTGAACTCGGCTGGCAGCTCATCTTCAGAATACAGCCGGTCGGAGAAATAAATGCTGAATGAGTTCTTTATAAAGATTTGGAAAAGAAGACTTACCGTCTAAGTCTGCAGGAGGAATGAATCGTTATTCTATCAGTACATTTGTATTCTGTCAATTTGATCAATTATCATTTTTTCGTCATAGAAAAACCATCAAATCTGGGAAAAATATTAGAAAAAACGGCGCTTCTATGGTTTTTTTCATAATCAAAATTTGCAATCCTAAAATAGCATGTTTCCTTCGATTTTTAAACGATTCCGTCAATCTTAAAATCTGCACCACAAGCTGTCTTTCCACTAGTTTTCGGAGGGCAGACAAATGAGATTCTTAATTTAAAGAAAGAATAACCGTCTATATTCTTAAAAATTGTGTAAGATTGCATAAGTTTTCAATTTCAAATATAAAAAGAATCTCCTTTGTCTACCCACGGAAAACCTGCAGAAATTAAGCTTGTGGTGCAGACTTTCGAATTGACGGAATAATTTGAATGACCTTTTCCTGTTCCATACGCTCTTTTGCAAAAATCCTTCAAGTTGATGCAAATCTGATTCCATCCATCGTCCATCCTCAGGGGCATCGTGCAAATAAACGGTTTTATCCGAGTCGCTAGAATTTTCATTCTCAAGTTTTGAAAATATTTCTGAAGATTACTTGATTGATAATTTGACGATCGAAAGCGCCTGGTTATATTCTTGTCGTCGGTGATTTGAATCTCAAAAGAAAAGTATTTTTCATATTCTTCACTACTAGAATTATGTAGGGCAAAGTAATTCCCAAATTGTCGGAAGCATTGGTCGGACAACTGATGTAGGTTTCGGCTAGTTTTTCGGAGTCGATTTCGATCACGGAGGAGGAAATATCGTTGTCGCCAACTCGTTTTACGTGCCCTAGAATTAAGTCTTCAGTAATGAGCCCATATTTCAAGAGTCAAGATGTGATTGCATCAATTAAGGGCAACCCGCTCACGGAGATTTCATCGCTTCTCGCCGCCATCTCAAACTCTAAAGTCAGTTTTTTTCTACATAAAAAGGCTCGAGTCCATAAGGTCACGTGTCTAGACTCTGTACGTATGAGAAGTAGCTTTTTATGGAAAATCTAGAGTCATGTTACATCTTGTAACTTACATATAGAAACCCGCGTGAGAGGCATTACAACTAGAGTTATAGATATCCCAATGATTATAGATCAGCATGATTTGTCCTACTCACCCTGGTCAACATTTATATCCCACAGCTGCAATGGTTTACTTCCAAGCGAATATAGAACCGACAAAAATCCAGTTTGAAAGGTATTTTTGAACATTCTTAAAATTCATCTCGTTAGGGTTATAAGACGGAAATTTATACACAGTAAAAGAATGAGATATCAAAGCGGATAGTATTGCACAAAAAACGCGGAAGTTGAAAAATCTAAATTGAAGAATTTTTGGCTTTAGAGGTGGCTGACAGAAGACTCTGTCGGGAGATTGGGGCGGAGATTGAGGACGGATTCTCTTTTTATTTCTTTCATTTGGGACAAGTAATCTTCTTCTTTCAAAAGCGTTAAGAAATACTAAACTGTTTATAAAAATACAATGTGGTATATAAAGCTTACAGTTTAAATCTTTAGAAAATGAATGACAGGATCGTCGTTAAAGGCTGGGCTCGGCAACCTGTGTCAGGGACAGGAACAGGGACAGGGTTTCCCTCTCCGTGACCCATATTTTACACAGGCACTCAGGACAGGACCAAAAAATCTTCCTTTTTTACACAGGAAGACAGGACAGGTTTTTTAGACAGGTCAGGAAACAGGTTTTCTAGACAGGTCAGGAAACAGGTCCTGACTCAGGAGGAAAAACAGGAATTTTTTTGATCAAAGAATTTAAGAAAAATTCTAATTTTAAGAATTTTATAACCATTTGGTTCATTGCACAGATTAAAAATTGGCCATTCTTGCGCGAAATTTCTTGGCAATTGATTCTTGACTTCAAATAATGAGTAAAAGAGACTTCGTAACATATGAGGTAAAAGTAAGTAAGTAGTAATAACCTGCAAGTGTCACTTTCACTTAAATAAAAATAGAATTGGTAAAGTTAACCGGGTTAACATCAATTTCGACGCTCTGAATTTCCAATGAAGTTCCTGAATATAAAACGCTACGATCTGTTTATAATAATGATGTTTTTGGCGTTGTTTCTTATAAATTATTTTGCGAATCTAGACTATTGAAGCCTGTTTCCTGACCTAATTAAACAGGAACCTGTCTCAACTCAGGCCCTAGCAGGAAAATCAGGCCTGTCTTTAGTCAGGGACAGGGACAGGAACAGGGTTTCGAGCTTTTAATCCCGATTTTGGACAGGTACACAGGACAGGGCCAAAAAACATCCCTATTTTACTCAGGTACACAGGACAGGGTCCCAAAAACAGGAAACAGGTCCTGTCTAAGGTTTTTAGACAGGTCAGGATGCCGAGCCCAGGTTAAAGGTTAGCATATGTCACATGAGTTATTGACGTAAATAAGTTTATTTTTCTTATTTTTAAATCTGGTTTCCTCAGGAAACTTTCCTGTAGGACCAGGGAAAACCAAACTAAAGCTGGCAATTTAGCCCAAAAAAGACAATTTCCAACGCTTTGCCTTGGCACTCCTCGTCAAAGTAAGCTTTCACCAAATTTCCGGACTTGAGACCACGGACTTTTCGAAGATCCGGAGTTTGAAGAAAAGATGTGCCGCGTGTGGGAGTACAGCTATCCGTTAGGGAGAAATAATTTACCATCGCATTGGAAACTAACATCAGTTCTGAGAGCAGCTCTTCCTCAGCAAACGTCTTTTTTTGGAGTTTTCCGACTGTTTTAACATTTGGCGGATACATTTGTGCGCGTTTTTCGATAAAGCACATTTTTCTTGAAAACTGTTTCTTTATTTCTTTGATATTTTTTATCACAAGGCCGCTGCTCGAAACTGGAATCGTTTTACTCCCATTTAGTTGAAAAAGAACTTGAAGGGCGGAGCATAGAAAGTGCTCGTATTTCTGAAGAATTGGTTCGTGATCTCTCAGGAGTTGAGAAATCAGTTGAATGAAATTCACTCTCGCCATTGTTTCCAGCTGAGGGAGGTATAGACGGAGAAGATCAACCAGAGAGGCAGTTATTGAATCTTTTTCCTTTGGCAGAATCTTAGAAGATGATTAGGAAGAGCCGGTCGGAGTGAGAATCACCTTATGCTTGAATTCTAGCGTTGGATATGTTAGCTTGAAAGTCCTCTTTGGTATCAAATTATTTTCCGCCGTGTGGTAGATGGAGGATACATCTTCTTTGAGCGAAGGAAAGACTACATCGTCCGGCTGCGGTCGTTTTATATTCACAATTGCAAGAATTAGTGCCTCGTAATCTATAAAATCCTCTGATCGATCGTTACGCGGTTAAGAAGGTACTTGAAGGTAAATCGGTCGTTGTGATGATTTGGAAGATGAAGGCTGGAATGAAATTGAAGCAGAAAAGCTCGAGTGGAGGAGAACTGCTAGTTGAAAACTTGTACAGTTGCGATATTACTAAAAGTTCGATTACATAAAGCAGAATTATAATCGATCGATATTATGCCTTACGTAAAACAGCATAATGGGATTAAGTTTATGAAAAACAGAGCTATTCTAATGGCTACTAATTTTCAATTTTAATTAGACAATAAAAATATTTGGTCTGATGATTTTATTTTTTTATGTAACAAAGTGTAATATGTTCAAAAATGATCCATAAGATTCATGGTGACATAAACATATTCCACTCTGTTACATGAAAAATTATTTATAATTAAGGGTTTGAAATCATTTCTACCTGCATCAAGTAAATCAGAAGCCGTTTCATCCTCAGAATCTCCAAGAAGCAAATTATGAATTTGAACATACGTCTCTTCCGAATATTTTACGCCTTTCAACCCTTCATTGCCCTTCGATGCGGATAGCCAATCTCTTACTGTCATTCTGATAATTCATAAAGATGCTTTGAGAAACGAAGAAAAGGGATGATCTCTACGGACAAATGAAGAATCATCAGATTTTTTTTGCTGTGAAATTCAAGTGTATTTATAAATAGACATGCAGCTTTGCATTTTAAATTCTAGTGTAGTGCATATATCGGAAATGGTGGTAGAATTGTGTACAAAAGGAAAGAAATAGATACACATACCGCAACATGCGTATTTTGAAAGTTTTGAAATCAACAAGGAGAAAATAGAGTCTTGAAAAATTATAGTTCAAAGTTGAGTAACTAATTCAGTAAAAGATAAGATAAGGAAAGATAAGTCGGCATAAAAAGCAATAACGGAAATACAAGAAAATTGTTTTAGGCATTTAACATTTGTCATTTGATAACTTGTTAATTTTAAAAATTGAAAACGAAATTATTGAACAAAAAAGAAGATTTGAAAGATTGAAGGATGTTTTTTAACGAAAGAAATTGGTGAACAACAGAAATATAAAAATATTTATAGCTCGGAAAAAAGGTCGGAATGTCCGCAAAGTGGGGTTTTAGTCATTATTTTTTTTGATAAGAATAAAGATTGTCACGATTTTGTAGATTTTCGATGCAGAAAATAGTGGCTAGATACTGTACTTATCACTGCTTCAGTAGTACTGTAGAAACCGTCTATTTCCTATTTATATTTGTTACATGTAGAATTCTGTAGAATCATGGTTTGGTGTTTTTTAGTAATTTCCACGGGCGATTTCTTCGCGAATGATGTTCCGCACTTCTTGGAGCATCGAGACTTTCATCTTTTCGAACTCTTCGCGGATCATCAGGCGGATTTCGTTTTCCGAGGGAGTCGACGACGAGCCAGAGAATTGAGAAGTAGAACTTGTGTGATTCGAAACTGGCTTCGAAGGCGGAACTTAAATTCCATTTAGAGCTTTGAATGATTATCGAGAAGCCGTTTCGGCTTCGTGGGACCATTATGCGACTAGCGAGAAAAGCGGGTGCTCAAGTTTGACGAGAAGATTCCTACCTGTGGGCAGAGGTTTAGTTTCCTTCTTTATATGAGAGTGAACGGGTGCTGGCTTGCTGGGCGTCGAGTTTGACTGAACCTGCCCGGCGAGTCTTTGTTTCAACTGCTCGCGGAAGTCCATCGGCCCGCCCGCCGGTTTTGGCGGCAGTTGATGAACTGTTTTTGTTGCAGCCGGGGCGTCTTCTCCGACTACTCTTCCTGGCCCCGCTTTTTCTTGAATGCCGACTTTCTTCAGCTTGAAGCCGCCCTGAGTTCAAGATTAAATTAATACTTCAAATCCATTTTTGTACCTGGATTTGACCCAAAAGAGCTCCTCTTCCAGCTCCACCAGCTGGAGCGGCTGATAATCCCGTTCCTCTTGGTCCCCCGGGCGCAGGACCTGGCGGGCCTGGTGGTGGACCTCCTGGAGGGGGTGGCCCAGGCGGTGGACCGCCACTAGGAGGGCCAGGAGGGGGAGGTGGACCCCCAGGAGGTTTTACTGGAGCTGGAGGACCACTAGGCTGTGCAGGCCGCGGCGGCTGAGGCTTCGGTGGTGGCGGCTCTTGTTTAACTTGTGGCCAGGGCAGTTGTCCTTTAACTCGCTGCAACGCCGTGGTCATTTCTTTGCCAAAATCTTTTGCGTACTCTTCGTCAGCAAAGTTCATCCCATAACTACAACAAAAGTCAATTTCTCTTTGTCAGCAAAATAGTTGAAAAAGCAAAGATAGCCGGACCGGTGAAAGTTTGGACAGCAGATGAGTTTGTTTCACTCAAGTAGGGGCAATTTTCGAGAAAGAAAAGAAGAGCGCTAAATCAAAAAAGAAGGCGCAATTTACTTGACAATCATATAATAACTGGACAAGGCCAATTTTGTTTGCTCAATTTCAGACTTCAGCTCAATAGCGGATTTCTTCCGGGCCGGTTAAAATTGAATAGATAAGGAAATTCAACTTACACTTGTCCGTTTGCTCTCCATTGGTGAAACTTCGGCGTCGCTTCGTTGTAAACCAAGCTGGCAATTATGCCACAATTGATGGTCAATTCACCCGAGTCGCCCTTTCTACCGACAATTCTGTACTGCTGCTTCTCCGCGTTTAGAAGGATGTAGACGTCGCTGGGGCCTGGCGAAGACACAGAAACCCATCGCTGCATTTGCCCTTCGTACAACATCACGTCGGCGACGACCTTCACGACCACCGATTCCGAGTCTGACATTCTGAAAATAATCGTTGAAATTTCAGCTTTTTCTTCGCGATTTTTTGATTGTCTCTTTTTCGTTTGCAATATTTTCATTAAAAAAACCATCATCGAATTGGCAAAAACAGGAAACGCTCAAAAAGTAAATTTTCCCACAATAAAAATTTTTTTTTGTAAAAGGAGCTGTTTTTCGATCGATAATTCGTATTATTGACAATTATTCTGGGCTAATTTATAAATGCGCGTTCTTTATAAGGTCAAGCTATCAGATTCTGACGGACTCGAGTTGATTTTGATTTCAGAAAGAAGAGAAAAACGTAATTAGTCTCGTAAATCTGAGCAAAAGGCGCTATTCATTGTCACCACTATCCGAATCGGATGAATTTTGAATAGCGATTCTTCTTTTCTGAAACATTAGACGGTTTTAAACGATCTTTGTGAGTAATTTTAACGCTTAATTAGTTAACTTCTGGAACTGTATCTTCATATACAATTAAATAACTCTTATTCTGTACGTAACAGTATTAATAATATATAAAAATTATTTAATTTTAATTAGACACATCCTGTATCCGGTATTTTCGTATATAGGCAAGATAAAACGCATCATAAAATACGAATTTGATCAGAATAATTATGAAATTTCCCCTTTTTCGAACAGGATGTTCGATAGAAAAATCGCATTTGTCCCGGATATAGAATACGTAACTGTCGGATTTTAGCGGTTTTATATAATTGACCTATATCTTTGATCTTAAAAATCCGACAATTATATATTCTAAATCCGGTACAGATGCGATTTTTTTAACGAATATCCTATTCGAAAAGGTGGAAATATAGTAATTATTCTGATTTTAGCCGTATTCGATGGAGGGTTTTAAATTGTAAGAGCACAATAATACCGGATACAAGATGTGTGGTATTAATATTAAACAATTTTTATAATACTGTTATAAAAAAAAAACGAGCGTATACACATCATTAGAGCTAATTGATTATTCAAAGTTTCGAGCAATCAGATTTCAGAAAAAAAACGAGAGACAAGTTTTCATTCGTCGAGGCTCCAATAAAATAATTCATAAAGAAATCTCTAGATCAAAAAAGGCAAATTGCAAAAAATTTCGCAGTCTACTTCACTCAAAAATCGGAGAGAAAATGTGTTTGTCCGTGTTTGACTGAGGCTGTTTGATAAATTATTCATTTTGTATTCTCGTCTTGAGAATCAAAATCAATCATTTCTTCCGATCGAAGCTGATTCGACGCGCGCCGATTTTTCGCGCTCCCGATTGGACAATTCAAAGGTTGCTTTCTTGCTCGACGGACTCATCCCTTTTTTCCAGAAGAAGAAAATATCATTTTCGTTGCTAATTACTGCTTGAGAGTTTTTATCTTTTATTTAGATTTCTATCAGAGTCAAAATAGAACATATTCTTGTAAACTAATTTTAACAACGATAAATGATATTTTTTCTTCAAAAAAAAGGATGAGTATGTTGTCCTCCAATCGGTTTGACGGTGTTACAAAAATGAAGCGGTTTTGAATTGGAGTGCGTCTCTATTTTTTCACAAAATGCAGACATCTGAAGACAAAAGTGGGCTGGCAAGACGAGACATTTACGCCAATATTTGTCCATATTCACTCGGCAAATAATAATTACTGACGTGGAGATTGTAAAATAACTGATACAGCTTAGCTACAGGGCGGAACAACTGCCAAATAGATCGTCTTTCTCTAACCCTCTTCGATCGCCATCAGAATCTTCTTCTTCGACGGTGTGGCCTTTCATGAAGTCAGGGTGTCACTGTACCTTCTTTGCTAGTCATCGTCTGACGAAATATCCGGAGGGACGGAAAAAGCTTAAACCCGGCCAAAGAGATGAATTTTGCCCAGCAAAATCGTAGCTTTAGGAGGGGAGGACGCGCCTATTTCCGTCAATCTCTTGCCGCGTGAACCACATCGCGCCAGTGGAGATTAAAGTTCATCTTAGTCAGCCTTCTTTTCTGAACATATTCTTGAATGATTCTGATCTTATTCCGTAGATTCTTTTTGCTCAAATATATTTATGACTGTCAATTGATTTCTTTCATGATTTTCTTACTATATCGTCTTTACAATAAATTCTTTGTAAGGGAAGCCAACAAAAGCAGCAAGAAAAGGATTCTTGTATGAAATTTCAGCATTGAAGGAAAAACAAAAAAGAAAACTTGAACAAACTTGTCACTGATAATGTGATAAGCTCATCACGTTGCGTACTCTGGCACCCGCTTTTCTATCCCTTTTTTCTGGAAAGAGAAATAGCAAGAAGTTGCATGGCGCAGCAAACGGAGTCCTCTGTGACTCTTCGGAAAATACGGCATGTCCAGTTTGGCATTTTGTCGCCTGATGAAATCAAAAGAATGTCAGGAAACGTTTGAGTAGATTCCCATTTATGGTTAGTTTTCACCTGATTTTCACAAGCACCGTAAGTCGTGAGCTCCCCTGGGTTGGTTCATCCCGAAGCGACAGAGCGTGACGACTTCGGCAAGTCATCGAATCGACCAAAAATGGATGGAATTCTCGATCCTCGGCAAGGGGTAGTCGATCGTTTCTCCAGATGTCAAACCTGTGCTGGAAACATGAATGATTGTCCCGGGCATTTTGCACACATCGAACTTGCAAAGCCTGTCTTTCATATTGGCTTCTTCAACAAGACTTTGCGGGTATTACGGTGCGTTTGCTTCTTTTGCTCAAAAATGCTGGTGGACAAGAACGATCCAAAGATGGCGACGATCCTGGCGCGCACGAAGGGTCAGCCTAGAAAACGACTCGATTCCGTTTACGTTCTGTGCAGAGGTAATTATTCCATTTTGCTTTGGTTGACGAGAAACAAATCATGGGACACTGTAGTCATCACTGAGAAAAAGGCCTCTACTGGACTCGATGACGTTTTATATAATAATTTTATGAAAATGAGGCTCTAAAATCTTTTGATTGAGGAAAGCAAAAATGCGAGGGAGGAGATGACATCGATTCCGACGAGAAAAAACCAAATGACCATGTGCCATCAGAGGAAACAAACGATGGGATTATTCCGCATAATGGTTGTGGGAGATTTCAACCAACGTACAGGAGAGACGGACTTACCATAACTGCTATGGGTAAAGAAATTCCACTTTCTTTCCGATTTTTGTTCTTCGTTGATATGGAATTAGGAGCATTAACCGTTCCGTTTCTACCGAATCGGTGATTCTTTATCCGCTAAAAAGCAACATGGAAGAAGGTGAATGATGATGCGCAGGAAAAGACGATAGAAATGACGGCAGAGAAGGTCCTCGAAATCTTTAAAGGGATTTCTGACGATGAAATTGACATGTTAGGAATGGACGCGGAATACGCTCGTCCGGCGTGGATGATTATCACGGTCATGCCGGTTGCTCCCTTGGCAGTTAGACCTTCAGTCGTCATGGGCGGATCAGGGTTACGAAGTCAGGATCGTTGCATAGAGAACACTGTCTGCTTGACATTCATAGTTTTTCCATAAAAAGCAGATTCTCTAGCAAGAAAATAGGACGATGTTACGCACAAATACTGTGATATAATCAAAATCAACAATTCAATCAGGAAAAGATATACCAGTTTTATCAAGGAATCATCTTGAAAAACAGGATTTTTTTATGTTAATTACCTGTCTCTTAGCTGAATTATTACAGATTTTTACATAAATATGATAAACAGCGTCTTATGGAAATTACATAAAAATGGGTCAATTTGGTGAATCTTCAAGAAACAACGAAGCACATGGAGCAGCTCCTCATGTTATTGCTGATGAAGTCAAGCTCCTTCAGTTCCACTGCGTTACTGTCATGGACAACACGATTCCTCGAATCCCAAAAGCCTGCCAGAAATCTGGGAGACCTCTCAAGTCCATTTCTGAAAGATTGAAAGCAAAAGAAGGAAGAGTTCGAGGAAATCTGATGGGGAAACGAGTCGACTTTTCTGCACGAACTGTGATCACTGGAGACCCAAATTTAAACGTGAACCAAGTTGGAATTCCAAGAACGATTGCGTCCAATCTAACCTATCCGGAGATCGTTACTGCGTTTAACATTGACTACTTGCAGGAGCTTGTCAACCGGGGTGCAAATCAGTATCCAGGTAAATAACTAGAGAAAACTCAAAAGCAATATGACTTTGAGGGGCCAAATACGTGATCAGAGACACAGGAGAGCGAATCGATCTGCGATACCACCCAAAGCCATCTGATCTGCAGCTTCAAATAGGCTACCAAGTTGAGCGACATCTTCGAGACAATGACGTCGTCGTTTTCAACCGACAGCCAACACTGCACAAGATGTCAATGATGGGCCATTTAGTCAAGGTTCTTCCCTGGTCGACTTTTCGAATGAACTTATCTGTTACCTCTCCGTATAATGCAGATTTTGATGGAGACGAAATGAATCTTCATGTGCCGCAGTCGATGGAGACACGAGCTGAAATCTTGCAATTGGCGCTTGTGCCGCGGATGGTGGTCACTCCGCAATCAAACAGGCAATGGTTATGTTTCTAGGAAATACTCCCTGAAATCAACAAAGAGTAACCAAAAGCAAGACCTGTCATGGGAATCGTCCAGGACACTCTTACGGCAGTCAGAAAGCTGACAAAGCGAGACACCTTCATCGAAGTTCCAGATTTCATGAACCTTATTCTCTTCAAAATCCAATGGAACGGTCGCTTACCAGTCCCTGCGATTCTCAAACCACGACCTTTATACACGGGCAAACAGCTTTTTGAGCTTTGTCTTCCAGAAGGCGTCAACTGCATTCGAAACCACTCGACGCACCCGGACTCTGAGGACAACAGTATCTACCGACATATTTCCGTAGGCGACACTCGGGTAGTCATCGAAAATGGAAAATTTATATCCGGGATTGTCTGTAAAAAGACTGTCGGTGCTTCTGCTGGTAGTTTAATTCACGTAATGTTCAATGAAAAAGGAGCAGATGTGACTAAACGTTTCTTTTCCGACGTTCAAAGGATGGTGAACCAATGGCTTCTAGTGGAAGGGCATTCTATCGGAATCGGAGATACAATTGCAGATGCTGCTACGTATAAGGAAGCGGAAGAAAAGCTTCCGAAAGATCGTAATTTTGTGGCTCTTTTTGAATGAGAAAAGCTGCAAGATTCGGAATTTTAGATTCCTGAAAGCGGAGAAAGCTTTATTCCGAATATGCCATATAATACGGTACAATTTAAATCCGTCAAATAGAGTATCCAGGCGCAGATCCGGAAATCCAAGACAGATGTGCTCGAAGTTATCGAGCGAGCTCATAATGATGAACTAGTTTGCACGCCTGGCAATACGATTCGAAACACATTCGAAAATCATGTCAATAAGATCCTGAATGATGCGCGAGACAAGACGGGTGGATTGGCCCAGAAATCCCTTTCGGAATTTAATAACTTCAAACAAATGGTTGTTGCTGGATCCAAAGGCTCAAAGTCAGGGTTCAACAGACTTGAAAAGGCTTTCTTAGACATTCTTCTTGAGCTCGAATACAGATCAATATCTCTCAAGTCATCGCCGTGGTCGGCCAGCAGAATGTCTCTGGGAAGCGAATTCCGTTCCATTTTAATCACCGCTCTCTTCCTTGCTTTATGAAAGATGATTTTTCCCCAGAGTCAAAAGGATTTGTGGAAAATTCATATCTAGCAGGTCTGACTCCGACTGAATTCTTCTTCCATGCGATGGGTGGAAGAGAAGGGCTTATTGATACCGCGATTAAAACTGCTTCGGAACTTGTTGAAACGGAATTAATCTGCAGATGTAGATAGAAAGTTGATCAGTTAAAGTAGCTAAGCATGATTTTTTTTCTTCAACAAGGGATAAAGACAGGATATATTCAGCGACGTCTTATTAAAGCGATGGAATCGGCAGTGGTCCGTTACGATGCAACAGTGCGAAATTCTAATAACAATATTATTCAATTCCGTTATGGAGAAGATGGGCTTGCTGGGGAGCATGTTGAGTTTCAGAATCTATCATCCATTAGACCTTCTGATAGACTCTTTGAAAAACGCTTTAGATTCGACTACTCAGGTAAAAATACGATGATAACGGAAAGAATACGATGTACATTTTAAGATGAGAAATCTCTTCGAAAACATCTTGCAGAAGACGTTATGAAAGAAGTACAGTGTTCAGAAGATGTGCACAACGAAATAGACAACGAGTTCGATCAGCTTGTCAAGGATCGCGAAGCTGTCCGATCGATTTTTCCACGGGGAGATTCCCGAGTTGTCTTGCCTTGCAACATCGAAAGAATCGTCTGGAACGCTCAGAAAATCTTCAATCTGAACAAAATGTCTAAGAGCGATCTTCTTCCGAATTCAATCGTCGGCAAAGTGCAGGAGTTATCGGAAAAACTGATCATAGTCAGTGGAAATGATCGACTTTCTCTGGAAGCACAAAACAACGCGACATTACTTTTCAAAATTCATCTTCGAGCATCTCTCGCGTCGAGAAGAGTGATTCAAGAATATTATCTAAATAGTGAAGCTTTTGACTGGGTTCTTGGAGAAATTGAGTCTAAATTCAACGCAGCAATTGTTCATCCAGGTTGACATATTCTTCTTGGAAGAGGTTTATTTTTCTAGGTGAAATGATCGGTGCCCTGGCAGCGCAGTCCATCGGCGAGCCAGCTACTCAAATGACGCTCAACACCTTTCACTATGCCGGTGTGTCTGCCAAGAACGTTACTCTTGGAGTTCCTCGTTTAAACGAATTGATCAATATAACGAAACACCCAAAGGAAAGTTCCATAAATTATTGCCAATTATAAGCATAGCCGGCTTTTCTGACTAGGAAAAAGGTAAAAATGGACCCTCGGAAAGACACCCTCAGTGCGTATATTTCTCCTGGGCGAGGCTGCCAAGGACGCGGAAAAATGTAATGACGTACTTGCGCTTTTGGAGCACACAACCATGAAAACTGTAACTGCAAATACTTCAATCTTCTATGATCCGGATCCGATGAATACTGTGATAGAAGAAGATCGGGACTTTGTATCGGTTTACTATGAAATGCCGGATATTGATGTGGACAAGATCTCACCGTGGCTGTTGCGAGTTGAGCTAGATCAGGGCTGGATATTTTGAAATCAACAAAAATTTCAAACCCCGAAAAAAACATGAATCATCATCTCAACCATTTCAAAAATGAAATCTCAGCCAATTTTCTGTCTGAGATCTCAATTTTCAATTTTGCAAAAAAATGACATTTGAAATGCTGAGATCTCAATTATCTCACAAAATGGTGCGAGTTGGATACATGCGTTGCAATGAAATGAGATTTGAGATTCTGAAATTTCAAGCATTTCAGATCCATCTGAACCAATCACATGTCTTGCTCTAAGCGCGCAAAGTTTATCCGCGGCCCGTGCGCGGTTTGCAAAATTTTGAGATTTGAGATCTTGAGATCTCAGCAATCTCAAGAATGGAAAAAATTATGACGAGGGTGCTGCAATAATTTGAGATTTGAGATTTGTTGAGATGGTGCAAAATTTTGAGATAGAAATGAGATTTCACACAAATATTGATTTGAAATTTTTGCTGATTTCAAAATATCCAGCCCTGAGCTAGATAGAAAAAAGATGACGGATAAGAAGCTGTCAATGGAACAAATCTCAGAGAAAATTCATGAAGGAGATGGTTTTCTTCCTTGATTTCAGCAAAATTTTGAATTCTTTTTCGTTGCTTTTGAGAACCAATTCGAAGGTTTCGGAGAGGATCTCCATTGTATTTTCAATGACGATAACGCTGAAACTCTCACTCTTCGAATTCGAATCGTCAACAACTCGGGCAAAGAAGACGATGGAGATACTGGTACTTGGACATTTCTGATCATTTCTAACTTAAAATTCTAGCAGAGGATAAAATGGAAGACGACACTTTCCTTCGCTATATTGAAGCTAATATTCTATCCGACATGACACTGAAGGGAATCGAACAGATTACTAAGGTCTATATGAGCATGCCCAAGGAAGAGTCGAAAAAGAAAATCATCATCAACAAAGAGGGTGAATTCAGTGCGATTCAAGACTGGATTCTAGAGACTGATGGAACAGCACTTATCAAAATTTTGAGTCACCCAAATATTTGTGGAATAAGGTGAAAATCGTAGCTTTGGGAGGGGAGGACGCGCCTATTTCCGTCAATCTCTTGCCGTATGAACCACATCGCGCCAGTGGAGATTAAAGTTCATCTTAGTCAGCGTTCTATTCTGAACATATTCTTGAATGATTCTGATCTTATTCCGTAGATTCTTTTTGCTCAAATATATTTATGACTGTCAATCGATTTCTTTCATGATTTACTACTAAATCGTCTTTACAATAAATTCTTTGTGAGGGAAGCCAACAAAAGCAGCAAGAAAAGGATGCTTGTATGAAATTTCAGCATTGAAGGAAAAACAAAAAGAAAACTTGAACAAACTTGTCACTGATAATGTGATAAGCTCATCACGTTGCGTACTCTGGCACCCGCTTTTCTATCCCTTTTTTTCTGGAAAGAGAAATAGCAAGAAGTTGCATGGCGCAGCAAACGGAGTCCTCTGTGACTCTTCGGAAAATACGGCATGTCCAGTTCGGGATTCTGTCGCCTGATGAAATCAAAAGAATGTCAGGAAACGTTTGAGTAGATTCCCATTTATGCTTAGTTTTCACCTGATTTTCACAAGCACCGTAAGTCGTGAGCTCCCCTGGGTTGGTTCATCCCGAAGCGACAGAGCGTGACGACTTCGGCAAGTCATCGAATCGACCAAAAATGGATGGAATTCTCGATCCTCGGCAAGGGGTAGTCGATCGTTTCTCCAGATGTCAAACTTGCGCTGGAAACATGAATGATTGTCCCGGGCATTTTGCGCACATCGAACTTGCAAAGCCTGTTTTCCATATTGGCTTCTTCAACAAGACTTTGCGGGTATTACGGTGCGTTTGCTTCTTTTGCTCAAAGATGCTGGTGGACAAGAACGATCCAAAGATGGCGACGATTCTGGCGCGCACGAAGGGTCAGCCTAGAAAACGACTCGATTCCGTTTACGTTCTGTGCAGAGGTAATTATTCCATTTTGCTTTGGTTGACGAGAAACAAATCATGGGACACTGTAGTCATCACTGAGAAAAAGGCCTCTACTGGACTCGATGACGTTTTATATAATAATTTTATGAAAATGAGGCTCTAAAATCTTTTGATTGAGGAAAGCAGAAATGCGAGGGAGGAGATGACATCGATTCCGACGAAAAAACCAAAGGACCATGTGCCATCAGAGGAAACAAACGATGGGATTATTCCGCATAATGGTTGTGGGAGATTTCAACCAACGTACAGGAGAGACGGACTTACCATAACTGCTATGGGTAAAGAAATTCCACTTTCTTTCCGATTTTTGTTCTTCGTTGATATGGAATTAGGAGCATTAACCGTTCCGTTTCTACCGAATCGGTGATTCTTTATCCGCTAAAAAGCAACATGGAAGAAGGTGAATGATGATGCGCAGGAAAAGACGATAGAAATGACGGCAGAGAAGGTCCTCGAAATCTTCAAAGGGATTTCTGACGATGAAATTGACATGTTAGGAATGGACGCAGAATACGCTCGTCCGGCGTGGATGATTATCACCGTCTTGCCGGTTGCTCCTTTGGCGGTTAGACCTTCAGTCGTCATGGGCGGATCAGGCTTACGAAGTCAGGATCGTTGCCCAGAGAATACTGTCTGCTTGACATTCATAGTTTTTCCATAAAAAGCAGATTCTCTAACAAGAAAATAGGACGATGTTACGCATAAATACTGTGATATAATCAAAATCAACAATTCAATCAGGAAAAGATATACCAGTTTTATCAAGGAATCATCTTGAAAAACGGGATATTTTTTATGTTAATTAGCTGTCTATTAGCTGAATTATTACAGATTTTTACATAAATATGATAAACAGCGTCTTATGGAAAATACATAAAAATGGGTCAATTTGGTGAATCTTCAAGAAACAACGAAGCACATGGAGCAGCTCCTCATGTAATTGCTGATGAAGTCAAGCTTCTTCAGTTCCACTGCGTTACTGTCATGGACAACACGATTCCTCGTATCCCAAAAGCCTGCCAGAAATCTGGGAGACCTCTCAAGTCCATTTCTGAAAGATTGAAAGCCAAAGAAGGAAGAGTTCGAGGAAATCTGATGGGGAAACGAGTCGACTTTTCTGCACGAACTGTGATCACAGGAGACCCAAATTTGAACGTGAACCAAGTTGGAATTCCAAGAACGATTGCGTCCAATCTAACCTATCCGGAGATCGTTACTGCGTTTAACATTGACTACTTGCAGGAGCTTGTCAACCGGGGTGCAAATCAGTATCCAGGTAAGAAACTTGATAAAATTCTGAAACACGATGACTTTTAGGCGCCAAATACGTGATCAGAGACACGGGAGAGCGAATCGATCTGCGATACCATCCAAAGCCATCTGATCTGCAGCTTCAAATCGGCTACCAAGTCGAGCGACATCTTCGAGACAACGACGTCGTTGTTTTCAACCGACAGCCAACACTGCACAAGATGTCAATGATGGGTCATTTAGTCAAAGTTCTTCCTTGGTCGACTTTTCGAATGAACTTGTCTGTTACGTCTCCGTATAATGCAGATTTTGATGGAGACGAAATGAATCTTCATGTGCCGCAGTCGATGGAGACACGTGCTGAAATCTTGCAATTGGCGCTTGTGCCGCGGATGGTGGTCACTCCGCAATCAAACAGGCAATGGTTATGTTTCTAGGAAATACTCGCTGAAATCAGCAAAGAGTAACCAAAAGAAAGACCTGTCATGGGAATCGTCCAGGACACTCTTACGGCAGTCAGAAAGCTGACAAAGCGAGACACCTTCATCGAAGTTCCAGATTTCATGAACCTGATTCTCTTCAAAATCCAATGGAACGGTCGCCTACCAGTCCCCGCTATTCTCAAACCACGACCTTTATACACAGGCAAACAGCTTTTTGAGCTTTGTCTTCCAGAAGGCGTCAACTGCATTCGAAACCACTCGACGCACCCCGACTCTGAGGACAACAGTATCTACCGACATATTTCCGTAGGCGACACTCGGGTAGTCATCGAAAATGGAAAATTCGTATCCGGGATTGTCTGCAAAAAGACTGTCGGTGCTTCTGCCGGTAGTTTAATTCACGTAATGTTCAACGAAAAAGGAGCAGATGTGACTAAACGCTTCTTTTCCGACGTTCAAAGGATGGTGAACCAATGGCTTCTAGTTGAAGGGCATTCTATCGGAATCGGAGATACCATTGCAGATGCTGCTACGTATAAGGAAGCGGAAGAAAAGCTTCCGAAAGATCGTAATTTTGTGGCTCTTTTTGAATGAGAAAAGCTGCAAGATTCGGAATTTTAGATTCCTGAAAGCGGGGAAAGCTATATTCCGAATATGCCATATAATACGGTACTATTTAAATCCGTCAAATAGAGTATCCAGGCGCAGATCCGGAAATCCAAGACAGATGTGCTCGAAGTTATCGAGCGAGCTCATAATGATGAACTTGTTTGCACGCCTGGCAATACGATTCGAAACACATTCGAAAATCATGTCAATAAGATCCTGAATGATGCGCGAGACAAGACTGGTGGATTGGCCCAGAAATCCCTTTCGGAATTTAATAACTTCAAACAAATGGTTGTTGCTGGATCCAAAGGCTCAAAGTCAGGGTTCAACAGACTTAAAAGGCTTTCTAAGGAGAGGGATGACCAGGTTCGTGAGGACTAGGTTCTTGGGACTAGGTTGGTGGGTGCCATGTCGGAAAAAATGGTTCGTGTGACTAGGTTCGTGGAATTTGGATTTTCACATGTATTTTTGGGCAGTAAGGGTAATGGGTTGATGACTAGGTTCGTGGGACTAGGTTCGTGAAGACTAGGTTCGTGAAGACTAGGTTCGTGAAGACTAGAATTTGGATTTTTATATGTATTTTTGTATCTTCACCATTTTCGGTCATTAAAGGAAACGGGTTAATGAATAGGTTCGTGGGACTAGGTTCGTGAAGACTAGATTCGTGAAGACTAGGTTCGTGAAACTCGTTTTGGATATAAAATCCTACATTTTTCTTGTTCAAAAACCACGAACCTAGTCCTACGAACCCTTTAAAACCATTTAAAAACTCACGAACCTTGTCAACAACCCATTTCCTTTACTACCCTAAAATTTTTACTCACGAACCTAGTCCCACGAACCTAGTCATCAACCCATTTCCTTTACTGCCCTACAGTTTTTACCATTTAAAAACTCACGAACCTAGTCTCACGAACCTAGTCATCAACCCATTTCCCTTACTGCCCTTAAATATAGCCCGATTTCAATACTCTGGCAGAACCCACCACGAACCTAGTCCCACGAACCTAGTCCTCACGAACTCGTGATTCCCACTTATTCTTAGACATTCTTCTTGAGCTCGAATACAGATCAATATCTCTCAAGTCATCGCCGTGGTCGGCCAGCAGAATGTCTCTGGGAAGCGAATTCCGTTCCATTTTAATCACCGTTCTCTTCCTTGCTTTATGAAAGATGATTTTTCCCCAGAGTCAAAGGGCTTTGTGGAAAATTCTTATCTAGCAGGTCTGACTCCGACTGAATTCTTCTTCCATGCGATGGGTGGAAGAGAAGGGCTTATTGATACCGCGATTAAAACTGCCTCGGAACTTGTTGAAACGAAATTAATCTGCAGATGTAGATATAAAATTGATCAGTTAAAGTAGCTAGTCATGAGTTTCCTTCTTCAACAAGGGATAAAGACAGGATATATCCAGCGACGTCTCATTAAAGCGATGGAATCGGCAGTGGTCCGTTACGATGCAACAGTGCGAAATTCTAATAACAATATTATTCAATTCCGTTATGGAGAAGATGGGCTTGCTGGGGAGCATGTTGAGTTTCAGAATCTATCATCCATTAGACCTTCTGATAGACTCTTTGAAAAACGCTTTAGATTCGACTACTCGGGTAAAAAGATAATGATTACCGAAATAATACACTGTAAATTTTAAGATGAAAAATCTCTTCGAAAGCATCTTGCAGAAGACGTTATGAGAGAAGTACAGTGTTCAGAAGATGTGCACAACGAAATTGACAACGAGTTCGATCAGCTTGTCAAGGATCGCGAAGCTGTCCGATCGATTTTTCCACGGGGAGATTCCCGAGTTGTCCTACCATGCAACATCGAAAGAATCGTCTGGAACGCTCAGAAAATCTTTAATCTGAACAAAATGTCTAAGAGCGATCTTCTTCCGAATTCAATTGTCGGCAAAGTGCAAGACTTATCGGAAAAACTGATCATCGTCAGTGGAAATGACCGACTCTCTCTGGAAGCACAGAACAACGCGACATTACTTTTCAAAATTCATCTTCGAGCATCTCTCGCGTCGAGAAGAGTGATTCAAGAATATTATCTCAATAGTGAAGCTTTCGACTGGGTTCTTGGAGAAATTGAGTCTAAGTTCAACGCAGCAATTGTTCATCCAGGTTGATATAATCTTCTTGGAAGAGGTTTATTTTTCTAGGTGAAATGATCGGTGCTCTCGCAGCTCAGTCAATCGGCGAGCCAGCTACTCAAATGACGCTCAACACCTTTCACTATGCCGGTGTGTCCGCCAAGAACGTTACTCTTGGAGTTCCTCGTTTAAACGAATTGATCAATATAACTAGGCTTACCGCGGTGTTTTCTATTTTTCAGGCTCTTTTGAAAAATCTCCCCATACTTTCAGAACATATGCATCAAGACAAGCCTTGAAAAACTGCACTTGCAGAATTTTCGATATGAGTCATCTTACCCCCTTTTTTGGGGGATTTTTAGCAAGAAAAAAGCACTAGTTTGATTAGAAGCGGCTTTTGAGTGCGTGCTAGATCGATTTTGATAATTTGATGCCTACCATGTGAAAGATAAGCGCAAGATGCATCGATACATATGAAATTTATTATTGCGGAGTACTTCCTTCATATGATTCTAGAGCTCCAAAGTTGACGCAAGCAGCCAGATACGAAAATCCAATATTATCAACTTCTGATATAAGCATGCTATGATGATGTTTTATAGCTCAAATTGAAGCTTATAAATTACTGAACAAAATGGAGTGGTATTTTTTGACCAGCCGGTTGTGCTTCCGGTTCGTCGCGGTTCATACCCGGAAAAAGGTCAAAATGTAGAAATATGTATATCAAATGAATTAATTTTCAACAGCGAATCTTTTGAACATATTCAGAAGTTCAACCGCCCGGTTATTATTGCGGTTCATGGTGGTTCATGGTGGTTCAAGCGCAGAAATGAACAAATTAGCAGCAATATGTATATCAAATTAAAACATAAATTAAGAACATTCATAAAATCATTTAATAAGCCCGAACCAACCGGTTGTTCTCCCGGTTAATGGCGATTCCAAACGGTTCAAGCCGGTTCAAGCTAAAAACATGCTCAAAGTGGTTCAATATGGTTATCAAATGTAATCATTTACAAAAGCGAAGCTTTCTAGCATATTGTGAAATTCAACCGCCCGGTTATTCTTGCGGTTCATGGTGGTTAATCGTGGTTCAAGCCCAGACATGAACAAAATAGCATCAATATGCATATCAAATTGAATCTTGTATTAAGTACATTCGTCGAATCATTGAATAAGCCCAAACCACCCGGTAACTCTCGTGGAAAAAGGCGGTTTCTGACGGTTCAAGCCGGTTAAAGCCGAATATATGCTCAAAATGGTTCAATATGAATATCAAATGAAAAATTATTCAAAAGCACGTCTTTTGAAACTTTAACGAGATCCGGACGCGTAATAAAACACTAAATATGCGCAAACCGCCCGGTTTAAATCGATTTTGTCTCTTTAAACGGGCGAAAATTAGGGGAGGCCAGGCCGGTTTATACAATTCAGTCTGAGACGGGGCCAAGCCGACCCGAAGGAAAGGCCAGGCCCGTTCATACAATTAAGTCTGAGACGGGGCCAAGCCGACCCGAAGGGGAGGCCAGGCCCGTTCAAACAATTCAGTCTGAGACGGGGCCAAGCCGACCCGAAGGGGAGGCCAGGCCCGTTTATTCAATTCAGTCTGAGACGAGGCCAAGCCGACCCGAAGGGGAGGCCAGGCCCGTTTATTCAATTCAGTCTGAGACGGGGCCAAGCCGACCCGAAGGGGAGGCCAGGCCCGTTCAAACAATTCAGTCTGAGACGGGGCCAAGCCGACCCGAAGGGGAGGCCAGGCCCGTTTATTCAATTCAGTCTGAGACGGGGCCAAGCCGACCCGAAGGGGAGACAAGGCCCGTTTATTCAATTCAGTCTGCGACGGGGCCAAGCCGACCCGAAGGGGAGGCCAGGCCCGTTCAAACAATCCAGTCTGAGACGGGGCCAAGCCGACCCGAAGGGGAGGCCAGGCCCGTTCAAACAATTCAGTCTGAGACGGGGCCAAGCCGACCCGAAGGGGAGGCCAGGCCCGTTTATTCAATTCAGTCTGCGACGGGGCCAAGCCGACCCGAAGAAGAGGCCAGGCCCGTTCAAAAATTCAGTCTGAGACGGGGCCAAGCCGACCCGAAGGGGAGGCCAGGCCCGTTTATTCAATTCAGTCTGAGACGGAGCCAAGCCGACCCGAAGGAGAGGCCAGGCCCGTTTATTCAATTCAGTCTGAGACGGGGCCAAGCCGACCCGAAGGGAGGCCAGGCCCGTTCAAACAATTCAGTCTGAGACGGGGCCAAGCCGACCCGAAGGGAGGCCAGGCCGGTTTATTCAATTCAGTCTGAGACAGGGCCAAGCCGACCCGAAGGGGAGGCCAGGCCCGTTCAAACAATTAGTCTGAGACGGGGCCAAGCCGACCCGAAGGAGAGGCCAGGCCCGTTTATTCAATTCAGTCTGAGACGGGGCCAAGCCGACCCGAAGGGGAGGCCAGGCCCGTTCAAACAATTAGTCTGATACGGAGCCAAGCCGACCCGAAGGGGAGGCCAGGCCCGTTTATTCAATTCAGTCTGAGACGGGGCCAAGCCGACCCGAAGGGGAGGCCAGGCCCGTTCAAACAATTCAGTCTGAGACAGGGCCAAGCCGACCCGAAGGGGAGGCCAGGCCCGTTCAAACAATTCAGTCTGAGACGGGGCCAAGCCGACCCGAAGGGGAGGCCAGGCCGGTTTATTCAATTCAGTCTGAGACGGGGCCAAGCCGACCCGAAGGGGAGGCCAGGCCCGTTCAAACAATTCAGTCTGAGACGGGGCCAAGCCGACCCGAAGGGGAGGCCAGGCCGGTTTATTCAATTCAGTCTGAGACAGGGCCAAGCCGACCCGAAGGGGAGGCCAGGCCCGTTCAAACAATTAGTCTGATACGGGGCCAAGCCAACCCGAAGGGGAGGCCAGGCCCGTTTATTCAATTCAGTCTGCGACGGGGCCAAGCCGACCCGAAGGGGAGGCCAGGCCCGTTCAAACAATTCAGTCTGAGACGGGGCCAAGCCGACCCGAAGGGGAGGCCAGGCCCGTTTATTCAATTCAGTCTGAGACGGAGCCAAGCCGACCCGAAGGAGAGGCCAGGCCCGTTCAAACAATTCAGTCTGAGACGGGGCCAAGCCGACCCGAAGGGGAGGCCAGGCCCGTTCAAACAATTCAGTCTGCGACGGGGCCAAGCCGACCCGAAGGGGAGACAAGGCCCGTTTATTTAATTCAGTCTGCGACGGGGCCAAGCCGACCCGAAGGGGAGGCCAGGCCCGTTCAAACAATTCAGTCTGAGACGGGGCCAAGCCGACCCGAAGGGAGGCCAGGCCCGTTTATTCAATTCAGTCTGAGACGGGGCCAAGTCGACCCGAAGGGGAGGCCAGGCCCGTTCAAACAATTCAGTCTGAGACGGGGCCAAGCCGACCCGAAGGGGAGGCCAGGCCCGTTCAAACAATTCAGTCTGAGACGGGGCCAAGCCGACCCGAAGGGGAGGCCAGGCCCGTTTATTCAATTCAGTCTGAGACGGGGCCAAGCCGACCCGAAGGTGAGACAAGGCCCGTTTATTCAATTCAGTCTGCGACGGGTTTTAATCGATTTTGTCTCTTTAAACGGGCGAAAATAAGGGAGGCCAGGCCCGTTCAAACAATTCAGTCTGAGACGGGGCCAAGCCGACCCGAAGGGGAGGCCAGGCCCGTTCAAACAATTCAGTCTGAGACGGGGCCAAGCCGACCCGAAGGGGAGACAAGGCCCGTTTATTCAATTCAGTCTGCGACGGGTTTAAATCGATTTTCTCTCTTTAAACGGGCGAAAATAAGGGGAGGCCAGGCCCGTTCAAACAATTCAGTCTGAGACGGGGCCAAGCCGACCCGAAGGGGAGGCCAGGCCCGTTTATTCAATTCAGTCTGCGACGGGGCCAAGCCGACCCGAAGGAGAGGCCAGGCCCGTTTATACAATTCAGTCTGCGACGGGGCCAAGCTGACCCGAAGGGGAGGCCAGGCCCGTTGAAACGATTCAGTCTGCGACGAGCCGAAGCCGACCCGAAGAGAAGACCAGGCCCGTTTATTTAATTCAGTTTGCGACGGGGCCAAGCCGACCCGAAGAGGAGGCAAGGCCCGTTTATTTAATTCAGTCTGCCACGGATGAATTGAATGAACGCGCCTGGCCTACCCTTCGGGTCGGCTTGGCCCCGTCGCAGACTGAATTGAATAAACGGGCCTGGTCTCCCTTCGGATCGGCTTCGGCTCGTCGCAGACTGAATTGAATAAACGGGCCTGGCCTCCCCTTCGGGTCGGCTTGGCCCCGTCGCAGACTGAATTGAATAAACGGGCCTTGTCTCCCCTTCGGGTCGGCTTGGCCCCGTCGCAAACTGAATTAAATAAACGGGCCTGGTCTTTCCTTCGGGTCGGCTTCGGCTCGTCGCAGACTGAATCGTTTCAACGGGCCTGGCCTCCCTTCGGGTCGGCTTGGCCCCGTCTCAGACTGAATTGAATAAACGGGCCTGGCCTCCCCTTCGGGTCGGCTTGGCCCCGTCTCAGACTGAATTGTTTGAACGGGCCTGGCCTCCCCTTCGGGTCGGCTTTGCCCCGTCGCAGACTGAATTGAATAAACGGGCCTGGCCTCCCCTTCGGGTCGGCTTGGCCCCGTCTCAGACTGAATTGTTTGAACGGGCCTGGCCTCCCCTTCGGGTCGGCTTGGCCCCGTCTCAGACTGAATTGAATAAACGGGCCTGGCCTCCCCTTCGGGTCGGCTTGGCCCCGTCTCAGACTGAATTGTTTGAACGGGCCTGGCCTCCCCTTCGGGTCGGCTTGGCCCCGTCGCAGACTGAATTGAATAAACGGGCCTTGTCTCCCCTTCGGGTCGGCTTGGCCCCGTCGCAAACTGAATTAAATAAACGGGCCTGGGCTTTCCTTCGGGTCGGCTTCGGCTCGTCGCAGACTGAATCGTTTCAACGGGCCTGGCCTCCCCTTCGGGTCGGCTTGGCCCCGTCTCAGACTGAATTGAATAAACGGGCCTGGCCTCCCCTTCGGGTCGGCTTGGCCCCGTCTCAGACTGAATTGTTTGAACGGGCCTGGCCTCCCCTTCGGGTCGGCTTTGCCCCGTCGCAGACTGAATTGAATAAACGGGCCTGGCCTCCCCTTCGGGTCGGCTTGGCCCCGTCTCAGACTTAATTGTATGAACGGGCCTGGCCTTTCCTTCGGGTCGGCTTGGCCCCGTCTCAGACTGAATTGTATAAACCGGCCTGGCCTCCCCTAATTTTCGCCCGTTTAAAGAGACAAAATCGATTTAAACCGGGCGGTTTGCGCATATTTAGTGTTTTATTACGCGTCCGGATCTCGTTAAAGTTTCAAAGACGTGCTTTTGAATAATTTTTCATTTGATATTCATATTGAACCATTTTGAGCATATATTCGGCTTTAACCGGCGAACCGTCAGAAACCGCCTTTTTCCACGAGAGTTACCGGGTGGTTTGGGCTTATTCAATGATTCGACGAATGTACTTAATACAAGATTCAATTTGATATGCATATTGATGCTATTTTGTTCATGTCTGGGCTTGAACCACGATTAACCACCATGAACCGCAAGAATAACCGGGCGGTTGAATTTCACAATATGCTAGAAAGCTTCGCTTTTGTAAATGATTACATTTGATAACCATATTGAACCACTTTGAGCATGTTTTTAGCTTGAACCGGCGAACCGTTTGGAATCGCCATTAACCGGGAGAACAACCGGTTGGTTCGGGCTTATTAAATGATTTTATGAATGTTCTTAATTTATGTTTTAATTTGATATACATATTGCTGCTAATTTGTTCATTTCTGCGCTTGAACCACCATGAACCACCATGAACCGCAATAATAACCGGGCGGTTGAACTTCTGAATATGTTCAAAAGATTCGCTGTTGAAAATTAATTCATTTGATATACATATTTCTACATTTTGACCTATTTCCGGGTATGAACCGCGACGAACCGGAAGCACAACCGGCTGGTCAAAAAATACCACTCCATTTTGTTCAGTAATTTATAAGCTTCAATTTGAGCTATAAAACATCATCATAGCATGCTTATATCAGAAGTTGATAATATTGGATTTTCGTATCTGGCTGCTTGCGTCAACTTTGGAGCTCTAGAATCATATGAAGGAAGTACTCCGCAATAATAAATTTCATATGTATCGATGCATCTTGCGCTTATCTTTCACATGGTAGGCATCAAATTATCAAAATCGATCTAGCACGCACTCAAAAGCCGCTTCTAATCAAACTAGTGCTTTTTTTCTTGCTAAAAATCCCCCAAAAAAGGGGGTAAGATGACTCATATCGAAAATTCTGCAAGTGCAGTTTTTCAAGGCTTGACTTGATGCATATGTTCTGAAAGTATGGGGAGATTTTTCAAAAGAACCTTGAAAATCGAAAAACACCGCGGTAAGCCTAAATATAACGAAACACCCAAAGGAAAGGTCCATATATAATTGCCAATTATAAGCATAGCCGGCTTTTCTGACTAGGAGAAAGGCAAATATGGACCCTCGGAAAGACACCTTCAGTGCGTATATTTCTCCTGGGCGAGGCTGCCAAGGACGCGGAAAAATGTAATGACGTACTTGCGCTTTTGGAGCACACAACCATGAAAACTGTAACTGCAAATACATCAATCTTTTATGATCCGGATCCGATGAATACTGTGATAGAAGAAGATCGGGACTTTGTATCGGTTTACTATGAAATGCCGGATATTGATGTGGACAAGATATCACCGTGGCTGTTGCGAGTTGAGCTAGATAGAAAAAAGATGACGGATAAGAAGCTGTCAATGGAACAAATCTCGGAGAAAATTCATGAAGGAGACGGTTTTCTTCCTTGATTTCAGCAAAATTTTGAATTCCTTTTTGTTGCTTTTGAGAACCAATTCGAAGGTTTCGGAGAGGATCTCCATTGTATTTTCAATGACGATAACGCTGAAACTCTCACTCTTCGAATTCGAATCGTCAACAACTCGGGCAAAGAGGACGACGGAGATACTGGTACGTGGACATTTCTGATCATTTCTAACTTAAAATTCTAGCTGAGGATAAAATGGAAGACGACACTTTCCTTCGCTATATTGAAGCTAATATTCTATCCGACATGACACTGAAGGGAATCGAACAGATAACTAAAGTCTACATGAGCATGCCAAAAGAAGAGTCGAAAAAGAAAATCATCATCAACAAAGAGGGTGAATTCAGTGCGATTCAAGACTGGATTCTAGAGACTGATGGAACAGCACTTATCAAAATTTTGAGCCACCCAAATATTTGTGGAATAAGGTAAAAATTCGTCCTACTCAAATCATTCTTTACGAACCATAGAACGACGACAAACGATATTTGCGAGTTGTTTGAAATCCTCGGTATTGAAGCAGTGCGAAAGGGTCTTGAAAGTGAGATCAATAACGTGATCTCCTTTGACGGTTCGTATGTTAATTACCGTCACATGTCTATGCTTTGCGATGTCATGACTTCCCGTGGCTATCTTATGGCGATCACGAGACATGGTGTAAACCGACAGGAACCGGGCTTGCAGAGTCGAGAACCCAGTAACCTTTGTGATTTATTCTTAGATCATAGGAAATTTAAAATATTAATTATATGATGATGATTTAATAAAAATCCTGGCGAAAGGACGTCGGTGCTCTTATGCGTTGCTCCTTCGAAGAAACCGTAGATATTCTAATGGAGGCTGCTTCGTCTGCAGAAATAGATCCGTTAACTGGAATCTCTGAAAATATTATGCTTGGTCAGCAGATTCCTGGGGGCACCGGAAGCTTTGGTCTCGTCCTCGATGTTGAAAAGTGCAAAGACGGGATGGAGGTACCCCGCAATGTAGGCAACGAACAGCGAGGAGTGTTTTTGGAGGGTACTCACCCAAATCTGTAAATGGAATGACTCCATGGGATAACACAAATGGTGGTTACACTCCTGTGGCTCACTTTACTCCGTTCTCTGGCGAGCCGGGAACACCAGGCTACTTTTCCCCGTCGAAAACTCCTTCCTCGGCCTTCTCACCTAGCATGTCGCCAGGCTGGTCACCAAGAGCGAGTCCAAGCAGCTCTCCTGCAAGCCCTCTTTATTATCCTTCAGAGGCCACTTCCCCAGGCTACTCACCAGTTTCACCGAGCTATGAGCCAAAATCACCGATGGCTGCTATTCAGTCAGGCGAATCATATTCGCCTTCAACGCCGACTTACATTTCCGATGGATATTCTCCAACTTCTCCAAGCTACTCACCCACGTCCCCAAGTTATTCTCCTACCTCGCCATCATATTCGCCGACCTCGCCAAATTATTCCCCAACTTCGCCGTCTTACAGCCCAACTAGTCCTAGCTACTCTCCGACCTCGCCTAGCTATTCTCCTACTTCGCCTTCTTACAGCCCAACTTCCCCCAGCTATTCGCCGACTAGTCCTAGTTACTCCCCTACCTCTCCTTCATATTCTCCTACTTCTCCCAGTTATTCTCCAACATCTCCTTCCTACAGTCCGACATCACCAAGCTACTCACCAACATCTCCATCCTACAGTCCTACATCTCCAACTTACTCACCAAGTAGTCCTAGCTACAGGTAATCAATTTTCACAAATACCGTATTTAACGCATTTTTAACATAAGTCCAACATCGCCGAATTACTCACCCACGTCTCCAAGCTATTCTCCTACATCCCCTAGTTATTCGCCAACATCGCCTTCTTACTCACCAACAAGTCCCGCATACAGGTAGTTACGGTACTAAAGAATTTAGAGAGAAAATCACTTCAGCCCAAGTTCACCAAATTACTCGCCCTCGTCTCCAGTTTATTCCCCAACAAGCCCAAGCTACACGAACAGGTCATTCAGGTGAGAACCAGCAACAACATCTGCACGGATTTCTTACCTCCCGAATAATTAAGTCCATCAACGCCGACGTACTCGCCATCTTCGCCAACGTATACTCCCACAACAGATGGTCAAACGCAAGTTCGCTACTCTCCAACATCACCTACTTATTCACCTTCAAGTCCAAATTACAGGCAAGCCACAGGTCAAAACCAATCCCTTATAAAACCGAATCTAGTCCATCAAGCCCTGCGTACTCGCCCTCAACTCCTAGACAGTACTCCCCGGCATCTCCATATTCGCCCACCTCTCCGAGCGACACAGTCTTCTCCCCGAAGACTCCAGACACACCAGAAAACGAAAATAATTAACACACTGTTTTTGCGCAGTAATAAAAGTTTATTCTCAGAAGAAAGAAAGTCTCGTTGTTTGCATTTATATTTACATCAAGTCTGGTTGCGTTAACCTACTCGTAATTCAAAATTACAATTTATATTTTTGAATATAATTACAATAATATTTTCAGATGACCGGTAATTTAACTATTGGTATTTACGATTTTACGAGTAGAAAAAAATACAAAGAAAAATTAAACTGAATTAATGAATAAAGAAATTTACAAGGAGTTTTGACAACCAGTCAGTCAAATTGACGGTTCTTAAATTGATCAAGGGGAGAAATTTACATGGAGAAAAATGATAATAGCTCAAGGTGTAGCAGAGCAGCCATAATTTCGTTTTGGGAGAAACAGACTGTCTAGATAATATACACATTGCTTCGTCGAAAAATTGAAGAGCAAATGTGTTCCATTCAGAAAATCTGCTAAATCTCTCAAAGTTCCACTAAAAATTACAAAGGCTTGTTTTTATCAAAATCAAAATTTTACACGAAGCCTAAAAATTTGAAATCTAAAGAAAACGAGTAAATTCACGGCTTAACGGTAATCGTACGAGCTGTCTGAGAACTGTGAGCTTCTGTCAGAGTCGAAGGAGCTGTCGGAACTGGACGAGTATCTTCGTGCTCGGCGACTGTTGTGGCGTTTGGTGCGCTCGGCGACTCGGGATCGCGACTTTGCGCTCGGTTGGGGTCTTTTCGAGCTTTTGTTACTGTTGCTACTGCTGTCTTATACTGATTAACGGCCTATTGAGACCAATATTTTGACAATTGGCCGTTCAAAATTTTCGTTAATCTTCAAAATATAAAGCTCCGTTCCTTAATTTTGGTCTGGAAATGACCGCCTTGGTTGGTGCAATATCAATGGGAGTGCACAAACTTGGCTTTTGAATCGGTTCTGGTTGAGGCATCAGCGATGCTGGAAGCTGAATCGGCCGATGAAAAGAGGGAATCTGCGGCACTTGCGTTGAATGGGTATTGTCTGAATTTTGCAATAAGAATAAGGCCGGATTGTGAAATAAAGGGTTGTATAAAAACCGCTTTGTCCGAATAGTCAACATAATTTTTAAAATAGCCATTTTAATCTTAGACGAATAAAGAGTCTCTTAGCGCCCTGAAAAGAATTATAGAACGCTTTGCTCGGGTCCCTGCTTGCTGCCAAAATACTTGCCAAACAAAGTCGGCCAGTTACTTAAAGTAATAATATTTTAGGCGCAAACAGAATCCTGCGCTAAAAGGAGAGAAACTCCGATTCGATGAATTCAGATGACGACGCTTCGTATAAACAGCACTTTAGATAACCGCTTTGCTAATGCTAGTATTTTTGAAATAGCTAACAATGTTGAAATATTTTTCTCAGATACTGGACTTAAAAGTTCGCCAAGAAGAATACTTCTGACGTTGGTAATGTTGGGTTGTAAGAAAACAGGGGTAGTTAATTATTTTCTCGTCGGAAAGAATCGGCTTTTAATAGTCACTTTTGGGGATCGTTCTTAAGGTCATCGCATTCTTAATAACTCGATTGAAGAATCCATGTCGTGGATCTACTTTTGGCCGGATAAGTACTGTTTATGTAACTCTAGCGTGTAGTCTATCCTACAATGTTTTATCGTTGTTTAAAGAATGAACAATCTAAAATTAATGGTCTTATAAACACTTATAAGCAATGTAAGAAAAAATGGCTTACCAGAAAAGTCGCCTTTCAGATCAGAAAATGTTCCAATAGAATCCACATCGTAGGCCCTCGTCACTTCTGTAACTTGTGACTGAGCATATTTCGAGCTTCTGCGGCAGAAAAACACGATGATCCCGACGAAAATCGTCAACAAAACAGCAAGAGGAGCAATGATCATGTTTCGTAATTCACCGAGCCAGTCGCATATTTCCGACGATTGCAGTCGGAACAGTACTTTTTCGATGTGTTCTCCATCTAAATCAATTTAGGGTTAATTTTTGACCTCTGACCGATCTCAGCGATCTGACTCAGCAAAAAAAGCTTGATTTGTTTAGAAAATATTCAAATGAGATGTTCATCAAAGTGAATTTGTTATCTGAAGATTCAATTTAAAAAGATACAAACTAAAGTGTACCTCTAAGAACTCACAATTTTCCCATGCTCAAAAGAGGCTTCAAAAAAGAAAATTCAGTTAGTTGAGCCTTCGTTTCTGATTTTCTTGGAGAAAGAAGCTCTTATCTTAATGTTTTAAAAGTTTTTGTTTAGAATACTTGCGGTAGTTTTGTTTCTTGTTTTCGGGCCTTTGAACGGTCTTAGAACGGGTTGAATGATTTAATAACAAAATAATCATTTTTGGGGAGTTCAGTTTCCAATTTTGAAAACACGAGCTGACACGATTCGCCGCGAAATTCCCCACAAAGCTACTAATCAATAAGCACTAATTTTATGGTCAGCGTAAACAGAATAAGTCAGGTTCTCGTTCAAAAAATTGGTTATAATTAGCCGCTTTCGTTTTCTTCTAGAAAAAGAGGATGGTAATGAGCACTTTCTTGGTTTAGTTCTTCACGTCCCCCCAGTTGATTTTTCTCACAGGGGAGTATGGTGGTTTCATTCTTTCTATTTTGAAATTCATACCTTGCGAAACTGTGCAGGACAGCTTGTGAGCACTTGTGAAGCGTAACGGGTATCTAGTCGCATAAGAGACCATGTGTCTCAACTCACAGGAGCACTCGAACGGGTTCTCTTCCAGTCGAATTTGATTCTTCATCCCGATCGGCAGCGGGAGAAACACCTTTGGATCGATGTGCGAGAGCCAGTTGCCGCGCAAGTCAACAAGTTCCAGCATTTTCAATCCGTCAAACGCGTTGCTGTCGATGTGAGCGATGCGATTGTTCCGAAGATTGAGGCTTTTCAACAACGTTAGGGTTGAAAACGAGCGAGCTTGGAGTTTTTTCAACGAGTTTGATTCCAGATCCAAAGTCGTCAAGCTTCCCAAACCATCGAAAACACCAGGCTCCAGTGATTCTAGCGCGTTGTGAGACATATTTAAGAAGGTTACTCGCGGTGTATCGAGGAAAACTTGTTTTAGGTTTTTGAAAATTTTCATTGATAAAAATTCGTTTTTTTTTTCAATAAATTTGAAGACCATTCCTTTATCAAAGCTTTCAATACTGTTATGCGCCAAATTCATCCATCTGAGCCCAACAAGTCCCTCAAAGGTTCCATTCTTGAGCAGTTTTATCGAGTTCTTCGAAAAATCGATCGCTGCCAGTTTCGTGTGTGGAATACCTAAGGGTTTCAGCCCACTTACCGCGTTGTTACTTAAGGTTAGATATTCTAAATTCGGAAAGGGTAAAAGATCAGACAGTGAAAAGCTCTCTTCAATTTGATTTTCGCTTGCTTGGATGGATCTCAGCTTGTCGGAAGGTTGAATGGAGGTGATATTCTTCAGGCGATTATCTGAAAATGAAAGATGAGGGAGGATCTGATGTTTATCCGATTTGTAAATTGATTGGTATGTACCGAGCCGACATGTTATAATTTAAAACTCATAAACTTTCGGATCGTGCGGTCTTCGCGTTTTTATGGATCACCTTAAGAACTTTAAGCTAAGAGAAGAAAGAACTGCTCTAGCTCAAAAGTAATTGATTAAGAATTTCTTATTTAAATCATTAGTATACTATTTCAGCGAAAACAAGTGAATTCGAACTACCCGTATTTTCAAGTTTAGAATTTAACACTGCTCTTTTCCACCATCTGCTCCAATGGAAAACAACAACAAACTAAGAGAAAAGAGAGAGAGAGAGAGAGAGAGAGAGAGAGAGAGAGGCCGACCACGTGCGACGCTCGTTTCAAGAGAGAAGGAATCACAATATCAAATATCCCTACACATATGTTCGCTCTCGAACGAGTTCAATAATATTTTCACAAGTTTGGAATACGTGGCCTCCTCTCTCAAGACTTAAAAGGGTTTTTCTAAAATTTTGATTTTACACAACTGTTGCATTTTTAAAAATACATCATGTGAACGCTAAGAGAAAATGCAGTTAACATTTGGTCATAATGTAGTTTGCGACAAAATATGTGAAAAAGGAGAGACATGACGATGGAACTCCGATTTCACAGCAGGTATCCGTAAAAATACCCATCTGTTTCAAAGGAGCCACAAGATCTGATTCATACGAAATACGGTTTTTCTTCTCTATTTTGGCCGAGATGCCAACTTTGAGGGGTCGTCACGTGGCAAAAATGAAGGAATTTTTCAAAAAGCTCTTGTCAATACAGTAAAAACCCAAAAATTAGCCGGTTTTCAGATGTAAATTCCCGAAAAAAGCGGCCAAATTTTGGGTTTTTTGCCGGGTAGCCAAGTTTCCCCTTCAAAAAGCAAAGTTTCGAAATTTTCGAAAATCGGCATGATTTTCACATTTTTGATGAATTTTATTCAAATTTTTGCTTCTTTGAAGACATTCTTAGGAGAGTTAAGTCATTTTAAATGATTAAAACACTTTAAAAAAGCTCAAAATGAATCATTTTAAATGATCAGATATAGCATCATTTGGGCCTAATTCTGATGAAAATTTTTTTATTTTTGAAAAAGCGGCCAAATTTTGGGTTGATATCAGGTTCCAAAAAGGCGGATTTATACAAAAAGCGGCCAAATTTTGGGTGGGCAAATTTTGGGTTTTCACTGTAGTATGATCTAAGATAGATCTTAAATTCTAGCACTTAAGGACATTCTCACTATTTACAAGTGCAGAGGAGTTCAAGCTCAAAGTAGGCCTGAGCGATAACTATACCCTTAAGCTATGGAATCTCTATCTCCGGGAGTACGAAATATCATGCTCTCTTGTATTGTGGAATCAAATATTAGCAGCTAAAATCACAAATGTAGTGGCTAACGGAAGACTAGAGCTACTACTTTGAGCTAGGTTATTATTTTGTATAAACATTTTCAATTTTCACTTCTCATTTAGTTCTTGATCAAATTTAGACTCAGAATAAGAAATGAGAGTCAGAAAAAGGTGAAGCAATAGTATCTTCTTCAATCTTGAATTTCCGAAATTGGGCTTTTAGCAAGTCAGTAATTAAGATCGCTGTCTTACCATTTAAATATATGTGAGTGTAATCACGGTCGTCCATAACATCAGGCTGCTTCCACGTTGTCATCTTTTGGTCCCGCAGTCAAGCTGAAAATAAAGCGATAAAACTACGGTGCGAAGCGGGTCTTGCGGGTTTTTCTTTTTCTTTTACTTTGTATTCCGTTACGTGTGTAATTTTATTTTTAAGTTTTCACAGGCGCAGCAATTATCGATTCCGAGGAAGAAATTTTAATGCCGCAAACCGACGTGTTGGGAAAGCGTTTATATCGCACCGCAGAGTGAATTCGACACTGAGAAAAGGTGGATAAAATGCGTGTTTTTAAACGTGGCGAATTTACTGTAACTAAGGGTGTAGAGGTCGTTGAGCTTGTTTTTCAAGCTGACATTTTCGACTCGAAAAAATTTCTAGCACAAAAATAAAGCTGTCATTATGTTAAGCCTTTTAAAAATGCATTTTGTATTTTTACTCACGTGATTAAGTTCATCTGAGCAGCAACAATCACCGCAACTCTTCTCCAACAGAACCGTATGCGGTTTGCTTGGATCGTCGTGATTGAAAAATTGACCAGTTTTTCCTTTGCAAAGGCTTGCTGGCCCTGTTTTTGAGTTGTTCGAATTGCCAGCGCTGATGGCCGGCGGCATGAGTTGTAAGATCAGTGAAACTATTTTCATCGTGCTTCTTATTGAAGCCTTGCTGTTGATCAGAATCGAAGTTTGGGGTCCGAAAAATTGAGAATGGGCTTCTTTTTCGCGGACAGATTTGGTGCCCTTGTCTTTGTTGATTCCAGACGGAGAAGAAACTTGAAGATGTCGGAAGGAAGTCTGAATAATAATTGTTAAATCGCTGATTTTCAAGGTGGACTTTGGTCATATTATCATTCTAAAGATATTACTATCGCTATGCATCCTTCTACAATGTATCCACTTTTTACGTGAAAATTGTGGGTACCCCTCCCTTTCCGAAAAAGAAAAAGAATCGATGATTATATTATTACTCGATAGTGTCCGGTTTGTGCGTTTTCAAAACCCCGAAATTTCGAAAATTTGAAAAAGAAAATTTTAGTTTCGGATTTGCCGTTTTGGCAGAGCACACGTCGCTAATGTAGATGCTACCACGCCTTTTCGCGAGTTTCTGACACAATCAAAAAATTCGTAATTTATGATACGTAAAAGCCCTCTAGAATTTCATTTTCAGCTTTAAATGTAAAAGGGAGGCGTAGATATATAGGTATCACGCGAGATTAGTTTTAGAATATGTTATCCGCGAAGAAGTTGTGTCACTTTCTAGGTCGAAGGATCTGTTCCTAGGTAAGACGATTTGCTCTGACAAGTTTTTCCAAGTCACAAGGTACTTCCTTGAAATATCGTTCTTTACAAAAAAAGGCGCGTCAATTTTTCTAAGTTATGGTGAGAGTAGGGCTTTTGTTACGGTTTGAACTTTATTGGGTTAAATTTTCTTTTTGATTATTGATCATAAGAGCTAAACAAAAAGCTAGGGCTTAATAAGTAAAACGTGTGATTTTGAGAAAATTTGAAATTTTGAGAAAATTTGAAATTTTGAGAAATGTCTGTAATTATTGTTTCGCTATTCTCTGTCATTTTTTGCTTGTCTCGGTTAATTGTTTTTGTACTTCGAACTATTGATTATTCGAACTACCTAAGTTAATGTTAAAATAAGAAATTAGCAGAGAGCCTACGTGTTTCCTCGTTGTCCCGAGTAGCAATTTTATTTACGGCAAAATATCGTATCAAGTTTAGTGTATTTGGAACGCGTCAACTTACGGTTTGCATAACTGCTGCCGAAAATCCAGTTTATAAATACGTTAAAAGTTTAAATGGCAAATTTGCAAAGTTGGCTTTGAGAATCGAATCGAATCGTTATGCAAGCGTAATGAAAACGAGGGGTATTTTTACGCTCTATTGAACTTACTATTGAGATAAAAACTAGTCAATAAGTAAGCTAACTTAGCTAAGAAAGAGAAAGAGGGAGAGTAATTTAAAATGAGTGAGAAAAATATGAAAAAAGACGGTGAAAAAGATACAGGAGAGAGTTTATGTGACTGCCAGACAATTTGATAAGCGCTTTTGTCTTATAAGAAAGTACCCATCACCCGATTTTCAAGGAGACTTATCTCACAGAAGGGTTCAAGGAAATAAAATTTCAACCCTTATTTAGCTCCTAACCCTAACCCCAACCCTTACCCTAGCGCTTGAAAATAGACCTTATTGCCTACGTTTGTTCGTGAGAACTCCTTATTCACGGAAGCTTATTGACGTATAGACAATAAGTCAATTAGTTAGAAGCTCAAGATTCGTAACCTTGGATCAGCCGTAAACTATATAAAGTGATATTCAAAGTCCCTCCAGTTCCACCTCTGAAAAACAAAGAACGCTCTAGCTACGTCAATTTCCGAGAAAGGTAGAAAAAAGAAGAAGCATCCTCGTGTTTCTCTAAAATCAGCTGATAAAAGCAAAGAAAAAAAAAAGAAAAAGAACGGCGCAATTTTAGAAAGCTCGGATTTTCGCAGGGCTCCCTAAAGACGTTTTCAGAAACAACATCGCCGTGAAAAAATGCCGATTCAAAAAGCGCGAGCATCTTCGCCAGGTGAGGCCGAGTATTTTCGGTATTTTTAAGACTCGGTCAATGATTTAATTTCTTTATTAAGTTGAGGGAAGAAGCAATATTAGTAGGGGCCGAAATGTTTTGTTTTCTGTTGTTAAACCCGAAACAACTGTAATTTACGTTTCGGTCATTCTGAAAGCAAGCACTCAACATAAACAAATGGATCCGTAAACGGCTATTAGGAGCGGTTTATCAAAAAAATTGCACAACAAAAATAATTGTCATAAGTAATTAGAAAATATGAGAAGAACCCTCTCCCCCCCTAATTGATAATAATAACCGAGCGAAATTGAATTAGCAGTTAGTGGAAATAAAACGTGAATCGCGCTTTTAAAAAAATATCGGAGAAAAGAAACAACTTCAAAGAAAAATCGCAATGACTCTAAACTAGCGAAAGAATTGTACAGCAAAAATGAAAATTTCAAGGCTGTGGAATCTGCCCTCGTCAAAGACTCAAAAGCAGGTATACTAGTTGTCTAATTCAGAAATCAAAAGAAAGGCTTTCAGAATCAAAAGCGCGGTTAGAAATTTTGAATTATAGAATCGGGACACGTGATTCTCGTTTGAAATATTTTTTCGGTAGCCGAGGTTTAATTCTACAAATATAAAGCTGATTCTTTCGATAAAATAAGTACTCATAAATCTTTCTGTTTGGTAAGAAAAATATCTGGTAATTGACCAATCAGAAGGCTTGTTGAAAACAGCCACTATCCGGAGAACCCCCTGTAGAAAAATAAATCTTGCTTCAGTTGCCAGAATCAAGGATCTGCTGAAATACAACGACCGATCGCGAAAGAAAACCGTCCAGAAGAATGAATCGGAAAGAAAGAAGTTTCAACGAAGCGAAATTCTCTATTTTCCAAAAGAGAGCCCACAAGGTCCTCCGATTGTCATTTCCATCCCTGAAGATCTTTCTCAGCTCGAACCGAATTAAACATCAAAGAGAGATTGATTGACATTTTTTTCTTCTTTGAGAGCTTCTTTATCTACTGTCACGACTGACAGAAAAGGCGAAGAAAAGGAGAAAAAGAAGATAACGTGAAGAGTCTTTTTTTTTTCTCGTTTGACCGCGCCATCAATTCTCTCTCGCCGGAAATTTCGCGTTCTAATTCGTTTTTAACTTGCAGCAGCCTTTGACAGTCTTATCTTTCGCAGTATTGCTCGGATATGCCCATTTCCCGATTGAAGGCTCTCCCGACTGTTCTCTCTATCGGAGCAATTTAAAATGGATTAGGGAAGGTGAGAATGCATAAGTTCAGTCTATCAACATCTCGAGCTGCTCAAAATACAGTAATGAAAACAAACGTGAATATTAAATAAAACATAAAATGTTAAATTCCTCGAAATGAAGCGGAAAACGTGTTTTACAACAGAAAACTCAATGAAAGGATAAGCTGTCTATTTGTAGTTTATACCCGAGGAACAAGAAAATCTCTTTCCGGAAGTTAGGGCCCTTTGCTTGTTTGAGTGTATATTTTTCTTTCGTTGACGGAAAGCGTAAAGCGTCCTTATTGGATACTGTAATTGCTAAAACTTGTCAAGTTTTATGCTCTAAAATTGGTAAAAAAGAGCGCTCTAAAAATGATTCCAAATAGAATGCCCCTTCGTACTTTGAAATTGTTCAAAACGTGATTTCCTGATTTTGATTTGTCGCGTGATTGTTCAAATCCGGCCAAAGTGGAGAAAAAAGGAACAGCTTCCGTGTCTCAGGTTAAAGCCAACTGAACTTGCCGCCGCGGAAAAAGTTCTTTTTCAACAAGTTTGACTTTTCCAAAGTAGCAAATTGAGTTGCAAAAATTGCTTTAGAAAAAAATTGTCTCTTTTATTAGTCAAAATTTCAACAAAAAGTTGCTTTTTCGAAAGAATCGTTGCTTACAACAACGGCTTTTTCGCCATCTAAACGCACCCAAGTGACATTAAAGTAATTACTACTTAGAATTACTTCTCTAGGAGATTTTTCTTTCACGCAATTAATAATAACTAATTAGCGATTATTCATTAATTACCCACCAATTCCAGCTGCCAATATTGTTTGATCCAAAAACTAGGAATACAAGAACGAGAAAGAGAAAAAGAGAAAATGTCAAACATCATTTCTCTCTCTGATCCCTGAATTGCGTGGCCGCACGTGGATCTGCTGTTTTCTGATGCTAATTTCAACCTCGTTTCTAGCGGATTGCCCCTGTCTTTCCCAAAAGAAAAGCGGGGGATCTATTTTTACATCCATGCTCTCTTTGTAGTACAAGTTGCTTTCATCTAAACATAAAAAAGAAGCAGCTTCAGTTCTTTGGCGTATCAGAATGTCAGCGCTATACTTTTAATTCTTCTTTTATTCCAAAAAAGAAGAATCATCCTTTACTTTAACTAAGCAGCAAGATGGGGACTCCTTGACTCAACAATTCCACTTCATGTTCTCTTTTCCATCATTTTTTCTTCCTAGTGTCAAGCTGTACTACAGCAAGATAAGGCAAACTGAGGATATTGATAGAATCATATCTGAGCCTCTATATCGAACGATTCTCTATTTTAAATAGACTTTTATAAACGACTGAGATTAATATTCAATTAATTCGGGAAAATCTGAAGGGAAATGGCGACTGTCACTACCAAGTGACTGCCAAAAACTACCAAATTCGATACTATTTATAATTTTTTTAGTCAAACTCAGTTCAAAACGGTCTTGTTGACATGTTGAACATATAAAAGAGACGTTATCCCAAATATAAATGTCTCTTTTGATATGCTCGCGTAAGAGGAAAATATGGCTACTGCCGCTAGCTCAGGTACGATAATTTGAGGGTGAATAATTTATTCAACAGAATCATCTTTAAATATCATCTATAATGGAAAACGACGGTTACGGATTATGACTGTACCGGTGTCAATACATAATCTTTTTACGTTTTCCATGACGGCCAGAGAATCATCTCTCTGTCCTATCCGGCAAGCTGTAGGCTCATGTCAAAAGATGGCATCACGATTCTTATGGCATGAAAATGAATATTGAGCTAAACTTATAGTTGAGCAGATGCGCGCCTAGCCGACGTCTAGATGTTCCTCCTCTATTCGCGAAGGCCAAATGATATCTTCTCAATCTAATCCCCAGGTGTGGGCAACTTTAGGACTAATACTGGACCCGGTCGCAGCAATATTCTCGTTCTTATTTAATAAAAGAAAGATTCTCCGTAATTGAGACAATCTTGAGCTAAGTCGAGAAATTCCGGTTTCATATTCCGGTAAATAATTATTTGAGAAAGGATTTTAACGTGGATCCACCGGATCTACCGTCAACCCCTCATTACAAAAGTAAATTTGGCAACGTTGCCGTTTTCGTATTTGCAAATTTTAAAAACTTTCAAAAATGACTCTTTTTCTAAAAAAGTTGATTGTTCCAGCAGCAAATATTTACGCCGTGGTGATGGTGATCGGGGATGAGCAGCTTTAGCGATTTACCCGTCAGCTTTTCTCAATTTCTTGCTGACAGGAAGATGCCTCTTTTGGCAAGTATTTAGCGCCAAATCGCAGCCACGAGTTTTCACGAATTCTGTCGAACATTTTGATCGAAATCTTCGATCTTTTCAAATTGCGATTTAGAAAAAATGACTTGTCATAAATACCAGCGAAGAAGTCTAATTATTTCAATACTGTTATTTTATTTGAGAAGCAAGAATAAATTTAAGGGACCCGGCTCGATAAAGAGCTTCACAAGAATCGCTAAAGTTCTTTCGAAAAATTCGCAAGAAATCAAATTTCTTCGTTTTCTCGCTGAAAATAAACGAAATTTTGACAAGCTCTTTCATAACTTAGCAATGGCGGAGGCAACTATTTAGTCTAAACGTCTCACACGAGGAGCGGTGATTTATTTTGAAATTTGGGACTTTTGAAATTTCTAACGCGCGCCCGTCAAACCGCGTTTTTTCACGTTTCTTGTTTAGCCAAGTTCTTGGGAAATTTATTTTGGTCTAGTTGCGACTTCGAAGGAAATATTTCAAAATCTTATTTTAAATTATATTTTAATATATATTATTTTATTGATTATATGATTTTTTATTGAATATTATATAATTTATTTTATAATTTTAAAGCAGACTAATTTTGATAGAAACAGCCCGAAAAAGACAGATTTAAATAACCTCAGCTGATTGGCTGATCGGATTTTGGAGCATTTTGATTCGTTGAGAAATTTTTGAGGGCGGTATCGATAATTTCTTCGTAAAAGCATAATAAAATCAAGGAAAAAGCGAAATTTCAAGTTCTTAGGCGATGTTTTTGGGATTAGGTAAACCAACAACCATGTTCGATCTGGCGTCATTACACGGCTAAACCCTTGGCCCGGTCTCTTCCAGCAAGTGACCTCGGAGTTGTCCATGTTTCTCTTAGAAACGAATCAAGTCCAAACAAAACAGCGGAAAAACGAGTTCCATGAGCGAAACCACTCTGCCCCGCCAAAACGTTTAATCCAAATAAATCATCGTTGATAATATTTACAACGTTGTCTAAAGCAGTTTCATAACTTTAACATCTGCGGTCGGACTTAGAATTTTCGCCCAAACCGGAATTAGAACTCGGCCCAAACAAGAGGCGAAATCGCAGAATTCGCGAAAATCTCACCTCCGGAAATGGCCCTTTTTAGTGCGAAAATGACTATTTTTGAAAAAGAGAGGTTCACAAGTTTTACTAATAGCTTTAAATTTATCAAAAATAGAATCGACTTTTTTTAGTTTTTAATCTAAAAATGTGTATTTTCAGTTATTTACAGTAGTCTTTGGGCAAAAAATTAGTCAAGATTAACTCAAATGGTCTTATTGGCCGAAAATGGAATCCCTCCTTTCTTATTGGCTAAAAATCACTGAACTTAAAATCTGGTCAGAGAGGTACTGTATTTGATTTTGAAGTTAATTCGTGACTAACCGGTCTCTCCAAATTCGATCCAAGAGTATTTTCATTATAATTAAGAGTCTGCCGAAGTCTCCCGGAGGTACTCTACTTCAAAATGTAGATTTCAAGCACTTCCGCTTTTTCACTTTCATTTTCGAAGCTAAAAGTGCTCTCCAAACGCTCGGAAAAGTGAATTTTCAGTTAACAGAAAACTACAGTTTTCACGTTTTCTCCTTCCATCGCGGTGGTCCGTCGCAAACAACGGAACTCTTGTTGAGGAAATGAATAAGACGCTGAGTTCACGACCTACTACGGACACTACTTAAATCCTTCTAAGACAAAAACGAAGTGAAAGAAATGTCAAGAAAGTGCTTCAAAAAGAACGCTGCCTAAAAAATGCTCTCTTACTGTAATTAGGAGAAAAACTTGAAGAGCGGTTAGTAAAAGTGCCCCTAGAATCTCGTTATCAACGCGATTTGAGAGGGAGCAAAACAGGAGGATAAGATATTGCCCCATGTTTCGGATGCTTTGAGTACCACTCTAATCGCTGCTCTAACTTCCACCTTTTAGCTTTTTTCAGAGTTACGATTTAATTGAACAGGGGAAGGGTCAACTACCCGGGTTCCAACTACTAACTAACAAGCAATTAAGAGAATGCTCATCGAGGTTCAAAATTAGCGGGGAAAGCCAATCAAAATGCTCAAATAGCACAACAAGCCAATCAAATTCTAAGAAGCTTAAAAATGATTATTTCGACTCAAAAATAGTTATTTTTTTTCGCAAATTTTAAAAGAAATGAATCGTCGCCTCTTTGTTTAGATTTTAGATATTGCATGACAGTAAATAGACGCAAAAAACGTAATGGATAACCAATATTGGATCTCGCACGTTTAAGCACTCGAGCGAAGTGGGCGCAAAACTGGATATGGCGCGTAAAACGTTTACAAATACGTAGTCAAATGATGATAAACAGGGTGGAGATATTATGAAAACGAAGCGACTAAACCCGAAAATTACGCACTTTTTGGACTTTTGATGGTTTCTCACTCATGTTACCGTAATAATGATAGTTCTAATAATCGCCCAAGCGAGTGAGAAGTGCCCTTTTAAAAACGACTGTTGCGACCTCAACAGGCGAGGCAGAAGAATGGAGATAACAGAGCGCAGTGACCTCAGCGCAAAAATCATTGATTCAAAAGTCGCCACAAGTAAAGTGACTTTGTTAAAACTTGGCAAAGGGAAACTTGAGTTATCGCATACGCGGCATACGTGGAATGAGATTTTATGCGACCCAAGTTTGCAATTGCGATTTTACGAGTCAAAAAACAATTATTATTTGCCACAACTTGAAAGTGACGACTTCCAAGGTCAATTTTCAAACTTGACTCAAAAGTACTCTTTTGAAAAAAGGGAGGAATTTCAACTTCGTGAAAAATCCTCTGCGGATACCGCGAGTATCTTCTTGAGGGAAGGTAATTGACCGGAAAGTGATTGCAGCTGAGAAAGGATAGAATTTGAAGATAGCTTTATTATTAAAGAATTTCGAAGATCCTTTCTTTCATAATGATAGAAGACCATGAATTTCAAAAACAGCCAATTTTCAAATTTTGAATGAATTTTGAAACTTCTTCATTTTTGATTGAATTTACGGATTCCGAAATTTATAAATCCAAAGAGAACTTTCTTTATCACAGCTAATCTAGCAGGTGCCAATAAAAATATTTTTAGTATTGGTTTAGTTAACCCCTAGGTTATCCCTAAGTTAATTTGGTTGAAAAGACAAAGTGCAGGCTCTCAGTAAAATAATTAAAAATCCGCGTTTACAGGCATTTAATTGCAATGCAAATTAATCACTTAGTAATGAACAAATCAAGTCTGAACAAGAGGACGCAGTTTGGCATTTGGCAAATCTCAAGTTAATGATTCTATTCAAATTCTTCCTGTTCGCTCGGAAAGAAAGGATGAGAATGAGGATTCGACGCACATTTTTGTGACATTTTGAAACGCTGACGGATTTTTTCTATCATGACTCATAAAAATTAAACTGTTTTTGTGATATTAACTATTTTTAATATTAATAGAAAAGTAACTGATGAAATACTGTACCTTATGTGTGTTTTTCGACTTAAAAGCTACCGACAAAGTATTTTCGTGAATCTCTTAGTCTCTTTTTATCTTCTTCTTTTATTTCTTTCTTCGTCAAAAATCTCGTGTTGAGCAAAAAATTGCAACAATTGAGTTTGAATTTTATAAAAAATGATGTCTTTAGGATAGCTCTTCAATAAGCGGCTTCAAATTTTTCCTTGATTTTCGCCGCTCTCATGATTTCTCATGGCTGCTCGCTAGTGCCTCGGCTGCGCGCAGCGCTAGAGCGCTAGAACGTCGAGCGGTCGGTCCCCGCTGCCGACCAATAAGCAAGCAAATTGGCCAAAGCAAGGGACTTGTTTCAAATGTAAATATCGAGTAGATATGCTTTCCTTAGCTATATATTTAGAAGTAAACAAGGGTCATAAGGGAAAGGTGAGCCTAGCCACACTACGCAAGGAGAAAATTGAGTTACGCTTTTGATATGTTGGCCAAATAGAGGTCTTTGGAAATGGATTCAATTGAAGAGTTTAATACTTATCATTCAATAATTTACACCGAAATTATATATAATTGAAGAGTTGCGAAATTACACTAGACTCAGCCAGATTGTGGTAAAGTTCATATCCCGTTGTTATTTATTATTCTGCATTCTTGTTTTTGCAGACACATGAGATCTGAAAACTATCTATTTCCAATACGGCTAAGTACTAGTAGCAGCACATATGTATTTGCAGCCCAACACGGGATATCAAAGAGAGACCAGTTATATTTTGAATAAATTTCAATAACAAAACTGAGAATTACATTGTCAATTGCTCAGTTTTCAAATGCCTAAATTGATAATTATGAAAATTGAAAAAACATGGAAATTGTCAATTGTTTTCTAAAGATTCAAAACACTAGATTCCACGTCGTTTTCCAAAGTTTCCCATGCCCGCAGATCTCCGGAATTTTTCGTCAACGAAGTATCTAAAAAATCAATCCTCAAAACTCAACCTGTGAGCTCCTCTCTCTCTCAATCAATTTTCATTTTAAATAAAAACAAACTCAAGTCGTTCATCACATTTAGCCACGGTTGCTCATAAGTTGAACTCTACTTACTCTAATTATCATATTATAATTTGATTTCTAGCTCATTTTTCCACCGGGCATAATTTATCCAATAATTAAGCTTCCAAGAACTAGGGCAGCTAAATGATTCTTCCATAACAAATTAATTAGCTTATGCTTTTTTCTTCTTCACAAGCCAATTATTCAATAAAAGGGTAAAACGTTCTTTTCCACGTTGGAATTCATCCTTTTTAATAATTAGTCAAATCTAGTCATCTTTAGTTCATCAAAGACAATTAGACAAAACAAAAGTACGCGGGATAATTTTCCTCCGAGAGAGCAAGCTCTGTGTAAACACTCGTAAGAGTGTAAGGGGGCAAAACGACGCCTTGTCAAAGTGTTTCATCAACAAATCACGAAATTGATGAAATCAATTTGATTAAATACCATTTTCGTACGTACGCAAGAATTGGCCCTAGAATCGGAGATTTGCTTAAGGAGGGGGTCGTCAATATGGAAATTTTTGTACTTTTGAAATTTTGACCACATTTTTGAGTTCCTTGTCAAAAACATAATCTTTTGGTCTCTAGCTTTTTTGATTGGTCCACGTAAAACCTGGTAAAAATCGACTTAAACATTGAAAATGAGCGCGCGACGGGAGAAGGAAATTGAAGTTTTTTCTCGTTAGCTATTATTTTTAATAGTTTCTTAATCAATATTTATTAAAAATTCCGAGTCTTTGCGGTTTTCGAAAAAATCGGTCAAAAACGAGTAAAAATATGGAATTTTGTTAAAATCGAATATTTTTAATCAATAAGAAAAATTTTTTAATGAAGTGACCCTTAATTTTTTGATCGCCGGTCGATGCAGAAGGGTCCAAACTACTAGTATTTAAAATTTGATTGTCGAAAAAATTTTGGTTTCGAGATTTTTGGTCAAGAGACACCCCCACTTCAACCCTAAATTTGGAAAAATTTTCCAAGAAAATTTTTCTTCTTATTGCCGGTCGAAAATTTAAACCCTTTTCTTTGCACCGGACACTTCGATTTTCAATCCAATCAGGTTTTTCCGTATTTTTGGTCAAAAAAAATCCGAATATTGACGACCCCCCCTTAAATGGATGAAGTTATGCAAATATATCGTAAATATGGTGCGTAAATATATTTCTAACATTGATCATACGTAATCATTTATTTTTAGTTACATAATAATTTTCAGGGAAAAAACAGCCTTCGTTCTTCTCATTCTTTTGTGTCATCGGAAAATTGAATGATTCCGGCAAAGATTGAAAAAGAACTCTCATAATTTTTGATCGACTCAAATACGAACAGCAAATAATTCAGACCCAACGATGCAGCCTTCTTGATGCTCATTTATTTGATTAGATTGAAAAACTGCAGAATTCAAAATTCTCAAGGTCTTGTTGATCCTCATCAAATAAACAACTATCATCATCCTGCTTTAAAATTTCCCTGCTTCGAAACGTCGACTCCAGAAATACTCAATACTTTGAAGTTCCAAGAATGAAACTCTTTGCTTTTTCGCCGGAATTTTTCAGTTGTCCGACGCCATGTGCACCAACGGCTACGACATGGACTGCAAGCGAGAGTGCCATGATGAGTTTACGGAGTGTCGAAGATCCGGTACTATCGACTACGCGGATTGCCGATCTGACAGGTTTATTCGGAGTCGATTTTAGTCATCATTTTGCTTCGATTTTAGGCAAGAATGCTACGAACTCTGCGTTTGCCACCACACTCACCGGGAATTTGTCAACATTAAGCACCCAGTAAGAAGCTGGTAAGCTCAACATACACTTTTGTATTCGTTGAAAATTGAAAACTTATTCAAGCCCTCCACCACGATCGAACGAATGCGACTTTGTGAAGCAACAGCTGACAGTGGCACCTGATTTTTTTCACCATTCCGAGTGGCGATGCGAATATGAATGTCTCACGAAAGCTTGAAAATAGAAAATTTTTCCAGAATAAAATGAGTTTCTTGTTGTTCTTGTTGTTGAGTTTTCACGGTGTCGTTCGTTCGTCGAAGTCTGATGTGAGGTCATTCGAGCTTGGTCAGTGTATCGAGTGTTCAAAGCGGCCCACGATAACAGAAGTGCGCGTAATAACTCATTAGGGCTCATTTTTCAGAAAGCGCCCTTAGTTTACGATGAACAGACCCGATCCAGTTTCATCTTCGAAATTTGTTGGTCAAACAAGCATGTTTTTGTTTCGAGGAAGCCAAGTTGGCCAGTAAAAAAGAAATAATCATTCTTTAATTTGCCGCCAATTAACGGACCTTCTGGATTTAAAATTGCTAAAGATGTAATTGCTTATCTATATTTTTCTCACTGAATTTAACGTGCGAATAATGAAGAGGTAATTATCTTTATTTATAAGATAACGTGGCGAATAACTTATCGCTATTATTATTAGTGATAATTTATCAATCAAGTGGACATAAGTCTATATTCCAATAGCACTGTAAATTCCAATTAGACTTTCACAAACTTCCTTTTTTACTCTAAAATTTAGAGTCTAAATCCTTATTTAATTACTGCTTTGCATTGTGGCCTCGTCATAAAACTTCCTATCAAAAGCTGGTTGGGCGAAGTTTGGTTAAAGGAATCATCATAAAGTAAAAAATAGACTGCTTGTCCGTACATGAATCATGTAACATGATAATTTTGATGTTTTCCATAGCTCGAGAATTATTTCTCCTTCGTTTTACTCCTGTGGTTCAAGGTGTAGGCAGTAGGCAAAAGATGGTTTCCTTCTTCAGGTCAGGTCAGTTCTAGCACTAAACTTGATGCTCGAGCAGATGCCGGATCTACTTTTACGTCTACAAGCGAATCATTCGCAAGGAGCAAATCTTCCCCTCTAAATGTCAATGGTGGGCAGCCTAAGCATCCCGATCTACGATATTCTCTATCTTACGGAAGGTTTCGTAACATTAGGGAAGAATAATCGAGATAAATGAGGATTGAGAATATTTTTTAATGGTCCATAGAAACTTTAAACTGTAGTATAGATTCTCTACTATAGAATCATCACTGATGATTTAGTTTGAAAGCAAAGAGAAAAATCGAAAGCGAGATCCTTTTCAGATTCTGTAGAAAGAGTTCCATTTGATGAAATAAATCTATTTCCACCAAATGCAGACGCGTTTCAGTTTTTCTTTAATTTTTCATTTCCGGGGCGCCGAAGCAAGAATGGAACGGAAGCGGAGAACAAGGCAAGAAACTGATATCGTTTGTTTCAACATATGGCGCTGTCACGTGGGAAGTAATTACGAGGAGAACACAAACTATCACTGGAAATTACGGCGATCAGCGCTTTTCTTTGTAAAACCGCTTTGTCTGCCGCTTTGAACATGACGCTACTTTCGCGAGAAATAGTGAATACAGTGAATACAGTGAAAACTCGCTCGGCGAGTGTTTTTCTTTAAAGCACCAACTTTTGAAAATCGTAAACTGGGCAGAGAGGCGCCTTGCCTGTCGCGTTTTCCTAAACAAATTATTTTGACGAACTTGGCGAAATGTCGCGATTGTGAATATTCTGCATTTGTTTTAGAAAATTTGTCGTCCCTTCTGGATAACTTTTCTTGTCTCTGCCGATCATTCCAGTAATTAACTGGTTTTGCAAAGCGTAAATATATAAATTGTTTGAAAGTTTAACTTCTCAATACACGTGGTCGGTTCAACCGACCACGGCGACTTTGAGCCGCCGTAATTTCTCTTGTGATAATCTATTTGACCTGATTTTTGTAATGTGAGCTGAGATGACTAAAACGAACCACTTCGTCAAATTTTGGATGTTTTCTCAAAAGTGGTGGCGTTTTGCACCGCATTTATCTTTCATTCAGCAGCTGACAATCCAACAAGTTTTTTTCAAAAGTAATTGTAAATCTTGATAGGTGAGTGTTCAAGCTTTCCAGCGATATGTTTTTTAAATTTTTTGCTTGCCGGAAACGCAAGTTAGAGCTAAAAGTCTTGAGCGCTCTTTATCATACTCCGAATTTTGCCCGCCGCGCGGGGCTGAATAATGCATTGTGGTCCCCTCACCCGACCCCGTGTTTTGAGCGCTTAGTTGCGCGCCCGTGTATTGAGAAGTTAAGAGTTTGAGGGTTAGACGTTATTACCACTAATAACCAGACATAGCCATAATTTACTGCTGTTTATCATTTCTTATTTCTAATCGAGCTCGCGAAAATTAATCACCAAGTTTATAATTTGAACGAATAATTGAACCGTTAATTGGCAATTTGAAATGGTATTATTGAAGATTTTTTACAGACCTTTTTCTGTAAGTAATTCTTTGCAACTCTCCCTTTGTTTTCCCAAAAGTCGTATTACGATGTCTACTCGCATATAAGAGCCGGTACTGTACGAAAATAATCGTTGCTTATTGAAGAAATCAATCAAATATACGCCACTCGATATAAATAGCTATATTTATCTCGAGGGATCGGAACTTTGTCAGACAAAGAATGCACTTGGATGGTAATTGCGATTTCCTCTCCCGTCATGTCCAAAATCTTGATAGAATAAATTATGCTCCCAGACGAAATTTCGCTTGAAAATCTCATTTCTCAACAGTTTCTGACTATTTTTTATCCGAGTGACTGTTTTTTAGAAGCAAAATAAAGAGCCCTTGAAAATAAACGCACGAGAGCGTCAAATTGTGATTAGATGCATCAGAGAAAAGTAACACAATCAATACATTTTTGTCGCATTATTCTAACATCTGTGTTTGATGGAAAACGAAGAGATAACGTATTTCTTGCAATTTTAATTTAATGATGTTGTTTCGGCGGAAAATTGGACTCAGGGAAAATGTATTTTCTTTATTCAGATATACCGTCAAATTAGAAGAAGTCTATTGATTCTGTATAATCTACACTGTGTAGATTATCGAAAATAATTATCTATTATCAAGATTCTCTGATATTCTTACCGTTTGTTAGAGGGAAGATTTGCTCCTAGCGTATGATTCGCTAGTAGACGTCAAAGTCGACCGGGCATCTGGTCAGACGTAAAGTTTAGTGCTGGAAGTTAATCATATCTATGCTGTTAGCATTCAGAAATCATATTTTCTGTAGTGACTACACCTTGAATCACAGGAGTACATCGACAAAAAGATGATTCTCTGGCTATGGAAAACCTAATAATCCCCCTGTACGGAAGACGGAAAAGCTCATGCTTAAAGTTGTTCGAATCATTCGAGTCTAGTCGAATTGATCATATCCTCAAACGAACAGTTCGTTTTCCACTTTCTGATGATTCTATTAACCAAGCTTCGCCCAAACATATTTGAGAGGAAGCATAACGGCGACGACACGATGCAAAAGCGTTAGATTAAGAAAACACAGTAATGAAAATATAGATTTAGAAAGGAAGAAGAAGTGGCTGCTTCCGTTAGGAACTGATAAAGAGACGTTCCTAATTCGCAAAAACAGTAATTACATTTGCGCGTTGCACAACCTTCTACTCGACCGGGCGCTCTTATCGATGACTGCTCAAAGTTCTAAAGCTGTGAACTCTGTTCTAATGCTGCCGGACTTCGGCGCTGCTTTCGTGAATCATGCAACCTTCGTTTCTACAACGGATGCAGCGTTCACAACTGCTCGCCATCCGGGTCGTCGTCATTTAGGCTTTTCGATTTTCCTGAAGAAGGAAATCCGACCGTTTTCCAAAATCCGTCAAGAAATGAGGACGCGGCGCAGCTCTTCTCCGGATGATGACGCGGTTGAACTCCATTGAAAATTCGCCTAAAAGGCGATCCTTAGCGGCTCTAAGTCACCATATTATCGCACCCAATTTGTGATGTCCATAATACGATAATAATTTAAGTATAGCAAACATGTTAGTTGTCAGTATCACTTTGTAAAGCAATGTGTTAAAAACAGTCTGCAAGACATCCAGAAAAGATGGTTATCTTCATTTGTACAGTCAGATGCAATAAGGGTCTTCGAATTGAGGTGCATCAATTAGTCTTTCTGCGTAAGATTGACACAAGTCGGCGTAAATCGTCGCACGTTACAGCTTTATCGTCTCGTATCGCTGCCAAGATATTCGCGATGCGAAAATAAACCACTCGCGAGGAAAGGTAAAAAAGAGTGACAAGAATTTATTTTGGAAAGGGACTTTTTCCCCAGTCAGGTTATGAGATGGTCATCGATTTTTACTTACGACGCGTTTTTTGGGGCAACTGAGAAAAACCCCAACGAACTTCTGTATTAAATTACAGACGGGCTTAGTCGCAGTGCATTTGCTCGCAAAATATTTGAATTTGAAAATTCCGCCTTAAATTTGAAAAAACGTCGACCGAACCAATGGTCAGAAAAATTCTGATTTGCCTATTGGAGGAGACACTTCCTTCTCCTGGAACTCTAGACTTCCGCAAACATCTAAGAAGCCGCAGGGTCAATTTCAGAGGGCAAAAGAAAAAAAAGCAGGGGGGTTTTCTTGCAAGTAAGTTTTTGACTCAAGAAATTTTCTAGATAAGCGTTGTTTCCCTACAAAATCTATATAAACTCGCTTGAAGGCGGAAACCCTTCATACTTCTGAAATCCCGTTAGAGAAGCAGGAGCGTCGACTTTTTGAAGCGCCTATTTTACCAGAGAGAAAAATGAATCGAGATCTGCAAAATCTCTGCAGCGGAGAAAGCGGCCTTCAACGACTGAAGATCAGCACCGGTTACTCCAAGTCTCTCCACGGCTCCCAGGATAGTACTCGATAAACAAACTACATAACAAGTAGCACTAATTATGCTTATCACTCGAGCGTGTGAACGAAGGACCTATTCGAAGTTTGACAAGATAATCCTGCTTATCTTGCACTTCTTGAGAATTTCGCGAGCACAATGCCTCTTTCAGGGAGCTAGAATTTTCTAAGCATTATCGAACATTGATTAAAAGACCTCTCTGGCTTCGAATTCGTCGGCTTTAACGACGAAGAGCCAGAAAATCGGGAATGGCATCACCAAGTACTTCAAAAGAAAAGGACTTTCCCTCCTTGGAAGCAATAATTCCAATGTAAGTAGTCTTCTTCGCGTCAAAAAGCTCATGGAATCATATTTAAAGGTTCCAAAAGCAGATCTGAAAAAGATTTCAAAAACTCCAGCTCGTCGTACTATCACTCGCCGCCAGCACTCTCACAAGGCGATTGAAGAAAACAAAGAGGTTCCAAAACCAGATGATGAGAAGAACCTCAAGTTCCCTCTGAATGAACCAGCAGAGGATCCCTTCGGTGCGATAAGCTGCCCTATTGAGCCATGGAGGCAGGAAATTTGGGAAAGACTTCCAGCTGAGAAGAAACTTCTTTCTTTTCCGTGTTACGAGCCGTATTCCTTCACTGGTAAGTTTTAAACGATCGATCTGGGAATGACATTTGATATTCTAGCGTTCGAATACGTCCGGGCGCGAGAACTCAAGCCCACACATCGAGTTGTTGGAAATTATCTTCAGAATCATCCTGTCTTGACTCCTAGGCATCGATACATCCTCGTCAACTGGATAATGGAAGTTCAGGTAACAAGCGGCCCAGTTTCCAAGTCGTACTTCCAAGATTACTAATATAATAACACTCAAGTACTTTGACTTGTAATTAAGAGCTGCTCTAAGCTGTTTTGTAAAATAAAGTTAGACTTGGACTCTCAAATAATCAGTTCTCTTTCCCTTTTTTTCATGTTTCCGAGCCTCATTTTCTTAGGAAAACGATGAGTTCTACTTTCGCAACGAGCAGTTGTTCGCCGCCGTCCGCTACATCGATGTCTATCTAAGGAAGGGAATCGACAGCTACCAATACGATAATCAGTGTTATTCTCATTTTTGAACCTGATAAATTCGTTTTAACAAGCCCGCTTTTCAAATTTTTCACGTTCTCAATTTTCGAGCCCTGTTAACTCCTCCAAAACAGCCGAACTCAAAACTTGCCATTGGATAGGTTTCAGCTATTAGCGATTACTGCCATGTTCGTCGCCTGTAAAGTTGGTGTAAGTCACAATTATTTACGTTGGCACTTGTAAACAACAGTGTTTCTATTCTTGATTTTTTTGACAACGTATCGTTGTAACCCCACGTTTTTGTTTCTTTCTAAACTTGAAAAATCTTATGATTAGCGGGAGCCGTGAGCTAATAGCTGTACAACTTGAGGACTCTTATTCAACTAGACGGGGAGACTGCATCTCAGGCATTTTGAAAAACGAATTTTAGATGCAATATTACGCGGAGATCGCGTCCTGGGCGATTCTTGGCGATCCTGACAAGCCCTACAAAACTAGTGACATCCGACAATTCGAGGTCGAACTTCTCCAAGTGATCGATTGGGATGCAGAAATTTCGACTGCCTATTTCTCCCAGAAACGACTGTCCATGCTAGCTGGATTGAAAGACTCTCAGGTACAGATTTTTCTTCTCAAGGTTAATTTTATGAACATTCAGTGTCATATGGTGAGATATCTTCTGGAGCTATCTCTTCTTGCTGCCGACATGGTGACGATTCGCCCGTCAATCATCACTTCCGCTGCCGTTTTAGTCGCGAAAACCTACTACGGCCATCCCTTAGAATGGAACGATTACATGGTCTATCACAGGATAGTGGCTCCTCATCAATACCTTGAACGCCGCCTTGCTCATTAGTAAGATTAATTGCGAGTAGTACGTAGCTTAATGGTTAGCTAACAAGACAAATTGCAAAAGGCGCGTAAAACGACCTAAGCAGCTTGAAATGATGTTACTTGGTTTTGACAATTTTATATTATGAAAAAATTACTGAGCCGCGCAAAAAAGCGCTTATAAGTTTGAAGAACTGGCGCCTGTTTGCAAGAGCCTCATTTTCCTGATGAAGAACGCATACAACATCGGAAAGGAAAATTTGGCTGGTTCAAAGGACTATCTTTGGGCCAAGTACTCGAGCAGCGATGGCGGCATGGTAGTGGCGTGATTCTTTATTTTGCGACCTTCAAATCGGCTTTTTAGGTGGCGATTTTGGACCAAGAGCTTCTTCAAAACTTGAGAAATTTGGAGTAAGCAATTTTTTATTTTTTCTGTCTTTGTTAATTTTTAAATGCCGTTTCTTATCTTTGATATCTGTAATAAAAGAGACCTTCTTTGGACATGCTCTTTGTACGTCTCATTCTTGTTTAACCGGAGAAATTAATAGTCGCAAGTTTATTTGGCAACAATTCGAAAAGGCGCGTCAAAAATGTACTTTTAAAAAGTGATGTTATTTCTTCGAAGCATTAGCTGAAATTCTCTGCGTCTACGCAACTTTGTGGTTCAACGGAGGAGACCCTCTTGGAGGGGAATACAAGTAAGTAGTGATGGAACATGAGTATTTTCCGGATTAGCCATAATTGCGGGATTAGATCTGACGCGTTGCGCGGGAGCTTGGGGATCCCGAGATTCCGCTTCCGCTTTATGAGAATTAGCTCGAAGGTCGAGCTACGTGGTTGCGCAACAATAGGCACAGCTAAACGGTTAGAACGGAGCTAAACATCATGCTTGCTATAAATATACAGGTTAACTTGGCCCTGTGCACTTCCGCAACGTGATTATTTACGTTCTCAGACCAGGGCTTGGCAACCTGTATTCAAAATCTGAGTCAGGGCCTCAAAGAGCTCTAATGAAAAGTTTTGCGAGAAATTTGATTAATTCGTCGCTCTGATTTTCAAAGAAAAGTACTGTAATTAAGAAGAAAAGGGAATTCAATGGTTCGACAATGTTTGTTTTCTGGGAAACAGGGTGCGGATGTTTGGAGTTTGCTATGATCATTCTTGAGTCCGGTTAATTGAATATTCCAAAACTCTAAGCTGTAGTTGGGTGGACTAGGTAACTTTTGAATTATGCGACGACGTCTTCCTGGAAAGGCGAAAAATCATCAATTGAAAAAACATCTTCAATTGAAGAAAATGCGATGCAAAACTGATCGAAATCGACATTGATCAATTTAACCCTCAAAGTTTAAAGAAAAATCGTTGAAAAGCGACCTAAAAATAAAACATATAAAAATCAGCATCGTCGAAATATTGTGAGCAAATACTTCCGAGAAACCGTATTGTCCGTGCAGGTATATTTGTTGTCCAAGCAGCGCTAGAACTAAGAAAAAGAGGGCTTGGCATCTTTTTTATCAAATAAGATGTTTCATTACTAGCAAGGCTGATTTGTTATCGGGAAAATTGGATAAGATTTCTTTTTCGGGATAAATGGAATTTGTCCCGGTCATGTCGAATAAAATTTGTTCCTGTTTTTTGATCGCTTATTTTCGATGTCAGGATTTGACAAAGGGTTGTCGCCAGGAGGTGCGAGGAAAGTGGGTTAACGGATTTGCCTATTTTTAGAGACTTGTTCATCGTACTTTGCCACGGTACTTATTCACTTTCGAAAAAGGGCTTGTCGGGAAGATTCCAGTAGAGAGAATATTTTCATACATAAAACCTGTGTTTAGATAAACTAAAGACAGCATCTGTTTAGAGGCGCCAAAATGATTCCATTGACATTTGTCTACACTTCGACATGGCGGAAAATGAATCTCTGGCGTGGCAAAATAGCCAAAAGTAAATATTTCTCGGACATCTGAGCCGACTTCGCTGACCTTCAGCAAGGAAATGAAGTGACGTTTTCTTACCATACTCACCATGAAGCTCTCCTTTGGGAGTAGGAGGAGGAAGGGATTGTTTTTGCTCCGTTCAAATTAGAACAACTTAGAGGAATCTTTTTTACCAATCTTTTCCTTTTCATTTGCCTTCGATTTTACGATGCTCACTCTTTTGACGGCCAAAAACGCTATAATATGATTCTAGCGCGTGAAAGTAGTTCTAAACAAAAAATTTAGAAAAATCCAATTTTGCAGCTTCGCACGCAAATTTCGGCGTTAAATTTTAGATGCGTGTTTGGCCTATCGAGTTCCATAAGGCGGAAGAACTCAACGAGCAAATCAGATAAATAGATTGAGCCGGAACGCATCAAAGCGCGCTTCCCCAAATTTGCGAAACATGTCACTCGCCGCTTTTTTACGATAGAGTCGGCTTTGGGACAGAATTGACAAACGGGCGCCAAATCATGAATACGATTTGCCGCTTTTGTAATTGATAAATGTTTGATCAATCGTCTGATCACGTGCTGCGAACATGGGTAATTGCTAATTATTAATTTCCTCGCTAATGAGATAATTTATCTCAGATAAATGATTCCAAGTTCATCGCTCTCAGCATAATTCGTTAACTATCCAAATTGATAGTATTAATCGAATGGCGGCATATTATGCCCGGTTAAGTTGTTTTGATTCAATCATGCTCACTTCCAACTTCAAGTCAAATCTTCACTTCAAATTGGTATATCAAACACTGAGAACATATTCAATTTATAAATTATAAATGTCTAGCAAGAGCCCGATATCAAATTCATAGACATCCCAAACGATTAAGGGTACTACCATCGATAACCTGATTTTCCAACGACTTTCTCAGAACTAACTGTTAACAAAATTTCAGTTTAAAAATCCGCTGAGCTTTAAATTGAGGGTTGAAATGAAGAAGTATTGCGAAGAAATGAACAGTTTGAAAATCGGGTTTACCACCTGCGGATACAATTTTTTTAAAGAATAATTGAAGATTTATTTTTCATTTTTTCTCTCTCATGAACTTGATTTTTTGTTCAATTGTCATCAGCATCAGCATCATCTTCAGAGATCCGATTCTGGGCATTTTCGTAGTTTTGATTGTCTTTATTTTTGGATTCGAAAAAGCAGTGCTTTCGGTGTTTTTTCATAATTACTATACACGTTGAAACAAAGAGTAATTCTCAAGTCCGCTTTGTTTTCGACAATTAATGAAATCACTTGAATACGGGTCAATAATGCGAAACATTATTATTATGAGCATCGTGGGAGGAATAATAAACGAAACAATACCAAATAACCTCCCCGTCAAGGAGAAATTGAAATTGTTGATTGATTGTTTTTGATTTCGCTTGAAGAGCCACCCGGCGAGCTGGCCCAAAATAAAAGTGTACTTAGAAAAAATATTTATCTTAGACGCGCTTTACTAATTTACTTGATTCTAAAGTTCAACCCTCTAGGTTCTAGAGTTTAGGAGACAAATAAAACGACCGTTTCACCTTATATTTGAGATAATTTAATAAGGGTGTTAATATGAAATGAAAGCCTGAAAACCTGCCTTTTGGACCCTTAAAATTTGATTGAAATTTATTAAACCTACATGTGGATTTTTCCGGTATTTTTCTTTCTTTTTTAGAACTTTCCGAAATAAGTTCGTTTTCCTCGGCCATTTTTTAAAAAATTGTCAGTTCTGTATTTTGAAAGACAACGTTTTCGAACCCGTGGCTAAGCTTTTGGAGTTGAGATCAGCCTCTTCTTCTTCGTCCGATTCTTCTAGCGGTAAGTGAACGTGCCCCTGGATCAGTCCTAAAACAAAGAAGATGAATTCGGTAAAGAAGAGCAGATCACGTTGACGGAAAATAGGTGAACTTACGAAGGTCATCTAGGCGGGCGAAAGATGCTCTTGCAAAAATGGAGAGCAAGAAGAACTCGAAAATGACGACTGCGGATTCAACCACTTTCATGTTCAGTTGCCAGTTGAGCGGAGAAACGCAAGGAATTAGTTGGAGCTTTGATATCGTGGTGAAAAAATAGCTAGGTAGATTGAGATAAGCTCAATCATACTTTCCATTATTTGACTATTAATTGGACACTATCACTTTTTAGCACGTTAATTTACACTTGAATTTCTATCACTAAAATTGCCCCTAGACCTAGGGTGGCCAAAACGAAGGGGGTCAAAAGGGGAGCTCTCAGCCGATCAGATTTCAGTATTCGGCTTATTACAAGCGAGCGAGGCCCCCCTAGAAGCCCAAAACTTTTGCCCCCATACCATCTTTTTAGAAAAAAGTTGAAAAGAAAAAAATTTTCCACGCGTTCCTTTGGGTCCCCCAATGATGCAAAAATGAGCGTCTGAATGCCCCTGATGAAAACTATGAGCAGCACCGAGTTAAATTTCCAATTGAGCTTATGCTTCCTGTCGAATTCCTGAATAAGAATTTGAGAATGTTTCAAAAAGATTCCTTTGGCTTTTGAGAAATCATCATCGTTACCGCATCGAGCATCTTTGACTGCTGGAACTTCTTTAACTCGAGTTCGATTCAACATTCTTTAGTTTACCTCAGAAATTACTCTCTTCTTACCCATGTTTAATACCGTAGATGGCGGTTGAAACATATAACAATAATGTAAACGTTGGAAACGTGTTATCTTATCGCGTTTAGCGAGAAACTACGACAGACATTATGCAAGATGAAGAACATTTGAAGAAGTTGGTAGTGTAAATTCAGCTCTTCAATTAGTATTCCAAGATGGGGGAAATACAACTAAGGCCCAAAAGAAAATTTATAGTCAACTGTTTTTACATATAAAAAACCATTATTTTAATTGATATTCAAAGAAGACAAATGCTTCTGACGGCTTTTAAATTATTTCTAGAGAATAGAACTCTCCTTGAACATATTGGCGGCGTAAATGCAGGTGATGGTGGAGAGGAGCCGGATAACACCAAAGTAGTTGTCTACGATGGGATTAATTTCGCGATATACAAGAATTCTTGCGGCTTGGCAAAATACCAACTTGACAGTGAAGAAACACTCGGGCCAATTTTTTAGAACGCGCGGTAAATTGACGCGAAAAGGGCACTTTTAATCACTTCTAGCTACAGGCAGCTGTACGTTTGTTCTTTTCCAAAACTCGATCAACTTTGTTTAATTTTATTTTCAGGAGGCAGAAAGATAATTGAGCCCCTTTTTCAAACGTTTTTCCAGTTCATATTTGAGGCTAGGCTCGATGTAAAAAACCTGAGTCAGGGTCTGAAGAACTAAACGAAGCGGCTTTTTTCATAAATGAAGCCGCTTAGTTAATAAAAATAAGCCGCTATACGCCTTTTCATTTTAGCTCTACCGACCCTGACTCAGGTTTTCTACACAGATTGCTGAGGCCATATTTTAGTGATTGGAAAAAGTTAGGTTCGAGTAACTCTGTTCTTGCGAGTTCTTAATCTCACATTTCTAATGTCGCCGATTTCGGCAAAACTGACACGACTTACCAGGCGTGATCTTGCTAAAGTGATTCCCAGCGACAACTTCTACCCAGGCGACATCGCAATACAGGATGATCTAAAAGAGTGTTCGAAGAAAGAAGCCTTCTTTTTGAAGGTAAGCGGTTCTTTGAACACTTTCCGAGATAAAACCAATAATGACGTTCATAAAGCAGAATTGGATGATCCCCCACTTCATAAACTTCGCCCAGAAGCTAAAAAAAAACGCATCGTGAGATTTGAGTGCCTGTCGAATTATGCAAAAAATAAGCCTAAGCTTGATTGAAGCCAAAATATTTGAAAAAACAAGAATTTGAAAACAAACTTCAAGATTAAATTAACTTCTTATCCAAAAATAAAATAGCAATTGACATTTGTAAATTTTGTAAATATAACTGAAAAAACCTTGCCCAAGAATTTTCGCAAGAAATCCATAAAAAATACCGATTTTTTTTTGTTTGCAACTTTGGGAAAGCCTTTTTAGCAAATAAGGGTGACACTTACATATTATTGTGAACAACTGGCAGGCAACAAAGACAGCAACAAGGGATTGCGTTCGATTTGGCCTCGAAACATTCTTGCGTGAACCTCCGTCGACCGCCGTGAATCATTAGAACCAAACTGAAGAGAAAATTAAGGAATACCTTTGACGACCGCCAGTGATTTTGTTTGATATGACCCCTGAATTGTTTTTTTTCTCAAAATTGAACTTGCCAACTTGAAAGCTTCAAGGCCAAATTTTCTTATAAAAATAAATCGTAAATAAAATATGCGGTTTTCATTTCTCTAGGACACCCTAATTTTAACAGATTAATAATTCCAAATATAAATTGGGGTGTTTTTTAAATGGGCATTTTCCACTAATATATCCTAATTTTAACGGATCTGAAGAATATTTAATCCCGGATTAATAATCCGTTAAAATGGCGATATCGAGAAAATTGCCCAAAAGAGACCGTAAGTTATGTTTGGAGCAGAGTCATTTGTCTCTAATAATTTGAGTCTAATTATTTGAGTCTAATTATTAGACTTGTAAACGAATATTTCCTTCCACAAAAAAGCCCCCCAACCGGAAATTATCTTGAAGTAATACATAGTCCTACATACGTATTTCTATTTGTATGTATACCTGAACAACTTATTGATAGCAAAAGCAACCCAAACATCGACGGCAAACTCCATATACGAGATTGATCTAAAAACCAAAGCAAAAATTTGTTACGAAATTTTCCCGGCCTCAGAAAATCTGAAATCATCTAAAAAACCACGTAGCGTGTACTGTTGGTTACGATAAAGCTTTTGAACTGAGTGGCGTCGGGCTTTTCGGAAAAAAAGAAAATTTCCTACCTCGGGATAAACAGCGCGATCATGAAGCAGCAAATTCCGGCGGGGTAGATTCCTGGATTCCTGATTGAAACTATTTGAAAGCAAAAATAAGCGACTAAATAGTATTTGAGAAGAATCTTCTCAGACGATTCTTTCTAAAGCGACCTTCTTTTTTTCGATCCAGCAAGAAGAATACTGGGGTAAATTGTTGAATTAAATATTTATTGAAATAGTCGTAGTAGAAAGGACTACGTAAGCGAAAGCATGTCGCGAATACGAGTGAAGACAGTAGTTTATTAATTTCATCAAATTAACCTGTTCGCCTCGGACAAGAAAGTACACATGTCCCGGGATTTGTTCAAATTAGAGTGAAAGCAAATACCGAAAAGGGGGGACAAGGGTCGTCTACAAATCAGCCTTGTTGCCACAATTTCAGTCGTAAGATCTGAGATATCGATGCCGTAATTTTGTTCTAAGCCGTTTTTCTTAATTCTAGTGAAAAATCGCTAAGCTCAGAAAATTTCTCCCAAAAAACTCTTTTCATTTTGAAAAATATTATATTTTTCTATCATGAGATAATTGTTAGAACAGCGTTGTAATTAACTTTAGCGCTTGAAATTGAGTGGAATCAGACGCTCTGAATAATTATCCTTACGATTGCTACCACCCTGTTAATAAATTTAATCACTTTGTTCAATTACAAAACAATGCATAATGCGCGCTCAAAATTGCCTTGGCAATTGAGCAATTTTCAATCTGCAATCAAAACAAAACAATACGATTAACTGAGCTCAACAAAGATCAATTTTGCTTGATCAACTGAATAAAACTTCATTCTTTCGTCGTTTTTTCTACGTGTTTACTGTTTAAATTCGGGAGAATTAGGCATGGACAGGCCCAGATTTCGCCGCAAAGCTGTTGCTGTTTATGAATACTTTATTTTGGAGCTAGGTGGATTTGAGTTTTTCGCGTGAATTGATCGGCTTTGGCTTAGCTTTTTTGGGTCTTTTTGGATAAACGTTGTCGTGGCGCGAAACGGTCCAAACAGTTCAGCAGTACGCATTAGTCCCGAGATCAGACCACAACAACGTATCATTTTAAGGCGGATAAGGGGCGGATAAATATGCTTTTTTGTTGAAAATAAGTCTTGTTCGATCCTAGATTTTAAATCCGGGAAACTAACGAAGCCAATAACTAGTTCCGCGGAAACCAAATGGGACTTCTGAATAGTGCGACAGTTGGCTACCTGTGTAGAAAGCCTGAGTCAGGTTTTCCACACAGTTCTCAGGCTTCAAAGGGTCATCGAAAAACCCCGGTCCGGTGGAGTTTTATAAGCGAAAAAAAGGTTCGAAAGATCATAAAAAAATGTGTTTCAATCAGCCAATTTCCTAAAATAAGAGTTCTCAAAAAGAAGCGCTCCATTCTGAGCACCTTAAAAAAAGCCCCTCAAAAATCCTTTTCTTCCCCGTGAGGGTGGTACTCAAGCACGTTCGTTTCCAAACGATGATTTTTCTTTTTGAAGAACCCGTTCCTAAAATCCAATAGAGAGTGTATCGGACTCGTTTTCTTCTCGCGTGTTTTTGCAAAAAGTGGCATTCGGAAATGAATATCTTTTTGAAGGATAAGTAGATTAGCGATATTAAGTAATTGGACGAGGAAGAGCTTATCCTTTCCAGAATGGCAGAAATAGTGATCAGCACCGGAATTAGGACATAAAAGGTGGTAGCCACTCCGCCCCAAGTAGCGCGCATATTCTCATGAAAAACCTAAATATTCGGATAATAGAAGGGCAAAAATAGAAGGACGGAAGTTAAAGAGGTTTGACGATTCAAATTTAATCTTCTTTAGGAAAAATAATTTCTGCCATCTTGGTTTCATAATTTTTGATACCGTTTTTGAGTATACTCAAATAAGTCAAAAGAATTTCACAACGAAGAATTTCTAGCTCCTAATTTCTATTTTATAATAACAAATCCTCAAGCAGGATACAGCGACAAACGAAGAGGGTATAATCCGTTCACCTTTCACAATATTATGCATCAAATAAGGGCATCACTCTATTTCCCAAACAGAATTTTACCTCAGAGGTCGGCGCAATCGACATGCAAGTATTTCGCCAATCGGCCGGGTTGAAGCCCTTTTCCACGGGTTTTAGGCTCAATTTTAATCAGATCATTTCAAGAATCCGCAATTTTGTAAATGATGAACCCGTGGCTTCAAAACTACATTCAATTTCTTCGCATGCTGCACCTCTCCAAAGTCCACTTCTTCGCTCATTTCTTTCAATCTCTGTTTCTGATAGCGTATGCGATGAATATTTTCTTGGCAGTGGAATTGATGCTCAGCGAATTGTTAATATTGACTCGACCGTCATTTATTATTATACCAACAATTATTCACTCTCTGCAAATTTTGCGCGGCTCGAGAAAATAAATTTCAAGCGTAGAATTCCTGGAAAACGGAAATCATAGAATCTATCAGATTTTATCAAACTTGATGAACTTGCGATTGAGTTCATCAGATAAACATCACAGAAAACCTTTCTTAATTCAAGAAGCGAGTTGCGGCTTCGAGAAATGTAAATAAAGCCGCACTCAGTGCGGCTTTTCATTTAAAACTCGAAGCCGCACTCAGTGCGGCTTTTCATTTAAAAACTCGAAGCCGCAAGCGGCTTCTCGATTTTTACCCGTATAAAATATTGATTATATTAAATATTCTATAAACTATTGTCTTTTTCAGCTTTTTCAAGCTCTTTCACGATCCTTTTTACAAAAAGCAGAAATCCGAAATTCAAAGACAGAATTTTCTACTTTAGAAATGAAATTTTTTCTTCTTCTTTCTTCTTCTTAAATTTCTAAACAGCCTCTAAAGTATATTTATCGAGTCAAGAAACGTGTTTCTCCATAGATAAGTTCCCCACGACCTCTCGAAGCAATAGTTTCTGCGGTGAATAAATTTAAATATGGCATAGTTAAGTATTTGCAATTGGAGTTTCGACAATTGAGAGAAGCGCTATCTGTACCCTGAAAGTGTTCGGAAGTCGATAAAAATGAACAGAAGATAAACTGGTGGCTATCACTCTTTTTTGCTGGCAGCGATCTGGTGAATAACACGCGCTCTTGAATTGACCAGCTATCGATCCCTAGAAAATGAAAAAGCTGAAAAACCAAAAATCCGGACACGATAAATCCCGCTGAATTCACTCCAGCGTCTGAATTTTTAAGGCACGCAACTGATGCTTAAAAAGGGGCCTTTAATAAACAGGATAAAATATATTTTTAAACAAGGAGGAAGAAGAAAAGATGATTGTTTCCGCCAGTTACGACAAAATGGTGATAAAAATCAAAATCTTTTCTTTGTCTACCTGAAGCGCTTGGCTTGACGCTTGGTAGAAAATGAGGAATTTGAAAGAAAGCTGGAATTTATTTGTTTTTCTTATTAATTTTTCATCGGCGCAGAAAGTAGAGAGAATTTACAACGGAAAAGATTCAAACGGATATGTCTTTCTTGCGTCGATCATTGAAGAAAATAACGGTCAGTCTGTTTTGTCTTAAACGACTTTCATTGTCATTCTAGTGATCAGCTGCGGCGGCTCACTCATATCCGATGATCTTGTTCTCACAGCCGCGCATTGCGTAATTACGGGAAAAATTGCGAAAAACACAGGTTCCGCAGATTCATCATTTTTCAATTTGGATATTCAACAAACACCTCTCTGGGTTTCGGCTTGTAAATTATTCTGTTGATACAAATGATAAAATCAAATATGGGCAAATTCTAGCGAGATTAATTCAAAGTAAGAAATTATCACACTGATCTCCCTCAAAGTCCCAAAGAGAAGAAAGGACCTTAATGGCCAAAAAAGCGCAGCCGATCATAAGGATGTGAGCCGGAACCGATCATACCCGGTCGCCTTTGGTTTGAGCAGCTCAAAAACGCTTGAAAACGCACTTGTTCGATTCGTTTCCGATGCTTACTGCCACAGCGATTATGCCCCCCTCAGGAAAAGATTTATTAAAAATAACTGCTTGAAAACAAGTTTGAATGAATTAAATCAAAAGAGTGACACGTTCCGTAACGACATTTGCCTCTTGCGTCTTTCCACCCCGATTCTTCCTGAAGACGTGAGCTCGTTAATTCAAGTAAAACACGTTTGCTCGTCCAAAGAAAAGTGCCAAAAGAATCTTTGTCTTCCAAGAAGCGCGCAGGAAGAACCGCCAAGTGAGTGCGTCGTTGCTGGATTTGGCTATACAGAAGAATATATCAATTCCAACCCGCCGCAGCTTCAAGAAACAGTTGTCAAATACTACTCGCATGAGACTTGCTCGAAGTGGCACAAAGATTTCAACCTTTTTGAGGGAGAACATTTTTGCTACGGGATGAAGGTAAATCCGATTCGTCAAATCAAAAAAGAAGAACTTCAAAAACTGAGTATTTTTAGCTCGATTTTTAGCGATTTTTGGGAAAATTTTTATTTAAAATACCTGTGGAGGTGTAAAATCTGGTTCCTGTTTGACAGGTCTTTGTCCTGTTTTGTCTCCTGTTTAGCTTTCCTTATCCTGTTTATATCAGGATTCTGATACTCCCGTTGTATAACCGCTTGTGTAGCCAGATAAAAAGACAAATCTTATCTTGAGTTGATACAGAAACAGTCCGAGATTAACAATATCGCATTTCATTGCTTTACAAATTTATTCAGGATGGCTCATCAGATAACTGCGAGGGCGATTCCGGTGGGCCTCTTATCTGTCCTTCGTCTAAAGAAGGAACACTCGTCCAAGTCGGCGGAATCGTTTCATTCGGCAAGCGCGGAATCTGCGAACGTAGCCCGGAAGAGAACAAGAAATCTCCTGGAGTCTACACAAACGTGGCCAAATATCTCTCTTGGATTCAAAGCATCGAGCCAGAAATCGATCTTTCTTGCGCTTCGGAAAGAAACTACTACGCGCTAAGCAGCAGTGCATTCAGCATTTCATTCCAAATCATCGCAAATCAAAGTTTTTTTATTTTGATGTTATTGCTCGTTTTTCTTGAATAAAATGAAAATAAACCTTTCGACCTAAAAACCTTTTCCATTTATTACAAAATACGCAATAAACGTCTTCAAAATACGAATTCTTAAAAGCCCTATTTTTGGCTTAATAATTGGTAATTATGAATTGCCGAAAAGAACTCATAAACTAATAGTTCAGCAAATTATAAATTGATAATTGCTGAGTCCTTTAGTTCTCTGTTTATAAACGACATGCCACGTGATTATACGATCTCATATGGTACGGCAGGGGGGGGAGAAAAAATAACAAGATTCATAGCAGATTTTTTTTTCAATGTCGAAAGCCCCCTTAGAAGAAATAAATAACAAACACGCGGATTCAGGGCAGAATTTGAAGATCAGCAAAAAATGACACGTTACAGTTCTTTTTATAAGACAAAATTCCGAGGCCAGCTTTATAATGTTTACGCTTTTACTGTTATTTGAGAAAATATGTAAGACTTTCATTCATTGGTCCGAAAAATGCAGAAAAGTACGTGGAATTCAGCGGCTTGCTACTGACCAAGTCAAAGAATGTTTTTTACTTTGTTTGAATGAGCGAATTTCGCATAAACTTGTGTAAAGACACCCTTGAACAGCTTGACACACGAGTCAATTTTCCCTCTGCTGAATTTCATTTCGACCCTTTTTCTCATTTTTTTGGCGAACTGAATCAGTCAGAGGAAAAGTGATCACTGATCATCAACGAGCAAGATTCACCGAAAATACCTGAATAAGGGTCTTGAAAATCGTTGTAGCGGCTTCACTAGAGCTTGAGAAATAGATCGAGATGATAATTTTGGCGAAGCCGCTTTGCGACTTCGTTTTTAAAAAAGCCGCTGCGCGGCTTTTCGTTGAAGTTCCCCGAGAACCCTCACTCAGGTTTTTTATACATGTTGCTGAACTAAGAGACGGCTTTAATGAAAGAGTCAAAACAAGATTTTTTCAAATGGTCGATAAAATGCAAGTTCCGAAGTCATAGGCTAAAACATTACGACTTTCGGCGTATTCGTAATTATCGTTCATTATCGAAAGTTCGTCGCTAATCGAGATTATCACGTGGCAGGAACAGGAGATTTCTTATCGAAAATCGCTGTTGTGCGTGTGCAAGAGCGGAAGTAGCCAAAATAAAACAACGGAGGGGAACTGTGTCATCGTTGAATCGACGTTTGTTGTTTTGAGAAGATCAAGTCCGTAAGAAAAAATGGAACATCCATTTGATGATTTGGTCAAAAATAAACGAAAGAATTCATCGCAAACATCAAAATATTGCAGCGTCAAGTTCATAGTAAGATTTTCTTTTTTGAATATTTTTAGACTTTTTACAACTTGTAGGTTCAAATCGTGACGAGTCAAAAATAATGGCGCGTCTTTCACAGTCCGTTTGGACTTTGGCCGCCTCCAGGCCCAAAATTTCGATCTGATCGGTGGGCATTTTTTGAGAGAGTTGCCATTCTGAAAAATGCTGCTGCCCGTGCTTTTGGTTTTTATAATTGGGGAGTCGAAGGGCGAGAAAAAATGCGGAACGGATTTGAGAGAGATTTCAAAAGATGGGATGGCTTCACTTCATCGAGCAGTCCATCCACTGAGAAGGTAAGAGAAGGGTTGATAAAAAAGGGTTGGACTCAAGGTGAATTTTAGCCCTGATCTGGAGTGCGTCCAAATTCTGCTGGAAGAGGGAGCAGATGTGAACTTGCAGACGAGCAAAGGATCCACGTCCCTGCATTTGCTCTTCAAGGGAACAGAGGAAGAATCGATCTCCGTCATTCTGGACTTGTTTCTTCAAAGTTCCGTTGATTTGTCAATCAAGGACGAGAGCGGCTACGAAGCGGTTCACTATCTCTACCAGAACCAAAAGCTTCCGGACTTCTTCAAAGCAGATTTGGTCAAAAAACTCATTGGCGCTGGATCAGGTCACGTGTCTGAGGAGCTGCCTTGGATGGCGATCGACTTGCCTTTTTTCGAAAAACGGTTGGAGCTGCTCCCGGGGCCGCCGATTCCAGCTGCGATCAAGGCCGTTTTCGAAGGGGAAAAAGACCGTTTTGAGAAAATCAAGATTGTCGACTGCCTCCAGAACGCAACGACATTGAAAGAGCAGCTGGACCAGTGCCAGGGAAATATTTTGAAGATCAACGAAAAAAACAAGGAGGAGGAGCAGCGAAAGAAAAATGAGCAAGAGTCGAAAATAGCGAGTTTAGAAACGGCGCTCAATGATGCTAAAACTAAAGAAAAAGAGATGATCCAAAAGGTAATATATTAGATAAAAGAATAAAAAATAATTATTTTCAAGGCGACAGAGAGGGAAAACGAGTTAGAAGAAAAGGCGAAGATGGTCGAGAGCAAGATGCGTGCGATTTTAGAGAAGCAAAAGGAAGAAAATATCATTTATGAAAATGATTTATCATTATACAAGGCGTCGTTCGAAGAAGAAAGAAAAAAGGCTGAATTATTAGCGGATGAAGTGGCCTCCCTCAATTCGAAAATCGAGGCACTTGGAAATGTTACATGCGAGAACAAGAAAGAAAACGCGACGGCAGCTTGTCCTGCTGTAGCCGTCGTTTCGAATGAACTTGCGGATGAAAGGATCGAACAACTGAAAATGGAGAAGAGAAAAATAATTGCCTTCATAATTCAGGTAGAAAATATTATTAGAGATTCAGATCAACTCATGACTCTTTTTAGATCCTGATCATTTATGCCGCGTGGAAAGTAGGAAAAAGATGCTTTAGAAAGAAACCAGAACCTGGCTTTTCTGATATTCCCTCCGAACTCACAAAGGTAATCATCATTTTTTGAGTCTTCTTGACAATATTTTTTAGCATATTGAGCAGCTAGAGCGAGTAGTTGAATACAACCGTGGTCTTCAAGGAGCGATGAACATCTCTCTTGAGCGAAAAGATGCAAAGATCAGAGACTTGCAGCGAACAATCGACGAGTCCGGCTTGTTCGACGAATCTGCTGAATCAGAAAATCCAACGTCGACTGAGGACTACTCAACTGATTCCCTGGTAAATCCTCGTTTCATCTGACTATCCTGATTTTTTATTCAGCGAGTCATTGCTGGATCGAATTAAGACGACGAGTACCAATCACAAATTTAACTTCAACTTCAGAAAGTTCAAGAAACCACATTTTAGAGTAATTTCACTGCTTCATTTTTAACTGCCAAAATAAAAAAATCTCCACTTAAATTTCCCATGATTTGTCTCTTTTCAGTGCAATCAAGGAAGAGAACAGCTACTTCCAGATAAAGAAAAAGGTCAGAAGCAAGACCAGAATTGATGGAACAGCGTTCATTCCATGACTGTCGCAGGGCCAATCCTAGATTAAAAGATAAGAATTCATTCGATTGTTAATATTTCGAGATACCATCTCGCAGTTCTCAACTCGGTCGAATTTCTTCTGCCAGGCTCCGTTTCTCAGAGTCAGAATATCTTCCTGCAAGCAGAAACCGTTTGTTCCGGCCTGTGTGATCAAATGTTGCTTCAGGTAGTCGCAGATTTAGGATGAAAATTTTTCGAAAAATTTTAGCAAGAAATTCCATGATCGACATTTGCATTTGATAACTGAATAGCTTTACATAATTATTTTAACATCCCTGGTTCAATCCAAGAGTTTTTTCTGCAGTTGAGTCAAGGAACTCTCCCGTGGATCTCTGCATGGCCACTTTGGCTATGAAAATGATGATGAGTGAATAAGAAAGTTGTTAAATTTACCATTCGGCATGGGTAAATATGTTGGTACTTGGGGTTTTCTTCCTCAAAAACATCAAGGTAATCGGTGAAAAGAGGGCGACATTCCTCTTCTTTGATGCGCATCTGCTCCTCCCAAGAGTGTTTCTTGCAGAAGTCCTCCGCATAAACGATAGTTCGGAAGAGAGTATGCGCATCGGAACACTTCTTGGGTATCATCGTATCGTAAGGTATCCAATCCTCGGTGAAATGTCCCGGTTTATAAGCCATAGTCTCTAATAAAACCTCTTAATGAAAGAAATCTCTTTTAAAGTATACCGTTTAGTTCTGGCTCCGTAAAAGAATAGTCACTAAACGATCTCTCAAAGTGGAGAAATAAGTTTTCGCCCTTTTAGAAAATCCAGTTGACCTTTGCCGCAGAAATATGATGGGTCCGAAACTAACGGTTCTCTCTTCCTTGAATTTTTATCATAAATTGAAATCAACAAGGATTATATTTTCAAAAAGTCAAATTCTAAGACTCAAAATGTTTTGTTATGAAAAATTAAAAATATAAACTCTTCCTTGATTTCAGTTAACGAAGTCGGCGGCATTTCAAAGTCCGAACGAGAGTTATTCAGAGTAAGAGAGATTCCATTTGCAAGAAAAGTGAAACTATCAATTTATTCAGATTGAGATACCACTATAGTCAAAAATAAAACGTCTCGGCGTTCCAGCGATGTAAAAATTACTCCGCAATTTCCGCGGTTACACGTCAAATGAAGACAAAAGAGTTAACAAATATGTGCAAAAACATAAGTTCTACAGAGCAATAAAAACCTACCATTCACCAGTTTTTTCACATTCTCGTTTCTAAAGAAATGCATTGATTTCAAGCTAACATTATAGACAGTGAGTAAAAACTGCTTCTACTGTTGATGTTGATTGCTTCATTTCAGAATATGTCTGCAAGTCGGGTCTCCCATGTAACATGCGGTATGTTTTAGTAAAATATCTCAAAAAAGTTTTTATGGTTTCGCAAAAGCTCAGCAACATGTTTCTTGGCCAGATTATTTATCACCGTTAGAATGAAAATTCACCGCAGACACATCTTGGTTCTCTTTTGACCTAGATTTCTCCCAGCGTCGTTAAAAGTGTTCTTTTATTTTCTTCCCATTTTTCATTGAGGGCTTCTAAAGTAGATTTCTAATCAAAACTGACCTCCATCTATCAATTCTTAACGTCCCAAGCCTAATGTTAAGATTCCGTGCGTCTCTCAAAAACCCATCGTGCCATGGCATTTTAATTGACAAATTGGACAAATAGCGCAATCTTGCAGGTGGCATTTAGCTCTAGGACGAGAATCCATCTCAAAGAATCAGTTGCTGAGGCACAGTGACTCCCCGTTCCCACAAAACAAGAAACAGACAAATTCAGGCTTCTACGTCGCGCTGATTCGCTATTTATTTACTGTATTTACTCTTCAAATTCATAGATATGTCTATCATATCTTTGATTATTCTCCAATCGATTGAAAACCTCGCAGACTTCCGAGTTTAGTCTAACCTCCGTTTTGATTCCTCCAAGCTAAAAACGCATTTTTCGAAACACTCTTCCTTGATTTCAATTAATTTCACCTGATATCGGGCAACTAGCTGGCTCGACAAATTATACTCTGGCCAGAGCATTTGTCCCGTTTTCATAAATTCTAAATATGCAATTTGCATTTGGCGCGATAGTTCAAGGGCTTCTTCTGATGGATCGAAATTTGGAATGTCCGGAAAAACTTGGGAAAGTCTTTTTTCCGGGGCTTTCTTTGTGATTTCTTCGTTACGAAATACTAACCACTCAATGGAAAGCCTTGCCTGTCAAAAGAACCGAAGAGATAGTAGAGCTCTACGCCGTGACAAGCTCCTTCGTCACATCCTTCAAAACCCGTCTCGTTAAATGCAACAGGAGATGGCGCCTCCATCTGATAAAGCCACAAATTTGAATCTCGATTTTGCAACATGTATCGATTTCCACAGTCGAAAATGTATTCGGAGAAAATTCTCGCAACAGTCACTTTAAAAACGGGTTCAAAAAGAAGTCAGTTTTTATTGTGCGTTTTAAAGTCGTCTTTGAACCCAAGCTGTGTTGTCTCCAAATTCATCGAGTGGATAGAGTTCCAAAAGATCGTTCGTTATTTCATTGCTCGAGTGGGTTTTTTTAGAAATGATAATAAATCAATTTTGTGTAATATTTCAGATCCTCGAGTAAAGCTGAACATGGCAGTCCGGAACTTAACGTTTCCTCAAGATTTTATCGCCTAGTGATTTGTCTACGGCGGCCAGTTGTCATTCTAAGAAGAGCTTAGATCGACTGATTGAGGTTCTAAGATAAATTTCGAAACCCATCACCAAATGCAGCGGAAAGAAGTCTTTCCGCCTGTTCTTTACTGGTGCCATTTGGGAAAACCGCGGCGATCCATCCAAGTGGGTCCTCCCGATTCCAGCCGACGAGCATTGGCGCGTCCGATGTTTTCCCAGCGAAAATCGCACTTGCTGAATTTTCAAACTTGAAAATGACGTCTTCTCCGGCGACGGTGAAATTAACCGCTGGGCGGTCAGACACGGGCCTAAACGGTTCCACCAGAGCACCAAGCCCATCTGTCCAGAAATTCGGAATCGTTACCGCTTCTGTCGCGTTTTTCAACTCTTCCGTTGACAGTCCTCTCAGACATCTCCAAACATTCAAACTTGAAGTAGAAATTGAAATTGAGTTATTTTCGTGACTAATTTTCGTTCATTACTTGTCACGACATTCTGTATCGCGAAGAAATCGTTCACCGAAAGCGTAGTAATCTTCTTTCAAAGCACCATGTGGCGGAAGAAGTGCTGGGCCGGAGTTTGCGATGAAGTTCTTGATCATTTTCGATGATTTTGACCACTTTGTAAATGCTTATTACTAGATTATTTCAAGCTGTTGTTTCCGGTCATTAAAAACGGTTAGAAACCGTCTTTTGTGTCGACGTCTATCCGACAAAATCTGGCTTGAATTAACCAGGTTAGCTTTTTGTCAATTCGCGCATTTTCCTGAGCGTGAGTAAAGACTGATTGTCCTCCAGCAGATTGACCCATCAGTGTAATTTGCTCGTTGTCTCCTCCGAAATAGTGGATGTTCTCGTAAACCCACTCGATCGCCGCATTTTGATCGTGAACCCCGAAGTTGCCGTGAACTCCATCTTCGTTGGCAATATCTTAATCTGGCTCCAAAAGCTCCATATTCCCTTATCACAGTATCCCGCAGAGCTCGTTGCACGGTGGTTATTATCAACATAATTGCCAGTCCAAATTTACCGCGCGAAATAAACGAAGCTCTAATTCTAATCAACTCTGACCCAGTATCGATGAACGTTGCAATCATTCATTGTAATTATTCAATTTGGCTACAATTTAGTAACTTCCGACGCCCGGACGTAAAAACAGATAAGAATTACGCGCGAGTGGGCTATGGAACACGTCGAATATCTACTTGTAGCGCAAAGCAGGATTTTGGAGCCAAGATTATCTAATCCGAGGTATCCGAACGAGTTGAGACGGTAATTAAAGTTCACGATGATCAGGTCAGGAAAATTGCTTATCTGACAAAGTTCAGCAATTTTACGTTTTTCCAGAAAAGTGTTTGATAAGAATCTCCGAAGATTGTAAAAATTGTTGAACCCTTGACCCAATTGGTCGGCTGCCACGGAGGAAAGTCGCCATAACCGGCTGCTAGCCCGCCGCCATGGTTGAACATAAGGACTCACGCACGTGATCATTTATCGCTGGTCAACGGGCACTCGACAGAACTTGGTGGACAAAGGGATTGGATTTCTTAAATACGAGTGCGCGAACCCTTAACCCTTCTAAAACCCTAGAAACCCTAGAAACTATCGAAATTCGAAACGAAAATCTGTCATTAATGTTTCATCTACTCATTCAAATAATGAATTAAGGCTTTCACAACGATAGGCCGTTAAAAATTGCGGTTTTTTTATCCCCTAGACTCTAGGGCCTAGAGGAAATTATAGTTAGATCACTTGACTGGTAATTTCTCAGCTGACGGCTCCACTGGTTTGTAGATATTTAGATACAAGCAATCTTCAGACTGCATTTCAGACGGCACAAGCGTATTCGATTGTATGCACGCGACAGAGCCCTTAGTAAAAGTTTGTTATCGCAGGTGCGCATAGGTTACGTGATAGAGCTATCTCTCCCCGCTTATTACTATTTTTTCAAGAGTTAAAGTAGCTGGATATCCAATGAACAAGAACCACAAATTAAAAATTACGACATTTTGAAAATTTTGAAAGTTACAACTTTAGATCGTTATTGCGGTCACCAATTTGCAATGTCGGCCAAATAAATTCAATTCTTGTTATTCTTACAAACTTTGTTAGTCGTAAATCATTTATTTACGGGGTTCTCCAAGTGATGGCCTTTAGTACACCAGATGGGCTGGGTTTATTTTCGACAAATTCTAAGTTGATTTGAAATATTTAATAATTCAATATTTGCACCAATTTATTCGTATTTTGACGAGAATTTTAGCTTTAGAAATTGTTGATTCTGATCTGACCTGATTATTTGAAATTTTGGAAAGATCCTTCGGTTCACTTGGTAGTCGAAATCGAAGGTTGTCGATCGGCGCTAGAAACAAAGATAAGTACGTGGTTGATTTGTGGAAGGAATTAAGCACTGCTAATCAGGATCAGCTTTGTTACGTGGTTAACAAGCGTTATCACGACTTTGTTGTATTTTAACAACGCTTATCGGTAGAAGAATGATAAGAGATGGTACTCTTTTTCCTTGTTTGTCTTCAATGTTATCAGTCTATTTTTCGGTGGACGACGCCTCACTAGTTCGACAGAAACAGAGAAAATGGTAAACGTGGCGTCCTAGAAAACTAAGAGTGTAGACAGGGTCTTCTTTTGGTTTCGGTAAATAAGGGCGCCACTATTTTAACACTGGGCTTCCTTACAAAAATTTGTCAATGGCTATCTGTTACTAGAATTTGAAAAATTTTGACGAAGAGCTGTAATGTAATCACGGTATATTCTTATCGTAAACAATTTAAAATTTGCCCCTCCTTCCGAGTTTTAAACGAGTCGTTTCATAAGAAGCCGCGGAAATCGGAGCAAGGGATGATCTTTTTCCGAAAAGTCGCGACCGTGTGTGAAGGCAGACGTGGAATATTGCTGCTGCTGCTTTTTATTCTGAGCTTTTCGTTCAGCCGAAGATACGATGCGCTTCCGGGCTATTCCGGGAAGACAAAGTGCCACTGCCGCTTTTTTGGAGTGGTCAAGAAGGGTCAACTCATGTTGATAGTTATTAAGAGCACGTCATTTCGTAAGACGAAAAATTCTAGGGGCGGATCCGAAGGAGGAGATCGAAGCTTCGACCTCGCATAACTTATAATAAGTAAGCCTACCTTTTGCGAATGGAATTTTTCTTTACAAAGAGTTTTGCATTTTAAAAAGTTCGAGAAGCTAGAATCGCTGAATAAGATGAACCCCTTGCATCAGATTCTAGGAAAGAAGTCTAAACAGATGCGACTCAACAAGAAAGTCTGCTGATTTTTGAGATAAATCCGTGAAATTCGCGAAATTATCCGCTTCCCCATTCGTGTTGGGAAACTCTTTCCTGTAAACTTCCACATTTGGCCCATCAAAAATCCCTCGCCAGCCAGCATTGTCGTCCTTTTTGACCACTGGTCTGTTCGCTAAATAATTTTCGACGAAGCTTTCTAGTGCAGAAATGAGCTTCAGTTGCTGAATGGGTTGGTTGGCTTCCTCCTTTGTTGAGTCCATAAAAACACCGAATGCGTAATTAGTTTTCGTATACGCCCAGTCGAGAATCGATCCTTAATGAATTCACTAAAGAATTTTAAGAGTTTTTGAAAGTTTTTTTAAGTAGAAATATCGGCCATCCTGTGTTTGGGAAAAGTTACGTAGGTCCTTGATTTGTTGAACCGCGATAGTCCGAGGCCCTTGGCGCCTCAAGCTGACCTCCTGCCGAGCTACTGATAAGCGAGCTGCCTTGTCAAAAGTTGGAAAAGGTGTCATTTAGTGAAGAAGATTCTTGAGAAGAGCTTCATAGCTCTGTGGGGAAGATAAATTTAGTAAATTGCCGGCTTATGGGTGGATAGACGCGTATTGGCAATACGGTATTTCGGCTGTAGTAGAGACTGCACTTTGTTATTGAAAAATGTTTTCGCGAGCTTAACGAGGTCATGCTGTCTGTTGAAAAATTTGAAAGGGTATTATGATAGCTCTTTAATTTTTCAAAGGGAAATTTCTTCAAAGAAAATGTTTCATAAGCCCCGTGGGTTTTGCTTAAAATAAACCCCGCTATTTTCACTTGTTTAAACCTCCAATATTTCGAGAAAACACGAAAGCTAAAAAGTATAGAAACCGTTCAAAGCATAAACTGCATAATTCTCCCTTGGGAAATTCGAAATTTCAATTATTGATGTCCCCGGCTACGTCATATCCTTTAACCTCTGAAAAGCGCGAAAACAAACAAAAACTTGCGTTTGAAATTTAAACGCATGTTAATTCTTGTCTCAGAAGGAAGCTCGTAGACGAGGGCGATGTTTGGTATGGCATCAAAGTTTTATGAGATTTTTAAAGGCCACCCTTAGACAGCGGTTAGAAAGACTTTTGAAGCTGTTTTGGAAAAAACAAAAATGGGTTTATAACAGCCCAACCCAGGATGCCTGAGAAACTGAAGTTTAACCTGGTCGCATACACGACCCCGTGACAGCTTTGAAATACTGTTTTAGAGACGAGTTATCCATTAGTTAAGAAGTAATCTAAAAATAACAGCCTTGGACTCCGACTTGGAATCATTCGTCGCGTGCACCACTGCGGTTGAACTTCCGAATTATTACCATTTCAAAAGACCCTCATTTACCAGGATTATGAGTAGCTTCGTAATCCAAAGCTTCCACGGCTTGGTATCGATCGCCAGAAGACGTGGTCATGAATCTAGCAATCCCCTCCGCCGCTGTTTTCACATCTTTTAGATCTTCATGTCTAAAATAAAATTGTAAAAATAGAAAAAAAGTGAAACATTGCAAAACTAATCGCCGCCTGTCGCAATTGGATTCAATTTCGACATGGTCCCAGATGCGGTCTTAGTACCAACGCGATTCACGCTCAATCCGACTTTCGCCCTGCCCGAGAAAGACTTGAAAGAGTTCCGAAACAAGATCTTACAAGGAAACAGTACAGCTCATCGTAAAGATAAGGAGGTACTTTTAAGTCGAATTTTAAAGAACATCCGCAAAAATGGACCAGCTCATTTTTTGACGGTCAGCAAAATGGTCAAGTCCTTACTGGATGTTCTCATACACGGTACTTCTCGAACCAAAAATATTTCCGAGACAAGACAGTGTATTTTCAGCTTTAGATCTGAAAAGCTTTTCTTTCAAAAAGAATGCAAAGATGCCGTGTTATTCGGGAATATTTTGTTACATAGAAAAAAAATTATAAGCCTTTATCTCCTTGAATTACGGCGTCTTACTCTTCTTTTGGCAGACTTATGCACTCAAAATTTGCAAATGGCCAGCGATTTCCAACGAGCTCGAGCAGTAAATCCGATTGCGATAAGTTCGAGATAGAGGGATGAAAACAGGCGGCTACTTACTCGTTGCTCAGATAAGACGTAGTAAATGGGAACACCACTTTATCTCCCTCGTCCATGACGGAGAAAAACGCATCGAAGGCTTAATCAATGGCGTTAACGACTTTCAAAGGGTTTTTTAAGGGCTTTGGTCGTAAGGTGCGATTTCTGAACAAAAGTTTCTCACAAACTCTCAGACAGATTCACAAAATTTAATTTCGTTAATTCGGCTGTTGAGTGCATAATCTACTCAATAAACAAAGTAAACTAGTTTTGGCCATTTCCTGAAACACTAAGGAGTGCTTGAGTTTCCTCTTCCGATGCTCCAGTAGTTCCTTCAAATGTTTATTATTCCATCGATGTCATTATCCTTACCAGAAAAGTCTTGCCCACATGAATTGACGTTATTGAAAAAATGGACTGGCTTGAATAGTTGTAATGTCAATTAAACTGTTTTAAACAAACACTCGATGCTTACAAAATTATGCATAATATTCACTCCATCGCATCCAATGTTAGAAGCCTTTCGATTCTTCCTCCAGTTTGAATCGACCGATCTAAAAATTTTGATTAAAATTTCGAGTACTTTTTCCTTATCGAGCATCAGATCACTAAAAGAGGTAGAAAACACCGCTTTAAAAAGATAAAAATTTGCTAAGCGGATACTGTAAACAATGCCCAACCCAGCGGTTCGAGTGATAAGAAGATTATATCGCCGTTTTGAGCTGCTTGAAACTGGTGGAGTCAGCAAAATGGCAAACTTACTTGACACTGTTCTTCAGAAAATTTAGTTGTGTATGTCCACAAGCCGGATTTTTGGCGAACGTTGCTCGAAAAAGTTAACATACTGACACCCTTAAGGTAAAGTGGACGAAGTTTTTTTATTTCATAAAAATTGTCTTCAATCAACTTCCGCAAAATTGTAATAATCGGTAGTTCTTTGTCAACGTGAATTACTGGTACTAGAAAACAGATTTCTACTTGTAGATAAACCGATAAACCAGACGAAGATATGTTGCGCATGGCCTTACATCCCGTGAATACCACAGTCATAGCCGAAAAAGCAGTCTGCATTAATAGGGGCTCAGAAGCTGTCATGACTTACTTGGAATATTCGTATCCATCTGGATTCAATTTTGGAATGATGGTCCAATCCACCTGTTGCGAGGTAAAAAAACAGTGTCTCTTAGACAGTTTCGACTAACGTTTGTTGACTTATCGGATGGAGCTGACCCTCAGGAAGAGGGTTGATCCAGTGCCACTCGACCGGGGCGGAGTTCTAACCGCGGTTAGCTCATGTTTATTATACCTTTCCTGGCTGAGTGACGATGTTTCGGAGTCGCTACTACTCAAATACGTAACTTTCAAGTGCTCAAACATCTTTTTACCCTTCAAACTCCCTTCAAAGAACCGAAAAGACAAAAAAAAAGCCGAGTTCACTTTCCTAAGCTCTCGCAAAAAGCAACAGCATTCCAATCGTTGCCCTGCGAGCCGCATTCTACAACAACGTGCGCAGGATCGGTCGATACAGATCTCGCAGGAAGCTTATGGGCTAGTATTGGGCGGCCTTCGAAGGTATTTCCCAAAAGAACTTCCTCGGCACTCACCGCAGTTGCCAAAAGAACTACTTGGCTGTTTGGTGGGTTCCGGATATTACTCGAAATTGTTTCCAATCATTTTTAATGCAAAACTTATTCATTAAAAAAAAATTCATTAAAACAAAATGTCTACTCGGATGTCTACATAGGATAATTTGTGTATAGCAGCATAATTTCAGGTCCCGAAAAGTTAATCCTAAAACATGACGCATGAAGTAAAATAAACCAAATTTGCAATACAGTAAACAGTTATGCCATAACTTAACTTATGCAGCTTAAATTAATTGCCCAACTAAAACTCACTTTATTTTACCTCCAAACACACCTTTTTCCTGAAACCCAACCTTAGAAGCCTCATTGCCTTGGCTTTTTCTCTATCTTTCTTTTAGATCTTTTAAGCCTATAGTTCAAAGTTTCCAACACAAATAAAACACGCAAAAGGCACATTTGGAATAACTCTCAAGAAGGATTTTCGTTTAATTTCGAAAAAGTGGTATGTACAGAATCTTGAGATTAAAATTGCAGATTCAAAAATTTTTTCGAATTTTTGAAGAACGGTTTTTGTATGTACAAGATTTTCATAAAACTGCGGCGGTTTTCTGAGTTTTTGAATGGTAGCGTGGAGAATAAATGATATTGAATTTTGTAGCTGGATTTTGGACGAGGCATCTCGCTGGTTCCGGCAGTCGGTAATCATTTTACCGAGCTGTGATTTTGAATAAAAAAAGGAAGAAAGTAAAAAATTCAGAAGCGGCGGGTGATTTACAAATCTTAGCGTTTTTTGTCGCCTATTTACTGAATAGCACGATCGCCTTGGAAAGCGTAATAATTAGCCGTCAATTACTTCTCGACCGCTTTTTTCAAACTTTGAATTTTTCATCCTTTCGAGCGCAGATTTTTTATCGTGAAAATGGATTTTTTGCCAAACTCGAATAGCCAATATTCGTTTTGTAAAAAAGCTTTTTCAAGCGCTGAGTATTGAAAAATTATTTTGAAAAAAGAGTCGCTTTGGCTAGTCCTAAAAATCGTTTTCCAAACGGCAAATTGAAAGGGCCCTTATTATAAATGTATAATACGAAGGGCTCCTTTTTTAGATAATATAAAAGGAGGATGGGCATAATATCGGTCTATGTATAAAAAAAAAGAATGGTCGTATAAAAAGACTTAGTATTCTTCGTGCCAAGAGACGATGTTGCGTTTGATCTTGGTCTGATAGTCCTGGAAGTTGACGTCCTCCTTGCACTCTTTGTGGACGTTGTACTTCCAGTAACTCATCACACTTTTGATGCTTTGCTTCTTCTTTTGGGCACGCATCTCCCGCACGCGGCGGCAGAGGAGGCAGATTGTTCGATTGACGGTGCCAAGGTTCTGCAGGCAGCCGTCAGCTGTCTTGGGCCCTTCAGTGTACAGATTTCGCCAGGCGTGGTACTCCATGTAAGCTGTGTTGTTCTTATCGAGATATTCCAAGTATTCCACGAGTTCTTTTGGTGAGTCAAAGTCCTTAAAATAAGAAATTATAGATTTGCTGTAATTTCATTGGATAAGCCTATTTTCAGATAGTTGGCGTTCTTGTGAGGGTTTCTCGGCTTTCTGATTGGCGAAAAATGAAAGGTGGCGCTATTTGTAAGAAACTGAGAAAAATGCTGCAAATTTATTGGGTACAACTGTTTTGATGGCGCTGTTATTAGTTATGTTCGGTTCTGATTGGTTAGAAAGAGAAATTTACGCTGTTTGGTGAAAAACATCGATTTGCAAGGAAAAAGGTTGAATATTGAATAAGGGCTCTTAATATAGCATTCTCTGAGGATTCTCAATCGTGGCTCGTTGGTCTAGGGGTATGATACTCGCTTAGGGTGCGAGTGGTCCCGGGTTCAAATCCCGGACGAGCCCTGTTGCTTTTTGATTTTGAGAATTCGTATTCATTTTTGCTGGGAAACTTCCTCTTCAACAGCATTTGAGCTTTGAACTCCATGTCACGAGAGGATGGGGCTCTCCTGATTTCGAATTCAGGCATGCGGAGGTGAATAACAAAGCTTCATTCTAGGGGATCGCGCCACGAATGTTGGCTGGGAAGTTGGCCGATAAGCGGCTGACTCCCTCTCTATGCATAATTTCTAAAAAGAACTCGACCCCTTCTAACCTAATAGAGAGACTACAAAATTACTGTTTCAAAAAAAACAGCCGTAGTGAATAATCCGGAAAGAATAAAGTTTCGAAATTACGGTTATTCAATGCAACAAATCACCAAAGAATAGGATGGCCAAGAAACGAGTGTACCTCTGCTAGAATGTAGGAGTTCGGAGGAGCAACAGCTTTGACATCATCTGGATGAGGGCCGTAGACGACTGGAACCAATTCGTTGTTGAATGAATTGCGCCAGAACTTTTCGCTGAATAAATATCGTTACATGCCGCAAATTTGAAAGACTAACAAAAGTCTTTGGAAGATAAAACTTCCACAGAACACACGTCGTTTCGAATCTAACTGAGACGGATTACCGCACGAAAAGAACACAATTTTCTCGTGAAAATACGCGCCTTAGAATGATATTCAGAAGTTGCGTTCATTTTTTTAAGTTGAAAGACAAGTTCATAGTTCAACGTTCAAATCAACCACAAGAAAAAAGAGAAATAGAGTCTAAGAGAATTGGTTAAAGCTCCATTCTAGTAAAGTGAATGGTAATCCAATTGAATACTAACCTAATGTAGTCGTTGCAATGGAAGGCGTTTTCAAAAGCCAAGTAAAATTTCAGTTTCTTGAGCGGGAAAAGCTCTGACCCTCCCTTTCCAAAAGCCTTAGGAGTAGCATGCCCAAAGCATTCTCCTTCTGAGTAGAGTTTCAAACCGTCGGCAATTAATTGGGCGCCGTATTCGAATCGCTTTTGGTGGTTTTATTTACTGTTAATCTACGCACGCTTTTCTTGGCTCCAGGTTGAACAAGGACGACATGTTCGATAACATGCCTTTTGAGCGAATTAACCTAGGATAAGCGCACATGTTTAGGGTGGTTCTAAAATGTCCCTCCGGCTTTTTTTTTATTTTGCGCAGCAACGTTAGCTGTACTTTTTCTTCCGCTATCTGGTAGGAACATGCGCTGATACGCTCCTCCGCCACATAGTGATAAGCCTCCATAAAGTACCATACACCAGGGTTCGAAATCACCTTAAAATCACCTAAAAGTGATATTTTTGAAATTCGAAATAACTACCTCACCGTAATAATTTTTTAAGAAATTAAAAGAATAACAATTTATAAGACTTTTGAAGTGATTATTGAAGGATTTGTCACATTAGAACGGAGGAGAGAACACGATTTATACCGGAAAAATCATCACTTTTAGGTGATTTTAAGGTGATTTCGAACCCTGCCATACACACTATGGTATCTTCACCAGAATTTTCCGCGGTGACTAAAATGATTGTTTTCTAAAAAACAACTTCTATTATTAAGTTCATATGAGAGCTTTCGAAAGTTGCAAATAAGCTTGCCTTAGTTCCACGAAGGCTCTCGTAATTTAGCTCGAGCTTTAGAAGGCCTAGTATTCTAGCCCTCACGAGCGCGTATCAATTTACTGCCGATTTATGACTCCTAAATCCGATAAGCGCGAAATTGCGTGGATAAAATCACTCCTAACGAACCCTGAACACTTCAAATATCGATTAAATAACGTCGTCGTCATCCGAGAGCCCGTTACTATAACTGCAAATAAACCATTCCTTTACGGCTCCAGGAGTCTTTCCGCAGTTGGAGACGAACCAAGCCGTGTTGAATTCGTTACCAGCTGGGTACTTGTTTGCCATCAATTGACGAGCATAATCCTCGTCAGACATCACCAACTCACCCTTTTCATCAAATCTAGCGCTAGTGATGACGGACTCGATGTCGCCAAATCGACGGGAAATGTCGGAATCGAGACGGTAGGTCATTGTCACATTGAAGGCGGAATCAACTTCTCGAGGAATTGTTGATGGTTGTTCTGATCCCTGAAAAATAATGATGAAGACCGATTTTTGAGACGAAGAAATCGACATTCGAAAATTCAGATTTGTCTATTTCGAGAGATTATCTTACCTTGATAGCAGATTCCTTGTTCTCAAAGGCCCAGATCTGCGAAAGATTTCTATTTTCCAAATCCGGGAAGCCGGCATCGCTGTCGCCACCGTCCCCCGCACGTTGCGAAAGACGGTTAACGCCGTGTTTAAGAACACTTTGGAGCGGTCCATTCGGAATCACGATTGCGTCAGCTGTCTGTTCTTTGCTCCGATCCGTAGTTAAGATGCACGTTCCACATTGCTCCTAGAAAGAAAGATTTAATGAACAAGCGGGACTTTTTCGAATTGAGCGGAAGCTTCGTTAACTTGGGTTACGCTTCGTTCAAAGAAAGAATAAGACAAAACTGTGAACCCTCAGAAACCGCCAAAAAGAACGCGATTCTTCACGGCTAATGGTCTTTTTGCTCATGTAATACTAGCTCCAAAATGGATTTTTCGCCCATTCTAAATGATCCAGAATTCGAGTGAAGGCGTAATAGAATTACGTTAACTCATAATCGGATTACTACAGTAACTGTTCGTGAACGTGGTTTTTAAAGAAGAAGCGTTATGAAACCTAAGTTATGAAAAAAACATAGCTTATGTTTCCGAAGATTGAGTTAAAAATTTGGGTTGCTGGATGTTTTGGGTCGAAATATTTTATGTCTTTCAAAACACTAGAATATTTACAAAAATAATTTTCACGTAAGAAACTGCCAAAGGATCAGTTTTAGAGACCTTGACTGTCTCCAAGTCATTTTGTCAAAATAAAGGTTTTTTCTTTTCGAACAGTTAGAAAATCCTGACTCAGGCTTTTAACATGGGTTCTGGAGCCCAGACGATGACTACCCCCTTAAAAGCTAGGCGAGAGCGAAGCTCATCAGCGTAATTACTGACTGCATTTGTCATCGTTTAAAAATCCCGTACGTCAAGGTCATTCATTCTCGTAATTACGCTCTCCAAAAAATGCTCAACTTGCTCTTCTTCCAATTTTTCTGGATAGATGGATTTCTTGGTGAGCGTTTTTGGTCACCGCTGCGGCCTGAGAAATAAGCTAAAATTCAGCGCGGCGCTGGAATGCCTGAAAATCGTGAAGAATTTTTTTAATGGCCTGGCGTGGTTTTCTCGGGTGAACGAACTACTCCAGAAATTGCCACAAAAATCACAAAGCTGCCCGTTTTCGCCGTAATCATTATTCACGAGCTCAATTACGAGGAACGAGGAAAATGGAACAAATTTCTATTAGACGAAAAAATTCTTTAAACTTGAGAGTTTTGTCTTTGTTATCAAGTTTTGAAAATAAAGGCGAGTTTATATCGAAAAACCACTTATTATCTTTATCTCAAGAGCGATTTTTAACCATAGTTAAGAGTCCTAAGGCTAAAATTTACGATATGAAGCAATGAACCCATTTTTAGTCAAAGCTTTGACCCAAAATTGAATAAAAAACGGTCAGTTCTGAGCGAAAAACAGCCAAAAACTTTCAATTTCTTCCTGAAAATCGACCAAAAACGGCTAAATTTCAGGCCAAAAATAGGTCAAGACGATTGAATTTCAGAAAAGAAGTCATGAGTCTCAAGATCTCTGGAAACTTTCAAGACAACAGTCAAAAAAAAGTCCCCAGACCGAACATGTCAGGTAATAAGGACCCCTTTTTTAAAAGAATATAACTTACGTGATTTTCCCACTTAGAGTCTTGTCGCACGTTATGTCCAGTATGCGCAAACCACCATAGAATTTCAACAGGCTCGGCATCGGCGTGAGACTCCATTTGCGCCGTAGTCCAGATTTTCTTCTTCCAATCTTCTTCATCCTTTTTTGTGAGGGGCTTTGATGAAGGTTTCTTATTTGAGAAAACAAATGAAGAGAGATTTTTCCAATAAGCCCTTAAAAGTGCGTGAAATAATCGATTCGCACCTTGTTAGCTTAAAAATTTAACGGTTTAAATTTTGGAATTACGTTGCGAGCGAAACGTGCCTCGTTTTTCTGGCAAGGGATGATCCTGCCGATCGGTGACTAGATAATTGGAGGTGTCGAGAATTGACGGTGAAAATTTGATAAGTTTCTAATAGCGGCTTAGAATGACACTTCTTTTTAGATTTTTTCAGAAAAAAGATACCGATGATTTCAGACTCAAATTATCGGTTGCGCCGCCACTAAGGACTTCGTGGCTTCTCATTTGCCTCATCTCATCACCGCTTGGATTTTTAGAGTAAAAAATGCTTACTAAGTCCTTTTCGGTTTTTATGAAAAAGCTTCTCGAGCTATTTTTCGAAAACGAAATTTCCAATTTCTAGCGCTTGTCTGACCTTATCAAATTTGCATCATGAACGACCCCAAGTCCCTCAATTTTATTTTCCCCGTTCTAATGGAACATCATTTGCTCTAAAAGTTCAACCTTTTCCTGAATTAATTGCTGGTGTTTGGCTGCCATTTTTTGGCTGATTTCGTCGTCGACAGTTTTTGAATCTTCGAAATGGAGCTTTCCATAGGACTTTGAACTGGTGATACAATTAGTTTAAAAAAAGATAAGGCAAGAGCTTAATTTGACGGGGAGGAGAAAAATGACGTTTTAGATGTGACAGATATTTTTGATAAAGATGACCTCGGAAAGGCGATAACCGCGCTTAGTTGTAAAGGTTCTTCTGGAGGGCGATTAGGATCTTTGGACAATGGAAGCGAAATTTTTACAGTAAGAACTCATGCCGAATAATGGCGATGATAAAGAACGCTTCTTAACGTCATGACGAAAAAACGATATACAAGACCATTTTTGGTACAAGACCATATCATATTTATCTAAAATTTCCTTCAGAAAAATTCACCATTCCTTGTGTTTCTTATGTTTCTTGTCATTTTCTTCATGAATCTTTGCCGTCATGATCGGCATTTGTGTCGTGGTCACTTCTTTGTCGAGAGATCGTTTCTGGTGCTTTCTGAAGCCTTCTTGTACCGCTGTCAGGCTTTCTTGCCAGGTGATAAAAGAGACCATGGCAAGGAGCGCAGCGATGAATAACGAAACGCATGCGCTTCGAAAGGACACGCTGGGCCTAGGAATATTTTAATCCAGGAAGCGGCGCTGGTCCAAACATAGTTACGTCTTAGGTATAGCAGACATAATAAGTTTTATTATTAGATTATGATTAGTAATATGTTTGCTCAAATAAGAAATTAGTCATCTTTTTTAAGTTATTTTAAATAATATTATTAAAGTATTTTTGTATTTTTGATTCTATCAAATTTTTGATTGATAAAGAAACATGTAGAATTATCGATTTGATGAATTATGAATCATAATTTTTGATCCTTATTAGGACCCTAATCAAACGGTCAATTTTTTAATCTCGTCAAGGAATTTACTCTTTGATAATCATTATCTCATTTATAATGGTAAAAATACTGTAAAAAAATCAAATATTCGGGAACAAAAATAATAAAAAAAAATATTTCGCAATTTTCTGGCTTTGAATCTAACCCTTTATTTCTGTGCAAATTACAGCACATCTTTCTCGACTCCTTCTTTCTTTCTTCCTTTTAATAAATCTCTGAGTCCTCGAATGAAAAAAAAAACCGACACCACTTTCTACTAATCTTTAACAAAGGGACGCGGGTGACCTTCGCTAACGGGGCGCAGCAAGCGGGGTCAACGGGCGCGCGCCGCGGATCACTGGCGCCCTCTGAGCGCTAAAGAACGCGCGTATTTTCTGTACCGCGCGGGCCGTTATACATAAAAAGCGCCAAAGAGCAAGTCGTGCACTATTCTGTGTGTCCAAATCATCTTTCACCAGGGCTTAATGCGATAACTAGACTCATTGGGTGATAGACTTTCTAAGTCTTTCCACGGTAGTCTTGGTAGACTAAGATATTTATCAAGGACTTTTTAAGTACTAAGTCGTCTATCAATAATTTTCTACAGCCACATTTAAACGTCTAACTTTGATAGAAGTTCGATTCATAAGAATTTTTCTAATAGAGTCTCATTCAACTCATCCAAGAATTAATTCGATCTGCCTTCTCTTATCTCTTTTATGACAAAATCGCTAACTCGATGGATTCACTCCTAATGGATTTAGCTCGACCCAAAACAGGCTTATTCAGATAAACCATTTACGGTGGAACATCGTTAAAGAGCCGGGACAAGGGTCTTTCCATCCGGCAAGAAGAGGGATCAACAAGTATCTCTATCCTGACCCCTATCCTGGTACTTAATCGATTCCATAAAAATTCGCTCAAAAATTTGGGAAAAACGAAGATCTGGAGAGGTGGAGTTCGAGTTCCTACGAGTTCAAGCTCGTAAACCGTTCCTGAGCTACAGCATAACTACTCTGCTCCTGCATATATAAAAGTCTGTGTGTGTTAGAGGTTCGCAGACTTGGACGAACTCAATTTGTTATGCCCAAGGAAAAATAAATATTCTTTTTGCTCGAGTGGAACTAATTTGTTGCTCATTCAAGTTTTCGATTAATTGCACAACAATTTGTGATACTATGTAAAATACATCAGTTTTATTGACGCTGTTCATTTATGAAAGCATTTTAGAAAAATGCGACCTTGTTTTTTCATCAACTTTTACCTCTCAATTTTCCGATGCGTCTTTTTTTCATCTTCTTTTTTCTTTCAATTTGGCATTAATGAGTTCATAAATTGGCTTTTTACTGTCTTTTCAATGTCATTTAATATGATCAATTTGTCACTATGTCTTTATCGATTTCATCAGCGTTTCCTGAATAAATTATATCATGAAATTTTTAAGACATTACGAAAAACTTACGTTTTACTTGGATCGTCAACAAGAAAGCACATGTTTCGCGGTTTTTTATAAGTAAGACAAATTTAAGGGCTCGGAAGCTGAGGGATCTCGGGAATTTTAGAAATGGACAATAAAAACGTGAGTTACTAAAAGTTTAACTTTCAATATATTTTCTTGGCCACGTGATATACGGGCTCGGAGTACAGAAGGTCTTCAGATTGCGGTTTTGTCGGAGATAAGAGCGTCAAAACCGCTTTTTTCGCTTTATGACTTTGATTAAACTTTAGCCTAGTAGTTGCCCATGTAATTTTCTTTTTATCTTTGTAGCTTTTGAGCTGGCCTTAATTTTTCTTCACTTTTCTAAAAGAGCTTTATCCGGATTAGGTTCTCGTTGAGAGAAGAAAAATAACCTTTAACTCTTTTTTCGCCAAATAACGGTTGGATCAAGCACGTGACAGAATAATGATGATAAAGGTTGGGTAACTCTTTCATGAATAATTCGGTCATAGCAAAGTGCGCCAAGATACCGTAAAAACGTGCGCCGCGAAATATCAAGAATTCTGTCACACCAAGTGTGCGCACATTCCGAGTTCATTTCTTCGGATAAACTCCTTAATGAGGTCACAAGAACACGAAATTTAGAGCGTTAGTTTTTCGTTACTCATCGATGGATATTTATTTTATTCGATTTGCACTCAAGCGGTGCGAAAGGAAAGAGTGTGTCAATAAGAAAGAGGTCTTAAAATCTAAGATGGGGCTCGACGGAGAGATTTCAAAAACGCAAAATGATTTGGATCATTTCAAATGTGGAATTTGTTTCGAGTAAGTTTTATAACAAGAAACACAAACTTTAATTCTTCAGGATATTTAAAGACCCTTTGGAATTATGCTGCTGTAATAAAAATATTTGCAGCATGTGTATCAACGATTGGCTTAAAAACAAAACTCGGAATGACAAAGTATGCCCGTTTTGTCGAGGCTCACAGCATCCGAGGAGAACGAAAAAGAACAAAGTATTTTGTGAAATTCTTGAGTCGACAAATCTTGTCTGTAAAAACGATTGGTGTCGAGCACTTATTCCTTATGGAAATTATAAAAATCATGTTGATGGTTGCAATTCCGCTTTATCAAAACGTAAATCAATAAATACATAGCATTTCTTTTTATTATTAGTTTGTGATTTCTGTGGCATCGGTGTTTTGCAACGAAAGATGAAAAAACATCAAGAAGAAGAATGCGCTCCATCTTTATTATATCAACTGACCGTATTGAGAGGCAGTATGAAAGAATCATCATTGAAGAAAGATAATTCTGAGAGAGAACTCAAAATTGTTCAATCATCAAAGAAAAACGACGAGGATCCATCACTTGTAAAGATTTGTGACAAACTCGAATTACTTGAGAAGGAAATCTTTTCAAAAGAAAAATCAAATGAAATTGTCGCGGACATAAAAGAAGAAGTCAAATCACTGAAACAACAAATTATTTATGACCGGGAAATTATGCTTCGAAATATTATGGATAAATTTGAATCGTTCGACAAAGAAGATTCTCAAAAGCTTAAAAAAGCTCTTGAAGATCTCAAACAGCGCGAATTGAAAATCGACTTTCTCCAGTCTCAAATAGTAAGCCTCAAGAGTGAATTGGAAATAGCAAAGGACTGTCCGTTCAAATCATTGTATGAAAGAACAAAGAAAAACACTGGCGAACTTGCATCTCAGCTTTCAAACATAAAAAAGGAGCTTCATCAATCAGAAGAACTTATTAAAGAGTATAAAAAATATTATTATCGAGTAGAAAATTACAAGAGATATGTAAACAATTTTTGCCTATTTCGAGATGATTACGCTAATGTCCCTGGATGCAAATGCCCCGGTTGTAGATTAAACGTAATGGATAATGATTTTTATGAATTTAGGGTAGTCCTATCTTCGATGATGCTCTGTACCTCAATGATAATTTTGACATTTATTATTGAGAAATATTTTGGTTACTGGTATTCGTGGCTTACTTGGCTAGCGTTTCTTTTCCTTGACGAAAAAATAAAGAAGGTCCACGTTGAAGGAACCTTTATAAAAAATTGCGAGGACTTTACACATTTTATTTTTCTTTCTTTCTTTTTCTTGCCTGTGTCGCTGGATAACTATTATTATTCTATAGCGGCATTTATAATATCATTTATTTTTCTTGGATGCGCGTTCGATCATTTACCACCGAAGAAACTACTGTACAGATTATTCAAACCTATGAATGATTAAAATTTGACTGCAATTATTACGATAAATATTTGAATACGTTTAAAAGACAGCGTTTAATTTTCAGCTTTTTCGAAGATAGGGCGCATCTCTCATAAAAAATGATAAACGAACTTCGTCACGAAGCTTTAGAAAGCCTTTGAAAAATAGGGCTTGGCGGGTGAGGCCAATCATAGCCTGATAAGGAAGCCGCCTATCTCCGGTAACGATTTTTCGATTTACGCTCGTTTAAAGTCCCTCTTGAACTTCTTGAGTTAGGTAACACAAGTAATGCGAGCTGCAACGTATGAAAAGTCTTTTATTGAACCGGTTTTACTAACGCTACTGTGGCTGAAAAAGAATACGGTCAACGAATTTGTTTTTCGATGAAGTGAGCTCTGTTGCGACAAAAAAATCCTAATCGATTTCTAACGACATGAAGGCTTTCCTAAGTTTTGCGCACGTTTTTAAACATTGCTCTCGAATGAGGTCACGCTGTTCAATTAAGGACCTCTTTAGGCGCAATAATAAAGGTCTTCTTTGGTCTAAAGTAGAGTAGGAATTTCAGCAATTCTCCGCCTTTTCGCGAAGTGATTAATAATGAACGATTCATGACTAGAACTGGTAAAGCTAATTTATCACAATTGCAAGCTGCTTTTTTCAAAGTTTTAACTAGCAAATTGCAAGTGACGAACATGAGTGATCACACGTTGCGAAGTCTTAACGTTTCTAGTGCTCTCATTATTATTCCGGCGAAGACAAAGCAAGCAGTACTTTAACACCTTAATTCTGCAGCAATAAAAACAGTAAATTCATACATAATCGGTGTTTTTATTGACGAAAATAGCGCTAGAACAACCTCAGCGGGGAGTTGTTATTGAGATGCGCCGAACTCCAAAATTCTGGAAATTCTCTAGAACTAAGGTCGTGCTGAGGGGTGTTTTGCAGATTTTAGTCAGTTCGAAAATTTGCAACGTCGAAACAACACCAAAAGTAAGTTTTCCCAAATTTTACAGATGCGGGGCAATTCTGCGCTTGGAGTTAGTCGTACTAAACTCCAAGCTTGAGCCAGAGTGGCTCAAATTTTCAGAATTTACCCCAATCTGAGCTATTTTGGGTACTTTTGGAGGATTTTTTCTTCTAGAAATTTTTTATTATTTTCTTTCCAAACTCTCAGTGTTCCGTGAGTAGAATTTTCATGAGAGAAGGGATTGATTAGAAGAGATTGCTCGGAGTGAGCTGTTTCAATTCGCGAATTTTCGCAGGTGGCAAAGGTGTCACATTTCTGGGGGAGCGACTCAATTCTTTCATTTTTCGAATTCAGAGTGAATTTGCCTCGAGAGAAGAATGTTTTACGAGCTCGTCCCGGCCTACGCCAAGTTCCAAAGCTTCCTCCAGAGTGGAGGAGAGATTTTCAATGACCTCTCGGTTATCCCTTGGGATTGTGAGGAGAAGGCGCGAACGTTTCTCGCCTTCGACTCAAAAGAGAGGTTCGTTGGCTTTGGCAAGGCCTTTCACCAGTTGCGTCCTCAAGGTGCGCAGAATTTACACCTGGTGGGCTCGAATTACTTCGTCATTGGAGTAAAAATCGTCCCCTTGGATGAAGAATTCATGGTAATCCATGAAAAATCTGCGAGGTGAGCTTAGAGAATAACAATTCTAGAGAAGAATTGCTCTAAAATATCTTTAGCTTCACAGCACTGTCCCACGCGGTGGATACCTTCATCCGGTTCAAGTGGAATGCTTTCGCCGGCGAAATGTCGCTGAAGTGGTCGTTTCCACAGTTGGACTTGCTAAATGAGGGCAATTTGCCTCAAGTCCAGAACAGCCTCTCCGTGGAAGGTTTCTGGAAGAAGTTTTCCTCTACCAGAGGAAAATTTACGAGCCTCCGAATCGAAATCGGTGGAATTGCCGACGCTTCTTTAGCCCAACAGGCGAGTGTAAAAGGTAATCCCATGAGATCAAAAGAATGGCTTGAATTTGAGCTAACGTTTAGCTCAATTCAAGCGACGGATCTCCAGATGCCTGGGCCCGTTTCAAGATCTTCATCAAAACGGAAAACTTCTTTGCCCCGCGCCTGCGAATTTCAGCTACAATAAAGCGGATTTTCCGGCAGAAACGATCAAGGCTTGGGACAAGTTTCTTCTCAGTAAGAGGACTCCATGCCAGGATTTAAACTTGCCGTCCTTGGAAGTTTTCAAGTAAGAGGAAAACAAAGTTCGTAATGGGTATATCGGTGTATATAGTTGAGGGAAATAATTTTGAGGACATTTGAGGAAAGTGTTACTTCGATTTCCTTTTATTGCCTCCGAGTACTAGCTCTAACTGCGGAAAGCCGCGAGGGTTTCCAACAAGATTTCTTCGGCGTACTGGAAAAACACACCACCAGCCTCAAAATAATGATGGAAGAGATCTTAGGAAAAAGGGAAAATCAGCCTGACTTTTAAAATTAAGCTCGAAGGGTATGTCTGAGTAATACCCCTTTCGAATAGCTTTGAAAAAGGCTGCAAGAGCATCTGCATATGGCGAAACAGGGCGCCGATGGACTGGCATCCAAGAAAACTTTCTCCTCACCTCTTTAGCCATGTGGCCAGAGGCGCGACACAAGATCAAGGCCACACAAAAGATCTTGCAGGAAGAGCTTCATCTAATCGGAGAGGACATCGGGGATGCAGAAGCTGGAATAGATGAAGCAGTCTTCGTTGTCGCATCGAAGCAAATATCTTGGCTTTCAGATATGGCCAAAAGCCAGACTGAAGATGGTGAGTCCCCATCCAAATAAGCCAATGGGGTAATTCTCCCTATTTCTAGCGGTGGCATTCCTCACTTCTCTCATTCCGGGCCCAAGACCTGACCGCCTGAACGAACTCATCAAGCTAGAAGGAGTCTTCAGGGACCTGGATAGCGTCCTCTCATCATCCCTTCCGCGGTTGGAAGCCTCTAAGATTCCAGCGGTAGCTCTGCTGTTCGAGGAGGACTCGGCCTACCCATTGGTCTGCACTTATAAAGCAGATTGCTTCTCCATCATCAACCCTAACACCAAAGATGCGTGCTGGCTTGCGGTGGAAAGTGGCCTTACAGGCACCATTGGTCAGATCATCGAAAGAGAAGACATGGAAGACAGGTTCTTTGGCTTCGATCTGAGCGAAAGGGCCCTCATCATAAAACTGGTGGCGAAAGAAAAATGGCCAAAAGAAATCAACTGGATGACCGAATGCAGCCGAAAGCGACGGAGGTAAAACGTTTACCCCGTCAACTTCCTGTAGATCCTCCACTTTCGCCAACTTTTTTATGCTCACAAAATTGAATTTCTTATTATCACAATAAATTATTTTATATATTCCATCACAAAAGCGCTAACCTAATTAGAACCAAGGTTATCATCATTTCGTTCAAGACTGAGAGTTTGAATCTTACAACAGTGGGGAGGTAAAAATGTAATTTTCTCCACTTATTGTATTTCCACCTATTACTTTATTAATCGGTGTTTTTATTGACGAAAATAGCGCTAGAACAACCTCAGCGGGGAGTTGTTATTGAGATGCGCCGAACTCCAAAATTCTGGAAATTCTCTAGAACTAAGGTCGTGCTGAGGGGTGTTTTGCAGATTTTAGTCAGTTCGAAAATTTGCAACGTCGAAACAACACCAAAAGTAAGTTTTCCCAAATTTTACAGATGCGGGGCAATTCTGCGCTTGGAGTTAGTCGTACTAAACTCCAAGCTTGAGCCAGAGTGGCTCAAATTTTCAGAATTTACCCCAATCTGAGCTATTTTGGGTACTTTTGGAGGATTTTTTCTTCTAGAAATTTTTTATTATTTTCTTTCACCCTCCCAGAACTATGTCAAAACAGAATGAGGACAGTAATTGGAAATGTTCCGAATCCCTTTGATGCAGCAGGCCATCACCTCGTTGATTTGATTAGTTCTTTCCCAAAGAGCAAGTTCCTTCAGATATAATTAGTAGGAGAACTCCTCTTACCCTGGTATTCTACTCACGGAATACAATCACATTTTAAGGTAGTAGGTCGGTAAAAATGTAATTTTCTCCACTTATTGTATTTCCACCTATTACTTTATGACACGCCTATCGGAGGATAAATTCAAGCTTGCGAAATATTATCACTCGCTGGAGACTCTTCAGTTGACCAAGTGAGCTGTTTCCTTTTATGATAAGTAGCGGTTTAATTACGACTCAAAAAGAGCTTTTTAACACACAGGCGAACTTGCGTAACCCACCGACGCAAGGTTGTAAACTTCACCGTCACAGATAACAGGAACGGAAAAACAATTTCGCCCGTCAAAGTTGCTTGTAAGATAATAACTGAGGGAAAGTCGTTTTCCACGAGATTTCTAACACAAACTTCGGTAATTTGGAAATTTTGGAAAAGGAGCTTTGGCGTAACCCCACTACGTAGATGAAAACAAGTGCGTATTGTACACAAATAGAGGTAATAACAAGAAAGGACGTGGTGAAAGTGTCCAGCACTTGGGCAAAGACGCCAAGGCCAGAGGAGTTCAATACTTTGCTACTAACACCTTTTCCTTCCCTCTTGACTTTTTGATCAAACAAAAAAGAGGGTTTGCAAATCACGAGTTGGTTTTAGAAGAAAAATTATCCAGCCACGATGTTTCAGCGAAAATTATTGTTCGGCACTTTTTCTCCTAAATGAGTGGTGATCAGAATAGTAATTGACATTCCGGCTCTAGAATGGAATCCCTGTCATCAGAGAGATAAAATAATTTGCTGAGTCCAGTATTAAGAAATGACCAAGGCTTGTGCGAAAGGAAACGTGTCAATTTCTTCTGTAACTTCTGCAAGAGGGGACGAAATGTAAAAAAACAATATGTCAATGGTCTGAAGAACACAAGAGCGTTAGAAGTGACGGTCCATAAATAGCTTGACTGGCGTAATTTAAAGTTCATTTTAAGTCCAACATAAGTATTCTCGATGAGCCCTTGATCATGTTCCACGTACTCGTCTTTTTCTAAAGCCCTTTTCGCACTTTCTCAGAAGCGTGACTCAGAATTTTTATTTGCTTATTGAACGATACATTATTTGAGGGGAAACTCATTACATTTTCGTTTTGCATGAGAGAAAATGTGGAAATCGTTTCTTTTTTCTTTCGTCTGGCTTTTGGTGGCGTCGAAGAAAAATGACGATGTCTCGGTTGAATTTTTCAATTCGGCTGAAGGTAGAAAATTCTTGTTTGAATGCTTATAAATTCCATAGTAACAATATCGATTGCTGGTTTTGGTGGTTGGGAGAACAATTACTTCACGGAAAAAATTGACGCTGGGAAAACTCTAATTGTTGACCTTCCACGGGGACTTATGCAAGTTCATATTCATGTTCTGGGAAAACATAATGAAGCAATTGCAGCGATTCTTGATGATCCGAAGCCTGAGAATATCGATAAACAGTGGCATAAAAATGTTATTTACATAAGGAATGTCTTTTTTGTTGGTAATTTTTTCTTTGTAAAATATTTATCTTTAATATTTTCATATATTGACTCTCAAAAGTGATGATAACTCTGAGTTCATTATTTACGGCGGACCACACGGAAAAGATGTCAATAAGTGGAAAGCAATACAGATAACATCAGATAGTTTTGAGAACTGTGCTTCATATCCCTACAACCCAAAGATTGTCCGACAAAGTAACTGGAGAGAAAATAAAAATAGAATTGACGAAAAGGGTGGTAGTTTGATGTATGGCCTAGGAGTTATGGTCGGAATGGCTGCCGGTTCATTTATGCCAATGTTAATGCCTGCGGTTTTGCCTTCGATAAACCTTGCTCCTATACTTTCCATATTCGGATTTGGAGCGGCGGGTATTACCGGGAACTCATTTGCTTCATTTATTCAGTCAAAATTTTGGGGGTAAGTTGTCAATTGTTAAAAACCTACAAAAATATGTTTAGTGGCGAAACTGGGGGACTCTTCAGTATCTTACAATCTTTTGGGATGAAGGGAGCAAAGATTAATCTTGACAGCTTATTCAAAACACTTAGATTGTTCGGTTTTACCAAAAGCTTGTCTACTATTTTGATGTCTGCACTCATTTTTACCGCGGAAATAGGACACAAAATGGATGGTTCCAGTCTTATCCAATTCAATGGGGACTTCAATTCATTAAAAGAAGTCATTTTCTTCCCGACTGATGATTTTGATGCAAAAAATAGGACTGGACTTATGTTGACCTTTACTAAATCAGATGAAATTCATCGATATAGATTTCGATTTTCAAAAACTGAGCTTGATTTTGAGGTCCAAGTTCCTGCATTTTCAGGAAGCTCGTGGCGAGAGTTCATTTATATGGATTCCAAGTATCTAATTGGCGAAACACTCGAGACAATTTATGTGCTGGAGCCCAAAACCGAGGATGATAAGCAACCATAAAAACCACGTGAGGATACTGCGCTAAACGTTTTATAAATCTGCATATTCTTGGAAACACTGTCCCTTAATTTGCAGGTTCAAGTCAACCTCGATAGCTCAGTGTTTTACGATTTCCCTGTCAAAACAAACCAGCCTGCGTACTAGTTAATCTCAAACATGATCATAAATACGTCTCCAAAAAGTATGTCGAACATGCGTTACATCATTGCTACAACAGAGCGGATTAAAGGCCTCTACGCGAATTATTCTATTCATGCAAGAGACAACGTGTTTGACCAAAGATTACTGAATTACAGCTTACCATGAAGAAGGGCAGGCCCTTGACTAAGCCTAAATTAAGGGGACGGCCCAGATGGACATCAAAAATCGGACTTTTATTCTTCAGTGAATTTCGAGTCCATCATTATCATCGAGTTCATAGCCCACTACAGAGAATTGCTGTGGATTTACAAATCGAACATCTTTGATCCGAGCTCTTGATAAGCTTCATATTATAAGGAAAACCTGTCTTAGGACTGTCACTATTTCGTTAACAAGCTGAATTATCCCAAAAAGGCATGTTACAACGTCAAAGTGAAGAAAGAGCAACGTCATTTTCTTCAAAAATATATTTATTCATCACTTATTTTTCGACGAATAGTACTTGCAACGCCGTCAAAAACGAAACGGATACCCTTAACATCTGCGGAACAGGCGGTACCTGCATGATTGATCGAGCAATTTTAGGGTGCAACCGGATATTTTAAATTCATCTGAGTAATTACCAATTATTTTACCAAGATAAGGGTCTGACTGATTTAGGCGCAGAAAAAACTGACATCTCGTAACGGGCCATAAGTAGACATTCTTGTATTTACAGAAAGCCTCATAATTGCTTTGACTCAACACAATCGCGCGTTGGGTCCGTTTCTAAAATTCTGTTTCAAAAGATACAAAAGAACCCAAAATAATAATTATTTCTTTCTTTTAAATGCAAACGGGACAACGGCGAACAGGGCGATCGGAATTTCATACAAAAATGCACTTTGGAAAGAAGAGGCTGAAAATTCTTGGTGCATTCTATCCTCCACTATCGGAAGAATTGCCATTCCCGGCGAGGGTGTAAACATCCGTGCAGGATATTGTCCAAACGTGAAAAGGCCCTGTTCTATATAGAATTTAACGTTTTTGGTAATTATGAGTCAGAAAATGCAGTGATCAAATATGTTTATATGCAGCTTACATTTCATTTGCAAGGATGTAATATAAGAGAGCGCGAATGTATACTGTTTATTTGCACAGACATGAGAGTCTGTATATACAGTGCAAGGGTACGACATATACACTGATACTTATGACAGTTATTTTTACGTTCCGGCGTTAAAATCACATATAAACTGGAAAAGTGGCACAGTGCGCTTACGTCGTATGAAAACACTCGTCCAAATTGAATATAGGCGCGGGTTAGGTTCACCAGACGGATTGGAAGTACGATTTGTTATCGTAAAACTGATTCCCTATGCACGCGAATGCTTGTTTAACTCGCTGCTGAACCAACTCCGGCGATTCGTATAATCTAAGTAGAAGATAAGCTCCCTATTGCGACGAACAAGGAAAGTCATGTTAGCACGCTTCTAATGCTAGGGCAAAATTTCGAATTTTTGATTGGCTGAACAGAAAACAGCGCCATCTGGGGATGAAATAATTAATGAAGAGCTTTGACCTGTACTTTGAAAAGTCCACATCAATCTTCTTCCGGATAGGTATTTTTTTCTAAAGAAAATCGGGATTCTCCATCAAATTTAAAATGACAACAGACAAGATAAGCACCACCCTGAACGGGAATTAATAATTTCTAAATTTAAGAAAAATGAGGAAGTGCGGCGGATATTTTTAGAAAATTCCTCTTTTTGATAATCGCTCAATTTAAAATAAAACGAATTTTCATTTCGAAAAAGTAATATTTTTAATGATCATATAAATAATCAAATAAGCTCTGTCGAAAATCATGGCCTCGAGTATTTTCATTGCTAGATTAAGACCGACTTGATGAGCTGGGGAAAAACATGCTTGAGAGAAGCTCTCCAATTTGCTAAAAACTTGTTTACAAAAGAGAAAAGGGCAGGGTTCAAGACCGGGCCTTCCCACAGAATCATTTTCCATACTAGTCAAGTTATTGTTTTACAAGCACGTCGAGGTAGGGACACGCCGTCGGTAAATGCGATTCCCAATTGCACACGTTTGAATATAAAATGGACCTTTAATTAACTCAAACAGTGGAATTTTTAAGCAACTTTATTAGTCCATCTTTTGAGCAAAGGACACCATGACTCTCCCGCTCACTCACGTTTCTAGCGCTGAAATTTGAGTCGTTTTAATTGCCCGTACACTTCCGCCGCCCATCATAATCAACAGATAGCGTTTACTTGCTTACGTATCGATGGATGCATAATTATTGTTGCTGGACTAAAACAGAATCTGGGGAAATAACGAAAAAGATCTCAAGTGCGATATGCAGGCGAGTGTAGGCTTTTCGTGGTTTTCCTCTTTGACGAAAAGCTATTTCCATTTTCGCCAAATTCGCGGCGATGGTACCGCCTCTTGAGATTCAATTGTCTCCACCAGAACACCTAAATGAAGGAGAGAATCTAGCACGTGACGACCACTGTAAATTTCAAAGTTTGGTGAAAGAAAATAAGAATAAAGAAAATTGATACTTAGTAAATTTCTTCCAAACTTTACACAGTAGCTGTTCGGATGCAGACTCTCAATTCGACTCGACAAACAGTAATACCGATACCGGATCATCGTCAAGTGACGGAAAGTTTTCAAAGAAAGACCTTTCTTCTCTATTCCTAAGAAAGTATTTCATTCTGACCGCGTACATAACGAGCGTGAGGCTCTAGAATTCCTGCTGGTAAAAAGTTGACCTCAGCAATGAAGCAACTTCGTTTTAGACATTCTTTTGAAAACTTGAATAAAAGAGGAAGAAGACGAAGAAGAAGAAGTTTCGACGCTGATTGATATCACCAATTCTGCGCCACAGTTTGAACAAGAAAAACGCGTGAAAACCGGAACGTAATTTAACGTTGTGAACAAGCCACAGTCACTTTTCGACAAGGCTATCTTGAACATTTTTTCTCGCAACCGCTTTTTCTCAGCGTTATCAGAAAGTGGGAATAGAGCTCCACCCGTTCTATCTGACTTTGAGCAAATGATGACGCCCGCGTTGGCGCAGGTACGTTTATCGCCGACCAGAGGTTAAGCAGAACATTCTTTTGGCAATATCTTATCTTGTTACTTCAACCATTTTTCCAGTGGGCGAGCCAAATACAGTCCCAATCCGCTCCGATCTGCGATCTTCCTGAACTTCTTCCTGTATCAGAAAACGATCTCGATGGACTTCTCACTGATCGGTCACGGGAGGAGTCGCAAGACTCCCTTGGTTACAATTCCGCAACATCCTCCGTGCTTGACCCCGGGTATTACTTAAAACTGAGTTACTGCGTCTATCTTCTTTTATTTTTTTAGAGAACGGCACCGAGAATCCAGCTTAAATTCAGTCTTTTCTGATGCTTCTTGTTCTTCCAATAATTCAGGTGAGAATTCGATCAACATTGATGATTTCAAAAAAAATTTCGCGGGCCCGGAAATCGTCAAAAAACTTCTTGTCTAGTTTTGTAGAGCTCGTCGAGAGGAGTCGAATGATGTATCAAACTCCTGATAGTTTTAAGATTTACCGCCAAAAAAGTGATAAGAAGGTGTCTTATCAAAGATTTTCTGACCAGCGCCGTTTTTGTTCTAGAAAAGCTGAGGTCATGCTTGACCCCGGAAAATGATCCTCATGATCTGTTCTATTACAGCAAAAAATTTCAGCTCATGCATACGTATCCTGCTGTCCTTATCAGCGAAAAATCAAAAAAATAGTGCATTTTGTTGTCGCTGCACGTTCCTAATTTCTAGCCCATTTCCAGTCCCATTCTCCTTGGAAAATGAAATTTAACGATAAACTCGGCTGGGTATGATGACGGGCTGAAATTTTTTGCTGTAATAGAACAGGTCATGAGGATCATTTTCCGGGGTCAAGCATGACCTCAGCTTTTCTAGAACAAAAACGGCGCTGGTCAGAAAATCTTTGATAAGACACCTTCTTATCACTTTTTTGGCGGTAAATCTTAAAACTATCAGGAGTTTGATACATCATTCGACTCCTCTCGACGAGCTCTACAAAACTAGACAAGAATTTTTTTGACGATTTCCGGGCCCGCGAAAATTTTTTTGAAATCATCATTCATTGAATCTGTTGAAAATGGCCTTCAGCTTTTACAGAAATTCTTTAGAAATGGAACTGTATTGCACAGAAGTAGTAAGTGCCACTTACCATGAGATACTTACGGTAAGAAAGCTGGAACCACTCTAAATACGGAAAGGATATTTTCTAATTTGAGTCAGGGATTGTGACCAGCATATCTAATCAGCAAACCCCAGCCCACGACTTATTTATGAATAAACAACAATTTCAAGTGCTCGGCGATAAGTCGTGAACATAACCTGCATTTAAACCACAACACCTTCGTTTTCACTAGAACTTAAGTTATTTCCGACACATTGACGAAAGCAGACGAAACCATCAACAAAGAGACCCGCCAACGCAAGCCTTTCCAGCGAGTCATTTACACAGGAAAGGATCTTATCTTGAGATGAGCAAGAAGTCAGCATCTATTATCCCTTGAAAAGACGAGCAACTTTCAATCCTCGCCCTTCGATTCGAGGAAAAACGTTACTTGACTACAGAAGAGCGACATCAGCTGGCCACGGAAATCGGCATCACGGACACGCAAGTTAAAGGTGATCAGAATTAAAAAATCATTAAAAACCAACCACCCACGTTTGTTCTCCAAAATTACCTCGGGTTCAGACTAAATTACTGAATTTCCCCTTCAGTTTGGTTCCAAAATCGACGAGCAAAGGAAAAACGAAAACGTTACTCAAAAGACTCTGGCCTCAGTTTTCAGTAAAAAAAACCTAAATAATCTATAAAAATTAACTGCTGAGCCAACGGGAAGCCAATCGCCCCCGAATATGCCGACTTCTCTGTGTAGCTCTTCTGTAATTCGGCGACATCCAGATTACGCGAATTCTATGACGGACATGAACAGCTCGCAAATGCACTCTCAGATTCCACAGGCTCTCATGCATGGGCCAATGCCAAGTCTTTACCAGAACTTTGGAGCTATCCGACAAAATCCTACACAGGAAATGGGCTAGTTTTTCTTCGAATAAATCTGACAAAGAAATACAAAGTCCCTCAAAAAGCAAACATATTCAGCAGCTTACGAAGGATTCTCACTTCCTCACTTTTACGTTCCGATGCCAGTTTCAATCCAGCCTCAGCAGTTCACCACGCCTCCAATGAGCTCACCAACTCCACCAGGTCCTATCGACCTCTCAATTCCTTCCAGCTGTTCTCCAAGTTCTTATCCGATCAATCTGCCGCAAACACAGTGCCAGTTCTACCCCATCAATCTTTCCCCAAGCGGATCCTAGTTCAATAAAATAAAATATTCAGTTTCTCACTTGCTCCTCACTTGTCAAAGATTTCTAATATTGGTACATTGAGTCAAAGAAAGGGATGAAAACGTGAGGGTACCCCTGACTGGCGCATTCTAAAAGCCGTGCACTCGAGAAAACCTCCGAATTTCAAGTACTCTGTAAAACTCTATTGACCTACAAAGCAAGTACCTGTATTGTAGATTAGTATTGTTGCTTTTTCTCGCGATTTCAGAAAAGATAGAGCCCCAGCTTAATTACTCCTTCTTGTCTCCAAAATTAGTTTTGGAATTCTTTTATCTACGTCAATCGAAGTAAGAATATAAAAATTTAAAATGATACTTTTTTATCATGTGTTATCTTCGAGAATAAGAATCGTAAATCACATGTGTTTGAGAAGAAAAAATATCTTTTTATTGAAAAAATGGCAGTTTATGCAACGTTAACATGAGGAATGAGAAACTGTAAGTTGACGTCCAGGCCGAGGAGAAGCATACAGTGAAGTAACTGGCCTTCGACCAAGTTTACGATGCAGCGGGTCGGTTTCAAGGCCTCCCCGGAGGTGAAATCCAACAGTTTCTTTATCTTTTGTAAGGTTATCAAGACTGTTCTAAAAGTTAAAGCTATTGACTTAAAGCAGTAATAAGATCATTTGATAGCCTTGTCGGAATTCTAACGCTTGCTTCCGCCTCATCCGGGGTCGCTTCTCCCTCCCAAACCGGCTTCTCCAGATTGTGGAAATTGACGCTTATTTTCTGCATCGCATTTTTCGTCCTAAACTGCAGCGTTCCTTCTGGATTCGCGCGAACGATCACCGTCTTGCTCAAGCACTTGATCTTGTCCACCATCACTCGAACTTTGCTAAGAGTGGGCATGAAGATCGACATGTTGAATTTTGGCATAAGCGGCTCCTTGTAATCTGCCCAGAACTTTTTGGAAACAACTTTTATCGGGATCTCGCGAGAAACGACCATTTTTCGTCCGGTCTTGACTTGCTCGAATTGAATTTGAAAAGCGAGGACGGGATTTCCAGTGTTGGCCATTTTTGTTTGATTTTTTGCTCCTGGCACTACTTCTTTGCTAGAATGAACGATTTTGAATGTGGGGTCGAAAACTGATTCTACCTGAGTTTCATTTTCAAATCTCTGGGACAAACCTTCTCCTGATTCCCGAATTCCAACGCGCGGCAAAGATCTGCAGCAGAAAGTTCTAGCAATATTTCATGGAATAAGGCGGTTAAAATCTAATCAAACCTAGGATAATTTCATCCTCATCGAATCCCGGAGCGACATATCCTTGATAAATATATTCCGTGAATAAGGACTTTGTCTCAATATCGCACCAGAGAACTCCTTCTTCTGAAGCAGAAACTGATTGAATCAGGTAGACTTTCTTCTTGCTCAATCGCAAGATGGTTTCATTTGATAGTTTTGCAATAACGGCGGCAAGCTGAGAAAATGTAATTATCTTCGTTGTCTTCTCGATCTTCGCTCGGAATTTCATTCTAAGTACACCCAATGTTATATAAGAGAGATAACTAATCATCTATCAAGCTCGTTACGAGATAATTGGAAGGATAAGTTCATCATTAAATATATCAGGAAAGAAGCTTAGATCGCAGTCTTCTAGCATCCATTCTAATTCGGCGAGACGCCGCATGTTAATCTGCCGAAATCGCTCTAATAGAGGGACGATACGTGCACTTCCAAACGATACTTCACTTTGTTCAACAGGTGGTTCTTTTGATAGAGCTTCTACTTGCTCGTTGAATGCGTTTATCAAAGGTTGATATCGATCGATTAACTTCATGATCGCTTGAATTTCTCGTCAAGGATTTTTACAGAGGAAAAATAATGAAAAGTTACGATCGAAGATTTTATTCAAGCTGCGATTTTTTGACCGAAAATAGGAAAATCCCTGGCCATATCCTTCTCAGCTATCAGTTTTCCGATTAGACCTTGGTCTATCTCAATTATGAAATCAACCGGGTCATCCTCATCGTCTTCCGTTCTGAAGTCTGTGATCTTTAACCCCTCCAGGACTCTTCCTTCTTTTGAACTTTTCATCACACTTTCCAGTTGCTCATCAAACGATTCGATCATGCTTACAGATGCTCTTATTTCTTTCTCTATGTCTCCCCATGCTTTTGCTAATGATACTGCCGATTTCCAAATGTCTTTGGCGTTTTCAGGCACAAATTTTGTACAATTCATTTGAGTCTGAAAAACATACCGATGAACACAATTTCTTGTCTAATACCCGGCTTGAAATGGGCAAGTTTGAAAGGCAAACTGTTGTTTATTTCAGTAGGCTACAGAACATACAGGTAGAGGCGCCGCATTTTGACGATGGGCGCGCAATTTTATCTTTTGAACTTTGAACTTGAGAGAATCACAGGAAGATCACATGTCATGACACACATAAGTTATTATTCTAGAGGAAGACCTTTACTTGGTAACTTCGTGGATGGCGTTGGCCAAATAGTCGACGTTCTTTGACGAGATACCAGCGACGGAGATTCGACCGTCCTAGAATTATTGTTGGTTTGGGAAGGAGAAGGGTGAAGTTACCTTGGTGAGATAGACGTGGTGGTCAGCGGTGAGCTTAGCAACCTGCTCGGGCGAAAGACCAGTGAAGCAGAACATACCGATCTGGTTGGTGATGTGATCCCAGTTGTGAGGGTTGCCTCGGCTCTGAAGCAATTTTAGTTTCAAGAAAGAGTTTCGAATATTTAACCTCGATGCCAGCCTTGAGCTGAGTTCGCATGGAGATGATTCGGTCGGCCATTCCCTTGACGTCGCCGCTGAACTGGGCGTTCAAGTTGGGGTCGTTGAGGATCTTGGAGGCGATTCGAGCACCATGGGCAGGTGGGTTAGAGTACATTGGTCGGATCAAGATCTAAACGAAGAAGTAATGAGCAAGGATGGAGGAATACTGAACAGACCTTGATCTGGGATTCGACTCGAGCAGCTTCTTCGGAGTCCTTGCAGACAACGGTGAAGGCACCGGTTCGCTGGCCGTAGAGACCCATGTTCTTGGAGAAAGACTGAGAAAGGAGGATGTTGTGGCCATCATCGACGAACTGTCGGACAGCGAAAGCATCCTGGTCAACGGAGCCAGAGGCAAATCCCTAAATTTTCAATAAAGATTTGAGAGATTCCTATCGATTTATGTTTACCTGGTAGGCCATATCAAAGAAGACGAGGAAGTCCTTCTCCTTGCAAATGGCGGAGAGCTCCTTCCACTGTTCTGGAAGAGGATCGACACCAGTAGGGTTGTGAGCGCAAGCATGGAAAACAACAACGGAGCCATTTGGAACCTTGTTTCGGAGCTCGTCGTAGCAGCCAGCGGCGTCGAATCCGCAAGTGTTCTTGTCGTAGTAGGCGAAGTTGTCGATCTTGTTGCCGCCGTGCGTGAAAATGGGGTTGTGATTTCCCCAGGATGGTCGGGGAAGGAAGACGGTTCGGCCGCCGCTAAAGGCGTTGAGGTAGGCGGAACCGATTCGGAGGGCACCAGTACCGGAGATTGCCTGGGTGGTCACATTTCGACCGTCAGCGATGACGTTGCCGGCATCAGCGAAAGCAAGCTTGGCAGCGGCCTGGGTAAAGGCTGGGAGACCTAAAAGAGAAATGGGAAGAGGGAAAATGCGGATGGTCATACCAGTGATTCCAAGATATTCGTGGTCAACAAGTTCAGCCTGAATCTGCGCTTCGGCCTCTCGGACGCAAGGAAGGACAAAGGGCTTGCCCTGGTCGTCTCGGTAAGCACCGACGCCCAAGTTCATCTTGTTGGAGTCGGTGCATCGCTTGAAGGCCTCAGAGACGCCCAAGATGGCATCTGGGGGACCCATGGGAACATCGCTCCAGATGGAGGAGGCTCGGCTGATGTTCTGGACAATTCTCTGGGTTCGTCGCATCTTTTTCGGCACTCTCTGAATTTGATTTTTGGAGGATAAGATAGGGAAGGAAGATCTTTATATTTTTATAGTAGAATGGCAACACGCTTACTTAGCGTGATTGTTTCGGAGCAGACCAGGGTATCCTTGGCCAGAAGCAAATGCAGATTGCGCAACAGTGAGTAACTTGGCTTTCAGTAAACTGAAGCACTGATCGTTAAAAAAATGATAAAAATTAAGGCGTTCTAGAAGGAAGAAATGAATGAAGATAAAAAATTTGGAAACTTGAGAATGTGTGCCTATTATTAGGCTGGAACGGAAGTGGTCGTATTTACAGAAATCAAGAAGTAACAGTATTGGGTAGCAAGGCCAAGGCGTGATGATTACGGGAAGAAAGGAAAAACCCAGCGGGTGGCATTATTAGAGTACGATTACAGCTGAAATAGGTTACACCCCCCTCGAGGCAGGTTAGCCCCTCCTCGGAGGAACGGAGCCGGTTTTCGAGGGGAAAGTATGTCAAGCAAATATTCATAGAAATAGGACTTATATAACCCAATTATATAATATTCGAGGTAAGCGATGGAGCGTTAAAAATTTCAATAAGGCAAAGTTGAAATAAGTCATGTCAAATGAGATGAAGGAACTTGGTGGTTAGTCATGCAGGTCTTCTAGTAGCGCTTGAATATCTTGTCGACAGTTTCGATTGTCGGCCGGGCGGAGGGGTCGAGCGACCACAGGGAATTTCTCTGCAGCAGTTCGTGAACATGTGCAGGGAGGATACAAGCAGGGTCGGTGGAAACGGGCAATTCGCAGCGAACTCCACGGTGAATTTGCTCTAGGACGTTTTCTACGTAGATCTACATAAAAATTATTGGTGTTGAACTTTCTTCGGAAAATTAAACCTTTCTATAGGGCACGCGGCCGTAACTCCACATCTCCCACAGCAAAATGCCAAAGCTCCACATTTCCGAGCTGAAGGAATAGACTCTCTTTTCCAAACTTTCCGGCGCGGTCCATTTCACTGCGACCTTCTTTTTCAAAACCGTCTCGATCTCACGAGCGGCCGTTGATTCTTTTCCCTCCATCTCTGCGATCGTCACCGCCAATCTGATAAACAGAATCGAACTAGTTCCATTTTTCGATCATTAAAATTACCCAAAATCACCGAGCTTTGCGTTATTGAGCGATACGTCGAGGAGAACATTTCTAGCAGCAATATCGCGATGCAAAATGCGAAAGTGCTTGAGGTAAAGAAGCGCAGAGCAAATTTGACGGGCGTAGCTTTATTTGAAGATTAATTAAAATGCATCTTATATAATTTTTACCGCTGAAGATCGAGAGTTTTTATTCTCGACTTGCCGATGGTTTTTAGGGCGTCGAGGAGGGATCCACCTGGCATTAGTTCGATCACGATGCGGATGTATTGCGCTGGATTGTACTGGATTCTACAGTAGATGCGATTAATATGGAAATTGCAACTTGAAAATGCAAGTCTTGAAATTGCAGGAGAATAAATTTGATTGACCGGTACTTCCTAGATTAATTTAGGTTTTTGCTGGAAATAGATTTTTCTATTGATAGCATGTTGTTCGTCATCAAAAACTACGTAGATACCGGAGGTTTATACGTAGTTTACGACCGGTCGGTAATGGTTGATACTCAATGGTTTGATCTCGGGTCCCTAGTAGTTTTCCATGGAAAATCCGAATCCGTCGAGAAAAATAAAATTAAAAAACGTTTTCGGCTCGAAAAAGCGTTCCAAAGACAAAATTTTCAAATCAGCCCGATGACGTCATAATGACGTCATCTGACCCTAGAATTTGGTGATTCTGTATAACTTTTTACGGGCTTTCAGAATATACTAATATCTCAAAAAAATTTTTTTTGCCCGAAAAATTCTTATTGTAATTCATCAATAGCTGATTATATAAAGTTGCTTCATCGTTATATATAATCATAAATACGGTATTAATCTCCATCGTCACCATTTAATTAGAAGAAAATTTAAACGGAGCGGGAAAATTAATTCAATAGGGTTATTGAATTAACTAGTTTGAACTCACCCAAGATGTTGAAGAATATTATGACGAGCTGCTTTTTCATTGTGCAAGTGCGGCAATAGTCGGATCTCGGAAAACTCTTGCAGGCGAACCGGAACGATTTTTCCCGTTTTTGAATGTCGTAGCGGCAGTTTAATTTCTTTCAAGGCAGAGTATTTATGAAGAAGCCGAGGATTTGAACAAGTGCTGCTGTACACATGACCGTACTCGCCCTGTCCGATTTTTTCTTTCAAAAAAGCTCTTTTATAATTAATACGGAAAAACAAAATCTGAAAAAAATTAATTAAATATTTCATCCTAAAATTTGAATGCTAAGACGCGCTTTTTTTAAGGTTGGGGTATTTAAATCTCCCACTAACTTCTTTTTAGGCCCAGAACACCATATATATTTAGAATCAGTAAGAAAAATCTAGAAACTTGACCATAACCGATTCTTAAAAATCACTTCCGGTAGCGATTCTAGAGCCGGAAGTTGATGAAATTTAGGTGTTAGGGTGAAGTGTGACCTATCAAATTGATGCTCAGACGATTTCCTTTAATTTTAAAAAAGAATCAACACCAACGGGGATCAAAACAACCGGAAAAAACTGAAAATAATTTCATCATTTTATGTCTTTTTTAACATAATTTTACCGGTGGGTTTGACTACGTTTGTGACTGTTTCTTCTGATATATTGATTATAGGATGATTCAAAATCTTCTGAGCATCAATTTGATAGGTCACACTTCACCCTAACACCTAAATTTCATCAATTTCCGGCTCTAGAATCGCTACCGGAAGTGATTTTTAAGAATTGGTTATGGTCAAGTTTCTAGATTTTTCTTACTGATTCTAAATATATATGGTGTTCCGGGCCTAAAAAGAAGTTAGTAGGAGATTTAAATACCCCAACCTTAAAAAAAGCGCGTCTAAGAAATCGAGAATGCATTTGCTTGAGGTCGGAAGAGAGCCTTTCCTGAAAGCGTAAAATCATCGTCGGAAAAGAGCGTGGACGAAAATTGCCTTTGAAAGTTTTTTGGCGTCAAGAGAGGATATAGTATTTCGGCAGCAAGAACGGGTTGCTTCTCCTCTTGATATCGATGAATGAGCGACTTGAGGTCAGGAAACTTGAACTCAGGCTCGATAAAGTACGAATCGCCAGTTCCATCAGTTTCAATTCGGTAATGATCAAAGCCTTTTGGCGAGCTTGTTCTTAGACTAAAAGACAGCTTTTCTCAAGCTCAAAGAAAGCTTGAGCGTACCTAAGAGCGTAAGTGCATTTTTTCTTCTTTCCACCGGTTCTGAGAAGATAAGTTCCAATCGGATGAGGTCTCAGCTTTTCTTCAGCTTCTTCTCGGGAGATATTTTGGAAAGTGATTTCATTTATCACCATCTCTTCATCAAAGGAGGCATTTCCTTCTTTTTGGGGAGAGCTCAGGGACTTCAGAAATGTAAGTAAAAGGAGTCTTCTTCGGACTAACCTTAACCCGCGCCAACCTTGGTGTTGCTTTGGAAGGCGAGAGGGGTTGAACAGCTTGTACTGTAACAGGTGGCTTCGGAGCAAGTCGATGATTCTCATAATCCTGTAAGAGAGTGGTAGTTCTTTTGGGAGGCGTGGGCTTTGGCCGAGGACTGATTCCCCCGGATCTACTTCGTCCCAGATCCATCTTTCCCGATCCTCATCTGAGAAGATTAAAAAGATGAATGAAGTCTGTGTTTGAAATATTTGGAAATTTTGGAGTTCTTGGATTGAGAAGAGCGTGCAATTTGAGATTGGATGTTTTGGAGGTTTTTAGCAAACAATGAAAAGGATGAAGATTTTATTGCTCGGATGAAAATTTGCTTTTTAGTACGATTTCTTTTTTTCTTTCTTTTTAGGAGTAACAGGCAAGAGAGCAGGCTTTTAACTTAGAAAACAGGCAAGAATAGAAAAACAGAAGTATTTGAATGTTTATTTGTTGTTTCACAATGAATGGTAAAAGAGCTACTGTATCTCTACTATCATATTTACAGGGTTCAGGGTTGCGATGAATTAAAAAGAAGAAGAGTGTCAAACTCGCTTGGTAGGTTTTGGCTTAGGTCCGCCATAGTACCACGCGATTTCGTCGTCGTCGGGGCAGGTTTGCCGGAATTCGTCGCACGCCTTTGCGTTCTTCATGTAAGCTGCGATTCCGTCGAAAGCCTTAGAAATCAGCGATTATTTCTGTTGACTTCGACAGCAAAATTGATTCTCAGCCGTTAATTATGCATCCAAAACCCAAAAATTACCTCGGGTAGATCAAAGTCGTGCAACTTTTTCCCAGCAACGAGAGCAATCTGTAATTTGGGTAGAATATTACAGTCTGCCAGGGTCATCCTATCGCCATCAATAAAAAGGCGCGATTCTTGAGCAGGATCAAGACTCGTTTTCAGGAAAGCGTCCAGTTTTGCTAGTTCAAGTACGTATCGCTTCATCAGCGCTGAACAAGAAAGTTTTATGAACAAAAATCTTGTGAATTTCATACTTGGTAAATTTGGCTGGTCGGGTTTGCATTTGATCCACGCAGAAAACTTCGCGAAAAGATCGTTTCCCGCTAGGTACGATTCTGGATGAACAGGTGACAATGAAGGGTATCTAGTTAATGACGGAGAATAGATTAATGCAAGAATGGCAGCCATGGTACTTACTTTGGAGGGGAAAGATTAGACTCGAGAAACTCTTCGATTCTTGGAATGTCAGTTAACACCTCTCCGTCAAAAAGCACAAACGGGGGGTTCGTTCCAGGCGCAATGTCAGCAAGTTCTTTCGGCTTCGTTGTTTTGTCCACAGTAGTCACATTGAACTAAAAACATCATCAAGGGTCTCAATCATGTCATAAGTTGAAAGGTCATTCAAGGTCACGTTTTTATGTTCTGACGGTCAGAATCTGACCCCAAATGATCTCAGATCAATTAGACTAAGTATTGGCATTTTTCACTTACTGACCTGTGTACCCTTAAGCCAAAGAATCATGAACAGTCGTTGAGAAAAAGGGCAGCATCCCAAACACTCCCTGTCCGAACCAGCTTTGACGAAGAGTACAATATCGTGTTCAGCACTCGCCATTTTTTCTAAAAATAGAAAATGAAAGATGAAACTTTTTCAAATTCGCTCTCTTTTTTTCTTTGGAAAACCATGCTTTTTCGGAAGAGCAAATTTATCTTTTGTTCAATTTATCTCTTGAAGAAAAAAAGAAACAGTCTTTTTCAATTTTCTAAGACTAAAGTTTACTTCGGTCTCTACAAAAGAAATGTTAATCAAGGCGCTATTCTCTCTCAGACTAGTAATTTTGATATTTCTTTTTCATTGATTTCTAATTCGAATTTCGCTCTCAAGAGTCTCAAAGGGATCTCTAGTCATTCTGGCTTCATCTTCTGGCTTATTAAAATTGACGAGGAGCAGGATCAAGAGCCAGAGGGAGCCAGGATTTACGAGCGCTTGGAAAACCGAGGCCGGAATCACGCGCCCGTGAGCTCAATAACTCCCCTCTCTCTCTCTTTCAGACTTTTAACAACTTTAAGCAACTCGGCCTTTATTCATCAATAAATGGATCGGCTCCAGATCAGAATAAAGTCATGAATAGTTACCTTTTATTATTCAGCTTTTTTCTTAGAATTAATCGTATCGGTCCAGGATCAGTGACATCTCAAAATCTAAAATGGACTTTTTTTTATAGAATCATATAATATCATAATGATATTTTAATATATTCATATACTGTTTATAAATGAACAATTAAAAACTTTTGGAAACTGAAAAAAAGGAAAGATATGAAGAAATCAGACAGATAAACGTATTCTTGCACAGATAACATAATGAGGAAGTCTTATCGGTAAAATTAGAACGCATTCTGCTACATGTGGCCATTAGCTTCGCATCAAAGGACGATCCACAAGCTCTATCGACGATTTGAGATGGATATCGAAAAGATCTGAAAGAAAAAGAATAGTTTTTCAATCGAAATAGACGAGAATAACCTGCTCGAATAGGCATTTCCAAGCTATAAAATGGATTCTTCAGGGCATAATCTGAGTAGATTTCGTAACACTTTTCGAGGAAAGATTCTGCTCGCTCATCGGTTACTCTTGTGTCTGTCTGGCAACTAAAATGCATTTATCAATTGATTGTATCCGCCTCTATCATGATCGAGTTTACGCTTGTCTTCGGACAAAATCTCCAAATATTAACATGGAAGAACTGAGGGTCAATTTATGGATGGTTGCATCATAGATATGATATCTAAGATATCATCAACCGACGGTCATTATTCAAGAGATTCTCTTTATCAATTTCAATAGGTCTATCTAGAGCAGTCTATCCCCTCTTTCAACGCATATTCTTTTTCCTCCTGTTATTTTAAATAGTCATCACTTACATAAATTTCGTCCCTGTAGGAGACTGGAAGCAGAAAAATTTAAAAGATCCACAATCCATCGCTTTTATTCCCGAGCTGCCGGTCATAGGAGAAAGCTGGCACGAAAAGGCGAAAACGGTATGGAAAGTCGAAGCCATGATGATTTTCTCATTGCTGCTCATTTTGGGAAGTCCAAAACGAAGATTTACTTTTATGGCGCGTTTTCGTGGAAACTCTCTTTTTCATTTTAAAAGCTGCAAATTTAAAGACGTTAAAGGCGCCCGTTGCCTGGGTAGTTGGCTTTGTCCGCGAGAAGGGTTAGCACAGGGGTGCCAGTTTGGGACCCGTCGCGCACAACCGTCCCGGAAACCTCTAAAATCAATGTTATAAAAACGAGAGTAGATTCTCCTTACCATGCTCATTGTAATTCAACAAAACTTGACCCGTTTTGATTCCATCTTGCTCGCCGTAAACAACCTCAATTTTGCCATCAACGACATCCAACTCAAAAGGCAGAGGAAAGCCCAAAGTCTGCTCAACACTTGGACATGCTGCTGCGTTGTCGTATGAATAAATCAACCCTCCTGATTTCGAAACGATGAAAAACCGATCTACAGGCATCTGACAGTAGTAGTTACAGTACAATCTTAAGAATTCGAGGATTCAATAAGTTGCTCTTGTCAAATTTTAACAATTGAAATGTTCGATTTACAGTCAGGCAGATTTAACTTTCTCTTCTTGGTTCTGCATAAGTGTATTTAACCTCTCAGCGACTTGATCAGCTCCCATGGGCCTGTGCCACGGTGCCGAGTACCGCGGATTGTCCTTAATTAGCCGCTTGTCTCCAACCTGGCCCATAATAAATTTCATTTGTCGCAAATTGTACGGCCACACTTTTTCGCCTCTCTGAAGATTTTCAAATATCTCTCTGAAGGAAAAGAACAGGGACGAACCTTTGTCTCCACCCATAATACTTTGCTATCTGGATAAGCGGCTGGGTCAAGTTTGGGATCTGGATGGAGAATGACGACTTTTGGATCTTTCTCGTGACGCACCCAGGTCATCGTGTTGCCTGTTCCAGCCATTGATTTTAAGGTGACCCAGTACCACTGCTTCCGATTTTGACCGGGGACGCCATAATTCTTTGCCTAAATAGAAATTTTTATGGTAAATTTTTGGAATAATGTAACATTATTAATGTTGCTCGTAAAATGATTCTTTATCTATGTCTAAAAATATAACTTATTGGATTCTACCAGTATAAATTGATAGCTAAAATCTAATCAGAAGAAACTTCAGCTCTACTTACAGTAATCAAAAATCCAAAAAAATGGTCTTTTCATACCTTTCCTGCATTAGCTTTAGCCAAATTCGTCGAAACGGAAATATTTCTCGCTGGAACTGAAAGCGACGATCGAAAACTTCCGATTATCCGATTCATTTTCTTCTGAAAATTGCTCTCTCAATTGAAAAATCGACGAAAAGGATGGAGAGTTGGAAATCTTGACAAACGCGCGGAGCTGATTGGCCGGGCGCGTTAATTTCTTTCTCGCGAACTCGGTAAGGCGCACTTTTTCCGGTGTTTCCGGGCTACAGGGAGAGTTACAGGCATAGGCTATGCCGCATAGCTTACGGTAGTGTAATCTTTTATGAGAAAGAAAAGCTTATTTTGCCTTTAGAGGAGGAGAATAACCAAAAGTTATGTAAAATAAATTAACTTTTCGCTAGAATAAATTTTATTCGTGATATTACAGTAGATTCTAACAGTAATCCTTTTCAAATTCAATTCAAATATTTGACTTCAAATTGCACCAATGATTTCTCATAGCGGGTCAATTTTAGGCAAACCTCTTCAGACTGAATTCTGACTGCAAAGACAAGATGGTTCAAGCGTGGTTTTTCGATGAAAAAGTGGCGAATCCAAGAGAACCGTGCCAACTGGAAAATGTCGCACTTGACGTCGTTGAAGGTATTTTCAATTATTGACTTTTGATGAAGGCTTTTATTTTAGCGCTTGGATGCAAGCTTTTCAAATTCGACGCAGCGAACAAGTCTTCTTGCCCAAATTTGGCGAAAATCGTCAAAGATCAAAACTACAACTTTCAAGATGAAATCACCGTCTCTCCAACTACTCTTCCCGATTACGAGAAAAAGGTTCAAATGTTTCTGGAAGAGCACATTCACGATGACCCAGAAGCGAGAGGATGTCTTGACGGGAGCGGCTATTTCGATGTTAGGGACAAGAATGACAAGTGGATCCGAATTTTGGTCGAAAAGGGAGACCTGCTCATTATCCCTGCTGGAATCTACCACAGGAACGGAAATATAGACTTTTGAAATATTTGTAGTGTTCATTTTTATGCTTGAATCTTTATAGTCAAGAGTAAGTGCTTATTTTCTTGTAAGATTCGTCCCAGATCTGAAAGACTTCATCGTAGCTATACGATTTTTTGAAGGCAACCCAGTTTGGACCCCGATAAATCGCGCAAACAACGAAGAAAACATCCAAAACATGCCGATTCGACAAAAATATCTTGCTTCTCTTTGAAAAAATTTTTGAACCAAAACCTCGCTTTTCTTAATCGAAAAATCTCTGTTCCAATTTTTCTCTCGCTCTTTTAAGTATTGAATATACTGTATTTAATTGTCTTTTATGCTCAAATTGAGTTACGATAACGAAGTCTTTCTGATGATTTCTATTAAAAAATTGTCAAAACAGAATTTATCTATGATGATTTATTTAATTAATGCTGGCATAAGCGGATATTGAATCAGACTTTAAATTATTATACAGAACATAAAGTTGAGTTTCGTTGGAAAACGGGAATCTTCAGTATTTGACATTGAGTTGTTCAGTGTCTTTGATGAATTCTAGCGTGAATTTCATCAAACTCGAGAGAGAGGAGGAAACATCTACAGGTTGAGTGGTGTGATGATATTGAGAGAATCTATCAGATCGGGCATAGTAGTCCTGGAGATCTTTTTGGTGATTGCTGTCGCTTTCGAAACTGTCGAAGGAAACGTTTGAGCTAGTGTCTTCATTGCTGCATGTTTCATTGATGACGGAGTGGAAGATTTCATCGACGCTGGAGTAGCCTGACATGTTTGTTTGTTTTGTTTGAGATAAGAGTGTGAAGCTTGTTGTGATGATTGTTGTACTACAGGGCTGTTTTATATACTATCAGAAGGGGACAATTATGGAGCGCGCGGGAGAACAGGGTCGGAGGCGGTCGAGAGTTACATCTTTTTTTTATTCAATTAATGTTCAGCAATAGAGATACATGTATGTTGATGATGTCAAATTTTTATGTTACTTGTACTGTCATGTTATGAAGCTATAGCCTATAGTACTTATCAGATCTCTTCGCATTTTATGAGTTCTTTTGCGCTCAGGCAATAAAGGATTCTCCCTTTTATATCCTCTTCTGTCTTGAATACAACTTCTATCCTGCACGTATTGTATAATTCAAAGGAATATGGCGTAAATTATATAAAGAATGTAAACGTATTATATACCAATTCGAAAAACAAAGACGACCGTACCTATAATATAAACCTATCGAAAAGTTTCGTCTACGTATGAAAATGAACTTTGCTGAAAGGGCAACGGTCCATTTCCTTGTGAAAATGTTGGTGTGCGAAAGTATTTATGCGGAAATTCCAAAGACAAATACTAATAAAAAGCGCCATGGGAAGCGAAATGCCGCAAAAGGCAACAACCAAAAATCTGACGAACGGAATATCTTAGAGATTCAATGAAGCTCGGTCTTTTAGGTACATTCTAGTCTTTACTGCTACTGTAGTTATGTTGAATGTCTTCAGGTTTAATTGGTGGAAGCATCGCAGCTCCAGCGGCTTCGCGACAGATTTCCATCCAAGTCCAGACTCGGGACAACGGACCAGGCTCTATCAATGTGAATAGCAACGGAGAAGAGTACTCAAGAGAATGGGAACAGCTCACTCCCGACGTCAGCGAAGAAATCAACGAACAACTCGATGCGATGGGCCTCGGAGGAGGGTTCTCTGACGGTCAATTTCAGGTCCCGGTCGAATAAAATAGTCATATGTTTTATCGAGCGTCCTTTTCGATCACCGAAATAGTTCGAAGCTCCAAACTTCCCGGCTCTTATCGCCGATGTAGCAAGCAACAATGGAAATGCCGTATCGTCCTCGAAAACACTAGAGGTATAATTAGTTACCCAGCGGTCTTTCCAAATGAATTATTCATTCAAATTCAATTATTCAATAAAAAAACAGATAATTAACATCATTTTCAGTTCTCAGTGAATAATGCTGAGGATTTTGCAGCTGAGTTTGAGCAACAGGTGATTAAATACTTTCCAGAAGTATATTTCAAACATATGTCTATCTTTTCACTGACTGAGATAATTGTAAACCTAATTTCAGGAGCAGAAAATCCTTGATTGGGTCCGACAGTATTCTGAAGATTTCTACAATACTGTGAAGGCTCAGCTTGACCAAATCGGATCTAGCCTCGACTCTTAGATCTCCTGACTGAAATTCAGCTTGATCCGCCAATAAAAAAATCAAGTAATCAAAGAAACCAGACTTTATTGAGAAAAAATTGAGAGTCAATCGTATAGTTCTCCAAGTAAAACGGGTCCAGAAGCACTGAGAAAAATTAAGAACTAACAAGGCGAAAACAAAGCATACCCAGTAGTAGTAACAGACAGAATTCGGTGCCAACGTCTGTATCCAAGAATAGCAAACCCTAGTGCTTCTCTGAAATCACTAGAAACAGCAGCAGAAACTTTCAAATGAGGCAGTCGTTTTTCAAGTGTGTTCATGATCGTCGTATTCCGAGCTCCACCACCAAAAACTTTCAAAAAGCGAGCACTCCGCCCAATTTTTTCAACTTCTTTTATGATCGTCTCCGTTGTTAGGGCCGTAACTTAATTGCTGGTTAAAGTTAGGCATTATCTTGTGATTTAAATATATTTCTCGAAGATGAATTCACCTAGAACTGTCAGGCTGGAAGGATTAAAGAACAATAGTGAAGCAATTAACTACTTATAGACTCTAGTGCTCTTTTACAATTTAAACTTACTTGTTGCTATTTTCTCCGATTTATTGGCCTTTACGTCGTCCAATAATTGCTTTATCATCATTTTGTTGAAATACTCTCTGCCAGTCGATTTAGGATGAGGAAGTCGAAAGTATGGATCTATTTATGAATGCAATTAATACTTAGACTTCAAAACTATTTATATACCCTCGAGAAGGCGACTTAGATGAGAATCATTAATTGTCCCTTCTTTTGCAAGTCTTCCATCCTCGTCAAAGTCCAACCCAAAAAAGTTCCTTCGCAGCAATATCTATCAAACAGTTTCCAGGGCCGATGTCATAACCGATTGACCCAGACTCGTCGGAGAAAGATAAATTTGCTGAAGAGAAAGATTAAGAGCATATTTTATCAAATACCAGCTCAAAAATAAGATAATCCGAAAATAAGCATCGCTCAAAAAATTGCTCAGTCGTACCTAGTCCTCCGATATTTAGCATAATTGTCCCCGGTTCTGAATATTCGATCGAGCTTTCCACGGCTGGCATAAGAGGTGCCCCGTGTCCTCCTTTCAAAAATTTACATTTCATAATTTTTTTGCAATGTCACAGCATGAAATTTGCCTGGTGAACTTTCCTGCTAGTCTTTCTTTGGATAAAAAAGGTACTAAAGTAAATTCTGTCAAAATATGATATTTTCTAAATATCATTAAAAATAATTGATGCGGCATAAGATTTTTTATCCAAAAAATATCAGCTTGACGAAACTCACAGGCAACAGGAATTCCTAGTTCTGAGGCTAGTCTTCTTCCCCTTCCAATTTGCCAGGTTCGAGCCGGTTTCTTTGAAGTTCTCGGGCGATGGTAAATCGTTTGCCTTCAAGTTGGAAGAAATTAATTTTTGGGAGCCCTTTGATGAAGAAAGACTATCTTACTGACAATCAAAAATTTTAACTAATGGCTCTATGATCAGAGTCTGATCATCAGACTGGCGATGAGACTCACCCATGAATAGCCACTAATTGAATCTCATACTGTGGCAAATACTCCCCGGCGATTTCAATCAGTAGATTTTCATATGCTTCTTCAGTGTTTGAAATAAACTCGCAAGACTTTCTTTCTCCAGCAATTAAGCTTTTGATATCATCTTGAAGCACCTGAGGAAATTGATGAACCTTGGTCGTTTTAATTTCAAAATTGCTTAATTGAGTTAACAAGATAAAACGTCACAAATGGTTTGGAAAATCTTAGTAAACGTAAGTCCTGTCTGCGTTTTTGAAATCAACAATGACAACGTCTTTTCGAAGTTTTTTTTGTAAGATAAAGAATTGATTTCTGTTAAAGGAAATATTTTCGACTAGTTTAAAAACTTGACGACTCCGTCGACACTCGTCCCGGTCATAATGCCCATGACGATCATTTTTAATCCGAGATTTGAAATTTCTCTTGAATAAAATTTAAAAAATCAAAGATTTATTTGAAGAATGATGCAGTGGATGGATAATACAGCTGTAGAACGATGTTTGATTTACAAATTTTCACCACTTCCAATGGTCGTTATTTTGATGTGTGTATTTCTCGGTGAGTTCTTGGTTAAACGGCGCGTAGAACTTCCTCACGAGCTCCTTTGTCTTGTCATCTACTGTATGATTTTTTGAGCTAGAAGTAGGAGAACGTGTAATGATTTTTCTAAGCTCGACAGGGACACTTACCGGCCCTTATCGCCTGCCAAACAGAAGTCGCCCCGCTCGGACACCTCTCTCGGTGGACGCATGCAATAGAATCCCTTTTCTTCGTCAAAGTAAAAGTTCTCCTCGGTAATCAGTTCCTCCACGCCAGTGAATTTGGCCACTTTGCGCATCACTTTGCCTGGATTCTCGGTCAATTCCGACGCGTCTAAAAACAACATGTTCTCAAGTTTTAAATACCTGGCGTATTGCGCGATATGAAGAGGATACAGGCCTCCAGTAAGTAAAACATCGGGAATTCTTAGAGGATAAACTCGTTCTGAAAGAGGAGCATCCCAGCGAGAATAGTAATCTTTCACGTGATGGCGGATTTCTTCTGAGCTTAATTCATCAGGCTTTGTTTTGGATTCGAATTAGAGGTTATCAAGGATATATCTATTTTATGTTATCTTGATATAACGATTCAAAAAAATATGTAACATTATTAAATTCGAATATTATTCAAGCTTAACTATAATTAAACAAATTAGAATCCCAAGCAATGAGCCCTTTAAAATCTTCCTCATTGCAATCTCGATGACTTCCGTAAAGTTCCCATGTCCCTGTAAGTAGTACCAGCCAGGCATTGACAGTTCTCCCTTCTCCTTCGTTTTCTAAATGAAACTTTTGATTGAGCGCTTAGTTGAAAATGTGAGAAAATCCCCCAATCTCGAGGGGGAAATTGGCGGCTGCACTCGAGACTGGAGTGAGTGATTCTTCCAGCGAAGGCCTCTCTTTACCTGGACCACTCCAGCATGGAGAAAGTGGCTATACGCGCGATGCACGGGATCGCACATGATCGAGATGATTTTAACGCTGTCGTTCATCTGCGCCATTCTTTCTGGAACAAAAGGCCGGTCGAAGTAGTCCGGGGTCTTTTCGTACGTAACTTCGTCGGAGTAAGAGTAGGGCATCTGATTCAAATACCAATCGAATCCCATCTTCCAGTTTGTCGGCCGGTTGAAGAAATGCTTCTCGCCAGGCGTGTCTCTCAACTTTGGATGGTAGTTCATAAAAATCTTGAGCGCGCTTGTGCCGCACTTCTTCGCCCCGACAATGATGACTTGAGGAAAGCGCTTCTTCGGGATCTCGGTTCCATGAGCGACTTGGCGTCGTCGATTGCCCCCGATTTTGTAGAATTCTGAGAGCTTCTTTTTCATTTCTTCGGGAATAGCAAGCCCGTTCATTTCCGGACTTGTCGTTACTGTCAGCGGCGAAGAATTGTTTGCAACAGGAGATGTGGTCGTCGTCTCTTGAGTTTCAGGAACGAATTCAAGCTTGTTTTGATGAGCGATAGAAAATTCTCCATTTTCGATTCTCCTTGTTAGCAATAATGGAACACTTGTTGTTTGTATCTTCTGCAAATTAGTGTTACTCACGTATCCATACTCGTAGTATCCAACAGATCTAAACGGATTTATTATTTGCTCGCTCGAGCAAGAATTTTCTGTGAAGTAAGATGTTTACATGTGTTCAAGTTAAATCAAATCCGCGCAGCTGAGATCTGCCGGGAAGTCCTCCGGGGAGTAGCTTACATAATACTAAGTACCCACTTGTTGGCTTGAAACAACAAAAACAAATGATTCTCGATAGAAGCTAAAAACCGAACTTTAATAAAAAAGGTTCTCTTGTGATAAAATTTTATCTTTTGAAATAATTACTCATAATTGTAGTCGTCTTTCAGGGTTCTTCTTTGAAGTCGGTGCAATCTCGATTCTTTGAACACAAAACAGAGTACTCCTACTGATAGAGCAACCATTATTCTGATAATTTTGGAGACTCCTGAGATAACTCGAGATGATCGCCGTATCGCTCTCCTGAAAATTTATCTGTAAAAATTTTCAGATGGCAAGAATATTTACCTTTGCTCTTTATCATGATATCGAATCGCCACTAATTGGCTCTTCATCTCCACTGAAGAGCTTTTTCTCTAGAAAATATATAAAAACTTCGTTGTTAAATTTCCGAAATTCCAGCTTGCGCAATAATTTGAAGCCTCTCAAGAATGCTCAGGCGGCGCGCGCTCCTGCTCATTAGCGCCTCTCGCAGTCGAATGTCGAACAAGCGTCGGACAAGTTCTTTATCACCTGTCTAATTATGGTCGAGATGGTCATCGAAGACGTCGAAATGAAACAACGTGCATACTTTGCTCTTTAGAAAATGAGTTTTTATTAAAAGATTTTTATTGAGTAAATACAGGTATTTCGGAGACAGGAAAGATTTTGCAAAATTAAAGTCCGTGAGCAGCGACGGTCTGGCGAACCCAACTATCAGTTGTGAAAGCCGAAGTATAAAGCCCGGGCCATCCTTCCCAGGCACAGCCTTGTCCTCTAGAAACGACACCCATGAGTGTTGCTTTTCCGTCGACTGGGCAGACGAGGGGTCCGCCAGAATCACCCTGGCAAGCGTCAGAGCCAGGATCGGTCTTTCCATCGCCATCAATGTCAGGTTTGGATGCGCAGATATCATCTGCTTGAAGAGAAGAGAAGTAAGAATTCGCAACGCAGTATTCTGCGCTGAGAATATTCACTCCAACTGATAGCAATGTCGCACTTGAGGAACCCCCTGAGCTGGTCGTACCCCAGCCTGCGACCCAACAGCCAGCACCATGTTCCTTATCAGCTTTTGGAAGACAAGCAGGTCGAACTTGATTGTCTGGATCAGAAGCGATGATATCATTATTGAACTTGATGAGGCAAACATCGTTGTTTTGTGAGTTTCCATCGGCGACACGGGAGCCGTACTCAGGATGATTAAACCAGGCGGTGGCTTGGAGCTCATACTCGTTGCTATCCCATGCAGATCGATGCAGATCTCCGAATCGGGCGTAAATCGTCTGTATACCTTCGCAACAATGAGCAGCGCTCATTACCCATCTGTTGGCAATCACGCTACCGCCGCAAGAATACCACCAAGCATCATTTTCTTCGTCTTGCAGACTCAAGTGGGCGATCCAAGGCCAAGCGTTGTCGCCGGCTTCTACTCCCCGACGATTTTTCTTCGCTAGACAGACTTGTAAGTTCGGGGAAATTCTGTGCCTCAGAGCAAGTTTGAAGACCAGGAGTGATTGAATTGCTCAGTGGGGCGAATTCAGTCGGTGGCACCGTTGGAGGCTCAGTTGGTGCCTCAGTGCCTTGTCCTCTGCAAGATCTCTTCCAGAAATTCCTATTCCACGATGGCTTTTTGAAATTTCCGCGAACACAGAGAACTGCTCCTTTAATCTCTCCATCCTCGCAGACGACGTTAAACATCGCCCGTCTGGGGTTGACGATATTCTTCAATACGAGGCCTCCATCCTCAATAGTGATTGTGTCTGCTTTGACTTCACACATATGTGGTGGCCTAGGAGCGCAGGAGAGGGAAGTTCCCGCTGGTAAGTTCCTAGAAATTGAATAAATGGATCTATAAACAATGATTTTGTCTTACTTTTTAACAATCTTCGGTGATTTTTGGCATCTTGCGACGAATTTCGGAGCAATTCTACCTGGCTTAGTTTTCCAAGTCTTTATAAATCCGTCATTGCACCTTGGGAAGCACCAGATATTTGCAACTTGCTGTCCAAGCTTTGGACAGTTCCAGTATCCATTGTCGATAGGAAACTCGTTCTTTGTGTCTTCTACTTTTGATTCACAGGTTTCTGCTCTCTGTGCTCTTACTGCAGGAACGAAGGCTTCATATCTCTTCTCGTAATGTGCGGCGACCTGAGTGGCGAGGAAAAATTGCGACAACTTCATTTTTCTCTATACTATTGAAAATTGAATTTCTTATAGAGCGAATGAAAGTGATGGTCTGACACGAACGAAAGCTAGATTATATGGACCCATTTCTTGTTTTCAGTACTACCAAGACGAGGAAACCAAAATTGTTTATATTGCGAACATCATGCTCCAGGCGCTTGAATTTGAGCACTTGGTAATTATTAGACACGATTGAATATAAATACACTACTTTGAATCATAGACTAAAAATTCGAAGTAATCAAAATAATTGTTGACAATTGCATTAGTTTGTTGTAGAAATTGAAGTCATTTTGAATGGAATGAATATTCAGACTTGAGTTCAGCCGGAGTAAACTGTTCGTAAAACTGCCATCTATTTAACCCTATGCGTGACGATCAGAACTACCCCTATGCGTGACGCGGATGCATTCAGTGCATCCGACCCATCTAGAACAATTTTTTGCTCATTTTTGCCAATTTTAGAAGAAAAACAGCATGAATTCGCTGTTGTCAGTGTCTCAGAGACCGAAATACCCCCTTCTTCGGCGGCGAAACGGGCTCGAAGTTACGTAACATGCATCAAAATTGCTGTTCTCGAGACGAAAAATAGTAAAATTAGGACATTTTTTACGTTTTTAGGTTATTATAAAATCTGTTTTCAAAATGTTACGAAGCAGATTGGATGTGCTCTTGGACGTAGATTCTTATTCTTTTTAAATTTTTGAATTCGGGCGAAATTTGAGAGAGAAATGGAAAGAAAACCATGAGCGGATGCACTGAGTGCATCCGCGTCACGCATAGGGTTAAGTATGAATAAGATCACTCAATTTATATTCTAAGCTGGAATAAACTTCAACTGTATTGTAGAGAAAAATGAATATTCAGAACCAAAGTTAGCTATAATAAACAAATTGCTTGCATACAGCGCATCCCAATAAAATATGGATAATATCATCTAATATATATAAGGAGCTGAGTTTTGAGAAAAGTTTATCAAACGTTACCAAGAGAGAAAAATGAAAGTACTTCTTATTCAGTTTTATCTTTCGATTGCTGGTCCATTGAAAAATATGACGGCATGATAATTCCAATCAGTTTGCAGGCTGATTTTAACGTTGACAGATCTGCTGACTCGAAACATGGAACACATGGGCAAATTGTCCTTGACAGAGACAGGTTCTAATAAGTTCAATTGTTCAGATTTAAATTTATTGAAAGACAAAAACTACACTTCGATCGAATCAATCAGTACGGACTTCTCGATGGATTTTTCTGACTCCCTTTTCCCACTACTACTAGAATAAACACTCATTTTCCATGAATTTAACTCGATGCAACGTCGTTATGGGGCGTATCAGGAACACATGTTAGAACGCATCATCTTGTAAGACTTTTTGATTATGAGAATTCCAGCAGCTGAGGAATCTGCATTTGTGCACGTTCAAACACGAGACTAGTAAACGGCCAAAAATTATGAAATTCTTGCCTTTTCATGTTGCAATTGCTCAGGCAGCTTACGTAAATGAATGGATACAGAATTCGCTGTAGAGACGCTTTTTTATATCAAGCTTGAAATCGTTCTAGTCATTACTTATCCATGAAACGCAGCAAACTCATAATTACCCGGATTTCTTTGATCCCTCAATTCTACCAGAGGGATTTAGCGATGATGTGGCGCTGGCTAAGTGGCTTGAAGGGATGAAATTTCAACGTGAAATGATGGAATTAGAAAAAGCAAAACACGTACCAAAAGGTAAGCAAATCGACTGGCGATGTGAGGAGATTTCGTTTTCGATGGATGGGAGAGATCGATGTCAGGTAAGTGGCATTATTAATTCGATTGAGAGGGAGACATAGTAATTCAAGTTTGATGCGGAAACAACCCTCTGCAATTGCGCGGAGCTGCGAGCAAACAAAAGACTCGTCCGGTACTCACTTCCTTCTCACTCAGATCTCGACGATGGAGATGGCATTCCCGTAGTCATGATTTACCACGGCTGGACAGTTAGCTCGATCACTTCTTTTCGAACAGAAGATGACTACTATTGTCAGAATAATAAAGTAAGGGTCACACAGGCTCTTCTTAATGCGGGTTATGCTGTTTTTGCCCCGTCAGCATCAGCTCTTGGAGATAATCAAGACGGTGGCGAATGGGCTTACTGGCTCACTAATATTCCTGGCTACAACAATCTCGACAACTGGACAAAAGTTCCGATCACGAAATGCTCATCGACCTCTGGTCCCAGCTTTCTCGCGGCCTCCACGGATATAAATTCAACCTGAACAAAATCCACGCAGCTGGACTCAGCTCTGGAGGTTTCATGACCAGCAGAATGGGCTTTTCCTATCCTGGCATGTTCAGCTCCCTCTCCATCAATGCTGGCTCTTACTACAACTGCGATGGCATTTGCGACAAGTACTTGGATGAATTCGAAAAGAGATTAATTGATCTGCATCCTCCCACTCAAATCTTACAGGGAAGCACAGATCCTGTCGTAATTCCAAGCGCAAACGTTGACTACGATCGCGAGCTCAACAGAAGAGATTGGATCCCAAATCGAAGGATTCTGCGGGATCGAGTTGGACATAGATGGCTTGACGAGTCTCCGGAGCTCATCCTCGATTGGATAAATACCCACAACTAATACACCAGCTGATTTGAATAAATTACCTTCAAATATAATTCTAAATAACCCTTGTTGGAACTTCTGTGAAGATTTTCTACTACGTCAAATTTAATATGCCCAATTTAACGAAGAGTCCTTCTGGAAGTGCAATTAAGCCGCTTAACGAATGGGAAAAGGGACGAAATTCCCTAAAGAAACGATTCTTTGAGTTTCATCCCCTTTGAGGATATATGATGTAATAATTTATTGCATCAAAAGATAATTGTCAGATAAAAGATCTAATTGAACGAATAAATAAGTAAATGTTGCACTAATGTCGAACTTGAACTGACAGAAACTTGACCTCTGAAGCGATTTCTTAGTCCTTGTAGGCTTTCTTGAGGAATTCCTCAACCTGGGGCCAGATAATGGCAGTAGCGTTTCCAGAGAAAGTGTGGAGCTTGCCTTGTTTTGCGTAGAATTCTCGGAGCGGACCGCAAGTGTCTTCGTAGACCTAAAAATTTTAGGCTAAAATGAGCGGATATTCGGCTAAATTAATCTTTTATTGCAAACCTTGAGTCGCGCCTGAACAGTTTCTGGCTTGTCGTCATCTCGCTGAATTAAATCTTCGCCAGTAACGTCATCCTTGCCAGGCACCTTTGGATCGCTGAAACCAGTGTTGTAGACACGTCCAGAGCCAGGATGCACCCATCGTGATGTAAGTCGCTCCTAGCAAATTAATTCCCTAGTTAATTCCACGCGGATTAAGCTGCTTACTTCGATGACATCAAAGGGTACGTCTAAATCAATTACGGCATCGATTTCAACAGCGTTGCCGAGCTCTTCGGCCTGGACAACGGTTCGTGGAAAACCGTCAAGGAGGAATGGTCCATCGGGGATTTCGTTGATCACGATTTTTGTGACAAGATGATCGGGCACGAGCTGACCGCCATCCATGAAGTTCTTGGCTTCTTTGCCGACCCCGGATCCCTTTTCGACCTGATTATGATTAGAAAGCAAGCTTTTTTCCATGCTTCTACCTGCGCTCGAAGCATATCGCCAGAGCTTCGATGAGCCATCTTCTCATAGTTTTTAGTGATTCTAGCGGAGATGGTTCCCTTGCCACTACCAGGCGCACCCATGATAATAGCTCGAAGCTGTTGAGCAACAGTCAACTTCATCTTCCCTTAGAAACAATGGATCAGCTTTTGGTGTTTTTGTGTATAAAAATATATTCTGTAAGTATACAAAAGTAAGAGTAAATAATAATGAGCAATTAGCAGGATGAAAGTGTTTCTTAATCTCTGTTTTTGGCTTTTTCCTTTTCGCGCTGTTCGGCTTCTTGGCGGCGGATTTCGTTGGTGATTTGGGTGAGATCTTGAATGAATGTTTGAATTCGCTCCAGCTGGACGACGGTGTTGTCCGTTGGGTTCACCGAGCCGCGAGAATGTTTACATACAAGCTGAACGAGAATACATTTAAATTAGGTCTTACAAGCATAATTCAATATGGGAAGAGAAGATAACTGACCTGGTAAAGGTTGTGAGTTGCGATTTTGATGCGACCAAGAAGAAGCGTTTTCTTTGCCGCAGTGTTCTGGATATGCGTCCACTTTGACTCCCATTTCACCGCGTTCGACTGTGCCTTGTCCAGTTTTGTCTGTAATTGAGCCAGCTGATTGTTATAATGTAGAATTTGGTTGTTCTTCTCTTCTGTGAATCGTAGTAGACGCGTTCTTTCTTGCTCTGAGTTATCCTAAAATAGTATTTTAATTATAAACGAGCTTGAATAGTTTTTCTACCTGATTTTTTGCTCGCGATCCAAGAGATCCAAATGAGTGGCAACAAGGGTGTTGTATCGATCAATGATCTCGCGTACTTCTGAGAACTCCTCCGACGAGTCCAGTACTTTTTGCATAAATTTCGCGAACACCTCGTGCTTTTCTAGCTTTTTGTTGAGCAAGGCACGGCGAGAAATGAGCTCTTCTTGTTGCTTCTCAAGTTTGACGATTTCCTTGTCTAAATAAGCAAGTTTTAGAAAAGAATTAATTGAAGAACCACCTTTTATTCTGCACATTTCTCGCTCCTCTGCGGTCTTTTTAATCGCTCTTGCTCGTTTGGCATCATTTTCTTTCAAAAACTTGTCGAATTTTAAAAGGCTCTCTTTTAGCTGCTTTTCTTTTCGCTCTAGTTCTTCAGTCCTCTGCTGCAGGCTTTCCTGCAATTCCAAAATTGATAACGGATCGTCATTTATAAAATAATTACCATGCGCATCTGGAATTCTTCTTTCTGCGCGACGAGTGCATGTTCTACTTCTGCCATTTCTCGTCGCTCCTCAAGAAGACGAGTGGCTGAGGTAATATCGGCGTCATCGTTGTGCGGGGCTCTGACTATCAGTTTTTCCTAGAATTAACCGGTTGAAATCAAGGAAGAGAACGGAAGTTTCAGGCTTTGGTGAGGAAAATAGACATTACTTACATCGAAATTCTTGAAGTAATCCTTTAAATTCACCGTCCCCGATCCGCTCATTTTCTTCTAAAGTGGAAAAAAATGAAACGCGCACTCGTCGTGAAGAAGGTGTCTTGCAAACTGGGAATGTGCAAAAGTTTGGAGCAGAGCAAGGTGTAAACAGGATGCGATTCTAGAGAAAAGGGTTCACTTAGGTGTTTTTTGGTGGTATTTCAGTTGAGCGCGTTGATGAAATCGGTGAACTCGCTGATGTGGCCGTCGATTTTCGCGTTGAAGATCTTGTCGAATTCGTCGTCCTCGCTTTTGAAGGAATTTAAATTTGCCGATTCTTGGGACTTCTAAGTTTTACCTTTGGTACTTTTGAGTGATTTGATTTAGTCGCGATTCAGCGCGCGGGGAGAACGCCTGAAAACACTCTTATCTGAATGAAATAATGCTTTCGAACTCACTGGAAGGTCATGATTCTCTTCGTTGTCATCAATATCAAAAACAGGGATTGGAACGACATATACTGAGTTGTTTGAAGTTGTACTGCGCGGTGTTCCCGCTTCAGATGTTGCAGGTGTGACAGATGATTCTCGGGGTAATGGTAAGTTCAGCTAATATTTATGACATGAATGCATAAAATAAACTCAATATCAAAGTAAATAAATACATAAAAATAATCAATTGTTAATAAGGGGACCAATTGTTCCAGTGGTACAATAAAATTGAAACTATTCCAAAAGAATATTTTAAGATGGTTCATCTTTTCGATCAAAAGTAATCACCTTGTGATTAAACTTAAAACTTGTTTTTTATACGTGCTATCCCTTGAAGATCATCACCTTAGGTACAGCAGGCGTAATAGTTGAAATTGGAATATCTTCCCTCGGTGGCGTATTCTCCTTTTCAATATCTTTCAGCGCTTTCTTTAGGTTTTCGTATTTTGCTCGTAGTTTTTTCATATTTTCGTTAACAGTATCACGCTCGATGGACATCTCTTTATTCTTGATGGAATCTGCTTCGAGGATGATGTTTTTCGTTCGCTCGTCGTTGAACTTTTCTTCGCTCTTTTTCAACTGCTCCTTGAGCCGGAGTTTATCGTCCTTAAGTACTGCTATCTCTTCGAGCAACCGGTCGTTTTTCCCTTGAAGATCGGTGATCTCTTTATTCTTCGCGTGCACTATTCGTCTGTATTTATCCGGGCGCGAGTTGTGGTGCTTTTCGAGCTTTAAATACGCATCTTTCAATGCTCCCATGTCAACTCGAAGCTGCTTGATGCGATTTTCATACTCAAGTTGTTGATTTTGAATTTTCAGCTTTGCAGCTTTTTCCTAAAAATTCAAGATAAATTGAAGGAAGAACAAGCGCTTACATTCTGAACAGCTTTATTGTACTGCGCTTCCCATTCGCTTCGTTTTGCTTCTACCATCATATCGACCTGGTGAAGCACCTCGGCGATCTCTGGTCCACATGATTCGATAAGCTCCGACGCGCCGAGCTGATTCCAAAGTCCATCAGACGTCGTCATTCTGAACAACTTTACTCTCAACAAACAATAAAATCATGGATCATCTTCGATAACCATAAGAAAATAGCAATAACTTTGTAAGAATCCATTTAAATGGGTCCCTAAACGGGCTTGGATTCGCAACTCGGGATTGGAGAAGGAACAGTTTTTTATTCTTTTCTACGTTCCATTTATCGAAGGCGAGATCATCCTCTGACGTAGTTTTGCCAGCATGCTTGGCAGTCCAGTAATTAGTTTCATGTGCTATATATGGGCTTTAAAATAATTTAAATAATGGAACTTTGAGATGTTTTATCATTAAATTTTATGACTATTATTTAAGGAGAGAGCGGGTAAAAATATGTGACGTGCCGATATAAAATCATAAAACTACGTAAATTCTCTCTCCAATATAACAATTTTTAAAGCCTCCCAAAGCATTCAAGCTCGAATTGCTGTAGATTTTCTCGAGCTTTTGTATTCTCATCCTCTACAAAATCATTTTAAACACACAAGAATTTATACTTTTAATTACCAATATTCGTGAACGAAATCTGCGGGACACCGCTTTTATATCCCTTCACTTCCTCCCAAGGCTGCCCGTTCTTTAAAATATGCGTCGCTCGCGTAATCTCATAAAGCTTCTTTTGCAAAAACGGAGATCTTCCACCCCTACTCAGTCTGACCGATAAATACATCAAGAACTCTGAAACCGCGAAAGTTAATTTACACTTTATTCATGATCTCAGTGACTTTCCATTATACAGTATTTTTGTTCAGAAATACAGTTAGGTACATGTTTAAATGGAGTAAAAACCACCGTTGTGCTTTCGGGAGTATCCTCGGTTGGTCGTGGCGTTGTGATGTGAATGGATCGCTCCTGGATGAGGTGAGTTTCTGAAGATAATTCGTTTAGATTTTAGCTATATTTTCAAGAAAAATAGCAACAGCGACATCGTCCGATAACGACTCTTTCTATCCTCCCTCTGATTGGCCGAGCTTGGAAAGGACCAATCAGAGCAAAGTATAGATTAGTTCGCTATCAACGGAAGAGAGTTAATCTTTTCTCATCTCTAGAATCGTTTTTTTTTTGTTTACTTACTTGGTATCAACTGATCCGGTGACAATCCGTAAAAGCTTATTCTCATGATCATTAATCTTATGATCTTCTTCATCGTCAACGTTTGTCTGTACTCTATTCTTGAGGATGACACCATCGGGATTGCCGCTGGTCACTTTTTGTCTGAGCACGTAAGGCTGATTCTTGAGGAAATCGTTGTGGTGGTCGTATACGGATTTCAATTCAAAGTCGAGACAATCGATTGGCGCGTCGCGGTTGAAGTGGTAGATCTCGCGACGGGCGCTGGATAGCGTTGGTGTGTCGAAAAGACGAGTTCCAACATCCTTATCAAACGGTTTTAAGCTGAAAAATTGTTAGTAAACTCACAGTTTTTCGATAGTCAGTCTTTCTGCCAGGCTGCGGCGCGTGGAACTGCTCGTCACCCTCCAACTTTGGGTAAGGATAAGGATCCCGCTGAGGACTTGGAATTTGATTGAGACCTAAAAACGAAATGGGAAATAGAAAATCGAAAAATTGACTGCTTACCCATATTTAAACGACAAAACTGATTTTCCTCCGAAAAACGGGTTGAAAATAACGGACATTCTAGAGATGAGGATTTTTAAAGTAATGTTTTTTTCTTTGGCAGTGATAAATTATCTGTTAGGAGTTAAAAGATAAGGAAATGTTAGAATGTATGGAAATATTTGACCGGACCTATTAAGATTGAACTGGATACTCAGAGAGAGAATCTTCATCGACTGATGAATAGCCCGGAGGAGAGCTTCCAGCGGGAGAAGGACAGTTAATCACTGGGGCGAAAGCGGGAACGAGGTCTGGGACAAGTTTCTCTGTCGAAGCGCAGACGTTTTCTAGGTAAGTTGGTAGGTTTCGCAGCAGATCTGTGTTTGGCTCCAGCATCGCGCTTGTAAAGGACTTGCTCTAAAGTTCAATTACGTAAAGAGGTGGACAGTTCTCAGATTTTGTACTTTTTCCATTAGGAAGAGGATCATTTCCGCGGCATCGGATACTTCCTCCTGATCTTTCAATTGTTTTTCAATTTGGTTAATGCTGGGGCCGAATCCATTTTCCGAATTCAAATTGCGCCTGGCTTGAAGCTTCTCAGCTGTGTCTTGCGTACAGTTGGTTTGAGCAACAGTCCCGCCAGTCGAGAGCGGCTCCCGAGACGCAGATAGGTCCAGTCCGAGGTCTCGGAAGTACTGCTCCTTTGGCCCTGTTTTTGGCGTTGTCGGAGTTTGCTTTTCTTTGTTGCTTCGGGTTTGCGATCCAGAAGTGGTGTAACTCGTGTTCATGGACAAATCGAGTCCGAGATCTTTCATTGTTTCTTGGAACCCAACTTGTCGGATTTTTTCGCGAATCGGACTAAATGAAAAAAAAAACAATCTTAACATATTCAGCAGCTCTAGAAGATTTACCTGAATCCACTGCGTGCGGCATCATCGTCAGTCGTCGGATCAAAGCCTTCACTTCCACCACTTAATAAAACTAGCAACTTATCGATAAAGTAATCACTTACGGGCCCGCTACTGAAGCTTCGCTTGCTCTTCTCACAGATGGTATTCTTCGTGAAGCCGTATTTTGGAAGAGCTGGTCACTTCGACAGTAAGTTATGCCGTCATCTTCTGATGTGATTTTTTCCTCAGAAGTTGTGCATCTAAATGGTTGCTTTCAGCATATTTTTCTTCTTTCAAACTCTTTTTACTTACGGAAGTCTGGTAAGAGTCGTGAGAGGAACTCTTTGTTTGTCAATGTTGGAACTCTTTGGAATAAAAAGAGGCGAGTTTGAGTTTGAGGACGGCTCTAGCTGTAACTGTTTCACCGCTCTGACTTTATTTGGAGGGGTGTTTTCCAGGTTCGGCTTGGCTTGAATTTGCTTCTCCCTTCTTGCTTGTCTTGGGCTCAATCGCTTCGGCTTTTCTTTGACTGACTTATGATCATCGTCTGTTTCTGACGATGGCTTTCGATTCTTTGATCCTCGTTTTGATCTGCGCAACCGTCGATTTTCCGCGGCTTTCTTCCTTTTTGCTGATGGTAGCTCGGAAATATCCAGCTTTTGCGGAGTCGTTGACTTTCTCTTTGCACTGCCAGTTGGTTTCCCAAGCTCAAAAGAGTTGTCTGGCGTCGTTTGATTGACAGTCAGATTTCTGGAAATAGAGGCAGGAGATTTAACGGCTTTCGAAGATGCCTGCGACTTCCCCTCAGAGACACTCGACGATGATTGCTCAATATTCTCGTTGGATCGGTCTTTTGAGAAGGAGCTAATACTGCAGGAATCATTCGTTAATTCAACTGTATAATCAAACTCAGTGGCGGCGCGACAGTCGATAACAATTGGTCTCCGAGAAGTTGATGCAGAATCAATTTCAGCGAAAAGCTCTGTACTTTGATCGACAGTGCTTTGTTCGGTCGCAGTGCTTTCAATTACAGTTTCTTCCAGTCTACTTCCTTCTGAGGAATTAGAAGTGCTGAGCGACGTTGAGTGTTCTGGAACTTCTTGATAAGAATACGAGTTAGAGCTCAAGGACAAGTCAGATTTGTCTTGACTTTCGTCCATGCTAACATCTTTATTTTCAATCGACGCGACTGAGGAAAGCGTATCGTCATGAACAGGAGTGCTGGCTCGTTTTCTTGAGCCATCGGTCGAGGCTATTTCTTCGATTGAAATTTGCGCTTCACTTTTCTGGGAAGAATCATCGATTTGTAAGGCAGGTTCTGCTGATACAGATGTTTTGGAATCATTCAAATCCATTGGAATTTCTTCAATTTCCAAATCCTCTTGAAATTCTGGGATCAGTGAAAGATTTTTACCAAAAAGAGAACATGCCGCGTCGAGAGATGTGATTGAAGATTGACTGACTGAGTATTCTTGCGATCCAGAAGACGTTTTTGAAGATGTATCGATGACTTCAGCACTTGTCGCACTTGAGCTTTCGGATGAAAGTGTCAGCCCCGAAAGAGGATCTGCAGAAATATGACTCTGTAAACTTTTTTGGTTTTCTTTATCCTCAGCATTGAAACTGGTATCAGGAAGTACACATGCCGATTGAGAGAATACGGTTGATGAATTTCGGTCATCTAAACAATTTTGCTCATCAGATGATACGGTTTTAGATTCTACAGATAAATCCCCAAACTGTGCTTTATCAGAAGGTCGACTTGCGCCTTGATCAAGTTCTCCTGATACCCATTGTTTAGTTGATGCAGCCTTTTCCTTATCTTCTTCTTCATCCTTGCTTTCTTGAACTTTCTTCTGTGATTCTTGAATGTGCCCAGAGTATTTCCCTTCCTCTGGAACTGGTTCTTCAATTGAATTTTCAATCTCACCTTCTTCCAAAATCGATGCTTCAACTTCACTTTCTTCAATTGTGTCATCAAGCTCGCCGTCCTCTTTCTCAGAGGTGTCGATATCTCCACTTTCCGTGCAGCTTTCAATAGAGCTTTCAGCACTCGTCCAATCTCGCTCAGATTCTGACTTGTCAGATGATTGAGGTTCCGCTGAGTTCAGTTGTATCAGAATTTCATTCGCCAAGGCCCCTTCAGTCAATTCTGTCGACTCATCACGTGTTTCTCCAAAAGTCAAGTCCGTTGCAAATTTTTCAAAGCGACGTGGTGTAAGTCTTTCTTGAGATTCTTCGATGCGCACCAAGTGCTCCGAGAATTCCAACGTAACTGGGTCGAAGGATGGCAACGTATTAACGGTGTCTTTTTCTGTCTTGCCACGCATTCCAAGAAATTGTTTCGCATTCTGTTTCGCCTGACGTGTCAATCTCAAAGGAGATGAGGTGACTGTAAGTTTCGGTCGTTTTTTCGGCGATCCACGATTTGGTGAAAATGAATCACTGTCTGATTTTGTCGATGACAATCGTTTTCTTAGTTCAATCCTTTTGAATTCTCGATTCAACTTGGAGCGCTGTTCTGTTTCGACACAGGAAATCTCTCTTTCCACAAAATCAGCTTTCTTTGGTATATGTTCAGAAGCATTTGACAATTTAGACCCAGAAGTTTGATCTTCAGCTGTGGATGATGAAGCATTCCTTGTCAAAAGAGTGGTAACCTTTGCATCGCTGACTTCGTCGTTTCTCACGATATGTATTTTGTACTTTTCGGATATCTTCTTCATGATATCTTGTACCGTTGATACCTGAATAGGAGAGAAAGATACTGGAATATCAGCTTGTGTTGCAAAAGAGCGTCTCTCTGGCGATAGAAGATCAAGCGTTTGAACTTTCTTTTCGTCTGTGAAAACTTTTCGAAGATCATCTGGTTTCACACTTTTCATATTTTTATCGTAGTATTCCTTCGCCTTTTGGATTTGAAGCCTTTCAAAATCATTTTCTAGTCTTTTCCAGTTCTCATCCGTTGTTGCTACTCCAGCCGACCGGACTTTGATTCTTTCCGTCTGCGTTTCAGCATGATCCTTGCCAAAGAAAACCCGAAAGTACTGTCTTTCATCCCACTGGTCTCCTCTTATCAATCCGTTTTGCTCGCTCGAGTATCTTCGCTCCGCAGCTTCTTTTTCCAACCTCATTCGATTATGCTTTTCCGCCTCGCTTTCATTCACTTGTTTGTGGTATCTGTACCGTTTGAGGTAGATTGAATGGTACATATTCATCCTTTCTTTTTTCGTCTGGCACTGCAGACGGAGAACGTCAACTTCTGACTTGGCCTCGGCAAGTTGGCTTCTAACGAACTTAAACTCGCGCAATGCAGTTTTTCGCAGCTCAGAATGGCGCTTAAGTAATTTCGAATTATCCTCTTCTATTTTTCTTTTCCTCTGATTTAATTCTTCAAACTCGGTTTCCTTCTCCGCCAGTCGTTCCTTGTACATCTCAATTTGCTCCTCCAACTTATCAGTCATGGCAAAATGGTCAGCAAAAGCATCGAATGGCGCTTCTTTAACATTTCTTCTCTTCGCTCGTTTTTCTAGCTTTTCTTTGTATTTTGCGTTTTCTTCCTTGACTTTTTGAACATCACTCGCTTGATCCGTACAAAGTGTTTTGTACATGTCGTGCGCTCTTTGCAAGACATTTTTCTCATTTTCCACCTGCGCAAGTCTCATTTGAAGATTGGTTATTATCATCTGTTGATTCTGATGTATAGAATCTGACGATCCATTTCTTTGGTTCCGAAGTCGACTGTTGTAACTTGACATACTGTAACGAATTTTTTTAAATGCAACAGTTGGTTTTTTTCAATGATTTAATGCTAGATGCGTGTAAGTAGTAGCCTGTAGTAAGATTTGTGGCTAATCGAAAATTTCGCGCTAGCAATTTCATACAGTTTCAAATAAAAAAATCAAGCATCACACACTTTTAAAAGTCGAATCAATAGCGCGCCAGGATAGAAAGGGAAGTTTAAAATCATAAATCTCGAGGGATTATATTTTGGATTTATAAATTACTTATTTTATGAAGCTAATTTCGATTGTTATTTATTTTCTTATAGATCAAAGAGTCAAACAGTCGCGATGATACTTCTAGCTATCAGATGTCTATCAGATAGCTAGAAAGGTAAAAGAAAGCGTATTCTTGAATAGGAATTTTTTTAATAGGAATTGAATTTTGAAGGGTCAAAGATGTTTCTTTTCATTTGTTTATTTCAGTGAACTTGCGAACAGGAGAATTGTTATTGTTATGCACCGAGAAAGAAGGAGTGCGGCTGAATCAATCAAGAACTCGGCTGTTTGATCATTGAACCCTTCTAGATTCGAACGAGTAAACAGGTAATTGTGGCTGGATTTGGTACTAAAAACTGAAGGCGACGCAACTCTGATGCTAGCAGTAGATGAGAAAAGAACGGTTTTAAAAACACCAAAATAACTTAAAAAGATCCAACTGTAGCCGGCGTTTTCGTCTTCTCCACTAAAGGAATGGTTATTTCTGAATTTGTTGGGACGTTTACCTGAAATACTTGTATCCACCCTCTGCTGCGAGTTCTCCGAATTCAATAACGTCTTCATAAATTCATACGCCAACCATGAAAGTGCACAACCAGGCGCTGCCGTGATCACTCGTGCCCAACAGCCGCGGAAAAAGGGACGCACTGGATCGCCTGGGTTGATTTCTCTGATTTTATATACAGCTTCTTGCCAACTACCAACATAACTTCCTCCTGATAATTTTCTTGTCGAGCACTCTAAATAAGAAATCTCAAAATAAGGTTGGAAACATCATGAATACACCAAAATAGTCTTTCATCATTCAGAAAAATCGGAGACAACAAGGACTCGAGATTTCACGCAGCATCTCAGGATAACGATATTCTCTATTCTTGATGAAATAATCGTTATTCTGAGAAGCCAATGTCATAAAATGAAAAAGACTCACCCGTGGGACAAGGATCACAATTAACACCTGCGGCCGCGAGTTTTCCCTCTTGAGTATTGAGAACAGTCTTTATAACATCAAGCGGGGTGGTGACGAATGCTGCGACTCCACCAGCGACTGCTCCGCAAAGAGCGTTCGTCGACGGGGAGTATGTATTTTGGGGATTGACGGCGTCTTTCAGCGAGTCGTAAATTCCAAAGTGAATGAATGAGAATGGCACTAGAATTGATTTTATTCACGAAAATAAGCCTCAAATATTCATACAAATAGATTCATATATTCCATAGATTCTTACGATTCATAACCAACTGTGTAGGAAAACTCAGATAAAACGCAGAAAAGCCCTCCGTCCTGGCGATTTGAGAAACGATCCGCGAATAAGACATATTCAGATAAGGCGAGTTTTTCATTTGCAATCTTTGTTTGACGACATCGCAGGGATTCATCCAGATATCATGGAAAAAGGCACCGAAAGCTCCACCAATGTTGGAGGCAAAAGGGATTTTCTTCGCTTCCAATTTAGATTTAACATTTTCTTTGTTTAGGGCTCAGAAAGACGTAAAACTCCAGTTATTTAAGTTTGATCAAGAAATTCAGAGTTATAAATGACGACAATTCGTATACTTTCAATGAGCATAAAACTTGTTCAAGTATAAATTTTTAATTTATCAAGAGGAATTCGAAGCAGTTTTCGTTTCAGCTCTGTAAATCACTCTTACAGGGTTTTATGCAAGAATTAATTTAAAAAACGTGCTAATTCAAGGTGATTTATAAAGCTTTTGACGTAAATTTGCAGCTCAATAAACTCTCCTTCAAACAGAGAAGGTTGAGTTGTACGTCAAATGATTTTGATTTATTTATGAGCCCTAGTCGTAACAAAGGAACTGAATTGCATGAGCGGGGCCGCAGCCAAAGGCAATGGCTCCGCTGCCCCGGGCGAGTGGTCTCGCGCCTTCCGACTTTACCAGACTTGTCATAGCTGTGAAGGGGTTCTGCGTCGCTGGAGCACATCCCTGTCTCAGTGACTGCATCCGCGTCTTGATCACATCAATCGGATAGACGGCTATGTGTTCAAAATAACCAGCAGTGGCGCCAGCAGCAGCGTTAACCATCATCGACTGCTGACCCCCGAGACTTTCGTAGTCGATTTCGTCGTCTGCCATTTTTATCTCTTAATTTTAAAAATTCTCCTCTTATGATAAGAGTCTTATCGAAAAATTGTATTTTTGTTTTTATAAATCAGCTTCAAGATTTTGAAAAGGGCAAAAGAAGATTTTTGAAGAAAGATATTGAATTTTGAATTTGGAGCGCGGTGATCCAAGTTGACGCAACGAAAAAGTAAACGCAAGCGCCCAGTAAGGAGCCAGCAATGATGTCAGACAGGTAGTGACGCCCGAGCCACAGACGCGAGAGAACAGTCCAGAGCGTCGTAAGATAAATCAGTAATCGGTAGAGGGATTTTAGGTGGAACTCTTTGCAAAGGAATGTTGCGATAAAGACGATTCTAAAGGGCTTTTTTTAGTGTAAGTTTTATTGAAAAATCGTACCTAGAAGCATGGCCAGAAGGAAACGAATACTGATCTGGTCCGATCATCATCGTTTCGCCAACTTGAAACTTTGGCCGTTTTCTCTTGACCACTTGTTTTATCGTCGCACATGCCACTATATCGAGAATCAAGCCAAAAAGAAAATTCAGGCTCTGCTCGTAAAGCCCGTTTCTCGGGTACGTTAGGTGATAAATCCCGATCGCCAGCCATATGATCCCATTTCCAAGAACCTCCGTCACTTCGCACAAGATTCTCAGTGAGCGGGAGCTTGAGCAAACTGTAGCCATTGAAGCAGAGAAAGCCTTGTCAACGGCGAGAATACAGTCGCATAGAATGTTCGGAATTCGCGAGGAAGTCAAGTCCATTGATTTGCTTTGGTCATGCTTTGGCTTGCTTTGTGTAGCTTTTTCATGGTTCAAAAATACAAAGCCCACTTATTTTTCTTTAATTTTCAATATAGCTTAGAGACAACAAGGACTCATCTTAGGTGTCAATTTAATCATGCAAGAATCAACCAAGTTCCTTTTGGCGAATCATCATTAGAGCTTCCCGATTCAGACTCGGTCTTTACTTTCCCGCTCAGGCCAATTCTCCTTCTTCTTGCCTCTCTTTCCCTGCTTCTCTTTGTTTTATACATGTTTAGGTAGCTCGTATCAGTAAATCGTAATCTCTCTGATCTTTCTGAACAAATCAAATTCGTATTTTCGAGTGTTTATTTAAATAAAAACTTTGTATATAAAATAAAAAGCAGAGAAATTAGAAAAATAAAGTTAAAGAGCAAGAGTTGTTGCATGGCCAAATTTGAGATTTTCAGCTGACGGAAGAACAGTTGATGGATTCACTTATTTTTAGCTTTATTCGTCGAGCCCGTCGCCAAACGTGGACGTATACGATGTTTTCAAAAAGTTAACATAAGACTGCATGCTGCGATTCGTAGCTTCCGAGTGATCCAGGCGCTCTCGGAGGTCGGCAAGGGTGTGCTCCGAGCGTGCTTCCAGCTCGTCCCGTTGCGATTTCACAGCGCTATAATGACGATAGTTATGATCAGTTGTTTGTTACCGGGATTACCGAAGCTCGCCCTTTTGACGCGTAAGTTCCAGTTCAAGATCAGAATATTTTGTCTGGAGAGAGCGCTCCTTGATTTCATACTTTTCCCGCTCGGCGATCAGGGTTCGCCGGGCTTCGGCATTAGCAGCTTCAATTTGTCTTTCAAGTGCTGAAGGTGCATTCTATTGACGCTCTCATCATTCTGATCTCTTACCATTAATGCTTTGTTGTCGCTCGTCAGCGCGAATTCGCCACTGGTTCGTTTCGCTTCTCGCGATATCGAGCTCTTCGGTTGTCTCTTCAAGCGCTTTTTGAACTTCGTCGAGTCTTATCTCCGCCGCGCTAAGTTTATTGTGATAGATCTTCATTTCTGACTCGTTTTGCTCCGTCAAGATCAGTTGCTTTTGAGTTCGGTCGAGTTGGAATTGAAGATCGGCGTTCTTTTCTTCCAAAGACCTGATCTCGCCAAGAGCTTCGTCCAATCTGAATGATTTGTGAAAGGGGAGGAGGCAGGCGGTCGTTACCTTCTATGAGCAATTCGAAGTTCTTCAGGAAGATCCTTGAGAGCAGCCATGGATCCCATGGCGTCCTCCCGCGCCAGATCGAGCTCTCGATCTTTACGATAGTTCATATCCTGAATTTGCGACTTCAACTCGGCGATAGTGATCTTCATCGTGCTGATTTCACGCGCTTGTTTTGAAATAGTCTCTTCCTTGATTTCATTCTCGGCGGTGAGAGTGGCAACCTTCTCTGTCTTGAATTCGAGGTCTGAAAAGGAAACTGAATGGAGATTGAAAAGACTGCTCGTGAAATTGATAAATGGGTAACTGTGGGAGATAAATGAGACTGAAAGACTCTCACCCCGCTTGACCGGCTTCTTTTCATTCGATTTTGATTTATTTTTTCCTTTATTGACTTTTTAAAATAAAGTATTTCGATCGAAAGGTACCTCGTTCATTCCGCTTATGATTCAGATTGCTTTCCTCTGCATCGACAGTATTTCTGATGGATCGTTCCTTCCACGCAGCTAACTCGTGTTGGCTGCGTTTAAGATCGATGCTTAGCTCGTCGTTCTTGAGCTGTAGCATTTCCGCCTTTGTCTTGTGATGTCTGCAAGCTCGCTTGAGCGCTTGTTTTTCTTGATCTAATCGGATCTTCCCATTTGATGCGCGTTCAGCTTCCAGGAGAGCTTGAGTATCCAAGAGTTGTTTTTTTCGTGGATCGTTCGCGCGCCTTAATTTCCCTGAAAGAAGTTCAACGTATTATCGTTTTACCTGAGAACGGTTGAGTTCACCCTCTCTGGAGAATAATTCTCGCTGGATCTTCGCTTTAACGTCTTCAAGATGAGCAACTTTGGCATTGAGCCTCTCTGCCTTCTCCCGCTCAATTTCGGTATCAACACGGAGTCCAGCCAGATCTTGCTCTTTATGCTTCAGCTCCGACTTCATGATCGCCGTCTCTGAGTCAGTCTTGACCAATCTTTCGACAACTGCGTCTCGTTGTTCCTCAAGTCTCTGGACATCGAAGTTCGCTTCTTTGAGCACATTCATTTTTACTCTAATATCACGCGAGAGCATCATGAAACGATCTACTGCGGCGGGATTCGTGAAATCGAGCGTTTTAAGATCGAGCTCGGCTGAATGGTACTCGTTGATGGTACTTGAGTGGAAGAAGAGGAACTAACCTTGAACAAGGAGCTTTTGAAGAGACGTGCGCTCGAGGCTAGCGGGAGACTCGCGAGGAAAAGTTGAGTACATTTCTGTTACTCGTGGAGGTTCTTGTTCGATGACTAGTACTCATTGAAAACAAGGAAGAGATGTAATTCCCTCACCTTCTTTAATTGGGGGGATTTCCACTTGATGAACGTCCGACTGTACTTCTGTATAAATGTCGTCTTCGACCGCTGGTACTTCTACTCCAGTCGCGTCCGCTTTACTCGCTGTAGTCGCCAAATTGACAATTTCTTCCGATAGCGTTTTGTTGAGCTCTTGCTCTTTTTGGAGGAGTGCGGATTTCTCGCCTAGTTTCTCTTTTAGTTGAATCACTTGATCCAGAAGCTCGAAGATCTGAGTTTCTGATGCTGAGTCTACGGTTCGGCAATGTGTAATTGTAAAAGCTAATCTCTATCTATTCATGCGCTAACAAAGCCGCGCTTTCTTGCTCAAAGCTTCAAATTCAACGATTGTTTGGAATTGAGCTCTGAGCATAAAAGCGTTGAGTAAATATTAGCCGACAGAACTATGGAATGTAAAGCTAGTAATGACCATTTTCTATCTAATCTTTTATCAAAATCATTTTACCTAGGAAATGATTTTAGTGAATTAGTGATTGAAATCATGGAGGAAAATCATATCAAAAGTTAGTGCAAAACCAAATCACTGAGGATTGAACTTTCTGACCAGTTGCATTTTTGGAAGCAGGCGCCTTCGTTTTCGTCTTCTGCTGTGGGCCGTCGCCCATTCCGCTTTCGTCCCATTTTAAGTCGCCACGAGAGTCTCTGAGTGATGAGCGTCCCGGTGCTGGGATCCCTGTTGTAGGAAATTAGTGATTAGAGTCGGTATAAATGGAGGACTGATAAAGGAGTTGAGACTTACATGGTCGTTTAGGAGATGCATCCCGCTTGTAGGGGCTACGCGTGCGGCTCTTTTTTGGCGATTTAGAGCGCGTCGATTTTCTCCCGTAAATCTGCTGAACGCTCGGCGTCTTTTTAACAGCTACCTCGACCTCGGTCATCCTCTGAAATAAGTTAATCGTTGGGTTGGTAGCTTTGAGTTGTTTCTGAATTGAACTTTGAAGTAGAACTTTTTTCTTTCGTTTTTTCAAAGGGCGAAATATTCAAAAACTTGACCCTCTTTTCTTCAGAATTGCTTCGAATAACTGTTAGGTGATGATTTTAAGGGTAGTGTGGTGAAAATAACGCGCATATGAACTTAAAATGGGATTCTAGAGAAACGGAAGAAACATAAACAAGGTAAACTTCCTCCTCAAAGTTGGTGATTATGTGACTGAACAAAATTCTTGCCTAGAGCATCATTATTGCTGTTTTTCATCCCTCGCAGCTTTATAATTTATAAATAAGAGAAATGTGAAGGGGTTTGTTTTTTGAAACGATGAAGAAGCGATATTTTCTGTAATGTTTAGTTTTGAACTTGGAAAACTTCCCCACGGGCAGTCGAGATGTGGCTGGTGAAGAATAGTGAATTCGTTTTTTTGGTTTTTGTTTCTACAGCGAAATCGGAGGAAGGAAAGCTCACTGGGACGCTGGTTCATATCGTGAAGAGGATTCAGAGGTTCCCGAAGCTAGAAATGCAATTTAAAAATATGGATTTACAGCGAAGCCGTACTTGTTGAAGAAACTGTATCAGGCTCGCTAGTAGCAGCAGTGTCGAGTAGATCGTGGCCCATGTCGCAAATACGCTCGGCTGATGCCGTTCTCATCAGCTCATAGCCTTGTGTATGGTCTAAAATGGCGATAAAAGAACGAAGAAAGGTTGCCGCTTACCATGAGAATGACCACTTGGTGCTTCGGCTAAACTCATCTTTAGCCACTTGAGACCTTCTTTTAGAGAGCGCAAGATTTCCTCGTTGTTGTAAATGGCGCGACGCACTGCGTCTTCCGAAGCCATGAGTTTGATAATGAGCTTCAGTGCTTGGTACGCGCGAGTGCCTGTGTTGGAGTTCGATAAACCCCGCACCGTCTTTATAAATTTGTTTGGGTAAAATTATATTTCAAATCACCTTTTCGATAATACCAAGAAGGCCATTCTCATGCGCATTCCGGAGAATAAACATTATCCTAGCGTGCTGCAACGCATCATCTAAGACACAGTAGCACGCGAGTAAATGCGTCCAGAAAGTCGGAATATCGGGCGTGTTTCCAAACACGAAATTCCAGACGATATCGTCTGCGATCAGCTTTGACATCTTTCTGTTGTTGAAGAGAATAAACTAGGCAAAATTCTCGAATCAAGAAGAATAAGGGTTAACCCTACTTTTGTGAATTCGAACGCAATATCGGTCTGTTTCTTCAATTCGGAGTCTCGGATAAGTCTGATGATAGTAGTGCAATTTGCACCTTTGTCATCTTCAAAGAGCTTCATTGCTTCGGGGTCGAAATATGGCTTCTCCATCACTTCCTCCGAATTGGGCATCTTGATATTCTTGCCATATGGGCTATTTCTAAAGATAAAAATAAAATCTTATTAGGGTAGAAAATCTTACGAAGGATGATCTGGCATGGTGTACCGAGACATGTTGCAGTGTCTCGAGAGCGTAGCTACCAACGAATAGAGCTTCGCCATCCCGGCTGATTGCCGATAAGAACTTTGATATCTTTCCGATTGGAGGGCTAGCGAGGTCAAATTGAACAACAATCCATGGTCGATATAAATATACAAAGGCGGAGCAAGTCCCTCCTGCAGCGGGAAGCGAAGAAGCAGGTCCAGAATAAGGAAATACTGCTCGGATACATGTACATTGCTCCGGTTATCTGGGCTTGAAATTGACACGAGGTCTTGCATACAACGCTCGCGGAGCTTGCAATTTTTCTGACAACAAACAGCCAAAATCTTGGCGACAAACAGCCGGATATCCTCATTTGGACAGACAAACTAAAATAATGTAAGACATCGAGTTAAAAGTTCTTTCGAATACCAAATATTGACGGAGAACTTCTGGCGTGAAATACTTGAGAACGGAGTCAGCAAGATAATCGTCCGTTACCACTAGTTCTTTGATTATCGTGAGCCAGGAAATATCTTCAGTGTTTTGAAGGAAGTTGACTTTTCGATATTGCTGGTGGAGCTTCGAGGCAATGTTGACAACGAATGACATGCCAAGGTCGAGTGCCCATTTTGCGAGTTGCTACGAGGAGTTTTGATTTACACCAAGCGATGTTTTCTGATATTTACCTTTGTTTCTTGCCGGATACCTGTGCCCTTGTTTCCGCCATTTCTTCGCCACTCTTCTCTTATTTTCTCGTAGCTAGCGTGGACCAAATTGATGTGGAAATCGATAAATTCCTGCGAGAACATCATTCGCTGGTGCCGCATTTCAGCATTTTGCTGCTCTACTTCCTGCTTGATGTGGCTAGAAAATTAACGAAATGGAACGGACTAATCACATTTTTACGCAGTCTACCTTGGCATTGTTACTGGCATTTGGCGGCGATCGACAGCTGGTACGCAGAAACTCTCAGAAGTTGACGAGTTGACGGAAATATCAGAAAGGCCTTGGGAGAGATTCTGGATAGAGCTTTCCTCGATTGATTCGTAGAAGAGCAAATAGGCATTCCACCAGCGGCGGCCTCGGCGGGATTGATTTCTCCTCCCGTCCCAGAATTCGCCTTGATCTCCGCCAAAGCACTCACCTGCCAGCTGCTCATCGCTCAGGTCGATCTCGCTGACCTCGCAATCGTCGAATTTCAGCCACTTGGAGTTTGGCTCGGCCGTCTCTCGCACAAAAGAATAGTAGTGCCCGCCGCTTGCCTGGCCAGAATGAACAACAACGCCCTTGAGGCGATAGTTGTTCTGACTCACTTCAGTTTCGGAATTGTCAATGCCCGCTTCTGTGAATGGAGCCATGTTGAGGACGCGCGGAAACTCAAAGTAGTCGTTGAATTTGATCGATTCCTCGCGCTCCCAGTCGTAATCGAAGCGCTTGAGTTGGATGCAAAGATACGGTGGCAGTTTTGCGATACAGAGACGCTTGATCGCTGCGACTTTCGTATCGCAAGTTTCGCAGTAATATGAGTTCTCTCCGTCGAGAAGATCACCCTTGACAAATTGATTAAGCGACTCCTGCAGGCTGTGTTGCGAGCGAACATCGACTGAAATTGAGGTGAATGCCTCTTCTCGCGAGTATCGATGAGGGCAGTCTTTGCAAATTTTCTGATCAGAAAACGTGCCGCCGAGAAATTCTTGAATCGCGGATGGCTCGCCATCATCCTTCATTGCTTCATCGAGGGTGTCAACGATTTGGGAATAAAACTCCATCGCGTCCTGTTGATCCCGAACATTTATGTGCTGCCCACAGAGCTTGACATGGTCCCAGAATTGCCGAGGCACGAAAAATGTCTGTTCAGAAGATGATAAGTGCCCAATTAGACGTTGGAAAATATTGAAGATTTTATATCGGTATTGCTTATCTGCAGAGTTATTTTGCCTCGACTTTGGATCAGAAAGTTGGCCAGATAAAAGAGCATTCTTCATCGGGTGAATCATGAATAACTGCTGCACAACAGCATTGAGATAACAAGTGGCACCGCCATTTTTGAGCCCAACATAACCAGTTTTGCTTTTTCGCTGGCTCGTTGGAACGACATCGAAGCGTTCGAGATTTGCCTGCGAATGCCAGTTGCGCTTTAGGAGGGCGGCAAGTTGTTGGAAACTTTCCGGAATGCCCTTTGTCATTTCAACGAGTAGATTCATTGCCGCGTGGACGGACGCTTGAGTGTCACAAAGGGGCGAGCCAAGTTTCCGGGGGGACATTGGTGTGTCACCACCTCCAGCCACGCTTTCAATAGCGCCATTGTCACAGCCCGAGGCGCGAGCTTCGCGCATGGTCTTGCGATCCAACGGGCTAACGGGGAAGATAATTTCGTTCAGAATCTTCAGCAGTCTATCGGATATATGCAGCAGCTCTGTTTTTGTTAATGACTTGACAAACACTAGAGCGAGCTCAAGGTGCCCCTTGAGAAGAAACTCGTTCGCTTCTTTTGCTGCTATTCTCGCTTCGAGCCACTCTATCATATCCATGATTCGATTTTTCCCGTCAATGTAGTTTGACTCAATGTAGAACTGATCGAATAAGTCGGATGTAAAGCTGAAGATTTCCTCAGCGACTTCTGCATTCGATTCCATCATTGACCTCATGTCGTATAAATAGTTTGCAAGTTTGACAGTTGTCTCTTTGTCTGCCAGCTGATTGTTCAAATATTTTCCAGAGTAAACAACCATCAAAAACATGGATGTGGTCCTCCGGTAGTTACTGTTCTGATGAAGTAATATTGGGATCTTAGATTCGTTAGACTCCCTCGTCCCCTAAGGTCACTTGCTTATCTAGATCGAGCTTTGCTCGGTCGCCGCCGTGTATTTCTCTCCATTCGGTAATTCTCGCAGTTCGTGAATTAACCTCTATTTTACTCCAGCTCGAAATACAGACGTCAAAGATACTTTACTCGTTTTCTTCCTTCGTCCAGATATAGAGAGCAGGCAAACTACGCTAGAAGTGGGAGATTCAGCAGAAGCTAGGATCCCTTCAGTGGTATCAGAGTAGTCCCGTTGGAGAAAAGGTAAATTTTCCGCCATCGACAACCGAAGTTTCGCAACTTGGACGCTGATTGGCCGTCAGCGGAGTCGAGGGGAACCGAATCACCAACCGCCACCGCGCCGCCGGAGAAACTCCACTCAGAGAATTTTCCGCGCCGCACCACACCAACACCACCCCGAGCGAGCGCCACCACACGAGCGCCACCACGACCCACGCGCCGAAAGTCGCGCCCACGCAACCACGCACGCACGCCGGGGAAAACCTAAAATACTCAGAAAAACAGAATTCTTTCGCCACTTTTCACCAAAAATCGAGAGAAGTTTACGAAGAATCGACCCTTGGACCAGACCTTGAAATTTCGACAATCGCTGGACAGAGAAATCGTCGGGCGTTTGCGCAAAAGGCACCTCAGCTCATCATATTGCGACTTTTAGTCGCAGTATTTTCTGAGGGCCTGAAAGGTAATCCAAGGCCCATAAACCCTTACTGCCGATATATTTCGAGCTATGGCGGCGAACAAATCACTGCTAGAAACCGTCACCGAAATAAGAAGCATAAACGATCGAGTAAACTACCTCGAAGAACAAGTGCGAAATGACGAATCACTTAAGCCAAGCCTAGAGCCCTTGATCACAGAAAGCAGAGTAAAATTAGAACAGCTCAGTACAACGCTTCTTACCTGCGAGCTCGATCAAGGAAAAGAATCTACGAATGCTACAATGAGAGAAGAAGCATGGGTGGCCACTACCTGGTCTCGTCACGTCCAAGACTTGCCGAAGCTGGACGCCGCATGCAACACATCTTTCAACACCTTCTTGGGCAGAGCCGACATTTATCACCGCGCCTACGTCCGCGACAGACCTTCACGTGAACAGCCTTTCATCGCAGCAGTGTACAGCCACTTCGACTTGAACATCGAACGCTCACTTGGAACCGAATTTCTGAATTGTCAAGACTGGAAATCGGCCAAGGCGCTGCTAGAGAAATCATTCGCCGCGAAGAGTCACTACTTACTGAAGCTAAGCGAAGTTTTCGACGTCGAATACGACCATTCGAAGCCGTTTGCACACTACACCGCCAACGTCTTGCAAAAGATGAACGAGGCGAAGCAAGCGACTTTGAACTCTTACCGACAAGAGAAGTCAGCCGACGCCGGGGTCGATGAAATATTCGACATATTCTCGACGATGATGCTGTACTTGAATCTTAGGAAAGAAGAACCAGACGTTTTCAACGCAATCCTTCCAAGCCTATCAAAAGTTTACGATATCAACGAACTCTGCCGTCTCGCCCAATCCACAAGACAGAATCGAGTTGACAGCGCGACCGTCTCCCAGCACTTCAACAGAAATAAGAACAAAAAGAAGAAGAATGCTAAGCGCGCCAGCACCGATTCTAAGGATGGGAAAGACGATAAACAACCAGAATCCAAGAAGATTAATACGACTAAGAACGTCGAAGATTTCCAACCATTCGATGTTCACTTTTACACAGTGAAGAAGAAGCGACCAGGAAAGGCTTATTTCGCTTCGGCTACCATCATTACGGGCTCTAAAAGTTTTGACGTATCGATGGAAGTCGACAGCGGAGCCGAGTCCTCCTGTCTGTCCGCTGCTTACGTTCCCGACAAATTTCTCCAGATGCTGAAGCCCTGCCCCTTCAAGGTCACCGGTTTCAGCCCAAATATCCCCGCCGAGCAGCCGAGGGGTATCCTTCCCTGCCGCTTATCATTCAATGGTGGCCCTGCATTCTCCTTGAATCTCACCATCATGCCAGGCAGTAAATACCCAAGTCTACTGGGCCGCGATATACTAGAGAATGCGATGACGGACAGCTTCACAGTCGACAATAAGAATCGTACTCTCTCATTTTGCTACAACGAAGCCTTCACACAAACTGAGACTCAAGTGGTGAAGCTGGACGGAGTGAAGCGGACCAAAATCAAGAAATACTTGACGACTAGATCAGCGGTCAAAGACAGCGATCGGTCCCGCACTCAACCACCACGAGAAGTCCCAAAGCTGGACGCGCCGAACAAGAACGCAGCCAGGTGCCCCATTCAGCTAGCGAAGCAAAAACTCGGAATAACCCTACCAGCAGACGCAGACCCGGGGCAAAAGAAGATGGTCGCCGAGCTGTGTTTGGAATTCGACGACAGATTCGGCTGCGACGGTCAAAAAATGGGTGAATTCCCGTTCGAGATCGAAATCCCGACTGATGGTACGAGTCGAAACATCAGTCAACACCCGATTCCGCAAGCTTTTCATGGTCAGGTCAGCGATCACATCTCCGAACTGCTCGAAACGAAAATAATAGAAGAGATCAAAGACCAGAAAGGGTTTAACAGCCCGGTATTGCCTATTCCTAAGAAATCTGGGGAAATGCGCTTCTGCATCAACTACAAAAACAGCCTGAACAAATGCCTCTCCGACAAATCCGACCCTTACCATCTCCCAAGCATGGAGGATACGATTGCGAACATTGGACCGGGCAATAAGTTTTTCGCCACAGTTGATCTACGAAGTGGATATTGGCAGTGCCCTGTAAAGAAAAGCGACAGGTACAAGACTTCCTTCCAGTGGGGTGGGAAATCTTACGCCTTCTGCAGACTACCATTCGGTTATCGATGCTCGGGGAATATATTCTCGCGCGTCGTAAACACAATTCTCGACTCAAGCCCCACCAGGAAAAAGATGCTTTCTTATATCGATGACATAGTGTGTTTTGGGAAGACTTTCAGCTGCTATTACAACACTCTCCGAAACCTATTCATCGCGCTCCGCAAGTTTAACGCTAAACTCAAGGGCGAAAAGTGCTCTTTCCTACAATCCGAAGCTCACTTTTTGGGCCGAATCATCAACGAAGATGGAATCAAACCGGACCCTGCGCAAGTCTCCGCTCTTCGTCAGATGAAACCCCCACGCTCCCAAAAGGAGTTAGCTTCATTAATCGGGTCATTGAATTGGATCCGAGGTTTTCTAGAAACGAAAATGGGCGAAGCTATTTCATCCGGTTGCTTCTCGAGCAGAATGAAGCCCATAAACGATGTTCGAAATTCGGCGAACGAAACAAATTGTTTCAAGTGGACCAAAGAAGCGGATTTGGCGCTCAAGGAAATTCAACGACGACTCTCCGAGACTCCAGTCATAAGTTTTCCTAACTTTGACGAGTCTTTTCATCTCTACACAGACGCGAGCCTGTACGCAGCGGGTGGCGTCCTGCTACAAGAGTATGGCGGGAGAGTGCACCTAGTAAGCGCGATTTCCCACACCTTCAACAAAGCTGAAAGAAAATGGAACACTTCAGAAAAGGAAATGTTTAGCATTGTCTGGTGCTGCGAGCGACTGGAAAAGCTCCTGAAAGGTAGATTCTTTCAGATTCACACAGACCACCGATCTTTGATCTTCCTACACAAAAAGAAGTTCAAGAATTCTAAAATAAGCCGATGGCAAAGCCGATTGGAAGAATTCGATTTTCACATTGTCTACATCAAGGGATCAGAAAATCAATTCGCCGACTTTATGAGCCGCAGACCTGGCGAGGACGACAAATCACTTGGATACGACTCTGAGTTTCCCGTTGGTCGCGAGTACGAAATCGACAAGAATTCACCAGTACGTGTCTTCGTCCCTTTCTGGAACGAAAATCAGTTTCCGGAGAAAATCACTTTATCAGAGGTGAAGATACATAAGGTAAACGTCAAGGCTATCGCGGCGCCAATGGAGATTCCGTTGGTGTCAGCGAATTATAATAACATTCTGGACTATCAAAGGGAGGACTCTGCTCTGAGTGCAATCATCACTTTTCTGGAATCTGGTAAGGAGCCACTGGACATAAAATCGCTGGTGAAGGACTCCGACCACCGACAATCGTCTCTACTCAAGATGGAAAAAGCTCTGTTCCTGGATAACACTACCGGGTGCTTGATGTGTCAATTCAAATCTGGCGCGCGGGCGGTGGTACCGGAAGCGGTAAAAAGTCACTTTCTCTTTCTAGCTCACGACTTGTCCGGTCATCTGGGCGAGCCGCGGACTTTAGAGCGATTAGAGGACGTTTGGTGGCCTTCATTTCAAGACGATGTTTCTAACTACGTCCACAGCTGCGTCCCTTGCCTACGCAGAAAAGGATCTGCTGGAACTCGTACCAAACCGCCACTTGGAACCCTTCGTCGTGGAAAAACAGCTGGCGAATCGATTCAGATCGATTTCGCTTGTATGCCTCCCGCTGGCGGATTCAAGTATTATTTGGTGGTGGCGGACACTTTCTCTCGCTACACTTGGTGCATTCCGACGCGGTCCGACACTGCTATCTGCGCTGCAAAAGCGCTCATCTACAAGGTCTTCCTTCCCATGGATTTCTTGCCGAAACATCTACACAGTGACAGAGGTACCCACTTCTGCGCAAGCGTGATTGACGAAATGTGTAAGCTTAACCAGATAAAACATACAATAAGTACCGCATTTCACCCTCAATCAAACGCTTTCGCAGAAAGAGCGAATCGGACTATCAAAAACAGTCTATTCTGCATGGTCAACTCATCTTCCGGTCGAAAAACTTGGGCCGACTGCGTTCCCCACGTGATGCGCGCGCTCAATAGTGTGAAAAACAAAAGCACGAAAATTTCACCGCGAGAAGTTTGGTTTGGCCGAAAAAGTACTTTCACCCACTCTACTGGCGCAGAAATGACAGCGGAAACACCTCAGGTGTTTGGTCTCAATGTGGGAGCTTTAGCGAAATCGGCGGAAGCCATTGTGAAAACTGCGATGGAAGCTGCTGACCGAGCCATGGAGCACAGGCTGAAAAACGAGCCTAAGCCGAGACCAATCCCCGCTGGCGCTGTCGTGTACATTAAGCGAGAAAACCTGACCGACGCTAAAAGCAAGAAGGAACGCTGGGTAGGTCCCCTGAAAGCCGTTTCGAGCAACGACTGGGTCGTCATGGTCGAAGATAAAAAAGGACAACGTGATTTCATCCATCGAGAACACGTGGTTCACGCCGCAGAACGAAATCACGACTTACGCTGGATTGATTACTACGAGGCCGAGTACGTATTCCCACATTTAACCGAAATCGTTAAGTCGAAAGTCCCACAAAAATCGCCTGTTCCTACTTCCAAACCGATGGAAAAGTCCGGGTCGAAGTCGCATGGGGGGAGGAAATCTTCTCAGGTCGCGTCGACTCCGATGGTTGCTATGGAAAAACCGCCAAGATCATCTCTATCACCTATTTTGGAAAGTAGACGCCGATTGGACATGGAAAATCTGGGAGATACAACCGCTACATCTATTTTGGACTCGTCGGTAGCTCCAGCCGAGCCGTCAGATCGCTGGTACTCTGGTGGTACTCTTTATGAAACTGCCGAGGACATGTCAGCTGATGCTACAGTGATTTCGGAGGTTGCTGCGCCCGACAATAGCCATATGTCAGTCGATAAACAAAATTCAACAGTAGTTGAGGGCTCAGCAACTGAAAACAGCAAGAAAAGAACCCGTCCAAAGTCTTCACCAGATCGTCAATACTCAGCCGGCGCCGATCCGAATGCGACTTTAACCGAAGTTGGAGCAGCTCATCTCCCGAAACATACAAAACGAGCACACCGTGAAACGAGGCCCGTCGAACCTCTAAACATCGGCACAAACTCGGGTCAGTCATACGACTAAGCGCAAGTACTGCCCCACTCAGGTCCCCTATTCATCGACCGGGGCCTGAAAAGGTACGGAAATTATCACAGTTTACCGTCGCCGACGTATTTTGAGTTCTTCTACATGTGCAGCTACTCCTTCATGTCATCACCGCTCGGACATCACGAAAACTTCGCATCTGATTCAAGCTTTTTCCCAAAAAAGGGTTTTTTAACGCGAATCAGACTGCCTCGACGTTTCGAACCTGCCATGTTACTCATCTTACGCTTATACTCCTGCAAAAATCACACACTTTGGCCTTAGAGGACGTTTCAGTCTCATGGGGGGTATTGGGATCTTAGATTCGTTAGACTCCCTCGTCCCCTAAGGTCACTTGCTTATCTAGATCGAGCTTTGCTCGGTCGCCGCCGTGTATTTCTCTCCATTCGGTAATTCTCGCAGTTCGTGAATTAACCTCTATTTTACTCCAGCTCGAAATACAGACGTCAAAGATACTTTACTCGTTTTCTTCCTTCGTCCAGATATAGAGAGCAGGCAAACTACGCTAGAAGTGGGAGATTCAGCAGAAGCTAGGATCCCTTCAGTAACATAACAAGAACAAACTCGAAAAACTGTTTCGTAGCTTATTATCGTTAGTTTTGAAGCTACAGATTTTGTTCGTGACCAGAAGCCATGAAAGAGACTCGAAGGCGGTTTTGTAGACTTCCTCAAACAGAGTGCTTATATATGAGTCGGTAGAGGTTTTTGACACTTTATGGCAGATTTGCCAAGTGCCTTGGATGATCGTAGGTGTCATGGAAATAAGTTGGCCCTGAAAAGTGAGTTGAAATCAAGGAGGAGTACAATATTTTTAACCTTTTGAATTGGAATATTTTCGGCCGTGCTGTAAAGATACTCGTCAAGGCATCGAAGGGTATCCCAAATTGAAGTGTCACCGATTGACCGGACGTGAATGAGAGTGATGAACCGTTGGACCTCGGCGAGTGTTTCCAACACGTGAAGAATGATTTCTGGGCGACTAGTTTGGACAATTTTCGACTGGCTTAGATCGAGCAAATTCATTATCGCAGCTGGTCCATTGGATGCAAAGAAGAAGGCTAACACATCTCGCGTTTGTTGAGTAGGCTCTGTTGGTAGCAGTAGGCTTCGGAGCAGACAGAGATTGTACCAGTTCATGGATTGCGATTCTGAATTGAAGAAAGACTTCAAATCCTTCTTCCTCATTATTGCGATTCTGAGCGCTTTCGTATCGCCTGGTAACACCAAGACAAGCTTCATGATTGAATTTACCAAAGAATACTCGCTGATATCCAATGCCAATTCCATCAAGCCAATAATATCGGTGATGAAAGTTGGATGGTTTTCTAGCGAATCATCAGGCCTAACAGATCGTTTCCTCGCCTTTAGACGTTCCTGGACAAATCTAGCGTAGAAATTCACTTGTTCGTTTTTGGCAGAAGTTTCGAGCATCTGCTCCGATTCAAGAATGTGCTGTGAGTTTTGCTCGGGAAGAATTATGAGGTCTTTTCTGATATCAGGAAATTGATGTTGAAGACGCTCGCTTAGATGACGAATGTTGTTATTAGAGTGCATATCAACTTTAATATTCTGTTGCTCGATTTGAACTGTATATATCTTCTTTACTCCGCGCCACGATCTCCCCAGCGCTAGATTATCTTCCTGCATTCGGTTCTGTGGAAATTCCGAGAGATAGCGTTGAAAGAGATCTACTATCCGACAGATTTTTAGGGTCACTGATGATTTATCCGCAGCTGCGTCACTTTCTTTGGATTCTTTTGCGTCCGTGATTATCTTCAGGGTATCGTGAAACGTTTTAATTCGCTGAATGCACTCTTCGAAAAAGTCATTGTGATTTTGAGCAGTGCCAGTGATGAACATATTCGTGTAGTAATTATTAATGATATCTATCACATCTGGAGCCAGAACAGCATCACATGAGCAAAGTGTCTTCCAGAGATAATTGATGCCGTCTTGGGATGGATTTTCGCTGCCGATGGAGCTGTCTGGTTTATTCTGGCTGGATATTGCGTTGAAGAAGTAATAGAAACAAGTTACCCCAGCAGGCGTTAGTTTTTCAGGCTCCATCGCGAGAATATGACTGGCGAAAAAATTAAAAATACTGACAGAGTTCAAATCTGGCTCTTGGCCCATTATGCTTTTGAACCAAGTAAAGCCGAGTTCTCGCATTTCTGGATCGCCAGGGACAACAAGTTTTTCCCAAACCGCCACTGCATCTTTGTATTCAAGGTACAGCCGTGCTTCTTGAAGAATGTATTTGATAAACGATAGACGTAAGCTAATCTCGGTCAAATGACCGTGAATCGTTTTCGGTCGAGTTTCTTGGGAACTTGTGAATTTGATCATGTCCGAAATCACAGCGTGAATCAATTGCTCATTATTCTGCAGGTCTTCTAGCGCTCGCTTGCGTGTCATCCCGACTGTATAGTTGTCATCAGGGAGATCATTTCCAATTAGCTCAATCAATTTAATCACAGGGATCGTCAAGTCCGGATTTTGCTTGAACTCCGCGGCCAACTTCGAAAGCCACCTTATCTTCCTCTTGTCTCGATCAACCGATCTGTTGTCCAAAATTTTTACAAGATTCTGAAGCGTGTCATTGAGTATTTCCTCGCTGACATCGACACCCGTGGCCATTCCCCACAGAAGATCGAGAATTTTGTCACCGATTCTAGGATCTTCAGCCAGCCGTTTGACCAGGGATAGGAGTTGCTCGCGGTCCTTTTTGGAGGCGTCAGAAGCGAGCCACATGTTTCGGAATTTGTCGAGAAGATAGCCGAGAAGGTTATCGGATAATTTATCGGCGATGGAGGCGAACAAGTCATCGATGTTGAGGATGATGGCTGGGTGAGCACCGAGCTTCGCATTCCAAATCATGTCGATGTCAGATGTTGTCAGAACATCGTGGTCCATCATGAAGATCAAGACATTGACAACGCGCTCGACATACTGTTTTAAATGGAGCGAGTCTCTGAGCATAACTGGCAGAAGAGCTTCCTTGGTCCAATCGGCTGCTTCTTTTGCACTGAGTTTGTTACTGTCGTTATAGAACTGTTTAGTGGAATTCAATTGGGTCATGATCTCGTTGAGCGCGAACATACGCCCATTGTAGGTGGAGAGCTTGAGCACGCGGTGGAGGAGGTTAAAGTGCTCCAGTTGAAGGGATTTCTGCGAGGCGCCGAAATGCGCTAGAATTTTCGCAAAAGAGGTAATCACGGTGAGCGGGCCAAATGCATCAGAGCGTAGATCTAACGATTTGATTTCCTTGTCCGTCAGCGATGCGAGGTACTCGCTGAGCTTTTCTTTCATCGGTAGAAAATATTGTGCGCATGATTCCTAAATTTTTTTTAGAATTTCATGAAAACATTGAGGAGTACTTACAGAAACGACCTTAATTGCCTCAGCGAATGTACAGAAATAAATAGGAATGAGCTCCACGTCGAGCGAGGAAAGTTGACTGTTTGCATATTGAAAGCCACCTGAAGATCAGAAAATTTAACGTTTCTCTCTTTATCAATGTTTACCTTGTTTCCCAAAGCGCTCAATAATTTCTTGAAGAAAAACATTTTCGTTGACGCCAGTTACAAAGCGGTATTTTTCTGGAACGGTCACTACAAATACCGTTGAGTAAACATTTTTAGAGAAGAGTGGGACATTGTTCTGGCGACTCTAAGCAAATAGAACTTCCGAATACGAAGAAAAAACTGAAAGCCGACTTGCTTACGTAAACGTTATTTCAATACACTCAGGCGTGTGATAATCGGGCATAAACAAACAAGGAAGGAAGTTCGCGAGAGAGGCCTTACCGGATTCGTACGAAGGAGGTCCGGAACGAGTACGACGCTGGTGAAAGATACTGTTAGGATTGAACAAGTGGAACATTACGGCAAGCATATTTTTATCGAGAATGTTGTTCCGCAGAATTCTAGCCAGCAAATCGACCAGCTCGAAGTTTCGCCGCTGAATGTGTGCATCGTCTTCCGGACGGCTACTGTAGAACCAGTCCCGGCTGAGGAATTGAAAAGCAGCAGAAACACATGTCTAAACAGACCCTCAAAAGGATGTTTCCCACCAAATATAAGATAATACATAATTGTATATAAAGGAATCTATGCCTGGAAAATATATTCAACTGCTTCTTTCGCCCTTGGCTCCCCAGTGTCAATCAGGAAGGAGGCATCTTTGAGAATGTGAGAGAGCTCTTTGTTGTCCCGATAAGCATCGACTGTCAACCGAGACTGAAGGAAACAGTTAGCTCCAGAAAGGGAAGATAGAGTTGGCACTACCTTTTGTGTCTGTGCTGTAAAATCCTGACTGCGTTTTAAGAAGTCCTCGATGTTCACTATGTCGGTTTCTATCTCATCTTTATTCATATCTACAGTTTATACATATCCCTGAAAGAAAAAGCTGATAAGGTAGCGTAATTAAAACTGATAATTCAATATATTCATATGCGTAGCCGTAAGTGAGCCCAGTACCAACGAAGTAAGTGGGTATTGTTTAGAATTGTGGACATGTAATGTTGAACGCAGCAGAAAGAAAAAAAATAGTAGTAACATGTATTTATGCTTTGAGGGCGTGGATCATTTCTTCTTTTTGAATGCAGTGGCAGGCTTTGTTGATGAGGTCCATAAGAGTTTCAACCGTGTTCGACCACTCGTTCAGCCGCTCAGACGGGAGCTTCTTCGCTTCAAAGCTAGTGATGCCAGAGAGTCGATCTAAAAATATCCAATTGGAATCATGGAATCGTGTGTGTCTTACCAATTCGTGCCCAAACAGCTCCTTTTACGACCATATCTGACAAGTGTCGTTCAGCATCATCAAGTGAGAGATCAAGATGCTCTGCCATTCGCTGCGTGCGGATTCTAGTGTACGCTTTTGAAATGACTCGGATGTTGTGCTCGATACATCTGTTGTGCAAATCCTTCCATCGGTTTTCGCCAGCTTCGGACTAAAACAAGTGTTACGCGAAGTTTTTGATATGGGGTTTGGTTACCTGATCAAAGATAGAGCCAACGATTCCGTTTCGAAGCTCCTTTGTAAAATCATTTCGCAAGACGGACCATTTCATGATTTCGGGCGTGAGGAAGTTTTCCAAAAGCGTCTTGTAAATAGGGAGGTCGTTCATTGCTTTCATTTGTTTGATCGTGTTCAGCAAGCTCTGCTGTTCGGGTCCAATGTCAGCGAGGATGGAAAAACGGCAGCGGAAGCGAGGGCCTCTGTGAACTAAAAATCATGATAAAATCAATGGGGAGTTTCTGGTCTTACATGATTCTTCTCGTCTTTAATGAGTTGGGTTTCGGTCAAATGGATGAAATGTCGCGCAATATCGAGATACTTCTTGTCGCCCATGCAGACCTCAATCATGAGCTTGTAGTATTTGATCTTCAGCTTCTGGACTTCCTCCTTTTCGGCCTCTTTGCCGGCAAAATAGCGGGTCGAGATCTTCTTGGAAATGATTTGCGAGCGGACAAAGTCCTTGTCAGCGATTGTCATTCGCATCTGCTCCAAAATGAAAGCGACCTTCTCTTGTCGCTCCATGGAGCCATAAGTTTCAACTTGGAGCTCGTTGATAATCTTGGCCGCATCGGAGATCTGTCCTTTTGCTTCGCGAAGAGTTGCGAGCTTGAGTGTCAATCGAGCGCGCTCAACTTCAACGTAGATTTTTCCGTCAGTCTGATTGCGGAGGCAGTCAATGAGTGACATTTTTGGCTCGTTGAGGGATGGAACTGCGTCCATTTCAGTGACGAATTCGCAACATCGCTGCACCATCTTTGTGATGGCCATTTTTATCAAAGATCGTCGCTGTAATTAGCTTTTTGAATGGTGAAGAATAAACTTGAATTTACCTTTGTTAGGGCAATTATCTGATCATTAAGGTCGTTCCATGCTTTAGCAGTGTAGCAAATGTTCACAATGCAAACCAAAATCTTTGACAAAGAGTTAGCATCTTGATTGACCCGGCAATTCTTTTCCAAAGTCATCAGACTGTCCACAGCTTGCATATGATCCTAAAGTATTTTAATCAAAAACAGTCAACTTTTAGTGGCTGTCTCTTACTCCTTTAGCGATTTCATATGCCTTCTCGATTTTCTCTGCGGCCTCGACCGAGTAATCGACGATCATTTTCGTCTCCTCGAGGGACATCTTTACACGCTCTTTTACAGTCCTCTGAGATAAGTTTTTAATGAAATTAGAAATGAAAAGAGTCGAAAGTTAGGAATGGTCTGCAAATAGGAAAAAATTGCTGACATTGAACAATACGAAGAAATAGTGCACGAAAATGAGAAAGACGCAGAGTAGAAGTACAGTAAAAATTCAAAGAATGAAAGAATCGGGGATAGTTTGCGCGGGTTAGTTTTTTCTGGCAAGAAGTAAAGTTAAAAAGAACGGTCTAGAAATCGGAGGGAATGAATTTCAAAAGCAGGGTTGATTGATTCGGATTCGGGTAGAAGTAAAGAAAGATACAGAAACATAAACAGTGGCACAGTTGAGAAAAATTTATTATACAAGCATGGAAACGCGGGCCTGGTCATCCAGCCCAGGGCGTGGAACTGAGGAGTTGACAGAATTGTGATCGGGGATTGAGCCTGAAAATGCGCTTTATTCCTGATTTATAGGTAGAGACTTACGTGGCTCTCGATATTCTCGAGATTCGCGGTACTCGCGCCGTTTAGAACTATCTTGAGTCGGCCTTGATGATCTTCTGGGAGCATCGTCGACGACTCTGAAACCCTCGACATTTTGACTTGGCGGTCGGACATTATGTTGCAAGGAAACGATTTGATCATTGCGAGAGAGCGGTGTTTTCGATGGGATAAAATCTCCGATATCTGATGGTTCGGTGACGTCATCTCGACGGACGAGCGACTTCATTTTATGTTCCAATCCGTTGAAGCCAGATTTTAATTTTCCAGCTGTTACTTTCCACATTGATGGTCCACTATAAAACCATTCATTTTTATATCAACAGAAAGTGAGCTTACGGATCTGGTTTTCTCCAAGAATCAGCTGGAATCATGCTAGGCCGGTCGTCAGCAGTGCCAGGCTTCCAGTACTTTTTCTGAAACTCTTTAAACATTTTCCATGCAAAAAGAGTCGAGGCAAGATAGAGGCAAAAGACGACCCAGAGAAATACGACTGCAAAAATGTGATTTCCTAAAAGACCTCGTAAATCATTAAGGCACTCAAACACTCCTACCAAAATATACATTGTAACCTGCCAGCATGGCCATGTAATTTTGACAGTCACGTGGGTATCGTCCACAATAAGCCTGAAAGTTCATACGGGCGTTGAGACCCATCCCCCGTTGATAGCCACCGTAGCCATTGTAGCCGCCGAACATGGCGGATCCGTAGCGGTTTTGATTGCGCATCGGGCCTGAGTAGTTGATGGGAGAGCCGTTTGTGTAGTCCCATCGCCAAAGATGGACGGATTCTAGCACTCCAGCGACGAGATAAGACAGAAGGCAGAGCAGGTTAAAGATAAGCTCGCTTTTTGGCCAATTGATGTGGCTAAAAGCGTCATAAAAAATTAAAGTGAAAGATTTTAATACCCAAAGTTGAAATGATAACCAGACAAGAATATAAAATACATGACGATGGTACCCAGCCAAGGCAAAAAAACAAAAGCATGACCAAATGAAAGGGCCAGGTAACACCCTCGATGAGAAAGATCGGCTTCCAATATGGACTGCAAGCGATGATTAACCAAATGATGAATCCGAATATGATCTGGCCGATTTTGCAGAGGCCTTGCTTTGACCGCGCGTAGCGGCCATCGCAGCCCATTCTAAAGAGAGTAGATTGTAAGATTATTGCTAGAGATCCGAGACAGTCTGTTGTGTTTTCACATATTTCCCATGCGCTTTGGATTGCCAAAAACGTCGGGCATTCGTTCGACAGCAAATTTATGATCGGCAATGTACATGATTGGGACGCCTGGAATCTTTCTTATTCTTCGTTTCAGATCTCGATCACACGTGGCCGCGATATAACACTAAAATTCAAGCTTCGAAAAAGTCGATTATTTTTTTTCGTTACTGACCTTGTGCGCAGTGACGCGATTAACTAGGCAGTCATCGGCGTAAGTCCCTTTATGTTGACAAGGCAATCGCTCTTGAATAAACCGTGAATCATTGAAAGTCTTAATAATGTATCTTACCCAACTGTTGGGCGATTCTGAGGGCAATTCTATACTTTGGCCCGAGCTTCTCCAATTCCGCCACGACGCAGTCTGTTACGTAGGGCGTTACCTTCGCCATCAGACAGTCCTTCATTCCTTCTTTGATGTCCAGTCTGTTCTTCAGCGTAAAGTTGATGAAGTTAGTATCGACGAGGACGTGATACGGAGGGCCGAGCTGCTCATTGTACTGAAAGAACAGGGCCGAACTGGCTTTCGGTAACTGCCGTTCGATGATTTTTCCGTCCTTCAAGCTTCGCTTCGACACTTCTTGCTTTTTTTTTTCCGCCGCTTATTGTCTGACAAATACGATTTTAAAACCCAAGGAGTAGAATTTTCGAATTTTACCTGGGTTTAGTCGGCCATCACGAGCCTTTATCATTCTTTTCATTTCTGCAAATTTACGAGTTCGATTATTCCTCCCCATTTCGCTTCAGTAGAATCTAAATAATACGCACACTGGGTCTTCGATCGATCTTATTTTGCAGGAAAAAAAACCAGCTGACTGAAAACTCATCAACAATGTCCTACAAATGCGTAAGGCCACAAAACAAAGTGCCAAGTCTTCTTTTTGCTTTTTCCTGCATAAATTCATGAAATACTTTTTTCAGCCTGCGATATTTTTTATTTCTGCTCAATGAATGTAAATGGGTCTGCGATGAAAAATTGGGTTCTTCGGAAGAAATTTTATTAAAGCAGTTTTGTGTTTGTTAGTAAACGAATTTGTTCTTTGGACTACGGCAATAAGGAATTACGAGTTTGATTTGTTTGAAAAAAGCAGGGAAATTAGAGGTCAACAGCGACGAGTAAGTAGCATGAGTAAAAATGTACAATAAGTTAGAACACTCAGATAAGAGAAGATGAAGTATGGGGTTCGTTTTTTTGGGGGGATTCGATGAGGTATCTGCACATGTCAATAAATATATTCTTTTGTAGGCTTTTTGAAACAATATAAGTAAGAAAAATGTAAGAAGCAAAGAATGATAAGGCGTTTATCAATTAGTAGTACATCAAGTTACAAAATGGACATGATGATTAGATTACTCGGAAGTCACCAGCATTTTAATTTTCATCCCAGTGAGTTAAATGAATTTAAATGACTGTATAAGCATAAATGGACGCGAAATTTACAGATAAATGGAAAGATAATTAGCTCGGAACATATTTTCTAGGCATCATTATTAGTTTTTTCCTATCTATCAATCATAGTAAATTCTAGCTTGACGGTAACATATTTCAAGCTCGTATCACAGAATTTTTATCTACAGAAGAAGTTTGAGTTCTTTTCTTTTGTCGATAAAACAAACGAGCGCAAGAGGAATTTGTTACGAAGCAGAATTTACAAATTGAAAGATAAAATAAGCAACAATTTCAAATTTCAAATTCTGAAACGAGTTGTTTACTTTCCGACGGGTACTGCGCCGGGGATTTTTCCAATGAGTCCAGTAATGTCATATCCAGTCACAGATTGGACTGTTTTCTAAAGGATTATTTGTCAAAAAATGATGGTTAAATTGATCATACCGGTAGTTCAGCAAGGAGTTTCGTTGTTTCCGCAGTCATCATTGATCCAGTTGTGTTGCTGCTTCCAATAATTGTCAAATCGTCAACCTTTTCCAACGGCATCGAAATCGACTTGGCAATCTTTGGCAAGGCATCGAGAACAAGCTTCGTGGTCGCAGCATGGCCGTATTCTTCGTAAGCAACAGCTTTCATTGACATTTTACTAGCTTCAGCAGTACCGATCGCTTCGATAACTTGCGCTTCAGCTTTACCGATTCTTCTGAGCTTTTCGGCCTGGCCTTCTGCTTTCTTGACTTTCTGGCTTTTCGCCGCTTCTGCAAGAGTTTGGACTTTGAAGGCTTGAGCGTCGGCAGGAAGTCGAGTCTTATGAATGAGCTCTTTTTCTTGACGCTCGATTTCAAGTTCTTCGACTTCGATTTCTCTTTGTCGCTCGATAAGATCAACACCCATGTCTTCCTGGATAATTCGCTGCTTCTCCTTCATCGCTTGGAGACTGTAGGCCAGATTTGATTCGGTCTGCGCCTTGTTCACTTCGCATGCGAAATCGGCCAATTGTGTTTCATAATTTCGGCGATAACCGTCAACTTCAGTATCATTCTTGAGGCATACATCAGCCGATGTCTTCGCTGCCTCTTGCTCCTTGATGCAAGCGTCACGATTTGCATTGGCCATGGCAATGTCTGCTGCAGCCTTGACCTTCGCGGTTTGCTCCATGCCAATGGCATCGAGATAGCCTTGGTTGTCCATGAGGTCTTTGATCGTGAAGCTGAGAATTTTTATTCCCATTTTGGAGACATCTGTGGCCGCTACAGCGCGGACATTGGCCGCGAAAGATTCTCGATCTTGGTAAAGCTCTTCCACATCCATCGTACCGCAAATCGCTCGAAGATGACCTAAAGACCGAATATCGAGGGAATATATGATGGGTTTTAATTTTACCTTCGAATGTTTCAAGCAGTTGTTCTTGAATTTCGTAGTCAGCCTTCCCAAGGAACTGTTCACAAGCGATCTGCAGATAGACATCATCGTCAGTCATGACTTTCACTTGGGCGACTCCAGTTACCGTAATCGGTACGCCTCTCTTTGTCTCACAGTTGGTGACTTTCGGGAGGAGGGTCATTACTTCCAGAGAAATTTTCTGCGCTTCCGATACCAGCATCCAGGCCCATCCCCATCCACCTTCTGTTCAAATAGACATTTAGCAAACGAACGAACGCAAAGAAAAATAACTTACTAATGTACCGCTTATTCCCACTGCCGCCGCAGCCACCGGAAATAACGATGGCTTCGTTTGGGCCCGCTACGTGTACATTGCCCATCCTAAACGGAATACATCATTTTTCGTCGTTAAATCTTGCGCAAATCATTTTTTGAATTGAACTTCAAAAAGAAAAGAAACACAGATTGGAAGCTTTTTTTGTATAAAAATAGATTTATAGGTAAAAAGATAAATAGATAGGTAAATGAAGGCGATGAACTCATCCCTCGATTTCATCGTGAGCAAAAACGGTAGAACAGGCACTATCTTCTTGAGGTAGATATAAATAAATAAACAATGCTACGTACAGAACAGGATTCATTAGGAACAAAATCTCGTGGAAGGCACCTTCATTACTTGTTCTCTTTCTTTACTTGGAGGTCTTGTTGACTAGTTTGTTGGCGAGAACAGCTCCAGGAATTTGTCCCATGATTCCAGAAATATCGTAGCCGGTCACAGTCTTGACGGTTTCCTAATAATCGTGATTAGAAATTATCAGACTCGTGAAAATGCTTACAACTAATTAAACAATTTCACGATGAAATGAATTGGGATGATTTATTTCTTTACCGGAAGTTCAGCGAGCATCTTGGTCGCTTCAGAAGTGAGGGCGGATCCTCGACTATCGCCAGAGCCAACAATGGTGACATCTTCAATCTTTTCGAGTGGCATGGCGATGGCCTTGGCAATCTTGGGCAAAGCATCAAGCACGAGCCTGGTAGTAGCGGCCTGTCCGTACTCTCGGTAAGCACTGGCCTTCATGAGCATCTGGTTAGCTTCAGCGTTACCAATAGCTTCGATGACAGCAGCCTCGCCTTTTCCAACGAGTCGGAGCTTTTCGGCGTTACCGGCAGCCTCTTTGACAATGACAGATTTCTTAGCATCGGCTTGGCATCGCACGCGGAAGGCTTCTGCATCAGCAGGAAGTCGAGTAGTATGAGTGAGGGTCTTCTCCTGTCGCACGATCTCAAGTTCTTCAACTTCGATTTCCCGTTGTCGCTCGACGAGTTCGACACCCATTTCTTCCTTGATGATTTCTTGCTGCTGCTTCATCGCTTGGAGCTCGTACGCCATCTTGGCTTCAGTCTGTGCAGTGTTGACCTCGGTCTGGAAAGCAGCAAAACTAGTCTCAAATTCTTTCCTGAAGTTGTCGATTTGTGTTTCGTTCTTGAATTTGATGTCGGTGGCTTCTTTTTTCGATAATTCTTCATTGATCAAGGCATCTCGGTCTGCTTCAGCTTGGGCAATATCTGCATCAGCCTTTTGCCTGGCCGTTTGTTCAACTCCAATAGCTTCTAGGTAGCCGTTGTTGTCGCTAAGCTCCTTGATGGTGAAGCTGAGAATTTCAATACCCATCTTGTTGACATCAGTCGAAGCTTGATTCGTGACATTGGCAGCAAATTCCTTTCGGTTCTGGAATAGACCCTCGACCTCCATGCTTCCACAAATACCTCGAAGATGACCTAAACAATGATTCGCTTAGAGGGGATTTGCCATTGATTTATACCTGAGAAAGTGTTGAGGATGACTTCTTCAATTTCACGGGGGTTCTTTCCAAGAAACTGTTCACAGGCCTTCTTCAAGCTTATCTCATCGTTCATAATGCGAACCTGGGCGACGGCGCCTACGTTCATGGGAACACCCTTAGCGGTCTCGCAGTTGCACACTCTGGGGTTAAGAGTCATCACTTCCAACGACATTCGTTGCGATTCGGAGACCACCCACCATTTCCATCCCGAGCCGCCGACGATGTACTTTGATTTGTTTCCAACGCAGCCACCTGAAACGACGCAGACTTCATTCGGACCAGCGACAACGATATTTCCCATTCTTAAAAGAAATAAGTCAGTCATTTCTCTTTGAAACGATAAAAGAGAGCGGATAGCTCGCCGAGGAAAGGAAAGAGCAGCTGAATTATTGAAAATCGATCTTTAGGAAACTCAGTTTTGTGCTTTTATGAGTACAAAGGGCGCATATTTAATGCTATTTGGTCTCTTCAGGGGATTGAGTATTAAAGTAAGTTCGCGAGTTGAACTCGATTAGAGTCGATTTCCACTAATACCAGCCGATCTTTCTTTCTTTGAACAAACAGAAAGGGCGGTTAGAAAAATAGAGCGATGTTTAATTGTATAAAAATAGATATATGACAATATGAAAAATTGAAAAATATAAATAATTGATAGTGCGGTGATCGATAAATGGCAATATGCGATGTACAGAAGATGAAATTTTCTCAACGGCAAAAAAATTTGTGTTTTTATTTCTTTTTCTTTTTTCCGCCACCCTTGCCCTTTTTGGCTCCTTTGCCGACATCGCCGCCTTCGTCGGGCGAGAGGATTTTCTTTCTTTTCTTTCCTTGTTTGCGGCTAATTCATTTGCTCGTTAAACATAATTCTTTTTAATACTTTGACTACTATTATCTTTAGCCACTATTCCTATGGGTGTTTTCTCGAACCATTGGGTGAAAGCGTCCTCTTGTTCGGCAAAGATTGGCTGGTGCCCCGCCAGCTCAACGATGAATTCTTCTGTTTTTATCGGTTTACGGCCCACTTGATTCAAACGCCTCTCGTTTATCGTATCTGAATGAAACAATGATGAATCAAGTACCAGAGCTCCGACATTTTAATATTATCGATCAAGCGTTAAGAGCGTCAGTCTCGAAAATGATTAAGAAATTTGAGGACTGCCATCAAGGAAGATATCCGTATAATAACCGAAATCAAGGAGTTTCTCTGAGATCTTTTTTGACCTACCGTTAATAACTTGAATAATCTGTGAAGTGGCGTATCCATCAGTCATCTTTGCCAAGCTCGAAAAATCGATCTAAAAGTTGGGTTGAAAAAGTTGCTTGTCAAAGCCGCGTTTTATTGAAGCTAACTTACAAAAGCTGTCTGGATCTCTTCTAACTTGTCATAAATGCGCTTTTCAATGATAATTTTTCGATCGCCGTAGCAGGGCCGTGGAACCATGACGATTTTATCGTAGACCTTGCAGAATGACTTGAGATCTGCCTCGAACGGGGCGCTGCTCGTTCCCACGAGTAGGATGCGTTTGCCAGCTTTTACTTCTTTCATCTGCTTTGGCAGGTCTTTTTTTAATTCGTTTCGGATCGAGTGGCTTTTCTGCTTTTGGAACCTTTTTGTAAAATGTCTTTTCCGCGTTGCCAATATGTATTATTGAAGGCTACAAAAGTTTGTTTGTACGTTTGAGGAATAAATAGTACTTACCTGAAATATTTCGGCGACTTTCCAGACCATATGAATGAGCATTTTGAGTCCGCTTTTTCCCGGATACTTTCCGACTAAGTTCTCTGGCGTTAAATCGAACAAGTTGGCGCCGACTTCATTTGCCATCGCTTGAACTAGCAGCTTTTTGCCGCAGCCTGGCGGACCAGCCAGAAGCATCGACTTGACCAGGGGCGCGTTTTCGTGGACTGTTTCCGAGCCAAGCGGTAGAATTCCATATAACGTGAGCATTTGCTTGATGTCCCAGGTCGAGGGCTGGCCTTCTTTTTGCATAGAACGGAGGGTAGTGCCCAAATAGCTGAATTCGCCGAGATAATCTTCCAGCATCACCCTTTCTGGTCGCTTGATGATTCCTTGTTTGATAAGCTCCTGGTAAAGACTTTCCGGAGTTCGATCAGCTGTTAGGTCCTTCCCCTTCTTCTTTCCTTTCTTGCCCTTCTTCCCTTTTTTACCTTGAAAAAGCGCATGAGGAGAAGAAGAAAAAAGTAAAACTGATTGTGCTCAGTACGTAAAAAACAGGTGCTACAGAACGTTCTAGAGAAAAATTCTTCATTCGTGCATGGTGCAAATTTTATCAATAAAATTTACTGAAATACTGATTTTGTGCTCTGATTACCTTTTTTACCCTTCTTTCCTAGGCATAAATATTTTAATATTTAGCACAGTTGTTAGCCTTTTTCAAGATCAAACTTTTTACCTTTTTTGCCTTTCTTTCCTTTTTTGCCCTTCTTGCCCTTGTCTTTATCCAGCGCCGCTTTTAGATTTTCCAGCTCTTCGCGCATGATGACGTCGACTTCTTTTCTGAGCTCTTCTTCGACTTCGAGGATTTTTTCTTCCTTGATGATTTCTTCGTCGTGGCGCTGGCTGACGTTGTGGCTCTCGTCGCGGAATTTCCATCTCGTGTCATAGTCTGTCAATCGTCCGTCCACGTCTTCGTTAAATTTCGACGGCTTCATTTTCCATCCCGGATCTTCTTCCGCGGCGCCCTTGTCTTTTCCCTTCTTTCCTTTGCCTTTCTTCTCCTTTTTCTCTTTCTTGTCTTTTCCGCCCTTCTTTCCTTTTTTGCCCTTCGCCTCTTTGGCTTCTTCTTTGGCTTTAATTTCCGCTTCAATCTCTTCGGGCGTTTTGTTCACAAACAATTTCGCACTGCCGCCCTCCTCTTCGTCGGGATAATCTGGAAACTTGCCGGAGTTGTCGCGACACTCAATGAACCACTGGCGAATTTGGTCCTGGAGCTCTTCTTTTATCGCGGGTCCCTTTGAAACGTAAAGGTTTTGTTTTATGTCCACCAGCGCTCTTATCGAATCATTTATCCCCAGCTCACAATAAATTAAAAAACCAAATTACCTTTGATAATCAATCTCATGCTTTTTGAGCCGCTCTCTTCGAATGTCCTCCGTGTCCTTGGCCTTTTTGAGCTCATCAGTCTCCACTGGCCTCGCCTCGCCAGGGCGCATTCCAATGAAAGTTAGCTCCTCAGACCTGGCTTTTTTCGTCTTTTGCCTGGCGATGTACCCTCGCCACTTCTTTTGGACCATTGTGGCGGCATCTGCTTCGGACAGGACTTTCAGGCCTGAAAGATTGATGATTTAAAATTTCAATTCGAAATCAAGGAAGAGAAAAGAATTGGGAGCAGGCTCTTTTTAGTATAAAATACTGTGATGAAGAGGCTCCTAAAAAAGATTTACGACCTCACCTTTGCTGATTTTTCTCTTTCTCTCCTCTTCCATGCTCAATTCCCACATGAACTTGGCTCGCAGTCGTCCCTGTCGAGCTCGCTCGTGCATCTGGAGCACTTTTATAGCTTCGTCAAGATTCATCGATGGTTTTTCCCCATCCTTCGTCTTGCTCTCTGCGTCCATTTGCTCGATCATTTGATGAAGGACCTTCTGGCGGACAGTATAGCTCTCCGATCGACCGTGAATGTAGTATCGTGGGACGGAAAGAGAGACATCGTCGGGCGTGATTTTCAGATCTTGAATGATGTCGTCGAAAGGCTGGAATTCGGTCTTTTCCAGATCGGACATTTCGTGCTTGAGTTCGACAATACGACCCATGATCGAGTCTAGCAGGACTCGAAGAGAACGGGACTTCTGGGGGTGCACGATTTGGTCATAACAGGTGTCCAGTTTTTTGTACATCAAAAAGATTTATAGTGGAAATTCAAGGTTACAGGACTCTCTATTTGTTTCTGGAAGCCGCACGCGGCTTCTCGTCGAGGAGTTCTCGATTAGGTCACATGGATAATCAGTTACGTTGGTTACCTGTAAATATCTGATGAACAAGGACGAGAGAGTATCAATCGCTTCTCTTGAATCAGTCACCGGCGCTGCATCCGGCGACGGCTCATAATTCAGCTTGACTTGATGCAGCTGACCGACAAGTTTGTCCCATTCCTTATTGTAAGCGATGCTGGACATCCTCTCTTTTTGTCAACCGACTTGTTTCGACTGCTCGTCTAAAACGGTGTGTTCTTAGAAGATTCTTGCGGATTTCTGGGTACCAGTTTTTGGAAAAAAGTATGAATTTGGTTAAATGAGAAATTACAATTAATCAATTTACAGGGAAAACAGACAGAGATTTCAGATGTTCTAGAGAAAAATGCTGCAAATGGTATACCGTTTTATAAAATTTAACCCGTCCCGGCAGGTTAAAAAACGATAGTGTTGATAAATGAAGGGTAGATTCGGGCATGTTTCATGGTTTTGTGGTGCTTTTTTATTGAGTTTTTTGATGAAGAGAAAGGGAAGAAAGTGGAGCGTGAAAAGCAGTTGAACTAGTCAGTAAGTAAAATCTAGTTTGTTACAGCAAAATTTGTCAAAAGAAGATCTTTCCTTGAATAGTTTGTACGTGGAAGAATGAAACGAATTTACAGTTGTTACAGTAGCTCTTGGACATAGTCTAACATACAGTAGGTCTTTTCGAGCTCTGAAGATTATAGTGAGTCTCAGACAGAGTTTTATTAAAACCTCTTAAAGTCGGCAAGAAAATTGAGTCTAGTGAAAAATAATTGTTGAAAAAATGTGAGTTTTCCTGTTTTGAAAAAACAGGGGATATTAAAATGCCCGATGTTATAAAATTGATATATACATACACTGGTTATATCACACGTTTTTTGCTGTTTAGTAGATTTTATAATTGTAAAAGTCACAATTCTAGAGGAATGCTGGACGAAGCTGAACTGGCTATGTTTCTGTTTGTTTCTTTTTGAGAGTCGATCACCTTCAAATTTGTCGTTAGAATTGTCGTTTTTTTCTAGCTACTGGTACATTACCTTTTGCGTTTCTTCATATTTTTGTGCGCCTGTTCAATGAGCCAATTGAGTCCAGTATCGAGCCCCACTCCCTTGTGCGCACAACTGGGCTGGACGAACCAGGCATGATTTGTCAACTTATCGAGTCCAAGAATATTCGGTACATGGGTAGCTTTGATCGCATGTTTCTGATCCTGCTTATTCGCGAAAACCAGCACTGGGGAACCCTTCATGTCAGTGTTGTTGACGATTTTGAGGAATTCTTTGCGCGCTTCTTGGAAACGATCTTCGTCTGCACAATCCAAAACGAAAATCAAACCCTAAAAAGGATAAATCAATGCGTTCTAGCAGTGAAACAGCCGCCTGTGGCTTATTTTGTTAGTATTCTGGTTACCTGTGTGCCTGTATAATAATGCCTCCAAAGAGCTCTGATTTTGTCCTGTCCTCCCACGTCCCAAATGTTCAGCATGACTCCTTTGTACTTGACGCTTTCGACATTGAATCCAACTGTGGGGAGTGTTTGAAGCTCGTTCAGGCTTTTTAGTTTGTAAAGAATCGTAGTTTTTCCGGCCGAGTCGAGTCCCAGCATCAAAATTCGCAGTTCCTTCTTTTTCGAGCTGCTAATTCCCATTCTGAAATTCAAAAATCTCTTTATTTTCGCGCCTTTCTATCTCCCTCTTCTTTTTTCCTTTATCGAATTAAAATAAATCATACAGTCAGTCTATGAGCTGTATTTGTTGCGAAAAGGTTGTTCTTTTGGTCAATTTATTGATTTCTTCCAATAATTAAATTCAGTCTTCTCAATTTAGCGAAATAAAAATTATTCATTGCTGGTTCAAATATTTGCAGAAAGCAGGACCATAATCTGAATTTCTCTCCGCGAAAAATGTTTCTAGTCTGGGAGAATCTCGTCGAAAGGGGCGCGCTGATTGGCTCGTTGAATTTTCGCATCTTTTGAAGTGGAAGGTTCCTGACTCGAAGAATCGAGTCCCAATTCGGACTCCGGAATTATCAAAAATTAACTGTAAATTCTAAAATAGATAACCAGTTTAACAAACAATTATGAATGATAAACAATAAGCATAAAAAGTTAATTAATTATCATAAAATTAATAAGCTTTATTATTTTTCGTAAATCGATTTACGAATCACTTTGAATAGATCAAGAAAATTACGTCGATAGATAATTTCCCCTGTTTTGGCACTGAAAAGATATGACGCTGATTCCTGCTTACGCTAGTGAAGTCTGACGCGCATCCAATTTACGCGAAATCAACTTTTTTACGAGCCTTAATTCTTATAAAAGCAGCGGGCCCAGGCCCTCATCTCATAACAAACTGAAACCAAAAACAACCAACAACCAAAAATGAAGCTTTTTTCTTCCCTTCTTGCATCGACCGCTCTTGGCGACGTCTACATGCACTTCCCAAGGGGCTCCAACAACCGGCTCAACGAGAACTCCGAAGGCCGACGCAACGGAAATCGACTTTTCGACTCCCAAAACAACAACGAAGGCGGCTACAACGTCGGTGACAGATTCGACAAACCTGCCAAGACTGCCGACGAGCAAAGCAAAGCTGTCTTCTTTGAGTCCACTGCTGAAGCCGCTTCTGAAATCGCGATCGAATGGTGGAACCAGCACGGCTGCGGCAAGCGAGATGAAAACGACGCGAACTGGGTCAACTGTCAGATTGTCCTTCAGTACATGTGCGAGGACTCCTCTTCAACTAAGATCCAGAACGGACTCAACACCAACACTCCCGCTTACAGCCGACCAAAGAACGATGAATCCCAGCAACAGTATGCTGATCGCAAACGCAAAGATACAATGGACAATGATCACGCCCAACGAGGAGTCCACGAGTCTTGGGAATACTACGACTCCTGCTACAGGAGAGATAGAAATTATGGGCTTTTCACTGGCAACGAAGGCCGAGTGCGAGGCGGGGCGATCTTCACCCGACAAAATCCAGGAGGAACTCGCCGGGGTTACGAGTGCCCAGAAGAGAGAGATTACTATCCTTACTGGCATCCAACTCCGTGGAAAGATATCGCTGTTCTCACTTCCGAGCCAAGCAAATGCCAAGATCTGACATCAGAAAACGGCAACAGAAATATGAAATACGAATGCGTCCACAATATCGACGCCAATACAACTCTCGGATACAGTAAATACAACAACGAAGAAGAATGTACGCACTTTGGCGGCGAATGGGTTGGTTTTTACAACCCGAAATTCATCTTTGAGGATATTGAAGACAAAGATGCCTGCGATGCACTTGCGAAGGACTCTGATTTCAAGAACGATATCATCTGGGGAGTTCCTTTCCGAACAGGCGAGGGCCGAAGAATTGCTCCACAAGAAAAGTGTCTTCTCTTAGAAGAAGCACCCGAGTGCAAGAAAGCGCCTTGGTCCCGAGCCAATCATCTCGGTCAAACTGATGACACCGACTACTTCCCAACTTATAAATGGGAGCTTCCAAACTTTCACGGTCTTCTCGAATCGCAAGAATGCGTTCTCCGAATCCGATACAACATCACAACCAACGACTATCTCGACGACTTCGCTTCCGAAAACAGCAAGGCTTATTTCCCTGGGCTCGAATCTCACGATGATCCTGAAGTAACTTATCGAGGCGCTCGACTTCAACTCGCCCTTGATTCTGCTCAAACCGGCCGCGTCTTCCAAGATCGATCTCACATCTTCCAGCTGAAGCCTCGACCACAATCCGTTCCTTCCGATAAAGTCATCAAAAACCTCGGCGTTCGTGGTCGACGAGGCAACATCGTTCAAGCGTTCCCTTCTGTTGAATACGACTTCTCTCCGACTATTCTCGAAATGAATCAAGACGATCTTGTGCACATTCAATGGGAAGGAAGCAACACCAATCCCAACTCAGATGGCGAAGGGCGACAAGGAACTGATAGATCCAACATTGTTCCAATCACTGTTCCAGGCGCGAGCATCCCAGCTGGTCTTCCTTCTTTCCCCAACAACGACCTCAATGAAGATTACTGTCAATACACTGATGCTGATGGAACAATTCGAACTTTCCGAGCCCTCATCGTCCGAGACAGCTCTTTTCCAGAGATCGTTCAGCAATGCGAAGCTGCAAAAATGACTCTCCCTGAACCCACAACTCAAGAATACAACGATGCTCTGGTTGAGTTTTGGAATCCAAATGGTAACTGGAGAGGCGATATTCCAATTGGAATGGCTGCCGACTGGGCCGCTCTTTCCTCTGGCGAGGCTGCTTCCTTCCACCAGTTCCGACATCAACGACCACCAATCGGCCAGATCGACCACTACGCCATGATCGACTCTAGGGGCAGATGGTACGATGACATGAACGAACACCGAGTCTTCTCCAGAGCTGTCTGTTTTGCCGAAGTTGCAGGAGACGAGTTTGCCGATGAGCCAAAGATGTTCGCCGACTGGATCTGGAGCGCTGCTGATAGTCTTGATAAATTGAATAACACTGAAGAACTCGAACTTCAATTGGCATCATCTGGGTATTACCAGTGCTACAACAAACAAGACTGCGCCAACTCCTTCGAAGAAAAGAAGGATTCTCTCCAGGATCAACTCAACAATGCACCAGCATATTTCGCCGGAAACATTGTGCGAATGAACCCAGGCGTTCACCAGTATCTGTCTACAAGAAACAACAACTTCTCCAACCGCGCCCAGAAGGGAACCATTATTGTTAACTAATTTCGCATCAACTATACTTACTGATACTTTTTCCTTGTTGAATCAAACGTTACTTCATTGATAATAAAGAGATAAATATACGAAAATATGGCTGTTTTATCAAAATTTTTAGGTTTTAAAAAATTGATTGTTGTCAAGCAAATATTATTACTCAAAAATCGATCGACAACATCAAGTGATTTTACATTTTACGGCGATCACGTTCAATAAAAGCCATGCCCACTTCTTTCGTACTTTTATTTCAAGCCAATCTTGGCACATGAAAACGATGAAGTGTTCGATTATAAGGACAGAGAAAATTTGCACAGGCCATCGACTTCATAGGTAAAAATATATAGAAGTATAAGGTTGATATCAAGGAAGACTAAGTCGTTCAGTCCGTTTCTGACAGACGAAGAAAACAAGAAAGTTTACGGCAAGTGCAATCACCCCAACGGCCACGGTCATAATTACACGATTCAAGCAGTAATCGAGGTGGGCCACTCTTCCTTCCTTGATTTTCTTAGACTTCCAGGGCGAAATCATAAAGGAGACAGGAATGGTGATGAATCTCGTCGATCTCAAACAGGCCATGTGGAAAGTGCTCTCTCAGCTCGATCACAAAAATGTGGATAAAGACGTCGAATACTTCAAGAACTTCCCATCTACCGCGGAGAATATCGCCCGGTGGATTTTCACCCAGCTTTCACAAGAACTACCGCCCGGCTCCTATCGCCTCAAGAAAATCATACTCGACGAAACGGACAAAAACCGCGTTGAAATCTACGAATAAAGAGTCCTTTCTTTGATCGAACTTTTAAATAGCATTTATTTATAAATAAAAAAAGAAGAAAGCAGGGCAATTTTAAATAGCTAGGCGAAAGCCAAAGAAGGAGAATTTTCTAAGATGGCTGTTTTTGGCCGTGATTTGCTCGGAGATATCCTCGAGTTTCTTTACTTCTATTTCCAATCGAACTAGATGCTCGGCTGTGTAGAGATCTTGGTTCGCGTTGCACCACTCATCTGAAAATTTTTGTTAAGATATTTGATAGAAAAAGGCTTGACTTACATTTTTTCTTGTGTTTCTTTGGCAGGCGGTTGAGCAATTGATTGTACTTCATTCTCAATTCGCGGCAATGGTTAAATCGCTCCTGCTCAGACAAATTTCGCTTTGGCAAGATCATGGTCATTTCTGCCGCATGAAAAATGCTATTCGTATTTGTCCTGGAAATTAATTTTAGAGGTTGCTTTGGATGATTTTTACTTACGGGCTCCGATTGAGAGAAGAGGAAGACTTGCTTGTTTTGAATTTGAGCAAGTTTTTCAACGAGTTCGACGACTTCAGATTCGCTGAAGAGCGCGTCTTTTCTTTCCTTTCGTAAGAATTCGAGTCCGCCAGGGTGGTTTTGGACGACGCCGTTTGAAGTTGGATTGAGCCATCAGCCATACGAACCATTCTGACGGCACTTTTCGTCTTATTGGATTTTCTCGGGTTTAATTTGTGCTGACGCGGTGCCATACACGCTTCCGTGTCTGTCGCTGGGTATTCTCTGATCGTGTCCATTTGGATCTTCTCCTTCTTACTAAATCTCGCACATTCTTCTTCGGCGTCGGACATTAATTGCAAATGCTTGGTCCGCGCATACGCTGCTGGTTGAACTTTGGGCTTGCACTTGATCACCATTTCTGTCGGGGAGAAGGACTCGCGCGCAGAGAACTCTTGGTCGGATAAATACACCTTGTGCGGCTTTTTTCGCGGAAGTGGAAGGTCGAGGAAATGATCTTCTCCATCATAATCTGTCGCCGAGCCGTGTTGGGATGGACGGACGGAGACTTTGAAGTTGTTTGTGTCCGACTGATAGCCTCGCCATGCGGCGTTGTAGATGACGGTATCTTGAGATGTGGCCTCAGAGCAACTGAATAATACGAGTTAATACCAGTATTGAGAAATGGTGCTCGATGGGTGCTGACATTAAGAGACTTCAAATGTAAAGCTAGGAGTTTTTAGGCCAAAGAGCTCATAATAGTGTCAGCGCGCACCTGTGCCACCCATCAATTTTGACCTATTGTTTGGTATTTCCAGAGGGATCCCTCCAAATCTTTGATATGACGTACCTTGAGATGTAGCTCTGCGACATTCCATGAAGTGGAGACCGGCAATCTGTTTTGATCTGTGGCTTTGGCGGAGTGGCTGGTCCGGGTCGTGGGCGCTTGTGATTTGCTCGCACTCGCTGCATTCGAGAAACTGCTTGAAGAATTGCAAGTGATTTGTCCTCTTCGTTTCCATCGATGTGAGGAACGAGGCAGATGTTGTTGGTCGTAGAAGCGAGGGCTTCACGAAGAAGATGGTGCTCTGCTGAATTTCGCTTTTGAAAAGCTGTTTTTCGAGCTCCACCATCGAGGATAAAGGAAGAGATTGTCGAAAGAATCGCAGATCCACCGCGCGCGCAGTCGAATAAATGAAGTCTTCCATGAGCACCGTTCGGGAGGTGGAAAGTGAGTGAGACAAGGATGTGTGAAAGAGGATCTCGTCGAGCAAAACACCGTCGGAGAAGCCGAAGACCAGGAAGAGCTGATCTTATGAGCATTTCGGACTGTCCATGGAGCTGAATCAAACGATGAGAAACGGAAGTTCTTGACTTTATGGAAATTTTAGAGGGCGTTTTGTAAGTTTGCGACGGTACTTAGTGACCATAGTGACGGCAAATGGAAAAAAATTGTGACAGCGTTGCGGCAGAAACTGTTAATTTTGTTTGGTAAAGTTGTTAGCACCTTGTGGCACGCGAGGAAGTGCACCGAGAGAGGAGGAGTGGCTAAGTGGCCACAAGGGGCCTGCCACCCCCATCTGCTGCGTTCTGTCGCTACTACTTGGGCCAAGATGATCATCGAGGTTATTAGATCCGAGCGATTTTTGCTGGTAATTCATCTTAATTTTCAAACACTCAAGTGTTTATCGATTCACTGCGCCGAATCAGCGTCGAGTGAAAATCCGCCGCCGCCAGAGTTTTTCACAATTAGGGTTATTAAAGTATCTGGGAAGCTTAAATTGCTCAACGAGGTAAATACAAATTCCAACTGATTGAAGGCGCGGTTTTGATAATTAAAAGGCACGGGCTGATTTTGGAAGGACCTGGAGCGGATATAATCAAAGTTGGGGGAAAATCAAGGGGCAGGTAAATATAGCAAAAGTTATAAAACAAAAATTTTGGAGCGCTGTCAAGAAATTAATGAGCAATTTGGCCCGTCAGTGCGCGATGATCGCTTCAAAAGCGGCCACGTCTTCTTCTCGAAATTGACGCCTTTTAGTGTTTTGTGATTTTTTTTTGAAGTTGATCGTTTTAATTTTCGTTTCTTACCATTGGTCCAAGGAGGGGATCCTCGACGGCGAAGATTTCCGGTCGATCGGGGTTGATCAAGTCGACGAGGGTTTCTTGGCTGCCCTCGATAACACTCAGACGCATTTTAATCCTGAAATAGAAGATCTGTAAGTACTTGTGTGTACTCATCCCATATTTAGCTGCGCGAGCCTTTGAAGTTTATATTTAGGCCAGTTAACAAATAGATAAATCATTTGGGAGTACCAGTACCGCCGGTGTAATTCGCGCTAGTGCACCTGTATCCGGATATCGGACCTAGCCGCGCATGAATTATGGTCAGAAGCCGATTCGATTGTCCCCTAACGTCCGGAAACGAGGCCATTTACTCAGTTGGGCACGTCGACCCGAGCTCGTGCCAACTCTTGACGTCAGAAATTCTAACGCTACGTTTACGTTAATTATTTAAAAGAAAAAAATGATCTCATCATCTTTTAAATTCTCAATTTGACGCTTTTCCTTCTTAATCTACTGTTACAGTTGAAGAGGGCAGTAACCGATTCCGAAAATGAGTTTCTGGCATGAAGCCAGGGAAAAGGTATATCCAGCTGGAAATCGGACATCCGATTTCTCGGTCATCGCTCTCTAACTAACCCGAAACTGTCTTCGATACCCAAGTGGAGGCATGAAATTGAGGAACTCAACAAATCCCCATATCGGGCTAATAAACCTAGAAATTAGGCAGGCCTTTTTCCAGCTGGCTTGGTACTGGCCAAAATAGTAATCCTAACCATAAGAATCAACGATATTCACAGTTCTTACCTTGGCTGTTGCTTGAGAACTTCCAAGCTCCAAGCAAGAGCAGTTTCTGCAGCGTAGCACAAGAAACTTGTCTTTCCCTTGAGCGGCCCGCCGATGGGAATGACGCTTGAATTGCCTCCCATCATTCCATATCGAATGGCAGAAACCAGCGTTTCTTTCAAGAGTTCTGGGGAGGTGTTTTCTCCCTTGAAGAGCGCATCGAAATTGTAGACGTACGAACCAAGTTGAATTTGACGGCCATTTCTGCAGACAAGATTTTCGCCTGTTTGATTTACTCGGCAAAGTACACGGACCTAAAGGAAAACAGTTTAGGGTGCGATTCCCAAGGGTGCTCGAAGTTCAATCAACTCGGCTTGGGCGCGACGCAAATGACCGGGCCACGCTGGGTCAGCTTGTCTAGGTCACTTTTTCGAACATTTTATTTCTGGGTTTACAGTTGACGCGAAGGTGATAAAGTTATTTATGGATTTGTTTATTCATAAATTGCTACTAATTTACAGATTGTCGAATAAACATGGACATTTGAGGTCAAAAACGAAAGCCTGAAGTTTCCAGGTGCCAAAGAAATATCATATTTCAAATATGGCAGTCTTGGACCAACATTGACGAAGTTAATTCATTTGATAACAATTTAAAAAGATAATTACGAAGCAGTATTTCTTGAGGATAATCTGAGATTGCTTCATTGTCTGCTTTTAAAAAAGTGCACGAACTTTGCTCATTGTCTTTAGTAGAAAAAAATGGATTTGAGTTTTATCTTACCTTGCCCTTCTTTAGACCGTTCGGCGGCGGTTGGATTGGCATAGCCACTTTGTATTTAATCGCCAGTCGATGTAATTTTTCTATCTCTCTTCTGATCCCTTCTTTTTGGTCTCTCTCAATTCCGCTGATTTGTTCTCTTGCTTTCTTTAGGCTATCCCCGCTGTCGCCTCTGAACAAAAGAGATTGTGGCGGAGGATGTCTGGTTATTGGAATCGATTGCTCGATTTTTTGGATTTCGAGTCAACCTCAAGTTTCTCAAAAAATAAAACTCGGCGGTGGACCGCCGCGCGCGCCCTCGGCCTCCCAAACGAGCCAGAGCGCCATCAGACTTGTGGACCTTGCGCGAGGCGGACAAACCATAAAGCAAGTTTAATTCTCTACCGGATCAAAGGGGATGTTTGGAATGTCCTCTTCAATGAACTCCAAAGGTCGCAAAAACGTGGGGACCAAAAGGTAAGAGGGAATTTAACGGCGCTAGGAAATTTTTATGAGCGCTGCTCAAGGAGGAATGTGAATTCACATTCATGTCTAGCGGCTAGACTCTAGCCCAAAATAAGAAACGATTTTTACATATGTAAACTATAGTATAGTTAATATAGTCTATATAGTCTATATAAATATAGTCTATATAATATAGACTAGGGCTGCTGAATTCGGAGGATTTGATAGTTTTCTAAAGTCATCATAAATTGGCGTTTTTATTCAATATTTATGATAAAAATATTATATTTATAGTTTTCAAATTAACCAGAAAAAATTTTTCGGAAATCCATTCTCGTAAAAATCCGAAACTCTGGACTAAGATCCTTGACCCAGCGAGGATCTACATACGTAACATAGCATACGTAACTTCCTGCGCATCTTTGACTGATGTGTCCCAAAATGATGCTTTCCGTTGGCGGACGTCTCGTTTGACAGGACTTTCCGGTGCTTGACTTGTATCAGGGTTACTTTAAATTCAATAGATCACTCTTTTCGCGGCTCTCGAAATTATAAATTTAATGTCCTCATTATTACGATTTGCGAAAGTGATCAACGTGAGGCTATCAATCTTATTAAAAAGAATAAGATTGGTTTTATACGGAAGAGAATCAATCTTCAGCGAGCTTGAGTGAGATAATTGAGCCGATTCGGACAAGATTGAGCTCAGTGGATTGTCTTGGCTCTGGATGGCTGCGCTGGACGGAGATGAAAGGGGACTGTTATTAGATTTTTTATATTCAATTCAAAAGTAAAGATACTCGTTTACTGTCAGCGCTTTCTGAATGGATTACCATTTTGGCACTCGATCAGCTCAAATCTGAATCTATATCTTCATCGGGAAAGCTGGAAAACGAGTTGGTCAAGATTAACTTTTCATGAGCAAATATGCACCTAATTAGCATTACTGTCTACCAGACTGTGGAAAAATTTGATGAACGCGTCCCCAAGGACACAAAGTATTGAAATATTAACAAAGAGAGATGTTCAATTCCACTTTCGAAGCAGTTAACTTTCCGATGACAATCGAGGAACACGCGCAAATTAGCATTCATTTCCCACAACCGATTGAAAGCATTAAATTCCGAATTCGGCATTAGTCGATGGGAATTTGCATTGAACTGATCCCCCAATCGATCCCCTTAGGAGGCGATTTGATCCCAAGTTTCGCCCCTTTTCAATCCGCTAAATGCCCTAATCGCCCAAGTAGCAAGTGTAAGGCCACTTCTCTACGTAGCTACTTGTCTGAAAAAACACGCGCGACAATGGGAAAAAAAGTTTCAAACTGGGCCAAAGTCGTTTTGTAACAGCAAGGTGACGATCAGTTGCGAGTGATTTCTGCCGGTCACCGGGATCAGACAAGAAACCAACTAACTTGATTAGAGACGAGCAAATTAGCACCTTGCTCCTAATTCGATCAGTCAGTCCCACCGTTACAAACTTTGGGGATTATTGTTCAACGACTTGATTATCCGTTAATTTGGGCATCCTAGGGAACAAAATCAAAAGCTAGCTGTTCAGCTAGACGGTATTCCTCCATGATATCAAAAGGTATCAAAGAAATCCTTTGAATTTACGTAGTTCTGACTAGCAATCGTAAAAAACTCGCCGATTCATCTTATCCTCCTCGAAATTCCAGCCCATAAAAAACCCGCAAGCCCATAAAAAATCGCGCAAATTTGCCCTGGTACTAATTTAGCAATTAAAAGATTTTACGAATCACGTGTGGCGTCTTTCTTTGAACGCGGCGGATTTCCGGTCGAAAATTTAAGTTTGGGAATTGAACAATTTTTGGGCAGGCAGGTGCATGCGCGGTGTCACTTTTTTGATCCCGCCGAGGGATAATATTTGTCGGTGCAGGCAGGTGCGCCCGCTGGTGATCCCAGTTGCAACCTGCAAGGCCAGTTTCAAGCTCAATTCAACGAAGCACCGATTGAATATCTGATTGACTTTGAAAGGACAGTCTAACAGATGATTTCGCGAAAAAACAGCCGAAAAGGAAATAGACTTTGGATCGATCATAAACCAGACATGGAAATGTCTGGCTCAAAATTTTCGATCATTCGATCACAAAAAGAGTCCTCTATGTTGCACAAAGAGAGAAGCTCAACCTATATTCGCACGAGGACGGCGGCGACTCAAGTGATTACGCCATTTACTCTCAAAATAAAAAATCTCTGAAGATTCCGCCGACGAATGTTTGGGTGCGATGATGAAATCGGATGCAAGTTTTTGTATATTATTGCGGATGGGTAGAAAATTAGCCAGAGTAACGAACCGCGGTAGAGGCGATTCATGTTGGATATTTAGTCTAGGAATTAGGTGCAAATAAAGTTATTCTTAGCTAAGAAGACCGACAAAGAATAAATATTCTCAGGATTCTGGTAAAGTCCAGGGAAGAGCTGTAGGAAATGCCATTCTCCAAGCGAACAAAAGCCGGCTCTGGACGAATGTACTTGTATCTTTTATGATTTTTTTTCAGGGGATTTTCTGAATAACCCGTGGCCAAATGCCAAAGCTAACGTTTTTGCGACCTGTGAGGGGATATTGAAGAAAAGTGAGCACTTCCTATCGGTAGATATCCGGTAGTATAAATTTTAAGAGGAAAAATACCCCACTTGCTTGAATAAGAAACTAGTCATACAGTGATAATTATAAAAGCTCTTTATTCTGGTATTCGTACCTTTTTATCAGCATTGCTTTTCTCTTGGTCCATACAAGCTCGCCAAGATCTTCAAAGTTATTCTCTATCCATTGCGATATCTCGACTTTACCAGGATTCACTGATTCCACCCAGTCCTTCACATTCATATTTGCTATTTATTTACGCTTTTAGACTGAGTAAAGCGGAGGAAATAGCTTCAACAGATTTCTCGGCGTACTTATTTGATGTTGCTACTTTTCGAGCAATAAAGACAAAGAACCATCACTCTCCTTTTAACGTAAAAGGCTGCGCTTTTCACATAGACTAAACGTCGCATTTCGCGTTACTTCTCTAATGATTAATTTCGCTAATAAAATGGTCTTCAATAGAGGTTTTATGTTTATTACGGCCAGATCCCCACCTGCTGATAATCGCGGCTTTCCGGCTGGTTTTGAAAAAAATACTTTAGTTAGCAAATTAATGGCAGGTCAGAGACACTTTTTATTTACCTATAAAACTATATTTTTATAGAAAGTTCAAACGAAATCTTTCTTTAGATTGTCTACTAGACATTGTTGCTCATTTGACAAGGTTTTCAAAAGATCTCTTCGTTGATTTCAATTTAGCAGATGTTTGATGTTTATTCATGTGACTTTTGTGAACAAAGTGAACTGTGAACAGAATTTCTCCTAAATGTCTTCGCAAAGGCTATTTTTCTTAGATGTTATCGTCCAAAAGCTGTTGGAAGACATTCTGAAAAAGAGGTTAGTTTTTCATTTTTACCAAAAAAAGATGCACTTACGAGGACAGCTTTGGGGTCTTGATTTGGCTTGTTCAGAATTCGATTCATTCTGGCCGACATTTCCGCGTTGCTTGTGACCATGGTATTGAAGCGAATCTCGTTTTGTTTTCGCTGAAAGAGGTGTTAGCTGGGATGGGAGACAACGAGGAGTACCTTTGAGACGGTGTTCTTGTCGAAGCTCGAGTTCATCATGTCACTGAACTCGCGTGTGAGTCCTTCGATGTCTGAATTCGGTGATTTATAAAGATGAAGATTAGGTTGACTTACCGAGGCTTTCTCGCGAAGCACTGGTGGAGGTTGAATTGAATGAAGCATCGGAGTCGCGGGATCGCTCAAATGAGCTTGAAAGCGAAGTCGACTAAAATCGAAAATGTCCAACTCTCTGTGTGTCAAAGAAGGGTCTTACCATTGTCGAATCGAATGATTTCCGCTTACTGTTCTCATTGCTCTTGCTTCTTCGAACTTTAGGCACTTGGGGCGTCCGGAAAGTTACTCCTGGTCGTTCCATTTTTTTGGTTTTGCTCTTTCTCTGTTGAATTAAAATCGCAAAGTGACGCTAAGCAGCAGCCAAAATCAGTGGGCGCAATTTTTCGTCTTTCAGCCGTTTAGATCGAATCTGAAAAAAATTTGAAAAATAGTTTGAATTTCAAACTTTGAAAAATAATTCCACAGCTGCGTTCGAAAAATTCTTCCTTGAATCATTTCAAAATCAAGTTAGGTTTATTGGATTTATGAGTATATTAATTATACAGAAGTATTCAGGACGTCACACATAGTAAATTTCGCGGTTAGTCTTGTCTGACCCCTACACTTGCGTCAAATCAAGTGTCAATCATTTCAGGAAGCCGAGAAGCACACAGGCTGGGCATATTTTTTGAGAGGTTGAACTACGACGTTTCTTTCACCAAGTTCTTTTTTGTGTTTTTTTCTCTGCTTCTCAGGTAAGCGAAAAAGATTGATTGGAGATTTTAGAGATCAAATTTGGATTTCTAGTGCCAAAAAACAATTTATACAGTATAATTTATACTGTATAAAAGATGCTGAATTCTTAAAAATAAATATGAAAGAAATTATATTAATTATTTTTTTCAATTAATTTAACTGTTTTTTCTTCACCTTGTCTGAAAAAATGATGATAGGAAATTATCGATTGTCTGTGTTCATGGGAGAAGAGCGGATTGCAATTGCATTAGTGGATCAAAGGCGTCATAAGTTGCTCCTTCGGTAGTTGTCGATCAAGGACGTCTACATTTACGACGCGTTGATCTCCACTTTTCATCCCTCGCACTGCTCTCCTCATTCAAGTAACTGAAGGCTCGTGTCGGCAAAAAAGTACCGACTTCGTGGAAAATAGACGCTGGGAAAAGAGGAGAAAAATAGAAACCTGCTAAAAAACAGAGAGACGAAGAAAAGAAAAGAGAGACGGTGAATCGTATGAAGAGTATTTTCGCATATTTGATTCTTGTATGGTCAAAAAGACCAACAACTATTCAAGATTGGTTTTTAAGAAATATTGCTGATAGCAAAAAAGCTATGTTAAAAACTGATACAAGATTGCTACCTTCATGGTCAACCATTGTGTGATAAAGACACCGTCAGATGTCTAAAGTAATTATTGAAAAATATCAATTATTTTAACGAGAGTCTTAGAAAGATACCGGTATTCAAAGCTCAGGACACATCAGATGTCGAGTCTTGGAAGTGTGATCAAAGCTGTCCGATAAAAAAGAAAGACTGCAGAGAATTCTGCTTTGTTGATGATCAATTTGGCTTAATATCCAGGAAGTTTTGCAGGGCCTGGCTAAAGGTTAGATCTCAATTCTAAGGATTTTTTCATATAACACTAATTCAGAATGAAAACAAGAAAAAAAGAAAGAGAAAAAATGAAAAGAAAAGGCAGCATGAAGAAGAAATATCCTACTCAGCAGAATACTCTTCAGTAGACCTTGAGGATATGGAATCGTCTCTCTCCAGTGATATAAATTCTGCAAGTGGATTTAATCCGGAGATGTCAGTGTCTTACTCTTCAGTTTCGTCAGCATCGTTGTCTTCGAAGCCTTTTTCGTCAGTTTCTACGATTTCTAGTTCAGCTAAATCCTCAGAATCGTCATCAGAAACACTATCAGAGACATTTTCTAAGACTTTCAAAGTTCCAATCAGCGTTCCGATTGGTAAGATTTATGAAAGAGCATGGTTTAATGGCATTCAGATTTTATCAGTCTGAGTTTTGGCGACTTCATCATCCACAAGTTAATTTACAAGCAGCTGAGTTGGGATAAAGCACTGGAGCGCTGCCAAAAGATTGGCGGCAAACTGCCGTACTTCAACACAAAAGACGATCTGAGGAGTACGTATTTCTTCCTAAATTAATTCATAAACTATTTCATAGGTTTTAAAGACAAATTATTTGGAGAAAATAAAATCTATGGAACGAACACCGAAGAAAATGACCGCCATCATATTTGGCTTGGGTACCGAAGATATGCAAGAAACAAGGTGAGTCCTTGTTGATTCCAAAAAATGAGCAGATTCAGAATCAAATGATGAATGTTTATACAAACGAACCATCAACAATCGCTCCTTATCAAACGCAATCCGGGTGAGAACAGACATATAAACAAAGCTAGAATCGTTTCTAGGCAAAGATGCGCAGCTTACAACCCAACTTTCATATCCATGTCATACTTCGACTTTTACTGCGGAAGCTTTGAAAGAAGAGCAACCAAGGACATCTATCTTACGCTTTGCTTCGTTCCAGATCCTCACTCGCGCTTGAACTGAAATCTCTGTATCATAATGTATGATTAAATCAATGTATAAGTTCATATTCTCAAAAAATGACGAGAATTGGCGGAGCTTTGTATTTTAAAAATGAGCGACAGTGTAAAAAAGTTGTTACATTGGTATACATGTTCTGAATTGAAGAGAATTGAGCATCTTTTTATTGGTCGCGATCAACTTCTAGGTAAGCGGTTCGACTTTTAACGATGCCATAGCGATTTCTTCCGACGCAGTTGAACTTATCTTTCCCCATCGGAGACTCGAGGAGTGGTCGTCGAAGATAGAGAGTGCTCTCCCCATTTCGAGAGAACTCGTAAAGATTCGGATCGTCAGCACCTTTGACAACTATTTGGCTTCGGAAGCATGTGCGGTCTTACTTGAAATTTGCTTGTCATTTCTTATCCAGTAAATTTCCGGCATTGGATCACCCTTCACCTTGCAGACCATATGAACAGACTTATTCCATTTCGAGATGGTCGATTTTGGCTCTTCGATTATTCGAGGCCCTGAAATTTTGTGAAATCATATTTCTATCAATACCGACCTTTGACAAGTCCTTCCGCAGAAGGTTCAAGACCCGAATCAGGAACGAGAACGTCAGGTCGTTCAGGAACGATGAACGAAGGGGTTTTGAAAGCTATTTTGGATGATGTTGTCTTTGTAAAAGGAGCTGTGGTCGTCTGAGCAGTAATAATTGACTTCTGAAATAATCGTGAGTAGAAATTACGTTCTCGATTACGTACCGCAGTAGCTTTTATAAATTCCGGAACAAGATCATGCTCAATAAGATCTGTTCCCGCGAGAAGATCGTCTAAGGCTTCATTGACTTCCGAGCTGAAAGAGAAGCTCTCCTCGACAATTTCTTCGTCGGAATAAGTTGGGATTTGACCTCTTATAGAATCAGGTATAAAATCGACAGGAATAGCTTCAACAGGGTCATAGCTTGAGCTGTAGTCTTCATCGACAACTACAAAAGAAAAAAAATTGAAGTTTAGTATGACTCGATACCTTCGTCAACGACCTCTTGTGATAATGGTTTCGTCTCCCCACTTCCTTCTTCCGAATCATCTTTTTTCAGCTCTTCGAAATCTTTTTCTGCGCTTCGGAACTCAAGGTCCATTATTGGCGCCATTGTCGTCTCTCTTTTACTGCTCAACGAAGATGAATCAAAGAAGTCCACGGGAATCAAATCGCTATCATCGAAAAAAGAGTCCTCCTAAAAGTTGAATATTGTAATAAAAGTGAAATGTCAACTCCGGTCAACCGTATTGATCTGAAGATCCTTTTCAGATGTCAGGCTGGGAGTCGAAAAAGATCCAAGGCCATATCTTTCGTTGAATGAGTTCAGCTTGGCGAGTGCGTCTTGAAGCGGGTTTCCGTAACTTGACGCTAGAATTTGAAGTATATCCGTGTTTGTTCATCATTTCTTACCAGAAGAAGAGAGAGGATCGCCGATGAGAGGATCGAAAGGAAGAGGAGCGCTTCTGAGATCGGGGTCGTAAGATCCAGATCCTTCGTGACTCTTTTCATCTGCTGCATAAACGTCGAATGTATGCGAAATTGAGCCGAGTTTGTTCGTCGCTTCGCACTTCCATTTTCCCTCATTCTGCCTAAGATTCAAATGGAAATCAATCTCGGTGGATCTAACAGTACCTAGTGAAAGATGGAAAAGTGAGGCTCGAGCCCTTGACTTTGACCTGAATATAATTGATGAGTGAGTGATTTAACCAACAAAAACAACCTCGTGGGAACTGCTGGATATTCTCTTGTCATTCTTGTACCACGTTATCGATGGTTTCGGATGCCCTTTAGCGTGACAATGCAAAACAAGAAGCGATCGAGGCTCTGGTGTCCGACGATTGCACATGTATCCTCGCCATTCTGGAGGCATACGCCTCTCCCGGACCGCTAGAATTGATGTTGTCTGCGACGTTGCTTCTTTAAATCTACCTGATGACAGAGTTGTGAGAAAAATAAGCGCTCGTATAAATCCCATTCTCTTTGATCAACTTCTCCTCTGGGTATGAAAAATCTCGGATTCCGCTCGAGGGCAATTCAGACTCGCCCAATGGCGCCGACTCCCATAAATCGTGCGCAGTTTTAAAGGTTTTTTGAAATAAAAAAAGTGCAAAAGCCCGAGTCGCCTTTACTCGCGCAACACAAAAACTATAAACCCCCCACGCAAGGGACTTGAATAGGGACTTGAAAGGGGAAAAGGAATATTTAAAAACCCTGTTCACACAAAGGGAGGGCCTTGTTTGCTTATTGTGTACTTTCCTAGCGGAAGATATTTTATTCAAAAAGCATTTGTTTTGTTTTCATCCTTCAAGTGCAACTTCGACTCAGGTGTTTGTCTTTTGTTCTCCAAATGGCGAATTAGAGCATTCTATCAAACAAGCTGTTAGTCAAATACAGTAACTAAAAATTAATATATTAGGTTTAGTGCGGCTTAAGCATGAGAAAATGCCACATGTTTCTTCGACTTTATTATATTACTGAACTTTCCTTTTATTTCTCGAATATGCGGCTTAGAGAATCACTACTACTCGGAATTGCTTTGGCAAATGAGTGGAGTTCCAAATGGGACCCATGGAATTGCCCATCATGTAATTATCACACGTCATTTGGTATTTTTAAAATTTTTAGCCTGCAAAGAACAACTCACCAATTATGCCTATAAGTGCGATAGCAACACCCCAATCATGGAGGACTATATAACCGAGAGTTGTTCAATCCATGATTACAACTCACCAACGACTGGCGCTGATGAAACCGGATCATCTTGCTACTTTTGCCCATGCAAGAAGATGCCTTTCGTACAATGCTCTCGAAATCTCAACAATTTGATTGCAACAACCGAAGGCCAGCAATGCTTTGCAAACGTCGGCGATGGAGTTTGCTCTTGTACCAAAAGCATGGAAAATGACTCCGACATTGAGTCTAAGTGCATCTCGGGTGTGAGCTGCTTCTATGACGTGCTTAAAATGGACAATCGAGCCGGGTATACGTGTAATGCAGTTACTTCCGACCTTGATCTCGTCCAGAGTAAAGTCAACTTTGCTACTGCTTGCAGTCAGAACCTCATCCACCACATCGAAGGTTTCAATGTAGATCCTAACTATTATCGACCAACAGCTGACGATCCTTTCCCCGAGCGCAACGCTGCTACCATTGCTGGAGCTGGTCGACATTTGACCCATCACATTGATTATCATCGAGAGCGTATCCTAATAAATAACTTGGGAGATGGAGTAAACGATCTTCCAGATCCTTCCGAAGCACAAGAATTCTGGTACGGGATCGTTCGATCTTCGGGCGTTACTGATAATATCCTTAATAACACTGATAACACACTTCAAAATCTGCGTGGAAAAATTTCCAGCGCATATACTTCCCTTCAGCGTCTCCGAAAGATCAGGGAGGAAAAATGTCCGGACCGAGTTTGTCAATGTGAAACAGTAAGCAACTGGGATTCGGTAAACAAAGAATGTGTCGACGTGTATTGCGAGGATGGTTCTGTTTGGGACCCACAAGCTGAAGAGTGCTACGAGTGTCCAGAATACTGGGACCCTCTTTACAACGAGTGCAAAGATTGCAAGGATATTTACGGCTCCGAGTCAAACTGGGATCCAGTCGCTGAGTTGTGCGTTTACTGTCCTCTCAATCATGAGCTAAATTATGAAACTGGTGAATGTGAGCCTTGCGAGGAAGGCTGGAATAGCGAGACAAGACGCTGTCTAGAGGATTGTCCGTAAGTACAAAACGAAAAGAACGATAATAAGAGATATAAGAGATAAAGAAATCCAGCAAGAATGCAATAGTCAGTGTCGAGTCGAGTACAATAGATGCAAATTATTGTGTGAAACAGAATACTGTGCTTCAATCTGTACCAGAGAATATAACGGTGAGTTTCATTTTGATTAACTCTATATAAATAATATATTATATATATTATTAAAGCACTTGCTTCAACTGTTTTGAAGATTGTTTGGACAATTGTCCTTGCGGAGAAAACTGTATCGACGGTTGCGCTGATTGTAATAATCCAGTTTGTGATAAAATATCAAATGCTGAAAATTGAAACGATTTAACAAGGAAGTGATTTGATTTGAGAAGCTCTACCCCAGTTTTATCGTCCTTTATGGCACAACAAATTATAACTGTTTTTTATACTTTAAATAAAAATACAAAGACCATTCGAAAGGAAAATAGTAAAAGTCAAATACAGTAAATAAAATTCCGCATCAGAACTATTTTACTAGAGAATCTAGCATGAGAAATAGCCACATGTTCCCCCCGACATCATTTTTCGCGTCGAGCTTTCCTTTCATATCTCGAGAATGCGGCTTAGAGAAACACTCCTTCTCGGAGTTGCCTCGGCAAACGAGTGGAGCTCCAAATGGAACCCATGGAACTGTCCCTCCTGTAAGTTAATTGACCGATTTTCCTTTCAAAAAGTTTGTAGCCTGCAAAGAACAACTCACCAACTTTGCGTACGAGTGCGACAACAACACCCCTTTGCTGGAGGACTATCTTAACGAGAGTTGCTCAGTCAATGATTACAACTCACCGACGACTGGCACTGGCGAAACTGGAACGTCTTGTTACATCTGCCCATGCAAGAAGATGCCTTTCGTACAATGCTCTCGAGATCTCAACAATTTGATTGCAACAACCGAAGGCCAGCAATGCTTTGGAAGCGTCGGCGATGGAGTTTGCTCTTGTACCAAAAGCATTGAGAATGAATCCGACACTGAGGCTAAGTGCATCTCTGGTGTGAGCTGTTTCTATGACGTGCTTAAAATGGACAACCGGGCCGGATATTCGTGCAATGCAATTACTTCCGACTTTGATCTCGTCCAAAGCAAAGTCAACTTTGCCACTGACTGCAGTCAGAATCTCATTGGTCACATCGAGGGCTACGATGGAGATCCAAACTACTATCGACCAACTGCCAACGATCCGTTCCCTGAGCGCAACGCTGCTACCATTGCTGGTGCCGGTCGCCATTTGACTCATCACGTTGACTACCATCGAGAGATTTTCAGCAGACGCAACACAGAAGACGAGCTCAACGATCTGCCAGGACCTGTCGACGCGCAAGAGTTTTGGTACGGAATCGTTCGATCTTCGGGCGTCACTGATGATATCCTTCACACCACCGATAACACCCTGCAAAATCTCCGTGGTAAGGTTTCCAGTGCATATGCTTCCCTTCAGCGCTTGCGAAAGATCAGAGAAGAAAAGTGCCCGGATCGAGTATGCCAATGCGAACCAGGCTACAACTGGGATCCGGTAAACAAAGAATGTGTCAACTGTGGATATGGATTTGAATGGAACCCCGAGACCAATGAATGTGTCAAATGCGAAGAGGGATATGATCAAACAAATGGCGTCTGTTACTATTGCGAAGATTACTACGAATGGGTTGGAATTTGTCGAAAATGCTTAGAAGACTGGGATCCCGAAACTAGAAAATGTGTCTACTGCGAAGACGGACACGAATGGGATCCTGATCTGAAGGAGTGTGTTGAATGCCCCGAAGGTTGGAGTGAAATCACTCGTGATTGTGAGTTTTGCTACGGAAACAGCGACCTTGAGGACTTCTGGGACCCGGAATTGGGCGAGTGTGTTTATTGTCCACCTGGATCTGAACACAATTATGACAACTACGGTGAATGCGTTCGATGTGAAGAGGGATACGACCAACTTTCAAAAAGATGCTACCTTTGCCCTCTTGGATACTTCTGGAATGGCATCATTTGTGTGAAATGCCCAGAAGGATATGACGAGGACGGCTGTGTGTATTGCGAGGACGGTTCTGTTTGGGATCAGCAAGTTGAAGAATGCTACGAGTGTCCAGAATATTGGGACCCTCTTTACAACGAGTGCAAAGATTGTAAGGATATTTACGGCTCTGAGTCATACTGGGATCCAGTCGCTGAGTTGTGCGTCTACTGTCCTCTCAATCATGAACTAAATTATGAAACTGGCGAATGTGATCGTTGCGAGGAAGGCTGGAATAGCGAGACAAGACGATGTGTGTATTGCGATGATGGATACGAGTGGAATGGAATTGGATGTATCAAATGTCCTGAAGGCTGGGATCCGATCTCTCGAGACTGCGTCTACTGCGACCCCTATGAATACTGGGACCCCATTGATGGACACTGCAAGGCATGCCCAGAAGATTGGGATGAACTTTACGGTTGTGTTCCTTGCCCTGATAACTCACTCTGGAATCCGGAAACTCTCGAATGCGAAGTGATCAACACTGATTGCGGAGAAGGATACGAGTGGAATGGCGTTGAGTGCGTCCCATGTCCTGAAGATTGGAATGAAATTGATGGATGTGTTCCGTGTCCAGAAGGATTCCCCTGGAATCCTATCACCCAAGAGTGTCAGTACGACAAGATCACCAATAACATTGAGACACTCCTTGTCATTGGCGGGGAAGGCGATTCGAATCAATATGCTCAACGAACTGATGCGTTCATCTACTGCGCTAATGATACAAACGCAAATCACGTCGACTTCAACCGAGATGTCGTGACCAATGCCTACCGATCGGATCTTATTGCCAATTCAGCGTCTCTTCGAGTTGACTACCGATCTGAGCTTCAACGATTGGTCTTTGGCGGTCGATTCCAGCCGACTCAAGTAAGATCCATTTTCCCAAAAGGTCGACATGGTGACTCTCGTGGCCTCCGAATGGAACCGCTAAATATTGCTCTTGGAGAAGACTTCCATGAAGGATGGCTGATTCCATCATCTACGAGCCCCGATTATAACGGAAATTTGCAGAGCGAGTTCGGTAAAATTCAACATGATGGTGTCACTTGTGCCGATTATACAGTCTGCGCCAGGCGCAACTTCCTCATTGGTGGTGAGATTACCGGCAACACCAAGAGTCATTCTATCTTGGAATGGAATGAGACTGGATTCCTTCAAGGTAAAATATGATGAGTGCGGATAAATTCGATTGAATCTTAAATTTTTTAGGCCAAAAGAACCTCGTAATCGGTCGTGCTAACACTGCAACTGTCTCCGGAATGAACCATCTATGCAATGGAGTCTTCATCATTGCTGGCGAAGGAAATACCCAGGCTGGCGGTTCTGCGGAATTCGGGTCAGTTACTGCTACAGAGTGTTTTGATGGAACAAGCTCGAAGATAATTCCAGAGATGGACATAAGCAACATCTTCTCGGGTCTTTATCAGCACTCAGCTGTTATTGTTCAAAAGGACGGCCAGACTGGTGATGATATCTACGTCCTTGGAGGTAGAAATATATTTTAAAACACAAACCTAAATCAATCAAAATTTAGGGATCGCTTCTTCGCGAAACGGAGGTAGTTCGTCAAATACTGATAGAATTATCCGATTCCGACACTTGGAAAACCAGTGGATCAACGCTGGTCAGATGCTGAGAAAGGTCGCTGGTCACAAATCTTTCGTCACTTATCCTAAGTCAAACGGCATCGACAACTTCGGTGATTTCAATATCTTCACTGTTGGTGGCGAAGGTGGCAATGATATTCCGATGCAGCGATGCGACGAGTACGGATACTGCTACAAGGTCGAAACTGAAACCTACAACAATCGTCATGATCATAGTATTTTGGTTTTCCGAGCAAATGAGTTCAACCTGAACGATCTCCCATTTTACGAAGAACACTGTCCCGATCTGTGATTTCTCTACTATAAATTCATTGTTTGAACAATAAATATCAGTTAGGAAAACATCTTAAAATTCTGACCCCTACGCTGTAAAACGAAGCTACTAAACAATGCTTTGAAAAACAACCAAACTAAACCTGGAAAGCGGTACAGCTGCAAGAATCCTAGTCCTCGAATGTGATATCCAGCTGAGAACCACTGCGCTCTACCACCATCTATCCGCTCTTATCTTGTATAAAAGCACCACTTGTTCTCAATTGATAAACAAATTAAAAACAGTTATTCGAACAAAGTGAAGACAACTAGAACGATTTGGACTCAGACAGGATGCTCTAACATGAACTTTGGCTTGGAAGAAAACATGACTCACACCGACTCTGATGATGGGTACGAGATTGACTACGATGCGATCCGAGAACACATTCGCAAGTACCACGGACCAAAGAAGGGATACGTAAAGAAAAAAGGGTCTCTCAAGCCCTCCAGGCCATTGACTGACGAGGAAAGAGACGCCTTGTTCGGCAAACCAAAGACGTGAATACCAAGGAAAAATCAAACGCAAAGGTCTCAAAAAGCTTGAAGGAAAACGGCCAAAAGAAGAAGAAAAACAGCGGCAAAGCACCAAACGCCATCCGAAAAACGAAGAAGCCGTCTCGACTGTAATCATTATCTGCTCTGTACCACAGTATTATCTGCCTTCTAAGACTTCCGTGATAATCTTGAATGATAAAGTTTCAATTTGAATAAAATTTAATGCTTTCCTTGGATTTTAGCGCTCAGATTTATTGCAAATAATAAGAAAAATAAATAATATTAAAGTGCACTCAGTTCTGAAAAAAAATTATAAATCTATTCTTCGTTCATTTCAAAATCCTCCTCAATAATTCCATCGTCATTTACTTCCGCTGAACTTGAGAGCAAGAAATGCGAGTCTTCTTGCCGACTATTTGAAATAATTGGCGCTTTTACTTCGTAGCTCAACTCGCGCTCGGGAGATTTCAGCCGTCGCTTTTTTCTTTGTTTCTCTTCCTTCACGATCTCCACCAAATTCTCAACCTCTTCAAAGAGGTCAGAAGAATGACGAATTCTAGTAACTTACCTTGTCTTTTCTTCTTATGATTTTGGCGCAAATGATATCTAAGAGCACTTTCTGTCGGTCGAATATCTCGGCAAATTGGGCATCGCCAATCTTCAGGCCAATCTTTAGGTTTAACGTCATTTTTCACCCCAGAGACTTCAGTTTTTGGCGGCTATTAATTGTATAATTACAAATAGAGGATTCAAGTCTTACTGGAGTGGATACTTTTACTTGCTTGTTATCATCAACTCTAAGATCTTGCCAGTCCTGATCGTCTTCATAAACTATCATGTGATTTTCCATCACGTGTTGCTAAACGATTTTTTTTAGATATAATTCTAAAGAAGAATGAACGTACCTTCATAGAAACTCTTGAGGACAAAATCAAATGGCAGTGAGAGCATTTTTTATTTGAAACTTCTTGAAAGCTACCGGGTAAAACTTTCACCCGAACGATTGACCCTGTCCGCAATTGAATAAGTTCCGTTCTTTCCTGGTTCGTTTTCTTTTTTGGCGTTTCTTGGGGAATTTCTGGCTCTTCATCATCTTCATCGAGAGGAAGCTCCTGAATTTCATCGTCGTCGATTTGTAATTCTGGCTCGTCAGGTTCACTTTCGATCGTGGTGTTTTGTTCTTCAACAGAATCGACTTGTTTACTTTCGCTGATCTTTGGTATTTCTATACTTTCTTGAGAGCTACTGTTGCTCTCTTGTGACGGTTTTGCTTTCTTCTCCGAAGCCTCGGTAATTAGCGAGTCGATAGCCTTTCTTCGAAGCTCCGAAGGTGGACGAATCATACGAACGGTTTCTTCGTGCTCGATCCCATGGCCTTCTCGCAAATGTCTCCTGGCATTGTACCAGTGCTGAGACGGTCAAGTTAGAATCCTTGAAATCAAGGAAGACATTTTTTACCTTGAAACTCCGCTCGCAAAGTGGACAAGGAGTTCTATCATTCTTCACGCTTTCAGTTTTCTGCCCCGACTTTGGATTTCGAATTTTGAGAAGAGCAGCTTCTACTTCTGATGTTTTCATGTGGTGGCCATAAAAGAGATGGTTGCGCAAATTTGACTTGTGCCAATCTTTGTGGCAGATTGGACAGGCAATGGCGTCTGGGTCTTTTGGATTATTGCCACCCGACTTAACTTTATTTTCATTTCAAGAATAGGGAGAGCGCTTACGTTTTCTTCGGTGGAATTGATTTCCGGAAAGCACTCAGCCAAAATCACGTCCGCTTCAGCGTCTTCTTTCCCATGCTGTTTCAGCAAGTGCTTTCGCGCCATCCAGCGGTCAAACAAGACGAGTTTACACAATGGACAGTGTGCTTTTCGCTTCAAAATTTAAAGTTGGCTTAATCTTTCCCTTCAAAAAATATTGACTCTTACCTTGCTCGAGCTTGAGTTCGAGCTGCTGGGAGCTGAAATCTTGTCAAGAGTGGAAGGCGTAACAAGAGTAGGCAGAGAGTTGCACCCCAAGGGAGCTTCTTTAGCGACGATCGAGCAAGCATCGACGTAGGAAAAACGATGATCGTCGACGAGGTGACGTCGGAGGGAATCGGAGTCGAGCGCTAGTAGATAACTTTTAACACACCGGCTATCGAAAAAGAGAATCTTACTCGAGATCCCACAAGATGGACATTCTCTTTCTCCTTTTTCCCCAAGCCCGGTATTCTGACTGAATCGATTCGCCGTATCATCCATAAAGCTACCCATTCCAACAGCTCCATTCTGTGCCCTCTTCTTCGATATCGGCGTCATTCCGTGCATTTCCCTTACATGTCTTCTGCAATTCTTAAAAATGAAAGTTTCATAAGCATTCATCATTTTCAATGAATTATTTACGCGATGGTTATAATCGATTTCTATCTCACGTTTTTTGTAGCGAAGGATTTGCCGCAAACGGGGCAGATGGGCCCCGTAATGATGATTTCTTCCCCTTCGATTCCGGCAAGTCCTCGTTGATCCAGGGAGCTCTCGTTTTTAGCCCGGATGTCCATGAATGGAGGCGGAATCGGAGCCTTTTTTGGATTGATAAAATGGCTTTCATTATATAAGTTAGAAAATCATCAGCCTCAATTCTCATATGTAATCCAATGCCTGAGTATTCATAAACGAACTCTCAATACTCGCCATGGACGGAATCGGTTCCACATCTTCCAACGGCTCGTCTATCGGCTCCTCAAGAATGTCTGGCTCGTCATGTATCGTCTCATGTCGAAAACCGTTTCCATTTGAAGAGTTTTCTTTCCAAGAGAGAATCTTCAGTAAACGGGGGTTTTCTTCAGGCTTGACTTGCTGTTCCAAATCGGGGTTGATTTCCAACTGGCATTTTTTCGTCTCTGAGATAGGGCTCAAGAGTAAAAGGAAAAAGAAAAGAACTCTAGAATCTAAAACAGGTAGATGAAGAGAGACCTCTTTGAAGGTTTCTATTTCTTCAAATCTTCTATCGCTCGTTTCTATAATTACGTAAAAATGGCCCATTCCTTTATGTTTCACAAAATCGGGAAGCGACCGGTACAGCTCCCGACACGAGCGGCATTCGAAAATCAAGTCGCAATATTGAAGCAGCAGCGCTTTGAGATCGTTTGTTCCATGAATGAAACAATGGATCACCTCTTCCATGTCTCTCTTTTACGAAAAAAAATAATCTTCGAAGAACTCTTTTTCTTTCCGCAAGATCGTAATTCTCTCTCTGGCGCGTGTTTTTTCTTCTCTTGGATGAGCTCGTGCTCTTTCGGGAGCTCTGTTTAGAGAGTGGAGGAAAGCGCCTCGCCCCCGCTCTCAAACACGTGAAGGTAGTCAGATCTAAGAGCGGTGCGTGAGCCTCGCACGATTTCGTCGCACGAGAGAGAAAGATGCTCACACGCTCGCTCATTGAGCCATTTCTCCCAGAGAGCCTCTCGCTCCTGTTTGTATAGTAACGACCTGCCCAGGAAGACGCTCTCGGTCTAGTAAATGAGCCCGCCTCACAATCGAGCTCGTCCCGACACGCATCGATCTTAGACCAGCCCTTCTATTTACCAAAAAATGAAGCGCAGTGAAGACAAAGCAGTTCCTAAGGCCCTACCATCGATTTAAAAAAATGAAAATTTCGACTTTTTCTTTTGATTTTCTTAAAATTTGAAATGATATCTCGAGTTCTTTTCCTTTGAAATGTGAAAATGATCTTCTTGTTCTTTTTTTGTTTGTTCTTATTTTTTTGGAAAATGGAATTGAATACAACAAGTAATCTTGAATGGAAGGCTCTTATTAGGGGCGAAGGATTACGCGGAGGCGGGAGCAGGCCGAGTCTTGGTGGGGGAGGAGGAGCAGCACGGGCTCGCGAGCGCAGGCGAAAGAGCAAGAGCACGACGTGATACCAAGCACGCTCTCAAAACTGCATCGCTCTAGGGATTCCCCACACACTCAGGACAGAAGCAGTTCCGCTTATTACATCAGAGATGAAATAAATAATAATCTCTTATCATTATTACTTATACGGCGTATAATATACGCATTTGGCACCGAAGATGTGAAAAAAAAAAAGAAAAAAGATACGTCGGCAATTTTCGGAGTTATTTTCTTTGAAAGAACAAGTACATGAAAGAACAAGTATATGACTACTGACGCAGTTCTTATCCTTTGACGGCATTCATTGAACCAAGTCAGTTCTTCAAAAAATAAATTTTATGCCAATAAATTTTCGATAAGATAATTGTCTGAAAAATATTGACAGGTAGGCGTGGAGTCCCTACCTTTCCATATAAACTGCCAATTCAACTTGCTCCGTATCCAAAGAGAGCGTCCTCTATTCAAAATCGAGCTTCTCCACCACCGTTCTGTCTCACTAACGAATTGAAGGCATTGATATCGTCATTTGAAAAAAGTTAAATAATAAATATTAATTTGGTTGATAATACAGTAGCTTGGATCCTCGATTTAACAACGTCCTCCATCATTATTTTACCATAAATAGCGTCGTGATCTCTAGGACGGCAGTCATTTGTGAACTCTAAGATGTACTTGTTCTTCTCTATTTGAAATCCATTGCTTCCTACAAAACGTTCTTTGCATAATATCATACTATCAGAGGCATCATAAACCCCGAATGCTTGCACCTTCATAAACATGTGTTTCATGAGCAAGTTGCAGTCAAGTAAATTGATTTATTTGTCAATTTTTTGGTGATTTCTTTTTCAGTGGATTTAGTTCTTTTATTTTTTATTTACAGAAAATATCAGCTTGGGGTTTGTTAAATAAGTTAAAGATCTGGTTTTCGTTGTTTCAGTAAAGTGTTTGAGCAGAATGAATGTTTGCTGTTAAAGGATAAGAGCGAGGATTGAAATTGAATAGAAAAGTGCGATTTTTTTGGGGTGGGGTTGAAAGTTTGGATCAGTGGGTTTGAAAGCGTAGAAAACTCGAACAGAATTAGGTATTGATTTCACAATGAAAAAACATAGGTATGGATATGTTTAGGAAAGAATGGCTTTGTAAACGAAAAAGTTGTGGGAAAAGGCAAAACGATGCTAAGTTGGTGGGAGCTTCAGTGGAGCAAAGAAAGTCGAAGAACGAAAGGTAAAACGTAGGAAAGAAAGAAATGTGTCTCGTTTTCAAATTTGAAATCATTTGAAAGCAGCGGCTCTTTTTAAAGCTTCTCGATAAATAGAACGGGTCGGCGAGTTTCGACCTAATTTTAGTTTTTTTTTAGTCATGAAAAGTTTAGAGTGTTAGAAAATTACCTCTTTGTCTCCCCTTCCTTCGTTGCTTCTGGAAGAGTCGTCTCGCGTCGGTCTGGCCATTCGCAATCCACCGATTGGATTGTTAGGCCTAGTTGGAGCAGCGGCAGGACCTTCAGCGGGGATGAAGCGGCGGAAATGATCGTCAGGCCCGCCGCCTGAAACTTGGACGCGGCGGACAGAGTGGGAGAAAGAAGAGCGGCGGGAATAGCGACGGGATGGTTTTCTCTCGAACTAGACGAGGATCAATATGAGTTCGAGCTTGAGGAGACTTACAGGAACAGATCTACGCTCACTGGCATTTCGACGGAGCTGAACTTCAGTTCTGAAGCTTGGGCGGAATCTCGAACCAACGCGTATGAAGGTCTTTTTCTGATCAGCAGCATTAACCGGGTTGTTCAGACGGAAGAACGTATGATGTTCGACTGCGCACTTCCACAAGTGTTTGCACGCCTTCGAATTGTCTAAAAAACAAAAGTCATTTAGATCCATACTTGAATTTGAGTTACCGAGTAGGAAGACGAATTTATGCTTCGTTGGCTCGCTATCTCCATTATCGCCGTCAGTTACTTCCAGCACTAGTTTTCGTTCCTTGAAGTCGAGCTTCAAAATATTCGGCCAAAAGAACAAGCCCATTTTTTGATCACCCTCGAGGACGAGCACGCCTGATGGAGTTAAACCGAGTCGGTACTCGTTTCCGTCCGTTTTTGATTTGACACTGTGCATGTCTACACCGTAGTGTTCCAGATACATTGCTTCCTGAAATGAATGCTTAGGGAGTTTTGAAGGGGAGAGCTATTGGTACCTCTAGGTAGCGCTTCTCAGCATCCGCGGGGGTCATATTCTTGTCTAGGTTTTTGTAGGCTTCGAGAACTGCAACTTCGAACTCTTCATCTTGTTTTGGAATGAATCGGAATTCAGAAAGGAAGAATAAATTGTGGACGTCCGGGTCGAATCCGCCCAGTTCTGATTGCAGCGCCAGAGATGCCAGCTAAGAAAGAGGATAGAACGGGACTGGAAGAGGGTAACTTACAGTAACGGCCTTCTCCGGCGTGCAGGGAGCTTGTCACTAAGAATATCTTGCTTGAGCTGGAGGAAGAACTGATAACGAGTGAGCTCTTCGTTCAAGATATTCGGCTCCGAGGTGTAAAATTTTACGCGGAAATGAAAAGTTGGCGGTGTGATGGATATTTGCTTCTTGATTTTCTGAAAATTACGCTTTTAACTATCCTACTTCTTTTGACTCTAGTACCTTGGTCTTGTCAAGCCAGTGGGCAACTTGATGCTTGTCCATAAATTGGAGACCGAAGTAATCTTCTTCGATCAAATCGAGGGCGATGACGATTTTTCGGAAAAGATACTCGCCCTTTTCTTTTCTCGGAACATCTTAAAAACTGATAAAATCGCAAATAGAAGCTGTTCTACTTACCGACTAGAATTTCCGATCCATCCAGGAGAATCACATGACAGGGGATGAAATCCCTGCATTTCGCCGGCGCTGGAATGTGCTTTTTCAAAGTTATCAAAAGTTCATACTTGTTGAGAACCACTCTAAAGCTCCTCTTTCTATCTAGCATCATCTTCAAGCCCCATTTTTTAAACAAAATGGCTCTTCACGATTCAGGAGCAATCATTTGGAATTTGCTCGTTTGGGTGGGGCTCAGAGACAAAAGGAAATGCTGAATTAATTATCCTTTCAAATTTTTGTCAATTTCAATAACCATTCCTGACCAGTAGGAAGCGCCGGGCCGGTCTTGCGAACGTTCCGCTTTCGGTTGTCATTTTTTCGCCGAAAAGTTCGCCGCAAAAATCTCAACATCTCGTCTTTTGGTCCCCTATTGAGTCTTGTCTTCGCTTCCGATCATACAGTTACTCTAAAAGAAGTGAGGAAAAATGAGATTTTTTTCTGTGAAGATCCATTTTTGAATATTGGAAAAAAAGAATGTGAAAACACGAAGACAGTGCGAGTTAAAATTACTGAAAACTTTGGCACCTTGAACTGAAAACAATATTGTTGTGTCTTGAAGAAAATGACAGAGAAGGGATGAAAGTACAATTTAGCAAAAAAAAAGTTGAAAAATGAAAGCTCCTAGTTCTGATTCTGACTCTTGAATTAAGGGTTGTTGAAAGCGAGTTAGGTAAAGATTTAGTTTCAGAGTTTTTTTTAAACATATAGCGCGCTTTTTTATAGATACCGGTTCTTAAAATTTGAATTTTCTGGTGGTTCAAATAAATAGTTAATGTTAAGGGTGTTACTGCTGGTATTCTTGGCTCGAACGATTTGATACTTGGTTGATGGCTCCCGTGATCGCAGAGCGGACTGAGCTTTGCCGGCAAACTTGGCTGCTAAACAAAAAAAAGGGTTGAGAGCGGAAGGACGGATAGATCAAACCTGATGAGAGTCGAGTTTTCGATATCAGAATCGGCTCGGAGGGAACGATGCGTGTGGCTGAAGCAATGGCGGAGAGTCAGACGCTGAAAATTTGATAATTACTATCTGCTTGTAATGATAAAAAAGCTATCTGCATGTTTTACGAGACGATATTTGTCAAAAACAATCAAAGGAATTCTCTTCCTTGATTTCCGAGTCTCTTTTTACTGTTTATTGAAAAGCTAACCTTGAAGTCTGGATAAAGCGTAAGAAAATACGCGACAAAGGCGAGGCCAACAAGCCATTCGCAGGCAGCTAGAGTGAGATCGAGTGGGTAGGAGGGCGAGTCTTTGTCCCAATTGAAATCTGTTCGGTCGCCGTCCGTTCCGTTGACTGAAATTGAACAGTCAAAATTGGATTTTTATTGCAAATCATGGATGAAAAGGGACTACTACACATGTAACTGATCCTAGAGCTTCTAGTTTTCATTAGCTTCTTACATGCTCTTTCAATATGCGCCAATTTGCCAACTACAATTGCCGAAATATAGGTTCCCACTGATATGAAAGCAATAAAGATTCGAATCCAAAAGATCCACATATCCACCACTTCTGGATGCATCAAGTACGTTATCCACGCTTGAAGGCCGCTTACTGCTGTTCCAGCGGTAAAGGTCACCAAAGCGCCGGTAACATGCGCCAGGTAAACTCATTCGCGCATTGATTAAAGTCGTTCAAGGGATCAATGAGTCTATTAATATTTCCCGCGGAAGAGTTCAATACGTTCCTTGCGGCCACGGGTCACGTGCTTCTTGGAAATTCGCAACGATGAGGAGACCAGCGGAGGATAAAATGCCGAGGACAACGCCGGCTGCGTTGAGCTTCCAGATTTTCGAGATTTCAGAGCAGCGGGACTGGAAGTGCTGCACCTAAAGAAACGGCTCGTCTAAAGGACCATGATTCAGATTTCTACACAGGTTGTCGAGCCCTGCTTCTCCAGAAGATACCGAAAGAGTCGCAAATGAATAATTTCGTTTCTACTACTGTAATGATCCAGATTGTGGTAAATTTACCTGTCTGAAGCGAAAGTACGAAAGAAAGGCAGACATGACAGCGGACATGTTCATAAATAAAGAAAAGAGTGAAGATTCGGGCCATTGCGCGCCGCACATCGAAATTAGGGGCAAAAGAGGATCAATATGGCCTGAAGAATAATTACTTTGCGGCTTCTGCTCCCACGGGTTAGCAAATTAACCTGTTAGGACTGCGACGATGTAGCAAAGCAGCCAGCCGACGAGGGTCCACAGGGCGAAGAAAATCGGCAGCCATGTCAAGTTCAAATCGAGATACATATTTTTCTCTCGTCTGAAAAAGAATCGTAAATGATTATGTTTTCCTACGGGCAGCGTCATTTAACGAATCGTTAATTTCGTACTGGCGACTCAGAAAAAGTACTCTTCTTTTCTGTTTGAAGGAGGGGCAATAAAAATACGTTTAGTTTCTTATACAATAGTACAATACTTTTATGACCATTTTGTAAAGAAAAATATATATACTGGTGCTTTTAAATTCCTTATGTTTGATCTAATTAAAAAATGCATTTTTATATTACCGAAAGCGTAATTTAACACTTCTTCTTCTTGTTCCCTCTTTAATCTCTTCTACGCTTCCATAATTTCTAGGAAGACTAGCTGATTCCGCGAAACTTCCAGACATTTCAAAGACTTTACTATTTCTCCGGCTCCCCATTTTTTTTATATTTTCGGCCAAAATAAAAACGAAGATTTATGAGAAAATTCCTCACAAAAACACAGGTGCATTTTTATATTCAAAAATAAAGCGAAAGCAGTTTGCGGCTTTCGAGTCAAAAATTTCAACAAAAAGCCGAACGCGGCTAATCGAAGAAATACAAAAATTCAATAAAATTTCGTTCACGATAAAACCTTTTTCGAATCAAAAGTGAAATTTTACCTAGTTACGTAACTTCTTCAAAAGTCTTCGTTTCGTAAACTCTTCATAAAACAAACTCGAATCTCTGCTCAAAAAAAGTATCAATTCAAAAAAAGCTCTTCTGGCGTCTTTCTTTGTTTTTTCTTCTGTCCAGCTACAAGTAAGCTGTTTTTCTCATGGTGAATGGCCAATTGACTAGCCCTTCTATCTTTTCTTTTCTTTTTGTATTATTTTCGCGTATTTTGCTGGTTGAGCCACTCTCGGAGATCTGAGCCAGCCCCAGGGAGCCAAATTCGAGGAACAGAGGGCGCCTCGATTGGATACCGACAGAAAGGGAGGGCCAATCGACGCGCGCGAAGAGGAAAGTCGAAAGATTCAAGGGAAAGCTATTTATTCCTGATTTCGCGGTATCATTAAGTTATTAGTTATTAATTAATTATCAAGTTATTAGCAAGAGCTATTGAGTTATGAAGAATATCCATTGAGAATAATTATTGTAATTTGTCTCTTTTTATTAATTAAATACTGTATTTAATTTTAGAAACAGTAAAACCAAGCGCGGTGGAAATCAAGGCACAAGTAAACAGTACTAGCAATGATGAAGTACAGCATGAACACAATCATTCTGATCGCAAAGGCTCTTTCGGCTTGAAGGATTATCAGTTCTTTCGTTGTTTCTTCTTGGATTTCGATCGTTATTTCTTTTGAGATTTTCTCAGTGACTTGCGCGGCAAGAGCTTGCTCTTGTATTTTTTTGAGCTGGAATTGAAGATGTGATGAAATCGTTGGAAAAGAAGAGTTTTAGATGAAAGACAAGGCTGATAAAAGCGATGAGAATAACGAGTCCGATGGTCAGCCAAAGGCAGGGCGAATTCCGCACGATTATCGCAAAGTACGAGACGATGAGGATAACGAAGGCGATTAAAACAGTTACAGAAAGCGCGGGGATCAAGTAGTAGGAGCATCTGTTTCGCAAAAGTCCAACCCGGAAGCTTTCACTGCGGTGGGGAAAAATAGAAAGAACCAACATAAGTCCGATGATTGTCCAAACCATCGTTTCGCTGACTGCCTTAGTTGTTCGAGAACACATCGCGTGAAGGTCGTTTTCTTCGTAAAAATTCATTTTCGAATTGGTTTTTAGTTTGAACTGAAATGATGAACAATCGCAAGCTTTTATAGAATCTTCTAGGAACGAAAAGGCACGAATCAGTCAAGGTTTCCATTAGCGGAAAAAGCATTGATGTCAAAAATCAAGTATCGTCTATCTTTCCACAGATATTTTCAACATGCAGTGGGTTAGATTTGCAGAGTGACTAAAGGTCAACGCAATTTCCACGACTCAAAGAAAATCAAACGAATAAGACTACGATTCAGGTTTATTGAAGTTTACTCAAAAATGATTATTTCGTCAAACTTAGATTTGAAACTTCTGAAGTGACTTTTTCTTCTTCGCTCTTTTCTTTGCTTTCTTGAGATTCAGGGAAGAGTTCTGGCATGTAATTCTTGAGCAAAGCCGGTGTCATTCTAACCGTTTGAACCCAATCGCACTCTTCGATAGAACCATCTTTGACTTCGATCCCGATTCTGAGATTTTTGCTTCTGAAAAATATGAGAAAGGAAAAGAAGAAGTCCCTTACATGGCCATATGCAGAGCTCTTCGAATGGCAGAAACATTTTCTTCAGCAATCGGCTTTTTAATCACAAAAGCGTCTTCTTTTTCTTCTCCTTCGATGTGGAACTGAGTGTATTGATACCCTCGAGCTTCGTACTGTGCCCTGAGCTTTTCGAGCGTCGCTTTTTCTAGCAAGAATTAGCGAAAAGAGGGGGGATTCTGTACTTACTTCTTATTACATCTGGATGACCCGGGAATAAATCAGGCATGTGTTTGACGAGTTTGTCTGGATTCTTACGGACCTCGTCGGTCCAAGAAAAGGCCCACATTTGATTTGGGTTTTTGCAAAATTGAACCGGATCCGCGTTCTTCTCCATTACTATCATTCCATCATTTCTACAAGCATCTTATTCATGAAACAGAAAGTCAAACTTACATGGCTTCGTAGAGAGCAGACTTGATTATCGGAATTTTCTCTTTTGAAAACGGACTAACGAGCAAAAAAATTGGCTCATTCTTGAATTCCGCCACTTGGTGACAAACATACGCGAATCCTTCTCCTTGACGGATTTTTTCAAAGGTTTCCCACTTGTTTAAGTTTTTTTCGTCGGCGATTTGCTTGTCCAATTCAGCTACAAAAGACTAAGAAAAGGAGCAATTCTCTTCCTCACCTTCTATATCGGATTTACTCATCAAATTTATATCTTTTTCTTCGTCGACGAATAGTTCCGGAAGCCATCTTCGCAGTTGTTTTTGTTCTTTTCGGACTAAACTAGCCCATTTGCACTCATAATGGCCCTGTTCTTCTTCAAGCACGATTTTAAAGTTCCTCTGCCTACATGAAAAGTGATAGAAATCGCTTGGTAAAGTTGAGTCTTACACTGCTCGATAGACAGCCTCACGAATGGCGCGAAGTCTACCTGCTTTCAAAGGTATCTGAATGACCATTGTATCTCTGCTCTTTTCGCTGTCTGATGTTGTACTTTTTGCAAAATAAAATCCTTGCGAAGAACTCATGTTCTGCTTCTGTATCTCTTTGAAAGCTGCAAATGCGATCGAAATTTTTCTCGAGCGATTTGAACAAAAATATTCTAGAGATAAAAAAGGGAATTAAGGATGAATCTACGTATTCATGGTGATTACAAAATAAATGAATGATTTTTTCCTTCCAAATCATGTTTTCGGGAAAAAATCGGAAACTCTACGACCCTAGAATTTTTCCATAATGTCAGGAAAAAGAAAAAACAGTGATTTGTCCTTTTCAATAGGCGAACAAAAGCTAACTTTTCAAGTGCATGAACTCCATAGAGACCGATTACTTTTGTACTCCTGTATTGTTTCCCAAAAGAAAAATGATTCCGCCTGATTCAAAGAAGTGAATAAAAAAAATCTCAATTTTCAACGAGAAAAAAAACTGATAAAAATGGAGCCTTCTTGGGAGCTTGTTATTCCTGTTATATTCATAGTGATTATATTATTGATCTTGTTTTGGAGAATCAAGAAGAATGAAGCAACGCTAGGTGGGTCTTTTTCTTCTTTCAAATCAAGGAAGAGAACGAGCAAAATTTTATCAAAATAGGTCCTACGGAGAGAGGTCTACAAAACTCAACTATGGCGCGGCAAACTGTAATAACCGAAGTGGATGCTCTACCGAGCCGATCAGAAAATGCTCTTCCCGGAATAACAGATGCTCCTCCGTCTTACGATGAGGTTATGGCATCTTCCATCTCCCAGAATCACGACTTGCCTAAAGTCGATTAACCCATCATCATCATGTCTGTATATATTCCGACCTGCAGAGAAACAAGAAACTGTAAATATGAAATCAAACAACTGTAATTGAGCGAAGTACGTTATTTATTCTTTCCTTCATGTTTTCTTTTATGATTTGTTTTGGGAAAGTTTCCACATGAGATAAGGAATAAAATAGTATTTGACAAGCTTGGCTCTTTTCTCGGAGTTATCTTTTTATGAGTTTGTTTTGTTGTTGGTTTTTTTAGTAAAATAATAATAATTTCAAATTGAACATAAATTAGGTAAATTGTATTTTTGGTTGATATTTGCACGAAAAAGGGAGGCGAAAAAGGACTTCCCTGAGAAAACGAGACAAGACCTGCATATTTTTTGTAGTAAAACAAGAAGGTTCGGGTCAGTGTTGAATTTTTTCATGGATTTAGGAACTTCAAAATGAACCGGAAGAGAAAGGAGGGTAGAAGAGTTTCAATTTTGAATTTGGATTCCAGATGTTTTTTTCACAATTTTACAGAGAAAGAGAGAGGAGAGTTAAATATATAAACTTTGAAATAAGGGAATTTTGGGAGGAACAGATGGAGCACGAACTGAAGGGAGTAAGATTTGGGAATATTGGCTGTCCTTTGCAGTTCGTCTTTTTTTTCTCGACTTGAAAAGACTTGAAAATTTATTATTTTCTGAAGTTTGACTGTGGGTAACTTAGACTTGAAAGAGAAGGATAAAAATAAGAGAAGAAGGTGGGGAATTATATAAATATGTAAAAATTAGAATAAATCTTTTTAAGAAATAATGAATTTTCGCTAATAACGAAGGCTTAATTTGAATCTATAAATTACCGCAAACGCGGGTGGAGGGAGTCTCATGTCAAGAGAGAGAGAAAGTGTTTACGGTGACCAGTCATCGTAGTCGTCCGTTTTGGACTTGAACATTGCACACGGATTCTTAACCCTAAAAAAAGATGTTTAGCTGGCTGATTCTCTCGCTGGGTGATATTTATTCTACCACTTAGGTAATCTTATTTTGGGCGCTTTCGTCGAAATAAAGCTGTTTATAAAACAAATAAATTCAATCCCGAAAATCTCATAATTCTGAAGTCGAAATGTTTTGAATGCTGATACGATATTTTAAATTTTAAAAGAAGGCTAATGCATTCAATCAGATTGCGGTTGTTATCTCTTAATCCCATGCCAAAGAAATATTCTGAAATAAGAAGAGAGGCTCTTTCTATAGGAATTCTTGGGTAGCTGAACTAACAGAAATCTTATAAGAGTATAATTACCTGTGTATAAGAAGATACATTGAATTTCGGTATTCGAAGAAGCTGACTAACCCGAAGCTACCTCCAGGGTATTTTCAAGATTTGTCCTAGAAATTGTTGAAAAACCGATTTTAATTTTGGTTTGGCTTACAGTTGCTTCTCAACACGCTGGACAGGAAGCTCAGCTGAACGGGCCAGCCGTTCGGTCTCTTCGGAAACGCTAGAGTTTGAGAGTTAAAGAGTGGCTTTTTCAAAGATCGTCTTACAATTTTTTCTCGGCAGGGAGTTGAACAACTTTGTATGAATTTAAAGGAAGTTTGATTTTCTTTCGAACTGGCTCGCTGGATGGCGATTGCGCCTCGCCTGAGTCGGAGGACAAAGCCGATCCGAAGCCAGAGCTGGAGCTTGAACTCGACAGGGAACTTGATGAACAACTCCACTCGGAGACGCCCTCCCGGGGCTGCAGAGTTGCTGTTGGCAAAATAATAACTAGATTAGGATTATTTAGTTGATGGATTTTTTGAAAGTCTTCACCTTGGTTTTCTTCTCTTAGAGTTTGTTTTATCGTATGAATCGTATGCTGGGTATGCTCGGCTTCATGACTCTCAAGAGAAGAAAGATGCGGAGCAGTCTGATTTTCGTCAGTACGTTTTGGTTTTGGAATGATTGCGCGGGGCCGCTTGATCACCCCTGCCCGAGCTGGATCGGCAATCGTTACCGCGATTTGACCGACCACTTCTTGGCCGAGTGCGGGAGCGCTAGAAAGCTTCACCAGCTTCGGGCTATTGTCGATGATCCTCTGCGGCTCCTCGTGAATGTGATGTTGAGTGATCGTAAAGGTCTCGGGCTCGCTTTCGATTACTGGCGCCTTTTCGATTTTGATTGAAACACCTTTTTGTTCTGGCGTTTTCAAGCTTCGCGACGCCCTTGAATATCAATAAAGCAACAGTTGAACGAAAGATCCTACTTTTTTCTTTCTTTGTTGCTCCACTTCCAGTCAGGATGTTGTTTGTAATGCTCCTCTTTCATCATCTTAGCTTTGTTTATGAATCTTTGCTTTTCATCACTATTCAGGGTGTTCCACCATTCGCCTGGAAAATGGTTAGATAATGTACTGATAGATAAGATGTACCTAATATTTTTGAAACGGATCGATTATCCTGCTTTGGATACATTTTGTGCACCTCCCCACGGTAGAATTTTGAAAAGAGCATGAATGCATTCATCGGACGCCTTAATTTTTGAATTAGTTTAAAATTGCACACTCAAGTTACTGTACCTGATATGGTTCTTTTTCTTAGCTTCTTTGGCAGTAAGTTGTTTGTTTCCTTGTGGCTTGCTAAAACAAAAACCATGAGCGGAAATTAAATGAGCTTGAGGTTTACCTGTCATCACTAATGCTTCTGCCAGCTTGTTCCTGAGTTGTTTCGAAACCACCATTTGACTGGTGGGTGCCGTTTTGACTGCTTGTTGAGCTGCTGCTTCTGTGTCCATTTTGTTGTTGCTGCTGCTGTTTATTGTTGTTTGGCGAGCCGCTGTGGCCATTTGAGCTTCCGTTTTCGCCAAAGCCGTTTTGCGGGTTTTTATTCGGACCTTCTTTCTTTGAGTTACTCGGATCGTACTCGTTGTTGTCTTCATTTGTTTCTCCGTTCAAGGGCTCTTCAAAGGTTTCGCCTCTTCTGGGCTTCGGGAATTCAGGCAGGAGCGAGTGCCAGGGATGGCAGACAATCATACTACTGTTGCTACTACCGCCAGAGGCGCTAGAAGTTGAGTAAGCGTTTGTGGCGTTTGAGCTGCTATTTGCTTCGGACACCGGAATGGGCGGTGAAATGTTTTCAATCGTTCCGTTTTGCTGGTGGTAGTGGTAGGGCTGGACGGAGGGTAAAGGCAAGCGTGGCAGTAGTTGGAGCGGCGACTGGACGGTCGAGAGCTTTGGCTCCGGGCGCGTCGTCGAGCTATCGCACTGGATGTGGTCGGTGATCGTCGGCGGCGACTGGCTGCGACCGGCGGGCGAGATTTCAACACGGAATTTATCGCCTGGGCCAGGTGTTGGAACTAGAAGCAAATATTGAAACTACTGTCGCGTTACTGTTTAGTTTACCGAGTGATTCGATCCCAGAGTCGTCCATGTCGCGATTTCGACATGACGATTGCGGCGTGCGGAAGGAGTCGTTGTGGAAGATGCGACCGCAAGTGGGAGTTATTACAGAGCTTCGTCCAGATTGGGACATTGGTGTTTTCGTTGACCTTGCGCTCGCTGGGGAGAAGCGTTTTGGCGAAGGACTGAAATCGGTGGTTTTTAAAATTTAGAAACTCGGAATACCTTGGAGAATAAATAGAGTTGGAAAAATGGATTCCCGTTTGTGGCGTCGTCGACCTGGAGCTATTTTTGAGCGATAAAAGAATAGAAGCCGCATCGCAATCCGTCAGAGAGGCGTTAGTCGGGATGCTTTTTAAAAGGATAAATTTTGATTGATTTGAATTTAGTTTTCAAAATGAACAAGGAAATGAAAGACCAATCCAATAAAAAATCGCGGGAGCGGGGATCTCAAGGATTAGAACGAATAAAAATTTAATCCAATTCCTGTTATCTGCGATGGAACTTGGTGGACGGGATCGATTTCCATCCTGTTTGGATCTGGCCGATAAGTGACGCGAACAGAACCCGCGCCGCTGGCTTTCCTTCACGCAATCGCCCTAAATTAAAAATTAATTCCGCAAATATAAACTCTTCTTCTGACCTTAGAGCAAAGTCTCCTCCACTGTTTGCCGTTGAACTTTTTTCGCACGCCGGTTGGTTGAGTTACGACTTCGCCTTTTCGATACTTGTGGGTGTAATTCGACGGCTGGCTGGTGATCGAGTTGACTGAGTCGGGCCTGTCGAGGGAGGAGATGTCGTGCGGGGTAATGCTCTGCGTGGGGGTGTTTATCAAGGAGGTGCCGTTGCCGTTCGCGAGGGGGCACTCGCCCGGTTCGTACTTTGGTATCACTTCTTCGATTTCTTCGTCTTCGTTCTCGGACCCACTGTATTCTTCCTGAAAGAATGGTGTGAGAAAATTGCTAACAAACAGTTTCAAACTTTTGAAGAATCGAGAAGGATCATACGACAGAATGTGTAAGAACAAGTTCCGTTTCTACTTTTCAGGTGCCTATTTTAAATAAAAGGACAAGCTGGCAATCGAGTTAGATAGAGAGCGGGGATTACCTTTTTATCTTTCCGTTGGCAGGGAGCATCAAGTTGTCTTCCGGGCAGACTTCCATGCCCCTTGACGTCTTTCGCACCCGTTTCATGATTTGCTTGTTGTCGGGCGCCGACTTCCATGGCGGCTCGAAGGGCCTCAACTGGTCCGCCCTAATCCGCAGCTGAAATGCATTATCAGAAAACGTGTGTGTGTTTGGCTCCTTGAGCTTTTCTGCTTATTAGCGCTAGCTTGATCTATTTTCGAAGAGACTTACTGTTCGATCAATTGGATCAGGATTCTCAACAGGACAGGGATCGAGCTGGACGTGCCAGTAATCGCCATCCCGGCTGATCACTGTGCATTCCTTGTACGTGTCCTTGCTTACAGCTACGGCAGCGCGCATGTTCGCTTTGTATTGCACGTGGGGATCGTATTGATCATTCAGCAGCTAGATATAATCATCAGTTTAGATTAAACTGTTCCGTACTGATTGTAATCGTGGATCCTGTTGGAACTTATAAAATACAGAAATAGAGATTACGTGTATTTGTCATCGCTGACGTTTTGGATGGGCACTGGCCCCAGGACGTGTCAGTTTGAAATTCCAAGGCTATTTCTGGATAACTACAGCTTAACAGCTCGTGAGAGCGACTGTATGCACAGTTGCTTTTCGTGAATAGCCGTGGAATGCAAATTGACTTGCCCCGAAACGGCCCGTGCCCAAACTCACTCGTTGAACTTGGCCAAACAAGTGTACAAATGAAGTCAAATACACACACATAGACCCTGTTTCCGAGTGACAGAAGTTCAAACAAGACCTCTAGGATTCAACAATTCTAAAAAATTCAAGGCAACAATTCAATTTCAAGCCGGATTGTTTTCGACATAAGCCGCTATCAATTTCAAAATGCTACATCGGTACATCGGGGCAGAAATGCTAGAAGAAACGTTCTAGCGTCCAGCTAAAGTCCCCTTGATCTGACGGGTCAGCCAGAGCCGCGCCTTAGATAATCCACCACCAGTGTTTTAAAGAAACGCTCTTACCATGCATAAGTCGCCCATCGGCTCGGAGAAAAACGTTAAATTGGTGTCGCCGGCCATCATTACTCCAACGGCGCCGTCGTCTTTGACCTCCTGGACTTGGGCGGTGCGGAAGGTGTCGCCGCGCCGCGCCAGCACCTTGAGACCGAGACATTTCGAAAGCTCCTGGTGGTTGCGGCGAGCTTCGTCCGACTTCTTCGATGTTACGGAGCCGAATAGACTTCGAGGGTTGGGCCGGCTGGGAGTCACCGGTTGCGGTTGGTTTGGAGTCGCTTGATTTTGGTCAGCCCCGTCTGATGGAGAAGCACGGTACAGGCACACCCCACCAGCGCCGACTCCTGAAGGTATTTTTAGCACATTGTCATTTCATGTTACCCTGATTCTAATATTTTAAACGACGTTCAGAATATTCTGTTGTATTTACTCGATCTAAAATGCATATGCATTTTTTATATTTTCTCGACTGGAACAATATTCCATGATAGATCAACTACCGTACTGGCTCTAGTACAGTAAATAATCTAATGTGACAAAGGTTCATTTCAACTGGCATTGATTTTAGTTGAAAAAAGGCTGAGCACCGGCGGGCCTCGGATCGAACCACTTCGATACTGTATAATTTCTCCAAGAACTTACGTTGTATTGAAAATTAATAAAACAGCGCAAAAGTGGTTCGATTTCAATTTTCGTCTTGTCGATCGATAAGTGATGATGTAAAATATTTCTTCTAACATGAAAGTATTACTGTATAAAAAAGATAAGAAGAGTAGTTCGACCCTCAAATCTCAAATCTAAAATCAATCTCAAATCACTTTCATACTCATACAGTAATTTTTGTGCTTCAAATCTTACTCTATGACTATGCAACAGGTTCGATTCGAAATAAAATCATCAGACAATTAAAGATTTGAGGATAGAACTACTTTTATACAGTAATACTTTCTAGTTGGAAGAAATATTTTACGTAGCCATCACTAATTGATCGACTTGGTATAATTGAATTAGACCATCTTTGCGCTGTTTTCATAATTTTCAAAAAAAAGTCAGTTCTTTCAGAAATTATACAGTATTGAAAGACTTCAGCACTGCTCTTAGCAAGAAACAAGATAGAATCAATTCTGATAAAAAAAACTAATACTGTAGTAGTAAAGCAGGTCCTTTGAATATGGCGAGAGAAGAAGATCAATCTAATTGGCTCAAGAATTTGGATAATTTCGAAAGCTTCCGTAATTACCGGGCAATGAGCTTCCGTCTTTTGTATGCGCGCGCGCTCTGAGTATCGCCAAGTGGCGCCCTCGCCCAGAGAAATCGCGATAAGCCAGAAAACCATTTCAAGCGCATAAAAATGAGCTTCAAATTACTAGTTTTTTCTTTTCAAAATTCTAACTTTGTCGAACGGTTTTGAGCATTAGAAAGAAAACTAGAAGTTTTGGAAAGGCTATTACAGTACATAATTATTTTTATTTAACTTTTGACGACTTGTTTTCAAGGCGAATAATATTGAGATAGCTCACGGGCGAAAGAAGCTTAAATTTTTTTTCTATTTCAAAAATAAGGCTCTTATGTTTGTTTAAAAACTAACCATTTCTAATTTTGACAAAGGATAAGTTGTAAAGATGTCATTATTGAATTGAAGTCTTAGTCAGCGGGATTAAGGGTGTCAACAACAGCTGAAGATTACGCTTGGTCGAAGTGCTAACCTAGGAGCGAAATAGTGGAAATTAAGAAAAGTTGTAAAAACTCAATGAATGAAAAATATAAATGACTAAAATGTTCAGTTAAAATTTAAATTATTGAAAAATCACTTCTTTGGGAATGAAAAAGTCAGTGTTTCTATCTGAAAACTCGTAAAAATAAAGCTAAAGATTACTGGGAACCAGATTGAAAATCAAAAATAAGCTCGATTTTGCAGCAGAAAGCAAATTTTTAAATGAAAACAATATCATTTTTTAGTAACAAATTTTAACCCAAAATCGGCAGTTAACCTGAAGTTTGGCTTGGCAGCTGGTGAAATGCGGATTTGAGCGGGGCCGTGTCTGTGGGTGGGTTGGGCTGTAGTATCTGGTGACTCTGAGTGGTGGTTAGCTTCGACATGGTTGGGCCCGAGCCACTGTATTCTTGCTTCTACTGTGTTCTCTTCATCCGAAGGCTAACCCGAACCAGCTCGCGTCCGAATTCAATCACTAAAAAAGGGCTTCGGTTAATTTCGGGCCATTTGGTTGGAGAGAGAGAGACCAGGAGGCTGGTTTACGCTCTGGCCGGATTGCCAGTGAATGGGATTGAATGGGACGGGCGAGGGGCGCTGATTGGCCGAGCCCGCCCCCTAGTACGCTCATTCGCCGCGGAGAGCTAATCAGTCGAATTACTGGCCCCGAAGTGAGGGGGTCCGAACAACGGACCGAACCAAACGCACTGCAGCGCCCTACTCGGCGGCGAAGCAGCTAATCCCCGCCCGGCGCAACGCCAAGGGGGTCCGCAGCCAATCGCCAATACTGACGACCCCCGGTTTTAGGAGAGTAGAGACCCCAGCCGCCTGTTACCGAATTTTCGCGACATCTAGTGATGCACAATCAACCACTTGAAGGCGCCAAAGTTATTTTTTGAAAATCTCCAAAAATGCCATGAATCCTTCAAAATCAAAGAAATTTTAATGCAAATAATTATTAAATTTTTTTATAAAATATTTTATCTAAAACTCTTATTTTCCTATAATCTCATCTTTTTTTTTGAGGAAATTTCTTCGAAAAGTCTTTTTTTTTAATTTTTTCTTTATAATTTTAATTGTCTTCTTTCTTTTTCTTGGAATAGAAGGTCCAATCTGTTACTTTTGATTTAAAAATGGGAAATAGCCCGAGGCGAGTGTCCATGGCTCTAAATTTTCGTCTCGAAAACCGGCTCGCTCAAGTGGCAGCCCTTAGTCTGACAGTGAAAGAGAGATTAAGGGGTCCGCAGCGCTCGTACGCGGATACACACGAGTCCGGACTCCGGCCGAGTCATTAAGGGTGTCCCCGCGTTCGTAGCGTTAGAAAGTCTTTGTTCCCACGAGTTAGGGAGTGCACGTGATTGCTTTGCGCTTACGTCTTTTTTTGTCCGAAGCGGATCTGAATAAATAGTCGCCCAGATTCCTCGGAATAGTTAAATTTGACATTTTTTCAGAAATCAAAAAGGCGCACCGAAACCAATCAAAGCCCAAATAGAAAAATACTCCACTCAACTCAACTCCAATTCATAAGCTCAAAAAAATTGATCCACGCGCCTGAGGCAAGAGCAGAAGAAGATAAAAAAAGGGAGGAAAAAGGGAAGATCATTGAATCGAAGGGGCAATTATGTGTGGCATATTTGCGTATGTAAATCATCAGGAAATGTGTTTTCGATTTATATCTTATTGATTAAACACATCAACTCAATAATGATTAATTTTTCTAATAAAAAAATCATTCAAAAAACTCATCAAAAGACTCCAAAAACACTCGATGAAATACTCAAAACTCTTCTGAACGGACTCGGACGACTGGAACTCAGGAATCGACTCAGATAGATAACCTTACTTCTGAACTCTGTTTTCATCGTTATTTTTACTTTTTCTTTTGCGCATTTCCTGCTGCCCGGAAATGCGACGAGCATAATTGCGCCGGAACGAAGTTGTTTAGAAAGTATGCTTGGGGTTTGTTTAAAACTTAAACACTGTTTGAGTTCTTTCGCTCGCTAGAATTTTTTTGCGTTAGTAATTTTGGACTACAGTGGTAATTTTGAATACCTGGGACTTAGGGCTTTGAAAAGGCGAGGCTAATCTCTCCGACAAAAGGGGAATTTTAGAAATCAGTCGACAATAGAGGATGCGACTCAGCTGGGGTGGCCTTCGATCTGTACGATGATGATGGAGACTGCGCCATTGCCACCGCGAAATGCCCCGGAAAGGTAATCATTCTCGTAATTATCGAATGATTGATGACGGGATCAATGATCCTTGTTATTTTTTTTTCTCGAAAATCAAGGAATGGAAATTTTTCGTGACACTTTTTTACCCATTGATTCGCTCAAAATTTGCTCGAAACCTTAATTTTGGGGTTGGGTTAGGGTCAAAATCGAAGAAGAAAGAAAGCTGGGGTTACTGAAAATCATCCCATCCAAGTAAATTTCTTTATGAAAAAAGAAAAAAGGAAGAGTTAGAATTGATAAAATAAAGCCCTGTTTCCTCAAAATATCAATTTAGACCGCGAATTTAATTGAAACGAGCATTGTTTTTATGAACATAAGATTGAATTTGTGCGCAAGCCCTTGAGGAAATGGCGAATAATATCCCCCGGCTGCGACAAGCGTGATTGATGCATCCCATAAATAATAGTACATCGCGCCAAATAAAGCGCCAAAACCAGCGTAAAACATGCGCTACTCGTGCTCTCAAATAAACAAAAAAACGCGCGTAGTAAGAAAAAGAATGACGCTGATTTCTTTTTATAGATGCTTATTCTTAAATCATCGGGAAAGGTAATTAAACACTCGCTTTTGCATGTTGCATGAACTTTGACTCATTTATCAAAAAAATACAAACTAACCCGCTAGCGCCATCTGTACTTATCATTCATTCAAATAGACGCTTTAAATATAATACTGTTAGCTAACCTCATTAGCATATATTTCTACCGAGATGCTCAAGTGTTCTTATTTCCAGGTGGAGGAGCTCAAGAGCCAGCTGAAAAATATTGAAGTCGACTTCGAGGATGAGTATTCTCAGGAACGGCTTTCTCATCGAAAATAGAATCCGGAATAGCTGCTTCGAAGCTTCTTAAAATGGCTAATTTGCGAAAGTTAGGTGATCCGAATCATCAATTGAAAAAATTATTCTTCGAATCATCTGCGAAAGTTTCTAGCAGAGAAAGCCCTCGAAAAGCACATCGGGATTGCCCACACTCGCTGGGCCACGCACGGGCCAGTTTCGACGGTAAATTCCCATCCGCACACCTCCGGTGCCAATAATGAGTTTGTGGTCATCCACAATGGCGTCATTTCCAACTGCGAGACCTTGAGGAAATATCTCGTCTCAAAAGGTTAGCCTTTCTTTGAAGCTTGCTTTTGCTGAGAGTCATTTAAAATTAAGGGTATACCTTCGAGTCCGATACTGATACAGAATGCATTCCTCTCCTACTGCATTACATTTGGAAACAAAGCGAGGAGAAAGAAGAGCAAACTCTTGTGAATCTTGTGGAAAAAGTCATGACTCAGTTGGAAGGAACCTTTGCCATCGTTGTCAAGTCAGCTGTATTCCCCAATCAGCTAGTCGCTGCTAGAAGAGGAAGCCCCCTTCTTCTCGGAGTAAAGTCTTCTTCTTCCGCCACCCTCGATCACATTCCAGTTTATAATCAACAAATGAAGAGTGGCAACCGTGGCCATCTTCTCAAAACGGGACAGCTTGCTGCTGGCAGGAAAGGTTTTTTCAGTTTATTTGGTAAAATATTGTCGAAAACAGACGAAACATTGGCAAAAATTATTTGAAGACGGACAGTTTTTTGTTCATAGAATAAGCTGTTGATGGATCGTACTGGATAAAATAGTAGTTGAACTCTCGATGTGGCTGTATTTGGGTAAATGATCAGCCTTAGCATTTTTCTACTTGAATTCTTTTTGAACCCTTTCCTTACGCAGGAGAAACATGAGGGTAATTCCAGCTACAGCAATCACTATAAACGTTTCGTGATAGGATAATAGTTGTAGAATTACCTGTCGTTAGCAACAGAAGTATTCCTCGTATAATTTTACTCATCTTTTGTCATTCAATTCTGTCAAAATAATAGTCTTTCTCGTTAATCTAGAACTCACGTAAGATTTTCCTCCAAGAACTATCCTAGGAAAACGATTCAAAACCTCCTTTAAAGCCGCAGCTATAAAAAGCAATGGAAAGAAGAATGTCCTCCAACAACTATTTCAAACGAGAACGCACCATTTCCGGATCTTCTTGTCATTCCGTCGATTCCAACGCCTCCGTAGACGGTGGAAAAGTACAGCTCATGTCAGCAAAACTCAAGTCTTCTGAAATTCAAGAAGAGAGTTCCGCGGAACTTTCATCTGCGGATGATTTGATGCATAATATTGAATATTTTGTGTCCAACGATGCCCAGCCCATTTTGAGTCACACAAACAGGTTTTTGTATTTTTGATTGTATCAAATTCTCAAATTGGTTGTATTCAGAATCATCTTCCTTGAAGATGGCGATTTGGCTTCAATTGTAGATGGTAGTTTGATGCTTCAGCGAGTTGGCGAAGATGAACGGCGAGAATTTGCCGATTTTAGCGAAGTAGAGAGCGAAATACAGCAACTGATGAAGGGAGATTACCCGACTTTTATGATCAAGGAAATCAAGGAACAGCCAGAAACGATCGTCAATGTCTCAAGAGGAAGGGTGAATTACGAAGAGTCGAGTGTGGCTCTTGGAGGACTGAGCAAACATATTGGAGAAATTAAAAGATCCAGGTGAGTCTTCCTTGATTTCATTAAACTCATCAGCGCCAAGGCGAATCGTGATTCTTGGATGTGGAACATCTAATCATGCTGCCATTGCTGCCAGACAGCTGATCGAGGAAATGTCTGATTTACCAGTGACAGTCGATGTCGCTTCGGACTTCGTGGACCGCTCGGGAGCCATTTACAGAGACGATGTTGTCATTTTCGTTTCTCAAAGTGGAGAAACTGCTGACACTCTTTCTGCGCTCAATTATGCTAAAAAAGAGAGGATGCCTTCTTGTTGGTGTGACGAATACTGTCGGATCCACCATCTCCAGGTCAGAAACAGAGGTGAATACAGAGCTTTAACAGTCATTCAGGGAGACAGATTGTGGAATTCACTGCAACGCTGGACAAGAAATTGGCGTCGCCTCGACAAAAACATTTTCCGCCCAGTTCACAGTTCTGGTTCTTTTCGCTCTTCTTCTCAGTGAAGGGAGATTTTCAAAGCGAAAGCGATACACGGAAATTCTGCAGAACTTGAAAAAGCTCCCAGGTTCAAACAACAAGTCTCTTTTTTTCTGACTGTATTCAGCTCAAATACAGGAGACACTTGCTCTTGAAGAACAATGCAAAGAAATCGCAAAGCTTTGGAAGGATAAAACATCCGTTTTGATGATGGCTAGGGGCTACAACTTTGCGAATGTGCTTGAAGGAGCTTTGGTAATCCTTACAGTAATTAAATTTGATTAATCTTTTTCAGAAATTGAAAGAAGTCGCAAATCTGTTCGCAGAAGGAATTTTGACCGGAGAACTAAAGCACGGACCGTTGGCTCTCGTCGAACACGATCTTCCAATGCTGATGATCGTCTGCGACGACAACACTTTTTGACAAGTGTATGAATGCTGTTCAGCAAGTCACAGCCAGAGGGGTAAGTCTTCGTCAAAATCTGTAGGAAAATAATTCGTGATAAAGGGAAAACCGGTTATCATCTGCGATCGACATCTAAAACCTAAGCTTGAGAAGTTCTCTGATCATCTTTTGCTCCTTCCGGAAACGACTGATTGCTTGAAAGGTTTTGAAAATTATATCTTCAACTACCAATCGTGTTTATTTCAGGTCTTTTGAGCGTGGTACCACTGCAACTTCTCGCTTACCATGTAGCCACTCTTCGGGGACATAATGTAAGATTTACTTTTGAAGCTTTTGTTGATGAAAAATTTAAAGGTTGACTTTCCCAGAGCCTTGGCAAAATCGCTCGCTGTCGAATAAGAAGAAAAAAAATGAGCTGCAATAAATTTTCAATCGGAGAGCGCATCGTACGACAACAACAATCAAACAAAATCTGTGCAAAACTTCAGTTCATAAGTGCTTAAATAAAATCAGTTGCTCGACGAAGATCCTTTGCTTTCTCGAATTTTGAAGATTTCAATAAAAGATTTGAAACATTAGTTTTTGCTAGCGGTTGTTTCGTCACACCATTCTTGAGATGAACGATGTTTACTTACCCATAGCAGTGGCTTAATCGCTAGCAAAATTTTTGAGTTGTTATAAATCTTTAACCAAAGAGACTCTTCGGAAGAGTGGCATAAGCAAACAAATAAAATCTCCACAACTCTTCAGCTCACAAGTGCTTTGGGTTAACGCGAAATGCGCGAGCTGAGGCGTCGACTTCCATATAGATGTACGAACAGTTTTCGGGTGTCGTAATATTTCGGACATATTGGAGAAATCAAAGGATCCAGGTGAGTCTTCCTTGATCTCACAAAAACTCATAAGCGCCAAATTGAATCGTGATTCTTTTCTCGCAAACTCAGGGTTAGGGCCTCCTCTGTAGGACACGGTAGCCTGGCTACCAAGAACGGTGTGAACTTTGCCATATGATGTAGGTGATTGTAGAGTCTACATTGTAGATAGATCTGTCAAACAAATCTATTGATCAAAAGTTTTGATTTTCATACCAGCAAAGTTTTCAGCAGCAAAATTTTCAATGAACAACAGAGAACTTATTCTTATTTGGCGAAGTTCAAAATGAAAAACAGTATCCACTTTGCTCTTCAAATAATTTTCCTGGAAAAGATTTGAAATTAACTTGAGCGTAACTTCATCATAAATACACAACAATATTGAAACCTTTGAAAAAGATAACCGCTGGAATTTGCTTTCTATTAACATTTGGAAATGTCATCGTATTTAATTTTTCATCCTCAAATTCTAAATACCCACCAATTGAAAAAGTAACTCGAAAGAACATTTATATTTCTGCGTCTTTTCGATCTGGTTCCTCTTTTCTTGGGTCTATATTTGACCAAAATCCTGATTTTCTTTATGAATGGCTTTTCATCTCATTACTTGCAATAAGTTGCAAATGACTAAAAAAACTTTTTAACTGTTTCATGAAAATCGATAGATAAAGCCAAAGTACTTTGAGCCCCTTACAGGAAGTCTCACTGAAAGACTAGAAATTTTAGAAGAAGCATTCAGTTGTAAACTCCCTAAGAATCGCAGAGATAATCCTCAAGATCGTCATCAACTGTCTCATACAATCGGGCATTGGTATGGATCAGCGTGGGTCAGCAAGTCATCTTCAGTTAGGTTAGGGTTTGATCAGAAGTTATTGTTCAATAAGACTGCTGACCCCTATGAATCAGTGACACTTTGTAGCCCGCCATTTTGTCCGCAATCAAAAATGTGGTGCAAGAAATGTAAGGATCCTTTCAAAACTCCAGAAGGAGAAGAAAAACTGATCGAATTTTGCAAAGAGAAAAAGGGCGTTGCAATCAAAGAATTTCGTCTCGATGGCCCAGAAGATCTCTACCACTTGCTAGAGCCAGAGATGAACTTGAAAATCATTCGTCTGGTTAGAGACCCGAGAAGCATGTTTTTATCACGAAGAAAATTGGGCAAAGAATACCACAATGGGCAGACGGTTGAAAAGATTACAGTAAATACCGCTGGTCTGGGACGGTCCTAATTCACGAAAGCGTCCCAAAACAGCAGGATTTTCGCATTCGACTCTCGGGCGCCACTTTCGCTTTCGGGGTAAAGCGGTCAGTTTAAAAACACCCGCCGTAGGCGATTGCCTTTGATCCTTATTTCGCCCGACCGTCCCAAACTAGCAGGATTTTTGAGCGTCCCAAACCAGCGGTATTTACTGTACTGATGATTGCGAAAAAACATTGAGTTTCTTTGTTGATTCCGAGATTGAAAAGCAGCTCATATTTATTCGTTACGAAGATATATCCAGATTTCCGACTGAATTGACAATTGATATTTATGAAAGGCTTCAAATCGAGATGAAAGATGATTTCCTTGAGAAGTTTTATCAAGCTACTCATTCAGGAAAGGACCAAGAGTATCTGAACTTGAATTTTAGACCGTAATTAATTATGGGTATTTGAGCTTCAATGTTGGATTCTTTACAAGAGAAGAGAAGTTCTTTTAGTATCAATAAAGGCAAAACTGATGATGAACTTTTTGACGAATGGAAAAAGGGGCTAGAAGATGGAAAATTCAGTACTTCAGAGATTCAAACAATCGAAAAAAGATGCAAAGCCATGATGAAATTATTTGGATACAGAACAAATGTGTTGATGAAGCCGAACGTCACGTCGGTAGAAAAGAATTGGCGTCCGATTGATCCAAAGATTCTAGCTCCACCAATTTAGTTAATTATTTCTTTATTTTCGAAGTATTTTTTTGTTAATAAAATTGTCAGAAGTTGTGATCAGGGTTCGGTATTTTGAATTCGCGAAATTATTCGTTTTTCATTTGAATTTCTATTTATTCGTTTACGAATATTCTCTATTGAGCGAATATGCAAAACGAATAAAAACGAATTTTCTCGGAGAATTTTTCAGAAATTCAGCGAATTTCTCAAATATTCGCTCTGCCGCGTGCTCTGATTGGTCGGGCTTTCACGTTGCGCAGCCTATGATTTTATCTTCACCGCCTAAATAACCTAATAGCTCACGGGCGCCACCCTTTTCTCACCCGCGGCCCTGGAGTTTAGCCAATCCAGGGCCTGGACGCTCAATTTAGAGCGAATATTCGCGCGAATATGCAATTCGCTAACATTCGCTCATTCGCTTAGAAAAAGAGCATATTCGTCAAGTGTAATGGCGAATTTCTCGACGAATTCAAAATACCGAACCCTGGTTGTGATATCACTTTGATGTTTCTAAGCAAATAAGCAACACTTTACGGATATCGTAATATTGATCATTCGAGGAGCTAAAACTATCAGCAAAGAGAGGCGTCGCTATTTTGCAAATATTCGCCTGAGCATAATCCGCGAATTTTCGCGAAATTCACACATCACTGAGCGCGTGATAAGGAATGCAGCCTGATAACAGCGGAATTCCCTCTCCAAAATTTTTGATTCCGCTTCAAAATTACAAATCTCGCTCATTTCTTGACAAATTAAGGGAGCGTCTCATCAGCAATCAGGTTTCTCCGCCATAATTTGTTTTATTTGGCGCCAAATAAAGCCTTTATTGAATACTCAATGTTCGTTAATGATTTCACAACATGCTTGGTGACATCTTACATGGTGCAAATTTGAACATGCCGAGCACAGCAGACCTTTCTGTTAGATTCAATTGCTTCAATAATATTGAAAACAATTGTTTCATTAGAAGAACATGATTCCATTAGGAATGTCCTCGACTCAAAAAGGCGAGTTCTCCAGTTCTGATTTTTGACTCAGAAAGGGAGAAATTTGAGAGAAAAAGAAGCATTTTCAGACAGCGAAAAACAGAAACGAGGGTCTCAAAGCAAGGGTCGGTAAAAAGAGGATGAGAGGAGCATCTAAACAATGCGTCGCCCCTGACAGGCGGTTAGTAGATGAACACAAGCACGGAGACGTACGGTAGAACCAACAACGCCAACAAAAAACCAGCAGATGTCATCGATAATTCCAGCTCCGTCACTCAAGTCCGTTCAAGAAGCTATTTCAAAATCGCCTCCAAGATACGAAGAAAGGATGCTTTTTACGATTCTAGATGGCTCGTTACAGTTGTTTATTTCGTAAAACAGTAGTGATCTGAAGCCTCCCCGCTGGCCACGTGCCGACTTTAGCATAAATCTGGTGATTTTCTAGAACAAGCGACAAAGTTTTTGGGTTTACGCGCTTCGGCCACTCACTTGAGAGCATGAACCAGGCAACGGGTGACAATTTTTTCGTGAATTTTTTTATCTCAATTTTGACACTTTAATCACTTTTTCGCGCGAATTTCAACACTTCCAGCACAGCCGACAAGGTGAGCAAGGATACTTACGAAGTATTCTTAATTTTAAGCCGCTTGAGCTTTTGAAAAAATACAATTTAGGGGGAAAACATGGCAAAACCGATTTTCTTGTTATCCCCTCCCTTGCAGTTAACATAGTAAGCCCCTTATTCATGCATATAGGCGAATAATTAAGAACTTCAAAAGAAGAAAATCATTTTTTTACGACGTCAAACTACTAAAAGTTCGTAAAAATAAACAAAATATCTAGAATAGTACTCGTAATAGTAAGTTTTTCACTAGTAGTTTACTCTTCGAGACTACAGAATTGAATCAACAGACGATCGAAATTGTCTTCTGTCGACCCGAAAAAGGAACGACAAATCAGAGTAACCGGCTGCGGCGATGGCCCGTCAACCTTCGCAGCGCCACAAGAAGTCAAATTCACCGTCAGCAGCGCACTGTCAAAAGCCCAAATCGTAAGTCAACCACGAGTTTCACGTGTTCATTGTCCAAGTTGACCTCAATCGCATCATTCCTAATTACCACCGCCGTAGCCACTTCTTTCCGCATAATGTTTTCGCTCCTGCTCCTTGTCCGACGAACTCAGCCAATTACGAATTCGACGCGAAAAGGAGATCAGTCGAGACGAAATTCATTTCCCATGCTCGAATTATGACATCAGAGTACTTTTTCGAGCGATCAACTTTGTGACTGTAATTCTAGCGAAACAAAGTTCAACTCAAATTTTCTAAAAAAAATTTTATTGTCGCGAGGTGGCGCTTTTCAAATTGACATTAGCCAATCAGAAAGGAAAATGTCCCATCATTAATTTTTCGTTCAAATTTTTTGAAAACTTTTTGGTTAATTATTTGCTTGATTTTTATCTATCCAATTTATAATTGCGAAAAAAATTAATGAAAAAATGAAAGCAAAGGAAAAAGTTTTGATTGGATCAGCTTTCGATTATGAGAATAGAAGGGTTGCGGAGGGTTTAACCCTCTTTTGTTATCTGCTGCCCTTCTAAAAACGCTCTCGAACGGCTATCAATCGAGTGGATGATGCTCGTCGCCCGGTGCCGGTTAATCACTCCGCTTGGAACTCGCCAACCGGTGTAACAGCTCATCAAGGCGCTGATAAGACAAGGGCCGCCAGCATCAGATGATGCTCCACAAAGCAGTTCCAAACCACTTTAAACTTGATTTTTCTATGACGACATCGCTTGAACTCAAAAACAGGCATTTACCAGTGCAAGTTTTCTTCAAAAATTAGCGACTTTTGAATCATAAAATGCGGAAATCTGTTTCTAGGTCAATTCGTAATTGAGTTTCTATGTCGCAATTTCCTTGCCCGGCAATTTCGAAAAGACTGTAATCACGATTTCTACGATTTTAGATGCGCCTCTTACGCGCGTTCAAAGGAAGACTTCCGCTGGATTTCCGTATTTGGACAAGCCCCCCGACATCGTCCATAACTTGTGACTTGCTTCGCGGAAAACGGGCTTTTCTCAAAGACTTTTGTTTTTCTTAAAAGTCTCTCTCAAAGCACTAACCCTTTAGAAATTCATTGAAAGAAAATTCTAGCTCAAAACACGTTTTTATCAGTTTTCCTATGCTAAAAAGTGGGTTACTTATCTTTTTTCCCACTTGTTCCCTCCCACGTTACAGTTAGACGAACAGTTAAAATTTAACCAAAGTGCCCACTTTTCCGTCTGCTCCGTTATCTACCACGAAAGCGCAATCGTCCAATCAATCGTAATTATCCGTTTATTATTCGATTTCTATTCTTGAATTGATTCGCCACACATTTCTATATTTTCCCCCATACTAACAATTTTAATCGCTACAGTAGAATCAAATCGAGTTAGTGACTTGCTTTTATTAGCAACTAGAATGTCTAATACTATTATAGTCGAAAAAAGATTCTGTTATTTATTTTGAAAAAAAACTGACTCTTTCATTCAAAAATAGACTTTGTGATACCCTTATTTTATGTTGCATAAGTGTAGTCACCAAAATAAGGGTGTCACTATGCTAATTTTGGGTAGACTACGCCCTTAAAACTTTTAAGTTTAAAGTCAAGTTACGGACTAATTACGGAAATTACGGTCAATATACGGTCACTTTATCGCTGTAACATGTGCGTTTTCAGAAATCTATGCAAGTCGTCACTGGAAAAATCACCGAGAAGCCGAAGCCCCGACCGCAATCAGCGCCAATGAAGCTGGTCACCTCGCCCCTCGCTGTAAGTCAAATAAACGCGAATCCAGCTTTAGCAGCGAATTCAGCTGCGAACGCGACATTGCATTGGATTGCGCGTTTATTTTAAACAATCCTGGATCAACCCAAATCGCCCTCGTTTATTAGAAGCGGAAAACTCAATTTTCCGTTTATATAACGCACCGTTCAGTAGTTTCACTTTTTTCTGTGAATTTCGCTCAAATTCACCTTATTTTTTTTCCAACAAAAAGGCTGAGAAAAGCATTTTCGTGGTCAAAACAAGTTGTGGTGGTTAAAATTAATTTAACTGTTCGTAATTACCGTACAATCTTGTTAGCATAAAAACTACTTGTAAAGGGAGAGAGAGAGAGTTGCGTTCTAATTTCCTCGATCACGGATTTTCCCAAAACAATCCCCTTTTCATGAAAAAAAGAAGGAAAAAACTTGCACTTGTTTCCACCACAGCCTCTCTTTATCACAAAATAAGGCCCATAAATATAGATTCGCTGTTTGGCCCCAAACAGAGCCGCTCTTTTTTCGGGACTGTTGCTATTCCGGATCGGGTTAACGTTTTTCTTTCACGTTAATAGCTACTAGCTATTGTAATTGGAGGATTTAGTATACTTGTCTCGTTAACCTGTTTCCTTGGAATGAATTTATCCGTTCAAACGTGGATTTATTAAGTAGCTTTTTAACAAAAAATCATCTAAAAATACCTCTTAATTGACCTTTTTGCCCGTTATTCCGTAACAAGTCAAAATTAAATTGCAAATTCAAGACTATATTTTGCACCAAAACACAAAATTATCCGCTCACGTTTTCTGGCCGTCAAAAACTGATCCGGCTTGTTTAAAATATTTAAATATTATGTTCGTGATTTGACCCGGTCGTTAATATTTAGTTGATGTATCAAACTTCAAATGGTGCGTATGGAAACAGAGGGCGACCTGTGAGTGCGATTTGCCGACCTTCAGTTCACTACGGCGTAAGTACTTGCAAACTTTAGTTCAAGCGATTTTAGCCGCTTTAATTTTTGATTTATGTTGATATCTAAACCCTTTTTCTTTTGAAACTTTTCATCGAGAAAGCCGATTTTTACGCAAAATTTCCCCTTGTGATGATGATACCCTTATTTATCTAACCAATCGGAAGCTAATACAGTTATCTTGTCCAAAAGTGATTACGATGTTAGTTATTTCAAACCATTTTTCTTGCGCTATAAATAGTCTAAAATGACCATTCTCTGTAGCATTGAGTTTGGTGGAACTCGTCTAACCCTGTTATTTTTAACTGAAATTTGCACACCTCCGAGTTCACTTGATTTCTCGCCAAAGGATGACGTCTCTGACGACCCCTGACAACACCACTGATCTCAAACTGGCTCTCTAGCATTGAAAATTGCTGATCAAATTGATTACTTCCGGGAAAATGTTAAATTAAGCCCATCCATGATTGCTGCCGGATAATGCGCCTTGAAATTTCTTGTATAACACGGTTCAATTAGCTCTGTTTAGCTAAGTCTCTTCTTTTTAACTGTATTCGCATTTTTCGCTGAAGCTGACGTTTTCGGGGATCTTGTATTACAGGAGAGATTCTGCATTAGAGCCGAAGGGGAGCGCTGTTTGGAGTGAAAATAATTTCGAGATTATCGCCGCCGTCTCCTCCTCTTTATGAGCAGCTTTCCGGGAGATTCTAAACTTTCCCGAAAAGCCGCGCTAGAAGATGATAAGATTATTTCGCGCATTATCGAATCAAGTTCTATCGTTTTCTATCTTCCACGACTTCCTTAATTGATGCACCAGGGGTCTAAATTCGCAGTGCGAATTCGCTTTATTGCGAAGCGATGCGAAGCGAAGCGAATTCGCTTTCGCTTCGCTTCGCACTGGAGACCGGAATTCGCTTCGCTTTCGCTTCGCAAAAATTCCCAAATTTTCGCATAAATTTTCGCACAGCAAGCGACTTTGCTATTCGGAAAATTCTTTATCAAAAAGTTGGAGAGGGGCATTATTGATGCCGTTATAAATTCAAGCTTTCTCAGTCTTCTGAAGACAAGTCTAATGGTGGGTCTAACTCTCAATAAATCCAAGGATTGACTGGTTATCAAGCTGGTCCTACCCCGGAAAACACGTTGTCACCAGCCTTTTTATTTTTTGAATGATCAGAATGATCTTTATGAACAGGGCTTATCTAGAATCGAAGATGATCTCATCTCCTATCGAGCAAGGGTGACCATTCGGGCAAGAAATCGTCGATTGGCCATCCGAATGCCCGGCCGAAATCAAAGGCTAAGAGTCGCGCCGTCCGAATGCCCGGTCGAGCTGGTGATGGGATTTTCAGTAGATAAGGGCTAAAAAAATAAGTTTCGAGAGGCTTTTGATTCAGTTAGAGGAGCAAGAGAGCAATAATAGTTGTAAAGAATTCGAAATTTAAGAATTTTCCTCGGCGCGGGCTTGACCAACTGCCCGAAAGCGCTGAATTCCCCGAAAGTGCCGAACTTGCCCAAATGGCCGAAATGCCCGCTTTTGCCCGGCCAAAATTAAGGGGCTGAGCCGCCCGAACGCCCAAACGAACAAATTTTGCCCGAAAATTGTCCGTTTTCCCCGACTTCCCGATGCCCGAGCGGTCACCCCTGCAGTCGAGTTTATTACAAACTTGGAATTATGAACAGTTAGACCCACCATTCGGCTTATATTGACAAGCTGAAAAAAGTACAGTAAAAGATGTTTTTTGTAATTTTTTGCCCCAAAAATAGGTTTTTGAAATCACCATCGCTTTTGAGTGGCTGATTGCTAGAGATTCTTGCCGAGAATGCGTTTCAATTCAAGCGAAAAAATTTTCGCTTTTTTTCGCAATTTTCAATGATATTTCGCTTCGCTTTCGCTTCGCACATGGGCGAAAAATTCGCTTCGCTTTCGCTTCGCAAAAAATTTGAAAAAATGGTTCGCTTTCGCTTCGCTTTCGCACTAGGATTTCGGCTGATATTTAGACCCCTGGATGCACCAAAAACGCTAGCTTCTAAACCTGTGAGCTCAAAAATGACAGCACGGAATCGGGTTCAAATCTAAGTTTTTTTTTTGCGAAAGCCCTTTTTTCCCCTAGTTCCCGTTGTGACCTCCTCATTCTCCCTTACTTATTTTTAGACCATTATGATTATGGCATTAATAATGCCGCATTATCTATTTCCTCCGAAAACCGAAAACACTAATTTTCCAATAATTTTGGCCGCTACTATACAATTTTTGCGGCAGATGTTTCCGTCAATACAGTTTTTTTTCTATAATAATTTCTGATAAAAATTTGTATACCAATTTAAAAAAAAACTTGAATCTCAGCTTTTAAGATTCTAGCTTTCTTTTGACTAGATAAAATAAGGGTATCATAACGTTATTTTTTTAAGAAAAGTATGCTCAAAGATGGAATCATCAATTTGAAACCCAAATAACTTTTCTTTTCAGCAATCCCGCAAATTCTCATCGGACAAGCTGCGCCACGGAATGTGGAGAAACTGCTCCTTCAACATCGCCTCCGACGGCTCCGTTATCCACAAAGTGCGTCTTCCTCCGAAGAAGACCGATTAAAATGATCAAAAAGATTTCCATCATCTCTATCGAAATTTCTGTATGCTCTCTCACACATCAATTTTGCATTTTACTGAGTAAGTATTTATTTAAATAAAAACAAGAATTTTTATAATAGCTGGTATTTTATTGAGATCTTATGATTACCAGCAAGAAATTTTTACTCAAACTCATCCCAAGTCTGGGGAACATATTCTGAAGATGAAGTGTCAGAGCCCGATTCGTAATCGTACAATTCCTTTGCGCTCTAAATTTAAGGGTCTTGACTCAGGTAAAAATTTTTACCGGGTTATATTCTTCACCAAAGCCCGGGTACTTTTTCTTCTTTTTCGTAGCAGGTCCAGAAGATGACTTTGGCATAAACCAATTTGGTTTTCGTGTATCGAATCGGTCCCGGGTATCTTCAAAGGTAGTTTCGAGCATTGAAGTTTCAACAATCGAATCGTCGACGAGCATGCCTAAAGTCATTCAAACACCCAGGCTGATACTTTTTCTTGAGAAACCTTTTGTTTTCTGTTTATCATAAGTGTTGAACCAGCTCTTTTTCTTGGGCAGTATCTCGGTCATAATTTTTTGAGGGCTTTCTTTCATAGCAGATCCAAAGCATGACTTTCGTATTGTTTTTCCTACCCCGAGTCGGTCCGCAGTCTTATTTTCCTTCTCGTCATTGGTGATATCGAGTATAGAAGTCTCAACAACGGAATCATTGATGAGCATGCCTAAAGTCATTCAAATATCTAGATTAAGCTGTCTCTCCTCAAACCTCTTTCTTTTGATTATCATAACTCTCGAACCAACTCTTCTTCTTTTCCGGCTTCTTGAACTGGAAGTCGCCCCACTTTTCATTCGCACGAAACATCGAAATCGTGCCGAATGCTCTTCTATTTACCAGTGCAGTTTTCTCTTCCTTCGTTAACTGTTTTTGCTCGCTGCTTGACAAAAAGATTGAAAATTCTGACATGTCAGAATTCGTTTTTTTGTGCGAATGCAAGTTCAATTGTGCGCGATAATACGAAGGTTCGATTTTTATCTTTGATCGACAAAAACAACAAAAATGAAAAGCAAAAAATCGGCTATATTTTTGAACAGATAAGGAAAGTGGAAAAAAGAACAGATTATCATCCTTTTCTCCCTTTAAAATCAGGTCGAAAGTATTCGCATAAAGGATCGTCAAGGTGATACTGGCAGTAAAGCCAGGAAGTGGAAATATTGATCAGCACGCAGCCAGCAATCAGATTAGCGGCAACGATGAACATGAAGCATTTGTCTTTGAATCTCGTCCACAAAGATCGCTTATTTTCGGATGCTTCTTCCTAGAAAATGGTCAGCTAAAGAAAAGTTGTAGAACTAACCGGGACCGTGCTTGAAGAGCTTTGTTCTGAAGTATCTGATTCAGAAAGTGAGCCAGACGATTCCGTCAGTTGCAATTCCAGTCCGTTGTTTTCCAGCTCAACGAAATCGTCTTCAAAGTCGAATCTTGTTGAAAGACCACTTGTAGCGCTCGGGCTGTCAGAATATCAGAATCTGATGAAGATTTTTTCATATTTTACCTTTTCGTGATTTTCTCTTTTGAACTGCTTGTTGCTGAATCCGAACTCATTTTTGTTTGACCTGCGAGTTCATCAGCCTAGTGTGTTGATAATACTGTCGTTGCTGGATTCTAGAGACCGTCTTATCTTCTAATATTCCTCGCAAAACCTCCGCTCAACCAAAAGACAACGCGTTTTATAGAGGATAACGATATAACTATCCACAAGACATGAAAATACAACTTTATCAAAATTTGCTGATACAACAAACTATCGTGTACCTAGTCTACTACTATCAACATGGAAGATAATGCTGACTTTTTCCAAAGTTATCAGCAATAAATCATAGCTTTTTTCTCGACGCACGCTCGGTTGAATCGAGATTTTTATGTTTGTTCAGCCGGACACAGACAGACTAGACTTGGGATTTTGTCAGAGGACACGGGCAGACTAGATTTTCAGATTTTGCCTCAAATATAGAACCCTGATCATCAACAAACGAAAATTTTTTATTGATAGCTCCGATCAAAAGTCAGGGAAACAGAAATTCTCACAAGAGTCATTGCATTTATCCGGAAGGGTATCAAAAACAATGGGATATTCACAAGGGTGGTCATGGTGATGAAGTTTTTCTACTCCAGTTATATGTGTGCCATTCCAGGTTGCCCGTTCCACATCATTACTATGAGTTTATTTTCTTAACCTTAGCCGGCCAAGGTACTCCAAATATGGCGCCTCTTGACAAGTGCCCGAGAAAAATCATTTCTGACCGACTAGGGTTAATACAAATAGTAAATTAATTACCTCTGGTATCCTGCGAATGACAAGAAGAAACTATCATAGAAGAGAATCGACGGACTAACAACCGCCTTAATCAAAATGAATGATTATGTATTTAAAACACTTCTACCTCGTTTAAAAACCCAGCAAAGCTCCAAACATGATCACGGAATAAAAAGACATCTCTCATTTTATAATAACTATCGTTATCAGAACCTGTGTTGCTACCACCACCCATTGTAACAAGCCCATGACCAAGAGAAACACAACCAGGATTACGCATTGCCTTTGGTGCATCTTGTTCATATGTCCACCCACTAAAACCCAGTGTCTCAACTTTTGAAGTTAAAGGATAATATTGATGGTCGTATGTTTCCCGTCCTCCACCAATAGCAGTAGGCATATTGTCATTGAGGGCCATGCAGCCGTACAAATGATGATGCTGTAAAATAAAAGGGTTTTTTCATGATTCGATTCCATTAAAATTCTCGCATTCTGTATATGGCGAATGCCCAAAACATAGGAGAACTTCATTCGGATAGGTAGGAATAGTGACGATTCCACCCCAATAAAGCCTGAAATTATTCACAAGTTTAATTTGAAGTTCTTCTATTCCACATCCAGATAGTTTAGCGATCTGAATGCAAATTTTTATTGTAAATAATTTTCGTTTAAAGCATTGTTAAATAAAAATTGCCTTCAACAGAAGTTATTTAATTTTTTTTTACTTTTTTTGAGTCATCTCTTCCTCCAAAAATGAACATTTCTCCATTAAGCGTAGCATAACCAACAGAATCAAGATACGGATATGTCTCGTCATGAGATTCCGGTGTAAAATAATACCGATCTTCCAAAAAGTGGCCATCGGCTGATATTATATAATTCATCTGATATCCGTTGAAATGATAATCCTGACATAAATATGTCACAAAAGGCTGACATTTGTATCCTTCTTCACAAGGGCACCCTCCAAGACATTGAGACATGCACGGACAAAGTGAGGAATTGTCGATGAATGATGAATAACAGTCATCAAAGCATTTGTTTTGAGCAGAACATTCAACAAGGCATATTTTTAAGTCAGAAGCCGCTTCATCAATGCACTGTCGATAAGTTGGGTTGCTTAGCTCCGGATTTTTACAAGCACAAAGAGGATGATTGCAGTTGGTACAGCCTTCTGGACAATCATGATAACAGGGACAAGAGTCCGAGCATCCTTCAAAAAGGCTTCACAAATAGATCCTACGTTCTACTCACTTGTATATTCATTCAAGCATTCATGTTCGCAAAAAGAGTCCGCGCAACTTTCACGACAAGTAACAAAAATAATTCGGCAAGAGGCATCACATCCGTCACCCAGCTCTTGATCACTAGAATTCATTCAGTTGTGATTTAGTAGAGTATTCCTTTACGGGCAGGAGTCCAATTCGATTGACAAAACGGAATTGACGAAGGAGAATAAAATTAAGTCTCTGAGTATCATTCTCGGAATGAACATCGATTGAGGGAACGGTCTTACCAGTAAAATCTTGAGAAAATATGCACGTGTTAGCTCGGAAAAATTCAGAGAACGGTTGAGAATATTTATCTTGATGCAATTCCGGTGCCCTTCTAAAGAATCCTTCTGGACCCTGCTTACCCCGTGATAAGGGCGATTTCGATAATTCGCCTCCTCCCCTTCTGGTGTTATCAGAAAAATTCACTTTTGCATTTGCGTATTTTGCCAACGCTCGAGATCCGGCATTAGTCAGATGCGACAAATAGCCACCGAATTCCGTACAAACTCGATTAAGTTTTAACTCACTTGAAACGTGAATCTTGCGTTCTTACGTAAAATATATTTGACAACAAGCGAAATAGAAGTTTTTTCGTGAAAATGCTGGACTGGATTTTCTGGAGTAACTACTGGCTTTAGAACATGAATTGAACGAGCAAATAATCTCTTTGATTTATTTAGTTAGCAGAGGAATCATCTTCTGAATGAAGTTCCGCCTGGATCATCTCCCGCGCGGCAGCAACGGCGGACGGATTTCCGGTAATGCTGAGCCAAACGTTGTCTGAAACGAAACTCCAGTTTTCAAGAGCGGCCTGTCAATTTCGATGAAATTAGCGAAGATCGCAAATTTTTAAGTCGAGCTAGTCAAAACCTCTTCGGTTTCAGTTCTCAGCGATTCTGAATTACTGACGCGCTTTTATAAAAACATGACTTTTTACCGAGAAAATCATGTAAAAGTTCATCATGAAAAAAGATCGAAACTAAACTGAAATTGGTTTTTAGCGACTGAACCATGATTTTCCACAGATTTTTCAAATTCATAAAAACGACAAGAGAAAACTACGGGTTGACCCGCAAATATCAATTCTAACTGTATATTTGACAGGTTTCGCGCTTGAAACTTCAAGCGAAAATGCAATCTTTCAAAAAATAAGTCCACCTACCTTTACCGTGTTTTATCTTTTTCGTGTCGACATAAATGACTGTATTTGTTTTGTGCTCTGAAAGAATTTTCACAATTATTATTAGAAAAAACGTGAGAAAGCCGCAATCAGCAAATTTTAATCACGCAATTAGCAGCTTAAATTTAGAAAGCATCAGAGTTGTACAACTGGTCCGATTTTCGCCAAGCGATCCGATAATCATGTGATGTTAGCCGCGTCTCAGCTAGTTAAAAAATTTAGAAAATCGAGTGGCACTCGCGTTTTTTCTTTTTTAAGCTTATGGAACATGGCTAGGGAAATCACTAATATTTCGACTTTTTCTGAGCTTAGTAGGGTGGGCATATTATACAGTTTTTATATTATTACAGGAGCTGGAGATCATTTTGACTATTGATATTGGGGGTGATTTCGTACCCTGAGGGCATTTAGGTACCTCTGAAGTCCCGAAATCTGGCCAATTTCGGAAATCCGGCTCGGAATCTCGCCAGAACGGGTCATTTGATCGCGCGGCTTAGCTAGAATTGTAGCTAAGGCTCTGACGGTCATTTTGAGGGGTAGCTTAGTACTGATTACCCCCATTCCAGAGCCGCCAGAGGGCCTAGAAGGTTGGGGTCCCGACCGAAAATCTGGTAAATATGCTCCCCTTCTTGATTACTTCCCAAAACGGCAATATTGCGACTGTATCTGCATCACTTCTGACCTTAGAACAAGTTGGGGTCACCTGGGGTCACTTGGGGTCAAGTTTGTCTTACAAAGTTCGAATATCTATCTTTCAAGAAAAAAATTTCCAAACTTGACCCCAAGTGACCCCAGATGACCCCAATTCGATTTTAGGTCAGTAGTGATGCAGATACAGTCGCAATATTACTGTATGAATGATGAAATCAAGAAAGAGAGCATTTTTGCCAGAATTTCGGTCGGGACCCCCACCTTCTAGGCCCTCTAGCGCCTCTGGAATGGGGGTAATCAGTACTAAACTACCCTCAAAATGACTGTCAGAGCCTGGGCTACGATTCTAGCTAAGCCGCGCGATCAAATGACCCGTTCTGGCGAGATTCCGAGCCGGATTTCCGAAATTGGCCAGATTTCGGGACTTCAGAGGTACCTAAATGCCCTCAGGGTATGAAATCACCCCCACTATCAATAGTCAAAATGATCCTCAGCTCTTAAGCTTTCTGAATCTGTATTATATGCCCACCCTACGAAGCTAGAAAAAAGCTCAATTATTAGTGATTTCCCTAAACATGGCGTAATTCGAGCAAACCGTGCAGCCGCGCTTATCAAAGTTACATGCTTTATCTGGTTCAGTTAAATCATTGTATCTTGTACCGAAAACTGTTAGAAACTACCTTTTTACAATTAGTAAACGCTTTAGAAATCGGCTCACGAAATAGGGTAGATCGTTATCTCCGACCCTAGTACCTATTCTTCCACATCCTTTGCCATCTTTTTCAGTAATCAAAGCCATGTATTCAGCTGGAATCGCCAGCACAGTCGTCGTGCTTAAATTTCCTCTCTAGTGAAATTTCAACAATTTCAATTTTCAACCTTTTCCACTTTTCCTTATTGGGAAAGCAACAGCAACCTATGCACATTTTTCTACGATCTTATTTCTGAAAAGGGAAGAATCTGAAGGGGGAAACGCGTTGGCTACCTGCTGATTCTTAGGGAGCTCTGAGGATTATCACATGACAAGTGGCTAATATTTATAGCGCTGGGTACTTGTTTTTTCTAGAGAAGCACGTAAATCTGAGCTGACAATTGTTAAAAGAGGTCAAATTCAAGGTAAAATATTGCTCAATCATCAAGGCTATTTGACATCAAATAAACTCTTTTGAGGTCACGTGACTTGATTATTTGTATAAAGATATAATTTATTTAGAATTGTGTAATGTATAAAAATAATCATTTGAAACATTTCTTGAACTGGCGGGTAAATAAATGTACAAAAAGAGAGATAATTTACAATTTTGGTCGGTTGAATATTTTTTCTCACTCTGGCTTGACCATAATCTTTCTTGGCTCGGCTGTGAGGACGCAGTCGCCGACGCTGGCAGAAACCATGACCGAGGAGATCAGTTTACTCATGACGTTTTCGAGCATCTTTGCTTCCTCTGGAGTTGCTTCCTCAGCTAGAAATTATCATGAGAGGTTGGAGGAGGGTTGAGTCTTACATTTAGCGACGCTCAAGTTAGACTCGACCGAGTTTTGAGGAGTTGGAGGAGGCAAAAGATTTTATCCTCTTTCGCCTCCTCTTCCAGAGTCGAGAGAAGGTTCGTCATCAAGCTGGAGCGCTTGGGCGGCCAGATGGCGTTTTCGAATTGAGAGTAGTATGGAATCTTCTCGTCGCCAGTCAGGAAGAGTTGCTCTTGGACGGCTTCGTCATCCACAAGAGTTCTAAAAAGAGGCATGAGAATTTACTGTAGAAATTGTGCAATAAGAAGAATGTGAAGATAAAAGCCGCATGCGGTTTTGATAACTATAAGTGCGGCTACTTTTCAATGAGCTTTTAATTCTTACCTCAAAACGTTGCCGGTGATAGTTTTCAACAACGTAATTTCATCATTTGAAGCAGCGACCTTCTCGGTGATCTTTTTACTGATTTAGCGCCCTCTTCTGGTGCAGAAATGAAGAAATTGTTTCTGTTACCATTCGTCCTTTCCAAAACTGGCTGAGCTCGAAAGTACGCGCGGATACATTTAGCGGAAGCAAGTCTGGCTTTGGCGGGAGCGGTTTGTACCACACGTGTTCCTTGCGAGCACTGAAGAAAAAAGGGTTGAATAAAGGGATTTGAGGCGCCCGTGAGAAAGTGTGAAGATTGACTTACGGTCGACCACGGGAGTACATTCCACGCCGGCGTGTTTCAATCACTCTGGGCGAGATTGGAGGTAATGTTTTGTAAGGTGTCACAGGCCGCGATGGGGATTCTTCTGCAGAATCGATCAGTTTCACCTGAGTTTTTTCGTCATAAAATCAGGTGGAAAAGCGATGAAAAATACCTGTTTAGGTCGAAGATGTCGATCTGTAATGGTAAACTCTTCCTCTTGTCGCTTCTTTTCCATATTCCACGCGTGTAGATTCGCTAAGTACGTGATTTGATCCGATTCCGAAGTGATTTCGCAGTGAAGATCGACATTGTGCACGGCGCTACCACCAGCGCTGGGAGCTTTGAATTCGATGACGACTGTTTTTTGAGCGCTTCCTTCGATTTTTCCTTTGCATGGGACGACGGAAGTGGATTCGGTCAAGCCCGCCCAGTTGAAGAAAACCGGCGCGTCTGATTGATTAGTGATGAAAACGAGTCGTCTTATCGGCGCATCTAGCGGTACTTCTCCAAGCCTTAGCCGGTCGATATTCATGCGACAGAGAGCTGATCTACTTTCGATGTTTCGTCCGTTGGTCAGGAAGCTCGTTTGGGCCTCCAGGTCGAGCAAGTTTTTAGCCGAATTCCGCGGATCAACGCCACTTCCTTTGATGCATAGTTCTTGGGTGAGCCCGCGCCCGAGATCCATTTTCAGGGTCACTTTGGGGAGGATTCTAATTATGCTTATGATACTTAGTCATTCTTGGACAAATTTGATATTCGATACGTTGGACGATTAGAAATCCTTTCCTGAATATTCCTTGGCTTCGAGTGGAGCGAATCTGACTTTGACGATTCCAGTAGAATGCGGCTCAATACTGCCCTTTGGAGTTATGATCTGGAAGATTGGCCAGTCCCAGTTTTCAGCCTTCGTCGTTTCTAAAGGAGCAATATCGATAGCGTAGTTGATTTTTTGATTGCTTCCATTGTACAATTCAACATCTTGGATCGGCGGGTGAATATCGTTCAGCTCGACCTCTTTTAGCGCGTTTTCTCCAAGTGGCAAGTGAATCTGAATGTCTTTCTTTGACAAAGTAGTTCCAGAAAGCCTCAATGGCAATTGTCGACCGCCGAAGATTGAAAGAATCACTGGAAGATGATGAGTTCCGACTAAATGATGGGCGTAATTCAGCCGGACCACGCAGCGCTCGTTTGGTGCAAGAGTTGCTGAACGGGGCTTGACTTGGAAAAGTCGGTTGTCTTCAACTTGAAGAATGTGCGTCTGACTATCAGAAAGTTCGTTCGCATCTGCCCAGCTTTCTAGCTCGAGTCGAAGATCGGCGGGAAAGAGGAACTTGAATTTCACGTCCGTTGTTCCAGGATTTACGAGCTCGAAGCGGGCACTGAAAGGATCTGCGTTGATTGTCGAGCTCCCGAGATTGACATCAATTGCTTCCAACTTTGTGTAATCCGCATCTTCAAGGTCTTGAGCTAGAGGAGTGCTTCGAAGACGAGAGTCCATTTCAGCCACGCTGATCCATTTGTACAGAAGTTGTTTTGGAATCAAATCAGAGCAGGAAACGTGAGTGATGCCAAGAAGCGGGTAGCAAACATCAGCAGTAACGTGGACGAGGAGACCCTTTTCAGTGCCGATGCTGTATTCGATGTCGAAGGTATATCTGCCATCCTTGGGACAATTGAGAATCAGGTAGAGATTCTGACTGCAGCGGGGTTCCAGATACAGCTCGGTGACAACTTTATTGTTGTCCTCGATGATCATGTGACTAGATGAACATTCCTCGCCATTCAGTGTCATTTTTGTGGACAAGGCCACGCGGACAGCGCAGTTTGATTGATTGAGAAGTTTGACTTTCTTCTCGGCCCGGCAGTTTACCTTTCAAAAGCTCACAAAATTGCTTCCACATACCGGCAAATGCTTAGGCTAGCAAAATCGCCGGTTTGGCAAAACTGGACATGTCAGATAGTCACGGATATTTAGAGAGCTCATTCCTTTAGACTGCCAAAGTCGACAAACTTGCTCGATGGTTCTATAGCAGCTTGAAGTCCTTCAGAGATGACGCGCACGTGTGATGCGTGGACATCTTTGCGATTTGCCCAAAATTTCAGCTCGGGCTTGAGGAGATACTGTATCACCTTGGTCGGCGAAAACGAAACCTCGAACTCTTGAGTTCCGAGCGGCTCGATGACGCCCATTTCTGGGCGAATCTTGATCTCGTTTCCGGGAAAGACCCACTGGTAATTGATGGGTAGCCGAGTATTGCTCTGGATTCTTGGTCCGGATTTTATAAATCACTATTTATTGAGGACTCAGAAAGTGATTAAATCCGTTCCTAAACATAGTGCATGAAGTGCCACTTAACATCGTTGGTTGAATATAAATGTCCTTTTCATAATCGAGAACAGGAGCTCCGCCAGGCGTTCGTACCGTCAGCGATTGATCATAACGCGCATCGCCGTTTAATTTCGCTGTGGCTTTCGCTATTGATGCTGGCGCTTGGGTCACCGTTCGGACCATGACGAGCTGGAACTCGATTTCTGATCGGACCTTTCCCACTTTGGGGTAGATTTGACAGTTGTCGCCGGAGAAGGAGTATAAAGCCGGCAGCGTGCTGCTATTATTCATGCATATTGTTCTATATGTCGGATACGAGGTGAAGCTCGGATTCATAATGATATCTTCTGGAATTTCCACACTAGAAGTTATTTTAGTTTACTTATGGTGTTCCAACGTGGTCGAGTCTTACCTAGAAGGAAATGCTTCAGACTGCGGCGCAAAGGTATTGGCGGTGAGATTAACGGTGGCACACCAGCTCGGCGACACAAGATTCGTTTTCACTTCCGTGTAATCCATCATATCCTTGAAGAAAGCGCTCAACTCCATTTCAGCTCCATACAACGATTGCTTTCCCTTGTTTTGTACGAATCGAGCGGTGAACATCGCTGATTTTCCAGGACGCAGATTCATTTTATTCGGGTAAACTGAAAAGCACGTTGTTTCGCTGTTGTACCACTGGGCGATGATATCGTCTTTTGTGTGATTCGTCACTTGGATCGGGTGAGAATTGATGCTTCCATCGGCCAAGCAGCTGCCGAAATCAATGGCGTAGGTGCTCAGGGAAATCGCGGGTACGGATTCAGTATCGTCCTCGAAGAATGTGGCGCATACATTGTCCGACGCGACTGGATAAGGTTCATCTTTCAGCCTAATCGCATCTTTGTCCTGAATCAAGTCGCCCGATTCTAGCATCGCCTGTCGCTTAGCAAGGGGAATCTTTTCTGCATCAGCGGAGAATCGAAGTTGAAGCTGCTCGATCGACACATGCGCTGGCTTGATCAGATCTGTGTAGGCTGAGCCAGAGAGTTGGATAAACTGGGGTGGAGCGCCTTCGATGAAAATCGGGACTTTTCGATTGTATGGCGCGGGTTCCAATGGTTCGAAAGTGACGTTAATGTATTTGTGTTCCCCTTTCTTCAAAATTCCATGGCATGGTTCGAAAGACCAGACGCTGTTGGTTGAATCGCACATGAACTGGAATTTCGCCACGTTTCCGGAAGTATTATCCATGCGAATCGAGACATTGGGTTTTTCTCCAGTTCGGACTCGTCCAAAATCGATGATGCTTTCGCTGAATTCAAGTTTTGCTGGCAGCGAGCAGCCAGTGCACTCGACGGTGAGAGAACACATCTCTGGAAACTCGGCACAGGCGACTTGCAGCACGCGGCGGAAGTTGACATTCGAAGAGCAGTGCGGCTTAAACTTGATCGGCAAAATAGCGTGCTTGTGCGGCGCAATGGCGAGACTCTTCGCCAGACACTTGAATGGACTGGGAATGACGTCTCCATCGCGTTTGTCCGCGTCGAGTACCGACACGCGGGCCACAACATCGGACGAATTGTAGATCTTCACTTTGCGCTCGACTTCATCGCCGAAGTTTATGTTGCCAAAATCGACCTTTAGAAAGAATCAACTAAAATTTCGATCGATCAATTAAACTTGAACACTCCAAATTAAAAAAAAAACGTAATTAACGTATTAATTAATTCAATTTGATTCCTTTCCTTGGCAATTTTCGATTTCTTCTCGCCAGTTCCCACATGCAACTTCGGCCACATTGATGTCGCAAGGATATTCATCTTTCTTGAATATTCAAGCTCAGGGCCAAAGAAGCATTCGCCAACGCCTTTGTATTCAGCAGCATAGTCCGATCGGAACGTGATGATGAACTCTTGGGTATCGCGCGGCTTGACGATCCCTTCCGCTGGGTGAATATGGAAATTTTCGGGAAAGACTTCCCAGCGGAAAGGTGTCTCGACTGAAGAACGATTGTGAGCTTTGACGGTTTATTTTATTTCTCGATTTTGTAAGAAATAATCTTGGCGTTGACCAAAGATTAGATCGCTAACAAGATCCGAATTTCTTGTTGAAAAATAAACCTTTCCTAGAAACTTCTCTGATCGATGTTCTTTCACTGGAGTTGGCGTGAACTTGAGCGTATCAGGAAATTGAAATCGCGGCACTTGAAGTCTCGCTTCCAATCTGATCTCATAAGAGCCATCTTTGGTCTCGATCCGGACGAAATCGCTGTAAGGAACGAGTTCAGAAGGGCGGAAGACGATCGGCAATTCTTTCGAGCTTCCTGGGGCCATTTCGAATTTCTCAGCGCCATAGGGGGAGGAAAAGTTGCGGCTGGTTGGAGGAGTGAATTTTATCTGAAGGCAAATTAGAGAAAGAAGGAGAAAAAGGGTTTTTACCTTCAAGAGAGTGAGGGATTTGTTGTGAAGCGTAACGTTCTTGACGTATTTCTGAGCTGGTTTCCAATCGCCGGACCAGATTACTTCGACCGGTCCATCCAGCTCCCTTCCAAGATTGTTCCTTTTTCGTCGCTGGTGAGGCGGTTTTACGGTCACCATCGACAAATTGGAAGAAGTCAAACGAGATGTAGAGAATGGCGGCGCTTTTATCATCTTTTATTGCATTCTGAAAAAGCAATCGATCGAAAAGCCCACGAAATTCAATAAAAAATCATGTTTTTACCTTACTTGGAAAAGAACTGGACAGAAACTGACCATTTCTCGGATAAATTTATAAAAAATAAGCATTGTTCTAGAAACGCGGAAAATTTAAGGCAAACTTACCAATATTTTTCGGGGGTCGGACTTCCTGAAGAAATCAAAAGACGATTTCTGCCTCTTTCTCTGAAACACGCCTGCAGGCAAAACAGAATCTAAGTTCTAGAAACAATTCCTTTATTATCAAATTCTCATCCTTTTATTTGATGATTTTTTTTCTCTTTTATGATTTTAAAATTTCTTTCTCGTCGCTCCTAGCAACCGGGAGTCGTGCGTCACTGACTACACTTCAGATAAAGCTTTTTCCCATTTTTAATAAACAAATCGCTATCTATGGCAATTTTTTCAGCATAAATTACAAACAAAGGGAGTTATTAAGTTTATTATCATTTTCAAGAGATTTATTGTTTGCGCGTGTGAAGAGTGTCTGAATGTAACTTTTGATTCATTTTAAATTTTATAATTATAATTGCATTTTGACACATAAAATAAAACGATTATGGAAATCATCATTTTTGTTTTTGACAGTCATTTTATGTAGAACATAATTTACGGAGTTTTGAATAAATTTCAGAACGCTGGTCTATCCATTTCAAAACTTCATTTCAAAATTCAAAATAATTTTTCTTCACTTGAAGATATTATTTTCGCTGAGGATCGTTATTTATACAAACCAGCAGCTGGTCGTCGCAGATGGTGGCCACTACCCAGCAGGCCTTGTGAAATTTATCAAGATTAATTTGGTTCATTCCAATTTCAAGCTACAATGCGCATATTTTCGATCGAAAAGGGGCGGAAATCCACTGACAGTTAACATGATCCGTTCTGGTTTCCATTGATCTGGTGGCACGTTTTGCGAAATCTACGGAAGCGGTTGGACAGAAAGCCGTGTTTTCGCATTTCCTAGCTTAGGCATATCCGATATTTTGCAGCTGCTGAGCTGCATTAGTGTTTTCTAGAACGTGAGCCCAAAACATACACAATCTCGCGCTCAAAGAGTTAGTTTTGTAGTTTTCGCCTGTGAAAGTCAAAATTTTGACTAGCGCGGCGAGTTGAAAAAAAGGAGCCTCAAGAAAATATCAAAAAAAACATGTCTAGTTTTAAATACGAATACATTGAAGATTTCATAAAGAATCCACGCTTCAGGATTGTGCTCAATTTTCATTGTTTTCGGAATTCGTAAATATTTCGTTGCGCGACTGTAGTGGTGTTTGGTATTACGGTTTTGTTCCGCGAGAAATTAGTGATAATAGTTCTTCGGTTATCGTCACTAGCGGTTAGTAATTCCGGGCTATGGAAAAATGACGAACGCCACGCTAACAAGTGGAAGCCGGAGAAGCTGCACCTAGTTTTCATTGAACACGGGTCGTTTATGGGAAACTACCGCGTTTCTCATTTCTGAATTCGGAGCCACAAGCAACTCCTCGGTTTTCAGCATGATTTTAATGTTGTAAATTGCCACGGAAGTGAGTTTAAGGGTGTCCACATCGATTGGATAAGGGTCCATCTTATGATCAGAAAAAATGCCAAAATCGATGTTGACACCCTTAACCTTAGCCCGCCAAGGTACACCACAACTCGGGAATCGTTCATGTTTCTGCTCACTGCGCTGAACATTGACAATTTTTTCGAAAACTGAGGATACGCTGAGACGGTTTGATCGATTATCTATCGATGTTTGGATCTTCAACCAGTTTCTGATAGACCTTAGCGTCGGAGACCCTTATTTTTGCAAAAAGTCGATGCACCATATATGGTGTCGAGCTACAATTGTTGGTGCACCATATATGGTGTTTTTGGCGGGTACCCCAGCTTTTTCCCAGCGATTTTGCCGAAAGTTAACCCTGGTCATCTTCTCTGATCCTCAATTTTTAAATTCCAGTGAGTGAGTTTTTGTATGAATCAACTCTAGAATCATCATGGGACCACTTAAATGCACCAAAAAATATTTTCTAACAAAGACTTTCAATAAAATCATGAGAAACCAAATATGGTGTCGAGCTACAATGGAGGATGCACCATATATGGTGTTCTTGGCGGGTACCCCAGAAAATCCACTTTTGGCGGGCTAAGGTTAAGTCCCGACTTACCGGTCAAAAGCTACCGTACTGGGGTTTAATAAACATTTTAGACTGAAAATATGCATACTTTTTTTAACGACAATAGACTACTTTTCTTTAGTAAACAAGTCTTTTTGATAAATATTTAAACGACCGCTCACAAAAGCAAATCCGCTTAGCTGTGCGCTTTGTATTTCCCCTCTTCCGAACTCCCGATTCCCGAAAATGTCGATTCTCGCTAAAAACGTAACTGCCGGAATTGTCAGTGTCGGAAGACTATTTTCCTTTAGAAAATTCCTTGTTCAAGAAAGAATGTGCTCTTCGGTCAGAAACGCGCCCAAACAAAAACAAGTTTTTACTTATGCCTTTTTTGAGCTACTTTTGGAATTAAGGTTGCATAAAGAATTCAACGCCGGAATTCGCTTTTTGCTCAAAATAGAATATTTTAGTTTAGGCAGAAACACGAGTTTTTTTAGAAATTCAAAAAGTTTGATGCAACAAATGTTTTATTGAATAATTTTTGGTCGAGCAATTAGCTCATTTTCAATCATTGAGTTGTCGAAATTCAACAATGAGTTCGTAGATGATAGATTCGGTGGTTCTAATTCGAGCCGTAAATGTTTAGACAAGTGCCGTCACCTTGAACATTAACTTCAAATAATTATGATTCGCGGTTTCAAGAATCCCGGATCGCGCCAATTAACTGTTGCTTCTTAGAAAACGAGCGCCGATTTGCATAGATTATCGGCTCTTTCCTCGATTCCTGTTCAGTTGAAATCCGAATTTTTTTTTTGCTGAAATAACGGTATTGGAGATATTAAATTTGAATAATTCATTCGTGGATAACAAGTAAAACATATAACAAATTTTTCGATAGAAACCGTTTTTTAAACAAAACTACTAGTATCAACTGGCAAGCAAATTACTTTGTTTCTAATAATCCTTTCCAAATATTCGTGTCTGAATTCGCGGTAGACAGGCGTCAAAAACCACGTGTGCTCAAATCTACGTTTCTTTCTTTTTGCGCGTCCTTTAGAACATGAATAGCTCATTCTCGCGATATGCAGCCACCGAGGGAGATAGTAAATTCATGACTCATGACTCAAAGAATTTTAGAACTGAAATATGAAGAGAGCACTTTTAAAGATTCCAGCCCCCATCTGACCCGACATTTTCCACCACGAGCAGACGAAGAACTGGCGAAGACGCTGATGAAATCAATGTTTTCGCGATTGACTGCGAAATGGTCCGGTAAGGCGCTAGAATTTTCTAAAACACACACTCGTTCCCTCATATCATAATAAACGCCTGATAATATATAGATTTTAAAGTCGAACGTGATAATTTTTCATGAATGTCGATTTTTCAATAGAAACCGATTTTCTCGTCGAAAATGAACTGAAAAGCCGGGTTGAACTATTTTGGAAACTATGCGGGTTGACAACAAATTGCCCGGAATTGCCGAAATCAGAGCGGTAACATAATTATTAGAACCCGAAAGCGACAGGAATTGGCGCGGGTGTCGTTGGTGAACGAAGATGAAGAGGTCGTTGTGGACATGTTCGTCAAGCCGCGTTCGAAAGTGATCGATTACCAGACCAAGTACTCCGGCATCACCCCGCAGCTCCTCGAAAACTGCACCAACGATCTCAACTCGGCGACGAAGACCATCAGGAATTTTGTCAAGGCAAAGGATATTCTCGTTGGCCACGATATCAAGAATGATTTGAAGGAACACAGGGGCGCATAAGTTTTTTATTCGAAGAATTCATGAATCATTCTTTTTCTAAAGAAAACGCGCGGCTGAATATAGAAAATCTGGTAGAACTTGACAGTGCGCAAATAGGATTTGAATATGCAACCCTGTTCTTGAGTCGCTGCGTTTGAATCACAACAACTGCATTGGTAAGTAGTTTCCAAAAGAGCATTAGAGAAAGCCCCTTCCCGAGATTAACGCGTTTTTGAATTGTTCCTAATCACAAGTTGGGAATCAGAATAAGGCTGCTTAGAGTGACTTGGTCTTTTCTTGCTTGGCGGAAGTGGTTTTTGATGACCCAGCAATTTTGGATTCTCAATAGGGTTGACGGTCTTAACTCTTCTGTAAAAGCTGGTCTTTTCAAGGCTTTTAGACTTTCCTCTTTCTTTTTTTTAGAAGTCAGGATGCCTAACAGAGCTAGAATCACAGTAGAATTGAACGATTCTGTCTCCTCATTCTTTCTAAAGCTCTCTGACTTCCTGTCATACAAAATACCGCGGTGCAGCGCAGAACAGATCGATAGTAGGAATCTAAATTGCTAAGCCCCGAACAGGCTCTCGCGTTTTGCATCAATTCATAACTCTCTTCCGGAATTATTGTTGACAGCAAACTCGACCACCTCTTTTAGAAAGAGAGAAAGAAACGTATTCGAGAAAATGTGTATGCATTTACGACTATCTGTTATCAAAATACAAACGATGCAGAAGAGCTAATTGAGAGGACTCCTCTCAGAAAATGAGGCACAAGTTTTCAAATAAACCATCTTTTTTCGATTCTTGGAAAGATGATGAAATTGGCAAAAAGGAATAATCTTCCTGGGCAAAGATTGAAATGCAACGTTTTTTCTAATCTATTAACATAAGGGTATCACATCGGCAAATGGAACCTAATCGATGTTTTTCGATATCAGAGCATATTTTATTGCTTGTATGCCATAAACCCTAGTGGCTTCTGTAACAAAAGAGGATGATTAAAAAAAGGGGCCAACTTCCCTGCGCGGAAAATAAAAACACGAATGGGATTTTTTCCAAAATCGCAAAACACGAATGGTCTTTGCCCGGAAATCGTGTTGCGCGAATGGCACTTGCACGAAAACCTCATTCGCGCAAAAACTTCCGCGCAAAACGATTTCCGCACAAAAAAACTCCATTTTTTCTCGGATTTATTTTTTCTCGAATTTTATATTGCACGCGGAGCGTGCCATTCCCAACTGGCCCACCTTCCCAACTAACCAACCCTCCCCAACTTACTTTCTCTCGAATTTTATATTGCACGCGGAGCGTGCCATTCCCAACTGGCCCACCTTCCCAACTAACCAACCCTTCCCAACTTATTTCCCCTCGAATAATATAGGGCACGCGGAGCGTGCCATTCCCAACTGGCCAGCCCAATTTTTTGGTCGCCCTGTTGGACTTTTTTGGTGAAAGCGTCCCTAGAAAATGGATTTTTTGCGGAATTTATTTTTTTGTACCCACGAAATGGTTAGGATGCAACGGAGTTGGGGGCGGGTTGGGGGAAATTTTTGGTCCTCCTGTTGGACTTTTTCGGTGAAAGCGCCCCTAGAAAACGGATTTCTCGCGGAATTTATTTTTTGTACCCACGAAATAGCTAGGATGCAACGGAGTTGGGGGCGGGTTGGGGGAAATTTTTGGTCGCCCTGTTGGACTTTTTCGGTGAAATTCCCCCTGGAAAACATTTTTTGCTCGAAATTGTGGGAACTGTATTTTTATTAGCAAGAATTTAGAGTAGATTTTTTGTGAATAAATGGCAAGAGATTTAAGATGATATTCAATATTCGGAGATTTAATTTCTAAGCCTCGTTTTTGGCAGAGATGGGGTTTTGCTACGATTTTCCTTTTGGCTGCTGATTCTAGTGGTGATATTCGTTTTGGGTTTGGGGTTGAAATTCGGGGTCAAAAAGGGGTTTGAACACTTGCGGAATACTTGCGCGAACGAACATTTGCGCGGAAAATGCTGGCCGTAACCCTAGCTAACCCTAATCCAAATTCAGACCAGGTTCAGACCTCGAAAATTCGATTTCGGCCAAATTGTGATATCGACCCACCAATCGAAAGCTCTTGAGCTGCTGATTCTAGTGGTGATATTTATTTTGGGTTTGGGGTAGAAATTTGGGGTCGAAAAGGGGTTTGAACACTTGCGGAAAATTTGCGCGAATGAACATTTGCGCGGAAAATGGTGGCCGTAACCCTAGCTAACCCTAATCCAAATTCAGACCAGGTTCAGACCTCGAAAACTCGATTTCGGCCAAATTGTGATATCGACCCACCAATCGAAAGCTCTTGAGCTGCTGATTCTAGTGGTGATATATATTTTGGGTTTGGGGTAGAAATTTGGAGTAAAAAGGAGTTCAAGCATTTGCGGGAAGGGTGGATCCAGCGTTACATACTCCATCGAGTTCCCAATGAGGCAAAACTAATGCCAAAGCATAATTTCGGTATGAAAAGGGCACTTTCGTCGCCTGTTAATCTTCTTACGCCTGCAAAACCGTCGCCGGTGAAAAAAATCGAATAAAGCGAATAATTCGTTACTTTACGGTATTATTTTTATCGTAAAAATAATTCGTTTTAAACGAATTATTCGTTAGGGTTACCGAATAATTCGTTTTTAAAGGCTATTTTGCCGCTAGGTTCACACTTTGGAAATGGCACGCTCCGCGTGCAATATATAATTCGAAGGTAACAAAAGCAGTACACGAGACTTTTTGCGAGAAAAAACACAAATTACAGGATAATATTCAATCATATTGCTCGGAGAACTAATAAACCACGAAAAGGAAAATCTGTCAAAAGGAAAATCATGGCTAAACCCCGTTTCTGCCAAAAACGAGGCTTAGAAATTAAATCTACAGGCAATATCATCCGAATATTTGAAAATTACATAAAATCTCGTGCAATTTATTCATAAAAACTAAATCTTAATTCTTACTTATAAAATGCAGTTCCCACAATTTCGAGCAAAAAATGTTTTCTAGGGGCGATTTCACCGAAAAAGTCCAACAGGGCGACCCTGACTAACTATTTCGTGGGTACAAAAAATAAATTCCGCGAGAAATCCGTTTTCTAGGGGCGATTTCACCGAAAAAGTCCAACAGGAGGACCAAAAATTTCCCCCAACCCGCCCCCAACTTCGTTGCATCCTAACCATTTAGTGGGTACAAAAAAAATAAATTCCGCAAAAAATCCATTTTCTAGGGGCGCTTTCACCGAAAAAGTCCAACAGGGCGACTAAAAAATTTCCCCCATCCCACCCCCAGCTACCAACCATTTCGTGAGTACAAAAATGGCTGGCCAGTTGGGAATGGCACGCTCCGCGTGCCCTATATTATACGAGGGGAAGTAAGTTGGGAAGGGTTGGTTAGTTGGGAAGGTGGGCCAGTTGGGAATGGCACGCTCCGCGTGCAATATAAAAGTCGAGAAAGAATAAATTCGAGAAAAATGGAGTTTTTTTGCGCGGAAAACATTTGCGCGGAAAAAAAAATGCACGAAAGTGAATTTGCCAGGTTTTCGTGCAAGTGCCATTCGCGCAAAACGATTTCCGAGCAAATACCATTCGAGTTTTGCGATTTTCGGGCAATTCTTATTCGCGCACTTTTATTTCCGTGCAGTCCAATTGGCCCCTAAAAAAAATATTTTTTTGTACAAAAAAATTGATCTGATATTGATAAATTCACTTCCCTCAGAAACGATTTTATAATTTTTGACTCTGCTCCAAAAACTCTGATCCGCAAAGTTTAACCCTAAACCGATGATTTCACAAATTACCTGTCGAACTTTTCTGTCGCGCGAAATTCAGATTCGCGTTTCGAAAATGCTCATTTTCTACTCGAATGTCGCCAATTTCTCTCGTAACTGTCGATCTCAACGTGATAATCGAGATTGATTGATAATTTTTTCTCAATTGCTTGAAGAGTGTTTTTACAGAATCGAGTCATTTATAAATCGATTAATTAGCGTTTATCAGTAATTATCGTAATGCATTGCCTATTGAGCTAATTTCAAGAGAACGATACTACTAATTGAAGCTAATAATGAAAACGAAGCTTGATGAAGCGGCGTTTTTTTAATTAGCCATGAACGTAGCTAGAATGTGAGCAAAATAAACAAACCGAAAAAACAAGTTCACACACACACAACTCGGAACGTATCTTTTTTTGCGAAAAAACGTTAATTGCTGGCATTTTTGCGAGCTACTCGTTTTTGGAGCCTGACAAATACAATTAGCGTTGTTTTCGATTCTCTAGGAGCGTGTTTGTTTGACATCTTAATTCCGTTGTTTCCAGAAATAACTCATCAATTTCACTGGTTTAATTTTATTCTGTACGTGGCCCTGACTCAGGACTCCTGAGCTTGAGAACTTGTTAACAGGGACAGGGTCCGTTCTCGCCAACGTGTGCGAAAAAAACTGAGTCAGGCCCTGAGTCAGGGTCTTGAAAAAGCTTCAACATAAAAGAGGAGACTAAAAAAGCCCCTGACTCAGGTTTTCTGCACAGAATTTTGAGCCCAGTTGATGTCGACCGCCTTAGCTTTCAAATTTCTCTGGAATGGAGAAAAAAATTTTGGTAGAACATTTCGATTTCTCGCGTCTTCGGCAGATTAAGCGAGAAAAACAATGAGGTTTTGCGTGTGTTTGGAATCTGCATTAGAAATGAACGGGTGGCCTGACGATTCTCACGTACTCACGATCATTTCGAATTCACGAAAAATTCAAAAACTCAAAGCAGCACCAGATTCGCTAGAACTCTCTTCAAGTACATCAGCGACTCGCCCATTTTTTACAAATTTTTCAGGAAGGACATTTACATTTTTAAATCTTTCTGAACTTTTTCTTGAGAAAAATTTGCATTTGCAGCAAAATTTCTTTTTTTCTAAGCAATTTGAAAACGCGTTATCTCGCTCTTCAAGAGCTTTTTTCCAAAGTTCTCCCACTTTTGGGCTTTCTCACATTGATTTTGGAAAGAAAAGTAAGTTCAACTT